CGTTGTTTGTTCTAGTTAAGGGTAGTGTGTTTTTTTAACACATATGATTCACATCTACAGATCATTCATCTCAAGAAAATGAATAAGTAAAGCTTCAAAAAAAGAAATCGGAAGGAACTTCTGTGTATTGTTCCACGTCATGTTACCATTCATGCGCGCAGTCCAACACCTTCTGTCCTAACACAGTGACACATAATTACTTCCTTCAAATATGGATCCGCTAGTTCTGAAGCATATTATTTACTCGATTGATATTCTCTCGATAATTTGATTTTCTCTTCATGATTTCACAGTTGTAGTACAAAAAGTACTTTGTATGCTCTTTTTGTCCAATTGGTGCAATTTCCCGCACTTAACAAAAAATACTTCCTCGTAAGTTACTGTAAAACGCGGGTTTTGAATTCAAAATATACACATTTCCAATCTATGATTGCTTGAATCATAAGAAAAAATGCTTTATCTCAGAAGTGTTCACGTTAAAATCGTTGTACTTCAACTAAGCAATGGTAATGTCTGGAACATAATTGAAGTTTAGCGCAATCTTGTTCAGGAGAGGCTCAACTGTCAGCAAGAGACTATGGATCGCATGTAGTTCGTTACATCTTCTTAGAGAAAATTTTTTACCTGAAAACGACCAGAATCATGGAGATTGGTCGCAAGGGTAATTAGTTACAATGTGAATGTCATTCTTATAGTACATATAAATGCAATTTGCATAGATTATCTGAGTCTTATATGGCAAAGACCACTTTATAAAAATGCTATTTAATGTTAAAAGAATGCTTGAAAAAATCACTCTCGTGAATTGACTGGTATATAGACTACTTCATTCATCGTCTGCCACTAGCTCGGCAAGAACTTCAGGAGGAATGGGGCCCCTGTTGCGTCTCCAGTTTCTAATTTCTTCCCTGGCATCATCAATATCCTTATAAGTTTTCACGTAGTCTTCAAATTGGGAGGGTTCAGGGAAGCTGGCTGTGCTATCCAGGAAATCCGTGATTGTAGATATAAGATTTGCTTCAATATCATAAGCATCGATAATTATTTCATGTTGACCATTTTGCTGCACGGTATATAGGTGCTCCCAGGTGTTCTTGCGTACTTCAGCGGTCCAATTCATGTAGTTTGAGCTGCCTCTCAAGTAGCTGCCGATATTTGTCATCTCCAGCGCCCAGAGTTGTAACTATACATTTGCTGCAAAATAGGCTTTCTGCTTTCCAATTGTATGTTTACAAAAGACTTGTGGACTCATTCATATAGTTCTCTCCATAATTCGCGCATTTTTGACATGTGCGATAAGGGAATACCGCCTGGGTCCCATGTAGTTTCAAACCATACCACGAGACTCAATGGAATCTAATTGCCTACTGAAAGGGTGTATCTAGCAAATCTCACAGAAAGCATTGTTCAATAACATCTTCGCTGCCCCATTGCTCAGATTTTCCTTTTCTGCGCACAAAATTGAATTTTTCTGCCGAAAGCTGTCAACGTCACATAGTCTTTTATTCCTGTACTTGAGGTGTATCTATATATGCGGCTCCAGGCCTTGCCTTTTTTTGACGTGCACCTTTTAGATTTTCATTCTGTCGAAGATGGCAACCACTATGCTAAGTAAAGACATATTTTCTCAAAGTGTCTTCATCTCTTCTGAAATTTTGAAGTAGTTGACAGCTCGTTTACGTATATTTAGCGACATGCATGACAGAGCCACATCTCCTGAGACAGATAACGCCGACAGAGCCGATGTTGCCAGTCCAATTTCCTGAACCACCACAGATGAAGACTTTTACGTTCAAACTAATACAATCATAAATTAGGTATAGTTGCCAAGAGGCATGAAAGAAGAAATAATTATGAAGAAATAAAATAAAAACCAGTTAGTAGTAGCGAAAGAATCTGACTCAAGGTCTTTTTTTGACACACAAGGAGCTTACAACACAGCAAGAAGTGCGAGAGGAAGCACCCATTCAGCGCCAAATCTGGGAAGAGTGGCTCCACCTTCGTAGGTCGAGATGTAGGCGGTAGTTTGGATAGTCTCTGTTGCTTCAGTGTTAGGTCTCTCGGGCGCGGGTGCTGGCTTTTCTCCACCAGGCTGTTTAGTTTCCGTAGGACCATTTGGCGCAGGTTTCTCTTCACTAGGTTGCTGTGTTTCAGCTGGACCGGTTGGTGCAGGCTTTTCGTGGTGGTCTTCAGTTTCAGGAGGACAAATAGAGGTGGTGACTGTGACGATTCCTTCCACGGTTGTCTCACAAACGACGGCGGTGATGGTGGTCTTGTCTGAAACGTAGGTAGTTGTGCGTGGTGGCACAATTGGTTCTTCGTCACAATCGGTTTCCTCGTCGTCGTCATTGTCATTGTCATTGTCGTCATTTTGAGAAGTTGTGGTGGTTAAGCATTCTTCACAGGTTGTGTACGTTGTAGGACCGTTGTTGCCGTCATCAGTCGTCTTTCCATTGTCATCAGTGGTTTCTCCATTGTCGTCAGTCTTGCCATCATCATCAGTAGCCTCGCAATCGTCGTCAGTGGTGTTACCGTCATCAGTAGTGTTTCCAGTTTCAGTGGTGTTACCATCATCAGTGGTGTTTCCGTTATCGGTGGTGTTACCGTCATCAGTGGTGTTTCCAGTTTCAGTGGTGTTACCGTCATCTGTAGTGTTACCGTTATCGCTTGTGTTTCCGCTGTCACTGGTGTTTCCAGTGTCCGAGGTGTTTCCGTTATCGGTGGTGTTTCCAGTTTCACTGGCATTTCCATCGTCGGTGGTGTTTCCAGTTTCAGTTTTGTTACCGTCATCAGTGGTGTTTCCAGTGTCCGAGTTGTTTCCGTTATCGGTGGTGTTTCCAGTTTCACTGGCATTTCCATGGTCAGTTGTGTTTCCAGTTTCAGTGGTGTTGCCGCCATCAGTAGGACCTTCAGTGGTAGAGCTGTCACCATTGCCTGTGGTACCGCCAGTCTCAGTGTTATCAGTGCTTAATTCAGAATCAGAGGTGTCAGGTTGATCTGGTTCGCCATTGGTAGTAGACGTTTCAGGCTCAGAGGTAGTATCAGGCTCAGTAGTAGATTCCGTGGTGTCTGGCTCAGGTGTGGTCGAGGTGTTTGGCTCAGAGGTTTGTGATGGAAGCTCACTTGAACCGGAAGGCTCGTCTGGGAAGTCTTGACACAAACACTTGTCTGGAACATCGCCGTTTGGTTCTCCACTGTATGAGATTCTTGTACCAGTATTGCCAGGACCGTTAGTGGAGAACTGCGAGTCGGAGTACCCTTCGCCAATATTGAAGTCAACCTTGAAGACGTTGAAGAAGAAGGAAAGGGTCAAGACGCCATCTTTGTATGACCAGTCTGAAAATCCAGTGCTCAGTCTGATTTCGTTTCCGCCACCAAAACCAACAACATTGTATGTCTTGGTGCCCAAAAGACTAGGCTCTAACCCGAGAACAGATAATGCAGATGAAGGACTGGAAAGGTAGATGGTCTGCTTGTCAGACACACCCCATGGGGTAACTTCAAGCTGAAGATGAGCATTGTCCAAAACACTGACACAGCCTCCGCCGTTGATAGTAGTGGTTTGAACCCAGTTTGTACGCTCAAGACAAATGGTACCCTCATTCTTGATAGTTCCAAGAACCTGAGAAATAGTGATGGGTGAAGCATCTCCGTGCTCCTGCTTAAGGTAGATTCTACCGTTGTTGCTCCAGTCCAATGCAGATCCAAGAATAATAGGAGGCACCAAAGAGTAGGCACTCACACCGATCCACATGTTTCCATCGTTCGAGAAAGTTCCAACAGAATCCAAGTTGTAGTTACTGATGATGCTTGCCTGCAAGGTATCAAAGACAATATCACCGGAGTTGAGAATGCTACCGGATGCAACGCTAACAGAAGCAGCCAATCCCTTGGTGGATCTCACATTCCAGGTTCCCTTGTTATCCAAGTTTCCTCCAAGAGCTGTGAGTGCATTATTTAGGATACTGTAGGAGACACCTTCATCGATATTAAGGTTTCCAATCTGTAAATTAACTGGAGAGTCGACCACTGTATCTTCCGTGATTGTCAACGCCAATACTGATGAGAGGCAGTAGACTGCACTGAGTAAGGCCTGAAGACTTAAGATGCTCATCCTAAAGATTCAGTCAATAAAAGTTAATAAAAAAAAAGGGGGAATCACAGCGCATGGGCTTCATTTTATACCCCTGGACCACGGTCTTGTGGTGGCCTTGTAATTGTTCAGGGCATGAAGGACCATTTTGGGGTGACTTACAAATAACCAATTGCAAAATGTGGCTATCCTCTAGCCGAAGTTGGCGATTGAGAGAGCTGCAAGATGTACCTCGTGCATATCGTGTAAGCGGCTGTTACATTGTTTTTTCCTCTCGCTACGAATTCTAGCCCGCTGAACATCAGCGTACGTGCAGCTGCTAATGAACCCCGCTAGTTGACGATATACGAAGATGGAGGTCCTCCATTAGAAGCGGTTTTGGCTGAATCAACAAGACGCGAATTTGTTGAAGGGCCCTCAGACGTTGGTTCACTCTGCTTAGAGTTTTCCACCGTTGCCCAGATATTTTCAAGCATTTAACGTGCATTGAGAAGCCTTCTTTGTCCTCATCTTGGAAGGCTTCTTCGGTATGTGGATTGAAGGTGATATCATCGAAATAGCGGATATCTAGCTGTGTGTGTTGAAAAAGCCCTTCCGCAAAATTCGTGTTTCGAAATACGAAAGTATCATGCAGCTGAAATCGGTAGGCTTAGTTCCGCAAGGCGCTTCGAGATCAACTAGTTACCGCATTGTTCATAAATGGCTTTGCAACAGCTGAATATCAAGCTACGACAGGCTTTTTAGCTTAATAGCTCACTGATGTACCATCAAATCTGTGTCACTGGTTTTCCCATGAAACTGTTTATTCATCGCCACCCTAAGATTTTTTTTTTCTTCAATCTGAATCTTGGAAGCTCCCCAATTCTTCACGGAAAAATCACTTATTCCAAAACGCGACCCAAAATTAACCCCTTTAGGCTACAGCCAACCACCGAAGATCCCGTTTCCATGTGTTACCTGATTCGTTCACTTTTCCAACTAGAGAGGATGACGGAAACTCGCCCGCGTCTCCGGACCCATTGTGTACGTAACTTCCAAAGATTTCCCGTTTGAGAAGACAATAGGTACGTTTATATCGTCTCGTAGTAGCGAAACGCCCCGTCGTGACCTTTTTAAGCACAGGAACTCACAATTTTTAGTTGAACATATGTTATTTCCTGAAGAAAAATAGCAGCAGCCTTCTTCCTGGCGTCCTTTATGACTGTCTAAATCTGTCTAATTCTTGTCGATCATAGTACCCGTCAACTCACAATGACAGTATTTCCATGCATCCGTATGCGACTTGCATGTGGGTAACAATACTCGCGTCTCGAGCATGCAGCTGTCTCTTTCAAGCAGGACCCTCGATATCCGAAAGAAGAGATTCTCGGGGCACGAATTTACTCCACTTGGTGCGAGATGGTTCTGAACTTCTAAGAACACGAGAGCTTCCCTGCTTTCACAAACCGTGTTTCGCCTGATATAGAAACAAATAAGCAAGGAGCAGAATTAGACGACGCTTCCACCCGTTGCCGAGAATCCGGTAGCCGACCGTTGAGCATTTGACTCTGGTGAACGGGGAGAAATCTCCATTTTCAAACTAAAAAATGAACCTTCCATGTTATGACCTTCAAATATAGGTTGTCTATGCGCTCAGGGGTCGTAAACAATCATTATTCCTGTTTCGACCTGAGGAAGGGATGAATACCTGTCCTGATTTTCCCTCTTCAGTCCTCGGTAGATCAAGACCTTCACTATTAGAAAGCGAGTTCATGAAATACATCTTATCGAAAGTATGTGATATGCCCAAGCATTTCTCTTCTTAATTCCGTAGGGCATTTTTCCCCGGAGGAGCATGTATCAACTGAGCGACACTCTTCGCACCACAGCGGCCAAGTTGCGATCGCTGATTTCACCAGGAAGCATACTCCACATACCGCGCTCTTGATCTCTTTGATTTCCGTGGCTTCCGCATCAAGACCACTTCGGGCTTTATTTCCTCATCGACAAGTGATTCAAAAAGCTCTCTATACTTTGCATCCGATTGAATGGAGAGCTCGTATCGCTCGTCGATAAAATACTCAATCATCCATGGTTCCATGCGGCTTGGTCGGTTGTTTCTGGGGCAGTCATCGAAATCATGTTCTGTGGTATGACAAAATTGGCAGAATTGGTAACAGAATTTAATTTGACAGCTCATATCGAATGGATCATAGATATTTTGATAAGGCTTTGCCTTCTCCATCCCACTGACTATAGTTTTCAACAAATCATTTTGCGGGGACTTATTAAGATCATGCTCAAGATTACGCCTGACTCGATCGACTATGGTTCGTCTCGGTGGAATCATGGTCAGTCCAAGAAGAATCCTGACGTCTGCCAGTTCATACTCACCAAACACGGTAGGGCCATCTCGCCAGCCATCTATTTCATCTGATGGATGTAAAAACCCATATTTAAAGAGTTCTCTTGCTCTCGGTGTTGGCTTGTATAAAATTTTCACCCACATATAGTTTTCACGAGTGATATCGGACTTTATGAACCGAAAATCGGTTTGATCGTAAGTGAAAATCCACGGGAGAACGACATTGTGAATACTTTCTATAACGTCCTCCACCTCGCATGATTCAATACTCCCTTGCGAAATAGCTGATACCAAGAAGTCTAATAGTTCGGTGTTTTTCACCCCCGGGAAGTGGACTGTGGAGTCTATTGCTTCAGCATTGCCGACAAAAATAGATGCAAGTGCGACGAGCACACAAGATTCTCGTTTTTCCATGATCCATGAATACTCCTTGGCCTCTTCTGGGTTCAAAGCTTTGGATGGATCACCAACTTTCGTGTCACGCCGTGCATAGGCCAACTTCACCTTATACACTTCGTACTTTTCCCGGGCTAGATTCAAATCTGCCATAGCATTTTTAAAATTACTCCAGCCATGCCTTCTTAGTTGGTGCGTTGGGAAACGGCAACAGAGTATCTCTTCCCACTCAATCTGCATCTTGTATGTTGAATCGTTATCTGGTAGGAAATTCAACTCCTCCATGATAAATTCTCTGTCTTCTGGGCCTTCAAGGAGCTTCTTAAGTTGCCTGATAGCATGAACAGATTGGCGAAGGTCGAAACCGTTTAGCGTTTCTTGAATGAGGAATTCGTTGTTCTTATATGTACAGCAGCCTTCCGGGCCCTCTGTCAATACTTGTAGGTCATTCTCGATCTCCGAATGTGCAAAACGGACGATAAGGAAATTTTCGGAGTACAGTTTCTCACGGAGTTCTGAGCAGTGTGTAGATCTGAATCGGACTTTTTGGATGCGTTCAAGGCCATTCGGCGAGGAATATCAGTGTTGTCAAATGCATCTTCAGGAATTTCAACACCTCCTAGCAAATTTTTCGGAAGCGCCCCACCATTGAAGCGTTTTTGTCTTTGGAGTTCACGGATCTGTTGTGCAACTCTTCCGTTGGAACTCATCCGTGGAGTGGAGTCTGTTGAAATCAGAAAAACCACGCGTCTCCCTGATGCCGGATTGGATCAAAAGTCACTTTCGTAGTGACTGCAATGGTGACACACAGGGAAATGAAATGAAGATATGATTTCCTTAGTATTGGGAGTTTTTTGAATTACTGAGAGAAAATCTCCATTGCATCGCACCTCTGGCTTTTTGGTCTGACATCGATATCTCCAGCCAATGGAAGTACACAATAGTGAAATAGCCATTTGACTTTTGTAGTCTTGCTATATCGGGCCATGCCATTCGTTGGAAATAAGGTTGGCTGAAGCCTTGGATCACCTCTATCGTTCGTGAGCTCAGTCATTCTCTTGTAGCGTGATTGGTTGAAGCGAAGTAGATACTATAAGCGAAACTGATCATTGAGCTAATTTGTGGTTTTTCCCTTCTTTGATTTGCTAGTTTTGCCTTCATGAGCTTCAAAAGAGTAGGTGATGTGCAAAACATGAAGGGTGTTTCTGTCAAGATAGCGCGAGATAAACTCACTGCGGCTCAGGCTACTCTACAAAGCAACCTCCAACCTTCTATACCCAATCAAAAAATTCAGTAAAAACCATTATTATCATTTTTTGATGGCATTGAAGATTCGAATTCTCAGACACGAGAGATGCCGAACAAGAAGGCAGTTCCCAAAAGCTGAGACTGTAAATGTAAGGTTGAGGCTGACGTGCTTCGTTATGCATCGCAGGGTATTTCCTTGACACCCGCCCACAGGAGAAAACCTTGAAGGTATGAGAACTTGCGGGATTATTGCGCCTCGGAAGATGGCAGTCCACTATAAATTGAGCCTATAGCGCTGAAATTGGATTTTCGTGATCAAAACTATCGATGTCTGAATTCTACGGAATCCTCACGCCTAGTTCTCAGGAACTCTTCAGTGCTTGGGAAGCAAATATCACAGCCTTGAATGTGTATCAGCTGTTGGGACCTGGCAATTCTACGTACTCCGTTTTAGCCAGAGTCATTGACGATCAAGATAAAGTTTTGCTGTCTATAATTCTTGAAACCATTGTTCCTGCTGGTGACTGGTTAGACGCCTATGTGACCAAGTTGAACAGTGAGATTGAAGGCGAGGATGACTTGTTTGCTGACTTCGAAGAATCAACAACAACCGAGACTACATTGAATCACTCTGTTTAGAACTAGTGGTGGTCCGCTTGATAGAAGTTTGAGTTGCGAATACAATAACTTGTGATGCTGAAGCCGGGCAATTAAATACTTATTTTAATGATAGTGCAGTCCATAGTAAGAGCTTAGAGAAATAGTGTCATAGACAGCATACTTTACAAGGAGAACTCGAGTACTCAGCAGGATGATGATCGTTGGAGTCACCTTATCAAACATCAACAACAAAAGGCATAGCACAATTGAGAGATAAAACTTCTATTTCAAAGCATCAGAGGCGCAGCTCACGCTGTGCAAGGGTGGCTGGGTAGTCAAGCCTTTCTTTTAGATTAAAATGGCGTTTTAACCGCTGTACAACATGTCTCAAGTGCCTCTTTAGCAATTCAAAGCAAACTTTGGCGATTGCGGGTATAACTTGGTCGTCACCTTAAAGTTGCATCCTGTAATAGAAAACATTTACCAGATAGGTAAAGCTTCAACGTTCTTAAAGTTGCCCCTACCTCGTCCTGGAATTATTTAGACCTCTGAACCTATTATGACCAGAACCCAGCTTGGTGACCATCAACTCACAAACAATTTATAAGCGGTGACAGAATTACAAGCAGGCTCCCTGTCATGTACCTTCAGACGAGGTTAAATCGTCTTATCTTCAACGCACACTGCAAATCTTCCGAAACATCTCGGATGTCGAAACATCTCGGATGTCGAAACCTGTCAAAAATGCGGCGTCCTCAATGTGCTGCACGAAGATTATAAATACTTTACATGTCGTTAAAAAAATCCACTGAAACAGGCTTAAATAGAATACAAAAAAAATAGCTTGTTGAGCTCCACAGTGTCCAGCACCTGCATCATACAAGCAACCGGGATTTACTCCCTCCCCTTGACCCAGCACTAGCTCTCCACTTTTCTCCTTTGCAATCTGCTTCGAGGTGATGCGGACCCCTTTCGCAATGACATCTTTGCGGACATTTCCACTTGGGGTGTTTCTTGTCGCCACAGAGAGCGCAACTCTTGTTCGGACAATGCTGGAACAAATGGTCGGTTGAAAGGCAATATTGGCAGTACCTTCTACAGTTTTTGATGGTGCAAAACATGTGCCATTGTTCTTCCACAGTCTGTCTTGGATGAAGCTTCTCAAGCTCTTTGATTCTAGTGATACGATGGCGCTCAAAACGTTCTGTCCAACCTTTTGCGTCATTATACGTCGAAATAACTAGAGGTGCAAATTCTTCTTTGTTAGCTGATGCTTCACAACTCTTCTCGAAATCCCTTACAAATCTCGTGAGGACATCATCGTCATAGACACCGCCAGGAAGGCGGACATTCTGCAAGAGTATCTCTGCGGTCGGTGTCTTGGGAGGAACTTTATTCAGCCCAAGAACAATTTTGATATCTGAAATAGTATGATACATTCCCTCACAACTGATCACCTTCCACAGAATTATTTTGTCATTTGGTTGAAGAAAGTGCATCTCGAATAGGTCTTGAATGCACTTGACATCCATGTGCATCAACTCGACTCGAATCACATTTGCAGACTTGTGGCGCCCCTGTGTCTGAAATTCGTAAGACTTGGTAGCCATGGTTACGGGAAACTGAATAGTTTTTACATCTACTTCATTTGCGGGGATGCTTAGAGGGGATGTATCAGGAGTGCGATTCTCAGCCTGGAGTCCAGTGGCACTTTCTCACGAAGCACGCTTTTTCTTGATATATTCATTTCATTTATGCACTTAGAAGAAGTTCTTTGACATTTTTGTTTAAGTTTGATCGTTCTTGGTTATATGTGAGACTTTACAATTTTTCTCAAAATCGGGTGCTATTTATGCATGTGCGTGACAAATATGGCGTAGTGATAAAAATGCGTTCTTTGAACACACCAACAAAAATCGAAAAATGCTTCAATCAGGTAATCAATATCAGCAAGAGTTACATCATTGCTTCAGGTATTTGTGAAACATAATTCATTAGCGCTGCTCGACTTTGCGTTGCGAAGGATTCAACTATAGCTACAAGGGTAGTATCTTCCTGGAAAGCCAGCGATATAAGCGTTTCAAAACAGAGATTTAGAGTTAAAAAATGCCTAATTGTTTACTTAAAGTCTCCAGCAGGCTAACGTCCTGTTCTCTGCCTTCGTCGCTGCTTGGTTATACACATTGGCCCAATAAGAAGATGCTTCAAATAATAGGAACAATAAAATAACAGACCAAACAGGAGCTCTCGAAGCTTCCGTCATCTTCTTTCTACCTTCAATGGCTGGCTTGAAATAGCACTTTCTCAAAAGAGGTAGACGCAAGATAAGATAAGCGTCTCGCATGACGTTTTCGCAGCCAATATGGAAGGTCCAATTGTAGCACACAAATATTACGCCAAAGGCATGACCCAATCGCAGAAATTACCGTAGCTGTCACGTCCTCATAATTCCAAGAGGTAACTCCAGTCAATTTGGAGCTGTTTCATGACCTTTTTGGTCATCCATTGCCTTCACAGGAGTGGCACAAGCCAACCGTTTGAACATAAATAGAGGCGGTTCCCGCCACTTTTTGTTTTCCTCTTCATCTACTTGACCACCACAGTTCTGAACAAAAAGTTTGGAACATTTAAGCTTATCAGTCTTCGACATCAACAAGCAACAACAAGCGACAACAAGCAACAACAACAATGTGTACCGAAAAGTGTAACAACGTTTGCGGGGTCCATTTCCCCAAGGACTTCAGAGAAGCTATTTTTGAAAAGAATGGCTCCGTTTGGGTCGATCACGAAACCGCAGTGATTGACCTTCCCTGGGATGCAGCGGAGTTCGATTACTTCAACTACCTCAGGGAAAAGTGTACCTGGGATCCTCCTTTTGTGAACCAGACACAGCGTTTTTATGAGGACGGATTGGAGCAGTTCAAGCGCCGTAACTGGAAGAAGGCTCAGAAGGAGAGACTTGTGAAAAACCGTGTGAAGAGAGAAAAGCCAGCACAGGCTCCTGAGCCCAAGGCAGAAATTGCCGTTTCCGAGTCTGTTCCAGAAGTTTCTGAGAAGAAGGCTATTTCTGAAGCCGCTGTGGCTTCCACAAATGTGGGTACTTTGAAGGCCTCGACCCTGGTCCAGACCACTAAGGAATGCCCACCACAAACCACTTCCCCCAAGAAGGTTTCCAACAACGTTAGGGTTTATGTGTCTTTACCCGCAAAGAAGCCTTCCCCTATCCTTTCCCAGAGTTTCCCTGCCGAGACTCTGGAGAACGCTCCAGTTTCCACAAACGCGAAGGAAGCTGTGACCAAGGATTCCGGGTGCCCTCCACCTTCCCAAACCCGGGTTTCCAAGGCTGCGAAGCAAGAGGAAAAGGCTGCCAGAAAGGCTGCTAAGCAGGCACAAAAGGCGGCAAGGCAGGCCGAGAAGCAGGCCGAGAAGCAGGCCGAGAAGCAGGCCGAGAAGCAGGCGGAAAAGGCTGCAAGACAAGCTGCAATGGAAGCGGAACAAGCTGCAAAGGAAGCTGAAGAGAGGCTTGCAGCAGGAGCCGCAAAGCAAGCTGAGCAGGCTGCAAAGGAAGCAGAGCAGAAGAAGGCGGAACAGGCTGCCAAGGAAGAGGAGGCTGCCAGGGAGAAGTTGAGATTATCCAAGTCTCGCTTGCCTCCAACTCCAAAGCAGTTCAGACGTCGTTACTGGAACGTCAAGCAGCTCGAGGTCCGTAACCACTACTTGCCAAACTACAGCGACCAATTCTCGACGGTGCTTGTTCAGGTGGACGACGACGAGTCCGACGGCTTGGAGGACGATGGAGAGGATGTCTTCGAGTTCCTGGTGAACGTCGAGATTTTGGAACCCGTTCGCAAGGTTCCAGAACCTAAGCACGATGTCCCAGAGCCCAAGCATGTTCCAGAGCCTCAACAGCCTGGACAGCCTGAAGAGAAGGTTTTGGTGCCTGAAACCGAGGCGCCACAACCTGAAACCGAGGTGCCAGAACCTGAAACCGAGGTGCCAGAGCCTGAAACCAAGTCGCTAAAGCCCAAGAGCTCCAACTTCTACTGGCTTGGCGACTTCCCATTCTTCATGCTGACGTTGGCCAAGAAGCACCATGCCACCTTCCTCCCTGGAGACTTCTTCAAGTCTCGGGAGCTTTTCTTCCCAAAGGAGACTGACTCCTTTTTACCAGGTGACTTTGCTGGCTTCAAGGCCCTTACTTACCCCAAGAATCAGTCGGATTTCTTCCCCTCCGACTTTTTCGCTTTGTGGAATGAACCCGTTCCACAGAAGACTAGGCCTGTCAGAAACTCGAGGCCTGTCTGGGGTTACACCATCACCAGAACCAAGAGACGCTCTTATGGTTTTGAGTTGGTGCTTCCTGTGCTGACGAAGCCCCTTGTTGCTTCCCAGTGCTGATCCGTCCTTTTGATGGATAAAAATATGTTGTTTAAAAAAATTGAAAAAATAGAAAAAAATAAAAAAAAGTTAAAAGACCATAGTAGACTGCCAACCGATGTGTATCTTATCGTATAGTCTATACATGCTGTTGTCTTCTCTCATTCCAGAGTAAGGTCTGTAGTGCCGAAATGACCAGCTTTCGATAAAGGTAACACTCTTTTCTCCTGCAAGAGACTCAAGTGTGTAATTCTTCTGTCTACGTAGCACTCCGATTTCTCAATTACCTTATGTGAGACAAAAAACACAATTAAGCCCAAAACGGGTGGGAATCTCCAGAACCCCCAAATTGGGAAGAAGCACCGCAAATTATTATCTGGAGCCCTCTCATATTTTTTAGCCTTAACTATGGCGATTTAAGCGCTGAAGCTTCTTTTAACACAAGTGCGTGAGTGAGTATTGGACCTACTCTAGATGGACAAATATTTGTAAAAAACCGCCCAAAAGCCTGACCACTTTCTGCCTCGTAGGTATACTTACTGCTCTGAGACCCGCTTCCGTGACCATTTTGCTACAACCTTCCTCTCTCGAATATGCCCTCATGATCAAACCCATGTTTGTGACCACCATGACAGTAGAATATTATTTCGTAGAACAGGCCTCTGGGGTATAAAGCAAGGCCCATTTTCCCTGAATTCTTTTTCCTTATCCACCACATATCAGCCAAAAATGCCCGCCGTTTCTACCGCCAGCACTATCACCAAAGCATCTAAGAAGAAGAGCTTCCCTAAGAAGACGTCCACTGACAGAGGCAGCCTCAAGGAAAGTGACGCCCACATTAGGGAAAAAAAGTTGAAGGACAAGAAGAGAAAGCGTTCTCAGAGAAAGCGTTCTACCAAGGAAAACCCCAAGGGTGACGAAGTTGTCAAGGAGAAGTCTTCTAACGAAGGTGCCTCTTTGAAGCCTACCAACTCCACCCCAGCTCAGCAGGTTTCCAAGCCTGTTGAGCCCACCAAGGAAAAGAAGACGTCCAAGCAGAAGTTCCTCTCCAACGAGGGCGACTCCTACTACATTTCCGACTTCTTCAGTTTCCAGCTCATTCTTGAGGGGTTTGTACCCCTCAACCCAGGTCAGACCTCTTACCTTGAGCTGTATTTGACCCAAAAAAGTGAACCATGTCCAGAGGTGAAGGAATCTCCTGAGCCCGAGGTCAGCAACCCAATTCAGGTAACTTTGCCTGAAGCTACCACCCCAGCGATTTCCCCTAAGCTGGTCACTAACCACGCCCAGGTGGCAACACTTTTGCCCTTGGACTTCCCCGTTTTCAAGACTTGGTCGTCTTTGTCTCAGACTGAACAGACCTACTACCCAGGCGACTTTCACCACTTCAGAAAGTGCCTCAAGGAGGAGGAAACCACTTTCCTTCCCAAGGATTTCTACTTCTGGCAGGACGCCTCGTCCGAGAAGCCTAGAGAGTCCTTCGCTATCACGGACTTTTTTGAATTCCGACTCATCATTGACGAACTCGTGCCTCTCAATCAAACAAAGAAGAGGAAGACCCCAAACACAAAGAAGGTCTTCCTAGTGGATGACGGGAAGCTTTTCGTCACTGACTTTTTCAGCTTCCAAACCATTGCTGAGAGTCTCGAATCACTTGATGGTGATTTGTCTGACTTCGAATTCTGCTTGCGAGCAGAGCAGTTTGACTTGTACTCTGAGGAGCCTGTGAAGACTCAGGAGGTCTACTTCCCCGACGACTTCTGCAAATTCTTCCAGCTCTGGACTTCCAGTCCCAAGTACAACGAGGTGTTTCTTCCAAACGACTTTTACTTTTGGAAGGGTGCCACAAACGACGAAGACACTCCTTCATTTTTGCCAAGTGACTTCTTCCACTGGCAGAATGTCTTGAGCCAAAAGAGCAACGAGTCCTTCCTTCCCCAAGAATTCTGCTCGTTTCAAAGCATCATCGATTCAGTCGAGCCTGTGCTTCCTGAAGTACACCTTTTGGCTCCTGACGATGGTATGAATTGTGAAGAGGTGAGCTCCATTCTTCCCCTGGAGTCCAGCTCATCCTCAGAGTCACTTCCCTGCAAGAAGGCCAGAAGGAACTCAAAGGTCTTTGTGGTAAAGCATCACAGCAAGAAGAGGAAGGTTCCCTACGTCGGAATTATTTCCAAGGAACCAAATCCTCCACTTCCCCCTGCTGATGTGATGTATGACCTGGATAGCTCAGAGCAGTCTTCATTGTTTGACTGGTCTCGATTTGACCCTAGTATGAGTGATTCAGACGTTGATGCTTATCTAGGGGAGCTCGACTGAAGGTACAAAGCATGCCGAAGTCAGGAAATTAAAAAGGAAAAAAAAAAAAAAAGAAAAAAAAAAAAAAGGAATAGGTAATAAAAACAAGAAAAACGTTGTGTAGCAAGGAGTCGTCAAATAGTACTTGAGCTTCATTCCAGAAAGGTCTTTCAGTAACTGACAACTATCCATCTTTGGACATACATAGCAAGCAAGCTAAAAAATATCAACTTCGTAAAACATTCACTAACTTATCTATTTATTTAGATAATTGATCCCTCCTGGGGACCCTCAGCTTGACCTGCTCACTGTCTCCAAGTGCTCGACTTCGATTTCTTTCTTGCCGGAAAGCAGAGATTTCAAGTGGTCGCCATCCTCGGCGAACAGAATCTCCAGATCGGTAACCTTCTCACCGTCGAATAAGACCGCAATCTCCTCCAAGGAGTAGCCCTTTGTTTCTGGGTAAAAGAAGAATGTGTTAAGTACAGCGAACAAAAGAATCACACAAAACACAATGTAGTAGCGCCAGCCAATATTGTCCATGGCGATAGAGTTACAAAATGAGGAGATGACCAAAGACGCTGACACAGTTGCAAAGACAAGCGAGACACCTTTGGAACGCATGGAGTATGGGAAAATCTCGGTAGGGTAGCCCACAAGCAAAGGAGTGTAAGCAATATCGTAGTGGAAGAAGAAGATGAAAATAAAACCAACCACCGCTCTTCCTGCTGCAACAGACTGAGTTTGCTCAAAAAGCGCAGAGCAAATTGTCCAGATAACGTAAGATATTAGCATACCGGTACCCGACCACAAAAGAAGGAACCTTCTGCCAAAGAAGTCAACGCTAATAGCACCCAAAGTAGCAAAGACAAAATTGAAAATTTGCAAGAAACCGTTGATCAAGGTTTGCATGGACGAGGATGTGATACCGATGGTGTCAAGGACCAAAGTGAAGTAATAAGACACAATAGCATTACCACTCCATTGGGAGAAGATACCCATAGTGATGGCAATAAAAGCACGTTTTCTGTTGCCAGGGGTGGAGAAAAAGGCCTTCCAGGTGGTCTGGTTAGCTTCTTTCTCCATATCCAAGGCATTAGAAATTTCGATCATCTCGGTTTCAACAAGTGGACTATTGACGTCTCCACCGCCATGGAACCTCACCAAAATATCCCTAGCCTTGTCAACCTTGCCCCTCGAAACAAGCCATCTTGGACTTTCGGGAACAAAGTACAAGAATGCAAGCTGGATAGCGGGGAAAGCTCCTTGAAGGATTGTAGGAATACGCCAGGCCCAGGAGTCTCCTCTACCAGTGCAACCATAGCACGACCATGCCGCCAAAATGGCACCAATATAGAAGAGCGTAAAGTACAAACAGGTCATCTTTCCTCTCATGGTAGGGTAGGACAATTCAGCAACAATCAAAGGCGCTGGTTGAATAGCCAAAATACCAGCAAATCCCACAATGAATCTGGATGCAATAAGTTGACCGAGATTGTGACCCGTAGCCTGGATAATTGTAGCAACAATAACACCAGTGAGACCAATAGTCAAGGTCATTTTTCTTCCAAGAGTATCGGCAAGGAAACCAGCAACTGGAAGAACAACGACACCTCCGATACTCTGAGCTGCATTGACGAAACCAAGCATAGTGCCTTTAGGATGACCAAACTGCTCTCTCCATTCCTCCATCGACTGGAGTCCGTTCATCAAGGAACCATCGTATCCGTTAACTGCAGCCGAGAGAAGTGGAACAATCAAGAGAATATTGAGCAAAAGCAAGTGCTTCACCATATACCAAGGCTTTCCATGATCTGGAAGAACCTCGGCTATAGCCTTACCCACAATATCCTCTATAGGCGTTGGCTTAAACTGCTCTTTTATTCTTGCAAGCGTGAACTTTTCTTGCATTTTCAAGTGATGGAGATGTTTGGCTGCAAAACATCAACCATATATACGTGACTCAGGTTCATGCGGACTGCGTTTCCAGAGGGCTAGATGACTCCCATGATCCGTGAACAATAGAACCAAAGGAGCAACATGTTTCAGCAAGTGGGGCTAAACAGGAAACCCGAGACGGTAAAGGCACCACCGAGATTTGCTCCAAGAGCATATTTTCTTTAATATCAAAAGCGGGGCTGAAAACGAGGCAGGCGCCTCGCCTAACCTTATTGCTAAAAATGGCCTGTTGGGTGCATTTGGCCTTCGCCAAGCTGTGGGGTTGAGGTGACACATTTTGACGTAATAGCGGGACGGAGATGTTGATAATCCAGTGAGGGTGTCACTTCAACGCAGACATACAAAATCTGACTGTGAAAGAAAATATGACTGAACAAGAAAATCTGCCTGTGAACAAGTTCAACTACAATTCCACGGGTGGTTGTTCCGTGGCTGGATCGGAATTTCTGCCTTGCATGGCGGGAAAACCGAATTCGGCTGAGCGGGTTCGAAGCGTTTAGTTGCATGGAGGTGAACTACAGGAAAAACTAAGCGCCGTGAACAATGTGGGAGGGGATATCAAGACCGAAGGGGCTCTGACGTTTTGGGGTTCTAACATTTTGGTGGATTTTGGGGAATGGAAGTGGGGGGTTCTCTTCGCAACAACAATTGTCCGCAGCAGAACTGGGTTTTAGGCGAGGCTCCTGCAGAGTCCTCGTATTCATTTTACTCATATTTGTCAGCTTACGGAATAATGCAAAGATCCGGCCTTCTCTGGGTGATCACGGCGATCTCTGGATCCGACTCAACCTTGCACTGTAGTATGTATATGTGATTAAACTCTAAAGTATCTGGCTACTAACGCGAGGCTCCATGCGAGATTGGTTTGGGATGCTCGTTAATGTACCACACAACTGACACAAAAGCCAACAGATAAGAATGATTTGTGCGGCGACCAAGCCAAAATAATATACACGGTGGACTCAGAAACACTCGGAATGCAAGAACGAGAGCCCCATGGAGCCGCATAACCCTTATCGTCGTATCAACGCTGGCGGACTGAAAACCGGTCTCGGACTTTCAGGTCCGGAGTTGCTTATTCTCTTTTATTCGCTGGCTGTGGCTATAGGCTGCCCCACCTTTTCCGTCTGTCGGATTTATCAAATTCTTGCCGAGACCCTTCGACGCACCTCGGCAAGCGTGCGTACCCCACATTTCTTTGATCGACCTTGCAGGCTGCCCCACCACGGAAATGTTCCGCGTTAGTGGCTGCAAAAACTCATCAATTGTTGGTTCTTTAAGGGAGACAGCATTTTTCAGGTATATTGGCATCTTTCTAGGGTATAAAGCGTCGTCTGTAAAATTTCTTCCACCACCACTTTTCCTTACCATGACCAAGCAAGATATCTTGAAAAATACCTTAGCCTTCTACTCTCCAGGCAATGACTTCTCCAAAGCGGGGGTTAAGCCTGTCAGAGACCAGGTCGATGCCAGTCAGCCCATTCCTGCTGCAGAAAACACGTCCTCCTCTATCTTGCCCTGCGAGAAGTTGAAGATTGTGGATGGCAATTTCGTGGATTCTCTGGGACGCAAGAGGGTCCTCAAAGGTATCAATGTGGACAACAGCATGAAGCTTCCCGTGACGCCTTTTCTGCCAAGCTACAAGGGAAACGCTCTGGAGGCCGACAATGTGTTTTTTGAAGGCGACAAGGTCAGTTTCGTTGGCAGGCCTTTCCCCTTAGAGGAAGCTGAGGAGCACTGGAGAAGAATCAAGAGCTGGGGCTACAACACCGTTCGTTATGTGCTCACCTGGGAAGCAATTGAGCACGAGGGTCCCGGAAAGTACGACGACGATTTCGTCAACTACACAATTGAGATGCTCAAGATCGTCCACAAGGTGGGTGGAATCTATGTCTTCTTGGAGAGCCACCAGGACGTGTGGTCTCGTTATTCCGGTGGATCTGGTGCACCATTGTGGACCTTCTACGCTGCTGGTCTTCAGCCTACCAATTTTTCAGCTACTGAAGCCGCCATCTGCCATAACGATGCCCGTTTCGAGGAACCCACCAACCCAGACTTCTACCCTAGAATGTTCTGGCCCACCAACTACAGCCGTTTGGCCAACCAGGTCATGTTCACCATGTTCTTTGCCGGAAAAACCTACTTTCCTCACCTCCAGGTCGACGGTGTGGACATCCAGACGTTCCTCCAGGGTCACCACCAGGACGCTTTGACCTACTTGTCGAAGAAGGTGGCTGAGGCGCTTCCAGAGTTGGTAAATGACGGCACCATTTTGGGATTTGAGTCGTTGAACGAACCCCACATGGGCCTTCTTGGTATTCCAGACTTGGGTGTGATTCCCAAGGAACAGAGCATCCGTTTGGGCACCACTCCAACCTTCTTCCAGAGCGTGATCTTGGGTATGGGTCTTCCTGCCGAGGTGGACAACTACACCATCACGCTTTCTGGTCCTGTCAAGCAGGGTACTCTGATTGTGGACCCCAAGGGTAAGAGAGCCTGGCTTACTGCGGAAGAAGCAGCCAAGTATGACGCCCACTACGGCTGGAAACGTTCGGGCTGGACCCCTGGCGAGTGTATCTTTTCTGATTTGAAGATCTGGGAGTGGTCCAAGTCTGTGGATTTGAAGGACGTCTACAGCAAGTCTTTGGAGGAGAGACTTGAGTTTGGAAAGAGCCAGTGCAAGTTGCTTGAACCTTCTTACTTCAACGACGCCTCCAAGATTTCCTCGTACCTTGGTGACAGAAAGCCTCCAAGGACTTCAACATGGAGTTCTTCCTTGCAAACTTTTTCGTTGACTTTTACTTGGCCTACAAGAAGCTGGTGAGGGAGATCAACAAGGACTTCTTCATGCTTATCCAGCCACCTATTTTCACACCTCCACCTGACCTTAGAGGGGACAAAAGAGAGGTTATTGACGATCGGACCGTTTACGCTCCTCACTACTACGACACAATGACCCTTTTGTTGAAGACCTGGAACGAGCACTTCAATGCTGATTCTTTGGGAATCAGCAGAGGTCAATATGCTCATCCATCTTTGGGTGTCGTTGTGGGAGAAAAGGCAATCCGGAACTGTTTCAAGAAGCAGCTCAACTTTATTGTTGAAGAGGGCAAGGAGAGATTGGGCAACATTCCAGCTCTCATGTCCGAAACCGGTATTCCTTTCGATATGGACAGAAAGCAGGCCTACAAAGACAACAAGTATACTTCCCAAACTGCCGCCTTGGATACACTTGCCAACGCTTTGGAGAACCTGGAGTTGAACTACACCTACTGGTCGTACTGTGCTATCAACAGTCATGAATACGGAGATTACTGGAACAACGAGGATTTCGCTTTCTGGTCTCCAGAAGACCAAGGTAAGAATTTTGCTCAGGGAGATTCTGTCGAGGAGCGTATCAAGAACTGTTATCCTTCTCAAGACGGTGTTCGTGCTCCTAGTGCTGTTCTTAGACCATTTTTGGCAACCCACAAGGGTAAAGTGAAGGCTGTGGAATTCGACATCAAGAAATCGAAATACTCGCTTACTATCGATGTCAGCGGCCAATCTGGCTTGTCCAAGGCTCCAACCGTCATTTACGTTCCAAAATGGCATTTCCCAGATTTGTCTTACAATGACATTTACGCTACTTCTGGAGAGTTCAAGTACAACGACAAGCTCGAGTACTTGGAATGGTACCACCCTGAGGGATCTGGCGAGGAGACTATCGTGATTCAAAAGTATGCTGGTAAGAAGGAGGATGTCACAAAGAGAGAAGAGAGCCATGCTTTCTGCACAATCGTTTAGGGTATACAATGGAGGCGCTTTTGATTATAGGTGTAGTAAAAAATCTCTGGATATGTAGATGGCTATCAAAAACGGGAGAGTTTTCAAAAACTCGTATTTATAAACAAAAAAGGGAATCGAGATTAGAAATCAAACTTTCGAGGCCCTAGCTATCCTGGCTTGCATTCTCCACATGCTGCACTTGAACAGACTTTTCCAAGTTCAGAAGTGCATCTGAGTAATCAATGTCTTCCAAAGCTTCTGGATCGACCTTTGCCTCTCCATCGAACAAAACGGCAATTTCTTCCAAAGAGTAGCCTTTGGTCTCTGGGTAAAAAAAGTAAGTATTAAGCACCACAAACAAGAGAATGACACAGAATACAATGTAGTAGCGCCATCCAATATTATCCAAAGCAATGGAGTTGCAGAATGCTGAAATAACCAACGAAGCATTGACCATAACAAGAACTATCGTGACACCCTTTGAATGCATGGAGTATGGGAAGATTTCTGTAGGATATCCCAAAAGCAATGGGGTATATGCGATATCATAGTGGAAGAAGAAGATAAAGATAAAACCAACCACTGTTCTTCCAGCCGCAACAGACTTGGTTTGTTCGAATATCGCAGAAAAGATCGTCCAGATGATATATGAAATAAGCATTCCAATTCCGGACCACAAGAAAAGGAACCTTCTTCCAAGGAAGTCCACCATTAAAGCAGCAAGCGTAGCAAATACGAGATTGAAGATTTGCAAAAACCCGTTTATCATGGTTTGCATCGACGAAGATGTAATACCAATAGTGTCAAGAACCAAAGTAAAATAGTAGGATACCACAGCATTACCACTCCACTGAGAGCTCACACCCAAGGTTAAAGCAATAAAAGTACGCCTTCTGTTTCCTGGAGTAGCAACAAAGGCTTTCCACGAGGTCTGGTCGGCTTGTTTTTCCATTTCCAAGGCATTAGAAATTTCTAGCATTTCCGTCTCCACAAGTTGACTTTTCTCGTCACCACCAGCATGATATTTTACCAAAATGCTTTTTGCCTTATCAACCTTCCCTCTCGAAACAAGCCATCTTGGACTTTCAGGCACAAAATACAAAAACACAAGCTGGATAATGGGAAATGCTGCTTGGAGAATACTAGGAATTCGCCATGTCCAAGTGTCACCTCTACCTGTGCATCCAAAACACAGCCAGGAAGCCAAAATAGCACCTATGTAATAGGATGTCCAATACAAGCTTGTGACTTTCCCTCTGAAAGTAGGATAGGCTAATTCTGCAATAAGTAATGGCGCTGGTTGGGCTGCTAACAATCCAGCAAAACCGACAATAAACCTGGATGCAATAAGCTGTCCAATATTAATGCTGGTGGCTTGTATGATGGTAGCAATCACTATAACCAGAAGGCCGATTATCAACGTCCATTTTCTTCCCAATGTGTCTGAAAGGTAGCCACCAAAAGGAAGCACTACAACTCCTCCAACGCTCTGAGCAGCATTCACAAATCCCAACATCTTTCCACGGGGATATCCAAAGTACTCTCTCCATTCTTCCACAGATTGAAGACCGTTCATCAAAGAACCGTCATAGCCGTTGACAGCTGCTGAAAGTAGTGGTACCACTAAAAGAATATTGAGCACTAGCAAATGTCTCACTTTGTACCAAGGCTTGTCGTAGTCTGGAAGTACTCCAGCTATAGACTTACCAACGATGTTTTCCAAGGGGGTTGGCTTCAATTGGAATTTCATGATAGAGACAAGAATACTGATATTGGAGCCTTTAAAAGCATGGTTTCCGTAGTACCCTTGCGGAGTATAGTTTATCTCAAGATGCACTAGATGGAATCCAGAGAGGACCAACACCAAAGACGCTAATCGAAGAGGCTTACAAAGATACGAGTACTGGACCAAAACGTCGAATGTTTCGGCAAAGTGATAAGCAACTGTGTACGATTGTAGGCATGGGGCGTTTTGTTGGGTGCATCAAAGCTTCCGTTTAGCTTTTAGCGGTACATTCCTCGTAGGGTTTACCAGGTCATTTTTCCGTGCAGCAATTTGATGCTAAAGAATCGAAGAAGATACCATGTTTTTACGCTAGAGATCCAAGTCTTGGTATGGCTTTTATTCCACGATGCTGGACTTGGAAAGCCTTGGTATCTTGGAACTAGCGGAAGTGGGGTTCCCCAACGGCACCGGAAAATCCCCTCCTGCACCGCCTTAGTGCCCCCTTCTGGCTCTATAAAAGCATCGAGCAGTCGAATCGGTGCTCATATGCGGGGGTTCGTACGAAAGACGTAACTGCATGGATACCTCGATAGCGGGATTCGGTCTAGAGCGGACCACTGACAATATCACCGTATCGGAAAAATAACAATATCACTGCATCCAACGACAATATTGCCTCTTCCCTTCTGTACCATGAAGATCCAATTCTATGTTTAGAACCCGTAGATGATCCGGCTTATTAATCTGTCGGTGGGGCTAATGCGAGGTTGATCGTGAGGCTCTCGCTTATGCAAAGTGCACCTCCTTTGCATGAGGCCAATCTACTCCAACAAACAGAAAACAAAAAACATCCGTAAAACAAAAATTCCCTTAATTTTTAAAATAGTCCATCATTCTGTCAAGCAGGACCCTTGATGCATCTTCGGTGGTCTAAATCCTGCGGGTTTGCGGTCTCGGACAATTAGATCCATACACAATACCCTCCTTCCATTGTGTCCCTACTTCTCCAAATATCACAATGCCTTTTCGTGATGAATTTCCGTCTCCAACATACCGCAACCCCGCCAGACCCAAAAGCCAAATTCTTATAGTAGCAGAAGACGCCTCGACCTACTCCAGGCCGTTATATTGTCCAAGGCCTTTTCATTCGAAATACATAAGTTCTCGCTCAACCTCTGTATTGTCTTAAATTTGAAGCACTATGACGACTCTTCACCCATTCGGTTAATCGACTGCCAGGCGTAGTATAAAAAAGTCCAGTCTCTCTCTTCACCACCATGAACACCGATCAAGAAATCTTGTCAAACACGTTGAGCTTCTACGATCCAGGCCCTGATTTTTCCGAGACCGGAGTGAAGCCTCTCAGAGTCCAGGCCGACGCTAGTAAGCCGATTCCTGCTGCAGAAAATGCCTCTTCTTCAATCTTGCCTTGTGAAAAGTTGAAGATTGTGGATGGAAACTTTGTGGATTCTCTGGGACGCAAAAGAGTGCTCAAGGGTATCAATGTCGACAACAGCATGAAGCTTCCAGTGACACCTTTCCTGCCTTCTTGTGGAGGAAACTATCTGGACTCCAGCAACATCTTCTTTGAAGGAGATACAGTGAGTTTTGTGGGAAGACCCTTTCCTTTGGAACAAGCCGAAGAGCACTGGAAGCGCATCAAAAGCTGGGGCTACAATGTCGCTCGTTACGTTCTTACCTGGGAGGCCATTGAGCACGAAGGTCCAGGAAAATACGATGACGACTTTGTCAATTACACCATCGAGATGTTGAAAATCGTCCACAAGGTCGGTGGAATTTTTGTCTTTTTGGAAAGCCACCAGGACGTCTGGTCCCGCTACTCTGGAGGTTCTGGAGCACCCTTGTGGACCTTCTATGCTGCTGGTCTTCAGCCTCTTAACTTTTCTGCCACAGAGGCTGCTATATGTCACAATGACGCCCGATTTGAAAAACCCACAGACTCAGAATGCTACCCCAGGATGTTCTGGCCCACCAATTATAACAGGTTGGCGAGCCTCACTATGTTCACCATGTTCTTTGCTGGAAAAGTGTACTTTCCTCACCTTGAGATTGACGGTGTGAATATCCAAACCTACCTCCAGAGTCGGCACCGGGATGCTTTAGCTTATTTGACCAAAAGAGTAACTGAATCGCTTCCTGAGTTGGTGCAAGATGGCACCATTCTGGGTTTCGAGTCCTTAAATGAGCCTCACATGGGTCTTATTGGAAATCCTGATTTGGGCAAGATCTCCGAAGTCCAGCGTATTCGTTTGGGTACTACTCCTACTTTCTACCAGAGCGTGCTTTTGGGAATGGGTCTTCCTGTTGAAGTGGAAACCTACCTCATTGACCTTTCTGGACCAGTCAAACAGGGTACTCAGATAGTCGATCCTAAGGGTAAGAAAGCATGGCTTTCAGCTGAAGAATTTGCCAAATACGACACTCACTACGGCTGGAAACGTTCAGGATGGACCCCAGGTGAGTGTATCTACTCTGGTTTGAAAATCTGGGAGTGGTCTAGGGCTTATGACTTGGACAAAATCAATACCCTTCCTTTGGACACAAGACTTGAGTTTTCCACAACCCAGTGTCGTTTGCTTCAGCCTGGCTACTTCAACGACGTTTCTAAGCTTTCTGCTTATCTTGGTGGAAAAGCACCTCCAAAGTCGCTTGACATGGAATTCTTTCTTGCCAACTTCTTTGTAGACTTCTACTTGGACTATAAGCAGCTGGTACGGAAGATCAACAAGGACTACTTGATGCTCATCCAGCCTCCTATTTTCACTCCCCCTCCAATTATTGGAAAAGACGACAGAGGTGTAATTGACGACAAAACCGTCTATGCTCCTCACTACTACGATATCATGACACTCTTGTTGAAAAACTGGAACGAGCACTTCAATTCGGACTCTTTGGGAATCAGCAGAGGCCAATACGCCCATCCTTCCTTGGGTGTTGTTGTTGGCGATAAAGCTATCAGAAACTGCATTTCAAAGCAGCTCAAGTTTATCGTCCAAGAAGGTAAGCAGAGGTTGGGTCACATTCCAGCACTTTTGACCGAAACCGGTATTCCTTTTGATATGAACAACAAAAAAGCCTTTGAAGATTATAAGTATACCTTGCAAACCACTGCTTTGGACACTATTGCCAATGGTTTAGAGCAGCTGGGCTTGCACCATACTTATTGGTCTTATTGTGTAATCAACAGCCACGAATATGGTGACTATTGGGATAATGAGGATTTCGCTTTTTGGTCTCCAGAAGATCAGGGAAAGAACCTTGGAAAAGGTGAATCTTTTGAAGAGTGTATCAAAAATTGCTATCCTTCAGAAGATGTTGTTCGTGCTCCTAGTGCCGTTATCAGAATTTTCTTAGTATCTTATAAAGGTGAGGTTAAGGCGGTGGAATTTGATATCAAAAAATCCAAGTACTCGCTTAGTCTTGATTTGAATGGTCAGTCTGGCTTGTCTAAAGCACCTACAGTTATTTATGTTCCAAAATGGCACTTTCCAGATTTGTCGTACAACGATATCTATGCTACTTCTGGTGACGTCAAGTATAATGAGAAACTTGAGTATTTGGAGTGGCACCATCCAGAGGGTGCTGGTACTGAAACTATCATAATCAAGAAGTACACTGGAAAGATGGATGATGTCACAAAGAGGGAGGAAAGCCACGCTTTCTGCACTATCGTATAATTATGAGCATTCGCTACGGAATAAGTGGAGTGTAGATGTCGACGATCAAGAATTCTTCATTTAATGCAGCCAATCTTAGACTATAATGTCTCCACCTTCAAATGTATATGAAATAAGCTGCTTTTGGGGATTCTAATGCACCCATGAAGGTGGCATATTTCAGTTTCAAACTCTACTGCCCCATTGTCTCTTTCTGTTCTTTCATTCTATGAAACAAGTATACATACATTTGCCACCATGGACTTGATGGTGACATTATCAAGATTATCTGTGCCACCAACGACATTCTATAGTGCCGGCCGGATTCGTATCACGCGACTTTTGTCAACTCCAATCTAGACAAACCTAGATCATTCTCTAATATCGTTCTAGAGGTAAGGAACCGATGCAATGCTAATCTCTGCTGAACTCACTGTTCGATTCCGAGCCACTGGAAGCATATTGCCATCTCAGCTGCACACCAGGCAGCCCCAGGAGATTTCCATCAACACGCTCACAAAAGGTACAGCAACCATTGGCCGCAGATGTACTCTTGCTCGACAAGACCAGGGTTCACGTAAACGAGGTCCGGTAACCACTCATGGTTGTACTGCCTGAAGACGTTCTTATAAGCACCGTCGGTGTCTGGCTCAAGAAGATCGTCAACGATCTTGCTCAAGACATCACGAGCAACGCCGTTGATCGGCGAGTACCAAGGAGCATTTGTATCCTCGGGACCGCTCAACCCTACAGAAGCTTGCAACAACGACTCATTCTGAGCAGCTAATGCAGCCTCAAAGGCTCCTGTATCAATGTGACCGATGGGAGCGCTTTGCTTATGCTTTTCTTCTGCTGTGGCAGGTATACTTCTCAAGGCCTCGAAGTTACCAATCTCGACATTGACGGGATATTGACGGGGCTGAATTCCCTTAATGATAAACTTCTTACGGGCTGTGCAGAAGAGTCAGACTGGGGAAGGTTCACCACCATGGCCTCAGAGTTAGGAAAAGCGGAACTCACATTCTTGATGAACTCCACGGCAGGCAACAAGTTGGGCCAGTTAGGATTGAGACGTTCCTTCCAAATAGCCTCGAACTGGTTTTCGTACGCCTTCCAGAGCGAAATCTGGGTGACCTCACCGGCAGCCACATCCTTTTGATTGTCGTCTGGGTTAGTTACCTGAGTGTAAGGCTCGTAGCAACACCGAAGCCACGTAGTCGCTCTCAAAGGTTCAGGGAAGTTAATGATAATATCGTACAATTTTTTGGGGAGCTTTGCGGTACTAAGGGGAATGCCCGCGTATGCTGAACGCTTCGTAAATGTCACAGGCAACGTGCTTTGAAACTTGTGAGGGTCCACGAGTGGCAATTTAGCGATGATCAACTCGGGAAGCTGTTTCAACAAGATGTGGGTGTTGGACATGCGGGAGTTGTTTTGCATGAGCTTTCTAACACGGTGGAGTTGCGATTTGGCAACGGAATTAGGATACTGAGCATGCAACGCGTCCAGGGTAACGTATTGGCGCAAAAACAGCAACGAGGCATGTGTAAGTTCATCATCATTGATGACCAAGGTACGGACAATGATCAGGAGGTGTTCTATCAGCAATGAGTCTATGCAGTTATTGGTATCCTGAGTGTCATCGTCGTCGGCCTTGGTAGCATCGTTGGAAGCCTTTGTGAAAAGTAAATGATGCAAGGATTTGATGGTGTTGAGCAACACGTACCTGTCGGAGGTGTGACTCAAGATGTGAAGGAACGTGTGGAACATGGAGTCGTTCTTGGTGGTGTTGGTGTAGAAACATGTGATAGGGTCAAGGATGTCGAGCAAGTACAAGAACGCCTCTCTGAAGAGCTCGCTGAACTGGCTGAGATGCAGCTTGCGCACGCCAGGGTTGTAGAACCAGTTGGCAAGGAATTTGAGGGTCTCTCCGGCGAATTTACGGAAATTGTCCCGCTGACAAAGCCACTGCTGGTTGTGAAGATCTTGAACGGCATTCCTTAGCGATAGAAGCGACTCACAACTGAGAGAAACCACCTCGGCACGCAAATCGGCCTCTTTTCCTTCCAATATCATATGGTATGGTTTCACAAAATAACGAATGAGTTCCTTGCCCATGAGCTCGTGGGACGTGAAGTCCAAGAGTTTTGGCTCGTTGCATGAGTAGTATGTGAGCGTGGAAAGCGCGTATTCGATCTCGCTCTCGATTCCCGATTCAAGCGACATGATTATTCTGTCTAAAGGAGCGACACCCATGTGTCCGGCACCATGCAATTCCAGATTGGCCTGTCCGTAGGGGCCTCCTGTATACGGACCACCGCCAAAAGTGTCAGCGTTAACGCCGACGCGAGATACGCCTTGAACTGGCACAAGCAGGGGCATATTTGGATGATAGTTTATTCAGTTTGGTGTTTATGAAGATTTGTGCGAAGTGTTGAGGTTCCGGTACGCGCACGTCACACACGTGCACATGCACGTGTGTGACGTGAGACATCACATGACCAGAGATGGCTTCGGTGCAGCTCGGTTGTGTCTTTACTGGAATCTTGAACCTAAAACGATAGTAGAATCTCACTTGAGGCCTAGCTGGCTAAATCCGAGTAGCCGAGGTTCTCGGTCGGAAATATAGCCATACTATTGCTGGTCTCTCCGCTTACTTGCGCGGCTCTATAGATAAATCCGGCATGCGCTACCCCCAAGGTGGCGAGAGATAAGATATAAGGGTCCTTCAATTCCCGATAAAAATCCACATTTTTTTTAAATAATGAAACTTTCGTTAATTGTGGCTGCTGCGCTCGCCGCAAACGCCAACGCCTCCCTCTTGGACCCGCTCAAGGGCCTCTTTAATTGGGACCAAGATGTGATTGACATTTCTAAGGAGGAAACTTTCAAGTTCGACTTTTCTGAGGAAATCAGCCAATTGGGTGCCGAAAAGGACCAGGTCTTGAAAGCCTGGAAGCAATTGACCGCTGATTTTGGTGCAGATGTGTTGAACAGAGCCACCGAGGCCTACAATGCCGCCAAAAAGGTGAAGGAGAACCACATGAACAACAAGGTGAACCGTTTGAGCAGCAACTTTGAGGTCCAGACCAACGGCAAGTTCCCCGGCTACGCCTTGAGAGCCAAGAAGACCAACCCTGAGATTTTGGGCTTGGACACTGTCAAGCAGTACACTGGTTACTTGGATGTGGAGGAGCTCAAGAAGCACTTCTTCTACTGGTTCTTTGAGTCCAGAAACGACCCAGAGAATGACCCAGTGATCTTGTGGTTGAACGGCGGTCCAGGCTGCTCTTCCGCCACCGGCTTGTTTTTCGAATTGGGTCCTTCTTCCATCAATGCCACTTTGCAGCCTTCTTTCAACCCATACTCCTGGAACAACAACGCTTCTGTGATTTTCTTGGACCAGCCAGTCGGCGTCGGCTACTCCTACACTGAGGGTGACGAGATCAACTCCACCGCTGCTGCCGCCAAGGATGTGTTCATCTTCTTGGAGCTCTTCTTCCAGAAGTTCCCTCAGTTCATCAAGAACAAGTTCCACATTGCTGGTGAATCGTACGCTGGCCACTACATCCCCGCATTCGCTTCTGAGATTATCAACAACGCCGACCGTTCGTTCGAATTGGCCTCGGTTTTGATTGGTAACGGTATCACCGATCCCTTGGTCCAGTTTAAGTACTACAGACCCATGATGTGCGGTGAGGGTGGCTACAAGCCAGTTTTGACCACCGAACAGTGTGAGCAGATGGACAGGGACTACCCACTTTGCGCTGTTTTGACCAAGGCATGCTACGCCGCTCAAAACGCCTTGACTTGTGTTCCAGCCAACTTGTACTGTGAACAGAGACTTTTTGGCCCTTACAGCGAGACCGGCTTGAACCCATACGACATCCGCAAGGACTGCTCTGACGGCGGCAATTGTTATGTCGAGCAGGACTACATTGACGAGTACTTGAACCTCGAGTTTGTCAAGGAGGCCGTTGGAGCCGAGACTGATATTTTCACCGGCTGTGACGACACTGTCTTCAGAAACTTCATTCTCAACGGTGACGAAATGAGACCATTCCAGCAGTACGTGGCCGAGTTGTTGGACAAGGACATTCCTGTCTTGTTGTACGAGGGTGACAAGGACGTTATTTGCAACTGGTTGGGTAACCACGCCTGGTCTGATGCCTTGGACTACTCCAAGCACGACTTGTTCGAGGCCCAGCCTTTGCGTCCATGGTACACCAAGAACGGTGTGTTGGCTGGTGAGGTTAAGAACTACGACAAGTTCACCTTTGTGCGTGTGTACGACGCCGGCCACATGGTGCCATACGACCAGCCAGAGAACTCCTTGGACTTAATCAACAGGTGGATCCTGGGCGACTACACCTTCCGCAAGTAGGTGATAAAAGCGTACTAAAAAATCAATGATTGTTTGCTTAGAGAGTTGTAGAAGTGACAGGCAGAGTAGCCGGAAACAAGCAGAGAAAAACAAAGTAGCGAGAGGTAGTGACATCAGGTTTATTGGTTCGATCATTCTCCCTTTGATGAGAGAAATGAGCGTAAAGAGCCTGTTGAAAAGTCATTGTGGAAACCTTAAATGAAGGTATTTTTTTTTTGAAAGCATTACTTTTGCTTTTTCACAATGACCAATAATTCACAACATTTCTGAGTATTGCTTATTTCTGGCTTGGCTGGTTATGTAGTAAGTAGGTGTGAACAGGTTATTTCAATGGTCAGTAAAGACATGGAGAGTAAAAGTAAGAAAACAAAACAAGACATGTTACAAAGCTACCACAAAAACATAGAGCTTTTCAATGTTGCTACTTTCCTTCCCCTATATCGATAAGCCCTCCTTAGCAAGAACATTCTCGTGAAGATTTTACGAATATGGATAACGAATTTGTTCTAAGGCTTCTGCGCTCCACTCATTCATTCAGAGAACTTCTTAGTAGATAGTAAGCTTTGAATTGTGTAGCTTTAACTTTATTTGAAAGAGTATAGTCTCAGAAAGATGCCACTAATCTCTCCTACATCCACAAATCCAGTACTTCACAAAATCATCGTTTCTAGTATATCCATCAAACGCTAGCCATCAATGCCAACCTACGCCTCATGCTGCTTTCCATGAAGCTCGTCCTGCAACTGCTCCACACTGCTACTAGTGCTTTCTCCTTCAATAACATCGGTGGTTCTGGTAGGACCGTGATAAACCTTCCTAGCGTAAACCCAGTAGTAGATAAGCGACAAGAGCCACACACCAGGTGCAATCACCACAGTGTAGTTCATACTTTCTGCATCTGGGTTTCTGTCTCTGGGGAACATCACCATGATCAAAACGTACGCCGTGAACAACACCGAGATCCAGCCGTTCACCTGGGTCATGGTTTTGCCCAAATAGAACGGACCCGGGGTGAATTTGTCTGAGTAAATCAAACGCAACGTCGTAGGCATCGACCATGCAAGAAGGTTTCCGGCAACACCCAAACTGAACAATGCTGCTGCTGCTGTCGTGCCGATAAGTACCAAAAGACCAACCACAAGGGCAACAGCTGCACCGGTGATGACGGCGTGGATTGGAACGGAAAGCTCCCTGTTGACCTTTTTGATCCACCAGGAAAAGGGAAGACCGTTGTCTCTGGCAAAGGCGAAAAGCTGTCTGGAAAGGGCGGTCAAAATGGAAGCTCCCATGAGAAACTGGCCAATGGTGATGAGAACCATGAAAGCAATAGCCACGGGCTTGCCCTGGCCGGTTTTCGTTTCAAAAGCATCGTAGATGATTTGCGCCATGGGCTGACCGTACTTCGTACCCATGATGGTATTAAGATCGTCTGTCTGAACACAGAAAAACGTCACAATCAAAATGAAAAACCCAAGAAGACCGCACGCCGTGATGGAGCTGATGATCCCCAAAGGAACCGCCACGGTAGCGTTCTTACACTCCTCAGACATATGGACACACGAGTCGTATGCTCCAATGGTCCACACAGCCAGCTGCCATGCCTGGGAGACCTGGTTCCAGCCCATGGGGAAATCTGTCATATTTTCGAAATTTCCAAAAACCCACGAGGCCGGTTTGAACAGGCCTCTGGAGGCGCCTATGGGCATGGCGATGAAGAAAATGGCAATCAAAAGGACATTCCACACGATCGAGGTGGTCTGCAACGTTGCAACGTGTCTGGACGAAATGGAAGTCACAAACATGTGGACAATGACACCGGCGGCAAAAACACCGTACGTTTTCGCCTGGGTGACTTCGAAATTGCCGTCTTTGGCGATCACCACCACCGAAAGAAGCTCCTGAGCGAATCCATAGTCGATGGAGCAGAAACCGCAAATCAACGAAAGCGAGTTGGTGTTGCCGATAACAAAAGAAAGCACCGACTTGAGCTTGGGCGGAGCATAATAATTTGTCCAGTAATAAAGACCTCCCGAGGTAGGCTGGCACGAGGCATTTTCACTCATGGCCACACCGACAATTAAAATAAAACAAGAAGCAATAAGCCATCCCCAAATGGCACCAGCAGGTCCAGCTGTGATGCCGTAGGAAAGCGTCGTTGCAATCGACGGAAGCAAGCCCATAATGGAGAAGGCCACGCCGAAAACCTGGATCGTATTAAACCGTCTTTTCAACTCCGGCTTGTATCCGATCTGAGCCAAAAGATCATTGTCTGCCGTGGTGTGCAAGGCATCAATACGAGGACTTTCGACGTTTTGGGTGTTGTTGTAGAAGCGGGGGTCTGAAGCCACCGCCTCCAATAGCTGTTCGTTGGAGAGAACCGGATGGACCATGCTACAAAAGTTCCGGATTTGCTTTGTACTTATAGCGATTGGGCGTCAAAGGGGCGAAACCGCTGTATCGTCTAGGCGCTTAGAGCCCTTTACGGAAGCTCGAGTCGGCACATTCAAGATAAGCACTGTGCATCCGCTGATAAGAACGTTGTGCGGGTGCCTGGGCCATAAGGGCGATTTTCTGTCTTGAGGAGGATCCAAAGACAAAGAGGAGCAGATAAGAGGGGCGGTTGGTTTGATATGTTGAGCTTGTTAATGCACAAGAAGTTTCGGTGAAGGCTTGCCTGAAGACTTGTCATTTGTAATTTGAGAGTTCGTTTGGAGATGCCTTTTTGGAGCGCTTGGCAACGTTTGACAGGGGCTTAGACGGTTTCTCGTCTAATTCTATGGTTTGTGCGGCTGGGGGATTACGGTGCTGATAGCTTTATACATCTTTCTGGATCTTTTTCGATACTCGGAGAAAATAGGGATTCGGGTGCCAGGCTTCAAACATCCGGATTGGTCAGGCAGCGTATCTGTAGATTTACTCGGTTTTCGTAGAAGTCTGTAGATTTACTCGGTTTCCGTGGAAAGTGGCATCAAGCGGAGTTTCGGTTTGTGCTGTGAAAGGCACTGGTTTGATAAGACGCCAGGACGGTCTCTTAATCTGGCTTCACGGGCGAGGGGATGGTTTGATGGTGGGATTTTCCAGGTGATTTTTTTTCTTTTTTATGATAATTCATTAATGGAGCTTGGGCCGAGTTTCTGGAAAAGTTCCCATTGTGGCTTTGGCGAGACGAATTCCATATCAGGAACGGGTACTTGATCTGGAATAGCGATTGAAGCGAATGATAGGCACATGCTCGTGGCTTAGCAGACGGTTTTTATTCAAGAGAATCGAACTGACATTGAAAGAGAACTCATGGAAGTTATGACTAGTTTGGTGATTTTTGGGAATTAATGAAGAGGCTATGTGATGCTAAGGAGTGAAGTGAGAGCAAAACGAGCTTCTTGATTAGGGAAACGTTTTGTAAAAGATAATTTTTCTTCTTTTGCAAGGCTAGCTAATCAAAAGGAAAGGTATGGTCTTCTGGTACGAAATCTGGAATCAATACAGCTGCAAGAACAAGGCTTTTTTCCACAAGCAATTGATTTTACAACGGGAAACACCCAATTGGTGGACTTTGGTCTGTTAACCTTCAACTTCCCATAAATACCGAGTGACTAGTCAAATTTCCAAATTTCTATCCAATTCCTCGATTTCTTGTCTTATTGATTAACCAAGCTTCAACTTGTTGATCGTCTCCAGGTATTACGTGTTACAAGAAATCCAAAAACAAATGACCGTTTGACTCAAAGACTATGGCCCAAAGGTTTGAAACTTCACTTTTCCCGGATTATTTCATTTACTGTCAAAATCGTTGTGGACCATCTACTGCAAAGTCCCAATTCCTAGGGCTACAGCCCTAACCAACGTCCCTCATCGCGGGGTGGTTTCTGCAGGACTGAAAAAAAAAACTTCACCGCACTCAACTATATAACCTCGACTTTTCGCACATTTTCAATACCTCGCCAACTCTAACTATGGCTACGTATGTACCCAAATCATCACTACTTTTCGCTCGGCAGAGTCCGGCTTGAGGTATGGTGTCGTCCGGTGGCAGCCTGCTGCTCCGGGGAGGAGGCCTGGAACCAGAAACCATGGAATATGTTTTTCATGGACTTGTTCCTTGCTTCAGTTATGACAGTGCTATTCCTGGAGACCTTGGTCTCTTGTGAAAGCCAATAACATCTACATGACCGCAAGGCCATGTCGTCAGCTCAGCTCAGCTTTGCCGATGTGGGATGTGGGTTTCTAGCCTTACAGCTCAAAATATGAATCCCGTTTATCCAGTCCCTTCACGACTGCCGTCATAACGCCTCTGACACCTCTCGCCGCCTGCTCTTCAAAACTCATGCTAACATCCAGTACTTTGAAACCTGAGACTCAGATCAAGAAGACCAAGACCGACGCTAAGGTCTTGGAGAAGCGTGCCGCTGACAAGGCCGCTAGAAGAGCCGTATGTACCATTGAGTGATTGGTCCTTTTGAAGATGACAATCTTTTTTTCGTATATGACTAGCTCCGGCTATGCTGTCTATCAGTTAACCATCTTTCGGGACTGAGAAGGGACCCTGTAAAACGCGATATACTAACATTTTAGACCAACAAGGAGAAGAGACAGGCTATTGCTGAGAGAACTGCTGCTTACTACAAGGAGTACAGAGACGCTGAGCGTGCCTTGATTGACGCCAAGCGTGAGGCCAAGGCTAACAACTCTTTCTACGTTGAGGCCGAGCCAAAGTTGGTGTTCGTCATCAGAATCAAGGGTATCTCCAAGATCCCACCTAAGCCAAGAAAGATCTTGCAGTTGCTCCGTTTGACTCAGATCAACTCTGGTGTTTTCGTCAAGGTTACCAAGGCCACTTCTCAGTTGCTCAGATTGGCCGAGCCTTACATCACCTACGGTTACCCTAACTTGGCTACCGTCAGAAAGTTGATCTACAAGAGAGGTTACGGTAAGATCAACACCCAGAGAATCGCCTTGTCTGACAACCAGATCATCGAGGGTGCTTTGGGTAAGTACGGTATCCAGTCCATCGAGGACTTGATCCACGAGATCTACACCGTTGGTCCTAACTTCAAGCAGGTCAACAACTTCTTGTGGCCATTCCACTTGTCCAACCCTAACGGTGGTTTCAGAGCTAGAAAGTTCTTCCACTTCATCCAGGGTGGTGACACTGGTAACAGAGAGCACTTCATCAACAACTTGGTCAAGCAGATGAACTAAGCGTGTTGTTGCAGCTCTTTTCCCATGAATGTATTTGAATATATCATTTCATTCTCCTTGTGTACGATAATTTATGGTTTCCGGTTAACTTTCAAGCCATTCGTTGAAGCTGTAGATCCAGTATTCAAGCCATGGCACCTGCTGGATCCATGAAAAGGAGATGTGGCTGGAGATGCTCCAGAGCGTAGTGTAGTAGATGAGCTTCAAGACGTTTTGGATAATGAGGAACGCTAGAAGCAATGCAACGACGTCTGCAATGACACCAGGGAATTGGCGGTTCCCGGAGTAGAAGTACTGCTTTGCAAATGGCAAGCTATGTAGCCAGTCTACCTTTAAATTGCGCTGCAGCTGTAGATCCCTGATTAGTTTGTCCTGTTCATCCAATGCCTTCTTGAAGCTATCTAGTCTTTCGGGGCCTGTCTTTCCGAGTTTCTCCTCGTACAAAAGGCAGAGTCTTTCTAGATGGGCAACCTTACGTTGGAGTTCCTCGACGTCCGAGATGTCAGATTGTGCACTTCCACTGGTTGGAATGGGTATTGTCGGTTCCAGCTGAATTGGCTCTTCCTTAACCACCCGGCTCTTGGGCTCCGAATACGGCCGAATCTCGGGAATCTTATTCCTTTCGTACGTTCCCCTCAAAGAGAACGTATCGTCCAGCGACTTGGGACGAAACGAGTAGGTGGTATGGTTATCCAAAAGACGCGTTAGGGTAAGCTTCAGCGTGTTTGCTCGTTTTTGCAATAACTCCTCCATCGACAGAGTCTTTGTAAGCCGTAGAATGAAACGCTCCACGTCTCTCTGAAATAACTTTAGCGTGGGTTTGTCTGAAGCCATCTTTTGTATGATTTCCATTTCGGGTTTCGTTAGTAGGGTCAGAACGCCCAAAAAAGCTTCCATTTCTGTCACCAACTTGGGAACTTCACTCACTATGATATGGTTTCTCGGCAGTCCCTCAGGGGCGTAGTTATCCCAGCATGTAGCTATGAACTGATCATATATCGTGCCCATCGGTGATGTTTCTTATGAGTTCTTATTTGCTTTGGATCAATTATGAATTAAGGGTCGACTCAATTGATTTAAAGAAGAATCGGAGTTGAGGTCTGAATAATGTTACAGGTTTTGTGGTGTAGTAGATCTGAGATGTTTGTTGATGTTGATAATGCAGAAACATATTCGCGGTCGATACTACTAATGCTCCTAAGCTGTGCAATGTTCTACAGAAAAGATCAAACAATGTAACATTAGGCGTCGTAAATTTTCTATATGCTGTGGACGTAAAATGCTGAAATGAAAGATGTCATTATTTTTGCTCGTTGCTTGTACTATCAGGGTTCTCTCCAAGCTCAGCCAAAAGCATCTCACCTAAGGCTGCGGATTGTGCAGTTGATGTATCTTGAGAAGCCTCTTGTTTTGGTTCGCTCGAAATGAAAGGCAATGATTGGTCCACGTAGGTCTCGTCGGGATACGCTGAGGTGTTTGGGAAATCAGCAGCTAAAGATGCCAAAAAAGTGTCATCACCAGGCTCAACCTGAGCAACAGGAGGAGGTTGAGTTGAAGAAGGGATTGTCGAAGATGAGTTTCTTGAGTCAGGAGCACTCAATTGCGGTTGTTCGACTTGTTCGGGTTTTTGTTGTGAGTCTGATGATTCGGTAATTGGAGCGGTAGGTCGAACGAGAGGTTGGGCTTCCCGAGGCTGTTTGTCTTCCACAGAGGCAGCGGAAGTTGCTTCTTTAGGAGCCTTATCATGAGGAGGAGCTTGTTCCACAGGCTCTGGAGTTGGCTTTACTTCTTCATTAGCAAAAGTCGTAGCGGATTCGGAAACAGGTTCTCTTGGTTGTATAACTGGAAGTCCAGTCGACTCTGGAACCTTTGTTTCCTCAGGCTCCACTAAGGGTTCGGGTTTTTCTGGAAGAGGCTCAGATTCCCTAGACACCGAACTAGACTCATCCTGCTGTATGGACTCATCCTGCTGTCTGGACTCATCTTGCTGTTTAGAATCATTCTCGTTCAATTCTTCAACCAACTGCTCAGGAGCCAGTGCAGTGGAGCTCTCTGAAGGTGCTGCATCCTTTGTGTCAACTTGCATGGGTTCCGCTCCAGTTTCTGGTTGAGAAGGAGCACTGACGGTCTCGGGAAGTGGCTCAACTCTGGGTTCTGGGGATGCAGATGATATCTGCGGAGATTTATCTTGTAAAGCTTTTTGCCCAGTTTCAGCTGAGTCCTTGGATTCCGGCTCACGAACAGGCTCGTTGTTCAGAATATCGAGAGCACTAGAGCTGTCTTTCTTCTCGATCTCGATGTCAGCTGGCTTTTCGTCAACAACGTCTTCTTGTATCTTCAAAGGTTCAGGAGCAGACTGGGGTGGAATGGCGTCCTCAACAGAAACCTGAGAGTCTGCATTGATAGTCTCCTCTGGCTTTACGTCTGTAGTCGGTGATTGCAATTCAATCTTTTCAGGGATGTTAGACTCTGGGTTAGATGGCAGGGGCGAGGTAACTTCAGGGCCAGAAGAGCCCACTGGCTTGCTTTCTTCCTTCGTTTCAGACTTTGTTTCATTGTGAGCACTCTCAGGCTCGACGGCAACAGCTTCATCCTTCACTGGCTCAGAGGGCTTTTCAGATACCAGTGTCTCAGAAACTGGCTCGGGGTGTATTGGCTTTTCAATATCAGCTTGTGGAACTTGCTTGGCCATTGAAAGAGGAGAGAAGAATTGGGGAACCGGAGGTGGAAGAATAGGCCCACTTGGCTGAGTCTTGTGCGAGTAAAATCTTCTTTGATCCTCGTTGAAATCTGTGGGACTTCTGGTGACCGACTCTCTGGAATTGGCATCATCTTTTGGAGATTGGGTTGAACCTCTCGAAGGAGTAGCTGCTGGGGACTCACGATCCACATCCATGTCGTTTTCTGACTTCTCAACATTCTTTGATACATCTTCCTCTGGCTTCGCTGTAAGGAGAATGTTCAAATTGGTTTTCAAAAATTCAGATAGCTTCTCGTAGATCGAAGTTATGAGCACCGGAGCACCAAATACCTTTCTGAAAATGTAAGCTTCATAGTGCACCAGAAGCGCTGTCTGCTCAGAGTTCCAAACCTTCCCACTGAAGGTTTTTTTGAATTCGTCAATTTGCTCCTTCAACCTCTTCAACTCATCCAACTCGCTTGAAGGCTTAATCTTGAGGTCCTCGCCAGAAGCAACAAACTCATCAATCAATGAGTCGGTAATCTTCTCTTCTGCAAATTCTGCAAGAATCGAGTCAGAATCCAACAGCAAACAAGCAGGGCAAACGTAGTTATCATCGTTTTCCTCGATCTCCAGCTTTTCCTTGACACAGAAGATATGGTACCACTCGTGACAACGGTCACATTCAATCATGATTCCATCCTCAAACTCTCGACAGAGACAGTAACGCAACGGGTGTTTCTCATCGTAAACGGGGTCGATGTCTTTGAGAAACAAATAGCCACCGGATCTTTCGAAAGGATCAACTTCTTCACCTGCAAGGTTGGTAGCGGTCTTGGTATAGATTGTGGAGAGTTTCTTGACCAATTCAGTGTTCACGGCTTGTTTCAAAGTCTGAGTATCAAACAGCCTCTTTGCCCTGGAGCCAAAAGATGCCTTGACTTTTTTCAAAGCCGTCCACAAGTTACCCAACCAATTGAGAGACTTGTCAAGATCAGCCTTGATCTCCGAGTCGTCATAGTCGTATTTGGATTTCTCCAAGTCGGCCATCATTTGTTTTGCAGCAAACAAGGAAGGCTTCGTTGTTTGGTACTTCTGCAAAAACTTGACTAGAGGTGCTTGAGCCTTGATATCAACAAGCTTGTGGTAAGATTCCATGAATACAAAAAGACGTTTCTCTTTGATCTCCTTCGCCCTCTCCTCCATATCAATTATCAAATTATCAAGTTCAGCGAGGTTGATCTTGTTGAGTTGCTTGTGGTTTGAAATATAGGCATTGACCTTCTCGTCATACAAATTGCCCTCCTTCAACCATGCATCAACTTGTTGAAGATGATCAACATCCTTAGCACTGAGAACACGTAAGCCATCATTGTGAAATTGCTGAAGATGAGATAATGAGTACACTTCCTTCTTTCCAGCAAAAGGATCACCGCCCTCAAATAAGATGTTGAAGGTCTTGATCCAAACCTCTCTGTCCCGCAATCTCACCAAGAAGTCGAGTATTGGTAACTTGATACCGAATGAAGTTCCCAAGTTGATCATATCGTTTAGCTCAGACTGTTGGACGTTAGGCTTCGAGATCAAGTTACGACATGCTCGATCGAAGTTTTGGATCTCATTCTTGAATTCGAGAACTTGGTCGAACTCGACAGCATAGAAGTTGAGCTTTGGAATTTTGTTTGCAAGGTCGAGCAATGTCGAGAGTTTTCCTTGTTTATCCTGTTCTTGTGGTACATTATTCTCTGACGCTCCTCTTATTCTTTGCTGATGCTTCAACGACAAAACTGCTTGACACTCTTCGATGATATCATTGCAGTGAGTAACGAAATGATCGAGATTTTCAACGTATTCCTTAAAAACCTTCATCTTCTCCTCACGTTCAAGGTCCTGAGCTCCACGAGATCCGTTGGAGACAAACCTCTTAAACCTAGGATGGGCACTTGACAAGGCGGCAAGGATCTTTTGACCATCACCTAGCAAGTTCTTATAGGTTTTGAAAGGAACCTCCTCCTCGTCCTTCATGACAGTTTCGTAAGTCGTGACCCATTCGTCAAATTCGATAGAGTATCCACTGAGGACTCTTTGGTAGTTCTTGAGACGATCGTCGGACAAGAACAAATGAAGCTCGATTTTGTGGGAAGTCGAGGATATGAAGTCAGGGAGATTTTGCTCCTGGTTCTCTCTCTTCTGGACCTCCAAGGCGTCAGAGTATTGAAGGAAGCTTTCGAGAGACATGGAAAACTGCTCACCATCCTTGGTGTTGTTTATCAAGATCTTTGACGGAAACAAGTTCTGGAGATTGTCGTCTGCAATACCGTCTGCATCAGAAATACTTCTCTCTTCTATAACAACCTCCTTCATCTTGACCCTGGTCCTAACCTTGTTTCTGAGTTCAAGCTCCTTCTCCAAGAGCTTGTCGTAACATTCCAGTGCTTTCGTGTAGACATCCGAATCAAAACTTCCGCAGTTGTTCTCGTACAAACTGGCAATATTCACAAGTAGCTTGAAAAGCGATATATTTGGGAGAATTCCTTGCTTTTTGAGCCATTCTTCTCCCTCTAGGGCATAATCAAGCCAGCCTTTGGATGCAAAATTGACGTCTTCAGTGATGTTCAAGCCCAAGGAAATGGACAGTGAATAGGACTTAGGGTACTGAAGGATGATTTCACCAGGCTTTTGCAAAGTTGTGGTGAATCGGATCCCTCTGCTATGAAGCATTTCCGGGTTGATGAAGTATTCTTGGTTGTAATAGATGCTGTCTCTTTTGGACTTCTGAAAATCGATGATTTTCTGAAACTCCGGATCGTTGATGAATGCACGGACTTCTGGATAAGGATTCACCATGTTTTCAAGAGAGTTAAGGAGACACTCGTACTCGAAATTCAAGCTTTCGTCCTCTGTGCTGAGAAATTTGAGAAGCTCGCCGATTTGCCAAGATTCAGACTGGCTGTTCAAATTGACCTTAGAGTCCCTTTTCGTATTAATTTCACGGAGAAGCTCCTCGAATTTCAAGAAGTCCAGCTCTGGAATGAAATACCAACGCTTACTTCTGCCAAAAAAGTGATAGCTGCACCGTTGTAAGAAATGATCTTCGGAATGCCAATTTTCTGAACTGAAGGTCATGCCAACATTCAAGCGTGAGTTGTACATGTCGTTATTGTTGACATCATGAGCAGAGAGGGCTCCAAGAAGCGAATTTGGTAACGTGGGTATATTGTGGAGGTTGAACGGAGCCAATGAGTTGCCTATGGTTCTGGAGATGTATGGCTGGCAATTGAGGATGAGCGCTTCACTGTGCGATGAAGAAGTGGATGTATCGCCATTAAAAGAAGGTCTGGAGGAAGAAACTGGGGTATCAGCTGGAGTTGGAGTTCCACTTTTGCTGCTGGCGGTGGAGATATGTTCCTGGCTTTTTGTTGATTCCGATCCTGAGAAGCTTACACTCTGCTGATTGGAGGTGTTGAGCTGCAATTTGTAGTTGGTGAAGTCGTCACCGATTCGAAGAAACCCAGAACTGTTTGCTAAGTGAGGCAAAGAAAAACCGTTTTCGATCTTCAAACCATCGAGTATATCGTCAACACCTTCATGGCACACACGCTGCCAGTAAATGTCCTCCAAAGCTTGAGGGGAAATGGGGCTGGATTCTTCGCTGATCTGGAAGCCTGTCAAATGATTCGGAAGATTATGCATGGGCGTGGACATTTGTCTCTCGCTGTTGATACCGAAAATTGCCGGATTTGACGAGATCAAGACCTCCTGGAATTTGCAATCTTTCTCAATGAACTGTCTGAGAGAGTAGATTGAGGCCGATTTTCCATTTGGTTCATGCCTCGTGGCATCTTGTAAGTTTGCTGCGTTTGTGCTGATCCACTTCAAGTAACTGTTGATTTGAGCAGCAGGCGTGAGTGAGCAAGATGTCGTATTTTTGTTTGCTTTAGTTTCACCTTGAGCAGAGCCGTTTTCCGAGTTCGACGAAAACACAAGAGGCGGTTTCACGTCGATCAAATGCGGCTGGTTTAAAAGAATACCTTTGCTTGCTTTAGCTTTAACAGAACGTCTGTACTCTTTTGCTGAGCCAAGAAGGAGAGGAGCCAGAGGATCGACTTTTAGCTTTTTGGCAGGTGGCTCTCCATCGCCAGGACGGTCTGCCAAACCAGCTACCTCAGCACATCTTTGACCCAAGAATGTCTCCAAAGGATAGAGGATCTTAGCATAGGAAAGCTTGAGTGAGCTGCTGAGACTGCTTGTGATTTTACCCTTGTAACCGAGCTCACGCCCTATTTGAGCCCAGAGCTTTCTGTTGATCACCTCGTTATAGCCGCCTCTCATGACAACCAAACGGAATAGGTCAAAGAGGTCTAGTGGGCGTTTGTCCATCATCGGTAGTTTCTGCAAAAACAAGGGCAGTTTTGTTTTCTGCTTCTCTTCCGCCTTTGTCTCCTTGGGCTGTGAGTCTGAAAGCTCCTCTTTTGATTGGAGCGTTTCTTCCTTTTGTGGACCTTCCACAGGTGCTTCTTCTTCTGTCTTGACTGCTACTTCTGGAGCCTCTGCTCTCTGCAGAATATGAAATCCGATAAGCTCGTTGTAAAAACGAAGCCTCGTCAAAATCTCGTTCTCTTTTGGATTAGCGAGAATGCGGTTCGTTTTGAATTGAAAAAGATCGGGGTTCACCTGGAAATTCGTTCTGGCCATGGTATTGAAACTTTCCGGCATGATGATCTTGATGGCACCGTATCTTTGACCCGTTTCCTTCATCAGCTCTGCAAACAGGATGGGGTCGCTCATTGTGGCATGGTCATACTGAAAAACCGGAATCTCCTCTGCACCCTTATGCTGTGGAAGTGGCCTTCTGTGCTCATCTACACTGATTCTGTGGGGTAGATTGAACAAATTTATCGGATAGCTCTGTTTCGGCCGGCTTTGTGGGCTGCTGAATGGCAGGTAATTGGCTGTGGAGTTATTGACATGAATGGCCTTGGACTGGCGATGGAGGCTAGGGCTGCGGGAATCGTCCTGGAATCGAGAAAAAAATCTGCTCGTTACGGGGAACGGCGCTAGATCCTCTGACGACATGGATAGGGTGGGAAGTGGCGAGGAACCAGTTGAAGTGGTGGTTGAAAAGTGTGAAATGGAGTAGTAGGAGGTAAAGTGTTGATATATTTTGCACGTGATACGAGTCACGTGTATACATTTTGGAAAAGTGTTCAAGGTAGCTAACGTAGGGCAAAAGGGTTGTCGAAGAGCCAATTTGGCTAATTGTAAGGGTTCAGTTTGTGTTCTGGTGATGTTGGTAGAGAGCGTCTTCAGGATGGCACCATTATGCTTAATTCCGTGAAAAATAGTAGTGCTCATCTTTAGACCATCTTATAGTATTCAGCGTTTTTCTAACGTTGAAATAAGATGTGTGTTTTTCTTAGTAGAGTTGATTAAATAGAGTGATTGACTTATTAGAACGTGCCCTAAGAAGTCGCTTATTCAGTATGAGTGAGGTGTAGAACGAGTGAGCATGTAAAGTATCGATAGAAAGAAACTCAAGCGGCATGAAGAAAAACTAGTATTAGGCCATGATCATTTTTTTTTTTTTTTCTTTTTTTTTTTTTGCACCATTAAAACGCTAACCGCATCGGAGCTGGCTATGGGTGATGGCTCCATCTCGAGAAAAGCAAAGATCATTGGACCCTAGAACCGTAGTTTGATTGATTGACTGGCATCGACGTCTTAAGGCTCACAATTGACAAAAGTGAACGGGATGAGCATCGCTTCATCTGGGTTTATGAAGGAAGGTTCCTCGACTTGACGATACAGCGATGATCACACCGACCCCATCGAGTCCAACCACAGGAGAGTTTCCTCTTTACAAAAGAAAATCAAAAGAAAGAATTAAAACAGAAAGTTTCAAAAACCACCCCCGCTTATCTTATTGGACGAGTCCTCGAACAATACTCACTACCGTAGCGAGCCAGACAATGGCACCGCCGTTCAGGGACGTTTCCGTGATCGGGTGGCTCAAACATCAAATTTTGTCCATGCCTTTTCACCCAAAGCCGTCAAATTATCCATTCTCCCGCTACAATGAAGAAGAACCAGCCAATAACGAATAAACGGAGAATTCAGTAGCAACGGAGAATTCAGTAGCTACGGAGAAAAGCAGCAATGCAAGCGCCTGGCTCATTGTGAGCCACCGTAACAGCCGTAACAAAAGGTGCTTTCATACCTGAAATCCCCAAGAGCTAAGTCCGACTTGCTCCAACTCTCTCACCCTCGGTAAAGCAGTCAAAAAGCTGCCAACCAGTCGCTCCAAACCAGCATTGTCCATTCTACGACAAAACGCCTTGCTACTACAAACCAGACATTTCTTGGCTCTTCGCTACTCGTAAATTGGCGTCGTCTCGATCATGAAACACCCATGTGTTTCAACTCCGCGGATCACCAAAGTCACAGCATTGAGCAATTTCCCATTACGTCGTTTCATCGCCCTATAGGTAAAGAGGAAACCCCCAAGGAGTCAGGCGACGCAGGTGCTGAAACAACTTGACGTTGAAACAGGGTCTTGGCAGCCCAATAGGGCACCACAAATCCAGCGTTCCACCTTATTTACAGTAGGGTCGGGTGAGCTTTCCCCGGGAGATTTTAGATCCCACATACGCTAAAAATATTTCGTGGTGGTCTGTTTTACACAAAAGCGGCAATCTCGTTCAGATGACCCCATTGTCCTATATTGCACCCAAGGCGCTTCGGTGATAATCTGAGGAGATAGTTGCTGGTTTGCATTATGCTACTACTGATTGGCCCACTGGCGGCATGGCTCGAGCGGCGCTGGTGCAGGTGCCGAGGAGGGGTCGTTTAGAGGCGTGGGGGAGCGGATAAGGTTTTTGGGGGATCTTCTGTAATTGCCCCTCCCCCAAACCATGGTCCCCCCAAACTTCAAGAAGTAGTGGGACGACATTTCCAGGCACCGTGGCTGCTGGCGGTCGTCGGACGAGGAAGTTGACGGGGCGGGCGCAAAAGGGGGCTGCTGCACGTCGGGCCCTATTGGGAAATGCCCAAAGTGGAATGTTTCAACGCATGGCGCCGACGCGCGGACTGCATACAGCGCCGACGACAGAAAACCGATGCGCGAACGAAGCCAGCTGACAGCCCCCGCTGGCTGAGCTCTGTTTAGAGGCATTTTTCGGGGCATTTTCTAGAGGCTTGTTGGAGGCTACAAGTTTCGCATGGTATTAGAAATGTAAATTAAAACCCTGAAACCGATGTTTCGAAAATAATGAGGCGCTCAGAAGTGCCAAATATAAAGAATGTGGTATGTTATTAAAATAAATCCAACATGCTAGCCAGCTTAGAACAAAGCAGCGGCAACGGCAGCGACACCGGCAACGGCACCAGCAACGTTCTTGGCAGCAGCACCCTCGTAAGAGGAGACAGCGGCGGTGGAGGTTGGAGCTGGGGTGGACTCACCGGCAACGGTGGATGGCTTCTCCTCGCACTCCTCACATGGAATGGTCTCGGTGGCGGTGGACCACTCAGTGGTGTAGGTGGTTGGGACAACACATGGCTCAGTGACAGTCAAGGTGGTGGCGGAAGAGACGGTGACCTCAGATGGGGCGCACTTGTCCTCCTCACACTTGGTGATGGTGACGACGGTGGACTCTGGGCAGTAGGTGGTGTAGCCAGTCACGGTAACGTCAGTGGTGATGGTGGTGGCGTTAGAGTAAGCGGCGGAAGCGGAAGCGGCGAGGGCAGCGACGGTGGCGACAGTAGAGAATTGCATAGCGAGTGACGAGTTTGTATGTGATGGAAAAAAAAAAACAGGCAAGTGGTGGGCGGGAATGGCTGTATTTATAGTTGGGTGGCCGAGGCCGTGGGGCTTTGGCGTGAATTGTCCTGCATGCGTGCGGGTGCTGCTGAGCACCTAACTAAACAACATGCGCGTGTGTGCAGGACGGCCGCTGGCGTTCACATACGAGGCGGCGGCTAAAAATAACCGCCACCATGGGGAATTGAATTCCGGTCTGGGAAGAACGGCTGTTTTTTTGTATGGTGGTTTTAATTGGCTGGTGTACGGATTTCATGCCCTCTGCCTCGAGCCCAGGCTGACGGCCGCTGTCAAGTTATTGTCCCTGATTCGCTGCTTTGTCGGCTGTTGTTTGGATTTCTTGGAGGTGCCAAAGAGGCGCGGCCGCCCGAAACAGCAAACCTCAAACAGGCGAAAAACAAGCAAACCGCGATGAAACAAAAAAAAAAAAAAGACCAACCTGCCGCTTCAAGCAAGGAACACTACGGCAGGTGACGATTCGGGAAATCCCAGGCCCCGTCCGCAGAACCCCCGTCTAGGCGTGGCGCCAGGCCTCAGGGTCCGACGCGAATGGCTGCAAACGAGAATAAGCTCTGGACCTGCGAAGGAGGCGAGACGTTTAGCTTCACTTTTTTGCTTTTTTCAATTTGTCAATTTATTCACCTCGTCATTTTTTTTTTTTTCTTCTATTGCAACTTTTCAAGTGCTGCCGCCGAAAAACGTTTCTATTGCTGCTGGTTATGTGCCGCGGCGGTTTCCTCACTGAGTAGGCCGCCTGCTGGATCGGTGCTGGTTTGTTTAGCCGCCCAGCTTGTTTACCTAGCAGATCAGCCAAGCCGCTGTGGAAAAGGCAACCGCCGACTTGCAGCCGTTCTGGAAGAATCTGGAGATAAAGAAAAGAAGAATAAGAGTAAAAAAGAATAAAGAAAAAGAATAAGAATGAAGGATGAAGAATGCCTCATTGAATGAAGGATGAAGAGTGCCTCATTGAATGAATTGAATGAAGAAGGATACTCAGATTGTGGCCATGTGGGAAACTGGGTAGGTGGGGGACCGTGGCTCCGCAAAAGCTTAAACACGGACAATGCCATGGCGTGTTTCTAAACAAATATTGAAAAGTTTAAACTTCATTCAAATACGGATTTTCAAATACGATTTTTTCAAATACGATTATTTCAAATCTAAAAAATATCGCCTCCCCGTCCGGGCGTACCGTGACTCACTGGCCCGCTAAGTGACTCAACCGAGGTCCATCACCTTATGTCGATTCTGAAACATCCTGATCTGCCTCGGCCATCCTTGGTACTGAAAGTGCTTTACTTCTGATTTCTAAATTGCCTCCATCGACCAAAGTGGAATCACAATTCCTCTCTTACCGTTAGTGAAGCCATGCACAAACTCCTGAAAAACACTGCACTCCGTCAAAAAACGTCAGTATATTGATACTCAGTCGGACGATTCTCAATCCACATCTCTGCTTGCACCCTCCAGACCATACTTCACGCCTCATACTTCACGCCTCATACTACAAGCCTCATTCTACAAGCCTCATTCTCCAGCATTCCTCTCAGTATGGCTTCCCCAAAGCCCGGAAAAGCCTAGAGGCGCCCCGCTGGTACTTGCCGTTTTCGTAGCTCCATTTCTGCAGCCTGCCTCGCACGGGCAAATTACTAACAAGTTTAGCCCACGGTGCATCGAAACACAAAATCTTTCACAGCAGTGTGCCTCGCTAGAATCCATTCCGAGGACCGTAGCAAGCTTGGCTTTGTGGCCCGCCACAGACCTTTTGCCCAATCCAGTAATAATGTTCCCGATGGTGGCTGCAAAATTGCCTTTCCAAACCGCCCGCTGCATTGCTCTAAATTCCCTCGACATGCCCCTGCTATTCTTATCTCTGGCCCCTGTTTCCCTGATTCCCCGGTTCCCCGGTATATGGGTAATCGGTTTTTGTATCCATATCGATAAGTCTGTTATCATAGGCTCCTTCCTCGGTTACCGCTAAGCCATGTAGCAAGGCTCAAAAACCCGTTCTAGCAGAAGCCATCCAACGTAGCAACAGTATCGTTTTAGCCGCTGGGGTCCGTATCAGCACATGAGACACTGCCACTTTGGTGCGAGGATGTTGTAATTAGGGGTCTTTGGATTGAGACAAACGGGCTGTCGTTTTGGTGATGTCAATTTTTCACCCAGCGTCAGCAGCGTTGCATCCTTTTGGTTTTCGCCGTTTGTGAATGTTGCTATAGCGACTGCCAAGGCAGATTTTCGTTGAGCGATGAGTCGGTGTATTTTTGGAGTGAATCAAGGAGCGATAATTTCAATGTATTTTTGGAGTAAGTCAAGGAGCCATAATTTCAATGTATTTTGGAGTAAATCAAGAAGCCATAATCAATGTATTTTTGGAATTCATGAATTAAGGAGCCAGATCTGCCCCCTGGATTAATTGAATCTCCGCTTGAGTTGACACGGAGGGTATGGACAAACCATAAGGTCGACATTATGAGGTAAAACGTGCCTGAGATTGACAGGCTGCTGGCTTAAAGCTTATTCCCCATTGTGCTGGATCGCTGCTAAGGTGAAGTTAGAATGCTGATTGTATTATTCCCAGCGAGGTAAGCAAATTACATGCCTTAAGGTAGCTCGTATCTTCGGAATGTGCCTTATTTTAGATGATCTGCTGGCCCAATTCCTAGGTCATCCGACACCTTCCGTTGGATCCCGGGGTTGGCTAATGAGTGGTTTTCCATTATGGTCTCCTGAAAGGTTGAGTTGGTTCAGCAGGGGTATTCAATGAGTCTCATTCTCCACGTCCCCTGGATTATAGAGTATCTGCTGCCACAATTCATACAGCGTATTTGGAACATGAAGGGTCTCTCTTCAAACATCTCTACTCAAACTTGTTCGTACAAAATTCATTTGCCTTCATGGATGAGACTCATCCGTGTGCTATAGTACTACCCTCAGTCCTATAGTAGTTACAAGCTGTAATAGCACCCCATGTCCAAACGTAGCACCACACCCAAAATACACCAATAATTTCAAAATATTCCTCTTTCTTCAAACATTTAATCCATTGAGCGAAAAAAATTCCAAATCACGCGTGGTTTTCACCATCCTAAAACACCCATTGCGTGCCCTGGACTAGTGAAGATTTCGCAGCCATATCAAAACATCTACAACTCCTACTCAATCTACAAATCCGGTCCATCCACTCCCACCTGACCGTGCCCGCCTACTAAAAAAAGGCTACACGTGACATTCACCTCACCATCCACAACCCAACCAAACTCGTGCTTTTTCGAATCCCAAGTTTGCGTATTTTCCACATCCACATCACCAATCCATGAAACCATGGACAAGCCGTTTCAGGGCCGCACGTTCTGCTGCACGGGGCTCCACGGCCACGAAAGGCACGACATGGCAGATAAGATCCTAGCGTTGGGCGGAACTCATTACACGGATTTGATGAGTCTGGTCAAGTACCTCATTGTGGGTAACAGAAACACCGAAAAGTATAAATACCTGATCAAGTACCGGCACGACGTGGTATTTCTTCCGCAAGAAGCCATTACAAGAATCCACCAGCGATGGACCGCAGGCGACGATACGGGGCTAGAACCGGAAAGCTACCTGATGGCTGTTTTTGACCGTTTTACCGTTTGTGTGGCTAGAATCGATAGACCTCCTCCGGGCGTCGTTCTGAGGCTATTTGGCGAGAAGTTCCGTACTCCACCGGACGGCGCTGTGCTGGAACCGTTAGCTGACGCTTTTCTGACTGACGAAGTGCTGAATTCTATGGAGAAGAAAGGTGCACAAGTGAGCACTACGCTAACGCCGTCGTGCGACGTTGTGGTGAGTACAGAGGCGTCGGGAAAGAGATACACCATGGCCAAGCAGTGGGGCATTCCTGTGGTGCACCCGCTTTGGGTGTACGACTCTGTGCTACGAGGAGCCGCTCTAGATCTTGATGACTACGTTCTCACGAGTGATGGAAGTAACTTGTACAATAGCGGCAGTTTCGTCTGGAAAAAACTATATTCGGGAAGAGCCGAGCCCGTGGAAAAGGCCGAGCCGGAAAGAGCGCCTTTGAAGAAGAGTCTGGATGTGTGGAGCTCGATCATGAGCTCTCGTGCCAAATCGGCCAGAGTGATTAAAGGGTCACTCTGGGAGGAACCTTCCGAGGAGGAGACCGCCAAATCTGTGGCACCAGCGTCGCCGGAGAGGAAAAGCTCGCTTTTCAGCGGATTCAAGTTTCTCCCGGTCGGTTTCTCTATACCCCAACAGAAGGTTCTTCGAGAAGTCGTGGAATCTCATGGTGGAGAAGTCGCCGAGCTGGCCAACGACGACACGATTTCGCATATCGTCCTTCTTGTTAAAAGCGGTCCTCAAGCCAGTCTCATGCTTCTGGTACTCTCGAGCAACATGAAGCGTCGCATCAACAGCAAAGAAGTCCATGTTGTGACCGACTGGTTCATTGAGCGGTCCATTTTCTACAAGGAGGTCCGCCACGACTCGTGGTGTAAACCTTTACAAGGACTTGTCCCGCTGGCCAAAAAATTCAAGGTCTGTATCACAGGTTTCACTGGAGTGGAACTTTTGCATATTGAAAAACTCGTGGAGTACCTCAACCTCGAGTTCTGCCAAACTCTCGCGTCCAAGCGGGATTTGCTCATTGTCAACATTAATTTATTCAAGGACGGTCTTCAAGAAAAGAGTCCGTCGCTTTTCAAATACAAGTACAAAGACGTGCTTGACTGCCCCATCTATACCAGTGGTGATCGCCTGTCGTCAGTGTCAGTTATGTCGTCGCAAAACAAAATGAATGCTGCTAAAAAGTGGAACATTCCCATTGTCTCTGTTGCTTACTTGTGGGAGATGATTCAGCGACTGGCCGGTAAGGCCAATCTTCAAATGCCCGATATCTTCGATCTCACTTGGTGCATCTACGCCCCACGCAGCATGGCCAAACCTACCACGCTTCTTGACTATGTGAGAACCATGAACGATGATTTCGAGACGCAGAAGCCAGAGGAAAGCGATTCGATCAAGCTTCCGTCGCCTCGAAAGGCTAGAGAGAAACAGAAGTATGGTCGTTTGGCGGGAAGTCGAGAGTCTCTCACTGAAAAATTAAAAAAGGCTCAGGACTCACAGGAAAATAGCGAAGTCCCCTCTGACGATCGTCCGCCAGAAAGTGACGACATCATGACTCAAGTTGGTTATGTGAACCAAGACCTGGTTCACAACAACGAAGAGCTCATGAAGAAACTAGGTGAGGATATCGATCGTCCGGCAAAACGCACCCGTCGGGCCAGGAACTAAATAGACTAATTCACGAGTAACGATAAAATCGAGTTTTTATTCTTTTCTCTTTAGGATTTCGAGGGATCGTTGACCATCTATGGCACGAGGTAGTATTCCGGCAAGAGCTGCTAATAGAGCATAATTTTTCTGATCTAACTCAGGCAAATTATCTCTTGTCGCTTTACTGGAGCATGTAATTTTTTTATTTACTGGAGTATGTAATTTTTTTATTGGTGATCTAATTATTTATTGACTTTCAATGTTTTCAAGAAGGTGGTTGATTCGTAAAGGCTGCGAAAAACTGTCGACAGTGCGTCAAATCTCCAGTAATGAAAAAATAATGTACCACTTATAAATTAACAAGAACAATGGATTTTGATAATAATAACAACAGCTGAAAGCTGAAGCAAGTAATACCCTATAAACTCCTTAGATTTCAAAATTTCACTGATTCTATGGGTTTGATGTCGACTTCAAGCATTCACTCTCAGAGAGACCAGCGATAAGTCAACAAAACAAACTTCAGCAGATTTATGGTGATATTTGAGCAGTTTGAAAGAATCAGTGAGTGCAATTGACCTTTTATGAAAACAAATCATGAGTAAGACAGCTTAGAAGAAGGGCGACATATCTATCCACATTGCTTCAACATGATAGCGTGAACTACATGAAGACGCAATACTACTCATCATTTTCAAGAGAATATCTAGACATGAAACTTCCTATTTTTCACAGTTTCCCATCTTCATTCCAGACATGCCATGTTGCAATCATCGGCTTACCTCGCAGCTTTAAGCCTCAGAGTACATTGGAATGAGGAGTTAGAGAACACAAAACCAGAACCTAGAGAAGTAAAGGTCAACTTCAAAATTTCATACTTAACCCCCTTAGCACCCCCATTGACCCCTTCATTGCATGATCCAATTGGGTTAGTGCATAATACCGCAACGTCATTCGACACTTTCTCGTTGAGATGACTACGGCTGGTTTGGCTGAAATTGTGCACATGCGATGCCCCTCTAGGTCATCGCAATTTCAATTGCCATACTGAGAATTCGCAATTCCATATATTGAATTTCTTATTCTGACCGACGCCCGACGACTGCTTTGGGCAAAAGCCGATTTCGCTTTCGGAGCTCCAGGGTTGAGCCCTCACAGCGCGCACGTGACTTCCTTCCCCTCCTTCCAGATACCTTCCATATGCCCACCAAAATCGCCGCCTAAAATTTGCCGGCCCAATTGCCTTGAAAAATCAAGCTTCCTTTTCAAATTTCCCTCTTCGTTAGTCTGATTCGTGCTGTAGCAGGCGATGCATGGGCATGCGGCTCAAGAAAAAAAAAAAGAACTCTTCATGGCAAAATGTCGCGCTGCCACGACACCCGGAAAAAATTGGGTTCCACCAGAATAGGCAAATTGGATCCGATCCTGCTGAAAATTGGATATATTGTGGTGATCTACTTCAGGATCAAAGCAATATATTTTTTATACTCTCAATTGCAAGGTGGGTGACAAAATTCATGAGCCGGTCTTGTGAATGTCGTGCGATGGGCACCTGCATATACGGGCGACTTTTTTTTTCTCCCGCCGCAAGCCTTCCTCGCGAATATAAAACCCCATCGTTCGCCCCATTCTCATTTTTTCCTCATCTATCTAAATCTAACTGAAAATGGGTAAAGAGAAGCAGCACGTCAACTTGGTTGTCATTGGTCACGTCGACTCCGGTAAGTCTACCACCACCGGTCACTTGATTTACAAGTGTGGTGGTATTGACAAGAGAACTATTGAGAAGTTCGAGAAGGAAGCCGCCGAGTTGGGTAAGGGTTCTTTCAAGTACGCTTGGGTTTTGGACAAGTTGAAGGCTGAGCGTGAGAGAGGTATCACTATCGACATTGCTTTGTGGAAGTTCGAGACCCCTAAGTACCACGTCACCGTCATTGACGCTCCAGGTCACAGAGATTTCATCAAGAACATGATCACTGGTACTTCCCAGGCTGACTGTGCTATCTTGATCATCGCTGGTGGTGTTGGTGAGTTCGAGGCTGGTATCTCCAAGGATGGTCAGACCAGAGAGCACGCTTTGCTTGCTTACACCTTGGGTGTCAAGCAGTTGATTGTTGCTATCAACAAGATGGACTCCGTCAAGTGGGACAAGAACAGATACGATGAGATTGTCAAGGAGACCTCTAACTTCGTCAAGAAGGTTGGTTACAACCCTAAGACTGTTCCATTCGTGCCAATCTCTGGTTGGAACGGTGACAACATGATCTTGGCTTCTACCAACTGTGACTGGTACAAGGGTTGGGAGAAGGAGACCAAGGCCGGTAAGTCCACCGGTAAGACCTTGTTGGAGGCCATTGACGCCATTGACCCACCAACCAGACCAACCGACAAGCCATTGAGATTGCCATTGCAGGATGTCTACAAGATCGGTGGTATCGGAACTGTGCCAGTCGGTAGAGTTGAGACCGGTGTCATCAAGGCCGGTATGGTTGTTACCTTCGCTCCAGCTGGTGTCACCACTGAGGTCAAGTCTGTTGAGATGCACCACGAGCAGTTGGCCGAGGGTGTCCCAGGTGACAACGTTGGTTTCAACGTCAAGAACGTTTCCGTTAAGGAGATCAGAAGAGGTAACGTCTGTGGTGACTCCAAGAACGACCCACCAAAGGGTGCTGAGTCTTTCACCGCCCAGGTTATTGTCTTGAACCACCCTGGTCAGATCTCTTCTGGTTACTCTCCAGTGTTGGACTGTCACACTGCCCACATTGCCTGTAAGTTCGACACCTTGATTGAGAAGATCGACAGAAGAACCGGTAAGAAGTTGGAGGAGGAGCCTAAGTTCATCAAGTCTGGTGACGCTGCCATTGTCAAGATGGTTCCATCCAAGCCAATGTGTGTTGAGCCTTTCACCGACTACCCACCATTGGGTAGATTCGCTGTCAGAGACATGAGACAGACTGTTGCTGTCGGTGTCATCAAGGCTGTCGAGAAGTCCGATAAGGCTGGTAAGGTCACCAAGGCTGCCCAGAAGGCTGCTAAGAAATAAGCGACTTCCAGTCTGTTTGATTTCTTACATATTTTATAATAGGATAGCTAAAAAACCTGACTGTAGAGTAGCTGATATGCAACCCACGTGGTTGAGCCGTTTGATCTGCGATGAGGTTGCAAAGCCGACTTGCTTATGCTGGAGTGCTGTGGTGATGAACAAATGTCGTTTCCTTGATAAAGTTCAATGACGCTTTGCTTGCTGAAAGAAAATGACTACTTGATTTGAGATTGGAAGTGCAATTGAGCCAGTACTTAAGAATTTCAAGTCTTCCACTGGAGATACAGCTTTTTCACGCAGTCAATTTTCAACTTAATTTTCAGGGACACACTAGCAGATTAAAGCAAATGTTCTAAGACGAAGTACACAGAAGCTGGGACAAAACCTCGTTAGGCCCGGAAAGGTGGGCATCTTCGTTAACAGCAAATGCCAAAAGAACAGACTAACCAGGCATCGGAAGTGCTTCAATAGTGGAATTGCAATGGTTCCTCGAGTGTTAGAGAAAAAGGGTATACTTTGGATGAAAAATATGAGAAGCTCTATTTGAAGATTAAATGCCTTGCAGTAGTCAGATCCTCATGATGACGCTGCAGCTGACTAGACAATTTGATGCTTCTTGATTTAGAAGAATATGTCGACGAGGCGGAAAAGGCTGTTGTCATTTCAATAAAGTAGGTAGAACAGAAGCAACAATTTTCAACAATGAAGCCGCCTAGCATGCCCTGAAAAACGTTATTCCTGAAGATCTTCGCTGCAAGGTACCAGCTTCCGAAACCTCGTGCGGCGACACCCCAACAACAAAAAGAAGCCCTACTTTAAAAAATCTTCATTCATCAAAACCAATGTTCAATAAAAATTTCCAAATCACTTTACCTGCTTCTTAACCGAGGTCGGCTGCGCACGGCTTAGACCATTTTTCCTCGCAGCCAGACAATAGCATTCTGTGCACATGCATCTTCAATGGCACCGTTCCACAGCACAGAAACAGTAGTCTTGAGAAAGCCAGAAAGCCGAAAAACCCAAAAATTGACTTCAAATCACCCACCACTTCATTTATCCACTGGCATTTCTCCCCGTGTTGATATGTCAACACCCTATATGCAGCACATCATCACAGCCAGCACCGCTGCATCCCACCCCAAACCACCTTCAGGACCCCTGAAGAAAAAGTATAAATAGGCCCGCTTTTCCCTTCAAAAACCAAACACTTTTTTTTTTCTTTCACCCCCAAACCCCCCCACGTAGCCCCAATAACCCCCACCCCATCCAATCCACGTCCGCGGCTGTCACCTGCACCAAAAGCTTCTCTGCTTCAACAACCAACTCCATCTTCACCATGGCCACTGCCGACAGAGGAGCACCTCTTTTCGATAACCAGCGTGACTACAACCATGCCACAGACAACACGTACAAGAACTTGAGAGACAAGGCCGACCAGATGTACGAGAAGCGGAAGAAGCTTCTGAACCAGCTGCAGCAGGCGTACCAGAATGGAGACAAGCAGAAGGCCCATGAGCTCAGTGAAGAGCTGAAGAAGATCTTGGCGCAGGCTGAAAACTACAATAGACAGGCGGCAGAGTACGTTTTCCGTGAAAACAACGCCGACTCGGCCGAAGACGAAATCGACCTCCATGGTCTCTATGTGAAAGAGGCCGAGTGGATCATGCAAAAGAGACTTTCCGAGTGTATCCGGACCTACCAGTCCCACTTGCGGGTTATAGTGGGAAAAGGACTTCACTCGGCGAACGGAATCGCCAAATTGAAGCCTGCCATTGAGCAGTTGTGTCAGGAAAGTGGATTGAAGCACTACATTGATCCTAAAAACACCGGTGTTATGGTGATCGACTTGGCCAACTCGCAGGGCCTGCTTCCGTCCCACTGGGACCAGCAGCCGCTTTCCCAGGGTCTGTACTACCAGCAACAGCAGCCTCAGTACCAGCAACAGCAGCAGGGTCACGGCGGCCAGAACCAGTTCCAGAACATCAAAACAGGCAACTCGCTTGTGGACGGTTTGTTGCGTTTGTTCTGCCAGTGCATCAACAAGTGATGGGGGTGGCTTTTTCTTATTATTGTTTGTACTACTTATACTATTTAGACATTGTATTATCAGGGGGGTGTAGCAGATAAAAGTTTTTGGTTTAGGTGAATGAGGGGTCGAACGAGTTGTGAGGCAATTGGAGACTAGTTGTAAGATCCTCAAGGAGACTGTTCAGGCGGATATTTTCATTCAGAACCCAACAGTGCTCATTTTAGACCATACAAGCAGAACGGGGATGATTTTTGATGAAGAATGATCTCTCTTTTGGTAATAGGTAGGAATCAGGTAAGTTTGGAGATACAGACTTTCCTTTAAATGAGTGACGACCATGTATGCTAGATAAATAACCATCATAAAGACTCACAGAGCATCCTCTGATGAAAGCTGTGGTTATGATTTTTGAACAGAAATCTCCGCTATCTACTCCAAATCAGCCCCACCTCATCTCCTACTTCATACCCTCTCCTACACTTTCTCGTATTACAGTTTATTGACGATAGACCGGGGCGACTCCTGGTCCCTCCCCGAAATGTAAGCAGCCGCAGGCTGTAGCAGGCGAAAGCTTCCCAATGGCGTTAGCTCAAGAATCTAGCTCCTGGGCAAACCGACTCAGGTCATCTCACCTCCAAAGGGAGCTCAGCAGCTATAAAGGCTAAACCTCTCCCTAGAGCTCCACCTCTGCCTAACACTCAACAGGCACACCCCCTGGACTCGTTCTCCAGATGGATGTTGATGGCATCGTTGTAATCGTCATTGATGTCGTTACGAGCACCCTCGTTCAACTCCTCCTGCTGCAAGGCCATCTTGGCCACGACCTCAAAGGCCAGCTCGACATTGATGGAGTCCTTCGCCGAGGTCTCGAAAACAGGGTAGTTCATTCCGCCCAACTGGTTGTTGGTGATGTTCATCAACTTCTTCTGCAACGAAGGAATCCTCCTGGACTCGTCCACGTCAATCTTGTTGCCTATTATGATGAAGGGGAAATCCTGCGGGTTCAGCACGTTCAGCTGCACCAAGAACTCGTCCTTCCATGACGCCAAGTTGTTAAGCGACTTCTCATTCGTGACATCGTAGCAAAGCACACAGCAATCGGCGCCTCTGTAGAAAGCAACACCCAAACTCTGGAAACGCTCTTGGCCAGCTGTGTCCCAGATTTGCAAAGAAACCGTCTTTCCGTTGATGGTCAAGTCCTTGGTGAGGAAGTCAGCGCCAATGGTGGCCTTGTATTGCTGGCTAAACTTGGAGTTGACAAACTGCTGCATCAAGGAGGTTTTGCCCACACCCAGGTCGCCGAGGATGATAACTTTAAGGAGCGTCTTCTTGCGGGTCAGCATGTTGGGTTGAGTATAAGTTGTAGTTGATAGAGCGAGGTAAGAGTGCGCTTTGGGCAGTGAGCAAGCACTGAGGTGAGGAGGCGAAGTGGCATGAAATGGGATGAAAGGGATGAGGTTTTTTGGGGGAATTGCACGTATTTATGGTTTTTGGAGAATTAAAAAGAAATTCATGGGATATTGGTCGGGAATTGGCGGTTTCCCACGCCCGGTTATGACCGCTTATTGATAAGGACCTGTCTACAAGGCTGTGGTGTTGTAGTGCCAGTAGACGGCTGGATGGGTGGTCAAAGTGGTATAGCAAAAAAGCTGTTATTTCGATTGATATTAAGTAAGGTTGAAAATGATTGTATGTAGATCTCTAGCGGGTCTGTTTTGGCTTCGAAGAACTAGGCTTAGAGACCAGAGCTTCATAGAGTGGGAGGTCCAAATGGATTGCAAAAAAAGATGATATATTGATGAGAGTTCATTGATATTTGTCTTGCATTTGAAGGAAACCATAGAATTGTCCAGGTTGCAGATTCTTGGTATGTCAATGCCTTGCTATGGATGTCTCGCAGTACGGTCTTCACTATGGCATGAGAACAGCAGTCATATGAATTGTTCAATCGATATCCCGGCTATACACTTGACCAAGGATTTGAGAGACTTCCCGTTGAAGACCCTGCCAAGTCTAACTTAACTTATGGAAGCTCCATCCTTAAGAGCACACTAGATCTAAGATACATGCCTCAGAAGTGGAATGATCACTCTGGAGACCAGAATCAACGATTAAAGAAGCAAAATTATGTAGAGCTTCTTGATGGTCCTTCGAGTGGCTCCCAATTCTCCTGGGTCACCCAGAAAGACGGCACAGGTTCAAGTCAAGCTACCCACAGTAGGCTCAAACCAGGGAAAAAATTTCGCCTTTACTTCTCTTGCTTCATTTAATACTTGTTTTCTTCGAATAAACCAATTTCAGAGTTGACAACTTCCTATCTTGGCCCCCTTGACCCTCACTCCCCAAAAGTATATAAGCACCCTGAGAGTGCGACCAATTTGTGCTCCTTGTGACTACTGTCTTTTCCATAACACTTTCACCAAAGTGTTCGAAAACCACTGCAATCTCTCAAAACGGTCGCCGACTCAACCATCTCTTCTTGTTGAGTCAATTTCCTCCTTTGGACTTGCCGTTTTCGTCTCTTCTGTTTGTTCTGGTTTTTGCAGCCAACGCCGCCAGGCAAACCTCACTCTAACACTCTTCTTCTGTCTTCTACAAAGAAGATCAAGGTTTGTCGCGTTGGAAGTGCTGCTGCTGCTTCCTAGAAACCTGCTTTTGTTTGGTTTCGAAGGACCGACTTGGGATTCCACCACTTCATTGACGGTTTCTGCAAATGCCAAAGTGGTGGGGTCTTGATAAGTCGATTAGTTGGGTGGATGCAATCAGGGGGTCGCTAAACCCCATAGGCATCGCCGAAGCACCAATATGACTTTACCAGACCTTCTCGTCTGTCATTGTTGGTGGTATTTGAGGTTGCATCCCACTACACGTTGGGATACCTCACGCTGTGGTACCCTAGCTGGTACTTTCAATTTCAAAGACACTACTGTTGTGGTGCCACTGCTGTGGTGCTACTGTTGTGAAGGGGATACTGAGACAAGGAGGCTCTAGTGACTGGAGACGTTCTGGTCTGGTGCAATCAGTGAAGAGGGGAGTTGGTGCTGCTTTACGAGAAATCCAGCAGGGTGCTTGGCCAGTGTCTTGCTGTGTTTCAAAGCAGTGCCATTGAGAAGCTTTTTTGGGTTCTTACCGGGGGAGCTACGGAAAGTGGATCACTAATCTTCACTAGGAGCGTTGGAACAGAATGTCAAAAGACACAAAAGCTGAATTCTCTACCATAGACGAACGACTCTGAGAATCGAAAGAGGGCCCCTTTTGGTTTCCAGATGAGTTTGTCGTGGAACAGTATCGGGAAGCTGCCGAAGTGAAGGGGTCCACTGGAACCGACTACTGACTCTAGTCGGCAACGGTGGTATATAGATTCTTTCTCTGCCTTGAGGGCCAGATCGGAGTGGCCAGAGGTTTTCTTTGCTGTCTTGTTTCTTTTTACTTCTTTGTTGGCACCTTCCGATGGCTGGACCACACCATCAGGTCGTACTATGTGGTCTCTTTTGCTTCGGTGAAAGAAGGGATCTGGGGGAAAGAAGGGATCTGGGGGAAAGAAGGGATCTGGGGGAATGGCATTTATGGCATTGACGGAATTCTGGTTGTGGGCCACGCTGCCAGAATGACAATAGGTTAGTGGCCCTCCTGTCAAACAGGAGATGGGTTCTGGGGGATACTGTTGTTCAGGACTTCCGACAGGTTAGGCCGTTTCTGTTGGATTTTATGCTAGGTCTCCTCAGCCTGGGACATGACAGGTTGTTGTAATGCCGGACATGTCATTTGTGGGATTCGTCCCTTGGGGTTGAAGCTCTGCCTGTTAGAATTCAGAATGTTCCGTCGTGATGGGGACCTTTGGATCTTGGTGGAACATGCTTCATTTCTTTTCATTTCCAGCCCAATTGGGCAAGTTCTGTGGTTATTTTTGACCTCGGTTGGTTGAGCCATGACGGCCGAGGAAAGCGTCCAGTTGGAGTCAGCAGCTGGGTGCTTGGGCATGGCTTGAAGCTTTCATTCACCATGGTAATGCTTCAATGGGAGTTTGGCGGCTCCTAAGCAGCAGCAGGGTGGTTGGTTCACCAGCTTACCCAAAAAGGAAACTTTCGCTTGCGTTTCCTTCCACGAAAGGCTTCGTGGTTTTTTTTTTTTTTTTTTTCTTTTTTTTTTATAAATTGGTGGGTTTGATTCTAGTGGGTGTTGAGATGCGATAGTATGCGGTGCTCAAGAATATCTGCAAGGCCATGCACGATCATGCACTGATATGTACTACTGAAGTGCTCTAATGTGAAGTGGTCCTTATTTTGCTCTGATCTGATGGAGGTGCATTTATTTTTTGTACGGTACATATAGCAATGCACCGTCTAGAGATGAAGAATAGACTTTAGTTGTCGTTTTGAAGTATTGAGGTGCTTTTCTTCTCCACTACAACGGTAATGAATCATCTAGGGGAGTATCCAAGATGGAGTCAGTTTGAACATCCAAATTCCTTCCCTTTGTTCACCTTGTCCATCTTCCATGACGTTCCGAATGTTCCACTCGGTGCGGCTACCTGTCTATCCTATTTATAGATTCACCACTGGAAGGGTTGGAATCTTCCAGAGATTCGAAAAGCCTACAGAAGAAACCCATTCCCAATCCAGATTGTGGAAATTTCTAGAATCTTGTGAAGTGCTCCTGAAACCTGCGAACCGGAATAATACCACTCCGCAGATCGATGCACAACGTCAACGCAGATCGGGTTAGCACGTCCAGAGTTCGGATAAACTATACTTTGAGCGGGCTAATTCAAAGAACGACTGATCGTAGATTTCTCTATCAACCTCGTGGGGCGCTTAATTGGCCTAGTTTCCAGAATCCTCAATATGCATCGTTGCCAATCAGACAACACCAAAATGCCAATCCCCAAGCCAAACAAGCATAAACGAACAAAGGCCGGAAAATAGACTTTTATAGTGGCCCCATTCTCCAACAATTGGTCATTCTCCCCACCAAAAACGGCGTCATTCCGTGAAAGTATAAATGCAAGATCACGTGGGAAGCAACCTTGCCGCCACTGTTTTACAATTCCTAGATAAACGTCATTCTATCTCCTTCCAACTTTTCTTCTCCAAAAACCATGTCCAACATCACCACATCAAGACAATTGACCAGAGCCACCAAATATAGGCTCAACAATGGCCAGCATATCCCTGTGGCCGCTTATGGTGTCTATGCCATCCCTCCAGCTGAAACCCACGATTTGGTGTATGAAGCCTTGGTTCAGGGATACCGTCATATTGACTCTGCTGTCGCTTACGGTAATGAAAAAGAAGCTGCTCAAGCAATTGCCAAGTTTTTGAAAGACAGCGATGGTAAGGTGCAAAGAGGCGATATCTGGTTCACCACCAAGATCTGGAATGCAGACCATGGCTATGAAGAAACCAAGGCTGCTGTTGAGGCAATTGCCGGAAGAGTGAAAGAGTATCTTGGATACGTTGATATGGTGTTGATTCACTCGCCCAAGACCAACAAGGAAAAGAGAATTGGTACCTGGAAGGCTCTTCAAGAATTCCAGCACGATCCCACCAATAAGGTTCTCCAAATCAACACAATTGGTGTTTCCAACTACGGAAAACGCCACATTGAGGAGCTTTTGAACTGGGACGGTTTGGTTGTGCAGCCTGCTGTGGACCAATTGGAGTTGCACCCATGGTTACCCCAGATCGAATTGAGAGAGTACCTTGCTTCCCACAATATCTTGGTTGAAGCTTACTCGCCTCTCACGCAGGGCTACAAATTGCTGGACCCTGAGCTTCTAGAGTTGGAGCACCGTTACGGAGTGCCCAAGGCCGAGATCTTGTTGAAATGGTCTTTCCTCCAGGGTTTCATTGTATTGGCCAAGACGGCAAAGAAGGAGAGAATTCCCGAGAATTTGGCCGTTTTGCCAGACGCCAAGCCACCAGTGGACGCCTTGGACGACAACTCCCACAGCGGCAAGATCGACTTGGATATCAATATCTTGGAGGCCTTGAACAAGCCTGATTCTCACGAGGTGTTGACCTGGGGTAACGAGGACCCCACTCAGTACGAGGGTTAAAAGTTTATAGCAATATAAGTGGTATTTATTGGTGGGTGATGTTGAAGCATGTTATTCAAAGGTTGATTAATATTGCAAGTTTTAGTAGAAGAAGAGAGATGAAAGAAAGAAAGAATGGTATATCACCGCAGGGGATGGGGGTTCATGAGCTCTGTGATCTCAAGATCTGCCGGAATTTTCACTTTCTGCGTTGGATGGTAATGAGGAATTCATAGGATGGTATATATTGTTTCAGTATCTTCGAAGGGCTAAAGCTAATCTAGCAAAATCACAGACGGAAAATCTCGAAGTCTTGAGAAAAGAGATAGAGTTCTCTAAAATCATTATATATTTTGTTTGTTGAGGTTTTTCACACACATTGATCTTATCCACTTCATCAAAGACACCTCCTAGATCAGAGCGCATGTTGTGAAATTTCTTCACCTCCAGCTTCTCTTCAAAAAGTCTCTTTTCCAAATCGTTTCAATAATAAATTCTCCAAAAAACTGTTATTTGCAAAGCACTCAGCTTAATCCACCACGGTGGAGTGCACCTGGTGCACCCAAAACCAATCGAGAAATTATCAACACCTTCAGCACCATGTCCAAACCACAAAAACCCGTCAGGCAGGACTACATTGCCAAGGCTCGGTATATAAACAACTTGCCGCCACCGCCGCTCAACCCGAAATTTCTCAAGTACAATTTAACCGAACATGTGCCTCCCGAAAAAGAATCTGAACAGCTTTTGAGTTCGCTCTTCAGAAAAGAAAACTTCTCCCAGTTTATCGGCCAGGTCGACGAGGAGTACGGCATGCCGCTCAACCTTTTAAACAACGAAGGGTACCTTAGTGGCGCCAACGAGGGAGCCATTTTCGGCTTGACTCTGGAGATACAGCTTCACCCTAAAGACCGTGCTCTTTTAAGAGACGCAGGCATTGGCAGAGTCAACAAGCTGGAGCCCGGCGTGTCTTTCTTGAGAAGAACCGAGTATATTGCCGAAAACAAGGCCGCCGCTAAAGCTGACGATGCTCCAGAACCAAAGAAAGAGCACAAGGAGCTTGTGGATCCAGATTCTCAGCTCAAAGCCGTGGAAGAGAGTTTCGACCATGCCCATGACACCTTGCAGGACACTTCCAAAATCAGACACCCCAGAAGGAAAAACTTGCGTGCTGTGGCAGCGTGGCCCCTTCTTCCAGATACTTCTATGATGGACACCAAGTACTTGTCGGTCAAGTTCACCGGTTCAGCCTCTGTTTTCAGAGAATTGCAGAGCGCAAAGCGTTTGCAAAAAGATGCTTACGATGAACAGCTACAACAGGATGCATTGTCCACGGCGGTCTACAAGCCAATCACATCGGAGGACGGTGAATGGGTCAGTTTCTACCAGGCTAAGGATAAGCCTTCCTTGGATGCCCTCAAGGAAAAGTTGCAGTCTACAGAGAGAGAGCAGCCGCTGAATCTTCTAGACGAAGAGGAGCAGGACTTGGAGCTGTTTTCTTTTGCTCACCACAAAAACTACGATATGGTGTACCATCGTTTCAACAAACCCGACGAGGAACTCGCTTTGAGGTTTGTTCCAGAACTGGCTGGTTCCAAGAAACGCCGTGCCGCATACTACTACCCCATTTCCGGCCGTGTCGAGCTCAAGAAGCACCGTGCATCGGCCAATACCGAAATCAACAAGTTCTTGCGTGACAGCACTTTTGATGTCATCGACTTGAAGATCAGAGAGCCTAATACTAGCGAGTTGAAGCGCATGGACAACATCCGTTCCGAATACGACCCTATGGAGTACGAAGGTGAGGATGAGGATGAAGAGGAAGAAGACGAGGAGGAAGTTGCTGAAAATGGTAACGACGACCGTAAAGACGAGTCCCCAGAGAAAAGCCAGCAACCAGAAAACGGCTCGAAGGACGAGTCCGGTAACGACAGCGAGTAGATTCATGTATCATAAATTGAGAAAGTACCACAGTGTATTGTTACAGAGGACCCAAGGGCCGCCTCTTTGAAATGAAATAACAGTTCTTGATGCCAAATGTCTCATAAATGCAGCCGTCATCCAGTGAAGGCCTACACCACAACACACGAAAGCTTGCTCTTCTTAGGCACATCCAGATTGTCATTCTTGGCGTGCTTCTCCTTCTTCTCTGTCTTCTCTTTCGGGAGAGCTGGTGTACGTTTCTCGTACTTCTTTTGCATCCGCTGAGCCATTGCAGCATCTTCCTCTTCCTGAAGTTGTCTCACGAGGTCCAAATCCTCATTATGATTGAACTGCCCCAGGTCTGAGTTCTCCAGAATCGGCACAAAGTTACCAGCAAAGAACAAATCCTCGCTGCCTGAAACCAGAATCATCAGCTGCCAGACACACTTGCCCAGGAGAGACAGATCCGTCACAAGCAGATAGAAATCATGGTCGTGAGCTTTGTAGATCGTCATGAAGTGATTGTTGCGGAAGAAGACTGCCAAGGAGTCTGGTGCGATCTCCTCGTCAAGTTGTTTGAGTCCATGAGCCGTCAACTGGGTGGAATGACTATCGAGCCACCGTTGAATATCTGCTTTAGCAGCAGGGTCCTCGTTTGGGTGGAGTAAAAAGTCCTGAATGTCGTCGAATGTCTGGAGACGTTCGAAGTACTCCTTTCGAGAATCCACCGCAGGATCCCAGAGCCAGCCGTGAACAAAATGGAGACCAAAAGCTTTGAAAATCTCAGAGCTCAAGTCTCGTGGGAAGCCGCCACGGTAGACATTGGGGTTGACGCTCAAACCAGTGTGGAGAAGAGGAAGGTTCTCCAAAAGCCGGTTTACGACAGACAGATTGTCGTATACATCAAGCAAGACATCGCCTAAACAAGCCAAAACCTCGTTCAACAGCACGTTTCGATCAAGGTGGCGGTGTAAAAGGGCCCTAATTTTGCCTATACTTTCAGTATGACGTGCGGCTCCACCCACACTTTTGCTCTTTGGATTGAAATCGGCTTCACGCTGAAGAACATCGTTTTGCAAAAGAAGCGTGTTCACGAGCGCTATCAAGGGGCAAGGTCCATTGGCCTCCTGGAGAAGAATGGGAGTTTCGTGTTCGTATTGAGACCATGAGATCCGCTTCACAGCGAAAGTAATCTCTTCAGCCATGCTTTGGATTTGATGAGGATTCGTAAGATGATAGGATTCGAGGACCTTCGGATGACCAGATCGGTTCCCCTCGTAATCGACAATTCAATGCTCGTCTAAGCTTTCGATTGTGATCGGCTCACAATGGGCGGAATTGAAGATACGTATACCTTCTGAGCACTGGGAATCTCCAGATTTCAACGCTTTCTAACAAAAAAAGTCGATCAATTGGTACTTTGCAAAAGACCAGTGCGACTAACGTTCTGCTATATTGCTTTTTGTGTTCCCCTGAAGCCAAGCTTCGAATGTAGATTTTGTGGCGTTGTTTACGGTAACTTTTGGGGAAGAAGCTGCCGTGATTCCGATGACGTGATAGTAGTCCAGATCTTTTAAAAATTGACCTGACAACAGTGGAAGACCTCTAGATCCTTTGCTCAAAAGAAGACAAGTATTATATTAAAGGAAAGTAGTGTGTGCTTATCTACTCCTGTACGTCATGCCATCATGGATGGGATTACTACATAGCCGAGCCACACGGTACAGGACCAGAGACAATCGGAGCCAAGGCACCAAGAAATCAACCTAGAAGAAAATTCAGCGTTAATCGTTTCAGTTGAGCACCCACCTCACGAGAGATACGAGCGCAATGAAGGCGGCCACAAGCAGCAAGTCACACATTGCCGTCTCTGAGCTCACCTGCTTGGCGATCTTCATGTCGAAATCACCACGTTTGAGAATGTTCTCTGCAATGGGCTTGGGCGCTCTTTCAGCACCAGCAGGCACAGCCTTGGGGCTGGGGTACATGTCCTCGCAAAACTGCTCAATCTCGCCGAGCTTGATGCCAAGTTTCAAGTAGTTGGGGTCCTTAACGTCCAGCTTTTTGTTGATAACGCGCACGTAGTGCTTGAAAATGTTCACCACATCTGGGAGCGTCCTGGAATTAAGAATGAGCTTGCATGTGGTTCCCTTTCTGATCTTCACATTACGCTCCAACACCTCTTTGTTGTTGAAAATCTCTGCCAAGGTGGCAATGGCCATCACCTGAGGAATGGCGCAGAAGTTGAAGCTGGTGGATTCCGTGATCAATGACAAGTAGGTCAACACGTCGGTAACGTGGCCCAACGCGTTCAACACCAACTCATTGATGCAGTGAACGCCCAGCTCCCTCTCGGTCTCGTTCTTGTGGAAATTGGGCAAAGCCTCAGTGTACTTGGACCAAATGTCTTTAGGGTAGAAGGAACGGCCGTCCTCCAAGTCCTCGTGGTAGTCACGAATGATGTTGGTTTTCTGTAAAAACAAACCCATGCTCTCGGACAAGCGGTATTCATCGGCTTGCACCTGCTTGTCGGCAAATCCTGCCAAAACCATCAAGTCGGACAAGCCCTCGCCGACCAAGCCAGCCACGTAATGGCAGTACAAGTCGAAGTCGGCAACAGTAGCCACGCCATTCGTATTAAAGTTCTCGTCCACAATGTAGTCTGCCATGCCGTTGCCCATCTTGAGTGTGATCTTCTTGACAATGTCCTGGTGCTCGGGCTTCAAGCGGTGGTACTCGGCCAAAATGGTGTCAAACTCCACCAACACGGCTCTGTCCTTCTCATCGGGCCCGCTGCCGGTGAAAGTGTAGTCCTTTGTGTTAAGCTTTTCGTGAAAGTTACGCAACAACGGCACCTTTATCAGCGGGTCGATCGTCATGTCATCCTCTATGGTGTCCAAAGCCCTTAGCACCAAGTAGAAGATCATGGTGGAATCACGCAACTCAGGGTGCAATTCCTTGATCACGGAAGCGAAGGACCTGGAAGTCGCGTCCAAAAGCTGGTAGGAACGTTTCAATGTCTGAGGAGACTCGGATAGATCGTGCGGGTGGGATGATTCCCTAAACAACTGAAGCTGCACCACCGCCTTGAGTTCGGTTGGGTGGGCAAGCAATTGAAGGAGTTTTCCCATGGTAGGCTATGTAAGTCAGCAGATAAAATGAAGGAATTCTTTCGCTAATCTGATAGCAAATGTGGTTCCACCGAGATGAGAGTGGAGGTTTTTTCTCAGCTTTTCTGACTTTTGATGTCGCGCTCGATACCAGCTATACGAGAGGAGCAGCGATAGCGGTGCGCAACACACAGGTCTAACCTAGGACGCTTCACGGAGCGTGTCTGTAGACAATAGTAATTTTAATTTCTTTTCGAAGACGGGGTTTTGTTTGCATTACCGGATGAAGCTGACAGGGCTGATAATGAAATAGCCGATTTTCGGACTAGGGTAGTGCTGTATTGTAGTGTTGTAACGTCGTATCCCCGAATTCGATCAGGGCAACTTCAACAAGGGGTATTTCCAAGGAGCCGGTCACTTATTAGCAATTTCTGTAAAGGGCTGGAATGAATTGCCTTTTTATCAATGGCTGTAAAGGTCCATATTGTCTGGAGTGCCAAGGAAGGAACCGTGGAAAGTTGAAGGAGCCAATATGGGGCTTTCCATTCAGATGGTAAGAGGATGTCTTGCAACCCAACCCCTACTTCGTATTCTCAATCTTCTCAAACCAACGGCGGGCAGCCTTGATATTTTCAAGAATAACAAGATCCTCGCGTGCATTGACGTAGCTCTGTTCAGCCACACGGTCCTTAAGCACAATCATAATGAATAAATTATCTGTAAGCACGTCCACATAGAAGCTTGTGCCATTAGAACCGCGAATGACGAGGTTGTTGAAGCTTGTTCTCAATTTGGTGATCAGCTGCTTGTATGTTTTAATGATATTGGAGATTTTCTCGAACCGCTTGGGATCCAAGGAATCGACGGAGCCACTGAGAGGCCCGGAGCGCTGCGTTTGTCGCTGAATCGATGCCGTCGACGATATGACCAAAAACGTTGTTTTCTCGAAAAGAATAATCTCTTCAGCGTCCAACACCTCATTGAACCGCAACAAGTTGGAGTGGAAGAGATCCATATTGGGGAACAACAGGCACACAATCAGCGACCAGGCTTTGTATAAGGATTCGTCCCAAATGGAGGTGGGGAACCCCACGAGCTTGAACTGGTACGGGTTCGAGATTTTTTGGAGCTTGTCCATCATAATCACAAACAACTCCTCTCTCTTGTCGATCTGGACCAAGTCCATTTTATGAAGCAAAACAAAGATTTTGGCGTCAGGGCTGAACTTCTGCAAATTCGTAAGCGACTTGACAAAGATATCAATGTCCTTGTTAATCAGCTTCAGCTCCACGTCGAACACATGTATAAGCACTTGCACCATTTTGAAAATGTGGTCTTTCTGTGTCGTGAAGTAGTTATCCATGAACACGTCTTGTCCTCCACAATCCCACAAATTAAGCGTCATGTTACCCAAGAACCTAAGGTGAGAGTGTTCCACATCGATAGTGGCACCTAAACGCCTGGTGTCAAAAGCGGAGTAGTTGGAGAAAATGATGGAACGCATTGACGACTTTCCAGAGCCGGAACGGCCCATAAGAAGGAGCTTTTTTCGGGAAGACAGCGACATTGGAACGATTTCTATGGCTTCTAGTAGTTGCGATGGTCAGACACTGCTTGATAAGCGGTGGAGCGAGTGCACCCGTACACCACGGAAACGGCACCCAAGAGCCGTGTAGGTGGGGCATTGGAGGGGATAGATAGATTCGATTTGAATTTGTTTGGAATCTTAAAATACAAGTTTGCGAAGGTGGTGTTTCATGGTAATTTATTGTAGGGGAGATGTTGGGTTTTCTTGTTTACTAGGATCCCTCAAGGCGAGGACTTACAAGCAGTTTCGGCGACAATGAATGAAGGGTATTTAAAAACTTTGAAAAGAGATGAAAACAATGAGAGCTGTAGTTTCGATGGTAATTGTAAAGAATTGAAATATCGCACGGAACCTTCACAATGGAAGAAATATCCAGAAATATCCAATTTGCAACCGGCCCATTGAGTAGGTTACATTCAATATTCAGTGTTTCTCATGGATCTCAGAATTAATAGATGCCTCGAAACAGCGAAGAGAAGGCAAATCGTGAATTGTTAGTGACAGCCTTGACCAGTATTGCATTTGACCTCAAGTGGATAAAGGCTTACCGATCAAATTTAAAATCAAACCGTCTCAAAGTTTCAATGGTATTTCTGTGACCAAATAGAGCTAGGCGTCTTTTCATCATTGGAATAAGCTCCTTCATTAAACCATCCATGCGAAATTACCATAGTTGATCCACGCTTCTAGGTATTTTGCAGCCACGGCCAGATCGTATTTCCATGCCCTTTAGACTAAAAATAGTAATACCTTCACATCGTTTGGCTCCAATCATAAGAAATCACAAAATCCAAAAATCCATCTTTCTGGAAAACTTCTGACTCGCGGCTTAGCAGATACGCATGGGCTGCTAATAATACCTGTCAATGAGAATCACAAAAGGCCGCTTTCCACGGACTCACCGCCAATTCTCCGTCTACCGTAGAGCCGAAAACCAACAAAATAACCAATAAATCCAAAAAAGGCCAAAGAGATAAATCTTCCAAATCACACGTGGAACCCCTCCTTCAGCCTTCCAGGGTCCTGCCTCGCGACCTTCTTTCGCTTATGCCAATACGCGCCAATCCTTTCTTTTTTCTCCGATAAGACTCCATTCTTCCTATTTATCGATAATTATCGCCATTCGGGGTCTAAGTTCAAAGGCTTTTTGAGAGAATTGTCATTTCAAGTTCTGGGTCGCCGCCTCCCTCTAGATCTGCATCTTTCAGCATCCTCCAGCATCTCAGCATCTCAGCATCTCAGCATCTCAGCATCTCAGCATCCTCCAGCATCTCAGCAGCTCCAGCATTATACCAAATCAGCATACAAATGTACTCCGGTTACGACCCAAAGGCTGTTCGACTTCACGTCGTGGCAGGCAAAGCTTTCCTCCTAGGTATAGTCTTTACAATTGCACTCCTATACTTGGTGCTTTCTGGGTCTCCTTTGGGGAATAGAGTCGCCTTATACACCCTCATGAACACCGTCTTTTACATGCTGGAGTTCCTTACTACGGCGATATTCAATACGGAAAACGTGGACGACGATCTGTTCATCCTTAATGACATTGAACTCCACGCTGTCCACGCTGTCTCCATGATAGAAACGTGGCTCTTGCATAGGTACTGGAAGTTCAACCTGACCTTCTTCTGGATAGGCCTCAGCGTGTTGCTTTTTGGCCAGTTTTGCCGTACGTACGCTATGTACCTGGCGGGCACGTCATTCCACCACTACGTCCAGAAAGAGCGTTCCCAAAAACACGTTTTGGTCGAAACCGGTATCTACAGTTGGTCAAGGCATCCTAGCTACTTTGGCTTCTTCTGGTGGTTCGCGGGAAGCCAGCTTCTCCTACAGAATGCCTTCACCTTGTTGGTTGGTGCATGGAAGCTCCAGCGGTTCTTTGAAGCCCGCATTGCCTATGAAGAACAGTACCTAGAGTCCTTCTTTGGCGAAAAGTACAAGGCCTACAGACGGCGCACGCCCACATTGATACCCGGTATAGCATAATTCTATCTATAATCTACTTCTTAGGGTCGACACCGAACCCGTTCACGTTTCTGTACATCATCACACCATCGTCACCGTCGACGTATTGGCACATTCTGGCGGACTTCCACAAGGACTTCCACATGCTCTCGTCAGAATGCTGGTAGTGGTGGCCCATGACCTTCTTGATGGCCTCAGAAGCCTCACGGGCGTTGTAGAAGGGAATTCTCGAGCAGTAGTGGTGCAACACGTGAGTCTCGATGATGTCGTGGAAAATGTACTTACCGACAAAGCCGAATTCACGGTCAATTGTGGCAGCAGCGCCTCTGGCAAAGTTCCACTGGTGAGCCTCGTAGTGGGGCATCTTGGGGTCCAGGTGCTGAAGGAACGTGATGAACACCAACCAGTGGTTAACGAAAAGGTAAGGAATGGCCCAGTGGACGAGAACGTTGAAAGCGCCAAAGTTCTTGTACCAAGTGTACAAGACCAAAGCCTGGGTCAAGACACCAATGTCACTCATGACAATGTACCAGTAGTCTCTCTTCTCAAAGATGGCGGAGCTAGGGTTGAAGTGGTTCATACCCCAGGCAGAATTGGCGACCTTCTGGCCAGTCACGTTGGTGAAAAGGTACATGATCCAACCGCCCAACTGCTGGCCCAACAAGTGGCCCAACGAGTAGATGGGAGAGTCGCTGGCAATCTCCTCAAGTGAGTGAGCGTGGTGCTTGTCCATGAAAGACTCCTTGGTGTGAGGCACAAAGACCATGTCTCTGTCCAAGTGGCCAGTGGCCTTGTGGTGCTTACCGTGGGAGAACTTCCACGAGAAGTAAGGCACAAACCAGTACGAGTGAAGGACCCAGCCGACAGTGTCGTTGACCCAGCCGTAGTCGGAAAAGGCAGAGTGACCACACTCGTGGGCCAAGACCCACAAACCCGTGCCGAAAAGGCCCTGAACATACGTGTAAAAAGCCCAAGCAGCGAAACGGAGCCCCGAGTAAGGCAAAAGGTGGATGTAGTTCTGTGCAACGTAACCAAAAGCAGTCATACAGGCAATGTCTCTAAAGACATACCACATGGACTCAGCGAGACGTCTCTCGTAGCAGTGGGAAGGAATGGCCCTGAGGATATCCTTGATGGAGTAGTCTGGAGCCTCAAAGGTGTTACCATAGGTGTCGATGGCGGTGGCCTTCAGGGAGAAGGAAGCCACGTTTCCCTTTTTGGAAACAGAGGCGGAACCGAATGAGGCGCCCAGAGTGGACGCTAACGTACTGGACATTTTTGGAAAGAGTGAATTCGAAAAAACCGGATATTTAAAACTGCGTGGGCAGCGCGGACATATATAGTGAGGAAAAAGAAATGCAAACCGTTTGGTCCCACGCAGTAAAAAGAAGAGTACAAGCAGGACGCCACAGAATACAGGCACGGCTGGGGGAAAAGATTGTTCTTTTAGGGGAGGGTTTAAATTCGGTTGAATGGAGGCTTTTGAGGGGTTTGTTATTTTTGATGTTTACGAGACCCACACCTCTCTTAACCGGATGCGCCAACGGTTCCCCCTGACTTTCACATATTGATCGAAAAAGAGGGCCTGAAACGCATATTGAAAACTAACTTCCTCCCTTCCCCTATTGCTGTTTCAGATCCAAGCCGTTGTGGCAGATCGGTGGCTTCTTTCCGTAAGAGGGTATCTGTACCTGCTTGGCAGCCAATGTGCGAATGAGCCGCTGACAGTATAATAAAGGGGCATTTACGGAATGCTTTATTGGTGGAAAATCACGAGGATCAGCGCCAGGGCCTGATTTTAACAAAATCAAGTTATCTGTAAAATCGGCGATGCTTTGGAACAGCCGTGTGGCTGGAACCCGGCGCCTCGTTGAGGGGAGGGTGGAATTGAAAATTTCAGCATGTGTGAAAGATGAGCCATAAAGTTGAAATGAAGGAAGATCAAATTAAGGTTGATGGAGGGATTGTCAGGGTGACAGGAGAAGACCTAGACGATGCATGAATGCACAGGCTTCTACACCGATTTCAGCTTTCTTGGATTTCAAGGCTGAAATATTGTATAGAGAGGTTCATGTAAAACGGCTAAATTTGAAAAGTTCGCTTGGCCGCCTGGGCTGAAGGCATTTCTTTTTCAACTCTGCAAGAGAAGTCAACGCACTTGAGTAGCACATGCTCCGATGAGATGCGGGCAAAATGAAAAAAACTTTTTGAAATAAGCTATTTCAAGTTTCCTGATTTCACCTAAAATTCCAAAATGCTTTGTTGCAGTGGAAACTTCCTAATTGACACAGGAACACCTGCTCCATCTGTCATTTTCCCAAAAGGGACCTTTGCACTGAAACGCAACAACGTATCAGATCAAAGTCGCTGCACTATATACAGGAGCGATTTCTGCACCTGTCTTATCCGGATTTTGCACCCAATAATCTGATCCTCGAGGCCAACGAACTCCCATGCGGCTCAATGTTGGGACCTGAATCCGCAACGGTGGGTTCCAGCTGCCAGTAGTACACTTCGTTTAGGAATGTCCTGATTTTTCAGCTTTTTCAGATTTTCCATTGTTCCCGGTTATGTCCGCATTGGGAATTGTCGGAACGGTACACGTCGCCATCGACAAGGCTTTGATTTTTCAGGCACCTCACCTGGCAACGAAGAGTAGCACTATCAATTTGATCGAGGGTGGTTTATAAGAAATTAACTTTTGGAATTCGAAATACTTGGTTAGAATTGGGTTTACAAAATCTTCTGTAGGTGTGGGTTTTCGGCATGCTGCTGTTGGGTCGTGGGAGCTGATTGCCTGATTCAGACGCAAGTTTTCGTGATCCGTTCCTCGATTGGCATATGGAGCTGTAGACGAGCTGATTGATTATCCTGAGGCTCTCCTCAACAGGTGATCAGAAGATCGTGCTTTTCTTTGGCTTGATTACTGGAATGTTGGTTTCAGTTGCAGTAATGAGATATGGTGCAATTGGGTTGGTATAAACCAAAACTTGTCTACGGATGCTCAAACCTTAAAGTTGTACGATGAACGATTCACTATTCCAGAAGCCTATTTCCACCCGGAGATCATGCTTGAGAACAACTCAGTCTCTAATTCACCGATGATACAAAATGCCAATTTCAAGAGTCTTTAGTGGTTGACTCCATTGCATCCAAGGCCACAAAACCTTTGGAAGACAACATTTTGAATTGATGTCTTCTAAAGTGCCTAGCATTGGCCTTCCTGCTCGGCGAATGGTTAAAGTGAATGGCATTTGCACTAAAGGAACACCACAGTACGTGTGCTACACTTAATCATGCTCATCAATTGAAGTTACTTGAACCGCCAATAAGTAACACCTCGTGGAATTTGCCACTTGTCGTCCAGTCTGGCCTCTGCCAACTGGATTCAGTGTAGGCCTCTCTGTCACTTCTATCAATGCAATTGACTGCCTACTTTCAGCATTTCTTCATACCCACCACATTTAAGCTGTTCAGAATACTGAAGCTTCCAATATGTTTCGTGAACTTTTAACACCATGATATACTGAACTTTCCCACCTCGATTCAGTGTAGGTATGTCTTCCATCAATGCTGCCTGCCTGTTCCAGCATACCAATTACCCACCCACCGTTACTCCATCAGTTACAGTGTACCATCTACTCATCAAATACCCACCTTCCATTACCACTTTCTATACCCAACTTCTCCAGACGTATGTTGGCTAAAATCGCTATACTGCCCCGCTGGGCCTCCGTCCGGGTCGTCCCGGGAAGCCAAACCCATAACCCAGCACCTCTGTAGTCTCCGTCCGAGGTCATCAACATGTTGAATTCCGCAAAAACGGAGTTTTCCAAAGGGAAGTCAGATTCCGTAAAATTCCTTCTATCTACCCCTCCATCCACAATCTATCTTCTATCTCTCCGCGACCGGATGCACGATGCACTGTACCCCAGAGACCCCAGATCGATCCCGGACACGTCGGGGCGATTTGACAGGTTTTGCGGAGATTCAACGTTTCATTGATTTTCAAAGCTTTTTACGTTGAAATCATGATATTTTGGTAAATCCACATCAACTTTCACAATGTCACCTGGGGCGGAAATCACAGGGCTCACGGCGCTCCGTTACCGCAGTCGCACACAGCCAATGAGTCACCCACGGCTCTCCAGCACAAACAACAAAAATAATCAAATCACTTATTTCACGAAAAAGAACATGACTCCAATGGCAGACCAGCCTCGTTTTAGAGTCAAAAACCCAAAAGCGATCGACTTCTCCCTCGGTGACTCCCACCCTGGATTCGCCGGGGCGCGCATACTCCACAAGCGATAACAGAGCGTTGATTTTTTTTTTTTTTTTTTTTTTCACCAACCACCATGTCAGAGAAAATCGAAAAAAAGCCAATCAACTTCTCCAACATCCTTCTTGGAGCCGGTCTCAACATGGCCGAGGCCACCACGTTGGGCCAGCCTTTGGAGGTGGTGAAAACCACCATGGCTGCTAACAGAAAACTCTCTCTTTTGCAGGCCACCAAGCTTGTTTGGTCCAGAGGTGGTGTCAAGGGCTTCTACCAGGGTTTGATTCCTTGGGCCTGGATTGAAGCCTCCACCAAGGGTGCCGTTTTGCTTTTTGTTTCTGCCGAGGCCGAGTACAGATTCAGAACCTTGGGTCTCAACTCGTTCCTTTCTGGTATGGGTGGAGGTGTCACTGGTGGTGTGGCCCAGGCGTACCTTACCATGGGTTTCTGCACGTGTATGAAGACTGTGGAAATCACCAGATCCAAGCAGGCTGCCGTGGCTGGTGCTCCTCAGCAGACCACTTTCCAGGTTTTCAGAGACATCTTCAGAAAAGAGGGTATCAGAGGTATCAACAAGGGCGTGAATGCTGTTGCCATCAGACAAATGACCAATTGGGGTTCTCGTTTCGGTTTGTCCCGTTTGGCCGAGGAGGGTATCCGTAGTGTTACCGGTAAGGGTAAGGACGACAAATTGAATGCTGTGGAGAAGATCGCTGCTTCCACCTTGGGTGGTGGTTTGTCTGCCTGGAACCAGCCTATCGAGGTTATTCGTGTTGAGATGCAATCCATGACCAACGACCCCAACAGACCCAAGAACTTGGGTGTTATGAGTACCGCCAAGTACATTTACCTGAACAACGGTATCAAGGGCTTGTACAGAGGTGTGGCTCCACGTATCGGTTTGGGTGTGTGGCAGACGGTGTTTATGGTTGCCTTTGGTGATATCTTCAAGAAGATGTTGAACGCTGACGGAGGCCACTAGTTGGACAGCGGTACGAACGGTCCATTATTATATATTCAATCATTACTGATACATTTGGCGGGAATGATGTAGCAATTTTTGAGAAGAAAGTAGAAGTTGGCCCTACGGCCCTGTCACCGGGAAAGATATATTAATAAATATGCTGGATGCTGATTAACTGTGTGCGAGATTACTGCTTGTGGGTCATGCCCCACTTGTCGTAACAGTACAAGCCGGCAATAGTGAGGAGAACACCGTAGCTCTGGTAGCCGACAAAGCTGAAGGAGCCCTCCCACACAAAGGCAAACATGATAACGACAATACGCTTCATGATGTTTGCAATGGAGTAGTTGATGGGTGAAATGGTGCCGAGAAGCTGGAATGCAAGAAGCGACTGTAAAAAGTGGGAGACACCGTTCAACACCACCAACGAAACAAGCGAAAGTGAAACCTGACTGAGCGAGAACACTTCATTGCGGAGCTCAGAAAGGATGTAGATGGGCATGGTGAAGAGAAAGCCAATGACGGAGCAGAAAAGCAAGATGGTCAACTTGTCGAGCTTATTTTCTCCGCCAGCCTTGTATGACGGGAGAGACGTGGTCTCGTCCTGACTCTTAACCGTCAAGCGCTGCTTGGCAAAGATGTTTTGGGAGACAAAAATCATCATGGAAACGAAAGCGTAGGCCAAGCCGGAGAAGTAGCCAGGAGCGGCGTTCAAGTTCTTGGGCTTGTAGCATGTGAGCATAATGCCAAAGATCAAGGGAAGCAACGTGACGTAGGTGACGGTCCTGAACTTCGTGCGGAGAAAAACTCTATAGATGAGAACCGTGGAAATAGGGGACAAGGACTTGATCGTGTGCACAAGAGACACTGGTATCATGGAGGTGGCCTTGTGGCTGGTGATGTGGCCCAAAAACTGGAAAATGCCCATGGGCAAAGTTGTGGCGATGATAAAGCTGTTGGGCGTGAGGAACTTGACCACAGAGCGGTCCAAAGCATGCAAATTAGGGATGGAGGCCTTGGGGAAATGAGAAGCCCACTGAGGCGACATGGAAAGCACGGAAAAGAGCGCCACGCAGAGAAACGCGTTCAACAAGAACTGAAACTGCGTCAACGTCACCGGGTACGAGAAGCGCAGGAGAATCGCCTTGGTGGAGTTGTTGCTGACGATAGAGAAACCGTACCATAAAGCACACAACGACACGACCTTCACGTCGACCTCAGGAGCCCACGCGGCCCAGCCGGTTTTGGGAGCCACCTGGGCGTCTAGACTGACGGTGCTGGTGTTTGCAGAAAGGAAAAACCCGTCCCTTCTCTCCGCCACCGGGGTGGATGCGTTGGAAGCAGGTGGTGTGATCTGTTGATAGGGGGCCAACGGGCTTCTGAGAGCCTTTGGGTGATTTAGCTGGAAGATGTTGGTTGTGGAGGCATTTGGGTTTATCTGTGACGTTCTCTGTGGGTACGGGTATCTGTGGATATCCTCCACTGAATGGTTAACACTTAGCATTTTGGGTGGGACGTGGTGGATGTGATTTGGAATGGGATTTTTGTTGAGGTGTCGATTTTGAGGTTTTATATTCTCTGAACCTGAGCGGAAAAAGCTGCTTTTAAAAAACCGTTTGTGCTTTTCACGAAACGAGTTTTGCTAGGTGGTGACGCAGAGGAAAGAGTTGCTCTTTTATGCCTGGTTGTTTTGCGATGCAAGCCAGGCGAAGCAGGCGCTGGCCAACGTGTGCGCTGTGTACAGGAAAATAATATCTGGAGACGGTACGAGGTCGATGAGGTGATGAAATTGGGAAAGATTTTTTCAAGGTGGTGCTTTGGTAAAAGCGGACGATATATTCAAAAAAAAAAGGAGTTGCAGTTTAAAAGAGCTGAGTTACAGTTTTTGTTGAGTTATTGCTTCATACGTCTCCTCAAGAAATGGAAGGTAGGGGCTGGCCTTCCTCTTTGAATGCTGCTTAAGCCGCTGAATTACGGGCCCCCGTTTCCAGCGTAAAAAGCCTAAAGTATATGGACCGGTTTACTTTTTTGCTATTTTTAGAAAATTTCAGGGCTCAAGGTGGCCGCTTACGCGCTGAAAGTGTCACTACTGCGGCTCTTCTTTTGACGTGTCGATCGCTGGAAAGTAGTTGTAAAAATGTGGTTTTTCTTTTTTGGAATTTACCTTTTTCCTCCGCTAAGCTCGGGCACGGCTGGTTGCTCCAAAGCCTCTTTTGTTTATCTTTGAATTTCATCTTTTTTTGTCAATCGGCTTAGGAAGCGGTCAGCGTAATGCCGCTCGACTTATTCTCATCATCCCACTGGATCGGCAAAATGGAGAATCAGGGGCCAGCAGGGGATGGCTGTAACTGTGGCTCTTTGTATATTTATGATCGTTCCTTTTTGGAAATAAAGTTAGCTGGCAGATTCCCAAGCTTATTGTCAAACTTGACGCCTATTGTTCGGATTTGCAAGCAGCAGCCAGCACTGCGGCTGTTAGAATTTTCAGTCACCATTGTGAAGACAATGAGATTTGGGATTTTCACGATCGGCCGGGAAGATAAACTTCATGAGAGTGTCAGGAAAGAGATTCTAGAAATTGCTTTGGGCAGAGTTGTAGACGAACATGAAGGCAGGTGGTTGGTGACCGATGCGGTATGGTCTCGTGACATTTAAATAGGGTAGACTGGAATGTTTTTCCCTTTCTCAGATTTATGAGAATCTTTTTTTTCTTATCGTGTAGCCCTTTGCACTTCAACGGTCGTAGATAGAGACACCTGCTTGTGGGCCTACATCTGCCATACTATGCCCGATAGATTTGACAAAGAGATAAATACTAGAAAAGTGACTATTAGAAATTCTCCATTGTTCCTCAATCAATTGAGCGATAGCCCCTCGTGGAAACCTAAATAGCTTCGGCATGAGTATATTGCAAGTTGTCAGTAACCATTCGGTAACGAGGTGTGAATATCCAACTGGAGCACACCACCGGTCAATAAACAAATACCGTTGAGTTCTCAATGCTTCAAAAATCCATATATGGTTGCCTCTCCCACAATGGCCCGTAAATCCTCAGCAGCACCTTGATCACCCAAAAGTGGTCCGCATCTGAGACAACCGCCAACTCCAAAATGGCAAAGAATTAAAAATCACCTTCAATTCAAAACTCAACCTCGAGATCAAAAAATTTCTGTTTCCAGAAATCTCCCCATCTAATGTCCCACCTCCATAATCCCTCTTCATTGGCTCGTGAAAAGCTTATCGGTGTTGATGCACTCCATCAAAAACGCCAGCATCCACCTACCCTCATCCACACTAAACAACAAAATCAACACCCCTAAAACATCACAAATCTGTTCCTCCCATTTAGGCCCCAAAAAGCCCTACACCCTGACCAAACCCTCCCCGAACCAGCCGTTATCCAATTTCCTACTTCTTCTGTCCTGCAGATCGCTGCGATCCGATAGCTCCAACTACTCTTATCCGTGAAATGCTAGCCACTTTAGCCGCCTTTGTGGCCAAGCAGGCGGTTGTCGAAGGTGCAAAAGTGCTTCTAGGAAGGGAGGTACCTGATGACGACGAAATTCCCGATGTCACGACGCCCGACCCCGAGGAAGATGCTGATCCGGTAACAGAGGAGATGTTTTCGCTGTGGGCGCTATTCATCCTTCTATTTCTTTTATGCCTGGCGTTGTGGCTGTCGTACTACCTTCAGCAGAGAAGGATCAAGGCCATTCACGAAACGGTTTTGTCGATTCTCTACGGAATGGTGGTGGGTTTGATTATCAGAGTCGCTCCGGGTCACTACATCCAAGATGCCGTGAAGTTCAAGTCCGGCTACTTCTTTAACATCCTTTTGCCCCCCATTATCCTCAATTCGGGCTACGAACTACATCAGGCGAACTTTTTTCGAAACATCGGCTCCATCTTGACCTTCGCTATCCCTGGAACGTTTATATCTGCAATGGTTCTTGGCGTGATCTTGTACATTTGGACAGCATTGGGCGTGGACGGCGTCAAGCTCGAGTTTGTGGATACTTTGGCCGTGGGCGCCACCTTATCGGCTACCGATCCCGTCACAATCTTGTCGATTTTCAATGCCTACAAGGTGGACCCTAAGCTTTACACGATCATTTTCGGCGAGTCGCTTTTGAACGACGCCATCTCCATTGTCATGTTCGAAACGTGCCAGAAGTTTCACGGCAAGAAAGTCACTTTTTCCTCGTTCTTCGAAGGTGTGGCCTTATTCTTGATGACATTCACTATATCCACTTTCATAGGCATTGCCATTGGTATTATCGTCGCCTTGATCTTGAAACACTCCCACATCCGCCGCTACCCGCAGATCGAAACATGCTTGGTTTTGCTTTTCGCCTACCAGTCGTACTTCTTCTCGAACGGTGCTCACATGTCCGGTATTGTCTCGTTGCTTTTCTGCGGTATCACTTTAAAACACTACGCCTACTTCAACATGTCGAGACGCACGCAAATCGCCACAAAGTACATTTTTCAGTTCCTTGCCCAGCTATCAGAGAACTTCATCTTTATCTACTTGGGTTTGTCCTTGTTTACTGAGGTTGAGTTGGTGTTCAAGCCCTTGTTGATTATCGTCACCTTCATCTCGATCTGTATCGCTAGATGGTGCGCCGTGTTCCCTCTCTCGAGGCTCTTGAACTTCTTGTACCGTTCAAGATTCGAGCGTTTTAGCAGAAACACCGTCATGTCAGGCGGAATTCTGTCGCAGTCACAACCCGAGGATATCAGTCATTCTTACCAAATGATGATTTTCTGGGCCGGCTTGAGAGGAGCTGTTGGTGTGGCATTGGCGTTAGGTATCCAGGGTGAGGCCAAATGGGCCCTTCTAGCTACAGTATTGGTCGTGGTGGTGCTTACTGTCATCTTTTTCGGAGGCACCACCGCTTCTATGCTTGAGATCTTGGGTATCAAGGTCGGGTGCGTCGAGGAAAACGATTCAGACGACGAATTTGATATTGAAGCTCCCCGCGTGACACTTGATTCAACTCCAAACGTCAATCTCATGGGCAACAGGCGTTATGGAAACGGCACATACTCCGACACCAACACCAGCACAAACTACAGAAACACAAGCAATACCAGTCTCCCGTACATCAAGGGATCGAGCCATAGCTCGCGGAATAACTCCACCCCAGAACTACCCACCCTTGATGATGATTTGAACGGTAGTGATGCTGATGATGTTTTCAATGCTGGTACTAGAAACGCCGATACTGCTCATGCCACTACCGCAGCAGTTGCTCAGCAACAAACGAATGGACTCTTAGGTGCTTTCCTCAGTGCCGAGGAGCACGCTAAGTGGTTTACTAAATTCGACGAAGAGGTGTTGAAGCCGGTGCTTCTTGACAAATCGCCAGGCCAAAACAACGACGACGAATCCAACGTATAACCCTCGACGTCATCCCAAAATACAACTCACCAAAATATACATGTTATTAAATTAGTAATACAAATCAGAAGACTCCTTTTCCTTCTGCTGCTGGGCGATCGAGGCGTCAATGACCCACTTGGCGAGCTTGAATGCACGCGACGATAACAGCAAATCGTTGAGCTTGTAGTTGTACTTGACGCAAAGTTGGAAAAACTCCTGGATGGTCAAGTCGTGCAAGAGAGCCATAAGGTGGTGCTTGGTGGCTTGCTCGTTTTCTCTTTGTTCCGCTGTGAGGTATATCGATGCTGGCAAAATGTCAGTATAATTGGCGCATGCTCTGATGGGTCTCTCCAAAAGATTCAACACCTCACTGATGTGTGCGCCGGTGACGGTGTTGTTGCGATCCTCCTCCACAGCATGGATCAAAATGCCCAGAAGGGCGATGACGGCATTGCCGTAATTCACTGGGTTCACCACCCGCGACTCAGTGTCTTTTTTAAGGGTGATTCTGAAGAAAACACCAATGCTAGAATCAAGCAACTCGTTGCGGTACTCGGTGTAGTACTTCTGGAGCAAAGCAAGCTTGTTGGTGACTGTTTGAGGTCTCGGCCTGGACGCTTGGGGATTGAGGTAAGCAGACAAGAACTTCTGCGCTGGGACTATGATTTGAGCCACAACTAGCTTGCCCAAAGAATGCTTTTCGAGTCTGGTGATGAAAGATGACTTGGTCACAGGTTCTTCGTACCGCCTGAGAGGACTGGAGGAGGCATCAACCATGGGCTGAGTAGTGTCAGCACTAGCATTGAAGGAATTACCAAAAAGGAACGAGTCTTTGTTTTCTTCTATCGTTTCCTCTGGCTTGACGGGCTGGCTGCCTCTAAGGGCGTTCATGTCGGACTGAGTTCTGTAGTTGACTCTGGATGACGTTTCCTTGATCACCAAGGCACACTCGTCAAGGATGGCAGGCCAAACAAAGCCGGCCACTGAATGAGCGCTGTAGATGTCTTTTCTTCTCTTGACGCCCTCCGGGTCGTTGGTGGTGGCGATGTAGGCCAATTCCTGGAATGCGGTCAACCTAGCGATTTGGGTTTCGGGTTCAACGTCACGGAGGCACAGAAGAAGCGAGCTCACAGGGTCTTCACTGTAGCTGCTGATCGGCTTCTTGCCGTCCAAGCACCCAATGGTGGCGTAAGTGTCGTACACGTGGTTCACGACTTCCCAAAGCAAAAACACAACAAACGAGACAAACGACACATTGAAAAGAGTACGGATGCCAATGTGGAACCGGGGTACCGACAGGTCTAAGCCAAGCACGGCAAACACCATCCAGTTGATTTTGTAAATTACCAGGCGGATTACCCAGTAGACCACTGGTGATGAGACCAAAGTCACCGAGTTGAAAAGCACAGCATGACCCACAAGCGCAGGGGCTTTAGAAAATAACACCAGGTCTGGCTTAACGTGATTGACGCCGTACCTGAACAGAAGCCTGTTCCGCTGAAACACAATGTGCTGAAGAGTGTAGGCCAATGCAACAAAGTAAGCGTGGAACCAGAAGAACACCCATTCGTCATTGATGGCCGGTCTTTTCCGGAACTCCTTCGCCACCACACTGTACTTAGACCATAAGGGCAATTGTGCCATGAAAAGACCATACAAGACAAAGGCAGACGCCGTAAAGTAGGCCAAACTAATAAGGTATCGACGACTGAAAACGCTTCTAGCCAACTGCCGAGCCAATGTCTTGTTGGTTGTGTACGAAACAGTGGAATTGCCGTTGCGGCAAATTTTGACAAGATAAAGTCCGCCATAGATCAAGGGAGCTCGGAAGGTAAGCGTGTAAACTATGTTTCTGAAGATGCTCATGTATGGAAAGGCCAAAATGGCGCTGGCAGCGAGGGCCAAAAGAAACGTGATTTTGTTCCAGTAGCGTAATCGTTTTTCATAGACTTTGCTGAAGTAGTACTGGTATGAATTCACCCGCTTAGGCGGGGCTTTTATTGAACCAGACATGTTGGTGAAGATGTTAGGGCAGTGAGGGAAGTAGTAAGGTGGGGCTTGTATGCAGGTTACACATACAGATCCGCCATATTTCGATCAATTCTCTACAAGCACTCGCTCTTTCTGTTGTGTTTTCGGCTTCGCCGCTATGTACATTATTCCTCTTCTCTTCCTCATGCATCCTTGTTGAGCTCCGCCTGGGCATCGCGACGCAACTTCTCGTTCTCTCCACTCAAGGTGTCTCTGACTGTCTGGAGACCTGGCTGGCCGTCGATCTCGCCAAAGGCGGCATCCTTGACAGCACGCTCGTTGGTCTTGGTGTTGGCGTAAACATTGCTGTAGCCAAAGAGCTTGTCCTCGACCAAGTGCTCGTTGCTCTCAAACTGGCCAACCTTCACTTCGAAGGCCTCACGGATGGCCTCACTCAACTCCTCCTCGGTGGTGATGAAGCTTCCAGCAGCGTGGTACAACTCCAAAAGCTCGGTGGCACGGGCCTCCTGAACCTTCAATTCTTCCACTCTTCTGTTCAAGGCTCTCTGCTCCTCCTTGATTGCCTTTTCCTCAGGAGTCCTCTGTCTCATGATTGGGCCCTTGAGGTATGAGTCGATCGTGGGCAAGGTCAACTTGGTGGCCTCGCTGTCCTCGTGCTGCTTGTCTTCAGCCTTGTGCTGCTCCTCCAACTCGTGCTTCCTGGCCTTGAGCTGTTCTAGCTTCTCTAAGCGCTTGGCTTCCGTCAAGTAGGCATCACGCAAATGCTCTTTTCTGATCTGGTCTCTCTTGTAAGCCCATAATGCGTCGCCTTCTAGCTTACTGACGTCCACATTGGGTTCTCTCTCGACTCTCTTGCGAATAAGCTCCTCAACAGGAACGATCTTCTTGGGTTTAGGCACGCGGGAAACACGACGACCGTCCACCTTGGGAGGTGTGACGCCCTTGGCGTAACCCTGTTCTAGTTTAGCCTCTTTCTCCTTCACGTAGTCTGGGGGTGGCATGATGGGGTTCTTGAAAATGGGACGCAATTTGGGCAATATACCCGACTTGCCGCCGTATTTGAGCGTGCCTTTGCCCAAAGCCAAAGGTGTAGGATGCATGGTATTAGGTGGTAGGCTTGGTGATGTTCAAATCGTATTGAGAAAACTTTTGTATGGAGGGCGTGCGCATACCACTACTCTCTGCCCCAGGTCTCATAGACTGCTGTCAGAGGAGCCTTTCCGATTTTTTTGTTGCCCACTTGATCTTCAAATAATTTGAAAAGTAGCAATTTTTTATCTTCTTCCGCTAAGGCGGCATTTTCTTGGTAATACTCGATAAGCCTGCGCGGTGTCTGGAAATGGCCCTGGATTACTACTGCTTTTTCTAGTGAGATTCCTCGCACCAGCATAAGCATGAGGATGAACATTTCTTTAACAGTCATCATGTCGGATTTCGAAAGAACGGCTTGATATGTTGGAAACGTGTGCACACATTCGTATTTCGTGGGTCTGTTTTCGAAGTTTTTCCGGAAGTCTTGTAGAATCTCGGAGTATTCAGCTTGGTTCTCCACAGATAACGGTCTAAGCACTAGTAGGCGGGTTTTGGCGTATCGGTTTTTGAGTATATTGGTCATTGCAACGACCCAATCAACAATATCGTCGGACTTTCTGAAACGCTCGAAATATAAATTAGACACCGTGATGACCATTGAGATGGCGGTTTGAATGGCATTTTTCATTTCCAAGATTCGGTCCATATCGCAGAGGCCACCTTCCTCCACAACGTAGTAGACGTTATTGAGCGCTGATTTTTGAAGACGGTTTTTCTGCTCGACAAAACGACCGTCCTTGATGGACATGGCCAAATCGTCGATCCTCTTACGCTCACATACGTAGTTGAGAACGGCTTCCTTTTTAGTGTGCTTATTTCGAGCGATCCACAAGATATCACCAACGGAAAGGGCTCTCACGTCACAGGATATATTGTGGTTAGCCACACGTTTCTGAAAGAAATCTCTTTCTCCCTGGGAACGCATCTCTCGTGTGTCAAAGAGAACAGCCACCTCAAAATCCTCTGGGTTCCATATATCGTAGGGCACGCCGTCGAACACTTTTTTGGCAGTGTCGTGGGCTTTTCTTCGTAGCGGGCTGGAAGAAGGCTCCACGAAGAGCTGTGTCAGATCAGGCGTGACCCTGACTCCATTATCAAAACTCAAATCCACCGTTGGGGCTGGGGATGAGTGGATATTTTCCTGCTGCATGATCACCCTTGCCATTGCGACACCAGATTCAGTCAAAATGTAGAGTTTAGGGGCTCTACCCACACATTCGACCAATTCTCGGTTTAAAAGTGTTTTGATGCCGTCCCAGGCAGAATAGAAGTCTCGAGCAGCAGGGTTGGCGGTGAATGAGGAATCACAGTATTCTGAGGCACTAGCGATGATGTCTTCCTTTCGTAGGCCTTTCTGGGATCCGTTGTTCTTATGCAATGCTATTAGAATCGCCCAAGAGCCCGAGCGTCGTTTGGGCACCCACAGGCTTCTTCGTTTGGGTTTCTTCTTTGTGGTTTCATCATCGATCTCATGTGCTCTTTTCCCGCCTTCTCTTTCCTCCATGTAAGAAGAGAATCCTTCAGGAAAGTCTAAACCCTCCTCTTGGCAGTGCTTCTTCAACTTGCCACACAAAAACTCAAATGTCTTCTGACCCACACAACTGATCTGCCGTAGCTGTTTCCCGTTTACGATAGGATCTGGATGACTTTTCACCTTGTCATGTGCCTTGCTATAAGCGAATCCAAGCTTCAGGCCCTTTTTGGTAAGCTCAGCCGCCTGGACCTCGAGCCATCCAGCAAATAGCAGATTGAGGTCTAGAGAAGCCATAGTGTTGATACTGGTCTGCACGCGCGTTACCCCAGATGATGAGGTAGGACGTGATGGAAAACAGAGAGGTGATTTTGGCAATTTGGAGGTGAAAGTTTGAGATAAAAATTTGATTGGATTTTGGATTTTGGCTGACGGTGTAATTTGGTGTCTGGGTAGCAGTATGGTGTATACCGTTTAGCCTATGGTGGAAATTAGCCAGAGGTATATTCTCAAGAATGTAGTGAGAATTTCCATTTCGATAGATGTTCTTGTGTTTGAGAAGTTCGCAATCAAGACGTCTTGATTACGTTAGAAATTTGCTATTTCTTGCATTTTGAGAACATTTGATGATTTGACATGCAAGGTGAGAAATGGCTGCGAAACACAGAACGTACAACAATATTAGGCAAACAAAAACATTAGTGCAGAATTAATAATAACCAAAGACAGAAATGAACAATTCGTAGTTAGTGAACAAATTTTGTACCCTCCTTAGAGACCCCAGACCATGGTATAGTATGAAAATGGACGGCCATTCCTCCAGATTGACCGGGTCTTACTCACTAGCTTCCAAGGTCTAACCCACAGACAAGCGATATGTAGACACCAGCAAGCAAACTTAAAGAACAACATCAAGTGTTCAGATTGTTTCCACTGCCAAAATAATCGCGATAAAAACAAAGATATAAATACCTTTCCCTACCCATATCACCAAAGGCTCTTTTCCTACTACTCATTTGCAACCGTTTTGCCTGCACGCCATCGCAGATACAACATCTTCTTCTGATGCCTCCATCACTGGGTGCCAATTGGCGGCTGCAGCTACCTCGTGGAAAGCGGCGTCTTGATTTTGACGATGAGCCTACGAAGGACAAAAAACGGGAGGTCAAACCGCCAAGCAAGTCCCAACCAAACATCAGCATCCACAACAGAACCACACCTTCAGGTTCAGGAAGTCAGAGCAGACAACACGACAGGGCACCTCCGGGCAAGCCCACTTCCCAAAAAGACCAAAAAAACGATGGGCCTCGACTGGGTCTCAGTACAGAAGTTCACCCACTTTTGAGAGACCTAGCTGCTGTTCCTCAGGCCAAAGCTGGACCCAAAAAGCCACGAAGCATCTTTGACCCCGCGTCGCTCAATCCTTACTTAGACCAGACGGCCGCTGGAGCTCCGACCCACAGACCGAGGCCGCTTTCGCTCAATCCACAAGGGAAATACGTCGCACAAGGTGACCAGCTACGAGAGAAGCTCAAGAAAGAAGAAGCAGAGGAGCAGCGGAAAAACGAACTAGCCAGCAAAAACCTTCTTCCTGACGAAAATATCGGCGAACAGCTATACAAGCCCCAATGGCCTCCGTTGATCGAATCGTGGGATAGACCGTTTCTCCAGAAAAGGCTGTACGACGAGTTCAAGGGCGATTTTGTATACGATTCTGAAGAGGCGCCTGTTTCCCTCTATATCCAGCATCCTGTCCCTGTGTACGTGAACAGGACAGAGGTGGAGCTGGCGTTGCATCTTACGAAGAAGGAAATGAAGAGAAAGAGAAGGAACGAGAGACTCGCCAGGCACAAGGAGAAGCAAGACCGCATCAAGCTTGGGTTAGACCCACCTCCGCCTCCTAAAGTGAAGCTTTCGAATTTGATGAATGTGCTCACTAACGAGGCCATCAAGGACCCTACTGGAGTCGAGATGAAGGTGCGACAGCAAGTCGAAGAAAGACATCGTCAGCACATGAAAGTCAACGAGGAAAGGCAATTGACGCCGGAACAACGCCACGAAAAAATTCACCAGAGGCACGAGCGGGACTTGAGCCGAGGGATCTTCACCACGGTGTATCGCGTCGACAAGATGGACTCCAAACAGCAGTACAAGGTGGACATCAACGCGAAGCAGATGGAGCTCCACGGGATGGTTTTGTTCAATCCCCGCTTCAACTTGGTCATTGTCGAAGGTGGCGAAAAAGCAATCAAGTTCTACAAAAGACTCATGACTTCACGTATTGACTGGGATTCGCAGCCAAACGGATCTCCGTGCGAAGTGGTCTGGGAGGGTCAATTGCGCCAGCTCTCCTTCAAAAAATGGTCACGCATGTACACGTCGTCTGACGAGGAGGCCACAACGTTGCTAGCCCGTTTTGGAGTCGAAAACTACTGGCGTGAAGCAGCGGCGGTATAAGGTGTGGACAAACACACCCGTACACCACCACACTAGCCCCACTGACCAACCGAACTTGCTCCACGCTCGGAGAGCTCACCAACTACTTCCAAACAAAATGGGCGCAGAATACAAAATCTTTGGCAAGCCAGTCAAGCCTCATGTGGTATGTTACAATTGCAATTGAGCCGTTTCCAGACAAAACTAACATTAGCTTTCCCTTCTCACCCTCGGTGCCGTTGTGGGCATAGCCGTTTGGCCAGGTCAGAAGAAGGCCAAGCAGGAGGTTGTGGACCAGACTACCAAGGGCCCTAAGCCTGGCGACAAGGACGAGGAGTTTGACTTCCAGAAGATCATCAAGTATGTATTGCACTTATGGCGCAATTGGCCGTTACTAACCGCAGCGATTTCACCAAGGATGAGAAATAGTCCGTGTATAACAATGAACATTGGCACAAGAGATACAATGGAACTAGAGTCGAATGACTGAATTGTAGAAGTGATGACGTGGAGGGTTTGGACGAGATTCATGACATACTGGGGTACGAAGGTGTGTTGATGATGCAGACAGGTGTGACCGGGTAAGCCGGACCAGTTTGGAGACACAATTTAAAGAGGAGCTAAACTTTAATTACGAGCAGGGACCGGATTGCTCGTCTTGTGGTTTCGAAACGTTATATTATGGCTAAGCTGGCTGGACAATTGAACGAACTAATCAGCATTGAACATTTTAAGGGAGCCCCAAATGTGGAAGTTTTGGAATTGTGGAAATCGAGGGTCTTGCTGTTTGCGAGATCTTTCGATAGTCTGTGATTTGATGGTTGACGAAGTTGATGTACAAGTTGCAATTTGCTTATATTAGAGAGCAAGCAAGGATGTAAGAGATCTGAATCTACATCAAACTGAAAAAGGTTACTGAAAAATAGGACTAATCCATTGAGCATGCGAGATCCTGGCCTCCACACCTTGTTGTATCTATGCATGTCGGCTATACTAAGCAACAGTGCTGGTAGATCTAAGTTTACGAACATGGAGGAGATTCATAATTCAGATTTATTCTACGTATTGTGCCACAGAACAATCAACATTTTATTGCCAAAACGACTGTCATTCCCCTAAGGCCCCTACCCATTCTATACTTACACTGTCCAGAGTCGTCGAGCACTTACAACTTCTGTTTCTGAGGGGGCACCAATACCACTCTTCCAACCACTTCTCCACGCTCCAATTTTTCCATCCATTGAGGTAACTCCTCCATAGGAGCCTCCTTGACAACAGGGTTCAACAATCCCCGCGAGATCCAGTCAAAGATCTCCAACTGCTCGGCAGACGTGCCTCCGAAGTTGTAGTGAATTGTCACGTCACGCCTCGAGAGATCGTAGTTAGGCAACATCAACTTCGAGTTACCCATGCCCACCACGACAATGTGTCCATACCTGCCGACATACTCGGCACACTCAGCTGCGGTAGCCTGGTATCCGACAAAGTCGAAACAGACATCAAAGGTCTCAACACCACCCAATTCCTCAGTATCCGTGTAGAACTCGTGAGCACCCGAGTCCAAGGCGAGTTTTTCACTCGAGGCCTTCTTGTCGACACACACAATGTGGCAGCCGTAGTTTCTCAAGACCTGGAGGGCATTAAGACCCAATCCGCCGGCACCAAATACCAACACCTTAGCAGTAGGGGTGAGCACATGGCGAACCTTCTTGATGGCGTGGAAAGGAGTCAAAATGGCATCCGAGGCCAGGGCAGCCTGAGCGAAGGACACGTTATCTGGGATCGGGAGCAAACAGCGCAATTGCTTGATGATAAGGTACTCCTGGAAGCCACCGTCACTCATGATACCGTAGCCACCAGTAGCGTTGGGACACTGGTTGTCCTTACCATTACGACAGTTAGGGCACATACCACAAGCCATTCCGATCAACAAGGCGTATCTGGCGCCGATCTCGAAACCCAGGTCCTGGAGAGCCAGCCCCACTTCGGCGATAGTGCCACAGACCTCGTGGCCCATCACCATACGGTCCATCGGAGGAGACTGAGCCAAAAGGATATGGAGATCGGAGTGGCAGATTCCGGCAGCTGTGATCTTGAGCAAAACCTCATTGGGTCCTGGCGTGGGAACGGGGCAATTATCCCAACGCTGGATGGTCTTTTTTCCTCTTTCGAATCCGTAGCAAGTCTGTGTAGCTGGCATTTTGCGTTGGTGTTTTTCGAGGGGATGCTCCTTTTATATACTCGGCACCGGACATAGGATTTTGGCCCCCGCATTTCGCAACCGGGTTCGATGGACTTCAGAATCCGGGGTAAAAAAGGGCTTTTCTCGGGTATTTCCGGAAATACCGAGATTTCTTGCTGTTTTCAGTATGAGGAGTGGAGTTGGTCAGTGTAGGCCGGGCTCCCAACACGGTGATAGGAGATTTCGGAAAAATGGGATTTTTTCCGAGCATAGCCAGGAGGCTTGTGGAGTGGAGATTTTGGAGACTTTCATGATGGGCACGGTGAAATAGATGATACTTAGTGGGTTGAAAGTATTTTAAGGTTATGTTGAGTTTTATGCAGCTGGTTTAGTGCGTTCGATGGATCGTGGATCGTATTGTTCTTCAGGCTTAGTATGTAGCACAAAAGTGAAAAGTTAGCAGAGGGCAGGTTTGTGGAGGTGGTTTGGAAATGTTTTGGGTTTAGCCTGAGAAAGCGGAGTCAGGATTTAAAAAATGCCTCGAGATCTACGAATGTGGGGGTTTGTGTTGGAAAAAACTCTGAAGCTCTGATCTCGGACTTGGAGTCCACACGGAGTGGTCTGCAGGACACCTCTAGTCTGACTTCTGAAAGGAATCTGTGGGGGACTTCATATTTTTCAAAAAAGAGCTAATTCGAGATGACTGATTTAAAGACGAGCGTTCAGGATTTGGTCTTTAGTCCTAGTTTGTAATCTAACGACGTGGTCTGAGGTAATTGATGGATCTGGTCAGAAGGAATAGGCAAGGTTGGCGATACAAATTTAGACCAAGTTTCCAGAACTGAACTCGAAATGGCTTTACCTTTTGAAACATGTAAAAAAGGAAATAGAAGCTCAGATGCTGCTTTGTTGTGCATTACCGTCTTTCACCATAGTTGCAATGGCGAGGGCATCAATTTTGCAACCGTGTAAGCACTGCATCGAAAGCTTATAGTAGAGATTTTTCTATCAAGAAACCATCAATTCAAAGGTTGAATAATGGTCAAGACAATAGAGGAACCATTTTCTGCTTACTGCGCTGATAATCGAAGGCTTTAGCGGTATTCAATTTGAGATCGTCCCTAACGACTCATGAGTATTTCTGCTCAGTTGACTATCAATAAACGAGGGAGCGACTACTTAGGCAGGCTCTGTCCATTGTACTTAACCAACATTGTGAGTGTTGTTCTGAAAAAACCGTCTAGCGATAGATAGTTTAGAGGAAAGAGCCCATGGCGCTTTCTATGAGGGCTTTTGTTTATGGAGGGTCATTAAAAAATCGATGCCCCGAATTTGGTCACATAATAGCGTTGACTCAGAGTTTGTGAATACAGGTTCAATTGGACTCTGTCACGTATGATAAGACCAAGACACAAACCCGATGTTTTACTCAGGGCCTACAATAGTAGTCTTAATAGGAATTCATCCCTGAACCACCCAGGGAGGCAAATAGATGACCGTTGACGGGTTACATACATCACCACAATGTCCAACACCCCGACTAGTTGATGATTTCCTGTTTCAAGTAATTACTGCGCCGTGTGTGCCATGTTTCACTAATTTCCAAACCTAAGCAACTCCCTCACCTTCCTGTTTTGATGCACCCCGTGTCTAACTGTGTACCTCCAGAACACTTTATCAGATACGAGCCACGGGCTTGGATGATCCAAATGAAGAAATCACGTTCAGCGACATTCCGCAAGCAAGCATAGACAAACGCTGCAAATAGAGCAAAACGGGTCCTTTACCGAATCAATTATCTTGCCCAAACAGGCAAATTGTCAACACGTCCACGAACACGTCTGGGCGTCGCGTTCACCGCGTTGCACGGGTATTCGAGAAAGCAGAAAAAGAAGGCGAGTTTTTTTCATAATAAATTGGAAGGTGATGCTCTTGATGAAGAGAATGTGAGGAAAACTCCAAAATCAGGGTTTCGGGACACTCTGGATGCACCGTTTGTTGATGTCTTATCTGACACAGGACGTTTTGCACCCAGGCAGGACACACAAACAACCTGTGTCCAACTCCACTCCGATCCGGAGCCGCCACAGACTGATAAGGCAAGCGACATTTCACCCTGAAAGTGAACAAAGAAGACGTGGAATTGTCACGATTCGAGAGCAGGTAGACTTTTGGAGGGTGACTTTGAAAGTGGAGGTGGACCAGTATTAGATGTATAGCCAACGCTGGAGAGGCAATCTGGAAAAGAAGTTTATTATTCAGAAATGCGTTTCAGCGTCTTCCCCGTCTTTTCAGAGCTCTCATGACGCCTTAGACGTGTCAGTCGAAGCATGTTTACAATAGTACGATGCACTTTGCAGCCATTTGTCAGCCACAGTAGGGACCACTATTTCCAAACCCTCTTGATCATTCCAACTTTTAAAATTACAAATCCTTTAATTATCTCCAGTAATTCATAAAAGTCTCTTTTCTTTTTCACTCCCAACCCTACTTTCTGCCAATGACAGGGATGGCCGAGTGGGACTCACGTCTATTGTCGCGCGACACGGGTTTGTTTTGATGGGAGACAAATTTTTCTGTGCACACGCGTACTATATATTCTCACCTTCTGCTCCCAAAAACACAGCGTCTTTTTTTGACTCATTCACATATTTAATCATGTACGTCTACAAGAGAGACGGACACAAGGAGCCCGTGCGCTTCGACAAGATCACCGCCAGGGTCCAGAGGTTGTGCTACGGCTTGGACACCGAACACGTTGATGCTGTTGCCATCACCCAGAGAGTCATTTCTGGTGTGTACCAGGGTGTCAACACCATCGAGTTGGACAACTTGGCTGCCGAGACCGCCGCCTACATGACCACCATCCACCCGGACTACGCGATTTTGGCCGCCAGAATCGCCGTCCTGAACTTGCACAAGCAGACCACCAAGCAGTTCTCCCAGGTGGCCAAGATCTTGTGGGAATACGTTAACCCCAAGACTGACTTGCACTCGCCCATGATCTCCAAGGAGACCTACGACATCATCTGTGAGAACGAGAACGAGTTGAACTCCGCCATTGTTTACGACAGAGACTTCAACTACAACTACTTTGGTTTCAAGACCTTGGAGCGTTCTTACTTGCTCAGAGTCAACGGCAAGGTGGCCGAGAGACCACAGCACTTGCTCATGAGAGTTGCCATTGGTATTCACGGTAGAGACATTGAGCGCGTCATTGAGACCTACAACATGATGTCCCAGAGATACTTCACTCACGGCTCTCCAACCTTGTTCAACGCTGGTACCCCTAGCCCACAGATGTCGTCTTGTTTCCTTGTCGCCATGAAGGAGGACTCCATCGACGGTATCTACGATACTTTGAAGACCTGTGCCTTGATCTCCAAGAGTGCCGGTGGTATCGGTTTGCATATCCACAACATTAGAGGTACTGGTGCCTACATTGCTGGTACCAACGGTACCTCCAACGGTATCATCCCCATGGTCCGTGTGTTTAACAACACTGCCCGTTACGTCGACCAGGGTGGTAACAAGAGACCAGGTGCTTTTGCTCTTTACTTGGAGCCATGGCACTCGGACATCTTTGACTTCATTGACATCAGAAAGAACCACGGTAAGGAAGAGATCAGAGCTAGAGACTTGTTCCCTGCCCTTTGGATTCCAGACTTGTTCATGAAGAGAGTCGAGCTGAACGGCGACTGGACCTTGTTCTCCCCTAACGAGGCCCCAGGCTTGGCAGACTGCTACGGTGACGAGTTCGTCGAGTTGTACGAGAGATACGAGAGAGAGGGTCGTGGTAGATCCACCATCAAGGCCCAGAAGCTTTGGTACTCTATCTTGGAGGCTCAGACTGAGACTGGTACTCCATTCATGTTGTACAAGGATTCCTGTAACGAGAAGACCAACCAGAAGAACTTGGGTATCATCAAGTCCTCTAACTTGTGTTGCGAGATTGTCGAGTACTCCTCTCCTGAGGAGGTTGCCGTGTGTAACTTGGCCTCGATTGCCTTGCCATCTTTCGTCTCTAAGGACGCCAACTCTTGCTGGTACGACTTTGACAAGTTGCACGAGGTTACCAAGGTTGTGACCAGAAACTTGAACAGAATCATTGACCGTAACTACTACCCTGTTGAGGAGGCCAGAAGATCCAACTTCAAGAACAGACCTATTGCTCTTGGTGTGCAGGGTCTTGCCGACTCCTTCATGGCCTTGAGATTGCCATTCGACTCTCAGGAGGCCAAGGAGTTGAACATCCAGATCTTCGAGACCATCTACCACGCTGCCGTCGAGGCCTCGATCGAGTTGGCTGCTGAGGAGGGTCCTTACGAGACATACGAGGGCTCGCCAGCATCTAAGGGCTTGTTGCAGTACGACTTGTGGAACAAGAAGCCTACTGAGTTGTGGGACTGGGACACCTTGAAGCAGAAGATGGCCAAGCACGGTCTTAGAAACTCGTTGCTTGTTGCTCCTATGCCAACCGCTTCCACGTCGCAAATCTTGGGTAACAACGAGTGCTTCGAGCCATACACATCTAATATCTACTCGAGAAGAGTTCTTGCTGGTGAGTTCCAGATTGTCAACCCACACATGTTGAAGGACTTGGTTGACTTGGGTATTTGGAACGACTCCATGAAGAGTAACATTATTGCCAACAACGGTTCCATCCAGTCATTGCCTAATGTGCCAGACGAGATCAAGGCATTGTACAAGACCGTGTGGGAGATCTCGCAGAAGCACATCATTGACATGGCTGCCGACAGATCTGCCTTCATTGACCAGTCGCAGTCGTTGAACATCCACATCAAGGACCCCACAATGGGTAAGTTGACGTCGATGCACTTCTACGGTTGGAAGAAGGGTTTGAAGACGGGTATGTACTACTTGAGAACGCAGGCTGCCGCTGCTGCCATCCAGTTCACCATCGACAAGAACTCTGTCGGTGAGGCCGGTAAGACTGTTGCTTCGTTGGAGAAGTTGAACCAGAGAAAGTACCTTCCGAAGAGACTTATGGGCGAGTCTTCTACGCCTTCGCCTAATGTGACGAGCGTCAGCGAGGAAAATGCGCGTGCCGTGTCTACGGAGCCATCTCTGTTGGAGAACCTGGTTGCGGAATTGAAGATTGAAGACAAGGCCGGAAACGAGGCCGACAATTCCGAGGGACAAGATCCCGAGGGAAAGAAGTCCGAGGAGGGGGAGAGCGACATCTACAGCTCGCAGGTTATTGCGTGCGCGATCGATAACCCGGAATCGTGCACTATGTGCTCTGGATGAGTCATGGGACCGTAGGAAATAAATTAATGTCAGGGTTCGCGGTGTAGGATTAGCAGCGGGGCAGGTGTGGCACGGACTGCACGGAGGCGCCTGTCATCGAGTGTAGCGAGCCTAAGCCGAGCCGCCAGACGCTTCACTGACGTCAACTCAGCGGTGTAGGGAAGAAAATAGGAAATGATGCAAATTGGACAAAAGTCAAACCTGTCCCAAAATCAAGAAAGTTTAAAAATTTTATATGTGGTGCCTCCATTTTCCCGGAACAAGAGTCGACATGCCGGCCCGGTTTCGGCGCATGAGGCGTGGCTCCTCCACACGCATTTCAGCAGCCGCCTGGCGGTACGGCTCCTGATAAGGCACCCCTCGCATACAGTAAAATGCCGTTTCGATTTGTGACCAATCTTTATCAAAAAAAATACCTTACCAAGATCAGGTCTGCTTCCCACGATACACCGTTCTGCCTTGAGATCTATAATGTGAAATGACATCGACGTTGACAGCTTTTTCTCTTGGCTTAGCGGGGCGGGTGGAGTAGCCGTGCGCCAAGGTGAGGGAATTTGGTATCGAAACGCACCAACGTGAATTTCCAAAAGCGAGGGGTACCAGGGGCACGGCAAGGTTTTTAGAAAATAGGCGTTTTTGAAAAAAGCTGGGGCGGAGAGCCCTTTATATACCTCCGTTTCGGTGGATGGCTTCGTTCGGTTCGATTGGGAAGCTTATTTAGCAGTGCGGCTCGATAACGCATCTCCACGGCACTTGAGGGTATATAAAGCGCATTTGGCACCCATTGTAAAAAAAAACCATCTGTATTTTCCATGGACAAACTCAAGGCCACGCTCTTCCAGGAGAAGAGGGTCGATCTCGGCGCAGAGGAGAAGAACGTTTCTTCCTCGGATAACGACGTTCCTGTTGCCTTGGCGGTGTCCAAATCCCAGGATTTCGACCCCATCGACCATGCTATTGCTGCCCAGATTTCCAACGACGGGTACGCCGCCGTCACAGTTGAAGATGACTCGCCATATCCGGAAGTCAGAGCCTCCGTGCCTTCTACAGACGACCCGCTGATTCTCCAAAGCACCGTCAGAATGTGGGTGCTCGGTACCATTTTGACCACCTTGGGCTGTGGTATGAACTTGCTTTTCTCCTTCCATAGACCCGCTTTCTCCATCACAACCTACGTGACGTCCATTTTGGCCTACCCACTTGGCCGTGCGTGGGAGTACGCTGTTCCAGACTGGAAGATTTTCGGTGTTTCCTTGAACCCCGGTCCTTTCAGTTTGAAGGAGCACACCATCATCACCATCATGGGCTCGGTCTCCTTTGGCGGTGGTGCAGCTTACGCCACAGACATCCTTTTGGCTCAGAATAAGTTCTACAACTCCGACTATGGTGTGGGTTTTGCTATTTGTGCCATTCTTTCCACACAAATCATCGGTTTCTCTTTGGCCGGTATGGCGAGAAAGATCTTGGTCGAGGCGCCATCAGCAGTGTGGCCCGCCAACCTTGTCACGGCTACTTTCTTGACCAACATGCACGTTAACGAAAATCATACGGCCAACGGCTGGAAAATCTCCAGATACGCTTTCTTCGCTATTGTGTTTGCGTGCTCCTTTGTGTGGTACTTCTTCCCCGGCTACATTTTCCAGGCCTTGTCCTACTTTGCCTGGCCTACGTGGATTGCTCCAGATAACGCTACCGTGAACCAGGTGTTTGGTGCCGCTTCTGGTATGGGTTTGATGCCAATCACCTTTGACTGGAACCAGGTTGCAGGCTACATTGGTTCTCCTTTGATTCCTCCAGCTTCTGTCATTCTCACCATCGCCCTTTCCATTGTGGTTATCTACTGGATCATCGTGGCTGCTCTTTACTGGACCAACACCTGGTACTCCAAGTACATGCCATTGTCGTCTTCCGACTCGTACGACCGTTACGGTGAAGTCTACAATGTGTCTAAAATCATGAACGTCAACGAGTTGACTCTTGACGAGCAAGCATATAAGAACTACTCCCCATTGTTCATGTCGACGACTTTCGCCATTTCTTACGGTATGTCGTTTGCCTCCATTATTGCTACTGTGGTCCACACTGCTCTTTTCCACGGTGAGGATATCATGAACCAGATCAGACAGAAGGAGAGACCTGACGTCCACCAGCGTCTTATGAGAGCTCACTACAAGAACATCCCAGAATGGTGGTTTTTGATTGTCTTCCTTGGTGCTTTCGCCCTTTCTATTGTCACCATCAGATGCTGGAACACTGAGATGCCTGTGTGGTCGCTTATCGTAGCTCTTTTGATTGCTGTTTTCTTCTTGTTGCCTGTCGGTATCATTTACTCCATCACCAATATCGCTGTTGGTTTGAATGTCGTCACCGAGTTCATCATCGGTTACATGGTCCCAGGTAAGCCTTTGGCCATGATGTTCTTCAAGACTTACGGTTACATCACCAACAACCAGGCCGTCACTTTTGCTCAGGACATGAAGCTTGGTCACTACATGAAGATCAAGCCTATCCTTCTTTTCTGGGCCCAATTGTGGGCTACGATATGGGGCTCTCTTGTCCAGATTGGTGTTTTGAGATGGGCTTACGGCAACATCGACAACTTGTGTGACTCCAAGCAGAAGAACGGTTACTCCTGTCCTAACGGTAGAGTGTTCTTCAACGCCTCTATTATTTGGGGTGCCATTGGTCCAGGCAGAATGTTCTCCCAGGGCCAGATCTACTACCAGTTGTTGTTCTTCTTCTTGCTTGGTCTCTTGCCTGTGGTCAACTGGCTAATTGTCAGGAGGTGGCCTAACTCCCCAGTTAGATGGCTCAACTGGCCCGTCTTCTTCTCCGGTACCGGTTACATTCCTCCAGCCACTCCTTACAACTACGTCAACTACTGTGCTGTGGGTATCTTCTTTGGTGTCTTCATCAAGAAGAGATTCACCCACTGGTACTTCAAGTACAACTACTCGCTTTCCGCTGGTTTGGATATCGGTTTGGCATGGTCCTCGTTGATTGTCTTTTTGTGTTTGAGTTTGACAAATGCCACTTTCCCATCGTGGTGGGGCAACAGCATCTTGGACAGAACTGCGGACTTGGCGAACACCGCCGTCAGTAAGACCCTTGCGCCCGGCGAGGCCTTTGGTCCAGACTCTTGGTAATAATCTACTTCTCGGTACATAGGAAATTTTACAATAATCCGATATACAAGCGGGGTGTAGTGGTGGTTGGATAGAGAGGTAAATTTAGTCAAATAGACTAAGTTTATAGAAAATAATAGTTTGTCGAGCCGACTTGGTTTTCCATTGGACTCTGATTAGACGAGGTTGGACTGAAGTGGCATAGCGCCACAATTTTAAGGTTCTTGCAGATTTGATACCACAAAGTCAACTTTTTGTATTTTGCCGCATCGTGCCAGAAGCACGTTTGGAAATCGAAGTTAATGATTTATCTGTGGCGAGTTTGTAGGAGACACAAAGTAGGTCTTCTTGGTACGGAATATGCATAGTGCAGAGCGCTCGTCTACATATATTCAGCTTACTGATACCTTCTAGAATTATTGAATGTAGCATCTGAAATATTCAGATGATCTCTGTATGTCAAATTTTCCAAGCCTTTCTCATTAAACTTCGTTCGTTATCTCCATTGTCATGCACTATTGTGAATGATGGCTTGTCACAAGATATCACCAAGACGCCATTCCATCAACAGCTCAACCAAAAATAACAAAAATCCCAGAAACACGAAAATCAAATATTAAGCCGCTCTTCAAATTCTCCAAATATTGAGGTTTCCCCGCCCGTTGGCTATGTCCTTATCTATCCCATCACATTGCGGCATTCCCTAAGAATAAGCACCGACCCTGACCCGATTTCCAAAGACATACCGTTTCCATCCCACTAAAAAAGCACTCATCAAAATAACAATTTTTTTCAAAATCCACTAATGCCAGCCAAATCCGGTGACCCTGATCTGTGGTCAGTCCGGCACAGGAAGCCGGAGCACAAGACCGAGAAAGAGCCAAGACCTCAACCCTAGAATCCTAGATCCCAGCTCACGTTCAGTTGAAGCATGTCTGATGAACAGCGGCTGTCTTTATTAACACATAAACGGCCTGATCCGGAGAGCCAGATCGGCTCGGAATCTCCACAAGTGACTCCTCAAGAAACACCACAGAGCTCACCAGAAGAATCGCCAGAACCAGAATTGCAGACCCGATGGGGAGCTCTTCATCCGAAAACATGGAAGGATTCTCTAAAAAGCTTTTTTGTTGCCTGGGTAAGTGGCCCCACTCATCCTCGTGATGATCCTCCCCAACCTATATGGAAACTTCGCCAGTTAGAACTACTCCCGGACCGGTTCCGGAGAAAGGTGCTGCCCACATCTAGAGTGATCATTTTGCTTGTGTATATGCTTGTTTGGATTGCCATCTGGTCCAGGGTGCTTCTTCCGTACTTTACGGAGGTTCCTGAAGTCAAGGGAGATTCAGATGCTACGGTCATCTCGTTAACGTGCACTGACGCTTACGACTTCTGGAAAGGAAAGAACGCTGCTTGTGGGCTAGACGCAAAAGCTTGTCCAAAGCTCCATCAAGATAAAGATGTGATCATCAGGTGTCCCGCCTTGTGTGACCGTGGTAGCTGGCTCTACTCGCTGAGGGCTGTGGGAGACCAGATGATCAAGTATAGAGGATTGTTTGTTGGAGGCGGTGAAAAGGAACGTGATGAAGATGGCACTATCACGCACCCATACAGGGCAGACTCGTTTCCTTGTGGAGCTGCCGTGCATGCTGGCATAGTATCACCTTTCTACGGGGGATGTGCCAAAGCGTCCTTCAGCAGCGGTTCTCAGTCGTCATTTGCAGCGCAAAAGGGCCACTATGGCGTTTCTGATTCGATCGAATTCGACTCCTTCTTCCCCACTTCGTATGTGTTCACGGAGCTTGAGTCGAAAGTCTCGCATTGCAAAGACCCTAGACTTGTGGTGCTTTTCTTGAACATCTTGCTCGGCTTGCCTATAGTCATCTTGGGCTCTTCAACAGTCTTTATTTGGGTGATCATGTCGGTGGGCTTCTGGACAATCACTTTGGCTACAGACCCTCCAACCCTCGTAGACCCAGCCAGTCTGGAAACCTTTTACGAATTGGTTTCGCTCAGTTTGGGCAGATTCTTGCCTACATGCTTTGTGATGTATTTCTTGTGGGAGGTCAGCATCAAACGAACATTCAGCAAACCCCAGGAGGAGAACATCAACCCGGCTGATGATCAAACTCCAACAGGATCACCAATGTCTAGACTCATTTTTTGGTATCCTTTCTTTTGGCTTGGCGTGCTCAACAATATTACATTCGATAGATTACCCGTTGACAGACTCACGCTTAAAGATCTCAAGGCTCAACCGGGTGCTCTTCTTACAGTTTCTGTATTTGCAGTGATTATCGTCGTTTGCGTCATCACGCAAGCATACCTGGTGTGGCTCTCAGGTAGATTCAACAAGCTCATCAAAGTATACATCATGATGTTCGCTGCGTTGTTTGCGATTGCATGGATTCCTGGTTTGACGCTCCGTATCCACCACTACATCTTTGCGTTGATGTTTATCCCTGGATGCTCCACTAGAGGCCGTACCGCATACGTATTCCAGGGTCTTCTACTCGGACTTTTCCTTTCTGGTGTTGCTCGTTGGGGTTATGCTTCCATTGCTGAAACCAATTTGTCTCTCTTGCGTGGTGAGCCAGCAGGCAAGATCACCCCACCGACAATTTTCGATGTGAATGCTGCCGATGGCATGATCTATTGGGAAGACAGCTTTGACACTGCCGAGGTCAAGAACAGCACCTACTTGACCAACGAGCTCACAAAGTACACCCATGTCTCCCTTTTGGTCAACGACGTCGAGAGATACATTGACGTGAACGAAGGCAAACTCAATTTGACAGAACTCGTCGAAAATAATAAGTATCTCGACGAGCTCGTCAAAATGTCGATGGTTCAGCAAGCTGATCCTGCCGATATTGCACTCTACTTGCGGATATCCAGGTACGATCCCAAGAGCAAGCGCCACGGCGACTACACCAAAGCTTACAAACTTCAATACCCCAGCTTCAACCTTACCAAAGCAGCATCGGGAGTGACATGATTTTCCCCTCGCTGAACGTTTATAGAAATAGGTACCAGAAGCATTTTGCACCCATTTTGCCTGCACACTGTGTAGTACTACTTCTCAGGCTTATACACGTCGACTGAAAACCAGAAACACTTCACAACCACCATGGACGAATTTAGCGATTCCGGCGAGTTGTACACCATCAGAAACCAGTTTTTCACAAGTCAGCATCACAAGGTTGTTTCATACTCATTGGACTCCTTTGCTCATGAAAATAAACTCAGAGTTTTGGAATTCCAAGTGAGATCTAGTGTTGCCTTGTCCCAAGATGCTTCTCAGTTGATTGACCAAGGAAAGCTGATTTTCCCAGAACTGACTCATGTTTTCGATGTTTTGCAAGCTTGGAACGATTTGATGACTTTTGGCATTGACGAATCCACTTACTTTGACGATGTTGTGGATGCTGAGTTTGAGTTGCAGGCCAGTCTAACCGCTCTCTACTACGTCAAATTCAAGAAGGACATTCCCCTGGCCATCCAGCTTCTCGTGAAGTACACAAACTACAACACAAACAACGTCAAGGAGTTGGAGCCATACTTGATCCTCGTTCAGTTGTACTTGATCAGGGAGAACTTCTCTGATGCCGACAAGATCTACAAGAGCTTCCAAAACTTCCCACCACAGGCCAGAGACAACATCATCTACCAGGTGTTGGAGAGCTGGATCTTGTCTATCAAGGGCGAGTCCGACAACATCTCCAACTCATACTACTTTTACGACGAGATGTTGTCCTCGGACTTTGACGACGATCCCCAGGGCAAGTTCCGTATTTTGAACGTCTTACTTGTTATGACATTGCAATTGAAGCACTTCCCAGAAGCCAAGGAGTTGTTGAACCAAATCAATGCTCTCAACTACAAGGGTAACGAGAATGACGACTTCATTGCCAACCAGGTGACGTTTGACTACCTCACCAACGGTGGCGCTAACGTTTCTGCATTGTTGCAGCGTTTGAAAGAGGCCAACGCCGAGCACCAGTTGCTCACCGACTTGGAGGACAAGAACGCCAAGTTCGACGAAATCGTGAACAAGTACCTGGCTGCTACATAGACACGATTTGTACACTAGAATAAATTACTGGCACGGGCATTTGAATCATGTAGAATTGTTATGTCCCTAGTTACTCGTCTATCTTGACCACCTCGCCCTCATCATTGAACTTCAATCCCTCGGCGAGTAATCTTTTCTCGATCTCCTTCAACTCGTTTTCCCTCTCCAAAAGCTCTCTTCTCTTGTTCACCAAATCCTGGTGCACACGCTCCTCGAACTTCTTCAAGCGCTCCTCTTCCAACTTGATCTGCTCTTCCTTCATTAGGTAGCCTGACTCTTCTTCCTTCTTCTCGCCATTGTCGTCCTCCTCCTCCTCGTTATTGCTGTAGGAGAACTTCTTTCCGGACAAGGCCTCGGTTCTGTAGTTTTCGTAGATGACCTCGTGCGTGCGCTCCTTGAACTCGTTGAGATGTGTGATCATAAGAATGTTTTTCAATATCGTGAAGTCGTTGAATTCAGGCAATTCGATGTTGATGGGCTTGGCGTATGCTGGGTTCAACACGCGCAACTTCAAGAGGTCGTCCTCGTCACCCAGTTCCTGGAATTTGTTGGCACCGATGACGGCGAATGGAATCAAGGAGTTCAAGTACTTGTTGTACTCGATGATCTCGTCGTCGATGTAGTCCTGCTCGTACTCATACTCGTTGAATCTGTAGTATTGAATCTTGTAGTTGTTGAGGTCTTCCAAGATCAATTTTTTGTTCAATTTCAATTCCGCAGGCGTCAAGGAGTCCGCCTTGGATATGACGGGAATCACATTGACCAACCCACTGACGTGTTGCAAGAATTTCACGTCAATCTCTGAAAGACCATGACCCGTGGCATTGATCAAGTAGATCAACACGTGGATACGGCCGTCCTTGAAACGAGGATTACGCTTGACCCTGCTCTCTTCCAAAAGCACCTCGTCGTATTGATGTCTGATGAAGTCCACGATGATCTTAAAGTCATCGTCGCAGTCAATGGCATTGGCGAAATTGGGGGTATCGATAATGTTCAACGAGATCTTGTGACCGTCGTTGTCCTCCAACTCGACGTTTTCGTGCCTCAATGTAAGCCTCTTCTGGAAAGAGTCCTGGGTGGCTGTCAGAGACGTGGGAACTATGGAATTTCCTCCACAGAGGGAGTTGATCAAGGTGGAACGGCCCAGACCGGACTCGCCAATAATCATGGCCGAGAAGTTGATGGACTTCTTGATAGTCCTTCTTTTTCTCAACGCCGAAGACGACGTGTTGTAGTCCTGGTACGACATGGTGGTTGAAGAGGAGGAGTTTGTTGGTGTTTACTCGCGAACGACACGTCTGGGTGTGCAGGTGGGAAATTTTCAGGTACCGTAGCCGACGGAGCCAGGGAGGTCGAATGGCGATCAACGGGGGATGACTGGGTAGGGATTTGGAGGGAAACGGGGGTTTGGGGGTTTAGGTTGGCGTAGGGGTGGTTTTGGTGAATGCACGTGATGTGTCACGTGACAATTTCAATTCCAACGGAAACCGACGAACTCGTTCCCCAGCGATAGGTGTGGGTGTTTATACCATAAACGGGCTCATAAGATATCCTTTACGAGGGCTCCAATATCAATTGAGCTGCGAAGGTGCAATACTACAAGGTGGCAGTATACACTTCTGTAGACCGGAATCTCAGAGCCCTATAATTAACATCGATGCATTGACCGCGCCCACCTGTTAATCCAACTCCACACCGCTAAAGCACTATAACTACGTGGTCGACTTGGTCCACGTGACCATCATCACGTGGCGTCGTACGACCCACCCACCAACCTCCATTCAACCGCTATCTCCCTCCTCTGAGGGGTTGGCCGTGTTTTCCTAACCCAGACATGGCTATCGCGAGACCACCCTGGGTTATATGCAGTCCGTTAACTCCCATTCTAGACGGGGCAGCAATGTGCGCCGTTATGCTCGCCGATCGTTACGAGACACTTCCAGGTGTGGATTTTCGCCCGCACATGTCAAGCGCAAAGTGCCCCTGGACGTACAAAAGGAAAAAAAAACATATTGGATGGAAAAAAAGGGAAATTTTACGCTTTTCTGGGTTTCTGGTTGGTGGAGGTTTCCAGTGATAGGAGGTTTCCGATCACGTGGCAAGCGCCACCCCCCAACGTCCACGGACCCCTCGGAGCAGCTCCATTGTGCGTCGATCAAATAAAGACTTAGCCTTGAGCCCCTAGACGGGGAACTTCTAATTAAGGAAAAAAACTGATAAGGTGCCAGTGTCTGGCTTGTGCAGAATTTGTTCTCATTGTTTACTTTTCGTGCTTTTGTTCCCGAGGCTCAGGTACTGGTTATGGTGGTTCTTGCAGGCCAACTTTTTCGCAGCCAGAATCACATTCACCACTCGCATGCAGCAGCTATATAAGCATCATCATGTCCTCTTTCACACTCCACCATGGATTACCACCTTGTCGTGCTAGTGCACGGAATATGGGGAAACTCGTCCCACATGCTGTATCTTGCTGAGCAGATCCAGCGACACACAAAAGCCCACGAGTCCATTGTGGTTTACAAGACAGGCTCGCATCTGGGGTACAAGACGTATGATGGTATAGACGTGAATGGTAAGAGGGTTGCCGACGAGATCTTTGCGGAGACGTCGCGTCTCAATGACCAGGGTGGCAAAGTTACGAAAATCTCGGTCATTGGCTACTCTTTGGGCGGGTTGATGGCGCGGTACGCTTTGGGCATTCTCTACCACCACAAGTACTTTGAGCAGGTGCAACCAGTTCACTTTGTCACGTTTTGTACGCCCCACGTTGGCATCAACAACATCAGTCTGTCGCTTTCGTCCAAGATCTTCAATTTTATAGCGCCCTATGTGTTGGTGTACACGGGCCACCAGATGTTCTTGAACGATAAGACCGCCACGGTGGGAAACGACGATAAGTTGCCCTTGCTTGTGTGGATGGCCGATTCAAAACTGCCCTTCTACAAGGCGTTGGCTTCGTTCCAGCACCGGTCGCTCTACGGCAATGCCATCAACGACCGCAGAACCAGCTGGTACACCACCTTCATCTCCAACGTTGACCCCTTCAACGCCATGGTCAACGAGTCGCTCAGTGCCTACAATTTGGAGTACGTCAAGGGCTACGAGCCCAACGTCATTGACTTCACGCGGTCCATCTCGTTCAGCAAGATCGAGAGGCCTATCAAGAAACGAACTCTTAATCCATTGCGCTGGCTCTACAAGATCTTTGTCTGGACCAAGATTGTGGCGTCTCTTATTGTCACCATGCCTATCTACTCCATCTACCTCCTCGGCAACGCCATCTGGCAGCGAGTGCAGCTCAATAGAAGACTCCGCAACTTCTACAAGGAGAGCCCCAACAGCCTCTCTGTGTTGTACGATTTGGTGGACAACGACTATGACCTCGAGAAGGGTCCCAAGTTGACGAAATCCGAGTTCCAGGAGATGCAGAAACCCGACCTGGACCACGAGGAGACGTATTTCGAGGCCATCGAGGAGAGGATCCACGACAGAGCTGAGCTTTTCGTCGACTCGATCTTCAAGGCCGTCAACAGCGCCAGCTACTACGACTACCACTACAGTGTTTCCAAGAAAACGCCATCTTCCTCAAAACCCGCTTCCTCAAAACCCACATCAGACGATAATTCGACCAACGAGGAAAGCAAGCTTCTTCCAAAGCCCGGGTTGGTAAACCTCAAGGGTAAGGCGGTGAAGAACGATTTCAAGTTGAAGTTCGACTGGAGGCAGGAGAAGATTGTGGAGGGATTGAACACGCTTCAGTGGAACAAGTTCCCAGTGATCATCCGTAACACCAAGGCGACGCATGCGGCTGTGATCCATCGTCATAATGACCCTAACTTCGGCGAAGGCAAGGTCGTCGTGCGCCACTTTATCGAGCAGGTATTCAAGGTATAGGTTATAGATAGTATATTATGGAAGGAGGTAGTGACGTTGGTGGTTGTAGATGGTGATGCCAGGAATTGTTCACCACAAGTCCGAGACAATAGGAAGCGGCTGACATGATCGGAGCGAATGAGAGTTGAGATGAGTAAGATGGGATAGAAGGATTATACAAACCAAACGACGACTGTATATCAGGTCTATATTCCCAAAGATTTCGATTGCCATATTGCTAGTGCGCTTCTTCAATTCGTATAAAGCACAATGTCAATCCTACAACACTCCGACAGATGACATTTATAAAGTATATATTGTACAGCAGGCAGGGCTGGCGCCCCTGATCAAACGTCTACACCTCAGATCAACTCGACGTAGTTGGCAGGGAAAATGCCGCTGGCTCCGTTGTTGCGGCCTGTCCACCAGTCGTCGGTAGTTTCAGACTTCTTCAAAATGTCAATGACATCTCCCTTTTTGAACGGCAAGTCGCCCAGCTGCTCGCCCTTGAAAGTGAAAAGGGCAATCGCCTGTGTAGCGTTGCTCTTTTGGGCACCGCCAAAGTTGGGCTTGGAGGCTGCCGAGGGACGCGAGGGGCTGTTGCTGTCGCCCAAATGGGTCTTGCCAAGTCTTGAACCAAGGTTGTCTAGGTCACTGTCACGGCGGCTACGGCCTGCACCGTCGTAGATGTTGTCTTCCCAGGCCGAGCGTCGACCGGTCTTGGAGCCTCGGCTGAAGGACTCCGTGCGGTTGTAGCGGCGGGGCTCGTCGTCGTAGTCGTCGTCCGAGTAGTCTTCGGAGTATCTTCTGTTTCTACGGCTTCTAGCAGCAGCAGCGCCGCCTCTGGAGTACTCGGAGGCCAGGTCCGAGAACTCATCGGGGATGTCGTCGTAGTAGTCGTCGTCAAAGTAGTCCTCGCCTTCAAGGTTGTAGTTGAACACCCTGCTCTCCAAGACACGCATAAGAGGCTCGCAGGCTGGTGGTACTTCCACCTGGCCCGCCAAGATGTTTCTGGCCTTGCAGTTGTTACCGTAGAACTTTCTGTTGGCCTCTCTTCTCTCCACAATGGCCGAGCCTTCCAAAGAGACACCGGCGAAAAGACCCTTGGTCTTGGAATAGGCGAAAATGGCTGAAACCGAGCCCAAGGTGGCCGATCCAGCTGCCTCGGCGTTTCTACCCAAAGGACCGGCTGCGATGGAAACATTGGTACCCAACGTGACCGAGCCCATCTGGGCAAAAGTGTCGACAGCAGCCTTGGTGTTCAAGATAAAGACGAAATCGGTGAGTTCAGCGCCAATCTGGCCTCCCACACCAGCACCAGCAGTGACGATTGCTGAAGGAGGAGACCAGGAGCCGTCGGGCAAACGGGCCACAATGACACCCGAGCCGGCTCTTCCTGAAAACAAGAACCCGGCTTTCAAGACGGTGATCACCGCCAATCCTTTGGCGTTTTTCAACACATGAGGTGGAATCACCTGGTCAGCACCGACAAACTGGTTGGGTTTGATAAAACTGGCAAGGATCTTGGCCGCTTTCCTGGGGTTAGTGGGAACTATAGAATCGTTTGAAATTTACATACTTGGACTCGCTGCGCAAGCTCCGGGGAATTGGATTGTTGATGCCCATGGTGGTAGTGGTTGAGGTGTGCTTTGAGCAAATGCAGGCCCTCGGTAGTAGATAAAGCAGATAAGTGGGACAACGGGGAAAGCGCTACGGCGATTGAGATGGATGGAAAATAATCGGAATGGATTTTGGTTTTCCAGTTGCTGCGTTTGGCTTTTTTGGACTTCTGTCATCGCTCTTTGTCCGCTTACCTCCGCCAAGCCCGAGGTCATCCGAGGGAGTTTGTGGGTTTTGAGGCAGTGGCTGCAAAGTGGAATTTTGGAAGTGGCTCAGCGGCAATAAAAGTGGAAAATTATCGGAAAAAGATGGTTTAAGGAAATGAAATGTAGTGGAGAACAGAGATGACGATGATTTTGTGGGGATGTGGTGGAGATCGTGAAGTGGTCTATTCTATTGAATTGTGGCGGTGACGGCACTTATCGATTTTTGCAATTATCAAGCGAAACAGGCATACGACAAGATTTCCGAAACGCTTGAGCTCTCGCCTGTTGTGTCAAGATTATGTGTGGCCAGCCACAGTGGGATATATAGGCTAGTACCATCTCGTATCTCGTATCTCGTACTCTACTCAGCCTATCGTCAAGTCGTATCCTGTGCGTTAGTCGTATTTTGCTTGATATCACCAAACTTGTTCGGCTGTATGTGATGAGCTTATTTGTAGTAGCTTGTGACGGCATTAACCTATTACGACATGAATAAGGTTCCGGTGACGCCGCAGTTGGTAATTCCATGTCAGTGATAGGCTTCACAATCGGAATAGATAAAAAGAAGGAATGACATGCTGAATTTTGTATTGATGAATGTCTCATGATCCTTCTGGTTATAGCTGATGATTGTTGGCTAGAGTATGACGGGTTTTCCGGGCAGGTTCGTAACTTTGTCTGGATGTACTTTGAAGCAACACAAGCTTACAACAGCTATGTTTGTAATCCAGTACCTTTCATGCTTTACGTCATGGAAACCTCTTTCAATATATGTCGAAGATCTCGATCCTGCTTTGTGATCCATGCAATGTAGGGGCATTACGACGAACTAGGCATCCCCTTGCATTTCTCCTTCGGGGTCTACTGACTACCCAATAGCACTTTTACGTCCGAACCAAAATTGAAATCACTATACTGACTGCTATTTCATTCTCATCAAGCTACGTATCTCGGGAATCTGGTTCTAAAATAGGATCTCGGACTTCGCAGCATACTTCCGACTTTGCACCCAACGACCCCAGACCCAGATTGCCGCCGGTGCTGATAGCGAATAACACCTCAGAAAGTCTCCAGTGTCAAAATACAAATAAAATCCCTCGATATAAATCCAAAAAAGAAGGGGCGAGCTGGGAATTGAACCCAGGGCCTCTCGCATGTTTGTATGTCGATCTGGTGGACCAGGTCGTCGCCCAAAGCGAGAATCATACCACTAGACCACACGCCCATTTCTGTATGTCGTGAATGGCTGGTTAACTAGATCACGTAAAGTGAAACTTTTCTTGAAATTGTAAGTTTTGGTGATCTCGTTATTTGCATTTGAGGTTTGGGAATTGCCTCACAGATTTTCAGCAAAATCGCACCAGCGGTTCGCGAGATAATCCACTTTTCCTATCAGGCTTCTTGACCGACCAAGAAAGTGGGTCAAAAAAGATTTTTTTTTTTTTTTTTCGACAAAGCATCTGTCAACATTGATTTACTCCAGAATAAACCCCCAGACCGCTATGGCCCTTGCCACCCAGGCTGCTACGAAGATTCCCCATTCTAAGCAACTCCAGAGTCAACTACACCATAATGCTTCATCCACTTCAAAACTTCCAAACATTCGCTACACGTCCTTCTCCCCTCTTGTAGACTCATTTCCTGCTAGACAATACAACGCGGGTTTGCACCCCTTCGTATCACCCTGATAGTTCCGCGTGGCACTCCATTGTAAGCGGAGAATGCCCCCACACAAATCGCCCAACTGTGGAGATTTAGACTTGTTTATGTTTTGCGATCTACACATTGCGCACTCTAAGGTTTCCCCCAAAGTATGTCAATTCTGATTTCGGTTTGAAATGATGTGGTGTTCGATTATAGCCACTAGGGCTACGGTGTAGTACCGTCCATGTATCAGAAGATCGTCATCAACAACGAAACACTACGTCGAGAGAAAATACCTTCAATCTTGAAAAAAACTTCTTTAAGATCACTTTACGTCTTTGTGCAATTTGCCCTCGCTGTGTCTCGTTGATCTCTACTCGAGCCGAGTCAGGGTTTTTGGCTGCGAAAGCAACTACATCGCATTGTTACAAACTAGACGTCACATCACCGAGAGAAACAAGAAACAAAAATAGCGTAGCTTCACAATTTGCCACAACTCTCCAAACTCCGATCTCCGGATTGCAATATTTTCGAAAAACGCAAAAATTCCGCAACATTGGCACCCATTTCCAGGGGTCACTCACGAACCGAGCCACCGTACTTCCAACTCAACTTTCACGAAAGCATAGAGCAGCCGTAGAAAAGCAATATAGCCAATCTATCTTAATCAATCTCTCAATTCTCCATCTAGTTCAATTTAGTCACCAAAAGAAATGGTGCCTCGGCTTTCTTTATTACACTTCCTCCCCACCAACCTGTGTGTCGATAAGCCGCGACCAGCAAGCCCTAGAAAGGCCATCAATCGTCAAAAAAAGCCCCTTACTTTTGTTTCAAGAGGATCAAGCGCTTTTGGCCCGACAAATCCACACAATCTTTTTTTAAAAAAAATCCCTAATCCTCACTTCGCTGTTGCACCCAGATCTCCCCAACCCTGCAACTCAAAAACCACCTCCAAGTCCGCGCGTAAACTCTTCTCAACTACAACATGGGTGTGTGCTGCAGCTGCTTAACGCTGTCTAGCGGCGATGGAAAGTACCCGCCGCTTCTTCTTGCTGAAAACGAACGAGAGGCAATCACCGCGTTGCTCCAATATCTCGAAAACAGAAGCGATGTCGACTTTTTTAGCGACGGGCCCTTGCGCTCCTTGAGCACCTTGGTGTACCTGGAGAACATCGACTTGCAGCGACTGGCGGCGTTGGCGTTTGCCGAAATCACGGAGAAGGATGTCCGGGAAGTCAACAGAGACGTGCTCGAGCCGATCTTGATTCTTTTGCAGAGCAACGATACCGAAGTCCAGAGAGCAGCCTGCGGAGCCTTGGGCAATCTTGCCGTCAACAACGAGAACAAGGCGCTTATTGCCGAGATGGGCGGCATCGAACCTTTGATCAGACAGATGATGCTGCTGAATATCGAGGTGCAATGCAACGCTGTCGGGTGTATCACCAACCTTGCGACTCAGGACGACAACAAGTCCAAGATCGCCAAGCTGGGCGCCCTTATCCCGCTCACCAAACTCGCCAAACTGAAGGATATCCGCGTGCAGCGGAATGCCACGGGCGCTTTGCTCAACATGACCCATTCGTTTGAAAACAGACTGGAGTTGGTCAACGCAGGTGCTGTGCCTGTGCTCGTCTCCCTCTTGTCCAGCGACGACGCCGATGTCCAGTACTACTGCACCACGGCCTTGCTGAACATTGCCGTGGACGAGCTGAACAGAAAGAAGTTGGCAGCTACCGAGCCCAAGCTTGTTGGCCAATTGGTGGCCTTGATGGACTCACCGCTGCCCCGTGTCCAGTGCCAGGCCACTTTGGCACTTCGTAACCTCGCCTCGGACTCGGGCTACCAGGTGGACATTGTGCGTGCTGGCGGACTACCTCACTTGGTGCAGCTCTTGACTTGCAACCACCAGCCTTTGGTGTTGGCTGCCGTGGCTTGCATCCGTAACATCTCTATTCATCCATTGAACGAGGCTCTCATAATCGAAGCAGGCTTCTTGAAACCATTGGTCGCGTTGTTGGATTACAATGAGCTGGAAGAGATCCAGTGTCATGCCATCTCCACTTTGCGGAACCTCGCTGCCTCCAGCGAGCGTAACCGTTTGGCCTTGTTGAATGCTGGCGCCGTCGAAAAATGTAAGGAGCTTGTGTTGAAGGTGCCATTGTCAGTGCAGTCTGAAATCTCCGCCTGTTTCGCCATCTTGGCCTTGGCCGATGACTTGAAGCCAAAACTTTACGAAAGCCATATCATCGATGTCTTGATTCCCTTGACTTTCTCCGACAATGGTGAAGTTTGTGGTAACTCTGCCGCTGCCTTGGCCAACTTGTGTTCCCGCGTGTCTAGCGAGCACAAGAACTACATTCTTGATAACTGGAACAGCCCCGAGGAAGGTATTTATGGTTTCTTGATGCGCTTCTTGCAAAGCGGCAGCGCTACATTCGAGCACATTGCATTGTGGACCATTTTGCAGCTTCTTGAATCCAACAATGACGAGATTCAGGCCTTGATCAAGGAGAATGAGTCAGTGCTTCTTGGTATCAAGAATTTGAGTGAGAGCCAGCAGCAGAGTAATCCCGCTGCAAGTAACGCAGAGCTGAATGAGTTTGATGATCCAAAGGTGGAGCTCTACAATTTGACCCAGCAGATCTTGCAGATCTTGGGTTAAGTGCATGTTGATCGAGGTTATGTCCAGATAAACGGCCGTTCGTAACCTGTTATAGTGAAGTATAATTACGAAGGCTTCTACGATGAATCTCTTGAAAATGTATTTCTCTCTGTAAGCTATACGCTTAGCTATGCAATAGCTGGGGCTCTTCCTTCTCGCTTTTGGGAGCCTCAGGAGGACTGGTGTCCTGAATATTCAAGTTCTCTAATTTCTTGTGCAATTCGGAATCGGACTTCTCCTTCTTTCCACTCTTTCCATACTTTGCCAATTCTTCTTTCTCTAGAAGCTTGAGCTCGTCGTCCACCTCCGCCTCATCAATACCATCCGTGGAAACCACGAGTGAGTCAGAGATAGTGTTGGTGGCAGCGATTTCCTCATCAAGCTCCAGCTGAAGCTCATCGAGGTCATCCAACGAGACTTTCTCATTCAAAGATTGGAGCGTTGCCTTCGTGGACTGCAAGGTCTCGAACAAGGAAGCATTGCCCTGAGCGTCATTGACAGCCTCCAACAAGGCAACCAACTGGTTAGAGGCCGCTTCGCATTTGGAAAGTGACTTCTTCACCTGTGCTTTTTGTATGAGGATATTTTTCAACCGCTCCTGGCGATCGGAGTCCTTGAGCTTGAGAAGGCTCTGGATGCGCTCAGGGATCTCATTGTCTAAGCGATGCTCCAAGACTTTTGAGCGCAGAGCAAGGCTTTGGATGCTGCCCTTCAACCTGATAATGGATATGTCATCCTCCGAAATCTCGGCCTCGCTGGTACCGAACTTGATGTAGATTCTGTCGGATTTGCTGTTCTGCTTGACTAGGGTCATCTTTCCCGCATCTCGCGCAATATATGTGTGGAGTACATCGATATCGGAGTCACTGATATAATCGTGCACTTGTCTCACGACAGCAGCAAACATGTCGCCATCGAGTAGCCTGCTCGAATAAACGCCCTCTTTATCAATTCTTTGTTGCACAAGCTTGGTCACCTTATCGCCCACAGCAGCCAAGTTATCTATGTGTATGTAGCTCTCTGGAAGCAAGGTACCTGCCTTCGAGCTTTTGAACGACGAGAGCTTCATCAGCGCCCATGTGGCCAGGAGCCACTTCATGGGGGAAATGTAGTCCGCGATACTGCGAGAGGTGTATGGCGAGGTATCCCTGTAGATGGACAATGGGATGTACTTTTTGGACCGAACAAGCTCGTCGAGCACGAGCCCCAACGCCTTGGGCTCTCCATGCTTGGAATGCCTCAAGGACACAGCGAGTCCAGAGGATGTGATCGACACGGAGGACTTGAAAAAATGTGATTTTAGACCCTCCAAAAGCAATGCAGACCACGCATCGATGTTAGCGGCAAATCCCTCGGGATTGAGCTCGCGGAGCTCAACAAAATCCGAGTATAGTGACGGAAGTCGCAGCTCCTTAAAAGAAGGCACCTTTTTCGCCAAATCGTCCATGGTGAAGAAGAAGAGGATGTGGAGCTCCTAGTGCCGAGAAGTAGATCCCTGGATCAAGCATTAGACGATGTTCGCGCCATGAACTGTGTGCACTAGCACATTTGCAGCCAAAACCAGATTCTGAGGGAGCACTATCTGGGCGAAAATTAGCGACATGGCTAGCGTCGAAGCCAATTAACGGTGGTTGACGAGAAGCTTATTCTGGAGAAACGCCACAACGGCGTTTTGTAGCATTCCCGCATGTCGTCATCCACAAAAATGCCCTAAAAAGCCAAGACGAGTCGAAATTAGGTTGTCAAGTCGGGTCTTATGCGCCTATTCTGGTCCCCTGAATCGCTGACCCCTAACTCGTCAATAGTGGGAGTTTACCCGCATATGTAGCAGACAGCCACAATATATGAGTATGTGGACCCCACTTGGTTCGAAATATCACTGGCCAATACCGTGGGGATAAAATGCCCTCAGATCTCCGAAAGTCCGTTGACTAGGTTGATGCGGCTTCCTCACTCTAGTCCAGCCAAATCTAGGCCGCTTCCTCGTTCAGCCGTGGGTACACGAGGCTTTTGTGAATGGCCGTAATTGAAGCCTGCTTAGCCTCGTGGTGTATTGTCTTTCACATTAAACCTTTACTACCCCTAGGCAATATTGAGCTTGTTAAGGTTCACCTCCAATTGGTCAACCTGGTCCTGAAGCCTCTCCACCACATCCAAAATGGCCGTCGAGGCGGGCGAGTCAGCGTAGTCATCGAAGAAACACTCGCCGCTATCACAGGCTCGACCAATTCTGGGGTCAAGCGGCACAGAGCCCAAAAATGGAATGTTCATGTCTTTGCAAAGCTGCTCTCCACCACCAGTTGTAGGCCTAAAGATTTTCAGCTCGCCACGACAGCCGGGGCACACGAACCCGGACATGTTCTCCACAAGGCCGAGGATCTTGATGTTGGCCTTGCGGCAAAAGTTTATCTCTTTCCTGACATCCAAGAGAGCCACCTCTTGCGGTGTCGTTACAAGAAGGGCCCGTCAATGCCAGCATCCTTCATGTATGAAGTTACGGAAAGATGCTCGTCACTTGTACCGGGAGGTGTATCCACGATAAGGTAGTCTAGATGGTCACCCCAGTTGACATCTTTGAGAAACTGCTTAATGAGACCATTTTTCTTGTTACCACGCCAAATAATCGCCAGGTCGGGGTCAGGAAGCATGAAAGAAATGGACATAAGTCCAAGATTGTCTGCAACATACACTGGAGACCAGCCTGAGTTAGACTGATGGATGCTCTCACCTTCTGCTCCAAGCATACGTGGAAGCGAAGGACCACAAATATCTAGATCCATAGCGCCCACTTCGAGCTCTTCGTCTGCAGCAAGAGCCCATGCTAACATAGATGAAAAGGTAGACTTACCCACTCCTCCTTTGCCCGAAAGCACAAGGATCTTATGCTGAATATTCAGAAGCCTTTCGGTAATCGCCGGAATATCTGGATCCGGGCCCTTCGGAAGCGACTCACATATACTCTGATTGGCACATCCGTTACAGGCGTCTCCTTTACCAGCGTTTTCTGATTCTGGACCTGGACAGTGTTCTGGTTCTGGAGCTTTCAAAGGCACGTTTGTCGTTTGTGACTGTATGGTGCCGTTTTCTGGGGCACTAGACGGCACAGGCACCTCTACTGAAGGAGCCATATTATGAAATTAGGTTGTAGTGGTGTTACTTGTATCGGTTGATGTACGATAAGATGATCTTAGTAATAGTATACATGTGGTGTACGGGTGCGATGCCTGACAGACGCACCTAAGTACTGGCTGCAAAACGGCCTTTGAAATAGACCCTTTCGTTTTCGCCCAAGTTGACTGCTTGGATTTTCTGCTGAGCATCAGGAATGGGTTCACGGCCTTCTATAGCGAGGTCGCCGGCTAATTTCACCATAACGCTGACGGCAGCGCGTATTTTGAACAGATCGTTGGTGCTGAACTGTGCGATGTTCTCGAGAAGGAAGACAATCTTCTGGGGATCAATATCCTCAAACTTGTCGTATGCTTGGCGAACTTCGAAGTAGGTCAGGAAAAGACCACCGCCTTGGTTCCACGATGGAATGATCCGGCCCTGTTCTGGGAAGCGATCGATCATGGCTAGAAGTCGACTCCAATGAGCAGGGTTTCTCAGAATAACAGAAGTGGGGCCAAGTTCGGCAACGATGTTATCGTGGACCTTGTCCCACAATTCTGCCGTGACAAGAGCATCGCCTTTACCCCAAAAGTCCTTCTCCTTGTCTCTGTGCTCGGCAACTGCCTCGTAAATCAAGCTTCTTGGGACCTTGAGCACTTGAACAAGGTACTCCTCCTCGTCGGCAACGTCGCCCTTGATGCTCTTGACATTCTGCATGATGAGACGCCTGAGGTTGTCAGAGGCCACATTATCATCAGAGATCATGGCGTAGATGAAGAGCGCTTCTTTCCAGAGTCCAGAGTGTTCCAAGCCTGAGCTGAACTTCTGGCAAATTGAGTCACCAGTGCTTGAATCAAGGCCCAAGAGTTGAGCGAGAGTCCATTTGAGCAAGATGCTGACACCAGCTTCCTGAAGTTGCTGGCTTGCCAGCTTAGGTCCTGACTTCTCAAAAGATTTGTAGAATTGAAGAAGCTCGGCGATTTCGCCCTTATCACTGTCGAAGCTCACTTCTTCCAAAAGGTCTGGGATTGATCTCGTGGAGCTGTCATAGTTCACAAGTACCGAGAGCTTCGCAGCTGGGCTCACCAAACCATCTAATGAGCTGAAGTCGCCACTCAAGATGCGGTAAATGTTGATGATAGGCTGGGGAACCAAGTTATCCTCAGATGGCCAATCTTCAAGCTGCGACTTCGCAATTTCTCTCGCGGCTTTATCGTTGGAATCGAGAAGGGTCAACAAAACGGAAAGATGCACGTTTTTGGAAGAAATGGCAAGTTCAATGGCCTCCTTCAATTGACCGTTCACAACGTTGATGAAAATATTATGCAATGCATCCCCAGTGGGTTGAAGCTTTTCCTTGTTGTATTTTCGAAGCCATTGGGAAAGCGCTGATCTCTGCTCAATCTGCTGAAGACGATTAACAAGTTGACCATCATTCTCATTCACATCTTTGTACTTGGGGATGCTGGCGATGTGGATGGGGTCAAACAAGATTGAAGCCAACTTGAAAGTTTCGAAGTCCTCCTGGTCGATAGCCGCAATTTGAGCAAAGGTGATGCTGGGTGGAAGTTTCGTCAACGGAAGCCCGTTTGGTCTGGACGTCACGGGCGAATTAAGTAGAAGTGTCTGAACAAGGGATGTGATGATTCTTTTGTTGAACGTTGGTTGCGGCTCAAAACTCTGAGCGGGTGCTTTTTCCTTAATGGGAGTCGAGACCTGATCGATACCCACAGAACTCTTGTTGAAATCCGAAAAAAGAATGTCGTTTACATTTTGAAGTGCCAGGCCAGACTTGCGAGGGATAGCCACATATGGTGCCAATGATGAGTTCAAGTCATTAGACATCTCGAGTTGCACGAGCCAGTCTTCAGAAGTTGGCAAGTTCACGGGCCTCTTCAAATTAAGGAAAGCCTGATCACTTTCTAGAACCGGCTCGTATGCCTTCTCGTCGACAAGACTCTTCATGTCTGTGTAAGGAGGCAAGACGCTGACAATCTGTTTAAGGTAGTTGAACTTTTCGTCATCGGCGAATGGTGCTGGGATGAGAGCATCTTCCTCTTCAGCTTCATCTTCACTTGACTGAACTGTGATGTCACTCACGTTCGCCGCTAACGCATCAGCAGTGTGATCTTCCTTGTATGCTTTGACCTGTCGCGTGATCTCTTCATCAATCATCCTCTGTTTCATGGACAAGGTGTTGTCGTGTTGAGCTATGCTGCCATAGTCCCACGCACCAGGAACACCTTCGCTCTGTTTTATAATCTTCTGGCGCTTGATCTCCTTTTGGTACGCGGGATCCTCATAAATCCTTGAGTAAACACGAGACGACTCTTCCTCCTGCTCCTCCTGCTTCTTCTTCACCGCACGTATACGCTTACGTTCCGCTGATTCGTCAGCCTCGTCTTCGCTATCATCAATCAAGCCCCATACACTGAAGTGCTTGACTTTAAAAGTCCAGTAGAACTCAATAGGGTCGTAGGTGATAAACTCTGCACCCACGACGTTTTTCAAGCGCTTTATGTGATCTTCAAGCGACCTCTTTCTGGGCTCGGATTTCAATGTGATAATGGCAGGAACGTTAAGCTCTCGACTTATAGGTGGCTTCGCAGCTTCGTAGTCGAAATAGACCTTGACAAAGCCGTCTTCAATCTTGATGATATCGTCAAAAATGATCGATGAGACAGGAACGTTGTTCGCTCTGCTTCTGTCAAATATCGTCGTGAGATCCACGGGAAAAATGTATGTGATCTGGCCCTTTGTCTTTCGACCCACAATGAAGTTATCCACAGAGGACAATTGCTCGTCAGTCATGTTTTCAAGCTCAGCAATTGATGGAGAGCACCAGTAGCCACCATAAATCTCGGACTCATCGACCAGCTCCTTAGGTTGTGGGGTCGCTTCTTTCTTGAACAGTTCCTTTTCTTGTAGAGTATCCTGAGCGTTGTGAAGATCATCATAGTTCGTGCTTGTAAGCTTATCATCTAGCGATTGGATCAACACCCTTCTTTTCTTGGCGCTAAAAACCTTGTCGGCATTGATTTGGTGAAACTTGCTGGGTCTCGACTGGATGACAAGACGCTTGACGTCACCAACGGACTTGTTTTCTATAGGCAATCTAGCGAGACGCTTTTGTGGTTTCTTAACTGCGTAATCCAGCCTAGAGTGTGGGGTATCACGAATGTAGTTCAGCTGGGTGAAGAGACCCTTCAATTTACCCACACTCAGATTTGATCCGGACGCTTCTGTGTTGTAACGAAAGATATTGAAGGTCTGAGCCAATTTGCCAAGCAAGGACGACTTTCTTTGAGGCTCTTTGGATGATGCTGAAACCGATGCCAGTCTATTGGACGTGCTGTTTGCAAAAAGCGAGCCTGTGAGCGAAGCAGGCATTGTATCGGCTGAATGCTGGATAGTGGACAAAATCAGGCTGCTATTGTATGGGTCAGGCTTGTTGGCGGAAACCTGCTGTGGCTGCTGGGTCGAGTTGCCAAAAAGTCCCCCTGATGTTGCTGGTTTGTTTAATGTTTCATTTGACGACCCAAAGAGCCCGCCAGCTGGTTTGTTCCCAAACAAGCCACCACCTGCAGAAGGATTGGAGGCATTGGAGGTATTGCTGTTGCCAAAGAGGCCTCCAGATCCAGCGGTAGTTGTATTGTTAGTTGATGTAGAGTTGCCAAAAAGACCACCACTAGGTTTATTAAGAAGGCTTGAACCCGTCGAGGCCGTAGGGCCTGCTTGAGTAGTACTATTGCCAAAAAGACCACCTGGCTTTGACCCTGAATTGCCAAATAGACCGCCACTAGGTGCCTGAGATGTCGTAGATGAGTTACCAAAAAGGCCTCCAGACGGCTGGGGGGTGGAAGAGTTTCCAAATAGCCCCGTACTGGCTCTCTTGTTGGAACCAGTCTGTGAATTTCCAAAAAGACCGCCGCTCAGAGCTCCCAGTCCTGGGTTTGCTGATGTAGTGTTGTTGTTTTGAGTAGACGAATTGCCAAATAAGCCACCGCCAGGATTCGTGGATCCGGCTGCCGGGTTGCTCGAATTGGCACTGTTGCCGAATCCGGTCGAGCTGCCCCAGCTGGAGCTGCCAAAATTCATTCTATATGGGAACTTCGATGGATTATGGTGATGTGAGAGTGCACTACGAAAAACTTTAGTACTACTGGAGCGTGTGTGCAGGATCTTCACCAAGTTGGATTCGTTACAATTAATATACATCAGGACGGGAGACTACTGCTCAGCGACTCCCACACGCAAGTACAGCTCGGCACAGTACCAGAACTTGTCGAACTTTCTCAAACCGGCTCGCGTGTTGTACAAGGCGTTTGGTATGCCCGCATCAACCACATAGTGCGACACCTCGTCATGGCCGCCGCCTATTATTCTGTTGTTGTATGCATGAAGTAAGCCGCTAATGGGCAAGCCCAAGGAGACCACATAGCGACTGTGGAAAAGGAGGTCGGTCTCTAGAACGGTTCCAGAGCCGCCATCTATGCCTGAGGGAATGTCGAGTGAAAGGACGCGAGATCTCTGTTTAGGTTCATTGACCCAGCTTGAAAGCTCCTTGAGCGTATTGAGATTCTCTTCTGAGTAGAACATATCGAGAAGATGGCCTTCGAAGCCTTGGAGCGCGTCAATGATCAACTCAACTGGTGTTTCAAGCTGGTTGTTCAAAATATCCAACAACACAGCAAACTCTGCCGAAATGCACTTACCGCCAAACTTTTCAAAGAGCTCAGATTCTCTGCGGGTCTCATCGTCCAAGTCGCTGTCGTTGATAACGTAGGCCAATACACGAACACCATGGTTAGTCAAATGACGCCCTAGCGCAAATGCACGGCTGCTTGACCTACCATTACCAATCAATAACAAGACCAATGGTGGCAAATTGTGGTTTTTTCTGTTGCTGAGACGGACAGAGCCGCCAAGAATCTCTTTGACCACCAAGTTGTAAAGATTGATGCCGGTGGCTTCGATCATTGCACGTTGATCATAGGCGAAGGTCTCATTGGCAATTCTCTCAATTTCAAGAAGCTGCACAGGAGAGGCAGTAGGAGCAGTAGAGCTGTCAGAAAACACAAATTTGTGTGGCTTGGCGGAAAACAGTTCCCTGGCTAGAAGAGATGGTATGCTGTTTGCTCTAGATCCTTCTAATGGCAGAGCAAGTCTCTTTGTAGATGAGCCAAGCATGTTCCAGTTATCCTGCTTACCAGCTGGAATGACCATCTCATCGTTCTCGAATTTGTCGTTCTGAGAGGGCTTCTTAGGCTTGACATTGTCCTTCTTGTTGTGTCCCACGAGCCTGTCTTGAACGCTGACTTTGTCGTTCTTCTGGAAGTCTGCAAAAATGGATGCTTTATCAAACATCGCCAAGTTTGCAGCAAAGTCAAACTCTTCTGAGCTCTTGATGTCCTGGACACTTGAAGGCCATTCTGCCTGAACAAACTCACGGTTCTTAGGAGTGGCGCTTCTGGTGGTGTTTTTGCTAGTGCTTTTGGAAGCCGAGACAATGGCGTCATCTATTTGCTCCAAAGGCTTCTTTTTCTTCTTCTTCAGATCCTTGCCAAAGTCTGCGGGTAACTTATTCACCTTCAAGTCTTTGATCTGGACATTCGGGTAGTTGTGGTTACCAAGCGTAATCAGCGACCCATCCACATGAGAGATAACGCCGCGGGTGCTATTGCCGTCTTTGAACTGTAGCGTGACCTCGTAATTGAGAAATTCAGTCATGATAGTGGTCTTTTTCAAACAGTGTTGTCGCTGCTTATAGTGTGCGCGGAGGTACGGGTTTAGAGTACCTTGGCTGGGTCGAACTGCTCAAGAACCTCTTTTATGCTGGAAACCTCCTGTGCACAATTCTTCACCAATGGGTCCGCCAATTCTTTGAGCGTTCTTCTGCTCTTTTGAAATTCCACCTGGTTCTTCTCAAGAAGCTCTTTGTGGAGATACGTATTCTGAGCCTTAAGCTCTTGGACTTGCTTTTTTTGCAGCCGAAGCATCAGCTTGAGGTACTTGACCTCGAAGTTCTGCTTCTGAGCTTCTCTTTCAAGATAACGTATAAGCGAGACAGTTTCCACTGGGGTGTCACTCTTGGCCTCAAGTTGGGCAGTTAAGTCTTTAATTCTATCCTTGAGCGTCTCCACAACCAGCTTATCCATCTCCTTGAACTTCTCCCATTCGATGGGTGCCGAGGCAATAGTAGAGGTATTGGCCTTTGCCTTGGTTTTGATATTCTTCACTTGGTTAGCGTAGTTGAGCGTCTGCTGGGTCTCTTCGTAGTCGAACGGCGAGACGCAGAAAATCATGGCTGTTTTGGAGTTTCCAGCGAGGTTCTCACGCAACAAGTAGGTCAAGATCGAGTCTCTGTAAGGAACGACGGGCGGTTTGCCTGGATTCGCCAGAGCAAGTATGTTAATACAACGCCCCAAAACTGTGAGTGATTTGTTGATTTGGGTGCCCTCTTTCATCCTGTCAGCTTGACCGAACAGGCCTGTCTTGTGTAGACGCTCAGATCCGGCCAAATCGACCAAACGAATGCTGGAAAGCACCTCCTCGTCAGGCTCACCGACGTCCATTTCATCGCCAGCAGTGTACTTTGTTTGCTTTAGGGAAAGTGTAATTACTGCATGAGATCTCGAACTGGATACGTTCATCTGAGTGGATGCCACGGTCCTGTGGCCATTGCCCTTCTCTAAAAGAGTTCTGAATTCCTCGTACAGTCCAATTGTCACTTCGGCAAGTCCCTCCACGTAGGACCCCATTGTAGGGTGTTCTCTGACTCTGCACTGCTTCGACTCATTAAGAAGATCCTTCACTTTCTCGTTGTAGATCTCCACATACGAGAGACAAAGCTCACAGTTGATTCTGCTTTTCACAAGATCGTCCTTGTGTCTGAGGATATCTCTGACCATCAACGGGATCAATCCCGGGCTCAGATCTTGTCCCATCATGGTGTATGTTTTACCAGATCCAGTTTGACCGTATGCCAAAAGGCAAACATTGTAGCCCTGGAAGAAATGCTCTATTAGCTGTGGTCCAGAAGAGCGGTAGAAATCGGCATTATCCATGTAATTTTCCTGAGCTGTGCTGTACGAATACACACATTCGTCGAAGATGTACTTTTTGGAGGAGTCGTGAGTTTTCAACAATGTGGAGCCTTTTTCGGAAGGCGGCATCTCAACCAAGCATTCATCCTGGTCCTCTTCACGTGGAAGAGGCGGTCTGAGCCTTACAATGACCTTCACGCTGTTGCTTTCCATGAAGAAGGGTGTTGAAGATGGATGTAAACATCGGGACTGTATGAAAAGTAAACAAAGCGTGGGAGCCCTAGGATGGTGATAGTACGATGAAGGAATTAGGAAGAATGTATGCTGATCAGAATGAAGAGGGAAGTTTGACTTCTTTGTTTTTTTTTTTTTTTTTCAAAATTGACTTTGTTTGTCTATTTGGTTAGTAGTTACTTAGGGATCAGATATCAACAGCTATATGGCTGCGAATGGCTGCGAAAAAGATGTAAGTACTCGATTTAAGCAAAAAAGATGTAAGTACTCGATTTAAGCAAAAAAGTAGGTACCCGATTTGGGCAAGATCCGAATGCTTGAACCAATAAGATATTTCATGAAATAGAGAGCCAACATAGCTTTGGTGGTCCGCTAAGAATTACAACCTCTAAGTTTGTAAGTGTAATGTAGATGCTTTAGTTTCTAGTACACACTGCACTTGAGCAAAATCCAGACCCAGATCCATACTATAATCCAACATCTACATACATATCGCTGATATTTCAACCTGAATAGACATCACAACTTAACAACTACGCTCTCATTGTTGATCAACATAAAAGTTGAAGCCAAGGATCCCCCATTGGAGAGCTCCATATACCCCAAGAGCCAGCCGTCCGTGCTATACAACCACTTTTCATACCATCGATAAGAGACCTTTCGATTGCCGTTATCTCAGAAACACCGCCACACTTTATCGTCCCATTTGGCCGAAACACCCGACTAACCAAATCACGTATTTCACCATTCCAAGCCCAATATGCTTCGCCTAAAGTACACGCTAAAACAAATTGGTCCGTTTATCTCTTCCTCAGCCTCACCCCACTGCCTCGTCACCGCCCTGCCCGAAATGGCCAGATTTTGACACCCCGGCTTATCCAAACTCTATCCAGGTAGCCCCTATTGCAGCTCTAGGGCGATTCCCGATAAGCTGGCGGAGGCCCCAAATGTTGACTTTTCAGGTTTATCAGATTCGATTTCCCCAACTTTCGCCGTTTTTGTGAAACACCTTTTGAAAAATCCGAACCACTGTGCTCAGGTTGCTAGCACAGACTCTCCCTTGCTCAGAGCCGCATATTGACAGGCAAATACGGGCAACACACATGCCTAAAGTGGATACGTCTGGGCACCCGAGGAAAGTCCATCTTGTGGGAATTTTCAACGACATCCAAGCTCCACTCGTTTTTATAGATATTCTGTTTTATTTTTGTGTGGCATGTGCTTTCGTAGGAGTCCGAGGCCGGTGGTTACGGAGCCGATCACGCATTTCTACTACAAAACCAGCCCACTGAAGCACAAACCTCACCACGAGAAATTAAGCCTCATTTTTGATGAATTTAGCCTTTGTTAAACCTTAGCTAGATCCTGCCTTTTTGAGATCCCCTCCCTCACGGACCCATTCCTCCACAGGGTCCAGTTCCCAGGTAGCGTTACAAAACACAAACGTATGAAATTTATAGAAAATAGAAAAGTAGAAACCAAGAAGGCAAAGCTTTATTAAACAAAATAGAAATCGTCTTGTTTCCGTATAAATCTCGCCTTAATCCCCAGTGTGACTTATCGCAAGCAACCCAGCCACATAGCCTAGCGCACGTCCTGCCTGGAGAAGTCATCCATTTATACCCATCTTTTTCCGTGATACCTAACAACAACACTGCTCTTTCCACCATGAAGCTGCTTTTTTCGCCGTCTTGGGACGCTGCAAGCAGGGCTTCGGCCCTTACCGGCCAGCCGGTCCTTGTCTATCTTGACGAAAACGACGACATGGCCCAGAAGCATCTTTACCACAACACAAACCACGATTTGGTGGATGTGCTAAGGAGGAACTTTATTTGTGTGAAGCCCGACCAGGAGGCGGCTGAAATCGAGGAACTTAAGGATTTGGAGTCGCCTTCTTTTACTGTTATCCGTGGCTCCATCAAAGATACGTTCGTGGACGGTGACGTCGAGACCTTCCTCAGAAAGTACGTACCCGAGCTTCCCTCCAAGAAACCAGCCAAAAAACCACAAAGGAGAATGTCCGAGAAGGAGGAGGACCTCTGCAGAATACGAGCCCAGATCGAGGCCGACAAGAAGGAACGGCTTTCCCAGAGACGCTACTCTGTGGAGTCCACCCCAAAAAGACAAAAGTCACCCGTCTCCGCATCCCAGTGCAAACTCCTGATCCGTCTTCTTGACGGAGAAACTGTCCAGGGCACTTTCAACTCATCCCAGACCCTCCGTGACGTCAAGCGCTGGATAGAGAGCGAAAGAGGCTTGGTGCTCTCCCCTGAAAGAGACGACGCTTTGCCGTCATTTGCACACACCTCGGCCTTCGCCTTGAACCACTACGCCTTCTGCTACGTGGGCGTCCCCAGAGTCACTTTCACTGCCGGCCAGGAACTCACAAAGCTCAGCGACCTTGGCTTGAGCCCTCGCCTGGCGCTAATTTTGAAGCCCGTGCAAAACGAAAAAGCCAAACACCTGCCCGGGCTCTGGAGCTCTCTCTGTGGCAAGGTCAAATTCGTCACCGGCGCCTTGTACACATTCTTTGACTACGGTCTTGAGGATGCTGAGAGGGACTTCTCTGACGCTGTGGACGACGCCCAGCCTGCATTTGTTGTGCCAGAACAGCCCGAGGCTGAAGAGGACACCAAGAAGGAAAACGTCTCTGCTGGTGCCTCCAGAATGGCTCCAGTGTCTGGCAGAGGCAACCAACTGCATGTTTTGCACGATCGGGAGACCGAACAGCGTCAGTGAAGCGGTTGGATCGTGCGGGCACGATGGCTTTTCACATCACGTTTTCACTGACAGGGTTAGTTACATAGGATTAATGAACGAGCAACGGTTAGAAGCGGTAGATGTGGAGAAATAGGGTATGGCATGTAGATTCATGCAACATTGGATTCATAGTCTGGTACTTGGGGTTAGATCATCAAACTATCCTAAGCGAACTTGGCACGAAGTTTCTGCTATAATTGCTTGCGAGGCTTGAATAATTATGGAGTATAGCATAGTATACATACCTCAACGTGGGTGCTCAGTCTCTAAATCATACATCTTTATTATTCATAAATAGTAACGGTCATATCGGGGAATTAATATCTGGCGATGCTATCTAGAGCTCAACCTCGTGAACATATATATAGCGGTGGAATTAACCGATCAAAGCAGGAATGACATCATATCTCAAGTTAGTCATTGCAGCCTGGTTCCAGCCTTCTGTGGTGTCTTCCAAAACAACGCTTGATTCGACTGCTTCGTACGAACCAGCGACAAGAGTATCTTGAGAAATTTCAAAAACACAGTTCTGGAAACCGGAGATTTTGTCTTCGTTTTCAGGTGTATGAGGAGTCTTCAAGACAACGATATGTCCATTCAAGGTGAACTTGGAGTCGGCGTCAACTTCATGTTTTTCCAAACAAGCAGGAAGTTGTTTTTCCAAAGCGGCAGAAGCCTCCTTATATTGGGCAACGGCTTTATTGAAAGCCTCTTCAACTATAATCTTTTGCACGTTGGCTGCCTGAACGGCAAGGAAAAGGAAGGAATATTGCAACAGGAATCTCATCATGGATAGATGATTTCGAGTACGATTTCTAGAATATATATACTGAGGACGCTGAGATAACCATCTTGGCATACGTTTGGTGGCAAACGGACCAAACCAGTGACAAGCTGACGTTGATTATCCTCCGTATTCGGTCCGCCCTACAAAAGATGCAAGGCTAATACAATGTGTGGAAGCTGGCAGTTGGCCTCACGTCGTTGATGATTGAAATTAAAACTAGTAGAATTGGTACGGCTATTTTGTGGACCTAATCTGAAATTTATAATTGGCTTTATAATTGGCTTTAGATGACCAGTTTGCGTTGACAATAAGTTCATAACCATCACTCACATTGGGCCTGGTTGGAAGCTCTGAACGAACTAATGGTGGCAAAATCGTCCATTGCTTTCGATGGTGAGGTGTATAGTGCCGCCTGCGAGATTCTAGCAAATGACGATCTAACATGACAATGGTTGTTTCAAGCCCGCGGATGCTCTTGATCATTCAGTTACATCTCGCTTGGCATCCGGCTGGTCTATTTTTAAACAAGCGACAAAGGTTTCTATTAGCCAAAGTATAATGAATCCGAAAACTAGTAAGCTAGGCTTTGTAGCTAGGTCTGGAAAATAGTCAAGTACAGAATTGGTGGCATTTCATTATGGGCTCTATTTGATGGTTATCAAAGATTTTGATTTCCAACTAAGCCATAAATCTGGGTAGCATCTTCTCACCAGCGCTTCAACTTGCTGAGGTGGACATTCGGAATACGCTATGTCGCTTTGCTGGAATTGGTCTCAGATTCTCACTGAACGTCAGATGCTCTAGCTATACATTGATCACCCTTAGCTGGCTTTTCTATTAAGCAGCAGTCTAATTTTTGTTAGCTCAACAGATTCTCTTAGATATACTTAAGATAAGGGGATTCAGGAGACAGAGACATGATTGGACCTACTATCTACCACTACCACTACTACTGACATCTCGAACCTTTTCTCAGAATCGAACTTTTCGCTCAGTCGAATATTCCGAACTGCAGTTTTTGACCTAACCAGCTTTCTATAAATTCTTTAAAAAACCTCCATCTGCCCCTCCATCGTCAAACACTTTTTGTGGGGTACCATGGTTCCTCCATACTGCTCGGCTCTATCTTGACAGCATCTTTCGCAGCCACACATACATAGACATCGCTAACACCTCACCCTCCTTTACATCATCCAGTCCACAGCGATATCCACAGACACATCTGTGTATTTTGACCCTTCATTAACCCTTTATTGAGGATAGACATTACGGAAATCCCTTCACTCATAATCCTTCCCTCCAATCCTCCACCACAACCAACCCATGGAAGTCAAGACCAGTCGGCTAGAAAACCTCCTACGATTTCCCGGTGCAGATCCACCTGGTGGCCTCGTTTCTGATGCTGCTGTGCTTTCATGCGGCTGCCTTGTTTCTGAGGCCCAATACCTCGCTGGTCCGAAAAGCTGTCCAGTATGCTTTGAGGAGGCATCCATGATAACACCAATTGCTCCGCTACGAGAGCTCTACAAACTCCTAGATCCAAAGCAAAGGCGATCTTCGTCCCTGCGGCAAAGTCTACGAAAGCTGCTGGACCTGGCGCCCACGGAAAGTATGGACTTGGTGGGACTCTTCTGTAAACTAGCTCGAGAAGAAACGGAGGGAAAGCGAGAGGTGGCCTTGCTGAGCTCGCCAGAAACAGAAATGAAGGCGCCGATTCTCAGTCCAGAAGTTCCAAAGCAGCCCGAGGACGATCTCGACAATATGCTTCTGGGTTTGAACGAGCAGGAGGAGTACAACTTCAGCAGATGCTTCCCATTCCACAGAAAACTTACGACTTTCCAGACTGCCAATAACAAACTCAAAAAGCTTTCTCTTCGGCTGTCGGCTGCACGCTACAACGGCTGTTCCTTGTGTACCCGCTACGATAAGGCCGTGGGTGAAGAAATCACCACTTTCGTTTTGATCACAGACAAACGCTGGGAGCTCTACACGTATAGACCAAGTCTGGGCAAGCCTTCCCTCCTAGCATGCGGCAAGCTGACTGGTGAGTTTTCGTATGGATCTTCGGAGTATAAGCCTTCTTCTAAGCCTGGGCTTATAGTGAAGAATGAGTTCGGAGGTAAAAGCACTTCTTCCGATTCCGAGAGCGTGGGCTCAAAATTGAAGCTGTGGGTACATCTCTCGTGCTGCCTTTCGAGACGGTTTCTCGTGCTTGCCGGAACCAGAGGTGTGGTTCGTGTTCTCAATGCTGATCCAGAATACGGCGATGTGGGTGCTCCAGTCTACACGTATTTGACAAACTTCCCTATACGATGCATTTCCATTGCGCCCAAGGAAAACCTCATAGCTTGTGGAATCACGGCTCGAGAGAGAATGTCTGGAAAACAGCAGCCTTTCGTGATTCTCCATCAGCTAGACATGGATCAACAGAACGTCAAAAGCGTCCATCCCATAACCATCACCATTCCATACAGAGATCCACTCAAGGTCATCTCATTTAATGCAGCGTCAACACACATCATTTGCTCCACGGTCTACGAAATGCGCTACTTCATTATTCGTCTACGATCCACACCTACCAGTGTTTGCAAAAAGCCCATGCTCATTTGGTCCGATATGAGAGTAGCCTCAAGACAAAAACTCGAAGAAATGACAGGAGACCGAAGCTATGATACAAATGTGGACGATCAGGTCATGGACAGCGAGGGAATCACCGATATCAAATTCGGTCTTCCTGGCACAAACACCATTGCTATCACCACTGCTTCATGGAACAATCGTCCGTCTTTGCTAGTAAAACTTGAAGGACCTTCCATTGACGCTTTTGGGGCATGTCAAATGTCTCCTTGGAGGACGATGTGGAAGACGATAGAAACCTCCAGATTACAGACTACGACGTTACGCTCAAGGTGCCCGAGATCGGCTCTTCCATCTACCGTGTCGAGTTTTCTCCTCGCGGTGACAGCATTCTCTTTTTGGACAAGTCGGGTCGAATATTCCTCGTATCTACTCCGAACGCCAGGACCACGATGTCTCAGACCAAGAAAATCATAGTATTACTAGGCGAAGCAGCAAACGCCGTTCGTCCGAATGAGGCAGCTTCAGTGCTGTACTCGTCCGATGGCGGCAAAATTTTTGTTGTGGACCGTAGGGGTCTTTTCCAGGTTTTTGACTTCACCAAGGGTATTCCCGGAGAGGACCCCGAGGTGATTAAATGCAAGATAGTGAGCGTGTAACTGTGGCGCAGGCGCCTACGGAAGGCCCCTTGAAGCTGTGAAGGGCCAAATGAAGTTACAAAATTATTTTTGTGACTCCTTCTCATTCAGCCAAAAAAAATTACGTTTTTGGGACACTGGCGTTGTGGTATTCCGTTTGCAACCGTGCCCAGCTGCAGGACCATCACCACCCCATCACCTCGTTTTTTCCAACAAACCTCATCCACACCAACCATGCTGCCTCTTCCGCCACTTGCCGACGATGTTCTCGACTTTATCGGGAACACCCCCATGATCAAATTAAACAAAATCCCCCAGTCCTACGGCATCAAGGCCAAGGTGTACGCCAAGGTTGAGTTGTTCAATGCTGGAGGTTCCATCAAGGACAGAATCGCCAAGAACATGGTTTTGGAGGCTGAGAAGCAGGGCAGAATCAAGCCAGGCTACACCTTGATTGAGCCAACCTCGGGTAACACCGGTATCGGTTTGGCCCTCGTTGGTGCTGTCAGAGGCTACAGAACCATCATCACCTTGCCTGAGAAGATGTCCAACGAGAAGGTTTCCGTCTTGAAGGCATTGGGTGCCGAGATTATTAGAACCCCTACTGAGGCCGCCTGGGACTCTCCAGAGTCTCACATTGGTGTGGCTCAGAAGTTGGAGAAGGAGCTTCCTAACGCTGTCATCTTGGACCAGTACGGTAACGAGGCCAACCCTAGAGCCCACTACTACGGTACTGGTTATGAGGTTTGGGAGCAGACCGAGGGTAAAATCACTCACTTGGTTGCTGGTGCCGGTACCGGTGGTACCATCACTGGTATTTCTCAGTACTTGAAGGAGAAGAACCCTAACGTCAGAATCGTTGCCGCTGACCCCAAGGGTTCCATTTTGGCCCAGCCAGAGACTTTGAACACCTCCTCCGACGGCTACCTCGTTGAAGGTATCGGTTACGATTTCATTCCAGATGTGTTGAACAGAACTCGTGTGGACCACTGGATCAAGACTGACGACGCTGAGTCGTTCAAATTGGCTAGAAGAATTATTAGAGAGGAGGGTATCCTTGTTGGTGGCTCGTCCGGTTCTGCTTTGCAGGCTGCCCTCGAGGTTGCCAAGGACTTGACTGAGGACGACACCGTTGTGGTTGTTTTCCCAGACTCCATCAGATCCTATTTGTCCAAGTTTGCTGATGACGAGTGGATGAAGATCAACGGTTTTGAGGTTGACGAGACCAACACCGCTGCCAACAAGACCGACGACTTTTTGCACAACAAGACCATTGCTGACCTTGTTTCTGGTAAGCCACCTGTGGTCACCGTCACCTTGGCTGACACCGTGGGCAAGACGTTCGAGTTGCTTAAATCCAACGGCTTTGACCAGTTGCCCGTCTTGAGTTCTACCGGCAAGTTGATTGGTCTTGTCACTTTGTCCAAGATTTTGAAGTCTCTCTCGACGAAGAAGGTCCAGATGACCAACTCTATCAGAGGCATCTTCTTGGACTTCCGTAAGTTGGCCGACTTTGAGAAGTCCTTCAGTATCAACAAGGAGTCCGGCTTCACCAAGAAGTCCTACGAGCCTATCACCATGAGCACTCCACTCGCTCTCTTGAACAAGTTCTTCGAGACCCACTCCAACGCCATCATCACCGACGACGAGTTGAAGCCCGTGCAGATCGTCACCAAGGTCGACTTGCTCTCATTTTTGGCCAAAAACGCTTCCTACTAATCGTACAGACACTTTTTTCCGGAGATTCTAAAATATAATACACAGCGATCCACTCCTCCTTTCCTGTAAACCTACGAGAACTTCCAGCGGTTACCACAGTTCTCACAGGTGCAAAATGTAGTCAATGGCTCATCGGCCGACCTCGTCTGCATCTGGTAGTAGCTGACTCTCTTATGCTTGCACTTTCCACAAGTGAATCTGTCCGTGACGGCTCTCTTCTCTGTGGCACCTTGGGCGTCGAAAAGATTCTGCTTGTGCAACTTCTCCATTTCCTGTCTCAAGGCCTCGGGAGCCATTTCATTGGGTGACATCTTGATGAACTTCTCCGGCTTCAACGAGCCCGTCAACAAGTTGGCTCTCAAGTCCGGGTTTTTCTTGTTCCGCAAGTTCATCGTGAGTGTCCTTAACTTGTTTCTGTATCCGTCGTTCACTTTGCTGTACTCCTCAGCGTACACTTCGCTTTCTATCTTCACGGCGACATTGACTATCGCCTTAGAGTCGTCGTCCCGTTCTATCGCCAAGGCCGTGTACAACGCACTTACTGAAGCGTTCCGCGTGCTGTCGTCGTAAATAGTGGTATCCACGCCGTCGGTTTTGGGGTTTCTAGGCCCATTATGGAACTTACCTCCTGTGGAACCGGGAGCTGGTTTAGCTGGCGCTGGAGCGGCACTGGCCTGGGCCTTCTTGGCGTTTTTCTCGTTCTGTACAACCTCCTTCCATTTCTTGATCATGCGTTTCACCAACGTGCTGATTTCGCTGTTGCTGTTGGATCTGTACTTGTTGACGGCCACACCGACCTTTGTTTCTCTCAAGAGCTTCTCTGTGGGCTCGATTCCGTCGTTCAAGATATTTAAAAGCTTCAAGATCGTGGTGTCGTCACTCAGTTTCTCCAAGTTCGACACCGTCAGCTTGATCTCCTTCACGTCCATGATGAAGAGTGTGGTTGGTAGGTGAGTTTCTAGAAAAGCATCCGTGCACCACAAGGGTCCAGGCCCTCGAGCTACAATGGGTTTGAAAATTTTTGGAGTTTTGACGAGGAAAAGGAATTGGGTAGTGACTTTGAAGGGTTTAGTTGTGAGGGGATGTTTTGGTTTGTTTGATGTGTGACAGGGTTTGAGTTGGCTCAAAGGGTGCACATGTTGTTCAACGGTGTTGTAGCGTAGTGATGATATCATCTTCAAAAGATACCCTGGAAAATATGACCTTGATTATGAATTCCCATCAGCCAATTGGTCGAATTTGTCAAGTGAGCTCAGTAGAAAACCTCAACTTTTCATATTTTTCACTGTTGATGATGCCTCTCAAATGGCTGCAAAGTCGGCACACGAGCAATGGGATGAGCCCCGATGAGCACATACTCGCGATTTGGAGAAATTTGAACATCCCCTTAATTAGACTTTAGGTGGCATTAAAAGCTCACTTGGCTGTTTCGGAACCACAAAACGGTCCTTTGATTGCTTATCACACTGCATCTTGCTGGAGGGATATTGTTACAATCACCGAGGTAGCTTCTTTAGCCGTGAAAAATTCATTTTGAGGTGTCAAATTTTTTTCAGTTTTATGCCAAAAATGTAAGGCGACTTCTCTTTGTGGTGATGAATTGGTGTCGTCTGTGAACAGTTACTACTTGTTATAGGTAGCATTGACCAGATGTATCTCAGATACACAATACACTTCGGATACAAATAACAATGTTTTCTTATTTTTGACTACATTTGTAGTTTTGCCTGAGGAAATACAGCCTCAATGAAAGGATTTCAATATGGGCCACTGGTATGCTCTACTAAGAACCAGTACTGGCTGCGAAAACTTCAAAGTACCCTCTTGTCACCAATCAAACATCGACAAAAACGCTGAAATGTCAAAAATAATATAAACAAAATAATTGGCATAATTTCATTAAAGGCGTTATAAAACTCGATCTATCCATTTCGTTCCTTTAACCTACTGACACACCGGTCTCTACCCATCTCTACACATCCTGCGCACTCCATATCAACCCTCAACTACCACCTTTTCATGGAAAACCAGAGCAAAACCGTCTTCATCGCCAGCATCCCGTTCGACTACACCGAGGAGCAGGTGCTGGAGATTGCCAGATCCGTTGGTCCGGTCATCGACATCAAACTTCTATTTGACTCCTCCACAGGAAAGTCCAAGGGAAACGCCTACATCCGCTATGGTGACAGTGAAACGGCCCTTTCGGCTGTCAGAAACCTAAATAACATGAACGTGGGAAACCGGTACTTGAGGTGCACGCTAGCCTCTGACGAAGACGCCCTTAGTGAGGGTTTGACTGGAAACGCAGCCAAACTACCGCCTTTGCCTTTGGGTGTGCAGTTATTTCCAGGACAAAGCTCCCAGCAGGCGATTCTGGAGTTGTTGTCGAGGTTGGACTCGCAAACGGCCGCTCGTATATTGAAGGAAGCCAAGTCGATGAGCTTGGAAAACCCTGTTCTTATGAAAAAGCTTCTAGACCAGTGTCCCCAGCTATCGCATGCGTTGGTCGAGACCAGCTTGATGATGAACGTGGCCAATAAAAACCTTGTGGAGTTGTGTCTCAACCGAAGGCAACCCGATTTGGACCAGTTGACGACGGACCATGTGGAGCTTTTGCGTTATGTCAACGGTTTGACGGACGAGGAGCTTGCAACGCTTGATGCGGACAAGAGGAAGATCGTGAAGGATATCCAGACCGAGATTGGAAAGGGCTCCTACGGTGTTATTGAGAGTGACGCAAAGGCCTAGGAGAGGCATGGTCTCAAGTGCCACTTGAAGCCTTCACAGTTGGCAATGTACAATATTTAGGATACACTCGAGTGAATGAAATTGCATCTAGAATGAGTGTAGATGTACCACTACATGTACCATCAAAATTCAACTTGCTTTCATCCAACACCCTATTTATAGCCATAGGCAGACCAATTCTTCAACACTTTTTCCTTGATGGAATCATGATAACCATCGAAGTCACAGGTGACAAACTCAACGCCGCCGGACTTATACTGCTGTGGAAATAAGCAGTCGGTGACGCAATTAGCTCCCTTTAGCGTCTTAGCTCTTGGTCCCTGGCTAATGAATGGTGCCAATGGGAAAGCACGGTACTCCTCAAAGAAGTATTGATCGTCACCTGGTGCATGTCTCGTAACGTAGGCCCAAATAAGCTTTCTGAAATCGAAGATATCGATATCCTCCGACACCAAAATCACTTCTTGGATAATGAATCCAGTCTTGGAGCTGAAAACAATGTCACCAACTCTCTTACAGAAATCCTTACTGGTGGTGTTCAACTTGGCAAGCTCCTTGGTATTCACCTTCAAAGCCAACCACAAAGCCACGCCTTCATAGGGAGTGAATGCCTCCATAATGACATTTTTCAAAACTGAATCCTCCATGAATAACTGCTTGGCTTCAGCACTCACCAAGCCACCAATTAAGGTGTGTGTTTCATCAGTACACAAGCCGGGGTTGGAAACTGGCAAGATAGCGTGGTTTCGGTAGGTTATGGTCTCTACCGTGTACAAAGGACATGGGTGTGGTGTTCCTGGGAAGCAGTACCCGTGCATTTCTCCAAATGGACCTTCGTCGACCAACTCGTTCAAGTCTAAATGGCCTTCAAGCACGATTTCGGAATCAGCAGGAACTTCCAACTCATTGGTGTCACATTTGATAACCTTCAAGGGCTCTTCAACCAAGGCCCCAATGTAGTCTGCCTCCGAAACACCTTCAGGTATTGGCATCGAGCTTACAAGAATTGCTGCAGGTGGCACCCCAAAGCACAAGGCAAACGGGATTTTGTCACCCTTGCCGACTGCGTTCCATTTATCGGCAACTTGTCTAATATGTTGTGGATTAATGACCAAGCCAGTCAAATGGTTGTCGTCATGAATCATTCCTCTGGCTATAGACCAATTCGTCCAGCTCTTATCGGGAGTTTGCAAGACAAACATTCCATATGTCTGGATGTATTTGCCACCATCGCCGTGGTGCAACATAGGAGCAGGTAATGAGTTTAACTTGATGTCGTCTCCAGTGAGCTTATTCTCCTTGCATGGAGCACCAGAGGAGTTGACGACTTGGGGTGCAATTGGTTTCTTTGTTTTCGCCTCCAACAAGTAATCGATGATCTTGGGCATCGGGGTCTGTGAGTCCAAACCCAAGTGTAGAGCAATTCTAGCATGATCGTTGCCCTTGGTCTTGTCTCGAAGACCACCCAAGCATCCGACGATGTTGAACAAATTTTCAGGATCGGGATTTTCGGGATCTTTTTTCAAGTTCTGGAAAAACGGCACAGGCAATTTCTCCTCGTATACCCTCCTCATGACAGCTCCTACCTCCAAGTTGGGGTCTACCTCGGTGGTAATCTCTTGCAAGTCACCCTCGTCCGTGAGGACCTGGAGAAAGTCTCTAAATCTCAAAGCTGGTTTCAAGGCGCTCATAATTGTTATTTTTTACTTTTTCTGCTACATCTTTCACAGCAGCATGTCTCCTATTTATCATCGGAGACCGTGCCTCGATTCCCGAAACGCAAATGCATCAACACCTATTCTAAGGCCGATTGCCGCCTGGTGCGCGCATAAAAAGCTCTAGTCGGCTCTAGTCGGCGACAATTAAATGACGCCGACGGTCACTGCCTAGAATTTAAGCCTGCTTTTGCGTTTTTTTTTTTTTCTTTTGATTTTTTACAATCTTTTTAAAAAAGCAAGTTGTGGTGCTTGTCATTTGGTATTCTTCACCATGCTACCTAAGCTTTTCGTAAACGCTGCAAGACTGGCTAACAGACTAGGAGGGTGCAGAATAAAACTTTATCAGCCTTGCGTTAGACGCTTTTCTGTCAAATTACCGCTTTTGGATGGCACCAGTCAACCAAGTAATAGTATTGACTTTCCCCCACCAAGACCAAAAAGATTGGTAGTCGCCATTACGGGAGCAACAGGAATATCAATTGGCGTTCGGGTGCTACAATTGCTAAAGAAATGCCAAGTTGAAACTCATTTGGTTATGTCTAAATGGGGCCTGGCTACGATGAAGTATGAAACGGACTATACTATGGAAGACATTATGTCTCTTGCATCCAAGGTGTACACAGCTAAAGACGTCAGTGCACCAATATCCTCTGGATCATTTCATCATGATGGTATGATTGTTGTGCCTTGCTCCATGAAGACATTGGCAGGCATTAGAATGGGGTATACCGAAGATCTTATTGTAAGAGCTGCAGATGTTACTTTGAAGGAAAGAAGGAAATTGCTATTGGTCACCAGGGAGACCCCTCTTTCGGACATACATTTAGAGAATATGCTTTTTTTGTCGAGAATGGGGGCTTATATATTCCCACCCGTTCCGGCTTTCTACACCAGGCCCCAGACAGTTGACGATATTATAGAACAGAGCAGTGGTAGGATTTTGGATTGCTTCGGAATAGACACCAACAGTTTCCCCCGCTGGGAAGGCATCAAAAACACCAAGACTCATAAAAACAGAATATAGCACTTCAACCGTTGTCACTTTATCTGTTTCTGGCGTGTTCTGGACCGAGAAGACATAATTCTCGTCATAATATTTAATCAATGATAAGCAAACTTATAATAGAGTGTAGGAAAGTCGGCTTACCATACTATGGTATCTTTCATCGTGCTTGACAAATTTGGAGACGACAGAATCCGCTTCGTAGTACCAACAGTTTAAGGTAGCAAGCAGTTTCTACTGAAGTACAATTAAACGAAAGGGTATTTTGTTTATGGCGTAGCTTTGACACCTTTTGTGAGGAAAGATGTATCTTCCTCTAGCATAATTTCATGGGGAGGACAATCATGGAAGGAACTTTCAAGCGTACTTTGAAACAGGAGTAGGTTTTTGGTGGCATAATTTTCTTATATTAAGCATTGTGCGTCTTCTGTATGCATAATTCTAACAGAAACAATCGTTTAAGTAAACAGATTGAAAGCAATGAGAAAGAAGGCTTGATTTATCTCGTTTGGCACCTCCATCTAGCCAATTGTACTTTTACTTAAACTCGGCTCCGCGTATATGGTAAGAGGGCGTAATTGATGCATATGGACTCAAAAAATCATAGAAATCAACCATTTTAAGAGTTGTTCTAATTAAATAAATCTCTATATCTTAGTGGTAAACATCCACTTTATGTGTGTACGCCAAAATGGCTGCGAAAAGACAAAAGTAGCTTTTCCACACTTGATGAGCAAAATGCATATTTCAAGCTAAGAATATTTATGTACTAGCGAAATTGAACCCATAGTTATTTACTAGAAGCGGCCCTGGCCCACACCTTGCCTTGCCTTGCCTGGGTACCAGTCCCATTTTAGATCCCACACGACCATCACCATAATTCGCAGTAGCTCACCTCACACTAACTACTGCTTCCATCATGAACAGAAGAGCAGGTTCGCCGCCTCAGGGCAACCCAGGCCAGCTGTCGATCCTATACCTAGGTAGCATTCCCTTTGAGTGGTCCGAGGATCAGCTCCAGGCAGTCGTGACCTCACAAGCCAACGTCCTAGACGTCAGACTCGGTTTCGACCATATTGGCAAAAATAAAGGTTACGCATTCGTAGAGTTCGAGTCTCCACAGGAGGCACAGAAGGCCGTGGCCACTCTCAGCCAGGCTAAGATCAACGTACCTGACGGAAGACCAGCCAGACGTCTCCGGTTTGAGCTGTCTAAGGAAGGTTTCCGTACGGGAAACAACACCAACAAACAGCCGCTTCCATACATTCCGGCAAATATGCCACCATACTTTGAGCTTCCAGGTGGATTGCCGGCGCGTCCTGCTTCAGGGTTGCCTCCGGTGCCAGGAATGCCTCAAAGACCAAATGCTCATCAGCCTTCTCCAGGGCCCCAATTGCCTCCGGTTCCAGGCTCTAATGGCCCCCAGTTTGCGAATATGGCCAACCAGAACGGAGCACAGCTTCCCGATCATCTACTCAGAGCTTCACAGACGCTTTCGACGCCCGCTCAGATTCCTCTAGAGACTCCAGACAAGATCAACGAGACGCTAAGTCTGATTCCGCCAGCGCAGTTGATCGAGCTTATAGCCAACTTGAAGACCCTTCTTGCGGGCAACAATTCGGCCAGAGCAGCGGAGGTTTTCAACCTTTCGCCCAATTTGGCGGCCGCAGCTGCCCAGGCTCTTTTACTCATGGGCTTCGTGGACGAAGAGGTGATCCAGGAATCGATGAAATCCGCTTCCAGCACTCCTCAGCCACAACAGCCTGCTCCCGCCTACAATCAGCAACAACAATACCAGCAGGGCTACGGTCAGCCGCCTCAAGGTTACAATTTGGGAGGTTACAACCAGCCACTGGCTTCATTGCCTCCTCCACCCCCAAGACCGCAGTCTCAGTATCCACAACAGCAGCAGCAGCCTCCAACGAAGTGGGGCAATCTTCCTCTCTCTACACAAATGAAGCTTGGTGCTTTACCGCCAGATCAGGCCGATTTGGTCGCTCAGGTGTTGTCGCTTCCGCCTGACCAGATCAGCTCTTTGCCTCCCGAGAAGCAGACAATGGTTGCGGGCATCAGACAGCAATACATGTAGAGTTTCGGATCGGCATACTGACATGCCCAAAGCGTTGTCTATACGGGCTAGGGCATCAAGGAGAGGGGATGGTGCCTACAAGGAAGATGAATGCAGATGGTAATCTAATAGGGTTTGAAGGAGTGATCATTTTGTTCCACAAATCGCCTGGTTTGGTCGTGTTTGACTGGCCAACCTCACCCGTGGAATTTGCAGCCACTCCTGCAAAATCCCAGCAACCTCTAATGTCCCCTGATTGACTGCCATAAATTAAAAAGGCAGCCGACATTCAGAATCCCATCGTTCAAAAATAAGGGACCAAAGGCACCAGCCCAGCACATAGAAAATGAGATCACGACATGTTCACCGAATCACATGTCCTCCACAGTTTGTCAGCAGGCGAAAACAGGCCAATAGCACCTGCCTTACAATCGCCACATTCGTGGCATCAAATATACATTTTCCTCTCATCGACTCCAAAAAACCATTTTTTTTTCCATCACCTTCTCTCGATGTTCCATGTCTCGTTCTTCGAATCTGCAGCCTTGTTAGTGCGAAGTCAACATCACCAACTTCTACTACCAGTCATTTACCGCCATGAATATCCCCGGTCTACATGGCTACACAGCGATTTTTGAAACCGACGAAAATGGAAATTTCCATTCCACCAACGGATCCGTACCTGGCTGGCTTAGGGACATGATAGAACGAGCTTACGCAAACAGTGGGTTGAGAATGCACCGCAAGGTAGCTTCCCATGAAGCCATAGCATCTTTGGAAGAGGTCCCTGTCGAGCTTCTAAAAGAGCTGACTTGTCCTATTTGCTACGAAAAGTACGAGGTGGAGCAGAACAAGAAGCAGAAGATGGATACGTCTATCAAGGAAGATCCACAGGTTTCCGCTTTCGAAAACGCTGATGTGGAACCTACGCTGAGCAGGTTGAAGTTCAGAGATCCTTCTATATTTATGGCAGCCGACGCCGGTGCAATCAACTCATTCAGATTTCCACAGTACAACCTAGCCTCCCAAAAGCAGGTATCCAACGAGGAAATGTTCCCAGCATTGAATGACTTTAAGAAGCCAGAGGCTAAGGAGGTCCGCCACATTGCCATGAAGATGCCAAATTGTCACCACGTTTTTGGCAAGCTGTGCATTATAGAGTGGCTCAAGGGCAATGTGAGCTGCCCTCTTTGTCGAAAGGAAGTGGAGAGCGTCAGAGACAGTGATCCTATGGCGAAGAAGATGGAGGTGCTTCAGCAGAATTGTAATTTCATCTTTGCTGCTGACCAGGATGTTGTGCTCAAGCACCTACTTCGTCGTCTGACCAATGTGTTTGAGCCATACAGAAAACCATATAACCCAGCTGTGACGCCGCTCACAGATACGAGTGTTCTGCAGCATTGGGCTACTCCAAGTCTACCTGACGGTTTTGTGCCAGATGCAACGGAGAAACCAGATCCCCAGCTCATCATGGCTAGAAAGTTCCCTCTACTGACATTTCAGTCAACTCCGAGAACTTCGCTATTTGGTGGTCGGGATAGGGACTAGGCATGCATGGAAATAAGGTCTTTTGAAGGAGTGAGGAGTTGATCAAGTTGTGGTGTAATAGATGGTCTGTCGTTGGCTGACTTCTGAGGGTGGCTCTAGGACTGTTTTTATCGTGGATGTGGAGATCCCAGTCACTCTATTGCTGGTAATTTATTGTCGAACAGAGCCATGGGCCAGGATTATACTCACAGGACTTCCTTCGTTTACAGATAAGTCGAGAATACAACCGAATACGGTCCGATGAAATGGCGCTAGCAGGCAGCACAGAACAACCCCACAATTGCAACCCTTCTAAGACAAAATATCACCTACGCTTCACCCCCACTTCATTATATCGGCTGATATGTCGGCATCTACAATGGTGGTGACCTCCGATCTTGCTTCAATGACCACACGCTCGAGGGTTTTTATATTTATTGCACTGCCGAACCGATGCTTCTCCTATCCAGCCTGGAACATTTCCAATCAGCACCAGTGCGATTTCTTTTTTGTGCTTATTGCGTGTGTTGCTGGCTCGCAAGTTGGTCGCCCACATGGCTGCGTTGAAGCCCTGAGACATTTCAATGCTTGGTCCAAGGCTTGGCACCTCCGAGAAGAGCTTGGTTATACAAAAATTTCAGACGCCCTGAAGCCCAAAGGATAGCGAATTGGCTCCATCGAAGAAGGCAATCTTGCTGTGCATCATAAGGCACCACGACTTAAGCCTTATCTTTCGGCATGGATTCCAGAATGTAGGGCCACCGTGTCCAGGCCTGCCCCGATGCACGATCCGGGCGCCCGAAAGTAGTCCAACGATCTACACAAACAGAAACTTTGCAAGTTTTTGAAACAAACAACCTCAAATCTCGCCTTATTACTCAACTTACTCTTTGGTATGCGCCTATATCTCCGGAAGCACCCCACTAGGCGAGGCTTCTTTCCTGTACGAGGCTCGGGCAAAACGGTTAGCGCGCCAATGAAAGCCGCTCGATCACGTGACATACCTCGGACCCTCTTCTCGGGCTTACACAGCTAGCAAGTTTTATTGGAGAAGAAGATAACACGCTTTTGCGTTTCTTTGACAAGTTTCAACCCACATCCAAACTCGATAGCATAGTCACTAGGCTGGTCCCAGCTTATTGCCGAAAACAACCTCCCCCCACATCACCCCACCCTCAAGATGTCTCATACCCGGACCATCTTGAGCTACATCCACCAAAACAGCCCGAACAAGCTGCCGGTTTCCGAGCATAAGAACACGAATAAGCCGCTCAAGTCGCCGTCCGTTGTGGTCGAAAGGACTACCGACTTGAAGCCCAGAACGCCCCTTTCCAGGAGGACCTTCTTCAATGATTGTACCGACAGCTCACTCAAGGAGTCCAAGAACTCCATCAGAGACTCTTTGAGGTACAGCGTGAAGGCTTACACGAGTATAGAGGCCAATCTTTACCACATGCGCCATCTTCTAGCGGCCGATGATGCAAACAGACAGGTGCACGTGGCCACCACCATGGTCCCAGAGCCAGAGGTGAGACCCAGTCTTCGCCACATGACCGGATCTCCTTCGATCTTGGTCAAAAAGGAAAGCTTGGCACGCGACCGTTTTGTTGACCAGTTGCGGGAGATCATCTCGCGTTGTTTGCAAAGAAAGCTTGGATTGACCAATGAGCAGATGCATACGGAGTTGGTCAAGGAGGCCTTGACATACTCCAACAACTTGTTGCTTCAGGATATGAAGCTGGCGTCGACGGAAGAGCTCTGTCTGGAGTTTCTGAACTTGAAAGCAGCTGACGACATGAGAGAGTCCTTCGACGACCTCCCGTGTGACTTCCTCGACAAGTACGAGCTTCTAGCGCTTGACCACTTTGAAGATATGATTTTCGAAAGCGCCACAAACTCGCTTGGGTGGGCTCACGATAGCGGAACCCTCCACGACCCCAACTCGTATCAAACATTCAAAGACATCTGGATGCTTGACCCACCCAACTTCACCGAATTTGACGTGCACACGTTCATTGAAGACGTGCTGGAGGGCAACGACCGCCAGTTCTCGTTCAACTCATACAAGGAGCTGTTCATGAACCGCTTCGGCGAAAGTGCCATCAAGATGAACATTCTCCGGTACTACTACACGTATCGTCTGGAGTTCTATACACAGCAGCGGGCCCGCAAGCAGCTACCGTCGGGAACCCTCAGCGAGATGCCAGAGTTTGATGCCCTACTGAGGCTGGTGGAGCAGTTCCATGATCTGATAGAGGGCGAGGACCGCCTGAGACCCCGCAAATCGTTGCGGTTCGCCGACGAAATGTAGCTATTCCATCCATAGCATCTACACCAAAAAAGCCGCCGACGCTTCTTTGCATCCACTCCTTCGATTTTGTGCCATTTTCCATGATTGATGTCTGCGCAGATCCATCTGTCATGCACATACGCAACCGAGCAGTTTATAGACATAGCAGTAGCTACAATACACCAACATATCACGACATGGTCAAGACGGAACCGCCACCGGACGACGACCAGGTCCGCAAAAAGAAAAGAAGAAACTTGGGCCAATTTCCTTGTTCCCAATGTTCCAAGGTCTTCACTCGTTCAGACCACTTGGCTAGGCACTACCTCAATCACCAACCCAAGGAAGTTTACGTGTGTGAAAAGCTCATCAAAAACCATAATGGAGAGCAGCGGGTGTGTGGAAAGACCTTTGTGAGGAAGGATCTCAAGGAGAGGCATTTAAAAAGACACAAGTTGCTCGATGGAGACGAAGCGTATGATGATGAACTGGAGAGTCCAGTGAAGGAAGAAGAAGAAAAGCTAGGGCGGGGCCAGAGCCCTCTAAGACACGTCCAGAGCAATCAGCAGCCTGTGAATGTTGACCACGGGCCCGGAGTGCCCCACCAGGGCATGCTTCACAACGGAATACCGCCCAATCAGCAGAATCTACAGAGTCAGCCGAACCCAGGAAACCTACCGAATGCACACTTCCAGGGTCCAACGCCGCCCAGTTTTCAAAATAGCAACCACCAAAATATAGGCCCTGTTCAGGGCCAGGTCCAGCAGAACCTCCAGGGCGTCGCCATGGCTCCAAATATGCATCCACAGATGAGTCACCATATTCCACAACAACCGCTCCCACCACAGCATAATATTCAACAAGGGGTAGTTGCTCAGGCTCCTATGGGCGGCTTCCCAGGCCACGGCGCTCCGCAGGGAGTTGTTGACGGAATGGTCGACCCTAGGGGCCCTGTTTCTCCAGAATTCCGCATGAACCCTAATGTTCCACAGTCGCTGACAGACATTCTTCTGTGGCTCTTTACCGACCAGGACCCCGCTTTCTCAAAGGACATGATGGTGAATGCTCCAGAGTACGTTCCCATGGAAATGCCCCGTCAAATGTCGCCCAAACAGCCAGAGGTGGAGGTGGCTCCAATTTACTACAATGTTCCTGAGGCAATGATCAACATGAACCTTCAGGATTTGAATTTCTTCCTGAACAACGACAATCCCTTAGACGAGGTTTTCCTACGGCCCCCGGAGGGCCAGATCGACCAGTCTGCTCCCAAGGGCTGGAACATCAGCTCGACAAACTCCTCAACTCCCAATACTACAGAAACGCTAACGCCGAGGTCTCTCAGCGACCACAGTCCTGAGTCGTTGCTGGTGGAGTCAATCGAGTCGCGTGTGGCCCAGCTAGCGTCCAATAATGTGGCCAAGAATCGTCACTTTTTCGTGGATGCAACGTTGATGGAACGGTTGGCGAGCTGCTTGCCGGGCGTAACAATTGACTCTTTCAACAAAATTCTTAGGCCATCGCTGCTGGACCCCTTGCCTCAGGACAGGTTGTCGTTCTACTTGTACGGCTACTGGGAGATTTTCCACCCTCGCTTCCTGATTCTCCACAAACCGCTGTTTGATACCAAGACGGCAGAGCCATTGCTCCTTCTCGCCATGATCATCGTGGGATGCCTGTATTGCAGCACGACCGAGTCGTATCTGTCTCGTTTAAAGCACTGCCCAGAGTACAAGTTAGCCATGCTCATCGTTGCACCACTACGATTCACACTCTTTCAACACGAAGAGTTCCGTTCTCCTGTGCGGGTCTGGATCCTTCAAACGCTCAATCTTTTGGAGTGGGTCGAGAAAAACTGCTTGCAGAGACTGATGCACGAAAGAGCACATATTCATCATGGAACGACGGTACAGCTCTTACGTCGTTCCCCATTCCTTGGTGGAAATCCTACAGTCACTAACAAGGAGCTCACTTCAGCTAGTGAGAATACCAGTGCTGGAGAAGAAGATGTGGAGGATTTGGATGAGGTGGCCCGCTCCGACCAGGCCTTGTTCAACAAATGGGTTGAATCTGAGTCGATGAAGAGAGTAACCTTTATGACGTTTTACCTTGATGTCATCGACTACATTAAATTCCGCCACAATCCACAGATCCCATTTTACCAGCTTCAGCTTTTAAACCTTCCATGCGAAGAGGAGGCCCTCTGGGCGTCCTACGAAATCAACGGATCATTCAAAAAAACGATCAAGCGCCAGAAGAAGATTCAAAAATCAGGCGCCAGATCACTCAAAAATCAAAATAACATAAAACCGGGGATGAACTTCATGAGTGCTTTGAAGCGTGTCATGAAACACACCAAGGCCTCATCCAAGGTATCTCTATTCACAAAGCACGTTTTGTTTGGTGGAATAGTTTCCATCATGCACCTGATGCAGCAAACTGAGTTACAAAACAGCTTCTCGCAAATCATGGCGCTGGAGCGGCAAGTCAAGAACAGAAACCAGAAATGGAAGGAGATCATCACTTCTGTGTTTGACGATTTCGACCATGAAATCTACGGCCCAAGCAGTGGTTTCTCCAAAGACGGTTTTTTCAACATCAACCGCTGGCAATGCACTTTCCCCATGTACCACTTGGCCCAGATCATTGGCATGTCTGATATCAACCATTATGACATTGCCATTTTTGGCGGGTCGCCAGCAAACATGAGTGTTGATGCTACGAGCAAAGATCTCCTGATAGTACAGAAAAAGCTCAACTCCATGTGGATGCGGTCGCTTCCTGCCATGATGAAAAATGTCGGTGATCTCATCAACTACAAGTGTGTGATCCACTGCTACTGGCTCTTGTGGGGCATGATGCTTACGCCGTTGAATAAAGATGGCCAGCCAGCCCAACCACTCTCCTACGACTGGCGAGTGGACCACGACGTCCATGACTCTCTTTACGCTGCCAGTATAGCCACCTTGGTCTTGTGGTGCTACTGCTTCTCTGTCTACGGAGCAGAGTCTACGAAATTTGCCGAGTTCGGCGAATCGCTTTCATTGAAAGATACAAGAAGCTATGAGAAGATCGCCGAGTATGCTGCCGAGGAAGGTTATCTGTATCTCTATCGGGTGCGCCAGGAATTCACAGATAAGATCAAGGCCCAGGGACTCGGCCCCGAGTCGCTTCTTCACAGCACCCGCCCAATGGAAGAAGTGTCTCCGAGCAAGATAGTCAACCGGTACAGCGAGATCTTGCCCACGATCAGCAACAAGCAGAACATTCTGGGGCTTTGTTTCCTCGTGGGCACCAAGTTGTTGCGCAGCCAGTGGCTGGTGCTCCGGGAGAACGCCAAGTTGATTATCAATTGCGGGCTTCGCTCTGCGGGCAAGAAGGAGGTGTGCTGCCTGGACCTCTTTGTGGATGACTTTGTCGACTGACGATTAACGAATATATGATGTAATTACACCAACAACACGGCGTTCACACAGCCGTCTCTATCGGGCTCGTTGGTCACCTGAGCGTATTTACCCCAGACGACCTTGCCGCCGGCAGTGACCAAACCCAATTCAGAAACGTTCACTTCGATGATGGTACCTTTTGTGAGAACACCAAGTTGAGTGTACATGGGCGACTGTGGGTTCTTCTTGACGCCCAAGATGGGCAAGAAAACGGTGACACCGAGCTCTGGATGCGTCACGTTAGCCTTCTTTTGTCTCAAGGCCGAAGGACGAATAATACGCTCCATCTTGACCGGTCTTCTGGTGAAACCCTCACCCACAAAGGTGTGTTTTGTGATCATACGCTTCCACAGCTTCAGCTTCGACTTACCTGTCTTGATGACCTTGAACATCTCCTCCTCAGAAATACCCTTTACCTTGGGAAGCGGCACCGAGTACTTGTCGGCTTTCTCCATACGCTTCTGCTTGATAGAAGACGAGATGGCCTTGGCCAGGTTGTCGGTTTGACGGTCCAACAAATAAGTAGGAAGCGCCTCGCCGTCGTCGGCCTTCGGCGTCGAAGGACCCTTGACCTTGGACTCCTGGTGAGCCTTGATCTTCTTCTTCATGGCCACCTTTTCAGCATAACGCTTCTTGTTGTACTGCTTGGCTCTCCAGCCCTTGAGGTTCTGGGCATCGGCGGCGACCTTGTGGCCCTCACGGGCCTCTCTCTTCCGCTTACGCTCTTCATAGTCGAGCCTGCGGCCGTGCTGCTTGATGTGCTGCTCGATGTACTCGTTCTGAGGCATTTGATGGGATGAGGAGTGGGTTGAAAATCGCATCTCATCGGGTTCTATGTGTGGGTGGAGACCCGTACACCAGGCACGTTGGGGTCCTCCAACCCCAGTGGGTCCATGGCGGTAATAAGCCTTTGTTTGGCTTTTTTCTACGGTGAAAAACACTAGATCGTGGAATTGTTCATTTGTCGTTGGATATGCGGTTGGGTGGCTCTGGGTTGGTTCATCTCGGTGTGCGCCCAAGAAGGATTGAACAGTACGGGAAGAGGAAACCCCAGAAGGCGAAGAGGTGCAGCATATTATCTTCTTTTGGTTGTTTGTGATACATAAGTAAAAACCTGCTTTGAGTTTATGTTTGCAAAGTGTATAAATATTGCAGTTTGTTAACTTTTGCCTCATGCGACGATTTAGCATTTTGCACCCAAAAAGGACCACATAATAAGGCAAGGCCTAAACAGTGAGTATCAAAAAACTAACAAATGGACTTCATCTGGGAAACTTACAAGGGTGAATTGTATTACCGTAGCATTATGGGATTGCGAATGTAGCATGCTTGATGAAAAACGTTTGGTAACGTTCCACACAGTATGGTTGTACAGAATATCACAGAAGCTCAAGACTGTTACCTTCTCGGAATGTACCCGTTTCAAGTCAATTGAAACAAAAAGCTGCTCGTTGAACACATGTTTGCAGGTTCGGATTTTTTTTGCTGACTTTTGCCGCATGCGTCGATTTTGCAGCCAAACCAAGAACCAAACAACAGGAAGCCAAATTGACAAGAGACATTATTATCAATTTCATTAGATAAGCTGCCATGCAATGAACTTTACATCTCCTCTATTTCTGTTTTAGTAGTCCATGTTTTAGTAGTCTGCCCACTTGCATCATGGTCCATCACTCCACAACCAGTGCGATGAGCACTAGGTCTCCACCATGGCCACATCCAAAAAAACCAAAACAAACTCCAAAATCCTCAAATCACCATAATCATAAAGTGATCCTGAACGATATATTAAAATTATTCTTTTTCTTGATTTTCGTCCCTCCATCCAACCACCCACACCTCCATCGCTCCTGTATCTCATCGCATCAACTACAACTCTTCAGCATGTCTTCCGTCAACGAGCTCCTCAAGGGCATTGTGGCGTCGCTAGAGCAGACGGAAAGCGCCGTCAAGGACGTGGATGGCAAATACGTCGTTCACGAAAAAGAGTACCTCCCCACGATGATCCAGGACCTCGTGGAAAAGTCGTCCTCATCGCTCGAGGGCATGTCGCTTCTTTCGTTGAAAAACGAAGCTCTCCTTTCATATGTCAACTCGTTGGTGCTTGTGCTTTTGAGCCACTTGGAAAGACTAAGGCTGCTGGCCAAGGAGGAGAAGGTCGAGGCTGCTAAACGCAAAGCAGTGGAAAGCTCGGTCCAACAGAGAGTGTGCTTGGAAAAAGGTATCAAGCCGTTAGAGAAGAAGTTGACGTACCAGCTTGACAAGATGGTCAGGTCATTCCACAAGATGGAGGAGGACAACGCCAGGATGGAGCAGAAAGTCGCCGAGGCGGCTGAAAACGGAGAGGAGGAGAAGGGCTCTGAAAGTGAGGCAGACGACGACTCTGAAGAAGATTCAGAGGATGACGACGACGCTCTTCTGTATAGACCAGACGCTTCGGCGCTCAAGAACATGGCCAAGGCGTCCTTGGCTAAGAACAAGGGAGAAGGTGACGGAAAATACAGACCTCCTAAGATCTCTGCCGCTGCTATGCCCACGAAAGACTTTGACGACCGTGCTATTTCCGCCAAATCAAAGAGAAAGTTGCAAAGTATGGAGGAGTACCTCCGGGAGTCGTCCGACTTGCCCCAGGCCGAGGCCTCTATTGGTTCTGCCATTTTGGGCCATGGTAGAGGTGGCGTGAAAACAAGCAGAGACAGCCAGAAAGAAAAAGAAATCCAGCGATACGAGGAGGCCAATTTCACCAGATTGCCTTCGACAGCAACGAAAAAGACACACAGACAGAAAATGGCCGAAAGAGCCAACACTTTTGCCGGTGAAGACTGGTCCATGTTCAACAACAACAGATCGCTCAAGGAGGGAACTTCAAGAAAAAGAAAGGGCGGCTCTGCCTGGGACAGAGCCAAGAAGCTGCGCCGCTAGGTATAAAAGCACATATATTGCAAAGGTAGGTATAAAACAAGCTAACTCGACATTGTCATGTAGTTCTCAATGTGGCGGCCCTCATGTGCTCCAGGATTTGATGCTTCATAGGTTGGGTGTAGATTTTTTTTAGGTTTTGTATTTTTGCTGGATGCAACGGGGCCGCCCAGCCGATGTATCATGCTGGCTTACTCCTTGAAGAAATTTATGTTTCCTGGGTACGAGGAGTTCTGCTGGTGGGAAAAGCCCTGATGGCCAGCACCCGAGTACAGTGGAAGCATTCCAGAGTACTGCAACAGATTCCTCAAGCCTTCGTGGCCTCTGTCAGGACGTACACCGTACTGACCATTGAGCAGAGACCTTGCACCGGCCATAATACCTGGATTCGCCATGGAGTAGCCCGCATTTCTCGTGAAGTCGTTAGAAATGAAGTTGGATAGTTGGGGGTTGGCATTATTGTATGATACAGTGGATTGATCGATCGGAGCCAGAACTGGAGCCGATATATGCAAGTTTGCTAACAGCGCCGTGGCTGAAAGGCTGGGGTCGACAAGGGAGTCGAAGGAGCTTTGCGAATCTCTTGGGACCGGAGACGGACCAAGACTGCGGTTCATCGCATAGCCGTCGTAATACTGATGCAGATGGTTCAGGCGATTGTTTCTCTGATACCCATTATAGCCCTTGTTGTAGCCCGTTCCGTTGTTCATGGCCATGGAGTTGGCCTGAAAAGGGTAGGGGGCCATGGGAGTACGGCTTTGAATGAACTCTCCGTTTGCATTCATGTTCTGATTCGACATGACATTTGTAGGTGGGATGATCATGTTGCCATGGTTCACCTGCTGATGTTTACGACCCGACGACTTGACCCCATTCAAAATAATGTTAATTTTCAGCTGGATACGTTTGCCGAACGAGGAGACGATCTTGCAGTTTTGGAACCAGTGCTTGATGACTTGGATCTGCAACGAGTCCGAGCTATGAATATAGTTTGGGGGAAGAAGCTGCTGCAATGAAGGTATGACACTTCTGTCGCTACTATGGTAGTAAGTGACGTTGTGGTTGATCAAAATGTCTATCAACGTCTGGATGACGTAGTTGCCGTATGGGTCGTTGATGAGCTTGTTGAGATCAGTGTTGAAGATGGCACCTATAACGGAAAACTTCAAGTCAGTGAACAGACGCAGCTTGGGCTCGTTGTGGTAGCAGTTCTTCATGAGCTTCTCAACCACATTGGAAGAGAACTTCAAGTTGCACAAGTCGTTGATCCCGTACTTGAGGAAGTTATTGAAAAGGGCACAGTTCACATCGACAGAATCAATAGAGACGAGATACTGCAAGACGTAGTTACCAAACTGATCGTTGATCAACACGACAAACACATTGTACTGCAAGATCTTCTCGGAGAAGGCAGAGAGCTGGGAGGGGTTGACGTGGTTCAAGCACTTTTGAAGCACACAGCAACCATGCTTGTGGGTGGCCACCACCAAAATGTCTTCGATGATGGAGGAGTAGATGAACTGGCAGTTGTCGGGTGGGTACTTGTTCAAGATCTTCTGGATGACATGGTTGCCGTTCAAGTCCTTGATCAACTCAATGATGTACGGCTTCAAGCCCTTCATCAATAGCGCCAACTGGTGGCTGTTGGACATGTGGTCAATGACTTTCTGCAAAGCTCTGGTTCCATGCTGGTTGATGGAAACCAGGAACAAGTTGTTGTGCAAGGTATCTAACATGAGGTCAAGGTCGGCCTCTGAGCAGTAGTCGACCAACTTCTGGACCAAGTAATTGCCAAAAGGGTCGATTATAAGCTCGTACAACAGTGGAGCGACCTCCTTGAAGATGATCTCGTAGTTGGCGACCCTAGCCTGGCGATTGGGCACGACATTCTCGTCGATACGTTTCTGGAGGAAACGACAGCCGTACTGGTCCTTGGCCAAACGCAAGACGTGGCTCCGCAACAGCAGCAAAGGCGCCTTCAGCACCAGGGCCAAGTAGTCCTTGTCGATTTTGAGTGGCGTGGTCTCCTTGGCTTCAAGGCTGAAACTCGGCAAGGACAACAGGCCATTGAGGCGCTGCTGGTCCCAGAGCTTCGAGTTTGTCGTTGCCGAAGGAGGCGTTGTCGGCTCGACGATGGAGGAGATCGAGTTGATCAGGAGGTTATGGGAGTGTTCTCTAGGGGAGACCATTATGGAGCGGAGATTGACGGGTCAAGCAGCAACACACGGGAGGCACGTAGAGCCGGAAAGAGGAGGGAGGTGGAGCCGGAAACGGGAGCACAAACTGTGGAGCCGTGGGTTTCAGGGCACACACTCTGCGGATGAGTAGGGATCGAAGTGGCGAAGCTGGGCGACTCAGGGGTCAAAAACACTCGAAAATGCCAGCCTGGCGAAACAAGCGCTAGTGGTCTCGAGACGCTAGGAAAGCAGCAGAGCCGTGGTTGGCGTGGGAGCAGAAAGCGGGTTGCCTCTGGAAGAGCAGGCTTGTCAGTAGAAGGAGAAACGAAGCCTGGAAATAAGTGAAAACGACGGCAATGGCAGCAGCGTCGAACTGAATAAAAACACTGAAAGGAAAGAAGTGGAAAAGTTGGCGTTCAAGGCTCCGCCGGAAAGAAGGTCTGGTTTGCTTCGTGGAGGCCCTGATCCAGCCTGTATGGCGCCAGAGACATCCAGCCCAGGCACAAGACACCGACATTGTGAAGGGGGCCACGACACGCCGCGCAACCCGGTTTTATGTAGGGCGATTTGAATTAGAAAATTTCAATTTGGCTGCAACGGCAGTTTGGGCTTGTCTTGGCCGGGGAAAGCCTGGAAATTTCAGATTTTGGCGCCGTAGCGGCCAAACACCCATACTTTCATTTCTTTTTCATGACACCTCCACCAATCAGGATCCAGCATTTTTCGTGGTTTGGTCCTTTTTTTCTCTCCCGCCTTCACCATCGACCCTCTCGGCTCGACTCCATCCTCGTCTGAAACGGATCTGGACCGTGCGACATCGCCTATACACAATTCCCAGCAAACGCCTACGCCCCGTGCTGATTGGCCCTCGTTTTGGGTTTTGGGTTTGCGCCACCTCGGAGGATCTGAGGATTATGGAAATTTGCACATTGTGGTGGAAAGGGGCCGTTGATTTTGGCGAATCTGCTTTTGCCGCTTTGGGTAGCGTCGCTTGAGGAAGTGCGCCAATAAGACGGGCAATAGTGCAGCTTTCGGTGATACTGAAACTTTGTGGATTCATTGAACGGCTTTGTGGATTCATTGAACGGCTTTGTGGATTCATTGAACGGCTTTGTGATAATTCAAGTTCCAATTGCTGCTGCAGGTGCCTGTCAAACAAGAAATGGGCAGATTTCCAAGCCCGATTCAATCCTGATCGAAGAAGGCCTTGTGCTTTCGGAATGGAAACTGACGTCAGACCCGCCTCCTAGCGAATCTTGCTCCTTTTCCATTTTCCTCTCCAACGCTCTTCTGTGCCTCTGGATCTTCCCCTTTTAGTGCTTCATTGTGCACGTTTCTGATCTTTTCCGTCTTACCCCTTCTTGGTGGTGTACTGCCCTCTTGCAACATACTGGTTGAGGACATCCTCGTAAAAGAGAAACTCGCCAGGCGGTCTGGCCAAGGCACTGGCCAAACGGCGTCTTATTCTTTCCTCCTCTTTTCTCTTCACCTCGGCTTTTCGTTCTTCTTGCTCCTGTGTGGTTGGAAAACTGCCCACCATGAATCCCGGAGGTGACAGGTACTTGTCCATGATCTGAGACCGGCTGAGCTCCTCCTGGCTTTTGACATCTGAATCCCAAACGGGCCCGTTCGACTTGGCGCCGCTGCCTGCCTGGATAAAGAAGTTCTGCAAGTTTTTCTCCTGTGCTTTTGTCATTACTCGAGGTTCGCCGGTTTTAGGTCTCTGCCACTGCCCATTTGGTCTGAAATCGTCCTGCGCCCACGGTTTTTCGGTGATGGGATTTTTGGACAACTCAACGTTGAACTTGCGGTCGTCTAGCCGCATTCTGTAGTACTTTCGTAGAAACCCAACTCGTTGTAGAGATGTGTAGTGCAGTGGCACACCGACTTTTTCGTCTAGAGTTTCGAATTCGTCTTCTGAATCAGCCACAACTCGGTCATTTTCCTCAGCAAAGAGCACTTTGGGTGCCTCCTTTGTCACTTTCTTTGTTGGAGACGAGTTTTTATTCGGCAGTTCGCTGTCTGAGTATTGCGTGGGCAATCGGTTGAATTGAGAGCTTGTGATGTTATTTCCGGAGTTTTGCGAAGGCCCTTTCACAGGGCTTGAAAGAATCAATACTTGTTCGTCGTCTTGACCCGTTTTTTGTTTCTTTCTCTTTGGTGAAACGTATTGAAGATTCGGAATGGCTCCTTCTGATTTGGTAGGACGAGCTTTTGTGGGTGAATTTTGCTCGTAGACAGCTATTTTCTTCTTGAGCTGCTTATTTTCAGCAGTGAGATCTCTCACCTTGTCTTTTAATTCTCTTAGCTTCTTGTTGAACTCCTTGATCAACAGGCTGCGGAATTGCTCGTTGTTAGAGTCCAAATTCCGCACATCTGTAAGAGCGAGAATTCTATGGAGCTCGTCATTGATGTTAGCCACAGCTGAACGGATTTGTTGGTCCGCATCCATTTAAATATGGTAGTCAATTCAGCGATCAAGTTGAAATACAGCTTTGTTGATACTATGCTGCATATAAGGACGCGATGCTGTCGCGTGACGCGTCAGGTGGATTTGGCTGCAAATCGTGATAAGACAGGTCTCGTATGCGCACTGCAGATAGTGTATATGCGAGCACATGGCATCGCAACCGCATTACTGCATCAGGACCGCTAGTTTATCCGACTAGGTACAACCATGCCGGACGATGCGGGGCACCGATGTACGAACGGAGATGAGTCTACAGCAGGTGGTAACAGCTGCAAAGAAGCAGAGACATACCTCTCCGTTCAGCTACATGTGCATGAGTGGTGCAGCAGAAGTCATAGTGGTTCTAGCGGTATTTCCATCAATTCGAAGAGTGAGGAAAATTTTCTCGGTATAAGTTGATTGAAATCAACTGTAGAGTCTTTTCATCTCGGGTTGTACTTGCCATTGTATCTAAGCTGGGTCTGTGTTTCACATTGAGTTATGGAAACATCACAGTTAGCTTTAAGCCTAACGTTCTATTTGGCTGCTTTGTTCCTATGCTACACCACCCAATTCCATGGACTCCGCTCTGTATGGACTAGTACGTATTTGACAGATGACTTTGGGAGTGCTAGTATTAACTCCAATTACGATAGCCGTCTGAGTAACAGTATAGTAATAACAACACTCCTGGTGAATTCTACTGTTGTTTTACGTTTTGTACAACGTATATGTAATTGGAAAGTTAGGTTGGGATAGCTGAACTTTGGAATACTTTCTTTATTAGTTTTTGGAATAGAGATAGCTTTTGACTCCAGTGTGTACCGACCTCGCTGTTGTCTCTGACTTCACCTGAACCCGTCAAGTACAGTTGATAATCAGTACCTCCCACTAGCAGCTTACATGAACCGGAAGAACTAAGGATGGGCTCCATTTTCTGTGATTTTAAATATGATTGCCCTACTACAGATCCATTTTTGCCTTGAACCAAGTATGACTTTGCTACCTTTGTCATCGTGGTATTGAGGCTCAAACCTCCATTGAATCCTTCCTCAAAACAACATCTTTCTCATTCACAATCTATAATTAAGTTTCTTTTCAGAGATCAGCAATATTACTAGTGGAACCTACATGCTATATAATGTCAGCCAATGGCAACTGTGGTTGTCTGTCAATTCTAGTGAGTAGTCATTATGGTACAACATGCTCCTCGACAGCATATACAAGAGCCATAAGCATACATAGTATAGCTCTGCACTACCCTAGTCCAATGAATACACTCGCATCCTCACTAACTACTCACATCCATGATTTAGCTCTACTTCAATCCATTTTGCAACCATTCCATAGTACCAACCTGCACACAGGCCTCTCACAGTAAAGAAAAAATCTCAACTCTGCAACAACAACACCTTTAGACAGATCCATTTCTTCCCAATTCCAATGTTTGGTGCCTTTGCAAAACCAGCACTGAGCTCCTTCAGCTTTGGTTCTCTGCAGCCCTCCTCGGGCTTTGGTGCATCCAACAACACAAACTCCGGAGGCCTTTTTGGTCAACAACAGAAACCTCAAGGTGGTGGCCTTTTCGGCTCAGGAACACAGAACCCCACCTCCGGAGGACTTTTTGGTGGTCAGAGTAACACCGCTAACACGGGTTCCTCGGGTTTTGGCTCGTCAAATACAAGCGCAGGTGGTCTTTTCGGACAGAGTAATCAAAGCAACAACAACACATCATCAGGAGGTCTTTTTGGCCAAAAACCTGCAACCGGACAAGGATTTGGCTCGGGAACTTCGAGTGGTGGTCTTTTCGGCCAGAAACCCGCTACCACGGGCACCACAGGAGGTGGTCTTTTTGGCAGTTCTGGTCAGCAAGGACAGCAAAATCAACAGACACAGCAGAGTGGAGGACTTTTTGGCAGTTCTGGTCAGCAAGGACAGCAAAATCAACAGACACAGCAGAGTGGAGGACTTTTTGGCTCCAGCAATACTGCTAACAACCAGAGCTCCGGCGGCTTGTTTGGCCTGAAGCCTGCTGCCCCATCCGGCGGTCTTTTCGGATCAAGCAACCAATCCACCACCGCACAAAAACCACTTTTCGGTGGATCTAACACTACTACAGGTGGTGGTCTCTTTGGTGGATCTTCTAATACCGGCACCAATCAGACCTCTGGAGGTGGCCTCTTCGGTGGCTCCAGCAACACGGGCGGTACCACTGGTGGCCTTTTTGGGGCTCTTCCAATACAAACACTGGTGGTGGTCTTTTTGGTGGCCAGCAGCAACAACAACAGCAAAATCAGCAGCAGCAAAACCAGCAAGCCACGCAATTAACCGCCATGACTAGATTCGGCGATCTCCCACCAGAAATCAAGAAAGAGCTACAAGAGTTCGATCAGTACATCAGCACCCAGCATCTCATAGCTACGACGCTTAATAACGACCTCCCCAAACACAACCAGCTCGTCAAGTCGATCGACTCGGACGTGAGCTACTTGCATAACAAAATCTCCACCATCAAGCAAGCTTTGAAGGGTGACAGCAACCAGTTGAAGGCCTTGAAAGCGGTCAATGACGAGCTTACAGAAGATATTGGCAACATCATGCAGCTAATAATCCAGCTCTCGACGCCCGGTACGAAATTGTCGTCATCATTTCAATTGAACGAATTCTTTGTCAAGAAGATCAAACACTACAAGGATGTCATGACTAGCTACGAAAATGTGATAAAGGAGGGAGAAGACGCCATCAGTGGCTTGCAGCACTCGTGCAATGACACCATGGGTAGCATTTATGATGTGGTGGAGGTGGTGAAGAGCCAGTATAATGTGTTCATGGAGCTTTGTGAGACGCTTGCGCAGGTGCACAACGAAGTTTCCCACTTAAAGCGCTAGAGCATTGAGCCCATTCGTATAAGGTGTGTGGAAGTTGTGGCACTGTCATAATAGAATCGTCAGCAGCCCCACGAAGTTGAAGGCGACACGAAAGTAATTGGATTTCAGACCTCGCTATCAAAGACCAAAATCATTTGACGGTCTGATTTTTCGCTCATTAAGTTCTGAGTGTGGCTGCCAAATACATGTATGTACTATAACTCATCGTGATAATCCTGCGTAGACCCTCATCTAAACATCAACTCTTCATGGCCAGGGCCGATTACCTTGCCAAGTATCTATCCGGCGGGCCGGAAAAGAAGAAAAAGAAAAAGAAATCAAAAACTCAAAGTACTCCTGTTGTTGTCCAGCAGCCCGAACTCCAAAATGAACCAGAAAACGAACCTCTAAATCCAGAGTCCGACGATGAAGGTGCTCCTGCAATTACCCTGGACAAACCGATGAAGGAGAACAAAGGTTTCCGGCGTATAGATACAGGAGAAACGGTCAAATCTGATCAACAGGTTAAGCCAAAAGAACCTTCGGCAGATGAAATAGCCAGGGAGCAGAATATGGCATCAACAGTATACAGAGACGCCTCAGGACGAATTGTTGATCTAGAAAAAAGGAGTTTAGAACTCAAGGCTGAAAGGGAAGCTAAGGAGAGAGAAGCTGCCGAAAGGCAACAGCGAATCAACCAGTCTGAGGTCGGCAGGCTTCAGGAAGCTGAAATGCAAGAGAAACTCAGTAAAGCTACCCGTTTTGATGTTTCTGTTGATGATGACGAGTACATCGCTCACATGACGCAGAAGCAGCGTTTTGACGACCCTCTTGCTCCTACTGGCGAAGTCAAAACGAGCACATCCATCAGACCAACTTACAATAAGGGCCTCAACCCAAGCAACCGGTTCAAAATTCCGGCTGGATGGTTTTGGGACGGCATCGACAGAAGCAATGGTTTCGAGGAAAGACTTCTAGAAAAGCGGAATGCCCAGCACCTCAGCAAGGTGGTGGCCAGAGCATCTGCGGAGTCCTACACCGAGTACGATTACGATTGAATTGTTCGATCGAGAGTTGAGATTAATGGAGGTGAGATAAAGTCAACTTGGCTAGTTGCGTGTCACCAACAAGGAATGAGATGCGGTTATCGTGAACTGCCTATCGCTGATATGGCGTTGCTGTACCGGCCATGTTTTATGATGTCATGATATTCTACCGGGACAATCACTGGCGTTTGATGCGGTTAGTTGCGCCTTCGATTGAGCTCTTCGGGCTTACGGAATTACATTGAGACGGCCTCGGAAACATGCTCTGTTGATTATCATAATCCCACTGTCTTGTTTTCGCAGCCATACAGATGGGCACGAAAGGAGATTAATGACACACCAAGTTTCATCATTCAGCATCAATTGATACAGCTGTGAACGGCACGTCTATCATAAAGAAGCATTTGAACATTCCAGCAACATTTTAAACCAGCACTCCTTTCAGCTGATTGCCTTGACGGCACCATGGCAGCATGCGTAGGTTCTACAAAAGGCCAATTGCAAACCAGTCAAACAAAACCAAAATAAAAAAAGTCACGATCCTCTCTCAATAGGATTCATGGCGTCATAGGAGGACAATTCTCATCAAGTCATCGCCTAACTAAGACTACTGCACACATGCCACTCAGTACATCATCTACCACAAGGTCTTTTGATGCCCAATAATCCCCCACCTATTCCAGGATTCTTTTACGACGAAGAAAGGGGCAGGTATTTTGCTATCACTAACGGAGAAAACCGGTTCAATAAACGGTACACCAACAATGCAGTTCAGGCTCAGGATCGCAGAAAGCGTCAGGACAGAAGAAACAAGGAACACGAGAAGAAACTAAAGAAAAACCTTCCATTGGCTTTAAACCGTCAAATGACAACCCCTTATAATGATCCTGAAGGCTCGGTTCTTGCTCTGCGCCTCGGCGAGACACCTTTCTCCTATCTTCCCGAAATCGTATCCAAACTCAAGAACTTGAAATATCTCAAGCGTGTCGATTATGCCATTCATCCATACGGCTTCGGCCTGAAAGGTGCCGAAAATCAAGTTGTTTTTTACGAGCCGCTGACCAGAAATACAGGTACCACCCCTCTACCTTTGGAAGATTATCCTCTTATACCTAAAGGACAAAGCACCACACATGAGGGAACAACATTCAAAGGAATTAAAACAGAGTCGCTTGAATACATCTTTTTCGATAGTTACACGTGCCCACTCCAAGCTATCAACAATCAAGGAACTCGCTATGAATTGAACTGGGACCTTATACGGACTCTAGGTGCTTTGGATGCATTTGATGATCCAGATGAGATTTGTATTTTCTGCTGGACGGTCTCCGCGGATACTATCTACATCATGACAGACTTTCAAATTTTGTTTCTACTGCTTGAGAACTTCCACCTCAACCAAAAGCCTGCTCTGGCGCTTGATATGCCCGTTCCCCAAGGACATCCAGAAGACGCACTTGTGGATGAAAGTGGTCTCTCGTTTATTCGTGGTACTAAATTGTGCCTCGTCGCTCTAGATGACTACATATTTTGGGACCTTACCGTCGAGATTCTCCAGCACTTCAAATACACTAGAGTTGTGGGAGAGGTGAAGTTTGTCACATTTGCCTTGATAACAAGTCAAGGTGTGATGGTGAGGGAGTTGATGATAAAAGAGGGGGAAGACTCACGGTGGACTGGCGAGGGTTCCATGGTCTCACGCCAGGAACATAACAATCTGATGCCAATTGCCTTTTTATACAAGAGCATATTGGTTTGCGAAGAAGACAGAGGCAATTTCGTGGCCATTGATCTTAAGGAGAGGAGAATTGAACGATTCGAGTGTCCCGCAATCAGGAACCTTCATCTCAGTGAGCCACATTTTGAGGTCATCTTCCATGACAACAACATGTACTTATCCACCGAGACAACGACATTTGTTTTTGAGTGAAGCGTCCCACATAACATTAACATGAGGAGATTCGTCAGTTTCAGGCACTTTTCGTAACCACACTGGTGATTAATGCCGCGCGCTGCAGGATTATCAACTTTCGAAGAGATAATCACATTCAGCCCATGATAAGGGAAGACGCCGCTTACCCGGTCCCCGATGCACCAGGTACAGCTGACAAGCGGCCCTCTTCGCTGACTTGCGTCACAGAGCATTGTCGAAAATCTCGTCGTATGGAAAATGAAACCACAGTGACAGAGCGAGATGAGGTGTTTGTGAAGGAGGGGTTTCACAACATGGATCTCGTGAGCTTGGACCTTGCCGTGAGACTAGGAGTGACTCAGTTTTCCTATTTGCCGATGCTTATGAAAAGATTGGAGCATTGTCGACCAACTCTTCTTGTCAACAATGGCTTTTTCCCTTTGGCGCCAGACCTGATCGATTACAAGACTAAAGCGATCGGCATCAATGTCCACGAGAGATATTATGGATTGGGTGATTTGCGTGGTTGTAACTTTCAATTTGACGCTCGTTATTGGTCGCCTAAGATGGAACTGATAACTGGAGTCATCACCAAGGACAATGACTATCTATGTGCATTTGACGATGACGGCGACAAGCTTTTTGTGATCGATCGGCGTGGTGTGACCATGTGTATCTCCAAAACGATATTGAAGGAGTATGAACGTGAAACTTACGAGGATGTACCCATCTTCTACTGTCAAACAGCTAACGCAGAATCGATTTTTCTCTTCAGCCAGAACTTCGTCCTTGTAATGAAGTTTATCGATCTTTTCCAATCCCTACCATTCTGGTTCTACGTTGAGCTCTCGCGAGACGATGGTGTTCCAAGAGACCCGAAAGTTGAGGGAGTGTATGTCTCTTGCATTCGGGTGGAAACGGTCATTGTGACTGACTTGCTCAAGTGTTCTCCCTGGCATGTCGGCAAAGATCTACTTTCGCATTACAGATACAACAAACTGGACAATATTATCACATTCATTGCCGTCACAGAGGACTCCATCGAGCTACGAGACTTCCGGAAAGATACGATGCAGTGGGACGACTTCACGACCACAATTCCGAGGAAAAGTGATGAATTCAATTTCCCAATAGCATTTCTCTTCAAGGACGTCTTTGTTATCGAAGAAACTAGGGGCTGTTTCATGGTATACGATCTTACGAATCGTCGCTGTGTGCACTTTGAGAGTGAATTCTTTAGCTGGGTGCCGTACTCAATGCACTGGATGTTTGAGGGTGAAAACGACGCTCTTTACTTGTCGCTGGACAATTGCTCGTGGTACATTCCTTAACAGAAAGCTGGCCATCTGAACTTCGAGCTGTTCGAGACTAATGTGGATTGCCACGGCCATTTAGACAGTTCGATGGGTCGAAACCTGTTTTTTAACAATGACTTAAAAAGTCCGCAAGATCTATTTGCTACTGGGTATCGAGAACAAGAACTTGTCCGTGAAAGGAATTCTCAGAAGAGAGTACTTGCACTTGAACAGCCCAATTCTCCGACCTTTTAAGATTACAGAACAGGATACTGAAGTATTTTTTATCGTCACGACAAATGAAGTCGAAATCAGGCATTGGAACTTGCAGAAATGGTCGTGGACCGGAGATGTGAAGAGAGTGAAGGTGTCAATCAGTGGAAATACACCGGTATGCTTCCTACACGATAAAACTCTCGTCATTGCAGAATCCCCTACTCAAATCCTTCTTATCAACGTCAATGGAGAATGCGAGAGAATTGCCTCGAACAGTTTAAACTTCCGACCTGACAGATACACTGCATTTGTGGATTACGAGAACCGCACCGTCTACTTATCACTGAAATTAGGAACCTATATTCTAAGGCTCGACTCACGACGCCAGGGGCAACAATCTATGCTTTTGTATTCGGAATGACATATAAAAACGGGTTAAAATAGGTCGAGGGCAGGACCCACGGGGAATAGAAATCATGACACATGAATTTAGCGTTTGATGAATTGAGCGTACGAGTTGTAGTCAAATTTGCCAAACTTGTAGTCGATATCCAACAACAACTTCACAGCGTCCAGGGACTTGTACACATAGTCAGCAGGCAACTTCACCAAGGCGTTGGACAAGTCCTTATTAGGGCTGGTCAAGCCGTGCTGCTTGAACAATTTATCCTGGTTGAAGAACATGTCTCTAGACTGCAGGCCGTACACTTGGTCGTTGGTCAAGTTGTAAACACCAGGGTATCCACTGACAGCTCTGAAGTTGGACTCCTTGGTGTTTGGAGGGTGCAAGGGGAACAATCTCTGTAACAACTCGTAAGAGGCCAAGGTGAAACCAAACTGTGGCGATGATCTGAACACTCTAGCAAGCGAACCCTTGAAGAAAGCAGAAATACCCTCCTCTTTTATGATGAGACCGAAAGCATGGAGGATACCTCTATACTTGACTTCACCGTGCTTCGCCTCAACTTGCAATCTGGTCTTGACAACATCCGCCGGCGTGGTGAAGAACGCAGCTGGAGCACCAGCCAACGCACCAGAAAGCAACAATTGCCATGTACTAAGCGAATGTCTCTTGTTAGGATCATGAGGATCGTAGTTGAACAAGTGGTACTTGATGTTGGCATACGTGGGGAAGTAGATGGCCGAGAAGGGCACATCTCTCAACAAACAGGCACTGGCACCCTTATAAAGACCCTTGAGGCCTAGCTGTCTGATAATCTGAGCAGCAGTCAAACGCTTGTGTGGAATCTCACCGGGCTTCAATTCCTTGGCTTTACCACCCTGCATTTGCAATCTGATCTTGACGATTTCCAATGGGTTGGTGAAGATAACTTGACAACCACCGGCGGACGAACCGGCGAAAATTTCCCAACCCATAGTAATAGAACCGTCGTCGTTGGAACCGATACCACGAACCAAGTCGTTAACGGTCAACTTGATAGCCTTTTCAGGAGCGACACCGACCAACTGGGCAGCCAAACCGGAGTACAAACCCTTGAAACCCTCTTTTTTGAGAATCTTCTTGAAACAGTCAAGCGAGTTGTCGTAAAGAGCCTTGTGTTTCTGGGCCTGCATTCTCGTCTTGACCAAGTCAATTGGGTAGACGACAGTGGCACCTATACAGCCGGCGATGGAGCCCAAGAAGAACGAGTACAACGAGTCGAAAATAGGCCACAAGGAAAAGTTGTCCTCCTGAACAGGCTGAGCGGCAGGATGGTCGAAGATCGAGTACAAGGTGGGCTCGTTGTTGAGGTAGTTGGGGTTCAAGAAGGAAATCAACTCACGGCGAGGAATGGTTTCTTCGTTTTTGTCGATCAAGTAGAACAACAAGTCGATCTCCTTGGTGGTGATGGGCTTGAAGTTGGAGGACTTGAGGAGGTGGTCGTTCAAGTGGGTGTACAAGTCCTTCTTGTTGATCAAAATGTCGGCCTTGTCCTTGGTGGTGGGCGGCGTGTTGGCAATGACCTCATTTATCAAATCAAGCTTGTTCAAACAGTTGTACACGAACATCACGTTGGACAAGGTGAACTTGTCCTGGTTGAAGTACTCAGGCAACGAGGCCAAGTTCTTCTGCAACTTGATCGAGAGCTTATGGCTCAAGTTGCTCTGCAACAAGTGGTGGAACTCGTCCTCGGAAATCACGCCCAGGCGGCCTGCTCTGACCTCAAACCCACCAATCAACTTGGTCACTGGGAGGTAGTTGACCAACGAGATGAAATCCTGGAAGTCAATCTCGCCGTTGGGCGCAAAGAAACGCTCCAAGTACGCCCAGTTCAACTTGAGCTTTTTGGGCTGGTAGTTGGGGTCGATGGCCTTGTTCAAAGCATTCAACATGTCGATACACCTGGCGTACGACAACTTGTGCTTGTCGTTGGCCAAAAGATTGAACAACAACTTGAACTCGCCATCGGTGCCGGTCAAGGTGGTGGTGAAATGAACAAAATCAGACTCGTCCACGTAGCCCTTATCGCCTCTGTCGGCAATTAAGTAAAGCAACGAGTAGGACTGGGAAGGAAGGTCATTTGGGAATGGGGCGAGAATCAGGACGAATTCCGGAAGCAGCAAGAACTTTTTGTTGCTGACCGGGTCGAACGACGCAAACTGGTCGAAGATCTCTTTAGCTCTTTCAGCCATGAGGAAGAAGTGGTTGTTGATCGCGAGAAAGTGAGTAGGAACCGAGTTGATTTGTCGATCCCCACAATTTGGCGGTGCACAGAAATTTTCCTTTTTTCAAATTTCTTGAAGAGTACGTATCTTCACAAATGACGGAGAAAATTAGTTTTGCTGAATTTTCAAAATCTAGGGCCTATTCACAATGCCGCTGGCAGATGGCTGGTGAAAAATCAATGGGCGTTTTGTCTCCGCAGTACAACGGCCGAGAACGGAACATGAAGATGCCGTTTTTGCAGCCGCCAGCGCGCCGGGGTTAGGCGATTCTCCGCCTTGTTAGCAGCCTGGTGTCATTAACGCCGAGAGCTCCTCTACAAACATGGCTGGGCAGGGTTGGTGCTGGAGCGTTAACTATGGCCATGTCACAAGAGCCCGGTGCTTCCGTCCGTCCGAGGGAGGGGCACCGCCCGGGGAAATCGCGCTTTTGTGCAGGACGGCGACTCACGGCGCACCCGAGCGAGATGTGGAGAATGGCTGCAAACGAGAGCGTTGATACTAAACAGCACTGGTGACGCTTTTTGGAAGGCCGTTTGCTGATGGAATAGATAGTAGAATAGTGGTACTGTATACAAGGAGGAATTCCACGGGTTCTCGAAAAAGCTAAGCCCTTTTGGCCCACCCGAGCGAGCCGACGGTGCCGCTAAGGTCGATTAGATAGAGTTTATAGGGATTTTTCGGCGAAATTTACCCCTGGGCTACTCCAGACTCTTTAAAAGTAGGATGCATTTTGTGGGGTTTAGGAGCTGGCGCATACGGATTTGGTCCGCACCCGAAGCGTGGTGGTCCTTCTAAACAAAACCGGATGGTCTTTTAAAAAGAATAAATGGCTTTTCAGTGAGCATATGGCTTACTGGAATCTTAAAAGCCACGATAAAAAAGGCAAAGTCTATAGTGGCTGCTTGAGTTCACCGGTCTAATGTCACAACATCCTACCTGATAGTCAGCGGAGCATGAAAACTACATGGTGGATCTTAGGTCCAGTGAAAAACACACAATGGGTTTTAAAACTCTCAAATTTCTCATCTGCGATACCGCTGAACCGAGGTCCTAGGGGTGCATGTGTCAAAAGCCGTTGGCTCTAACGCCGAAGCATATGCTTCGGTTGCAATGCCCATTGTCTATGCGATTACAGATCTCTATTGGTGAATGTGGACAAACAGGTGAGGGAAGCTGTCAATGGTGTTATGAGCAGCTTGTAGCGAAACGAGGCTGATGGCGTTTCTTTTTCGGCTTTCACCGTTTACGAGCTGTCCGGTTTCCTAAGGCCGAGCCGAGCAAAGTTAATGTGTCTTTGTGTTTGGATAACTCCTAGTGAGTTCGAAAATGAAGGCGACGGAAGGCATTTATAAGTCTTTCGTTTATATCTTATTGATTTTGTCGATTCGTTCTAGAAGGATGTGCCACCACCAGGAAAGCCGCTAGGAGGATATCGGAATCTACAAACAGGAACCCAACTAGGCAATCGAAAGCGAGTGTAGAGGAATTGATATCTGGGTGATTTGGATAGTTTGGGAGGCTTGTAATTTGATGCAACTCAATTGGTCATTTGCTAAGGGTGTTTGTGGTATGTTGCATTTCTCCCAGTTGCTTGTATTTCGCAGCCATTCTCCAAAAGCTGGGTGGTTGCATCACAAATAAGAACGTTTAGATAGACTTCGTGGATAAGTGCAGAATGATCGAGCTTTTCTTAGACCAAAAACGCTGTATCTAGAAAGCGTAATTTAAATCTAATTTGGCAAGTTCAATACTTGGGTTCTATCTTGATACAGTGCAAGTACTCACATCAGATTCTAATATCTCTGACATTCCTGCCTTATCTTCAATAGATGTAACTTTTGAAAATCGAGTTGATTGAACCCTTCTTCTATTTTTCCTTTCCTCTAAACCACAACTCTGATTACTGTCTTTCTACTCTACCAGCGCTGAACTCTAGACACTCAACTTCCCAACACACAACACCAACGCTGCCTAGGAACAAACCGGTAAGCCAAAGAGACAAGATAAATAGATCCAAAACTCCCATTCCTTTGGTCCCACCACTTCACCAGATCCAAATCTCCAGGTACTTCTCACACGTGACCGAACTCGATATCTGCCCACTTCACCTACACTTCTTCTTCCAATGGCTTCCGGAGCTCCAGGTATGTACAAACCCTGATGAATTCAGGAATCCACTAACATCAGGCGGCAACTTCAAAGGTTGGTCACCCACACCACCCGAAAGAGGGTCCTTTCCTTTGGATCACTATGGTGACTGCAAGGACCAGATGATGGAATACCTCAAGTGCATGAAATTCACAGAGAACAAGAACGCACCAAACTGCCGAATTCTTGCAAAAAAGTACCTTCAATGTCGTATGGACAACCAGCTTATGGAGAAATCTGATTGGGATTCGCTAGGATTGGTCAATCTACCTGGGGAAGGTTCCTCAGAATCGAAATCTGCTGATCCCAAGACAGAAACGAAAAGTCTCCCAAAAGATAGCCCACCATCATCTCTGTAAATACGTGTAAATATATCTTTTGACTGAATATCTTTAGCTATATACTGGCGCTCACTTGCTTTCCTGTGCAGCCTTGGAGTCGCCTCTTCCTCCTCTACCTCTACCACGGCCTCTGAAGTTGCCTCTGCCTCTACCACGACCACCACGGCCTCCTCTTGAGGACTCGTTTTGGCCATTTGGCTTGCTCTCAGTAGCAGGTCCGGTAGGAATCTGCTGGGCTGATTGTTGTTGAGGAGGTGCCTGTTGGAAGAACTGTGGAGGCAATGGGACACCAGGAACAACGGGTATTTGTTGACCTTGAGGTGGAGGTGCCTGGCCTGCTCCTCCATACAAATGTGGTGGAATCACCATGCCATTTGGTGGAGCACTTCCCTGACTCATCACGTTGGAGTAGATCTGGCCATAAAGTTGTCTCACACGGTTGGCATCGTGAACAGCAGCCTCGTCGGCTTCCTGGGCCTCTTTGCTCTTAGAATCAGAGTCCTCCTTACCCTCAGCCTGGTCCTTGTTCTTTTTGAGCAACGAGAGGATCTCGTTGGTGTGCTTGGAGGTCTTCTCCTTCTCAACCTTCTCCTGTGCCTCGGCTTGTTTGGCCTTGGCAATCTCAGCCTGTCTAGCTCTAGCGGCTCTTTCCTGTTCTGTCAATGGCTTCTTGTCCTTAGAAGCCTTGGAGTGGAACACTAATTGTCTGTTGGTGATGTTCAACACAAGCGAGGAGTCGATGATCATACCTCTGTTGGTCTTCAACTTGCCGCTCATGTTATTACCGTTCACAAGTGGTTCATCAAAAACAACACCCAAGGATGTTTTCGTTCCTACAGCGGTGATGCTGACAATGGTACCCTTGGTTAACTTGGGCACCTTACCGGAGTCCTGGACGTAGATGACACGGTCTCCGAGATCGTATCTCTGGTTGCCCAATAACTGGTACGAGGCACTAGGGTTGATGATGGCCTCCTTGGGAACACCCTTGATATCCTTGTTGGACAATGGGAGTGGTCTGGTCATGTAATCGTTCATGAAGTCCTCAATAGCAGCGATACTGAATCTCGTCAAAGACTCAGACTCCAAGGAAACTTGCACCATTTCGGACTTGGCAGCCTTCAACCATCTGCGTACCTCTTGCACCTCTGCCTCGCTGCTGACCTCCTCGATAGGTGGCATATCACGACGGTCCTTGAGGCTGATGAGGTTCTTGAAAAGCTTGGGGAACTTGTCTTGGTAGTCCTTGATCAACTTCATAGCCAATGGCGAGTACTCCCAAAATCTGCCACTCTTTCTGGTGTAGCCCAAAACCTTCACACGACGGGCATCGTTCTTGATATCCAAACCAACATTGACACGACCCGCCTTCTTGTCTCTGAGCATGAAAGCACTCGTGATCTTCGACAAGAAAAGGCCATTCAATCTCAAAGCCTTAGCAGCTTCGTAGGAACTAAGATATCTAATCTCGCGGTCCTCAATCTGCAAACGCTTCTTACCGATGTTGGGTTCCAAGGTGGACTGGATCTTGTCAACTCTGACATTGATCTTGTCGTTACCGGTGTATCCAGCAACAGTAGCAGGAGCACCGTAGGCGAAAGCACCCAAGAAGACAACTGGTAACCCAACTGGGAATTCCTCATCAATTGGCTTAGGTGGCTTGACCGCATATCTCTCATCCTCATTAACAACTTCCTCAACAATCATCTGGATTGGCACTGGCTCCTTGTCGTAGTGGAAAGACTTGACGTAAGCACCAGACTGGGCTCTGACCATACCCTTGATGCGCTGAACGAACACGATGGCCTCAATGTTCTTGAGATGGACGGCCTTGGTTTTAGCGTATTCATTGCGGAGTCCTGACTTGATCTGAGAAAATTCTCTGTGTTCATCGGAAGTCAACTCATTAACAATGAATTTACGACCAGTGCCCGCCTTGATCTTCTCGTACTTGAACAGACCATCCCACACTTCAGTAACCCTCGATTCAGTCAAGAATGGCCAATTGCTGTAAACAATTTTACCCAAAAACTTTTGACTGAACTGTTGTATCGACATATCACTCCAAATGTTGTCAATCTTGAGGTTCATCGACTCAGATCTCGATGGGAAGTTGAAAACCTTGACCTCTGATAAGTACAAATCGGATGTGAATGGAATAGTGTAGAGCGTTGGGAAACCTGCTAAAAGCTCCTTACCCAACTTGGCGCCCTCGGGCAAAGCAAACTTGAATTCAGGATCCAAGGGAGGCAATTCGAAGTATTCCTCGTAACATCTGTCATGCTCAATGTCATGGAAGAAGCCAGGAAGTGGGGTTGGATAAACAGAGTCATTCTGTGGGTTGTAGATAAAGATAATGTCCTTACCATAGCTGTTTCTCCTGGTTTCAGTAGGCAGAAGCTTAGATTCAACAGGCTTCAAAACTTCAAGGAGCCTCTTCTCATCAACAAAGTCCAACAAAACAACAGCCTCCCAGGACGCGGTTTTACCATTAAGATCCACATCAACCTCATGTGGGTAAAAGTCCTTGATAGGAGAATGTTCATCAGTCATCAATGGTCTGTAAACGTCAGGCATCAACTTCCTGGATCTGGCAGGAAGCACAGCCATAAGCTGCTCAAACGGTTTGAACGGAGTGGACTGTTCAAATTGAACCTCGGACTCATTCTTCTCCAACATATCTTTGATACCAATGGCGATATCAGAAATTCTGGGTGCGTAGTGGAATCTGAAGTACCAACTCCAGGAGCGGCAACCCTTGTAGTAATAGTACAAAACCCATTGCAAACCCTCCAAGTAATGTCTCGTTAAATCAATCATCTTGTCATTATCGTGAATTGAAAAATGCAACTTGTCTCTGTAGTATTTGTCTTTCCAGTCAACGAACTTAGCGTCGTACAAGTCTTTCGTCTCCTTCATCAACTCTTCAGTAGCAAACATGTTAGCGTTTTGGTACTTTCTGATCACCTTCTTCAATTCAGCAACTCTTTCGTTGAAGTCCTCAGGGCTTTCATAAGGTGAAATACCGTCAACGTCGTAGATGGCCTCATAAGTGTCCTTCGACCTGGAATGGACAATGAGGAAGCCCGCCTCCAAAGCGAACTGCTTGAAGAACTCAAGATGGAGCTCAACTTCATCCTTAGGCAAAGAAAGCGTGGGCAAAGTTTGGCTGTCAGCCAACTCCAAAAGCTCCTTGACAGGACGGTGCCCCACCTCCAAAATCCATGGTTTTATGAGGTGAACCAAGGTCTTCTGGTCCTTCAACACAAGCAACTTACCGGATCTCTCTCTTTTCTTTTCACCAGTGATGGAGATTTCTTCCAATCTCTTGTTGAACCAGTCGACATCGACATCCTGCTTCTCGAAGTTCTCCAACTCGAACTCCGACAAGTACTCAAGCCAAGTGCCGAATCTCTTGAAATTTATCTTACCACCTTCGTTCAAGTAACCGTCTGAATGAAGCATACTCTGCTTAAACGTTCCCAATAGAAGTGGGAAAGCACCCTTGTTGATGTGCAAGTCGGGCAAGTTAGGTAAGAAATCATTACCGATGACGTACATGATCAAGATGAAGTCGTCCAACACCCGCTCAAAGTCATATTCAAAAGAAAGGTTGTTTTCCAAGTCCTTGAACTCCAAGGCCAAGTACTCTCTTAGCAAGGATAAATGCAATAAGAAAAACTTTTGGTCGTGAACATCGTTACTCTTGTTCTGGGAGCTAGGCCCGAATGTCACCTCCTCACGCAACAAGGAGAAGTGGGAGTCATGCGTCACCAAACCCAACATGATCAAGTCAGCGTCCAATCCGTAAATGCAGTGTCTCAAGTTAGGGTTATAGCTGGACTGTGATTTCATGGTTCTGATAAACTGCATGATCTTGTGCTCACCTTCACCTGGAACCTCATGGCCCGAAAGCACCACCTTGATACTGGACCAGCGGGTGTCCTCCGACATCTTCTTGTGGATAAAGTATTTCAAGTTGTCGGTCAAATTGGCCATGAACTCCGTACCTGGGGTAATGGCGTTGGAGTCGAAAGGATCCTCCTTGGGGATCTCGGCTCCCTGAGCAATCGCTTTTTTAAGATTCTCCTCTGCCTCGAAAGCAGTACGGAATCTTCTGGCACGTTGCTGATTCATTTTAGCTCTGGGTGCCACTCCATCAATGGCCATGTAGAACACCTCCTTGGGCTTGATGATATCGAACAAATGATCAATATAATTGAAAATTGCCGCGTATATCTGGTCATCAGTCATCCTCGTCAAGCTCAGATGGTTAGCATGGGTACACGTATGGAGAATGGAATTCATATCAAGGTACAAATTGTCAAACTCTGGGACATTGTCGCCCTCTACCAACTGGGAGATTAGAGGCCATCTCTCGGAGATAAACCGAAAAAACTTTGGAATTCCTGCTTGTTAATATAAAATTTCACACCTTGTGGTAAGCGTGAACATACCCATTGTGGTTTGGGGATTTACTGAGCCAACGCTGAAATATACACTGCTTGGGTGTATTGAATCGCACACGACCCTCACCAACGCTGCTGGAGACGCTTTATACCTGACCGGCAGCGTCTACAGATTTCGCAACCAAAGAAATATCTAATAAACACTAAGCATTAATTGGGGCATGGCCTAGTGACCACGAGCAGCTGCGTGTTGCTGTTTGACCTCCTTGAGTTCAGCTCTGCATCTCTCGAGCTCGGCCAGCCATTGGCTCATGATCTGGACCGATTTCTTGTACAAGTCCCTGCTTGTCTTATCGAGCCTCGACTTCATGATTGGTGCCTCCTGGCGAGCCTGCTCCCACCATACTTTGATATGGGCCTCCACTGCTGAAGAACCGGCGTCAGCGTTGTGTGAGATGCTCTGCAAAGTCGACTTGGCCTGGTCAAAGAAGCCCTGGAGTTTGACCTTGGACTCTGCCGAGAATGCATCTGCCACGTTTTTGCTCCGAGCCCAGCTCGATCTCATAAACGGGAGCACCTCCTCTTTGCCAAATACAGTGGTTTGGTTGTACGCCTCGGCAAATCTTGTCTTCGCATACTGCGTCTCAGGAAGGTCCTGGAACTCTGACCACAGCTTCTGACCGAAAGCAACGCTCTTTGAGAAGAAGCGTTTCGAGGCCTCCGCACCCTGATTCCAGATCTTGGGGGAACTCTCGACTGCACGTTCCCATACCTTGGCGATCCGCAATTGCCGTGGAGCTTCCTCCTGTGCAAAGAAGAACAGCTTCTTCTCCTGGGGCAACTCCTCGTAGGCGATATTGTTCCATAACGTGGCAAGCTTCTCGCTGACAGTGAGCTCCTTGGGCTGTGGGGCAGGGCGAAGCGCCGCCACAGAAACCACAGAAACCGCCAACGCCACGGCGTAGTAAAGCAAGAAGTCCTGGTGGCGATTGAGCGCCGACAACACCAGGTAGCGAGCGTGCTGGAAGAGGGTGAAGTCAAGAAGGAGCTCCTTGCGCTTGGCGTCAAGCGACGAGTACAGATCAGCGAAAAGGGCTCTGTAGATCAGGCGAGAGGCGTTTCTGATGGTCGAGTCAAGCTGGACAAAGGCTCTGTGGAGGAAACAAGCAGAGCACTGTTTGGCGACGGGCTCCGATTCAACTGGAGCCTCAGCTGGGGTCTCCAAACTGGGGGTATCAATGGTGGATTGGTTCTCCTTCTTGACAAAAGCCGTATTGGCCTCTTCAGGTTCGGTTCTGGGCTCGGGCGGGACCAAACCGCCCTCCAAATTGCTCTCCAGAGCGCCATCCACGTCCTCCAGGTCCCCTTCCAAAGCATCCTTCTCGTTCTTTATCTCCGTGGATTCAGGACCCTCCAGAACCACAGGTGATCCCGAATCAGGCAGTGGCGACGCCTCTGAATCCACATCGCGGTGCTGGATCTCCACGACGCTCTCCTCCTGTGAAACAGGCGAATCTTTCGATCTCTGGAATTCGTCATCGTTCTTCTCCCTGCCCGTCAAGGTATTGACCGAATCAGCAGGGGCGATTTCCGGGCGGGACGCCTCTTCAGAGTCACTTTTATCAGGAGTCAGTTGCAAAGGTTCATCGTCGATATCCGAGGAAGACAGAATAATCAGCCAGTCCTCGTCGGCAGTTACAGATGTGGACATGTTCATGGTGGTAGTAGGAGAGTGATAGGGAGTACAGATAAGGGGCGGTTATCGAGGGGCACCTCAGGAGCAGGACGCACACAATAGATAATTACTCACGCTGGAGAAGAGGGGTGGCGAGAGTGGCAAGTATAAAAGGGCGCTGGTTTCGCTCTAAAAAAATAATAAAATCTTTCTTTTTTAATAATTGAGGGCTTGGGTGGCCTCCTGCGACATGGTCCCACTGGGGTCTTATCGGTGGCGCCCTGGCTGCAAACCACAATTCGAAATGTGTCAATGTGATTGGACAAGAATGTGACATGGACGTTTTGTTTCGCGCCCAGGGTTTCGCGGCCTGTACGGCTTTTGCCCTTTTTGCCTTATTTCTTGTACACTTTGTTTCAGAATGGGTGCCTGGTGGCTATCGTGTCTCACCCCGCCGCACTGTGGCAGTATTTGGGTTTCAGGATTTGCCCCCTGTGTTTTTGTGTCACGGAGTCTGTTGCTGAATGTGAGGTTAATTTTGGAGATTGGGGTTTTTTTGATAGGCCAGTGCCGGATGAAGTCGGGTTATGCATGTTGATGTATGGGGTGGTCCTGGTCACTCCGGCGAGGCTCGGCTGGAGTACGGAATCGGTGTGAATGCGTGACAGATTTGGGTTTTCGGTGTTGGGGTTTCAAATCTTATTTCTGTATTTCTGCTATTGTGGCCACTGGCGGGTTGCTTTGTAGGTGGCTGAAGCGCAATTTGAAAGTTCCGTGATACCTAGCCCCACACTGTGAGGTAGCTTCAAAGGCAGGCAGTTTATAGAGGTGGCTATTCAGATTGACGGTTTTCAATGACCTTAAGCATCTCTCGTTCTTTGGACCTCTCAATTAGAACGGGCAGAGGAACTACTGTGCCATACTTAGTGGTCTACCATTCCACTTAAATCTCCTCCTTCGTCACTATGAACCTATCCAAGAGTATGACTTGTAGGGAATCGAGGAAGTCGAATGCTGAAGGACCATTTGAAATGTTGTATGATGCATGAAGAATCATCGGGCTTATTGGTGCAAATGCTGCTTCTCGAGGTATACAACGGTATTACTACGCTGCCGAAGAATGCTACTGAAACCCTAAGACGGCCTCTATTCTGTAATTGAGTGCAACTTCTGTAACATCGACTCCTTTGGTAAGAGCTATTTGGATCGTAATGGTTTGATGAAGTATGACCTCCACTCCTCAGTTAAAAAGGTCGATTTAGTAATTGTTCGGCCGATGTTGAAGGAGCCTCTTTAGTAGAACATCATGCAATAATTCGACTGTGATTATGAGAATGGTATACCAATAGCCATCTATCACGAAACGCTAGATCTTCTACACTCCGTACTCGAAGCATGTCAACGTCTCTCAAAACTGGAACAAATCCCTTACTATGATCAGAACAAGCTCTTATCTACTAAAGCGTCTAATCTTTGGGTTTGTCGTCGAATATTCAGTATCGTTCCCTATTCTTTGAAGTAAGCCACTAGTTCATTCCTCATGAACAGGCTCATGACCATGACCCTTCAGTCCACTTTCTTCTCCCTCTGGTCTAATACTTACCCCAACTCGTCATTTCCTGCCATCAAACAAAATCGCCCCACCATCGAATCAAGGGTCCTTCGATCAAACCATGCAATTGAACGCCTTGGTGGCTGCAGACTGCACCACAATAACCTTTCCACCCATTAGATTTCGAAGATTGCTATGCAAAGCCATTGACCGAAAAGTATCACAATGTTCCCTGTAAACGCTCTCCTCGATTCCTCAACAAGCGCAAAATACTTAGACCTTCAACGTTTAGCAACCTCATAGGCAGCTCTACAGCCTGTCCCACTAGCGCTTGTACCTCGAAGAGCCGTTTTGCATTAAATATTGAAAATGAAGGCTTTTGAATATGAAGGTTATGAAGGCTGAAAAGCGGCTGCCCAATTGGTGTTTCGAGGATTGCATGAGATGGCGGCAACCACCACATATGCTCCAAACACAAACTACGCTTTCGAAAACTCTTACAAATTTGTGCCCAAGCCGAAAAGACAAAATTTGTCTTCAATTCCTGAAATCAAAATAACCCCCAAAACAGCAAAGGTGGCTCTCCTCGCTCGGCATGCCTCGTTCACTATATCACATTCTCCGGTTAACAGCCGATGATGCACGGTCCCGCTGGGCATTTTGCTGCATTTTCAGGGGTTGTTAGGAGCCCCCCGAGTCCCGTCAAAAATAAAAGAACAATTTCAAAAAAAGAACAATGAGTTATTGCAAGGCAAGATCCAAGCGAGCCCGACTACCTCATCTACAAAATTACTCCCTCGTCAGTGTTCAAGCATAGGTTATATTCTTCAGCGGTGACCTCATTTTTTCGCCTTGAGGCAGCGACTTGCAGCTGCTGAAGTCGTGAATTAGAATTTGTTCAGTCTCCCAGTGGAGGCCGATTTCTGCCAATCAAAAATCACGACTTGGTTTCTTTTTTATGCCTTCGCTTCTAATACCTTCTTTTTTGGAAAAACATGAGCTTCCACCGGCAAACCTTCTGGCAACTTCCAATTTAAAGCGCTCTACATAACATTCTATTTGCCTGGACCATGCATCTCGCAGCCTGCCTTAAACGGTTCTTGGCCAAGTGGTCCGTAAATAATGGATGTATTTTTTCAAATTTTTTTTTATTTTTACAATTTCAATTTTTGTCGTTACATAGAGTGCAAATTCCACTATGCCCATTCCGTTTTCTTACCAAATCAACCAATCATAAATAATCCCTCCTAACCTCTGCACAGCGCCAAAACCCATGCTCGGCGCACATTGGCTTGTTCTCTCTAATGCTTGCTACATCCTCACTGAAGGGCCCTTACTTTAGTTCCCATACCTGATCTAATATTACAATATACCGTGTAGCGTAACGTGCTACCCCCGTATGCAAATAAAGAGTGTGATGTGTGTGTGTGTGTGTGTGTGTGTGTGTGTGTGTGTGTGTGTGTTTGTGTGAAAAGCTCAGTTGCCCCGGCTTCGCTTTCTTGGACAATCATCTTCAGCTGGTTCCCTCTTGTAACCTTGTGTAGGCGAAGTACCGCTCTTCTCAAGCATCCGAATCCTGCTGTCCATACTGGCAAGCAGGTCCTGCAACAGGTTTGTGTAGGTAAGCAAGTCATTGTACCTCTTCATCGACACAAACTTGTCGTTTGAATGCGGATATTTCCTCACGGGGCCATCACTCTGTGTGGCTTCGGGAGGTTGCGATGCAGCACTTGAACTCTCGTTGGATGCCGGCGTCTCAAGCTTCTGCGGACTCCACCCAGGAGCAGGTGCTATTTCTGGCTGATTGTGGCCGCCAATGTAGGGAACTCTCATGCCCATAGGCAGCTGCTGTCCGTCCTGGTATGACACAATGTAGAACTGCTGGTTGTAGTGGTTTTCCAGCGGCCTTTGTTGCATCATAAAGTGAGGAGACTGCGGATTCTGCGTTGGAGGCACCGTGGGTCCGTAAGGCGAGTTCCCACCGCCAGGGTGTGGATAGTTCATTTGCTGTACTGGCGGAGAGCCCTTGGGTTCCTTGCGAGCACGGATGTCCTTGGGGTAGTAGTCGTCATGCTTTCTGAAGTGGCCGTCTGGACGGTACTCACGGTCAGAAGCAAGACTCCAGCTTCCTGAAGAAGGAGTGAGCTGGTTCTGTTCCTTGGACGCCCGTTCCTCGTCGTGGTGGTGATGATGATGATAATGATGGTGATAATGCTGGGGCTGTGCTGGCACGTTTGGAGTAAACGAAGAATTCTCAGCAGCTGGAGGTCTCTCGGAATCGTGAGACTTGCGGTGGCGAACATGATGGTACATGGTGCCCGGCAACTTCTCTCCATCGCGCAGTTTCCCTTCCGTAGTGGTTGTAGTCGTAGTCGTCGTAGTTGTCGTGTTGTAAGGAAAGCGGGAGTTTGGAGTCGCAGAGTCCTGCTGGTGCTGGTATGCTCTCCAACGGTTGAGGTCGTAGTTGGACTTCTTGATGGTGTCGGACAAGCTGCCCAGAGACTCAGAGCTGAGGCTTCTGGGAGCACCAGCGAAGGCTTGCGTCTTCATGCTGCCTGAGTTGTCTGATCCCGATTTGCCTTCCATAGGTGTGGTAGCACTTGACGTAGCCGCCTTGAGCGAAGAAACGTCTGGTGCCACCGATGACGATGACGATGAGGAAGAGATGGCCTGGATTTGCGGTTTCGTTTCGGACTTGGATCCAGCAAAGATATCGTTCTTCAGCAGAGCCCGGCTCGGCTGAGGTTTTCCTGGACAAGCGTTTGGCGAGTTCAAGTGACGAGTAAGCGCATCGGTTCTGGCGAAACGACGAAGACACTTCTCGCAATGGAAAGGCTTCTCGCCCAGGTGTAGCTTTTCATGACGCTTGAGATCGTGGATTCTGCGAAAGGATAAATCGCACACAGTGCACACATGTGGCTTGGAGCTCAGGTGAATGAGTTCGTGAGAAACCATGTTGTGTTTGCGGGTGAAGCCCTGGTTGCAGATCTTGCAAAAAAACTTTTTTTGCTTGAGCTTCTTCTTGATGCCAGGCTTGGAAGACTCGTTCTCATGCTCATCTTCGTCCTCCTCATCGTAGCCTTCTCCGTCAACCAAACCATTTTCGGTCAGGTCAGTGGCAGAAGGGGCCAGATGAGAAAGCAGCTTGTCGGAGTCAGAAGTCTCGTTGCTGGCATCGTTGGACAGCTCTCTGTCGCCAGGCTCTTTGCTCTTATGAATAGGTATGGACAGGTTCTTCACCTCAGTGTCACTGGAGCCCAGAGAGCCCGGTTTCGTTTCCCGGGTGCCCTGTTCCTGGTCGGAGTTATCTAGGTTTCGGATATTTAGTCTAGAAGAAAGCGGAGGCATGCTGGAGGATGTAAGGACGAGATAGTGGAGGAGTGGCGTGGGATTATTTCACTTGAGGCAGGAGACGGAGTGGTGTGCTTGGGAGGGGTTTTCGAATTTTAGTGAATTAGCGTTGCCTGCAAGATTTGTGTTGCTTGTAAAAATTGTGTTGATTGTAGGATTTGTGGTAATACAACAGAGTCGACCTAGGCCAAAAACAATGAGGTTCGCAAGTGAGCAAGTGGTCCGGACCAGGAGGGATATATAAAGTGCGGACCAAAGTCGCTACAGGACCAAAAGAAAAGCGGGACCACTTAGCCAACTGTGCATCGGGACGTCAGCATTGGATGGACCAAATTAGCGCCAGACTGCACAGACGCACAGGGCCTAAACTTTTTGCTGTTTTGCTCAGCCGCTGTCGCTGGCCAGTGTGCATACGCGGAAATCCGACGCCTTCAGCAGCAACCACGGTATCGGCCTCCTTCACCGCCACCTGTGGCACCACTTTGAAATCTGCTTCCGAAAGCGGGTACCCTATGAAATAAAAATCAATTCAGAAAAACGCCGTTTGGTTGTGGCGCCGGAAAAGTGATCTCTGGACCGGCTAGCCCAACCAGCCCACTGCGGGTGCGATTGCACACTGTTCAGCGCGGTAGCTTGACAAACAGAGCACCGGGTTGGCCATCCCTTTTCGCAGTCCCGGTCTGCCACTTTGCACAAGAAGCTCTTTGTTGACTTGGTCCCGCAGAGCAAGCGAGATGTAGGCGAGCGGTTGGCGTTTTTGGTTTCAAAATATTCCACAACTTTCCACAACTTTTCAATTAAGAATTTGCCACCACCTCTTCGCCCCAGCCTCAAGAAAAGTTAGTTTTTTCTTACCAGGCCTGGAATGGGCCGGATGCCCCCCGGCTATTTGTCGCCAAACAGTGCGGACCATGCTTCAGTTTGAGACAGGACCTCACCGGCTCTAGCGCGCTGCCGGGCCTCTGCAGGTGCAACGGTCTCGCGGCTAAAGTAATTGGTCCAGCTTTGCCACACGTGGCGAAGCAGACGTTGGATCAGAAAACCGATACCACCACGCGGCTTGAAGGGTGCACTTTTGGAAGGACGTTTTTTTCCCAGATCCATTGCACCCCTGTGGCACTCCCTAGCCCGGCGCTTCAGCCTTTCGGATTTCCTTCGATTCGCACTCGCACAGCACGGCGCCTGTTGAGAATCCGGTCTTTGCTGCGCTGCCCCGTGGATTCTGTATCTCCTGCTGCGTCGACGGATTTGGGGGTGTTATCGGGCTTTGTGACTCTTCTTCGGTTATAGCATTGCTGCCTTGCCGGTTTGGGCCCTGCCTTTCCATGAGCCCACTGCTCAATTGGTCCGCGCCGGCGCCGCACCTCTGAAAAATGGTAAAAACCAAAACCGCCTCTTTTTTTTTCCTAGAGTCTTTCTAATGCTTCTCTGAAAACATTCATCATCTCATCCCCCCACCGTGCTTGGCCTCTTCTACCGGGATCTCGGCCCCGTGGCTTGCAACAGCAACATGCCTCTCCACATAAACCGCAGATCATTGCCGTCAACGGAAAATTGTCACTTAACTCAATTCACAGTCGGGGTCCCGAAACATCAGCCCACGGGCTCAAGCTTCCTCGATTTCGCAGTTGCCCCCGGAGTTCGGAACCCCGAATGCCTGGCGGGATCGAATGCAATGGAGTCCCGAAGATGCCCTGGCTGCGAAATGTGTGTCTCAGAAAAATCCAGGACTGATGTCTCACCTGGCGATCGACCTCAATTTATACTTTCGCTCAACTCCGTTTGCAGTGCTGCTGCATGATGACCTGGTCCAAAGAAACCTGTCGAGGGCGTTTGATTTGTGGTCTGATAAGATGGCTGAGGAGGTCGATGGAACGCTTTCATTAATTCTAGACGATTCAAAGGTTCTTCAGAAGGTAAAGCTATTTGCAGCCATTACTGCTTCTTTCTGGCACTTCTGTACTCTTTCCTCTTCCACTGACTTTCTAATTGGATATCAATGAATTTCTAAAAAATGAGACATGCTGAGGGCCCTGCTGCCTTTTATACTCTGTCTAGACGATGCGGGATTTGGTCCAATATTGCTTGGAGACCCTTGTATGCAAAAGTGACCCTGTGGACTTCCGTCAGGTGTCTCAGATGTATGTCTGTTATTAGCGACAGGGATGGGCCCGAGAAGAACCAAACACAGGGATAGTCTCTTTTGAAAATATTTACATCGGCAGAAGCCCCGTTTCCTATTTTGTTTGGCCTCCAATTTTTGCTTTCTTCCCTCCCCTGGTGTGCTCAAAATCCCATCTAAGACATCCTCCTCTATAAGCAGCTCTGCGCAATTGGCCACCCTTTGAATTTAAATGCCGGTAGTGGCGATACTTTTGGCCTGAAAACCCGTCTTGCGTCTGGGCGGGCTTCCGTGATTTCCTGGTCCAATCAGAGAGAAGGACGTTTGTAATGTGTATTACACCTCGGAGAAAGCTACGATTTCCCGATTTCTGATACTAATGGCAATGTGGGATCAATACGATTGGTTGCTTGCTTTCAAGTGACAACTACCACCTTTTGTTCTTTTTCATGGCTAATTTGACTGCTGGAAGTCTCTGGGGCTGAGTTGCAACCGCAGCACGGAACCCCGATATCCCACTTCAATCTTTTAGTGCCAGGATCAACTATGTTCTGGAAACCTCGAAGCATGGCTGCAAAGTGCCCCTGCAGTGTCTATTCACGCTTTGAGGCATATAACTAGAAGGAGCCTCAGTCCAGGGTATGAAGAATTTGCAGAAGTACAATTCTCGCATGATTATTTGACACCGTTCTTCGGAAGTTACAATTCTGTAGGTACAGTTAGTTGATTTCCCTGGGAATTCATTGGTTTCTGTGTATTACTGTTTTCTCTCGATCAGGCCCTACATTCACTATTATACTAAAGGGTTTAAGAAGCCACAGCCATTTGCAGTGAATGCTGCTCGACTTTATGCCCTGTTCAATACATGCTCGGTCTTTGTTACGCTGTTCCCTCCAAAACTCGATGTTTTCAGCAATGTGATAATGAGCTGTCCTTTTTTATCCCCGATGTTGCCAAGTTTGCATTCACTTTATTGTCATTGGACAAACCCATTCAGTTAAGAGCACGCAAAGTAGTTTAGCCAATATTGGGCGAAAATGTGTGCATTGGCGATGTGGGGCTGGAAGGGATGAACATCGTGAAGCTTTCGTTCGCGTATCAGCTTGAAGAGATGGTCTTACAGGTGTTGGGTAGAACTGTTGGCTGCTTTTTGTGTACTATTTCATTGCAGCCGTTATTTGGTCTATTAGTCTGAGCATTGTAATTACAGATTCTCAATCCAATTAAGGCAATGTTGGAATTGTGAAAGATCGGTAGAAAAAATGCCAGATTCTCTCTGTTTACTTTATTGTAATTCAACGTAGAGTGACGTTTACTTTATTGTAATTCAACGTAGAGTGACATTTTCTAAAGAAGATATGGTAATTAAGTTTGCCTCATGTCTGTTGCAATCTACATTCTCACCATACTACACTCAAGTTCGCAACAGTTCCACAATTACCAACGATCAAGAAAAACCAAAAAATCAACCTAACCTACCATCACTGGTTGCGCCACTTTCCAAGATCACCCGGTTTCGGTTATCTGATCTAGACCGGCCTGGGTCCCGCCGCACTGTGGGACAGATCCAACCAATCAGGACCAAATACGGAGAAAATTTTTCAACATCGAAAAACCCCATTTCACTTTCCTTCAACGGAATTATGACACCTTTTTTACAACCCTTTGAAGCCAAGGTGAGCTCCGCCTCGGAGTCGGTTCATATTTAGGTAAACGTCCTGCACACGCCACACTCGCCCCACGTGATGCTCCCACCAATAAACACCAACAAAACAATACCGCCAGATGGGTCGAAGGTTTGACGACCCTGGTAGTTCGAAAATCACCCAATTCTTAAAAGTTGTACATTTTAATTTTTTTACATTCCTCCATCTGGTGGCCATCATCTCTCCAACTCTTATCGGTCATTCGCGGCGTCACTACAGCAACTATCGCTATCTAGCATTATCGCTTAGTGAGCAGTGCCGAAGATCCACCATAACTGGACACGCTTCCCGTCAAACGACTTGAAAAAACACATGTAGCTTCTTCATGACCTCAACTATAGGGCTAGCTTCTTCAGAGTCCGAAAAACGGGCGGCTATCTCTTTTTTGCCTCCGCACGACCGTGTTGAGGAACCCCTGACTTTCGATGTTCGACAACGTCGACAACCATTCTTGCCATAATTAACGACTCTGTGCTCCATCTGCCCACGACTGCTTAAATTTGTTCCCCGGAATTTCCCCAGACCGCTGCTTTTTCTTCAGATTCGCAGACCGATCCCGTCATCTTGCGCAATCGGCGATTTACTCCTCATCAATTTGTGCTCATAGCAGTTTTCTTGCTTTCCAGAGAGCTGAGTGAATAGTGGAGATCAAAATTGCTATTGCATTTTGCAGACGTTCTAATTGCTGGAGCGAGTTTTTGAATTTACAGTCTATTTCAGCCGCTGCAGACTTAAAAGTCCAGGTTCGGCCTCGGACTTGTGTTGATAACCAAAAAACACCACAGTTTCCCACAACCAAGGCTCTCTTATCAGTCTAGAGAGACCAAACATAGTAGCGATGTCGTTGATATCCAACAGAAAGAGACCCAGAGGGTTTAGTGAGACGTTTGATTCGTCCCGAAAGACCGCCGCTTCCGATGGAGTACCTAATGCTTCTACGGCTCAGAAAACAAAAGTTTTTGACAATATGTCCCCGCTGTCTGTGTCAACGTTCAACGAGTCGCCTAATTTGAATCTCAATATAACTTTGAACAATTCTGAGACCACAGACAACCACAGTTTTGATAAGCATCATAATGGCGAAGTATTGGAGGAAGAGGATGAAGACGACTTGTACGGCGAAGATGATGATGCCTTTGACTTGAATGACGAAGTTGTGTTCCTTGAAGAACGCAAGATCCAGCCATCTTTTGCCCAACGTCGTCAACATAGAAACAACTCTGACTCCATGCTTCTCTTGGATCAGGATGTTCGAGATGCTTACAACATGTTCAATGTGAACAATATGAACGTGAATGATACCCCTATGGACAACAAGCAGTTTGAGATACCCCATCATGCCAACCCAGGCGTCAAGAAGCAAAGAACAAACTCGTTGCCTCAACTACCCCAAGCTAAGTGTTTCTATCAAAAATTGCCAAGCAACTATATCCTTCAGCATCCCAAAGTTGGAAACGTCAAGACGCATATAATCCCGCATAAGATGAACCTACCTCCATGTGATGACGAGGATGGTCACTACATTGTGCGGGAGAACGATATCTTTGCTAATCGTTTCGTCATTCAAAAGCTTGTTGGCCAAGGAACTTTTGGCAAGGTGGTTGCATGTTATGATAAAGTCAACCGTGATACTGTGGCCATCAAAATTATCCGTAATATTCCAAAGTACAGAGATGCCGCCAAGATCGAGCTACGGATTCTCACAACGTTGAAAAAGTTTGACAACGACAACAAAAACCACTGTATCCACCTTCGGGAGTGCTTCGACTACAGAGGCCATATTTGCATTGTGACAGACTTGCTTAAGATATCGCTTTACGACTTCTTGGAGAACAACAAGTTTAAACCATACCCTGGTTCACACATACAGGCGATCTCCAAGCAGCTCATAAGGTCGGTGACCTTCTTCCACGACCTCAACTTAATTCACACAGACCTCAAACCTGAGAATATCTTGTTGCATGACGACACTTATCTGCGCAAGCAGCTTAAGAGCTCTACCATCATTTCCAGTTACTTCAATCTTAATTCAAGCAGCGAAAAGCGCAGGCTTGACAAACCACCGAAGTTCCTGAGGATATTGAACAACCCACTTATACAAATCATTGATTTTGGCTCGGCCATCTTTGATGATGAATACCATTCCTCGATTGTTTCCACGCGACACTATAGAGCGCCAGAAATCGTCTTGGGCGTTGGGTGGTCGTTCCCCTGTGATGTGTGGTCGATGGGATGTATTCTAGTGGAGTTGGTGATTGGTGAGCCGGTGTTCAGGACTCACGATAACCTTGAACACTTGGCAATGATAGAAAAGATATGCGGCACGAAAATCAGCAAAGAGATGGTGAGGTACCTGAAGCAGAAAGAGAATGAGTGTGGTTTGAAGTACTTCACCAACGACTACCGTCGTCTGTACGGCGAGCACTTTAGTGATGACGAAGACGACGATGATGTGATAATAGATGACGAGTCCACGGAAGACAACTCGCTACTGTTGATTTTCCCCACGCCAAGCACTCCAGAAAAGTTTATCAAAAACGTCAAGCAGCTTCTGCGCATTGATTTGTTCATCAGTGAGAGGATAGGATTGAACATCAATTTTGACCAGTCGTTGAGCGAGAATTACCAGAGCAACTGGCATTTGATCAACTTTGGCAATTTTACGTTCTGGTGGTTTTTCATTGACTTGTTGCGCAAGATCTTTGTGATTGACCCGAACGAGCGAATCACAGCGCTCGAGGCGCTTGAACATCCGTGGTTCAACTTGGGAATTGAGGATGAGGGTACCATTTAGTTCTAGACAGGCCATCCAGGGACAGGGCTTCCGATGGCCGCGGGCAGGCGATGAGACCTGTGTGCGAATTTCAGAGATAATGTTAGGGTTAGCATGGGTTGTTGGTGGTGATCGTATGAAAAAAAATACGGGAAACCATTAGAGACAACACAGCAACTATATGGAAATTGTTTTAAGGAATAGGCCGATTTGGCCAATGATGTGATAAGGAACACAAAAGTAAAAAAGTCGGGCATCGAAGGGCAAGAAAATTTCTCGACGTCCGGCTCATGTAGACGCATGTGGATAATATGACTTCTCAAACGAGCCGCCTGCGGTGCGGCTGCCGATAATCATCAGGTCGCTGTGATTGGGTGAAACCTTGAAAATAGGGGAATTTCTACAATTCCTTGAAATAAGGGATCTGTTGATCGAGGGTTGATTATTGGGGAATTGGTAAACAGTGCGGTGAGTAAGAGGCTTTGCGTAGCAAAAAACAGTGCGAAATAGCAAAAAACATTGGAACCAAAGAGGCATCTGCGACCAGAAAAAAAAAAAAATAGTCCCTATTCTGACTAAAGCACCTGTTAACTCACCGCCTGCCGGGCAACCTGGAATGTAAGTGCTCGAGGTGGCAACGGAATGGTTTCAGGCCTTCCTGCAGATTCAGGCTTATACGACGTTTATTGTAATTGGCTATTGAAGATAAAAAAGTTGCCATTCATGAAAAGGCTGACAAAGACGTAGGGTGTGGTGAGGGAAGTAGGGAGGGTTTTTTTGAGTTTGAGGTGGCTTTGCGAGTGTTTGATTTACAGACTCGCGAACCAGTACCGTGAATCAGGCTTAGGTGAAAGTCGAGGGATCACTTTGTTATACTTTTTCAGTTTATGGTTGAAGGGGCGAAGGGGTGAGATTTGTAGAGTTGATTTTCAGTGGTGGGTTTGTGGCACATTTGGTTATTGTTGAGCGGCATTCTGTGAGGCATTCTGTGAGAGCCTAGGCATCCTATGGCGATCTTCTACATATTTTTTTTTTTTTTTTTTTTTTTTTTTTTGTACTTTTCAAACTGTGCAATTCAGGCCCAGACCAAGGCCAAGATAACGCATCGAAGTTTGAAGAAACGCAGCCCATACCCCAGGACCACTAATGACTCTTGCAAAAGAAACAAAAGTTGCATAAGCGACCCATAGAGAGAGCATTATGGTCTGGAGGAGATACGGCGAGAGCCATATGAAGAGAATTTGAAAAAAGGCCAGGAGAAGCAAAGCAATTTGTAGGTACCACGTTTCTCGCCTCACGGACGATCTTGACGCTGTCGTCTAGACTAGGATCGACACAGTAGATAGGCGCCTTGGTAGTAGCACAATACCACAGTGTCGAGGCGAACCAGACAAAAGAAAAGGGACTCCGAACGGCGGCAGGGTATGTTGAATTTTCTTGATTCCAAGCCGTGCAATTCTGTCCATTCACATTCTACGACTCCTTAGATCTCCGTTCCTAATTCACCATGTCTGGATCTCGATTTCCCGGATCTCCCTGGATCACACCCTAGAACCCCTATCGTCATTGATCGTCCAAAAAGTTGCTTCTACCGACGTTGGCGGAGCGTTGCATTGCCACTCGGCCCAAGATCAAACGGCTCTTCCAGTAGATAAAGGAAGGGCTCTGAGTGGCTCTCTGCTGGAGACGACGTTTAACCGCCGAGCCAAGTCTCCCGGCTCCGTCCCCCCATTTCCTGTATTCTACATTCTCTTAATTTCAAAAACTCAAGCTCCTGACATATTTCGACCGCCTCACCAAAGATCTCGTAATATCTCACCTTGGTCACTTAAGCCTAGCGTTGATGGCTGCGAAATTTGTCGTCAGAACGCCGAAACGTAGCTCCTGCACAGAGCCATGTCCCGCGACAATTAAGCCTAGTTGGGCGTTAATTAGCCCGTCAAAGTCTAGACCCCTGGCTTTATGCGCCTTGGCTCAGTTGTTGTCATGTACTGCACACAGGCCGAACAAAAAAAGGCAGCAAAAAAAGAAAAACACTCACCTGTGCCTTCTCGCTGCCCGCTGAGCCTATATATTTACACGCCATCCTCGCACCTTAAGCCTTCTCCTTTTTTTTTTGTTTAGATCCACGGTCCCAAACATTCTTGACGTAAAAAGCTCAGCACTCCTTTTGAGTTTTTTAACTTCCAACTACATTCTTTCTTTCCTGTCAATTCTGGACATCCACTCTTTGTGATCCAGATCCAACTACCGTCTTTCCTTAGATCCAAGAATGAAAACTTTCATCGTGTCCGCTCTTTTGGCCTCCGCCATGGCCGCTCCATCCGGCTTCCACAAGCACCACCACCACCACCAGAACGAGGCTAGAGCCGTCGTGACTACTTTCAGAACCGTCACTGTTGGTGGCAACGGTGAGGTGAAGGGTGCTGTCGAGACCTCCTCGGCCTCCTCTGACTCCGTCACCACCTCCGCCTCCACCACCACCACTTCCTCCGACTCGTCTTCCTCGTCTTCCTCGTCTTCCCCATCTTCCTCGAGCGCTTCTTCCGACTCGTCCTCCTCGAAGACCAGCTCCACCCCTTCCTCCAGCCCATCTTCCGGTGGCTCTGGTGGTATCAACGGTGACCTTTCCCTCTTCTCCGACCCAACTGAGAAGTTCGAGGACGGTGTCCACGACTGTGACTCCTTGCCAACCGGTCAGGGTGTCATTGAGGTTGACTGGCTCTCTGAGCTCAAGGGCGGTTTCACCACCATCATGAACCTGAAGGGTGACACCTCCTCCACCTGTAAGGACGGCTACTACTGTTCTTACGCTTGTCAGGCTGGTATGTCCAAGACCCAGTGGCCTTCTGAGCAGCCATCTAACGGTATCTCCGTTGGTGGTTTGTACTGTAAGAACGGCAAGTTGTACAGATCCAACAAGGACAAGGACTACTTGTGTGAATGGGGTTACAAGGGCACCAACTTTGTCTCCAAGATTAAGAAGGACGTCGCGATCTGCAGAACTGACTACCCTGGTTCCGAGAACATGAACATCCCAACCTTGTTGGAGGCTGGTAAGTCCGCTCCTGTTTCCGTTGTCAACTCCGACCAATACTACAAGTGGAAGGGCGGCAGATCTTCTACTCAGTACTACGTCAACAATGCTGGTGTTTCTGTTGAAAAGGGTTGTATCTGGGGTACTTCCGGCTCTGGTGTCGGTAACTGGGCTCCTGTTGTCTTGGGTGCTGGTAACACTGGCGGCAAGACCTACTTGTCTTTGATCCCTAACCCCAACAACAAGGATGCTCCTAACTACAACATCAAGATCCGGGGTGCCAACGGTGCCAGCACTGTCGGTTCTTGTTCTTACGAGGACGGCAACTACAAAGGCGGTCACGGCTCCGACGGTTGTACGCTCACTGTTAGCGAAGGTGACGCCGAGTTTGTCTTCTACTAAGCAGTTTGCATTTCGATACCCTTCGCTAGTGTCGAGGATGTGTCAAAAGTTTGAATTTCGCTCGCCATAGTATTGTTCTTGTATACCTGAGTCTACAGGCTCAAATTTGTTAGATTGTAAATGAGTTTTCACCTATTTGACTTGTAAGACTAGCCGAATGCAATGGTTTCACAGTACCCGAGCACCAATTCCCCTTTGCTCAGAAAAAGCTTATGCAAATCACCCAACTTCTCGTCCGGCGTTGGTTGGAATGTGCTCAGCACATACAAATGAATATGCTTTAGTCGAAGCCTCTTCATTAGGTAATTCAGAACAGTAGCCACCGTCTGAGACCCTGAAATCTTGAATATGCTTGGATTTATGGCTGGTGCTGAGCCAATTGGATGAAAACGCAATGTGACTTTTTCACTGCTGGTTTCCAAAAGCTCCTTGAGTGGATCCTCTTCCCTTTTCGGTAGCACCATCAGCGTGGACAACGGCACTTTCTGGTCTGCTGTCTCAGCCTCGAATTCTGCCAGCAGCACCAGGTCCAGCACATCCAGCGCATCCAGGTTCATTATGATGAATTTGACAATGTGCTTTGAAAGAAGGCTGAATTAAGTGAGGTAATGCAAAAGCGATTAAACGGTGTCTTTGCCTCCTCGAGTAAATCTGAGTCTATCTCTCGATTTTGACAGCTTTTGATACACTATCTGCGTGGTATGTCGATTGGGGCTGTGGTGAGAATGCTCAAAAGGCAGCAAGCATTCAATGCCACCAAATGCTGGAGATACCCAAATTTATGGATGAAACGAAAAGGGCTGTGAACGAATTGCCCAATTGATGGATCTTGATTTGCTTATCGCCTTGGGGTTATCAAGTAGGCTGTGTACTCAGGGTTGTGCTTGCAATCCTGAACCACAAGTGTAGCCACGACAGAAGTAACGAAGTAGGAGTCAAAGTAACGAACACTATTAGAAGAGATCTCTGACTTCTTATCCCTAGATAAACAATTGTCAGTAACCGGTCTGATACCTTTATCAGATTAGACCCCTGGATGCTCGTATAACGGAAGTATCAACAGTCCAGCTTCACAATCAATGCCCCTTGGGTAAACAAGTTCACTGTATTTCTGAAAACGACCCTCTTTGATCAATCTTCGAATAGCTTCCCCTCCCGTTCAGCCGTTCACAACTGTATTGAAGATGGAGACCCGTACATTGTCTAGTAGCGCGGCTAGAAACGAGAAAGACACTCAAAGGAACAACTATGTCTGATACCGAACACGAGCTGGGGCTGGATGCCACCATTGAGGCTCAGGAATTGGAGAAGATTTTTGAAGTTTTCACCCAGGCGGCCGCCGAGGCCAAAGAGCTGGGGGATTTTTTGTCCTACTCCACCATCTTGGATATGTACTTGAGCGAGCCAGAGAGATACCGTGTGGAGGAAAGAGACCAGATCTTGAGCCATCTTTTGAAGATTTTGGACCTGGACCACGACTTGGTGTATGAAATTGGCTGGGATTTGCCCGCCCTTGTGCTTCCCTTTGTGGAGTCAGACTACGCCTTCGATGGAGCACTCCGCAATGCTCCATGTGTCTTCAACGTGTGCAAGATCTTTGAGCTTTTGGCCCACCATGGCAATTCGAAGGAGTTGTTTTTGAAGAGTACTGAGCTTTTGAGCGCCTTGCTGGAAAACGACGCTGTCACGGAGAATACCTACTTCAGACACAAGTTCTACGATGTCAAGCTCTACTGTATCTTTGAATTGATCGACAGCTGCTTGAGACGCATCCACACGCTTTACCCCTCGCGTTTTCTAGCCATGACAGTGGCCAGTTTCATCAATTCACTTCATGGCAACCCGGTGGCCGACCTAGGCGAAGCCGATTTCCGCTGGAAGAGAGTCTACAGCTTTGCCAGAAACTACCAGAGACCACCGCTTCCAGAGAAAATTGAGGTTTCTCCCACTGAGCTCGAGAAGATCAACAGCGACGAGGACTACTTGCAGCGGAAGTTGTTGACTGGATTCGTCACTGAGGCTGTGAATTTAGTCACCAAACGTACTGTGGTGGGCTTTGCCACAGACTTCCTCAATTACCTCCAGTGCGTGGCAAAGAACAAGGAAAGTGAGCACAACGTCTTCCTACCGGTCCTTGACCGTCTCGTGGAGCTCGCTCTCTCGTTTGATGTGGACTTGACAAACAACTTCAAGGACTTCCTCGAGGAAAGCAATGATTTGGTCGACACGCTGGAGCTAGAGGGTGAGGATGACGACGAAAAGCATGGGCATTTGTTTGAGAAGTTGGTGGTAAGCTACCAAAAGACCATTGTCAGCTCCTTGATAAGCAGTGAGGCTAAGGCAGTCCATGACTCTGCAGCTGGTATGTTGGTTCTCTTCACAAACTCTGTGGGCCCCAACAAGGACATGAAAAAAGTCACGGTTACTATCAATGACGCTGTATCACTCACACTTCGATTAGTGGTTCCAGGCATGATTCATACCACGTTTTTCAACAGGGGTTTCTCAGACATAGCCGTGTTCTGGTCATGGTACGCCATTCATCAAGCCAACCTCGAGAAGCGTAACCTCTCGTTGGAGCTTTCCAAAACTCCATCCCTTCTTCTCCTGGCATACCTCCAAGCGTTGCTTTTCATGTTGATCTCCAACCGTGAATACCCCAACTTGAGATACGTCGTGCTTACACTCTTGACTAAAGTTCTTGCTCATGCCCCTGAGGATACAAGTTATGCATTTTTGATTGACTCATTGAACGACTGCCCCTATGAGAACCTCAAGACTGCTTTGGTGGGCGTCTTCAAGGAGTTGGTTACCAAAGAGAAGAGCGATCTTTGCGACTTGACAAATACCCTACAAGATACCAGCATTTCAGAGTCCAAGTCTGACAACTCACGCCCACCTCCACTTCCAAAGAGAAACAGCTCTCGCAGCACGAGGTTCATCACTTTGACAGACAGCAGAGTCAAGGAGCTACAGGGAGTGTTACAAAATACTGTTGACCGTACTTTTATCACTGAGGATGGCTCTACCACCATCGACAGAGACACTTGCGGAACGTTGGTGGCGCTTTTGAGTCTCCAGCATGTGCTCCAAAAGTCTGGTCTTATCAAGGACGAAAGCAGCGAGGTTGTGTCTTCCTTGAAAAGCAAGCTTCAAAAGTTGGAGGAAGCTAAGAGTGAGGATCCTACAACTGCCAACATGGCCGGTATTTTGAACATCTCTCTTGAGCGTCTCTCTAGCTAGATACATAGACAATTCATTTCTTGCCCTTTGCAGCGCCCTTCTTGGTGGTCGATGTAGTAGCTCTGTCCTCCACCAAGGGTCCCCAGTAAACGAAGAAACCTTCTTTGGTTGTTGTGATTTCCTCTTCCCATTGAAGCTCCTCATCATCAATGAAAGGATCCTCATAATCGTACTTACCCACTTTCCTGTTCATACGAGTCTCATGCTGTCTAGCTCTTTGCTCCTCTGTTAACTCGTCATTGTTCTTCTTCTTGCTTTGAGCATTGCTCTTTTCAGTTTGAGCATTGTTCTTTTCGTTCTGAGCTAGCGTGTTGCCCTTTTCATCCACAACCTGTAGCTCATCATCGTCATCTTCGTCGGCGCCTTCGTCTTCGTCATCAAGCATCTCATCCATGAGGTCAATTGCCGACTTTGCATTGGGATGTATCGTGTTCCAGCCGTACTTCTCCTCTGCAAGTTTGAGCACATTGACAACAACCTCGGCCTGGCCGGGCATGGGAGCCTTAGGGTCAAGGAGAGGAATATTCAATGCAATGATAGGTGGAGGAGCCGCCAGTTTATCCTTCTTGTCCTCGTGCGGCGAGTTCTTAGAGTCATCCAGTTGCTCCTCCTTCTTGAGCGACATGACAGCAGGTTTTTCTAGCTTGACTGGCTGACTCTTCGTCTTGGCCTTATCGGCTGTCGCCGTAGGATGTATAGATGGTTTATCAGCAGGTGCAATGGCAATTTCAGGAGTCTTCTTTTTGCTTTTGGGGCCTGGCTTCTTGGGCTCTGCCTTGACATCACCTTTTGCTGTCTTTTTCTCTGTCTTGGCCTTTTTAGCAGCAGAGTCCGTCTTTGCGGATGATGCTCTCTTCTTCTTCTCAGGTGCTGGCGCCAGCAGAGCGTTGCTTTCCTCGGAGTTGATGATGGAATTTATGCTTGTTTTGCTTGGGCCGCCTGCCCTCCATTGAATGGTAGAGCTGTCGATTGGCTCCGTAGAGCCCACTTTGAAGTTACTTTGGAAATTCTTGATATAGTCCAGCACTGCACCAGGATTATCGCCCATCGTGTTAAGCTTATACGCCAAAGGCGACGGCCTACGATACGATGGTGCTAAAGGCACGGGCAGCCGCAGTGCTCGTTCGTTATCGTCCACCACAACAATCTCTGGTGGTGAAGAACGCTCGTCATCAATCACTATGGGTTTCTGCGCCAGATTGGGCCTTAGTTCGCCCTGTGCCTGGAAGTCAGAAACAAGATTCAGGATTGGGTTTGGTCTGTATGGCGAAGCCGAGTTGAGGGGCTGTGGACTTTGGGACCCCATGTGTGGAGCTGGGGTCTGACTCTGGTTGGCATACTGATATTCCTGTTTGGCATTCTCCTCGCCACCGCCTAGAAGCAGCGATATAGGCACGTTTCTTTGACTCATGTGCTTGATCTATTGATGAAATGCCCTGGGTGGACGTGTTGGTATATCAGAAGACTTGGTGAGGATGTAGATGTTGGATGTATTTGAGGTGCGCATTGTGTGTAGACTATGCTCTGTCCAACTGGATCACATTGGAGTGGAACCCGAGCTTGCTCAATTCTAGGCAGGTATCGCTGCCGTAGCCTTCAATTGAATTCATGCTGAGGTTTCCGTTCCAGTAGTCGGCATAAACCTTGCACATGGGCAACCCAAGCCCCAACTTGAACTTGTAGTGTCTGTTGATCAACCTGTCTAGGGTTGACTTTTTCGTTTCCGGCAGTGTTTCTGCCATGGAGGTTCCCAGAAGCTGGTCTTGCAGCTGAATGATAGAAGAACCTGCTGGAGTCACTTGGAGATTGGAGTACATTTGCAAGTCTGGGATAGAATGAAAATTGGCAAGACTCTGTCTGGCATGGTCAGGCAGTTTTCCAAAGGACCAGATCGACTTGAGCTTTTCGTGGCTCATGCCGCCGCCCTGGTCAGATATGCGGAAAGTTACCAGCTTTTTTGAATCAATCAACGTGACCTTGATTGGTGGAAGTTTCTTGCCGCTGTCTCCGTGGGTTGTTATAGTGGCCTCCATGGAGTTTCTCAAGATCTCACCAAACAAGTAGTGCAAATGAGGTACCATAAAGGGGAAGCTCAAGGATGTATCGCCGTCAATCTCTAAATCAGGCATGAGGTCTCTGTGAGGGAATGCCTCTAATGAGGAATCTTTCACCAACTCGTGAACCATTTTGAAGTGCTCTGCAGCATTGCACCGATGGAAAATCTCACCAATGTAATCTGGCGACTGCCTCTGGTATGGATGTTTCTTGTAGATCTCTGTAAGCGACAAATGCTCCTCTACAATGACTCTTCTACTGATTCTGGAGCGGAGCATTGAGCTCATGAAGCTGTCTAGAGCTTCCTGTGGAAGACTCTCTAAAATGGAAACCTCCAACGCACCCATCATGAGATGGGACAAGTTGAAGACGTGCTGGTCCAAGAGATTGCTGATATCCTCGCAAAAGCGTTCGTTTTCGGATGCCGTGGTGATATTGGGGATCTTCCGGAAAGCATTGAACAGATGATAGTAACTCTCGTAGATCTGGGCAAGATGGAAGTTGTTGACAACTCCAAAGGGAAGAGTTTGGAGGTCACGGATTCTCATGGCGAGTCTTATTGGCAATTCTAGCCTGACAAAGTTGGCAGATGCTAGGATCTTCTGTTTGGTCAAGGCCTTGCCGTACCCTGCCAATTGTCTCAACGACACCGGATGGGGCAGTTTCTGGGAGTATTTCATCAACACTTCATTCTGGAAAAAGTGCTGGGGAGTCAAAATCAGCGAATACAGCGGATAGGGTCCGAGATCTTCCAAGTGGTTGGCGATCTTCTGCTTGCTCACCAAGGAAAGGATATCGTCATCAATGTAGGAGTGTGATGAAATTGGAGATGATGAGGTTGCCTCCTGAGGCTTTGAGTAGGCTCTGCTTAGTCTAAGTATAGAGGGCAGGCGGGTTTTGGAATATAGACGGAACATGGGGGAGGTGTTGCAGATGATCTTGAGAGTGAGATAAGAGTGAGCATCTGGGGTAGAGTGAAGAAACCGGGATGGAGAGAAATTAAAGGTGTAGGCTTGGGTTCATGTTTGGTTTATGCTTTTGATTAAATCTAATGCTTTCGGGAGCAGACTTTTATTCTTTGTGGAACTTTCTTGGTTTTCCATCTGTGACTAATTCGCAGCCGAATTGGATATGTAGTGAGAAGTTGAGGAAGAAATGGAAAACGTGAGGTGGGAATAAAATCGATAATCGAATGAATCGATGATATTTCAAATGGCGACGTATTTTACAAAGGAACAATGTCTCCTTCTCCGATGTTTGCAAGCACACCCAATAGGTATACCAGATCTTTGAAACACTCCCACATTGTCGTGCCATCAATATGCTTCGGTCACGGATCAGATCAATAGAAATACAGAAATTGCAGCATGTCAGGGTCCCATAGAAATTCACGATTCACATATTTGTCTCCGGTCATCATTTCGGACTTTTTGTTATTGTTTGCTTTTCGTGGTGCTTATCAAAATGCACTGTCAAAATGGCTGCGAAAACACCACAACAAGCAACCCCTACCACAGCCACAAACCTACCAAATTTTGGACCCCAAAATATTTCTACTCAACTCTTTATAGATTAATTCCAAAGAACGGCTGGCAATCTTTTTGCTATAGATCAACGGTGGGGAACCCTGCAGGACTGTTTACCTTCCCAGATCAGCCAGCCACCCAGATCAGGACTCTTCAGATCGTAGCTTTAGCCTTCACACTTCTTCACCACTTTCTTCATGAACGTTTCTCGAACTGGCTACTTCACTTCAGATTATCTAGACAGGCGAAGAAACCAGAGTCTGTCGACGCTTCCGTCCAGACTGATGTCACCGGATTCTACGCCGTCAACTCCTAGACGAGAAAATCCAGATGAACTAGACGAAGCAATCACACCCGCTCACTTGAATTATCTCTACAAGAAACAGAGAACGGTCGATTATCTGGACTATTACAAGCCCAAACGGAAAATGGACGATTCTTCGTCGTTCCACACCCAGGACCTTGACCTGGTTCAAGACCAACCGAGGCTGATCCCAGCTGGATACGAAGGTTACTACATTGACCAGAAAAAACGGTACGAGGATGCCGAGGAAGTCAAGCCAAGAATGTTTACGCATAAAACGTTTATGGACGTATTTGACAGAGACCAGGACGAGCGGTTCAACCCTATAGATGTTGTCTTTGACGATCCGAGAAAACCAGAGAACAGGAGAAGAAGCAGAAATTATCAAGAGCAATGAAGTCGGTTCAAAAGAAGGTGGGCATCAATGACTACAATTCGTACGACTACTACACCCAGAATGAGCTCGATGAGAAGAGGGCTCAGAAGGAAAGGGAGAAGGCCAAACAGAAGCTGGAAAAGAAGTTCAAACTTGCATGGAAGAAAAAGAAGCAGGAGAAGGATCAGGAGCTTTTTGTTCAGCATGTCAGTGACAATTCTGACGATGAGGAAATGGAGGGATACGAAAATGATCCACAGAACGAGAATATCAAGAAAGCATGGAAGAGGAAGTGGAAAAACGCCAAGAAGGCTTTGGGTGACGACTACTTCGATAACTACAACAGAGAAAAGGAGGCCCGTTTGAACCAGAAAGCGAAAAGCATTGAAGAGCCTGAAAGTGAAGCTGAAGTCAGACAGGGCAGCATAGGCCCAAACGACAACTTCCACCCACTCTGGAACTACATGCTTTCCTGGTTGGTCTACAATTCTGCCACCACACAGGCTTCTACGACTCCTACTGCTCCTGTCGGGAAAATAGTCGAGATCGATAAGGGAGAATCCATCACACCCTCTAAGAAGAAACGAAACAAGCTAAAGGATTACAAGACCAAGATGAAGCGGTGGAACGAGCCCGCCCTGGCTTATTTCGGAAATAAGGCCGTCCCTGACACTCGAGCTATCCAGAAATTCGACCAAGCATCTACCATCTACACCGAATCCGAATTTCCAGAAGAAATCGAGCTCAGTGACGACGGAAACTTGAGTGACGAAATAGCATTGAGCAGCGAGGTTGATCTGTACCAGTACCCACCCACACTGGCGCAGGCCATGATGACAAGAGAGAGCAGGTTTGGTAAACTCCACGAGGGAGGACCTGTCAAGATTGTTTCGAACATCAACCTGTTGATCAAAAGCATCAAGATCATGAAGATCATTTTTGCACCGATCGACATTATTGCCGTGCACTTCCCTCGCTTCAGACGGTAGTGATTCTTATCGAGTTGGTGATCTTCATGTGGATTCTCTATGAGCTTTCGCTACTCATTGATGCACTTTGCATGGCTGTCAAGGCCATCTGTGCACCGATGATCGCCATTGGAAAGTTCATGAATCGTATCGTCTAAGCATTTGGTAATGGGTATATAGAAATGGAAATGAGAGCAAGAGTAATACCGAATTGTAGGTATGAAATATAATAAGTATGTGCGACAGAGTGAACTTAGTGATATGTGCTACTACAAATGTCAAACGACAAAAGATGCCCTTAAATGTAATTTTTGACAACCTCAAGACTCAGATGGGACCCTAGCATACCCTGAAAGATTAATCCAACTATGGAAAAAAAGAGAAGTTCCCTAGACCCACTTTGGTGATAATGCGCTCCATATAGTGGGTGCAAATCGGTCGCATTTTTCTCTTCACCAACATGCTTCGCTCGATAACCGTGGCGCCATTGACCCGCTGTGGGTTGCCAAATACGGCCAGAAGCTCCCTTCGTCTTCTTCTGACCGCTCCAGAGCCAGAACAAAACTCAAAAAGCACCAGTCAACCAGCACGGAAACTTTCACCAGAGGAAGCCAAAGCCGAGGCTGCCAAAGTTCACGTTCAAACTCTCAAGGACATGGGATCGCTCTTTTCTTCTGGCAGCGACGATGGAACTCAGCCTATAGACACTGCTCCAATCTTCAAGAACCCCCAGATTTTCGGCACATTGAGTCTTTTGCATCAAGGCCAGGTTCTTCAAGAGCTTCAAGAGAAGTACGACAAAAAGTGGCACAAGCTCACCGAAGCCGACAAGAAACTTGGCTACTACATTGCATACGGTGACTGGGGTGTCAGAGAGAAGTTTTCCAACTGGAAGTCCATGGAACCTCCTCTTGATCTCCCGTTCACTATTCCTTCCAAAATACGAACTACACAACCAAAAAACAATGACAAGATTAATAAATTGGAGCCTGTTATACTTGCCGAGACGCCCGTCAGAAAGGGGCAGTTTGACATCAAAAAAATGGACCCTGTGACCAAGACGTTCATCTATATTACCATCTTCGTGGTGATGTTGGCGATTGCTCGTGACAAGAAGATCGGCGAGGAGGGCAAGCCCAAGGAAGTCGTCATCGAGGACTCATTCCAGAAGAAGGAACCCGAGCCCGAGCCTGAACCTCCAAAGCCAAGCAAGAAATGGTACTACCTTTGGCTCAAGTAGCACTACGACAGCCCCCATAGGCACCTGGATCCGCCCTGTATATACATAGTCTATAGAAGCCACTATTCATCATCATCCTCGTCATCCTCGTCGTCGTCGTCATCATCATCGTCTTCGTTCCAGCTTGTCTCCACAGTTTCCCTCACTCTCTTGATGTACTGCGACCTGTGGTCCTTGTATAAATTAGCTGCTTCCACGTTAGCTGGCGACAGAATGTTGGGGTCGTTAAGTAATGATTGGATCGACGTCAAAATGCTCGAAACGTCGTAGGTAGGAGACCACCTGTTCTGCAAAATATCTAGACACAACTCGCCACTGGCATAAACGTTGGGATGGAACATTTCACTCATGAATTTAACGGTAGGAGGTTTGTTGGGGTATTGTTCATCAAACTGTAGCACAAGCTTGAAGGTCCCGTCTTCGAAAGGTGTATCAGCTGGGCCTATGATTACGGCATTCCAGGACATGACGTTATCAGGGAGAGGAGAGGCAGAGACACCCGAGGGGGCGTCCAGCTGCATCCTCTTGAAATCACGCATAAGCCTTCTTTTTGCGGGAGTTGACATTCTATAAAAAAAAGGTGTAAGTTGGTGAAATTTACCTTTGAGTATGGCGCTTCTAATCATGGTAGACCTCGACTACGCCCGTACACCGCGCCACTACCACTGCTATACCTTCTCCAGACTTCCCTCGCGGTTATTCGCGCCTACACTTGCTTAATAATATCGTATATCAATAACTAACGGAAGCTCTACTCTATAGAACCCTTACTGCTTCTGGTAGATGTCGTTGACCAAGGCCTTGACGTCGTCAATGATGTGAGACGAGTCCTTCTCCACCTTGGCGAGCAACTCGTCAATCTTGGTGCCCAAAGTGGCCTGCTTCACATCGACGGCCTCGGACTCCTCGGTGGCCTCACCACCCCAGAAGCTAGTCAAGTTGTGTCCAGCACCGTTGAAAGCCAAGAGGTTTGGAGTACCGTCATCTGGAATGTCGGACAACTTGTTCTTGGTGGCGTAGTTAACCAAGTTCTTCTTCAACTGACCTGGGGAAACACCCTTCTCAGAGACAAAGAACTCAGAGTCTGCACCAGGCTGCAAGGACACAAAGTAGGCCAACAAACCGGCAATGTGAGGAGAAGCCATGGAAGTACCACTCAAAGTGGCAGTGGCAGTCTCGGAGCCAATGTAGGTACTCAAAATGTTGAGACCTGGGGCAAAGATGTCAACGACGTCACCGTAGTTAGAGAAGTATGCTCTGGCGTCGGAGATGGTGGAGGCACCGACAGTGACGGCCAACTCAGCGGAAGCTGGCGAGGTGTTGGAGGCGTCCTGGTTCTCGTTACCAGCAGCCACGGCAAAGTGGAGGCCAGCCTTGACAGCGGCGTTGACAGCCAAGTCCAAAGCTGGGGACTTACCACCACCCAAAGACATGTTGGCGGTGGAACCCTTAAAGCCCTTCTTGCCCTCCTTGGCCTGCTCCTGGTGAGACTTGGCGGCAAACTCAACACCCTTGAGAACGTCGGACATGGAACCAGAACCGTTGGAGCCCAAGACCTTGACGGCAACAATATTGGCGTGCTTGGCAACACCAAATTCCTTAGAGGCAATTGTACCGGCACAGTGGGTACCGTGACCGTTGGCGTCGTTGTCGGTGTCACCAGTAGGGATGGTCTTACCCCACTTGGCTCTACCCTCGAACTGGGAGTGGTCGACGAAAACACCAGTGTCAACGACGTAGGAGGTGACACCATGGCCACCCTCAGTGTCGTGGAGGTACTGGTTGAAAGAGCTCAAGGAGAGAGGAGCTCTGTGGGAGATTCTAGCCAAACCCCATGGGGCACCCTTCTGCACGTCAAACTCGTTGGCGTACACCATTGAGTCCTTCTCAACGTGGGCGACAGCTGGGTCACGGCGGATCAACTCAACCATGGAGTCCAAGAAGTAACCAGTGTAACCAGTAAGGAGGCTGGCCACATCGAACTCGTCGGTGATACCGCCCTCGGTCTGAGAAGCCTCAACGGCGGCAAAGTATGGGTCGGCCTTGTCGGCAGAACCAACAGCCTGGGCGTGAGCCTCGGCAACCCACTGCGAGTGGAAGCTAGCGTAGTCCTTTGACACGCCCTCCTTGAACACCACAATGTACTTGTGGGGAATCACGTCACGAAGACCCTCCTTGGTCAACAAAGGAGCAGCCTCGGAAGGAGCAACCAACTCAGGGAGCTTGCCGTGCTTCAAGTCAGCAACAAGGTCACCAGCCTTGTGGGTGAGGTCTTCCTTCAAGGTAGCCAAGTCGGATGACTTGAAGACGTCGATAACGTCGCCAATGTGGGGGATAACGAGACCGTTAACGCCCAAGGTGGCAAGGATGGAGAGGGCCACGGAGCGGGAGAACAACATGGCTAAAAATTGAAGATTGTGTGTAGTTTGGGTTCTTTTTCTGGAATCAGATAAGAAGAGGGAGTAGCAGTGGCGATAAGAGGGTCGGCTTTTATAGCGAGGGAGCGGTGTGTGTAGGAAAGGGGGCCAGCCACCACGGGAGGTACGGGTGCACCGATAATCCGGGCGGTCCAGGGCTTCAGGAAAGTGCAATTGCGGAGATTAAGTGATCTTTGAGGAATTGAGGAAGCTTGAAACATTTTAGTAAAGCTTGATTTTGAATATCCTGGTACATGTGGTGGCTGTGGCGGCCCTACTGCGGTTGCTCGCGTGCTGATAAGCCTTCCGAGATGCGGACTAGTGATAAGAGGTAGGGAGGAAGAGGCGAAGCTGATTTTCTGATATCATTTTGAAACGAATTGATTTCTTTGATTCATGAAATGTTTCTGTTTGGTATGGTTTTTGAGTTGGTGATCGTGGTCGGTTGCTGTGGACTGTGGAGCTGAGGCTTTCGCAGCCACTCATGACTCAGACCGGTCTGGTCCGGAGACCAAATGAACAAAAACACTTAATCATTTTGACAGTTTCTTCATGAATTGGATAATTTGTTTTGTTTCTTTAGGCCGTTTTCTTGTTTCACGTGGACTGGTGAAATAACGGTCCGCCCCGGAGGACATCCACACTATCTCGCACCGCACAATGGCAGAATGTGAAAGTTGGTTGGGTCGTGGAAGTGCATCATAGGTGGCAAGATAAGTAATTTTGCACCCTGGCGATTGGAGACGGTTTTGGGGTTTCCGTTTTGTAATTGAAGGCAGTGACCGTTTCTCGGTCGAATGGATCTCGGAGTTGCTGATAAGAGTCCCAATTCCGCTGCCCTGGTGGTCCTCTGATAGTGGTTGTATGAATGGAGGCATTCAGCGGCAGCCACTATGTATGTTTCTATAGTGGTGGACGAATTTTGCATTTAGGGTAGATTTCTGTGTTTTTGGTATTTTTTTCAACCTTGGGCTTTCTCTTGTAACTTGGCTATGGACTTGGCATCAAAATCACATTAATATCTACAATTTGAAGAGAGCTGTTTATATCAACAACTCCCATGCTTTGCTTAACTTACCTCTTGAATAATCGCTTTATTTAGACCAGCCATTGCACGAAATGCATGTGTTCCAGGACCACACTTGTCGGCTATCTTTGAGACACCCGAGGATAACGTTGCTATTGCTGGATTTGGTCCTAGGCTACCATATTGGACAACAGCAAGATGAGCCACTACATTGGACCTGAACGAAATAAAGTCGTGGTTCTATTTTTATTGAAATGGCGTGCTGACAGCTCGCCTCAAATGCTATTGGTCTATATGCGAATGGCTGCAACTTTAACTGACAGAGATGGCGTTTCGTGCGAGCCATTCCCTCGCAGAGTCCTCATTACGCAGTTTGTGAACCGCCTTGAGTGCCATGTTCCTGGAATAGTGGCCCTCCTCAGCTAGGTGCTCCACGAGTGCCTTCTTGTTATGTACACTTTCGGAGATGCAGAAGTACAACTCGTTACGGGAGCTCTTCGCGCCATTCTTCTTCGTAATTGGAAGCTCAGGCTTGACTATGAGAGGCAATAGCTCTTGTTGGATGAGATTGAGCAGGTCTTTGATGGGAAGTGGCTTGGAAGCTGTAGCACAATGCGAGTTTTGACACCAGCTGTTCCCACAGCCTTTGGTAAGCTGTAGCATGTAGCGACGTTCGATCCTGTTCTGCAACTTGATGTGCGTTGGATCGAGAACAGTAGCAAACAATGGTCCGTAGCAGATATCACAGAGTCCGAGCTCATTGGTGGCGTCATCAACAATGTTCACACAATTGACATTGGCACACAAACCAACGGACTCCGTGTTGAGCTCCACCTTGTCCATGTAATGCATCCTCATGTGGCTCTTGAGATCCTTGCGTTTGAAAACTCTGTGGCACTCAAAGCATTCCGTTGTTTTGTTTCCACATTGGTTTTCATGATGAGTAAGGTTCGTAAACCTATCTTCGTACGTCTCCTCCTCTTGTGGCAAAATCAAATGGCAGAACATACATTCATGGAGTTTGGCAGGGCAGCTTGTCAGCTTATGGTCTCTCACCAACAGCACAAAATCAGAGTACTCTGGTGAATTATCACACTCTTCACACTTGTATGGCCCGCTGTGCTGAAGACGGTCATGCTTGAATTTGAACAATGTACTGTTTCCAGCTACTGGAGGCACACAAACATCGCAATGCCAGTGGTTGGCTGGTATTTCCTTATTGAACACCAGGCCACAAGAGCACTTGACGTTGTTTCTGATACAGAACGCCTCGTGGAGAGGCAACTTTGCTTTCTCGATTCTCTTGCCACAATGGCTGCATGAAGCTCCTGTAGTTGTATTCTTAACGTCTTCGGGCTTATGCACGATTGGGTTCTTCTCAAGCCTGACTTTGGCATTGTGATCCCAGGCAAACACGACAGCGTACAAGTAGCAAGAGTCTTCCTCCTTATATTTCTCCAAGTGATTGACAACCATATCGCTCCTGACGTCTATCTCCACAGCCTTATCGGTATTGGCCACAACCGAATCCTGAGACATGGTTTCAAATGCAAAGTTATCCAACTTGACAAACTTATCAAGGGCCACAAGTAGGTCCACATTGTAAGCTTCATCTTCATTTTCAGACTTGAGGACCAAAGAGAAACCGCTCTGTGCTTTCCGTAGATCAATCTTGAAAATCTTAGGCACAGCGCTTTGATTGAATGGAGCGAGCTCGAGCACCTCGGAGCTCGAAAGCTCTGGAATGTTCTCCAAAGCTGAAGTAGCATCATTTTGGCTGAGTTGCTGGGCAGCCATTATATCGTTCAACGGAAGCACATCCAATATGGTATCTGTATCCACAACGATGACAGTAGGTGCATTGGCATCCTCAACATTCACCTCCACCAAGGTCTTTGCCACTCTATCGTCTATGAAAAAAGGCTTGCCCTTGGTGAGGGTTGTGTAGTTCTGGCTGAGCTGAGACTCTAGATAGTACTTCCAGTTGGTGATGTGGGGGTAGAATTGAGCAGGCTTTAGCTGAAGAAAGGTAGCTTTCGGTAGGTCAGCTAATTCGATGGAGACGACCTCGTTCTTTATACTTTCAAAAATGTATTGTGGAACTTCGATTGTGCCCTCTTCGGCTGTGAATTCTTTCACTCCCACAGCTGTGATCGATACACCATCAGATAGATTGAACACCAAAGGGTGCGGTAGATCAGTGACATTATCTATGGTGGACTGTAGTAGGGAAGGTGGAAATAGACATTTATCTGAATTTTTCGGAAGACCTTCCAGAAGCTGGACGGAGAGCTGAATGGACATTTGTGGTTTGTAAGCAGTGAGTAGATATAGTTGCAAATGATGGCAAGTACTCGAGACCAGCTGCACGTGACATCATAACAATTAAAAGGGAATAATGTAATGGTTGATTTCAGCAAAAGGCGAAATGGTTTGGTTATCAAAAATAAAAGAAGTACTTTCAATGTGTATGGAAAGTAGTTTGGTGGTGTGGTTCTGTTGAGATCTTATTTCTCACCGTATTGAGAGTGCCCATACACACATTTCGTTGACCACGATTTTAATGAAAGGCGAGTTTTAATGAGATATTGAGAAATTTTTGAATTCACAATGGGGCCTAAATTTTAATAAAATGAAAAATTGCATGAACTTAGTCCCATAAAAGTACATCCACAGCTAACAGTACCCATAGTACCAAATCAATATGACACACGGAACTTTACCACCACCATTCCCACCACCCAAACCCCCGTCCCATTCCAAAACAACGCCAAACCAATCCAAAATGCAGAAACCTCTTCCTCCATCCAAACCCCCTATTCATATTCACGGCATGTCGGTCTCTGGTTCGCAGCCATAACGCACCTCGACCTAAATTCACCCATCACAGCCTTCGTCCGCTTGTGTCACAAGATCAATGCCCTTGCTGCTCAAAACAAAGGCTTTTGTTCCGATGTCGAATTGTCGCTGAAAATCCGACTTAGCTCCTACGCCTCTCTTTCTCCCCGTGACATCACCACCCTTTGCAGAAACACACTTTCCATTCTAGGCCACCAGAATCCTGGCTCGGCGACACAAGAACAAATTGCTACTATTTGGACGCACTTTTCCTTATTCTTTTGGGATGGTTCCCCTGAAAGATGCACAATGGCACGGCATGGTTGCACAATCCTGAAGAATTCTCCTAAGCCAACCAAGCGATAAGGGGCGGAGCACAAGCCAACCAAAGATGCCTTCGCTACATATTCATCTTCTACAAATTGCATTTTCCCGTTTTTTCAATGCACCGTTCCGTCGCATGCATTGGTCAAAGATAACACGCAGTTTGAACCAGTGATATCTCAGCGCCAAAACGCCAACGCCGTGCATGCTACATTTGTAGGGATTTTCTCCTGAGGCACTTCGGTGAATAAGCTTCGAGGCGTTACATTTATGGTTTTCACGCCGCAGCCATACGAGATCTGCACCTCTGGAAAATCACACTGGCACACACACCGCAAACGTAAATAACAAGCCTGAAAACGCCACAACTGCATTTACCTAACGACCCAGAAACCCCTGAAAACTCCTCTGGAGTGGTTTCTGAAATGCTGGCAAAAGCCCTCGTCTGATGCCCATCACGTGACACCCACGAGGCGAAGGCGAAATATGCCTGGTTACGTGCCCGCGTCGTCTAATTAGCACGGCATATATTCCCACAGCCAACCTAGCAATAGCAGAAACGCAAATAACCTTCTGTGCTTCTCAGGTACAAAGCTTACAAGGGTGCACTGGTGTTTTGCCACAGACCTTTATAACCTTAGAAAACCGGGCCTCACAATTTGCAAAACCTCTTCAGCTGCATCCTCCGTATGCCGAAGGCTGCCACGTTTTGAGGCTTATGTGACGGTGCAGCACGTCAAGGGTGTGCGGTTTCTGGGTGCAAAATCCACACTGTTTCTGCAAAAGCACCCAGGAATTCTGCGAAAAGGTCCACGTCTGGACAATAACAAAAAGACTATTTTTGCTACTGTGCGTGTGCGACACCGGCGGCTGGCTTTGTTGATCAAATTGTTTTTTTTTTTTCTTCATTTTCTTCCTTTTCTTGATCCTTCTTTTCTTATCTTTGGAAGAACTCACTTGAAGCTGCTTGCCAGCACTCCATTCGCTATCTTATCTAAAGTTTTTTTCATCCATCCGCTGTATATCATCCAGCCGCCTCGCGCTCCTAGAACAGCCGTCTTTAACTTTCTTCCCAGGCACCATCCCAAACCTTCGCTTTTTCCATGCTGTTTAGCAAATTTGTCTGTCTGAGAGCTGGCATCGTCACAGCTCTTGCTGTGGTGCTTCTAATAAATGTCGCCATCTTCAGCAGATCCGAACCAGACTACTACACTAACGCCTCGGATGGCGGACTCGAGAAAAGCTTGGATGCCTTGACTTCCACAGAATACACCGAGCTGCTTCGGAAGGGCTTGCTAGAAGCCAACAAGGAGATGGTGCTAGATCTGATCAAGCAGGACTTGTACAGAGCAAATCGGGAGCAGTTCATTGCTGACTTGCGTAAGGAGGTCAAGGGTAAGTATGAAGAGAACTTCATCGAGGAGCTCCAAAGAAAGCTCAACGACCAGTTCACAAACTCCTTTTATACCTTGAAAGAAAAAGACTACGGTCTTCTCCAGGGCATGGAGAGGAAGTTCTACGAGGAAAACAAGGAGAGCCTCAAAAACTTCGAGATCTTCTCGGCTGTCGACCAGGTACTTGCCTCTGATGCTTCTCCGAATCTTAAGGAGAAGGTTCGTGAGCAGTTGGACAAGACCATGTCTCGAAAAGACTACTTCCGGTTTGTTTTGGAGGACTTGATTGTGCAAAACGGGCCCTCCATGGCTCCTTTGAGCAAAGCTGAGAGAGGCAATGATTTGAAGGGCTGTGCTTTCGTCGTCAATCCCGTCATCTACGACGAAAAGAAGTTGGACATTGTCCAGTTCAGCAAAGAGCGTTTCCTGGACTTCCAGAAGAACCACGACAATATCGTGCTGCAACTCCGCTTGATGAATACTCCTCCCCACCAGATTTTCAGCGGAGACGGTATTGTTCTCAGTGCCGGTGGTGCCTATTTTGCTGGTGCCATGGTCGCCATTGCTCAAATCAGAGAAACCGGATCCAAGCTCCCGATTGAGGTGATGATCAACACCGAGGACGAATACGACGAGAACCTTTGCAACACCTTGCAATCCACCTTCAACGCACGCTGTGTAATTATAGAGAAGGAGATAGGAAAGGACATGTTGACTAAGCTCAATCTCACGAAATTCCAGCTCAAGATTCTTGGTCTTTTGGTCACTTCTTTTGAAAATGTCATTGCTTTGGACGCAGACAACATGCCTTTGATGAACCCAGACAAATTGATCCTGTCGCCAGAATACCTCAAAACAAAGTTTCTCCTTTGGCCTGATCTCTGGCAGCGTACCGTCTCACCAACATACTACGACATTGCCAGACTAGACCCGGGCATGCCAGTCAGAAGACATGGTATTCCAAACAGCGAGGACGCCAGGGACTACTTCGCTAGAGATCCTACCATTGTGCATCTTCACGATCGTGAAGGCATTCCCAATGCCATCTCCACCGAAACGGGCCAGATGGTCTTCAACAAGAGGGAGCATTTCAGATCTCTCTACTTGTCTCTTTACTACAACGTCTACGGCTCTACCCATTACTGGAGAATGTTTTACCAGGGAAGTCCTGGTGACGGTGACAGAGACACGTTTGTTCCTGCCCTCCATGTCTTTGACGAACCCTACCATGTTGTTGAAAGAGCGACCTGGTTGGCTGGCTTCCATGAAAAAAGCGGTCGGTTCCAAGAAACAACCATCGTCCAATACGACCCCACCACATCTGCTGGTTTTGTCCGCCAATGGAAGAGATTTTTGGCCGCCCGTGGGCTCGATACCAGGCTTGCTTTTGATCAGAACAATGATCACACAAAGAACCTTCTCAAGCAGTTCCAGAAAGAACTAGGAGAAGCCATGCCTGCCTTACCTGAGGTCATGTTCCTCCATGTCCACAGACCAAAGATCAACCCTATTTTGGAAACCGATCCAAAGGGCTATTTCAACTGTTTTGAGCAAAGAAACTTGGGCAAGCCGGGTGTCTACAGTGATCACTACGGAGCTACAGACTGGGAACTCCGGTTCAATTTAATTTCTCGCTGGGCCGCTTGCAAGGGTCTAGGAAGTCCAGGTTGGTGGAAATCGGTCGACCGTGACCAGACTGAGGTTTGTCAAAAAGTGTCCGACTACGTGAAGTTCTTGGAGAAAGACTCCAAGGATCCCAAGGCGCATAAGTTCGAGCATATCGAGATTGATTTCTAGATCAATTGGTTGCATATTTTAGCGTGGCTCTTATACCTATAAATATTTATATCTACTATGCCTGTGGCCTATTCCGCATCCGATTCAGATCCCAGGGAGCCATCAGAATCTTCGGATCCGTCAGACTCTTCGCCTGAATTCTGTGCAGCTTCATCAGCAGTAGCATTGATCTCCTCTAATGAGACTTCATAACCTTGTTTTTGTAAGAAGTCCTGGAAGCCTGGTGCTGTTGTGGTTGGAAGACAGGAGAATAAAAGCGAATGCTTTGGCTCAAAGAGTGGGACAAAGTATTTCTTCAACACCTCCAACAAATCCTCTTTCGTGACAGAACCAAGACTCTTCAAGAAGTCTCTGGCGTAATTTGGACCTCTCTTCTTGAAGATGTTGTCCAAAACCTTGTTCACGGCAGCATCGTGATTGTTGGATTCAGCTTTCACAAGTGAATTCACAATACCAGCCACAGCGTTGTCAATAGCAATTTGATCAATCTCAGCTTCACCAGAGGTATGCTCGTGCACGATCTTCTTGGTTGTTTCCCATGCCTGTTGAGCGTCAGCACCTCTATAAATGACAAACGTAAGGAAGCCGGATTCCACCATTCTTCTGATTGCTGCATCATAAGCGAGACCTGAACCTCTGACTCCTCTCCACAAAGGACCTTCCATTGCAGTCAAGATTTCACTGGCCAAGGCTATTCTGGCAATATCGATATCGGAATAATCTGTGGGAATTGGTGTCATGGCAATCAAGTGAGTTGTTTCACTTGCTGGGGTGGTAACCAAAAACGCCTGGCCTGAACAGCGCTGGCCAATTTCAGATTTAAACTGGAACGATCTGGGGACCTTTTCGAGATCTAAGTTAGCCTCAGACTTGGCACCATTGAACTCCTTCACGAATTTGGACCACGATGAGATGGGGTTTTCAAGGTTGGAGCAACCGCCAGTCAAGAAAAGCTTCATGTTGTTGACGTTGAAGAGTTTCTCCTTGATGGCATCGATGTCGGCAACAATTTCGGCGAATTTACCGTCCTCGATTTTCTGCATCAACTCTCTGTAGAAACCCTCGGTGTGGATGGAATCCTGGGCCTTTCTCAAGGAGGTCTCCTTGAAAACTGTTCTATATTGCGACGAGTACATCATCAACTCGTCGTTTCTCTTTTTGTCTGGAAGGGAATTTATAAGCTTCTCGATAATCACCTTCACTCTTGATTCCTCAAACACAGAGTACTTGAGGACGTTTATCAACCAGTCGATAGCCTTCTCATACTTTCCAACTTCGAATTTGATAGTCACCGTAATAAGCTCAACGAACTGGCTATCAAATCCATTGTCTAAGTCGAAATCGAGCAAGTCGTTATTGAGCTCAGTGATGACCTCTTCGTATGGCAAATAGGTGCCATCAGGCTTTTTGATGGAAACAGAAAAGATATCCTCAACGAGTGAAAAGTATCTCAAAAGCTCAGGAGGTACAACAGCTGATGAAAAGACTAATTGAGCGGTGACGAACTGAGATTTGTAGTCTTCCAAGTGAACATACAATGGGAAGTCTTCAGGTGTATCCTTTTTAATGCGCTCGTGCAATGGACCATCTTTCTTGTAAAATGTAAGCTTGGAGTCATTCTGACCTGCCTGATACGAGTCGGTCTCAATGAAGTCAATCTTAGAAGCATCGGGCTTGCCAAATTTGGTGAGGACATCGTCAGGAATAGGTGCATCATTCTTTGCTTGTGCGTCGTCGAGTGTTCTCTGCAACTTTGTGAGGCCTTCTTCGCCATATTCTTCTCTTATTGTTTTGTTACGCTTTCTATTCTCAGCCTTGTTGTCTTTGATAGCTTGAGGAGAAGGCTTGCCGATAATCGTAACGGGCTTGCTTTCGATAAAGTTGGTTTTGATGAAATCACACCACTGCTTGGCAGTCCAGGTAGCCAACTCGTCCTGCTCCTTCAAACTCTTGGACCATTTGCTCAAATCAGATCCGTCATGTTTACCGTAAATCACTTCCAGTATAGCCAAATTAGACAAGGTGAGAGGGGATCCCTCAGTCTTGGAAATGAACTTGATCTTCTGCTGCGCCACAAGCTGTCTCATATACGTGAGATCGAAATTCTCCTCGTGTGTGATACTCTCCAAGAGCTCCTTGATCTTCTTGTCCACATTGTATAATTCTCCAACAGGAACACCACCAACGTAGAAGTTCACGCCAATACGAAGGAAGTCATCGGTGATGATATCAATATCCGTGGCTGAAGGGTTTTCAACTTCAACCAAGTGCTTGTTCAACAAAGAGATAGGCAGCTCTGCCAAGTAGCATCCGACCATATCGAGAGCCAAAACAGCCAAAGTATTCTCTGCATTAGGTCCAATCCAGCCAATAAGGAGCTCACCCATAGACTCATCGTCATCTGGAAACAGCACCTCTTTGATCACTTCCTTGGTGAGTGGAAGGTCGACCTTGGAATCGAGCCATGGTCTCTTGTGCGGCGTTTCTGGTAAAGAAGGAAGACCAGCATCAAACGCTTCCATAGTTTCAAGAAGCTCTTTCTCGTCAACGGATCCCGTGATAATTACACCCACGTTGTCTGGACGATACATGGCCTTGTGGAAGTCTCTGATCTGGTCCCAAGTCAAATGGCGCAATTCAGACATAAGTCCGCCTGTCTCAGACGAGTAGCCCGAGTCCTTAGAATACAATGATCTGTAATATTCAAGGTAAAGCACAAACCATGACTGACTTTCGATACCTTGCATCTCACTGAAGACCACACCCTTCTCTTTACCCTTACCGTCAATGTGGTATACCTCGGTAAGACATGCCTCGTCGTTAATGATAGGATTGAACACATGGTCCAAATAAATAGGCAAGAGTTTCTGGAAACCCTCCCAGCCAGCGGTCGTAAGTGTGTACACCGTTCTATCTATGGCTGTCCAGGCATTGGTGTATGAGAAGAACCTCTGTCCCAAACTGTCTAGCAAACCCTTGTACGGGTACTTCTTGGATCCCATAAAAACAAGATGCTCCAAAGTATGCGGACAACCCGAATCATCAGGAATCTCCGTCGCCACAGCAAAATAACCGTTCACCATCGGCGTCGGCTGGTTCACATATGTAAGCAGCAAGCCTGTTCTGCGAGAACGCCATTTCTTGATGCTGGCAGGCGCATACTCCACATCGAAGCTTGTCTGGAGAGCAAACTGGGAGCTCATTCTGCGTGCTAGGTGGGAAAAAGACCGGATATTGGTGCTGAGATCTTCGCTGATGGCTGTTTTTCACTTCGCACTGTGGTGGTTAACAATCGAAGGGTGGGTTTCAGATTTACTATAGAAATGTATTTCTTGTTCGTTGGGATGAGCGTTGCCATGAGATAAGCAGAAATTCTAGGAGAGGCGATTATTGTGGATTCTTAATTTGAACAAACCTGGCTTGCCACCTGGATCTGGTGTGGTATACAGCGTAATCGAAATGGTTGCAAAACGCGGTACAAACTGAACTACCAGAACGATGTCCAATCTCATGACTATGAATTGCTTGAAAGAGTCTAAGAGGAGATGTCCCTTAGGTTCGCTTGCTTAAACTCAACAGCATCAACAAATAATTGTCTTTTTTGGTGCTTCGGTTTTGTTGATGGTATGTAGTGAGCCTCCATCAACCTACCCATTCTAGATAGATAGATATTCATTTGAACCCATTGAGCATAATTTTTGGATCCTAATAAAAATTATGAGATAAATCAAAGAATGCTTGGTGGTAGTTCGGTCCAAAACCTGGGGCCGATGACACACCCGTACACCTCACCAACTACACAAACAGCGCGCCTACAACAACAAACACTAGTGAAGCTTAATCCATAACAACAATAGCATACTCGCCGTCGTCGGTCTGAGCAATAGAATGTCGCTAAACTATGCACCCTTATCGGTCAAGCGGCGAATGCAAGACGACGACACCTTCCTCCCGCCCCCTCTAAGCGCATACGGTCTTGCACTGCTCAATGAGGGTTCTGAAAAGAGAAGCTTGAGCTCAATGCAGATCGAGGAAAACCCAGCTCTACGAGCGAATTTGAAAAACAACTTGCTGGTGCATTTCAGAGAGGCGCCACGTGAAAGTGATCCTCAAAATAAGAGTCTGAACTACGACGTCAGTGGGACCAATATTAGCACAAACATGAGCCACAACAATCTCAGCGGTCACAATATGAGTACCAATATGAGCGGAAATACAAGCGGTCACTCTTTCAGCTCCAACATGCACACTGAAGAAAACGAGGACCTCATGGATGCTTCCAATGACCCCAGTGCCAAACTGCTGCATACACATGCCACCACTCCTGGAGGATCACAGGCCACCGGCAGTTTGAGCAGGCTGAATTCAATTGGCTTAACCAAAAGGTCCAGGTTTTCTCGCCGATTTGCCAGACTAGGTCCCCCAAAACGTGCATCAGACGTACCAGAAGATTCCTTAACGCCTGATGGTGACGACAAACCGGACCTACTAAAGCCTCAGCCTTCAAGCGAGCTACTAAAGCCTCATCCTCCGAACGAGCTACTCAATGCATTCAAAACGCCACCCCTGCTACAAAATCAGAACCTGAACGGAAGAAGCTCTCCTAGAAGGGTCATCTCCAACGAGTCTACTTTCTTTAAATCCCTCGAGAAGCTTCGCAGTCATAGCAACGAGAACAGCCGTCTCAGTCCGCCCCTCATTAGTGACCCAGGCAAGAACCATAATATACCCCAACAAAAGCCTTCACGGTTTCTGGTCTACGTTGACAAGCATCCTCCTAGGCCATCCTCCCGTGGGCCCTCGCATAGGCCATGGAGCCGTCCTCCCCTCATGAGCATTTCACCAGGTAAAATCAATGCAGAGCCAGATGCTGACGTCTTCAGAAAACCAAAGGTACCAAAGCTTTCTGTTCCTTCGCAGCCTCCTCCTCCTCCATCGAAGTCGTCATTCGCTACACCACCACAGCCGACTCCAGCATCGTTCCCACATCCAAACCCTCCAGAGCCGTTGCATGATCATATTCGTTCGAGTAGCGGTTCCGGTGGCATCATGGAAGATGGAAAGCGGAAGAAAATCATTTTTGTTAACAATGCCCAATACGAAAAGCTCGAACTTATAGGCAGAGGCGGGACCTCTAAAGTCTATAAGGTCAGATCGCTTTCAAGCAAAAAAACCTATGCAATTAAAAAAGTTACCTTTGATCAATTCGATGATGCATGCGTCAAAGGGTTCAAGGGTGAAATCGACTTACTTGCCAAACTCAGAAACGAACCGAGGGTGGTGCAACTACATGATTACGCCATCAATGACGGCAATATATTCTTGACCATGGAGTGTGGTGAGCTAGACCTTGCTCATGTCTTGCAGCAAAGACAAGCCATTGGCAGTGCTCTTGATTTGAGTTTCGTACGCTTCCATGCTATGGAGGTTCTCAGGTGCGTGGAGGCCGTTCACAGAGCTGGCATTGTTCACAGTGACTTGAAACCTGCAAACTTCTTATTTGTCCGTGGCATCATGAAGATCATTGATTTTGGTATAGCGAATGCCGTGCCAGATCACACTGCAAACATTTACAGAGAATCTCAGATTGGCACTCCCAATTACATGGCACCGGAAGCTCTTGTTGAGGTCAACCACACACTCAACTTAACCAAGGGCGCTAAAGCCAATACGTGGAAAGTTGGTAAGCCCTCTGATATTTGGTCCTGTGGCTGTATCATTTACCAAATGATTTACGGTCGCCCACCCTATGCATCATACGCTGGCCAGCAGAGAATTATGGCCATCATGAACCCACAAGTGAAAGTTCACTTTCCATCTCATGGCCTCGGGGAAGTGCCAGTACCCCGTAGCGCAATTGAATTGATGCAAATGTGTCTTGTGAGGAACCCTCACGAACGGTGGACTGTGCTGGAATGTCTCACCTCAGACTTTTTGAGACCCAAAGCTGTCAGCAACGACTTTGTCAAGGATGTCGTCAAATCCGCTGTGAACTATGGGTACCACAAGCGTCAACAGGGAGACATGTCTGACGAGAAACTCAATAAGCTCGTTGACAGCATCATTGGCCAGATTGAATCTCTTAATTACGCTTAAAGACTATCGTGAAAACACGACCTAATTACATATAGCATTAGCATAATACATCGCATGAAAGACGTTTTATTGTATTTAAAACCATTGAGTCGTGATTTTGTGGCGGCTGCTCTAGAGTTTGTTAACGTGGTCCCAACTTCTCCAACACCCTTGGGCCCTGCTCCTCCCATTCCTGTTTCGAGATCCACATGTGGTCCTTGTCGGACATGATGTTGGCCAAAACGGCACCTCCAATGAACACCATGTGCCTTCTTCTTGGAGGATCCTCCACTCTGATCTTGAACTTGTCAAATCTGGAAGGATCGCCCTTCAACACTCTCGTCAACCACAACTGCTTCAATTCTCTCTCTAATCTGGATGGCAAACCAGGGTACATAGAAGAACCCCCAGACAAGACGATAGCCTTGAAAAGAGAGGATCTGATGTCAACATCAGCGGCCTGGATGGTGTTGAACAATGTTTCTCCAACACCCGGCTGCTCGACATCAACCAAGTTGGGCTGGAACAAACACTCTGGGGCCTCGAATCTCTCGGAGCCCACCTTGATGACACGACCATCTGGCAATTCGTAGGTCTCGACCAACGTAGTGGTCTCGGTGGCCAACTTGGTGTCCAAAGCCAAATCACAAGACACGTAACACAATTTTTCTTTTATCTGACGCACGGTCTCAAAGTCTGCTGTTCTGTTGAAAGCGTAACCTCTACGCAACAACAAGTTGATGAGGTTTCTGGTCACATCTCTACCGGCGACATCCAATCTTCTGGTCAAGTGGTTCAACACGACAGACTCATAGACTGGAACAATATGGGTCACACCGTCACCGGAGTCAACAACGACACCAGAACTCAAACCCTGGGCGTACAAGGCCAACACGGCTTGAATAGCGACGTAGACACCGCCAAACTGGTACTTCTCGAACATGACATCACACATGGTTTCTCTGTTCTTCAAAGGGTTCATAGGAGGCTCCGTCAAAAGAATCTTCTTGCCTTCCGTGGGCGTCCTCATCTTTTCGTAGAATGCGTAATCCCACAAGTGCTCCATATCCTCCCAATTCTTGATGATACCATTCTCCATGGGGTAGCTGATCTGCAATAGCGAACGGACCTCACTGGCCTCCGAGCCGCACATTATGTCTTTTATCTCGATGTTGTCGGGCACCAAGGCATTTCTTTCTTCTGCTCTCAAAATGGGCCTTCCCACAAGCGAAGGGAATGTGTGGTCTGGGAAGTTCGTTCCGGCCCGGCCGATCTTGACGAAACCGGTACCTTGGTCAAGGACTAATGTTAGTAGAAGCCTAGGACGGTTATATTATTGTTGTACATACCAATTGGGGTGCCTTCCATGTTGTGGGTCTAAATGGTGTAGTGTCCGCAATTTCTGGTGATAGTGCCGGCGCTGTGTGCAGGTCGCCTTGGCCAAAGCGTTCTCGGACATAGTTTGCAGCCATCGAGAAGAGCACTATGCGGATGGATTTTGCGGCACGAGAAAGGCGAATGTGAGGTAGGATGTATGGGTTTTGATTTCAGGTTCGATCTTGGTCACCTGTTTCCACTTGAACTGCTCGTCTCCTTCCTTGATTCTGATACCCTTTCCGAATGGGTTGAAGCTCTTCGGCCTGGGCTCAGGCAGGGCAGTATCTTCACTTTCCACCTCGCTGATATCTCTCTTGATGCCTTGGTTTTCCTTCTTTTTGTCTCCCACCCGTGCAAGTCTCCTGCTCTCGATGCCCAGCGTTTTTCTGCCCTGGATGTCTTTGAGTCTCTTTACAACGTCCTGGAGATCCTTGACCATTTCTTTTCTGGCCTCGTAACGACGGCCCTGGATCTCCACCATCTCAATGCTAGTCCATCCGTTTGCTTCAAGCGCTTCTATCGTCTTGTCCACTTGTTCTATACACGGACTGAAGCAGCAGATACCCACTCTGGATGTCTGCGATACAACTTTGGGAAGATGCGGAATGGCAGTCCAGGGAGACGGCAAATCAAGAAATACCGAGTCAGCGTTGATGCTTCCATTGAGAGCAAACTTCTCTGGAAGGTCGGATATCTCAAATCCTCCATTGCACACATCGCGATGAGTAGCTATAGTGTTCACCTGGAGTAGGCCATGCTCGTTCAATTCCTTCTGTGCTTCTAGAAAACGGGGTTCGTGGAACTCGTATGTGAAAAGACGCCCATCTTCAGCCACTGTTCTAGCAAAAGAATGGGTGAAAGATGCCGATCCAGTGCCTGCTTCGATCACCCTAGATCCACTGGTGATTCCAAGTCTCTGAATAATATACGACGAATCCGGCGTGTACACGATCTGGGTTCTATGCGGTAAGGATATCGTCCAAAGCTCGGGGCTAGGTTGAAGAAGATGCACAAATCCTTTATCGTTGGCTCCTGCCATCTGGGATCCATACTTCATGCCCACCATTTTGTCATGCTCAAAGTTACCAAAACGGGTATTGAGGTACTCGCCCTTGGTCACGTAGAAGGGCTTGATGAGGCCTCGGCTGACAAAGGCAAGCACGAGGTCCCCCTCTTCGATTATGTCTTTGCATTCATAGAAAGACATGGACGGTTGCAAGAAATTCTCATCGCAGACTGCACAGGTAGATGTGGAGGTCAATGGAGCCCGATGGGTGCAACCTGGAACTATATGGGGCGAGAGAAGTTTGACTGATTGGTTTGATTGAACAAGTTTCTGCAGCTGAAGAGAAAAATTTTGATCACAGCTCTTTTTGTTGTGACTATGGTGAGGTAAATGGTTGCGAAATGTGAGGCAACCAACGCTGCCTACGAGATATACCACTTTAGATGGGAACGACTGAATCTTTAATGAAGGCAATTGTCAAATTGATAGCTTGAGCAAAGATGGTTTGAGCGTGTGTTTCAACACCATTATAGGTAAGGTATGGGGATACGGCAGGTACAGATTGAAGTATGATGTGCACGTTTTGGTTCCCTTTCAATTGCGTGGCATTGTCTTCATTGGAAAAGTGTCTTTGCTGCATCTATCAGAAGACCAAGATTTGAGTGCTTAAGATAAGTAAGTTATTGCTGTTGCCTCTCGTGCGTTTCCTCAGAATGGTTGCAAAATCTCAGTGCGGTAGTCACTATGACTGACCCAGCACAATACAAGTAACAACAACAAAAGAACAAAAAATTAGAAAAAGCGCCTTCTTTCCAAAAACACCATTGACTCACTTACCTAACTCACGAAACACTAAACTTTGATAATTCTCCAAATCCAATGGCTGGTCGTGTGCGACCCAACATCAAAGGTCGAAAAAACCGAGCCTAAACCAACAACCTATAGCGTCCAAAGCCAGAATCATAGACCAAGAAAAAAATAATACTGTCATGGCATCGGTTCCCCTGCTCCAGCGTCTGACGCAATCGCAGGAAACACAGCCTTCCAGCGAAGAAGGCTTGTACCTTGAGTCTTATGCATTCACTACAGCAGCTGCCATTGTGGGCTCTGTGGACAGAAAGATCTTTGTTTTGTTGAGAGACGGCAGAAACGTATTTGGCATCTTGAGAACCTTTGACCAGTTTGCTAACTTGGTTTTGCAGGATACCCTCGAAAGAATCTACTTGCCCCAAGAAAACGAACAGGCTCCAGCCAGATTCGGAGAGGTCCCAAGAGGTGTTTTTATGGTGAGAGGTGAAAATGTGGTCATGCTCGGAGAGCTAGATATTGATAGAGAGGACGAGCACTTGATGCAGATGCAGCAAATTCCGTTTGAAGCTGCTGAGGCTGAGATGAAGGTGAGAAACACCGCTAGGGTGAAGGAGGAGGCCAAGAAGGCCAAGAACTACTTGAGCAGGGGTCTCATCCACGACTTCCAGAAGACAGACTTGTACTAGGTCCCAATTGGACACCAAAAAGAAGCATGAACGGGTTCATTTCTGCTTATGTATTTGACGACGAATATCCTCAATCACGAACATTCCATTACCTTTTCTTGTAGCCTACAACTTGGCCACTCTGGCAACGTTGGTCTCAAAGCTCTGGTAGAGCTTCTCAAGAGCAGGGAACTTTTTGACCTCAGCTCTGCCCAATTGACCCAAGTGAGCCTCATCGGGACCATCGGCAATTCTGAGAGTTCTGCTCATGGCATACATACGAGCCAACTCAGTGTCCTGGGAAACGCCCTCAGCACCGTACATTTGGATACACCAGTCCAAAATCTGGAGAACTGTTCTGGGTGTGTCGATCTTGGCCATGGCGATCTCCCGCTGAGCCAGCTTAGCGTTTCCAAGGTCAATTTTGTGAGCAGCATTGAGGACCATCAATCTGCATCTCTCAATGGCAATCTTCCATTCAGCGAAAGCCACTTGAAACGACTCACGATCCTTCATAGGCTTGCCAAAAATGAGTCTGTTACTAGCACGATGAGCGACTCTTCCAAGAGCAAACTCTCCGACACCAATGCTCCTCATACAGTGGTGGATTCTGCCGGGTCCAAGTCTTGATTGGATAATTTCGAAGCCCATGCCGTCCTTGGCAAGATAGATATTTTGCATGTCCTCAGCCTGAACCTCGTAGTTGTCGAAGAACACCTCACAGTGGCCGTGTGGGGCGTCATCGTAGCCGAAAACGTTCAATGGTCTCAAGACCTTTGCCTTTCCAGTGGCAATTGCCTTTTTTGCGTCAATGACCAAAACAGAGTGGTTGTTGTATGGCGTCTTCTTGTCTTCAGAGGTTTTGCACATCACAAGCCACACGGCACATCTGGGGTCACCGGCGCCGGAGGCAAACCACTTGAAACCATTCAAAACAAGGTTTCCTCTGGCGTTCTTCTTTGCCGATGTGGCAATGTTCAATGCATTGGACGAAGAGGTGCCCTTCTCCGTCATCAAGAAAGCCGATCTGATGTCACCGTTGAGCAAAGGCTTCAACCACTTCTCCTTCTGGTAAGGCGTACCGTACCTTGCCAAAATCTCCATGTTTCCGGTGTCAGGAGCATTGGTGTTGGTGGCTTCTGGAGCAACATGAGCCCTACCCAAGTACATAGCCATCAAGCCATACTCCAAGTTCGTGTAGCCACCGCCCTCGGCGTAGTGCTTCGAAAGGAACATATTCCAAAGTCCGAGCTCCTTGGCCTTCTTCTTCAATTTCTCCGTGATCTCAGGAGTCAGAGCCCATCTCTTAGCAGGATCCTCGGAAAGCTGTTCATAGTAGACCTTGTCTGCGGGAATGCAGTAGTCGTTGACAAAGTCCTTGGTTTTCTGGATGGCCTCCAAACCACGAGGGCTCAATTGAGCGAGAAAGATGGCGGGGATGTCTTCTTTGATGGACATTGAAATATGGGATGTTTTCTGAAATCTGGAGATCCGGACCTATAAGTACTACCCCACCGTTATGGAGATGCAGGCACAGCGAGAGTCCGGGGATTACTCTGGAGATAAAGGCGGGGCTTGAATGAAGTTCGTGAAAATGGCTCGATTGGAAGTCAATTTCGGTACATTTCGTCTGTGAAACGGTTAAGCCGAGATCTTACACGTTGAAATTAGGTTTAGCGGGGACGATCTCGGGGATTCACCGGAAAATTGGCGGGAAGATAACCGAGGTGGCAATGGCAGGAATTGTATATGAAATTTTGAAGATGTGAGCTTTAAGAGTTGAAAAATGTATTTTGATTTGGCCTGTATGGCTGCATTTTGAGTTATTGCAAGTGGTATTGCTCGCAAGGCTCTTGAGGGTAGCCAGTAGTTACTAAAGATTCAAGTGCACTGAGAAGGACTGAACATACGATCCCAACACATTCTAGGCTTCGAAGTTCAAGGATACGTCGCGGAGGAGAAATGACTTCAGCATGCCGATATTTTTAGGGCACTTATGTTGGAGAATGGGGAAGTGCGTTATTGTGGGACGGTGTCAAGCGTAACGCATACTAACTCCATCATCTCTTCCTAACTGAGCTTCGATTGTCCCTTTACTGAGAGCTCGCTCTCGAATATGTTGTGATTCTTTGAAATCACGAGACATTCACCGTACCATCGCGTTTTGCAACCATTCGATCTGACGCCATTGAGTGTAAGGTTCGTGCATTCCCATGATAACAAATCTCATCTCAGCAGAGCCTGTTTTCCCCTTTCCTGATTCAAATTTATACTCATTCAATAAAATCTAATGTCGTCTCCAGGTGGTCGTCGTCTTCATATTGTGAGCTTGTTTTCAGTACTGTGAGCAACCATGTGGTCATCCCAACCACCCAACACCAAGCACAGAGATCACAACAATCACTTGAAAACTTTATATCAGAGAGAAATTTATCAAGAAAATTCAGCAACGAATCTCATCTCTCTGTTTTCATCTTCCAGCTCCTCTTGCAACCTTCACTGGGTCTGACCTGCACACGCAACAACAGTCTTTCTCAACTTTGGCCACTGTCTACTACACCACCATCATGGCTGAATTCGAATCTGACGTCCCCAAAATCCCAGACTATACGCTTCTGGAAAAGCAATTCCTAATCTCCAATGGTGCTAGTAACGCCTCCACACTTGTGGACGAGATCCTCGCCGCTGTCAAGGAAAACAACATGGCCCCATACTACAAGTACTTGACGACAGAGTTGCCACAGCATTTCAAATTGGACAAGCTGCTCCTCGCTTCCATGGAATCCGTAAATGAAGAGAAGATCCTGGTTCTCAAGAAAGACGTTCAGGAAGCTGAGAGCGAGGAAGAGACGGAAATCGACCTTGTGGGTAGCTACACCAAGCTCGCCGAGTATTACACAGAAATCATCGACAGACAAAACGCCACCACGACATACAACAAGTTGCTTGATTTCACGCAAAGCACTGGCTCCAAGATTGACATTTTGTTGACGTTGGCACGTTTGGACTTTTTCTTCAACGACTTTGTCGCTGTGTCCAAGACGTTGAACGAAGTCGAGGCCTGGATCGAGAAGGGCGGTGACTGGGAGCGCAGAAACAGAACGAAAACGTACAGAGGTATTTACCATTTGGCCACAAGGAACTTCTCCGAGGCCGCAAAGTTGTTGATCGACTCCTTAGCAACCTTCACCTCCACTGAGTTGTGCTCGTACGACCAGATCGCTCAGTACGCCATCATTGCCGGTGTCTTCTCCTTGGACAGAGTGGACTTGAAGTCCAAGATTGTCGACTCGCCCGAGATCTTGTCGATCTACTCCAGCGCCAAGCACTTGGAGCCTCTCGTGAGCTTGACCAACTCCTTGTACACCTGCCAGTACAACTACTTTTTCCAGTACCTCTTGGAAACCTACGACGAGTTGTTGTTGACCAACAAGTACCTCAAGACCCACGCCAACTACTTCATGAGAGAAATGCGCTGCAAGGCGTACGCACAGCTATTGGAGTCGTACAAGTCGTTATCATTGAAGTCTATGGCACGCAACTTCAGCGTGAGCGAGGAATTCTTGGACGCCGACTTGTGCAAATTCATCCCCAACAACAAGTTGAACTGTTACATTGACAAAGTGAACGGTATTATCGAAACGAACAGACCGGACAACAAGAACAGCCAGTATCACCAGTTGATCAAGCAGGGCGACGGCTTGTTGACGAAGTTGCAGAAGTACGGCGCTGCTGTCAAGTTGAGCGGAGCAGAGAGAGTAGCATAATGATATAGAACGAGCGCAATATTGGAATTGTTGTAGCGGGCTTTCACAGTGCCAAGGCTATCTTCTGAGGTACACTCCGAAGATCATATGAGCTTGAGAACATTCTCCAGTAAAACTCAAGGGATTTTGAGCAGTCAAGCGAAATCTGAAGTTTTGAAGATCCCAATGTGGGTCAATACTACTGACTCATACCAAAATGATGTGTCATTTTGAAATCGGAAGTGCATGTGGCAGCCAGACCCTGGAGCACGTCAATTCGCAGCCAACAAAAGCCCCAGGGTGTTTGAATCCACACTTTTGGATAGCATAGAAATGCTTCAAGTGTAGTATTTATAGTTTCTGCATGACAAAAAAAAAAAGATTTTATTCTCTTTAAGGCCAAATCCCTCCTCTTTATATGTTGCGTTCTGCGCTAAAACCTGCTCCTGGTACCCCGGTTTTCGCAACCACCGTCCACTAGGAACCTACACCCCATTGCTAACGCCACCGGAAATCAAAAACCACCATAAAAGTGACTCACTTTTCGCCACCTTGATCTTCACGAATTATTTAAACAAGTCATTTCCCCTTCTTCAGGTGGTCACGTTACTCTCTTGTGCGCCACCATCTGTCTGCGACTCCCACGTCGTCTCACCTTATCTCACTACCACACCCCCAAGAATGAGTTCTAGAAGACGCATGGAAAAAGACGTGATGGACCTCATGATGTCCGACCACGAAGTCAACCTCATCGAGGACCTGATGCAGCAGTTTTTTGTCATTTTCAAGGGCCCCAAGGATACCCCATACGCTGGTGGTACATGGAAGGTCAGGGTGGAGTTGCCTGACCAGTACCCGTTGAAACTGCCTTCCATCGGCTTCGTCAACCGTATCTACCATCCTAACATCGACGAGTGTTCAGGCTCGGTGTGTCTTGACGTGATAAACCAGACGTGGTCGCCGATGTTCGGGCTCTTGAACATCTTTGAGAACTTCTTGCCCCACTTGTTGCGGTACGCCAACCCCAGCGATCCGCTCAACCTGGAGGCTTCGAACTTGATGAACAAGGATGAGTCCCGTTACACAGACATGGTGAAAAAGTACGTGCAGCAGTATGCCCTGGAGGATCTTCTGACCAAGGAGGGGAGAACTCCGAGGAGGAGAACGAAGACGACGAGTTGAGCGATGTTGGCAGCTTGTCGGACGACGACGACTGAGGCGCCCGCTGTGACCTACGGTATGCATAGGACTGGTTCCACATAGAATTTGCACTTTATAGCAATCATACGCATGAGGAGTTGTAGGGTTCGAAGGAGAGCAGCTGGGGAGAGTTGATTGGGAAGATGAGGCTTGGAGGAGTATTGGAAGTCTGAAGGGCTGTTAAAGCTGGACGTTCATTCAACGACTGGCATGCTAGAGTCAATTGTAAATGGGCCGTTCAAGGAACTTGGACGAAGGAGACACCATATTGGGTTAACTGCTATTTCACTGGCCTATAGTTGATGAGTCTGAATCGGATTACGGGTTTAACAGAAGTGATTAGGCTCTTTTTTCATGGACCCCAGACACCCCAGATGATACCCAGATGTGAGACTACCTGATATGGCCCGGTTACATCAAAATAACGTCCTTTGGTGACTTTTGAATGAACTCTGAATACTGCCACTGAAAATGCATGGCTCTGTAAATTACACCGAAAACACTGCTAGCCTGCTGTCCGTATCAGCTTACTCATATTAGCGAAGGTTGTACTGTCCTCGTTAGGTCTCAAAGTTAACAAAAAGAAGGGAGCAGTAATGACATAGAAGATGGCAAAGACTAACTAAAGGCGACCATGACCAGTTTTCATCCATTTCACTAGCTGCTAGACTACCTTACCTGCTGCTAGACTACCGCTAACGAATGGCTGCAAGAAGACTCAGCCGCACCGGGTAGCGCTAATTCCCAGAATGCTCCAGGTATAGTTCATGGAATTTCGTCACTTTTGCCGTTTACCGTTTCATTTGAAGCTTTCAGTTCCATCTCGTGGCTCACTACGTAGTGGTCGGACAATAGGCATAAGTGGTATGCACAGACCAAGCTGCACCCACCGTATCACTAGTAGAATTCCACTCGCATGAACCCTCTGATATCTGGAGTCAACCAACAATCAACATACATTTGGAAATTCACTTTTAAGAATACACTTCCTAGCTCAATGTCGGCCATTTTTGATTTTGCGCCCGAGCTGCATTTCGTACATGCCTGTCAGTTCACACTGAAAGCAGTGAACTCACACTTTACCCTCTACCCCAGGAAAACCCACTACACTGAAAAATCACAACTCTCCCACCTCCACCCTCTATTTCCTCCCTCCGTTTGCAGCCAACGCTGCCACTAAACGCTGCCTTACGTTAATAATTCTGGCGTCCTCTTAATTGAATAAATCGTTAAAAAAAAAAAATTACGTTAAGACCTCTCATCCCTCAGCCTAGTCAAACCCACCGTTCACCAATCAAGGTGACAATGGCTGTCTATCTCCGTCCGAGGTGGTTATACCCGTTTTGTGGAGAGTGCGCTAGCACCCGCTAGGCTCGAAATACCGAAAAGGCTCGGCTACGCAGTCATTGCAGGCGGGGTGCACTCCTTTGCTACTTAACCACAAGAAGCCCATTCTGTAGCCATGGCCCTGATCAGACGCTTTTCCTCCATGATCCAGAACACTTTGAAAAACAAAACCTTGTTCCGCACCCAAGGCTACATCAATGGCCAGTGGGTGCTGCTGGACTCGACCATTGACGTGTACGACCCGGGTTTGGTTCCTAAGCCTGAGGCCAAGATCGCACAGGTGAGCTCTTTTGCAACCAGCGATTACGAAAAAGCCATTGAGGCCGCCCATGAGTCGTTCAAGTCTTTCAGAAAGACCAGCGGCAGAGAGAGGGCTGGCTTGCTTGCGAAAATGCACAAGTTGATGATGGACAACCAGGACGACTTGGCTAAGCTTATCGTGGTGGAAAACGGCAAGCCATACGCTGATGCCTTTGGCGAGGTTGCCTACGCTGCTTCTTTTTTCCAATGGTTCAGTGAAGAGGCTGCTCACGTCACGGGCGACATTATCCCGCTGGCCAACGCTTCCAACAGAATCTTGTCTATCCGTCAGCCTATCGGTGTGTGCGGCATCATCACTCCATGGAACTTCCCAGCCGCCATGATCACCAGAAAATTGGCTGCTGCCGCTTGCGTGGGCTGTACTACCGTGATCAAGCCTGCTTCTGAAACACCATTGACCGCTTTGGCGTTGGCCCACTTGCTGGAGGAAGCTGGCTTCCCTAAAGGTGTGGTCAATGTGCTCACCTCCAAAAGCTCTTCTGCTGCTGGAAAGGCCATTTGCGAGCACCCATTGGTGAAGAAGGTCACGTTCACGGGATCTACCGGTGTTGGTAAGGTGTTGATGCAGCAGGCAGCCTCCACCTTGAAGAAGTGCTCGTTTGAGTTGGGCGGAAACGCTCCATTTATTGTGTTTGACGATGTCGATCTCGACAAGGCCATTCAGGGCGTTCTTGCCTCCAAGTTTAGAAGCTCCGGTCAGACGTGTATCTGCGCCAACCGTATCTTTGTTCACGAGAATATCTACGATGAGTTTGCCAAGCGTCTTGTTGCCAAGTTGAAGGAGGTTGTCACTTTGGGCTACGGTTTGGACAAGGGCGTCACCCACGGTCCCGTCATCAACCCTAAGTCCTTGGAAAAGGTACAGGAGCACATTAAGAACGCCACCGACCATGGTGCTAAGCTTTTGCACGGTGGTGAAGTCAGACCTGACCTTGGTGAGTACTACCACGAGCTCACAGTCTTGGGCGATGTCACCAAGGAAATGGAGATTTTCAACGACGAGACCTTCGGTCCTGTTTGTCCCTTGATTAAGTTCAAGACCGACGAAGAGGTGCTCGAATTGGCAAACGACACTGAGGTTGGTTTGTCTGGATACTTCTACACCAACGACGTGAGCCGTGTGTTCAGAATCGGTGAGGGTTTGGAGGTTGGCATGATCGGTGTCAACACTGGTGCCATCTCAGAAGCTGCTCTTCCTTTCGGTGGTATCAAGGAGTCTGGTTTCGGCAGAGAAGGCTCCAAGTACGGTATTGAGGATTACACCATCGTGAAGTCGATGGTTGTCGGAGGTATTTAGATACATCTATGCATAGACCTTGAAAAATGTAGAGTATTTACAGTTTGATACTTTTCACCTTCTTATACTATACATCGAAGCACTGGCCGGAGCTAGTACTGGGGACCCATTGAATCACTGTAACCAGGTGTACCGTTGTAGCCTGGGCTCTGGCTGTAAGTCTGGTCGTTGAAGCCAGGGCTGCCACTGGCAGCACTCATGTTGAGAGAAACGTTGCCAAATCCATCGTTACCCAAGGGGATATCCATGGCGACATCTGCGGGTAGTTCTCCTCCAAGAGAGGTGGAAAGGTCTGGGGGGAGGTCGTCCACGTATGCTTCCGAGAAGTCATCAAGAGGCTCTTCGGCATCAACTTCCATAGCAGCTTCATTCGCGCTCTCCTCCAACAGACGCTGCTCTTCTTCTTTACGACGCTGTTCCTCCTCCTCTTTTTTTCTTTCCTCTGCCTTTACGGCGTAGATGGAGCTATCGAAGCCTTGTACATCCTGCATTCTCTTCACATCCACGGGCAACTTGACACTTCTAGAAATTCTGTACAGCTCGTTGTTGAAGCTGATGTTCGTGTCTGGGAATAAAACTGTGTAGTATTGCTTCAAATCTTCGCTGTATTGCGACGTCACTTCCTTCTTCTGATTAAGTTCATCATCTAGCCTGAGGTTGAACAGCGAGATCTTTTCATCATTGTCTTCGTTTCTGGTACCCTTTTGGCTCTTCAATTCGTCGACCTCTTTGCGAAGTCTATTTATCGTCTCATCATTGATCCAGTCTTTCTCTGATATACGCAGAAGCGTTCCATCCTCACCAACTATGCAGCCTTTCATCGTGGAGTAGTTATCCACAAGTTGCAGGGCAAAAATGGATTTATATGTCAACGAACGAAGTCCTCCTTCGACGGTATTACCATTTATGACAGATGAAGCAAAGCCCAAAGGAGCCACCTTTTCATTTGGTTCCTTATATCTTGGAGGTTTGATCACCGAAAAAGCGGGATTTTGCGCGCTCATGGTCGCCTTTGGTGCAGTTCTTTTGACCATTATGGATTGAATATATAGTAGCGCTGTTTTGAAAAAGAGTAGGTATTCTCACTCTCCTATATGCACAATTCTCACCATGTTTCTCTGGCTATTTTGCAGCCACTACAATTTACGTGCAAGTGTCCGTATAATCTCATTACATTGTTCCCTCCATCAACGATTTCTCGATACCATCGATGAGACCGTCGATATCTTCCACACGAAGACCACAGCTGAGGCTGATAAGCTTTCTGTACTTGTTCATCTTCGAGTTTATAGCCCATTCCTTCACTCCCTGGGCAACCTGATTCACCAAGTCATTACGCCTGAGCTGTTCTTGAGTAAGCTCCAATGCAAGTTGCCAACGATCGCTGGAAGCATCATCGTCTGACGTTGGTGTGTTCATCCCCTTCTCTTTCTCTTCCACGGTATTTGCCAATTCATAGGCCTGTACTTTCTCAAACAGACACAAGAGCTGCTGCTCTTTGTTCAGGAGTTCCGTTTTGAAACCATTAACCTCCTGCTCGACGAGTTGCTTGGCTTCATCATAGTCCGTGATATCGTCGAAACCATTTCTCGACAATACGGCCTTAACTTTCTTGAGGCCAGCAGAATCCGCTTCTTTCTTAGCGATAAGCTGCTCTTCAATATCCTGTTCGTTTTTGCTTAACCCGCTAAGCTCCTTACGATACGAATCTGTGAGAAGTGTCACCATGCCATGCATCATTGTGGATGCATCACTAACGGGAAGCTTCACGTCAAGGTCACCTTCCTCGTTAGCATTGTGCTCAGACTTGCCATCAAACATTGCGGAGCGTGGCACAAACGATTTGCCGGGAGTGCCCCTCGCAAGAGGAGAGTTCTCGACAGTAGCTTCCGAAATCACACCTAGAACATTCTGCTTACCAGCAGAGTTCGGGCTAATACCGGTCTGTTTAGGTGTGGAAATCGCCTCATAGTTAACTTTCGTTGGGTCGTCGGTGAAGACGTTCTCTTTGTTGTCGTCGACAGTACCAGCCTGTCCCTCCATGAGCATTCTCAACTGTTCTTTGCTCACGCGATCATTGAGGTCGTCTTCTTCGTCATCTTGAATAGTAGTTCTTTGAGTGTCTGGAGTCTCGATGCGTCTGTTGTTAAACGATTGAATAGGGGTACCAAGCCCTGGTTGTTGGTTGCCTCTCTTGTCATTGACATCCAATCCAGTGGATGAGAAGAATTGTTGCATACCTGGTTGATCCTGATGGACGCCAACGTTATAGATAACAAGGCCCAGCTGCATGATAATTCCTTTTGCAGCTTCATTGTTGACATTCACCAAGTCGTCTCTGGCACCGTTGCTCAACAAAAATTTGACGAATTGTGAGCAGCTTGCCCAAGCAGCAAGATGAAGACATGTGTCGCCATTCACATCTTGGTGATCAATGACATTCTTCAACAAGTTGACGCCAGAGGAGCCATTCTTCGTTGTCATTATCGTGAGTTTCGAAAAAATATGTTCAAGGTAATGTGTAAGAGACGCGAGTTTCGAAGTCATCTTGGAAAATTGACACAAGTAGTGCAATGGTGTACGTCCGTTAATGTCAGTGTGAATGAGACAGACCTCAAGTGCATCCAAAATCTGTGGGAAGTTTCTGAGCTCATGACAGTTGTTGAACGAAATGCACTTAGACAAAGGGTTGAGGCCGTGGTTATTCACCACCAATGCGTTAGCACCCTTGGAGAGAAGTAAGTGGACGAGGCTAGCATTACCAATGGAAGCAGCCCAGTGCAAAGCGGTATGGCCCTCATCGTCAATCGCCTCATTCATGTTAAACTCTGGAGGAGGGTTATAGAGGAATTGAGGAATAGGGGAATTGTCGTCGCTGAAGAAACGCAATAGCTGCGCAGCGAAAGTGTCTTCCTCGGCAACCTTTTGATGGTTGCCGTCCAGGGAGGAGATGGATGTGTCTGAGTCCCGGTGGTGCTCTTCCTGTGACCAATTGGCATCGTTTGTTGATTGCGACAGTGTTCCTTTCTGATGCTGCTGATAGAGCATCTGCTGCTGGTTCTGTGGTTGCGGGAGACCCTCTTCCTGGTAAGCGCTCATCTGACGAGCAGGATACTGTGAATAGCCCAGTAGCTGGTTGGGGAAGTTGCCGAAGGAAGCTTGCTGGGAGTTGAAACCGTTCATGTTGACTCTCTGAGAGTTAGCAAAATTGCCGTTGCCAACGAATTCCTGTGATTGGAATGTGGGAGGCATTGATTGCACTGGAAGCTGCATCTGGCCGTTATAGCTGTGTTGAGATGCCATTGGCGACTGGCTCATTGGGATATTGTCTCTGGGAAGCGAATGTTGGTAGCCGTCTTGCGTGAACAAGGCTTGGGGCGGGAGGTTGTTGTCGAGGCGCATCTTCTTAGGAGTCTCTTCCTTCTTGTTCTTCTTGACGTACTTGCGCTTGACAGGCGTGCCGTCCTTGTTAACGCCCGACGACGAAGACACAGGGGGTTTGGATTTCTTCGGAATCACTACCGAGGTATCTGAAGGGTCAACATATAAGACAGGCACCATGTCGGAAGAGATTGCATACTCATTGGCGAGGTTCCGAGCATCCGGCAAGGGAATCCAAGTTCCCTGAAATCTGCCGTACCCACCCTGAACTTTTTCATGCTGGCCCTGCTGCACGCCCTTTTCAAGGATCTTTGTCCGCTTGGCCTTGGGAAAATTGCACAACTTGAGGATCTGGGTGGCATTGACCCAGTCGTCCTTGCAGCGTCTCATGATGGGCATATCATTGACCAAGCACTCGTAGACCTCTATCTGACGGGTTAGTTATGGGAGGAACTGGGGGAAACTTTTGGGGAATTTGAAATAGACATACGTTCGAGTACGTGGCTATGTACACGGAGGGATGTTCGTAAGACATGATGGGCCTTCGAGGGAGGGAGAAAGCAGGAAATGCTGAACCAAGAAGGAAAAAGGACCTGATGCGAACAATTTACAAAATCGGTGTTAATTAAACGCGTTATCTGGCCTGCGTGGTGCACGGGTGTGCTGGTTGGCCTCGCTCGAGGTGAACGCGTTAGATAGCTCTTTCTGAGAGAGGAAATGGGGAACAAAGTCGATCCGGGCAAAGAACTAAGCTTCTTTTATAATTTAGATTTTTTGGACTAAGGGGCTCCGACGGAATGTTTCCGACTCATGCGGAGAGCTTGGTCTTTTTTTTTTGTCTTTCCTCCTCTTCTTTCCGGATTGTCCGCGGAGGCTGGTTTTCACTTGCCCTTTTTTTTTGCAACCATCCCGCCAAGATGCCAAGGGCTGAGTTTCTCGAGCACCCTCCTCGAGATGATCTGGAGGATGGAATTTTAGGTCAGGTTTCTAGAAGTAAGGAATCTCCCCTCCTGCAAGATCTGATTATCTTTCACTTTGCGCTGCTTTGTTGCACTAAAGGCCGGAGATTCGCAGCCAATCGAATGCCTCAATGTCCCAGAAAACCACAAAAAGCATCCTCCATCTTGCCTCCCAGATCGACGTAACATCCGAAGCCGACAATAGCGCCGTGCCTGTTTGGAGTAGTTTACGGTTTGTTAGGCCTGGGAGGGGGTGTCAGGCAGTTGTAAGGTGACGCAGAGAAGCCCGCGGGGAGTGGTTGCAAAATGCCCGAGGAGTAGCGAAGAGCCTCCTTCAGCCAATGACAGGAAAGTCGGAGCCAGTGACCAGGCGTACCTTCCAGCACTTTATTCGGCTTCGTTGATCGGCACCAGTTTCCGCAAATCGAGCCCACTGTGGCCTCCGTATTGCAACATTGAGCATTGTGCCAAAGTTCAATTAGACTTTCCTTGCTACGGTGCAGATCGAGCCCGTGGCCAAATCGGGAGCGGACTTTTTGATTGCCGGCCTTCCAAGATAACAGTGAATCCGGCATTCTGGAAAATCCAACCGTGCTGAATATGTCCAATGTGAATTATCACGCAGGCAGGCTCAGAACCAAGCCAAACGCTGAGTCCCCACCTCGAAAACAAAAAAAAAAAACCGCCCCCATCTCCTCGAAATCTATTTTAAACTTCGTTCGCTATTCACTTTCCTTTTCGTCACATCGCCAGCAACTCCTCCGGTGTGACCGGTTCCAGTGCTGTTCCTGCGCTGAAGTCCCAGTAGGACTCGGTGAAAAGTGACCTCGGACTGCCTTGGCAGGTGCCACCGATGACACCCAGCCAGCTTTAAATTCCTCCGTAGATCCCAGCCACGCTCCCCAGCCTGTCATGTTATGGATTCAGCTCAAGAAGAATACGATGAAGCCCAATGTGGTGTTCACGCTTACCATGCTCTGGAAAGGCCCCGTCCCCGCCCACCGGACCACGTTCCGTTCTGGAGCAGAATCAAAATCGGAACGTTTAATTTGTTTCAGTGGAACAGGGCTACCGTGGTGAAACCGCCGGCATCGTATGGAAACCAGGGTCCGGTTTCGCTGCATCCTGCGGCAGAATTAGGAGGGCCTCCAGTGACATCATCGGCACGGAATGTGGAGAAGCCAGGCGAAGCTCATCGGACGAAGGTGATCCAGTAAAGGGCTTTTGATCAAATTCGTCTTTTTTGAAAGATCAGAAAAGATCAAAAGAATAGAAACCGTGGTGGTCAGCCGTGTGTGGAGCGCATGTGTTCCCTGGTTCTTGTGTGACGCCTATGTTCAAACCACAATAGCGAGTGTTTACTGCCGTGCATAAGCCCCACCGGTGGCTGCGAAACACGAATCACCCGGTCCCATCGGGCACTTCACTTTCCTCCAGATCCCGTATATATACCCATTTGTTTTGTAAAATCGATGCCGCCCATACCCTTCCGAAGCCGCCCCGGCCTTGTCGCCTTGACTCGCTGTCATCGAATGTCTCGGTCATTGTCCACCGAAGATGGCGATGCTTTCGCAACAGATCGAAATAATCAGAAAAGGAAGGTAACACACGGCTCCCCAGCCCCAATTATAGAATAAAACATAAACGCCCTTTTTCCCCGTCTCCCCTCTCTGTGTTGTGCCCTCCAGGAATTTTCGCGTATACATGAACTGTACCATGCTGTCACTCACATAATGCCAAGTCTCCCCACTACATAAGCTGTACATCTGTCTTTTTTTTCTGCTTTGTCCACAGTAAAAATCCACCGATGCCTCGCCTAGGGATAGTTCCCTGCGACCGCAATGTCACAGGCACCATCGCCATGATGGACGACGATCTGGCCGCTCCGCTGGAGGCCGAAACCGCTTCCTTGAAGCGTACCGATACCGGCATCATTTTGCATCCACAACCCCATGACAACCCAAACGACCCGCTCAACTGGCCCACCATCCGTAAGGATATTTGTTTCTTGATCATCGGCTTCCAGACGTTTATTGGAGGTGGTCAAACGCCCATCTTGGCGGCTGCCTTCTCATCGCTTGCGGAAGAGTTCAATGAGCCGCTTTCCGTGATCTCCTATTTGGTGGGTGGCTTCATGTTGGCTCTTGGTGTCGGTTCCGTCTTCGCCAGTCCCACCGCCGTTCTCTACGGAAAACGTTTGGTTTACTTGCTAGGCATCTTGATCTTCTTGATTGGTGCAATCATCGCCGCATCTTCGGAGAACTACGGTGCTCTCATGGCAGGCCGTATCTTGACCGGTTTTGGTGCTTCTCCAACAGAGAGTTTGACCTCCGCCAGCTTGAGTGAGTTGTACTTCCAGCACGAGCGTGCCTACAGAACAGGCCTTTACACTCTTTTGTTACTCGGCGGAAAGAACATCATCCCGTTGCTCTCGTCCTTGATGTTCGAGCACTTGGGCCGCCACTGGATGTACTGGATCTTGGCCATGTTTTTGGGCTTGAACCTTATCCTCACCTTTCTCTTCGTGCCCGAGACTTTCTGGGAAAGATCTCCTACACCGAGCAAACGGTCTATTCGAGAGACAGAGGCCGCCCGTCGTGCCCGTAATTACATTCCTCCCGAGCAGAGACCCCACGCTTATGCTCTCCCATCGTCAGCAAACGTGGTGGACACGGACAGTTTGTCGTCTTCTCGTTTCGAGAGCACCATCCACGATAACCATGGAGATCCCGTCGGCATCACTGACATCCACCACGAAGGCGACCCTTCCATCGCGTCCACCCCAAAGAGCTTCAAAAATAGATTGGCATTGCTCTCGGGAAGACACACTCCTGACAAATGGTGGCAGGTTGCATTGAGACCGTTCTTTCTTTACTTGTACCCACCGGTTCTCTACGGCAGTTTGATCTATTCCATGGCCGTCGTCTGGTTGATTGTCATTTCGGAAACCGTCTCTGATATCTTCAAGGGCGAAGACTACGGCTACTCGCAACAAACTGTGGGTCTCTTCTACTTGGGTCCCTTCATTGGCGGTATGCTTGGCTCGCTCACCACCGGTTTCGTTGGTGATCGTCTTGTGAGATATCTCGCCGCCAAGAACCACGGCATCTACGAGCCTGAATTCAGACTCCTCATGTTAATACCGGCGACAATTCTTGAGTGCTTTGGGCTTATGGGATACGGCTGGTCCGCCGCAGACGCCAAACCTTGGATTGCACCGGTTGTTTTCTTTGGATGCTTGAGTTTTGGCTCATCAATGGCCTCTACAACGGCCATCACATACACGGTCGACTGCTACAAGATGTTCGCAGCTGAAGCATTAGTTTCCTTCAACTTTGCCAAGAACTTCTTGGGCTTCATCTTCTCATTGTTCAACACCGATGTCTACTTTGCCAGAGGCGGTAAAAATACTTTCGTCATTTACGGTGTTGTGCAGATGTTCCTCAGTCTTTGTGGTATTGGAGTATACATGTACGGTAAGGTCTTTAGAGCCTGGACCGACGACAAGGAGTTGTTGAAGGTTCTCTACGCCCATCCTCCAGCAAAGCATGAAACGCATGATGAGAAACAAGATGATGCAGACGCTCTCGATTCGTCTTCGCCAGACTCTACTGCCGAGAAGGTCAAGTCCGACGAGCAACTGCCACAATCGCATTAAAAAACTTGTTTCATTTATAACCAGTCTATTTCCTTTAATTCTATCGTAAGCGATTGCTTTCTAATATAAGTTTGGAGACGTTCCAATGTGGATGTCCCGTTCCAAATCTCCGAGTTAGGCTCTCTTGTAGGCATCCCAAGCTTTTCCACAATACAGCCACTTGCTACATTGCCCAATATTCCTGCTATGAGCCAATTTTGGTTGGACAAGTAGAATGCCGTCATGAAGGCTCCGCAGAATGTGTTTCCACCACCTGTGACATCCTTCACCTTAGCTTGATCGTCGTGGTATGCCTTAAGCATGAACGCCTCATTATGAGTTTTAATGTAGCACCCTAGGGCTCCACATCTTATAACGACTCCTCCATCGTTGGGTGAATATTTGACAAACTGTTCAGCTAATTTGGCAATCCCCTCCTCGGTGCTAGGCACTGCTTCACCTAAAAAGCCAGCAGCTTCCTCAAGATTGGGGCTGAATACATGCACCTTGGGTAGTAGTTTCGTAAGGTCCTCGTAGTTCTCAGGAACGCATACATCTGGGAATGGCTCGAATATGTGTAGCGGTGGGCTACCTCCACTTCCCTTTAGCTCATCAATAAACCGGTCGATTATAGTGCCACAACGGTCAATGGCACAACACGTATGAAACGTCTTCAGCCTGACCAAATTGCCTGTTTGGACAATATCAAAGTCCTCGATCCTCTTCTTTGGCGATCTGTAAACAAACGAACGAATCCCATTTTCCTGGTACACGTTTGCGCCCCTTGTCGTCAAGCGATCTGGATTTTCACGGAATACAGGGCCAGCACCCCAGCTCTTGATTTCACTTTCAACCTGTGGTGGAAAGTCTGTTCCCTTATCTATGATACCGCTGATTCTGTGACCTAGTTCTGGTCCACAAGCTATTCTTCCTCCCACAATGGCGTACAGAGCCCCACCACCAATGATGTCATGTTCAGACTCCCTTTGCCATGATTCAGGATAGATATTGTCGTCGATGATGAAGAGTCCCAAAGTGGTGAGAATGGGGTCTGGAGTAGACATGGCTGCGACTGAAGATTCGGTGCGCAAGATTCTCAAGAGTGCTGTTTATTTGGATATACTGGGCTTGGTTCGACCACAGGGGCAATTGATTGCATGATTTGAGGCAAATGTCAGTCTCTAGGAGTTGCTTTCGGCACTGAATTTGCCCAAAACTGGGACTTTTCTAATGGTGGGGCTAGCGTGGTGCTTGGTCTTATTTGAGGAAGAGCAGCCAGAAATGCTCCAATATAGCTCAGATTTGCATTTTTGAAACTTCAACACGATGAGGTGCTGGACTCAAAAGCATTTCTTGCATAAAATATTGTTCCTGCATTTATACCAGTTCGCGTTTCATTCTGGCTTTCTTATTTTAACTGTTGGCATTCGCATCTAATCGCGCCCGCTTGGCCAAGTGGTAAGGCGCCTCACTCGTAATGAGGCGATCGTCGGTTCGAATCCGACAGTGGGCACGTTTTTTTTTTAATCCATCGTTTTTGCACTCTACATTAGATAAAAGTACCTATTTGATGATAACTTTTTATTGGCTTCATGCTGAGTTCCTATATTATAGTACATGCTTATTCCTTAGTAGCTTTTGATGGGGGTGGAGGCGGCGGTGTGTCCTCTGGCTGCTCGCCGTACTTCACGTCCGAGGCCTTGGACTTATCTAGCTCTTCATTCATGAAATTGGTAAGATCGACATTTGCTGATCCATGATGTCTTTTCTTCTTGGCTAATTTGGCCGATGGCGGTATGGAAGGCGGAGCGATTGGGGCTGCCTGCGGAACGATAGCGGTTCCAGAAAATGAGGCTGTTCTTGGAGGAGCGCTTTGCGGTGGTGCACTAGTTTCGGGCTCTGGCTCTTTCTCGTTCAAATTATAGCTCAAATCGGTTTTGTTCTCGTAGAGAAGATCGTCGATGGTCTCCATGTTGTCGAATTTGCCAACCACTTCTGGTATACGATGAAGCCAGCCGTAACCCACATCACAGCCTAGAATACCCTTGGCTCCTCCAGTGGACCAACCTCGTGATAGGTTCACAGTCACAGGACGTAAGACATCATGGTCGTGGTTGTAAACGTACAACATTATAGGAATGCTGTCCTTTTGTTGCACGGCACTGTGGTGGTTGTAGTAGCTTAATATGGTCTGTGAAAGTAATCTCTCCCCGCCATTGGACAAAAGGCCCTTTCCGTGTTCGTCCGTGTCAAAGCACGAGTCACATCCAATAACGTAGTCTGAGTGAGGGACAAGCTTAGCGTCAAAAGCTGGAGAGCCTGGATGCGTATTGAGAACACGCCACACGTATGTAGCATTATTCAAGTGCTCTGATTGTACGGTGAGGCCAATCTGCTGGAAGTTGTTAAGGTATGCCTTTTCGTCAGCACCAGTGTCTGCGGGAAGCTCTTTACGAAACTCGTCAAGAGGAACACGGACCTGACGCACCACGCCACCTTTGGCGCTCCAGACCTCAAACTCAACCTGTCTGGGCCCATTGTGGTGAGCTATGTTTTCAAGTTCCTGAGCCAAAGCGTCCCAGTCTATCATGCCGGCTTCAGCGCCCTGCTGTCCGTAATTAACAGCACCTTCGTCATTGACACTGTAGGCCAGAGAATGAGGATACTTCATGGGCAATTCGTTGTTGTTGATTCTGATGATGAAGTCGAACCAGGCCTCTAGACCGAGCCGGTGAGCACCCGAATGAGGAATCACCTTAAGCACGCGAAGACCGTAGCCATTGTTGTTGATTTTTTGGGTTTCTTTGAAATACGAGTTGTCTGATTGGTGCTGCAGAAGATTCGAGCCGTCAAGTCGGTCGACTAGCCTCCTTGCAAATGAGAACATGGGTTTCTGTTGAATCAATGTGAGCATCTGGCGTTATGCCTTGGGCCATGTGCAGGTGGATCCATGTCAACCAAGCACCCACTGGGGTGGAGACGAAATCATATTCAATAAGGCTTCTTCTAGATTATGAATAGCCTGGACGGTTTTCTTCTTTGATTCTTGAGCGTCATCCATCGTTGTGGAAACATCCCCACTACCAATCGATTTGCGCACTGCGATAAGCTCAAGTTGGACCAACTACCATGTCTTCCTCCAAAGTGGTTGTTGTAGGCGCTGGCGTCGTGGGACTTACTGCTGCCCTTCAGCTCAAAAGAGCGTATCCAGATTACGACATCACCGTTGTGGCGGCACACATACCAGGTGACTTCAGCTTGGGATATGCCTCACCCTATGCTGGAGCGAACTGGCACTCATTGGCCAGCCCAAGGGACAAAAAACTTCAGGAGTTTGACGAAGTGGGATATCACGAATTTCAGCGTCTTGCGGATGACCCTCAGTCCGGCGTCTGGCGCCGAGCCAATGCCAATTACTATACTCCTACAGCTGTCGCTAGAGCTAATGGCGATACCTCTGGTTTCAATCATTGGTTCAAGGAGCTTGCCAACGAGAGGGTCATTCCAAAAGAGGATCTTCTCCCAGGAACAGTATACGGTACCGAGTTTGATACGGTGGTGATTTCCGTGCCGATCTACCTCAACTATCTCTTGCAGCATTGCATCAAACTAGGTGTGACAATCAAGCGTGTCAGCTTCATCACCAGCATTGACGATGCTCGTTCGCTCCATTCTTCCGGAAAAGAGGCCGACTGGGTCATCAATTCCGCTGGGCTTATGGCCTACAGAATCGACGGAGTCAACGATGCGAGACGGAATTACCCAGTCAAGGGCCAGGTGCTTTTTGTCAGGAACAATATCAGCAAGTGCATTTGCGTCGAGGGTTTTGACGACCCCAATGAGCTCCTCTACATGTTCCCACGCAAAGAAGGCGGCACCATTATTGGAGGTACTTTTGTCCAAGAGAACTGGGACCCCCAGGAGAACAAGGCCCTTTCCGTCAAACTCTCTCAGCGAGCCGTTGCGTACGCCCCTGAGATTGTGGATGCCAAGCTCTCGAATCCGAGCTTTTTGGACGTTGTTCAAGTCAACGTTGGACTCAGACCTTTCAGAGACGGTGGCATGCGGATTGAGAGAGATACCAGACGACCATGGCTCATTCACAATTACGGTGCTGGCGGCGGAGGATTCCAAGGAAGCTACGGTTTTGCCAAGAAGGTTGTCGAATTGGCCGCACCATCCCAGCCAAAACTCTGATTTGGTTATTTCATATTAAGTATATAGTACAACAATGGGTGCAAACGAGCGTTGGAAAATATCACCTTAGTTGCAGATGAAACGGGTAAGCAAGTGAAAGCCCCTCTTAGCACCTTCCTTGACGTATTTCTTTTGGTGTTCCTTGTCAGTGTGGGTGTTGACAAACTCCCTGGCCTTGCCTTGTTTTCCAGCTAAGGGAGTAGGTTCGTCATCGTACTTTTCCGTGTGGATCTCAATGTCGTTGTAACCATGTTGAATGTCAAATGGCCCCGGGTTGGAGGGTTGTTCAGGGATGTTGCCAGCCATTGGAGGGGTGCTATGGAAGTTTCAGCCAAGCCTGTCTGCAAAACTCTTATATAAGTCTGAGGCTGGTTGCTACTCTTGACAGGCCTGTGCGTTTGTGTACAGGGCAACAGAACGTTTGCTCGATAGATAGCGCTTAATTGCTAATGTTAGTCTTTTTTGGACGGTTCCTCGCATTACATGTGACAGATTTTTGCAGCCTCAACGGCCTGTCAGTAAGGGTTTTGGGCTTTGTCGAGGAATTGAAGTGAATTTTCAAGAGAAGGCTTGGTTATGGGATCGTACGGCTGCTGCATGTTAGGCACTCTAGCGCTTTTAGGCTTCGATAAGGATGCACATTTGGGTTTAGGTTACACAATTGAGACGGTTTGTTTTTGATTTTTGTCAATAAATGAAGTGTTTTGTGGTATTCTGGGTTGCCGTTATAGGCTTGCTTTCATAATGTATTGCACAATGGATGTTCTGTACCTCCGCCGCAGGCTGCCCTGAGGCTCACTGGTGTCATTATTGCACGCCTAATTGATGATGACGAGATTGCAAACTTTTTTTGAAGGTGGGACATCTTCCCTCATTCTCGAAATTATCTTCAGTATATTTAAAGGAGTGTGGTCCATTGGTTATGAGGCATTCGAGAACATGGACCGTGCAGTGCATGTTTCCTATGCCCATTGAATTGTCATAACAAAAACTTCATCGTTTGAACTATACGAAAAAGTACTGACTGGTTCACCTTTGATTAAATTGCCTTTGGAACATTCGAGGCTTAATTCGGCGTGGCCAATGGCTGGGGTTCAATCGTTCCTTGAAGTCAATGTAGGGGGCATGGAATCGAGGATTAAGAAGCCACAAGGGTCAAGTCACCCACTACCTCTGGAATAAAGAAGAACAATCGCTAGAAGTCACGGGTTCAGAGCTTCAACCCGCTACACCACAGACGAGTATCTCGCAATCCATACTAGAAGCAGTGAATGCTTTTGTTAAGCCATGCCTCTTGTTAAAAGTAATGGAGGAGATCGGATGAAAAGATTGTGCTCCGAATGAAGTTTATCAGTAACAAAGCCTACAACGCTCTTTTTGATTTATTTTTATTTTTTTCTATTGTTTCTAACTTTTTTTTTTTTTTTTTTTTTTTTTTTTGCTTTTGTAAATAGTAATATGGATTCATCAGCGAAGGGACGAATCAGCACAATGGAGCAACCATACGCTTCATTGCCATAGGTAGCACCAACTCAAAACCATAAGAAGGTCTCTTGGTATTGGTGATGGTGTAACCCCAGACAGGCCTCGAATTTCTGACGGGCCTTTTTCTCTGTGGAATAGGTTCATCCCACAAAGCGAAAAAGTCGGAGGGAAGAACTCCGACTGATTCTTGGAGTAAGTGAGGGTCTTAAAGCCGGCGAAGTCACCAGGCAAAAAGGAGTCGGTCTCCTTTGGGTAGAAAAGCTCCCGAGCCTTGAAAAAGTCTCCAGGAAGGTAGGTGACATACTGCTTTTGGGCCAACGCCAGCATGAAGAATGGGAAGTCGCCAAGCCAATAGACATTGGTGTTCTTGGGCTTCAGCGAATTGATTGTAGGCTTAGGCACCTTGGACTCGAGTTCCAAAACCATGGTTTCAGGTTCAGGCACCACGGTTTCAGGCACCAAAAACTTCTCTTCAGGCACTGGAGCATGTTCAGGTTCTGGGACATGCTCCGGTTCTGGAACAGGCTCCGGTTCTGGAACAGGCTCCGGTTCTGGAACAGGCTCCGGTTCTGGAACAGGCTCCGGCTCTGGGACATCGTGCTTAGGCTCTGGAACCTTGTGAACGGGCTCCAAAACCTCGACGTTCTCCAGAAACTCGAAAACATCCTCTCCAATATCCTGCTTCAAGTAGTCCGGCTCGTCGTCCTCCACTTGAACAAGCACCGTTGACAACTTGTCGCTGTAGTTTGGCAAGTAGTGGCCAGGGACCTCGAGCTGCTTGACGTTCCAATAACGACGTCTAAACTGCTTTGGCGTTGGAGGCAAGCCGGACTTGGATGATCTCAGCTTCTTCTTGGCTGCCGTTTCTGCTTGCTTTGCAGCCTTGGAAAGCTTCATATTCTTGTCCTTAGAAACCCGAGCCTGGGAAGTTTGAGGGCGGCGGGCTTCCTTGGTTTCAGCTTCCACCTTTGTGTTTGTGGAAACTGAGACTGTCTCCAGAATCTCGGCGGGGATACTCTGGGAAGTAATTGGGGAAAGCTGCTCTGTGGGAGAAGACACAGAGAGCTTGTCGTTGGCTGATACAGCCTTGGGGGAAGTGGTTTGTGGTGGGCATTCGGGAACAGTAGTCTCAACGGGGGTCGAGGCCTTCAAAGTACCCACATCGGTGGAAGCCACGGAGACTTCAGGAATTTGCTTCTTTTCAGAAGCTTCAGGAGCAACAGGCCCCAGAACTTCTGGCTTGGGCTCAGAAGCCTGCTTTCTCTTTTCTCTCTTCTCACGGTAGATACCCATCAAACGGCTGTCTTGCTGAGCCATTCTCCGGTGGTTGCGAATCCAATGCCCGTTCAAGTGACGACGCTCGAATTGCATAATCTTGTGCTCATAAAAAGCCTGGGCTTGTTGATAAGCAAAGAAGTCGACGAAGGACTGGTTTCTGAGGAAGGTGAAGTATTCGAACTCGCCCTCCTGCCAGGGAAGCTCGATCACTGAGTATTCGTGATTAGTCCGGATAATTCCAGTATCTTCTTCAAAATAGGCTTCTCTGACGTCTTTTGGGAAAAGAACCCTGCAGACGCTCTTACACTTTTCGAAACACATTGTAGTTGGTGCGCTTGTTGTTGCTTGTCTTTGTGGTGGTGTTGAGGACTAATAAAGTAAAATGTTCCAAACGCTGGTTCAGAACTGTGGTGGTCAAGTAGATGAAGAAGAAAACAAAATCTGGCGGGAACCACCTCTATTTATGTTCAGAAGCTGGGCTTGTGCTGCTCCTGTGAAGGGAATGGATGACCTCGAAGTCATCAAAGAGCTCCAAATTGACTGGACTTACCCTATGGAATTACGAGTGAGTGACGGTTACAACACCTTCTGCTTTTGTGCCATGCCTCAGCGAAATAAATGTGTGCTTCATTTGGACCTTCCAAAATGGCTGCGAAAACGTCATGCAGCAGAACTTTCCACTTATTACCAAGTAGTGAGGATCAATTGGCCTCGAGGAAATTCGCCTTCGTAGTCTAGATTAACAAACACCATCTTGCTTTTTTAATTCTCTTCAATGATTTATATTTTGATTTCCACTCGTCTCAGACTCGTTCTTGTAGTTCCACAAGTCTCCGTAAGATTCGCACTTTTTACGAGAATCTCGAGGTCTCACAAACCAAAGCTTCGCACCATCAAGCTGATACATCCGTGCACCAAGATACTCTTTTACTGACAAAATTTTTATACTGCTTAACCAAGACAGCACGAGTTTAACCTCAAACGGCCGCCCCTGCTCCTCTTCACGACATATATAAAGCTTGAAAATGAAGGCTTCTACTGTCCTCAGGTTCCAACAGTCCACGGTTGCCTCCTTAAGAAGGCCCACCCAGACTTACAGAGATGGTCAGATATGGTACGGTTACACCAAGTCGGGCTCCAAGCGTCACCCTCTTTACACCAAGCTGGGTAACAAGAACTTCTACAAAGGTACTCGTTCCTCCGGTATTGGTAGCTTGACCAAGCACGGAAAATACATGGTCAACTGGGACAAGGTCAGAACATACGTCGTGCCAAGTGACTTGGCTACCACCGACCTCAAACCATTCGTTTCAGTTGACGTTCCACAGATCATGCAAAAGACCCCTGGTTACAGCGATAGCTTCAAAAGCCCCGAGCTTGCGTGGAACAACATCAAAGACTTCATAGAATATGGCGAGAACTACAACGACGTGGACTTGGAGAAGAGCAACTACTTGGAAGAGTTTGTGAACCCGCAGCAGGCCCAAGCGGAGGCAGAAAAGAACTCTGTCATCGTGAAGGACTAAACCATTCACCTTCAAATCATAGAAGATGCATCAAAATCTGTATATAGCGCCATGTCACGAATAATGAAAGGGCCCAGTGCCATGAAGAATCAGAAATGTAGATCATAGAGCCCTACATTGGGTTAAATAGCATGTATCATGGTACTACTAGTGTTATACACCCGTACACCACCTGGATCAGTATAGACGCGCTTCAGCACCTCCAGGATTCACCATGTCTTCCTCATTGACTAGTTCACAGAAAGCAATGTCAGAGACTCCTGCCACTTCGCCATTCCCTCTGGAGTCATCTCCTGCACCAGATGCTTCTCGTGTCTCGGCACCTACTGAAGATGTCACAATGTCTGAATCTACCCATGAAAATCAAGATCAAGAAGCAGAGGATAACGATGACGATGCTATGGCTGTTGACGAAGCTGTCATGTCATTGCCTCTTTCAAAAATAAAGAAGATTTTCAAAATGGACCCTGATTATTTTTCGGCCTCGCAGGGTGCTGTTTTTGCTACTGGAGCAGCTACTGAGCTCTTTGTTCAATACTTCATGGAACACGCTGCCATGATCGCAAGAATGGAGAAGAGGAAGAAGATACAATACAAGGATTTGAGTGCTGTCGTTTCCACACAAGACGCATTGCACTTTTTGAGTGACACAGTGCCCAAGACCCAACCTGTGGGCCAGGCAATAAAGGAAAGAAAGATTAATTTGCTGGATGAAGATCAAAAGAAATACGCTGACGCTGCAAACCCTGAAAACCCACAGAGTCCTCAGCAGGTTGTTGAAGAACCTGTTAAGGACCCTGTTCATGTCTTGCCCAAGGGCCAACAAACGTTATCATTCGAACCAGCTAAGAAACCTACGATAAAAAAGGCTGTTATACACGATTTGATGAGTACCGATGATGCGGCTGGAAATGATGGTTGATGCTATGAATAATGTTTAATGACCCACAATGCACTTCTAAGGTCCCTGCTGAGATGAAACTGCGTCTCATCCAACCCCAATCTTGTGCACACGCGGGCAATATCTAGTGCTGTCTGGTGAGGGATCTGTCTCTCATAGTTATTGAGCGCCGTGACAAATAATTCCACGTAAGCTTTCCTCACAGAGGGCGCCACAGACCCTGACACGACGGCTTTAGACTCTTTTACTTTCAGGTCTAGTGTGAACATTGGATTATGTTTTTTGAGAAAATCCCAAAGATCAAGGAACCTTCGGCTCATGAATGCTTGATGTTTCGCATCCTCGGCGAAAATCGTTGTGGCGAAGTGAATTGCTGGACCCGTAAGTTGCGAATGTTCGAAATTTGCACTTTCCCAATCCGAGACAGTTTTTGTTCCCGAGACAAGAGACATTAAGACAGGCCAGCTTTCCGCCAAAACGGGCATGAGTTTCTCATAATTGGATGCCACCATGAGATACGCATTTTCCAATGTCTTAAATATTGTCAATCTAAGCTTTATAGACGGATGTGTGAGTAGTTGCAAGCCGTACTTGAAAACTTGAAGGACGAGATTGTAGGTATCTTCAGGAATAGGTGAGGGCCAGGGCTGGGGTTCCTCCACCGGTTCTTCTTCATTATCGCTGTCATCATCAGAGTCTTGATCTTCAAAAGGAACACCAGGTTTTCTTTTAAAATACTCTTTTTCGGGATCATAGTCGGAAAAAGGATCCCCCTGTCTATTCTTCTCATCTAGGAGATCGATGAATTGGTCACAAGTTGTGATCCCCCACGGTTTAAATGGCGCAGGAACTTCTGTTGACTTCAATTTGTTCGAATCAAGTAATTCACGCAAATATATGCTCTTGATCAATGCAATTACCTCTTCAAATACCATGAAGAAGTTTTCCACAAGGACTGAATAGCCATGAAACGTATCGATGACTATGAATATCTCACTCAATATGTCTCTGAGCTGGTTAGATTTCACCAATTCGACACCCGAGATCTTGAGGACGACAAGCAAGATACCAGGGAGGGATGGCGTCATGCCACTATTCATAGTTAATTTCAAACTTAATGTGTCGATCAAATAATCAGCATTAGCCTCGACAAGCCTTTGTAGACTTCCCTCATAGTACCGTTCAGCAATTGAGTTCAACACACTTCTAGCCATCTGATTGACCAAACTGTCTGCCCTGTGTGTCATTGCCTCTAGTAATAAATATAGGTTGTCCATCAATACATCTGTCTCAAAATCCTGCTTCGATAAAGAGGTTGATAAGATACCCAAGGACTCAATTGCTATCGAGAAGTTGGCTTCATTAGTTGATTGGACCAAATCATTAGGGTCTTCTTGTTGCTTGATCACTTCAATATCATCGAATACTGCTCTTGCATTTTCAAGCACCAAGTAAAGAGACTCTTCTACAGAGTCATCCTGGGGCTCGTCATCGTAGAAAGTCACCAAGTCGCTCATACTTTCCTGTTTATGTTTTCTCTCAAATGACAGCACTAATGTGTTACTCGCCCACAAGAAAACTCCCTTGCGTAGAAGGGCGTCGCTTGATCTGCTCAGCTCCATAGACAAATGATCAATTATAGGAGTGATACTGACTGCAGACTCACCAACATACTGGATGAATGATTGCAAAGCTTTTTCAATTGTAGGAGTAAATGAGGATGGAAAAAACAGAGATTCCAAATCTCTCACGTCACTATCACCTGAGAAATCGAATGCTCTAGTAAGCTGACTCAAACTTGCTTTAGTGGGCTTCGAAACCTGAGTGGTATTGTTTCTGATTTTCGTAATGCTTTTGGCTTTGATGTGCAGCGGAAGAACAACGGAATCCATTGAGTTTTCTTCGTCGACTGACTCAAAACTATGTTCCACATTTGAGTCTTTCTTATGTTTCTTCCCGTCCGAGTGTAGAACCCGGTTTATCACGCCATCGTAAATTTGCAGAACAGCAAGCTGCTTGAGCTCCATTGAGTTATTCGATGCCAGTTCGTCAACAATCTTGTCTATTAAATGAAGGTGGAATTTTATTGCGACAAGGGTGAGGTGCACTTTTTCGTCATCTGTAGAGATGAAGATTCGTGACAATTGGTTTGACACGAGATCATCAGCCTTTTGATCTAATGCTTTGTGTAAAATGTTGAGGTTATCGCGATCATGGGCGAGGAAGATGCTCGTGCCTATGTCGTAAAGCTCTTCAGAATCTCCAGGGTTCAGTTCAAGGGCACTGAAAATAAGTAGCGAAGTGATGTCGGTAAATGTGAGAATTATGTCTGAGAAGAGCGATCGGAAACATTGACTGGTGACTTCTTTCAAGAATGCAAATAGGGACTCCCGAAGGGTGAGATTCGTAACTATCTTGTCTCGTACGCTTTTCTTTATGAGAAGATGCCTGAAGATAGTAATCAATGCAATTTTGAGCTGCTTTGAAGTAGCGGAAAGCCATGCTTGTGATCTATGACTGGATTTTGGAGTATTGACTTCCGTCTTAACTAACTCTTTAGAGCTAGGTTTTGCCTCGTCGGAGTCATCATACAACACCTTGAGTGAGCTTAGATCCGTGCTAGTAAACGAGGTATCTACCACCTTAGCATCAAGACTCGAGTCGGAGAAGATCTTCACAATCAAGGCCTTTAGGAGTTCAAAGACCGCGATGATGGTCTTTGCATGCAAATTTTTTGAGATTATGACGAATTTCGCTACCTTGGAGATTATTCCAGGAAACACGAAGGAGGTCTGCTCGGCATTGACTCGCACCGAGTAGAGCCAAGTGAGACACTCCAACACCTTCATGGATAATTCGTTACGCTCTTGGTCGAAAGGTTGCGGGATGGTTCCAAGCAAATCTAGAAGGAGAGTTGTAATGTCACCTAGAACACTCAAACGCTTCTCGGCTTGTTTGGTATAGTAATCACGAGGGAAGCAACGAACAAGCTGATTGATGCAATAGATCACTTGATCGTAGAACCCGAGGTCGTCCTCTGAGGCAATTATGCTCTTTTTCTGGCCTCCACATAAATAAACTATGATGGGAGACAATTGGTCTATTAGGGTCTCGTTGATTTCGTGCAGCCAGGAATGGGCTAGAAGGAAGCCAATGATGTGAAGAACATGTTTCGTTGGAGTAGGCAGTAGCGAGGGCTGTTTGAGCAAGTTTGTAATTGGGAAGAAGGCATAATCTGCAAACTTAGTCGACAATGAATAGTGTTTTCCAGCGTACTCTTTCTCGTGATGATCTAGATGGTTGCATAATGTCTGGAGGCATTGGGTAAGTGATTGAGCCTCTTCTTTGAGTGACTCAGGTGAGAGCGTAGATAATTTAGATAACTCCACACAAGTCGGCTTTATGATCAGAAAAAGCTCCAGAGAGATCCGTCGCTGATCTTCCATCTCTCGATGTATGGGAAGGAACCGTTGTATGTTAGTACATCTCTGTGCAAGTTGGTGGTGCGAATGCATTCGGACTTTTTCATTTTGCAACCAAGTCTATGTACATGTTGATGCTATAATTTATACACGTTGGAATTATCCCAGCCTTTACTGCCAAGAAGGCCCTTGACCTCTCCTTGCTCATCGGTCTCCAAAAGCTTCTGTCCAGCCACATAGCTTACATATCCATCTGGTCCGCATACCACCGCAAGAGCAGGTGGCTCTTTAGGCTCGGTGGCAGTGACTTGGGCTTGTTGCAAGGCATTCTCATATCTTGGAGCCCTCTGTGTTTCGCTCGCTGGGATGAGTTCATTGGAGGTGTCCTCCTCCTTAGTATCACGCATGATAGCCATTCTAAGCTTCAACTTATCGTCCTCCAGAAGCTCTTCCTTTTCTCCTACCTCCTGCTCAACCCTCATAGAGCTCTGGAAGTGGGGTTTCAGTGGGCTTTGAATGTCCTTCTTACCAAGCTTGGACATGAACTGGGAATCATAGTGAGTATGCAACTTAGCTCTGTCTAGTTTCTCGAGGAAAAATAAGTATCTCTTAAATGGCTCGAGCTCAGAAGGTTTTTGGGCTGAGAAGTGGATGTCCACAAACCCTCTATATGGATTTCTTGAGAACAAGCACTGGATTATCGGAGCAATACCGGTACCAGCTCCGTAGAATGCAAGGTTGTCAAAATCGGGAACGTTATTTTGCTTCTTCACCACTGGCAAGAGAGCCTCAGATTCCACTTTCGAGGGCAAGTCTCTAAACATGGGTCTTTGATGGAGCTTCTTCAACGGATGATATGGGAACTTGTAGTCCGTGTATGGGCCCCTTATCTGTATGATGTCCCCGACCTTTCGTGACGTGAGGTACCTTGACATTTCTCCATCGTCGTATTTTTTGATGTAGAATGTCATGACTCCACCCTTGTCGTAATCTTCTCTATCATTGTCTATCACTCTGAGAAGCGGCTCTTCTTCTCCAGAACGGGTTCTTTCCGATTTCATAAAGTATAATGGCAAAGGTGTGTAGGATCTAACAATCTGAATCTGAGGCTGCATGATCTCCACCGACCACAACCTGTCTCCATTCCAAACAGTCTTTGCCTCGTAGTTAGCGTAGTAACTGTACTGCCAGTTCTTGAACTTTGGAAGCACCTCTATCAAATAATGGTCTTCATCAACTTGCTTGACATGGGTAACCTTGAAAGGATGAAAGTGGTCTGGATCCAAGAGGTCTTGACTATCGGAGCCCTTCTCTGACGGATAGTACCACACTTTCACGGTGTACCCTCCCCACAAGACAAGCACGAGGGCCACAATTTTTGGAAGATATCTACTCCATCGAGTGACAGTCTTTGGCTTTTGAACTTTGTTGGAGTATTTCGTGAACTCATCCTCATTGGGCATGCCCGGCATCTCATATGAAAGTCGCTCATGTCTCAATTTGGGAACATAGGGCTTGTTGTCCTTCTTCATCAAGCTTTGAAGACCCTGGTCGTTAGGCATATCAGCTGGAGCAGATGACGAGGATTTCTGGTTAACTTTGAAGAGACCTTTCAGCTCATCATTTGTAGTTAATTCCTCGTCCTTCTTTTTTTTATCGTTTTTACTCAGGTAGCCTTGCCTGAAGCATCGTAGTAATGTGACAGGACGTCTTATTGAATGTGTGGCTGGCTTCCCGAAAGCCAATCTTATCATCTCGATGCTTGGATATATTGCATGGACCTGAATATTGGTACTACTATGCGGTGCACTGGTCTGTCTTTCAGACCGCTTACAACACACCATATAAAAGGTCCATTATGACCATTATAAAATTGCCGACCAAGACAACGATCCAAAAGGTAGTCGTTTGGTTATAAACGTTGCAATGTACGACAGGGCCATAGTTATGTATCAATGATTGTACGCCTGAGAGCTACTAAGGACGCGAATGCTCTTTAGGTCAATTTCTAAGGATATCATGGAATTCAAAGAAAGTCAATTTAAAAATTTTGATAACAATTTTCATGTCCGTAAATAGAATTTATTTCATCAACCCTATGGTATTCTATGGTGGTCACGTGCACAGATTCCAAAAATTTGCGACACTTTGTAGCGAAAAATTTTCTCGCTAGTTCCCACACATCCACTTTCTTTAGCTTATTATTGAAGTATGTATCAGCATGCTACAATCAGAAGAGCTGATGTTGAGGTTCTGCAATCAACGAAACAATGGTATAAGCATTTGATGTCTTGAGCTATTTGACACGATCATCTTTGTATTTTGGAATATCGAGGTGACAGTGGAGAATGGGCTCTCCTTCGGATGGGCAATTGCTACGAAATTGTCTAGAGACAGCAAACACCTTGTATCTATTTTTTTTTTGCTCATGACTCCCTCGGGACACTCATGCGGCTTCTGTTTTGTTTGGTTGTGATTTTTTATACTAACTCATTTCTTAGAAATGACTAGAACTTCTGTTTTGGCTGACGCCTTGAACGCTATCAACAACGCCGAGAAGACCGGCAAGCGTCAAATTTTGCTTAGACCTTCTTCCAAGGTCATCATCAAGTTTTTGCTGGTTATGCAGAAGCACGGTATGTTACACGCATCTTATTGATCCAAGTCGTTGTTCCCCCCTACCAAACCCGAACTGATAACTGGATGGATTGATCGGTTTCAGTCCCTTTCTGTCTTTTAAGTGTTCGGAAGATCGAAGAGGATTTACACTTACACGGTGCTGAGTAGTTAAACCTACCTCACTATCGTTTACTCTTCCTCGACATTTCATTCTCTACCACAACGACTTGGAATCCTTTGGGATTTTACTAACTTTCAGGCTACATTGGCGAGTTCGAGTACATTGACGACCACAGATCGGGCAAGATTGTTGTTCAGTTGACCGGTAGATTGAACAAGTGTGGTGTTATTTCTCCAAGATTCAACGTCAAGATCGGTGACATCGAGAGATGGACTGACAACTTGTTGCCAGCCAGACAGTTCGGTTACGTCATCTTGACCACCTCTGCTGGTATCATGGACCACGAGGAGGCCAGAAGAAAGCACGTTTCTGGTAAGATCTTGGGCTTTGTGTACTAATTGTCATAGTAGGGTAATATATGGAAAAATATCGATTTCAAGAAAGCAGCTGTAGATTTGACTTTTCCTCTATGTAGTGTTGACCTATGCAAGAGTGATATTTTGCAGCCGTTCCGCGTACGGCACCAAAGTTTCACTTCATACTATTCTTTCGTTATGGCTCCTTTCAAAGTGATCGATGCCTTTGTCAACGACGGGCTTTTGAACCAAAGAATTGTTCTTTCCGTTCCGTTAGTCCATGGGAGCAGCCTGTCTGAGCAGATCACCATTGTTGCCAACATCACACAGAAGTACGACCAGAAGCTTCACACGGATATCTGGAAAGTTGTCTTTCCCTCGGAATCCAAACCACTTGCATACATTCAAGGTGGCCCTGGATTCCCATGTGCTGTTCCATTGTCCAATTCCGGACTTACTAAAGTACTCATTGATGATGGATACCAAGTCATATACTACGACCAAAGAGGTACCGGTTTGAGTACCCCAATTGACACGGAACTCCTTCTTTCGAAGGGCTCAACTGAATCCATTGTCGAGTACTTGACCCACTTCAGAGCAGACTCGATAGTTCAGGATTTGGAACTCATAAGACAAGCTCTCTTTGGCGAGTCCAAATGGCTGATAATGGGTCAATCTTTCGGAGGATTCTGCTGTTTTTCGTACTTGGGTTTATATGAAAATCTTGAGGCTGTTTTCATCACTGGAGGCGTACCACCAGTTGGCTTTATTGCCGATGATGTCTATACCCAAACATACAAGCGCACAGCTGAGAGAAACAGACACTACTATTCCAAATACCCGGAGGACAAGAAGCGCGTGAAGCAAATTATAAAATACTTGAGTGAAAATGACGTTCTGTTGCCTGATGGCGGGAAATTGACAGTCGAAAGGTTCCAACAAATCGGACTCAATTTCGGTGCATCTGGAGGAACTGATTCGATCCACCAGCTTGTGATGAAGTTTGCCTGGTCCTTGGAGACGCAAGGCAGGGCGTCTTATGCGGTGTTGAATGAGATTCAGCTGACTTACAGCTTTGACACCAATATCTTGTATGCCTTGTTCCAGGAATGCATTTATGGTGATGGCGAAGGCAAGGCTACCAACTGGGCAGCCGACAGAATCCGCTATGCCGAAGGAAATGAGAATTTCGTCGTATCGACGCAGCTCCTCGAATCTGACGACCCTGTTTACTTTACTGGTGAAATGGTCTTCAAATCCATGTTTGAGGATTACGCCCAATTGCGTCCTTTGAAGGAAGTGGCTCATGCTCTACACTCCTACGAAAAATGGTCATCGCTATACCCTAACAACTATGCTCAATTGACATGGGATATAGTGCCTATAGTGGCTGCTACGTATTACTACGATCAATATGTGGACTTTGACCTCACCATGAAGGTGAAGTTGAATCTATTCAAGGAAAACGGTAACTTGAGACAGTATATCACTAGCGAGTTTTTCCACAATGGTCTCCGTGCTAACCCAGAAAAGGTCGTGGGTAGCCTTCTCAAATTATTGAAAAATGAGGTAGATTAACGTTTAGTGAAATATGATGAGGGTGCAAACCCAATACGACGATGTTCCTTATCTTCAGTAGCACCAACGAACCAATTCCCACCCTTAGCACGGTGTGAAATGTCGAATTTTTGGAGGTCAAGAATGACGTCAAGAACATCACCCTCCTTGAAGGAGAGATCACCTGGTTCTCTTCCTTCGAAGTCTTCTGTGGCAACCCATTGTTCTTTGGTACCAACGCCGTCAAGTGAGCTTAAAGCATTCTCAAAAAATTTATTAAGTTCAATCAACTTGTAGGATGTTGAAAAGGTCTTGTCGAAGACATTCTTATTAGTGCTGAAATGAGGCCACTTTGTAGTTGTGATGGGAAATTCCAAAATGTCATTCTTCGACTCGTTGTAGATGACCTTAAGCTTTTGAACGCTCTTGTCCGGTGTAACGTCCGCAACTAGCATATCGGATGACAATATCGATTTCTCGTCGTCACTCTTATCCGAAGATAAGGAGAGATCAGTGTCTGAGTCCTGATCAATTGAGTCCTCGTAATCTTTCCAATGACCCGTGTGTGGAGAGGGCATTACTCCTATGTGTGGGGATAATGCAATTGGATGAAGATCATCACGAGGTGGGAGTGGAGGTGGTGCCTTGACATCTCTCTCTGGAACATGAACGTCTGTAACTTTCAACATCTTCTGAGGGTGATAACGTTCTGATTGGTTCATGTCCTCTGTTTCATACTTGATGAATGACTGAAGAGGGTCTGCGGTCATGTACTCACCAAAAATGCCATTGACGTGGTCCTTGGGTTTGACCTTGTGCAGCTTATCGGTGACTTTCAGCGTGGTCAGCAGCCAGGCCTTGTACATCTTGGAGGACTTGTCCTTATCTTCAATATCCTCATCAATTCTGTCAGGATGTCTGTCTTTGATGGACGAAACAAAAGATTCAATCCGAAGTCTTGTTGGTGTGACAGCAGTCTCCCAGGCATCCATGATAGCTTGGTATTCCTCCAGGTTGTCACGCTTGTCATCGTAAGGGAACCCGTGGAATTCCATGAAGTCGTGAATCTCTTCCACGATCTGCTTGTACGTCTGTGTGTGGCTGCTCACGATGAGCTTGGTGATCAGGTCGACGTATTCCTCGAGTAAAGCAAGGATTTCTGGAAGAATAAGCTTAAGGCGGGTATTGATGTTTTCGTATACGCTCTCAGCCTCCCTTGACTTTGTGCCAAGTGTCTCAAGCTCCTTCTGCTCCTTTGCCTCGAGGGGCACATTCTTCTTCATGAGCTTCTGGGTCTTCTTATTGAGGTCGTCGTACTTGAGTTTCCTCTTAGTCCTCAATTTCATCAAGTTCATGGAGAGCTTAAGCTGTTGTCTCATTTCATCGTTCTTCAGACGCACAAGTTTGGCTAGGTCGCTTGAATCCAAGGCAACTTTCTCACGCATCTGATCCACAGTGAACAAAAAGTTGGTCAAGGCAAAGTTGATGCTGGGTATCGTGGTTTGCCTCTCCTTCGGATGCATGGCAAACAGCTCCAGAAAGTTCAGGATCTTGTCAAAAGCGTCGTAGTATTCGTCAATGCCCTTGAACTCTAGAGAATTCTCTCCGGTCAAGTCAAGAAACCCCCTCGTGGCCTTCGCCATTGAGGCGAAAACATGGGGCCAATACTTCTTCAGGAAGCGGTCTGTCTGAGCACTCAAGTATTTCAAAGCTGTCAGCGTCTGTTTCAAGTTGTGGTACAAGTCATGTAGTAGGTCATCATCAACCGAGTAATGCTTTCTGCGGTAGGCATGGTCTTTGACGGACAAGCCTAAGGAGGAGCCTTTGTCCTTGACGGAATGGCCAAAAGACGTGCTTTTGTCCTTCACCGAGTGCCCCAAGTTGGACAATCCCTTTCCTAAGCCTGACATGACTTGGTGTCTCTAATTCTCAAGTAACGGTTTCTTCGGCTACGGGAAACGATCTCATGCAGGGAGCACCACAGCCTTGGACCACCACCCGGGAAAATAAGGAACCACTGATATTTTCATCAAATCGATCTGGTGAACTACCCTGAAATTTGCTGATAAGCAATTGTGGGTGATATTTTGGATGAACCCGTTTGAGGCTTAGAGACCCGATGGGTCTGATCTTCCAGTGCGTATGAAGTCTGGGTTACCTCGGCCTGCTGTTTAGAAGGATTTGGAGGAAGGGGAGTTTTAAAAAATTTATTGCTGGTGGTGATATCAGTCAATTTTCCTTAATCCACCTGGTGATGTGTTTCTATTGGGAGATTGGTCTCCTGTACTACTAGCCTACCATGCAACCACCGGTGCACTGTGAAGCGAAAAGAACCCAAATTTTCACCTTTCGGACCCTGGCCTCTTCATTTACCTTGCATTAGCCACTTGACGTATGTGAGGCTTCCCAACGGTGTATGGCTGCAAAGCTGAAGATCTGAAGATACGGGGTACCCCAAGATCCGCTAAATGCCGTGCAAGCCAGGAGCCCTGGTGGAGACCAGGGGGTAACTGACAATAAGGTGAGGAGACAGCCGAGAAATATTCGATCGAGGCGCCACACGGTAATTTGCAAGCAAGGGCTTATTTTGCAGATCCCCGACTGGGGCTTTTTTTTTGTTGGTCTGGTGGTTTGGCTACTTATTCCATCATGCGTCAGGAGTAGAGCATATTGGTCGTAAATCAGTGATTTACGACCCTGCACTATTTGATAAAAGCGAGAAAGCAGGTTTTTGGACTTTTGCCAGAGTTGTTAAAAACAGTCAGAAAAGAAATTGCAACGGAATTAATTTCTAGGAAAAAAGGCATTATCGGGGCTCCCCACACCGGGTGGTTGTAGTGAGTGCCGAGGACTCTGCAGCAACGCTTATTGGAAAAAAGAAAACGAAACCTTACTTTCAGAACGCACACGATCGTCTTCGGCCTTGGCCACAATAATATGTCGATCGTGGCTTTTCAAGCAAGAAAAACACCCAAGGTCATGCTTTTCCGAGTTTCAAGAATTTGGCCCTTTCGCCCGGTATCTCTACCGGACCTTCTATCCGGCTCTTTTTCCATTAGGCCTTTGCATACAATCGCTTCGGTACCCCTACGTCAGACCTACCGCGCAGCAAGGAAGTTGCAACCAAGACGGGGCAAAAAAACCCCGTCGTCAGTGAAGTCACAAAATTGTTTCAATACGCTTTTTCAAAGAAGAAAAAAAAATAATAAAAAAAAAAAAATCACAAAAATCTCGCCTTCGCTTGCTCTCCTGACTCTTCTTCAATAGCCCACTCTACCTCACCTGTACAAGTCAGCCCCATTTCACCCCGCGAAGAAGCGCTACTTCCTACATACCGCCGAAGTCCTTTGGTAGCTTCTATTAATGCCCATCCCCGTCCCCCGGCTGTTTTACACTTTCTTCTTGCTTCCACAACTCCTTTGAGATAAAGCTTCAAGTTTCTCTTGTTGTTCCATCGCTCGCTCGCAAAACAACCGCCCTACTGACACACATCGCTCTATTGTGAAGATGCTATCTTCGATACATCGCCGGCTAACGCTGGACCTGGTGCCGAAGATGAAGAAATCGGACCGTTCAGAGCTGAAGAAGTCTTCTAAAACGCCACATTCGAAAGGCTCGCCGTCTACAGCGGGCTCTTCCACCTTCAGACCCGTGCCGCTGAATAATGCTGGTGAACCAATGACTAGAACCCGTTCAGTCTCGACCTCGGCCAAAGACACGGCGCTTTCTCGCTCAGCTTCGTCGTCTTTCAACTACATGGATTGCCTTTCGGCGCTAGAGCCCGCTACGGACCCAGGAAAGCTGGTTATTGGCGAGGATTACGTCACTTTGGCCAGTAAACCTATTTTCGACGGTGCCAACGGAATCATTTTCAAGGGCTCCGATGCAAAGGGAACCGTTGTTGTGGTTATAAAAACCGTCAAGTTCCAGAAATCGCAAACTTCCGAAACCTATAGAGCCCTGGTTCTCAGAGAGTTTGATAATTTGAGAAAATGTACCGCCAGCAAGCTGGTGGTTGACGTTTTGGACGTCGCCAGGTCTCAGGACTCGGAGGAGCTTTCCCTTATAATACCGTACTACCTTCATGGAGACTTGTTGGACCATCTTTGTACCTTCAGATCCAAGAAAGTGGAGGTGTCGCTGAACCTCAAAGATGCAACTTTTAAGCAGATGGTCAAGGCAGTTGACTTTTTACATCGCCATGATATTGCCCATCGTGATATCAAGCCTGAGAACTTCCTTATAGATTCCAAGGGTATGCTCAAGCTAAATGACTTTGGCTACTCTGTCGACCTCACTAAGACCGTTGAACACGCGTCGTTGAATGAAATCTCCTGCGGAACTAATTCCTTCAAAGCTCCTGAACTTTTCCGCTACGAAAAAGAACAAAATGAGGGTAAGGAACTTGATTTGTTGAAGATCAACTTCAAGGCTCTCGATATTTGGGCTCTCGGTGTTGTCTACTTCCAAGTCTTCCTAATGTTTGTTCCCTGGTCTAGTTCCAACACTGTTTCGGATGACAAGAACAGAACAATGGAGAAGTACATTCAGATGTATCCGGAAAGCGAGAAGCATTTAGTTGCTTTAGTCGACAAGCTCAATGACCGCAGCTTTAGTGATCCGCTGAATCCTGCGTTATCTCACTTTAAGAAGCTCCATTACAACGCTCGAGGACACATTCTAAGGGCTCTTAATCCTGACCCGGAGAAGCGTTGCACAACTGCGTCTCTCTTGGAATCTAAATGGCTCACAGAGGTATATGCGCAAACCAGAGATTTGATAGATCTCTTACCCAAGTGATCAGGGAAAGCGCATTGACAAAAATGAAACGACAAGAGTAGAATTTAAATAGGTATGGTTATTTGGTGTAAGATTGAATAAAACACGGAGTTTGGGTTTTTGGATTGTGATCTTATTACTGGTACATTCAATCACTTCAAGAGAGAATTAGTTCACTTTAATTATAAAACAGCTATAACATAGTATTGCGATGAATAGTTTAAAAATAATACAGGGCATGGGCTAAACAAGATGTAACCAGAAACATGAATCGTAAGGTAGATGACGATGATGACGAGGGTAATGATTATATCGATGACAAGAATGATAAATGAACTGTAATGGGGAGCATGACGATGAGCGTTGATGAGCGTTGATGAGGAGCTCAAAATGATGGAATGATGATGCGGAACAGTCATAAGATTAGTGATGCAATCCTGTTGGTGTCCTTCTTAATGAAAGTTTTGGTAGCCAAAGTTACCAACACTGTTGTTGGTACCGCTGTTGGAGCCCTGCTGGGAAGATGACCTTCTTGGATTTCCAGGACCTCTGACTCCCAAGGGATTCTTTGAGAAAGACAATCTGATACCGCCTTTGCCATTGCTGCCGTTTGGTCTAGGCAAAGCTCTCCCGTACAATTCAGCCAATGCAATGGTGGCATGAGCCACGTCTTCAAACTCAACGAAACACATAGGACCGTGGTTGTGAGAAGATGAGCTAGAGCTAGAGCTAGAAGACTGATTCTTCGTTCTGAAGGACAATCTTCTAAAACCCTTCTGAGGGGAGAACAATGTCCTGAGCTCAGCCTCAGTAGCATCAGGTGGAAGGTTACCAACGTATAAAGTGTTGCAAGGAGGGTTTTGGTCAGCAGGATTAGCTGGTGGTGGCACACGGGCCAACAATGACAAGTCAGGAACGTCCTTGGTAGACGACCTAGCAGCACTAGTTGGTGTTGTTGCTGAGTTTGGCTGAGATGAAGGGCCTGCCTGTTGAGCTCCAGACGCAGACGATGCGGATGGAGGCCCATTTCTATTAATTGAGTTAGATGGGATCGATAATGGTGCCAAATTATTGCCATTAGACTGCGTTGGCCCCTGAGACAAGATAGCTGCCACAGTCTGGGGCTGTTGCTGAGGTTGAGGCTGGGTTCCAGACTGAGCTTGAGTCTGTGAGCCTGAGCCGTTATTAAAAAATGCGGATGAAGTTCTTCTTCTCTCTCCATTAAGGGACCCTGGTGCTGCAGAAGACAGTGTGGCAGGGGCATTTGATTGGGAGCCCGCTTGTTTTCCCTGGTTTCCCTGCTGGTTTGCCTGCAGTTGCTGGGAAGACTGGCCCTGTTGTTGGGACAGTTGACCCAGAGAGGGCTGAGATGGCTGTTGATTGTTCGATGAAACACCCCATTCAAATGAGTTTGGAACATTCATTCCAGGGGTTTCAGGGTTTGAACCAAAGCCAAGAGAATTCGATGGTTGCGAAGACCAAGGGTCACGAACAAGGTTCTCGTACTCTCTGGCATCATTATGAGATTCCATCATGAGTATGGACTTGCCAGTGATATCGCTCAAGTCAATAGATCCGGCAGGAGGGTTGGCGTTGGTTGGAGTAGTTGTACCTGAGAATGGGTCACTAAAGAGGAATCGAGATCTTTGGTTTCCAACTGACTTGCGCTTCTGGAATGAGTCGAAAGTACTAGGGCCGACTTGACCCCCTGGCTTGACTGTGAGCCCGATAGGAGCTGGGCGGCCAGTGGAACAGGATGCGAGGATGGTGGAGAAATGCCAGAGTTTGACAATCTCATGTTGTTGAAGGCGCCTGTTGTGGCTGCGAGGGGCACATTGGCGTCGTATTCAACGCTCACTTGCGGCAGATTGGAGCCAAAGATAGGCTTGTTCTCAAGAAGCTTTCCGGTAGTGATGCAGGTGTTCAAGGTCTTGAAGTTGGCGGTGATGACCTGATCCTTGAGCTCGACACTGGCGACATCGTCATGCACCAATGCAAAGATGAGCTGGGCTTCTCTCTCGGACAAGTCAGCTGGAACATTAAGGACTTTCAAGGGAAACAGTTGCTGCAGTATGGAGCCCGATGAAGGCGGCTGGTTGGCACTAGACGGTTGTGACATGGAGGAGAAGGAGCCAGAAAGTAGGTTCGACTGGCCTGGTAACGTGGAGCCCGCATTTACATTAGGGTTCATCATGGGACCTGTGGGGGCAAATTGTAGGTTGGTTTCAGAAGTCATCTGATGGTTGGCCCCTGGGAGAATGAAAGGTGGTGGGTTTGGTGGGGCTAAGCGATAAGTTGAAAGTATGATTAAAAGAGGCAGATATCTCTCCGATGACGTGAAGAGGGATGAGCCTTATTAGTGATGGAAATGCTAGGTCCTTATTCAATGTTCGATAGGAAGTAGGACCGGGGAGGGTTTGTGCTGAGTGCTTTTTTATTTTTTCTTCTGTCCGGCTCGATAAAAAAAACACTAAAAAAAAAAAATTGACTCAAATGAATTTGTCGTGACGACCAAAGGAGCTCTTTAGCAAAAATATGCGATTAAAGGACGTGTGTAGCTTTCAGCGTTGACTTTTTGGTGGAAAAAGGTAGTAGTAGGTAAGTGGTGGAGTATCTCAGTTTTTTTTTTTTTTTGGTCTTGTTTGTAGGTAATTTTCCTGTTGGTGTATTCTCGCTACGGAGGCCGGAGGCAAACAGAAAAAAAAAAAAAAAAAAAAAGAACCGGTGCGTCTCTCGTGCATTTACCATGCTCACGCCCTCGAATCTGCAGTCTGAGCCAATCAGAGCGCGAGGCGCCCACCGGTTTGTGCCACCGTTTACGCACTTCATCCCCATTCAAACAATGCCAGCACCATAGTGAACGCGACTTCCTTAAGTACATTTCAGAACTGCTGGCTGACTACCGACCCGGGAGCGAGAACACGGGTCCTGCTGGTTCTGCCGATTAAGCTCTGGGCGACTCATAATTTCTGGGGACCCCAGCCAGCCCAGGCAATTCTAAAAAGTCATTGAGCAAACAAAATGAAAAAAAAAAAAAAGGCCTTCTCGGACTTAAGCAAAGGACTGCATTTTTTTTTTTTTTTTATTTGCCAGATTCGATTTTGATACGTTTTGTTATTTGGCATTATAGTTTGAGTCAACGGTTAACGGCCCAGGGCTTTGGACCAAGCCGGACTGTAGGCTCGGGGTTGGAGAAACGACCACAAGCCACAGGGTGATTTTTTGGGAGCTCAAATTAAAAAATTATGAGTTTTCTACGATTATTTTCTGATCATTTCTTATATTTTCTTATCTCTCGAGCTCTACGCTCTTCCCTGTTACGCTTATCTATGGCTGCAAACGCCACATAGGATTTGCCGAGCGACGCCTACATGTCCGAGTGCTTGACAGGCATCGGACTGACTTCTTCAAATCCACTACTTCACAAAATCCAAGAATGTCTCTTCGTGCGTAAAAGCTCCATCTTATAATCTTTGAGGATATTCACAATTATTTGAAGGGATGTCGACCTCAAGCTACCACTCAGTCGCTCCGGAGGAGTCTCCTCATATTTCTCGACTTGAAGAACCTCTCCAGCGGTCCCCTTGCTTGATACTCAATAACCTTCCTGAAGTAGCATTGCTGGTACTTTCTTTGGGCCACGCCACTTGACTCAATCTTGATATCACTGGGTGCAACACTATCAGGCAAGAAACTCTCCACTCCATAACTGGAGCTTGACCGAGGTACATTTGGGATAGATGAAAGTGCCTCGACTCTGGCGTCCAGGTTGGGAAAGCCAAGGATCGCCTCGTACTCGCAATCTTGAAAGTGGTATCGAATCTTGATGCACAGCTCGCTATGGTTTGTGAGTCCACCGTCAAAGTCTAGATGATTCTTGACAATACTGCAAGCGTCGTAAGGAAGAACAAGAAGTGGGGTCTTTCTTCTCATTCCAGAACGATATTCGCAGATCACCAAGTTGGTTTCGAAGAATAAGAGAAGCGCCACTGTCTTCTGCATAGTCAAGCTTCTCTTGAACTGTGGCCAGGCAAACGATGAAACAGAAGCAAACCTCAATTGACCATAGTACAGTGGACACTGGCCAATTGTCTGGTCAAAGCGAACAATCTCAGAAAGTGAGCGGGTTCTTTCAGTGCTGTTCACTTTTCTATCCAACTTGCAGTTGATCTTCAGAAGAGACATTCTGACGCTTGTGAGCAGCCGTCTGATTGTTTCATTCTCGGGGTTGGTTTTCGAAAGCAGTGCAATGAGTAGCTGGTACTTCACTATTCTTGCCATTGGCTTTTGCACCAACAGAAGAATCGAGAGGTCGAGCTTGCCGGCAGTTTCAGAATTGCTTTTATTTTCAAGATTATGAAGCACAGAATTCGTGAACTCAGTGGTGAAGTTCGAGGTTTCATTCAACACGAGGTATGAAAAGGCATCGGCATTCACATAATACCGAACGTATGTCTCATAGTGTCGAAGATTGAATGTGACTCTTTCAAGAAAATCCTGGCCCCTCAAGTGAAGCAACAGCTCGTGCATTTCTAGAATACACGAGGCAGTTTGTGCTAGAATCTCGAGTGCAAAGCAGCGGCATCCACGTAACTTGCATCTCTGGAGAAAAGCCTCAATGACGTGGTATCTGAGAATCTTCAACGATGATACAAATGCTTCTTCTGTGCTGATCAATTCGTCCATAATATAGTTCAGCTTTGTGTCGCTTAACCATCCCAGCTCAAAGGGCTCTCTGATGGTTGAAGGCGGTGTGGTGGCTCTGGTCAGTGTCTTTCTGGCTGTTGTCTGTGAGCCATTTGTCCTTTCAAAAATGCTATCGTTGCTTCTGCTGGTATTGATCGATTCAGCTGCACTTCTATGGTTACTCCGTTGGTTCGAAGTGGCTGTGAACGCCTTTGGACTGAAATTTTCCGCTAGTTGTGTTCTCAAAGGCCATGTCTTGGACTTTCGTACGCTCTCTGATTTGTCTGGCTTCTTACTGGAAGTCTCTGTACATCTGACTCTTGTCAGGGAAATGGCTGCAAAACTGGAGCTGTGTCGTAACGTCATGGTGGGAAGATGCCTAGGAAGAGTATAGATGATAAGAGAGAGACAAGAGTCCAGAAATAAAGCGTTTATATCATTCCACAAGCGTCATCGTTAGCAATCCCAAGAAAGTAAGTATTAGCACTTGTTCATATTCTTCAAGTAGCACTGCCGTCTGGGACCTAGAAACCTACACCTCCCGCGCCAAAATAGGAAAGCGGTATCAGATCAAAGTGCACAGCTTTACTATACTTTCCTCATGGACGTGCTAGATTCCCAAAAACAAGTCAATGGCGTTTGCCTCGACTTGCTTCTTCAAGAAATCGTGCCACTTTCGTTACGAGTGTCCCACCTCACCGGTGAAAAAAGGCAACTGCAAGACCATACCACAGACTCCCAGACAAGAATAGACACTCCTCTTCTGCGATTGCCGGATGACTTGCCTGGTAAAGTTGCCATTTTCGAATCCGAGCACTTGAGTCAAGATGAGGCCACGTTGAGGATTGAGTCATACGGGTATGCCACTGGTCTTCGTCTCACTGAGGTGTTGATGTACAAGACAGCGGGCCAGCTTAACAAGATTGTTGATATCTTGGACATCATGAAGTTCGTGTGCCGGGATGTCTGGAAGAGTCTATTCAATAAGCAGATGGACAACCTCCGAACGAACCACAGAGGTACGTTTGTGCTTATAGATAACGACCACAGGCTTATCTCTGGATTGAACAGCTCCAAGGGCCTTCCAGACTCTATCAATAAGGCACGTACGTATCTATGGTTCTCATGTGGTCTCATTCGTGGAGTTTTGATGAGCTTTGGTATTGAAGCATATGTTGCGGCTGAGATTTCCCAGTTCCCTGCGGTGATCTTCAACATCCAGACCACCATCAACAACTAGAGCAAGCACTTCAGGAACTTCGAATCAGGAAATGACATGGGCGTGATGCCTGAAGCAAACTCCTGGGGAAACCCGTTGATTCTTCGAGAATTCGGCTGCCACTTTCCTCACAAATCCCATCACTGTAAAATAGAATACAAGTCAGAAATAAAATTTAGAGAGAAAGACGTTTTGTAGATATCTTCATCATAAATATCTTTTTGTTGAACTTCATGATCACCTCTGAATAATCCAGTAGTAAATCATCGCCATCTCATACAGTACAGTACAGTCCATACTACTATGTTCAAATGCTTCGACGTATTTCAAGGCTCCTATCCTCAGTGCCTAAGCTTGAGCCTTTGAGACCACAATTGGAACGTTCAGATCCTCGAAATGCCTTAAATACAGACTTCATTGACACCGTCAATAGCATCGCCAACGAGCAAAAACGGTTCACCATCACCAACTACGATACAAGAATAAGAGTCAACCACTACCTCCAAGCTGTGTTCCAGAGAGACTTCAATCAGGCCTTTGATCTACTAGGCAAGTTCAAAGACAAGTGCAAGGTCAACAGGACCCATACTTCGTTTGCTCGAAATGTGCAACTCTATGTATCGTGCTTGAGCACCTTAGTAGCTCATTTTGCATTCACATCTGATGGCTCTGAGAGAGACTTCAATGATCTTGGAAACGTCAAAGATATGGTTCAATTGCTTCCTGGTTATGTCGTACTGAGTGTCCTGCAAGATCAGCTAAACCAGCTCCGTATACACCTACTAGTGGCATACTGCAGACATTTCGATAAGTTATCCAAGAAGCATGCATTGAGACGTCAAAGAGCAAGAAAGTTGACAATATATCTTGCTGAAAAGTATGGGATATCTCCTCAGTCTTTGGAGCAAGTGGTTGCTGATGAGTATCCAGAACTCATGGACTCGTTTCGAGCAATTTGGCCCAATCTCAAAGCATATTCGGAGCTTTCAACGAATAAATTAGATGTTCAACCTTTTTTGAACAAAAACGGCTCGATGAGCTTCACCAGTCTCTGTGACTTTATATCCTCGTCGAGGTTTCAATTCGACGATGACAAGCGTCCCATGCATGAGATATATGACTCTCTACCCCAATCCCAACAAAAAGATTTCATCGATGCCTATCTTAGACATAATAGACTCCGCCAAATAGAGGTGGAAAAATACTGCGGCGCTCTTCAGGACTCCCTCGCTTCCAAGCGTCAAGAAAGTACATTTCAAAAATTCAACATAGTTCACAGACATTGGCTTTTGCAGTGGAACGCCGCTATATGCGACAGAATCAAAGCTCTTGATACAGAAGCCAATCGAAGCCTTTCAAAATTTGCATTCTTTTACACTACCTATCCCGCCGAGAAGCTTGCATCAATAGTACTTACCAGTATGCTCTCGGCAACATTAAAGTCAGGGCTGATTGGAACGTTGAAGTTAGCCAAAGCAATGCTGACCTCGCTAAAACAATCAATTCGTCTGGATCCCGAACTAAAACCCATATCACAACAGCTCAATCACTATCTCAATGAGGACGACTCCATTGAGTTCTTCTGTGGTATCATAAAACTTGCCACAGAAAACTGCAAACTACCTTTGGATAGCGGAATGCTATCGAAAAGCTCGCATGGTCAGCCCCTATTCTCTGTAGGGTATGCGAAGTCGTCTCAAGATAGCTCTCCTTTCCATAGAATGGGGATAATCAGCCTCCACCAGGAAATCATTATTCTTTTTCAATCCTATAAGGACCTCCTACATAGCGGTACAGTGCTTTTGCCCATGCTATATCCACCTGAAAAGTGGACCTCGCCGATACATGGGGGTTATTTGGAAGGGTTGGCTCCGATGGTTCGCTCTTCAGATGAGCAGACTACTTTGAAATATATCAACAAGGCTCATGCTACTGGGCAACTTCAATCGCTCTATGACGTTTTAACTCAACTTGGGTCGCTTCCCTGGGCTATCAACAAGGAAATGCTGGACATTTTTACAGAATGCCTCGAAAAGCCTGAGGGATTCCTCCTGATACCACCACCATTGAGCGAATTAATGCCCCCAGTTTTTGAAATCCCAAAAAAGAGTCTTTACGAATCAGACTGTGAATATGAGGCTGATAGGAGGGCTTATTACAAGCAGAAGCGGGAGGCTGAGAATGAGTACTTTGGACTTCGAGGAAATCGAATTTCTTACGAGCTTATGAACAAGGTCGCTTCATGCTACGCTGCCAATGGTGATGTTTTATACTTACCACATAATGTTGATTTCCGTGGAAGAGTATACCCGGCCGTTTCCTTTCTTTCCCATCATAATGAGGATATGATAAGATCATTGTTGATGTTCTGGGATGCAAAACCGTTAGGACCACATGGGTACAAGTGGATCAAGTATCAACTTGCGAACCTCTATTCTAAAGCTAAGCTCGATATGGAACAATCTATCGCATTCGTATCGGAGAACATGGCAAACATCATTGCATCCGCCACTAAACCATTCGGTGGGGATCAATGGTGGATCAAAGGCGATAACCCATGGCAAAGTCTTGCTCTCTGCAAGGAGATACATCTGATAGAAAATTTTGGAGGATCGGATGCGGACTATATGTCGAGAATTCCCGTCCATCAAGATGGAACATGCAATGGTCTTCAACACTACGCTGCATTAGGAGGTGACGAAGCTGCGGCCAGATCAGTCAATTTGCTTCCGGGGGATCGAAATGATATCTACTTAAAAGTTCTTGAAATTGTCAAAAGGAAGATACTTGATGACCTTGAGAATGAATCCACCAAAGAGATCGCAAGAATAAGTCAGCCATTGCTTCTGAGAAAACTCATCAAACGAACAGTCATGACCACAGTGTACGGTGTGACACACTTCGGTGCAGCTCGACAGATCCAAGAGAACATCGAAAGTATAACTAACAAAACACATAATACCGTCTCCTCCGAGTACACCGAAAGCCAAATCGCTACATACATTGCCAGAAATGTACTTCAATCGATAACGGAGCTTTTCTCAGGTGCCCAAGCCATTCAGGATTGGTTGCTTCGCAATTGCTTGAGGTGTTTGAAATCCTTCTCAAGTCACAATTTACATTCCTTAAAAAAGGTCGACTTCTTTGGTCTGAAACACTATCAGCCAATGATGTGGAGCTCTCTCTCGGGTTTTCCGGTTGTGCAGCTCTACAGACATGATGTGAAGAAAGAGATTATCACATCATTGCAGAAGGTGTCTGTGGTGCAGAGGTCAAGAGTAAGCCACATGAACTTGAGAAAACAGCTAAACGCTGTAGCTCCTAATTTCATTCATTCGTTAGATGCAATTCATTTACAAATGACTTGTCTCGAAGCCAATCGCCAGGGTTTAAGCTTTGCTGGGGTGCATGATTCTTTTTGGACTCACGCTTGTGATGTTCCAAAACTCAACAAGATCATCCGGCAAGAATTTGTGAGGCTTCATCACTCACAAATTATACGAAACTTGAGGGATGATATGATCTACACAAATCGAAATGCAATGCAAGTTGTGTGGGTGAACAATTCTGAAAGTCCGGCTCTCATCGAAGCGGTTCAATCGATGAGGCAGCAATACGGAGTTGAGCAAACGAGACGTGGAAAAGTATCCTTCAATGAAAGTCTAAGGGTGGAAATAGAAAACCCTAGGCCTGTCTTGGCTTTGATCGAGGAACATAAACCTCGCCTTTGGTTCCAAAGCAAGAATGGTAAGACTCTAGCTGAACGATATGATGCAGACGTTGGCGAGGAGCAGAATGTCTCACCTAAAACACATACCCCGGTGCTCGTTCCTGTGAAAATTCTTCCGGAGCCGCCAGTTGGCAAGCTCGATATCGACAAAGTTCTCCAAAGCGAGTACTTCTTTTCCTAGATCACTCCTCGTCAATCATTTTTTGCAAACGGGAGAATATCCGGTCACGGTGAATAGCTAACTCGTTATCACCCTCGTCCTCAAAGAAACGCTGACGTTCAAACGTTTCATCGGGGTCATAAGATTCACCTGCTCTGTTCATTAAGTCGTCGTATAGGTTATCAAATTCGTCTGCTCCCCTCAGAAGTTGACTCGTGCCTTCAAACTCTTCTGGAGTTTCTAGTGCTACCACACCCGTTTCATCGTTATCGTCCTCAAAATTTGCGTAGCTGTCACTCAAGGCACCGGCATCTTCGTCTTCGGGGTAGTCGTTCTGATAAAAGGACTCTGCATTTGAGTCCTCGTCGTCAGACTTGTTTGGGACACTGTCGTCGTCCAGCTGCATGAGGTCGTAGTTTTCATCATCAAAGAACCTGATGTAGCCAATTTGAGATTTTGGATAATTTGCTTCGGTCAATGGCTCCTGAGCAGAGAGCTTGTAGGTATCAAAGACGTAGTCATCTGAAGTTTCATATTCAGCCTGCGCTTTGGGAGCAGCAGGTGTCTCGGGTTGATGTGAAGTCACAGGCTTCCCAGATTTCCTCTTTTTCCGTGTCGTGGGCTCATTGACGGTCAAGAAGTTGGCCACCATATCTGTAAGCTCATTGGGAATGAGCGAGTCCTCTAGGGTATGTTTCTTGGGAATAACAAACTGACGAGCATCCTTCCTGTCGTTCTTCGATTCAGCCAATAGAGATTCAAGATCTGCTTGGTTTTGGGAGGATTCTTCAGTACGTTCTAGGTGAAATAACCAGTTTTGCTGCTCACGGGAAGGAGAGGGGAGAGCAGAGGCTCGTGGAGTAGCTGGTTTAGATCGTTTTGACGATTGGCGTCCCTCCAAAATCAATGCTTGAAGAGGATCTTCCCCTCTTTTACGCTTGATTCGTAGAATTTGTGGAGGTGTCTGGGACATTTTGAAAGCAGGTGAGTGGTTCTCACGGCTGGTTTGTGGGGTCTGATGATATCCTGCTCATCTGCAATCATGAAGGATCTGGTGCGGGTAGGCTCATTTTGCAGCCATTTCCACAATCTCTCAAAAATAAAAGTCACCGTAATCATGTCCTCTTTTGCTAACTCCTGCTTTTATTTCACTCATGCCCAATTGAGAAAAATGTCCCACCTCGTTGTCGGACACCTGTTTGATCCTACCAAAGATGTGGTGGTAGTCACGGGGGGTTCTTCAGGTCTAGGGAAAGCAATTGCATCCAAGTTTGCTGAGAAAGACACAAAGGTGGTTATATTGGATATTGATATCCCTCTGGAGAGTGCAAGAATCCCTTCGGCCAATTACTTCAGGTGTGATGTGGGTGATATTGGTGATGTTCAGAGCTGCTACAGTCGAGTTGTGGAGTCCGTCGGAGTACCAACTGTTCTCATTAATAACGCAGGTATCACCAGCGGCAAGACGGTCTTAGCGTTGCCCAGTGACGATATTGAGAGGATCATTAGGGTGAACTTGCTTCTGAGCTTCTTCACGATCAAGACCTTCCTTCCAGGAATGCTTCAACAGAAACGTGGGTATGTCATTACCGTCGGATCTGTTCTAGGGTACATGTCTCCGGCGTATCTAAGCGCTTACGGAGCGTCTAAGTCTGGCTTGGTGGCGCTTCATGAGCTGCTCACGTACGAGCTAGGTCCACCCCTGCTCTGTTTAACCGGTGTCAAGACTCTTCTCGTCTGCCCAGGCCAGATGAGAACTTCAATGTTCGACGGAGTTGCAACTCCATGGCGGTGGCTAGCGCCGGAATTGAAGCCTCTGTATGTTGCTCGTTCCATAGTTGAGGCTATAACCCATGGGCGCCGGGGTGAAATCAAGCTCCCGCTTTATGGTCACTTTTTACCCGTATTCCGTGCCTTACCCTGGCCTATCGTCGAAGTAGCAAGGCATTTTTCTGGAATTGATGAAAGCATGTTAACTTTTCAGCGACTGGAGCCAGATCAGGTTGGTCCATGACACTGTATCCTCGCGAGCCTTCTCGTTAAAGTAAGTCGTTTAATGTAAGAGATTGCGGTACCCAAACACATCCACAGTTTGTGTTGGATAGAGAAAGTTGGAATGAGAGGTTCTTGGCTGATCGCTTTTGAAACCTTTCTTCAATGGCCGGTAATTGTGTGTATAGCTGCTCAGGGAAGTCTCCTCCTAGAAATCTGGAGATCTCGCTTGGTGGAATATGAACAGACAAGAGACTGTTTTGGGAAAGTGTCGTCTTACATCCTTGTTCAATGGGTTCAACGTCTGTGAGCACTAGCTCGAGGAATGATGCTCCCGGGTCCGTCAATTCAAGATGACCATGTGATCTAGAAAAGGCCTTTGAAATTACAGTAGATATCTTGGGTATGGTACCGGCTACTATGGCCAGGGTGGTATACACCTTATTGTCGGGACGCAAAGGAATTGCACTGAGCTCTGCCAAAGTGTAGTAGTTTTTGACGCTTCCATTGGAGTCCAGTGTGAACAGCAACGGGTGTTTTTCGTCATTATTGTCACTTGCCTGTGTTTGCGATTGAGGTATTTGGGTCAAAAATTGAGTCCCTTGAACTGCACCCGGATTTTGCTGGGACGGTTCAATTTGCAGAGGAAGAACCTGCAGTGTTTGCAGAAGCTGCAGTTGCTGCAGTGCTTGTATGGCTGGTTGGCCCGGTGCAATGCCTCGTTGGCGATCGTATTGGCTGAATTGTGACGCCGGTTCGAGTATGTCCTGTAAATTGTGTTGTGAATCAATCTCGGAGTCCAGATGTTCAATTTTCACTGGTGCCTCTACGGACTTGTCTGGATCTGTTTCGGGTGTAATGCCTTGAAGTCTCCTCACAACGTCAGAAGGTTTGAGACTAGTACGCTCAGGTATATCACTCAATGGCAGTGACAAGAATCTCTCCCAAAATGCCTCGATATCAGAAGTACGATCGACATCAGCAATCCTAGCTCTTGTGATTGTTCCTGTGAGTTTGCTGACAGTCTTGCGGAGCTTCACCTCGATGTATGCCAAGCAGAATTGGGTACTAACGTCGATCCAATTGGATTCCTCATGAAGTGCATCAATGCCTTTGAAAAGAGCTCTCCCGTCAGAACAGCCTGAGTAGTCCAAGCAGAGACTTTTTAAGACGTCCAATGGCACCTGAAGATTGAGTAATTGATCACGGGGTAGCTCATGGCCTCCAAACACGTTAACGCGACTCCATTCACTCACCACATCGGGATTACCCGTGTAATCTGTGACAATCACGTCAGAAAACTTCGAAGTATTCACACGTAGCGCTAGGAGATGAACATATAAATATCCTGTTTCGTACCCGCGGAAACTATCACGGTTTTTCACTTCTAGGAGCGTCTTCATGGAAGTAGTACTAACTAGTGCAGGAGCTGCGTGAAGAACCGGTGGTATCTACATGAGCCTAATGTAACATGCATTTTGTGCTATAATTTCTACGAGCGGTAGTCAGCGTTGATGGTCACATATTCGTGAGTCAAATCACAGGTCCAAAAGGTAGCTTCCTGTCCGCCGCCAGTACCCAATGAAATCTGCACCTCTAAGTCCTCTTCCTTCAAGATCTCGCTAGCTCTGGCCTCGTCCACCTGCTCGGGTTCACCGTTCACTAACAATGGAAGGGACTCGCTACCATCGCTTGGGATGAAAGAAACCGTCGTTCTTTGTGGGTTGACAGAGTTGGATCCAACATCAGCGTATCCAACGGCGCAGAGGATTCTGCCCCAGTTTGCATCATTACCAAACATGGCGGTTTTGAAAAGAGAGGAGTTTGCAATTGTCGAGGCCACTTCTTTGGCCTCACGGTACGACAAGGCGTCGGTAACCTTGATGGTGATGAATTTGGTGGCACCCTCGCCATCACGAACAACCAACTTAGCCAACTGCTGCGCAAAGTCGGTCACCTCGGCACGAAGAAGAGAGAATTCCTCAGCAGTCTCAGTTGAGGCGTCAATCAAATCGCCACCTGCGGCACCATTGGCAATGGCAACAATGGTGTCATTTGTGGACATGTCTCCATCGACGGAAATGGAGTTAAAGGACCGATCAACCGCATACTTGACTATTTGATTCAATGCATTTTGTGTCACTGGGGCATCAGTAGCAAAGAATCCCAAAAGAGTGGCCATGTTGGGACAAATCATGCCGGCACCTTTTGCCAATCCAGCCATTGAGTAGGTCTTACCCTTGATCTCAAACTGCTTACTCACAAGCTTGGGAAACGTATCGGTGGTACAAATAGCCTGGGCACAAGCAAGCCAATGGTCATGCGAATCTCCCAAATAGCTGAGACCCAATCTGGGAATGCCTTGCAATATATTGTCAATAGGTAAGTTTTGGCCGATCACACCGGTTGACATCACTAGTGTGGAGTCTTCCTTATTTTCCAACACAGCATCGGTAACCCTGATCATATCCTGTGCATCTTTCAAGCCCTGGGTTCCTGTCACAGCATTGGCGTTTCCTGAGTTGACGATAATTGAGTTGATCTGACCGTTCTTTTCCTTGATCAACTTGGAGGATATTTGCACTGGAGCAGCTTTGAACTTGTTGGTTGTGAAGACCGCCGAGGCAACACTAGGGTTTCCAGAAACATTGTGAAGCATGGCCAAGTCTAACGCATCTTTGTTCTTCTTCACTCCACAATGAATTCCTCCAACAACGTAGCCCTTGGGATAACTACCCAGTTTAGGGACGAAGCGCTCGGCTTTAGAGACCGGGGCAAATAGACGGGTAGCGGCTCTCATGTCGTTTTCAATTGCTAACGTCAAAACGAAAGTAGAAGCGGAACAAGGTATTACACGTGATGAAAAGGTGGAAGAGTCATAATCGGTGGAAGGTGTAGGACTGATAACGCGGTATCACGGAAGCGTCCCAATCAGAAATAGAGAATATTGGCGGAATATGCTGTGGCAGAGAAATCATTGAATAGCTTCCCTGAATGATAAATTGACAAATGTGAACTCAAAAATGTTTCTTGAAATTATTGTTCAAGTGGTTTTGTGGGATGCAAACTGACTGGCTGCGAATGCGTGGATCTGTCAATATGACCTGCAAAACTAAAAGAGCCTAGTTATATCTGAAAGCGCTTAACCACTAATTCCTATTCCATGGGCCGGAAGAGAGTATAGAAAATGTGTTTATAAGGTGAGAACCTTCTTCATCCAAAGCCTGCAAAAGCTGGCGTTCACTCCCAATTGCCGCCTTGACGAGTCAAAAAAAAATGAACTTACTCCCTCGATGCCTCGGCAATAAAATCTCTGTCTTCTTTTACCAAGGCTATTGAAAATTCTTAGTTCTCTCACCCCACCTATTCTTCTTGAGCTGCAAAGCTTGATGTCCTGTAGGAACTGCTCAACTTGAGGCAGCGAAAAATCTAAAAAATCTGATTTCGTCCTCAACCACACCATCAAAGATGTCGGCTAAAATGTTCAAAAATTTGCCAACATCGTCTTTGGCCAAGCAGATTAGTCGTATCAACATGATTGCGGGTACCCCAAGAACGCCTACAGATTCGGTGACAACACAAAGAAGATCGAAGTCATCCTATTAGAGAAGAACATCATCGGTCCTCGTACTGGCTTGAGAAAGTTTTTAAAGCTACAGTTGCCCACCTTGAAGTTTCACAATGAGAATGTGGATTTCTTCTGTACTAGAGTGAGAGCCACTTCCAAGGATGACATCGCTAAGGTGCCCACAAAGATCGTTATCCACGATGCCTCCAATAACAAAACCGAGATAGACTGCCATGCTCTTGATGAGCAAAAGATCCTCAAGAAGCTTATCAAAGCTACCGAAGCTACTCGGGTTCCTGAGTCCGAGATCCCCCACCTCCAGCACCCTTTCATAGCATTATAACTGACAAAATCTGTACATAGAAAATAACTACGACGAACGTTTAGAATGCTTTATGACTGTAATATACGACTATAGATCATGCGAGGTTGGTTTGTTGAACCATATGGCCCAGAGTAATTATGATTTGAGGAACTTCAAGAGTGCGTCGCGGCCCTTGAGCTCCATTAATTCCTTGATTTTTTGAAGATCCTCGATCTCAGAATTATCAACTGCCGAATCAGTTGTCTGCGTAGTGGTGGTGGCGGCGGCCGCAGCTACAAGCTCGTCCAAGTTGAGATGTGGATCACCTCGTCTAGAAACTGCCGTCTCGGATTTATTTTCGCTGAAGAATTGAAGATCTTCGGCTGCTTTAGAGTCTCTTGAGTGTTCTGCCTCTTTCTTAGATTCGTAGGAGTTCAACTCTGCTAAAACGGAAGCTTTCAGCGACTCACCTTTGTGTATGAAATCAAGAAGGACCTGTTTCTCTGGAACACGATAAATAAAGGGCTTTTGATCGTTGTCATCGGCATTGGTCATTAACAAGACGCGAGCCAGTTTCTTAGACGACTTTCCCACAACTTTGTTGCCCACGGTGTAGTTTTCAAGATATTCAGGTACTTTGAAGAGAGGAAATGTATCTTCATCGTTTTCGGTGTCCAGTCCATCATCGTTTTTCGAAGAAAACTTTGCGACATAGTCTGACTTGCTAGAAATAAAGTCTTCCTTCTGAAATTGAAGATAGTCTTGTAACGTTGGTTGCTTGTTTTCTGCGATAAAACCCTGGTCCTCGAATTTTATCAAGAAGTTGCTAGCCTCCATAATTTTAATGAAATTGGAGTGAAGACCAGAGTCAACAACAGCACAATCCCTAAAAGATCTCCTGTCAGACCAGCTGATTGGCACAAGATTTTCGATATGATTGGGACATCTCCACTTGAGGCCAATGGTTTTTGCCAGCGAAACAGGCTCCGGTAAGCAATCTAGATGCCAATAGAGAGGACAGTAATCGCAAGATACCATAGTCCTCCTATTGAGACCTGACTCTCGGCACCGATGGCACAAAAACGGCCGGCCGTTTTTATCATAGAGGGAGTCAATGTCTAAGTCTTCATTCTTATTGAAGCCGACAATCTGTGATCCATTCACCTTGCTGTAAGAGAGCTCAGGTTTCAAATGCGAGTCTGTGTAGTTGTCATCGGGCCCCGTAGTGACGTCAATGAAAGTGGCATCCCGGAGCTTCTTAGGTAGTCTGAATTCAGTGGGATTGCGGCCATGCATGGAATTAATAAGCGGGCCAAACATACCAATATTGTTGTGATACTTTCTGGGATCAATTCCTTGCGCAGCACGACATTCATTGCAGTTCCAATTCTCTTCTGGGATCTCTTGTATGGGAGGCTCGCAACAAAGAAGGTGAAACGATTTTGGACAGGTATCACAACAAATAAATACTCCGGTTCCACCACAAGTAGCACAGAAGTCGTCATTGCTATTTGAATCGTCCGACTCAGGTGCATTGTCTATTGCTGGTGCCAACCCCACCGTGGGCTGTTTCTTTGGTGATGTGATTTTGAGTCTTTTCGTGCGGGACAGTCCTGGGGCTGATCTGGCGGAGTCTTCGCCGTTTCTGCTCGATTTTGGGGTTGCTGGAATGCGTAATTTGAGACCTGAGGGAGATGACTTGAGCTCCGGGTTTGTCGCCCACTTTGGTTTCCGGCCTCTTTTTTTACCTTTTAGCGGAGTTCGTATCTCGGAAGCGGTCAGAATAGATTCAGACACAGGTGTCTCGAGTTGGGCTCTGTACTTCCTCTCCGTTTCCGTAGTGTCGATATCACTTGGAACCGGGGTCGCTTGTGGGGAACTATCACCTTTGGGTTTCCTTCCTCTGGGCGTTCCGGATAGTGGTCGCTTTATTTTTTGCTGTGGAGGTAATGCTTCAAGTGGATAGCCGGAGTATCCGGGTTGTGGTGCGGCAAGCTCGGGCTCTATAAATGTCTTTTCTTGACTTCCCTCAGTTGTTGAACTTGTTTTGCCTGGTGAGGAATTGGGGTATAATGGGTTACTTCGTGTAGCAGGCATCGAACCTGGAGTCAAGAAGATATCTTCTATACGCAGCGCCTTGGCTGCCCTTCTTGAAATATTCGGACTATCCTCTAATCGGCTTTGTCTTGACGAGGAGGTTTCACCTCTCGCAGACTTTCGTTGCGCCGCCAATTTCTTCTTCCCAAGAGAGCCAGGTTTTCTACCACGCTTCTTAGGAACTTTCTCCTCCTTTGCTGCCTTAAGCAGCTTATCGGATCTTGGCCGCCCACGCCCTCGCGGAGCAGGCGCTTTAGTTGGTTGCACTGGATCTACCATGCGATAGTGGTTGATAAATACGAGAACGCCCAAATATCAACGATCCTAAGTTAAGCAGCAGCTAATGAGTCTAAGCTGGGCCAGGAATTGTTGGTCTTTAATGGGAGCAGTTCCGTGAGCTGGAATATGTAGTGAGATCTGTTGATCACTAAAAGAGAGTAGGACGAAATTTTCCATCGCGTTTTGTTGGTGAAGTGTGACAAATAGAATTATGCCTAGGTGAAACCGTGCAAAAAATATTGTTTAAAAAAAGGAAAACAAAAAATATATTAAAAGCTGTTTATTCAAGAACAATTTTTAGTCTGCTCATTGTAGTTCTCTCTAAGGCAATGATAGAATGCCAAAACACGTTGGCATAAGTTTAGTGCTGAAAATCAAAATAAGGGATAATCTAGGAATTGTCGAGGAAAGTTCCATTTGGACAAATGAATTCTTACAATACTGTCCATAGCTTCAGTTCAAAATAGTCAAAATTTTTCTTTTTTTTTTTTAACTCTCTGTATTGTTTTAGTGGCCAACGTGAAATCTGAAACAGCTTTTTCATACGTTGTGACGGTTCCAAAAAATATTTTTTGAAACTCTTGATTTTGTCTGATACTAGAATTCGCTTTGAATAATCATTCGTTGCTTCATTCTTGCCATTGATTGAGCTGTCATAAGGTTTTCAGAGTTTTGTAGTTTAAAAATCCACGTTATTTCAAGTATTACCCTTCAAATAAAAAAATGAAAAAAAGCTACAGGTTCACTAAGTCTTCCAAGAACGCCAACCAATATATTCGCTTATGGCCGCAATTTGTAGAGAGCATGACAACATGTTGTGGTCATCGAATTTTTCCTTCTGAATAATCCCTATTTAGATTTAAAATGTCAGGTTTCTATTAGTCAATACTGAGCGAGCAAGCTCAAAATGTATTAGGTCTACAAATTTCTCATCTAAGGAAATCCAAATTTATTTATTATACGTAGCTAGTAATTGAATCTGGATTAGGCCTGTTCTTCACCGGCCTTCTTAGCTGGCTTCTTCTTCTTCTTCTTTGGCTTTGGCTCAGGCAAGGGCTCAGCGATGAACTTCGCAAGGTCCTCGTCCTCAATCTTCTTTTCTGTTTTGTACAACTCAGGATTGAATGATGGAGAGGTGTACTTGACGATACCGTTCTTGGTGATGGCGATTGTGGTGAAGAACTGGGCAATGAAAGAGTCAGAGGCACCTTCCATGATATCGTATGGCAAGACAACCTCGTGGTTGCTGCACTCGATCAAACCAACACGAACCTTTCTTGGCTCTTCAAAAATCTTAACGTTGGCAGGGAAATGGCCGGGAACCTTCTCCTTGAACGCCTTGAGAGCCTGACGAGATGTGTTCAACTTGAGAGAGTAGTTGTTTCCGGTCAACTTGTGCAAGGTAGTCTTGAAGTTAGACTTCTTGACCTTTCCGTCGGCGGAGGTGGAGACCAAGATGTCCAAGCCATACACTTCCAGCTCCTCAAATCTGTGGGTATCCATTCTGTTCTTGTGCTCCTTGGCGGGTTCAAGATAACCTCCTTAGGACCGTACAAAACATCACGTTCCTGGTTGTGGGTCAACATGCTCTGAACAGCAGCCACGCCGAAATCCTTAGCAACCTTGTCGACAACGTTGGTGACATCGAAGTTTCTGTTACCAGGCTTGAAGGTTCTGATAGCAGCCTCGGAAGCATTCCAAGCAGCGTGAAGCAAATCGGCCTTGATGCCAGTGACTGGGTTCTCGGCACTCTCACCAACGACCAAAGTGTCAGCAATGACGGCAGGGAAACCGTCGATCTGGACACCAAGCATGATGTTGACAACATCTCCATTTTTGAGAGTCAAGTTTGCGTCATCATCCTCAGACTCTGGGGACAAATGGGCTGGGATATTGTTGGGGTTCACACAGGTAGGGAAGGCAATACCTTTGGAAGTCTTGTTCTTCTTGGACGAGTACACGTTCAGAAGCTCCTCCCCATGAGCTTGTCACCCAATTGACAGATGTCGAAAATTTTGGAGCCATCCTTCACGGCCTTTCTCACCTCCGCCAAAACTTTGGAGGAAATGGTACCAGCCGTCTTGTACTTCTCGACAACGTCGGAGTTATTGATAGAGTAATCAATTTCAGTAGCTTTTGTTTCGGCTGTTTGTTAGTAAGAAATTGAGAACATTTTGATGGTGTGTTCCAAACATACTTTTGCTAGACATCGTTGATTTCGGGAAAGAAGCCTGTGCTGAAAGCTTTTATAGAGCAATTGGAGATGCAGGCTAGTGAGAAGGTCGACACAGATATCGGACTTTCATGAGCAATGTTGGCGACACATTGAAAGCTTTTCTAGATGACAATTTTTACAGATCAAAGCCTTAATTGTGTTTTCTTGCTTTCTCCGCTTCGAGACTTTTTGTGTGTAGCTGATGAAGATTTAAATCAGGTGGTATCAAATTCACGCAAGTTGCGCCCCAAAGTCAAATACTAAATGATTAGCAATTTGTTCGGAGGAATTCTGAAGCATTAAGATAGTTATCATTACAATAATCCAAAAATTATGACTAATTTTAACCTAATTTTATGAACTTAGGGTTCCCCAAGTTGTGTCACGTGTATGGTGTGCCTCATTTATGCAATGTTACTGCACCGTTCTTAAACTTCGATCAAGGTCTGAACCAGCACAGAATTTCACCCAAGCCATTGATCCTCATTCAAAAGGAGTCCATCGAAAATGGAGCGAGAAAAACGTTCATCAAGGTTGCTTGGAAGCAGGCTTTCCTCCATTTTCACCTCTCTGGATTATTCCCAGGGCCAGCCTGAGCATCATGAAGCAAGATCCATACAATCGAAACTGTCTTCAGGGAGCCTTAATCCCTTGTCAAAACCACCGCTCAGTAATCTGCCAATGCTGTACCAGAGTGACTCAAAGAGAGACTTGAAGAACAAGCTGCCTAGTGATACTCATTCCGTGGGTACTTTTAGCAATGAAAGTGTGGGTCTTCAGAAACCAGCGAGAAAACTTACAAGAAAACCACCTCCACCAGAAGATGACCTTGATTCATTCAAACTGTCTCATTCGAATGCTTCAGCCAAGCCCCATGCAGTTGCGTTGAAGGAACGAAAGTATGGCACAAGCATCGACACAGCTGCCACAAAAGCAGATAGTTTGGATGAAATCATATGTACCTTGGAAGACGAAATTCATGACATGATGAATTTTCGTAAAAGCTCGCAACAGCGTGTTGATACCACAAGCGAGGAGGTTCAAGGAGAGCCTAGCGCTCCAGTGAATGCAAATTCGATACGCAATTCGGACCGAGAATCTGGATCTGAATCCCAGAGACTGTTTTTTATGGGTGATCTGGGGACAACTCAGTTGTCGCAAGCTGATCAATCATCCAATTCTACATCACACTTGCGGGAGCCAACCCGTAGCACGCATTCAAATCCATATCAATTTCCTCCTACTACCAAAAATGAACCTGTCTTTGATCATCAGCTCAGATTTGGGAACCAGATCGATATGGAGTATGGAGAACTTCCTACCGAAAATATAGCATCGACCGAACAACATGAGGCATACCAATTACGGCCAACATCGCTGGTGAGCGTTGAAAGCCTTCACTTTGTTGACTCCGTGGGGGAGCCAATTCATAATGTTGAGACTAATCACTCTTCAGTACGAAGCAATATGATGAGTGAAAATCAGTCTCAGCTTAGCATGAGTCTGACAAGTAAGATTGAGAGTCAAGAGTTACAAGGTCCTCCGCATGCGAGCAGCCGGTCGACACACACTTCCAGTCAAGTGTTTGAATCTGACCCTGCAAGATTCAAACCTCCTTCTCCTCACTCAACCTATCCAACTGAGCTCCTTCATGAAGTGCTCACATCAGGCTCCAACGGCGGAAATGTTGCAACCAATTCCAGTAATCCAACTTTGGACCGAGTTCAACCCTCCATTAGAGCAAACTATTCACACCAGACCCGCCAGCCTCTCAGGAGTGCCCCGACGTTTACATCTGTTGCCAGCGATTCAACATTTTCAAAAGGTCTGGTAACCTCCACCCCTGCAAACACATTCCATCGCAAGTCTCTGTCAATGAGCTCTGTTTTCAGCACAAACTCCAATCGTCACATTACATTAGCAGCATTGAAGAAGTCCATCTCTCTACGACCCGGCGAGGGCGAGCGCTCGAATTATGTTCAAACAGTGCGACGCAATGCTGGTACTTCTTACAACGACTTGGGTCCAGAAACTTGGAAACTACCTGTGGGTATATTACCAGTTGATAAGCGGCAGCTCACGCCTTCGAATGATCGGTATAATAGATTGCGTGGTAACAGGAAGAATCAATCAAGTGGTGTGGGTCTTAAACATGGCCATCTTGCTCCCCGACTCCTTGCTACCGAAGTTGATGAATCAGAGGGCCTGAACAAATTTGGGTCCTTGGGAAGATCGAGCACCTTCCAAAGGCATGAAGGAAAGCAGATTACCCCTGTCTCTCTGTCTAGACTGACATTACCATCCACCGCTTTATCTCGAGGAAATTCATTAAGGCGTAACAGCAATGCACCTTCTCGGACTGGCTCATTTGCTGGTTCAGTTCTGAGCTCGATTTTGCCTTCAACGACATCTACTACCCCCGTAAGGGATTCAGGATCACATGTTGACTCTCAGTCTCATTTGTCGCGGCATACACTGACTTCATCTCGTCATTCTGTCGGCAGTATTAGTGAAGGACGTTTTACTGAAGGTTATTATCAACACCCAGGATATCGTTACGACGAAGAGATGGAAGAAACGGATCGCTTTAGCCCATCTACAGACGGTACCATGCATCAAGACTTTGAGGAGGAGGACGAAGTTCAAAAACCCCGTTTGGTGCTTGCGAACCCTGATAGCGAAAGCAGCGATAATGAATAGACATGCATATATTTAACGATAAATGATACCGACCCTTCCTATTGTAGTGAAGCCTGATAAAGAATACGTACCTATGTTGTCACGTGTGTGTGATCATGTGTCGAAAGGCCGCGATTCAACCATTCTATCCAGGTGTTAATATTCAAAAAATCTCAAAACATCTTTGGTGAGCGATCTCAAGTCTTCCATAGACCATTACTATTGTCCTAAAGGCGTAAAGTTTTCCAAAGCTCCTGAGTAACTACCAAGAATGTCTGACGCAGGGTACATGCTCATTTATGAGCCCAATGCCGCGTCGAAAACATCCGTGTCTGAATTGAAGACACTTTTGGAAAAGAGCAAGGACGAAGTCAAGATTCTGGCTATGAAAAGAATCATTACAGCAGTTTTGAATGGTGATCCAATGCCTGAATTGTTGATGCATATCATTCGTTTTATCATGCCCTCAAGGAATAAGGAATTGAAGAAGTTGTTGTATTTCTACTGGGAAGTTTGTCCAAAGTTAGACAATCAAGGTAAGATGAGACATGAAATGATTTTGGTATGCAATGCCATTCAACACGACTTGCAGCATCCAAATGAGTACGTGAGAGGTAATACTTTAAGATTCCTTTGCAAATTGAGAGAGGCGGAATTGTTGGAGACATTGATTCCAAACGTGCGTCAATGTTTGGTTCACAGACATGCTTATGTGAGAAAAAATGCAATCTTTGCTCTTTACTCCATTTACAAGGTCTCGAGTCATCTCATTCCCGATGCTCCTGAATTGATTTACAGCTTCTTGGTGGAAGAGTTCGATTCAGTGTGCAAGAGAAATGCATTCGTGTGTCTCAGTGATTTGAGTAGAGATGCTACTTTACTGTACATCCAGGACAACATTCATCAAATCGAAACATTGGATTCCCTTTTACAACTCGCCTTTGTCGAGTTTATTAGAAAGGATGCTCAGACAGCTGTTAATTTGAGACAGCAATACGTGCTTTTGGTATCTGAGATTATCGAATCATCTTCAAATGTTGTCGTTTACGAGGCTGCGATTACTTTGATCTCCTTGTCAGCTTCATCTGACTCCATGGTTTTAGCGGGCAACAAGTTCGTTGAGCTCGCTACAAAGGAAGCTGATAACAATGTGAAAATCATTACATTGGAGCGTATCAGTGAGCTAAACAGAAAGAGTCCGGGTTTGTTGCAAGGCTTGTGCTTGGATATCTTGGGTGTTTTATCCACCCAGGATATCGGTGTGCGTAAGAAGGCACTTGACGTGACATTGCAATTGATCACAAGCAGAAACGTTGAAGACGTGGTAAAATTGCTCAAGAAAGAATTGCAGAAAGCCTCGTCTTCCAACGAAGACAACGCCGCCGAATACAGACAGTTGTTGGTGAACGCTATCCACAAATTAGCGATCGACTTCAGCGAAGTTGCGACAAATGTCATTGACTTGCTCTTGGAATCGATTGGTGATCTCACAAATGCTGCTGCTTACGATGTGATTACATTTGTTAAGGAGGTTGTCGAGAAATTCCCAGATTTGAGAGAATCGATCATCCACAAGTTGATTAAGAGTTTGTCGGATGTCAAGTCGGGTAAGGTGTTCCGCGGTGCATTCTGGGTCTTGGGTGAATACTCATTGAGTGAACAATCGATCAAGGATGCCTGGAAGTTCGTGAGATCTAGCATCGGTGAGGTCCCTATTTTGGCCAGTGAAAAGAGGCAGCTTGAGGGTTACTCGGAAGAGGCCGATGAGGATGAGAGCGGTGAATCCTCAACGACTAAATCGAAGAAGGGTCCAGTGGTTTTGCCAGACGGAACCTACGCCACAGAGAGTGCCTTGAGTGCGCAAACTAACACGAGCGATGATGAGGACTCGTTACGTATTAGAAAACTCATCTTGGCCGGTGACTTCTACTTGGCTTCAGTTTTGGCATCTACGCTCGTCAAATTTGTCTTGAGATTGGGGCGTCTAGAAACTGCTGATAAACACTTAAATGCATTGAGAGCCGAGGCATTATTGATCATGGTGTCCATACTAAGAGTCGGTGAGTCTAGCTTTGTTCTGAAAAGAATTGATGAAGATTCTGCTGACAGAATTTTGGCTTGCATTAAATTTTTAACTGATGACCAGGACCACGATCTCATTGAAAAGGGATTCTTAGAAGATACCAAGGATGCCTACAAGAGCCAGGTTCAAACGGCACAGGAAAAACAGGCTGAGTCCGAGGCAAGAGATTTGCATGACAACGCTGAGCATGTTGATGACGCCATAGTGTTCAGGCAGCTCGACAAGGACGGTGGTTCTACAGATGCCCTTGGAGATGACCTCACGGGCGTCTCTGGCGTTGTCTCTAAGAGAGAGGGACTCTCGTCCAGGCTCAACAAGATTTTGCAGTTGACAGGCTTTTCTGACCCCATCTATGCCGAGGCATATGTCAAGGTGCATCAGTACGACGTTACATTGGAGGTCTTGTTGGTTAATCAAACGACAAACACTCTCAGGAATCTTTCGGTCGAGTTTGCTACATTGGGAGATTTGAAGGTTGTCGACAACGGTGCAACCGCCAACATCGGGCCACACGGATTCTATAATCTTTCTGTTACTGTCAAAGTGACAAGTGCTGATACCGGCGTGATCTTTGGTAACATTGTCTACGATGGTCAGCACTCAGATGATTCTACCATCGTCATTCTCAACGATGTTCATGTGGACATAATGGATTACATCAAGCCTGCTTCTTGTACTGAGAGTGCGTTCCGCACCATGTGGAACGAGTTTGAGTGGGAGAACAAAATTACTATTAAATCGAAGAAGGCATCTTTGAAAGAATACTTAGACGATTTGATGGCAGGAACTAACATGAATTGTTTGACACCGGGTGCAATAATTGGCGAGGAATGTCACTTTTTGGCCGCCAATCTTTATTCTCGATCCTCCTTTGGTGAGGACGCCTTGGCTAACTTGTGCATCGAGAAACTGGCCGATGGTTACATCATAGGACATGTGAGGATAAGGTCGAAGGGTCAAGGCTTGGCTTTGTCTCTCGGAGACCGTGTCGCCTCTATTTCGAGGAAGTCTAAGGAATTGGAGGTATCTCGTGTTTGATATATAAAAAAATAAAGTTTATTTACAGGAAAGATCATTCAAGACGTTCTTCAGATAGATGAATTTGAGGAGCTCTTCCTTGCTGACTCGTAACTGGTCTTCTGTTTCTGAAGACTCGAACAAATGGTCATAATCATGCAGCCTTATAGTGGGAAGAATTTTTATATCTGTGTCTTGCTTGTATACTTGAAATGAAAACCTTCGGGAATACTCTGAAACAGTGTTCATCAAGTATTGAAGATCACCTTTTATGTTGACAACGTTTAGGTTTCGGTTAAAGTCGTATGGCGCAAAGTCAACCAGCGCTTTGCCCTCTGAAAACAGCACTAACTCAAACTCTCTAGCTTCCACCAAGATATCGATTTTGTAGTTTTGTGATCGTAGAGTGAAGGACTCATGCCTTAAAAGATTGTTTGATTCCGCAGAATTCGTGAACCCAATAAACGCAGTGGCTGCCAGTAAACTAATTTGTTCACCATAAAGCGTTATAATGCGATCAACGCTAAACGGGCTGCTCTCAGACAAAGTGATAGAATCAAGATGGAAGTTATTTATCAATTCATTCTTGAATTCGGCTGTGAAAATTTGTGACTCGGAGTTTCCTAGGAGAATTTTGACATGAGTTGACTTCTCGTCGGACTTCTTTTCCGGAATAAGCTTCTGAAGATAGGTCTTCACTTTGTCCGGCTCCACCACAGAACGTACTATGTCTGGAACAACAGGGTTTTCGAGAAGCAATGGACTGTCACTGAACTGTTCCGTATGTTGATAGTCATTCCTTCGTTTTCGTGAGTAGCTTTGTGAAGCTTTACTTCCTCTTTGATGCATTGGTGGATGTGAATGCTTTCTGATTACGATGTATTGATGCACATAGTAATCACGTGTTTCAGATAACTTGAACATGCAAATTCAAGTTGTTGACAAGTAGAAGACAACTAGGCAATGGCTTAAACGGCTGGTGCCATTGATAGGAATGACTTTTTAAAGTCCTAAATTTGCGCAACTGAAGTAGTGCTTGGTTGTCTTTCAATCCATCTTGTAGGTCAATGCGAAAAGGCTGCAAAGGTATTCACGAATTTTCGCACGAAATGCAGATTCCTGCGAAATCAAAAACTCGAACTGCCAAAGAAAAAAAAACAAAAAAGGGCATCAAGAAGAAAAATACATTTATAATTACAAAGTTTAAAAATACAGCTAATTCCAATCACAAAAAATTCTTACTGATATTTGGTTCTAGTTACATGTAATTGGTTCCTTGAGCGGCCTTCTCAACCAGACACATCTAATGAGAGGGTGTTTTTCCTAACAGAGTTAGTCAATTGACAAAAGCATATCGAATTGGTTATAATTTGAGCTACATCTGGTCAAATTTAGGCGATAGTAGATTTGCTATGATATGGCGTTACAAACGAGCCAGTAAGTTCAAGACACCCGTACACCAAGGAACCTCATCTCCTGAAAAAATAGTTTGGCTATCTCAAGTCATTTTCCATAGAAACTCGTCAGCATGGCAAAGAAGGATAAGGTTGAAGAGAGCGGCGAGGATAATTACGACAAGCGTATGGCCGCTGTCTTGCCATTTGCAAAGCCACTTGCATCGAAGAAGGTCAACAAGAAGGTGCTCAAAACTGTCAAAAAAGCTTCCAAGGCTAAGCATGTCAAGAGAGGAGTGAAAGAAGTCGTCAAAGCCTTGAGAAAGGGCGAGAAAGGACTCGTCATTATTGCTGGAGACATTTCTCCAGCGGATGTTATCTCCCATATTCCTGTTCTCTGCGAGGATTCATCTGTGCCATACATCTTCATTCCTTCAAAGGAGGATTTGGGTTCTGCTGGTGCAACCAAGAGACCTACATCTTGTGTTTTTGTTATTCCAGGTGGCGGAAAGTCCAAGAAAAATTCTGACAAGACTGATGACTATAAGGATGCATACGATGAGCTTGTGAAGGAGATTGCAGCTTCGGACTAGGCCCATCTTGGGATTGTGAGCGAAACTGCTCAATGACAAGAAAGACACCCTAGACAACTTTGTAATATATTAGCATCTTTACCAATAAATTTCGATCCATTGAAAACCATCATCATAATTTTATCTCATTTATCGATTTAGCTATACTTGTTTTGTCACATGTGCAATGGAAGTTCCAACAACGCCTTCATCTTTGAGGGAACCTTCTTCTGAAACTTCGTCACCTAGTTTCCTCTCTTCCCTGTTTTTGTCTCTTATTGTCAATCGCCAAGCAATCAATGTCATGATCAAACCAAAACCCGCAAGACATGCTGTGTATGTGAACCCAATATAATATCTAGGCTTATCTGCTGTATTCCAGACAAAAATCGGCACCCAGGCACCTGTAACATATGCCAATGTGTTTGTGCAAACAACCACAAAGTTTCTCTTCATATCGTCCTCAAATAGTAAACGATTGACCCACGAGAAAATAAAGGGCTGACCATAGGAGGTAGGCACTCCAACAAGAAAGTAAGAGAACCAGTGAAGGCCTCTTGGTATATGCCAATGAGCTAGTAGAGCACAGCCCAATATCAAGAGTACAAAGTAACTCATGACATAGAAATGATTCTTCTTTCCGCCAATAAAATTATGAGAATAGGCCAAAAATAAGGTTGTTCCAATACCACAAGCTGTAAGAATGGAAGGAAACGTATTATACTTATCTGGTGACAACTTAAGATCAAGTTTCATCCACGTTTGAAACGCAGGCTGACTATTGGCAGCGCAGGAATTATTGTAGGCCAAGAACAATAATGGGAACACGTAAATGTGCCATGTGTCGAAAAAACCCTTGATCTTCTTCCACAGGTACTTTTCACGAGTGTTCAATTGTGCACCGATTCTTCTTCTTCTCTCAAGGCCCACCAATCTGTCCTCTTGTGAGAAGTAGAATGCATCAGTGGTACTTGGCGTGTTTGGGTCCACTATCATGGTATAGATACCAACTGGGAATGATATAACTGCATCGAGCACAAACATCCATTTAAAAGGTGGCATCGACGAATGTCCGAAGTGCTTCAAAACAGCCAACTGCAAAGGTCCAGAAATCAACCCTGCAGCATTACCAGCCACGGCGAAATAAGCGGATCTCGTGGATAATTCAGATGCCGAATAATTACTTCCAACAAGATATTCCAAGCCCGGAAAGTACCCTGACTCCAAGAACCCAAGGAAAAAACGAACGGCATAAAGGGACTGTATGTTTTTGCAAGTTATCATAAGAAGGGTCAAAACAGCCCACATTATTTCTAGGCCGCCCAAGTAGTAACGGGCAGAAATTCTATGCAAAATCAAGTTCGAAGGGATCTGTCCGACAATATAACCAATGGTCCATAACGTGACTAAGTAGTTGTACTGGTTTTGATTCATTTCGTAATACTCGTCCATACCATTAACGTAGGCAGTAGTGACATTGGATTGATTCAAATTCTTGATAAAGTATCCAAGCATCGAAGAGCTGAGAAGAAAGAAATCCAACTTGCAAAGGTACTTTTGCTCCTTGGGGTGCTTATCGGTGCCATCCCAAAAAAATTGTCTCACCTTAAAAAGTTTCGAGGTATTCCTCCTATGAATCTCCTCAGGCGTGAGATGGAGCTCAAGGTCGATGTATGGCTCATCGATCTCTATAGAACGTTCCTCGACTTCAATAGTTCTGTCCTTGTTGAGACTGCTTTTTGAGTTCTGATCGGAAGCCAGATCCAAAGAGTTCACGACATGATCCCGTCTTGTTTCTGTGATCTCTGGTCCCTCAAGCTCTCTTTTCAAGACTTGAAAAAATCCCATTGTCCTACTGCTTCAGCTAAAGCTGAAAGCTACCCATTTATAACAATGTCATGGTTGCGAAATTGTGTGGTTGATGTGCGTATTATGATCCACACCTCATCACTAATAGACCGATAACGTGCCATTGTGAGGTAAGCAGGGGATGAGGAAGACAGCTTATTCGCAACTTACTGTGGCGATTGATGCAGAGTGGCATAAACCATATAATATAACCATATCCACTACCTCCGAACCAAAGGGGGTAATTAGCCTTGTGTCTCACAAGACGGGTGAATCTTGAAGAAAGGTAGAGCTTTGTGGTGGTCGAGCAGACTATCTATGCTCCAATTCTATTTTAGATCGTGAAGCCACATTGCATTTTACGTCAATCTTTACTAAATCCCTTAAATTCTGTATCTCATTGTTCTTTTTTTTTTTTTTTTTTTTTTTTATTTTTTTTATTTTTTTAAGGCTTGCATTATCTTCGGTGGGGCGAAGATCATTTCCGTTTACTAGCGATATTAGCCAAAAGTGTGGCACCGCGATCCTTCATGAGGCTTATCAGAATTGGTATTCTCAAATCACTCGCGCCCGATACCTCAGTATTCAGCAAGGAACATGAAGAATGATCCACTGGTAGGAAAGTTAAGTTCTGTTGACTAAATCTTGATTTCAGGGGACTCAACTCTAGGCAGCCATGGCTTTGAGTGGGGAGGAATCATAGCTGCATGCTGTTTGACACCGCCCCGAGGATGGCGCCAAGCATCAAGCTTATTATTAAGTACGTATGATTATGAGCAAGAAAGAATTAATCAGGCAGGGTACACAACAGATCGAGTTATTAGTTGCTTGACACAAGTAAGTTGATTTAAGACACTTGCAATATGTTGTAATTTCCCCATACTTCAAAGAAGCTGATCTCACTATCATCCTCTGGCACTTCCAGTCGGAGAGCAGTCGGTGAAGTCATGAGCCCAGGCTGAATCTATTTTCTGGCCAGCATCTTGACCAAGATTCTGAGACTGGTGAGCCTCTTGATCGTTATCTTACATCATCCTTCAAGCAGGGCCTCTCATCAAATTGGAGCTCAACCCAACAGCCGTGATATCATGTCCATGATCCTCTCCAGGACCATGTAAGTAACCACATGGACATTCGTTAGCAGAAATGTCTGTATCCATACGGTCTTCACTGGCTAACTCAACAGTAGTATCTCGACTTTTCGGAAGCACAGGGGGTTCTAGCTTACGCCGTTTGACATTTTGGATGTCAAGTGGCGGAGGAGGCCTATTGAGAGCTATCATGGAAAGTGGAGTTGACGAAGTCGGACTTTAACGAAGTCTGCGGGACCGAACTTGTGATGAGAATTTATACAGTACCCTCCCCTCGTCAGGATGCCCAATGTTCATACAAATTCGTTGAAGCCCACCTGTCGCTGTGTAGAATTTTCTCTTGATGACTCTTTCACTGTTGATTCAAGGGCTCCGGCTTATGGAGAGAGATGCGATGATTCATCTTCCTCCAGTAATTATGAATAGTCTTCTCAGTATTCCTTTTCTTATTTTTTTTTTTTTTTTTTTTTTTTCTTTTTTCGTTCTGTCTCTCCTCCTTCTTCAGTATTTGGAATCGTACAGAATTATCTGATTGAAGGAAAGATGGATAGGGTTCATGGAGTTCGGTCGTTTCGTGGAGCTACTCGTCTGAGATTCTTATCGACCACAGAGATCACAAAAATAACTTCAGTCCGGTATATTGCGACATAGCCTAATCAGTTTTCTGTACACGGCTCAATTTTTACCATAGTCAACTTCAAGTTCACAACTACGCAATCATGGGGTTGAAAAAGATGTTCAAGAAGAAGGATCCAACCGAGGAGGAGTTGGTGAATACAATGCAAAATGTTGGTATTACAACCAAGACTGCCAACAACCGTCAAGAAAAGTTTGGTGCTTTCAAGCAATACGCCCAGGAAAGACAAGGTGTCAAACCGGGAATGGCACCTCGTAACCCTTACGCAAATATGAATGAAAACCAAGGTAATCCATATGCTAACTCCCAGTCTGGTGAGGCTAGTGCTCGCGATTCAGCATATGCATCATCTGCCACCGGGGAGAGACGACTGAACCCCTATGCGAGTCAAGATGATGGCCCTGCACCATCAAGACCCAGTCCGTACCAAATGCAGCGAAATGGTGGGAATGGTTCTTACAGCGAAAAATCTTATTCGTCATCCAGCAAGCCAAACCCTTACCGGTCTAGCACTACAAGGCCGAGAGGTGATGATGAGCTGACTCTTGACCTCAACGCTATTCCCAGCTCAAGTGCTTTGCCCACGGCGAAGAAGCCTATCAGGAAAACCACAGATACAGATACGCTAGATCTTAATGCTGATCCTGACGAAGAAGACTTGAACCTCGAGGTGGACGACTTCCTAGCAGAGGAGGAACAAGTGAACTCCGAGGAAGAAGAGGTCGAAGCTATTAAGCAAGATATTCGTTTTGTGAAACAGGAATCCGTGGCGCTGACTCGAAACACATTGAGAATGGCCCAAGAGGCGGACGCTTCAGGAACAAATACTCTCGGTATGTTAGGATCGCAATCCGAACGTTTGTTCAATGCCGAACAGAATTTGTTGCTTGCTGACACTCAAACCAAGATCGCTGATGATAAAGTTGCCGAGTTAAAGCGTCTTAATAGATCGATTTTCATCCCTGCTTCCGGAAATCCATTCAACAAAAAGTCTCGCTTGCGTGAACAAGAGTCGAAATTGAAGGCACAGAAAGAACAAGAGAAATACCTTCGAGAGACGAACCGACAAGGCGTGTACGCGAGTGAGCAGCGTGTCAAACAGGGAATTTCAAATAACTCAACTCAGTCAGACACCTTCAACAAATATCAAGATGAAAAGCATCTACAACAAGCTCAGAGATACCAGTTCGAGAATGATTCCGAGGACGATGAGATGGAGAAGGAGTTGGCTACGAATTTGGATCAAATTTCGGCCTATTCCAAGAAGTTAAGAAACACCGCAAGCGTCATGGGTCAAGAAGTCGGTGCTCAAAATGATAGGTTGAGGAAGATCGAGGAAGATGCGGATCGCTTGGATATCAATGTGCACCTCAATAGCACTCGCTTGAATAATATTAGGTAAGGATTCAGTGTTTTCCGTGCAACTGAGTACCAACAACTGACGAACCCGAAGACGGACATCTACCAAAGACTCGAATGATGGTTTGGAGCATAGGAACTGATACACTTTCAACTTGTTCAGAATAGTATTTGAATTGCATTAAATTACTGTTGAATAATTACGTAATAATATCACTAAACAGCAATGAAGTAACCTCCGAATACAGCCGCGAATCAAGCATAACCCCTCACTACTTCGTCATGCTACTCAAGCCAAAAGGACCTGATACGCCCTTGAAACATAGCAGAACGTTGCATTCACCATACAACGCGTTTCTCTGTTTTAAAGTTATTGAGATCCTGCCTACCCCACGGGAAAATGCCGTCAGTGCCTACAGGTTAAGCCGTGCACATAGCAGGAGAATGCACGGCCGCCAAATTAAGTCACTGCATATACGCGGATCTTTATCAGCGTACTTGGAGCATATAGATCAATTCAGTTTCGGTCATTCGCCGCTCGTTGACTTTTCTTTGCCCTGCGATTTCAGTTCAGTATCTGATCTTAGCTAAAACATGGCGCACCATCAAGTCAAGGAGTCGTTTCTTGTCGGGAGGGCACTCCTCAATTTCACCTCCATTTTCGTTTCGTTAGGTGTATTTTTGTTTGGATTTGAGCAGGGCTTGATGTCATCCCTTTTAACCAATTCTTATTTCAAAGAATACTACAATCATCCCAGTCCTGCTGCAATTGGTACGATGATAGCAATTCTAGAAATAGGCGCCTTGTTTTCCTCGTTTGAGGCTGGAAAGGTTGGTGATAAAATTGGAAGAAGAAGAACAATTCGTTGGGGCTCTTTCATCTTTATAGTAGGTGGATTTTTGCAAACCTTTTCGCCAACAATCTACGTTCTAGGCTTGGGAAGACTCGTCTCTGGTGTTGCGATCGGATTTCTCACAACGATCATACCTTGCTACCAATCAGAAATCAGTCCGCCTGATGATAGAGGATTCTATGCCTGCTTGGAGTTTACCGGCAATATTGTCGGGTATTCAACTAGTATTTGGGTTGACTACGGCTTTCTGTTTCTTGAGAATGACTTCTCGTGGCGCTCACCCTTGTTTGTTCAATGTGTCATGGGGTTTCTCCTCTGGTTAGGAACATTCATAATCGTTGAAACACCTAGATGGCTTTTGGATCATGACCATGATATCGAAGGAATGATAGTTATTAGTGATCTCTATGCTGATGGAGAGATTGAGGACGAGGTGGCCAAGGTGGAATTTAGACAGATCAAAGAGAGCATCTTGATACAAAGAATTGAGGGAGGCGAAAGATCTTACCGTTACATGCTCACCCGTTACAAAAAGAGGGTCTCGGTTGCATGTTTCTCTCAAATGTTTGCACAATTAAATGGTATAAACATTGTGTCATACTATGCTCCTATGATTTTTGAAAGTGCCGGCTGGATCGGCAGACTGGCCATTTTGATGACAGGTATCAATTCCTTGATCTATTTGGCAAGCACCATACCACCATGGTATTTGGTTGATGGATGGGGCCGGAAGCCATTGCTTTTGACAGGCGCAGTCGTCATGGCTGCTTCACTCTTTTCCATTGCATATTCTTTATTTTTGGACGATACATACACCCCTCAGGTTGTCGTCATCTTTGTCATAATTTTCAATGCTGCTTTTGGAGCATCCTGGGGACCCATTCCGTGGATGATGAATGAGGTTTTGCCCAATTCTGTGCGAAGCAAGGGAGCTGCGATGTCCACAGCGACGAATTGGCTCTTCAATTTCCTCGTCGGGGAAATGACTCCAATTTTGTTAGACTTGATTCAATGGAGAACCTATTTGATTCCAGGCTTTTCTTGCGTCCTTTCCTTTATGTGCGTGCACTATCTTTTCCCGGAGACTAAGGGTTTATCATTAGAGGAAATGGGATCCATTTTTGATGATAGTTCATCGGTCTTTTCCTTCCACTCTGGATATGGTTCAACTAATGATAACGAGTCTAGGAGAAGCATCGAGCCTTCTCAGTCTAGTGGTGAGACTCAGCCACTGCACCAAACTGCAGCACAGCTCGCTAGAAATCCCTCCTCTATGCGCAATGAGCCTGACGGTCTCATTACAGGAACACCGCAATTACCTCTAATTCCAGCAAATGAGGTTGCGAAGCCTGCCATCTCGGGCTTATCATCAAATGCTGGCATTAACGATGATGCTACCGCGCCACCATCTTTCGAAGACATCATCGATTTCAAACGTCGTAAAGACGCGAAGTCGTGGTTTTCGTGGGCTCAGCAAAAGAGTGCAGACTACGAACAACTAACTTAAGAACCTGCTCCACGATGAATAACTTCAAGTTCCCTAAAACAATGACTAGTTGTAGTTTATGCGTGCCGTTGTTAGATGCCAAGAGCGTCATGATGGAAGTTCGACACGCTGTTTCACCTGACTCTTCCTTTGAAGCCACTTCTTTCAATCCGTTTATTTCGTTTATTTTAAGATTCCATCTTTCACATGACTCGCTTGCAGTTAATTAGTATCCTCTGACATCACCATATCACGACATGCTAAGCCCAATCTCAGCACCAAAGCAAAATGCCGACTTGCGCGTATTAAAAAGTACACAATGGGTCGCCATTTGGGACTAAAACTCAAACGTGACTGCCAAGTGCGCTCTTCAAGACTAGTAAATGAGGTTCTCCACTCAAATGCGTGAAGCACGGTCATTGACGATTCCCCAATTGTAGCCCCAATTAATACTCGGTTCTTTTGGCGCTCTTCCGTTATTGGAACAACACAACAATACTCAGACAAAAACATTCTGTTTTCCTACAATGTCAACCTCCTTGAAACATTGAAAGTATAAACAGGCCAATCGCATTCGCGGATTTAGGCGAAGCCACAGGCACGATGATGTCAGACCTGAATACAAGTCAGGTACACGACGTTTGTTTACTCGGTTTAAATACTCTGAATCGTGGGCACGGCAGAAAATTTTTAAAAGCCTCTTACGCATTCTCATATAATGCACACAGCTCCAAACTTACTTAAAGCGAAGGTGTCCCTCACTTAGACGTTTCAAGAAACAGGTCTCTTTTTACTAATTAATTTTTGGAAGAGCTTTACCTCTTACCTGCCCAAATAATCGATCGTCGAATTTACGAATAATCCAACACCATGTCGTTACTCCTAGATACGTCCACTAGCACGACAGCATCTCATTCCATCACTTCATTGCTGGGCCTCGAGCCAATTGCATCAAGTTCATTGGGTATCAAGAACCCTTCTGCAACTGAGTCGGGCATTACAGCCCAATCTTTCCACACAACACATGCTTCTAATTCTAAAAGCGGCTCGGCATCTTCCTCAAGCAAAGAGTCTCAAAGTGATGCCTCGGGATCGTCTCCCGCACTCAGCGAACAGAGTAACGCGGCGGCGCCCAGATTGTCCTTGATATCATCTGCGTTAGTTATGATGTGTTTGTGTCTGCTTCTCACGATTTAGAATCCTTAATGAATGAACGATTTGTGCTCCTTGGAAATGAGATTTTATGAACTGCCTCGGGCGGGTCCGTATTGGACAGGTTTTGGTGGCGCTAAAATCACAATATAGGTTCCGCTCGTTGTATATTACGTAAGCTTGAAAAAGCGAAGGAAAAAACAAAAATGAGACGAAAAAGAAATGATGATCACCAAAGGGACAGTTTTGTAGGGCAATGGATAATAGTATTCGAGGAAATGCTGGCCTGAGGGTCTCGTGAAATTGAGAATATTAAGATCTTATTGCAGGTTGGTTCTATAGAGATATAATTGTTTTTACTCTAATAAAAAGATATCAGTTGAAAAATTAAAAAAAAAAACAAACTGGATCAGCCAAAAGACCTGTCATACTAATGTTCGTAGTACGGTTCGCGAGCCAGTGCACAACTGTGTGACCTGTACATGCTCAATACCGTTCGTCCTTTGAATTAAGACACCGGTTCGCAAAGGTCTTCGGTGAACACCAAGATGGATAACTCCACCATATTCTTCATCGTCACCCTTGTGATAGCATTTACTTTTTTGCGCTGGCTCATCGCTCCTATCCCTCATTCTGTTGCGGGTGAGTTCAACCTTCCTGAACCAGATTCTCGTGAGAATGAAGGGTCGCGTAATCCAAGAAGACTGACACGAGCTGTCACTGATTCCATGATAGAAGTTGTTCAGGCAATCGGTCCACAGCTAAGCAGAGCTCAAATTGTCCATAGCTTAGAACAAACAGGATCAGTGGAAGCTACTGTCGAGCAATATATGGAGAGCGGATCATTGCCTTATCCTCCTGGAGAGGCACCCCCAGAGAGAGAGGCAAACGATGATAAGCTGAAAATTACATCTGTCGATCAATCTCGAACATTGCTTGAAAAGTACGCTGTCGTTGAGGATGATCATCCTGTCGGCGAGGAAGAGGACGAGTCGCCTGGAAGATGGGGAAAGGACAAGCAGGAAAGATTAGATATTTTGCAAAAGAGACGAGAGCAGATGATCTTGCGTGCGAGACGCAGAATGAAGCAGACTTTGGGAAACGAGGTTGCTGAGAATGAACTTCTAGACAAGAGTTAATTGCATGTATGTTCATTGAGAAGAGCTCAAATCGTGGAAATTTGTGTAGGCTGTAACCGTCTTCTCTTACATATGGTGTCTGGTGTCTGGTTTAGCAGTGACGGACTTTGCTGCCTATCTTCATACGACTCATCAATCGGTGGCTCCACAAATTGTGACAAGAAGCTTGTCTGACTTGGTGTGCTGGATTGATTAGTCGTGCTTTCTGATTCTCTTGCCTCAGCGCAAGACTGGGCAGAAACTAAGGAAGCATTATTGTCTGTTGGCTTGGTTGTCAGATTTCCGCCAATGGTGAGTCCTTCGTCACTATTGATTTCAATCACAGTAGATCGAGACATTTGGCCATTTGACTTCCCATCATTCTTCTTTTCTTGAACCTGCAACGGAGTACCGAGAATTCCATCTGAAAGTAACATTATGGAACAGAAGCCCTCGGCAGAAGTGATGATTATGCTGTTGCCATCTGAAGACCAGGTAATATCAGTGATGGTTGAATAATGTAGGTTTTTCAGAAGACCGAGGGGTTTAAAATGCTCAGTGTCGTAAACGATCACGGAATTTTGCGTCGCAACAGCGAATATCATCTTGTGTGGTAGGTCAAACACAAGTTCTGAAGTGTCCAAGTCTGATTTGTACAAGATTGGACTGAATCTTACTGCTATAGCTGGTTTATCGAAGCCTGAAAGATAGCACACTGGTGGGTTAGACAACGCTGCGCGAGTATGGACATAGACTGTGTGGTGAACCACTTCGGGGTCCTCTTCTTCACGGGATCCTTCTTTTAATAACCCCAGTGGAGTGAGAAGGAGACTTCCATCGGGGGAGAAGGCGAGTCGCCGGAAGAAGGATTGTAGCGATTCAGGGTGGTAAAGATTGGCGATCTTTCCCTCATGCGTACTTTGATTGTTACCATTGACTGATAGTGGCGCTTCTGGCGCATTTGCTTGAGTTTCTTGCTGAGGCTCATATGAAACCGTCTTAACACCACTCTGCAGTGGCTTTACCAACAAACTCGGCAGAGAAGTAATTGCCGGCACTTCTGAGCGACTTAGATTGAGAACAAGTGATGCAGTGAAGGGGGAGGTCGTTCGAGTTTCGTTCCGGTGGTCTGCAGAGCGAGAGTTTTGGTCTGTCACTAATCGATATATACGAAGAGATCGATCAGCACTTTGAGTAGCCAAAAACTCACCCCGAGGATCCCATGATATGCCTTGCACATAGTGTCCATGACCTTTCCAATCAAGCGTCTTCTCTCCCGATTGGCAATCAAAGATTCGTATCGAATTATCCGTAGATCCTGCGGCGATGAACCTGGAGTCTGGCGACCAGCTGATATCATATACCTCCGAATTGGTATGGAATACCTTGTTCACAATCCAGCTCTCCTTGAGTTCATCGTCTTGATTCCCAAAATCTTGTATCACCTCCTCAGCTAGTATCCAAATGATTAGTAACCCGTCATCACCTGCTGTTGCCAAATAATCCCCGGTCTGGTCGAAACGCGTGGCGTTAACAGCTTGGGTATGTTTCCTTAACGTTGATAGATAATTGACGGTTGTCTCTCGAACATTTGTAGGATCTTCTGGGTGTTGAACTTTCCAAATTCGAACATTGTTGTCACCACCCCCAGTCGCTAATCTTGCTGGCTGGCCATCTTTCCTCAGCTGGCAATCAGCACTATAAATCGGCTGGTTTTCATCGTGCCAGTGAATTGCTAACGTAGTGGAATTCATAGTGTTCGTTTGCAAAGTTCGGTTAATCTTGGTGTAAAACACTACGAGCGCGTTCTCAGTTACGCGCTGCAAGGCCATCCTAATTAGATGAACCATCTAGCATACAAGCGCTATCAATCAGTTGAGCAAACAAATGAGTAAACCATATTAAATTTTTCAACAACAAAAGCACTATACATTGGAAGCGCTGACTATTTCAGTGACTTCAAATCATTGAGCTTATATATTCACCGATATTCAACTATGAGAGCTCCAATTTTATGTAAGAAGCAAAAAAATTAATGCAAATCATTGGGAAATTCCTGATGCCAGTCTCATTAAGAAAAGAGACGTGTCACACACACGCACACACACACACACACACACACACAGACGCAGATATACGTTACAACAATTGGAATGGAGCTCGCATGAATTTGATCCTTGACTATTCGAGGACATAAACGACAAAATATCCCCATTATTTTATATGACAGCATATTCAGAATACAAAGAAGACTGTTCTGAAGTCAAAACTGTGTTAGAACGTGAGTTTGAATTCTTTTTCCTCATTCTTCACTTTGTACAAGAAATTAGATATTATCTCATTTTCACGACAAGGGCTATTGATGAAATGCTTCTGACAAATGGAAGCCATTTCTGGTTTTGAAATGCTCATAGTCTGACTTGAATTTCTCGCAGTATAAGTTTTCTTGCCAATATCAGACCGTAGGATATCCTCGTCAATCTTTTGTATGGCAGGGCATTCGATACCAAATTTCCGATTGTATTTCTCAAGGGTAGTATCATCAAACGTGTTGAAATCCAATACATCAATCCGAGGTTTATCATGTGGGCCGTTTGAATGAATATGCTTCGATAGAAGCTCCTGTTGAGCCGCCACTGCGACGGCATTCCGAGCCTTGTTAGCGGATCTCGAAGTGGGGATGGATTTGGATTCCGCATCACTTGCAGGGTCTCTATGTTGTGCTCTAGGGGCATTATGAATGATGCTTCTTGTCTTTGATGTCCGAGTAAACTCGGCCCAATTAAGGTAGAAGTGTATGCAGTCGCTTTGTGCAACTGATTAATTTTCATAGAAGTAGCAGATGCTCAAACTATGGTGTGAGGAGAAGAAACAAAATAAAAAAAATTAAAATTAAAACATGTTCAATTGTGGTTTTGATTTAAGTCATAGGCTCTGGTTCAGGAACGTTACTGACTACAGTCATTGGTTTAGATACTATGATGAGGCAGGGAATTACTTCGCTGATGATGAAATAACGTTCGCACTACTTGATGCTTTTAGCTGGTAGTGCTCAATCATTTGTCGAAAAGGCTAATCCATGGAAATTTGTATTAGACTTGAATAAACAAGCAACCCCGCTTCTACTATTTAAAAATCCCCTCTTTGAAACCGCGCTGAAGCTCAGGTAGTTGATGGAAATAAATTCTTTTTTAAAGTGATACATGACCAGCAGCCAATGCATCAGTTTTCGGTTCGTTCTTCTTGATGTGACAATTCGGCAAGACTGGCATTTCTTAAGGTGGAGGACTGAATAGTGGAACCAAGATTAACATACCAATAGAGCCTCTTGCAAGAGTTATGCTGACCTTGTGTTGAACGAAGGCGTTGCCCCGGTGATAAGCAATATGCAAATTATTTCCATACTGTATACTCTACCCAACCGTTACCTGACAACCTACATGCGCGAAATTGCACTCGCATATAAAAATTCTCGTACAATAGCATTTCTCAGTTGGAAGCTCTAGTCGCAGCACCTTCTTTTTTATCTGCAGAAGCGGCCAACTATTCCGCCGTCCCTGACATTTTATTTGTCCAAGGGTATTCGATTAGCCGATGTTTGATGTGCTTCACTCATCATGGTGTGCACGGTGAATTGGCGAAATCGAATTGGAATTTTTGCAAAAATTGACTCTTACAACAGTACGAAAAAAAAAAAAAAAAACGTGGTTGCAAAGTGAAGTACAGAGACATACGTCCCTGTACAGCGCATGCATCGCCTTAAATCCAAGACCACGCAGAAATCACATACTGCGACGCTAACTCTACTAACAGAGTGGGGTATACGGAGACCTTCCCAAACAATCATTTTTTCGCTACAGGTAATACAGATAACGGTCATTTATGTGGTTTCATAAAAACGTGCAAGTTAGCTTATTTGAGTTTGTTGGAATACTCTTTTCGCAAATGCCAAGCTACAAGCCAAACCACAGATTCGAATTGAAACTATGAGATGATTGACCAGTCCTGAAAATGCGGTACAATAAAATTGCATTCGGCTAGTGCGATGCGTAAACTGTTTTGCAGCATCCAGCTGCATGGGCATAGTATTGTCTTTCCTACGACCTCAAGAACAGAACTTAACTACACTTGACGATGAATAAATATACACGACTTCGCTACCTCTTCAAACTTTTGTAGCCCTACTCACCTTTTGAATGCTTGAATGATATATTCACTGAAAGTGGATTTAAACTTTCCAAACGGCTTAACTTCAGCGAAATGCTTGCGACACCAAAGAGTGCCCCAACATCTGTCCAAAGAACCTATTTCGGACTGATCTTAAATTTACAAGATGCTTTACTCGTTCTCGAAGGGACTCGATGTCTGATATTACCATGTGTGAAAAGAAGACTTAACAGTGAAGAAAGACAGCAAATTTGCGCAGGCGCTGTGTATGTCTGGAATGAGAACGAATGTGGGATGAAAAGATGGACCGATGGAAAGATATGGCTGGCTTCAAAAGTAAAAAGTCCATTTTTGACTTACCATGAGCTTGACGAATCGAGAAATTCCAAGGATAATGGTCTCATAAAGCAGATATTTTCACTTACAACCAAGCAGAATACCAAGTTGCATCTTATAGCATATTACAGTCCCCTGAGGCGCATGGAAGGTTACTTAGTTGATCAAACACCCTCTAACGATCCATCGCTTTCCATGCTTTCCCTTCATCCCGAGATCTATCTGGGTGACATTATTGAAAGCCGGACAAATTACGGAACTCCCAGGTTCTGTAGGACTCCATATATGACAGATCATAACCAAAGATACCTCTACACATCACCAAATATGGTACCCACAACCACTCAGGAGGCGGCTCTGGAAAGCAATCAGGTTGGGAAACGATATTCTCAGTCCCCACGACATGGATCTTGGGTCCACAACACAAGAAACAAACACTCAAATGCTACTGCTTTTGAGATTAACTTGGCTAATCAGCATTCAGTGCAGCCAAAACCACAGTCTCATCATGTCGACTTTCCAAATCCAGGCTTGTCTCGTAATCAGTTGATCGATGAAAATTGTGAAATCATGACACTGATGAAGACCTCGTCACATACTTTAAATGTTTTCAACGACCACAGCATCTATGGTAACCTCCCAAAGGTCGCGCTATTTCCAGAATTGAATAGCAAAGATAACCCCAAGTGCCTTAAAGATACACGATTACCAGCCCAAGATCCCAATAGCTTTACTGCCAAAACTATTCCCCAACCACTAGTGAGATTGTCCATCAACTACAATTCAGATGATCGGATGACACTTCAAGCGCTAGATAAACAATTTGTCATGTAGTCGAACGTTCAACGAACGCTTCAGCATATCTCGAGTTAATAGCGGCTAGCCAATTTTTAGCTTCCATTGGAACTGTAGAGATGATGTCTTTAAAAAAGTTAACCACAGTAATCGCTTCTATTACTTCCAACTTTTGATCTTCTTTTCCCAGGCATATTTCCCAGATTTGAGTAGCCCAGCTGTGGCCAAGCCTTTGATTGACTGTTTAAGAGCTGGCTCACATATAGTTTTTCGAACAGTCTTTACTAACACAGGAATCAAATGGCTATCACTAGCCATTAATTCTAGTAGTTCATCATTCTGGCCATTCGTGAAATTTCCAGGCACTCCACATCGGAGACGATCTCGGTAAGATATAAATATTTCTGAAAGCCGTTTTTTGAATTGATAGGGAAGTTCACTCAAGAGCTCCGCTTTTGAATGAGTACTCAAAACCAAATCAAAATTGGATTCCTCAACTTGACGTAGCACATTGTTCTTGAGTGCATTCAGAATGAAGGGGTGATAAAGACTTCTAATTTCGGATTGTTGTCTCGTGACAATATTTTTGGCTTTGTTGGGATTCTCTCCGCCTATAAACATTCTCGGATCACCCATGTATGACAACAGTACAATAGAATGGAAAAGATCAAGGTACAGAAGTGACTTCTTCCCGTGAGGTGTATCTGAAAGCAAGAGACCTAGATTGAAGGCGCTGCTCAAATTGAATTGATTAGCCGATAACAAGGAGTTGTCTATTTTATAATGCCTTACCGGCTTCTGGAGTCTACCAGCAATGTACATGGATGACCATTCACGGATGTCCTCTTTTGCATTCTCGTAAGAGATTACCCCATACTTAACCATACGCTCACTTCCGGAGCCTGTTGACATCGAGACATACGGATTGAAATATACACCCGCACCCCAATTTTGCACCTTTTGAATCGAATCTATCCCAAAAACTCTAACGGCCGAATAATGGCTGGGAAACCTAGCCAAGTTTGCTCTATGAAACTCTTTGGTGTTTTCGGCGATTATTATCACGTCCACCTGCGGTTTTGAATCACCATAGCCGTCTTGGGGCATAACACCAGAACCATATCCAAACATAGCTTTCACATTATCAGAGTCTATAGATGCCATTATACTCTCAATGCCTGAAGTTTGTGTACTCCTGCTATACTGGTTAGATACATCAATAGTGGTGCCAAGTTGGAGACAACTCTTCGCCCCGTTAGATAAGGGGCTACTTTGTAACCTTCTAAGAAACTGGGGAATCAAGGGCCTACCATATCTCATTCGAGACGAGTTGTAGAAAACCATGTCGCCATTGAAGCTGAAATTGTATGCCTTCTGTATAAATTTTCATCTCACGTTAATAGCGACAGCTCACTCGGTATACAGTACACAACGAGCATGGAATCGTTTTTGAGAGAACACCAGTCACAGTGTACTTAAATTTAGGAAACGGAGTGATGATACTTTATTTTGGTAAACTGAGATAGGTTTCAGTTCCATCAGTTCCTAGATTTAAAGCATATTAAACAATCCTGTATATTGTGTTTGGGTTATCAGGTCCTCAATCACGTGCCGGTGACTCAACATACTGGATGAAAAAATGTCGGCTATTAAATTTCGTGAAGTAGTGCCGCTGGATTTCCCTCAAACTCTTTTACTTTCGATATGAGCTCTGCTTCTTACAGATCAACACGTTCCGCTCTGGAGAAAACTTTATCGTTTGAGGATGTTGTCATGACGGGTTTGGCTCATGACGGTGGCCTATTTGTCCCATCCTCAATTCCGTCCTTAGACAAAAGCTTTATTGAAGACTGGAAGAATCTCGATTTTCAACAGTTGGCTTTTAAAATTATGAGGTTATACATTTCGACCACTGATATCCCAGATAATGACCTCAGCATTTTGATCGAAAAGTCCTACTCGACATTTAGGGAATCAGAGGTCACTCCGCTCAAAACATTGGATGCTGATAAGCAAATCTTTCTTTTAGAATTGTTCCACGGTCCTACATACGCTTTCAAAGATGTGGCTTTACAGTTTGTGGGAAACCTTTTTGAATACTTTTTGGAGAAACGCAATAAGCTGGTGTCTGATGAAATCAACAAACACAGAATCACAGTAGTGGGCGCAACTTCTGGTGACACTGGCTCTGCCGCCATCTACGGTTTACGTGGCAAGAAGAACGTGTCTGTGTTCATATTATATCCTACAGGTCGTGTTTCACCAATTCAGGAAGAGCAAATGACGACCGTTGAGGATCTGAATGTACATACACTTTCAGTGAAAGGTACCTTTGATGACTGCCAAGACATTGTTAAACAGATTTTTGGTGATAGAGATTTCGACAAGAAGTATAGTGTTGGTGCTGTGAATTCAATCAATTGGGCGCGTATTTTGGCCCAGATGACATATTACTTTTACTCATATTTTCAACTCATGAAACTGGTTGGCTGCTCTGACAGGAAGAAAGTTAGATTTGTTGTCCCGTCCGGAAATTTCGGTGACATTCTCGCGGGGTTTTATGCCAAGTCAATGGGATTGCCTGTCGACAAATTGATAATTGCCACGAACGAGAATGACATTTTGGACAGATTCTTGAAGCATGGTAGGTATGAGAGGAGTGGTGAGGTGAAGGCCACATATTCCCCTGCCATGGATATTCTCATCTCCTCGAATTTTGAAAGATTGTTGTGGTACTATATCCGCCAAAATCTCACAGAGCAAGATGACAAGGAAGCAGGAAAGATACTAAACTCTTGGATGTCACAGTTGAAATCAGATGGTTCATTCACAGCCGACGCCTCTGTTGTGGAACAAGCGAGGAGCGATTTTGACTCCAATCGAGTGAGCGACGAGGAAACAATTGAGACAATCAAAAATATTTACGATGCCCATCCATCAAAATACGTATTGGATCCTCATTCCGCCATCGGTGTCAAGACTTCCCTTTCATTTGCCGCGAAAGACGCCGAAAGAAACGCTAACTATATATCTTTGGCTACGGCTCATCCGGCTAAATTCGCCGAAGTTGTTGACAAAGCTTTACTGGCTGTTGAAAGTTATTCTTTTGAGAGGGATGTTCTCCCTACCGAACTAAAGGCTTTATCGACGAAGAAGAAGCGCATCACATTAGTCGATGAGGTGTCCGTTGAAAAAGTCAAGGAGATTATAGTGGAGAAGTTGGGACAGTGATTTTTGACACATGTTCCTCTCCACCTTGAAGTTTTATCTCCCCATTTTCGATAACCGCTCTATATCCAGTCTGCTCTAAAATAGAATCATCCACAACTTGCTTAGCCTCTAACCTGGCGATTAATTCCTGATTACTCTGGTTATTCTCCAATGCATATTTGACGCAAACGATAGAATACTCCTTCAAAAAAGGATTATAGTCGTCAATTATGCAGTTCGACAAGATTAATTCAAGGATGTGTGACTCTCGCAATTTGTTTTGCACTCTCGGATCTTTGAAGCAAAGGTAGCCAATGTTCTCCATGCATAATGACTTGACATTTGGATAAACGACACCTTCTCTCCTGGAACTTGACTCATTTCGAAGCGATTTGACGGCGCACTTCTGGTGCGTCTCCTTAAGAAGTCTTCCTAACGTTTCAACAATCTCATCTTTATGATCCACTGAAACGCAACCTGCTGATTGAAAAACGTGAGACATAATATCAAGGACTGAGGTGGTTTGAGTATTGATCGCTTCTATTGTCCCAATTGCTGTGGCCGAATCGAGGATCCTTATTGTCTCTTCCGTCACAAGTGATAACATGCTTCTAGTCCAGTCTAAATATTTGTTAATTCCTGAGCTCAAATCGAAGCCCGAAGTGAGAACGAGTTGGCAAGCTTTAATGAGTGCGGTAAACGACTCAACAGTTTGGGTCTTATGATAATTGAGTGAGAAATCCACAAAACTATCGTGAGAAATGATTGGAAACATAATGTGAATGAGATTTTCATCAAATATCGAAAGCTTTGATTCCTTCTGAAGTTGGTTTATCCTCTCGATCAACATATCTAGCATTGAAGTGTCTGCTATTGCCATAATGTGACTGCTGAAATCAGCTTTTGCACTCCAATTTTTTAGGAAGATAGTAAAAGGACGAAGAAATTCGGAGGACCTCCAAGCTTTGTGGGTTGCATTCAAGGTGAGAAACGTTTCTGTATAGTCGTTGATGCCTTCAAAATTGAGATCTCTGTTCAGCAAGTTCGCTAGTAATTCCATATATGAATTGAGAATTTTGCCTCCCCAAAGCTGTAGGTTTTGCGTTTTATACAGCAGAATCCTATTCCAATGGAAACAGAAACACTCCAATGTCATATAGACATCGACGGACGAGTGGATCAGTATATTTCTTAAAAATATCACCAAACCTCTTTGTACTCTCAAAAGCTTGATGCACTTACATTCATCATTTGTATCAAATTCCGCTTTCAAGATATCATGAATGGTATTCTTGTCATGCAAGGAGAGCTCTACCTTACCGGTCGATTCCTCCGCAGTAATCGCGATTAAAGAGCGTAATACCTCGAGCAACTCCTCCAATCTATTGGGCTCACTTGATAGATTCCATATTGACAAAGCACGCCCAAGGTGGGTATGTATGTCGTCGCTCATCGCACTATTCTATGAGCCGCTTTCAATAGATAAACGCATCACATAAACGGTTTTTCGGGAGCGGGTATCGGATAATGGAAGTTGGTTTTTATGTGCAGTATTTAAGCGATAGCTTTGATGTTCTACTTCTAGGACACTCGAATTTAGGACAAATACATTATGCAAAAGTTTTATTTTCCAGACGACTGACGGTGTTTTTTTGGTTTTTCCGGTAGAGTCAAAACCTTCCCATAATAGATGATTACACGTGGGCAGTTGGGAATATTTTGGCAAGAGAAATAGTAATGTAGCGCGTGACATTTCATGGCAGCATGGCTGCCGAGGTTTCAATCCTTGCAGTCAGACCACTGGGTCAGACATAAATCATAAGCGAAATGAGCTAGTAAGCATGACACGACACACCTCTTAAGCTCAGAAATATGTCAAAAATTGCCAAACAGAACAAACACAATGCTGTAACTAGTTGTCTCATAAAAGTAATTTATTTAAAATAGCAAGGCTTCACAAAAAACGATGAGCAACAATCACTCGGCTTATCGGCGCAAAGGTGTATGTACGGGTCTGCGAGGGAAAGTTTATCTCCTATTCTCTGAGTTCCTGCATTATATGATCACGGTGGTTCCGATCGATCCACAGCCCGATAGAAGTCGTCTTATGTAGCACCTGATTGCGACACCTACCTTCCTCGTTTATTGCTCCTTCAAGCCTTAGTCACAACCCTCTCCGGAAAATCACTACTATATACTTATAAGTGAGACTGTCCTTTTCCTGTGCAATAAGGCAAGCAACTGTCCCAGATCAGCTTTCACGAGGAGAATTGCGCCTGAAGCTTCATATTTGCTCCTCAAATTGTGCTTCCCGAGCGATACGACACTTTTCAGGCTTCAGTACTTGAAATAGAAGCATTTTTATTTTAACTCATAGAGAGATACATCCACGATGATTCGAGTCCCGAACCTCCCTAGTCTAGGTTGCGGACAGCAGGAGTCGGTGCTTTGGAAAGAAGATCATGAGGTTCATAACTCGGATCCAGTATCTGCCTCAAAATTTCTGGAGTCAGAGTCTCTGGAGAGTGAGCTTGATTTGACAAGTTTGCTCTCAACAGCTACCCTCGATGACGCTAATAGTGTGCCGCTTACTACGCCCACGACACATTCCACACACGAGTCAACTGCATCTCTTAGCCATAATCGGCCTCATTCATTTGACCCATTAGCACGACAGCCAGATTATCTGTGTCAGGAAAAATATTTGCAACTTGTGGAACCCACTCCTGTGTTCCCACCTCAGTATCACACTTTGCCACCAGGAGGTTGTCCTAGGTTCCCAGTACTGGATGATGTTCATCCCTCCGATGACTTACCAGCTTACACACCTGCGGCCTACAAAATTGGGATTGTTGCTCGTAAGATCGAGTGGGTATCACCTTTCCAACCAGCGTCTAGTCGATCGTGGAAGAACGTGATCATAGAGCTAAACTCAACGCAGGTGAACATATATCGCATACCCTCACATCTTGAGTCTTACATCATGAGCTTTTGCCGCTTAGAGGAGCAAAATTGCGAAACAAAAGTTCTTCACAAAGACCTTTTAGCGTCACAATTCACGACGCCAAAAGACCTATCTTTTTTTTCTCTTTGTGTTCAGCTAGGCATTTTAGCAAAGACAAGGGATAAGGATGGAGCTCAAGGTTCTGCTTCAGAATTTACAAAGCCAGATTTCCAGCTGCGCCTTCTCAGATCTTACAGCCTTTTACATGCGAAGGTCGGGCTAGCGAGCGACTATTGTAAAAAGCCGAATGTACTCCGACTCCGTCTAGAGAACGAACAGCTACTCTTACACTTCTTTCTGGCACGGGATTTAATCGAATGGCATCTTGGTCTCTCCGTTGGCCAAGATGTGGCTGCAGACATCCTGGAAAGAGAAGCGCCAAAGTATAGAACTGTTCCTCGTCGGCGGAGAGGACAGAGTTGCTCGCTAAGTAACGCATCGAATCACAGTCTTCATCGCAATAGGCGGATGAGATCTAGCTCGATGCCAAGCACTCCAAGTGGGTTTCGAAGCACATTTTTTCATGTCAAGCAGCGTATTAGTCCCAACAATTCTATCGAACGAGGCGTTAGTGCTACAACAAAGCGTCTTGCCTCTCAGGGCAGCTCAGATGCTAAGGAGTTAGCTGCGAGTGAAGACAATAATGAAACAAGCATCTCAGACAAGCTGGATCAACCTTTGGACGATGGAAACGAGGACATCAATAATTTGAGCGATCTTCACCGCTCAGACGAAGATGAAGATGAAGATGACGACGATGACGAGGTCGACGATGACATGGATGTTGGTGAGCGCATTGATATGCCAACGTACGACTCATCACAAACAACGGCCTTGAAGAAATCTTCAGATCTAGAGGAGGTTGATTCGAACGAAAAACCGTTTGTTAATCCCGAAAGTTCTGAAAGTGAACGAAGGTTTTTGAAAAATTGCATCAAGTGTATAAAGCCCTTGTGCTTTGATGAACCTTGGATAAACAAAACATTGGTAAAAGCAACCTATATGTCTCCTGTCGATATGAGATATTATGGTAACCAAGCCGGATTAAAGCAAAGAGCAGATGAAACAGCAGGGGTCTTAACCAATGCTTCGTCCGATAGATCAGCTAAAGGCCATTTTCCGAGAACAAAGAGATGTCTCTCTTTCACGAAACACCATGGCTCCGATCAGTCTCCACCTGTTTGCACACCTAGTCATAAATTGCGGGAATATGTCGTTGGCTCGCATCTGCTAGTTCCCAGGGAGTTTTGAGTGAAAGGTTTATGATCGGCGTGCTTTCTCTTGCATCGTAATTGCTTGTTTGAGGAAAGAATCTATCATGATTTGGCTAACCTGAGATTGGAATATTGATGACAATGAATTTAGAAGCGGATTTTTAAAGCGGTATTGTAGATGAAGGTTAACTTGAGTTATTGGTAATTGTCCACAATCAGGATTTACTGAAGTGAAAGTCCATTCATTCTCGAGGTGGTCAAAAACCAATGACGAACGAACTCTGGAGAAGACACGCTCGTCTTTACGGCAGTCAACATCGCATACCATATGCTCATCATAATCATGCCATCCAATAGAAAAACCAGCCTTATTGGGCAATTTTGTAGTTGGGTCGATATTCTGAACGAAGGAATCATTCACAAACGGTATGAATGTCTTGTAATTTGTAACATCGGAAACAACATCAAATATTACGCTTTTTTGTATGGCGACACGCCTCGACAAGCGATATGTATGTATAGGGTTTAGCGACGATGGAAAAGAGACAAATGCCCGCTTCTGGACAGTTCGAATAAGTGATAGCAACATTTATGGTTCTTCCAATACTGTTCGCTAAAAGATTTCTTCCCACGAAATTTTATCCACGCGGAGAATTGGAGTCGGACGTCTACGCTACAAATGGGTGTGCAGTTCTCAAATTTACAACGAGTTTATTAAATCGATTGAAGTCATTAGGCACGAGTGTAGATAGCTTGCTTAGAGTGCTTGGAAACGGGTTTGATGACACCGTCGTCCTCCAAGTGTCTCAAGGCAATTCTGGCCAAGGAGCCACCAATCTTCAATCTGTCAACCAAAACGGAGACAGACACGAACTTGAAGCCGGGGACTTCCTTCATGATTCTATCGTACTTCTCTTGGTCCAAGATGACAACGTGCTGAGCCTTGTCCTTGACCTTGCCCTTGCTCCACTTCTTCTTACCTTTCTTACCACCAGCCATAGCAGCAGCAGCCTTGGCGGCCTTAGTTTGTTGGATCTTTGGGGCCATCTTCTTTGTTAGTATAATTCGTCATAGTCCTGCTTGGTTTGAGGACTGAGCGGTTGAAACTCTCGATTGTGATCCACATACTTTTCTACTGTTGTTGCAGTTCTAAGGGAGAAGGAGAATTCGAAAAGAAGATTTTTTGCAAGAGGAGGACTTCGCGCTCGGTCACGTGAAATCTGAGGAATGCAAACCTAAATAAATCGCTCGTGATGTCTAGGGCTTTAGCCCTATTCAATTCGCGCAACCATCCATTCAGCGTCATTAACATATTCCATCTAATGGTGAAACGTGTGGCCGAAGAACAGCTTGCAAAAGATACAGCTTCGGATGAAGTCGAGGTAATCGAAGCCCCATCTATAGCATCTGAAGATGTGCTAGCTCAAAGAAAAATCTTGAAACCCCGTGGAAGAAACTTTCAATTTCAAAAATCATCAAATAGTATGCATGCAACCAAGACTGCCAAAGTTTTGGCATTAAATCAACAGTTCAAGCAATCTGTTCAGGAAGCGGTCGATGTGGATGCTTTGGACCTAACGCCTATCGCATTGAAGTATGTGGAATATTACAAAAGTCTTGCGATGCAAAATAGTCTCACGTCAGATCGTGGTCAACCGCTGTCAGACACGGATAACTCAATTCCAAAGCTTCCACAAAAAGCATCGACTGCAGCATTATTCCAAAATTCAAAATTCAAGCTCCATGATAATGTTACCCATCATGTTTCCAACGGTACGGGTCCATCATTTACCTTCAATAAGACGATCAGTGATCCTATATTCAAACTAGACAGTCACAATAAACCTCCAACGACATCGGAAGGGCCGTCGCAAACCCTTCAGTCGAGTGGTATGGTACTTAATTCCTCGACCTCACAAAAAGCAATTGATGATGACTCTTGTGAAGAGCCCTCAGGAGGTAATAGTCCAGTTTTTGAGCCTGTAACGAAAATGACACAGAAGGTTGACAGCGTTATTACGGGTGAGGAAGAAGAATCACTGTTGTTCGCCTGTAAAAGCAAGGTCTTTCTTCTCAACACCCACAATAAGCAAGAACCTTATACCAACGTTGGTGTTGGTGAATTAAAAGTGCTTCAATCAGAGAAGAGGTGTCGTGTTTTAGTACGCTCTGAGGGCAGTTCGAGAGTTATTCTAAACGCTCTTTTGTTATCTGAAGTTAATTACGTGACTACTGGAACAAACATCAAAATACCATCAGCGAACCCGGATGGTAGCTTCCTGATATATTTGGTGAGAGTCAAGACAACCTCCCTCGCTGAAGAAGTCTGTCAACTCCTCAATCAAAAGAAATAGCGAGCTTTTTATCGAGTGCCTCTATATTTCTCTGTAGTAGCTATATACAAGATGTTTTAAGGCTTCTCGTCCTTAAAGTTGAAGAATTTCCCTAGGATATTCTTAATGCTTTCCAATTTGGATGTGTGAGCTAACCCGTCTGTAGATTCTTTCAGCTCACGGGAGTTAGATTGGTCTTGAGATTTTGCTGACGTCGCGCTCTCATTGGTCTTCTCTGCGAAAGAGTCCGCCAAAGCTTCGAGCAAGGCTGTTTGCAATGGTGTTGTCGGTACAGGTGTTTTGACATTGAGATTAATCACCATATCTCCCCTATTTTCCATGTTTCTGTTGATTGGTACACCTTTTTGTGGGACGGTGAGCTTTCTTCCTGATTGCACGCCTGATCTGACTTTTAATTTTACATTTTGACCATCGATTGTGGGTACGATGATCTCTCCTCCCAAAGCAGCTGTGGTCATTGGAATTTCACGCGTTATTGTGATGTCGTTATTTTCTCTAGCGAACACGGGGTCCCTCTTTACGTGTACGCGAACAATGAGATCGCCATGAACGATTTGGCTGTAGGGATCTTTGGAAGCGAATGGGGCGTCACCGCCACCTGGAATCCGTAATCGAGAACCATCTGCTATGCCACATGGTAAATCTACCAGTTTCGACTTCGGAACCTCTTTCACGCCTGCGCCATTGCAGCTCGAGCATTCATCTGCTTTATTAATCACAACCCCGGAGCCGGCACATTTTGAGCATGTAGATGCCATATGGAATCCGCCTATAATGTGGGTCGTTTGGCCAGTGCCATGGCAGCTTGTACAAGTCGTTTTCTTCTTACCCGTTTTGAGTCCTGAGCCGGAGCAGCTGACACAAGAATCAACTGCTTTATAGTTCAAATTGATCTTAGTCCCGAAAATAGATTCTCGAAACGAAATTGACTTAAGCACTTCAATATTGTCGCCAACATGCCTCGTTACAAAAGGGCTTTGACCACCGGAGCCTCGAGCATTTCCACTGCCTGTAAATGCTTGCTTGAAGAGGTCTTCAAAATCAAAACCCATTCCTCCAAACGGATTACCTTGCCCACCACCAAATGGATTACCCGAATGTGATGCAAAAGGATTGCTCCCGAACGGATTGGCATTGCCATTTGCATCAAAGCCAGCAGCACCAAATTGATCATATTGTGAACGCTTTTCTTTATTGCTAAGGAGCTCATAAGACTCTTGGATCTTGTGAAACCGCTTTTCTGAATCTTTGTCTTTGTTCACATCGGGATGATACTTCTTTACAAGCTGATAATAGGCCTTCTTGATATCAGATGAGCTTGCAGATTTCTCTACCCCTAGGACTTTATAGGGGTCAAAGCTGATACATCTAGCTGCACTGGAATGAAAGCTCTTGATTCCATGGTGAGTAGAAAGCTTGGTCGCTTGTAAGCAAAACCTTCTCAAATTCGTACTGAATAACATCCCTGGTGACAAGGTACCTTTGCGAGTCCGACTGACTTAAACAGTAAAATCTTCTAGAAAGAACTACGTCACGTGCGCGCATATTCTCGCTACTTGCCTGCCAAATTTATTTGTGATAATAGGCTATCTATAAGAACTGATATCTGAGATCCAGTAACTAATTCCAGGAATCTAATTTCATGGTACCATTTGCTTGCAAATTCAAATGCATTTTGAAAGCATTTTGCAAGATATGTGGCTCGTGCAAACATTTGGCCTTCTCGGCATAGAAACATGCCCTATCGAAATAGTCTCTGAGCTGGTCTTTATAGTCAGGATGAGAGCACTTTTCAATAATTTCCACTGCCCTTTCTCTCGGGCACATACCTCTAAGGTCGGCTAGACCTTGTTCCGTCACAATCACATCGAGATCATGCTCCGTCTGATCGACATGAGTCGCGAATGGAACAATGCATGAGACTCCGGTAGAATCTGTCTTCGACGGTCTTGCGGACGGGGTATGCATGATCGAGAGTTTAGCATTTCTCAAAAAGTCGGCAGAACCCCCGAGACCGTTGAGCATTCTGGATCCCATCACATTTGTAGAGTTCGCGTGAGCATACATATCCACTTCCACTGGTGTATTCATGGCAATCACTCCAAGTCGCCTGATGATTTCAGGCGAGTTGGAAACCACTTGTGACCTCAAACATAATTTTTTGGAGAATTCATCCCAATGTTTGTCAAATCGCTCGAATCCTGCCTCTGTCAAGCGAATCGAGGTTGCGGTTGCGAAATCTAAGCTTCCGGACGCGAAAAAATCTAAAAACGAATCTTGCAAAACTTCTGTCCAGACAGAGAGGTTCTTAAAATTAGACTCCGCTAATCCTTCCACGACAGCGTTAGCAATGTTTCCAATTCCAGATTGCAATGGTAAAAGGTTTTTTGGGAGTCTTCCCATTTTCACTTCGTGCTCAAAAAATTCAATAAGGTGAGCTCCAATTTGTTGCGAGGAAGCGTCCGAGGGGTGTTTGGTGGGACTTTGTCTCGTGTAGTCGACTCCACAATCGCAACAACCCTAGAGGGGTCAACTGGAATAGAAGTGCGACCCACTCTGTAGTCAGCGGTAACGTGAGGGTACGGTGTCCTGAAGGGTGGGTTCAATGGCAAATCTATATCATGAATTCCCTCAAAAGATGGAGTTCTTGTGTTCACTTCAATTATAATCTTGTCGGACACAGACAACATCTCTGGGGAGGCACCAACCGCGGGACCGGGTATAATAGAGCCATCCTCCTTGACGGCAGTTGCTTCAATTATAGTGAAGTCAAGGAGATCATTGCTTTTCTCCTTCGTATAGAACCCGTAAGTTAAATCTTGAGGAAACATCGACAAGTGCTTATCAAAGAACTTGGTTCTTCCTTCATTAATCGCCTTTGCAATTGGTTTCCCTACTTGATGAGGGGATCTGCGTAAAATCATGGAATTATCTGCCCATCTAGACTCTTCAGGGCCAGCAGACGCGCCAACAAAAAGATTGAAAGCAAGCTTTCCTTGTAAACTATTCTTCTCGACGTGGTCCACTAACGCCGCAGGTATCACCTTTGGCGCACCCACTCCAGTAAAACCAGACCAACCCAAGTATTGGCCGTGTTTGAACAATTCAATGCATTCCTCCGGTTTACGCAACTTTTGTAAGTACGGAGCATACCGGACACGCTGCTTCAATATCGACGACATGTGACTTTTTATTGCTTATGGCTCTTGCGAACTTTAACTTTCTCTAGTCAAGTGCTTCTAAATAGAATATGAGCAAGGAATGAGTGCAGTTAAATACATCGCCCTAAGCGAGACCGAGGGGTCTGGCGTTGGCATATGCAGGTGGTGAACAACAAGATGCGCGGGCAGGAGTTTTGGGTAAGCCAACAAAATTTCGCTATGACGATGCGAGGGGTCGAGATGTCTATGTGTGGCATTGATATGAGGGAAGTATTATATTACGACTGTGAGTAAAGAAATAATGAGAATTTTCTAAGGATTCTCATGAATGAACTCTTCCACGGATTCGGACCGGATAAATGCAACCTGTATAAATCACCGGAGACTGTTGAATTTTCTCGGAACGGTTAAGACACCCATTTCTTGGGATTCAAATTCATCCAAAGTGTAATTAAAATAGTGGGATCAAATTGATCGGTAAAGCATTTTCTGGCCTTCTCTTCGTTATCAGGTTCACCGAATTACCTTTACCTCTACTAGGGTTGGGGAAACAGCAAGCCTACCCACTCTTCGAATGTCGCATTGATCTCGCAAAACGGCTTTGTGCATATTTCCTCGGCTTTTCGACAACTTCGGACTCGTCGGTAGATCGCTCCTTCAACGCCATCCTTTTTTTCAACAACATGTAGTCATTCTCAATCTCCGATGCAAAAAAGCTTCCTGGGTTACCCAAAATGGAATCCAGTCTTTCGATCACCTTATCTTCTATCACCTTCGTCGACCCATGAGCGGTATCTGACTTGCGAACGACATTTTCCGTCTCGGAGTTGAAGTCCAGCATTTTTTCCTCTACTTCGCTGCCCTTTTCAAGAGAACAGAGATCGGTCACGTTATCAATTATTGGACCCGAGGGACACTCTTCTGTGTTATAGAGAGCATCGTAATATCCTTGCACAAGCTTTAACATCTCCTCTTCAGTATTGTTCGCTAAGAGTGATTGGTTCTCGTGCTTCGAAGCATTATCGCTCATATCAATCAGATCTTTGAGAATTGGTCCCTTAACTGGCCTTTCCACTATTTCTTCATGCACCACACTGTCAGAAAATGAGGACTTGTGAGCGTCATCAATTGAATGCCCCAGGTTCTCCCTCCTGAATCTCAGCATCTTACCGCGGTTTTCATCAACGCCCTTGTCTATCGTTTTGATATGGAGGGTATCATCAAACCTTACTGTTTTTTCACATTTTGGCGAGCTTGTCTTACTCGCCAGACCAAGCTTTCGAAGCTCTTCCTTGAGTCTTTCTTCGATTGAGCCGTGAGCTGGAATTAGTGACATTCCATTCCCGAAGAGCACGTTGTCCGCGTATGAATCATCACTGTCATCGTCTTCAGAGGTATTGGACTCTTCTTCTAGATCATTAGCTCCATTTCGAATGTACTTGTCGTATTCGGAAGCGTCTGCACTACCATCATTGGCTTGGTTATCAGATAGTTCTTGCGCGAGCACTTCAAATTCTATAATATTGGAATGACTAGAGTCAAGTTGGCCCAAAATATGGGTTGATTCTTTTCCTCCGTTCCTTCTGGGTGTCGTCTGTCTGCTTGTTTGTGAATCTCGTAAAGAGTGAGGATTGGAACTTGGAGGACGTGAACTATCGAGCTCTTCAATGCTCTTGCCATTCAAAGTGGCACGTACGATGTCACCATTATCATCAAGCTCCTCCAAGATCTCAACTGCATGTGCCTCGGTATCGTGATGAGCGGCATCAGAATGGACATTAGAGTTTGCTTGCGATTCCGCGTAATGCTGGTGACGAGCTAGCTTCTCCACTAGTCTCCGACGGGAGTTGTCAAGCATTCGTAGGGAGTCGGACTTACTTGCTTTGACGAAGTGTGACGAGCCTATGGGGACTAAGCAGTCGGTATTTGTGCTCTTTGAATTTTCAATAGCAAGCTTGCTGTCAACAATTTTTGTTAATCTTTCAGCTATGACACGAGCTTCGATTTGTAGCTTATAGGTATTCCTAGTTCTATTCGACAGCAACATGTATCTCAAAAATTGCACATCTTCGATGCGCGCTTGCAATGAAATCGAATTCCTCCGCTCCCCATGGCATAGTCTATATCGAATTCATCTGACAGTATTGTTATATATATGTATCATTAACAATCTATGTTTTATGATCATCATGAAACATCATTCACATGGTTAACTTATGTTCGCGTGACACCGCATTCCCTTCTAAACTCGCTGAGTGAGAGCCTCTATATTTAATATTGAACTAGTATCATTCGCCCCCATTGGGCTGACTTGCACTTCTCTTTTGCGGGAGTTGAACCGAAAAGTCTAACTGTATGATTAAAGCTTGGAAAGTGCCCCGATTCGGATGTATCTCAACTTGGTCCCCTTCGATTTCATGCTTTTCGCGCAGAAATTCAACAAGGTAGAAAAACCAGCTAACAGTCACTTCTCCTAAACATGGCGCCACTGACTCTTGAAATAGCTGTCAAAGCTCTTCAACGTCTCAAGAAAGAGAAAGATTCTTACATCAAAGACTTAAAAGAACAAGAAATTGAACTAGAGACTTTAAGAAACAGGAATGCAGACGAGATTTTATTAAAAAAACACACCGAGGTATGCGAGGAGACCAAACGGATGCTACCAGAATTGGATAGTAAAATAAAACTTCACACTGAGAGGTTATCAAGTCTTCTCAAAACATACCCAAATGACGATTATGCTCAAGAGGCGAATTTGGTTTTGCAATGAGAGCTACGTACATCTTCAACATAGTTATCAATTTCCTTCCTGAAATTTCGAAACTCAAGAAGAAGCATTTTCAAATACTTACCTATTCAATGCACGCGACAAAATTCAAGAGAAGTTGCAGAGAGTTCCATCCATCGTTAGTGAAACCGAATACTCAAAGAAGCAAAGGTTCGATATCTCCACCACGAAGAGATTAATCATGTTCTTTGAAATGGTCAGACATTTCTGTCAGTGGTAAAGCGTCGTAATGTGCTTTGTGATCGATCCAGCGCTCTTGCAAGGTCACATCCTCCTCATTATGTAGTCTCACTTTCGATGCATCGTGCCAAACTGAATCACCACCTATCTCGCTTGTTCCATGAATGTACCCATTCGTCTGATCAATCTTTTCGAGTAAACTGATCATCGATTGTTTGTCTTCCACGGCTAACACCTCGTAGGTGACAAGCCCGAAATTTTCCACCATTTCCGCAATGCATTCTGTAAGCCTCATAAAATTTCCACCGAGTCTCCTATCCAGCTCACTTTCGATTTGTGGTAGAAGAAGCTGAAGATCTTGCACCTTAACATAAAAGTCAAGTGGGAACTCTAACGAGTTATACTCGGCTAACTTGTCAATTTTTGAGAATACATTTATCTGAGGTAAACCAAGCTGCAACATGGATCGCAAACTCAAAAGTGTAATGGATATATATTGGGATGCAGATGTCAAGTAAATTGAGTCGATTAAGAAGACGACACATAATCTAGCACTGTGTTCACGGGATAGTTTGCGAAAAATGCGATACAATGATTCTTGATGCGTAAAAAGCTCAACTTGTCCGGGGCAATCGAATAGAAGATAGCTTCCAGACCTACTTAGTTTAGCTATGGAAGATATCAATAATTCATCATCGACAAGAGTTTCAAGTGCATGTAATAGAGCTCCGTTGGGTCCTAATCCACTTTGTTTCATGACCGCTTCACAGGAGATAAAGTCACGTATATCAAGGGCACAGTTTGGGTAGACCTGATACTCATTCGCTGGATCCAAGTTGACTATAGAGCACTTTCGACCTAGTGCGGACAAGAATTGGAGCATACCATAGCAGTAAGTTGATTTACCCGATCCAGGAGGACCTATCACCACTTGGCCGAACATCAGTACTCAAATTATAACCCGACGGATAAAAGCACCACTTGTTATTTGCGAGGAGACTGCAACAGAGAATTTTGCAATCATCAGTGCGATAATTATGGAGTAGTTGATCCTTATGTTATCACGTGAATGCGAATGGCAAGAACGCAAACTTCCAAAGGCACGAACGAGGTTTTACTACATTAATCTGAAATGCCCTCCACGAACCTGGAATTGCTGACCATGAATAAGTGTGTAACTGTATCACCTCTCGTGCTTTTGTCTGTCGCTGACCACTACGATCGAGTGGCAAAAGATTCAAAGAAGAGGGTGGTTGGTGTCCTTTTGGGGCACCAGTCTAGCGACACAATAAATGTCACCAACTCGTACGCAATACCGTTTGAGGAGGATGAGAAGAACTCATCAGTCTGGTTTCTAGACCACAACTTTATTGAATCTATGGGTGAGATGTTCAAGAAAATCAACGCTAAGGAAAAGCTCATTGGATGGTATCATTCGGGTCCAAAATTGCGTGCATCTGATTTAAAAATCAATGACGTATTTAAAAGATATACCTCGAATCCATTGCTAGTAATTGTTGATGTCCAACCACGTTCAGTGGGAATTCCTACTGACGCATACTTTGCAGTAGACGACATAAAGCATGACGGGTCTAAAGCGGAGAGAACCTTTGTCCATGTGCCTTCCCTTATTGAAGCTGAAGAGGCGGAAGAAATTGGCGTTGAACATCTTCTTCGTGACATTCGTGACCAGGCAGCCGGAAATTTAACACTCAAGGCAACGGAGACATACAAATCCCTCCTTGGGTTGCATCACAAGCTACGCGAGATTTCCAGTTACCTCGAGAAAGTCTACAGTGGTGCAATGCCCATTAATCACTCTATATTGGGAAAAATGCAAAACGTTTTCAACCTTTTGCCTCAAATTTTAAACGACGAAAGCGTGCAATCCAATCCATTAATCTTAAGTAACGATGCCAGAGAGGAGAATTCTGACCCATTAACGGCCGCGTTCATGGTCAAGACGAATGATCAAATGATGATGGTGTACGTGAGTACCTTGGTAAGGTCAATTATTGCATTTCACGATTTGATCGAGAATAAGTTAGTTAACAAGTCAAACAAGGAAAATTGACAAACAATTTGAATAATGGCCGAATAAGAATGTATATCCTATTAGCAGCTTCATAGGACGAATCTACGGTAGTGCGCACGCAAATCTCACAACATTCTATCGAAGAGCAGTCATAACGCACAGATGGTCATTATGCTAGTCAGAAGTTCATCAGTCTGGCTACTGGGACGAGCCTCACGAATAGAGTACTTTGTTCTGAATCCCCGCTTACTGAAATGCTTCGATGAGCTCTTCTCCAATCATTTTCTTCAGAATGTATTTCAGCTGCGTCCATTTAAACCAAACCAACAACCCTTCCAGACCAAGGGCTTATCAAAGGGACTGTCGCAAAACCTTCAATTTGCAAAAACTCTGTCGAAGTTTGAATGTAAGACACCTCAAGAACTCCCATTTCAAGTTGCACCAACTGCAAAATCCAAGAGGGTTCGAAATTCGAAAATGACTAACAATAAGTTGCTTCTGCAATATGTCAAGCTTACTAAACCAAACTTAACAGTTCTTGTCACTTTAAGTTCCATCTGTTCATATGCCATATCTCCCAATACAGCTAGCATTTCAGAACTAGCTCTTTTAACATTAGGGACTGCGCTATGTTCAGGCTCTGCTAATGCAATAAACATGGGCCGAGAACCTGAATTTGACAGGAGGATGATCAGGACTTCCTCAAGACCTGTTGTGAAAGGAATCATCTCCCCGCAACAAGCATTCAAGTTTGCAGCTGTGACGGGCTCCATTGGATCTGCGATCTTGTACTTTGGTGTTAATCCAATTGTAGCAGCCTTGGGGCTCTCCAACATTGTCCTTTACGGATGGTGTTATACATCGCTCAAACGTAAATCTATATTGAATACTTGGGTTGGTGCTATTGTTGGGGCAATTCCTCCGTTGATGGGCTGGGCAGCATCGTCATCCCTACTACACCCTGGAGCATGGTGTCTCGCCTCCTTGCTTTACGCATGGCAATTCCCGCATTTCAATGCTCTTTCTCACAACATCGCTTCTCAATACAAACAAGCGGGATACATCATGACGGCAGCTGAGAACCCAAGACTAAATGCGAGGGTAGCTTTACGATATTCATTACTAATGTTTCCCATTTGTTTCGGATTGAGCTATTTCGGCGTGACTGATTGGGTTTTTTCGCTAGATTCTTCGATTGCAAATGCGTGGCTTACAATTTTAGCTTTTCGGTTCTGGAAGCAACAGAACATCAATCATAAATTACACGCTCAGATTTCGACGCAGGCTATCGAGGCTGCTAATACTGCTGCCCGGAAGTTATTTTGGTGTTCAGTCTGGCAACTACCTGTTGTACTCGTTCTTGCAATGTTACACAAAAAGGGACAATGGGATCGCTTGCTAAACTTATACACTGCCTAAGTAGATACTTAACGTAGATTTAGTGAGGATATTAATGTTACAAGTTACTCGTAATTTCTGGCGCCCTTTGAAATTCAAGTCACGAAATAAAACAAAGAACGATTACGGCTTCTCTACTTCCAAAATGAAAATGAATTAAACAACAAAATTGTAGCCGCTTGCAGAACAAGTCTATCCATTTGGCACAACGCTCGCGCAGGTATCAAAAAGACTTCCGCCGCTAATTGACAATCAGCGAAAACTTGGGCAGATTTGTGTACAACAACTCTTTCTTAAGCACAACACCATTGCTTGACAATCACAACATTCTACCATTTCAAGATCAAGACACTTTATTGCACATGTTACGAAAATAAATGAGGGTCGTTCATAAAGCAAGTAGGACTATTTCCAATGACATTTGTAAATCATACACTGTAAATAACGACAACATAAATTTACCAGCAGAATACAACAGCAGATGGCATAGAAATGAATTAGTAAAAGAACCGTTCCACTACGGGAAAAAACAAGATCTCAAACAAAGCCAATGCTTTAGGAGCCTGACGTATTACCTCTAACCAGATTACATCCGTAGCCTCACTCAAGAACTTCAATAAGCAATACAGACGTAGGGATGATGATCATGGACTGGAAGATAAAGCAAAACAAATGCTCTCTCCTTTCGATGTACTGTGACACATTGCATCATCTTGGCCCCCATGGAATTCAATCCCTTTTACATCGTCCTCCACAAATGAAACCGAAAACTGAAAGCTACATCATGTCACAACATCAGTATCTTGTCCGAATTCATGTCTTTCAAGAATAAACCATGTCCAACTGGCTTGCTGATAAAGTGGGGTTGGATATACTTGCAATATCGTTTTGCTTATTTTAACAACTACTCAATAGCAAATGAAATAGGATTGGTGTCTGAAACCGAATGTGAAGAATCGAATAATGGACTGGAAGTTGCATGGTATCTCTCTTATTCGAACAACTGGATATTTTTGCTGCAATGATTTCATCTGTGTAATTGCTTGTCTGCAATGTAAATTGAAGTCAAAGCGCGTTATGTCGAAGAAGTAGATCAGTTATTATGACCTGAATTTGTTGTTAGTTTATCGAATGCCCTCATTCCCGTTTTATCGTAGGATTCTTCGTATCATCTCTATTATGATAGAAGTAAGGACATCTTAGACCAAAATGTCTTCCTCTACTTGCTCAACTCATTCTTACATTGCCTTCTTCATCATTGAATCTGGAAGAATCTTAAGGTAAAAATTCCCCACGTCCTTCCTACATTGTCTGGGGTTTTCAGTTAATCACAGTGAAATTCGGAAACAAACTGAATCACTGTAGTCAAGTTGTTATTTCCTTTTTCCAGGTTTTTGTAAAGTTTTTGCTTGGCGTTTGAGATGATCATATTCAAAGTAGTATATTCATAGAACTGTTCTGCTGCAATAGAGAGATATCGGTTAGAAAAGGGATTGATGTACGGACTTGGTGGCCTTGGTTCGTTAGTTTTTATTTTGCGATCCTCGTCCTCGACCGATCAAGTTGTCAGAAGGACACGAGGGTGAATGAATTTCTCTAGAATACATAGATAGTTTTCCTCCTCAACACTTTTACAGCAAAATAAATGTATTTCGAAAGAGCCGCGACTTTTATTAGAAGAAACTTGTCAAGTTTAAGCTGACCTTTTTTTTGGTTTTTTTTTTTGTTGAAGACGTTGATTGAAGGTCGCTTCAGGATCGGGCTTTCACTCACGTACACCTTCAAAGCTATAAACCTATATTGTATAGTAGAATCCTTTTTTCAAGATTACCCGATACCAGAGTGGCTATGATTTCCTACTGTTCCTATCAGATGGGGTGGATAGTGAGCGACAATTTATAATTGAGGAGTTTGTAATTCACATTATGTCATTGACTCCTCGGCGAAGCCGATTTCATTGCACTTTTAAATTGTTGGGGCAGAAGTGGAGGATGTGGTTCGTCTTGGGGTTCGAGAACTCTCTCCTTAAATCATTCCATGTATCTCACGATTTTGACGAACCAATTTAGACGTCCTAAATTCTTGAATGTGATGTCAACAGTAGCTAACATTAAGGTCAAATGCATATGCCCCAGAAATCTTAGCTCATGCCACCATTATTTTGTGCATTCACAATTTTAGTGAAGATGAAGCTGAACCTTCACTGAAATACGAGATAGGTTGCACATTACACTGGCGGTTTCATCTTGTGGCTTGTGGTCATGCATTGGAATAAAGAACCCATGATTAAATAGATGGCTGTAAAATCACTACGGCGCGTCCATTTCAAGTAATAGAAGTCTTTCCAGAACTTCCTCCATCTCTTTTCCTCATTAGCTTGAGGGCGGATCTTCGGGAAAGTCCCGGGTTTAAAACAAGACAACTTTTCTCGAAAGGTTTTACGAACACCTTTGAAGCCCAGACGTTTCACTGCATCCGGAATGTCAGCAGGCACCGGCCTTCTGCCCCTAATCTTTGAATTTGATCCTCACTGAGCTCTCCATACAATGCTTCCCATACGCCCTCCATACAATGGCTGAACATCTATCGTAAGTTCGAATCAGGTTCTGTTGTCGCCCTTTCGGATCAACCACAATATAACGATCTAACCTTGCAAAGTGAGAAACTATAGTTGACTGTTCAATGCAAAACCATTCGATTGAAAAACATTCTTCGAACAGTCTTGATCTTTTGCTTACCTCTCGGGCCGGAAAAGTCAAGTTAAATATTTCTTAGAAATGATGTCGTCGTAGCAGAAATGATATCTACTTTCCGCCAAAGCTTTCCTATGTCGAACTTTGGCACCTGGCTGACCTCATTTAACCATGATCAAGATCTACTCATCTTCGGGTTGTCTCTTTTCCCTCTTCTGGTCTTACTCTTCGTCCTCCGTATTCAGCTTAAATTAAAAGTACTAGAAAGATGACCAAACCATGTCCTTTTGCGTCGTGAAATAGACCTGCATATGCTATGGATTGACATCAACACGTCAATAAAGCGAGAACCTGCTTCAGATCTCTCCCAGTTCTTAGCCATGCCAATTACCTCTTTAGAATCGTTCTTGTTTGAAAGAAAGCTTGTTAGTGTGAGCCCCGTTGAAATATTGCAAAATGCAACTCTTGGAATTGATGTGGAACACTATTTGGGTCGGATATATACATACAAAAAGGAGCAATTACTTCTGGGAATAGGTGGTATACCTGTCTCATTGAAAGCTTACATTGAGTCAGATTTAGCTGTTTTTCGGGAGTTCAATATCAGACCTTTATTTGTATTTCCAGGTTTGCATATTCAGAAGAGCGATTCAATTACTATCAACGATCTCACCGAAGCTGAAAAACATAGAGAGATCACATGGACTAGGCTACATACTAAATGGTCGAGCCCATCAGGTAACCCGCGGTACATTTGAATGAATCGTTTCGACTCCATTCAGACCTGATCTCACCCCGCCCGATGACCAACGATCTTATCAAATACTTCATCGAGTATGACATTGATTTCATTGTCTGCCCCAGTGATCCATCCCATCAATTGTCTTACATGTTTCACAAGGGGATAATCGATTGTATATATGGATCTACAGACCTTTTGCTCACTCAGATTGACAAGTTTATTTTGGGTATGGAATTTCTTTCCAAAGATTTCCGCTTCGTCGACAAGCATAAAGTTCTTAACGAGTTGAACTTGAGTGAAAGTCAGCTAATCGATGTCAGCATTATCGTTGGATGCTCCGCTCAGCCCGTTACTTTCTCCACCTTGCCACCGATGCCGAAGCATAACCCTGCTTCTCAGTTCCAACAAATGACTCACTTTAAGTATGTGTTGGACCTCATGTATCAGTACAAGACTTTCCAAAATGAGTCAAGCCTCTACTCATATGTTGCAGCTTTCAATGATGATGATTTGATGGACCTTTATTGCAAGGGGCTTGCCGCTATTAAATACATGCCTGTGATGAATGTTGACGGAGAAGTCAAACTTTACATCTCTGAGATTGAGGCTGACCGATTGAGTGATGAGCTGTCCGTGTTTCAAACAGATGTGAAGGACCAGCAAGACCCTGAACAGGACCTGGAGCTTCCAATTGAGCTCAAAATCCCATCAGAGGTTCATGATGTTGTTTCTCAACGACTTCCATCAGAGCTTTATTATTACTTGTCTGTTGGTCTCATGCCGTCTAAAATCTTGGAGGCAATTGCGCTCAATCATTTAAGCATTCGTCCACCTTTGGAGGGAGGACGCTGTGAGGATTACAAAAAACTCGTTTCATCGAGACTCACAACCCAAGTCCTTGATGCACAATTCAATTTAGTCACCCAACTTTTGGCTAGGTATTACCAAGTGAAACGCATTCCTGTCAGCTTGTGGTTTACAGAAGAGATGTTTGATCTCAATTCTAGATTGAGCATGCCCATGTCGGCCAGGTTAGGCTCGTGGAGTTTTTCTAAAGAATCCAAATTATTCTCTCTTAGGATTTTTTCGAGCAAGTGTCCTTCGCTCGAAGAGAAACCCAAGATTGGTGAAGACCTTGGCGATAATATCGATATAATCTCAACGTCAGTGCTCAGGGGTCTCATTTTATTAAACTCGGGGAAGTGGGGCGTAATATCGCTTCCTTTTTGATAAAAGTATCCAAGGAGCTCATTCTGGAATATCCTGAAATTGAAGACCACTTCATTGAAGAGATAATGGTTTTATTGATATTGGTCAAGCTCAAGATTTTCAATTTATTTTCCACGGAATTGAAGTATCAGGGAGTTGCCAATATCTTCAAGTTCGGAGATCAAGCCTTTTCCCAATTGCGTGAAGAGCAAAAACTCCAAATTTCAATTATTTCAAGAGTGTTTTCGTTGCAGAAGTTAAACATCAATCCTATAAATTATCAAGGGCCAATTTCGAGGAGTTTGTTGAGCTTCAGGAGCCATCATCAGTTTGTGAGAGAACTTATTGGAGACTCAATAAGGATTTGCCTAGTAGATGTTTTGACCAGACACAAAACATTTAAGTTTCAAATTGAGAATAGACAGCTGTGGTATTCCATTGTTGATCAATTACCTTTCTTTAAGGACGCAAACAATACACTTCTCGGTGTCATGTGTGAATTATACCTCGATGGCTGCTTCAAACTACAGGAGCAAGCTTGCGAAGACAGTGAAGGAAGGCAAAGATCATTCGATCATTTGGTCAGTAACGTCATGCAACAGTCGAATCCAACATTCAATATCAATCTAGCAAGCTCAAATAGTGTCAGCTCGGATCAGATGATCCATGATTTGAAAATTGGGTCACGATTTTGGAAATATTTCTCGGCTGCATTGAGAATAGGTCAAACTATTGATGAAACATTCTTGGAGAGCGCAACCCTAAAGATTATCACGGACTGCGATGACATCGTAGCAAGATACATCGAAGGGCTTGAATAATTGAATTGTGCTAGGGTGTTACTGGAAGTGTCGCAGATTAAGCTTTTACTTTTTTTTCTTTTTTTTTTTTTTTTTTTTGGCCTCAATCTTATTGTACCACTTCCATCCATGTGAGTAAATCATACTTCAATTTATACCACTCGCTCACTTCCGTATATTTCGTAGCGGTACTTCGATTCATAAGAGTTTCAGCTTTGATAAGAATGGTCGAGGAATTGATGACATTAAGACAAGATCTTTCCGTTTAAGACAACAGACAATATAGAGTTGAATGAAAAACCCTATCTGGGGAGAAAGCTGGTTTCTTATGTTGAGCTGAGCGGAGTTTTGCGACTACCAACATAACTGATCGATTTTTTTTTTTTTTTTTTCTATTACTTTTTTGCTTTTTAATTTTTAATGAAAACGTTGATTGAATCGCTTCCTAATCGCTGTCTCGCGCACATCGACAATTCGAAGCTCCTTCGAATTGGGCTGGCCAGCACAAGGCCATGGATGCCTCTCATAGCTATAAGACATAGGGCGAAAAAAAAAAAAAAAAAAAAAAAAAAAAAAAAAAAAAAAAATATGCGTTCCTCTATTGTATCCGAAAAGCGACAATCCGAGCAGTTAATCCCAAGTACGGTTCCAACCTTCTAGTCACATGCTTCAATAAACTACTTATATCAAAGCTGTCTTTGACAAATTTAATTTCAAAATTGATTAAAAGGGCACGAACGTGAACTTCTTGATTTTCCGCTGTCCACTCGATTTTCGCACAAATTTGGCATAACTAGTCTTCACTTTGAGATTGACAAAACTCCACATATGCTTCAATTTTCACGCCAACTCTCCTACCAGGTTTTAAGTTCACCAAGAGTTACTGGCGCAGGTCCCTTCGTTGCGGCATCCGTGATACACCCGATCAACTACAATAACCAGTCTGTCAAAGTTGATTTACCCAGAAGATCGATTTTGAAAGTGCGGGAGGGATGTATCACTGCTTGCAATGAGGATTTCAAATACCTCAAAACGGCGCAGGAATCTATAAACAAACTCACTTTCGATCAACTAACGTCCGAGGTGGGGACCTCCTTCATTGTTTCAGCTACAAAGTCTAATGCCCACTACCATATCTTGAAGGTGTCTGCATCGGATGTTTGGAGGTTTCCAAATCCTCTAACCTTGGTCGCCTGGACCGGCGCGAATCCAGTGTATGAAACTACGTCATCAACGTATGTGATGAATGGAGATAGCGACATCGTGTTGAACGGTACGAATGGACTTTATAAGATAAATCTTGAAAGTTCGGAAAGCGTCCTAATAAGGCCTAATTGCGTAATCGGGTTTAACGCGCTCCGGCATTTAGGTGTCTCTCATGATTTCTGTATGGATCACAAGAACCTTGAACGTATCATTCCCAATAGCCATCACGCCGAATGGGCTTCTTTTCATAGGCTCCATAAGTTTTGGAATTTAGCCTTTAAACGTGGTCATCTGAGAAGTACCCTCGATTTCGTCAAGTTTACTGGGCCAGGTGATATTATAGTTACAGTATGACATCTTTTGGGCGGAAGAATGTCTTGAATCATAGCATAGTGCCTCGTGATTGGCAATTCTTCGCAAGTGGAGGTGCTAATATACTTCTACAGTATCGTGGCCGCGAAGAGTTCTTTAGTGACAAACTTATGCGCTTGAGACGAAAGAAAAGTCATACTCGACTCATTCGAAATACGGAGGTGTTCAAATTTACAAAGGAATTCAGAGATGAGCTCGGGGAATGTCTTTTAGAATATCAAATATTCGATTTGGACAGCGAACTCTTAAGCCAACTCAAGAGTGTATTTGATATTGTGGATGATCATAAGGCACTTGTTATGAAGAATTTGATAAATAGCTGCACTTTGAGTATTGAGCTCTCGAAACACGTCAAGCTACACATTGAGCAATTAGATGCTCTGCGCGCAAGTAAAATTGTTATCTTGGAATTGAAGCCTAAGTGGTTGACTCCAAGCCAATCAATTTATTGCCGTAATTGCTGTCTTGCTCAGAGTCGCCAAGAGAAGCGCCACTTTTGTCCTCTCGACCTAGTCATTGAGTCAAGAATTTCAAACGGAGTATCTGACTTGATGGCACCAATTCCTGAACTGATAAAGAATAAATTCGAGCAATCCGGCGTCTCTATGGAAAGAATACTTGCTAAATATTTGAACACCAATAACAATATCTTTCAGCATCTACAGCATTTGCAGAACAAATATAACGTTCCAGACCTATCAACTATAGAGACTGAAGACGATGTGCTGGATAAAATCTTGTGGGGGATGTCCCTCAGAGATGTTGGGGTATTTCTTAGATTGGAAGTATCAACTAATTTTGAGACCAGTGTCACCCCTACTGTGTTTGATTTAGACCCCAAATCGCCCCTTCGCTTTACTTATTGGCAAGAGGTACAGTTTCAAGTCAAGGCATTACAAAACGACAGTGCCCTGAACTGGCCCCCGTGCAACTCTCCTTGAAGAGAGCAAAGTCGAGTACAATCAAAGTTAGATTACAACTAGAAACAAATGTCGAGGCTCATCTATTATGTGACACTTGTATGACGAAAATTCAATAGTCAACAGAGTCAACTCTATTACCAGACATCCTCCTGGTAGCGGTTCTGTACCTTGAGGGATCTCACCAATTCTGCAGCTTTCTCCTCGGAAAGACCTCTTTGTTCAGAGATAATCTTGACAAAAGTTGATTGTACATCTCTGGCCATTTTAGAAGCATCTCCACAAACATATATGTAGGCCCCAGTCTTTAAAAGCTCGTCAATGATCTGACCCCTTGCCAAAATTTTATCTTGGACGTAGACTTTGTTTGCCAGCTCCCTTGAAAAGGCCACATCCATCTCAAGCAGGTCTCCCAATTGTTTCGCGTATTCGGGCCATTCTTCCTTGTAAAGAAAATCTTCATCCAGAGTTCTGCAACCGTAGAACAAGAGAGTTTTTCCGATAGTAGCATTGGCATCTTGCTTCTGGAGTTTGGCACGTTCCCTTACGAAGCCACGCATAGGAGCAACACCAGTACCTGGGCCTACCAAAATGACTGGAGTGGCCGGATTGGAAGGTAGTTTAAACGTTGATCTCCTCACATGCACTGGTAACTTGAAGCCCTTGAACTTATTTTGAGGCCCATTCAAATCGTAGTTGATGTTGTGGACAAATTTAGTACCGTTTTGATGAACTTCAACATCCTTGAGCAAGTTAGTGACCACACCACTGACAGTGTGGTCACCGTGCTTCTCTATCTCCACAACTGCTGTTACATGAATGGATGTCTTCTCAGATAGCGAGGAAGATGAGATGGAGTAGTATCGAGGCTGCAAACTTGGCATGAGCTCAATCAAGAAAACGAACGGAACAGACTCCCATTTAACACCACCTGAGATTTTCAAAAGAGCGTCAGAAAGATTCAAGTAATTTGCATGGATCTGCTGCGCAAACAAAGCTTTGTCAGAACCCAATCTCAAAGCCTCCTTCTTGGATTCCTCGTTTGGAGCGAAGGGAGCGATAGATGCCAATGCTTGTCTAGAGATAGGGCCTGAAATTTCCATATGATACCTAACTGCTGCTTCATACGTAATAGGAACAGGAAATGGTATCAGAACTGTGGAGTCTAAAGCTTTAAGTGAAAAGACTTCATCTTTGCGCTTGACGTATCCAAAGCAATCGAGGAAGCGCAAAACATTTTCATTGGAGTTGGATGGCCAGATTGCCAAATGGTCTCCGGTTGAGTATCTGAGATTTGACTCAGAGATGTCGAACTCGGCGTGAACACATGCCCGATCATGGGACAGGAACAACTCGCGCGTCTCTTTAATTGGAGCCAAGTAGGGATGTGTATGGTCGAATGGACCCTTCGTCAAATCTTTTTTCATATCGACATAGGCCTTATTTGGCTCACCATTTGAGACACCCTCTGAAGTTGCCAGAATGTCCTCCTCAATCAATTTGAAAGAAGGCTCATACTCCACTTCACGCTCTTCCAAGTCCAAATTGTTTTTGAGAGAATCAAAGCATTCTTCCTTCCAGGACAAAAAATCCTCGTCCATGGTTCCAACTCCGTCATCGCCTTGTCCATACGGCGAAATCCTCTCAGCGCCTAATGCCTCAAAACGCTCATTCAATTTCGCTCCCATGGCATTGTAGAACTCATAAGTGGAATTACCCAAGCCAAAGACAGTATATTTGACATTGGAGATCTGGTCAGCATCACCATCCAACCAGTTAAAAAATTCAACAGCATTGTCTGTTGGCTCTCCTTCACCATAAGTTGCAACAAGGAAAAAGTAGAGATAATCTGGATCCAAATCATGAAAGTTTTCGTAGTCATAATCAGCCATATCGGCAATAAGGACCGACAAACCGAACTTAGAATGTAATTCCTTGGCTAACTTGGTAGCATAGTCTTCAGCAGTACCAGTTTGCGAGCCGAAAAATACAACTGCATTCTTCTTATTCTTCTTCAATGTTGCTCCTAAATCACGATCATTTTCATCGCCACCAGCGACGAAGCCAGCTGATGTGGCATTATCAGACCCAAAGATGAAGTCCTTTCCGAAATAAAAGGCTACTGCCAAAGCCAAGCCTGCTATTACAGCGAAATCCAATGTATCCAATGCCATGACGTCTCAAGAGTTTGTAAACTAATCTAAATTCTTCAAAAGACTGGTGTGTATCCGAATAAAATGGTGGGGAAGACGAAAATGGACACCTTTATAGCACATGATTTTTTGTCGCGTCCGGTGAGCGCCGCCTCGTTTAATCTCACATGTATTCTCCTGGCAAGTCCGTATCGCACTGGATTTAAGTGAGCGTCTGCTCGCCTAGTGAACCGTATAATTGCGAATAGAGCCAATATGACCCTTTGGAAAAGGCGGAAAGAGCCAGAACAACCTCGTGAAAAATTTTGGTCTCATTGCAGAGTTTTCACTCTTCTTTCTACGAGTTCGGAGGCTAAAAATGTAGTTTGTTATATAATGACGTCCTCAGCCTGTAGGGATGCAACGACCCAAACATACGTCTATTTTAGAAGACCAATTATCATGACTCCCTAGTATTGTGCTCAAAACACCCTTTAGCTCCTGTATGTCAAACGTACGAGTTATCCTCGATCCAATGCCATAATAACTCTCATTAGCGTGATGTTCCTGATACTCCAGAGCAGTTTTCCGTAGATACTCCTTCTTTACAAGTTCTTGGAGGAGAGTTACTATATCGCAGTTGAGGCTTGGAACGAGTAAGTTCTGATTTTGAGCAATGCCAAATTTGGAGAGTTCTCGTAATAATGAAGTTTCTGGAATATTGTCCTCACTGACTACGATTATGCAAACTATCAACAAAAGAAGCCCTCCAGATATTAGCAGAAGATTATCAAGAGAGCCGTCGAGTGCCATATCGGAGGGAGAAAGAATGTTGGCAGCAGCTGGTCCCTTACAGTTAGATCTTCATCATTCCCTGGTAGTAAAAGGTCCCTTATCAAATCCCGCGACTCTTCATCTAGGTTGGAGTTGACTTCCATATTTGTCTTTTCGAATTGAACCGTAAGTCCAAAGATATCGCGCAAGTCAGCATCAGTCCTCGATTCGGACAATTTAGTACCCGATTTTAGGCCGTGCTCCTTAAGTATAGAGCTGATGTGATCTTTTCGAGTTTTGAGAAGCCGTGATTCTCTTGTGATGATCATCCTAACGAGCGAGATTGAAATATCCTCAGAGGTCGCCTGCCGATGCCGAAGGGTGATGCAGTTGCCTTCAGATGGTGGTTCAGAAAATGCCTGATCATGGGTCGTTTCAGCATTGGTGGAGATTCTTTTGTTTGAAATTGACCTTTCGCGCCACATGCTTCATATACCAGTGCAACCTTCATTACGACAAGACAGACAAAGTAAGGCAGTAAATATCTGTCGTACAAACTTTAAGTTTACGATATCGGATCAAAGATCAATACGAGAAATGGCTGTATAAATTTTGGGTCCACAGCGCATAATCCTCGTCAACTCCCTAATTTGAGATAATGACATGTTTACAACACCTCGTCGCTGTCGAGTTTTCTTGTTGTCTATCGTAGATCGAGACTTCAAGCAATGTTATGAGTACTGGCTCCGTTAACCAGTAACTTGGGAAAAACTTACCGCGGTGGAGCATTAAAGTGGACTGCATTTATCGAACTAGTGAACCGGACTATCCTCAACGCATTCAAGAGATGTCAGTGCCTCGAAGATGAATATTCTCTTCGATATGGTAAACAATTCAGCAAAGCCAGATTTGCGAAGCGTACGCTATGTGGATTGTACTGACCATTTGCATTGTCCTATTTGCAAGCAGCCGTTTATTAAACCCATGACGACAATATGTGGCCACACATTTTGCCAGGAATGTATTGAAGAATGCTTGAATATGTCAAATGCTCCATCGCAAAACGAAGGTTTTTGTCCACTTGACAGAACTCCCCTCGATAAATCGAATTCCCATGACGTTTTTCCCACTCCTTTGATCATCACTAACATGGTGGACGAGCTTATGGTTTCATGCCTCAATCAGGACCGAGGATGTGAATGGAAAGGGAGAAGATGGGAGTTAGAGTCACACGTTATTCATGATTGTGGGTTTACCGGTGTTGTTTGCAATGGGTTAATAGATCCAACTTCTGCGTCATTACTAAAGCTGAATAAGGAAGAATGCGAGGATGAAGGAACAAGATGCTCGAAAATAGTTGAAAGGAGATTTACTATAAATACAGATGTGTGTGTCCATGAAATGTTTCCTTGTTCAAAATGTTCTTCATCGATAAACAAAGTGACGGAGTCAGACCATCTTGAGAATGAATGTGACGCTAATTTCACGACTTGTGATTTATGCGATAATGACTTGATACCGCAGAAACTTTTAGAAAAGCATAAGGATAACTGTTCAAAAACAGGTGTACTCGTTTGTCCGGCTAGAGAAATCGGATGTACCTGGATCGGCCACAATCAGCCTTCCTTAGAGAATCATACAGCTAAGGGTAATTGTTCGCTTTTCCAAATTTTACCGCATTTTGAAATGCTCGAAGAGAAGATCAATCTGATATCCTCAGATAACAGGTACCTAAAGGACTCGATAAACAAAGTACTCGACTCTGTCATGCTGGGACGAGTCACTAATCTCGGTTATTGTGAACCGATTGAAGAGATCGGTGGCTCTATAGGAGATGACGGAAAGGAGGCATGTCTCAGGCTTCGTTGTGAGTTTGAGCGCCACAAGTTGGAAGTGGAAGAAAAACTTGTTCCCTTCGTTGAGAGGGAGCGAAATGCTGTCACTGAGAGAGAAAATCTAGTTAATTCGCTTGTGAACGAGAATTTTGTCATCAAGGACGAATTGAACCTACAGCGAGGGCTTGTGAACAGCCTCAGGAAACAAGTTCAGTTCCTTCTTTTCCAGAGGCGGCCTCAGATACACTTTTCAGAAAATGACGAATCCTACATCGACATGCTGTCCCGCTCAAGCTCGGAGGAGCGGCTCAATCTCAAACTCTAACTACAATAGTACGACTTGATGACAATGGTACGACTTTATGACAAACTCTTTAATAAAAACAAATTTAAGGTCGGCTTGAAAAAATTTTTTTCTTGCAGCTTACCACAACAGCTGGACACCACTCCAGTTCTGTTTTGATCTCCTATTCCAATAGCTGTTGACGCCCGCATCGTAAATCCATTCTCCAGTATCAGCTTGGGAAGTGTCTCCAACTTGCTTGAAGAACAAGGGCTTGTGGGTCTTGCCAGCCAGCTCCATTTCTGCACGGCGCGACCTTTGGTCTTCTTCTAATTGAATCTTCAATTCTTCGGCTTTGGAGACATCGCCCACCTCATAAGCCCTCATATCTGGTCTCAATCTCGAGTCGCATGGAGGAAGATTGTTCTTCTCAATGGACGTTATTTTGTTCAAAGTACCCGCAAACTCTGTGAATCCGAATTTCTTCTCACATTGTGGAAGAAGGTTCCCAGCAGTCCAAATCTCTTTTTCCGTATTATTTGTTTTGAGAACCATGCTCTCTGTCCATTTTCCAACAACCGTGTAAGGCAACTGCTTCTTGGCAGAGTTGTAAGCCTTGATTGTGAGATCCTCAGACCGACCACTGAACATGCCACCCTTCGTGAAATCAACCACTGCTTTCTGACCAGAGCTGGATTTGATAACGATCGACAGAGATGGCTCCGTGTACTTTTCTCCAGCGATGATATTCTTCAAAAGACTAGTGGGTTGTGACCAGGTGAAAACTTCACCTGTGGACTTAATAGAAAGTTTCATTGTACCTTTGGTGCTCACTTCATACGTCTTACCCCAGAATTTCTGAGATGGCGAAGCAGAGAAGCCAAATGCCCACTGATCTGACTCCGCAAACACTGCAAAGACTGGCGGCTTGTGCGAAACTTTTTCACTAATGAGTCTGAAGCCTTTGTCCTCTCTCACCAATTCGAAGGTTTCTCCTAAAAGTGGATTGAAGGGTTTCCGAATGCTTCTGACCTTTTTTCGAAACGAAGACAAATTGCTCACGGCAAAGGCTGCAATTCTAAGTATGAGCTCACCGGAGTCCTCGGGATAGGTTCCATCAAGTGCATTGTCGATCATCTCAGAGTACTCCAATTGCTCAGCATACTTTTGGAGTATATTGATGGGTTCATTCATACTCACAGGCATCGCGATGGAAGAGAGATCTTTCCCAACATTTTTTCTGACGAAGGAGAGTAAGTTTGGTGGCTCATGATCGCAAACTGGAATATCTGGATCCCTAGTGATTGGATCCAAAGGCAACGGGTAAAGAGGACCGTCCATATCCTCGCCCTCATGAGGTGGGGTAGCGTCAGCTTTTGATACAGAGGGAGCGGGAAGATCCTCCGAATCTGAATCTGAAGACAGATCGGACTCCTCATGCTCTTCCTCATCATCATCCTCCGATTGTTGCCTGCGGTCAGCACCATCCATCAAAACCACACCTCGAGATGATGTTTCCAATGTTTCTTCGGCATCAAAGAATTCAGAGTTCGAAAGAACTGGGGTCAATTCGCCATCAATCTGACTCTTCGACGTAGTCAAATATTGTAAGCTAGTTGAGATTTCTTGCAACCGGAATTCTAGCTGATCACGGCTCATATTATGACTTCCCTTCAACAAGTTTGTCAATTGCTGGTTGATTTCACTGAGTTGAGGAATACCGGCGGTTGTACTTCCGTCAATAGGTTTAAAGGATGTCGGCTTTTCTGAGGAGCCCTCATAAGAGCCTTTCTTTACCTTGTCAAAAGCATCTACCCAAGCCTCAAAGTCCTCTTGGTTGAGTGCCTTGAGATCCCAGACTTCCATTCCAGAATCAATGAAAATTTCCCTAGTTTTTGCATTTGCACTGACAATAGAGTGGATGATTGGCATCTGGCCTCTCAATTTATTGTCGTTGAGTTTAAAGTACGATAATGTGCTGTACTTGAGATCTAACACAAAGGTTCTCTTGGTAAAACCCTGAAGCTTTTTTCTTCTCCTTTTGAGAAACGTAGTCATCATGACCTCACCATCCAGCAGCTGCATGCGGCGGTTTCCACCAGAGGTATCCCCCGTCACCCCCAGTGGCTCTCTCAAATGGTCACCTTCTTCAGAAACTGGGATAGACGACGTGTCGACATTGCTGACAAGTTTAGCACTAAACAAAACTTTCTTGCTGACAGCCTTTGAAAAAGAGTTGTCAAAAATGAAAGCATACATTCCCTCCTTTTCGACATTGAAGTGCCCTCTTACAAGCTCACCAGGGACAAGTTTGTAATAGTCCTTCACAAGAACCAAGTTGGAGCCATTCAAGCTGTTTGAGAAGGTCGTAGATCTTGATTTATTTCTGAGAGAGTTCAGCTGCGTGATTTGATTCACCGAGGCGACAGAACCTGACCTCAAGCGGGACACGTCGGACGCTTGCTCATTCAATGGACCATTGGAGTGAGCCGTACTTTCCTGAACCTGATCATCATCAAGATCGTCATGAGTTGCGCTGTTATCATTCAGTGAGTCATTCTCGCTAATGGTCGCTCGCTTGTAGATGGAGAAGTTGATCGACTTCTTCAACGGTTTGACTTGCCACACAATAGAAGAATTGTCGACAGCGTGGATCCATTTGACAAGGAAGTCTTTGGAATGAATCTCCAAAGTGTCCATGATGGTCAATGGAAACTAAAAATTCAGGCCAAACTGTTTGCAGATATGAGGGAATTTCAATCATTCATATGGCGAAGGAGTTCTCCAACTCCACTTTGTATATATGCAGAACTTTACACAAAACTGCTTGACCGTTCAATCATTCCCCGACCTATAGTAGAGTTGCTAAGAACAACTCCTTTCTAAAGTTAATAATTCGGAGAGCTTGATGAACTTTGTGGTGGCCAAATGAAAGTTTGCTAATCGTCGTACTTGGAAAAAGGTGTCAGTATCATATGCAATTCGAATAAATTGACACCTTCATGTGCGAAGCTTTCCGGGGAATCTCAAGGGAAAACATAAAACTTAAAACGAGCGTTCTCCAACAATGGCAATTGGCCGAGCACTCGAAAATATTCGGGCAATTTCTTCGACGTAGACCCCTCAACACAATTCTTGATCCCACATCTACAGATACAGATGCATATGTCAAAAAGATGAATTAGAAGATTGATCTGACAGAAGCTATAGTCAGAGTATGCTACTGGGCACTTGGGTCGGAAAATATTGCATTTTGGTCAACATGGCCAGCTTTGAAAACTGAGTCATCGATGTTCAAATTCATTTGCGAGACTTCCATGCGTTGATCAAGAGGTATGGCTTAAATCTTTCGGATAGTTGGAAGCCTTTTCTACACGGTGCAGTCTTCTGTTGTGTAGCATTTTAAAGAGGGGTCGAAGAAAGTACTGTGTCAGCTGAAAATGTGTAACACAATTAAATATCAAGAGCCCTTTGGTCCGTGATGGAATTGACTCAATAAGTCCGTGCTCATCACATTTTCAACATTAGCCCTCTGTTCCCAAACTACTTGCTTGAGATTGTAGATTTAATAATGCAAGGAAACAAATGTAGGATTTGCATGGACCTTTATACAAGTGTTTCTGTACGTCCCCACTCGATGCACCATAGGGACACAATTCATGTCCTGTTTGGACAAGCTTTGAACTTGAAACGCTTCAAATCTAGTAATATAGGTGAACAGACTTGGTTGACTCGTCGTTTGTGGTGGCATACTACAACTTTAAGACCATGGATCCCAGCGATACCGATCTGGATCGAAATATCTAATAGCCTTTAACTTCCACAAAGAAAAAAAAAAAAATTCAAGATTCAGATGCATTGACACTAAAGCAATAATGCTTTGAAGTTGCGGGCTGTAGTCTAGATCCCCCCCACACACACACACAACAAGGGCTTACCTATTTTCTCAAGAAGCGGCGGTGCACTACTTTTAAACAAGTCAAATAATAAGAAATGGAGACTACCAGCATACTGTGAGTGTCATTGGACAAAGGAAGCCTTCACTTCAATGCTGTGGTGAGATCAGCGCTAGTGATTGAGAATTCTGATTCCCCAAATCGAGCTGCTGTTAGACTTCACGAGACTTCTTACGTAGTCGAGAGAACTATTCAGAGAAAGAATTGATCCCTAGAATGGCCCGCTAGTAAACGACAGGTAACACTCCACTCAAACGTTTCTAGAGGGCACCTGTTTTATTCTTGGCATAGCTGGCACAGCATCATGATGACAAAGATCGTTGTTAAAGCACTCTTTGGTTGGGCATGATATACAGCAGGGTCTTTGCTATGAATATTACAGTTGTAACCTCCGGAGATTGGAAATCGCCAAGGTTTTAGCATTCTCCTGCTTTTTCAAATTTTTTCTGACTGAATGATAGCCATATATCGAGCTTCCGGCTCTACGTGAAACTAAGAATACAACTTTTCTGTTTAACCGAAAAAAAAACTGATCACGCCCAGGCTCGAACTGGGGACCTTCTGCGTGTGAAGCAGACGTCGTAACCAACTAGACCACGCGACCTTACTGTACAGATAATTCTGGTGCCGATTGTTATACAGCTGCAATGGGAATTACGTTCTCCTGCATGTGCAGGAAAAAAAAAGGAAAAAAAAAAAAGTGTGTAGGTCTCGAAACGATATAGGTTCTGTTGGAAGGAAATAGTTCTTACAGGCGTCCTAGAAATGAAGTATCATTAAAATGGCAATTCTATTAAAGAAAAAAAAAAAAGATTAGTTGAAGGTGGTGAAACTCATGTACGGCAAACGACGACGAACTGAAGCAGAAGGGGACAATTGTCCATCTTTCTGATTCGGGAGATGAAGAAGGCCATACGCCAAGTTCTGCCGATGGGTAGATGAGGGTATGGATGAGACAATACCAACAACAAATGCCTTCCTCTAGATGGATCAGGGCCTGAAGTTCAGGATGAAGTCTGTCGCGCCTTTTCGGTAAGGGAAGACATTTGGGTGCTTGATTAGTGGGTTGTGTTTCTATAGCGATATAGTTTTGGCTCCTAATGGAGGGGAATCCTCCGTTAGAAGTGTCCTGCTAATACATTCTATTAAAAAAAAAAAAAAAAAAAAAAAAATTAATCCTGGCTCTAACGCGACGTAGTTTAAGTTGGAGGGTATAAGGTATAATCGGGGTTACAAAGCGGTGCTTCACGATAATAAGGCCATACCAAAGGGGGTTATTAGGAGAAGACATATTCATCACGATTTCCTTCGTTGGAAAGGTCCTTCTGATGCATTCAATATTTGTTTGTTTTTCTTTTATACGAAAGATTGGTTTCTGATAAAGTTACAACTGCAAAATACTGCTGAGTGGTAAACGAAATTGCCTCCTCATTTAAAAGCTGTCACGTAAAGAAAACATTCTCCAATAAAGATTTATCAGTGAAAAATCGAAAAATGAAAGTCGACAGCGAAAGTTATCGATGTCTGAGAAGGACAATTTGTCCAACTCGTATGGAATGATGACTAGATGACGAAGAGTCGTTGTTACTGAAGGCCTATAATCTGGAAGCGTCAAGAGAATGTCACGACTCCGAAAAGAAGTACCTAAGGTTGTTCAAAAAGCGCTCGAAATCTACTCAATTCGGCATCAAACTTGGTTCCTCGTTAGTAATACCGTAGTTGTGGCTCTAAGCGCGGATCCTAATCACCATCAATTCCGCGCCGCTGCGAACGAATATAAATCCCGAGCTTATCTTGGAAAGTTCTCACTACAGATGAAAAGAACTGGATCCCATGAACATTTACTATCACACAATGTGATAAATGACGTCTCCACAGGATCAGCCGGAATTTTGGTCAATGAAGTTGCTAATGAGGATGGATTAGTTACTTATCAAAATGACGAAGACTATGGAGCGGCTAATGACTCTATGGATGCCACTTCAAAGTACGCTCTTCCTAACTCGCAGCTTATAGCAGTCATCACCTGCTTATATCTAGCAGCATTTTTGGCGGCGTTGGACACGACCGTTGTCACAACTCTTCTAACGGTGATTGCTTCAGAGCTTGATGCGGTGCAAAATATTGGTTGGATTGCAACAGCTTATTTACTTTCATGTTCTGCTCTCCAACCTTTATTAGGTAAACTACTGGACCTCTTCGGCCGCAAAAGTCTTCTCATTTTGTGCTGCGCTTTATTTGCAATCGGGTGTTGTATCTGTGTGACTGATAATCTCTGGCTTCTCGTTTTCGGGAGATTCGTAACTGGTTGTGGTGGTTCAGGCCTTACTACTTTGGGAACAATCACAATGTCCGATCTCATTCCCTTGAGAGATCGAGGCCTCTATCAAGGGTTAGCAAACATATTTTTCGGCCTCGGAGCCGCTTCAGGCGGTGTAATTGGAGGTCTTGTGTCTGACTACTTTGGTTGGAGATGGGTGTTCATATTTCAAATCCCGCTAGCTTTAATAGCCGGAATTTCTATTCAAATCAACTTGAATCTTCCGAAGGGCTCCCCAGGCTTAGGGGTGCCTAGTGGCGATTTCAAGGAAAAACTCAAGCGTGTTGACTTCTTAGGGTCTTTTTTCCTCGTCGGATCATTAATGTTAATTTTGATTGCTGCCTCACTTGGTGGTAAAGAAATTAGTTACACATCAAAAACTTTTCTGGGAATTTTGGTTCTATCCTTCATATTTTTGATTCTGTTCATTTACACCGAAAGCTGCATTGCTCTGGAGCCGATCATTCCTATAAAGATTATGTTAGAACGCACTGTATTGTCATCTTCTTTGGCGAATTGGTTTTACACCATGGGGTTTTTTACCTACTTATTCTACATCCCACTCTATTTTCAGACAGTCATGGATATGACGTCCACACAAAGTGGTGAAAGATTGATACCTAATTTTTTTGCTGTATCGATAGGGTCAGTGGGGGCCGGTTTATACATGAGGAAGACTGGGAGGTACTATACACTCACTATACTTGTTGGTTTCGTGGCTCTCGGTGGAATGACCAGAATCTTGACGCTTAGCCCCGAAGCTTCTCAATTCAAACAATTTACGTTGATGTTACTTCCTGGTCTAGGCTATTCTTGCATCATCACCGTCACTTTACTATCCCTTATTGCCTCAGTGCCCGTAAAGTTTCAAGCGTGTACAACATCGATCCAGTATACGTTTAGGGCGACAGGATCTACATTGGGGGTCTCAATAGCCAGCGCTATATTTCAGTCAGTCACACGAACTCGTCTTACGACCACAATCAAGGACGTCGTTGATGACCATGAACTTGCTGCGAAAATAATTAAGCGAGCTCTTGAGAATACAAGCTTCGTGAAGGAGGTTACACCAGAAATTGCTGATGTCATCAAGAAAGCATACGACAGTGGTTGCCGGGGCACATTCGTGTTCAGTACTATGATGATTGGCCTAGGTTACTTCTCTTCATTGTTTATGAGGGAACATATCTTACATAAGTCTATTGACCGTGAGTAACCATGCCCCTTATTACGCATCACGGCAAGTTGAGGGCACAGGTGAGTTAAATAGAATATTGCATACCGCTATCAAATCTGCTCCTTACTCTCATAAACTAAACCCCATGGGGTCACAAAATGAGTGTGCTCGGCGACGTCTCAAACCTTGATGCAAACTGTCACTGGTATCTAAAATCAATTGCTACCAGTGATTTTTTTTCTTTCAAGAAATGATTGCAACCCCAACTATGATAGGGAGGAGTTGGAAGACGGAGTGGCGAAATAAGTCGGGATTTTACGTTTCTAGTACTCGGGGAAGGCGATGAAAACTGTCAAAATGTTTGTAAAAATCACTGGTTAAGAGTTTCGTGTCGTTGCTGGACTAATGCCCTCGACGACAGGTTTTAGAATGGTCCCCTGACAGAGTTACCGTGCGCGTGAGGCAAGACGCGCCATAACATTTCACATAACTCTACAGGTCACATGTGGTAAAATGCCAGGACGTTTAGACTTGACCAACTGCAACGAATTGCCTTCTGCTACTGCAAGTGTGATTTCGGTTTCAATCAGATATAGTGGAGATGCTGCTGTTAATGACTATTTTGAAGCATCATCAACTAAAGAAAGCATAGGTGAAAAAACAGTCGATGTTAGAAACTTCAGGGGACTTAAACTTGTGGGACAACAAATGAAAGTCGAAAGCCATGATGCCTACTTGGTGAAGAAAAATGAGGTCGTATGTCAAGATGAAGATGAGAATATCACGACATCTAACTTATACCATGCCATCGCAAAAGTTGACAATGTTGTGGTATATGGACATGACTCTACTCCTTCTACAAATGATAAATGGACACTAGTTAGTGAATGGATCGAGCTTTCTGACATTATACACGAAATATGAGGGTTAAGGAGTACCGTCATGTATATGAATCAATTCCTTTCGTTCTTTCATGACTGTTGCGCCAGAGAAACTAGCTGAAATATGACCCGAAGACAACTCTTCGATCTCAATGAGTGCTTCACCAGCTAGATTACTGCCATCATCTGGAAGCCAAACCTTTGGCACCTTCCACCTGTAACATGGATGTTTATACAACTGGCCTTTTGACAGCTTCCTACCTACCTCGGTAAAACTTGTGCCAGACGTAACAATAGGAGGGTATTTGAAGTACTTAGAATATTTCGACACCACAGACGAATGTATGAAACCAGTTAGTAACAAGGCTGCAATCATCGCAAGCCGTTGTGAAAATGTAGTACCTGTGAGCTTGGTATTGAGCTTTTTGAAAGTAAAGCCAACAATGCTGAATTCAAGACAATAGATTCCCCAATAGAGCAGCGAGAGCGCATTGAAATATAGCCTTCCGTATGTCTCGGATGGGTTAGTTGTAGTGTAGACAAACTGAAGAGCGTATTTGTAGTAGACTAAGATAACGAAGAAGACTAGGAGCAAAAGCACCGTGATCACTGGGGAAATCACACAGTAGGTGACCCCAATCACACCATATAATGATAAGATAGGGTAAAGTAGTCCCCATTGGGGACAAGGAAGCCTTGTGGACCTGTGAAATTTTTCTCGGGGAGTGAAGGTAGTCAAAGGTTGAATCACAAGGTGGTTTAGTAGTCCTCCAATCCTCAAAAAGTCAGCACCACAAACAGCAAGAATTTTGACTGCGAGATGACGGTAGAAAAAGTGAGCAGCCTCGGGAAGATTCCTTGCAAGTAAAATTGGTAGTGTAGATGGCCTTTGAATGATCAGCAAAAAGATTTTAGTAACACTGGTTGAAATTGATACAGCGAGGAACTGATGAACGAAGAGAGACAAGAAATACCACCGCTGTAAAAGGAGCTGTAGCTCTTGACCAGTCCATATAGTGCCATGTTTGAGGAGTGATTTTATAAGCTCAAGATGGCACATAGTGTAAATGTTTAGCATAAGGGAGGGTAGAACATTGGCGATAAGACTGCGAGCTTCCGGAGGAAGATTATTCACTCCGTTTATTGATGAAATCAGGTGAGAGACTGCCTGGAAGAAGAACCCAATAATGGAAACGGGAAGCACGGAAAATCCTATTGCACACAAGAGAGCAATCCGTATAAGGAAGTATTTAAGCTGTCTCACCACTTCAGTTTCCTCAAGCAAATTCGACCAGAAAATATCCCTGGGATCGACATCAGTAATTGTTTTGCCAAAATATTTTCCTGACAAATTGATACACTGGTTTGCAATGCGTGCAGAAGACTGACTCTGAAACTCGATAAAGGCCTTATCTGTTCTTCCTTCACCTTTTTTAAGTCGTTCATTCACCTGCCTGTTGCTTTCTATTATCTGACTGATGCACCAACTGCGCATGGGTTGCTTCTCTAATCCCATAAACATTGTCACCCACGACGATAGAAGAAATCTTGAACGTATACCTAATTTCTCAAAATTTGGAAGCACAAGTTGGTATGGTGGATACTGAAAATAAGAACTAGCCGATATTCCTCTAGCAAGACATATTGATTCACTCCTTTCCAAAAGTTCAAACGCTGTCTGTGCTTCTCGCACATTCATTGCAGTTTCACGAAAGTCATCCACAAACCACAATTGTTCTATATTGCCGGCGAAAGATGCACAGAAAGCAGCAAGACTGGAATGGTTCCGCATATGATGTGGTATCCCAGAGATAAGGACGACCCGTGATGACACGAGCATTTTGTAGCGAGGAGATTCCATATAAGCCGACCTGATTTTTAAGGCAGTCTTGGTTTCTTTAATCAACAAGAAGTGTAGCGTTGAAATTGTTATGACAGCACAAACAAAATAAAAGTTAAGCAGTGCTTTCGCCTCATTTTCAGTGATATGAATGCTCATACGTCGAAGAATGCTGGCTCTTGCGTCCTCTGATGTAGAGAGATTGATCGGTACCAAGATGGCGATATTGAGAAAGCCACAACACAGGAAAAATAGAAGTAAAAAGACGAGAAAGCGAAGGAAAAAGTAAGCATCTAGACCGTTGTCGAGATAAGCCAGTATTTGTGCGCTCCATGTTGGAAACAACCACTCAAAAAACCCGTCACCTGGTCTCTCCACTCGTTCAATATCCGGGACATACGTGCAGCGAGGTTGGTATAATGGATCAAATCGAGGTCGTAGGAAACAAAATAGGCTCAATTGGATGATGCAGAACGTAAAAGCAATTATCAATGAATGGATAAATTGGTCAAATTCGGATTCTGACATGGCACGATCACTTGCCACCAAGGTGATTAAGTTTCGAGGATTGTCGATTGTTGAAATTATGAGCAGAGAAAGATTGCTGTGAAGGGATATCATAAGTTTGTTACAATGTGGACAGCTTTGACAGAATAGAGTTCCCAGGATAAAAGACTTCGGTCAAAAGTTCGCGAAGCATCGAGCAGACGCGACGCGTAGATCAAAGATGTGGTGTCTCGTATACTTGACTCATTGAGGTTTTCTAATTGTGGCAGTGCCAACGCCAACTTTCCCTTGAATGGATTTAAACTTGTTTTTTATATCACTTGTTTATACCTTCTTGAACGCAACCTCCTCCGGAAGAATAAAGGAAACACAAAACATTGGTTTGGTTGGTGCAACTTTGCGAACCAAATGAAATGTGAAGTCCTCTATTGGAGCGGGAAACTGGATTTTTTCTATGATGCGGGCATGAACCCTCCGGTGAAGCTCTTCCATTGTCGGTTCTGGAGAATCATGCGCATATTTCTCGAAGCAGTGAACATTAATTGTCGGAAGTGTGAAATCTTCTGCATTCTTCACACACTGTTCAACGTCAGGATCATGGCTGTAAAGCCCTATGAATTCATCGAGGAAGTCAATAGATGAGCCAGGTAGATTCATAACGTATTGGGAGATAAATGTTGGAATTTTAACGGATAGGACTCCATCAGTAGATGTGCCGTCTGTTCGTCTTCTCTTGCTTACTTTGCGCTTTTCAACAAAACCTTCACGGTTATTCCAATCGAAAAGGAGTCTTGGTGACAGCCTTATAAACTCACGACCATCCAAGTTGTAGCCCTTTAAAAAGTGCAGTGCGTGATTGATTGAAGCATTCTCGCTAAGATATTTATATGATTCTGGGTTCAAGTCGTTCGCCAAAACTAAAACACCTTTCTTCGCTGCGGGAACAGCAAAGGGTCCGACTCCTGCAAATACATCCGCAACAACATCTCCAGGGTTGAAAATTGAGATGAGCCTCTCATGCTCAGTGTTGAGACGTGAATTCCAAAATGTTGTGCTAAAGTCGAATCTGAACTTACATCCACTTTCATGCTGCTCAACCAAAAAATTGTTCTTACCGGCTAAAAGTTTCATATCGAAGACTCTGAACTTGTTACTAATCGTGTCAAGCTTATCAACAACTGTCTTGATAGTTGGATTCTTATCCAAAATGACCTGCCCTATCAAAGCACCGTAGGGTTTGAATTCGTTCCTAAGATTCATGTGAGCAATGTGACCGGCTTGAGCAAAACCACTGGGACTCTCGCTCAACAACTCTGTTGGCAAGATTGCCTGCAAAATATCATCAGCTTTCCAGAAATCGTAGTCTAGTTTCATTTTGTAAGGTCTGACTTCGATGCCGTGAGCTTCCATCAACTCTAGAGCCTCAGACGGTAAGCTCAGCTTATAAGTATCAATATCATCGATATCGTCTCGGAGAAGAACTCCCTTGGTGTTCTCAATCTTCACAATGTGCTTCACATTTGGCACGTTCAAGAGCTGGTTTTTGCATACTTTTGTGAACTCACCGACGTAACGTGGGTTTGAAAACTTGGCAACAAGAAGATCAACTTCTTTTTCGAAGACAGATTTGTCCAATTCCTTCATTCCTCGAGCCACAGGGCACAAAAACTTCGAGCTCATTCTGAAAGGTTTCTGTCGTTGAATCTGTGATCGACCAAGATGAAGAAGCAGTGATTTAGTAACTAGTCTATTAAAAAGATTCGTGAAAAATCTGCCATTCATAAGACAACCCCGATCAATAACTGTGATGAGTGTTTCGCACTGGGCCAGCTCAATTGGATTGTTGAATTTTTAGATTTTAATCCATCGCGCACAAGCAGTGTACAAGCTCATCATCATCGCAACGGTCTTGACCCCATTTTTACGTCCAATGTCAGAACCTATTCTAGCGATTTCGCGCCCAAAGAGATCCTTGCACATGTCAAAACCCCTTGAAGATTACCAATCAGATTCTGAGGAAGAGGTAGAGGGATCTGAAGAACCGTTAATCGGGGCGACACATACCGTTGACGGAAACGCAAATTCGATTGTAACCCCTGGCGAATTGATAACAGACGATCCGATATGGATGAAGGGACACGGTGTTTACTTCTTAGAGAATATGACTTATTCGGCCATGGCCGGCAACATTTCGAGGGTCAACCGATTGCTCAGTGTTGTACCATTGCGAGGAAGGTATGAACCTGAAACAGGTGATCATGTTGTTGGCCGTATAACAGAGGTTGGTCAAAAAAGATGGAAGGTCAATATTGGAGCAAAGCAAGATGCTGTTTTGATGCTTGGATCTGTGAACTTGCCTGGAGGCATCTTGAGACGAAAATCTGAAAGTGATGAATTGCAAATGAGATCATTTTTGAAGGAAGGAGACTTACTCAATGCAGAAGTTCAGACTATTTTCAATAACGGAATGGCTTCATTACACACAAGGTCTTTGAAGTATGGCAAATTGAGAAACGGTGTTTTTTTGCTGGTGCCCTCCAGTTTAATTATTAAGCAAAAGAATCACTCTTTCGATTTGCCGGGAAATGTGAGTATTGTCGTTGGTATGAATGGATTTATTTGGTTGAGTAAAACGATCAAATCAAAAAATCATGAAAGCACTAGCAGGTTGTCCTCTGGCAATCATAACGACTACACCCCTGGAGATGGAAACATGGCCATCACAAGATTAGAGGAAGGATCATCATGGGAAATCTATAGCGACAGGAATGATGCTAACATTGATAGGAACGTGAGGGGTACGATACTGCGTTATTATAATGTGATAAAGGCATTAGCATCTTGTGAACTAGGAATCACAGAGCCAAGAATCAGAATGGGCTATGAAGAGAGCATGTCTTATTCTGATCAAGGTGAGTTGATTGATGGAGCATCACAAAGACACATCTGCCAGAGTATCATTAACAACGAGAAAATGAGAGGAGTCGCAAGTGGATTAGTGATGGATTGAATCGCGGTATTAAATCGTATTATTATCGATATATGAATTTTAATGACATCAAGTGAGATGCGAAGCAGATCACTATATTATTCTTTTGCGTTTCAAATAGAATTTGAAGTATGCTATCTGCAAAAAGCCAAAAAGACAAATGGATACGAGAATTGCAACCGAAGTTTTTGTGTACTTGGCGAATATTGCCTCATTCACATCCCTCAATCGTGACTCATGCTCTTTAAGACTGTTTAAAATATCCTCGGAGTTTTTGAGTTGTTCGCTGATCTTATCCAACTGGACAGCTAATAGATTAGTGGCCTCTTCGAAATGTTCCTGGGTAAATTCCCTCATTGCATCTGAGGATAAACTCAGATGCTTGTCTTCTGCAAGGCTTATCCTTTTGAAATATTTGGCGAATTCGTTGAAGTTAACTTGCAGCAAGGTAGTGGCATTTTTGACTTGGACGCGAAGATCAACGTCTCTCGTTTGCTTTTTGAAGCTCCACGACCTGTCGTAGAATATATTATCAAAGCATATATGAATGAAAGAGTTTCCGATGCTTGGATCCAATAAGTGCCCATATTTTCCATCCCTGGCTTTATCACTCCCTGTGCTTTCTTTTCTCGGGCTGAACTTGTTCAAAAAATTAAACAGATTATCTTCTTCAATCTGAATTGGATTATTGAGGTTAGTGAAGATGAACGATATCCCATTAGCAATATCATCTGCCGCTCGAAGAATGTTGTTGTCATCATCAATAACCTTGAAATTTAATTTTTGCGAGGGCTGCCGATCGCCGGTTTCTAACGACACAAAGACCAAGTCATCTTTGGATGTTCGATACCCGACACAATTGAGTAGGTTCTCAGATGAAGATAAAAGCTTGGGTTAGCTGAGCTGATTGCGGGAACTGTTATTCCAATAGCGTTGGTCTCAGCGACCAAAAAAATTATGCTATAGAGTATGGCCCATACTGACCAAGTAGGGCGATGCATGAGAATTGGAGCAGATGGATTTGGGATAATTTACTCGCTGTTTGATTCCAAAAAGATGTGAGTATTGTTCCCAACAAGTTTTGATGGCATGCAGTTTCTATTGATCATACAAAAGAATGGCGGTCCAACAACTTGAGGATACTGCTATGATAGGTTATCCGGAGCAGAGTCAATTCACGATTTTCAACGTTGAGAAAGGTGTCAAACGGAGCGAGAATTCTTTGGTGGCCACCTCAAAGTGAGATTCGGATGTGGTGTCAAAATGACAATGGAAAGGCTTCACGAACTCAAAAGCGTGTCTTGGGATATTGGTTATTTAAAGGATACCAGATAGAATTATTAGCCGAGACTTTGCCCAGCGTCGCTCGTTTCAGTTTAATAACAACGTGTGTGTTTGTGTGGTTGAGATCGGGTCTTTTTTTTTTTTTTTTTTTTTTTTTTTTTCTGTCTCAATAATTTGTTACCATCGTGTCGGGATGTCTGCGCACAACCGAAATGCCAGAATAATCACTTCAACTAACCTCGAGCGAGTGTGACTTGATAAGACATGTTGAGTATAAGACCCTTTTTTATAGACGTGTCCCAGCTAATTTTGGGAGGTAATGGAAGCAAACAGTACTTGCTAATGGTTCTACTATAGCTTGACTGTAAGGACGTCATTTCGAACACTCAAGCCGCTTGACAGCGCAGAATTGACTTACCATCCCATACACTTGTCCACTTTTATTGCAGCTCTAGAAAAATGCCAAGACTTTGTGGTTAGGCAAATCACTTTCCGCCTGATGTCTTCTCGCGTAGCCTTCATACTGTAGGCTGTTGTTCTTAGTTTTCCTTGTAATTTTGAAACGAAACATTTCTCCGAAAAATGAACAGAAATGAAATGATTCCTAATTGCAGAGTGTCATGGCCAGCGATAAGAAAACCGAGCATGGGGATTTACGCTAAATATTGGTGGATAAGAGGCATAAACTTAACGACTTTAGAGGCAAAGATTTGACGAGAACAATTATGCAGAATTTGTTTAAAGCTTAATGCCCATATAATTCTGAAGTAAGCTGTGTTTTGATTGGCAATAACTCAACTTCTGCGATTTCGCTCTGGCACAGAAAGCGGGGTTGCCGGAGTCTCTCACAGCCACTGTGACGATGGTCACGTGCCAAACCGAGAAGAGTATACCTTGCTCACAAACGTCATTCTGTGTTACACCATCCTTGCTACTCCCTAATTGCATACCTGGAAGTATCATTTTTTCTAACTGTTGATAATCGAGACTAGAGTGCATTGTTAGATATCAATGTCTCAACACTTAAACGCCTCACTTTTACGGCTCAAGCTCATTGATGCGTTAAGAGCGGGCGATGAATCGAAGATCGATTCCGTGATCAAAGAGCTTGATTCCATCGACTCAGTTGTCGATACCACAGAATTGGTGAGATTGAGGGAGACGATCCTTCATTTCGCTGTACAGGTTGCCCCTTTGACTACGATTCAGAATTTGATTGACAGCAAGGCTTATAACTTTGATATCAATGCTCAAGATTCTGACGGTAATACGCCTTTGCATCTAGCTGCTGGGGCTTCTCGTTACAATGTTGTGAAATATCTTCTCTCATTGCCAGGAATAAATGACACGGTTACCAACGCGGAAAATCAGCAGCCTGTCGAATTGGCGAGGGATGCCAATATCGCTCAATTGATGCAATTTGAAAGGGCTAAGTTTGTTGAGAAATCCGCCACTCAATTGCGTCAATACTTTAGTGCTAGAGACTTTGACAGTCTTGAACAACTTTTAGTTCTTAACCCAAGAGCTGCAGAACTTTTAGATATCAATGGAGCGGATCCCGAAACCGGAAATACCGTGTTGCATGAGTTTATTGGTAAAGAAGACGTCGAAATGTGTGATTGGATTCTCAAGCACGGTGGTGACCCCTTCAAACGTGACAAACGTGGGAAGTTGCCAATAGATTTGGTGAGCAGAAATGATCCGATAAGAAAACTTTTGAAGCATGCGTCCAAGGATCTGAACATCATGGACTCGGTGGTAAGTGCAAGCAATCCAATGAAAACTGGAAGTGCTCCCACTTACAAAGGGTACTTAAGAAAATGGACCAACTTCGCATCTGGCTACAAGTTACGTTACTTTGTTTTGGATCAGTATGGAATTCTCTCCTACTATGCTGACCAAGGCGATACAAATAACGCTTGCAGAGGATCATTGAATATTGGATTGGCAACTTTGCACCTTGATTCCTCCGAAAAGCTCAAGTTCGAGATCATTGGCAAAAATGGCATCAAATGGCACTTAAAGGCTAACCACCCAGTGGAGACAAACCGTTGGGTATGGACCTTACAAAATGCTATCACCATCTCGAAGGACAACTTGAGGCAAAGGAGAAAGGTCAATTCCGAGAATGCAAACTCCAATGTCGCAACTAATGAAGGGACTAGTATTCGGGAGTCTTTGGACGATGGAACTCGCTCCTCAATCGACGAAGCCGGTCTTCAAGGGGACGACGAAAAGAAGAAGAAACGATTGCATCTTCTTCGTCGCAACAAGCACAAGAAGAGCTCGAGCCAAGTTTCTTTGAGTTCTTTTACTGGCTCAGATCACGAGGACAACCTTCCAGTGGGAAATTCGGAAAACAAAGGTACTGCGACTTCTCCCAACTTACTGCAAATCAAGGAAAACAAACTCACTGACGTCAGGAAAAGCTTCGATGGTGCCCAATCAGTGATGACGAAGGAAGATTTTGATTACGATCTCGATCACGAGTCTGAAGACTCAGACTCCCTCTCGATTCTTAATGGGCTGGGTGACCCAAGTCTGGACGATGCTACGAGACTGTCTAGAGATTCCATGCTTGCCACAAAACGATCCCTTCTTATCGAGATTTCAAGTCTTCTTGATTTGTTCAAGGCATTGAGTGACAAGATTGATAGCGAACCCTACAACGTTGGTCTAAAGACACTTTCTAACGTACACACTTTGATTGAGCAATACGACCAGCTGGTGCAATCGCGAGAGAAGAAGCTTTTTAAACGTATCGAGAGACAAGATGAGATAAATAAGCTCTGGGAGTCCTCCATCCGGCAATTAGAGAGTGAAATTCAGAAGCGTGAACAGACTTTGGCGCAATTTGAGGGTAAAAAGTACAAGATTAGAAAGCTCCTTGAGTCGAGGGGAATACTGTCCCCGCAAGTTTCAAATGAGCTGGCAAATGGATTCTTTTCAGCAACACCACCTAATGCCCCGTCTGAAGCACAGCCATCTGCTCAAGAAAAGGCTCAATCAGCCGACTCCGCCTTGCTTGAGGAAATCTTTCATGATTCGGATGATGAATTTTTTGATGCCGACGAATTCGATGAACCAGATCAGCCGCAAACTAGTCGTAGTGCTGAGGTCGGTGGTACCGATACACAAAGTGGCGAAATTGCCACTGAAGAGGCAGGTGATGCTAACAGGAATACCGGGTTAGCTGCGACAGGTGTCGCAACTGGCGCAGCTTCTCTTTCCCGTTCTGACGGAGATGCACCCCAAGATCAGAGAAGTGACACGAAGGATGTGGAACGAACAGAGGAACAGCCAGTGATCGAGGGCCAGCCCAAGCTTGAAGTTGAACGTGCAGACAACGTCGCAAATGAAGCTCAAGAGAAGGTGTTGAACATCTTGACTCAGGAAGGCTCTTTCTTAGGTTATGAGAAGCCTCCTCGGTCGAGGCTTGCTTATGATGAAGACAATAGGCCCAAAGTGGGTTTATGGGGTATCTTGAAGTCAATGATTGGTAAGGACATGACTAGAATGACGCTTCCAGTATCATTCAATGAGTGCACCTCCCTTCTTCAAAGACTCGCTGAAGACGTCGAATATAACGACCTTCTTCAAAAAGCTGCCTCTATTGAGGACTCCACACTAAGGATGGTATATGTTGCGGCATTTGCAGCTTCAGAGTATGCCTCAACTATCAACAGAATTGCCAAGCCTTTCAATCCTTTGTTAGGTGAGACTTTTGAATACGCTCGTCCTGATCAGAATTTCAGGTTGATATCCGAGCAAGTGAGCCATCATCCACCTATCAGTGCATGCAAGGCTCAATCACCGAAGTGGGATTACTATGGAGAAAACGCTGTCGATTCTCAATTCAGGGGGCGTTCATTTGATTTCAAGCACCTTGGAAAAATGTTTTGTGTGATAAGACCGGATAAGGGTGTGAAGTCCAATAAGGGTGAAGTCCTTCAGGAAGAACTTTACAGCTGGAAGAAAGTTAACACCTCGGTGGTGGGAATCATTGTTGGTAATCCCACCGTTGATAACTACGGAAAGATGGAGGTCACCAATCATACAACCGGAGACGTAATTGTCGTGGATTTGAAGCAAAGGGGATGGAAAGCTTCATCAGCCTACCAATTATCAGGCACTGTGAACGACAATAAAGGAAATTCTCATTGGGCCATAGGAGGGCACTGGAACCTGAAGATATTTGCTCGTAAAGTGTCTGAAACGTCCGAGAAAGCCAGAAGAGATTCATTGATCGACTCACAGGACGCCAAGGCTAGCGAGGATCCTTATTCTGGAGCTAAATTTTTAGTGTGGCAGGCTGCACCTCGCCCGAAGGTGCCGTTTAACTTGACTTCATTCGCGTTGACTTTGAATGATCTCCCTGAGACTTTGAAGCCATGGTTAGCGCCCACCGATACGAGATTGAGGCCCGATCAGAGAGCCATGGAAGATGGTAGATATGACGAGGCATCAAATGAGAAGCACAGGGTTGAGGAGAAACAAAGGGCTGCGAAAAGGAAGAGAGAGGCCACAAGATCTACTTACAAACCAAATTGGTTCGTGAAGAAGCAGCATCCAGTCACCGGTGATAACTATTGGCAGTTTAACGAAGAATACTGGAAACTCAGAAAGGAGAAGAAGCTTGAAGGTACAGGCGATATTTTTTAGACCATTATTTTAGCATGTATTTCACATAGACAAATTTTTCAAACTGCATGAAGCCTAGTATGTGAGATGGGGTGGTCTTGATGATCGCGATGACTATCCGCGCTACTAGGAAAGGCCCTAAAGAGAATGGCTAGGAAAAGCAAATCTAAACCAAACGGTCCTTCAGAGGAGTCCAAAGTCCCTCCAATACTTGCCATAAACTATGAAGAACCACTTTTCTCGGTTGCAGCGCATCCGACTCGACCTATAATGATCTCGGGCCTCGCAACGGGGCACCTCTATTGCCATTCTTACGATGCTGAGGCTCTCGAGAATAGTCTTGCGAGAAAAAAGGAAAAGTACGAGAAATCGATCAAGGATGAGACAAATATCTCAAAGCTAGCCAAAGTATGGTGGTCTCAAGTAGACTACAAAGATAGTTTAGACGAAGTGAAGATGAACTGGAAGACCAAAAGACACAAAGGTTCATGTCGCTCTGTGGTATTTGAGGTCCAAGAAAACTCTGTTGGCGAATTTCTTTACTCGGGTGGTACCGATAATGTGATCAAAAAGGCCTCCACTGAGACAGGCAAAGTGGTAGCTAAGACGGACCTCAGCTCTAACTATGAAAATCCTAAAGATGCGATAACAACCATGGCCGTTTCTCAAACCCATCCGTATCTTTTGGCAGGAACCGATGATGGGCATGTATATGTCTACGATAGTAGGCAGCTCCTGAACGATAAAGTCAAATTCAACCTTCAGAACATGCATGACGATTCGGTGAATAAAATTTTACCCATGAATGCAGTGTCACCGTACCACTATTTGTCATTAGGATCTACCACATTGACACACTTCGATATCAGAAAAGGCATATTGACTCAGTCTGATGATCAAGGTGACGAGTTACTCGCAATGTGTTATCCTACAGAATACGTGAATCAGGGCAAAAATGATACAGTTTTGGTATCTCATGGTGAGGGCGTCGTTTCGCTCTGGAGAGAATCCTCCAACAGGCTATCAGACCAGATTCTGCGAATTAAGGTTAATAAAAATGCATCCATCGATGCGATTGTTCCTACAATGAACGCAGGCAATGAGAACTTCAGCGACTGCGTTTGGTGTGGTGATAGTGAAGGCTTAATCCATAGAGTGGATTATAAGAAATCAAAGGTCGTTGAAACTAGAGTACACTCAGCCGCCATGGGCAAGCTAGGTGGACTAGACGAGGTAGGAGGGCTTGACATAGACTACGATTATAGGCTCATTAGTTCGGGGATGGAAGGACTCAAAGTGTGGAGTGGTGAGTTCGAGCTGAGCGATCGAGAAAATGAGCTACACAGTTCGGAAGATGACCATTGGAGTGACAGTGATGAAGATGATACAGCGTCAGATTCTGAAAGTGAATCTGAGAGCGATATGACCAATCACACTACAATTGGTTCTGATGACGTCACAGCAGATCAATTAAAGAAAAGAATCAAAGTTGAAGACAGTGATGATAGTTCTGATGACGGAGTCGTGAAAAAACAGAAGACAAATGTTTCCTCTGCCCAGGGAGGTCTAAAGGAGGAATCTGGAAACAATGCCGCGTCGAGTGATTCGGCAAAACGAAAAGAAAAGAAATCGAAGAAGAAGCTGTCAAATAATGGTATTTTCAAGTTTGATGGAATCTAGCTTATTCATGGGTGCTAATTGTTTATAATCATTACAGTCAGGAAGAGAGGGAACTCGCACGAGACATAAAAATATCTCAACCCTAGGAGGCATTGCGTCTGTAGAATAGTATTGTAAAGGTCAGTATCACATAAGTAGCTTTCAACAATTATGAAATGGGCTAATGAAGCGCTTTATGGACGAGAATTCTCCTATTCCAATCATAAAAGTCCAAAATACAGAGACCAGTTTGGGGTATTATTGTAAGCAGGAAAGCACTGATAAGGTGTAATGCGACTAGCGCAGCACTACTCGGAGCTCGAAATACGACCACTGTGATCGACAAGCCTGGTAGAGTACCGATCTTTATCCATGGAAAAAAATAGCATAACTTCGATTGACCATGTCTTGTTGACAAGACGCGGTCACCACATCACCGGATCGCTACTTTTGTCGAAGCACCACATGGTATTCACTTTTCGACCGGATCCCACGACTGCGCAACAGAAAGAGATCTGGATTTGCTTTCCAATCATAGATAAGATACTCAAAGCCAGAGGAAACTCTTGGGATACCTCGCAATCGAACTCATCGTTTCTTGCGACTTCATTAGCATCATCCTCTCCCAACCCTGAAGGATTTGATAAGTATATGGCATCGCATATTAAAATATTTTGCAAAGATTTCACGTTTTATTCATTCGACTTTCAAACCGAGACAGCATGCGCCGAGGTGTTTAAACTCCTTAGTCGATTAACCATGGCAAGCAAATTGAAATGCCTGCGAAAAGACCTCTATGCGTCAGAGTATCGCCCCAATATGATGGAAGCGAAACTTCAAGACAAGGGATGGAATTTGTATGACCCCGAAGCGGAGTATACTAGGCAAGGGCTTATACTGTCCACTAAACTGCATGAATACGTGTGGCGGGTTTCGAGTATCAATGCGGAATACAAACTATGTCCGTCCTATCCCAAACATCTAATCGTTCCGGATGCTATATCCGATTCAGTGTTACAGCACGCAAGTAAGTTCAGACTGAAGCAACGCATTCCCGCTGTTGTTTACAGACATCGAATCGGATCAAATCAAAACGTTATTGCCCGCTGCGCTCAACCATTAGTTGGTCTAAACTTTCAAAATAGATCGCTTCAAGACGAAAAACTTGTCGAAGAGATTTTTAGATCTCAAGAACGGGAGGTGAAATCATCTACTGACAGCCCCTTGGTGTACGGAGAGCAACCCCAAAGAAACCTCATCGTGGATTTACGTCCTATAACTAATGCAATGGCTCAACATGCGTTGGGGGCTGGTACAGAAAATGTTGAAAACTACAAAGGTAAGGTCAAAGAAGGTGATGGAGATCGAAAGGTGGGGTCACCTCAGCGCGTCGACAAAATATTCTGCAATATTGATAATATTCATGTCATGCGTGATTCACTAAACAAGCTCACAAGCGTCTTGAGTGAGCTTGATCGATACCCTGTCGCTAGCAATGGAAATTACACCACGTCATTGCCACTTTTGCAGCAAGCGTTGACTAAAACACAGTGGCTACATCGTCTATCCATCATCTTGCAATCGGTCGATCGAATCACGAAATCGATTCATTTGAATAATACCAATGTGCTCATCCACTGCTCAGATGGTTGGGATAGAACGTCACAGGTGTCAGCTTTACTGCAGATATGTCTAGACCCATATTTTCGAACCATGAAGGGGTTCATGGTTCTTATCGAGAAGGAGTGGCTCAGTTTTGGTTTCAAATTTGCGACCAGAGCCGATCATGGTGCTTGCGTTGGAGCACTTCTTCCTGCAAAAGAAGACGCCAAAGGGGATGCTTCGAATGATTCTGATAGTGTCACCTTCCCTGCATCATCGAACTTCACCTCCAGCGTGAACAAAGCCAGTGTTGCCACATTCCTTCTGAAGGCAGCGCTTCGTATTAAAAACACAGCTTCAGCGGCAAAACTGTCGGTATCAGACCGTAGCACAGATGATTTACGCGACGATACCAGTGCCACATACACCGGGAGCAGTGAGAAATCACCAATTTTTCATCAATTTCTTGATTGTGTGTATCAGATTCTTCGCCAGCATCCAGACAAATTTGAGTTTAACAGCAGGTTTTTGAAACGACTCTTTTATCACCACTACTCCTGTCAGTACGGCACTTTCTTGTGTGATTCTGACTTTGAGGCCTCGACGTTGCTCAAGACGAAGACTTGGAGTACTTCAGTCTGGGATTATTTCTTGTCGAGACCCAACGAATTTAAAAACCCGAAGTTTGATCCATCTCAAGATTCCGAGGTACTCTTTTCGAACTTTTCTGACGTGAAGTGGTGGTTCGAGCTTTACGGAAGGTCTGATGAAGAGATGAATGGTTTGTCAAACTCGTTGGACCGTAAATTCGCACAGCTTAGACTCGGAGAAAGTCTCCCGCAAAGTGATTCCGAATCTTCCACAGGTACCTAGCACCTTAGACTAATTAGACACGCAAATATTTTATTCATAAAAGCTATGGGTTTATCTAATCTAAAAGATCTTATCGTATGCGAAATGCACTGGTGTCAGATGCACCCAATCTAGCGCGAGCTTAACTGCCGGCTCGGCATTTCAACTACAGGTTCTTCTCAAAGTCATACACTCCTTAATACAGATGTTTCCAAGACTAAAGCCGTGTATTCGATGGTATAGTGTACGAACTACAGGTCCTCAAGGTGTGAATGGACGACTTCCGCGACACACTAACGAGGACAAGACCGATTCCTCGAAATCTGTGGTTATCACTGATCCGTACGCTATCTATCAAAATTACATCCTGCGAGGCATATTGGAGAAGGATGAGGCTCAACTACGCGTGATGAAGGAGTTTCAAAGGCTTTATCACCGTGTTATCAATTACAGCCCCCTCAAGAAATGGCGATTCGCACTTCCCTCCTTCTTCGAAAGCTCGAGATTAGACAAGCTGAGGAGGCTGTGAAAGTAGACCTGTTAAGAAGTGAACCTTTTTATCGAATCAAAGGCTGGTTCAAAAAGGATATTGAAGCCCAGAAGCGAGACTTGGTTAGATTCATGACTGATGAAGAGGAATTACAAAACATAGCTTCACCCCAAGGTTTATTGGTAAATGGCGAGGTTGGATGTGGCAAATCAATGCTCATGGACATATTTGCGAATACTCTCCCACATCATTCCAAAATGCGATGGCACTACAATAATTTCATTTTGTGGGTCTTTGAGGAGATTCACAGAATACAAAAGGAGCGGATGCTAACCGCATCAACCATTGGCAAGCACAAAATGACAATGGAAAATGAGTTTATTCTTTTTGAGATCGCACAAAAGATGATTGGGAGAAGTACCATTTTCATGCTCGATGAGTTCATGCTTCCAGATGTGGCATCAGCTCAGATAATACGCATATTGTTTACCTATTACTTCAAGCTAGGAGGTGTTCTTGTTGCAACAAGTAATAAATTGCCAGAAGAGCTTTACTCAACCGAGTTCAACAAGTCTAGATTCAAGTCATTCGTCTCAATTCTCGGCGCCAGGTGCATAAGTGTTGACATGAAATCGGCTAAGGATTATCGACTGTACTTTGCCAGTTCGCTGGCACAAAGAAAAAATCACGTTGTGAAATCAAGCGACAGTGATCATGAGTACACTTGGAATCAGCTTCTAAAGTCCGCCGCTCTCAAAATTGATGATTCATCACCACTTATGGACAACAGCATTAAAATAGAAGACTTGGATCTGAAGCCAGCTTCTATCAAGGTTTATAATCGTGAGTCATTCATCCCCCATACCTTCAAAAAACAGTCTGTGTGTTACCTAGATTTTGATTATATCTGCCGCGGGCTCTTCTCGTCGTCTGACTATATCACACTTGCTTCAGCTTTTAAAACAGTCATTGTTGACAATGTCCCTGTGATGACCACAAAGATGAAGAATGAAGCCAGAAGATTCATCACACTTTTGGATGCATTGTATGAAGCAAAGTGTCAATTCTTTATGCGAAGTGAAGCGGACATCGACAGACTATTTTTCCCGGATGAAAAAAACTTAAACGAGGACAATTATGATACTGTTCAACAAGAAGAAATGTTTGCTAAGACAGCTATCGCTGCAATGAATCCTTATAGACCTAACATTTCATCATACGATCTGGATTACGCTAAAGAATTCGAGGACGTGGACACAAACAGAGGAGGGTCGGTTAATTTTGGCAATGTAAAGGCCTTCACTGGTGAAGATGAGAAGTTTGCTTATAAAAGAGCACTCCTGAGAATATCAGAAATGGTTGGCTCTGACCACTGGAGAAGCGCCGATCGCTGGGTTCCCATTGATCACAGCATGCGACCATGGGAAGACAGCAATTGTAAGAAGACGTCAATTGGCTTGTCAAAAAGCTCATCCGATACTGAGGATAACGAGCAAATAAATCTTGATGGCCTTCATGGCAAGGAGCTCAAATCGGCGCTAACGCACAGTCTACCAAGGGACTTGAGCGCCCACTACAACATGCCGTTTAGAGAATTCAACAAGAGAACAGCCCCATCTTTTAATGCTCTTCAGCATTTTTGGGCTATGGGCTCTTGGACTCTAGCGCAACAGAAGAAAATCAAAGACAAGATTGCGCAGACTTGGGTGAGTGGCAGCGTGAGGGAGAAATGAGATTTCCACAGTTTTTTTCTAGTACCGCAGGAAACGCTTCCCCACAATAACGTTAACACCGCGCTACCACTTCCATTGGCGGTCCACTCATAATTAGTCTCTCTTTCTAAGTAGAATTCAAAAAAGGTGTTTGTAGAGTCAATTGTTAATATGAAATTTTATGAAGCTTTTTGAATGCTGAGAATTCAGTAGCTGAAAACGGATGGCTTCTTTTTCACAATTTCCTCCGAGGTCCCTGTCATGTGAATGCGCAGGAGCGGTCGGATAACTCCTCCCTCTTACAATTCGGACACACAAGATATTTTCCACCATACGTCTTTTTTCTAGCAGTTTCAATATGGTCGTTCTCACTGCGGAAAGGCTCGTGAAGCTTGCTTACAAGTACCCCACACTTCACAGTAACTGGTACATAATTGCATCCACAGCGTTGGCGGTGGTAAACCAACCGCAAGAAATTGGTAAGGTTCTTCACTTTGCCTTGAGACAGCAGCTCTTGGAGTCCCTGAATCCTCGAGACAAGCCGCTTTTGACTGATCCTTATTTGTTGAAGCTTGCGGAGGATTCTATCACCTCCGCTGCCAAGGCTGATGAATTCACGGCAGTCGGTGTGAACTTGCCAGAGGTCTTGATCCCATACACCTACCATGACAAGCTCCCGCTTCCATATAAATATTCCAGAACGGAGGATATCACTGCTGCTCAGATCCAAGTGGCTGCGAGGATAAGAGAGGCTCTCTTGAAAATTGCCCCAATCGCTGGCTTACCAAAGTCCATCAATGCTTTGACAGCATTGTATAAGGTAACTCCATCTACGGTAAGAGCTGCTAACAAGGCCATGAGGCCAGCAACGGTTCAGCCAGGCCATGTGAACTCCTCCTCGATTGTGCAAGAGGATGTCGCTGGCACTAGATTCGAAGATCAACTGATTGACACAAGAGACACAATCGACGGTCCCATTTGTAAGAAGTCCGTCAGCAGTCAACAAATCAGTGACAACTTTGTGCGTGGATCTGCTTTGTGGGAAAGCATCTACGGTAAGGTCAGTAACCGTGTCAAGAACCAGATGTTCTCTGCATACCCTGACTTATGGCAGTACGCTATTCACAACGTTTACTCGCCTATCTTGAGTTTCGAAGATATCTTGCCAGCAAAGGAGACGTCCTTGTGCGTGGTTACCGCCTTAATTCCACAAGATGTGCCACCAACTCTCAAAGGCCATGTGAGAGGAGCTGTTAACTTGGGAGCGACCAAAGAAGAATTGACCGATATCAGACTCCTTGTCTTCGACATTTGTGACTGGAGTGGTAACGTTTCCTGGAAGGGAGGTAAAGAAAGCGTCTACAAACTTTAGAATTATTCTAAATGCTTACACATCAGTGCCTTATAAGTAGCAATCTTCAAACTTTATGACAACGTTTTATGTAATTATATTATGAGCTAAGTCCAAACCGGGTAGGAGCGTTGGAATCACTGATTCATCTTTATCACAACTTAATCCGGTCTTGTCTCTGAATCAAGAGCACCTGGCATCCGCAGAAGACAAAGAAGGCCAAATAAACGAAGACGGCTCCGAATACCGTATGCGCCACGGCATCACCGTCAGTAGGATCGTTCACTGAACCCATCATTGACTCATGACCAATTTTGAAAAGCCAACCAATGACAGACAAGATAACAATGCCAAAGGCAGACAACACTGTGCAGAAATAGGCATTGCCTGTGGACACCACAGGCTTCATTTTGCAAAGTTGGGTAGTGTTTTATAAAGCAAGGTGTTCGTTCTCCTTGGTGAGAATTGTAGTATTCTTATTGCTATGTACAGGCAGGACAGATTACGGTCCCCCAATAACCGTTACATGTTAGTGGAAACGAGGAGTTTTTCGGCTTCGAACCATCTTCATCAAAAATGCATCCGTGCCTTCTAAATAGCCTAGGTAAAGCTCCTTAGTATCTGGAGGTGATCGTCTGCAAGGATGGTTCAAATGCCACGGTCCACCAAAATTAATTTGGGCAACACCATCCCGTTACTTAAACGCCGGCTTTTACAATTAGAATTGTTTAACAAACAAATACATGAATTGTTTTCATGAGTCGAATGTTTTTTGTGAGCAAAGTACAGCGATTCTGTAATGCGACCTCACACGCACTATCGATCCTACCGGCTTTTCTCGATAATGTCGATCAAAACAGAACAATTCATCGATGCTCCATTGGAAAGCTTGCTTGAGAAAGAAGATGTCAGATTAGCAAAATTCAATTCAGATGTGGCTTGGGAAATTGGTGTTCTTGCAAAACAATTGGCAATTGAATATGGCTTTTCCAAGGCCATTTTGATTGACGTTACCACAGCAGATGGTACAACATTCTTTCATAGCCCATCGAAGCCAACCATTGTGCGTGATAATGATATATGGGTGCAAAGAAAACAAAAGACTACTTTTCGCTTTGGTGTCTCGAGCTACTACATGGGTGCCAAATTGAAATCCAAGGGCTCGATAAAAATGGAAGATGCGTTCTACATCAACAGCGCTGAATACGCAGTCCATGGGGGCTCCGTACCTATCAGATTGCAAAACTTCGACGGTGTCGTTGCTGCCCTTACTATCAGTGGCCTCAAACAGGAGGAGGATCACGCGTTTGCAATTGAGGTTCTCCTGAAGATCGCTAAGAACTTGTGATGGGTGCATTTTAACAGAGAATTCAGATGTTCAAGATACTGATTGGTTGTGCCCTTGATGAGACGAGACCAATTGTTTTTTTATCGTTTTCGTATGTGCTGTTTCTGGAGCAGCTGCAATGAAAGAAATTCCCTCTTCAACTCTCCAGCATATGCCCAGTGGATTTACTGGCACGGTCATGTAATGTAGAGCGAACCCAATCAGCGTTTTTGATTGGCTCTAAACGGTGCTCTTGGATAGATTTATGAAGGGCAACAAGCGCCCTGTAGCCAAATTAAGTTTTTCAGATACCCAGACTATTTACGCCCTCTGGTAAATACGAAACACTTTGAGATGAAGTAGGATTAGGCTACTCCATCTCTCTTTTTTTTTTGAAGAATAGGAACAAAAAAAATTCAAAAATCTTGCGTTAAATCTCCTAAATATCAATAAATTGAATAAAACACAAATTGAGCCTAAAAATTGCAGTACTTAAAACTGTGCCTTCAAACTTCGCCAAAGCAAATATTAATACCTAAGAACAACTTTGCTATAAAAAAATACTAAAATTACGTATTTTTGCTCTCAATGTCTGGCTTGATATATTAAGCCCGCACATTCTTAAGGGCATAAGCTGCTTCACTAGCTCAGTAGGCAGAGCGTCAGTCTCATAATCTGAAGGTCGAGAGTTCGAACCTCCCGTGGAGCAGATTTTTTTTGGTCTTTTGGGCGGCCACATCTTACATATGCATGCGCTTACAACAGCTCATTCTATATACGAGCACCACTTTGTTCAAGAGAAATGTATCGAACTTTCAGAAGAATGGTGTATGACAATAGCCAAGTCATCTACATCCCTACATGTTGACATCTTTTTTGTAAGAGGAGACAAACAAAGGCATAACAGTTGTTCTACCTCAAAATGTGGCGCAACGGTGGTAGTCAGGGTGGCATCATGCGATGGAGGTACAAGTGCGGCACACACTTAAGGCGATCTCCGTAAGCGCATTATCATCGTTTAGAGTCAAGGGACCCTAGTAATTACCCATGCGGGTCTGCATACAGGCTTGCATGCAATCCGGATGCCATCTTGATTTCTTTTTTAGAAAGTGCGTTATATAAGACTGCTACACTCTTCCTGACGACTTTTATTTTTCTGCATTTATTGATCTTACCAAGTCAAGCATGGGGGACATTAACGCACCCGGCTACAATGCCATCATCTATATGACATATGTGTTCTTGCTTGCCACTGGGTTATTACTCGCCTGGAAGTATGGGAAACAAAGCAACTTTTTATCCAGTAACAATACCCAAAGAGGTCTTCCCCTTGCCGTTAATTTCGTGGCATCAGGTATGTATAAGTTTTTTCAACGTCATTCATTGACTTAGTTTTGCAACTTGCTAGCGGGTGCAGTGTCAATCTTACATTGGGTTCAATGTTCTAGATTGGGACGGCTGAGATTATACCGTTTGGACTTGATCAAGTTAGTACTTGTGTGAGGAAGCTCAAAGTTGCGTACAACGACAAATGAACTTAGGCTCAGCTCGACTTTGAGAAGCTGCTCGTTTTACGGGGCTGTTCGGTCTGTCCTTTAGCCTAATATGGCAGTTCATCACTGAGCCGAATTGATCATCATCGAAAGCGTTTTAGTCCTTCTCAGCCCATTATATCAAAGCACCCGTAGATAGTTGTAGTATTTGTCATTTACAATTCTAACTTTTCAGCTATGGGATGTGGTATATTGACCACATACGCCCAGATCGGAAATGTGGGTGGTCTTCACGGCCTTTTGGTTTACACGCTCTCAGGATCACTCCCTATCCTCATGTTCGCAGCTGTGGGTCCTCTGATTCGCCGCAGATGTCCAGAAGGTTTTGTCTTCACTGAGTGGGTGAGACAGCGTTACGGCCCAGTGGCCTCGTTGTACCTCTCCTTCTTCACCTGCCTTACAATGTTTTTGTTCATGATTGGTGAATTATCGGCTGTGAGAGGTGCCATAGAGACTCTTACTGGCCTTGATGCTCTTGCGGCAGTGATTGTTGAGTGTGTAGTCACGACGATCTACACCTCGTTCGGAGGATTCCGAGTGAGTTTTATCACTGACAATTTCCAAGGAGCCTTGGTAATTATTTTGATCATCATTTGTGCCGCTGGTATGGGTTCCTATATTGAAATCGACACCTCTGAGGTTGGACCTTCCGGATTGTTGAAGGCTAACAAGTTGGGATGGCAGTTGGTGTGGATTTTGCCAGTTGCAATTTTCACCAACGATTGCTTCATGGCAGGGTTCTGGCTCAGAACTTTCGCCAGTAAGACCAACAAAGATTTGTGGATCGGCTGCTCCATCGCTTCGTTTGTGACGTTTGTGATTTGTACCTTGGTTGGAACCACAGGTTTCTTGGCTGTCTGGTCTGGTGATCTCACTGTTGGAGACGACAACGGCTACAACGCATTTTTCATCTTGTTAGCAAAGATGCCTGCTTGGCTCTCCGCTTTTGTTTTGATCTTTGTCATCTGCTTGTCAACATGCACGTTTGACTCGATGCAGAGTGCCATGGTTTCTACCATTTCCAATGATGTTTTCAGAAACAAGTTGAAGATGATCTGGGTTCGTGGATTGGTGGTTCTCGTTATGATTCCAAGTATTGTGTTGGCCGTGAAAGTTGCTGATGATATCTTGCAAATCTACTTGATCGCCGATTTGGTTTCCGCAGCCATCATCCCCAGTATTTTCCTCGGATTGAGTGATCGGGCATTCTGGTTCCTCAGAGGTATTGACGTCATGGTTGGCGGTCTCGGATCATTGTTTGGCGTCTTCGTGTTTGGTTGGATCTACTACGACAGCGCTCAAGAAGGTGGAAAGCTCATGTTGATTTGGAATGGTCTCTATAACCCCGAAGACTGGGGTCCATTTGGTGCTTTTACCGTCACTTTCTGCGGTGGTGTGATTTTTGCTCTTATGTTCACCGCTGTCAGAATTGGTGCTCTCTACGTGTATGCGAAGGTCACCAAGACTGAGTTCACGGCTTTGGAGCGGAAGGAAACGATGTATGACGTTGAACCATCTGATGAAATACCCTCAGCTGACGATTCTAGCATAAAAAAAGCATCCTTGCAAGACGCCTGAGACCATCTCAGTTACTATAGACGATACAGCAATAGCCTAATTGATAATATACTTCGGATGAGTACCCTAAAACTAATGTAGGTGAGTTCTGCAAAAAAGCTTGCAGAAATAGATACTTGATTCTGATCCAGTGACAAAGAATTTAGTTGATTGTCGCTTGATCAATTTTCACTCCTTATTTTCTTTTCCATCCTTATCGATTTATTTGCATATTATGATTCCCCAGTGTGTGATTGTTATGCATGCGCGTCAAAGCTGGTGTTGCATCGCGCCATCGTGGATCAAGCATATCAACAGTACTATCCACAGCTTCGTCAAATCATGACCACATCGGAGCCCGAAGAGAGCTTCGGGGACTCCGATACTGACACTCGTAAGCGGGCTTTCGAGGTGGACGTATGTATTTTATCAAATGAAAGCAAAAATCGACAAATACTAACATCTAGTCTGGTCAATCAGCCGAGCAGTACATGTCTCAGCTTCTAGCGCTGAAACGCCGAAAACTAGGCGACGACGAAGAAACAAGTGATGATTCTGATGAAGAGAACGATCTCGGTCACAGGAACAAGGCAGGATACATCAAGAAGCTCACACTCAAAAACTTCATGTGTCATGATCATTTTGAATTGGAGTTTGGCCCCCAAATGAACTTTATCATTGGAAGAAACGGCTCAGGAAAAAGCGCCATTCTTACTGGTATATCCGTTGGCCTTGGAGCTAAAGCCACAGATACCAACAGAGGCTCGTCGATCAAAAGTCTTATCAAAGACGGGAAGTCCACCGCGCGTGTGACTGTTGAAATCGATAATGAGGGTTTGGACTCGTTTGAGAAAGATGTTTACGGCTCCAAAATTATAGTGGAGAGAAAGCTTCTGCGTGAAGGTTCCAACAATTATTCCATTCGGAGTGAGAATGGTGCGGTTGTGTCGACGAAGAAGAAGACTCTAGATGAGATCTTGCAAAAGTTTTTCATTGTTGTCAACAATCCCTTGTCATTTCTCTCACAGGATAAAGCTCGTGAATTCATCGCTAGCAGTACTGAACTGTCTCGGTTTACTCATTTTAGTGAGGGCACAAACATCCAATCGATTCTTCTGAATTACCAAGATGCATCCAAAAACATCATGAACCTCCAACACCGACTGAAGTCCGCGAAGCTGTTCTTCGATGATGCTTGTCAGAAGTACAAAGAATGTGAAAGAACTTATCAAAAATATAAGCATTCGCACAACCTTCGTGAGCAGTCCGAAAGAATCAATGGAAAGATGTATTGGTTCAATGTCGAGGTGATGGAAAAGCGGATTGGCAAGAAACACAAGGAAGTCGACCAAAAGCGCGAGGAAATCTGCAACATCGACAATGACATAGAAGAAAAAGGTGACCAACTCACCCAAAGTGAGGAAAAACTATTGTCTCTCAAGAAGGAGCATGATACAGTTTCTGAATTGCAAGAGTTGAAGCTCGCAGAAGTTCGTCTGGCGGAAACCGCTGCAAGCGATGCGACAAGGCAAACTCAACAGGTAAGAAATGATTTGACCACTTACAAAACAGAAGTTGACGATTTCAATAAGCAGATTCAAGACTTACAAAAACAAATAGACCAGGAACAGCGAAAAATTGATGAGATAAATGGCGGTTCAAAGGATCAAATGAGAGAGCGACTCAGCGAGCTTCGTAAGAAGCAAGAGAATTTGGTTCAAGAAAAAGACGAGGCCCAAAGGGCAATCTCCAGCTTCGACGAGGAAAGCCCCGAATTGCTCAGTGCCACACGAAAGCTTCAAGACCTCAAATATCAGAAGCAAGGTTTACAAGAGCAAATTCGAAGCATAGAACGAACCAAGAACGACAAATATGCAGCATTTGGACTCACAATCCAGTCTTTGCTACGAGCAATAGATGATGAGAGTGGTTGGCATCAAAAACCAATTGGACCTGTTGGCTGTTTTGTGAGTGTGAGGGAGGAATATAGTCGTTGGGCTGACTTAATCAATGCTTTCTTGCAAAGAGCTCTTGATTCTTTCGTTGTGTGCGACGAACACGATAGAAAAATCCTAGCGAACCTTATGAGGAGCAGAAGAATACAAAAAGGTATTATTGTGAGAAGATTCGAAAAATTCAAGTTCACCGCTGTCAGTGCCCCCGATGCTGTGACAGTCTTAGACACTCTCGAAATCCAGGTTCATGATGTGTTGTACACTCTCATAGATTCCAGCAGTATCGAAGAGATGATAATCTGTGATACAATATCGAAAGCTGAAGATCTAACCCGAATTGCTGAGGTCAGGAGTGCGTTTTGTCTTAATGACAAGAAGTCAGGAATTCGTCTCGCAAGAGGGAAGGGCGGTGGAATCACTAGAGACCCTGTATTCTACTCCAACGATTTACGAAAACTAGCAGGAAAAGCTTCCGACACCGGCTTAAGATCAGATCTAGAAGATGTTCTACAGGAGGAATCAAAGATTCAAAATGAGAGGAACAGGCTCCGCCATGAATGGAACCAGAGGAAGGTTGAGCTCCAGCGTATTTTCAATGATAAGCGGAAGGCTTTGAAAGAAGTGCAAAATCAAATTTTCTCAACTGAACGGATACTCGCCGAAGAGGGTGACTTTGGGAGAATTGAGACTTTGAAAACTCAGATAGAGACTCTTCGGAGTCAGATAGCAACAAGAGAGGGAATGTTTGTTGAGGTTGCGGAGAATGGTAGAGAGGCCAAACGTGTCGAGAAAGCTAAACGCTCTGCATTAGAGCAGATCCAGAATGCAAAAAAGGAGATTGATGACGATGTTACCGCTATCGAGCAGAGACTAGACACAGTGAAGCAGAGCATGGACAATTTAAAAGCGGAGATAGATGCCAGCAGAATTAAAAAGGAACAATTGATAGAGATGTTGACTTCTATTGAGGCGAAATTGCTTGAAGATGAGGCAAAGCGTGATGAACTACTCACAGAGGCTCAAGCCAGGTGTACTCGAGAAGAGGCGAACATTCTCGAAACCGACACGACAGAGTCAATCACGAATGAATATGCAAATATTCAGCAGGCGATCGAAGAGGCTGAGAGAAGCAATAGCAAATCGTTCGAGCAGATCCTGGACGAACTTCTTGAGGCACGGGCCAACAAGAACAAATGTGAGAGCAGTCTCTCTGATTTGGAGAGTGCCAGAATCAACCTTGAGAATGACTTGAACTCGAGATTTGAAAATCTCAATATAACTATCAAGGAGAAACTCACTCGAGCGAAGCTGTCCTTCGAACACTGCCTCGCATTGAGAGGATTCAAAGGTAAACTCGAGTTCGACTTCGCCAAAAAGAGAGTTATCACTGAAGTCCAAACCAAGGACGACAAGCAGAGTAGAGCGGTACAGTCCTTATCAGGAGGAGAAAAATCTTTCACGCAGATAGCCTTTCTACTAAGCATATGGAAGGTGATGAAACCTAGAGTGTGTGGTCTAGACGAGTTTGACGTCTTCATGGACTCAGTGAATCGTACAATTGCAATCAGGCTTTTGATCCACGAGCTTCGATCGTCAAACGCACAATCGATTTTCATTACACCGCAGGATATCACAGCGGTTGGGGATTTGCAAGACAGCGAGGATGTCAGGATACACCAGATTAGGCCACCAAGACAAGAATGATCATTTCGTTATTAAAAAGGTTATTTACAAGGATATATGCATGGTTGGAGATGCTCTTGACAAAAGACTGTCTCCAACGTTAAGCTCGACAAGCTTGTTGTAGTCACTTTGATGTAATGAAAATTGGAATGGCTTCTTTTCAAATGCTTTGCTATCTGCCGCCCATTCGAATAAAAATAGACGAACCTCTTGTCTCAAAGTCGTGGGACACGCTAGCAAAGCTTGAAGACAAGCTATACGGCATTCGTACGTCCATCCCCGGTCCATAGTCTCTCGACAGGTAGCGCGGCAAGAGCTTAAAATGTCACTAATTTGCCTTACCTCGCTTGAAGAACAATATGATGTCGAGAATTTTTTCTTAATCGCTCTGAATAAGATTGTGAAAACCTCACCTCCTCTGAATAAAACTTTGGCATGTAATCGAGGATAGGAAGCTTTTGTTCTCCTGAGAACAGCCCAAGCCTCAAAAAGATGGCCATCGTTGCAAAGAGAGGCAATCACTGGAGTGAGTAATGCATGGTGGTTTGATGTGATGAAGTTAACAAGTCTTTCGATTGCCGAGCTACGATCGGCCATTATCAGTGACATGTTTCGCAGAATCAAAGCATTGACATAAGGTGTGTCGGCAAGTTCAATAACACCATCAAAGATTGCGTTGTATCTTTTTCCAGGTAGACTATACTTGTTGTACACAATAGAAGGATCGTTGATAGGGTCATCACTTGCTAATATCCGCTTCTGCCGCTCTTTCAGATTATGCTCCACAGCGTATTTCAAATTATGCTCGACAGTACTGCCTTTTTGTAAAGGACTATACCCTCTGTGTTGCCAGGCCAACTTAACAAATTCAGCTATCGCTAGGGACGTTTCACCGGCACAAGCGTGAGCTTCCACCTTAGCTAAGGCGATAGATCTGTAAATTGTGCGATGCCAGAAGTAAGAATAGTACCTTTTGAAGTAGCTTTGAATTCCACAGACAGCCACATTGTTTCCATTATGCATTAGCACGATAGAAAGTTGTGCCAAAATGTCAGGAAATAGAAGAAATGGTATGAGCGGGTTATTTGTCCCTTTGAAATTTGGATCATCATAAGCAGCGATGGGGTCAATAACTTCATGATAAACCAAACATGCAGCTGAATAATGGCCTAGCTCGCAAGCTTTTGAGGCAAGAGCAGACCATGTTTGGTTAGATATGCAATAGGATGTGCTGTCAGCATGAAGGAGAATATGAATCAACGAGACTGCTGCATTGAGATTCTCTTCAGCTAGGAGGTTTCCAATGTACCGTTCCACTAATTTAGAGCTGAGAAGTCCTTGGTTCTTCTGAGACAAATGCTCAGTGATGTGGGCGAAAACGGGCATGCTTTCACCCGTTTGAAGGAGCCGCAGTAGCTCTATATTTGAACGCAATGAGGGATGTAGTTTCTGCAACTCAACTTGTTCTTTTTGACGGTTCAGAAGCTTTTCAAAATCATCTAGGAATTCACGGACACTTAGTTGTGAAAACGGATCTCGGCCTCGTTGAGAAAGCCAAAGCAGGGGAATGAACTCGACGGTTGAATGACGCCGTAGGAAAGGCAATCTTAAAAGCGGTAGCATCGAATTGTCTTCATCTATCAAAACTCAACCGTTTTATGTCTTACTCTTCATGGCACGTTGTGTACACCACCTTGAGAAAAAATGTCTGGAATTCTAGTTTTTCACGTACATTTCTTATCCGCAAATCTCCCCATCAACATTCAATGTTAGGAAGCATAGCTCTCAAAGCTGGTCCTACCAGATCCCTCTTGAGGGCTTCTGTTGGTCTCAAGTCTCTCACCAACCCAAAGCATGTCGCCCTGATGAGCCCTATCGCCGTGCTTAAACCATCCATACAAAGATCATCTATCAGATTCAGTTCACAGAGCACAAACTCTGCTTCATCGGAGGCTTCTAGCGTGGTCTCTAGCATTCAAGACAAGTTGCCCGCCTTCGACTCATCGGCCGTTCTGGAAGCGACCAACATGACATCGGATCAGTTGGGATACTTGAATTCGATTGGAATGGCACAAGGCTGGGGAGTCACAGCATGGATGGAGACCCTTCTTGAAAATGTCCATGTGTACACTGGACTTCCATGGTGGGGAACGATCGTGACCACCGCCCTTCTTATCAGGACTGTTCTTTTCCCACTTTATGTCAAAGCAGCAGTCAATAACGCTAGATTAGCTGCCATCCAACCAGAAATGTCAAAAATCATGGACCGTCTTAAGACTGAGCCTGAGAACACTGCACAGATCACAAGAGAAAGAGCCTTGCTTTTCCAGAAGAATGACGTTTCTGTGTTCAAGTCACTTTACGGTATGGCTCAGCTTCCTTTTGCCTACGGTGTTTTCCAGGGCCTTAGAAAGATGGCTGCTCATCCAGTCGAGGGATTCTCAACTCAAGGTGCACTCTGGTTCCACGATTTGACTCAGGTCGACCCATACTTGGGTTTGCAGGGGTTGTCTGCCCTCCTTGTTGTGGGTTTGATTAGATTGGGAGGTGATGCTGGTACCAATATGAACCAAATGATGAAGAAGTACTTCTACGTTTTTCCAGCTATGGCTTTTGTGTTCACCATGAACTTCTCTGCTGCAGTCGCTTTGTATATTTCCGTGGGTACTTTCTTCTCCGTTTTACAAGGTCAGTTGTTCAAGAGTCAAGCGTTCAAGAATTATTATAACCTTCCGAAACCTCCTAAGCAAGATCTTCTGAAGCAGCCTGCTAACCTCAGTGAATGGTTCCAGCAAATGGCTGAAAAGCAGAGAGATTCCACAAGAGCCAAGTTGGAACAAGCTAACAAGAAGTATGAGGCACAGTCAAGACATCGTCTTCACGGCAAGGATGGTTTCGTTAAGAGACATTAGATTCACTATAAATACTGGAATATACTTGTAGATAGTCATTCCGCCAGTGGGCAATATCTGTTCCTAAAATAATATTTAGTTGCATCAATTCTCCTCGTTAGAATGGTTGAAAATTGCATCCCAATTATCGATGAGCTTTTCCAAGACAAAATTGATGAACCCGAAGTTGCTAACAAGCGCTTCTGCGGAGCTTGCTTCTGTTAAAGCTGGTCCTATCACTGTTGCTAAGTTCGAGGCTGTCATTTTGTTGTGTTCACTTTGACTTGCGACCCGGCTAAGGTGACGAATCAAGCTTCTGAGAGTGTAGAAGTTGTGACGAGGTAACTTTTTCAAGACAAATGAGTATGGCTCTGCGAAAAAGCCATTCTCCGTCATTGCCTCTGAAAGCAACTCGTTGTCTGCCTTGAGTTGAAACAATTCTCTGATCACATCATCAGTCAAAATTGCATCGGGTAACTCTCTAAAGTACAGCTTGACGCAACTGGTGAGGGCATGTACATCAATATGTCTAGCCTGAAGGTCAACGGTACCGGTTCTGTCGATCTCTTGCTTCAAGGCTGAGAGCTCCGAAATCGAGGTACTGATACGATAAATACCAACATCATGAAGTCCCTCACTCTCGATAGCTTCATAGATTAAGTCAAGGAAAAGTGGGGATCTGGATCTGTCCCTCGAGCATATGGTTTCAAGGGGCAAGCTGAACGTGATCATGGAGGAGGTACATTTGTAGTTGAGTAACCTCGAATGGAACCAATGTCTGTTTGCAAACGCCAACTTGTTTGACCAATCCCTCATCTCTTCCTCATCAGGAGTTCTGAGATAAAGAACATCGCCACTATCTGAGTCAACTTTAAGACAGTTGGGGAGGAGATAAACAGGGAAGATCTTGTAATCTTTAAGAAGCATAGAGTGCAAGGGCTTAGACTTCGCGTCCACCACTGAGCTGGGATCCGGCAACTCCCAATAATCAACCACTTTTTCACCTCCAGCACTGTTGAGTCTGTTAAATAAACCGCTTATCTTGAACCTCGAGGAAGCATTCGTCTTGTAGTTCAATGATTGACGCCTTAAACTGCTCGCCAGTTTCTTGGTACGTGGATTTTGATCGCCTGACAAATTCTTCACGATCCTACCATCAGTTTTGGCTAACTCAGCTTCATTTATCAGTTGTTGAAGCTTCAAAATAGGACCGAAAACATCCCACTTGTGACGGTCATTCGGAACGATATCGGCGATCTTGATAGACTGGCAAAGCGACTCATCAAGCTTCAACAAGAAGTCAAATTCACCAGCTTCGAGATGGGTGTCATCCATGTCTTCGACACTGAGCTCCTTGATCAACTTGTAAATGAGGTATCTCTTATTAAAGTTGATACTTGTGTTGTAGAAGTTCGGACATTTGTTGACCTCAAGAAGAAGCTCAAAAATCCATCCAAAGCAAGGCAAAAGAGGCTCTTGTACCATGAGCATATCACTGCTCTTGATACCACGCGGAAGAAGGTCGTTGATATCTTTGAAGACTCCATGAGATGCACTCTCAGATATGCCAGCATTGAGCGAGTTTGACGCTTTGGCCCAAAGTGGTCCTAACTGGCGGCTGGCTGGGTGATAGATGACGTTGACGATTGCACTTTCGATACATGAGGGGATACTGCCAGAGTCGCCCTCAAATACAAACTGACTCTCGCCCATCTTCAACTGAGAAATTTTCACCATAATCAACAATGTCTTCATCCGATCCAATCTCTCCTCAAGAGCTATATTAGGGTCACAAAGCTGTATGTAAAGGTAACACTTAAACTTGTGGTACAATCTGAAAAGCTTGCGGAAGACTAAAGGGAATTTGCTCATCAATATCTCGTTATCCGCACCGTCTCTCAAGCTATCAAAGTAGCTAAAAATGTTAGAAACGTATATCTGCTCTTCTGCTGAATTTTTGGGAATCGAGTAATTCAAAAGAGAATAATTCTCAAATTGATTCTCGAGGATGTTGAAAGCCCTGAACCAATCTTCCGGCTTAATCCCTTTATAGAAAAGTGTAAGAAGCTTGTTGAATTTGTGAATAAACTTCTCAATCTTGTGCACGTTTTTATGACTTGGAAGATTACGGTTCATAGGAACGTCGTGAAGGACATTCGAGAACCTGAATTCGTGCGTCAAGAATTCATCAAATTTCAGCACTTCCACAGGTCTGTAAGTCTTCTTGACAAACATTTTCTTGAGCTTCTTATAGTAGTTGACTAACTCTTCAAAATACTTGTCCAATTGTTTGTCAATCTTGTTTGAGTTGTACCACTGCAATATCTCGTTAGTGTAAAGCTTGAAGAATTTGATCATAGTCCTCTTGTTTGTCAAGTCGTGGGCAAAATTTGCATAGAAGTTATTGAGAAGTACAAGGAGGGCCTTCAAAATATTCACTTGAATTTTGAGAAGGAGCTCGTAGTCAACATCACCCAATTCAGCCAACTTCACATCTTCATCAACATTCCAGTTGGGGAACTTCCCAAAGGTGACTGGATTATATTCACCTTTCCTTATGAGGTGCTGCTTCTTCATGATGGAAATAACAGCATTACCAGAGTGGACGAATCTATGTGCCAAGTTATCAAGGAGGTCTTTTGTGGACATGAACGAGCTGTAGTTCAACAAGAACACGAAACGAAATTCGCTTAACTCAATTGGGTATCTCTCATCAAAATAGACAGAATCAATTAGCATCAAATCGATTAAAGTGTCAACAGGTGCAAATCGAGGAATGAATTTCGTGGATCTCAGCTGGCTTGCCCTGTTATTGGAGTAGTTCGAAACTAGACCAAAACTGCGATGCCTCTTTTCCTTCGCTGAAGCCGGTTGTTCGTCACGATGATCTTCTTGAAGCGAGAGGTTTTTGAACTTCTCCGAATTTAAGATGTCATCTACATCAATACCAAGTCCTTCATCCTCTGTCTCTAATTTGTCCTCTTCCGTTCTGTCTGCTGATGAAACTGACGATACAAGGTCGAAATCAGCGACAAAATCGTCGACTCTGAGCGTCAAATCGTTATTGATGACAATTCTGTGATTCCCATCGACTGGACTGTCCGGGAGTCCTGGTTGACTTGCAACAAGGTCATCATAGTTCAGTAAATCAATTTTGAAATGATTGTTGTTGAATGCTGGTAACTTCTCTTCTGCTGGAGTTTCCTTAATGGTTCCGCCAAATGGTGACATAGTCTCGTGCTCAGGTAAATCGGCGTTTGGGTAGCCTGCCGAGATTCCGGACGAAGAAGACGTAACTGAAAGATTTGACGAGCTCAAATTCATGTGCTGAAGCTTTTGAACAGAGCCGTGAGAGGTTTGCTCGGCTTCGGATGGTCTTAGATATTTTTCAGGAAGATTGGGTTCCATTTTCAATGAGTTGCTCATGATGTTTGAGAGCCCAGTAGGATCCTCGTTGAGCTCAAGCAAACGCAAAAGAACTTTTCGTAGCTTTTCTTTAGTATGAGCCGAAAAGGTGTCTGAAGATTTGCTTTCGGAAGGAGATGTCACAGGCACAGATGATGGTATACTCTTTTCCTCCTTGTTTGCTCCTAGATAGAGCACTTGATTAAGACTCTCATTTGAAACGATAAAACCCATAGAGTTGTACCTGCGAAGAACGTCTTGATTGTAATTGATGATGTCGGCCAGATTAGTGAGATTCTTCAAGTAGTCGTTCCACCTATCGAAGGAGTAGTTGACTTTCTTCCAGACTATCTCAAGATTCGAGACATCCCCATGTGGTATATTGTTGATCAAGAGATCACCGAAGTAAGGAATTACAGTGTCTTTTGAATAGATTTTACCTAATCCACGAGGTGCCATGATATGGTAAGACTCTTTCGAAGTCAGAAGATCGTTGTTCTCTTCTCCGTATAACACAGAGCTGGATCTTCCGAAGTCAATGCTTTCGTTGCTCGTTGCCAAGTACCGACGGTCAAGTTCAAAAAGTACCGGAGACCAATCATTTCTAAGAAGCTTAATATAATCCTGATTGACATACGACCAGACCGTGCGTAAGCGTAAGAGAGGTTGGGATAACACTATGGAAGCAATTCCCAACCAGGAAGACATATTTCCCGATTTGTCCAAAAGACATCCCAAGTCGATCCAGCGTTCAAGGATACGTGCTCTGCGCTGTGGCGTCTTACTGCTTGTGTCCTCAGCAAACAAATGAAAAAGGAGAAGCCTAGCCAAATAATGCACATGAGTATCGTTGTTGAAGACCAATGGGTTTTTGCGGAAGAATGTATCGCCAGTATTGCTGTTGGCCACCAGGGAAGATAAAAGGAGGGCCTTGTCTGTGCTTGAGTTCCACGACTTGAAGAAATGCAAATCAATTTCTGTTATGAGCGCAGCGAAGTCAAAGAGATTCACATCGTTCATAAAAACAGATGAGCTTATTTCTATGAATGGGTCTGGAGGTTGTGAGGAAGTCGCAAGATCTTTGAAATTGACGAGGGCAAGAAGATCTTGCTGCTTGGTCAACATCTTGGATTTGACAGATGCAAGAAGGGTGGGCGACACTGAGGAAGGATGCTGATCGAAGAGCAGCAAAGTTTTGAGCATCATCGACCCTTCGGCTTTCTTCAATATGAAACCGCCAAAGTGGGCAACCACATGGTCAAAGAGCGCAAGCAGGCGGTCCGTGAACTGCTTGTATGACGAGAAATTGCCAAATGCCCCATCGAATATGGCGCTGAGCATAGCGTGTAGGGTGGAGAGGATTTCACTGAAGTTTGGAAGCATTGGAAACACGACTATTAAATGAGCCACTGGATCATGGTCAGGAATCGCTGTAGCAGGGTTGTTTTCTGCGAAAAGGAAGTGATGTACCAAGGCCTCGGGGGAGTTGTTGGATAAGAAGGTATTAGACGGGGAGTCGTAACGCAAGTCTGGATGAGGGGTCTGGCGGTCTAGGTAAGAAATGCTGCCAGGGGAAGTATTGGCGTCCTGGATGGTGGGCACGATGGTGTTGGCGGATGCTGTGGATTTTGGTGCAATAGAACCAGTGGCAGTGTTCAACAGTGCCGAGGACGCCATCTTCGTCGACCCAAGCGGTCCGGTTATCGAGGAGGAAGTCGTATCTGCCACAGAGGCTGAATCAGAGCCTTGCAACGGGAGAAAACGACGACCCTGTGTCGACTTGCCATTTCCTGAGGACACGGCTGTGCTTGTCGACTGAGCCAGTGAAGGAACCTGGTGAAGCAGGGCACCATCAGAACGGTCGGACGTGCCGACACGAAACAGACGAGCATTGAGCAGGGAGGGTGGCCTGTAGAGATGCAAAACGGAGCCCTTGAGCTCGGCTCTGTACAACCGGAAGGACGTTTCCGGCAGTTCCAAAGGAGAGGGCTGGTTGATGGCGGCGTTGATCCATGCGTGTTTGACAGAAACGGAGTCATATGCTGGGATAACCAAGGAACGGAGCGGATTATTAGCCTTGGAGCCAGCCAGGCGGGAGTCCAGGTTATCGTGGGACTCTAGCCGTGAGTCCAGATCGTCCTTGTGGGACAATGCCACCGAGCGCCTATTTTTGCGGAATATGGACTTCATCCACAGAAAGGATTAGGAGAAAAGGGAGCGGCGCAAGGGAAAAAAAAAAAACCTCGGATCAATTGGTTTCAGGGTAGTTATGCCTGGGTGGATTTGGCGTGTTAGAAAAAATAGGCACAAGGTGGGTGCGGGTGCAGGCGACACGAGCGTCCTACATAACTTAGGAATGTTTCTACGAGGAGCGTAGACGTGACAAAGGTTACGGAGGTTATTTTCGGAGATAAAAGCGTAACAAAAAAATTGAGTCTTCTACACGAAACGGTCGTTTAGATTTGGGCAGAAAAGTTTAGTGATTGGTCGCCTGGAAGCAACCCTTGTGTGGCCTCACTAGACGAAAAGTAGTCCTCGTCAGATCGTTACAGCCAGGAATCGCCATTCAGATTTTGCCGAGAGGAGAGCTGTCGCACAAGTGAATCAGGCGTCAGGTAGCACCATACCGAAGAAAATACATCAAAGGAGAATTGACCATTCAGACCGAGCCGTGCAAACCACCGTACTTGTCGCCGTCCCCTCCTGGGTCCTCCTGGGTCTTTGTCAGAGAAGTCTATTGATGAACGCGGAAATGATCACATTGTCTTTCGAGCACTGATTTTTTTACTCCATCTTAGCCAATATAGTCCGTACATCTTTCATCCTTCTCCGTACACCCTGCCGCGCGTGTCTGCGAACAATGCCTTGTAGTGATTGAGATTGCGCCATTGGAGCCAGTTTTCATGAATGGAGGCGAGAGGTCGGCGAGCAGGTGTTGAAATATTTTTCTTGTGTGGATTTAGAGAGCTCGGGCGATTGGCCTACTGGGGCTAAGGATCGACAGATTTGTGGATCTCTCAGTGGTACGACGCGTGGAAATGTGGCGAAGGCGAGAGCTTCGTACCATAAAGACCTTGTGGGCCGTAGAGGGGGTATATAAGTGGGAGAACATAATGCCATTATGTGGTGAGGGGATGGAGTGGCCGTAGGCGGTGTCGACACAAAAGACATGATGACTGAGGCGACGAGGTAGGAAGACGAGACGAACTTTTGTGGAATTTTTGATCCGATTGAATTTTCAGTAGCCTGGCGATTTGGAGAACTGGGTGCAAATGAGATTTCCGCAACAGATCAAGCGCAAAGAGTGGAAACAGCGAAAAATCGAAGAAAAGATCACAATCGAAAAAAGAAATTGACCATAAACACGGCGATCGGAAGAATACAATAAATTGTTCATTGGAAAGTCGAGTGTTTTGATCCTTCGTCTCTTACAGTGTCCCCACTGAGACCTGCGTAGACCTACACTCAGAGATAGACGACCTCTTCATGCTTCTTGGAAGCCAATGCCGCCTACACAGGCGATTAAGCCAGATTGCTGGCAGCATACGGAGATATAGTTCTGAAGAACAGCTCAAATATGTTCAGAGGAAGAGGGTCGTGGCGCAGAATCCCGCTCAGTTCTATCCACCCATCACCACCACCAGATCCAATTCGCCTGTTCTACGAGTCCCAGATTTCGTAAGGAAGTTTGAAGGAACGAATTTTGAAAGTTATCCACAGAAGAGGCTACCTGATACAGTGCAGTTAGAGGGCAGGGTGAAGTCAGTGAGAAAAGCTGGTAAAGCGTTATTCTTCCTTGACATCGTTCAAGACGATGTGGAGGTTCAGATATGCGCCTCCAACAAACTACTAGGGAGCATGGGCAAGGACGAGTTCTCCGAAATACACTCATTTATACGAAAAGGTGATCATGTTCTGTGCGTGGGCTTTCCTTCCGTCACTAATGTGGGAGAATTGACACTCAAGGTGAATTCCCCAATACGCATCTCCAGCCCTTGCCTTAATTTGGCAACATTGCCTGACAAAGTCACTGATAGGCAGCTCATCAACGCCAACAGAGTCATGAACTACTTGGTGAACGACCAGCTGAAGCAGCGCATCCTCATCAAAGACACTGTGACACAGTCTATCCGAAAGTTTCTTTTAGACGACGATTTTACCGAAGTTAACACTCCTTTGATTGCCGGTGCAGGGACTGGTGCAAATGCAGAGCCGTTTCAAACTAACCTGAAGGCCGTGCCTGATGAAAAGTTGCTGCTTCGAGTTGCCCCAGAGCTCTGGCTCAAGAAGCTTGTCGTAGGTGGCTTTGACAAGGTGTTTGAGATAGGTCCAAACTTCCGTAACGAAGGCATTGATGCCACACATAATCCCGAGTTCATGACCTGCGAATTTTACCGCTCACACACATCCTTGAGCGAGTTGATGAAGATGACGGAGGGCGTTTTCACTGCAATTTACAATGGGCTTTCCCAAAAAGTGCAAAAGATATCGATTCTAAAGGAAACGTTGCCCGAACTCACCTCCTTGCAACAGGGAAATTTTGCGAAGTATGAATTTGTGCCTACGCTTGAACAGAAAACTGGTATCAAACTTCCAGAGGAGCTCACTACAGAATCACTCGTGGCGTACCACAGAGAGGCTGATATCGCACTTCCCTCCACCAAATCTCCCGCCAGCCTTTTAGATAATCTCAGCAGCAGGATCCTTGAGGCGATTTCTCTTGAAAACCGCAATCAGCCGATCTTTATCTACAATCAGCCCGCGGTGATGTCGCCATTGGCTAAGTCCGCGCTTGTGGGCTATGACGGCCGAAAGTACGAGGTTTCCATGCGTTTTGAGCTTTTCATCAACGGCAAGGAGTATGTCAATTCATACGAAGAAGAAAACTCTCCCTTTTCACAGGCTGAAAAATTCCGGCTCCAGCAGCAGGCTAAGGCCGAGTACAATGACGACGAGCTGCTTATACCAGATTGGAACTACGTGAAACTGATGGAGTACGGGTTGCCTCCTACGGGCGGATGGGGGTGTGGTATCGATCGACTCAGCATGTTGTTCAGTGGAACTAATAGAATCGAGGATGTGTTGACTTTTGGTGTGCTCAAAGATGTGGTGAGGCAGTAGTCCCAGTTGTGGACACAGACTCACGAGCACCGTTAAGCCCATTGTGGATGATGGGTCGCACGTTCTCCGTATCGGAGTATCCTTTTTGAAAAGTTCATGTAAATAGAATAATCTCACTCCATAATCATTTTGATCTTTCGTGAAAAAGAATTCAATTTCATGCCGCAAAAGGCATTTTCAATTGCAGCACCTCACAGTTTCATCTCTTCGATCTCGCTCGCGCGAGTGAAACCGAGGCCGATCATTTCTTTGCGCGGTCAGAAGAGATAAACCGTTGAACTCTTCACCTTCGTGTTTCTTCACAACAAAGCAGAATTGAAACAAGGTTCCTTCTGATCGGGGATCATGAACTTTGAGGAAAAAGAGGAAAAAGACGGTGTTCGTCTTTCGTGGCACAATGTCCCCAAATCAAGGCTCCAGAGCCAACATAACGTCGTTCCCTTGACAGCATTCTACACTCCGTACAACGACAAATCCCCTGTGAACCGCTTGCATTTCCAGCAAATGCAGCAATGTCGCCAGTGTCGTGCATTCTTGAACCCTTTTGTCACAATCAAGGCGAACCAGCCAGAGGTATGGCACTGCCAGTTCTGTGGCTTTGGAAACAGGCTACTCATTGCTGAGGACGGGAGCTATTCCCAGGCTCTTAATCCTGAGATTACGACTGTTGAATACTCCACTGATCGTTTTGCCCCGCTACCACCGATCTTCTTCTACTGTGTTGACACATGCTTCGAGAATGAAGACGTCACTGAGGCTTTTGCCCAATTGAAGGAGTCCATTCTCCTATCTTTGTCTTATCTTCCTGCTCATGCTTTGGTGGGCCTTGTGACTTTTGGCAAACATGTGCAGCTCCACGACTTGCTGGTGCCCAATCGCAGCTACACCTTCAACGGAGCTAAAGAGTACGAGCTTAAGACCATTGAAACGATATTGGGCCTCAATGTGGGTATGTCATTGCATCGCCAGCAGGCCGAGTTGAGCTCTGTTGCACAAAAGTTTTTGCAGCCAGTGGAATACGCCGAGTACCAACTATCTTCCATCATTGATAGACTACAGAACAACACATTCCCACGCTCTCAGTCGAGCCAAAGACCCGAAAGATCAACCGGGTGCGCTGTTAAGGTCAGTACCTTGGTACTTCGAGCCATTTTGGGTAATGGTGTGTCCGCTGGAGGTCACCTCATGTGTTTCATTGGCGGTGTTGCAACGCACGGCCCTGCAAGGATAGTAGGTTCTCAATTGAAAGAGCCCATCAGATCGCATCACGACATAGACAAGATGCTGCAAACACACATACCCAACTTGGCCAATGGAGTTACCAAAGTGGACTCCCTGTTGTACAAAAATGCCAAATCATTCTACGAACAGATTGCTAGGTCTCTCGTGGATATGGGTATCTGCTGTGACATATTTATTGGCAGTTACGACCAGATCGGTTTATACGAGATGGACGATATCGCTTCTGCAACAGGAGGTGCTGTTGTCATGAGTGACTCATTCAGCACTGCTATCTTCAAGCAAAGTTTGGTGAAGTTCCTTAGACGCGAGACCAGCGAGGAAGTCAATGATGAATTGGGCTCAGAGATGGCCCTTAATGCTACAGTCGAATGCAGAACTACCACAGACTTGCAAATCCAAGGTCTCATTGGCCATGCTACAGCGCTTCCACTTAGAAAAGACAACACCTTCATTAACTCCAGTGTTTCTCCTCAAAGTATTGGCCAAGGCAACACGAATGCTTGGAAGCTTTGTGGCGTGGACCCACAATCCACGTACGCGATCTACTTTGACAAGCTCGACTCGCCTCAGCCTGGCTTTGCTTTCATCCAGTTCAGCTTCCACTACCAACACCCATGTGGAGAGAAGCGAGTTAGAGTGACTACATTACCCTTGGCAGTTATTGCCGATTCCGACAACCAAAACTTGGAATTAGGGTTTGATCAAAACGCAGCCTTCATCGCCATTGCAAGGAGCTCCATCGATAAGCTCCGAGCTCACATCTTTAACAGCACAAAGACGACTTATGATCACACCGACGTTGTGAAGCATCTCGACAAGGTCCTCGCTGACTATTGTGCCCGCTTTGGGGTATACCAAAAGAAGCAACTCGATTCATTCCGTTTATCAAACAGCTATTCAATGTTGCCGCAATTCATGTACCATCTACGCCGGTCACCATTCATTCGAGTGTTCAACAATTCTCCAGATGAGACAAGTTACATTCGTCACATTTTCATGCATGAGGACGTCAACAACTCGTTGACCATGATCCAACCGTCCTTATTGTCCTACGACATTGAGACCTTTGGAGCAGAGGACCCGGAGACAGGTGAACCTAATATAGATCCTGAGCCTGTTCTACTTGACTCCATGTCGCTCGGGCTCACCAAGATTCTCCTTCTAGACACATTCTTCCATATCCTCATCTACCATGGCACCACCGTTGCGCAGTGGAGAAAGGCCAACTACCACAATATGGAAGGCTACGAGCATTTCAAAGAGTTCTTGGAAGCACCAAAGCATGAGGCTTTGGAGATTCTCAAAGACAGGTTTCCGTTGCCGCGGTTTATCGACTGCGACGACGGCGGATCCCAGGCCCGATTCCTTATGGCCAAGCTCAACCCATCAACGAGTTATCTGACAAACCCCAACCACATGTACGGAGGCCAGTTTGACGTCATGACGGACGATACTAGTCTACAATCGTATATGATGCATATTCAGCGGGTTGCGGTTTCCCGGTAATCTCCTTACGGGGCTTGTTATGATCTGAGGGGAGGCATGTGGAGAAGTTAGGTTGTTTCCGAAAAAGTGAGGGACCCTCAGGCCCGAGACAGGGTCGTGACAAAAAGAAGGAAAAAAAAAAAAAAAAAAAATTGTTAGAGAGGTGAGGAATGCAGTGGTCCAGGCTGACCAACCACAGACGTGCATTAATAATAGAGGGGAGGCTCGTGCATTCCAACTTGGACGTTTTCATTACTATAATAACATGACCGACAAAACATAAAAATTAATCTTCCGAAGCGAAAAGGAATTTTCTTATCTTGCTGCTTTAGGGCTCCGTGGGGTGAACCCCCCGGTATATGTGGTGCGTCCTCATCGCTTCTCGATTGTTTTCTCATGCCGGCCTACCCCAACTTTCAGCTACCCCGATCTTTTGCATCATGTAGACCAATTCAAACCGCCATACTTAATGATAGCTTTTCGCGCTCTGCCCACCTGAAGGTATCAGCCGAAATAAGAAAACCCACGAAAGCTATGAAGCGACGCGGTGACGATACCGTTGTTGAGCACCGCTCAGATTCCTTCTCCCAGCTAGAGACTCAGGGTCTGACCAAATGTATCAAGACCTCAATCACACGCAAAGCTCCTCCTAGCTTTCTAGAAACAGATGGAACTCCACTTGACCAGTGGGTTCGGTCGTCTCTTCAGCAAGTGATGGAAAGCAGCACAGGTGCCTCGCATATGGAGATCGACCATGTTGACAGTCTCAATTTCCTTGTGTTCTTAGGCGCTCAGGGCAAAGAATACATTGACGTGATTCGAGACATGTTTCCCAAGCACTTTGACCCTTTAGTGTTCGTTTCGCTGCATATCGATAGCCGCTTCACAGAGAATCCTCACCTCCATTGTCTGGACACAGAAACTTGCAAAGAGCTCGCTCGCTATTTCGAGATCATGGACCCCCTCGGTGGTGGCAACTACCCACTCAACTACCTCATCGCTATTGACTCTGACCTGGTTGTCAGATGCAAGCTTCCCATCCGCATCGGCCCATACTATGGACCGCACCAAAAATTTGGCGTTAGTCTACCACAACTTCAAGGCCTCATTGATGAGTTCTTGGACTTCTTCATGGAGCACAAGATCACCATCCTTATGTAACGACCTCATGACATGTTTTATGACCCTCACTGTAGTAAAGCGGCTCTCTGCTGCTCTAGCTCTTTATACTCATGGCGCTGTTTCTCAATCTCGTCCTTGACCTTCGAGATGTACACGTCTAGTCTTGCTAGTTCGTCAATCTCGTCTGTCCGTAAGTACTCTTGGTCTCGTTTCTGTGGGTCTGAATATTTATAGGGAAGCAAGTTCAGTGGTTTACCAGTAAGAATCTCGAATGTGGCTTCTGTAGGCTCGTTGAACACTAGCTCGTCAAAAAGAACCGAGTACACTTCGCCATTTTCTCTTTTGGGTGCCTTGGGATTGTATGGGTGGAGCTTTAAGCCATGAAATATTTGGAAGTTCTTCTCGTTGATGCCGAGTTCTGCTCCAGGATGGAAGTGTACCTTGATGATAATTTCGAACTCACCCCATCCGGTTTCAGTTACTTGGTAAGGAGGTCTCTCAACAGAGCGAACAGGGTTTTCATAAGTTTCGTGTAATTTGAACGTGACCTTCTTTATGAGAGGTGTAAGGTCGACATTATCGAGAACAGGTTTGAAAAATACTGTCCATTCGTGAGTGTGATCAGGAGGAGTCTTCTCTGTGCGCTTTTCATCGGCAAGATGCTTTGCAGTATTACCATAAAGAATTGGTACCGATATGGAGACGTTCTTTATTCTTTTTGACATTGTTAGCGTGGTGTTGATAGTGATCTTTACTGTGCTGGTGAGATACTTCTATACCGTAATATGCACACTACAGTCGATTTCTGTGAATAAATGTTTAACTAAATGTCTATTGGGGCACAAGAGGTTTCCAGTCCATCATGTTGCCTTTCGAGGAGGAGCCGTTGGTATTGGCTCTTGGGGGTGGGGGTGGAGGTGCTCTAGCTTCGCTGGATTTCTGCTGCGGAAGTTGTTCAACCTTATTAGTGGACAAGGCCTTAGGTTTACTAGGCTTCACAGGAGGTCTTGATTCGCTAGTGGCAGGCTTGGTTGGTGACGAGGCGGCTGTGTTCGTCACACTAGGAGACATTGACCGAGGTGTGGATGGTTGAGATCCTGAAGGCACAAGAGGAGCCGCAGAAAATCCTAAGTTGTGATTTCTAGAAGGTGGGGCCGAGTTTCTCGAAGGTGGTGGAGGTGGCGGCGTGGAGATCTCATGTCTAGCCTTGAGTCTGTCGCTCAACTCGCTGCCCTGGTTTTGAGAAACAGCCTTTCTGCTCACAGGTGGTGGTGGAACTCTCTTAGGCAAAGTGTTCACAGCGCGTGGCTTTGGACCACGAGCTGGTGGTTTGCTAGGCGAGTATTCGTCTTCGAGGATGTTCATTTCTGAAAGAGTTTTCGAGGTGAATGTCGAGTTGGCCGTCGAACCAGGTGAAGATTCATTGTCGAACTCAATCAAGCTCAGGCTTGAGCCGTACTCCTTCTTGTAAGCATTATAGTAGTCCTCTGCCAACTTCAGCTTCTTGGCCTTGTTGACAACCTTGATGTTGACCTTGAAAGTCGAAAACACGGGCTTGTGATCACTCACAAAAATGTCCATGACAGAACCATAGTTTAAGGCCTTCAAGCCATCCTTGTTGACACTTCTGTAAAGAATTCTGTCAGTCCACGAAGGAACACGTTGCTTCTCAGAAGTGTCGTAATTCGAAGTACCCTTGTCATACTTGTAGGTTGGATAGAAGAGCAAGGGACTCTCTTGGAGCTCTGAGAAAGCACCGCCTTTCTCCATCTCTGCTCTCAATTGATCGGCGTCGTTCAACTCATCAAAAGCACCGCTCTCGATTAAATACCGACATCTGTCATTTGGAAGCTCGACTCTGTAGTTCAAGTCACCAAACCAAATAATGTTGTCGTGATCACCGATGGTATAGTTTCTGGTGAAGGTGAGACCTTGCATAATCAGTGTATAGTCATTGTATCTTTCAATTGTGGCATTCACACCAGCAGCCAAATGAGAGGTCACCAAAGCAAATGATGTTGATCCAAACTCAAATCTGACAGCACAAGCTCCCTTGTTTGCGGTCATACCACCAAGACCCGTCTTTTTCGAGGAGCCTGACACCTGTGTTACATGCTGCATTTGGTCTCTTCTGACGAACAAATACACACTCATGGATGCAATTGCCTCAGTTCGAAGCAAGTAATAGTCCTCCCCCTTGGAATTGAGTTGTTTGTTCAAAAACTCACCCCATTGCGCAGGCTTAGAGCTATCCGAAGTAAGGAAAGATCCAGCATTGAGTTCAATCAACTCTTGAAGTCCAATAGCGTAAAGCTCGGGGGCTGCGTATTTGTCGTTGGAAGCTGGGAAGAGCCAGTCTTCGAGACTTTCCTTAATGGGATGCGACGTGGCACTGACATTGAATGTACCCACAAACATATTGATATTCTTGTATGTCGTGAAAGCCAGAGCATTCTCATGAAGCTTGTCGTGCACAAATTCGTAGATGGGGTCAAAGATCTTGACAGCCTTACCGTTCTTGGCATCTTTACCAAGTAAAAGGTCTATCGTCAGTTGTTTCTTAGAGTCAACAAACGTGTTCTGATACATTCTGGAAACAGATTTGGTGACATCGGAGAGAGCACCTGCGAAATTCATCTTACCAGATCTTGAGAATGAAGACTTCAAGGCATTCGTACCAGTGTAAATTTGAGAAATAGCATCTCCATTGTCCGCCCAAAGAGCGTTATGCTTAAGAGTGAGCTCCTCGATGAGCTGCTTCTCACGAGGAGACTTACCTCCGGCAGGCATTTGGCTTCGAAGAATGTGGCTCAAAACTCTCTGACATACAACTTGTTCGACTAAGTTGGTTCTGTCCAAACAGTCCAAACAGTTGACACGGAACACACCATTCTGGCGAGTGACTGCTTCCGCTTCCTGAACATCGAAATCATACCACCCAAAGGATTCCAAAGAGTCGTAAAGCAACGGGAGAATCTTTGTAGCTCCTGCAAACCCTCCACTCAGCTGCTTCGTTTCAGCATGGAAGTCAAAGTGGCTGTAAGAAAGTTCAGATTTATGTGGAGATCTGTCTAAAAGTTCCTTGTAGCAACGCAGGACGTTAACTTCTTGGGTTTTGGTCTTGGAGAGAAGGTTGACAATGTGACACACACCGTATTTTTCACAGACTTCATCAAAGTGCTTGTTGAAGGCAGGTTGTGTGGCTTCTCGCGATCTTGTGATAGTAATCTTAGGGTTAATCAATGTAGAGTCTTGCTCCCAAAAGGCAGGGACAGAACCTCTGATCTGGGTGAAGGAGAACACCAGTCGCAGAGAAACATTGTTAAAGATGAAATCTGACTCCACAAAGTTTGCAACGTGGCCATCATCGTCAATACCTCTAGCATTGAATCGCGTACCGGCTCTTTTCCAGGACTGCTTTGAGATAATACTGATAGTGTCGCCTCTAGAGTTCAAACGCACGGTTTTGGCGAAACCACGAATCACGGTGGTCAAAAATCTGTTGTGGTCAATAATCTCCATTGCATCCTCGTCTAAGTTGGCTCTAAACTTGAGAAGCTCATTCATCAAGAACGAGTTCCACATGTACTGTTGCTCGTAGTGCTGCAAGTTGACTCTAGTTATGTTGTCAGCCTTCTCAGCGTCGTGAGCGGCCTTGTCGAATTTGGTTGCGTCAATGCCTCTGTTTTGTAAAGTGGATGTCAAATCAAAATCGTTGGAGAAGTAAAAGGAGCCGTTCGATAACAACTTCTTGATCTCGAAACAAGGGTGCACCGTTCTCTGTGCCGCGGGGTCATACTCATCAGGCTCCTGGGTCTGAACTGCCATTCCACCATAGTCCAAGTTAACATAATCCCATTCGTTGCTTCCCAATGATACAAAGTCCACTGCGAAGATCTTATCAACTGACTCGTAAGGAACTGGGCGAGCCACATTAGTGGAGGCACCAGTGATTAATGCTAGATACACCTGCTGTTCAATTGTAATAAGGCCCAAGCATCCGTGTATGTCTCTGTGGATCAAAACCTTGTACTTTCTATTGTGCTGAAAATTGGAGTTTGGTTCGAGTTGAACTTCCACCGAAGGGCTCTTTTTAGGGTCATCAAGACTCGAACTGGCTAAACGGAATGTGAGGGCATGCGTTTCCGAGACCAATGCTATGGTTCGAGGCTCCTCACACAATAAAATCTTCATTGGTGTTTTTTTTTCCAAGAATACGACAGCTGTCTCTGAACACATAGTACTTAACTCACACGCAGCATCCTGTACACACGAGCGTACATGTTCGTCTTGTGGAAGGGAAAGTGGAGGGTCATAAGCAATGTTCTACAAGGCGAAATTTGATGATCTTCGAAGCGAGGCAATCTTGCACCAGTCCGAGGAATTCCGGGCTTGATGGGCAACACAGCCGTGTGCCATGTCCCAGGACCCTCCACACCCGTGCACCTCGGTAACTGAGAAGCTCGGCCTAAAAATTTACAAGGCTCAACGAATCACCTCCACCCAAATCAGCACAATACATAATGGCTAACTACCAAATCACACTCTCAGATGAGTCCAAGGAGACCATCAACAAGGTCTTGGACTACTCCAGAACCGTTGCTCACTACGGCTTCATCCCATTTATCTTGTACTTGGGCTGGAAGGGCTCTACTCACAAGCCTAACTTGTTCAACTTGTTGAGCCCTGTTCCATCCGTGTAAGGTTGAGTGTTATAACACGTTACCTTTGTACATAGCAATAGTATCATAGATTGAGTCTTCGTGGCGCGTTTTGCCGTGTAGTTGTAAGTTGAGTTGGGTTGAAAAGCCTTAATAGCAACTCGAGCAAAGCTCTTCTGTCCAGCATAATATCCGAGAGAAATGTGACTCTAGGCCTTGGTGATTATTATAACGTATTTTGGAAACCACCGCAGGGACACTTTTCTCGTTTGCCTCACACTTGACTTGCTTACCTTATCAATAGGCCTTGTCCTACACCAAATCGCATCTCATCTCTACTTGCTCAGCATCCATGTCTGAGCAATGGTCGAGACGCCAAGTCGAGGTTGTATCTGGCTTAGTAGCGGGTTTCAGCACTACGCTAGCTACTCATCCTTTGGACCTTATTAAAATCAGGCTCCAGCTTGCGGAGAAACTGTCTTCGAAACCCTTCGAACTCATATCCAAGGTATACCATGATATACAAAACCTGGCCAACAAAGCCTACTTAGCTGGTGGGAAGAAACACCCAAAAGCATTCTACACTTTGCAACAGTACTACAGAGGTGTGGGCCCTAATTTCGTGGGCAACATTTCTGCATGGGCCATGTACTTTGGCCTTTACGCAGAGTTCAAAGAATTGGTATCCACAGACCTGTCGCCCAATTACTTTGCTGCATCGTCATTGGCGGGCATATCGACTGCACTTTTAACAAACCCAATTTGGGTCCTCAAGACTCGTATTTTGAGTACTCCAAAAACGAAAACCTCATACTCATCACTTTGGGACGGCGTCAGAAAGATCTACATCAACGAGGGAGTACGTACGTTCTGGAAAGGTACAATCCCAAGCTTGTTTTCTGTCTTCCAAGGCAGCTTGCAATTCACATTCTATGATCATGCAAAACTATACCTTGCAAGGCGCCAGGACAAGGAGCTCTCCAACTACCAGTACACTGGTATCTCAATCATGGCACGAACGCTAAGCATGGTCATTGTCTACCCGACGCAGGTGATCAAGTCGAGGCTCCAAAGCTACAATTTTGGCAACGAAGAGCGGACAATTATTTCCCTGCTTCGTCAAATCAAGAACCTGGGAGGCGGTATCCGAACTCTATATCAAGGTCTCAGTGCCAATTTGGTGAGGGTATTGCCGTCTACTGCTGTCATGTTCTTATCCTACGAGACCACAAAGAAGTACATGAGCCACTCCGATTAAATTCTGAGCTCAAACATCACCACATAAAATTTATAGACTTTAATTCTTGTACCTAGTTTTAACACGCTTTTTCAAGAACCGCTCTCAGTATTTTGCACCCAAACGCATACACAGCGCGAAATCTATACGCGTTGTTTTCCATCATCACTCTTCATGGCAGATTCTGAGGAACCCAAGGCCAAAAGGGCCAAAACTTCAGATGATGGTATGAGCATTGAAAAGTGGGCACCCAAGTCCATAACTTCTATAGAGGACAAGTTTGCTTTTAATTCTACCACCTACCATTCTGCCATACCAGAGGTGATCAAGAATAATCCTGGAGAACCAATAGTCCTAGGCGTCGACGAGGCCGGAAGAGGACCAGTCTTAGGCCCAATGGTTTACGGCATCTCGTATTGCACGGAAGAATACCACAGCCTGCTCAAACTGAATTATGGTTTTGCTGATTCCAAGACATTGAAGGATTCCAGACGTCAAGAGCTCTTCGAGTTGATAGATCAGGAGGACCATGAGCTTTACAAAAATGTTGGCTGGGCCACACGTACAATGACTGCTAAGGATATCTCCAGTGGTATGCTTCGAAGCGCATTAGACGCTGGTGCGTACAATTTGAATGAACAAGCACACGATACTACAATTGCACTCATTTCTGAAGTTATCAAATCAGGCGTCAACGTCCGTAAAATTTTTGTTGACACGGTTGGACCTCCAGCATCCTACCAGGCCAAGCTACAACGTGTGTTTGGCAATGCCGATGTGACCGTTACGAAAAAGGCCGACAGCATCTTTCCAATTGTTAGTACTGCGTCTGTCGTGGCTAAGGTCACACGAGACTTGAATTTGCAATATTTTAACAAGCACATAGACATGGTCAAAGGTCATGACCTAGGTTCGGGTTACCCATCAGACCCCAGAACGAGTCGTTGGCTCAAGGAGAACGTTGATCCTGTGTTCGGCTGGCATCATGGACTCGTTAGATTTCTGTGGCAGACTGCCAAAGATGCACTTGAAAAGGCAGGTGCTGCTAAAGTCATTTACGAAGAGGAGTGTGTCAAGGACAATGGCTACAAGGACGTGGCGAGCATGTTTGACAAGCCTGTGGGTTTGGTCAGCCAGCTGTTTTACGGTGAGCCCGCCCTTCTATAGACAAAGAAGTAGAGAATTGAATTAGACGGCATTTATGAAAAGAGAAGCCACTGTAGAAATTTTTCTTCAATAAATTCAATTACGTCATCGCTGGCTCGTAATGACTAGTTTATTACGAAAATTTTTAATTGGGGAAACAATAAGAGCTGGAACACAGATGACATAGAGATGCCTTGCATGCTTCAAGCCGGTTAAATCCAATTATGTTGACACGATTTTATGTGCGATGGTTTACTTTGCACCCATTCTCAACTTTTTCAGACTTGATACGAGAGCTTTCACAACAACCATTGAAAGTCACAAAACTCCAAAAATTCAAAATATTTAATGTTCCCCAATGCTTCATTGACAAACTACTAAAGAGTCATTCTGAATCTACCTCTCACGGAAATTGCTGTATTTTCCTCTTTTGGTGAAACATTTTGTTGACCCGATTGTTGGTACCTGCCACTTATCGGAGTCAGCATCTCCGAAACAGACCAACAGGCTGACTGACACATTTAACAGCAAAACCAAACCCAAAACTTCACCAATCTCACTTAACAAAATCCAAAACCGCTTTTTATATTTTCCCCCAAACCATCTCTTTGTGCCACGTTTTGCCCTTCCTCTGTTATCTGTCCCGGCTGTCATCGGGGTCCGAAACGGTAGCCTCGCGCACTCCGAGACCGCCAATTCCGAGAATAACTGTCCATTAATTCCGCCACACAGAAGTGAGAGGATAGGAAAAACAACTTTTTCTTGGAAAGTAGAAATGAATTTTTAAGCTTCTTCAGCAGTTTGGCGGTAGAGTCAAGCAAAGTCCCCAAAATCGACTCTTCAATTTTCGCACGTGACCCGGAGGTGTTCCACCGAGCAACGGAAGACAACCATGCGATGCTAGCGTCCTGTACCGCAAAAGTCAAACCCACTTAACAAAAACTTCACAACCTACTCTTCCCATGTTTGCCCAAAGAGCCTCTTCGGCATTGCGTGCCTCTGTGTCTCACGCTGCGGCAGCCAGATACGCTGGCGCCAGCAACTCCTTCCTTGCTGCCAGAGTCACTCTCTCCATGGCAAGATTCTACTCCTCCAAGTTCCCAGAACACACTGTCATCCACATGCCTGCTTTGTCGCCTACCATGACCCAGGGTGGAATCATGTCGTGGAGCAAGCAGGTTGGCGATGAATTGGCCCCAGGTGAGCCCATTGCCGAGATCGAGACCGACAAGGCCTCCATGGACTTTGAGTTCCAGGAGGAGGGCTACTTGGCCAAGATCTTGGTCGACGCTGGTGCCCAGGACGTGCCTGTTGGTAAGCCTATTGCCGTTTACGTCGAGGAATCTGGCGATGTGGCTGCTTTCGAAAGCTTCACCGCTGAGGACGCTGGTGAGGGTCCTGCTCCTCCTGCTCAGGAGGAGGCCAAGGAAGAGCCAAAGGAGGAGCCAAAGAAGGAGGATGAGGCTCCTCAGAAGCCTGCTGCTACCACTAAGGACTCTACTCCTTCTAAGGCCCCAGCTGGCAGAATCTTTGCATCTCCATTGGCCAAGACCATCGCTTTGGACAAGGGTATCGCTTTGAAGAACATCAAGGGTTCTGGTCCAAACGGCAGAATCGTTGCCAAGGACGTTGAAGCTTACAAGGCTCCTGCCGCTGCCACCGGTGCTGCTCCAGCTGCTACCGGCGCTGCTGTCCCAGCCTCTTACGAGGACATTCCTCTTACCGGCATGAGAAAGACTATCGCCTCCAGATTGTTGCAGTCCACCCAGCAGTCCCCAACATACATTGTCCAGTCCCAGCTCAACGTCACCAAGTTGTTGAAGTTGCGCCAGTCGCTCAATGCTACCGCTGAGGACAGATACAAGTTGTCTGTCAACGACTTGTTGATCAAGGCCATTGCCTTGGCCTCCGTGAGAGTTCCACAGGCCAACTCCGCTTGGTTGGCTGAAGAGGGCGTCATTAGACAGTACAACAACGTCGACGTGTCTGTGGCCGTTGCTACGCCTACCGGCTTGATCACTCCTATCGTGAAGAACGCACACAACAGAGGCTTGGCTGCCATCTCCAAGGAGATCAAGGAATTGGGCAAGAAGGCCAAGGCTGGCAAGTTGGCTCCCGAAGAGTACCAGGGCGGTACCATCTGCATCTCCAACTTGGGCATGAACCATGCTGTGAACGCTTTCACCTCCATCATCAACCCACCTCAGTCTGCTATCGTGGCCATTGGTACTACCGACAAGAAGGCTGTGCCAAGCTCTGTTAACGAGCAAGGTTTCGTCTTTGAGGACGTCATCACCGTGACTGGCACATTCGACCACAGAGTTATCGACGGTGCCGTGGGCGGTGACTGGGTGCGTGAGTTGAAGAGAATTGTCGAGAACCCATTGGAGTTCTTGGTGTAATGTCTATTCGGACAATCTACGTATAAATAATGTGCCTATAGAAATGTGTGGTGTAGTGACTCTCCCATCACCTGGTTCCTCCACATGGGAACCATAAATAATGAGCGTGTTCCGAAAAACGTTCCCAAACACATAGACTTTCTTTCCCCATAGACAACATAGATGACCCTACAGACTATTTATATTGCCCGTCATGGCTTCCGTTCAAACTGGTTACCTCCACCACACCCTCCTAACCCAACTGGAATTGACCTGGATCCAGCTTTGGCTCCACATGGTGTGGACCAAGCAGTCGAACTAGGCGAATACTTGGCCACGCTTCCAAAGGACAAACAGCCCCAATTTATAATTTCTTCTCCGTTCTATCGTTGTGTGGAATCAGCTAGGCCGTTTGCTGAAAAGCTGGGTTTGAAGGTCCACCTAGATAGAGGAATTGGCGAATGGTTCAAGAAGGACAGAGGAGTGGTGCCAGTGCCAGCAGACTACAAGAAATTGGGCGAGTTTTTTGCTGAAGTTTTGGGTGAGCCAACTACTTGGGACTCTGAAAGTGGCGTTGTTCCTAGTTCTCAAGGTGAGAGCGAGGAGGATGTGCTTGAGAGATCTCACAAGTTCTGGAAAGCGTTCATTCCAGCTTTCGAGAAGAAGCACCCCGAGGTCACAAGATTGCTTCTCGTGAACCACGCAGCCACCAAGATTGCGTTGGGAATGGCGCTTTTGGGCCACGAGTCGCTTTACGACGAGATTGATTTCAAAGGAACTAAGACAAGATTGAGAGCCGGCGCGTGCTCTTTGGATAAGTTTGAGAGGGAAGACAATCACTGGGTTTTGCTAGAGAACGGTAAGACCGATTTCTTGAAAGATGGCGAGGAGATGAACTGGAACTTCGACGTCAAGGTCGAGGCTGGTTCTGACGAGGACATGAAGAGAAGAGCCGAGGAGGCAAAGCAGAAGCAGGGTAGCGAGAACCCAACCAAGCCAGAGAAAGAGCCTTTGGAGTTCGAGGTACGTAGTAACATGTGAGATTGCGTTTGACCCAGTAATTACTAACAGCCAGGACGTTTACGTTGCTGTGGATGTGCCAATTGTGGCGCCCTCATACTACGATGAATCTGGAGACAGCCGAGATATTGGCGAGCTGCTTTTCATCAACCCAAACGCCAAATTCCAGCTAGCTGGCGTGGAGGAAGAAAGGCCTCTTTTCAAAATCAGTGAAAACATGGTTGCCGGCGCGGACTCCGAATCGGCCTCTTTCAGCAATTCGAATGCAATTGACGGTCAAATATACCAGGCCCGCTGGAGAAAGCTTCTAGGGACCGAGCTTGTTTTTGACGACGATGGAGCTGTCATTGGCACTGTTAGAGAGCATTTGGTGGCAGAGCCTTCTAACAAGGCAAGAAAGAAACCGAGTGCATCAGCTGGTGACAAAAGTGACGCTATGGATGTCGATTCTGAGGCTGGAGAGAAGGCTGATATGAGAACAACTTTTCTTAAGACGGCTGTTGCAGCAGCCAGATCAAAAGCGGCAGCGGAGTAGGCAAATGGTATGATTAACACAGTGACACTGAGGTCGTCACCACTCAATTTAATATGGTAATGAATGTACGTAAGGATAAGTGTGTTGCGATAGGTACCCAGATATACCCAGATATCAATCATAAATTCTATTTTTGCATTTCTCTATCAGTGACCCAGTTTTGGGTGCAAAATCCTGCACTGGTCAGATTCCGCTCGAAGATCAGTAACCGAAACCTACAACCATGCTGTTCGACCATCCCCTCTATGAACATTTGAAGGAATATCGTATCACCCTTGGCTCCCTGTCTCCACGGAGAAAAGAAATTTTGGCCGCAAATGTCGGTATTAAAGACTTTCACATTCTCAAATCGACCTTTGAAGAAGACATATCAAAGGAAGGCATATCTGACTTGGAGTACGTTACCCAGACTGCCCAGGCCAAGATTCCCAGCATTCTAGAACAGCTTGAAAAAGGGAACAATGTGCTTATTGCTGCAGACACAATTGTGTCTTGTGAAGGCAAGGTTTACGAAAAGCCTGAAACAGCTGAGAACCAGTTTGCTATGCTCAAAGCATTCCGCAAAGCAGGTCACGTCAAGGTCATCACATCTGTACATGTTGTTATTTTGAAAAATGACAAGAAGCACCATATCCATGGACACGAGGTGACTGACTTGCAATTCAACACCGAGCTCCTGGATTCAGAGCTCATGCATTACGTCAATTCCGAGGAAGGGTTCCAAGTTGCAGGCGGCTTTCAATACCAAAGTATCGGCAACCTTCTATTTACTGGTCTCCAGGGAGACTACTTCAACGTGGTTGGACTTCCTGCGGCAAAGACGTTCTCCTTGCTTCAGGAGGCATTGGCTGAGGTTCACTGAGAGATCTCATGAACACGTATTATTGACGATGTGACGATAAATGGGTGGCCTTGGATCTACACGTAGGCCTTCTTGAGAGGGCCCGTGGTTCAGAGTGAAATGCACATTGATGAACCAAGTGAGTACAGACGTTTCGCAGCCAGACCAAACAGGCGAAATGGCCTTCAACCACACCCAATAGGAGGCTCTCAAAAATAGAAAAAATAAAACGGCAGTACTCTTCAAAAAATAAATAGAATTAAACTTTTTTTCCTTCTCGAATTACAACCACCTGGCTCTCCACCCTAGCTCTGTACTACATATGAGAGGTGTTTTTTCAGTGCGATGAGATGAGCCTTGGAGACTACAACTACTATAGAAATGGCCAAATCCGTCAGCCAGAAAAAAACGAAACAAGCCAAGAAGGAGGAGCCTAAGGTTGAGGAGGAGAAGATTGCGCTAGAATCTGCTGACTCGCTGAGCGACGAGCAGTTTTCCAGTGACGATGAGGAAGTTGACATCGAAGGTCTCGAGACTCAAACTTCTACAGCCAAGACCACGCAGAGCGTCGGCGGTCACACGGTCAACTTTGAAGTTCCAGAAAAGAAGGCTACCCAGGCCGCTCACAAGAAAAGAGGCGTCATCTACATCGGCCGTCTCCCACAGCATTTCCAAGAGAAGGAAGCCAAGAAGTACTTCAGACAGTTTGGCGACATCACCAGAATGAGACTTGCCAGAAACAAAACCACCGGCCGCATGAAGCACTTTGGATTCATTGAGTTCAAGGAAGAGGAGGCCGCCAAGGTGGCTGCCGAGACGATGAACAACTACCTCATCTTGGGCCACTTGATGAAGGTGCACGTTATTGACAACCCCAGAGACGATCTTTTCCCAGCCAACCTCAAGAGCACATTCACTGAGTTTGACTGGAGAGCCAGGGAGTACGCTGCTTACCATGAGAAGAAGCCTTTGGCGGTGTGGGAGGAGAAGCAGGCTGCATTCGAGGCCCAGAAGAAGGCCAAGTTTGACGAGTTGAAGGAGCTTGGTTTCGACTATGCTCTTGAGGCTTGATTGTAGAATAGTTACTGGCCACGGGCCATTCTTGCATAAGACGGCACCAGGGCACTCTGGGTGCTTGCAGCTGCAGACGAATATTCAGGTAGACATAATACATGAAGAGGGCGTGATGGGAAAGCTGTAGGGAGTAGGTTTTATGAGATTACCAGGGACTGAGAGATTGTTAAGATTTTTGAAAGTTCATCAGGAATATAGGATAATCGTATTCCATGGATCATCGTGTCTGACGACTACTGTGGCAATAGCAGATCATCGGAGTTTCAGGCACCAAGAAATTGTCATACTCATTGGCCATGCGGCTTCAAACCACCCCCTAAGCAAATAACAGGCCATTTTTTCATAATCTAGACAATCTGGCAGGTTTCATATGCTACACCTGATCTACAGAGCGCACCGGCGATTTCGCAGCCATTTCCACACCTCAGCCATGGTTCCCCATCACAAGCTCTCCACCATCGGACAAAGCCACAAAACGTTTTTTTGCACATTCAGATTCCAAAAGTCTCCAGCCCACCCCTCAGCAACCCTGATCCAGAACCCCGAGGCTAACTCTATAATTCAGCCACACCGCGGATATAAGGCTGCTAGCGATGTTGAGAAACAATGGCACGGAGGAGCAGCCAGCCCCGCAGCAACGTGAAAAGAGAAACAGAGCATAACGGTGGTGTTTAGGTTTTTCACAGGAGGGGCGCCAGGAAAGGAAGCTTTTTCCTGGAGGAGACTGGGGGAAAGGAGGTACGGGTGTTTTAACCGTACGGGTGGCGTGTTTTGACCTGCCACGCCCCACCCGGGGGGTTTCTATACCGCCTTAGTGCAAAACACACGGCAGAAGTGCCATCGCACAGGCAGCCAGCCTGACAATCCGGGCGTCTGTGATTGGGCGTCCTGCACAGAAGCAGCGCGAGCGGACCCCAATTTTCTTTTTCCCTCCCATAGTTAAGCAGCCACCTGATCGCATATAAACGTCGCTCGCTTTCACATGTGAGCTCACCAGCGTTCAACATAAATTCATCTTCCGCGAACTTTACCACCACCCGCTCTTCTCCATACCAAAATGTCTGAAACCGAAGGCTCTGCTGTCGAGGACAAGTTTTACTCCATCGAGGAGGTCCAGAAACACAACACCACCGACGACTTGTGGATTGTCTACAACGGTCAGGTGTACAATGTCACTCCATACTTGGATGAGCACCCAGGTGGTGAAGAGGTGATTGCCGATGTTGCTGGCACTGATGCCACCGAGGCCTTCAACGACATTGGCCACTCGGACGACGCTCACGATATCTTGAAGGGTTTGAGACTCGGCAAGTTGGAAGGCGGCACCATCATCGAGGCCCAGGGTGTCACCTCTTCTGGCTCCACCGACGAGGTGCTGGGCATCCCATTCCCCTTGTTGGCTGCTGCCGTGTTTGCTTTGGCTGCCGGCGTGTACTTTTACCTCAACTAAACCGGCGATACGCTATTGGAAATCTCGTCATGATCTAAACGGCTACTGTACTCACTAGAACTGGGCTGCCTCCAGGACACTCCCACCACGGGCTCCCGAGCCCTATAGCATTCCGGGGTATATAATATATCACATAACCTGTCCTGTCAACTGCTCCAACACGAGCGCAGCATAGCTGCTGAGTGGCTCTGCTCTGCGCTCTCGCTTGCATCCTCGTAGAAGCGACGCTAGCTTCCGGACCTTGGTGTTTTCCCACCGCCGGGCTCGTTGCTTGTAGTCGTGTGCTGCGGCCGCCTCTGCGCCGTCGCATAGCTCGTATACGACGCATCCATAGACGTAGCCATTTCGGGTCTCGCCTATTTTTGCACTTTCCACGGCGCCAAACACGGCCATGATTTCACAAAGTGTGCTGGCGTCAATCTGGGCCTCGGGCTCTTCTCGAAGCTTCCACTTGACCTCCACCTCTCGGTCCTCCTCCTTGTTGAACGCTAGGGTGGTAAATCTGCCGGAGAAGTCCAAGTCTTTATAGCTCACGTAGCCAAACTTGTCAACACTGCGTTCTCGCTCAAACTGGTATCGGAGATCCTGGGCCTCTTTTTGTAGAAGCTGTATCTTCTGCTCCCTCAAGCCGGCGTCCTCATACATTCTGGCGTGCTGTTTCTCGGCCCGTCGAAGCTGGTCCCGAAACCGTTTCACATCATCACTGAGCCTGTCTTCATTAATCTGCGTCCCCTTTCTCAACAGCTCATACTGCTCTCGTAGCTTCAGATCACTGAGCACAGCATAGACAGCCGTGAGATGCTGGAACTTCTGCTTTGCCAGTTCCAGGGGATTTTTGTCCGGATGGTACTTGAGTGCTTTTTTCCTGTAAGCTACGACGATTTCACGGTCGGAGGCGTTTTCCACGACACCCAATTCGGCGTAGAGGTCGAGCTTATCTAGCTCCATATTGGTGGTTGTACTTGATATGGGCATCGCGCATGTTGATATCCTCATCAAGTGGGGTGGGGGAGGGGTCTTTTGGAAGCAAAGTGGGGGATTTTTCGGCAATGAAAGTTTAATTGGAAGGAAGCCTCGGCGGCTTTGAAGTTTATGATTTTGTCTGATTGCAGAATGTTAGGCGAAGTGGGTTCGTGGAAATGGCTGCAAAATCATGATGCGTCTTGGCAAGATGAGACGTCTTTCATAGTGACCCAAATGAGAATGGTCGAGAGGATTTTCTTAGGATGCTGAACCTAGAGAAACCGCTGAAAATTCAACTCTACAGGCTACGTTGTTCTGCGACATGATTTCCAGTGTCAGTAAGACATCCATACACAAAACGTTTCATGTGCAGCTCGAAAGATATGATCGTAGAAACCTCCGACGCCTGAAAAACATATTTGTCTTCTATATTTTCAATTTGATGAGCCATCAAGATTTACAGTGCGCTTCATACAAATACACCGTCTTCTAGCGAAATTTATTAGTCTATAAGATATGTAGCAGTTTCTCGCAAAAGCGCCCGTTCTCTACTTGTGCAACATGAATGGACTTGTTGACGAGGCATGGCAATCACCGTCAGAGATTCAAAACCGTACGAAGTCACATGTAGCAGGTGGAAGTCACGAAACTCACTCTGGATAAAATATAGTATAAAGTTGACCAGTGTTCAGCCCTGCGTCTTAAATGAAGATAACATCCAGCTTCAGTCATTATGGCGGAGCATGCCAAAAAGTGTAGCCGCAGGAGTAAACTGAATTGCACGTAGTACGTAATTCTTCATTGAACCAAAGAAACCGGCCGCGTTAATGGCAAGAGCAGCAGGAGGTAGGATACTCCAGAGACGAGAGGGCTTGGACTTTTCCAACAACCTTTCAAGATACCTGATTTCTGGCTCATAAAGTATTTCATCAGACTCAAGGAGTCTCGTTAAAAGCTTGTTGCAACAATCGTGAGCCCTGTCGTTTCTCTTCAAGACCCTTGCGGTCTCACGTTGCGGTAAGTTGCGAATAACATCGTCAAGGTCCGCAACATGGACAGTAGTTTCTGGGTCCACACCCCAATGTTCAGCCCAAAGTTTCTCTCGCGACTGCTTCTTTGATCTCCATATCAAATAAAATTGAACGGGATCAAGCTTTTGAAGCACTTCGTCCTCAGACCAAGAGACATTTATGAGGTGACGAATTCTTGTGTCAAGAATGTCTCGGTAGAACTGAGAACGTAAGAAAATCTGACCGGGGTTTTCGCCTCCAAGGAACCTCCCCCACCGTAAGTCATTATCTATGCCTCGCAAGAAATCAAGTTCACTGACTTCCATGTCAGTCATGTCGTCCCCCTTCTCTTCAAGCCTTATGGCTCGGTGGTGCAAAAAATCCCAAACCGGATCATCGCTGCGGAGAATTTGAAGATACATCTCCTCATCGTAAGGCAGCTTGGGATTATTCCTCGCTGTGTCGTTTTCATTTGATTTACTCGCCTCAGTACTCGATTCTTGGTTTGAGAGGGAGTTATCCGCCTTAGGCACCCCAGGAAATGTACCATGATCACCCCCCGTTGGCTTGTTCTTGCCGCTTTCAAATCCAAGCATATCTTCTTCAGTCGGGTTGGCGCTGTTCCTGTCACAAGCTGACAGCGGTGGGACTCTTTCTTTCGAAGAACCCCCCTGGACATTAACAGACTCTAATGGACCAGATATACTCAGATGAGGTTCATCCAGCCGAGAGTCTTCGAGTTCAGATCTTGGCAGCTGGCTCATTCAAATCTTTGTGGGCTTCACAAACAAAAGGACTCTTGCAAAGAATTGGTTGTAGCGCTTGAGGTGCTCTCTAGCTATTATAATAGGTTCGGCTGTTGTCAATATTCAACAATTAGAAGCTAAAACTAGCTTTAGAGCTCCTAATAGTCGAAAATTGACTTTGTGCCTGTGGTAGAAAGTAGGTCAAAGTGGTTTTGCAACCATTTCGCGAGTCGCTCATACAACCACCGAAAGTGACGAGAGCACCAAAAACGATCCATTTGCTTGAGAAACAATCCTTGAAGCCTGAAAAGTGTCCAAAGTATTCTCACATCCAAATAAAACCTCCAAGAGCTAATTCAGTCAGCCCTACACAACGCAGCAGACCTACTCCGTCAACACTAGCCGTTGATCCTTGAGCTTAAGGCCCCAATGAATGAATTGCCTTAGCCAAATAAGTACCTGATCAAAAAAAAAAAAAAAAAAACTTCTTTCTCAAACGGGCAGCGTGAGCTGGACTAAGATGGTCGTCAGAAATACTTAGATCTTGAGTGTGGCTATTTGGTTGACCACTCGGTAAGAAGTCCGCTCCATTTCTCAGCCACATTCTTTTTGAACACTAAGCTCTAGGATCTCCCTTCGACCTCTAGCAACTATTGCCTGGCATGGGCACTTTCATTGAGGCACAAGCGTATCCAAAGAAATCTAACACTCATGAACGATACCCTGATTGGGCTACGTCCCTCATTCTTCATACCTCACACTCCTATAAAGTGTAGATCACAACTTCTCATTTCAAATCTACTATTTCAGGGGTGCGAGCTACATTGACAAAGTCACATTTAACCACACAAGAAGTGATCAAAAAGAAGTATATCAATGTCCAACTGTATCTCGTGTCGTGAGGTAAAGGTGGCGACTCCATTCGAAGGTATACCTACGCCCCAGAAGGCAGACAAGCAATCTGCACCTCAAACGATGGCCTCGAGAGAAGTACATCTTAGTACACATGACAAAGGGCTTCAAGTGATTTGGAATCTTGCATTGGAAAAAATGTGGAGGTAACGTCATTGCACGAGCAAGTTCACTGCCAGCAACGGCATCCTTAAACTCACTCCATCTTATGAACCGTGATTTGCGATCATCAAGCAAGGGTATTTCCTTCGAGGAGAGTTCATCATCCTCGAGCTTCTCCTCCTCTAATGTGATCTTTATCTGTTCAAGACAAAATTCAATGTCATCCACTTGTCGATATTGGCTTGCTTCTTTGAAGCCCTGGGCAACAATAAATGTACATCGGACGAATTTGTTAAGCTCCATTCCCGGACTAGCGATGCCGTCATAAGATCCTTCCCTTGATTGGTAGAACTGCGTGTTCCCATTTAATGAAACCCGAATCGAAAGTGGAATGTTTTCTTCGCCAAACGGATACGATGGGTAAGGGAACAATGGCTTTCCTCGCATGAAAGGTTTCGGCGAGTTGGCTTCAATGACATGACCATCAACCACTATACATATGGCAGAGTGTGGCTTATCGAAGCCTGTGCCAGTCCCAAAAGTAGGCAGATCAATCACCCTGGTCTCCCAGCAAGGGCAAATACACTTCAGACTTGTCCTTGAAATATGGCTTCTGAGCCATTTGTGTATCTTGGACGATGCACTTTGGCAAAATCTGGTTTCCTTTACACCGCTGCTATCACTTGGGATCCGTGAACTTCCGGTCATGATATCGGCTGAAACTATGAAACATCCTTTTCCACCATGTTGATGCAACAGAAAGAAATATCGTTGAAATTTATCAGTTGCTTCATTCGAAGCAAAGTTACGGCTAAAGGTTGACAAACAAGCATCATTCGATTCGAAATCTTGCAAACTTTTCATGAAATGATCCTGGCCTCTGGCCATCTCGTCCTTGTTACACCCTAGAAAGTGCCAAAGTGGGTTATAAATTTCCTGCTCATGTATCCTTTCATACCTTTTCTGCGCCACGTGAAGTTCGATAAACGCAGACACATTGAAACGGGGAACTCTTTTGTTGCAAATCGATAACGTGATTTTCAATCCATATGTTCTAGTGAACCCTCCAATGAAGAACGTAGGACCAACCTGTGGAATCACACAGTCATACATTGTTGGAGGTATCATGAGTTTGCTGTTTAAAGAATTGATCTCCATGGACGTTTCCTTCTCAAATAACACCTTACTCCGGATGTCTGTCGCTTCAGTATATTTGCTTGGCACGCAACTAAATTCTAGTAAGTCAACACGGATATTCGTCAAGTGGAATGGCTCCTTGAGCATGTTGTCCGAGCTCCGTTTACCGAGGATCTGCAAGCTCAACGGAAGGAAGCTCGGTACGTACATCCCTGGAACCACAATTCGAAAGTATGCCTCTTGGTGAATCCATGCAGCTTGCTTAAATTCAGCTCTGAATTCAAGTCTTCTACCGCTCCCTGCGATATTATGAGTTGTGCCCATGTCCATTTCGGACCCAAACCCATGAAGCTGATGCGACATTGGGAATTTTGGGCCTGGAAATAGCTGCCTCTCTTCTCCGACAGCTATGAGGCACCTCCCTACTATTGGCATGGGCATTTCGAGATTCGACCAGTCAAATGTGTAGTACATATAAATTACTTCAAAAACAAGCATGGGATTTCCAAAATCCGGTCCTGCCCCAAAGCTGGTAACACCGTTCCTCATTCGTGCTTTTTCAATATGGATTTTCAGGTCAGGGTCTTTAGCCAACTCTAAGTTTCTCACGACAAACTCTGTAACTTGATGATGCTCGCCTTGAAACAACAAGCCCAATGTCCGGAACGAAAAGACCTGCTTGTCCACAGCCTCCACTATGGCATCCAATTGACGTGAAAAATTTGTTCCAAGGTTCCGAATCTGGAAGATCGTGGTCAACTTCTCTCGAGGGGCCTCAACCTGGGACTTGGTTATGCGGCTAGGGAACTTCATCATAAAGGGGTGTTAGTCCGCAGCTATTCTTTCGAGGCAGATAAAAACTTTATTCAAAGTGATATCTCGCTATTGTAGTGATCGCCTAGTTGTGTCATCGCTAGAATATCGAGCACTGAATGACTATCAGTACCAAATAGGGAAAGTTTGACATTTCTCATTGCGTGCAATTTAGGCAATAAAGCGAAAACGCCAATGAAGTGATGCTCTGCAAAATGATTTCATCATGTTTGTTACACTTGGCTTCTAAATAAGCGTGTATGATTGAAAACCATACTCGAATAAGGAGGGAGCTGGCCAAAAAGCCTCCCTTTGTATCATCAAACTCATGTTGATCGATGTTCAACTTCAGATGTAGTAGATAATTCGAGAAATACACCTCCAAGGTTCGTTCATCCTCAAGGTTATCACTTCTGTATTTGTCGCTTATCAGTTCGAGTATCTTAGACCACTTGCACAATGTATTACATTGCAATGAATAACATGTTGCGGTGGAGATTAGGACCTGATGGTGATGGGTTCAATCGAAACACAATAAAGAGTTCCAACCTGGGGAGCCATTTAATCAATGAAGCCGGTAGTTCCAATACTCTCCATCATCACCCTGCCGGGATTATGATGGATGGTTGCAGTAGTTAGACACACCCGTGCACCATCACCAGTATAATGTCGAAAAAAATCGAGTACCACAGCACGAGTCCGATATCGAACATTATGTCCATCCTGACGCCATTGGCCACGACATATGGCGCCCGTTTGAGTGCGTACTTGACGACATACGAGGACTTGAAAAAGCACAGAAAGAGATTGAATAAATCGTTGGTCAAGCTCCGTCACAACCTCGACATTGTCACCAAGGACACCAGGAAATATAGCGAAAAGGAGAAAACTAAGGCAATTACCGCTGCCCAATATGATGAAGACCAGGCCAACGGTACACTCTTACTTTTAATCGCCGAGCGTGACTCCTTATATGCTTCGGAGATCAAATCCTTGCTTGAAGTTTCAGGTTCCAGGCTCTCTTCTTACAAGAAGCTCATGGTTTCTAGACTCAAGAGAGCCGTTCAGACAAGCAAAAAGCTTCTTGAGATCACGCAAAACGAAGAAAATGTTACCGTGAGAACAGAGATCTACATATACGCCGCCCTTACCCAGGGCTTGTACCTGGTGAACAAGAAAAGGTGGGCTGAGGCACTTCAGGCTTTCTCCATCGCCAGATGTGGTCTTGAGCTCATAGCCTCACAAAATAGCGATGATAATGAGGGGGAGAGTTTCAGTAGAACTTTACTGGAGGAGTTGCTTGATACTTTGGTTGACCCTTCATTGAACTTGGCAGTCTCTCAAAATGAGGAAGAAGAATCGTCTTACGATATCATCACTGTTGCCAGAAAACATTGCCATGACGATACATTGGCCTACTTGCAACCAGCCGTTGACCTCATAGCATCGCAAGACCCTCTGTTCGTGCAAGAGTTCGAGGAGGAGATCTCGAAAACTGTTGTCTGGAGGGAACATACGGCTAACGTTTACAACGACGAGGTATCGAGCAAAGTGGGCCGTCTCGGGCGTGTGGAATGGAAAAATTTTAGCGAAGCTGATGACTACGATGGATTGTTGCAAAAATGGACCGCTCTCGTGGACCTTCACGAGGCGGACTTGCTGAAAAACAAGGATGAAGACGACCTTGACCGAGTTCAAGACGGCGCTATTGTCTTGACGTACCTCAAGTACCACATGCATTTCACCAAAGTGAAGAGAGACTTGCTTCTCATCGACCAATTGGAGTCGAAACAGTTTTCCAGTGTTGCCAAGAAGCTTCAGTCACACCGTGATGTACTCAGGCTTTACGACTCGATTATCGGTACTGTTGAGCAACTCAAAGATTTACCTGGTGTTTACAATGACGAAGATATGTACTCGACGTTGGAAAACATGGAACGGTTTTTCGTCACCAAGAGAGCCACCGTTGTGGCGGACTCCTACGCTCTCGCAAACAAACTCCCCGAAGCCCTTAAAGTGTACAGTCATCTTTCAAGAACTTTTGAGGTTGAATCAGATTTCTACAAGATCGAGCTGTTCCCTTACAGTGTCACCAGCAATGAGGAAGCTCAAGGTCTCGCAGCACTGATTCAAGCGAACTTGGCCAAAACCCACATTATGACGCAATTTCACATCGAGCAGGACAACAGTGACTTTGTGATTGACAACGTCAACAAGTTCCCTCTGTCTGACGGGATCAACAGAATCACCAATGTTGGACAAAAGGGTGCAATAAAGCCAGTGTTGAGCAAAGCTGTGTTGTTCGATGTTGCATTCAACTACATCAGCTACTCATCTAGAAGCGAAGAAACAGGAGAGGCGGAGCCTACCGGAGACAAGAAGAAGAGCGGATTTTTTGGCATTTTTGGCCGTTAAGTAATACCACGAAGCATCTGTGTACTACTAGTAGATCAATCAGCGCGCTGGTGAAGAAACCACCAACACATTCATTTTCATCCACACCTACCCACCATGAAGGAAAGCTCGGTGTTTACACTCATTTTCTGTGTGTTTGGTCTCTACGGCCTGTTTCTCTCGTGGTCTGTTCTTCAGGAGCGGATCAACACAAAGCCATATGAGTACATCGACGAGAAACCGGTATTTTTCAAGGCCCCACTTCTTGTGAATACCATCCAGGCTCTCTTTGCATGTTTTGTGGGACTTCTATATTCCTGGATCGCCCATAAGCAGAATCCATTTGCTATTTTTCATTCTACGGCCAGCAAAGACACCACAGGCGGATCAACCTATGTCAAGTTCTTCTTAGCCATTGCAGTGACATCGACCTTGTCGTCCCCCTTGGGATACAAAGCTTTAAAGCACGTGGATTATTTAGCTTTCTTGCTCGCCAAATCTTGCAAGTTGCTTCCCGTGATGTTGGTTCACTTTGTGCTCTACAGAACGAGGTTTCCACCTCACAAGTACATGGTCGCTGGAATGGTCACACTTGGTGTGATCTTGTTCACCACCAATCACAGCTCAGGAAAGTCAAAGGCATCTATCAACGACGGAAACACGCTCTTAGGCATGGCCCAATTGGGTGGGTCTATGCTTTTGGATGGTTTGATGAATTCTACGCAAGACCAGCTCTTCAGACTCCCAAACCGCCAGCACAAGCTCACAGGTGCCTCGCTCATGTGTATTCTCAATCTCCTCGTTTTCTTCTTCTCCTTGGGGTTCATACTTGTCTTCCAATTTGAGCAGGAAGCACTCTACACATGGCGTTTCGTGCACAAGTACCCGCAGCTGCTTGTGGACATTTTGGCGTTTTCGCTTTTTGGAGCAGCGGGCCAAGTGTTTGTTTTCCTCATACTTGAGAAGTTTGACTCTCTCATTTTGGTTACAGCTACGGTGACGAGGAAGATGATCAGTATGATCCTCAGCGTGGTGTTGTTCGGCCACACGCTCACATATGGCCAGTGGCTTGGTGTGGTTTCCGTTTTCGGAGGCATCGGATACGAGTCTTACTTGAAGCTCTCGTCCAAAAAGAAAAAGCAGGAGTAGTCCACAAGCCATATTGCATTTGCAACCATTCGTCATGTTGCACCACACTCGCTCAAAATAACCCCTTCGATTCTCCCGAGGCCACAACTCAAAATAAGCATTTACCAACACTCACTTCATTGTAGTTTCCTAATTCACTTAAATTCTGTTCAAAAGAAGTTTCTCGTTTGGTGCCTCCCACAGCCTACACCTGCGCACTCTGCATCATCAAACAGATCCATGCTCATATCCCACCCTTCTATCATGTGGACCCACAACTCCCCCTGGGCTCGGATCGAGCAGGCCTTATGTGCTTTTCTATCGCTTTTTCCAAAACTTCTAGTTTCATGCACAATGACGTGGGCAATGTGGGCCATATCAACACAACTTCAAAGCATACCTCAGCCTTGGTCCCATTTGGCTCTTGCCGTGGCGGCCGTGTTATACGTCCTCAGTTTATTTTCATACTTTCGTGTTATTTACGACGGGCCTGGACTGCCGGAAGATTATCCTGAACTACGGCTCCCGCCACAGCCTGAATGGAGTGCTTCACCTTACGATACTGCTAGACCATACACGCTGGGACAGCCCCAGATGGCCATTCCACCTACCGAAATTTACGAAACACATACTTTCCGTGATAACCAGCCGTCGTACAAGCTGTGCCACGTGTGCAACGCCTGGAAACCGGATCGGTGCCATCATTGCAACAACTGTAAACGATGCATTCTCAAGATGGACCACCATTGCCCGTGGTTTGCTTGTTGCATCGGGTTCCGAAACCACAAATTCTTCATTCAGTGCTTGTGCTACATCACTGCGTTTTGCACCTGGCTTTTGATCCTTTCGATCCACGAGGTGTACCGCTTCTTCGTGGACCAGGGAGACGAATTGACCTCGTACCTCCTGCTTAACCTTGTATTTGTGTTGGTGTTGTCGTTCACATTCTCCGTTGCCGTGGGTGTCTTTACGGCGTTTCTGGTGTACCTCATGCTTCGCAACTACTCGACCATCGAGTTCCAAGATAGCCGGTGGAACTACGCCAACGACCACGATGCGCAATACGAGTTTGACTCGAACGGCAAAAGAAAGAAACTTGGCCATATCTACGATTTGGGCGTCAGGAGAAACATGCGTGCTGTGATGGGCGATTCCTGGCTAGCCTGGCTCCTTCCGATCAAGGTCACCAACGAGTCCTTGCTGTCTGGAGACAAGAACGGCGTTCATTTCGACGTCAACGAAGCAACATATGAGAAGATGTGCACCAACGCCAAGCTCCAGACCCAGCTCAATAGACAACTTGCCGAGTACCGGGACCGCATCCACCACAGAAACGAAGCCACCAACGACAACACAGCATGATAACAGAATAATATTATTTAATCCACAGAACCAGCATGGCTTTTCTGCTCTCTCGATAACACACTTGTGTAGACCATCTTCTCTCAGTTCTCTCCTACTGCGCTCGCGAAATTATCAACTCACAACTTCCACCAACTCTTCTCACAGGCTCCGATGTTCGTGCAGATGCCCTTTGACGACCTTAAGGTCGACCCCAATAAGAAGAGGAGAGTGGCGTATTTCTACGATGCCGATGTGGGAAACTACGCCTACGGTGCTGGGCACCCAATGAAACCCCATCGTATTAGAATGGCACACTCGTTGATCATGAACTACGGTCTCTACAAAAAAATGGAGATTTACAGAGCCAAGCCTGCTACGAAGCAGGAGATGTGCCAGTTCCACACCGACGAGTATATTGATTTTTTGAGCAGAGTGCTGCCGGACAATTTGGACATGTTCGCCAAAGAGCAGGTCAAGTTCAACGTCGGAGATGACTGTCCAGTTTTTGACGGTTTATTTGAATACTGTGGTATCTCCGGAGGTGGATCCATGGAGGGAGCTGCTCGTTTGAACAGAGGCAAGTGTGACATTGCAATCAACTATGCTGGTGGATTGCACCATGCGAAAAAGTCAGAGGCTTCAGGGTTCTGCTACTTGAACGACATCGTTTTGGGTATTATTGAATTGTTGCGTTACCACCCTCGTGTGTTGTATATCGATATTGATGTCCACCACGGTGACGGTGTGGAGGAGGCTTTCTACACCACTGACCGTGTGATGACATGCTCCTTCCATAAGTACGGTGAATTTTTCCCCGGTACCGGTGAACTTCGTGACATTGGTGTTGGCAAGGGTAAGCACTATGCGGTGAATGTGCCCTTGAGAGACGGTATTGATGATGCCACCTACAAGTCCGTTTTCGAGCCCGTGATTTCCAAGATCATGGAATGGTACCAGCCGTCGGCCATCGTGTTGCAGTGTGGTGGTGACTCCTTGAGTGGAGACAGACTTGGTTGTTTCAACTTGTCGATGCGTGGTCACGCCAATTGTGTCAACTTTGTCAAGTCGTTCAATGTGCCACTTATGGTTGTGGGAGGTGGTGGCTACACAATGAGAAACGTCGCCAGAACGTGGGCCTACGAGTCCGGTTTGTTGAACGAGGTGAACTTGCCCAATGAGTTGCCGTACAATGAGTACTACGAGTACTACGGTCCTGACTACAAGCTTGACGTGAGGCCCTCAAACATGTACAATGCCAACGCTCCAGAATTCATGAACAAAATTTTGACGAACATCATTGCCAATTTGGAGAACACAAAGCACGCCCCTTCAGTACAGATGAACGATGTTCCTCGTGACGCCGAGGATTTGGGCGACGAGGATGAGGATTCGCCCATGGCTATCGACACCAAAGGCGGTTCGCAACAGGCCAGAGACGAGAGAGTCGTTCCCGACAACGAGTTTTACGACGAAGAGGACAAGGATGCCGGTGTTCGCCACATCGGACCTTCTGATCCATCTGCGGTCGAAGACAAGGCTCCCGCTAATGGAGCAAGTGAAAACGGCACGGAACCTAAGCCAGAGACGCAGACGGAGGAGAAGCCACTGTTGACAGAAGAGGAGCAGAAGGAGATTGACGAACTCAACCAGGAAGCCCAGCTGTAGACAGCAGGCATGTAGTATAGCTAGAAAAGGAACACAAGAGTACGAACGAGGTGTAGCGTTGGCTAAGAGTATTGAGGGAGTGAATGAGAGACGGTTTTGATCGAAATTGGTGAAATGTGATTTTGAGTTTATTGCTCGTATAGAGAAGATATAGAGCAGAGATGCATATTTGCACCCATTTATGCATCAGCCAGCGCACATACGTATAGATATCCATACCGTAAGCGAAAATGACACATGAATATTGATAAAAGAGGCGACACTGAGCTGAAATGTTAAAACAATTGAACATTTGCCACCCTTTATTAAACAGAGCTGATCATCTTGCAATGTATGCACCCATCCTTATCTCGATTGGCTTTCCATTAATTGAGATCAACACATAACCGCAAATCGTCAAACTAATTTTTTAACAGAACTAAAAACAAGAAAACAAATATTACCCTTATGCCTCCTCAGACCCCAATGGGATTCACCTGGAACGGCTTATCGTGGTGCCGTGACTCATGCAGTATATGGAGCGACAGAATCAGTAGATTTCACTACTGATACGACAACGAATGAAACATTGGGCTTTTTTTTGCGCAGCCAGAGCCCGTTTGGCGCTTACTAGCATGCCATTGCGTCTGTCTGCCACTCGCCATCTTGCCCTGCTGCCCGCTACCACCAAAATGACTTGGTCCTTGAAAACCAACAATACTAGTGGGATGAGAACCATGACATCCAGAAACCTCAGTACGGGACCGCCTGCTCCGTTGTTTATCAAATCTTGCCAGCTGTTGGCGCCTTCAACAGCCCCAGAGCTCGTGGGTCTGCCCCACCTGAAACTCCACAATGTGGTCTGGAGAGATCCGGTCCAGAACATCTACATCGTTAAGAAACCATGGAACGACGCCGTGCTAGCGGCAATGGTGCAGTTTATCAACTTTATACACGCGGAGTACCCGAGCCTTAATGTCGTTGTTTCGCTGGACGTGGCAGAGGAATTGAAGAGTGAGTACTTGAAGCAGCCTGGCTCGAAGCCTAGATCGATATATACGGGTTCTGTCGAGGACATTGTGGCCAAGACCGACTTGATCGTTGTGCTAGGTGGAGACGGAACGACACTTCGGGCGGTTTCGGCGTTTCTGAACTCTAGAGTACCTCCGGTGCTCAGCTTTGCTTTAGGAACGCTAGGGTTCCTCTTACCGTTTGATTTTGCTCACTACAAGAAGGTTTTCCGGTCCGTCTACGAATCTCGTTCTAAAGCTCTTCACAGAACTCGCCTCGAGTGTCATGTTGTTAGACGAGCTCAAAGCGAAGAACGTGAGAGACAAGGAAAGAAACCAGAACAGGTTCGTCGCTACGAGCTTGAGCACTACAAACAGCACCACAACGCCACAATGCTTCATGCCATGAACGACGTCTCGTTGCACCGTGGATCGCAGCCCAATTTGATGCTGTTGGATATTTACATTGACTCTGAGTTTCTCACCACCACAACCGCAGATGGTCTTGTTTTTGCATCGCCCACCGGCTCCACCGCATATTCGTTGTCGTCTGGTGGCTCAATTGTCAACCCGCTTGTGCCTTGCATTCTCCTCACACCCGTGTGTCCTCGTTCGCTTTCGTTTAGGCCACTTATTTTACCAACTACATCGCACATTATGGTCAAATTGCCGGTCACCAACAGAAACAGTCTGATCAACCTCAATATCGACGGCATTCCGCAGGCGGAGCTCCATCCAGGCGACGAACTTCATTTGGTGAGCGAAAACGGTACTATTTACATTCCTGGAAAGCACCAGCCGCCACAGACGTTGGCTGCAAAACAGGGCTTTGACGATATTCTTGAGCCTGGCCACAACGTCGTAAGAGAAAACAGCATGGGAATTTACTGCATTGCCAAGACGGAGAATGACTGGACCAAGGGGATCAACGAGCTTCTTGGCTTCAACAAGTCCTTCAAGGGGAAGATGAAGATATAGGGTGAGAGAGAAGGATGCGGGGATTCCAGGGTAAAGCTATGGCGGCCAAGAGACTACAAATTTTGAGAAGAAAGCCAAACTGAAGATAGACAGTCAACTCCCCGAAAAACAATCGCTCATCGTGGTTGACTCAGGTCTTCAATGGACTGCGCTTGGCAATTGCAGCTTGTTCGAGGCTCGGAGAATTGGGCTCAAGGAAATGACACCATTACATGCAGTCCGATACATACCACCCAATTGAAGCATTGTCATCTGGACGCCGCTGGGTGCCAAATCCCACAAAGAGTACCTAGCTGGGGTGGGTGGCTGGCTGGCGCATCCTGACGTAAACAGCGCATCACGTGATGTCTCACGTGTATCCGCTCACGCGAGCTTTTTTGGCGTGATGCGCACGTGTTGCATGGCGTGGCCGTTGTCACCCCCTATTGCCCGTTGAGGCAGCATGGGGTGGCGAGTATGGGGTGCGCAGGATAGGGTGCCGTAACGCGGTAGGCCCTGGGGCCCAGGCTTCCGGAATTGGCGCCATTTTAAACCTCCTAAAAGAAAAAATAAGATTTCGGGGCCTCATGACGTGATGCACCGGCTAGAAGCGCAGGCACCGAAACAGCCCCATTTGCAAGCGAATCTGGCGATTGGATTGCGGGAAATAGCGCGGCTCGAGCCACTTGTTCAGGGCTTGTTCCTGGCTTTGCCGGGCCTACCGAGTATGACGAAAAGTGGACCACAAAGAAAAAGATGGCGCTTGCTGATTATGCATTTGCTTATTCTTTTTTTTCTTTTCCAATTGGGCTGGAAGATCTTTTTCAGCCGCTGGATCGACGACAATAGGCTTTGCAATCGGCGCAATCTGGGGCAAGCTTTTTCTGTTGTATATATTATTTTTCTGCTCGCCTGGCGGCAGGACCTTCGCTCGAGTTTAGCTGCATTGGTTTTTCGTCCATTCTTTGTTCAATCTTTTTTGTGCCCTCACGCATTATTTGCCTGCCTGGCAGCACATTTTTTTTTTTTTTTTTTCTTTGACCTGTCGATACAACTATCTTTTGGTACCTCCAGCATACACCTCTTTTTTTTTTATATATATATATCACCAAAACCAACCACACACCCCCACGCTGCTACGCCACAAGCACCAATCCATCCGAGGCCCAATCCCATCCCCAATTAAAGCGAGCCGTCCCCTCCCTGGCCTACTAAATTTTGTCCAGCCTCCTCATGTCTCTCCCTGTGCAAATGGCGATGAAACTGTCCAACGGCGTGAACCCGTCTCCAATTATGCTTCCTCTCCAGCAACAGCAAATGCAAATGATGCCTCAGGCCCATGCCCACGCCGCTCAGGCTCAGGCCCATGCCCAGGCTCAAGCCCAGGCTCAGGCTCAAGCTCAAGCTCACGCTCATGCCCAAAACCAGGCCCTTGCCGCCCAACAACAACAACAGCAACAGCAGCAACAGCCGCCGCCACAGGCCCAGCAGATCCAGAATGGCGAACGCTCCCTTCTCGCCGAAACAACGTCCCAGACGTGGCTCGCCGTCGGCTCCTTGGCGGAGTCCCTCGGTGACTTGGAGAAGGCCTCGCTGGCCTACGACGCCGCCTTGCGCCACAACCCCAACAATCCTGAGGGGCTCATCCGCATGGCCAACATCTACCGCTCCAGAGACCACTTCTTGAAGGCCGCCGAGCTCTACGAGCAGGCACTTCTGTTCAACAACGAGAACGGTGACACATGGGGGCTCTTGGGCCACTGCTATCTCATGATGGACGACTTGCAGCGGGCTTACGCTGCCTACCAACGTGCTCTCTACTTCTTGGACAACCCCAATGTGCCCAAGTTGTGGCACGGAATCGGTATCTTGTACGACCGTTACGGCTCCTTGGAGTACGCTGAAGAGGCCTTTGTCCGTGTGTTGGACTTGGACCCCAACTTTGACAAGTCCAACGAGATCTACTTCCGTCTCGGTATCATTTACAAGCACCAGGGCATGCTTCCTTCCGCCTTGGAGTGCTTCCAGTACATCTTGTCGAACCCTCCACACCCGTTGACCCAGCCCGACGTCTGGTTCCAGATCGGCTCTGTGCTTGAGCAGCAGAAGAACTGGAACGGCGCCAAGGAGGCCTACGAGAAGGTTTTGGAGGTCAACCCCAACCACGCCAAGGTCTTGCAGCAATTGGGTTGCTTGTACTCCCAGGCCGAGTCCGCCACTTCTCCAAATGAACAATCCCAGGGAGCCCAGGGCCAGCAGCCTTTCCAGCAGGATCTCAACATTGCCCTCAAGTACCTCACCCAGTCGATCGAGATCGACGCTGGCGACGCTCACTCATGGTACTATTTGGGCCGTGTCCACATGATCCGTGGTGACTTTAACGCTGCCTACGAGGCCTTCCAGCAGGCCGTCAACCGCGACGCCAGAAACCCAACCTTCTGGTGCTCGATTGGTGTTCTTTACTACCAGATCTCCCAGTACCGTGATGCGCTCGATGCCTACACGAGGGCGATCCGTTTGAACCCATACATCTCCGAGGTCTGGTACGACTTGGGTACCTTGTATGAAACCTGCAACAACCAGATCAGCGATGCCTTGGACGCTTACCGCCAGGCTGAGCGTTTGGACCCTGGCAATCCACACATCAAGGCCCGTTTGGAGCAATTGATCAAGTACCAGCAAGACGGTAACACTCATCCACCCCAACCACCACCAGTGAACCAGCAGCCACGCTTGCCTCAAGGAATGGTGTTGGAGAGCACGCAACCTCAACAACCGCAGCAGCCACCTGCTCCTCAACAGTTCTCCCAAGGACCCCCACCTCCACCCCACAGCTTCTGCAGGGTCAACGCCCTCCACAGCAGCCTGTGAACTTCCCAGGTCAGGGTCTTCAGCCACACCACCAGGTTCCTCCACAACAACAACAGCAGCAGCAGCAACAGCCCCAACAACTGCAACAACAACTGCAGCAACAACTGCAGCAACAACTGCCATACCAAGTCGGAAGACCACAGCTTGGTTCTCAACCTCCTCATCTTCAACAGTCTGGCCAACCACTTCCGCACCAACAACTTCCTCAGCCGGGTGCTCCTCAGTACCAGGGTCACCAAAGCAACACACCTCTGCAAATCCCAACTCCACAGCACCAGCCGCAGCCAATGAATCAGCTTCCATCGGTTCCTGCCGCTGGTGAACAGGCTGGTCAGGCAGCTGGATCTACCGCCCAATCGCCATCAGTTGGTGCAACCCTTCCACCTGTTCAGCACCGCCAGGATAGTAGAGAACAGACGCTAGCTCCTCCTGCTGAGTCCAAGCCCGCTGATCTGACAGCATCAGAGGCATCAAAGCAGGGCACCCCAATGGAAGTTGAGAAGCCCTCGGCTGAACAAACCAACGGTTCTCTCAAACATGACTTGGAGGAGAAGAATGACGACAAAGCATTGAAAAAGCCCTCCATCTCAAAGACCGCTACTCCTCAGCCTGCCGAAAGCGCAAATAATCAACCTAATGTATCTTCAGCAGATGAGAAGTCGGAACCTGAGAAGCCCGCGGATTCCGAGCCAGCAACTGCTACTAGTGCTCCCGGTCCAGCTGCTGCACCTGGTCCTAGCGTCAACCCTCAGCCTGTGGTGACTGAAGAATCTTCGAACGCTACTTCAGCTCCCAAGTTTTCCAGCAACGTGACGGAAAATGAGAAGAACGAAGAGACCAACGAAAAGGACAATGACAATGACGAGGAAGAAGAAGAAAGAACGAATGAGCCTGTTGAGCCTCCTTTGCGCAAAGTAGAGGAGGATGAAAACTACGATGACGAGTAATGATGTCGCTAGGAACTCCTGACCGCTTGAAAGCGGTGCAAACTCTGTGTAATATGTACGATTAAAATCTTGTTCAAGACTCACTGGTTGAACGCTCCAGGAACGGCGGTTTGCTCTACTGGAGTTGGTGTTGTAGATGCGCTTGACTGTGAACCTCTGGAGGTGACGATAGTCATGTTAGATAAGGTATTGGCCTTGTGGGTGCTCAAATATAGGTTGAACAAATCTTTGATGATTGTCACGCCAAACATGCCGACAAGATTTGCAAAAAGGATTAACTTAGGTCTTGGAACATGCAGAAACCAGGAAGATCTCTGAAGTACTGTAAGCATGATCCTGCCAACGTCAGCAGCTAAAAATGGCCAAAGGAACGTAGTTACTCCCGTCACGACTCTCAGTTTCGTAAGAAGCGAAGTTGAGTAGTCATTTTTTAGACATGCAATCAGTTTGAACAGCCATGCTTGAAGCTTGAGCTTGAGCCAGCGCCATGCAAAGTCCTCTTTGAGTATTATCAGCAACTCAAGAAGCTTGTGTTTGATAGCGTTGATCATTGGCGAGGGGGAAGTAGCAACAGGGGAATTACGCTTCGCCTTTCTGACCTTGTCCCGCAATTCGAAATGAAGCCTTCCCAATTTGCTCTCAATAAGCTCGTACTTTGCAAGTTCGCTCTCACTGAGCGTGTTGGCTATGCTTTTGGGACGAACCGCCATTGAGAGGTCAAAATGGCGTTTGTTGATGGTGAGCCTAAACAACAAGTCGTAGATCCATCTCGCTGGAATCATAGAGCCAATCATGACATTTGGATCCCACCAGCTGATGTTCTTTGTGAGACCAGCCCAACCGAGTGCTCCCAAGGAGCGAGACTTCCAAACAGAAGCAAGACACTGTCTCAAATTGGCATATAAGCCCTTTGCAAGTGTGTGGTTACCTAGGGACGAGACATACTGACAGACAAGAAATTCGTTGAAAGTGTCTGTGAGTAACGACAGTGCTGAGGAGTTGAAAAGGCACCCAAAGATAGACGAAAAGCGCATTCTGAACAAGACGAGGGGAAGAAGCGGCACAAGCTGGAAGCGGAAGTGGCTCAAAACGTTGACGTCCCAGTCCATGCGATCTGCCAGGGGCACGGCTGCACTTAAAGTAGTTGCAGGGCCAGATTGTGGCTTTCTACGGAGTAAGGAGATCAAGATGGACTCGGGCACCATCACCTCAAGCATATTAACGCCACAGCGAGTAAGACCAGCATATCCCACAGTGACAATTCCGATGGCGGCTCCAGAAACACCCATGAACACACCCAGGTACAGAACCATATCCTTAATTGACGAACGTACCAAGGTGTTGAGCGCTAGTAGCGACGAGTGGGACATTTGGAAGACGATCTTGTTTTTACACTGTGGGCAATCTGCCGCAAGCATCACAGAATTGTTATCTCCGAGACCCACCATATCCTGGGAGGGCGTGTAGACGTATGATTCCGTACCCCAGGTCACAAGGAGCCTTCCCCAGCGAGAGTTGAAGTTGAACATTCCCGGATCATCCAAATCGTCATCCACCGGAGGAAAAACACCGATATCTGATCTTGAATCAGCCAGGCTCGACCTTCTAGGAATCTCGTCCCTGAACGTTCTAGTCACCTTAGATGGAGGGAGCGAGTTGAACCACTCCATGAGGCACATTTTATGAACCACCAACGAGCACGTGGAGCAAGGCATAATAAGGTCTTCAGCATCTTTGGTAGTGCCGAACGATGGAATCTCCGTATCGTCTCCGAGACAGAGGGCACATATAGAAGAAGACATGGTAGGTAATCTGGGGAACATGAGATTTCGCACTCAGCTGAGACAAATACCCATGGGGCAATCAGAAGACGATCGGGATGTTGGGATTTAAGTATTTTGAAGGGGCTTATTTTGTCGAATTTGAGAGGTATAGGTGATTGCATCAAATACGTTGGTTGGTGAGATTGTGGATTAAGTGTAGTGGGTGCACTGATATGTACCATATCGGCGTTGTGATTAGCCCATAAAGGCTTAAGAAATCTTTTATCAGCTCAAATTACTAGCGCTACTTTTGAAACGATCAATAAAAGCTTATAGAAGCTTTCTAACGATATCTTAAAGAAGGAAATTCGCCTTTCGGATTTAGGTGGTTCTCGGATCTGTGGTTTGCAGCCATTTCCTGGCATATGAAAATGGCGAGCACAGTTATATCGGGAGTTGATATCGAGTTGGGCTTTTATAGCTGATTTATTCTCGATTCGAGGGTTAAGACTTCCCGAAGTTGTGGAAAATCTCGAGTGTAGGTTCTATTATATATCCTCGGTACTAGAATATCCCTCGGTTGCTTAAACATAACTTACCTCAGTTTAGCCTTCCACACAAACACATTCTCAAACTACCTCAAGGACCTATCGTGGTCTTTGTTTTCTGGAAACCCTTGATCTGAGCTCTTTTTATTAAAAGTTCGTGAACCCATAGTCTTTACGTAAACCTGTACGACAATCAGTCAGATAAATCAGACAGCTTATCCAACTCCTCACTGGAACGCCCTCTTGGCAACATCAAGACCAGCGGCAAAGTGGTATAACCTGGCATCGACGACGCATCCTTCCTTCTGGCACACCTCCTCAAGCCCCTTCAAGAGATTGTCAATTGGCAACGTGAAAACATCAATAAACTCTCCATCCTCGGTCTGTGCTTTGGGATTCTGGTTACGTGGGTCCTCCATATCCACATCCACGGTCACCAAAGCCATGTTGGCGTTGGTAAGGCCTGGATCACTGAACAAAGTGATACTATCGTGAGAACTGCTTCTTGTCTTGCCGTGGTAGCCAGTCTCTTCAATCAATTCTCTCTCAGCAGTAGACTCCACAGACTCATTAGGATCAATAAGGCCAGCAGGCATCTCAATGACCACTTTCTCGCATGGTGGTCTGAATTGCTTGACAAGAACGAGATCACTAGGGTTGCCCTTTTTCTTGAGCAAGGCGAAAATCGAGACGGCGTCCAAACCAGTGGTTTCTGTTCTCGTTGTTCTGACAGCCATCTCCCAAACTCTCTCCTTTCCAGCAGGATCAATCCAATTGATCTTCCTGGTCTGAATCCACTTGCCCTGGTCCAAGGCCTCCACAGACTTGATCTTGGCGTCGTAAGGAGAATTGCTCATTCTGGTGGTACTTAAAGTTCTGGAAAAGCGATTGAGGTTTCTGCAAGCACTGGCAATTCTTTTCATAAAAGAGTCGCAGGTTGAGTTGCTCTGAGTTCTGGTTCTACTGGACCCGATATCGCACAAACTGTACCCAGTGCAAAACAGAGTAACCAAACCACCTGAGCCTTCTTTGCAATGAAGGACGACACAGACGCCATCAAGGCCAAAATCCAGGATCATTTAGTGTCCCTGGGGAATTACGAGATTATCTCCAAGCAGCTTAAGCTTAAGTTGTACGAGGCTGGCTGGTTTGATGAGATCTCCCAGGTCGCCAGTAAAGAGCTTCAAAAGCCAGGACTGGAGGAGATGAATTTTGAAAACTTGTACAACTTTTTGAGGCCCAAGGCTGAAGAGAAGGTGCCCGAGTCTGTGAAAGAGGATGTTTTGAACAGGATAAAGGAGTATCTTGACGATGCGATCCAGTAGTGGGCGATGGACGAGAGTTGGAGATAATGAAGGGAAAGGGGCTTTCCTGAAATGCATTTGCATCTCACAGTTTTTGCCATGTGAGTGTAACTCGTTGCCTTGTCACGATCATTCTCAGGTTGGGATTCAGGATCCAGTGGGTGGATCATCCTTCAAAGGGCACATCCAAATGAGAATGAAGTGCAGAAAACTGTATCTCTGGAGGGCGTTTAAAGAACGGCGAAGAAGCAAAGAATGTTCAAATTGTGGAAGAAATTACAGACCAGCCCCACATGTACCTTCGCTTGGATCATTGAGACTGGCTTTAATTGACTTCACCTAAGACCACGATGCTTCGCTAATTTGCATACTTACAATAAAATTTAACGAAATTGATGCTACAAAATGCATTGTAGAACAAGCTAATTCAGGATATCAACCTGGCAACTGGCAATAGTGCACTCTTCAACCTAGCAAGTAACAGAGACGATTCCTTCGAAATTTTGAATTAAACTCGAATCAAGCTTTTCTTGCGACGTAAGTGCATTCTTTGCAAAACTAAAGGCAATGTCTGAAAATTATGGTCTTGCTGAGTGAATTCATAAAGTGCAGCAGTCTACACTATTACGTACGGCGCAGCTTCCTTGCCCATATGTGCTAATTCCTATAACTAACAAAACATCCTCAACTGAAGTTAAACCATCACATAGATATCATCCAAACCTGTTGCCACAACAAAATTCCAAAAATCACACCTCACCAAACAACGACTATCTCTTCGATCTGTCTGCGTGAAAGCACCCTATTTAGTCCGTCGCATTTGCAACCAATCCTGGCTCTAACAAAGCTTTGCATGCACCGATGACCACCACGTTCTCGGGCCACAAGGCCAACAAAAACACGAAACCAAAATCATCAGAAACGCCGCTTCCAATTTTCATCAGATCACAGACCCCAACCCAATTTCCACCAAAACCAGACCCGCCCACACGCTGACTCCGGAGACCGCACCCGTGCACCACGCACCTATCCAATCACTTTGCCTTAATTTGTGCTGATTGCAACTCGCAAAAAAAAACTAGTGTCTCTTCAACACCGCTACCATCACATCTTTTCACACAAATGTTGCCGGTTGCTAGAAACTCGCTTGCGGCAATCCCCAAAACACAAGCCCTCGGGCTCTCCGCATCCAGGCTCTCCGCTTGGCCTCCACCAAGCAGATTGGTGGTGGAGGAGTTCCTGCCAAAGACTTGACCCCAAGAAAGTTGGACACAGACTTCACCCTCATGTCCGAAAAAACTGCATCGTCGCCAGTCGACTACGCCTTGACGTCGCTCGACGCCATTGCCATGTGGGCGAGAAAATCGTCCTTTTGGCCCGTCACTTTCGGTTTGGCCTGCTGTGCCGTGGAGATGATGCATGTCTCTGCTCCCAGATATGACCAGGATAGATTGGGTATTATTTTCCGTGCCTCGCCACGTCAGTCGGATATCATGATTGTGGCCGGTACTGTCACCAACAAGATGGCTCCAGCATTGAGACAGGTGTACGACCAGATGTCTGACCCTAGATGGGTTATTTCCATGGGCTCGTGCGCCAACGGAGGCGGCTACTACCACTACTCCTACTCGGTGGTCAGAGGCTGTGACCGTCTTATTCCAGTGGACATCTACGTGCCCGGCTGTCCTCCTACGGCCGAGGCCTTGATGTACGGTGTTTTCCAGTTGCAGAAGAAGATGATGAAGACGAGAATCACCCGTATGTGGTACAGAAACTAATCATGTGGCCCTTTGCCACGGCATGAACGTGCCTTGTATACTATAGCCCTGGCTGCTTTGCATGGCAATCGAGTATTGCTAATAAATTCATATCCGAGAGTGATGTAGGTCTGCGAGATATAGGCATAATTGGCCTAGCTACGATTAGTAAGGTGAGTTTACCAAGTTCTTGATAGCATTGAATCTCGAAAACGTTGCTGTGGGGTTCAATTTGGTAACTCCGTGAGATCCCTACCTGGTCATCTACAGCAAGTGGGCCAATAGTTCCTCGAACGGAACCCCGAAATGGACCCTTCAAGTAAAAATTCAAGGATACTTCAGGGTGAGTTTTCAGGTCGAGAGAAATTGAGACTTTTCTACGAATCATCTCGGAAAGGGTCTATTGACATTCGTCGTCTATAATTCCGTTGAGTATCACGGTCAATTGACATTGTGACCGAACACAAAACAACACTTTTCACATTCAGTAGGATTAGTCAGTAAGCTCTCGCTCGAGAATACAAAAATGAACAAATTCGATTTGTAGACCAAATTCCCAACAACTCAGTTTCCAGCTGCGTCACGGAATTGGGTGCAAAACGTGAACATGTGGGCACCAGATGGCAGGTCCAAAGCAGGACCAAAGCAGGACCTAAAAGTTCCAGGCCAATAGAGAAAAAAAGAAAAGTGCATAAAGCTCCACAACGCTTTCCCTTTTGCCACCGACATACAAGCAACTACCACTTTCCTCACTACACCCATCTGACTCTTATCAGCTGTCTCAAGCCCAGACCACTGAGGCTCACCATACACAATTCAACCATCTAACGTAAATGTCACAAAAGATGACCAAGTAAGCACTTTGAACCTTCTGAAATCACCAAAACCTTCTATCCTTCCATGACCGAATTCATCATTACACCTTCCCTAAACTCTTCACTATCACCACACCACCCGTCAGCTAACGGTGTGGGGCGCATGTAATTCTTTTTTCGGTCACCACTACACTTCCTAGTACGGTGCGGAAGAGAATAGTGCAATATGATTGGCCCAGGGCGCCTTTTTTCCCCTTGCTCGTTTCGCCTCCCTCTCACCCTCCCTGCGCCTGGATTCGCAATACAAATTTTCTCAGATACTCTTCTTCTTTCTACATCACGTAATGGCCAGAACTAAGCAAACAGCCAGAAAATCCACCGGTGGTAAGGCCCCAAGAAAGCAGTTGGCCTCCAAGGCCGCTAGAAAGTCCGCCCCAGTTTCCGGCGGTGTCAAGAAGCCCCACAGATATAAGCCAGGTACCGTGGCCTTGAGAGAAATCAGAAGATTCCAGAAGTCCACTGACCTTTTGATCAGAAAGTTGCCTTTCCAAAGATTGGTTAGAGAAATCGCCCAGGACTTCAAGTCCGACTTGAGATTCCAGTCCTCTGCTATTGGTGCTCTTCAGGAAGCCGTCGAAGCCTACTTGGTCTCCTTGTTCGAGGACACCAACTTGTGTGCTATCCACGCCAAGAGAGTCACCATCCAGAAGAAGGACATCCAGTTGGCCAGAAGATTGAGAGGCGAGAGATCGTAAGGCTGCGGTATGCCTCCCCTTATGTTACAGTTATAGTTTTATGTTGGTTTAATGATATTGTTTAGGAGAAAAGTGTAGAAGAGATTGTAGAATTGTATCTAAAGCAAACAAAACTTATCATTATCGGAATGCTGTGGTCGCTGGTGGACGCAGCGTGCTCTGCTACGTCTCGGTGAAGATCACGTATTCTACATCGTCACTCGTGGGCCGTGTCCATGTCCCGGCCACGTCAGCGTCTTGTCTTTGAAGGGACCAGCCCTGAAACGTTTCTTTATCGTGGGATCCAGCCTCTTGCTCGTCCTTAGGCCTTCTTCTCAGCCTTCTCGGCCTTGCTCTCGGCAGTGGCAGGCGGTGTGCTGGGGCAGCAGACGGGTCTATCTTGAGTTTGTCAAACGTTGATGCCAAATTGTCGGGGTTGATGAAGCCGGGCTGCTCAGCAGACTCGGGTTGAAGGTCCTCTTGAGTAGTTGCCGTAGGTGAGTAGGGAACTTGTTCCTCGCCACCATTGTGACCCTGTTCTGGTGCTCCGTAAGCCGGTGCTCCCATTGGATGCATCTGTGGAATTCCCATGGGCACTGGAGGATAGCCAGGCAGACTGCCAGGAACAGCATTCTGAGGTGGATATCCGGCAGCAGCGGCGGCGGCGGCAGCATAAGCGGAAGCTGGATCCATTCCCATAGACATGGCGGCAGCAGCTTGCATTTGTGCTACATGGGCAAATTGCTGTCTTTGCTGGTGGTACTTTTTGTTGTTGGCAGACACTCGGCCCCAACCTAGACGCACACGATTGCCGCCAATAATAAAACCTTCCATCGACAGGATAGCGTCCTCGGCCTCCTCGCGAGTAGAATATTTAAGGAAACCGCAATTCTTGCCTGGGGTATTTTGATCTGCTGGATGACGCCAAAGGGCATGAATAGTGTAAGAAGCGTCTGCTCGCTCACGTCAGAAGAGAGACCTCCAACGAAAACAGTAGTGTTGGTAGGATCCAGGTACGGTTGGCCCTGAGGTTGGACGCTCTGTGGGATTCCCTGTGGCATGTATCCCATTTCGTTGGCCTTATCGCCCATCATCGGCAGTGTGTAGTAGTAAGAAGAACCTGGACCACCTGGGTGGCCGCCAGGAACGGGAGCGTTAGCTCCTGGCGGCATGTACATGTACTCTTGCAGTTGGTCCATGTAGGGACCTGGAGCAGCCATATCGTTGCCTCTAAAATCGGACTTGGGCGATCTCGACGAGGATGCATTTCGAGGTGTAGCCAAGGCCACTCTCAACGGTCTGCCGCCAAACCAGGCGCCGTTCATTTCTACAAGGGCCCTTCTGCGCTCGGAATCGTCGGTGAAACGGACAAATCCGAAGCATCGGGACTTGCCTGAAACCGGGTCGGTCATGACCCTGACGGTCTTGATGGAGTTAGGAAACAGTTTTTGGAAAAACAGAAGAAGGTGTGCCTCGGTAGTAGAGGCGCTCAAGTCGCCCACAAACAAGGAGTATTCGGGCGAGTGCACGATCGGAGCCAGGAGCGTGGCACCCGAGGCCCAGTTCAACCGAAAGTACTTCTTCTGGTTGTCCGGGTTGTTAGGGAAATGGCGTTGAGAAGGCATGGCGATATCCGGAAGCAATTGCCCATTGAGAGCCAATGCCTGCTGGGCGTCGTCGTAGGTTTCAAACTCCACAAAGCAGTAGCCCAGGTGGGTCAACCCCATGTAGGGAGACTCGGGCTTTGGGTTCTTGGGCTTGATGACCTTGACGTGCACCTTCTTGCGTAATATCTGCCACCACAAGTCGACTATGGCGGCCTCGTCAAGCCACGTGTCCAAGTCACCCATCCAGAGAGTACGAGGCTGTTCCTGAGGAGGAGCATTGGGCTCTGTCTCTGTATCGGTGGCCACGGTGGATTGCTGTGTGGATACAGGGGGTTTTGGAACCGAGTACGAAGAAAGCATTTCCTGCTCTTGCTGGTGCTGTTGGGAGGCTGTACTGGAGACCGCAGTCGGGTCGACTATAAGCGGTTCCTCGTGTTCGTAGGACATTGTATGATTGAAATGCGGAGCACCTAAGGTCAGGTTTCAGCAAGCGGTGTGTTTAAGCAAACAGGGGAACTGGTAGGATACCCGGGACGAGTTAAAAGGAAAAAGGCAAAACTCAGTAGGAAAAAAGCAAATGGTAGAACGCCGAGGTGGGGTGAATTGGGAAACGCAGTTGTGTTGGAGTGGTGAGTTTCTGAAAGACACTAGGAGTATATGTAGTTTGGTGTGAGAGAGGTCCTGGGGCTAGTGGTGCATCGACGGTAGAGCAAATCGGGCAAGCCGAGAGGCGTGGATTAGAAGCTGACAGTGGTATTTTTGGGAAAAGGCCGTTTTGACATTTTACAAGGAAATTGCAATTTTGAATGGGCAATTGTTGGACTTGCCGTGGTAATTCGCAGTGGAATGTGAGGTCTGGTCTGTGGACTGGTGTAGTTTAGGTGTCGGAGACGGTTTGAAAAAAGAGCGATGAAGGGGTGGCCTGGAATGCAGAAGTTATCTAGAATGGATTATGGTGACTATGAATGTTTCAATGGTGTGGGATTCTTGTGAGGCGGCTATGGTGAAGCTGTCAGTCTAGAGCAGCTTTCCGCCAAGATTTGGAAAACTCAACCATGCTTTGTGGTCATCGGTTGCGGTGAATAAACATAGCTTTCGAGTTTAAAGCTCAGTCAAAATGTCCCTGGGCCTACGATGGGGCTTCGGCGTCTGTTATCGAACTCCGAAGGTGCGTTATTGTCTTCCACTTGTTTGGTGCGGTGAATGAAAAAGAGCGTCATTGGTTGCAAGGTGGGGAAGAGTGGTTTGTCGGAACATGAAAACGTGAAGGCATAGAAAATGATTATCTGGTGGATGATTTGGTACCTTTCGAAAATGCACATTTTGCTCGTGGATTTCGGGGCTCGAGTGGTAGACTCAGTATCGAGCGTTCGTATGTCACTCTGGAGAGGTAGGCTAAGAGAATGGCTTGAGATGCAGACCCGAGAAGACGAAATTTGGTCAATTCACGAAAATACAGTTTTCTATCTTGCCAAAACCTTGATGATTCATCGATCAGTTACTAGGTATTGCAATCTTCATTTATGTGCTTTTAGCAAGCTATGTTGGCTTGCTCGATTCTTTGGTGGTCCCCTTAGGATACCTCTCCGTCCTTACAAGCTAGAGTTCTCAGTGGCATTCCATGTTTATCGAGATAAAGCACACAGAAACGAATCATGTCCTCATTGAAGCTCTTCATACAAAATGCTCTTGTTGGGTTCCTGAGCTTGTCCCTTTTCATAGTCTTTTTCTGTATACTCCCTTCCTTGTTGTGTCCTGCCGAACAGCACCCTCACCTCCATTTTGCAGCCATTCTCACTCTCGCAGCCTCACCAACACCTCAAGCCTACCTACCTTCAACAGCCTAATTTTCCAAATTTAAAAACAAACCTCAACTAAATAAATCAAATTAGAACAAAATCGCCCAATTTCACTTTATCGCAACTTGGTCCACAACGACACCTCAGATCGCCCTCACCTCGTTGCACGTCTACCCGCACTCAAAATATAAACAAACATCATCACCAACTCATGTCGGATAACCTGCTGGAATTGTCCACACAAGTTCCTCGGCGTCAACCCCGAGAATCGACCCGAAGACAGCACAGTATGAGTGGCTACTCAGGATCCCCCAACCTGCCTCCACACTCGGCGTCTCTGGACCACCTTGATCTCAGATCAACTCCACAGTTGGACGTGCCATTGGTGGCTGATCTGGAGCCAAGAAGCAAATACAAAGAGCAGCTTCGATACCTTGCTAATTCGGGGTTTTTGGGTGAGAACAGCGCCGTGGGAATATCAGTGCCTAATACTTTCAAGCATAAGAAACACCCAAACGCAAAGACCAAGGATCGGATTGGCATGGCACCTCTTGATGAAAGCAGAGATCCACCAAGGGAACCCCTGCCGCAGCCTGTGAAAACAAGCACGTTGAAGGGTCTCAATGTCCAGGGCGAGTCGTCCAAACATAACGAAACTCCATCGTGGATGCCTCAGGTTCTACGGGACGAGTGGCTGAAGGGCAATGCAACCGCTGCAGAGGAAAACGGTCAGAATAGTGCTGCAAATCTTGATTTTTTGGGCTCCGCCGATGCTGGCACATTTATCCACAACCCCCAAAACTCTCAGGAGCAGCCAATCACGCCAATGTGGAAGCGGATGTCCAAGGACTACCAGCTGAACACGCGAGCCGAGCCTCTCCAAAGCATTTTCCAGTCCCATGACGAGTCAAAGCAGCATTCAAGTTTAAATCCATCCCAGTCAAAATCCATGTCACACCTCAATGGCAAGAACAACAATAATAATTCGAGAACCGGGAACTCAGCAGGGTTTTCATATTCCTCCGCTTTTTCAACTCCAGTGGCTACAAAAGAGGGCGATATACACTTGACTCAGCAGCAGATCCACCAATTGGAGGACATTCTCGAGAAGGCAAAGGATAAGCCGGATGACTATGAGATCAAGGGCTCCCCCCTCAAGCTATTCGGCAGCGACTATGACACCTTCACAAAAGTCTTCCTTTCGAAATTCGTCGATAAGGTTCGTTCCACCACAAATAGCGCCCAAAAGACAACGCGGAGTATGTCCAACATGCAACCTCCCGTCCCCAAGTTGGAAATTCAGAAGTTTACGAGAGCAGGCGACTACACCGATCAAGATTTTATGGATAATGCCAACAATGTCTTTGCACATATTCAGCAAAGAGGTTACAAACCTAATCATCTATCGAACGGACCAGACCACAGTACGAGCTTCCAGCGGTCTATTGAGCACAACACAGTAACCTCCACGCCGAAAGCCGACAAGGTCAATGACATTGATGTTATTGCACCCCTTGACGAATATTCTTCCTTCTCGACAAACTTTGGTGACAGCTCCGAGGAATCCCAATACCAAGCACAACGCAATGATACCACTAACCATCAAAACGAATACACCTCATTCGACAGATCCTTGACTTCCAAGAGCAATGGGCCTGAACCAGCGCATGAGAGGCCCGAAGCACCTGCTGACAATGCCAGTGTTTACACTTTTGATGAGGCAAGTGATGCTGGCTCTGACGAAAACTCCATACCTGAAGAGCCCACTTTGGATATGGAAGAACCTCTAGAGAATACGAAGATCAGATCACATCAAGGCTCCGACAAACTCTCGGTTCAAGTGCCAGCAAATCAATTCGTTAGCTCCATGTCTTCTGTCAAGCGTCACACCAAGGAGTCAGACCAGCGCCCAAATTCTATGGAACAAGATTTCGAGTTCAGCGATGATGATGATCAAGGGGTGCCACCCATTGTGTGGAAGAGGCCTTCTCGGTTGAGGCTCTCAAATGAAGAAGCAAGGTCAAGAGTCATGCTGAATAGTAATTTGGAGAACCAGATTGCCAAAGGGACTGTCAAGCCAGGAAAATTCCCAGAACAGTATGGCAATATGGTGTACGACAACCGCAACAATAGATGGGTCTCGAATGACAAAGAAAATGATTACCCTGGCAGTCTTGATTCCATCCTCGACCTACCAACAGAATCTCAAGCAGCTAACGATGCAGACGAAAGAGAGACTAAAGAAGTCAGTATTTTGAAGCTGTCTAGAAAAACATCGGTGAGGGACAAAAACTTGGAGGTCTCTTTTCAAATCCCAGATCGGTCAGTCGAAAGCCTGCCGCAGCATCGTCAAGACTTCGATGTCACTAAGCTCTCTGATGTCGGAGAGATTACTTTTTCTCAAACTCATAAAAGACTCATTTCGATAATAACGGGAATAGCTGCTTCAAGCGCTTGGAACGAAATTGACGTCATTGATTTGTCAAACCAACAGCTAGAAAGTGTTGAGGGGTTGCAGAAATACCTTCCTAATGCCACCAAGATCGATTTATCGGCAAATTACCTTAGATTTGTCCGCGGAATTCCTTCCGGTTGTCTCGATTTAAACCTTTCTCAGAATTCTATCGATGGCATGTCTTCTTTTGCTGATTTCCGTGACTTGCAGGTGCTCGATATTTCCTCCAATTCCCTAGAGAATCTTACCCCTTTACTTCAAGCATACACCTAACGAGATTGGACGCAAGCAATAACATGATCAGGTCAATTGAAGGTATCAAGAATTTGAGCGGGCTCACGTACTTGAACCTTTCACAAAACGGCCTTGGTGGAGAGATTGACTTCTCGAAAATAGATCTTCCGAACTTGCAAGAGCTTGATATTTCAGAGAATAAGATCCGTTCCATAGTTGGCCTCGATTGTTTACCAAACTTGAGAATTCTCAACTTGAATGAGAACAACCTCACCAATTTGACATGCAATGGATCACATCCTCACCTCAAAAAATTGCTCCTCAAGTTCAACAGAATCAGACTGCTCGACTTGGATCTGTTTCCGCTCTTGAGAATATTGAGGATTGACGGAAATGCACTTTCTAACATAACTGACCTCCGCAAGCTCAAGTATTTACAGGAAGTATCAGCAAAGTGCCAGGATAGAGCCGATGTTGCTGCAAGCATATTCCATGGTGCCATCGACGTAAACTCGTTGGATCTTTCAGGAAACAGATTTGTATCCAAGTTGTTTCAGACTGAACCTTCCAGCATCACGATGGATCCTTTCATGAATCTCAATAAGTTGAACTTGTCAGCAGTTGGTTTAACGACTATTCCTGAGAGCTTCGGGGAGGTTTATGCCAACGTGAGAGAACTCAATTTGAATTTCAACAGGTTGACTGATATCGCTGGTCTCGGAAACATAAGAAGACTCAAGCGTCTCAATCTTTTGAGCAACAACATTGACCGCATGGAGGTTGTGCTTACGAGTTTGACCAACTCCAGAAGAACGTTGAAGGTTCTTGACATGAGATTGAACTCGATAAACTTCGAGCTCTACCCCTATGTATTCAATCCTTTGGAGCGTGATTCGACGTTGGAAGAAGAGCTTAGACTCAAACATGGGCCAATTCAGCTAGAGGCTTTGGATGATATCGAGAACTTCTCGATCCACTACAACACCTTGATCAAGAGTAAGGAAGAGTGGGAACTGAGAGATGAAGACTTTATGGAAGGCTTAAAGGTAAAGGGCAAAACCAACAAGATCAAAGAGCGTTTGAACTACGAAGCCATTCTTTTGAATTTCTTCCCACATTTGAAAGAACTTGACGGTAGCACAGTTAGCACCACCAAGAGAGCGCAATTGTCAGAGCGCATTCGGGACCGCGAAAGCGAGTGAAGCAATGCGCTTAGCGTGGAGAAAGCGGCTTTCGATTCCGTACAGTATTGACAGGCTATCAAATCCACAATTTTCACCATCAACTTCTTTCTGAAAGATGACTTTATCTACGAGAATATACATCCAGCGCCCGCCAGATCCTCCATCCGAGACGACCCACACGCTTGTCTCAACCTCGCCTGCTAACCACTTCGTTGACTGCAGAATCAGAAAGGAGCGTCTTCCACATGTTCAGCAAGGCTCAGAGCCTGAGGACTTCGAGAAAGTCTTCGATTGGGTCATGACCGGCACTGAGGTCCCAATTGAGGGTACCAACAAGATCCACTTTAAGCATGACATCAACCTGAAGGAGGTGGTTGAATCAGTGCAGTCTGGTAAGCCAATTGAAGAATGTAAGGATGAAGAAGATATCGGTGAGTTCAGTCCGGTTGAAGGCAGTGAGGATCGCCAGGAAACGGGCATTCTGACCCATCCTGTCACAGGCAAGCTCAATCCCTACATTGAGATCTGGCGTTCCTTGGATCCCGAGGAAAACTCGCCCGAACAGGAGGCTAGAGAGAAGCAAAAGAACGTCAAAAGCGTGGTCTGGGAAGTTGACCTGTCTAACCACAAGGGTAAGCTTGTGAGGCTCGGCAATTGGGTCCAAGGCGTTATCTATGACAAGAACGAGAAGGTGCACCGCTTGAGCATTTTGCGCAGTTATTTCAACAACAAAACGGGCAAATGGGAGGCGCAGATCAAATATGGTCTCTTGGGCTTTCCTGATTCGTTTGATCTGAAAATCGACGAAACCACGACTGCTGACGGTGTCACCTGGAAGTGTGTAGAAAGTGTGTAACAAAACCTGGGAACAGGCGCGACTGCATGCCCGATTGGGCAGTCAACCAATCTCACCCTCTTCATCGCACTATTATCCGAACTTCTGATTTCAAAAGCAAAAAAAAGAGCAATACCGATCCAAGATGACTGGAGAGAGCTGGTATGTACAATAACCAAAATTCATCAAAAGACCATTCGATACTAACTTCAGGTTATTTATTTTTGCCGTCATTGTCAACATCGTGAACTTGTTCACTCAGGTGTTTTTCACCATCATGTACTCCGACTTGGAGAGTGACTACATCAACCCAATTGAGTTGTGTCATAAGTTGAACCCATGGTTCATCCCTGAGGCTTCTGTCCATGCGTTCTTGACTGTCCTTTTCTTGGTCAATGGCTTCTGGTTCGTCTTCTTGTTGAACTTGCCATTGCTTGCATTCAACATCAACAAGTTCTACAACAAAAACCACTTGCTCGATGCCACCGAGATTTTCAGAACCTTGTCGAAGCATAAGAAGGAGTCATTCATCAAGTTGGGTTTCCATTTGTTGATGTTCTTCTTCTACTTGTACAGAATGATCATGGCCTTGGTTGCCGACGAGTAAGCTCGTTCCTAGGACACTACATAATGGATGTACCACACAAGAAGGCGCCAGCCATCTCTAATGTGATTGCCGTTAACGATCCTCGATTACTTTTCCATTCTTCATCAGCTCACCACGAGCCTCTCGTGCCAAATAGAGCGTATTTAATAAACGCACTTATCATGTTCTGTTTTCGAGCTTTCTCGAAAGCTCCTCGTTAATTATCTGTAGCTGTTGCTGGAGTCCCAGTTGTGGGTGGAAGACCCTTGTAACGTCTGCAAGCTTCATCAACACGGTGTCACTGAGACTTGTGTGGTCCTGATATGATGCTGGGTTTGCTGTTGCCTCCTTGAGCGCCGCAATAGCATCCACAGTGTTGTTGAATTGTGCCTGCTTTTCTTTGTGTAAATTGTGTTCGTTTCGTAGTTTATTGAGCTGCTCGCCAACATTGGCGTGCTCCTTCTTGAGCTCTAGAATATTCCTCCTCATCTCGGTTTTCTGGCGTTGCACCTCCATCACATCGTGGCTAATGTCCTTGGTGGAGGCGTGAACGTCCATCAAGTGGCTTATGCTGTATAGCAAATGCGCCTTGAACTCGTATAGTACAGCTGATTCGTTAATAATCTCGTTCTTGACGGCTTTAGGATTCGCTTCATCAACAAGCTGTCGAAGAACGTCTAGTGTGGTAAGTGTGAAGCGCTTGTCTCGAGAGTTGGCCGTGTGTATACGCTCTGCATCCACAGTCAAGGGTTTTTGACGACCCAGGGCCGATTTCGTTATCAGTGTTGCTGTAGGCTCTGGTTTGCTCTCGCTAAACGTCAGAAGGCCAAGCCCTAGCGCTCTGAGCGGTTTGGGCACAAGCAGGGCAGCTGGTTCTGGGGTATGGTGCTTCCTTAAATCAGGATTCTCCACAATTCTTTTAGACCTCCTCGTCACCGTCATCAGCTTCTTCTCTTGCTCGCCCTTACGAGGCCTGCCTCGTCTTCGTTTCACGGGCTCTGCTGGTTTCGGACTCTCGGGTTCCTGCTTGACAGGAGGTTTCGTCTCTTCTTCGTAATCTGGTGTCTGAGACACATTAAAGTCCATCACAGGCGCAGGCGAAAACTCCTTCTCCTCTTCTTCCTCGTCAGAACTAAACATCAGTTTCCGTCTGTCTCTTGCCGCCTGGTAGTTTTTTCGTGCCTCTGTCTTGGACAGTGACTGTCTCCTTCGTCTGGGGAGATCCACATCCTCGGGTTTTATGAGCGCCAGGTCAAGCGATTCTAGTAGTCTTGCCTTCTTTGCGTCTGGAGGCGAAAGCTTTGGTGGTTCACGCGTAAGTCTGCCCTTGGGTGACGCTTGTGGTTTGTGTTGTCTATGATCTGGGGAAGCCAAGGGTGATTTCTCAGGCAGCTTAATGCTAAAGTCGTCCACGGAATACTTGATTCTGAAGTTAGTAAAGAGCAGCGGAATTACACGCTAAAACATACCCTGCACCTCGCGTCCGTGCTTCACGGCGCTCGTGCTTCTCATCCATGATGGTAGTTGATGTCTGTTTTGGTGCGAAGTGTGGTGATGATGTAGTGGATGTATCGTGGTACGAGGCGATTTGGGGCAATGGGTGGTGGGGTTTCGTGTGAAAGAGTGTGTTTCGTTTTTTGGGGGAAATTTCGTGGAAAAATGTACGTGATACCATTTTTTGGGTATTGTTTGTGTTTTGGCAGTGAGATGTAAATCTGGAGGTACAGTGCTTATCGGAGTTTCTTATCGCAGATCAAGGTCATTGAAAATTACTACATAAAAAAAAAACCTAAAAACACTAAATTTATACAATTCGGTAAAAGAATTGAATTTGAAAACACTTGCTCATATTGAGAGGATAATTCATCGACTTAGTTTTTGAGTTTTCGGAGCCTCAAGAAGTAGGCCTCCGTTATAAGTAATGGGGTCTAGAAAAGGTCCACTGAAAGATTTTGAATTGATCGAGTAGATTGTAAATGAAGATCTTTCATCTTCGCTGAGCTAGTGATGTCGAACTTGCACGAAGTTTTGGAGTTACAAATAGTTGCAGAAATACCATACCAACAACGAGCAATATCAAAGACGAACGGGGATCTGCAAATTGGTATCACCAGTTCTTTGAAAACTACAACAGTAATCCATGTAAAGTATTGATGCCGTGCTCAAGCCAGCCTAGATCACTCATTGACGACCGCATTATTCAGCTCATCAAACGTATCTCACATGTTGCATGCCCTTCCATCTCCTTAAACGATGCAACATCATCTCTTTCACCACTACAGAACGCTACACTAGTTTTTGTCAGATGTAAATTAGTACACACGGGCGACCGCGAGGCTATCTACAGCTGGTTGCTTACTGCTGGGAGAAGTGCTCCAAGAGAACGTTTCTCTCCTCAGAGTCAGCACCCCAGTTCTTGACAACCACACAGGAGGCACCAACGACCTTTCTGGCGTTACCCTCTCTGTCCAACTGGCACAAACCGGCCCACTCTCCCAACAACTTGGCGTCGGAAACCTTGATCAATGGGATCTTCTCGTCACCCTCGTTACACAAGGCCTCCACCAACTTGATGATGGACTCCTCGGTGACGGAGTCGCAGAGGACACACAACTGGGCCTCCTTTCTGGACAAAGCCTTAGAGGCCTCTCTCAAACCTCTGGCCAAACCGTCGTGGACGAGGGAGGTTCTCAAGACAACCTTCAAAGCGTCCTCGATGGTGATGGCGGCATCCTGCTGCTCAACGGCAACCTCCTCGACAATTTGTTGTTCTTCGACGTCAGACATGTTTGTTAATTAGTATTAGACTTCTTCGACAGTAACCTGCTCAGTGGAGAAGAAGTTTTTCTGAAAAATGCGAATGGGTTGTAGTGGTGATAGAGCACTGCACACAGCGCGATACGCACCGGGTTTTAGGGCTCGAGCCCTACACCAACACCTTAGTGGTCCTCAAGCATCTACATTGACCAAATTGGCCTACCCATTCGTGAATCGTTATATTATAATTACCGGTTAGGGACGCTGCCGCACGCCGCCAGGGCTGAAATAAATTAGTACTGTGTTGAGATGCGGGCCTGCGTTGTCTATAATTCCATCTCGCCAGCTCCAAATGGCTCGTGGTGGACCGGGTCGTAGTCCAGATCGTCGTTCATGTCCAGCTCACTGTCGATAACAGCGGAAGTGGAAGCAGCAGCTCTTTCGTAGTCGTCGTCTTCGTCCTCGAAGTCGACGTCAAAGAAGTCTTCATCACTGCCCGTGATCCTCTTGTACAACATCTTCACTTCACTGATGATACCGTCGTAACTGATTTCCGCCGACGGCATGTTCAGGAACATAATGTCGTCAGTGTCCGAAACTGTTGCGTGCGTGATGCTGTTGGATGTGTTTGAGGTCGACAAGACGTTGGACAAATCGGGATTAATGTAGGTGGTCTGAACGTAGCCAAACTTACAGACAATGTCCAAAGTTTCCTTAGGCACAAAGCTCTGCAAGGACTCACCGAGCTTGAAGGAGTTGACAAGCATTGGGGTACCTCTGTCGTTGACAACAAAATCCTTCTTGTCGAGCAAGTTTTCGAGGTTGGTAGCGCTTTCTCTCAAGATAGCATTCTCCATCTTCTCAAAAGCACTCTCCAAATCCTTCTTTGCCTTATCGGAATTCTGCTCACAGGTGTGGGAGTACCAGATGGACTGACCCTGTGGACAGACGCCAGAGCCACCATTTTGAATGACAACCTGAACAGTGTGAACGTTGTTGGTGGGCAAAGACTCGGGTGGGAACACAACCACAGCGGAGGATTCGTTTTCAGACATCCATTCCTTGCAGTCTTTTCTGACAATGGTGGTGAGCCTCGTTACAGTGAATGGATGCAACTTTTCAGAAGCTTCCTTGTATGAAGTGGCCAAAAACTTGGGCACCTGAGTAGGTGCTGCGACAACCTTCTCTTGAATCTTGACCAGGGAGCCGTCACTGAACTTGGCAATTTTGAGCTGTGGGTCAAAGTCAACGAGAGTGGTGTCAAGTTTGTAAGTGGTACCAGCGACAGCGGCACTTCTGCAGAAGCCCTGCGAGATTTCGCCAGGACCTCCGTATTTGGAAACCATCACTGGGAAGTTGCCGTAGACGTCAAAGGAAACTAAGAAACGCTTGATACGAGCCACGGCTTCAGGTGTTCTGGTGCCGCTTCTGTTAGCGAGACCAATCAGATAAATAAGCTCGTCCAGTTGCGGCAGCTTCAAGCCGAAGGAATTAGCCAAAAAGTCCTCGATCTTGACGTGGGAGTTGTCCACCAAGATCTTCTTCTTCTCGGGATCGTTGTTGTCCTGAAGAACGAACTTGAGAAACTTCATCAACAGTCTCTTGGTGGTTAAGGACAACAGCTGGTCAGTGAAGATGTGCTCCTTGGTTGTGTTGGAGATATTAGATTTGAAGTTGTCGTTCTCGAAGACGTGGAAGTTCAGCAAGCTCTGGAACTCCAAGTACTTGTACACCCTAGACTTGATCAAGAGCGCCAAGAGGTCCAGCTGCGAGAACACAATTCTGGGAGTCAAGTCAATCCCGTAATCCTTGGAGTTGAACTCATTGGTACGCTTGCCTCCAGGAATATAAATCTGAGCGTCCAGGAAGTGACGCACCTTACCCTGGTTTACCTCCACACACCACTTCTTGAGTTGGTCAATGGTCAACGTCGAAGAAGAGTCTCCGTAGTAATTATTATGGTCAATGTGAAGAACCTCCACGCCTTGCCAGGCCAAAGCAGCTGCCAAGACGGATTCCACAAGACCAGTTCCGAGAATCAAGATGTCACAGTGGTCAAGCTTGAGAGAGTGCTGGTTGGGTTTTTCCAAACCGGTCAAGTGGGGGATCTTGGAAGGAGCATACGAAGCACTGGGCCTGCGCTCGGCCATGGACTTGCGACGTTCGTTTCTGTTGTAAGCTGGCATTCGACGATGATTCGGCTGGTTCGGTAGGTGCCAATGCTCAAAGGCGGCTTTTGGCTAGATTAGAAAAGCAAGATGCAGGAAGAACAGGTATCAGGAGTGAGCTGGAATCGAAAAGACTTCGTCTGAAGATGTAGTAGGTGGTAACGTGGTGGGTATAGGGTGAGCTAGAGTGACGTTGATTTTTTTTTTTTAGGCGCATGTCTCGATCGTGGGGTTCCTGCAGGAACGGGCCCTTGACATTATCAGCCACACCAGACGGACCTCATCGAGCAAAATTCTTAAACGGAAATGGGTGTTTTCCATACATATTTATTAAGATTACCTGGCTAGTAGATGGATATGGTCGGTCTTGGTGCAGCACTGGCGGTTTTCGTGCTCTGACCTCGACGCATCACGTGACTGTGCGTCACCCGTTCGAGCCACGAGGACTCATGCTTTGAGTCACGGTGCCTGATAAGCCATTTTCTGAATTGCATACTCCTATTTTTACAGGTTTTTGGTTTTGTTAAGACTTATTCGCTTCTGAAAATTTGTCAAATACCAACCTTGCATATCTGACTCATGTGGTTCAAGTGGCCTGATGTGGAAGATCATTTCGCAACCACTCAAAAGCCAGATACCACCACCATAAGCTTTAAGATTCCCGAAATTCTGGAGAATACCTTAAATTCTCTCGAAACGGAGATCTCTCTTCCACCTCCATGTTTCTGTGATTCCACGTGACTTAACACCTACTTCACCTCTATCTTCGCTTATCATAACCGTATTTTTCAACTACTCCATATGAAGCACCCTGGATCCCTTCTACTAGCCTGGCAGGTCAAAGACAAACACTGTCTTGTGATTGGTGGCGGAGACGTTGCTCTAAGCCGCGTCCATCATCTCATTCGGGCACAGGCACGAATTACCGTTATCAGTGGACCCAATGTCCACCCAGAGATTCAAGAGTTGGACGATAAGGGAGAGATTTTCAAGCTCTTGAAGCGTGACTATGATCCTGATGATTTGAAAATGTATGAGAAGCAGCTGCTTGAATTGTCGTACAAGGACATTGACGAGTCCCATTATGCTCAGATTGATGAGCAGGTCAAAGACGAAGTATTCGCTTGTGTATTGTGCTGCATCGATGATCCAGTGCTTCTGACAAAGGTATACTATCAATGCAAGCACCTCAGATTACCTGTCAATATTGCCGATAAGCCGCCAATGTGTGACTTTTACTTTGGCTCCATGTTCAACCAGGATTCCCTTCAAATCATGATTAGTACTAATGGAAAGTCTCCACGGTTGCTGAAGATGATCAAGGATGATATTGCTAAGCAATTTGCAGATGTGAAACTCAACGATGCTGTTGATACTCTTGGAGCTATTCGGGCCAACTTGAGAGAAAGAAAGTTACAAGATAACAGCCTAGAGACGATAGAGAAGCGCATGGAGTGGATCAAAAAGCTCACGGATTTCTTCACCCTCCGTCAATGGACTCAGGTTGAGCTTTCTAAGGAACAGGTAGACAAAGTCGTCGACACTTATCCAGATTTTCCACCCAGTGACTACAATGAGTTTCTTCGCTTTGTATCATAGAAAATACACATAACAGCTTCTTTAAAATGGGAGGTCCTCGTGCACGAAAGTCTTGCTGCCGCCAGCTCCAACGTACTCAGAAGCAACATGACCATTGCCTCTCAATTGGTACTGGTAACTCATCAAACCCTCCAAGCCAACAGGGCCTCTGGCGTGGATCTTGTTGGTGGAGATGCCGACCTCTGTGCCAAAACCGTATCTGAAACCGTCAGCGAATCTTGTAGAACAGTTCCAGTAAACGCCGGCGGAGTCGATACCCTTCAAGAAGCGCTCAGCGACCTCCTTGTTTTCCGTAACCACACAGTCGGTGTGTTTTGAAGAGTGCTCGTTGATGTGAGCAATAGCGGCGTCAACGTCAGCTACTGGCTTAACGGCAATGTCAAAGGACAAGAACTCATTGTCGAACGAGTCAGGGCCAGCGTCCTTGATGAGTTTCTCGTCGATACCCTCAATTTGAGCCTTGATCTCAGGCACAACGTGAAGAGTCACCTCAGCAGCAGCAAGAGCACTCAAAACCTGGTTCAACTTGCTCTTGTCGGAGGCAATGTCCTGGTGCACCAACAACTGCTCCACAGCGTTGCAGCCAGCTGGGTAGTTTGTTTTGGAATCCACCACGATTTTAGCCGCCTTGGCCAAGTCCGCCTCCTTGTCGACGAAAACAGAACAGATACCGTCGGCATGGCCCAAAACAGGGATCTTGGTGTTGTCCTTGATATTTCTCACCAAGGCGTTGGAGCCTCTAGGAATCACCAAGTCGATATACTTGTCCTGGGCCAACAAATCGGCCACGTCTTCTCTGGACTGGATCAACTGGATGGCATGAGGAGGCACAGGGGTCGAAGCCAAGGTCTTGTTGACCACATCACTGATGGCCTTGAAAGTCTGGTAGGACTCCTTGCCGCCCTTCAAAATAGCGCAATTGCCCGATTTGATGGCCAATGCCGAGATGTTGGCGATAACCTCGGGTCTGCTTTCAAAAATAATGAGCAAAACTCCAAGAGGAGCCGTGACTCTGTGCAACTCAAGACCTTCATCGATCTTCTTAGCCATGGTGACTTTACCCACGGGGTCGGGCAACGCAGCCACGTCTACGATGCCCTGCAACATGGTTTCGTACTTGTCGTTTTTCGCCAAATCCAAACGCTTGATCAAAGAAGCAGCCAAGTTGTTCTTTTCTGCCGCTGCCATGTCTTGCTCGTTGGCCTTCAAGATGTCCAGCTTGGCGGCTTTCAAAGCGTCGTGGATCAGGTGCAAAGCTGCAGATCTCTGATCATTGCTGAGTGTCTTCAACACGCCGAAGGCCTGGTTGGCGTCTTTTGCAATTTGTTCTGCCATGATGATAAAAGGTGTAGTAGTTGGTGAGAACTTGTGGGGTCACTGCACAGACTGGCTTGATTCGGAGTACCACGGCGAGCGGGTGGATAGCCAAGACATAGGGTTTTTGTTTTCAATAAATAAATAAGGAAGAGTATTAAGTGGATTGCGGCAAAGAATGGATTCATCCTTTTTGATCCTTTTATAGTTGTTATTTTGCCATTTGAGGGAATTGGGTTGGTGGAGGGTGCCTGGTTTGGCTGCGAAAGAGCAATTGGGAATATGGCCTGACAACGTGGTGAGACATGAACAAAGGGGTGGATTATGGATTTATAAAAAGCAAATTGGAGGAGTTTGTGTGAATGGGTCTGAATTGGGCTTTCTAAAGTAATTTGTAGAAATTCACTAGAAGTCATACTGTGGTTGCAAGGTATTGTGGAATTCGCTGAGTGAGGTGCTGGAGCGACTAAATGACAGACAACTCAAGGACTTTCAACACAAGACAAAAAAAAAAAAAAAAAAGGATAAAGACAATGGCCAAGTAATAACAGTCATATTTGAGATTATAAACTAGAGTAGTTCAAAAATGTGGCTTGAGGCATGATGGGAATGCATTACATAGAGCTATTTAAATGTACCTTTCTCACGAGCCACCATGATTTTAAACATGCAACACATTTTGAGCATTGATCAAATCGCTGAAACTATCTCTTTCTTCTTTTTGAAGCAGCACTGAATTCTCCCTCGTATTCTACATGAGATTCTCTATCGGTGCTCAATTACCGCCCTCGATAACCACCCTCACTATCACCACCTACCAACTACTCTCCATTTTTAACTTTTTATATTATTACATCCTTATTTCATTTTTGAAGTCTCAAATCCGGTCGAGCGGCCCGGCGGGCCAGCAGTCGACCTTTGGCAACATCTAAGACTTGTGACATCTTCTGTGTCTTCTCTGCTTGCGCTGGCTCAGACCCCTCTTCCGGCTTCTCGAGCGGAGAAACGACTGGATAGAGCGGGAGCTCGTGGTAGCACTGCAACCAGACAATTCAATCTGGCAGTCTGGCAAAGCTGGGGCTTGACAAACAAGCTTGGTGCCCTTGAGCTCACAGACAGACTGAGAGGCAGAGGCATGGAAAACCTCGACTGCTCTGGAAACCTGGGGAAGGTGCTTCCAGTAAGAGTGGTAGTAGTCGAGGAGCTGGGGAAGCTTGGTGAGGTCACGGAAGGGAAGAACCTTGACCAATTGCATGTTGTCGGGGACAACGATAGGCTGCGTTTCCGGAACCCTGATGTGAGTTCTGGTCCAACGAGCAAATGCAATCTTTTCCCGAACAATCTGTCTGTAAATAGACAGAGGCTCTGTAACGTTGGGTGGTGCAAATCTGATGCTAGCATCAGTAAGCTCAACAACGGATACAGGGAAGACTGGAGAGTAGCACAGTCTCACAGCCTGGGCCACCTGGGGAAGATATTGGTAGCAGGCTCTGTAAATTTCAAAAAGCTTGAAAAGCTTCATGAAGTGGTGGTAAGGCGACAAGGCACCCACCTGGAGCTTCTTCTCAGCCTTGTTGGAAAAGCGACTGAGAAGCTCAGAGTTCACGAGGTCCTTGGACGAGAAAACAGAAGACTGAATGCCAAAGTAGTTTCTCTTTGGGGAAGACGAGGAAAGGGGAGTGGTGTCCTCGATAAGGGCCTCGGATAAGGAAGTGGAATCAGAAGACTTGATAGCCAAAGCCTTCGTCATCACAAGGTCAGCATGGAACCCACAGAGGTCCATGAAAGCGGCATCAGCGTCGTTTTGTGCAACATTGCATCTGCCCTGGCTAATGTCAATTTCAGAATCCACCTCCTCGTCGGAAGAGAGCTTGACATTGTCCAGACTCTCGTAGAGAGTGGTTTCCTCAGAAGAACCAGTAGGATCACTAGCCTCTTCTTCGGAAGGGTTCGAAGGAGCATTTCCAGCAAGAGAACGAAGCTCAAGAGCCTTGCTGATCTTGGCCTGGAAAAGCTCGCTAGCCTCAGGGCTAGAAGTGGACTTAGCATAATGGCTGAAGAAGTCCTGGAGCTCCTCAGACGTAAAAGTAACGTTCAAGGTGCCTTCAGCCACAGGCAGGGTGGCGGAGGTTTTGGTAAGCTTAGCGGGGATCAAGATACTAGTAATCATTGCTAAAGATATGTGTTTGTGTACGGAGTAGATGCTCAGGTAGACAAACTTGATAAGACTGTGGTGGGCGAAGAGGAAAAACTACGGGGGACAAGGCCTCTATTTATGTTTGTTCGTTTGGGTGGCAGCGGGCTTGGAATAATAATTTGTGCTGGTGGTCATGCTGTTGGAAAGACGTGATCAACGTTGGACCTTCTGTTCTGGAGTGAAAACTATGAAAATCGGTGGGTCTGTAAAAAGTGCTCCTACGGCCTTGCATTTTGGGTAATTGATTGAAATGTGGTTTTTACGAACAGACTGATACCAAATATGGGGTACTTTGCTTTCAAAGTGTTGGAGTTTGAATGGGTGCAAAAAGGTGTTTCTGAGTGTTGATCCTAGCGTAGGGTAGACAAGTTAAAAAATACATGCAGCTGGGGGAGATATTATTCGAAACGGGTCTTATGCTTCGGAGATTTTATTATTTACCAATTAGGTCATTCCTGGGCCGTTTTGTGTCACAGGAGTCGCCGGACCAGCAGGGGTCGCCGATGTTGCAGAGTATACGAAAAAGTGTCCTCTTGTACTACTATTTGGGTTGTGAGAGCTCGAAAAGATGTAGTTTGAGAGTCTATAGGAGGCCAGATAGTAGTGCAATTGTACGGTAGAAGTCACCATCTGTTTGTGTATCTTCAGGTGGATGTAGATATCAACTTTCTGTTTGTGGTAGGTCCCAAGATCCACCAACTAACGATATGGCCAGAAGGGCTCAAGAAGCTTTACTGGTCTCTCAAACGCTGTTAAGAAACTAGGGAACCTCAATAGCCCTTGGACTGGTAAGTATCGTGCCCATTTACTGATGTACCCTTGGTCTGTCCATGACACAAGGCCAACACCCTGTCACCCAACGAAAAAGACTAACGAAGACATAACAAAGACAAACAAAGAAAAACATAGAAAGATGCAAGGATTTTGAGTCAACTCCGAACTACGTCATTGTCTCCCCTTATGTTCGTCTAAACGCTACATTTTGGGCCCTCAAGCTGAAGCCGAAACCGCCACCTTGCCCTACCAATCTTTCCAGGCCAGTACGCTGAAATTTGTGTAAACTTTCTTCCAAAATCCACAAAAAGTGCCACTCAATTGCTCGGATGACCACGTATTGTGGTGCCAAGAACGGCCTTGGTACCCAGCTCCCGGGCTCGGACTGCCCAATTTCAGCCTCCACAAGGCCAAATGAAGATCAAATTGAATTGGTTCATGTGTTTCAGAAAAAGGCTCATATTCCGCTTTGAAACATCAAAAGCCATAAAAGTAGACTTCCGTGTCTCATCGCCAGTACAGCTTGTAGGGCTTAGACGCGAAGACCAGACCAAAGAGCCAAATGCCTTATTATTCTAAAATTTATTATCAACGAAAAACCAAACCTTCTACTCCCTCATTCAAATAATAGTAGCACCGTTAAATAATCACCGAATCGCCCGCATCGCCACGGCGTTGTTTACCTGCCTGCTTAGCCTTGATGCCTGACCAGCGAGATGTTGCAGCCACCAGACCGTGTCCACCAATGGGAGCACAAGACGAAATCTGAAAAGTGAGTCAGCCACCAGGCCATTTCTTCAAAATTGAAATTCAAGAAGCCGCCACTTTAGCCTCCATCAAAAAAACCAAAATCAACCCAAAATTCACCCTCTCATCGAAACCCTCCGACTTGTTGACCCCAGAGTGCATGCACGCACATTTAAAAACCACCTCGTGTTCTCCAGCCATACTCTAAAAACAGCATGTCCAGCAACCTGCGGCAGCCCAATGGCGGCAGTATACCGGGAAATGACCCGTTTGCCGACAGAAACAACCTTATTGATTTGGATCTCGAGTCCATGGACCCTCCTGGCCAGAACTACCCTTCCTACAACAACGACCCAGATTCCACCTACAGAGGCAACACGGGGTACCTGGAGAACCCCTTTGACGATAATTTTGTGCTTCTGGACGAAGAGGATTCCTACTATCACCACGATACCTCCAGTGCTCAGGGATCCGGCTCGGGAACGCGGCAGGTGCCGCTTTTAGGCACAGATAACGCTCCAGCTCTGCCCAAGAAGGGCTTCTTTCTGGCGTTCAAATCGAAGGTCGAAAACCCCCATTCGGCGCTGTACCAGGGCATGTCGGACGACATGTACGGTGAACGAATCAACGATGCCAGCGCTGGCGGAACGCTGTCTGACTTTGACATCCGCAGACTCTACGGCAAATTGAAACTGAAGATCAGGGGCAAACCCGAAGACGCTCCTGTGGCCAAGGGACCCCGCCAAATCTACGTGCTCAGCGCCTCCATGAACCTGGCCTTCAAGTACTATGGCAACCACATCTCCACAACCAAGTACAACTTCGCTACCTTCATTCCCAAGTTCTTGTTCGAGCAGTTCTCCAAGTACGCCAACTTGTTCTTCTTGTTCACCTCCATCATCCAGCAAGTTCCTAATGTGACCCCTACCAACAGATACACCACGATCGGCACGCTTTCCGTGGTTTTGCTTGTCTCCGCCGTGAAGGAGATCATGGAAGACTTGAAGCGTGCGGGTGCCGATAAGGAGCTAAATAATACCCGTGTGCTTGTGCTTAATCCGGATACGGGCATGTTTGAGGAGAAAAAGTGGGTCAAGGTGAAGGTGGGTGATGTGGTGAGAGTGAACAACGAAGAACCATTCCCCGCCGATTTGCTTCTTCTAAGTTCCTCCGAGCCCGAGGGTTTGTGCTACATTGAAACTGCCAACTTGGACGGTGAAACTAACTTGAAAATCAAGCAGGCTAAGCCAGAGACATCCTACTTGGTCAACCCTAACTCCCTAGTCACAGACTTGTCGAGGTCTGAAATCTTGTCGGAACAACCAAACTCGTCCCTTTACACTTACGAAGGGACTCTTCAAGGTTTTGGCAACAACGGCAAAATTCCATTTTCCCCTGATCAACTACTCCTCCGTGGTGCCACTTTGAGAAACACTCAGTGGGTCCATGGTGTTGTTGTCTTCACCGGCCACGAAACAAAGCTTATGCGCAATGCCACCGCCACCCCTATCAAAAGAACCGACGTGGAGAGAATCATCAACCTCCAAATTATTGCATTGTTCTGTATTCTTATAATATTGGCATTGGTTTCGTCTATTGGAAATGTCGCCAAGATCCAAGTAAGCAAGAATGACCTTGGCTACTTGTACTTGGAAGGCACTAATATGGCTGGTCTCTTTTTCAAAGATATATTGACCTACTGGATTTTGTTCTCCAACTTGGTTCCAATCTCGCTTTTTGTGACCGTGGAAATTATCAAATACTACCAGGCATATATGATCGGCAGCGATCTAGATATGTACTACCCCGATACCGATACCCCTACTGGTGTGAGAACCTCATCTTTGGTTGAAGAGTTGGGCCAAATCGAGTACATTTTTTCTGACAAGACAGGAACACTCACGAGAAACGTCATGGAGTTCAAGTCTTGTAGTATTGGAGGAAAATGTTACACCGAGGAGATTCCCGAAGATGGTCAAGCTCAAGAAGTTGACGGTATCGAAATTGGCTACTATACTTTTGGTGACATGGAGGCTCATTTGAAGGATTCTCAGCAACAGCAATCGGCTATAATCAACGAATTCTTTGTTTTGCTTTCTACATGTCATACTGTTATTCCAGAACACAAGGAGGATGGTGGTATCAAATACCAAGCTGCCTCTCCTGACGAGGGTGCGTTAGTGCAAGGTGCTGCCGACTTGGGCTACAAATTCACTATTCGTCGTCCCAAGAGTGTCACAATTCACACTGGCTTGACTGATGCAGACTCTGAGTATGAACTTTTGAACATTTGTGAGTTCAACTCTACAAGAAAGAGAATGTCTGCGATTTTCAGATGTCCCGATGGCGTCATTCGTTTATTCTGTAAAGGTGCCGACACTGTGATTTTGGAGCGGTTGGACAGAGATGAACCCCAGCCATTCGAGGCGGCCACAATTCGTCACTTGGAAGACTTTGCTTCTGAAGGTTTGCGTACGTTGTGTATTGCTTCAAGAATCATTTCTGATGAGGAATACGAGAACTGGGCCACCAAGCAATATGAAGCATCGACTGCTTTGGACGACAGAAGTGAGAAACTCGACCAAGTTGCCGAGATAATTGAAAAAGACATGTTTCTTCTTGGTGCCACAGCTATCGAAGATAAGCTTCAAGATGGTGTACCAGAGACTATTCACACTTTACAAAACGCAGGTATCAAGGTTTGGGTCCTTACGGGAGATAGACAGGAAACTGCCATCAACATTGGTATGTCTTGTAAATTGCTCAGTGAGGATATGAACCTTTTGATCATCAACGAAGATAATAAAACTGACACCAAGTTGAACTTGCAAGAGAAGATGGATGCTATCATGGAGCATCAGCCAGATATGGATGCCAGTACCTTCGATTCATCGTTGGCCTTGATCATCGATGGTCATTCTCTTGGTTACGCTCTTGAGCCTGAGTTAGAGGACATCTTTTTGGCATTGGCAACACGTTGTAAAGCTGTTATTTGTTGCCGTGTGTCTCCATTGCAAAAAGCTTTGGTCGTGAAGATGGTCAAGAGAAAGAAGAAGAGATCATTGTTACTTGCCATTGGTGATGGTGCTAACGATGTTTCCATGATTCAAGCTGCGCACGTTGGTGTTGGTATCAACGGTCTTGAAGGTATGCAAGCTGCACGAAGCGCAGATGTGTCTATCGGTCAATTCAAGTACTTGAAGAAGCTTCTTTTGGTCCATGGCGCTTGGTCGTACCAAAGAATCTCCCATGCCATCTTGTATTCTTTTTACAAGAATATTGCCCTTTACATGACACAGTTTTGGTTCGTGTTTGCCAACGGCTTCTCCGGTCAGTCTCTTATTGAATCCTGGACATTGACACTTTACAATGTCTTGTTTACTGTGTTCCCACCATTTGTGATGGGTGTGTTTGACCAATTCGTCAGCGCTCGTTTACTTGATAGATACCCACAGTTGTACCAGCTTGGTCAGCAAAGAAAGTTCTTCAACGTCACCATTTTCTGGGGTTGGATTATTAATGGTTTCTACCACTCTGCTGTGACATTCGTTTGCTTGATGTGCCTCAACAAGTTTTCCAGCTATCTTCCTGGTGGAGGCGTGCCAAACCAATGGGCTTGGGGTACCTTGATTTACACTACTTGTACCCTTGTGGCATTGGGCAAAGCAGCACTCGTCGTCACGCTTTGGACGAAGTTTACGCTTCTTGCAATTCCAGGTTCCTTCATTTTCTGGTTGCTCTGGTTCCCTGCCTACGCTACTATTGCACCCAGAATCAATGTTTCCAGAGAATACTTTGGTGTTTTGGGCCACACCTACCCAAGTTTGAGTTTTTGGGCAGCTGTGTTTGGCGTTGCGTGTCTCTGTTTGCTTCGTGATTTTGCTTGGAAATTCTTCAAGAGAAGCTACAGCCCTGAGAGTTACCATTACGTCCAGGAGATTCAGAAGTACAATATTCAAGATTACAGACCAAGAATGGAGCAGTTTGAAAAGGCCATCAGAAAGGTGAGACAGGTGCAGAGAATGAAGAAGCAAAGAGGATTTGCTTTCTCTCAGCAAGACAACCAGAACTTGGAGAAGGTGGTTAGATTGTACGATACCACGAAAAAGAGAGGCGCTTTTGGCGAGCTTAGCGAGAGCTGATAGCGCTAGTTGCACCTCTTTTGTGCACCGCACACCTGCATCATAGAACATAATGACTAAAAAAATGCACTATATGGAACGCTGTAGCCAGCTTAAACTCACCAAAACATAATATAATGAGCGAACCAGCAACAGAGGCGCCTACTCAGACTAAAGCTCCGGCTCAGGCGAAAGCTCCAGCCGAGTCTGAAAGCAAAGCACTCTCAAACAAAGAATTGAAAGAGTTAAAGAAGAAAGAGAAGGCTGCCAAAAGAGCTGCTCAAAAAGAGGCAGCTGGTATTTCTCCAGAACAACAGGAGCAAATGGCACAGCAAAAGATGGAAAAGAAGAAGCTGCTGGCCACAAACACCAATCTTAAAAAGCAATTGAGTCAGGCTGTCGTGAAAGATCAAGACATGAAAATTCCAGCGCTTTTTAGCCATTTGGAAACAAGAGAACAGCGTAATGCTTCTTCTCCTACGGTGTCCCATATTGTTCATCCTTCTATTTTGACACTAAGCTTGCATTTTGCTAACCACAAGATTGTGGGTTCCACTGCTAGATTGAGAAGCATGTTGGAGGTGTTCAAGACCGTGATCCAGGATTACAAGACCCCTGAAAATACGACATTGACACGTCACTTGACGGGTCACCTTTCGCATCAGATTGAGTACTTGAAGAGCTCCAGGCCACTCAGCATGTCTATGGGTAATGCCATCAGGTGGTTGAAGCAGGAGATTTCTCTTATATCAATCGACACTCCAGAGAAGGAGGCCAAGGAAATCTTGAGCGGGCGTATCGACGATTTCATCAGGGAGAAGCTTGATTTGTCCGACCAGCTCATTGTGGAAAACGCCTCCCAGCATATCAGTAACGGTTCTACCGTGTTAACCTTCGGACACTCCGAGGTTTTGCTCAAATTGTTCCAGTACTGCGCCTTGGAACAAGACAAAAGCTTCAATTTGGTGATTGTTGACTCCAGACCCTTGTTCGAAGGTAAGCGTTTACTCACGGAGTTGGTGGCTACAACAGTGCCAGACTCATCTTCCAGAACCGAGACGGATGCTGACTCCGAAAGCAGCTCCATCATTGCCAGACGCTCCGCCCCACAGCCTCCAATCACGAAGCAGAAGATCAAGGTTAACTACGTGCTTATCAACCTGTTGCTGTCTACAATCTTTGAAGATGTTGACTGTGTTTTCTTGGGCGCCCATGCCATGCTTTCCAACGGTCACCTCTACTCGCGTGTGGGTACCGCCATGGTGGCTATGATGGCTCACAGAAGAAACATTCCTGTGTTGACTTGCTGTGAATCGATCAAGTTTTCCGATAGGGTCCAATTGGATTCCGTCACCACAAACGAGTTGGCTGATCCTGAAGATTTAGTCAAGGACTCTAGCAGGAAGCAGCCACCTCAGCAAGGCTCCTTGGCATTGGAGCAGTTCCTCAAAGAAGTGGAGCTGGCTGAACGTGAGAAGAAAACCAAGGCCGGTAAAAAAGAAAAAGAACCAGCCAAGGACATTCTGCTGACTGACAAGTCACCACTTGCGGACTGGAAGTCTCTTCCATCGCTTAATCTTCTTAATATCATGTATGACTTGACGCCGCCTTCCTACATAAACAAGGTTGTCACAGAGTTGGGTTCTTTACCACCGCTGTCTGTGCCTGTCATTTTGAGAGAATACAAAAGCGGATAAACATGCATTTAACTATTTTGGGCGTCTTCATACACCACAGTGGTTGATTGACCCAAGTCGAGGCCTTTGGGTGGCTTGAGTTTGAAAGGACGTGGTACGAATTCCTTCCATTTCACTGGTGGCAGAGGACTAATTTTTGGTGGAAGAGTGGGATCGAGCAACATAACGGCAACACTCTCTGGAGTACCGCTATTGATCTGGTTGCGGAGAAGAAGAATCTCATAAAGGGTTGTCCTGCGATAGCTAGCTGCTCTCTTCACCTCCTTGTCGGGCATGGTTGTCTATGGATTGTACATACGGGACCCACGGATTTATATCATCTTTGCATTGCAACCAAGGGTATTTCTTTCTGTTATTGGAGATGCCATTTGTAGGTCTTATGTCGTGACAGTCAAAAGATGACGACCATCTCCACCTGCCTTTACCATTATAGGTGATTTAGGGAAGGTTCGAAATGCCATTCAATTGTTAGAGGAAATACCACCTTCGTGCCTATGAATGGGGAATTCCAAGTCAGAACAGAAGTTCAGTTCTAGTTCCTGTATTATCAAGTTAATCCAAAAGTCAATGCATTTAATTTCAAAAAGTCCCTCCCTGTCCACTACGAAGAAATCATAGAAGCCAAAATCAAATCCGTATTTCGATATGTCTTCAAATTTATTCTTTTTTTTTTTCTAAATTCATCTGATTTGCATTTCTCATAGAACATGTTACTTAGAAGATGTAACGCACTTTCACACCAGAATCACAAATCAGACTTAACCATATCTAGCACAATGAAAAGAGAAAAAGAAAGTCTACTTCAAAAATCTTTATCGCCTAAAACCAATGAATTTTCAAAATCAAAAAATGAAATTCAATAAAAAAAAACCTCCCCTAAACAATTCACCAAACCTTCACCAGCCAAATCGGTACCACTGGCTGCGAAACTGCCGCCACCTACACGTGATCTCTATACAAATCAACCAGAGAAGTCGCCGTCGAAATCCACAAAAGACCCATTCATTACTCCTTTCCATGGCAGAACAGGAGCTAGATTTGGTCAACAAAGTCGATCTCAGGCTTGCGCTTGCCGAAACCGACGAGGCGTTGGAAAAAGCAGCCAATCTGTACATCCCACCGTTACTACTCAAACTTGCCAGTAACCATGGATCGGTTCGCCAGGCTGTGTTCAAGATCATCCAGAATGTGTTTCCGAGAATCACAGCGGCTCGAGAATTGAAATTGCCTGTCGAGGCGTTATTGCAGCAGATCCAGGAACCGAAAATCCCCCAGGGCTCTGATCCCAGCCAAGTCAGGCTCTACAGCTTACTTTTCCTCCTGAAGGGCATTGAGCGGTTGTCACTGGAGGAAAAGCACCAATTGGCAACGAAGCTTTTGGTAGGATACCACACTTACCCGCCTGCCGTTGGTAGCCGTATATTTGCGGCACTCATGAAGTGCTTGGAAAATTACAAGGCACCAGCACGAGACTCGGAAGAGTTTGAGAAACGCAGAGCAGAATTGGGATTTGATACGAGACCAGAAGATGAAAGAGCTTTTGCACGAACAGCAGCCAAATTCTTCTTGTTACTTCCAAATGCCAATGCTCCCATACAAACCCCAGGAATGAGCGTTCAGGACCTGGCCTCGTTTACAAAAGACGCTGGTGTGTCGTATAAGTCACTTGGCGAGATCCAACTGGCCAAACTGCGCCTTTTAGAGTTTTTGAGCGCTGGTTTTGACGAGAGTCTACTCGTCTTGCCTCTTCTAATTGCATCTGCCGATTCGCTGTCTTCGATCAACGACCGTGCCGAAATATGGTTCAAGAAACTACCAATCGACTTGGAAGATAAGTACTTGGTGGACGACTTGGTGGTGCTCTTCCTTGGTAAAACCGATCCCGTAACCCCACCAGTGGCCCCAACTCTTCAGGAAAAGATTTTGTCTTTGCTCTGCAAGTCGGAGATTGCCATGACCCACGAGTGTACCAGAGAGCTTTCTGAAGCAGCACTCAACTCCGAATACTCCCGCCTTCGGCAGACAGGAGTGGCATTCATTCGTAAAGTCACCAAGTCCGCAAGTGATGCATCGCCCTCTGGATCAACGCTGTCTCAGGACGAGTTCAACAGTTCCATTCTCACAAGACTCAAAGAAGGCATTATGAGCGAAGGTTGGCCAGAAATGGACACCTCTCAAATCTCCAATTATAGAGCAGCCGTTGGTCTGCGTCTGCTTCAGTACGAGGCCATTGGCGATATCTTGCGTCATTCGCCGTCGTTGTGGAACACCGACTTGACTTATATTAGATTTTTGTTTGACTCGTTGGAGGGCGAGAGCATAGAGCTCAGGCCCGTTGTCCAAGAAGTCTTGTCTGGCATTGAGCCACATCTCCTTAAGCTATCTACTGATTGCAAGAGAGAGTTGAAGCCGCTTTTGAGGAAGTATTTGGAATTCTCAAACTCTTCCAACAACCTCGGCTCGTGTCGCTACTTGGCCATGAAGTTTTCCAACTCGGCCTTCCCATTCCAAGACCCCGAGGCTCGATACCTTTGTTTCCTCGGCACTGCCAAATCCAACAACCCAGAGACAATCGAAGAAGCAAACAAGGGCTTACATCCATATTACTTCAACCTTTTACAGGAGTCCAACAAATTCAACTTTCAATCATCATCCATTGACTTCCTCAGTGCAAATACAGGTGTCAGATTCCCGAATTTAGGGAATTGGTAGATGTGCTCAAGACAGGAATCTCTCAGGCCGAGGAGGACTCAGTTCTCTTCCAGGCCTTGGGTACAGCAGTGAGATTCATACTAAGGTCTTTGGTGATGGAAGTAATTGAAGACAAGACTACTGTGATTGTTGTTGACGAAGACTGGGATGCCAGAGTTGATAAGGCCTTAGAGATCGACGAAAAAGTGAAGTCTCTAATGGCTGGAGGCATCTCGGACCCAAACAACAAACACAGCATTTTTGATTTCTACGGTATCGTTTTTGATGCATTGTACAATCTGCACTTTGGTGGTGCATATCATGTTGGTGATACTGGCTTCAGCACAGTGTTGGCTTTACTTGTATCTCTTTCTTCACCTGAAGTGATTGCTGAATTAAAGTCCTTTATACCAAAGCTCCTTTCACTAATTGAAGATAAGGTTTTGGCCGATAAGTCACTCCGAGAACTTTGCAAAACGCTAGGTGTGATTGTGACAAATAAGGACGTTATTGACAAGGACTTGGAGATAATTTTGAATAAGCTCACAGACCCCGAGCATAGCAATAACGCAAGTAAGCTCACGGGACGCATTTTGGCTCCAGCGTATATCATTTCAAGAATTGTGCTCGCCGGTCGCCATAGTGTTTTGAGTTCTGAAGGCGTTCGTGCTTTTGTCACGATTCTTCGTGAATCTATCAAAGAGTCTCGTTACTATGATACCGTTCTTGAAGCTTTGAGTCAGCTTAGTATATTTGGTGTCCTCGGACCCGAGCTTGTTTTCTATGACACCATAAAGGAGGACTTGAAAACCTTGCAAGAGCCAATTGAAGTGAAGGCTAAAACCTGTCATGAATTATCGGTGCTCACATTGCTGAAGCTTCAGCTCGCAAATCCCTCGACATACGAATCAAAGGATGAAGCTGACCTCAATGCTATTGAAACTATAATCTATAACACGCATACTTCGAAACAACTCGATTACACTTTGGCTAGTGGAGAAGCCTTTTCAATCCTTGCTGGTGGGTGGAAATCCAAAATTCTCCAGCAAGAATTGGACGTACAAGGTGCCAGCATTTCTCATATTCCACTTTCGACGGGACGCTTGCCAGTTATTCTCAAGCATGTCCTTCAAGCATGTGCCAACACCAAGCCAGCATTGAGAAGAGCCGGATGCATCTGGCTTCTTTCACTTGTGCAATACCTTGGTGACGAGGTCGAAATCAAGGAGAATGCCTCCCGAATTCATGTTGCATTTATGCGCTTCCTTGCTGATAGAGACGAATTAGTACAAGAGCTGGCTTCTCGAGGTTTGAGTATCATTTACGAGCTTGGTGATGCAGATCTTAAGGAAACTTTGGTGAAGGGCTTGTTCAAATCTTTCACCGACTCCGACACGACTAAGAGTCTCACCGCTGGTACGGTGGATTTGGAAACGCAATTATTTGACCCAGACGTGTTGAAAACCCATGATGGATCTGTCTCTACTTACAAGGATGTTCTCAATTTGGCTCAAGATGTCGGTGACCCAGGATTGGTTTATAAATTCATGTCTTTGGCAAAGTCCAATGCCTTATGGTCCTCCAGAAGAGGAATGGCCTTCGGTCTTGGCTCTATCATGGCAAAGTCCAGTTTGGATGAGATGCTTCTCAGCAACAAGAATCTCAGCAACAGATTGATTCCCAAACTCTACAGATACAGATTCGATCCCAACGTGGCGGTTTCAAAGTCAATGAATGACATTTGGACTGCGCTTATCAAGGATGGCCCAAAGACGATCGCTGATAACTTCGAGGTGATACTCAATGAGATTCTCAGAACTATGGGCAATAAGGAGTGGCGTGTACGTCAAGCCAGTGCAGCAGCACTTGGCAACTTGTTACAGACCCAGCCCCTCGAGCAATACGAATCTAGACTTGAAGAGATTTGGAGTATGAGTTTCCGTGCCATGGATGACATTAAAGAAAGTGTACGAAAGGAGGGTACACAGCTTTGCCGTATGTTGGCCAGAACTCTTACCAGACTTGCGGATGTAAGCACTGGTAACGTAACTGTTGCCAAGGCAACGGAGGTGTTGAATTATTTGATTCCATTCTTCTTGGGCACGAAAGGTCTTCAAAGTGACGCTGAAGATGTGAGAGAGTTTGCTCTCGAGACAGTTTTGAAACTATGCAAGGTTGGAGGCAAAGCGGTCAAACCTCATGTTCCAAAACTCTTGGAGACATTCATTGAGTTGATGTCCACCCTCGAGCCAGAAGTTGTGAACTATTTGATGTTGAACGCTGAGAAGTACAATTTGAGAACTAGTGATGTTGATGCAAAGAGACTTCAGAGTCTCAGTCATTCGCCTATGATGGATGCAATCGGAAAAATCCTCGCCATCACTGACGAGGAACTCATGCCTCAAATCATAAACTCAATCCGTAAGTCAGTCAAAAAGTCGGTTGGACTTCCATCCAAGGTTTGCGGCAGCAGAGTTATCGTCAACCTTATCACGAAGAACTACATTATTGCCAAGCCATTTGGCGATAAGCTTCTCGAGATTTGTATCTCCCAACTCAATGATAGAAACTCCACTGTCGCTTCGTCTTATGCTGCAGCAGCCGGTTACGCTTCAAAAATCGCCAGTCTCGATGCTGTTTTGAAATACAGCGAGTTGATTGCAAAAACCTATCTTGAAGCAGAGGATGAGGCACCACGCTCATTAGCAGCCATTGCCTCTGAGAGCGTCAGTAGGTACAGTGGACTGGACAGATTTGAGGCTGTCGCCTCGGCTTTTCTTCCGTTGGTATACATTGGAAAGCATGACGAATCAGAGGCCGTGCAACAAATCTTCGAACGTGAATGGATCGAGAGTTCTGGTGGCAGAAGCGCCACGAAACTCTACTTCGATGAGATTCTCAGGATCAGTGAAAGCTATGGTAAGCTGAACAATTATTATATTCGTCAAGTGGTTGCTCGCTCCATAGCTGATGTTTGCAAGACAGTCGAAATTGACTCTGACAAGCAATTGAAGAAGCTTTTCGACTTATTGTTGGAATCATGCAAGGGTAAGTCGTGGTCAGGAAAAGATTTGGTTTTCGATGCCTTGGTCGACTTCGCCATTTTGAAGTCAAGCTATGTCAGAAAACAAGAGTCACTTCTCGAAGAGATTTCTAAAACCGTGCAAGTCGAGGGCAAGAGAAGAAACAAAGCTTATCAGGTCAAGGCAATTCTCAGCGTTGGGAAGTTCATTCACGAGTTCCCTGAAGATATCGAGATTGTGGAAACATACATCGATGTAATGGGTGATGTGCTTACGGAGGATTATCAAGACGAAATTGAAATGGCCGAGCTGCTTGCAGATAAAAAGACTAACAAAGCGCAAGAGGCCATTATTGTGGAAGAGTTCAATTTGAATCTTTTGAAGAATGTATTTGCATCCATCTCACCAAAACAGCTCCACAAAGATCTACTCCAATTTGCCTTGGAGTCATCAGCGAAGTTCAAGAACTCTGATCACGAGCAATCTTGGAGAACATGCACTGGGTACAACGAGAATTTCAAAACGCTTTTGGAAGGATTGTTGACTGAAAAGACTTCTCTCAGTTCCGCAGAATTGAACATGATCGCCAAAGCATTCAAGACCCTTTTTGAATTTAGTGACAAAGGACTGCTCGAAAAGAATGTCATTATGTTGGCAAGAAACGCCACTACGTTTTTCAAAGTCTTTGATCAAAATGGAGCTTCTAACGAGGCAGCATTTGTTGTCGACAAGTTAAAGGCCATGTTGAATGATCGAGTTTCGACCATTACGGAAAACGAGTTGAAAAGCGCTATCCAAACATACCAGTAAATCTACAAGGAATATAGTCTAATGATAGATTCAAGCAGTAAATCTACAAGTAATATAGTCTAATGATAGATTCAAGCTATTTATATGATTAGTCATGCATCCGATCACTGACCACCTCTCAATCTCAACACCAAGTGAAGAGTAGATTCCTTCTGGATGTTGTAGTCAGAGAGGGTCCTGCCATCTTCCAATTGCTTACCAGCGAAGATCAATCTCTGCTGGTCAGGTGGGATGCCCTCCTTGTCCTGAATCTTGGACTTGACATTGTCAATAGTATCGGAGGACTCAACCTCAAGGGTAATTGTCTTACCAGTCAATGTCTTGACGAAGATCTGCATACCACCTCTCAATCTAAGAACCAAGTGAAGGGTAGATTCCTTCTGAATGTTGTAGTCAGACAAAGTTCTACCATCTTCCAATTGCTTACCAGCGAAAATCAATCTCTGCTGGTCTGGGGGAATACCTTCTTTGTCCTGAATCTTGGACTTGACGTTGTCGATAGTGTCAGAAGATTCAACTTCCAAAGTGATGGTCTTACCGGTCAAGGTCTTAACAAAGATTTGCATACCACCTCTCAATCTAAGAACCAAGTGGAGAGTCGACTCCTTCTGGATGTTGTAGTCCGAGAGAGTTCTACCGTCCTCGAGCTGCTTACCAGCGAAAATCAATCTTTGCTGGTCTGGTGGGATACCCTCCTTGTCCTGGATCTTGGACTTAACGTTGTCGATGGTGTCGGAAGACTCGACTTCCAAAGTGATAGTCTTACCGGTCAAGGTCTTGACGAAAATTTGCATACCACCTCTCAATCTGAGGACCAAGTGAAGAGTGGACTCTTTTTGGATGTTGTAGTCGGACAAGGTTCTACCGTCTTCCAACTGCTTACCGGCAAAGATCAATCTCTGCTGGTCTGGTGGAATACCCTCCTTATCCTGAATCTTAGACTTGACGTTGTCGATGGTGTCGGAAGACTCGACTTCCAAAGTGATAGTCTTACCGGTCAAGGTCTTGACGAAAATTTGCATACCACCTCTCAATCTGAGGACCAAGTGAAGAGTGGATTCCTTCTGGATGTTGTAGTCGGAAAGGGTTCTGCCATCCTCAAGTTGCTTACCAGCGAAAATCAATCTTTGCTGGTCTGGAGGAATACCCTCCTTGTCCTGGATCTTAGATTTGACATTGTCGATGGTGTCGGAGGACTCAACCTCGAGGGTGATGGTCTTGCCTGTCAAGGTCTTAACGAAAATTTGCATGTTGTGTGTTTGTTGCTGTTGAAAATAAGTGAGGTGTTTGTGGCGACTTTGCCACTATATATACTGCCAGATAGGGGGTGTAGATAGGGTGCGAGTCACGTGGTTTCTGGGGGTAACCGCAGTGTGCGGCGAGTGTTTTCCGGCATGCAAGGATGGATTTCTTTAGGCTGACAGAAAAAGCAATTCACAGTCGCCGAAAAAAGCAATTTGGTGACTTACAAGCGGCTGGCGCCGGGCCTAAACGAAATGTGTGATGTTTGAAAAAATGGCTATGAGAGGTTTTTTCGGGATTTTTACATGCAATGACATTGACAATTTTTTTTTTTCTTCCGATGTTTGGAATGCATGACTCAGTAAATCGGCGCAATTTCACGCTTCTAGAAATCAGCTGAGACACGAGGTATCGTGGAGGGATCTGCCGTTTACTATTTGAAACGAGTTTTTGAAGATGTTTAAGGTTTCCTGTCTCGTGCATGTTTTCGTTGAAGACTTTTTTTTTCATTCTCTTTTCTTTTTTTATGGCGAGTTTAGGCGGATCAATCGTAGCCGTGCTTGTTTACCATGGAATTTCGAAGAAATAGGCGAAGAGTCATCATGGATCAAGCCATTGGGTGTAAGTGAGTCATCGATGAAGTGGACCGTTGAAAGTTCATCATAGTCATGTTTTTTTTGGAAAATACGTAAGACTCTTGCTTCAGCCACACTGGCACATTTTGCAGCCAATCGTGAGGCTAGCCAGATCAAGGTGAATAAGAGTATGGGTCAAGCCAACCTTTTTGAACTTTTTGAATTTCACGAAGGCAGTCTTTTTTGCTCACTTCATTGGAAACTTGATAACGCTAAACAAGAGCTTCGACTTTGATCAATGCTTTCCCGTTCATTCACTACTGTTCAATGTACAGAGAGCAAGGGGAGCAGTCCCACCCAAAACCTGTTCCATTTTCCTCTGATCCACTTCTCCAGTTCAAGAAAGCTAGGTGTTGATTCTACGGAATGCTTGTAACATATTAAATTATCTTGTACGTAAAACTCGTTAGTCATTAATCATTAGAAGTGAATTTGGAACCTTTCAATTCGGCCCATACCCTGAATTCGTAATTGTCTAGATTTATCGACGGGGTCGCTTAACTCACAGAGCGACCCTAGCAAGGCCGCTTCACAGCTGTACAGCCTCCAGGAGAAGCCATGGTTCTTGAACTGAAGCAATTGTAGAGAGGCAATTGCAGTTGCAGATAAGCATGACACCAGAGCTGAATAGCAATTAGCTTCCTCTCCATAAGTACGCACTGCTTTCAGCGGACTCTTGAATAGTCAAACTGGGTGGTCCGACTTTGGGCGCCTGTGGAGCGGTTATCCATCGCACATCCGCCCACAAATGGAAGTGCTAGTGCACGCGTTATATTAAAAGATCGGAACAGGCGGGCAGGCGAGACCGCTTAAAGTAGGAGGAGGATCTGGGAACGCTGGCTTTGGAAACGAGACCAACGAAGGGTGTGGCTCCCGTTTCGTTACTTCTCGCTGGGGGCGAATAAGTCATTTTGAAGAGAACCCTTTTTCGATGAGAATTCTGGACGACAGACTTTTCATCTTGAGAAGTAGCTGGGGCCTCTAGGTAGGTTGTCTGGAGTTGCTGCTAAAGTTGCCGAATCTGGTAGGCCATGATGTTCACTAGAGTGTGATCGTCAATGGCAATTCAGCAAATTGTAGAATGTTCATATTCTACTCCAAGGAGTCATTGGCCAGCTAGATCCTGTTGGCCTTCGTAGGGCAGCAAATCAGAAACAATCTCCGTTGCTGCCTTTTCCGGTGTGATCTTGCTCGATTGATTCAATTGATCCGCCCCAATTGAGATAAGAGATGAAACGGCTTCTGACCCACTTTTAAGCAACGATATCAGTGGTCCAATATTGCACCGCCCATCACCTCTGGCAGTATAGCATCACCTTCCAGTACAGCAATCATCACACCAACCACACCAACCGTATCAGCAATTAATCCACACCCACACTCAATCTCCAACAACCACCCCTCAGTGTAGCGTGGGAATCGCCTGGCCTCTCATCTCCAACCGCAACTGGTCCAAAGAGTCCCGTGAAACCCTCAATGCCTCATCGTCTTCACAGAACCTCACCACAGCATCCACCTTGGCGTACACAGCCAGAGCATACGTTTTGGAGTATCCCATGGCGCCCAAAGGCACCACAATTGCCGTGTACCGGCTCCGAAGCCAGTTCATAAAGCTGCCAGACCCCCATTGGCACAAGTAGAGAAGCACCGTGAGACACTTGAGGGCAACGAGCTGCTTGGTCTGGCCCTGCAGCGGCACCAACACCTTGAGGAGCTTCTTCTCCAAAACAGAGCATATAGTGGCCAATTTGCGTGGCTCAAACGTGAGGATGGAGAGCTCTAGAAGCTCACTATTATAGGGACCCAAGGGCTGCAGCGATAGCGCTGATGTTAGTACAATTCCCAGAGAACATCACCAAAGGCATCTTTGAACATACCGTTTCGTAATTTCAGCTCCGTGGAGGAGCCTAGGAAGAGCATGGAGTAGAGATGGATCTAAATTCTTGCTTCTCGGCATTTCGGCTATCGGGTAGGCCGCGATGCGCAATACTCGGGACCCCGGATTTTCAGTATGACAATGGTCTGGAGAACTTGGGAGGGGATTTTTTAATTGTGGGCTGAATTTTGAATTTTGTGGGTTGGGTACGTTGGATTTTATAGGACAGGTTGTTGTTTGGAGTATTGGTGATACAAGAATGCACCGTGGTGGATGTAGTAGAGATGTAGATGGAGTATGAGCCAGCCAGAAGAAAATGGTGTTTTTCAGGGAATTTGAAAAGACTTCGATTCCACATCACAGAGACAGAGAAATTCAGAGATTTTTAAAAAAATCGACCAATCACGGCTGCCTTGCCTTGGGTGTACCCCGGTTTTCGCTGAGGAGTCCATTGTCTCACATGCTAGAGGATGCCAAAACAAGGTGGGGAGGATCTTTTCACGAGAAGATCAGAAGCCAGGCGAAATGGGCCGATAAGTAAGGGACGTTTTTGGCAAATTGCAACGGTTCGGAAAGTTCACGGGATATTGGGTTTCCGTGGTATTGGTAGTATTGAGGGTAGGATTGATGGTGTGAGTAATCTGGGGTATCAAGAAAAAATGGGGTGTAGCTTTTTGAGGGATGAAATGGGCCCACCTTTAGAGAAGCTCTGGGGTATTTAAATGGCTTGAAGTATGGAGAGATCGACAGACTCCTGTGGCTGATCTGCCCACTGTAATGTAGTAGTAGTAAAGTGGTCTGATAGTGATAACAGATAAGATGAGCCATAGAAAGCTATGAGCCAAAAAGGTTTACTTACAGAACAGACGACCAAATGCATACTTTTAAAGCATACTTTTTTAAATTGGCAAACCACACCCTGGACCGGCTCCGTTTCAGGAGACTCACATCGCTTGCTGCCTTACTGTGGCTTCAGACTCGCTCGTCAACGCAGCAGGCAGCAAAGAAGACTTTACCTTCGTCTTCGTTCAGGCGAATTTCTCTAACATACACACTTTGATACCTTCGGCAAGCTCCATGCCATTTGGGTTATTTCGGAAGCGGTTCACTCTTGGCTTTCGGAAATGAACTACCGGAGTCACCGGAACCTCCCGACCCCTATATCCGAGCCAGCCACAAAACACCTTTCATTTATCGATTTGAAGCTGAAACACTAGGTTTCATCTGAAAGACTCTTGTTCCGGTAACTCCACAACCCGTTCCGTTGACTCCAGTTTCTCGTAGCTGGGTGCAAAAATGTCGTCGCATGGTCACCCGCTATCTCGACAACCAGACGCCGTAGAAGCACCAAACCCACTTCATTCGAATCCCCTCAGCGTTCCCTACAAGACTATAGAAATACCATGTAGAAAAGCCTCCGACGGCTACGTTCCACTCGAGGGCCGCTGAGGCAGCGACGACATTGTCGTGGACCGGCTCGACCGCGGCCGACAATGGATGTAACAACGAACCACGAAACACGGTTCTGGAGGAATTTTCGGAAAATCCAGTCACGTGACGCCGTCGGCCCACTCCAATCTACCACGCCATAGCCACCTCCTTCGAAAATCGCCTTTTCTCCGCCGCCACTCTTTTCTCGTGCGGACAATTACCGCAACAGTCAAGCACTCAGAAGACAGCCCACCCGAGCGTCCTGCACACAAGCGCAAATTCAGGCCCACCTTCCCTGCTCGTTTTTTCGTGCAAGTGTCTGCCGTTTTTTTTGGCCCTATCGCTCTGCGCATTTGATATCTATCGATCCACCTCTTTTGCTGGTATACCTGTGAACACAGCTTCAGCAGCGTCTCCACGCCGGCAACGAACCAAAAACTAAACCCGTGCCTCTCCACCCATCTCAGTGGAGAGCCCGTTTTTTTAAAAAAGCCCCTCCTCAAGCCTTCGAAAAGCACTTGTTCTTTTTCGTGTGCCCCAGGTTCCTCAGGGATAGCCAATTTCACCAGAGACCGGCTTCCTCCACAACAAGACTCCAGCAGAGAATCTAATTCTGCTTTTCGAGCTTGAATACCACCCCCAGCCGATAGGCTTTTTCCCCTTTCATTGATTCGATTCGCATTTGGCTCCGCCATGTACTAGAATGGTCCCTTGCTCAGACCACTTAGAAGAAATCGATCGTTCGGAACCGGAACCGCCGCTAAGCGGCCCGCCGAACGGTACGCTGCTGCCAAAGAAACCCAAACCGTCGTTCCACTACGACCCAGACTTGTTCGCCAAGTGCAAAACGTACCTTGAGAAGAAGAACTACCACGGATTGGCGCTTATCGCCCGCCAGAAGGGAATCCCGCCATTTCTCCGTTTCAAGGTATGGCCCATGTTGCTCAAGCACCACCCTTACGTGCTCAATCCGTTTTTACAGCCGGACAGACAGCCAGACAGCGACGAGAACCTGGAGTCGCTGGAACTGGACGAGCTAGAGCTCAAGCGCAAGATCCGAAAGGATCTTCGGAGATACATGCATCGCGTGGCAAGCCCTTCGGACGAACCGCTTCTGGAGACGGAGCTGCGTTTGTTTGATACATTGGAGAAGTCCGTGCACAAGTTTATTGTCAAATGGGGCAGGATCATCAAGTATGACCTGTCGCTTTCGTGGTTTGCCTTGGGTCTAGCGGAATGGTTCCCGCCTATTCCACACACCTCGTGGGTGCTTTTAGGTAGAGACGTTCTTTCTGCCAACAACACACATATTGGATGTGTGTTCGATGATTACCAAGAGTACATTCATTCGCTGCCGGGCCTCGACTCGTACCTCAAGGATTTGGTCCAGGACGAAAACATCAGCAATATGAGCTTCCATGAGGTGTATGAGAGACTCGTGCTCATTCTCTTGCACTCGCCTGAGCTGGCGAACAAGAGAGATCCTTCAACGTTGGTCAAGATCGACAAGCTGACGCTCCCGATCAACGGAGGAACCATTGAAGAGAGAGTCTCGTTTTTCATCTACGTGTTCCAAATTCTTTTACCGGAGCTTTCCGAGTACTTCCTGGAAGAGCAAATTCTCAATAAATTTGGTGCTCACGACGACGAGTGGCTCATTTGGTGGCTCAAGTTCTGCGGTGCCAAGGTGTGGTCCCGTGTGGATCGTGGCCGTGTGTGGGATCTTCTTGTCGGTTGGAGACTCCAAAGTAAAAAGTCCGAAAACAACAAGCATTACTACAGCGACAAGCTCAACATCTCAGACCAGTTGCTTGACAAATTAGGCCCTGACGTGTTCTGGACTGTCGACTATGAAGAAGACCAACCAGCTCTGCCGACGTTGACAAAGCGTGATTCCTTCAAGGACCTCATGAGCGAGTTGCACATTGAGCCTCCAGGAAGTAACGACAGCAGCGGCCTTGAGAGCATGTCCAACAACGACTTGCCTCCACAGCGTAACCACAACAGTACGTCATCCTCGTCACTGGGATCCACGCTGCCGTCGCTTCTGCCCTCTCTGGAATGCTCACTGAACCTGAGTTGCTCCGATGACGGGCCAGTGATTCCCTTTTCCAAGATCGACATGCACATTGAGCTTCTTTTTGTGTGCCTTGCGCTTTTACAGGCCAAAGGCAACACGTTGGTGGAGCTTGACCAGCACGAGATCAGAACGTACTTGTCGAGGCTTCCGGCAAAGTCGTTCAAGGCCAGCGACAAGTACAAACAGTACCAGGAGCAAAAGGACAAGGAGAAAGGTGCAGCTCCGCCAGACACCGGATTCCGCTACGACTACATGGACAGTATTATCTATGAAGCCGGAGAGCTTTGGCGGAAGTGGCTCTGGAGAGAGCAGACGTCGTAGGCATATGGCCTGCGCTAGAGTTCCAGCGCCCTCCTGGAGCATATATAGAACCATTATTTTTTCAGGTATGACCCACAATTTACGACTTACAGAACAGGATTTTTCTACTTCAAGGAGCGGTTTTTTTACATTGTGCCAGTTGGACCGTTATCACCGGCCGGTGGTATACTGCACAAGTTGTGCATGGACCCTCATCCAGGCCAAGTCCTTTCTCGGCTTTCCAACTCGATACTACAATTCCTTTTTCTAATCTTTCCCAATAATGGTTCTCAATCCAGGCTTCAAGGTTCGAAACCTCCTAGCGTACAATTTCGCCGGCTTTGCCTGTATTTCGCTTGTGGTGTTTCTTCTGGCTTCGCAGCCATTCTACTTATCAGATGTGATCGGCGTGGACCTGAAGAAGATTGGTTCCGTTGTGGGCACTTTGGGTGTTCTAGACGAGCTCACGTCGATCTTTGTGGCGGTGTTTTTGGGTACTTTGAATGATAAACTCAATTTTTGGGCCAGGCTGGCCAAGGGGTTCTTTCCCTCGGGACCTAGGATCCTCGAATTGGGCGGATTTGGGCTTTTGGCCATTTCCCTCTTTGGTTACGGCAAATTGTCCAAACATGTGTTTCCCGAGCTTTGGTTTTGGCGTGCTATCTTTGCCGTGGCTGTCACGGCTTGTATGAGTACGGTTACTGTGATGCTTCATGAAGCGAACAACTCGGACTTTGCATGGACCGATTTGGCGTTTTGGAAGATGTACCAAAAGAAGAAGGACCACGATGAAGCCGAGCTGGGGCTCTTGACCGAAGAGCCTGTTTTTGTGCCTCAGCAGAAAAAGAAGCACGGAAAACTCTCCGCATTGATCGGAGTATCGACCGGACTTGGAGCCGTTTTCTCGGTTTCGGTGTTTTTAACGTTGCCCGTGAAGCTCAGCGACCATAATCCTGATCTCTCCAGAGCAGGAAGCGTCAAACTTTCTTATGTGATCTTATCGGTGTTTGCACTTGCAGCAGCGGTTCTCGTATTCACATTCGCCTACGACAGTGCCAAGAGCAGAAGGGAAAACGGCGATATCGATGCAGAGCTGTCTAGGGACCTGTCGTACCTTGAGCTTCTCAAGGAAGGTCTCCAGGCGTCAAAGAACAACAGAAGAGTGCAATTGGCCTATGTCAGTTCGTTTGTCTCGAGATCCACCACCGTGGCCAATTCCGTCTTCATTCCGCTCATGGTGTTCAAGTACTACTCGGAACACGGAAAGTGCAGCGGGTCTGTGCTGGATGCCACCAACTCCCCTCTGAAGGATGACTGCTACGATGGTTACGTTTTCCTGGCTATTCTCACCGGTGTGGCTCAAACGGTAGCGCTTGTTTCCTCTCCAATCTGGGGTGTTTTGGTCGATTCGAAGCGTTTGGGCTGTCTGATGACGTTGCTTATTGCTGCTGTCAGCGGTATGGTTGGTGCTTTTGGACTTTGTATTGCCAGCGTGGGAGCCGATGGCTACGACCCTAGAAACGCCTTGTGCTTCATTCTTGTGAGTTTCATCGGTCTTTCCCAAATCGGCACCATCATTGCTTCTATGAGCTTAATCAGCTCTATCGGTCTGACGCCAGAGTCTACCGAGCACAAGGTCATTGGTAGTATCAGTGGATGCGCCAGTGTTTGTGGAGGAGTGGGTATTTTGTTGATCACAAAAGTTGGTGGTTCCTGGAGTGATCTGTGGACGTTTGCGCCATTTTTCATCTTGGGTGCCCTCAATGTCGTTTTGGCTGGGTCTTCCATTGCAGCCACTAGAGGGTAATTAAAAAGTGTTTACAGGATGGATAGGTTTAAGAGTATGGACATGACATGATGTAGTTTCGGTAAATTAGAAGCAAGGGTAACGACAAAATAGCAGGGAAGGAACTAAAAACATAGGAAGCCTGCTATCCTGGCAGGATAATTTGTTTATGGTCAATGCGCCTTGTCTGAACCGGGCTGTTGTACATATACTTGGAGAAATACTCAATCAGTGATAAGACCATCTTGAAATAAGTCGGTGGAAACACTTTTGTTTCCTTCAGCCAAATGAATAGAAAATTAATATTTAAAGCAACCATGATTCTATTTTCAGTTTCGACTATACTGTTCAATGTGCGGCTCTTTAGACCCATTATTTACTGCAGCTTTGAAAGAGGTACCTCGTATTTGCTTGACCGCCTTACACACTAGTAATGTAAATCTCAAGAAGACTACTTGCCATTCCTTTCTTATGTTAGAAATTCACCTCAATCGAGTGATTTATACGAAACAGCCGAAATCAAACTTTAGTCTTTCGAGAATCTCTGATATAACAAATACAAAGATTCTACAGGCTTGGAAGCTATCATACACTTCAATTGTTCATCTAAAGATTATGAGTTTCAGCATAATCCTTCAATTGAAAAGTGCGGTATCTAATTAGCTGAAACTCTTCATTCCAATTTCAATATGGTACGCATTGAAAAAGACAAGCCAAATGGGTCTCGAAGATCCATTGGGACCATATCAATACTCATGATATTGTACCACAATAATCATTGTTCAATTCGAGTCGTGCCAGGAACTCTCGCCTTGTGAAAGCCAGAGACCTCTCGAACTTCTTCAAGTATGGGGCTTTTGCAAATAGGTCCGTGGGCAATGTCGCTCCTAGGTGGTAAGGCGTTCAGCTTCCGGAGTATCATTCTCATCAGCTGCCTTCTTCAGGCTATTCGCTCTATTGCATTGAAGCTTTCAACCTATCACGAATCACAAGTATTGGAAATCTTCGCCTTCAGTCTCAGTTACTACTATGTCTGTTTGATAGTTACTTCGTGTATATTTGTCTTCTTGTCAAGCGGACTAGAGGCTTGGAAAGTTATCATTGCATGTGCTTGGCTTGTCCTCTTGGCTTTATTTCTGAGTGTGGAGAGCCTTAGTCAGAATGATGTCGGCAGAACAAGGCTCAGACATCTCAAGCGCTTCATCACTTTTGACGTTTTGGTTCCTTTACTGGTATTTTCCACATACCATCAGATTCGACAATGAGGTGATTCACACTAAAGTGTGGCCCGATTGGGGGGTTGTTGTCGGTCCTCCAGTGGTTAGCACAGTATGGCTTCAGTTCATTAGAGGCATTGATTCGGAAACTACCCCTTGGTTCCTGGGGTTGAGTGTAATATCCGTGCTTGTCTTCATTGGACTGGCAGCTATGGCAGTTGCAGTTTCCCGCAGAATAGATGGCATCAGGGCAGAATTGTATAAAGAGGACGACGATTAGGCTGGAAATAACCAAGAAGTGCACAATTGAATGTGTTGATGTTAAGAGATGGATGCGATTAGAAGATTACACACTTCGTGATGAGCAAAGTAGTCGGTTTTCTAAATGCTTTCAAGAGCATCTCGGGGTATTCAAGTGATTCTTTTCACTCTCGCTAGTTTGATCAGGAACTAGACTTGCCGTGACTGAATATCGGTGAATAATTTGCGATGACAATGACTACTCATGGAGACTCGTTTGCTGATTATTGGACCTTGTCGACATGAGATGGCTTCCTCTCGATGACAGGATATAAGCACTTGTTACAGCATCTAACATGAAGGATACATGGGGGCCATTAGAGCAAAGGGAGCAGAAAGAATTGGTTAATTCTGTGTCACAACGTTCAGAAATCACTTACGAACCCCGTTTCAGCAGAATGTGGCTCGAATCATTCCCTCATAAAATCATCCAATTAAGCTTGCGATATTGATAAGTACGTCTCATTCAAGCGATGCTTCAGGTGCCACCTTTCAATTGCAGAATCATCTCTCTCATTTCTGCATCAAAGAAGAAAATGCTATATATCCGTCGCCTCCTGTCACCATTCTCCTCCTTCCCGTATTTTCCCGCTAAGCACCATTTCGCAGCCATGGATATAAGGCGATCACAAGTGATTCCAAAATCTACAGAATTTTAATCAGCAAAACCAATCACAAGAGAGATTGATTACTCATTTTCTCAAAAAGTTTCCACAAATTCTATTACAACCCCTGTCTCCAAAATCCCATAAATGCTTACCCACCTCTTTTGTGCCTTACCCGTCGGCCATTCGTACTACTAAATTTCGCGATCATCGAATACCACCAACTATGCTTGAGGTGCTTTTGACCGCTGGGCCTGCACTCTGCTGGCTTTTCTGTCGGCTCTACCAGATTCTCCAGACACCTCTGGAAGCCCTTTTCAAAAAACTATCCATCGATATTCCCCATGCGCCCAAGATAACCATAGATCAGCTCCAGAAGAACCAAGTGGTGCTTCACTGGGATACCGAGGAATGGCAGGAAAACGTGTATTTTGTTGTTCTTGTGAATGGTCGTGAAGCAGCTTCGCTAGCCGGAAAGCTGATTTGCCTCCAGGGCCTTGAAGCTTCGAAAATGTACCTGATTGAGGTTTTGGCTGTCAACGCCGCTACCAACTTCAGATCCCAGAGCGGCGCCATTTACGTGACCACAATGGATGACGGATGTGATTTTGAAGGCGACGCCTGGTCGGTCACTCCCTGGATGACCCGGGACGAGAAGCACTCGGATGAATACAAGATGTCTAGAGAAGCAGCGTTGAGCGACGCTGAAAAGGGCCTTTTGGAACAGATTCGCCACAACCAGATTGAGCTATACAAAACACGTGCTGAAGTTGCCGAGATTTCCTCTTCTCAGCAGAGAGAAGTGCAGCAGCTTCTTGCAGCTTTTGAAGAGTACAAGTACATGCTTAGCGAAGAACATGAACAGCGGGGCCGCAAGGATCTGGATGTGAAAACTTTGGAGAAGAAGAAAGACTCGTTGACCTTTGAGAAGCTCAAGCTTTCGAAGCAGCTCAGAAACCACAAGTCGCATAAGCTGATCCACAAGGCCAGTTTGGCCGAGCTACGGTCTCGTGTAGCCAAGCTCGAGGAGAAGAAACAGCATGTTTTAAACCTGGCAGACCTGGAAAAAGCTCGTGTCAAGTCGTCCGTTGACCAGCTCCACAAGGATATTGCTGGACTCAAAGATGGCCTTGCAGAGTTGGAGAACCAGTCCAAGCTGCTCAACAGCGACAGAAAAGAATTGGCTCACCAGGTTAACGTACTTAGGCCGCTTGTGGATCAGTTCACCGTTTTCAACCCCCAGCCAACGGGTGAAACTTCCCCTAATGGCTCTCAAGTCAGCCTCACTGCAGTGTTTGAGGTTTTCACTAGAGACTCACTCTTGACTAAAGGCGGTGCAGAGTTGCTCAAGAAAATCACGTCGCTTCAACCTGATTGGGATGCGGATATCAACCGCGAGTTCGAAGCCCTCACAGCCTTGGAGCTGTCCTGGAAGAATACTTATCGCAATGTCATTCGTAAGTTTGTTCATTTCCATAACAATGCTGAGATGACACGAGCTGCAGCGACTCCAGGTTACGTGCCTCAGAAAATCACAGAGTACCAAGCAAGCGTGGAGTTTGGAGGCTTCAGCAATGCCTTGCCTAAACTGAGACCTCCAAAGGTGTACACCTTTGTGGATGAGAATTCGCCTGCTCCTGAATCGCCAGCATCGACACCAGCTTCTCCACCGTTACCAGATTCAGAGAAAATGCCTCCATTCTTCAACCGTGTCAATGAAGAGGATAACAATCTGAGTAGCTTGGGATCCGAGCCAATGAACAGGGATTTCTCTGACAGAAGAGATATACCTGATATCAACGTCAGCAGAGACTACCCTATGGCACAGGGCCAGAGCTTGAACATGCCCTTGATGGCCTCTTCCTCTTCCCTTGCTCAAACTCAGTCTCTCAATCTGAACATCCAGACTCAACCATTGGGTTATGGCCATCAGCAGAGTTTTTCTCAAAGCAGTCTTCCTCAGTCACAGGTGGGCGCAAACTTGAATCACAGTGTGCCTTTGGAGCCTACCCCTTCGGGAACCCTGATCCAGGCCTCTTTACTTGGAAACCATACCCAGAACCAGGACTCACTTCTGAACTTCCTGTTTCCCCTTCCTAACAATTTGCTGCCTGGTATTCAAGACCGTTCCCATTTGCCTGGTAATTTGCAAGACTCGTTGCAGCCCAACCTTCAGCCATTCTTGTCTGGCCTTCCATACGAAGACCAGATGTATGGAATGAGGTCACCTACTCCGGATCCCCCGGCATTCAACCAGCAACCTCTTCCTTCGTTGTGGAACACCAATACCTCAAACAACTCGTCAAATTTCATGAACCAGCGCTTCCCCAACCAGATGTCGCTTTCCCCTGGTCCCATGAACGTCGAGTTGTCTCCCTCTCAATCTGTGGTTTCGCAAACTGGAGACACGCTTTTGGATACGCTTTTGCTTTCCAACAACCCGCTGCTTCCTCAAAGCTCCTTGCAACTGAACATATGGCTGGACAGACACAACCCTGGCCTTGGAAGCCACAACAGGGCTCTTTCTGGAGGAAACCACATTTGGAGAAACGACGTGCACAATGGCACGATCTCTCCTGATTTCCAGCCGTTCCAGTCTCGGCGCAAGGACAGAGACGAAGCGGATGATATTCAGCTGTTGTGAGTGAAGCTAGGGTCTAGGCAAGGAGAGATTATTGAGGCTGGTTATGCAATTTGGCTGCGTCTCGCTTCTGTCGAAACGACTATTTTTGGCTACAAAAAGAGAATTCCCGTGGATTCTCTCAAAGAATCTTCTTCTTGATAAATTCGAAACACAGTTCCTTTGAGAGATTGGGGTGTCTCATGTTGTGCCCCTGAATGCATCACCAGATGCCAGGTGGGTCAACGGTTCGCATAACAGCTTGGCTGCAAAAATCACAGCATGCGTCAACGTCGCCTGAGCTATCTGGAATACTATTTTCCACTAGTCTGTGTCCCAAAACTACAAAGCCCCAAATTTGCCCAAAACTCAACATCGTAAACGACAAAGTGGGGAACGTGGTGGCGTGGGGGAACTCACGCAACGACAAGACACCTGTTACTACTCCGGCTAATCGCGGCAGGATCTCGGAGCCAGACCCCGAAAAAACGTCCCATGCGCAGTAAGTGGGAGCGAAGGAAATGGCCGCACCAGCCCCTCGCTGGCTCTGGAAAAGCAACTCCGCCTGCTTAACTATGGAAAATGCCCCGCCTTTCCCGAGACTTTTTTCTACGAGGCACTTGGCGCAGCTGGCTTCGGCGTTTCAACATGCAGCGCGCTGCAGTTGCTGCAAAAAAAATCGGTCATCGCAGCGTTGCTGAATAAGGGTCTTATAAAAACGACGCTGCGCCCTGGGATCTTGAAATAAAAGAAATGACGATTCTCGAGGACCGTGAAAGGTTGCCCATCCATAATGATTTTCGAAGCGACACGTTTACGTTGCCCACACAGCACATGAACGAGGTTGTGCTCGAGAAACTCTCCCATGGTACCCTCTTGTTGGGTGATTCGGTCTACAAGGAAGATCCATACACATTGGAGCTTGAGCTGAAAATGGCCGAGCTTACAGGCAAAGAGGCGGCTCTTTTTTGCGTCTCCGGTACAATGTCGAACCAAATCGGACTCCGAGCAGCTTTGCAGCAACCCCCATATTCCATCCTCTGTGACTACAGAGCTCATATTTTCTTGCACGAGGCCGGCGGAACGGCAACCTTGTCTCAGGCAATGGTGCACCCAGTGACTCCGGAAAATGGCGACTACTTGACGTTGGACGACATTGTGGAGAACTTCACTCCGGACGACGGCGACATTCACGGTGCTCCCACCAAAGTTATCAGCATGGAGAACACTTTGCACGGTGTTCTCACTCCAATTGAGGAGATCCGCAAGATCAGCGAGTTTGCAAGGTCCCAGGGTATCTGGATGCACCTTGACGGAGCCCGTTTGGTCAATGCCAGTGTTGCAAGCGGTATTTCTCTCAAGGAGTACTGTCAGTACTTTGACTCCGTGTCGATCTGTTTATCCAAGTCCTTGGGTGCTCCCATTGGCTCTGTTCTCGTTGGCGAACGCAAATTCATCGAGAAATCTAATCACTTCAAAAAACAGGCTGGTGGTGGCATACGGCAGGCTGGTATGATGACCCTCATGGCACTCACAGCATTGGAAGACAACTGGGACCACATCTCGATTGCCCACGAGTTTGCCAAGGACGTGGGTGAATTTTGCAAGAAACATGACATTGTGGTTGAATCGCCTGTTGACACGAACTTTGTCTTCATTGACCTCAAGAAGAACAAGATCAACGACGCCGCGCTCGTCAAATTCGGCGAGAAGCACGATGTCAAGCTCATGGGCGGCAGGATTGCGTTCCATTTCCAATTGAGCGAAGAGAGTGTGGAAAACTTGAAGGCGGCATTGTACGATTGCAAACAGGATGCCTTGAAGAATCCCTTTGAGGGAAGACGCTGCAACAAGCAGATGTACAATGTGGACGTTATCAGGAATCTCCAGGAGCTCAGTGTCGCCTCCAAAAACTAATTAGCATATCAGCATTTGATTCCTGGTGGACCCAGGATCGACCCTCTTTCAATGAAGGATTTCAGTGACTATTTGTAGTATCAGGATTCCCATGGTGATTACAGACCACGCGTCGGATTTGCTCTGATCCGCAATTCCAAGCTTTACGTAGCAATTAAAAAATAGTCAGTCGGATGACTCCTGAAAGCTTATTTCGCTACCGTCTAGCGCTTATTTTTAGCCTAGACCCTGGAATCAGCCTATTTCCTTATCATATCTGTGCCTCTGTCTTCAATTTTTATCGATTATTATATTAATTAAGCTCATAATGCTTGACGTTGACGCAGGGTTTATAGATCTTGCTGCTGACCGATGTCGGATAATCTTTCGGAGGAACCAGTACCAAATAGGCGGAAAATGCATATCCGCGGAGCACCTTTGCTGTCGGGACGTGCACACAGCGCGGAAGACAGCTCGAAATCGTTCCAAACCGTCGGTTAGCCGTGCCTGTATGCCGTCCGTGCAGCATAGTGCGTTCTCGGAGCAGCCGGAACGGCTGAATGGCTGCAAACCCTAGCACTATATAAGCCATGCTTGTTGCCCCTTTTCATTTTGTCACAACAATAACAATAATGAGCAGTCTGGAATCATTAAACTCGCTGGACTATGTTCCACAAAAACTTACCGCAGATTCGGAAGAGCGGTCCCCCAGAAGCCTGGACCTTGCTAGAACTAGAACAGAAACAGCTCAGTCACTTAAGGAGCTTGGTTTGAATGAGGAGGTTCCCCAGCAAGACTTCAATTTACCTCCTGTTGAGGATCCCGTCTTTCCGGAAGAATACACCCTCGAAACACCTACCGGTTTGGTTCCAGTGGATAGGCTTCAAAGCATCGGAAGAACCAAACTGAGAGCCAGCCAGTCTACAGCTAAGTCGGAACCCAAGGAGCTAGATCCGGAGATCGAGCTTGTCACCTTCCATATCAACGACCCGGAAAACCCCACAATTGGAATATCTGGCTCAAGTGGTTCTATACCTTCATCTACTCATGGGCCGTCATTTCTGCTGCTTACGGATCATCTTCTTTAGCTGGAGGTCTTGGCCTCATCAGTGAAAAATACCATGTTTCTAACGAGGTTGCTGTGTTGACGGTGTCGTTGATGGTGATCGGGTTTCTTGTGGGTCCCTTGCTTTGGGCTCCGCTTTCTGAACAAATCGGCAGACGTCCAGTGTACTTTATCAGTTTTGCGCTCTACACATTATTCAATGTCCCCGTGGCGCTTTCGCCTAACATTGGCGGTGTTCTTGTATGCCGTTTCCTTCTAGGCGTTTTTGCATCTTCTGCCTTGACAAATGTCGGTGCATCTTTGGTAGATATGCACCTTGGAACCAGAGGTATGGCTATTGCTATTTTCTCATTCTGTCCATACTCGGGCCCAGTATTTGGTGGTATTGTCAACGGCTTCATTCTGGTCGACACGGGAAGATACGATTTGATGGTTTGGGTGAATATGGCATTTGCAGGCGTCATGTGGATCGCCATGGCCTTTATTCCTGAAACCTATGCTCCGGTGATTTTAAAGAAAAGGGCCCAGCGTCTCCGGAAAGAAACGGGAAACAACAGGATCATGACTGAACAGGAGGCCACTCCAATGACTTTCTCAGAAATGTTGAACAACAACTTGTACAGACCCATCAAGTTCTGCTGGCAGGAACCGGTGCTTGTTCTTGTTTGTGCTTTTGTTGCGCTTATTTACGCCTTGCTTTATGCCTTTTTCTTTGCATACCCGGTGATTTTTGGCGAACTTTATGGATACAAGGACGACAAAATCGGCCTCATGTATGTTCCTATCTTGATAGGTGCTATTTTAGCCGTGGTGGTCACCCCGGCTTTGGAAAGAAGATACTTGGCCATGAGCAAAAGAAGAACCCCAACTCCTGAAGACAGGCTTGTGGGTGCCATGATTGGTTCTCCTTTCCCTTGCATCGCTTTATTCATTTTGGGTGCCACCTCGTATAAGCACATCATCTGGGTTGGTCCCGCATCCTCAGGCATTGCGTTTGGCTTTGGAATGGTGTTGATCTACTATTCATTGAACAACTACATCATCGACACCTACGCCAAGTACGCCGCATCGGCTTTGGCGACAAAGGTGTTCTTGAGAAGCGCAGGCGGTGCCGCTTTCCCCTTATTTATCACCCAAATGTACCACACTTTGGGCTTGCAGTGGGCTTCATGGTTGCTTGCGTTCTTGTCGTTGGCCATGATAGTCGTGCCATTCAGTTTTTATAGATTCGGTGGCTCGTTGAGGGCAAAGCTCTGCAAAGAGGATTACTCCGCCCGTCTCGGTTAGCCATCCATGCATTTATAGACTAGCATCGATACCAATTAATGAAGTTTGTGTACAGCATTCATGTGAATATCACCACTAACATCGAGGGCTCCCTTAGGGGAGTGCTCCACATCTCTAATGAGGTCAGACACCTTGGCCAAATCCACGCCTGTGAGCTTGGCCATGAAGGCGCCAATTTCGATATTTTCGTGGTTTCCAAGCAAGCCGGCGTAGGGCTCTCTTCTGTAAAGCTGCTTGTCGATTCTTTTGGAGTTGGAGAAAGCGTAGATGTTGACATCCACGGCAGAGTGGCCCAGGGTGCTCCAGCCGGTCTGAGAACGCACAGAAATCATGTTGTTGAGCACACCCAACAACCTGTTAGCATCGTTGGCGTACTTCTTTACGGTCTCAATCTCCTCCTTGGTGTGGTCCAAGATACCCATGTCCTGTTCTACGATTTCCTTGGCAATGTACGACTCCAATGCTGGACCGTCCAACTCGCTCTGTCTGCTCATCATCTTCTTCACCAAGTACTCGCCAGAGTGGCTGCTGTTGAGCAAAACCTCAGGGTACCACAAGTAGTCTGGGTACAGCTCAGAGACCTGTCTGGCTGTAACCAATCCTCCAGTCTCGTGGTCAGACGTGGAGATCACTACGGTGTCGGTGTCAGTGTTATCCACAAACTTCATAACCTCCTTCATAGCCTCGTCGTACGCCAACACCTCTCTGACCTGAGCGGCTGGGTCGTTTTGGTGACCGGCATGGTCGATTCTAGAGCCCTCGATCAACAAGAAGAAACCCTCCTTCGAGTTCTTTGTGGCGTGTGACAAGGAGGTGAGCGCCACCTTGACCTGCTCAGCCAACGATGGGTACACTTCAGGCTCCCTGTCGATGTCAAATGGGATATCAGTTGGTGCTAAGAGAGAGAGGAGCGGCAACTGAACGTTTCTGCCCTCGTCCAATGCGTCAAAGGCCTTTCTGTCACCAGCATAGCTCCAGCCATTGCGCTGGGCCTCCTCAATCAAGTTTCTATCGTCGTTTCTACAGCCGCCGCCCACGGATCTGGGCAAAAAGTGGCATCTGCCTCCGCCAATCATAAGATCAACAGATCTTCCCAAGGGGTACTCGCCCAATTGGTGCTGGGCAATGAGGTCTTCTTGGAAACGGTAGTCTGCGTGCGAGCTGAAGGCAGCTGGAGTGGCGTCGGTGATTCTAGTGGTCACAACAAGGCCAGTGTGCCAGCCCTTCAACTTCAACGCTTCCAAGATGGTGCCACAGGGGTTCTTCTCTGGGTCAACACCGATAGCTCCGTTGTAGCTCTTCAAGGCACACGAAAACGCGGTAGCACCAGCAGCAGAATCGGTCACAAGGGAGTCGTTGGACCGTGTTCTGGAGGAGCCAATGAGGAGCGAGTCCAACGCCAAAATGTCGTCGATATCAAGCTTATCTCTGTACTGCTTGAAGGAACGGGCAAGCGACAAAGACGCAGGCCCCATTCCGTCGGTGACCATGAAGATGACATTCTGTTTTGGCTTTGCTGAGGTGGAGCATGATAACAGACAGTAGGCTGCAAATCCAGTAACGAGGATGAAGGCACTAAGAAGGAGACCAATCAAGCTCTGCTTGTTTGAACGCTTTCTTGGTTTCTGGAACAAATCCTGCTTCTCGTTGAGAAGCTCTGGATCCTCTGTGGGGAGTTTCTCGTACATGGTGAGGAAGAGGTAGTTAAAGATTGAGTGGGTTTGATAAGAGCCTTAAATAGGGCCGGTGCAGGACATTCTCCAGAAAAAGGCAATCTAAGTACAATCATTGGCCCACCAATGCAGGGACCACGAGAAAAAATAGACGTTTTTTTAGGGTTTGGGGGTCTGGGGTACCGCGTTTTGGGAATTTGTGGAATTTGCTTCCTCTTCTCTATGAATAGGTCGGTACGTGCTGAACGGAATTGCTGCGAAACAAAGCCTTCATGCTATCAATTGGTGAACATAGGCACGATACAAAATGGAATATTGGAATTCCATGAGATGTGGTTCGATTTTGGTTTCTTTTCGTTTTGAGGGGTTCGCCCGCTTAAACAAGCTTTTGAGGTTTCTGTGCCTTCTGAAACATGCAGACCAACTGGCCTTCTTCAAACACCACTAGTCAAATTCCACAGAAGGTGCCTCAACGGCATCCAACATGTACTCGGCCATGTAGATGTCCATTATCAGGAGACCGACGATTTTCGCAACGGTAATTCCAGATTCCGTTTGCGTAGTTCCTTCAACCTTACCAGACAAATAATCGTTCAAAGAAACAAGGTTCTCCTCCTTCGTATTGCTCTGCACCAATTCCCCTGCCTCGGCCAAAGCGTGGGCCTTGGAGTCCACAATAAGCTTGACCTTTCCTCTGAAGTTCTTCTCCACAAACTCCGGATCAAGCTCGACCATGTGCGGCTTGTACGAGCCTATGAGCGTTATGACCTTCTTGGTGTTGGTTTCCAAGTATTCCAGCTTGATAGTGGGCTCCGTGGATGGAACACAGCCCAAGATCACAGGCGCCTTTGCGATTCTGTCTCCCACGCTTTCGTCAGAGAAACCCAAGGCCTCGAGCTTCACGTCAGAATGCAATTGAAGCTCCTTGCAAAGCTTCTGGGCGCTTTCCTTTGTTCTACTGACCACGGTGACCAAGTCAGCTCCATACACCTTCAACACAAGGTAGGCATGCCAGAAGGCCTGGGGTCCAGTTCCAAACACCACGATGCTCTCGAACTTCTCCAGCCTGTCACCAAATTCTCTATGAACCACCGAAAAACTGGCCAAGGCCGTCCGAAACGCAGTGAGTGTTTTGGCATTCACCACGCCTTTCAATTGACCGCTCTGGGGTCCACCACGCCGGTGAATCCCTGAAACCCAAGTCCGTTTTTGGAATTGTAGGAGCCGCCACTCATCACCTTAGCCCCCACGCTATTGGGTGCAGCACACGGCATGAACAAGTGGGTGGTATCACAACCAGGGTAGTTGGAGGTGAGAACGGTTCTTGAGGGTACGACGTCGTGGTTAGCGGCATAGTCGGCTAGCGCTTTTTCCAAAACAGGAAGGTAGCCGTTTTCTGCCTGGCGCCTGTCCACGGCCAAAAGGTGTTTTTGTATGACTTTGTCTGAAAGAATCTTCATGGTGATGTTGACTGCGAAATTCCGGGGTAGATCAGGTGGTTGTGAGGTGGGGAATACTTTTGGTGAGTTTTGAGATTTTCGATTTTGGGATTATTTAGATGAATTGATGGTTATTCTTCGAGGACGACTTTTACAATATTGTACTATTGTTTGTGGTGGGGTTCTGTTGGGTAAGTGGTTTCGTATGGCTGCAAAATCTCGGAGCAGCACGGCTATTTACCGAATCGGACCACCACGGAATGGAGCCACCAATTGCCATTGACATTAATGAATGATCTCCTTATATGGAGAGATTTTCAAAAAGTTAAGGAAATGAGGAGTATGTTGTGTCGTTTGAAGTTTTCGGTGTGGTGGGTTTGCTGCCGAGTGATGTCCATGTAGTAAGTACTTCCTTTTCTATTATTGTGGACGTCTTGGAATTATTTATTTCTATAGTTATTTCAGTCCTTCCAGGGGAAATTGAGTTGCAGGGCCGTCTGGAAAAGTGCAACAATACCTGCAATCCACATCTATAGGATCCAGTCCCCATAGACCATGCCTCCTACAAGACCTTCTAACGGCCGACGTTTTTTTAATATTCCAAAGATGTTACACTTACTGCTATTTTTGAATTCAGCGCTTGTCCTCTAAATAGGACATGGATGTCTCAATTGTCCTTTGAACCTCACCAAGGCTCTAGTGATTTGAATGGACAAAGCATTTAAAAAGCATTTGGATTAAGGTCACAAATTCTGTTATTTTTGATCCAACCATTCCTCCTTCCCAGCCTATTCTCCTTCCACAACATCATTTCACCACCACCTCACCACCTACAACCCCAACTTCCATTATATTTATTTTTTTCTTACTTTTACACTTTTATACGGCCACTTCACTCCTCCGACATGCTCTCACGCCATTGACGCTCCCGCTCCTTGTGGGCCCTCCATCCGAAATACACCTGGTCAACAAACTTGCTGTATCTCTGAGCAGCCTGAAAACAGGGTCCCTGGCTGTGTCCCACATACCCATCTGGATACTCGTACCTTTTCTGAAATCCGCCCTGGTACTCGGGTGGATTCATGCACAAGGGGTATCCCAATTGCTGCTCGACATACTCCTGGTTGAACTTGCTTTCGTCGTGGTGAGTATAGGTAGGAAGGGCAAACAAGTTCTTGATGCACTGCTTTTGGTGTTCCAACTGCTCCTCAATGCTGAGGTGAGGATTAAGCTGACCGGGCTGGTAGGTGTAATTGGAGTTGCCCTGGTCGTTTTCGTCAAAAGGCTGCTGATGTGCTTCCTGGTAGGAAGGGTCCAGAAACGTCAGGTAGAAGGCGTTGTTCCACGGAGCCGGGCCATCCTGGTTTCTGGGGCTCAGAACAGTAAGGAAGCTGCTCTGGAAGGCAGGTGGAGCCTGGTTGGTTGGAGCCTGGTTGGGTGGAGCTTGGTTGGTGGGTTGAGTATCTGGAGAGACTTTGCGGTGCTTTGAAGAGCCGGGTTGTTCCTCGGGGTATGACCGCTTTTGTGGTTTGTGGTAGGAGGGCGAAGGCTCGTTGTAGTTTCCAGAATGGTGGCCCTGCTTTCCAGAATGACCCTGCTTTCCAGAATGACCCTGCTGCTGCACTTGCCCAGTAGGGTGTCCTGAAGCGTGATCCTGGTGCTTTCTGGAGGAATCATGGTGCTTTCTGGAAGTGCCTTCGTTTCCTCTGGAATAGTCCTGAGGCACTCTGGAGTAGTCTTGATGGCCTCTTGAATATTCCTGATGCACTCTGAAATCTCCATGCTCTCTAGAAGATTCACCAAAATTTGCAGAAACCTTGTGCTTCCGTGAAGACTCATGCTTCCGAGAAGACTCAGACGCTCTCGAAGACTCGTGGGTTCTGGAAGTCTTTGCATGCTTGGAGGATGAAGCCACTGAGCTAGATGGAGGTCTCTTTGCAGCAACCGGTCTTTCCGCGTGCTTCTCCAATTGCCTAGAGCTTCCTTCCGCGTACTCCCTCTTGTGCTTCGATTTTGGAGTTTCCTTTTGCATGTGGTCCTTCTTAACGACCTTGGATTCTGTATGAGGTCTCGAAGAACTGGAACCCACCGAACCATTCCCAAAGAGACTCTTGACTTCCACACTTTGAGGAGTCACATTCAAATAGCTATTCTGTGAAGCAGGCACATTGCAGTACTGGCTCTGTTGTGGCAGGTTTGGGTACTGGGTTTGTGGAGTCACATTTGAGTAGTGGTTCTGTGGTGGAGCCGTATTGGTGTACTGAGGAGCAGTCTTTGGCTTCTTCACAGGCTGACTCTGGTGCTTTGAAGAAGAGCTTTGACTCTTCTTTGGTCTCTTTTGCGGAACAGCTGGTGCATGTTGAACTGGAGCTGGCTCAGCTGGAGCCTTCTTTGGCTGCGAAACTTCAACAGGCTTACTTCCCAGAGAAGCATCTCCAGCAATGTCGGCCAATTGCTGCTCAGGATCAATTGGGAAATAATCGATGAACTCGTTCAAGTCCATGAACGGCGTGGACATCTGGTCATCGTACTTCAAGTGGTCTGTCGAATTCTCCAAGTTCAGAACTGAGGTTTCTGGCAAGAAGGAGTCTGTAAGGGTATGTTGGTTGGACGCATCTTCGAAGGCTAAATCCGGCCATCCCACGTATGGAAGAGTGTCTGGCTCCGTTGGAACCGAAGTGGCTGTAGAATATTGCCTCGACGTTTCAGTAAACTGCAGATTCTCTGGAGACGACGAGAGCTTTTCGGGGGTGATTGTCACGTTTGAGTTGTTGAATTGGAAATTAGAGCTCAATTGGGGGTTGAGTTAGCCTGAACGTTTTCATTGTACTCCTCGGCGTTGAACTGGGGCTCTGGCTGGGTTTCAGAATTGTACTGGTCCTCCTGGTCGTACTGAATCTCAACACTCTGATAACCCGAATTCGAAAACACATTCAATTCCACCACATCCTGGGGCTCTTGAATGTCCCCCATTGGCTCATCTATTTGCCGATCATTGGCCTCTTCACCGTCTGAATAGGCCAGTCTCACATAGTACTGGAGCTTCTCAAAATCCAAAACTGTCTGCTCTGATATTTCAGGCTCCGGGGTTTTCGGCGTGTTCGCTGGTCCAGTACATTCTGGGTACTCGTCAGTTCCGTTATTTTCAAACTCTGGCCTGGCTTCAATGTCGAAAACACGTTGTGGTCTGCCGTAGGTATAGTCAAAGTCTTTACCGTAGTAGCTGTTGTCGTTCATGATGGAAATTAGTTGAGAAGAAAGCATTGCGTTACGGGAAGGCCTCTATTTATGGTAAGTTTGGAGATGTGGCTAGCAAAATAATGTGGTACTTGCGTTAATGTGCGTTTGTGATATGTGACCAGAGAGGCCATGCTAAGGTATGAAAGTGAGGGTCTACTCCGTCAATATTGGGTCAATTTTGAAGCGGAAAATTGGACAAGGTTGGCAAAAAATAGAAGCTGGTTCAATTGTCAAATTGAGCCTTTGATGTCCTCCGTTGCTTCTTTGACATCCTCAGTTCGATTATGGAGTGTTGATACTCCACATTATTTTCTAGGAACACCTCGTAGACGAACAAAATACGGAAACTGCTAGCAGTTCTTGTAAAATATTACACCGCCAGCACAGCCTACGCCTCCTTCTTACTCTCATTTATTCGTGATTATTCGTATAGTTTCGTGAATGGTGGGGTCACGCCAACGCCATGGCCTCATCAACCTCCAACCCCGTGTGGGCCATCTCCGCCCGCTCCAGTGCTAGATTACCCATGATAGTGGCCAATTGCTTGTGGGATGCCCAATTGGGAAATTCTCTCTTGATCAAGCTCTCAACAGCGTGAATGAGGGAGTACCCATGTGCCCTGATGGCAACGCTGTCAGAGTCGCTGGCAGAAGCCACTCCTGCCAACTTGTAGCGTATTGAAATTTTCTTAAGCTCTCCAAGGAGCCTAGAGCGGCCTGTCTCGAGCTGCTTGGTGATGGTCGCCTGAGCAGGCTCGCTGACACATAACTGAATGAAGGTTCTCTGCAACGGGCTCAAGTCCTCGTGCACTTTAAGCGCTGTTTCAAGAATTGCCCTGTTATTGTGTGAGGATGACTCCCACATGGTGAGGGTCGACCGTAGGTTGTTGAGGGACTTGACGAAGTACGTCTCGTTTCTTTCTGGATGAAGCTGGTACTCAAAGTAGAACTTCCAGACGATACGCTCGTAGAACGCCAGCAAGAGACGGCTCTGTATTAGCGGCAAAAACAGGCTCTCAAACTGCTCCCTCAAGATCTTCACGATCATCAACGGCTTGTTCAAGTCGTGGTACTTCTTCATGAGGAGCACGTCAAACTCCACAAAGTTCTGCTGTGTCCAGCCGTTGCGGCAAAACAACGCTTTGTCCAAGTTGTCTATATTGAACGGTAGCCTGTGAAGCTGCTTCAAGTGTCTGTTGAGGAGGAATCTAGTAAGAAGAGCTAAGGAAAGCTTATTCTGTTGAAGAGACAAGCAGACCAATTCAACAAGCTCGTCTTCGCTTTGAAGCGCCGTAACGTGCTTGAGCAAGTTCTTCTCCAGCGCCTTCGATTTGGAGGGCATTTTGGCCGCCGCCGCCTGCAAGTCCATAAGCAAAAAGTTGACTTGCTGAGAGTGGTCGATGGAGCTGGGTATTGCCGGTTCGGGAAGAAGTTCACGGCGGATTTCAGCGTAGTTTTCGGTGACATCGCCTTTTTGGAGGTGACGGAAGATCAGCGGGCGATAAGCGGAGGCGGACTTGACGTTTTTCTTTGGCAGTAGAAGACCCAAGGCATTGGCCAAAAGTGCTGGGTCTTCTTTCTGGACGAGTCTGGACGAGAAAAGCGTCCGCACGATGTTTCGATTTAGCATGTGGGAAGTGGGTTTTTTAAAGAATGGTGAGAATTTTTGTGCTATTTGTGTCTATGTGGAGGTGGTGGGGAATATGCTGATTAGTGTGGTAGTTGATGATTGTAGATAATGCGCAGAGCCAATGGAGGTGCACCCGCATAAGCAGGCCATGAGGTCAGCCAGCGCAGTAAATGGACTTTTTGTAAAAAAAAAAAAAGAGAAGTAAGGCGTTTATTTATTTTGGAGTTTTCGAAAGTGGACCTTATAAATCATTTCTTAGTGGGTATAACTTTGTATGTCTCTTCCCGATGTCAATACCTGAAGGATTGAGCACCTACTATGGCAGTCATGAGTTGCAGTTGGGAAACAATTACCTTGGGTGAACATTAAATCCATTATCTATGAAGCAATCTTGAATAGGAAAAAGCTCATTCAGATAAAAATCACCAATTTTGAGGGAACCACATCAGGTGATAGATTCGTCATTTCCATGAACACAGAACTTCCTTACGGAATTAGAACCAACTCGACCTCTTGTCTGACTGTATTAATTTAACAATTTGCTCTTCATCCACCCCTCTCAATAATCCTATCCCTCGGCTTATTGTCTACAACTCCTTCTTCCAATAAATATGTGATATTCTGTAAATGCAATAACTACCACTCCTGGGTCTTGAGTCCGTACTTGGACTTCTTGGCGCCACGGACGGGGGTGATGCGCTTGGAGCCGCCCTCCAAGAATGAAAACTTGTCTCTTCTCTTCTCCTCGTACTTGCGGATGTACTCTTCCTTCTGCATGGTCAAGCCAATGTCGTCGAGACCGTTCACAAGACAGTGCTTTCTGAACTCCTCAATGTCGAAATGCTCCACCAAAACCTCGTCGGTCTCGGCGTTACGGATCTGCTGCTGGGGCAAGTCCACCGTGAGGTTCTTGCCGGCAACTGCAAGTGGATACAATTTCTCCGTGATCACCTCCTGAGGCAATCTGATGGGCAACAAGCCGTTCTTGCACGAGTTGTTGTAGAAAATGTCACCGAACGAAGGAGCAATCATACACTTGATGCCAAAGTCCTTGAGAGCCCAAGGAGCATGCTCACGGGAGGAACCACAGCCAAAGTTGTCACCAGTGACCAACAAGATCTCGGCTTTACGGTAAGGCTCCACGTTGAGGGCAAAGTCGGTTTCCACGTCCTTGCCCTGGGCGTCCTTGTTGAATCTCAACTCGTAGAAAAGACCTTTACTGAGGCCGGTTCTCTTGATGGTTTTGAGAAACTGCTTGGGGATGATGGCGTCCGTGTCGACGTTGGCCTTGTCCAAAGGCGCTGTGATACCGGAGAGAACGGTGAATTTGTCCATTCCTGCTGGAACTGGCTTCTTGGGGTCCACCGTGAGGGAGGCTTCTTGTTCCTGAGGAACATCGTTGATTCTGTCCTCCTCAAGAGACTCGGAAGATTCGAGAGGCTGCTTTTCGTGATCGTATACAGCGTCTTGCAAATCCTGGTCTTCAGGACCGGAGGAGTCGATTTGCATAGCTGGCTCGTCAGAAGTGTCGTATTCCCACTCACGGATATCCGTAAAGTGGCCCTTAATAGCAGCAGCGGCAGCCATGGCTGGAGACATCAAGTGGGTTCTAGACTTGGCACCTTGACGGCCCTCGAAGTTTCTGTTGGAAGTAGAAGCACATCTCTCTTCGGGATCAAGAATGTCTGGGTTCATGCCCAAACACATTGAACAACCAGCCTCTCTCCACGAGAAACCAGCAGCCTCGAAAATCTTATCAAGACCTTCCTTCTCGGCCTGGCTCTTCACAAGACCAGAGCCAGGCACCACAAGCACCAACTTGACGTTGTCAGCCTTCTTGTGGCCCTTGGCTACTCTAGCAGCGTTTCTCAAGTCCTCAATACGGGAGTTTGTGCACGAACCAATAAAGGCCTTGTCGATCTTGATCTCTTCAAGCGGCGTGTTGGGCGTGAGACCCTGGTAGGCAAGAGCACGCTCCATACCAGTCTTCTTGATAGGGTCCTCCACGTTGGCTGGGTCTGGAACCTTGGCAGTAATGGGCAAGGCGTCCTGAGGAGAGTTACCCCAGGTGATGGTGGGCACAATGTCGGCGGCGTTGATGTTGATGTCGTAGTCGAAATGGGCGCCTTCGTCGGAATGCAAGGTGCTCCAGTACTTGACAGCCTTGTCCCACTCGGCGCCCTTAGGAGCCAAAGGACGGCCCTTCAAGTAGTTGAAGGTGATTTCGTCAGGCTTGATCATACCGGCACGGGCTCCGGCCTCAATGGACATGTTACAGATGGACATACGGGCCTCCATGGAAAGAGCCTCAATGGCAGTGCCAGCAAACTCAATAACACAACCGGTACCACCAGCAGTACCAATGACACCAATGACATGCAAAACAAGATCCTTGGAGGTGATGCCCGGCAGCAAGTCGCCGTTGACGCTGATTCTCATGTTTTTCGACTTGGCCTGGATAATCGTCTGGGTCGCCAAAACGTGCTCCACCTCAGAGGTACCAATACCGAAAGCCAAGGCACCAAAGGCGCCGTGTGTGGAAGTGTGGGAGTCTCCGCAGACCATCGTCGTGCCGGGGAGCGTGAAGCCCTGCTCTGGGCCAATCACATGGACGATACCTTGACGGTCGTCGGTCATGCCAAAGTAGGTGACACCAAAGTCCTTGACGTTCTGTTCTAGGGTCATCACCTGGAGCTTGGAGTCCTCCTGTTCGACAAAAGTCTCGACATTCTTGAAGTTGGTACGGGGCACCGTGGGGATGTTGTGGTCCACGGTTGCCAAAGTGCAATCTGTTCTTCTGACTTTTCTGCTGGCGTTCTTGAGGCCTTCAAAAGCCTGGGGCGATGTCACCTCGTGGACGAGATGACGGTCGATGTAGAGAAGGTACGAGCCGCTTTCGTCCTTGTGGACAATGTGGTCCTCGAAAACCTTGTCGTAGAGGGTTTTGGGATTGGCAGAAATGGGCATTTTGCTTGTGGAGTAGTAGCGGAACCGGGGCATATATACTGATGACTTTTTCGCGGAGCGGGCCTGAACCGGGCCGGTACCGGCGGCGGCTCCAGCCAATCCCCGCGCGAGAATAAGTCATCCCGGTGACACCCCGGTGAGTCAGACAGAAGGGGAATGAAAGGAAGCAAAGTCAGAGATATTTTTGTTAATTGAAGTAGTTTAGATAAGGGAAAACAAAGCTTAAATTGTGGAGATTATCAAAAATCATCAACTTTGTAAATTCGGAGAACTTTGCATTTTGGCAGGTTTGTGCGGCATGACTCAATGGCTGCGAATGGCTGCGAAGTAGACCGTGCAGTGGATATTATTGTGGAGAGGCGAAGATCTAGATCTGACGGATTTTGGAGAATTTGAAAATGGCTTCTAAGAAACGATCTCGGCGGTATCGGTGATTCGGCGGTTTCGGAAAAGGCATTGTTTTTGGTTTTCTAGGGTTCATGGAAGTTGCAAATAGCAGTGAAGGTATGACTCAGCAGGCTTCAGTAGGTGAGTAGGAGTCGAAATTTGAGTTGAAAATGAGTTGAAAATTTCGTTTGGTCAAGATTATGAATTGTGACTTTTTTATATTAACTGCTGTTAAACGGTTATTCGAATGTATTTAGTTTCTTCTTAGAGTACACATTTTCCCTGCCATAACTTCACTACTTTCAAGGCGACAAAAGCAAGGCAAAGATCACCGGCTGCAAGCTCTTTGCATTCGCCAACTCCATGCAAACTAGATCCTGGATTAAGGTCTATAAAAAGGTACTGGACTGCGTTGAATATACAACCGAGGTAGCAGAGCACATATGTTCTGATCAACGTTTGAGCAAATCCAACAATTTTCTACGCATCATTCTACGTTACTTAATCCAAATGTGTTCTCCCGTTTTCCTAGAAAGACCTCCACATGCCAATCGAACATCATTTCCTTTATCTATCGGAGTACCGATACACCTCATCCTCGATGAAAAGATTTTGCAACCGTCTCATCCGAGGCATTCCCTAAACCAGCAAGCCACTAAACCAAACACTTTCAGTTCCAAAAAAACCGATTGAAGCCCTATCCAAAACACGACCTTTCTTCACCTCTACCCAGCGATCTGCGGTTTTGCAACCGTTTGACGCACGTTCCATAACCACCCCTCCATACGCCAAAAACGACTTTTCCACAGATTTGAAAAATTCTAAATCTCATGCATCTCTGCAATCACCTCTCCAGCCTCTCTAAGCGGTATGCCCTTAGAAAAACACCCTTCTGCCTGCCCGACATACTGAAGACCGTGAATGGACCGGGAGGTACAGGTGCATCATATATCAACCAGTCCAACACCACTAACACAGCATGATTCCAGCGGGCCAGAAACGAACTAAAATCCGGGCGCCTCGTAAAATCTCTGTTTTGGGAGGCGCCAACTCGCCCGATTCGCAGGTGGACTATGACTCCTCCTGGGGGCTTTTGGCCAACGCTATAGCTCAGATCCAACATAAGAACGTGCTGAACTTGCTGTACGAACAGCTCTACAGAAAAGCGTACACGCTTGTTTTGAAAAAATTCGGCGAAAGATTGTACAACGATGTTGCCGGCGCCATCGGCGTGCATTTGAGGGAAAGACAGCGTGAATTGGTCCAGATCAGCGAGTCGAGAACGTTCAAGATGACATGGAAAGAGGACTTTTTGAAAGCCGCCGTGACCGAATGGGCCGAGCATTTGCAGCTGATGAAGTTCATCAGTGACGTGTTGATGTACTTGAACCGAGTGTACGTGAAGGAAAGCAGGAAGCTCTTGGTTTACGATATGGGTGTGGTGCTTTTTGACATGAACGTGATTCGCCTTGATAATTTCTTTGTGGGCAACACGCTACTGGAAATTGTCATTGACGAGATCACCAAGGCCAGAAGGGGCCAGGTCATTGTCACCAGACTGTACCTTCAGCAGGTGCTAGCGATGTTTGAGATGCTCTTCCATGATGAGCCGAATGTGGCGAATTCCATTCCAGATGCGCCTGTTGGAGATTCGTTTTTCTCTGACTATTTCGAAAAATCCTTCTTGGAGCTGCTGCAGCAGTTCTACCTGACTTTGGCAGATGAGATCATGCTGCTGATGCTGGGATCAAGGTACTTGGCAGATACGCTCAAGTTCATCAACGACGAGGAGAAACGCATTTCCTTCCTTTTGCCCCAAAAGACCTCCGTGAAGGTCGTCCACATGATGAACAACATTCTCATCAAAGAGCGTCTCGACAAAATGGTGCTCTTACCTGCGGCCCAGCAGGGTTTGATGTACTGGTTGGACCCGGTGGTTTCCAGAGTGAAAGACAGCATAAGTCCCACGGGTGCTCTGCACCAGCAAAGTCTCACTGAGCTTCGAACTTTCTATGTTCTTGTGGATCGGGTTGACCCTGACAAGCGTTTGTTGAAGGTGCGGTTGAAGGAGGCCATTGTGAAAACGGGCCTCCAGTTCGTGGACTTCATCACCAAACACCTCGAACAGCAACAGCAGCAGCAACAGAATGGCGCTGCCCCTAAGAAGGTGTCGGTCAGCACAACTTCAGCTTCATTCGCCACGCTTTGGATCGATATGATTCTCGAGTTTAATGCTCAACTTTCCCAGGCCGTGAAGACGTCTTTCAGTAATGATGCTGAGGTCGCCCACACCATCTACGAAGCGTTCAGAGACTTCATCAATGCATCCAACCAACCTACAAGGAGACTGTCCATTGGTCCATCCACCAGCGCTCCGGAGTTGCTTTCCGTTTTCATGGACTCCCAAATCAAACAGCTCGTTAAACTGTCGGGATCAAAACGAGTGGCTCTGGACAACACCAGTGTGGACGAAACACAGGACTTCTTGCACAAGGCAATCTCTTTCCTCCGATTCATCAAGGACAAGGACGCCTTCGAGGCCCACTACGCCAACCACTTTGCCAAGCGGTTTCTCAACTCCAAGGGGTCCTCTTCCATCGTTCTGGGGGTGGATTTGCGTTACAACGGTGATATAGAGGAGCTTGTGATTGCCAAACTCGGGGAGGAATTGGGAAGCGCTACGATGGAGAAGATCGTCAAGATGAAGAAGGACGTCAAGCTGCTGGGCGACTTGACGATGGAGTGGAAGAACCACGTCAGTTCCCACAAGCTTTCAGCTATCGACCTCGAGCTCAAGGTGTGTCATGTTTCAGATTGGCCCAAGAGCATGACAAAGGATTACAAGAGCTTCGCCAATACCAACGGGCAAATTGGCTTCATTTGGCCCACCCATATCCGTGAGACGATCCGCAGCTTCGAGGAATACTGGCTTACAGGTAAGAAAAACGACAACAAGTCGCTCTACTGGTGTCCCAAGTTTGGTCTGATGGATCTTCGTATCACGTACCCTCTGCGGACGTACGACATCAACCTTCTGACGTACGCGGGCGTTGTTATGCTTTTATTCGGGCCTCAAACCAGCGACCCGGACGAGGCTCCGTTTGATAATAAAAGAGAGCTCACATACGAAGAGATCCGTGAGCTTACGAACATTCCCGAGGCCGATCTCAAGCGGCAGCTCCAGTCGATTGCCGTGGCGCCTCGGCTGCGTCTTTTGGTGAAATCGCCCATGTCTAAAGAAATCCAAAGTGGTGATCGATTCCTGCTAAATAGCAAGTTTAAGCTGCCCACTACAAAAGTCAAGGTTCTTACGGTGTCGCTGGGGCTGGCGAAGCTGGAGAAAAAGTCAGAAAAGGCAGAGGAGAGCCAGGAGGTGAAGGCCAATATCGAGGAAGGGCGCAAGCATTTGGTGAATGCTGCTGTGGTGAGAATCATGAAATCTCGCCAAACCACACTGCACAATGAGCTTGTGGCTGAGTTGGTGAAGCAGTTGCACGGCCGTTTCCAGCCGCTGACAGTGCTTATCAAGCAGCGTATAGAGGACCTCATCGAGAAGGAATACCTCAAACGAGACCCCGACCAAATGGGGGTGTACCACTACATAGCCTAGTGTGCATTAGGTTGCTGGTGGGCTTTTCGAGCCAAGAGGGATCGGATCGGACCTCCTACGCAGCACCCTGTTGTTGCCTTCTCGACACGAACTTAAGGAACAAGCTGCAGCACTTTGTCGAAAATCGGCACAGTCGCGTGGTTTCCGATCGATCCGGCCTGCTTGTCCTGTTTTTCTGTCAATGCACAGAAGCCTCGCACAATAAAGTTGATGTTTTTTTAATTGCAGCGCAAGCGTCGTGGTGGGGCATTTTGTGCGTTTACAGGGGCGTTTTTCGCGCCTGCTTGGGCCACTGTTTGTCTTTTTCTGGTGGGCTTGTTCGCGCTGGGCGTGTTGGCCATGCTCGGTGTGTGCAGGACGAAAAGCTCACCTTTGCTGGCTAGCATTTGGGAGGCCTAGGGGGGTCCCACAAGGTGAACGAAAAAAACCGAAAGGGCAAAAAAGGCGATTTGGGGCTGGACTTAAATATTGTTTAGCCTACCCGTGTCCTGCATCTACCGCCCTAGGGCGGGCCCTCGACCTTCTATTTTTAGCGCTTCTGGAGCGTTCGTCTGCTTCACCTGTGTGTGCGCGGGATCGGGCTGAAACATCCATCCATTCTGCCAATTTGGTTGCCCTGCTTCCAGACCTTTTTTGTTTTTAAAACACAAACAACACAAAGAAATCCTCCCTTGATCAGGATCCTAGGATATCGCCGTTCCCACTTTCGCTTCATCTACTTCACGGCTTTATTGCGCTTCATTTCATCCCGCTGGCTCCTACAGCAAGAATCCCTCTTGTTTGTTTAATCGAAAGCCCTCGTTCCGCTTGCTACCATAACCCCCTGGCTCCTATTTTTTTTTTTTTATCTGGCACTAAATAGGCCTTTATCCTTCGCTACCCAAGGCCAGGTCTCCAAGCCATGCACCATTCGAACGTATCCTCCAGCTCGCTAAACGACCACAACTTGTACGAAATCTCCATCGGCTCGAGCGCATTGAAGAAAACCCGCTCAGGCCCCGTCAAACGTGTTGGTCTGATGTCCTCGCTCCCGTCGCTTAGCGAGCTGAAAAGGCCAGGCGAATACTATATTCAAAAGATCTCGCTGTCTTCAGTCAACTTGGCTAAAACGCCGAAAAAGCCTGCCCTGGCGGGCTCAGACAATTACCGTCCTTACCCTGGTCCATACAGTGCCTCAGACACATCCAATGCCTCTACTCACTCTGATGATGCCTCCCTGGAAGGCTCGTCCCAGTTTGACTGTCCTGACTCGAGGTTGAGCTCCATGACGTCTAACTCGCTATGCTCTAACAGAGGCTCTCACGGGTCCAAATCGAGTGACAAGCCACCTTCGGTGGATCTTCATGAAGACGCCCTGGACGAGGCCCTGGACGAGTTGGGCCAGATGAACTCCTCCATTCTGACCATCACGCTACGCTCCGAAAGCCGTGCTGCCCTGTTCAGTGGTTCTCTGAAACCACTTCCTCAGTTTCCAAGGAGAGATTCTGCCTCAGACTTGTCACTGGCTCCTCGCCCAACTGCTCCCAAGTTGCGGGCCGCCTCGACTTCTAGCATCAACCCCACAAAGACTCAGCCTTCGCCTAAACCCAACCTTCATAGAGTCGGCACGCTGACGTCGAATTACATGTTGACCCGTTCGAAGACGAGGTACTACAATCCCAAAGAAACCAAAGAGCGCAAGCAGCTCCGCAAAAAGGCCTACGATGACAACGACGATGATGATGAGATCTTGCCCAACGACTTGGATTTGGTGTTCAACGTTCCAGTCATCAAGAACCATGCCGAGATTTACATGAGCCGTCGTGGCTCGTCTTCCTCCTCGCTCTCTCGGAAGGACCTTGTGAATTCCGATGACGATCGCTTCAACTCCCTTAGCAACGTTGCATCCATGAAACCTTGTCCACTTCCGGGCAGACTCAATCACCCCAACCTTTCTGTTGAGACCTCACTCCCAACTATGGATGAACGTGATGAAAACTCACCGGCCAAAGCAAATGACTCTCAAGTCTTTGACGAATCTGACGAGTTTGACACATCCTTCTCATTCAACAACGACAGTGAGATCAGTCAGAACATCTCGGACTTCTACAACCAGCGCTCCATGTCTTACTCCAAGATTATCAAGGAATCAAGAGAACTGCAGATGATTTACAAGCTTCCCAACTACGTCAAGTCCCAGTCTTCTGTGGACGACTTGTCGTTGTTCTCACCAGAGAAACTTGACGCAGTGGACCAGTCCAGACCAATTCACTTGCCTCCAAAAAGCAGTGGCGAGAAGCTGAGACACAGTAAAGAGTTCCATAAGTTCTTGAGCAACTATGAACTCAACACCAAGTTCCAGAATCAGTCAAGAAAGCGCCTGTGTGAATCATTCATCTTGAATCAACAAAGCTGGTTCAAGTTGATGGTCACCGTCAATGAGCCCAAGGAATTTGCCAAGAAGCTCACATACGATCGTGTCAACTTGCGCAAGTTGAATTGGGAATCGTTGGTTTCAGACAAGTTCCGCTTCGACTACTTCATGAAGGTTCTTGACACCAACCTCGGTGCTGACAATGCCGCTAAAATCAAGGAGTCCTATGTGAGTCTTGAAGCACGTTACGCTCAGCTCTCCGAGAAGATAATCACCAACAAAAACTTATTGTTTGACCGCATCATCAATGACGCATTGCAAAGACCTCTTTACAACACGTTTTTGGTAGAGGCAGCTGAATCCAGGGAATCGATCTTTGATGTCAATCAGTTCAAGCACAACTTCAGACACTTGCTCTACATGAAGTCTTTGTCGGAAGGTGGGCTCAAGAAACATCACGAAATTTTCTTTATACCCGTTTTCTTGATCTTGTTCCAATCTACCGAGTCCGTCGAGGATATTTTCGTCTTGATTGAGATGTTTGATAAAAGCATTCTCACCGATGACGTGATTGCCGATGTCAACAAATACTTTGGCAGGTTTTCCGACCTAGCACTGTTATCGAAATCAAGCACGCCCTACAAGATTCTCAGCAAGTTCCAATCTTTGCAAGAATTCGAGTATTTGAACTTCACCAGCTTCTTCGACATCATGATTCAATTGAACGATAGATTGCCATTGAGTTTGAGTGCCCCATCAACACCTATTATTGCACAGGGGGCTTTTGGTCCACTCAGCTCGGCAAAGCAGTCTGCCGAATTTTCGGAGCAGGACCGCAGTAGCGGACCTAACTCTGTGGAGAGTTTCAGTGAGCTTGATATGAAGTCCAGCTTTTCGCTGTCGTCGTCAATGAGTTTGATCGGCATTTTCTTGCAATTGCTCGTCATTTACTCAAACTCCTCTAAGAGCAAGAACAAAAACATCCTGAAGATGTTCCAAGGATTCCTCCTCACGATCTTCAAGTACTACCACATCAACTGGAACAGCTATGCGGAGCTTGTTCGCTCTAACAAGTCGATCAAGCTCAATAACAGCAGCGACCAAACTTCCAATTTGGAGTCCTTTGTCGACAAGTGGAAGGACATCTTCAACAAAATGTAACGACCTTTACGAACTACTTTCATTCTACACATTTGAATCACCAGCTTCATTTGCACGTTTATAATACACAATAGATCTTACATATCCATGTCCAAGTCGATAGCGTCCGGGTTCTCGTCAGCCATTTGCTTGATCTCTCCACCTTTTGTTTCTCCTTTGACAAATCCCATTGGGTTGACCTCACTTTTGTTTTGATCGGTTTCAGCGTGTTCTCTGATAAGCTGTCTTTTGAATCTGAGCATTTCTTTGAATGTTTCTTGAATTCCATGGTCCACTTCGAACCCTTCCCATTTTGACCAAACCTCAGCAAAGAGGTGAGACTCGGGATTTCCCAATTGAGCAAAATGCTTGAAGAGGGAACGGGATCTAACAACTTCCCTCTGAGCAATCTCAAAGTCAATAAAGCGAAGTCCAATATCGATGATTTGGGGCATGGAGAAATGAGGATCCTCTGCTGCCTTTTGAAATGCAGATCTCATGAGCTCATGATCTTTGAGTTTGGCTACTCTGGTCAAAAGACTCACCAGGTAGTCGTACTTGTCGTCAACAATTTTGTTGAGCTCCAGCTTCTCATATTTTGTGACCGGCGTTTCGATGGAGGAATGGAGATACGAAATAGCTCGTTCGAGGATTTTGATGATCTTCAAGGACAGTTCTGTCTTGCTTTCGAAGGCCAAGTACTTGTCGAATAGTTTTCTCACCAAATGCCCTGGAAGGGGCGTCAGGAAGCACTGATCGAAATGTTCTCTGATTCGCTCAGTGTTCAGTGACGATTCAAGAAGCTCACTCAAGTAGACAAGCCAAAGATCGAATTGAGCGTGAGGAGCCTGGAAATCCTCAAGAGCTTGTTCGTAAAGCATCATGGCACGGTCTCTTGAAACTCTTTCCTTCAAAAAGGCAGCATAGTCGAATATGAGTCCCAAGGTGATCACCTCTAAATCCACCATTTTTTGGTAAGCCACTTGTAGCTTGTTCCAGACAAACTCGGGCTTCTCTTCGTCCAAAAGCGCTTTGAGCAAATCAATGTAGAATTTCCACAACTCGGTGCACTTGAACAAACGGGTTTTGATCGGCACTTTGGCATGCTGGACCTTTATTTCCTTGTGGTTAGAAGGAATGTGATTGTAAAGAATATCTTCGATATGCTCCAAAGCAGCGTCATCAGACATTTGTAGAAGTGCCTCAGTCCATGAAATATGAACAGACGCCAAGTCCTTCACCTCTTTGAATTGCGTGTTTGCAGCCTTTGAGTAGATCAACACGGCTGTATGAACGTCTCCCAGATCTAGATAGATCCTAGCGTATTCATCCCAAATTTCAACCAAGTTTCTCAGACCGGTGGCTTGAAGCGGATTGATATTCATGATAGCGTCAACGAGTGTTTTGATCCGTCCGGCGTTATCGTTGCCGAAAATAGATGACCGTTCTAGCCACACATCAACGCTATTTGGGTTGGCCCTGAGCCTAACGTCGTTGATGAAGAAAGGTCTCTTTTCAAGAAAGCGATCGAGAATGTCGAGCCGATTTGCAAGGTCCGAATCATCCAAACTTTCCAAAATGGAGTCTTCAAAATCGAGGTAAGCGTTGAAGGCTGAGACAGCGTCTTTCACACTGGTGGCCACGGAAAGCGCCTGGTTATAGTAATGTCTTGCGAGGGGTATTTCTCGATCCTCGTAGTACCTGGCCTTAAGGAGAAGTGTCAGGCTTTTTTGAGATGGCAGACGTAGAATATAGTCATCCACTAGGAAATCAAAGAGCTGTGGCCCCAAATCTAGTATATGGTCACTTTGAAGGGTATATTCCGCAAGAGCTTTCGAGGACTCAGGGTCCACCTTCTTGAGCCATATGTTCGACCAGATTCGTCGTATTATGTCACCATTCTGGCTTTTTAGCGCAGCATCAACAACCTTGTATGCATTGGGGTATTAGGAATCCCCAAGTCCTTGGCGTATATAGCCTGGGTGTATATTAGAGAGATCGCTGTGTCAGACTCACCAGACCAGGATGCCCCAGCGTATTCGATGTAGATTCTCCATATATCACCGTGGTACGATTCAGGAAGGTTGAACAACGCCTCTTCGAACTTTGTCTTCACAAGTTGGCACCGCTGATCTAGAAGTAGCTGTAAGTACTTGGTCCATATGCTGGGACTGGTATTGAGTACCTTGAGTGCCTTTTCATATGCTGCTTTGAGTTTTGTCTTATTGCCGAAAACCGCCTCGAAGTAAGCGTTCCAGAGAAGCGTGGATGCTGGAAGTGTAGCTGTGGCTCTATCTAGAATACCAGCTCTGTGGTGCTTGTCTGATGTACCTTCAGCATACTCCAACCAATGCAGCTCATTGTAGGGATCTTTTGCGATTTGCTGCTCGTACAGTAGATCCTCTTCCTGAAGGATCCACGGCATGGAATTCTGTATAATGGAGGAGTTTCCTGAGAAATATAAAGTGTTGATGGAGGTACTCTCTAATGCATCTACTCATCGTGATATGCACACCAACGACTTTTTCTACTTTGGCGGTACATTGCTGGTGATAGTGTTGTGCCGATGAATTGAGTAGATTTTTGATTACAATTGATTGTTTATTTCACATTTGTTCTTTGGTTTTGCAGAATCACGATGGAAGTCTACATGATCCCTGCATCACCGCACTATCATAAGCATGAACCAGCTTCGTCTACCCTGTAGTTGCAATATTAATGTTGGATTTGATTTTTATTGTAAACCTCCTTTTTTGGATCCATTTTAATTTGAATAATCTCTTAGGTAGCTCAATGACAGAAATTCGTTGCTTGGTGCTTTCTTCTTTTTAGGGAAGGAACATCAAGGATTCAAAATTGCCGTTACAGGGATCTGGAAATAAATGATTGAATTTCGGCAAGTACATGATTGAATTTCGGCAAATACATGATTGAATTTCGGCAAATACATGAAAAACGATGCCTTTGAATCGTCGCTTGCGTTTCGAGAACTCAAGAGTAAATACTACATCTATCACGCTCGATCAATTCTTGAAATTAATCGCAATTCCTATTACTCCATCGCGTCAACGAGAGTCAAGATTATATTCGACCAAATCGTTAAATGGAGGAAGGTGGTCGAGAGTCAATATTATATTCGACCAAATCGTTAAATGGAGGAAGGTGGTCGAGAGTCTGAAGAGTTTCATGAAGCTCGATTACATCAATGTTGCTCAAACCATGAAAGGACAGAGCACGCACTCTAGCCCTTAACTAGGAATCTTGATACAAATGCTCAAACTGACCATTACTTCGGTATGGATACAAGTACAGTGGAAAAGAATTTTTCCTCTCGATTTTGGAAACGGCCTAGAAAGAATTGCCTTTTGAACTGACGTCCAAATCATGACCCCGACTATTGCCTACTTTAGACCACGGCAACCTATTATTAAAAAATAAATTCAAGATCACTTCAGCGAGCCATTTATAAGCCTAGAATCCCTGAAATATCCTAAATAAACCCCGCTTGCTCAAAACCACCGAAAATGCCATCGTTGTTTTTCATCGAAAAAGGCCCAGTTCCAAAAGCTCTTTCTGATGCAGTGGCCTACGAGCTCGAAAATGATCCAGCTAACTACTTCTCACACGAGACTCACAATTGCAAAGTCTACTCGCAAGTCTGGACAGTCAGTACTCTAGAGCTCGGCAAAATGAACAGCCCAAGGTATATCTGCACTGAAGAAAAGATAGAGAATGCTAAGGGTTTGGGATATCCCGTCAATGTAAAAGACAAGACCGCAAGGGTCATCTACGTCTTCACCACCTTCAGACAGCTTGACTTCAACCCGTATCGAATGGACAGATTCTGGGACGATAACACCAAAATCGGAGTCCGGTGTCTTCAGGTTGGAACTGTCAAAGTGCCGCTTGAGCCTTGTGCCAGCGTTAGACGCCGAAATATCGACGAAAACGCAGAATGTCCAAGTTCCCGAATCAACCTTGAAGTCAGAGCTCATTATGTCCCACCCATGCTCGACGAAGTGATGGATGTCTCTTGTAATCTTGTACGGGAGCGTTCGAAATTGCAGCTGTTTCTTTACCTTGAATTCAGAAAAGTCGGTGCCTATTTGTGTCCCTGTCGAGAAAGTATAATATTTGATGGGTATAAAATTACTCTTGAGGAGCATCGACGAATAATATCCAGACTGGGCGAAAAGTGCAAAGTCGTGGAGGAAGTCCGAAGCTTGATTTTGAAAGAGTCCCCTCTCAAATTCCACCTTGACGTTGACAATTTTCGTGGGGATCCTTCCACCTTCATAGGGTACGAAGTGTTGTACAACTGCTTTCTTCCCACACTTGGTCCATCCTACTACTCTGCCGAAGGAAGCAGAACTTACGCTATCAGGCATGATTTTGAGGTACAATGTGGGAATACCGAAAAGCCCTGTTCCACGCTTTTGTCCGCCACCTTGCCTATACATGTTGGTGTAGAAGAAGAGCCGGCTTTTATGGCAAGACCCAGAGATTCAAAGGAGCAAGACTACTTCCATCTTGAGTACTTTGCCGCCGCTCCTCTGCTTGTCGAAGACGTACTCGAGAGAATCAACACGAAATGCTCAGAACTCACCGTTGAATACATTGGTCACCATGTGAGTGTTGTGAACCGAGGCGATAAGGCGGTTGCGGTGTTTACTATTGCTCTCTCGTACCCATTGCCCGAAATAAAACAGTCTTTAGCAGGTACAGAAAGCGGCGACGATTTGGCGTTGGTTGCAACTCAAGATGGTTGGGTATTGAAGGAAACAGTGGAACCTCAGCCCATTCAAATCGAATTTGCATTTTCAAAGCATTTGAAAGTGCTGGACGGCGCCCATTTACACACAATCAAAGCCCGTGACGACCCGTTGTGTAACCGTTACAGGGTCAATCCGTACTACGGTGGTAGCGCATTTGTCAAACCGGGTATGAGCTTGGACAATTATTTGAGTTTCGAGATTTACGATACTACGAAAAAGGAAGTGTTTTATCATTGTACTGCTTCACATTTATGCATTCTCGAAAAAACAGTTTTCATCACACCACGGGGCTGTGTGAAAAAGATCAATGCACATAGGTTGTGGCCGCTCAAGAGCTGGAGACCCGTTCTCACTATGGTCGATGGAAGAAAGGTTGGATTCTATGCGAACATTTTTGAAGGCTTCGAAGTTCCTGACCTTTTACCGTCAGTTCGCTCCTCCACGTTCCATAGAAGCTATGAAGTTTACGTATCTTTCGGAGTTTTTGAAATGTACTGGTTGTCGGCAGCCGAAAACATCTTGCAAAAATGGGTGGATATGTATGTTTGTGAGAAGAACGGGGTTCACTTTGCAGAGAGACTGCCTGGTGAAGAAAGACTGACCAATGAAAAGAATTTATAGAGAAAAACTCGTTTGAGGAGATAGATAAACGAGAATCGAAACTTTTTTTTTTTTTTTTTTCAATCTACAACTGTAAGCTTTTCCTTCAGTAGCACGGCTGCAACTTGCATATAAACCCGTACACCTGATCTTCCTTCCTCTGCAAGCCTTGAAGAATCTTTCAGCTCACGAAATGACATTGTATTTCTGCTAGTATTCCAAGGTCCACACTCCAGAAAAATCAGCTTCTATTGTTCCACCATGTGGCTGCACTCTCACGGATCTGGGTTAAATGGATCTTGTGTGGCTTGTATGCAGTACACATAGATCCTTAACCTCCTATCGTCCAGTATACCGACGGCTAAACGTCCAAAAAAAGTTTCCCATCTCTCCAACACAAAAAGTGCTCGTAACGCCTGGCAGTGGCAGTATTTCCTTGAAACCCGTACACCACAAGTATGGTGACCAAAGTTAGGGGCAGTGAGAGCCGTACGGCACGCCTCGAGATCGCCCCAAACCCGTACACCAGTGGTATAGACATCACCTTCTTACGTAGAGAAAGCAAATCCGGTTCAATTTCAAATTCCGTGTTTTCATCAGCAAAAATATGTTGCTGTGTGCGGTCCAGGCTGCAAGTGGAGTATCGGAATCCCCCATATGTCCTGCACACAGAACACCTCACTATTGTGGTCGCTACCTAGATTCAGCGCTAAGGAACAACCTGACCGAATACGCCATACCCTCCGGTGCCCCAAGAGCACGTCTGCCTACGCCCAACACAGAGGATATATAAAACCGTTGAAATAAAGCGAAAAGTGTATCCGAAAGTCATCCCGTCATGGTGTCGATCTTCCACACCCCTAAGGCAGAATCCTTTCAAGATGAAGACGACCTGATCTGGAAACCGCCTGCTTTTATAGAGGAAGAGGGTCTTCAAGGGCCCTCCAGCGGGACAGGCTCGTCGAACGTCAGTACTTTAAACGGAAGCAGCACACCGGGAAAGAAAAGCCGGAGACCGAGATCCATTCTGGTTTCCAGGCTATTGTTCAAGGATCATTCAGAAACCACCGAAGGGGAGTCGCTGTTTGAGGATCGTCGGTCTGGAACACCAGGAGGCATGGGCAAGCTCCGGAGCTTGTTCAAATTCGGCCTGCCCGGGCCGTCTGAAGAAGAAGCGGAAGATCCAGTAAAGACCGACAAGGAGGAGCATACTGAGGCGTCTCCGGAAAAGCCCAAATCAAAAGAGGACTCCAACGCGTTCTGGAAGTTCAGCTTGGGCCGCAAACGGTCTGTTTCAGCCGCACAGCCACACACGTTGCAGAGCTCACCAAGAAGCGATAACCAGGAGCAAGAGAGCCCCATGGTGCTGAACAGCTTGTACTTTGCCCACCAGGGCCATCCACCTCACATGACTAACCAGAATGGAGAAGCCGGGCTCTCGACACAAAACAACCTTGCGGTTTCTTTGAGACACAACGATTCCGTGTTCTCCGTGAACAAGTCTCATCTGCATCTGAGCCAGACCCTGGCGTCCCACGAGACGGAAAAGGAGCTACTGGAAATCAAGGAAGTTGCACTGACAACAGCTCCGGATGAAAAAGTCCCTGCTCTTCAAGAAAGCCCATTGGGAGCTCCTCCATCTGGACCAGGTTTCACTCAACGGACGCTCCGAAGAGTGGCCTCAGCGCCATTGGTTCACAGACTCTTAAACGACAACAAACTGCCGGTTCTCGAGCCGAAGAAAGAGTTCGATGTGAAGGACCATATTGGCGAGCTTTCTGCAGTGAAGAGCAGGCCAAGAACTTATACCCAAGGCCGCATGTACTCCCACCTGGCAACTCGTATAATGACGGCCCAGGTTAGCCCCGAGTGCTTTGAAAAAGTCAAGCTCTTAGGTAAAGGCGATGTGGGCAAAGTTTACTTGGTTAAGGAGAAAGCTTCTCTGCGTCTATACGCCATGAAGGTGCTTAACAAAAAGGAGATGATCCAAAGAAACAAAATCAAAAGAGCATTGGCCGAGCAGGAGATCTTGGCCACTAGCAACCACCCGTTTGTCGTAACATTATACCATTCGTTTCAATCGGAAGAGTCGTTATATTTGTGCATGGAGTATTGCATGGGTGGAGAGTTCTTCCGTGCTTTGCAAACCAGAGAAACAAAAACGATTGGCGAGGACGATGCTAGGTTCTACGCCGCCGAGGTCACAGCAGCCTTGGAATACTTGCATTTGATGGGTTTTATTTATAGAGATTTGAAACCCGAAAACATCTTGCTCCACCAGCTGGGGCACATCATGCTCAGTGATTTCGATTTGTCCAAGCAGTCTGCTAAAACTAAGGGACCAGAAATCCAGTTTGCAAAGTCTCATAACCACAGCAACCCCACCATTGACACTAAAGCATGCATTGACGGGTTCCGGACGAACTCGTTTGTTGGTACAGAGGAGTACATCGCTCCAGAAGTGATTCGTGGAAAGGGCCACACGAGTGCAGTGGATTGGTGGACGCTTGGTATTTTCATTTACGAGATGCTTTATGGAACGACGCCCTTCAAGGGCAGAGACAGGAAAGCCACCTTCAGCAATGTGTTGAAGAAAGACGTTAAGTTCCATGACACGCAGCCCGTGTCGGGAAATTGCAAAAACATGATCAAGAAGCTTTTGATCAAGGATGAAACGAAGCGTCTCGGCTCGAAACTGGGCGCCTCGGACATAAAGTACCATTCTTTTTTCAAGAACACTCAGTGGGCGTTGTTGAGGCATCAGCAGCCGCCCATGATCCCCGTTCTCACCAAGAACAAGAAGGGGACAGCAAAAAACAGGAGGTGTTTTCGCTGGACGATCCCAGCGGGTCGTCGTCGCAATCCAAGCCTACTAGCCTGGACCCTGCCAATGACCCATTTGCGCTGTTCAGCTCAGTAACCCTCCATTATAACGAGACAGACGATTACGACCTGGCGTTCATGTTGGGCACCGAGAGCTCGGTGAACACCTCTGTGGCCTATACCATGAACAGCCGGCCTGGTGCCAGCTCCAGGCGACAAAAAGGATTTCTTCGCCGGTGATGCTACATGATGCATATACCATAACATGTTACCTATATACCCTGGGCCCCAATTCTCTAGCAGCTGATCAACTCGATGATGCTCAAGTGGACCGGTTCACACTGCTCGGCGACGTTTTGGTCGTACAAGTTGTAGAAGTCGCCGGACTTACACTGGAAGAATTCGGTACCTTCACCCAAGGCCAAAAGACCATCTTGCGTGATAGACCAGCCAGCAGCGTAGATGGAGCCAGCCTGAGGTGGAGGACCATCAAACTGGAATTGTCTGTTGGAGACAATGGCACCAACTCTACCCAGGCCGTCTCTCAAGATGGACTTTTCCAAAGTCATGGCCAAGTTGTCGTTGCCAATGCAGGCCTGCTGGATACCTGAAGATGGAGCCTCTGTGGCAGCAGCAGCAGCAGCGACATTTTCACTAGTTTGGTGTTGAATTTGACCATCGCCAATTTGGTTGATGACAGAGGCCGTTTGATGCTGAATTTGGCCATCGCCAATTTGGTTAACGACTGAAGCCGTCTGATGCTGAATTTGACCGTCACCGATTTGGTTCACAACGGAAGCCGTTTGATGCTGAATTTGGCCATCGCCAATTTGGTTGATAACCGAGGCAGTCACGGTAGGAGCTGGAGGAGCAGTCTGATGCTGGATCTGACCGTCTCCGATTTGGTTAATCACCGAAGCGGTTTGATGCTGAATTTGACCGTCTCCAATCTGATTTATCACCGAGGCCGTGGTGGTCGCCGGCACTGACTGGTGCTGGATTTGACCATCTCCAATCTGGTTCACCTCTTCCCTTTTGGCAGCCACAGTCTCAGCAGCCTTGTCAGAAAGTGTCACAATCTGGATACCAAACTTGGCAGAGTAGTCGGTGGTTCCACTGGGGAAGATGCCTTCAGGCTTCAAGTCGGTCCATGGGTCCGAGGGCACATAGGCCGCAAGAGCAGGTGTCAAAAGCGCCAAGACAGTTATAGAGAATTGCATTGTTGATGAGGAAAGCCAAGACCCGAACAAGGCCTTGTCTTTATATACTGCAGCAGATCAGCCAGATCAAGACCGGCCGGATCGGGAAACATGACGGTGGTGCTGGCGATGGAGCTGTTTCTGGCGTTTGCTGGATGAACAGTCCGAGCAGCGTAAGCGAGGCGGTAATAATGGCTGCGAAAAATCGCTTAATTCTGGCTGGGGGGAGGCTGGTTATACCTCGCGGACTGCACACAGCGCCCCCTACGTCACTGCTGTCAAAGTGTCATTGGAATAATAGCTGTCAATGCGAGCCAGCCCGGATCAAGGGTTGACGTGGTGGGTGGAATTGCTTGAAAAAAGAAAAAAAAAAAAAGTTGTTCTGTGTTCTGATTGGCTGGAGTTCGTTGGCTGGACTCTCGGAGTTCCGTGAGGAGAGGTGAGGGATGTAGCGAGCAATTATGACGGGACAATAGCAGAGTTTGTGGAGCAGTGGCTTAACGCCGGTCGAGGAGGGAAATATGCTGGAAAGTCTAGAGAAATGCAAGATAGGTCTCAGGGGTCGTGTAGTTGAAGAATTGGAAATCGAGCCGGTGGTGAGGGGGTCGGAAATCTGGTGATCTTTGGACGGGCCTTGGAGGTAGAGATTGGTGTGGATTTTGTGAAGCTGAGAAAGGCAGCGAGAGCCGTTTCAGAATGCCACTGTGTGTTTCAGATTGTGGTCTCGCCCGGTCGGCTCGGTGTCGGTTTCCATGGAGGGCTGTTTCAGGCCGGCTGTTTCAGACGGGCTGTTTCACGTTGATATTATCTCGGGTTTAGGCCTAGGCCCGGTGATAAAATAAATCCACCGTCGAGGCGAAGGAGTGGAGCTCTCGGCGTTTGGCTCCTGATCGTCGGTGTTGATTTTCTTAAATAGCGGCTCGGTGCTGGTGATTTTGCAAGCAGAATCCTGAACTTTAGGCCTCGTGTTTGTAAGGACTTTTGACGGTTCATGTTGAAAAGCGGATGATGTTTCTAATATCGTCTTGATGGGCATTGGAGCATGGCGTGTTGGTGGAAATCCATCGATGGTGGAAGAGTGCCCATCTTGGCCAATTTCACCTGACCAGTGCATCCACGACGGCGACGAAACTTCCACCAACTCCATTTAAAAAATCATATTTTTTTAGCCACAAGGGGAATCCCGATTCCATAAAAAAAGCCCAGCATTCAATCCCCAGGACCTAAAACCTCCACCCAAGAAGAACCCCTAAACAAAAAACCGCCTTGTCCACAGCCCCATTCCCAGCCGCCGCCGCTCAGTGTGCTTTGTAAACGCCCGTTGTATTTTTCAGTAATCCCGCCTGAACATTCTCGGCAGCGGCAAGTGCCGATTTTTCACAATTTCCAAAATCCCCAACCCACATGGACGCCAACCGACTGCCCAAAACCAACTGTGGAGCTCCACCCCTCACAGCATTTAAGCTTCCCGCTAGAGCACGGCATAATGCCCAGCGAAGAGCCCAGAGCGGAAACGCTGATCAGAGCCATTGAGGTCGATCACTGGCAAATCCAGCGCACAATGGCAGCAGGGAAGAAAACAGAGGCTGACAAGCGCAAGCTTACGAGGCGCTGTTTTGATTTGGCGGGACGGGGAATTTGGACAATCCGGCGGTTGGGCGTTTACTAGCCGGTGACTGGAGGCGGCTAGTGGAGGCTAGCGGAGGCTAGTGGAGGCTTGGTTTTCGGTTGGAATGGCACGGCGGCAAACATTCAGGCTGAATTCCGTTCTGGTGGCTTTGTGGTTTAGCGCTGTGGTTTTGAAGCTGTGTGGAATTTGTCTAATTGAAACTGTCTGTTTGAAACTGTCTGCCTCGGGAGGTTGGACGATGCAGAATCGTCAGGGGAAACCACGCAAATCAAGGCAGGCCAAAGAGCCCAACAAAGCATGCACCTGCTGGACCGCTTTCTTGCTTTCTTGCTTTGTCACGGAAATCAGCCGTAACAGAGCGGTCTGATCGGCAGACAAGGTTCTTCACATGAGGCTGCATCGGTGATATTCCAGGACGCCATGCTGGGGCCGGGGAGCTCGCCGGCTTCTAGAAGCCCTGGTAGACGAGATTTGCATCTGAGGGGGCATCGAAGGAATGAAGTACGGTGAAGCAGACGTTTTGGAGATTGACCTTTGTGGAGACTGTTTTGTGGAGAGCCTTTTGAGGAGAACCATTTGGGGAGAACCAATTGGGGAGAACCATGTGTGGATATTTCTTTTGATGCAAGGAATGACCAGAAGGGCCTGGGCGTTTGAGGCTTTCAGGACGCTGATACGGAGACTCCGTGGAATCTAAAACTCCACAGGGATACTCGTAATTTAAGCGGTTCTGCAGAACGCAGGTGGCTGGGCTGACGCCGGGGCAATGCCGGAGGTGTGGATTTGCTGAAGCAGGTTTATGCTTCTCCAGACTCCCCGAGGCCGTTTTGGAGGCTTGATGACTGCGTTGTGTTGGTGCAACGGTTGCCGAAACAGAGGGTTTCCAATGTCGGGCGACATTGGGCAGCTGGGTTTGGGGTTTCTGGAAACGACGAATTTTTTGCAAGCCATTTGACGGACTTTTGGCCGAAACTGGTGTGGCTCTGGCGATGGATGCAGCGGCAGGTGTTTCATGTGGTTTCACAATACGGCGACAAAGGAGCCACCAGCGCCTCGCCTTTTCTAGACTGCTCTAACAGGCCGGAAAGGCAAAGTCAGCAAATTTTACCGAGCCCCAAAAAAAGGTCATCTTTTGTGAAATTTCAGTTGCTGTTCTAGTGCCATGGCTAAAACACGATCAAGGGGCGATGTTTCGATTCAAAAAAGGGCCCCCGGAGGGTGAAACACGCCCAACAACACTTCCCAGACACGGTGGGAAATTCTATTTTATAGAGTCAATAGCGGTTTCAGGTGCCCCGGCTTGAAACCAGGTTTTTCCAAAACGAAGAGGCGGTGTTGGAGCGGTATCACCACTTCCAGGCGCTCAGCAAAACTACAATTCGTGATTTCCACCAAAATCACTAACATTTCAACCTCATCCACCGATTAGCGTGGATCGGTGATCGGCGGCTTAATACCTTAGCGACGATGATTTGCCGTGGATTAAGTATCTACAGTGGTGAAGGCAGACTAAAAGAGGTGGCTAAGTCCGAGCAAGTCCGAGCAAAAAAAAAAAAAAAACATCAACGACATTTCCCGTGAAGAAACCCACGCCGAGATTGCAGCACCAGCATAAGTAGCTAAAAAATAAAAATGGCGGGCCGACCCAGGGGAGACTTTGTCGCTCAGGTGGGTTTGAATCGTATGCCTTTATTGCAGCGTTGCACACATGTCGCCTCGAGGCCTGCGTTTGGCGACATTAATTATTTTACATTGCAAAAGCGGCGTTAGTCCCGCAGTAAGCCCGCCCTTTCAAAGCCCATGTATGGAAAAACGGCTTCTGGAAGTGGCACTTTAACGAAACCGACCGGGCGTCTTTAATAAAGGCATGTGGAGAGGAAGAACGGGGAGAAAAAATGGGGAAAAAAGAAAGGTATGTTAAGACTCCTTGTGGACAGCCACAAAAGGCGAAATTTTGGCAAACCCTACGGATGCACCGCTTCCCAGTGATTGGTCGAGAGGTAATTTGGTAAAAAAAAATACGGACTTCATAAATCTGGGGAGTCACACTCGTCCCGCTTTCTAAATCCGTACATCTAGATTTTTTCATCTAGCCCCTGAACGGGCTACAGCTTACATTAGGCAAGGCATTGTGGAGTTCCTTCTTTTTGTTGAAAAAAGCGCCCACAGTATTGCCCGCGAATTTGCACCCAATAGTTGAGGTGCGGCTATCTCGTGATGTAGATGTCGTAGAGAATTTTTAAAAACACCGTTGTGATCAGAATTTGCCGTTGATTATAGTAAACTACTTTTCTCGTTGAACTTTTTGGGGTGGCGCCGGCGGGACCGGAGATCCTCGGGAGCGCGGGACCCTGGGCGGTAGAGCCGCATGGTCTTCGACGTCAGGCTCCGGTTCGCCACGCCATTTGTGACGGGTTCGAACGGTCACGGGGATCATGTCGAAAATCCGAAACATCATTGGAAGTTGGTTTTTTTTTTAAAAAAATCAGTACTACCCTAAAAACCATCATTCTAGAAGCTCCCGCTTCCTCGGCTCACGCTGGGTGTAGGTCTGTGTGTGAGGCGTGGGGTGCTAAATAATATTTCGGTGGTTTGTTATGCCTGCGTGAATAAGGTGACGCGGTTGTGAGCGCGCGGCCCACCACTGCAGGCTGCGACAGGAGCGTTCCACCGTTATTATTTTGACGTGCTGCACGCCTGTGGTCTGAGGAGCGTCCAGCTGCGCAGCTGAAACGCAGACACGGGTGGTTCCCGGTCATCCGCGGGGGCTCACTATGGCCATGCTGCCGGCTTCCAGGCACTATGGGACCTGCGTACAACCCTTGCCGATCGTTCTCGTGCCTCCAGTATGCGATGCACGCTGCGTGCTGCAGACGCAGACGCAGGTAGGTTGCGAGTGTGTATGCACTACCTGCCTAATGCCTGTCTCTCACAATTTTTTTTTTTTATTTTTCGCCTGCTCGTTTTCGCTTTCCCAGCCCACGAAAAACACTCAACCCTTTTCTCAAGCCTCACCCCCGGGACACCAGCAGAATTATCCCTCGCCCAGCGGCGCCCGACGCACGCTGCATGCGGCTGCAACGCACCTCGCACATCAACTCCCACCGACTCGTGCCCCTCATGCGTCTGCAACCACCAAAACCCCAACTATATATATACATGCCCTCACCCCCGGCCTAGCAGAAATTCAACGTACCCTTTATTTAAACACCCCCTTTCTTCCTTCCTAATTCACGTCTCCCCAAATAAAGGCCACCTGGGCATGCCTCATCACTGATTGTCACCCCGTCCAAAATTCCTCCAACCTTCCTACCCAGTCTTCCCCCCACACACAAGATTCCACTATACTGCTCCCGCAAACATATGCCCATGGACACGGCCAGGCCCAGCCCCAGGCGACTGGAGAAGGTTTCCAAAACAACTCATATATGGAACCACTCCTCGACGAAATGCCCTATCCCAGTCGCCTGGGGCATGACCGCCCGGCCGTCTACCAAAACTACCGTAATCCGGAATCCTCCTCCCACACCTTGAATCCCACTTTGAACAGCCAGGTGGCGGATCTGGGGCCTTCTCAGTTGCATCCGGGCAATTTGCCCCACATGGCGCCCGGTGTGCTCCACAATCCGCCGCCAGGCAGCCTTGAAGGCTCGCTGACGCCGACGCTGGCGTCCAACTTGCCCAACAACACAAATAACATGCCCAATGCCTTGGGCCAATCCAGCATGGGTGCTGCCGAAATGGCCCCCAACAACAATAACAACAACAATAACAGTAACGCCCTTGCACTGGCGGCCAATTCCACTTCCCAAAACAACAATAGTACGCCGTCCAACCCGCCCGCGTCGCAGGCTCCTCCGTCGAGCTCCTCCAGCGGCATCAATAGCTCCAATAGCATGCCGCTACCGGCCAACCCGACCAACCCCATTGGCCTCCAGAGCCTCCCGGGCCCGGTTCCGGGCGCTCTTCCCAACCCCAGTGTGCCCCAGATGGGCTACTACGAAGAAGGCGCTTTTCCCGCTGTCTACGAGCCCCAGCCGCTCTACAGACCCTACGAGTACTACCACAACGGGCCGCAGGCGGCCGGCTCTTCGTCTGTTTCGGGGCCTCTGCTGTTCCACAATTCGTCGCTGGTGCTCCTGGCGACGCTGCAGCCTTCGTCCAGTTCGTCATACATTAAGAATGAAATGTACATGCCGCAGAATTACCAGGGCCAGCAGCTGCCGGGCTACAATTACCAGCAGTACCCGTACCGCCAGAGCTCGTCTTTCAGTGGATACTCCAACACGGCGCCGCCTGAAACGGGTCGCAACCGGTGTCCCGTGTGCCACAAGGTGTTCAAGAGGCCGTCGTCGTTGCAGATACACTTTTACATACACACGGGCGTGAAAATGTTCAAATGCGAGTGGGAGGGCTGTGGCCGCATGTTCAATGTCAAGTCGAACATGAAGCGCCACTACCGCTTGCACTTGAAGAAGGAGGAGGAGAAGCGCCTCGCTGAACAGTAGCGGGGCCCTCCCTGCTCGTCTTAATTCTACATTATAGCCCATTGCCAAATCATAACGTGAGTCTACACCTTCCCCGGTTGCAAGATTCTCTTTCTGCATTGTTGTTATTTATCGTACGTTAGAGCCCACCGCCACCCCGGGCCCGCCCTAATTGCTAATTTGGCTTGCCGACATTCCATGCTGGAGGGCCTCAATTCCCCAGTCATGATCATTCACGAGAGCCGTTGCACAACACCGCTGGCTGGGGGCCTCTACCAAACAATCAAACCGCTGCATGCGTGCCTCTTGCTGCCGAAACTGCAATGCCATGCTGCTTACAAAGACATTCTTCAGACAAGTACACGGGTATTGTCTTTTCGCCTTGGTGAATGCTGATCGCTCCGGTGCCAGCTGCATTGGACCGTGGGCTAGCGGCTGAGTCGATAAAGGAATGCCTGCTTGGTGTGAATGCTCCTGGAAAAGCGCAATATTGTGTTTGTGCTTATCAATGGCGGCTACGATCGGAGCCTCCAAAGTGCTAACGCTCTTCAAGGCGGGCCTGGCGAAGTTTCGATTAGCTCTTTGTGCTTTGTGGCTGAGGCAGCGTGATCGCTTGCAATTTTGATCCTGTCGAGCCAGCTTGTGCCAGCGGCACTTGTCAACATAAGCGATGCTCCGGTAGTGTCGTAAGATGGGGTAGGCCTATGCTGAGGCCCCAATGTCATAGTTGTTCCAGTTTGCCCAGCAGCCACTTTGGTGCCTGGCTCGACGAGCCATGGTGATTTACGTGCTGCTTTGGGTTGTTTTTGGAAAAAAAAAAAAAAACGCATATAGAAGACAATGTGAGCCGCCAACATTGGGATCGTCGCCTGGCATAGAGGTCCCGGAAAAAGGCGGTTCAGCAAATAAACAAAGGTGTCATGGAATTGGACAAAAGAAGTAGATGGTGGAAAGAAGAAATAACACTTGTTGATGGGCTTCCTGGCATTAGAATAGCACGTCCAGAAGATGAGGTGCGTTTTTGCCCATACAAACGAATTTGATGATTCCGACAGTGTGAAGACTATTGATGCTGGCTTAGCTTCCGTGATCAAGCTTTTTTGTTTTCTTGGACCATTTGTTGAAAAGAATTTAGGTTATTTGAAGTTTGTTTGAGCGAGGATGAAAAAGAAGAAAATGAAAACAAAAACGCTGTGAGCGCCAAAGGTAAAACGAGGTCAGGGCATGGAAATTCGGGGTATTTTTTATTGACTGCTGAAACAAAGGAGCTGGGTGGATTTGGCCTGTGAAAGAGGGTCTGATGGAAACTTCCACATACATTGTTTACTTTAGGGCACAAGACTAAAAGCGTATTTTTGCTGAGCCATTTTGTAGCCATTAGACAACGCAATTTCGTATCGTGACTTGGAATTATCCTTTCCACTTGGAATATCGAATGATTGGTCATACATGTAAGAAAGGTTATAATAAATGGACATTTGTGGTTTTGGTGTATTGCGGAAAATGTGAGGCTGTCGAAGGGCCTTCCCTTCGTCCAGAGTCACGACTTATAAAAAAATAAAAAAAAAAAAAGACAAAAAAGAAGCTTCCACGCTTCTGGCGGTGATTTGATCCGACAGAGGCTTGGCTAGGGCTAATTTTTCGCAAGATTTACGGAATTTTGCTTGGAGAAGGTGTTTTTGCAAATGTAGCATGAGCCATCTGGGTGACTGGAGGCGGTTTAGGCCGGAAGTGAAGGCAATTCGAGGGCAGGCGGTCGGTTTTGAGGAGGGGCACGCCGATGCACGGTGCGTCAGGGCGCAGGCGGGTGAGGCAGAGGGTCTCCTGGCGCAGGTTGGCAGACTGCGATGTGCGTGCGGCGTGCTACCCATACCTGCGATGCGCTGTTGGGCGCACATCTTGACGCACGTCTGGCTGCAAGATGTGGCTTACATGCAGGCAGCAGAAATTGTTCTCTGAAGCAGCGAACACGGCCCTGACGAGAATCCGCATTGGGCCAAACGTGCAGCCTCGTAAAATACCAAAAACAGCATTGCTCTTCAGCAATAGAAGCTTCTGTGGGGCAGAAAAAGAAAAAACCACCTTCCATTTGCACCCTCCCCAGCCATTAAGACCCTTTCACGCCGAGCGGCTATTATAAAGCACGGTCTCTCGGAGATCACGGTTTATCTCCCCGAATGCCCCCGCCTGTTTATTATTTAGCCTCTAGCCTCCAGTGATCGTCCGTGGGAATGTGCACCAAATAGGTACGAAGCCATGCCCTTGGCGTTATGGCGGCTGGTGGATTTCGGTTTCATGAAAGCACGGTTTGGCCCGAAACACAAATTCACGGTAGAGAATGAAATGTGATTTTCGTTTAGGCTTCGAGATTTGCAAAGAGGGTCTACACGAGGAGGATCAGGCGTGCTAGGGTGAGCTGTCGATCGCAGTAGGGTAATTTTCGTTTATTGTAGGTGTGTTCCTGGTTGAGGTTTTCTTTGTGGTTTTCTTTGTGGTTTTTTCGGAGCCTCTTTGATGTGTTTTTTCTTGTGAATTTGAAAGGTGTGGCTGTGGGAGGATTTAATATATTGAGTGGGTGGATTTAATAGATTGAGTGGGTGGGAGGATGGGAAAGCAGGGACGGGTATCAACGTTCTGGATTTGCTTTGCGTTTGGAAAAAATTGATTTTAATTGGTGGATGGAGGTCGTTGGATGGAGGGCGTTTGGTGGAGGGCTGTTGGATTGGAGACGTGCTTGAAGAATAGGGAAAATTGGGTCCTTTTCAATTCATAGAATGCCAGTTTCAGCGTCAAAAATTCATCTGAGCAATAACACCTCTTCCATAGGAATTTGTGGATTTTGGACCTTGGGGCCTGGTGGTATACCGTTTTGTTGTTCATGGAAAAAAAAAAATGCCTTTCGACAACACGTTTTTCCAGCCATCCAGCCCCAATTCCACCTCCACGGCCCAATGTACCGAAGTTGCCGACGCAAGAAGCCGTTGCATTTGATTGGTATTCTTCAAAAAAAAAAAAAGCTTCACTTGTCCACCCAACATCAACGAATTCACCAACGAATTCACCACTGGGCTCCTGCAACACGACGCCAGCTCTAAAACCCCAGAAAATAGAAGCATCCAGTTCCAGAGATCCACTGCGATCGGTGCCACTGCTTCATCTTATTGCTCTAATCCATGCAGCCATGTAGGATGCTGGATGAAGTGGCATTTTGTGGATGTTCCATGAAGTAAGACAAACAAAATGCTGATGATGTGATCAGTCCGGTTCATTCGATAAAGCTGTGAATGCTCTTCATCTACAACTAATCAATCAGCAACATCCACCATCCAACTGCAACCTTCATATCTTGCCCGATCACCTCTGCATTAGGGCGCCTTGGATGGTTCTGCGGCGTGTGTCGAAACCAGGCATAAGTCAAAAATACTGCAAGCCAAGGCCATGTTGAAAAACTCCCAGCACGAATATGGCAATTATTTTCAATGCTGCGGCGCTGGTGCCCCGAGCAAGTTTTAGGGTATTTTGCCTGGCAGGGTCCGATCGGCGTTTGCGTTATCGTTCCGGATAATATGCCTCGGAAAAGCTCAGCAGAGTGCCGCCGGAGGTTGAAGTCCAGGAGGACGATGCTGCTTTGGCTGGGGTCGATGTAACGTTACATTTCCTGTTTTCCATTTTTTATAAAGAACAAAACCGCTCTACTTCCGTTTGCGTCTGATGGTGGCTGAAGCTTCCAGCGCTTCCACGGCTTCTAGAAGCTGCGGAGAAGCCCAGCGGAAGACCGGTCATACGGAGCAATTCTGAAAAGAGGCTTCCGTCGTACGTATTTTTTGCGTTCTTGCCCCGGATTACCGTTTTTGGTTTCTCGCCTCGAGGCGGGGCCAAGACATGAATAGCCGTGTGGTGGTTCTTTTCTTGATAATAATGAGCCTGTGGGTTTCGTCTTGGTGTTACCAGCCTGCAGTAATTAATGAATTTCTATGAAGTTTGTTCTTTCCTTCACTCCCATCGTAAGTGGTTCCCCTTATGTAAGCGACCGATGAGGCGCATTTCATGTCTTTAGTTACAGGTCTGCAATTGGTGAGGCTGGAGATGCTTGTGATGCCGTTCCCAAAAGGGAAACCCGAGATCCAGCTCCAAGGCTTGTCTTCCAATATTATCAAAGTCACGCCCTCGAGGCTTGTGCCGATTGTGTATATGGGTGCACAGTGGTGAGACATGGAAGCCACAGATAATGTGGTGTGCTACTTCAGATATTATCGGTGCAATGTCGTTTTGATGCTTGCTGGACGTGGCTGACCTAGGATACCTTATCTACCTACCTGATTTGTTTACGAATTCTAAATCCTCCATGGCTGGAGCTTATATCTGAATATCTCCCGTATCGAGGTCTCTACTCCTCCTGATGCACGCTGCAGAGTCGGAAGGGAAGTCCGTTATTTCATGTATGAGCAGTTATGCCACAGGCTCGGTAGACGAGCTCGTGCAGAGAACATTTCATGTTGGCTATGCGCCCTGGTCCCGCCGGACGCAGTATGATGATTTTTTTTTTTTTGCAGCCACGCACCATCCTGGAATCCCACAAGACAAATATTATATCGTGTTGCGCAGCGCCGCCGCACCTGCTTCTACATCAAAATATTACTGGCATGCTTGCAGACTCAATGCACAGGCGGCGCCGAGGGTGTCCGCTTTCTCCTGCCCTGCGCATGCCGGGTAACCGGATCTGTACTGCTGCCGTCCTAAAGACTGCAGATAAGACCACACCCCGATGCCTGCCTTCTTTTTTTTTTTCTTCGGCCTACCCTAGCAAGCCTTTCAACCTGAAACAAGCATAATAGGGTCCTCAGCCCACGACGCCGCAGACCGGCCTACAAAAAAACCTACACCTCGCATCAAAACATCCGTACACCACACCCTCTTTTTCGTTCGCTCGTTCGCGCGCTCTCTCTCTCGTTTTCTCTAGATTTTCCTGCACACATGCCTCTGACCAACCATAGCGCTCACAAAAAAATCAAGAACCCTCCTACTAAAGCAATATCCTGAAATGGCTGCCCACAATCTCGCCAAATTCATCCGTCACGCTGCCGTGAGCAAGCCTCACGTGAAACCCGAGCAGTACTGGGGCGCCAAGCTCTTGGGTGCCACCATGTGGTTCTGGATCTTCTACAGAGTCAAGAACGACTTCATCGAGGGCTCCCACTAAATCTGCATTGTACAATACGAATAAACGAGAAAAGAGAAAACCGATGTAGCGGGGGAAGGTTTTTGGCTGGTTTGTTGATCTTTGTTCTGTTGATTTGAGTTATCGCTTTGGATCGCTTTGGGTTGAGTTCAATGAATGTGCATCGATTCATACGCAAGAGTGCTATATCCCCGTGGTATTGGGCAGATCAACGGAAAAATCCATCTTCACTGACTAGTTCATTGCTTGAATGTAAAACATCAACTCGACCCTGCCAATTCAACCTACACCTCCATCATATACTATCTCTTCTATATACTTCAATTTCGACTAATTTCCATTTGCGGCCGCTTGGATCCTCGCAGCTTGTCCATTTCCGTGTTTCCGAATCCCTTATCATAATTCCACTCACGTTTTCTGCTCCCCTCGACTCTCGCCTAAACCTGTGGATACCTTCCACGACGCCTGGTGACCTTGGTTTTGCTGCGGCTCTTGAAATCCTTGTAGGTGCTGTTCAAGAGATCCTTGGTCTGCCTAAGCGCATCATCGTCTTCTTCTTCGTACTCTTCTCTCTGGAAATTGAAGCCTGAACTGTTGCAGTGCTCCAAGGCAAGATTGCCGTTTTTCTTGAGGCGGAAAATCACGAGATTGTAGTCCACCTCGTCGTCGTCATCGTCCTTGATCACGTAATCGCAGAGATTAAAATGCCACAAGTTGTAGTAGGCTGCAAAGTACATGTCGTTGACCTTTTTGAGCGTCTGCTTGCTCATATCAATGTCGTCTTCATCCTCATCCTCGTCATACAACGTGAGACGAACGATTTTTTCTGTAGAATCGCTTATCGTTATAGGAATCTTATCGAAAACCGATAATCCAAGCTCCACCAATTTCTGGAGATCTGGGTGTGACCGTTCAAGCACTCGTGCTACATCGTCCTTGATTATCACCCAGAGCTCACCCAAAATCATCCGTAGACGTGAGAATTTCAGTCTGTAATTTTCAATGTACCCAGCCAGACCACCCATGGAATCCACAAAACTCATTCCGTTGCCGGATACAGGGTACCTGAAATGGAGACCCTGAGATATCGTATAGTCAGCCCCGGTCATAATCGCCACATGTTCCAAAAGGGGATTCTTCATAACGGGCGAATGGGAAACGAACACGTTGATGGCCTTTTCTTCCAAACGGTCCATGTGCACAAACAACTGGGCCACTTGAGCCAAGGTAATCCACAAATCGCCAACCTTCCCCGCCACAGAATTGAGTCCAAGCTTGCCGCTATCAAAAAGACTGTGCACCTTTAAATTCCCGCCTAGTCCGTAGAGCCGAATGGGCGGTTTAGCGGGAGATTCCAAAAGGTAGCTGTGGTTATGGTCGATGATATTCAAGTTGGGGATCCGCAAAGAGCCGTCCACAAATTTCTCCACCAAATAAGGATCGTCAAGAGAACCAATTGTGGTGTATAAAGGGCACGGAAGCCGTTTCTTCCCCGCCAAGTACTCGTCCATATGGACCAACGGTGCTTCCAGAAGAAGCTTCAGCTTGAATTCAGCCAAAACCAGGTTTGCCGTGCCCAAGTCCTGGGCGTTATTAATCGTCAGCAAGTCGTTTAGCTCTGCAACGACATTTTTCGGCAAAAGCTCCAGAAACGCCACGATCTGCTTGAGGTAGTTCACGTCAGAAGCCTGTTCAACGGTGCTGGAGTTCCATAGACCAATGTTGCCTGTGTGCACCACGGCCTCCACGTTCGGATGAGCGGAAACGATTTCTTCAAGAGCGTCCCAGTTGCCCTGGAGGTCACTCACCGCTAGAATCCTCATGGTGGTTGCAAAATATGAGTGGTTGCAAATCGGCTATAGTGGTTATCAAGTGCGACCGTAGCGGTAGTGGCAGCACGTGATGCGAGGTCCAGAATCGGGTGTTCGATCGTGGAATGGTGCCCAGGTTTGGGTCTTTTAGGGGTGAAGAGGATTTTGGTTTTATTTTAACGGGTTTTGCTGAAGGAGGTGGGGTTGTTCGAGTGGTGGGTGGAAAAGTCGAGTGTGCATTGATCCGGTGATTGGCTGGAAAGGGAAAAGATGTTGATTGACTGATTCGTATGTAAATAAATTATATAATACAGTAGTATTCGGGTAAATATGATAGGGTCATTGAACTTCGAAGGAAAACTGAATTGCATTGCGTTGTGGTTGATAAGCATGGCCCAGGGTTAAGCACAAAGGGTCCGACTGGTTGGATTGTCAGGCATTTGACGCAACAATTCCCAATTCTTGCTTTTCTTTGTGTTTTTGATGTTTTTCTTTTTTCTCTTTTCTGTAGAACGCTGCTATATCCTCTACTTATCGTGGTAAGGTTATTGGAAGAATTACTTCACCTCTACCAAAAATGATGTCTTTAATTATTTCAGATTATTTAGACCGTACGCTTTTCCCTTCCAAACAATATTTTGAGATGCACCTCTTTCTGAATAATGTTGACATTGAGATTTTGCAACCACTGGTGCGGCGTCCTCCAGCAACACCTAATAAATCCCCCGATACCCCCTCAATCTTGATAAAATTCACCCTGTGGTTTTTCTGGGCCCCAAAGAAGTATAATCCAAATTTTCTCTCTTCTCCTTCATTGCCCCTCTTTTCTGCGCCGGTATTCCCACTTTGACACATTTCGGTGCGTCTGTGCGGAACCACCACATTTTTACCAAGTTCACCAAACCGCAAAGGAGACAACTAAAAAAAATCATGTTTATCCAAACAAAACGCTCCTCTTCGAAGGCAACCCAGAAAAAGAAACGGCACCATCCACACGGTCTCATTCATGCCACCTCGCTACTGTGAGTGAAGCTTTTCCCTCTAAGCCTCACTAGCCGCCATGCCGCAACAATGGCAGAATCCCATATTTAAACTCCACCAGGTTCGCCGTTCAAAAACTCACATTTTTTATCTTCGATTTCAAAATCACCATTTCCACGGCTCCACCTCCGACCACGGTTTTCCTATATACATGGCCGTCCAACCCCTGAGTAGCCGTACGGTTATATCCCACGTTTTGTCCCCACCACCACCCCAAAAAAGCCAAAAACAAGCCATCCCCTCAATTGACCTAACCTTTAATTATCGCCAAAATGCCACCTCCAAAAAACCGGCGTTTACTGTACTTGCCTCCCACAATAATGTCACTCCTGCATACAACCCGCTGTGCCGGCTTCCATGCCTTATCATCACCAACTACTCTTTAACAAACCAGCCGTTCTTCCCAAAAACCAGGCGTGCCTGCCCACCATCCACCCCCTTATCTCCGGATCATGCGTGACCCGCCCGAGCGGCTTCGAAAAGCCGTCATTGACGGGAACTTGCCCATAACCAAAAGGCTCCTAGCCAGGTTCCCGGAGCTCTGGCTCAATACCGATCCAGAAAACAATGGCTGGTGCAATTTGCATTATGCCTCCTTCAAGGGCAACTACCTTGTGTGCTTCCACCTCATGCTGTTGAAGAAAAGAGCGTTTTTGGATAACCTGGACTCCGACATGGTCACTTTTGATAACTTGACTGTGCTCCACATGCCCGTGTTCCACCACCACCTGCAAACACTACACTACCTTTTACAGGAGTTTTCCGGTCACCCGTGGATCAACCATAAAGGCGGCGAATTGGGCCGAACCCCTCTACATTACTGCTGTGTCCATTCCTTCACCGACGGACTTAAGTTGCTACTTGAGTTCGGAGCAGACTGGAAGATGTTGGACCACAACGGCGACACGTGTCTACATTTGTGCTTTTCCTACGGCGACGCCTCCGGCTTGCGGGAATTGGTCAAGTGCATTGTTGGCAAATGCTACAGAACGCTTCAGGCCGCGGTAGGTCAGCCTCAGTTTTCCGGCAAGGAAGCCGTCTTGGCGGAATTGGAGGAGTTCGAGGCCATCAAGAACAAACACGGTTTCAAGGCTATTGATTATGCTGCTTCGTTTGAGCTCCAGGTCCAGTATAAGGAGTCTCGTTTGGCCTGGTTGGAATCTGCCCTAGAGGAGGAACAGATGCTTTTGAAGCTGACGCTGGACAATTGGGACTCCGTTTTGGCCTTTGCTCCTTCGGAAAGCGGACGTAACGATATGGCTTCGCTCCAGCCGTCTACGCAATCGCTGGCATCATCCCTCACAGCTCCAGACTCAACATCCATATCAGGATCCACCACAAAGCCGTCGGCTCTGCCTGAGAAAAGCGACGAAGGCTTGGTTAGACAAGCGAGAATGCACCTGGCGTCCGTTGGAAACGATGCCTCGTTTTCTCCGCTGGACAAGCTCAATTCTCGCCGCAGATCCAACACAGCTTCTGCTCATGGCTACAAGCCTCCACCGCTACCGATCTCCATCAACACCAACGCCGCGTCCAAACCGGTCAAGATGTCGAGTCCCGTGACGCCGTTGCTGATCGATTTCCCGAAAACGCCATCGTTGAAATCGGTCACTATCTCACCGTCCGTTCGTGGCTCAAAGAGACGCACCAGCATCAACAGCATGTCCACCGGGACGCCCGAGGTGGTTCGGGAATTCTCTCCTGAACCGCAAATCACAGAAAACAACCCTTTCCCTACTGCACAAGCACCAGCTCCTGAAGCTAGTCTGCCTGTAGCAGTCACCGCTATACCGTCGGTTCCATCGCAACATTCACTCGACCGCTCAGCAGTCCAGCGTTCCATCAGCCTGGGATCATCACAAAACGCCCCAATCCAAGAAAAAAGCATCCTGAACGCCGACAGAAGACGGTCCATGTCGTCGATCCACTCACCACCAATCCGCTCCTCGTCGTTCCATTTCCTGCCTCTCGGCATATCACGGCGTCGTAGCATCACCAGCGCTGGTTCCAATGGAGCTGTAGAGACTGTCGATCCACTGAGACTGTCATCGCCCTTGAGTCTTGAAACCTCTCGTTTCAGTACCAGACGAAGCTCACTCAGAAGAAACATCTCCACGCCTTCTGTGATCCACTCTCAGGCGCTTGGAATTTCGACCTCCAACGGAAGCCTGGAAACGCTACCAGCACGCCCGGAACGCCTTTTCCGCCACACCAATGCTTCAGACTCCATGATTCGTTCCAGACCAACATCGCCGTTGGAGCTGACGGAGGAGTTCAACAACCTGATGGATACAATCAAACTTGGGCTACAGCGGTCTCACGACGCCGTGCCCGAGGACCAGGTGGTTCACTCGTTTGTGGCTACCATACCTCGAGATAAGGTGAGACGAGGTGAAACGACTTCACCAACCAAAGAACGGCGTCCGGACAGCCGGACGTCGACCATGTCTTCGCTGAGCTCCGTGCACACGCAGCGGGACCTAAACAGCATCAAACTCACGCGGGTTCGTGACGATTGACGACCTTGCATCTTATAGTCATCGCAGTTGGTTATCAGCTGCCAGCAATACATTTGTGATCAGACACGCCGAGAGGCCGTATAGCATAATTGAGTAGTGTTATAATTCAATGAATTGAACTGAATTATGTTATGGTTATTCATATCGTTTGAGCTCATGAGTCAGTTTCTGGGGTCATGCTCATTTAGTAGTACACTGGTTATGACGTTTTTGGGTTGACGTGGTAATTTCTTCTAAAGAGTGATTGCAACAAGTTTACATAAACACGTTTCCAGCAATTATTCTTAAATATCGGTTTATAGAATTATGCTGTTGATACTGGGTATGTGTGAATCTGGTAGCCTTCCGCATTGGGCTCGGAAGTAGATCTGAAACACCGGGCAACGTGAAACACATCAGCTTCTCAGGTAGTCTTCAATTTTTATACAAATTTGAGAAGCCGACTATCTGAACTAATTCGATAAGTTTTCAATATTTGAATTCACCACCCGTCCAATTATCCACCCTCTCCTACCCCTCCGTGAGGATGGCTGCAAAAAAGGTGCGCTGAAATTATCCCCTTGATACTACCTTCTTTACCAAAAATGATCGAATCACTTCCGTCGAAACCAGTTGAATTAGCAATTCCCCTGAAGAAAAACCAAGAAGCCAATCTTTTATGGGCTGTCATTGCACTTACTGAAATGGCCAAAACAGACCAGGTTCGATATGTGGATTTCTGGCACTTCCTTTCAAGAAAGCAGAAGCTCTGCTTAAACGAAGCGGCCTTCCGTGAAACCCAGAGAATCCTCCAATGCACCTCCCTTTGGTTCCAGTCGTCATACTTTCGTTTCAGGTACCAGCGGAACCCGATTCCTCGAAGCGTCTATAGAGGCTACTTCAGTATCGAGATGAAGCCCAAGATTGGAATCAACGTGTTGCTTAAGGAAATGGACTTGGTGAAGATGGAGGATTCCATGAAAAACACGCTCCTCAAAGTCAAGATGCTGAACTTTGGCAGCGACATGATCACACTCAAACCTGCCAAGCAGTGCTATGTCGAAGCATACAAGGAAATACTTCCCCTTTTTGACAATACGTTGCATTGCACAAGCAAGGGAAACATCACCATCAACGTGATCAAGGAGCCGGTGCCTGTGCTTCTCTTCTTGCGTACCCCGTTGGATCCAAAATTGACCATCAAGCTGCTTCTCACGATACACGACGAGTTTGAGTACGAGACGAGAACACCACAGGAGTACTTTGTGCTTGTGTTATTCAGATCAAACAAAAGACCCAAACCTTATTGCACGAAACGGTCGTCGCTCTGCTACTTGACACCGCCTTTGCAGGACCACAGAAAGCCCAAGGTGTACCATCCTGAAAAGAAGCCCAAGCCGGTGGTTCAAAAATCAGAAGATAAGGATGCAATTGAGGAGAAGAATGTCAATGATGATCTAGTCGAGAAGGAGGCAGTTAAAGCACCTCCCGAAAGCGCTGGACAAGATGAGTTCTACGAGGCCGAGGATACCACCGAAGAGTCAGAAAAAGCAGTTATAGAGCAAAGGCGGGAAGATCCAGGACAGGCTGCACCACCGCCTCCAGTAGCTTCTGAGCCTGGCTTCTTTCGAAGTGCACTTGACTTGTTTCGGCGCAATCTTCCATCGCAAGCAGCTCCGAGTTTGATTGCAAACGGCTTACCCGATAGGATTCCGCCAGCGCCAACGAGAACCCTTAAGAGGTATAAGAAGCAGCTCCTCAAGGTGAAGCAAAAAGGGTCGAAGTGATGGGTATTGGGCATGCATCGGTGATGATTGAACTACATGAGGGCACTGAAAATTCCGAGTAGCAGCAAGTGGCAGCAAGCTGAGAAATTTCCAGATTTCTGTTGAGAAAAGCAAACGTCTACTGCATTAGGGTTTACCTTTGGTGTCGGTTGGAAACCTATTCATATCGTCGTATGGTGTACCAGAATGAACGGATGACAAGAGATGAGAAAACGAACAAAAGTGATTGATTGGATTTGAGTCTTGAAAAAATCACTCACCGCCCGAAAACGGGAATATCTAACCAGGACGACTTGGTTTCAATGGATTTTTCAAAATCCACTGGGTGTCCTGTATGCGTACTATATGATAGCCTCGCTAGAGTATAGCGAATTTGCAACATTTGATCCATGGCAAAAACGCCCGGTTCGGGAAAGAAACAGCGCTCCATTAGCGCGTTCTTCACGCCTAGAGCCACTGTCAAAGCCGAGTTGCCCCTGCCTGTTGAAAAAAGTCCAACTCAGGAAACCTTGGCCACCAAAAGAAACCTTTCTCAGTTCCAGCATGGCTCCCACGGCGATGGCGAAGAACCACCGAGCCCAAAGAAGGCCAAACCAGCTAAATTGGCTTCTTCCAGGAACTCTGATAAGACGGCACAGCCAAAAACACCAAAATCCAAGCTAACGCCGCTTGAGAAGCAGTTCATAGAGCTCAAGCGGGCCAATGCAGATAAGATCTTGGCGATTCAGGTGGGATACAAGTTCAAATTCTTTGGAAACGACGCTGTGGTGGCGCTGCAGCTCCTAAATATCATGCTTATACGAGGCAATCTCGAGTTGGATGAAAGAACCCACGACAGATTCGCATACTGCTCCATTCCAGATAACCGTTTACACATTCATTTGCAAAGGCTCCTCAACCACGGAATGAAGGTAGGCGTTGTGAAGCAAACAGAAACGGCCGCCATCAAATCAGCAGAATCCAAATCGGGTCTTTTTGAACGTCGAATCACTGGCGTATACACCAAAGCGACCTATATGGGCGACGAGATGCTCACAGGAGACCCAAGTATCAACCGGTCTGGCCAAGTGGACGAGTCAGGAGAAGCCAACAGCTACATTATGGCCATTCACGAGGGTGATGCCAAAAACACTGCGGTAGTTGCAGTCCAGCCTGTTACAGGAGACATTATTTACGACGTGTTCTCCGATAACAGCAGCAAGGATGAGCTTGAGACGCGTCTCGCGTACTTAGTTCCGTCAGAGGTGTTGATCATCAATAACGGTTCGTCCATGAGCCATGAAACCCAGAAGATTGTTAAGTTGAGAAACCCCTCTGCATCGGTCCAGTTCAGGGTACAGAAGAAGCAGCTGGAAGTTCAAGCAGATTTGCAAAAATTCTTCTCCAGCGTTGAGTCGAACGAAAAGGTCTCCCATTTGTCAGACCATTACCAGCTAAATTATCATGCTGCTGTATGTGGATGCATTAACGAACTCATAGGCTATCTTTCTGAATTTCAGCTCAGCAACGTCTTCACCATTCCTAGCAATATATCTTCATTCACAGATTCCCGCAAATACATGCTCCTACCAGCAAACACGCTACGAGCATTGGATATATTCGAAGTGGAGGATGATCCCTCTTCCAGAAAGGGCACACTCATATGGTTACTTGATCATACGAAAACCAAAAGTGGCTCCCGGCTTCTCCACAAATGGATCTCAAGACCACTTGTCAACAAAGATGAGATTGAGGAGAGGCTCACGGCTGTTCAGACTCTCCGAGACGGCCGCTTTGTGCACATGTTGGACGTTCTCAAATCGACAATACAGAAGCTCGGAAAGGATGGTATTGATTTAGACAGGCTCTTGATCAAAGTCCACTACTCAGCCGAGTACAAGAACGACAAGATTGCTCGAAAGGATGTTTACCTTATGCTCAAAGGATTCAGCGATGTTCTTGACGTTTTCCAAAAGTTTGGGCAGAAGGGTCTTGCTGAGTTCAAGGCTTCCAACACCTCCTCTTATTTACAAGATTTGTTGGAAAAGATGGCAGAACTTGCGAAAGAACCTCATGTTGAACAATTACTTGATCTGATCAACTCCTCTGCTGCTATAGACAACAGTAATCTCAACGATCAAAGGACAAAATTCTTCAACCTAGGTGATGACAGATTCGGAAGCATTCAACAGGAGCAAGACAACATTGAAGCGGTCGAAACTCAGTTAAGCGAAGAGCTCAACTCAATCAGACTGTTCTTAAACAGACCACAACTACAGTACATTTCCAATCTCAAAGATACACATTTGATTGAGGTCCGAAACGGAAAAAATGTTGATGCATTGCCATCAGATTGGCTCAAGATCAGTGGCACGAAGTCAGTCTCCAGATTCAGACCACCTGAAGTTAGCAGACTTCACAAGGAGCTCAACTACCATCAAGATAAACTCCTCAAAGTGTGCGACGAATGCTTCAACAAGTTTCTCAAGGAGATTGATTCTCACTACGAGTTTCTTCATCATATCGTCAGCAATGTTTCCGTCTTTGACTGTCTCTTGTCATTAGCATCTGTTGGAGCAGACGACCAAACTTACGTCAAGCCTAGACTTGTGGACGAGCAAGTTGTTGATATCAAGGAGGGAAACCACCCGATCCTATATGCTTTGGCACAGAATTCAACGTATGTCCCAAACAATGTCGATTTATCGCATGACAAGAATAGAGTCATGATTATCACAGGACCCAATATGGGCGGAAAATCATCTTATGTCAAGCAGGTTGCTCTTTCTGTGATTATGACGCAGATTGGCGCTTTCATTCCTTGTGAATCAGCGACATTGGGCGTATTTGATTCAGTATTCATACGAATGGGCGCTTCCGACAACATTCTAAGAGGCAAGTCGACATTCATGGTTGAAATGGCAGAATCTGCCAGTATCATCAACAGCTTCACTTCCAAATCGCTAGTTGTGCTTGATGAAATCGGTCGAGGAACGGGTACAAGTGACGGTATTGCATTGGCCTATTCGATTTTAAGATACATGATAGAGAGTGACCAAAAGCCGTTGACGCTATTCATCACACACTATCCTTCATTGCATGTTTTGGAAAGCGAGTTTGAAAACGTCAAGAACTACCACATGTCGTTTTTGGAGACTAATAGAGGGACAGACCAGGACTGGCCAGAGGTGGTTTTCTTGTACAAGTTGGCGCAAGGTGTTGTATCAAATTCTTACGGTCTAAACGTCGCTAAGCTAGCAGGCATTCCGGTCGATGTGATAAGAAACGCCCACGCTCAGTCAGAGTCTATGAAGCGAGAGATAGAGCTTCACTCATTGATGAATGCTATCAGCAACCTAGGCAGCAAGGACGGCGCCGAAGCTTTGCAGAACCTAGTGCATCTGCTTTAATTCAGTCTTTTCACCGAGACCCAAGAAGGCCAAGACGACCTTGTTAAACTCCTCGGGATTGTCTAGATAAATATGATGGCCAGCATCTTTCACGACTGTCAAAGTCGCCTTTTCGTCTCCCAAAGCCTTGAGCTTTTCCACGCAGTAGTTCCCGCCTTGCATGTTCATCCAGTCCTTGTCGCCGTAGAGCCATAATGTATCAAGACCAGTGCTTTGGATAAGTTCCATGAATCCACGGTCACAAAGCGGAAGACGAGCAAGAATGTTGTGGTTGATGAGTTTTGTGATTGCAAGTTCGCCAGAGCCCTGGTACTGGTTGAAGACCGAATAGGAGTACTCGTGAAGCTTGTTGATCAAGTCGATGTTGACGGGAGCATCAGCATTCTCCGAATTCGACTTGAGGTTCTTGAAACGCTGAAACGACCAGTACGACAAGACTTTCAGGTAAACGGGGCCGAAGATCTGGAGCACTTGGAAAGGCGAGACACTCCACTCCCACATTGTCTGTAGAAGCTTATTTTTAGGAAACTTGGGCTCACCCAATTTCTCCCACAAGCGCTGTAGCTCGGGGTTTGTCTCGTTTTCAGGGTCCTGGGTAGCGAAGATCTCCTCGAGAGGGTCTCCACCGTCGTGGAAGTTGCGCTGGTGGTTCTTTTCGTTAATGAGACTCACCGAGCTGGATTCCGTGCCCATTGGGCTGACCACCGCAAATTTCGAGATGATTTTCTGATGGTTATACTTCATAATGTAGCAGCTGCTGAGGTAAGCGCCCATAGAGTGGCCCACCAAGTCGAATTTAGTGAGACCCTTCTGTTTTCTCCACTCCTCGAACTTATCAATAAACCAGTCCTCCACTGCAAGCACCTGCTGGACCTGCTGAGCCTTGGACGCGTCTTTCGGCGTTCTGAGCAATTCAGGCGGAAACTTGGGCCGGGCCAGATTGCCGAATCCAGGCATATCGATAACGTGCACGGTCAAGTTGCCATACGACTTGGCAAAGGCTTCAAAGTTCTTCACAAAGTAGCCCAGCGCCGCCATGTAGCCGTGGATCACGACAATGTCTTTTTTCGGAAGCGAGAGGTCGGAACGGTTGGAGATCTCGAACTCGTGGATGTACACCTGAGAGTCAAGCAGCACATCAAGAAACCGACCCACAATGGTCGTTCCGGGTATATCCGGGTCCGTCTCGCCCGGAGGAACCATGGCCATGTCGTTCGACAAGATCGCCCGGTACAAGGCGTATTCCAAGCGGATCAAGCGGTTTCGAGCAGCAACAAACTTATCGTTTGTGAGTCCGCGGGTTGGTTTTCTCAAATTCAGCGAGCAGTTCCACCAGTCCTTAAGCGACTGGGCCAAGTCGATCGACGACGGAATATTGGGCGTTTCCCGGGCGTTTGGGTCGCCCATAGTGGCCACCGATTGGGACACCAAGTTCATGATAAGATAAGCGCGGAAGGAAAACGGTTGGTATTTATGGATGCGGAAGGACAAAAAAGGAAGACAAAAAAATAAAGAAAGAAAACAGGTTGAGCTATTTAAAGGGAGGCGGGTTTCCGTTTATTTATGGATTTTTTTATTTCGGGCGGTCGATGGGTGGTTTTGTGGGTGGATGGTGGGTTGTTTGGTGGGTCGTTTGGGGTGATTATGTAGGGTAACCGCGGCTGATAGTGATAGTGATATGGGATGGATGCTATGAGCTGCGATTTGAAGATTTGCTTCTTTTTCATAAAAATGGCTTTCGAATGGTTTTTTGTTATTACTTCAAGAATGCTTTTAATTTCCGAACCCAAGCAGGAGATTCGGGAAGGGGCTGAGATGTGGTGTCTCTTTTCGCAGCCAAACAGGTGTCTTACGACGTTGACCTTCCCGATTCGGTAATCAGCAAATAGGCCTGGTTTGGTTATGTGGATCAGGGGTGGGCGAATTTTTGAGGTGGTGACGTTTTTGAATATTCTGGAGAGTTTGGAGAATCGTGGTATTGTGGGATTGCCTCTGACATGTGAAGTGTGGGGTGGACTAAGCAGAACAGGTAAGAGTCCTCTAAGGTCACTTGAAACATCGAAGCCCTTCATTTAATTTTGATTCATTCAAGATGTGCCTCGATACATCTGCAGAAGAATAAATATGTAAATCACTATGGCTTTTGCTGTAGCTGAAGGGTCTGAGCAGGGACCAAATGCTGATAATAAGTATAGAACACATCGCTGAAGTCCTCGAGCTTGAATATGATACAATTCAAAAGTCGTTAGTTTTCAAAGACTCTGAAGTAGCAAGTTTTTGAATTACCTGATTTCTGGTAATTCTTACTCCATCTTTCGCAGACAACATAAACCAAAGCATGAGATGCATCCTCCTGATGAGTAGACCACGCAAACTCTTGAAAGCCGTCTTCTAATGAAGAAAGCCGAACTTTGAACTTCAACATCCTACTCCTGGCTCCAATCTTCTTCCACACAATCTGGCTTATCGCCGTCACTCCACCACTCCACCACTCCACCACTCCTACATTCCATCTTCATTCAATTTATTACAGGCACTGCCCAAACCAATCATAATCGTGTCTCAGGCGCTTCGCCCTCGCCGAAGCAACCTCTTATCTATACCCGCTAATCACTAGCCGAGTCCCGCTCGCCTCGCAAGCTTAACTCACCGAGCTCACCTCACCACATCTCTAAACCAGCTTACTTGGGGATCTCGGTGTACGCTGGAGGAGATCCTGTATTGATCCCGGGCTGATGTGGGGTCGTGGAAGTGGCTCCATAGTTAGGACCAGTCACTGGACCAGGCTGCTGGCTATGAGTGTGGTGATGATCGTGTCTGTGATTTCCACCCTGTCTCTCCAAGTCATTCTCGTAAACATAGTAGATTCTCTGGTCGTTGTAGGCACCAGGAGGGTACTTGGCGATGATGTACCACGAGTGGATCAAGCCAGGGAGGTATCCGAGAATACAAAGAAGGATGTTGATGAGCGAATCGGAAGAACAGACACCACGGCGGATCCATACAGGAAGCGGAGGAAAAAGCACGGAGATCACGACAAGGAGAATGTCAGAAAAACATTCACAGCACATTTTGGTAGAAAGATTGTGTAGTAGATAGGAGGAGGCGAAATGGGTCCCATGTGCGCGCATGCAGGTAGGTCACACCCACGCCACCTAAAGGGCACCAATTGTGGTTGAACTAGGGTATATTGGGGTTTAGATGGATTTAGGAGGGTTATGGGATGATAAGGGTTGATATGTGGTCAAATTGGGGCAAAACGGAGTGGTTGAAATTTGACCATCACGTGATCAGTCACGTGCAGCTCCCATTTTCACTACTCTGGTCATCTTATGGAAATGACGGCTTCAATTCTTCGTCAGGATATAAATATTTTCATCAGATAATTGTAGCTGGTATCCGGAAACCTTCTGGTGTCTCCATCAGTGGTGAATCTAGATTACAGCCAGAAGGAGCTTGACATTAATAGTAGTGAAAGTAGAGCCCAGCTAATTAAATAAATTTGCAATGGATTCAATTAAACCGGGAAGAAAACGATGACACAGAGATATGATTAACGTGGACTTACCGAAATCTCACTATTTTCAGAGGCTTGCCGAGAAATACAGACAAGCACTTTTGCACCCCATTGTCGCCAAAACGAGACATGGGCTGCAGGGCAGGAAACCGATATGGTAATGACAAAGATCATGTAAGATTATGTGTTGCTCAGAGGGCATACAGTGTTGTATTGTTCAAGAAGGTGATGTTCAAGCGAAGCATTGTATTGGGGAAATTTCGGTCACATATATATGGAGATCGCCATACCAAGAAGAGATGAATTTGCCACCAGGTTTGGTGAATTGGGGCTTTTTTGATTCAATTCGATGTTCTATGAGGCTTCAATTAATGACGCTATGTCTCCAACTAAAGCCCAACTAAAGCAGTGCTACAGTATTCCATAACTACCAATAAGTCGCTGGTATCCGATAATCTCCATGGATCGCCATCCATTCTTTGCTTTTCCTATTCGTGACGTAGTTCTGATATACAAACCATCTTCTTCGCCACTTGCTACTTTTTGTATTGTTCAATCCAGTTGTGACTCAAACCCTGAGAAGACAAACTACTTGCGAAGACCATGAATAGTCTCGTTTTCCACAAGAAATCTCCTCTCCAAAAGAATCCTTATTCAAAGAGAATAAAATGCACTGGTTGTTCTTCTTCTACATTTCGCTCGTTGCCTCAGCATGAGCCGTTTCGGCACAAGTCTGGAGGATATGAAAATTTTGTCAAAGGATTGGAGGAAAGATCTTCCAAATTGAACGATCTGGTAGCTGTGTGTGCTGAATATTACGATGTCACCGCCTCCAAGAAGTTCTCTCTGGAAGGCCACATTGTATATATTCAATCTGTTAAAGGCGAGAGCGCCCATATTGAGAACCCTCATGAGAATGTGTCGGTTTGGGCTAAATACCGCAAAGTGAGATTATTCAAGAATTGCATCGAAGTCGCTGCTCGTGTTGAGTTCGTGGATTCGGAGGCACAGTTGGAAAATATCAGGGTGTTGAGTGATGACAGTGAAAACTGGGTTAAGGCTGCTGAGCGTAAGATGAAACAAGGCTACTATCCCCCAGATATGTACTACTATGATTAATGGTATTACAGATTTGTGGTCCAAGTCTTGTCTTTTTTGCTTTTATAGTTTTGTTTGCTTCATTTAGTCGAATGTAATTACTGGAGTAGGGAGTCGCTTCATGTGACAAAAGACTTTCCATTTAAAATGAAAGAAGCTAGGTCTCTTATTTTTCATTCTTCCTCGTTGTTAACCACAAAACAAATTTACCATATTTAGAGAAAAGTGCAAAGGAGATGCACCTTGGGTGAGGTTACTTGAAAGATAGTCCGGATATAATCATGGAGATTGCTTCGACCAAGCCTCGGCCACAATAACTAAATCCATAACCTACTAGAGTAAAAAAACACGTTCAGCACTCGGCCTCCGGTAACAACGTCGGGTCCGACACGGAACCTAATTATCATAATGATGATTTTTCTTCCCCTCCATTGTAGAAGACATACTACTCTGCCAAGTCTCATGGGCGAAACAAAAATAAGCAAAGCTCTCGCTCTATAAAAGCCTGGTAGCTCGCCTCTCCTGCTCGCCTCAGTATGCTTTGGTTTACGACTCTTTTTGCTACCTTGGTAGCTTTAACCTCAGCGAACTCTGAGTCTGAAATGATTGAAAAGTTGAGAGGTGAATTCGAGAACTCCTCCAATGAATTGACCAAGTTGATTCCCAAGTGCGAGGAGAAGTTTAATGTCACCTCTACTTACCACTTTTCTCCTCTTGGCTTCGTTGGAAAGGTCAATGAAGTCGATGGAGAAGATCCAGAGGAATCTAGCAAGTTGGACCGGTTGAGAGACTTCAAGGACTGTGTGAAGGAGTACGCTGCTGTGAAGTTTTACGACTCCAAGGAAAAGTTCGAAAGAGTCCCAACTATGGAGGATATCCGTGAGAGCTGGGATCTTACTGCTGGATTCGTGGTGAGACAACATCTCAATCTTGAAAAGATGTGAGATAGCAGGATGAGTTCAGTTTTCTGGATGGAGTGACCCAAGACCACTCCTTTCATATGAACAGCTAATCCAAGACAAAAAGTACAGGTGTATGGTATTTTAGTATGATTAATGATTTATAATTTGTTGTTGTAGGATGGAGCTTCTTCCACGGATTTCGAGATTTGTTCATATGAACCGATACTGAATGAGTTTGAAAACGTGGAATCTCTGTATTTGAAAAAAAAAAAAAAAAGAAATCGAAGAAAACCTTCATTTCTTTATAATTGTTCTTGCTTCGCTCACGGCCCTCAACTTCTCAACCATCATCCTTCGTCCTTCCTCTCGCAAACACTTCCTAAAATGAAAAACCCAACAATTAAAAAATTTTAACACTATGCCTGAGAAAAACTAACGAAAAAGCCATTTATTATAGCACTGGGTGGATAAACTAGGTGCTGAATCGGAGAGACCTGCATACACCCCACATCAACTACGTCTTAGTAAGTATACTCTAAGATCTATCCTTCAATGTCTCTTACTTTTTCCATTGCACACAATCAGATCACAAAAAAGGTATCATGTCCGAGGTCAAATACTGTGAACCAGCTAGCCTCGCTTGCAATTGCTAAATTCGGCCTTCCGCTGTCAGCTAACGGGACCCTTCTTCACAGTGGCAAAAAGCTAGACGGTCTTTTACCGCTCAGATTGACAAATTTGGTCAACAACGCCAAGCTAGTGCTTGAGTTGTCTTCAGCGCTGCGTCCTGTTACTGTAAAGGTTGTTGCTTCGGTATTGGGAGAGCTGAAACAGAAGATCATCAAGACTCAGACTGACAGTACAGTTCAGCAGCTACTAGATACATTTGCAGCCGAATCGGGAGCGCAGATTGGTGACCACAGAGTACAATTGAGTGTTTTAGATGCTCGTATTGAGAATGGATCGGCAGATTTTGCATCTACGCTGTTGGGTTCGATTCTAGGTTCAGCTACTAATGCTGTAATAAGACTCACTGTGGAAAGCAAGGACGCTCATAGCAAGAGAGAGAAGCTACAGGCTGAGCAGAGGGAGTTGAGGCAGCAGCTAGAAGAGCACAAACGCCAGGCGAGGTTGCTAGAAAAGAGGCTAAAGGAGGAAGCACAAGAAACCAAGAAACAAGAGGAGCTCAAGGCAGAAGAGGAGGTCGAAAAGGAGCCTGAATTGGAGGATGAGGGGGTTGAAAAGGCCGAAGCTATTGAGGAGCCTGCCGGTCAAGATGCTATTGCCACCGAGGATTCAGGGAAGGATGTGGACATGGATGTCGATGAGGCTCAAGAGCCACTGAGCAAACCCGAGGAGGTCAATGCGTTGGATACAAAGCAGGAAGCTTCTGCGCTGCTGAATGACTCATTTCCCCAAACTCCGAGTGATGAGTCTTTCAAGGTTCAACACTATAAGGAGGACACCGTCTACATTCCCCTGAATCGCTCACAGCACTATGAAAATCCTGACAACGACTACAATTTGACCGTGGCACAGGCAGAAAAGTATTACGGCATCATCAAGTCCATGCAACAGAACAAAAAGCAGCAGCCCAAGGATGTTACTCCACCCAAAGCATATATTATCAGGGTCCGTTTCCCTGATAGAGCACTTCTTGACCTCCAGATTGAGGATTCCTCAATGAAGCTTGGACAGCTTTTAAAGAAGCTAGACTCTTTTGTCCACGAGAAGCACATCAACACTTACAGGCTCAAGAACGGTGTGCCACCCTTTGAAGAGATTGCCATGGGGTTTGATGCCAACAACAAAGAGCTTAAGCACCACAAAAGCTTCCAGGACGAACGTATCATGTTGATCTGGGAGTCTAGCGATAAAAGTTTAAAAGGACCCTACTTGAAGCTGGACGTGAACACGAGAAACATTGATGAATTGCCAACGCTTCAATTGGAGTCCCACAGAGGTCAATTGGGCGACGAAGAGGAGAAGAGAAGGAAAAGCATTCTGGAGCTGAATCAGAGCAGACAGCCCGAAAAGAAAAAGAAAAATGGCTTACCCAAATGGTTCAAGCCTGGGAAGTAACTCGGCCAGGGAGGCAACTCGGACCCCCTGATCCAAGCCCAAAGAAGCCGCACAATAATTAATTAAGCCATTGTTGCCACCTTCCAAGAGCTATATGAAGCCTTCTAAGAAAATGTCAGCACGCCTAAGCCCGAAGGAGAGTATTTGACGATGTACAGCAGGATGGCTAAAATTGGAATCTCAACCCGATCAGAGTCTAAAAGGCGCTAATACCTGCAATAAATTGGTCTGATGGCGAGAGGACATGTGATGCTGGGCCGCCGCATTGCACCAAGAATTCCTTCAAATTCTCGCCTTATCATAAGGCTGCTTCACTATTACTGGTGCATTTGGACTCGTGGTACTGCACAGGCGGCTCTGAAAATTAAACCTGGTATTCGCCAAAACCGTACTGCAGGAAAGTAGCACCAAGGTCAATTCTAATTTCCTGGCAGCAGTCACAAAAGTCAGGCATCGGAATTCTGGGCCCGTGGTATTTACGAGATCAATGGGACATGTCTAAATTGTCGATATGTCACAATCAGACCAGAACATCGCCCTTTGTAGGTTCGCAACCATGAGGGGATCCTCTGACTCATCGCTCAATTAGGCAACTCAGACTCTCTTTTACGCGGTACAAATCAATATCAACCATTGAAAGCGGCTCCTTGCGGCGTCTGTGTGCAGTACTCCCGTTTACGGCCCGCGGCAGACAAAAAAATTTTTTCTACTCTCAATTTACGAAGCAACATATAAGGAAACGATCTCGCGCAAAAGAAAAATCTTTTTCTTTTTCTCTTCTTCACAAACTTACAAACAAACATCACACAACTTATCAATTTATTATTTTACCCTTTTGTTCCCCAGTTTAGTTGATTAAAAGTTACAATGTGTGCTTAAATTATTTTAAGATTTAAAGAAAATTATTTTTTTGTTCTCCCCGAAGAAATCAAAAAAGTCAAGTTATAAGAAGATCTATAACTTCCAATTAAGTTTGTTTGTTTAAAACCCCCCTGCCAATATGCTACTGTGATGATATAAGTTTGAATATGGTGTTCCACCTACCTTTACCCCTACCAGATATTACTATACTACCTTAAGTTAAGTTATCAACATACCACAAGTTAACACACAAAAAGTTAGATTTATTACATTGAAAACCCTTCCCCAGATTACACATACAGATTACAAATTGAATATCGAAATGTCAGCTCAGAACCCAGTGATTTACAACGACTCCATGTCAGAGTCTGAATTCCACCAGCCCCCTCGTCCGTTCCAGTTAAGTTGGAATCGATCGACGAGTTGTCGTGCCACTTGCCCACCAATTGTGACGTCGCCGATGTCCCCGTTGGTATGGCCGATGGCGCTGTTGATGAGTCGCCTATTTTGGTCCATACTGATGTCTTGGATAGCGTGTTCAGCACCACCCTTGACCAGAATGACCAGTTGATTAGCCACACTCCCATGTTTGACGAGTTGGACTTTATAATGGACGGCAACAAGGTGAACCTGAAGGACGATTGGGTTTCTCTCTTCAAGGATGAACCTGTAGCTGAGCCAGCTGTTCCTGCTAAGGAGGAGGACTTGGGCGATTTATTCGCTGACGAGGAACCAGAGCCCGTCTTTGCCGTTCCCGAAGCGCCTAAGCAGCTTGAGACTCCGATGACCCCAGCCTTGGCCACACCTGTGTTGGACAGAAAGAGAACCTCATCGGTTTCTTCTGCCAGCAAGGTGTCCAAGAGAAGGGTCGACCACTTGGGTGTTACGTCGTACTCCAAGAAGCAGAGAAGCCAGCCATTGAAGCCAATCGACATGGAATCCCAGGACCCCGCTGCGTTGAAGCGTGCCAAGAACACCGAGGCTGCCAGGAGACTGAGAGCCCGGAAGATGGAGCGCATGTCGCAGTTGGAGGAGAAGGTTGAGGTGTTGATGCGTGAGAAGCAAGACCTTGCTAGCGAAGTAATTCGCTTGCGGGAGTTGTTGATCGAGCACAACATCGAGTGTTGATGGTGTAGACACCACAGTTTATTATATTATTATTATCGTATCGTTATAATTGATTTAGTTCTTGCGAATACAGGCCGCTTATCAAAGACTTGTAGATTTTGCTAAATTGTTGGTAACAAGTAGGAGGACTGCGATTTCGTGATGCACGCATTCATTAGGTTATAGAATCACCGATGTGTTGTCGGCTAGCAAATTTTCACTTGCTGAGCGATTATTCTTTTCTTCTCTTGAACTAGTTCGATTCGGCCTCAAGAAAATAAATGACCAAATGCTCGAAGATTCTATTAGTATGAGCATTTGGTCAACCATGATATACTCTCAGTGTGCTCACTTTTTAGCATATGTTAGGAGCACATCGGTGCCCAAGCTGGAGGTTTCAAGCGACGATATACAAGCTGTTGCTGCCTCTTCACTTTCAAAATCGATAAATGCAAGGTTTCTGGAGGGAATTGCACGGACATTCTCATACCCTGAGAAGCCAGAGAACTTCGACTCCAAATCGTCGAAAAGCTCCTTGTCGATATTTTGCAATAGAAGCACCCGGTGCGCTGGCAAAGACCGCCAGTATTTGATTTGTGATTTTGTGAGTTTTGAAGTGGACGATTTTTTCTCCACTGTTTCTTTCTTCTCGGCCTTTTTCTTCTTTCTCTCCTCGACAACGTCCTCTTTGCCCTGCTTTAACAAAATGCCATCCAGCTCTGTCTTAGCCCATACTATGCTTATAGGTTTACGGAAAAGTGGGTAATTTTGGAGCTTTGTCATGGCTTTTTCGGAGCTCTTTGCATCTTCAAATGTGACAAACGCCTGGCCCTTCATTTTGAGGTTTCGATGCACAGTGACCAGCACAATGTTGCCGTAGCGGCCAAAGAGACGTCGAAGGACGCGTTCGAGCTTGTTTTTAGCGATCTTTTCGTTTATATGGTTCACGTAGATCGTGTTCATGGAAGAAGGTGTAGTTGATGTTGTGTCCCATGCAGGTATCAACAGGTGGGTTTGGAGAGTGAAGATTTATTTCGTTTCCGTTGTCAAGATTTCTATGTCGATGTAAGGGTTTGAAATGCAACGTCTTAATTGTCACATGGTAGTTTTTGAAATGGAGGTTCTTGTTGTGTGAACGTAGTTGAGAGGGTTTTGAGACTCTGGTTGGTGGATAGGTCACTAAATAAAATCTTTCGTTTTTCTCCCCAATTTCAATTCTGAACTTAGAGTATGAAAGTGATGGAATTTTTGAAATGTAAGAAAACTTATGTTGATTTGTTTCTATTGATGGCCGTGACTTCAACACCGATTTGAATACTCAGTGCGATAATGCAAAACAGTACCATAAATGCAATTGAGAAAAGTTAGATCTGAATAGTGACTTGGAAATTATACAATTATACTTCTAACAAGACTTCCTTGAAAAACAGTAACAACACATTAGGAAGGCCCGTCTCAATAGCATTAAGAAGTATGCAACATAAAAGTTTGCAGACGAAACCACTTGTTATCGAACATTTCAAACTTAAAGAAGGAGAGATCACGAACAATCTCACCGCATCAATAATACAGTGACCAGATACCGCTGGTTCCGAAGATTCTCTGGCATAGACAATTATCTCCAATGCATTAGGCGAATGGGTCGAGAAAAAAAGAAATGGCTTTATGGCGTCAAAAATAGCCTAATTTTGAATCACACATGGCCTATCCTGAAAAATGACGCTGCGCCTTGAAGCAAGCATTCGGAAAAACTTAAGCAATCCGGTTAGGCTTTCAACCAGGAGCCGTTTCACCTGATGTGAAACCGAATAACCGCCGTACATAAGCAATGTTCGCAAGTCTAGTCTAGCCTTATCGCTTACGAAGATTTTCAGCTTGTGTGATTTTGATTGTGATCATTTGGTTGCGTTTGCATGAACAGGGGAAGGAAGGGGTGGATGTGATATGGTGAAAGATGGCTGCAAACCAAACATACTGATCAAGCTGGGGTCATATGAATGTAGAACGAGGGAAAGGAGGCGATGCTGCTACAGTAAACGAACCATTATCTGTTGCGAGGCTGGCTCAGTAAACTACTGGTATCTGTATGGATCAGATTATGATGTAGACTTCATGTGTCACATAGCCTCTGAGTACTATGTTAGCCAGGTCATATCAGTACATTGACCACTGCTGAAAAGTATTGAGCATTGACAGTTCCAAAATGCCTTGTTCCTAGTGGCTAATCTCTGTATCATTCCACCTCAATTCCATACTTCTCTTTCATCTCTGGACCCACTACCACTGGTTGGGTGCAAAAAATGGTGATAATGGCAGAGCAGGTGAAAATTTTTCATGTGGATTTTCTACTTAGAGCGCTATCTTATCGGACAAAGTTAACTAAGTAGCTGTCTTAACAGTAACAAAGTTAATCAAATAGCTGTCATGTTTCCAAAGGACCAAGAATGTTGTCTTGTAGTGTCCAAGTTGAAGTTCACCGAAATATTCAATTGAATTAAGGAAGCACTCATCTACACCAAAAAGTCTATATCTCTATCGTTTATTGTACCATTATGCCAATGCGGAAATGTTTCGTAAATGCATTAGACCTGCTCATCAACAGGCTTGGACTCAGCAGCGAATCCGGTGGTGGTGGCCTGGCTCTCGACCGAAGGAGGCACCCACGTGGAAGTCTTCCATGGAACCACACCGGAGGCGTACAACTCGTCCACCTCCTCCAAAGAAAGACCCTTGGTCTCTGGCACACAGAAGTACACAAAGAAGAAGGAAAACACCAAACAGCCCGTGAACACAAAACCGTAGTAGAAGTGGATGGCGGAGGTGATGAACGGGGTGAAGAAGGAGATCAAGAAACCCCACAACCAGTTGGCAGCGGTGGCCACAGACATGGCCTTGGATCTGATTCTCAATGGGTAGGTCTCCGACACAATACAGTAGACACCACCGGCCCAGGTCGAGGCAAAGAAGAAAATGAACAAACAGGAGATGAAAATCAAGGCGTTACCTGTTGGTCTTCTGGTGTTGCTGGCGGTGTTTTCGTAGCCGTCGATGTAAAGGTTGACGGAACCGAGAACGGAGTAGATGATGAAACACACACTCATGGTGGCAGAACCCACCAAAAGACAGAGTCTTCTGCCCATCTTCTCAATGGCGTAGATACCGACGAAAGTGGAGGCAAAGTTGACAACACCCAACACAATGGAGGTCTGGAAAGAGTCGTCCATACCGACAGCCTTGAAAATGGTGGTACCGTAGTAGAAGAAGTAGTTGTTACCGGTCAACTGCTGGACCGACTGGAGAATAATACCGATGAACACTCTGTACAAGATCTTGGGCTTACCGGTGATCAACTCAGTCCAGCCAGCGGTACCAGCAAGCTTCTCACGGTCGATACCAGCCTGGATAAGCTGGACCTCGGTGTACACACCTGGGTCCTCCACAGAGACCTTGTTGGATCTGGCGATGGAGTTTCTGGCGTCATCGATTCTGTTCTTCTCCACCAAGTATCTAGGAGACTCAGGCATGAAGGACATACCAGCAACCAACATGATGGCCCAGGCGAAACAGAGACCCAATGGGATTCTCCAGGTTCTGGAGTCAGTGTAGGCCTCCTTGGTACCGTAGTTGGTACAGTAACCGAGGAAAATACCCAAGGTGATACACAACTGGAAACAGCAAACAAGAGTACCTCTGAGGTGCTTTGGCGCAGACTCACCAATGAAAAGAGGGCACACAACAGACACGATACCGACGGCAAGACCGGTAATCAAACGGCCAATGAAGTACTGGTACCAGGCGTACTGGGAAGCAATCTGGATGATGATACCGACAACGTAGATAAGCATGGCACTCATGATACCGATTCTTCTACCACGGACGTCTGCGATCTTGGACAAAAGAATACCACCGATGGCACAGCCGATGTTGAAAATGGAAACCATCAAACCGGTTCTGACATCGGAAAGGTAGTATTCACCCAGGTCATTACGCTGACCGAATCTTCTGAGGAAATCGTCCATGTTGACGAAACCGGAAATGGTACCGGTGTCGAAACCAAAGACGAAACCACCGAAAGCAACAAGGAAACAACAGATGGAAATGAAGATGTAGTCCTTGGCTGCCTTCTTAGGCAAGGTGGGAAGCTGACCCTTCTCTTCCTTTTCGAGGATAGAGTCGTTGATTGGCGTCTGGGCGCCTGTGGGGGTATTTTCGGAGTCAGACATTTTGGTTGTGAAAAAATTGAACATGGGAGGATCGGCAGCCTTATATAGTTTTTGCAGAGGCGGTTGGCCTTTTTTCTTTTTGGGCTGCAGCAGTGATGCAGGTGCCCAGGTTTTTCCGACATGACGTATGCACCGGAAGAAATGCGAAAAAAAAAGAAAAGAAGAAAAAAAAAAAAAAAACTCACCTCTTACGCAATTGCCAGCAATAGGGGCAGTACCCCCGCCTTTCTCCATATGGAGGGGCCCCATATATGCTTTGGTAAGACCTTAAAAAAAAAGAGAAATTATAAAGCACCTTTGACTCACGCAGCGCTACTAAAACATCACCGGATCTTTGTGAGTTACCGTTCTCCACTGCTTCTGCAGTACACCCACCTCCACCGGCTGGCGACAAATATCGCTTTTGTGACCGGAACGCTCGTTTCACTCAGCCTCCAGGCCGACGGTGCAGATTCCGGGGACTCTGGGGAATTGCAGAACTTTTGTGGACGATAGTGTTTTTTGAAGCTCTACTGGTTGGTATATTGCTTTTGAAAGTGAAGTGGGCTAACAATTTTTTGTAGATTAGGCGGGCGGGGCTTGGCTGGGCTTTAGAGAGGTTCGGATGAACTGGAATATCTGGAGCAATCCTGGTTGCAAACAGTTGGGGGCGACTGCAGACAACCTGAGACGCTAGAACTATTGCAACTGGCCGTAAATTTCTTTTTCCTGCCAGATATGCGTGATCAGATGCTCGCCTTGGAACGTTGCTCTCCTATACTCCAGGGTGGAACTACGAACGGAGTGATTTACTATGGGCATGGCAAAGTGGGTGGATCTTTTCCGGAAAAATTATTTTTCGCCAGAGCGGGGGATTTGCAGGGCCCGGCCAATTCAGCGTCATCACGCATGCCTCGGATTAACTGTGCAGAGAGCAGGGCGCCCACGCGGCGACGTGCACCAAGATTTTCCACATTCTTTGTTTTTTTCTCGGAAACTGTCCACTACCGTGTTGCAACTCCCACATCTGTTAAAAGGATATGAGCATTGTTAATTTAAGCGAGGATCATTGTGGAAAAGAAACTTGTTTTGTGAGGTTGGTCCTTGCTGACTAAACGCATCAGATCATGCCATTACTAAAGTTTTTCCGGACCGGGAAAAAAGCTCAGTCAATCTGTCGGATGCATTAAGTGAGCTGCACTTACGTGAGGTTTGTTTGGCCTACCACCGGCCGAGCTGCCGAATGTGGTCATGGCTGGCGCTTACTGCGAGACGAGCAAAAAAAACGTGGAGGGTTTTCCCGCACTGTGTGCAGTCCGTACATAACAAACCGCCAGCACCGGAACAATTCTTGGCCGCGATTGGTAATCATGCCCGGCGTGAATTGCCTCCAGGCCCAGAAAAGTTTCTCCGGACGGGGGTGCGGAGCCTGTGGGGCCTGCGGGGACTAGACGCGGCATGGCGTATACGTTAGGCTTTGTTCGCAAAAAAAAATTTTTCCGGCCCTGTCTCTGCTGCATTCTCGGAGTATTCTCCACCGGTCTTGTTTCTAGACCAAAGGTGAGGGAGTTTTTCCGTGTCGTGTCTCGCTTTCGGGTTTCTGAATTCAACTTGTATCCGATTTGCATAAAAGTGGTGTGAGGAGATCCCCATTGCCATCATGTTACTCCTAATGGCCAAGACATGGAAGATTGCAACTTCCGGTACCCTTGGCTTTCAACCATATACGGAGCTAGGCAGTGGTGATTTAGCATATTTGACGGCGCACCCCTAGGGATGTTGTAGATGTAGTATTATTATGATTTTGGAAATCTCCGTAATCGGAATACATTCTTTTCATTTGTACCCGCCTTTGGGTAAATTCTGAATTCGTAAAGGTGATCGAAAATGCAATGGTTACGAGTTGAAGGCTCGGCAATCAAGCCTAGGTGGGGGATCGCCCATCGAAAATCCATGCAAGGTCTACATCGGTTGATTCTGGCTGGTTGTTGCAGGAGGGTGATGTCTAGTACGTATCACAAAGGGGAAAGTGATGATATGAGGAATTAGTATTGACGAGCCTCTTTTTGTGCAAGTTCGTTATATGTCAAGGCAGTAATACTAATGTATTGAGATTTGGCTTCAAGCAGTGGGTCTACTGGCCAAGAAGTGCATTGGAGCCTTGATATACAGCCCAAAGACCTACCTAAATTGAAGCAAAAGGAAGCTAGTTTCAAAACCACTCTGAGTTGGTGTACCCTTAATATAACAGTTCAAATTGCTCAATACTCCTTCCAGATAGGATAAGGAGTACGTTGGAAACGATTGAACGTGTCAGGTATCACTAGAGCTAGTTCCCTGATTTGAGGAAGGACACTTACACGGTATAACAGGAAATTCACGGTTTCTAGAATATCAGACAAGAGCCGCTTTATGGGAATTCCTGGTAACGTAACAGATCACAACAAACTCAATCCATGTTCGAGTGCTTTGAGTCCTCTTTCTTCGGAGGCCAAGCAAGTTATATCCAAGTGTTATTCGTAAAATACTAGGGATGCAAGCATCCTAACAGAAACATACCGATGGAGCCTTTTCGATGTGCAGATCGAACTCAATTCCACAACAAAACGGCCGTTTCTCGGGAGTCTTTCCCAAGCTCGAGAATGTCTGTCACGTCGAGATGCCACACCACAAAGTGATGCATTTGTCTGTCGGTATGAAGCTCACGAGATCTACGGCTTTCCCCACATACTCCAAATCGGAATCCGAAAAATGCAGGGCTATACTGCTCAAGTAGAAGCGGTTGCCGTTTTCGACGCCGACCCATTGCTTGCAATGCGTTCAAGGCTCTATGTTAGGGCACAGCGGAACCGCAGCAGCAACTTCATTCAACGATAGCTACTCCAAAACCCTACATTGTATATCTAGGGGAAGGTTGTACCAAGGACTGAAAAGCCCACCACGGGATTCCTCAATCTCCAAATGACCATATCGTTCTGGCTCCATCCTACAAACCCTAACACTATGCCTCATTACTATCCATTATTTACTTCAACAAGTCGCCCTTGTTGACCACAAAAGCCTCGATCACAGCCATGGCCGCATATAAACGGTTCTCCGCCTCCTCAAACACAATGGACTTGTCGCTGTAGAAAACATCATCAGCAACCTCCTCAGGGTGTCTGGGCAAACAGTGCATGAAACGCCAGTCCTTGTTGACGCCTGCATCGCTGACCATTTTCTGTGTGATCTGGTAGCCGTCAAACTGCTTGAGTTTGGCTTGTTTTTGCGATTCCTCTCCCATGGAGATCCAGGTATCCGTGACAACGACATTGGCGTTTTTGAGAGCCTCGGCGGGGCTGTTGACCACCTCGAAAGTGACTTTTCCGTTGCTTTCAGAAACCAACTTTTCAGCATCGTCCAAAATCACCTGCTCAAAGTGCACCAGGCTGGGAATCGACACTGAAACAGAAATGCCCATTTTCAAAGCAGCAATGGCCAAATCGTTGATCACGTTGTTGGCGTCTCCGATCCACGCGAGCTTGAGGCCCTCCGTACGTCCGAAAGCTTCCTTGATACTCAAAAGATCAGCAATCGCCTGAAGTGGGTGGTACATGTCGCAAAGGGAGTTGATGATAGGAACGGAGGAATCCTTGCACAAATCCTGGATGTCCTGGTGCTTGTTGACACGGGCGAAAATGCACGACGTCATCAGCGAAATAACCTTTGTTGTGTCGTACATCAGCTCGTTGACACCAAGCTGGATATCGTCTTTTCCAAGAAACATGGGTTGAGCACCAAAATGGGCTGCAGCGCCTTCTGTGGAGATTCTTGTTCTGGTGGATCTTTTTGAAAAAAGAAGGGCAACGACTTTCCCGAGAAGCTTGTCGTGGTTCTCCTTGATCTGGCTGATATTGCCATTTTTCACCACCTTCTTGAGGGCTTCGGCTTTGCTAACCAAAGATGCAAATTCCTCGTTGCTGAGCAGCAGAATGTTCACTAGGTGGCGTGGGGTCGTCATTTGGGGCTTTGCTATGGACTGACTGAAGAAACGCTTGAACATGGGAGACGGGGAAAAAGATGGGGTGGTTTTCCTGGCTTATATGGTGGAGGATTGACTCATTCCCAATCGGGCAATGGCGTGCTAAGCGCGGTCAAAGATCTATGGGCGGCGCACGACCGAACCCTGATTGGCCCAAACGGGCTTTTCCAGGCGGCGTTGTAAGAGTCATAGTGCGGGAGGACATTGTGAGGCTCGGTTATTGGTGCTTCTTTGTGCTTGGTGGTGATGTAATGCGTGAAGCATCAGAGTCAGGATTGGGAGTAGGAGGTCACAAAATAATGGTAGGATTTGGAAAAAAGGGATAAAACAGAAGGAGGAAGACTTTTGAAATGTAGGAAAATGATGCCTCCTCGAAATCAGTATTAGTACGATGGTTTTAGGGCTGGAGATGATTCAAGTATGCAGGTTATAGTCAGAGGTAATGCCATTATCGTAGTACTTATCAGACCGAAGGGAATTTTTGATAGCATGTTGGCCAATAGCCGAGTAATTCTCATCAGATCACAAAAGTTGAAAAATACAGCTTGTGTTCATTTATGTGTGGTGGAGTTCCTTAGTAGTAGTCATCGTCAACTACAATGAGACACTTTCCTCAGCATGCTTTGTTCGAAAACTATTTGAGCTCCAGCTCGAAGTGTATTTTTTTGAACTTGAGCCGGTGACTTTTGGCACCATAGATTGCCAACACGGAAGTATTGAGCATTGGCACGACGAAAGGAGCTATCGTAATCTAGCCTGCTAGATCACTGGATGGCTGTGGTTGGAGAATGTGGATCTTTTCGTATGAATGGAGGAACTAGAATGCAAACTCCCATGTTCCCATTTTCTTAGTAACAATTGGAACCAGGATCTTTCTCTAGATCGAACCCTTGCTCATTCAACTGGTAACCAATTCTTCGCTCCACTCTGCTCAACGTCAAAATCTTCAATTGCCTTCCTCACGCATAGAGCAGCATCACATCCACGTCGTCTTTCTCATCCTTCCCCTCCACAACCTCCTTGGTCTCGCCATTTCTGTACAACGAACGAATAAAGTCCGCCACCGTGCCGAAAATGCCTCTTCCACTTTCAGCGCCTCTGAGAACCTCCTGCTTCTTCGCCTCCATCGCTTCAATACGCAGCCTGGAAGCCTCAGCCTTCATCCTAGCACTATCCACCTGTTCCTGAGCTTCCTTCGTGATTCTACCAACTTCAGCCAAATACGCCGAAACCAGACTAGGCAATTCGCCCCTGGGCGCCTCCTCCATTTCCACATCATCCACGATTTCCGTGAAATACTGGTCTGGATCCGCCAGCGGAGCCGTAGTGTATTCCACGTTTGGAACGTCCATTTCGTGGTCAGAATCGCTCAATACCTGAGGCTTTCCATCATCGCTGATATCGTCGTACTCCTTCTCGTACTCTGTTTTGATTTCCACGGGTTTCTCCCGAAAATGGGACTCCTTCAAGGAGAAGGTTTTGGCTGGATCTGGAAGAACAGTATAAGCCAAGCCGGCATTGCTCGAAGGAGTGGAATCTTCCACTATTAAAGGGGAGTTCACATCTCTCATTGAATCCTCCTCATTCTCGTCTTTCTTCAAGGAACGGTACCGTTGTATCCTCTCCATGGTTCTGGAGTTACTCTTCTGTTCCACAACATTCACCCGTTTTTGGACATTTTCCGTTTCCTCCTCATACACCCTTTTCACTGCCCGGCCGCCCTTGGCCTTTTTTTTCTTGAAAACAGGCCGCTTCACCTGTGGTGTTTCTTCATCACTAATATCCATCTTGAGATGCGCATCGAAAAATCCAACTACTACTTGATCTACTCCACAGCTTAGGTTCACAAACCACAAAAAAACAACAACATATCCACAAATCCCCCGAAAATGGACCCGGCTGATATACTCCACCAGCGTATGCTGGAAGCTCCCGCCAGCAAGATGTTCACTCAGGAGGAGCTTCTAGACCTCATGAACGAAACCGACTTGTCCAAGCTTTTGGCAGTCACACAGAGCCTTTTGAACCGCAAAATGCTCAAATTGGCCAAAATCGGCGAAGATCTCCGATTCCAGGCGATTCTGGCGCTGGAAACGAAAAAGTTGACCTCGATGACCGACGATGAACAAATGATCTACTCCTACATTGAAGCTTCGGGAAGAGAAGGTATCTGGACAAAGACACTCAAGGCCAAAACCAACATGCACCAGCACATCGTCATGCGGTGCTTGAAGCTGTTGGAGCTGCAACGTTACATCAAGCTGATCAAGTCCGTCAAGCATCCTACAAGAAAAATCTACATGCTTTACAATCTCCAGCCGTCCATTGACGTGACTGGTGGTCCGTGGTTTACGGATTCCGAGCTCGATACGGAATTTATCGACTCTTTGCTCACTGTCGTGTGGCGTTTCATAGCGCTGAAAACGTTTCCTCTGGCTTTCCAGGAACCTCAGGCCAATGTGAATGTTTTCTCCAGCGTGTACCCTGCGAACCACACCGGGTTTGCCAGTCTTGACGCTGTCATGGATTTCATTACCAGCAACAAAATCACCAATATCGACTTGGCCCTCAACGACGTTCGTTCCCTCTGTGAAGTGCTCATAATGGACGACAAGATCGAGGTTGTCAGAGACACAGCTGATGTGTATAAGGCCACGTGGCAGCTGGTTCTTGAAGCTGGCTACGGAAGGGCCTACAGAGAGGGCACTTTAGATTCTGAGCAGGAGAAGTTCTTGAAGGAGCTAGACGCTGAGAACCAGTTCAGTCTTTTCGACCACTACTCTGTGATCAACGCACAGGTGAACGAGGATGACGTGGTGTACCTCGATCTGTGGCTCCGGGCCTAGACTTTGTTCATAGACGGCTCCATTTTGAGTCTGGACCAAAGTCACATTAAGCATCCAAAACACTACTAGCATGAAATTAATAAAAGGCGTTTTCGAAAGCGAGGCCGGTGGCCAAAGCAGTACTAGCATGAAATTACTTAAAGGCGTTTTCGTGAACCAAGGGCACACAGGCAGCTTCCCCGGCAGCTATATACAAAGTCTATAATCCATAATTTCCCTAAAGAATGTCCTTCACATTGTGGGCCTTGAACTTACGGCCAGAACGGTCCGTGGATCTGTGCTCGAACCTGGAACCCATCAACGTGAAACCAATAGTCTTGTTGTTCGTTTCCACATCAAAACCGAAAAGGGTGCCTTCTTTTGCAAGCGAACGAACTCCTCCTAACTTTTCAGCAGCCGAAACCGTAGGTCCATCTTCCTTATCCTTTTTCTGCTGAACTACAACGAAAAACGAGTTCTGAGCATCATGCAAAACAATCCCCTCGATTCCAACCAAATTACGGTTTCTGGACTCAAGCACACGCATTTTGCAACCGTGGAAATCAGCAGTCGATAACTTGGGCAATGCCATGTTGATGTTGGGTTTCTTATTCTCTCCAAAAAGCAAGTCCACCATGTAATTGTTCCAGAGCTTGTTGAGCTCTATGTAGTCTTCGTAAACGGGAATCTGAAGGCGTGCTGTGAGTTGGTCAATGTTCATATTGGGGTTCAGCTGGACGTATCTTTCGCCTCTAACTTGCTTGGTCTTGGTAGTTTTGAGGTACTTCCTAAGAAGGAATCTCGTGTTGCCCTTGCGTTTCTTGGGAATACGTTGACGCCTTGGTCTTTGGTCCTTTGAGTCTTTGGAGTCCTTCTCAGACTCCTCCTTCTTTTCGTCTTTTGAGTCTCCGTCTTTGGAGTCTCCTTCCGTGGGAACGAGGGGAAGAAACGGTTTCTGACCTCCAAAGACGGAGTACCTTTTATCGAGTATCTCGACAATCTGGGAGGTAGCATCGAAGCTTCTGCTGAGGAGGTGTTTTTCAACGGAATTGTCTCTGTCCATGCTGGTGTATTGGTGTTGTGGGACAGGAGTCAAGAGGTGACGTAGAAAAGGTAAACTTTGTTATGTGGACCTCAGGGAATTGTCTGTATTGTCAATCTCCAGGTATGCACTTGTAGAAAACGCGATGTAGCGATGAGCACTATGTAGTGACCCAACAAAGCAATGGATTCTGGGAAGCCCAATTAAATTCGATGTATGTTTTCTTGAAATAAGCTAAAATCGGTTTTCAACCTCAAATTGCCAAATTGCTTGATATCGCCTTTTTGCTGACTCCCACTGACTCCATACCCAAACTGTTGATGTCTTCCTACTTCGCACACTTAACAGTATGCTCAACAGGCTTCTACGAACCTTGCCTGTAGTTCGTACTGCACAGGCCAGACGGATCCACGTGCCTTTTCAAGATGACCTTACGCCTGCCGACGATGAACTTTTCAACTTGGACGGCTTCCAGGACTACAAGGAACTGCCGGATGTCATAGCACACAAAAAACGGTTGGGTCTAGGATCTGACGAAGAACCGGTCGAGCGGAAGCCGGAGCCTATGAAAGAGCAACTTCTGGCCTCCTCGTTTGTGGAAGCTACAAGAAAAAAGCAGCCTTTGGTGTTTGTGTCCAGATTGACCAACCCATACCTCAACTTGGCTATCGAGGACTATGTGTACCATAACATGCCTGTGCCAGCTGCAGGAGAGGCCAATTGCAACAGACTCATGTTCTACGTGAACCTGCCGTGCGTGGTTATTGGAAAAAACCAGAATCCGTGGCGAGAGGTGAATATGCCTTTGCTCAATTCGTTAAGACTACCGATGGTGAGAAGAAGGTCTGGCGGAGGCACGGTTGTGCACGATACGGGGAATATTAACTACTCGTTCATGACCACGAAGGAGGCGTTTGACCGCCAGGCGTTTGCTCGTGTTGTTTGTGAATCTACAAACAAAATAGCCCAGGAGGATAAGCGAATCATGGTTACGGAACGAGGCGACATTGTCACGATCAAGGACCAGTTGAAGGTGTCTGGATCGGCCTATAAGCTTACTAAAGGGCGCCTGTACCACCACGGAACGATGCTTCTCAATCTGAAGCTCGATGTTCTTCGGCAGTTGCTTCATCGAGAAGAGCTGCTCGGGAGTATTGTCAGTCTGGCTTCTGTGGAGTCTGTGAAGCTGCCAGTGACGAATTTGCATTTGGACAAGGAAGAGTTTATTGAAGCGATCAGCAGCGGTTTCAGGGATGCTTATGGGATTGTGGAGGAAGCGAAAGAGAAAGAGCCAGAGGAGATGAACGAGAACGAGTTTCTCGGGCTTCAGGACTTTGTGAATGCTTTTTCGGAGCGTCAGTGTGAGATCTTCGTTGTTGACGAGAATACCGAGCTTCCTCAAGAAATCGAGGCCATGAGAAACGAGCTCACCCTGTGGGAGTGGAAATTCGGCTCCACGGCTAAGTTTACCCACCGTTTTGAGAAGAAGGAGCGGGGTCTCGCTGTTGAATTTGAGGTTGTGAAAGGCCGCCTCAAAAGCATGAGCGTAAGTGGTGAAGACAAGGACATAGAGGCCATGGAGTTTCTTCAGACCATGTTGGATCGTGAGGGTGTTCCATACACGGGAAGTGATGTTGCAGGGTTTATTACGGATGACGAACTCAGCGAATGGCTTGGAAATGCCATCGACGGGCTGTCCTGACCTTGCATTTGGGAGCTTGAAGACGATGGAGGTGGTATCCTGGATTACCATCCAAAAGCATGTAATTAGAAAAATTAGACCATTGACAGGAGCCTAGCCGAAGAGGTTGTACGACACAGTGGCTCAAGCTCTACGAATGTACTGTTTTATAGATCATAGAATTGGACCCCATTTCACCAGCACTACCATCTTCCACCAGCTGTCTATTCTGTCAACCACTATTTACTCTATCCTGTCCTGGTGAAACACATCCTAGACTGTCCAGACCGATTCAATCGACGCCAATCAGTCAACCAATTTTATCCATCGCAATCCGAATTTCAGCCTAAATGGCATTTCCTGGCCTACGCCTGGTAGACAGGCTGGTTGAAGCCGTGACGACCCTTGTAGGGCGCATACTCGGGCTCCTGCCACCCCTTCAATACCTCCTCCTCGTCGTCCAACTTGTAAATCTCCAATCCCAACGGTCTGCAGTTGTCCACCATTTTCGTGTCTCCACCCTCCGTTTCACCCCAGTCCCAATTGCTCAAATCCCCGCCAGGACATGCCGAAATCGCCACAAGCAACTCCTGCTCGGCAAACATCTCGAAGTAGTCCTCCTTCAGCGCAGGGCAGGTTTCCATGAAATACTGGTCCTGCTCGGTCAAACCAGTCACCTGGAAAACGTTCAAAACGTCGTGAACGTCAAACTCCGTGAGTCCATACGGCAACACCGCTCGGGTCAAGTTCGAGTGGCAGTGGAAATCGTTATCCTCGCCAGAAATCAACTTGTCCACGTACGGATCACACCTGGTACCCAAGGTATCGTGAACCCGTCCACCCCATTCGTCGTGACGACCTCCCAAAGTGTCGGCTGTGATGGTCACAAGGCGCCGTAAAAAGGGCAAAATCGACCACAACCGGTCGTGCACGGAAACATGGGCCAGGTGGAGCTGTCTGGTTCTAGCAGCCCAGAAACGCTCTCTTGGGTTGTGGTAGTTCCAGATGTTCAAGTCACACACCTGGGGGCCTTCTGGCGTTGTCAAGCGAATGACCAGTTTTGCCGGAACCCTGACGGCGATACCCAGGCGTCGCGCACACAAGTGGGATTCGACTTTTGTCTTTTTGGCTTTTGCAATGCGGTTGTAGAGGTCCTTGTCGGCGTAGATTTTGGATCCTGGTTGGGGAAAATAGGCCGCTTTGGGCTTGGGCAAGCCGTAGGTGGTGCGGTCGGGCCGCTGGGAGCTGATGGAGTAGTCTGTCATGAAAAAGAAGAAGTAGGTGGTGGAAATGTGGAGGTGAAAAGTTGGAGAAGGTGCGGAATGTGGAGTGGATCTGCAATGTGCCCCAGCCGGTCGTTTGAGAGAGTTTAGAGGATAGAGATGGTTTTAGGGGATTAGGAAATTCAAGAGGATTGAAGGAAAGTTTGGATTTTGTATACTTTTGGGTGTGATGTTGGTGATGTTGAGAAACGTTGACGGTTTGGTATGGTGGGGTGGTGATGGAGGATGTGGGGTAGATGAGATGAGTGAGGTGATGAGAGATGAAAGAGGATTCAATTTGAAATAATCTGGGATTGTCAAAATTTCTATCAAATTGGCCGTTTGGTGAAATTGAGTTGTGATTGAATTTGCAGGTTTGTGATTCATTGGCTGGATTGGCTGCAAACGCGGAATATGTAGCCAAGAGTGGAAAGTTGGTTGATGTGGGTGGAAGTCATGAAAAGTGATGGAGGGACAATTGTGCAAACTTCAAATTCTTAGTCTGTTTTCAAAGCTGGAGAAATTGAGGAAAGCCAGATTGTGTAGTTGGTGTTTTGTGGCATCTGGAAGTGCTCCTAATGGCGGTTGACCATTTTAGGATAGTCCACACGAGGCAGCGAGTTTTCATAGCCCTACCACGACAAAACATGATTTAGAAAAAAGAGAGGTTTCTGATGGTCTTGATACGTCCATGGCCTCGGCAGTCAGAATAGAGTTTGATTTTTGAGCCAATAACAGGCCTCTTTTGTTAGTGCAACTATACCTTTCGTTCAAGACCCATGGGATACCAAGTTAAATAGGTGGCTAATCTAGAGACTAAAATAAAATCACTTGAACACCATCAAAACTTCAATATCCGAGACCTTTAACTCCTTTATAATTGGGCCTGGTAGCCCATCTCAGTACCTCAGATACGGCCGAGGTACGGCCGAGGTGTTGCCGTGCGAGGGGACTAAGAGGGGAGACGAAAGGCAAAGTCATAATCTCCAATGACAAGAAATCATGAAAGATCCCAGAATTGTGGAAGTTTCGGGTATTTATCTCGGCGTCGGGGTAGGTGGGGCAGGTGGGGTATGTGGTTGCAAAAGAGGGGCACCCACGAGGGGCAGACCCGGGATCACAACATCATTGTAGATACCTGAAATGATTCCTTTCATGTGAATCGGCATGAGAAGAAGGAAAGAAAAAAACCGCTTTGGAAGAATCAAGGTATTTCTATCAACGACCAAAGCCTCCATAGCTGAGGCCCCGATCCCTCAATTCAAGCAAAAAGGCTAACATCAAAATCCGACAGTCTCGCATCCACAGCTTCTCCGAGACCCTTAACCTTCTGTGGCGTCAGGGAATGCGTTCCCTTGCAGCGTTTCGCCTAAACGAAATGAAGATGTCCAACAATAGAGAAAGTCACTTCAATCAGCAGAACTTTGACCAATTGGGCTACTATTCAAAAGCTAAGCCTTAAAAATGGCATATTATACGTAACCATGGCATATAGCCTCACCCTGATCTCCAAGATAACAGACTGTCGTTTCGATGCAGCTCGCTCGATTGCATTGAACAACCTAATGCCACGTCTCAATCTGAAACCCATGTGTAATCAGAGTCCCGTTTTGTCATCAAATCCTTTATTCTGCTGACAGAAGCAACTTTTCACCATTGCCAGCCTGGAGGTCAAAAATAACCGATTGACTAATGGCATGCACGTCCTGCTTCCAAGCGAGGCTGCTTATCAAGCTGCTTATTCAGCGAACTTCCACCACCACAGTAAACCCGACTTTTCCACCACAATTGAAGAATGTTTGAACCTCAAATTTTAAAAAAACACTTTCAGTTTCATGACCCTCAATCTTCTTTTCCCCTTCCCCAAAAACCCTGATCTCCACCACCACACAGATTTGTCAGCGATTTTCGCAGCTCGTAATTTTACTAAAACAACCACAGCGACAGCTCTCGGTGCAGGCCAGGTTCCTGTGGCTCACGGTACCCTCGAGGTATAAAGCTCGGGAGAATCGCCCCAAATTCCTCTCATCATCAATTCCCACTTCTTCCAAATATCCATCATCACAAATGTCTAGAATCGCAGTTTTCGGTCTCGGCGGCTTCCTCGGTGCTCCAGTCTTGGAGGCACTTGAGTCCTCGTCTTTTTCAGACAAGATCAACTACCCAGTTTTGGCTGTCACCAGAGATGACTCCAAGTACAAGTCTACCGACAAGGTGAAATACGTGAAAGGCGACACCGCCAAAGATGTCGACGCTTTGACCAAGGAATTGAGCGGTGTCGATGTCATTATCTCCTTGGTCAGCCCAAGTCCTGATCTCAACGCTGCCATTGAGAAGATTGCTGCTGCTGTCAAGCCCAAGTTGGTCATTCCTTCTCAATTCGGCGTGGACATTGAGGAGTCCCAGCAAGTTTTCCCTGGTTTCTTGGGCATCAAGCAGGACCACTCCAAGAAGCTCAGAGACGCTGGTCTCAAGGTGGTGGACATTCAAACTGGTCTTTTCGGCACTGCCGACTCCTTTGTTGAGCACATTGCTCCTTTGGTCGGTGCTAACGCCGAAACCAAGCAGGTCAAGTACCTTGGCTCGCCAAAGTTCGAATTCTCCTACTCCATTCTTTCCGATATCGGTAAGGCTGTTGCAGCTGTGGCTACCTCCAACCCATCTTCTCTTCCAGACCAATTGAGAATTCAGTCTGGTACGATTTCCCAGGAGGCCATTGTGGCCAAGTACGGCAAGAGCAAGTCGATTGAGTTTTCTGCTACCGAGGTTTCCAAGGAGGATGCCTTGGCTGAGGCTAAGAAGGTGTGGGCTGAGGGTTTCGACGGAAGCAAGTTCCTCTACTACTTGCAGGCTATTATTTCTCAAGGTGAGGAGAAGGGCCTTTGGTTCACCAAGGACGACAACGAGGTTGTCAACCCCAAGGGTGCTTCCTGGAAGTGGACCACCATCTGAAGGGAAGGGCTGTAGCCTAGAGGTGTATAGAATTGAGGTATAGATTGAACAATATCATTGAAGTTTAGATTGAAAGAGTGTTACTGGAAGTATAGTGTAGTAGAGTTTGGTAGAAGGTCGGTGGACTTGTTCTCAGTATACGGGTCTTGAAGTGTAAAAGTATAGGCATAGGGCTAGTGGTGGCTAATGTAAAGATTGGGTATCTAGTGTACGTATATGTTGATGAATTTTTTGAATCCACTTGAGGATTATTTGGCTTATTCAACGAAACTGGATTATCGTGCCATTCGAATAAATCAAAGAAGGATCCATAGATCGGTCTAGGTACTGGTTAGGCGGTTTCGCAGCCATTACCACAATGGCCCAGTAGAAGTGAGGTGAGCCAGAAAGAACACATAATGCTTTAATTGGTTGTGCCACAGTCATTCAAAATTTGCTTGAACAGCCCCTTTCAAAATACCAATTAGTGCTCTTAGATATTAGACTACTCTTTAATGGGATGCCTATGCACCTCCCAATGGGGACATGCCTCACAATACACCTACAACAATGGGCAGGGGCTTACAGGGAAGACTTCCAATTTCGATTCGTAAACTCTACCATTTCCGTAAATCCAGAAAACCTCGAAATCAACATCCTCGGCGTTTTTGTCCAAACCCTCAAGTTTACAAAATTTTCCCCCAAGCCACCCACCTTCATATGATATTCCGAACGCGCTAAGCTAACTAGCGCTAGCACGGCTACTGGCTGCAAACTGGAAATGACAAAGTACCACAGATGCTTATTTCTTAGAAAAAATAATTGAATGAAATGAGAATTATTTAAAAGCCTCTTGTCAAAATGTTAAAATATCCACGTACCTCCTTATCCTCTTATCTTATCGCTCAAGCAAGCCCACCCCCACATCACCGGCCGATCCCGACTCGGACTTGAAAACCTTCTCCGAAATCACGAAAATCGCCCAATCCATCAAAAATCCAAATCTTCGAATCCCCCACCTCCTCAACTTGCCCCTCCTCCACCTCAATTCCTCAATCCACCTTTCTCACAGGGTCTATCATATGCATGCGCCAGCACATGCACCGAAGACAAAATATCAAAAAAACACTTTCAAAAGTCCCAAAAACCCCCCACTATATACTCCAACCAAGTGGCTCTCGGATATCGGCGGCTCCTTCCTTTTACAATGGCCCCCCTATAACAGGAAAACCTGGGGTACGCATATTTTCCACGGGTAGGCTCGGCTAATGCACGGAACTGTACAAGATGTGGGGCACGCTAGCATAAATAGAGGCTCGATCCGCTCGAAATTTGGGGTTAGCGAAAAATTTCCCAAAATGTCTCTTCGGTTTGTTCGTGCTTTTTCCTCCGCCAACGTGCTCAGAGCCAACTACGGTTTCATTGGTCTCGGCCAGATGGGCCAGCACATGGCCAGACACATCTACGCTCAGTTGGAGCCTCTGGATAAGTTGTATGTCTACGACACGGTTCCCGACGCCACCAAGGCGTTCGTTGAAAACGTCACATCTCAGAAACCCGAGGCCAAGAACCAGCTTACGGCGCTCGACCTGATCCCCAAGTTCGTCACAGGTGTCGACTCCCAGTTGGATTTCATTGTGTCCATGGTTCCAGAGGGAAAACACGTCAAGGGCGTTGTTTCCGAGCTCGTGGAGGCCTACAAGGCGAACCCACAGAACGCCTCCACCACCTTCTTGGACTCCTCCACCATCGACATCCCTACCTCCGTCGAGGTGCACGAGTTGGTCAAGAAGGAGCTTCCTTCGTTTGATTTCATCGACACCCCAGTGTCCGGTGGTGTGGCTGGTGCCCGTAAGGGTACCTTGTCGTTCATGCTCTCGAGAGCTGAGCACTCGGACGTTGCTCCAGACCTCGTGAAGTTGTTGAACTTCATGGGCTCCAACATCTTCCCATGCGGCTCACGTCACGGTGCTGGTTTGGCTGCGAAATTGTCCAACAACTACCTTTTGGCCGTCACCAACTTGGCTGTCGCCGACTCTTTCCAATTGGCCAAGGCCTTCGACTTGAACTTGCAGCACTACGCCAAGCTCGTGGCTGTTTCCACCGGTAAGTCCTGGGCTTCCGTGGACAACTGCCCAATTCCAGGCGTCTACCCAGAAAACAGCTTGCCTGCTGATGTCGGCTACCAGGGCGGTTTCATCACCAAGTTGACCAAGAAGGACCTTGTTTTGGCCACCGACTGTGCCGAGCAGTACGACCGTGCTTTGTTCTTGGGTGACATTTCCAAAAAGTGGTACCTCAAGGCTTGCGAGAGAGAGGACCTCGGAACCCGTGATTTGGCTGTTTTGTACGAATGGCTTGGAGAGCTCCGCAAGGAAGGCGGCGAGTACGTGGACAACAAGACGTCAGAGAAGTTTGACATCTAAAATAGAAAAGTAAATACTAATGGCACTGCGTGTTGAAGTTGGGGCACTAGGCCCACCTCTATATGTTTATCGTATGCATAGAAGCTCTATTTAACGAGCTCGTTGACGTCTTTGGAAAGCCGTCTGAACCCTTCGTTGGCCTTGTCGCCTGAGCTATCGGTAACTTCACTGATCCACTCACTCTGCTCAGAACTGGCTGTCAGAGAGCGTTGGGTGGTGCCCTGATGTGGAATGTCGCCGCTTGGAATAACTCCAAACGACTTCTGCCGCTCCTTGGTGCTCTGAAAGGACTGCTCCTCCTGGTAGTGTTTCTTGAGCCTGGGGTTACGAAAAGTGTGGTTTTCGATTCCACTCCGCCCAAAATACGTGCTGTTGCCCATCAAATCCGTCATGCTGGTGTTCATAAACGCACTAGGACGTCTTCCTTCGTCGAGCAGAAGGTTGCTGAGATTGTCGTCGGTGTAGCCTTCGTTGAGAGTCAAAAGAGGGAGTGTCAGCTCAAGAGGAGGGTCATCGTCAACTGCCAGAGCCACCGACGACTGTCTCGAAGCTAGCGGACCAATCACAGGCGAAGCGGGTCCACTGAGCAGTCTAAGCAGCCTCACGTCAGAAAGATCCATGTCATCTTCGGTTTCTGGAAGTCTAGGACTCTTGGGCCTGAAACCAGGAGAAAGCCTCTGCTCGTTCTTTTTAGGTTCAGGTACAAGCTCCGTTTTCTTCTCTGCCTCTGATGAAGTCGACGGCTTGCTTTCTGTCAAAGTTGTAGCCGAGGAGCTATCATCGCTATTACGAGAAATAGGCTCAAACTGCTTGCTGAGACGGTCCTTGATACCTGTGGAGCTAACACTGGTATCGGTGAGCGGCCTTTGCAACTCGATCGAAGGAACGGTGTCCTTTGCACCAGAATTCCGTTTCGCTCTTGTTGGCGATACCTCATTTCTCACTGGAGACGTCGCTGGATCTTCCCTCTCGTAAGCAGGTGGAAGCGTCCCATCAAAATCTGGGTTGATAGCCTCGAAAGATGGCGGGTTTATAGTAGGACGTCTCATAGGATCCGGTCTGAAAGGAGCAGGTGAATGCGCTGCTGATCTAGGACTAGCAAGTGGTTGAGCTTGTGGCAGTCCCAAGGATTCGAGCACATTTTCCTCACTTGGAGAATAGAGGTTAGCCTCTAAGTGGATCCGATGATCCTTCGCTATGGGCTCATCACTATTGGAAAGATGATGGAACAGCAATGGTGTAGGAGACCTTCCAGGAGCTCTAAACCGTGAGGATCCCTCAGACAAGGTTGGAGAATTGTGGCCAAAGTTTGAAAGGGCAGAAAATATGGAATGGCCGTTTTGCAGCTGGTCCACCATCGTCACCTCAGGGGAGTTTGGAGGCGACAGTGGAGCATATTGCGGAAGCTGCTCGGGTTGTTCTGGACGGTCATAGGCTGGAAGCAAAGTGTTGCAATGGGCAGCCAATGGCGAGCATAAATGAATAGGCGAGTCGATGGAGATTTCAAAGTGCTTTCTCTTCTCTGGGTTGGCTGGATCCTTCCGGGAGATTCTCAACGAGATCTTGATCCAGTGGTCACACTGAATGTTCTCAAACGACGTATCTGGGTGCATGGCAAAGTTGTATTTCTTGTTAATGGTGGACGGCACGAACATCTGGAATTCGAGCTCACGAGGTAGAACTTCGTCTTCTGGTGAGCCCACGTCTGGTCCATCATCAGTGAGGCAACCTTGAGCTGAAAGAAGCGACTTGTTTGGCTTGGCTTTGTGCTCTAGCAAAAGAAACTTTCTCGTGGGCTCTGCCCTGTGCACTGTTTTGTTATGGCAATAGTAGTGGCAGTTTTCCGTGACAGAAACACGGATTCTGTGGAGTGCAACCTTGCCATAAAGAGGAATAAACTTGAACGAGATGGGCACATACGTATCTAGAACCACGGCCTTACTTCCCACAAGAATCTCGTAACGCAACTGGTCCTCCCAGTCACGCTCAATAAAAATAGGCTCATTCTCTTCCACGCTGTTGTCAGATGGAATACGTACCACATTCACCGGCAACCTGGCCGTGAGGTTTGTCTTGAAAGCGCCCATTCTGATGATATTTGCCTCGAGGTTGTAGAATACTCTGCCGAAATTGGAGTCGATCGTTTCGGGCGACAGAGCGGGAAGTGGATGCTCAAAGTTGTAGATGTAGTCGCCAGGCATGAAGAGGCCTGGTTTTGCTGGCTCATTCAGAGCAGAGTGGTCTGCATTGGAGCCAGCCGACTGTGACGTGGTCAAATCTTGAAATGACGAAACCGGTGTTATTCCGGGCGCTGGCGAAGGAGAAGTGCCTCTAGGCGAAGTAGCCCTATTTATCAAACTCGCAGCGAACCCCCTGGCGGTATCTACGGGAGAAAGAAAGTCTGACCCCGAGACACCATTGGCCGGCTCGGATAGACTGAAATGGGTGATGTCGTCGCCCTTGTGGGGGTTTGTCGGAAGTGGTCTGACAAAGTCTGCTCCGAAATTGGGTGTATGCGTATCGGATTGGTAGAAAGGCCATGTGTGGTTTATGAGGTCATTGACCTCGGCGTAGCTACTTCTCTTTGGGGGAATGCCCTCTGGCCACTCTGTCCTTTGAATGCCCTTGAAATGCAAAGAAACCAGCTTCACTTTAGCCGGTTTGAGGATCCGTAGAACCAAGCACCCTCTAAGCAAAGAGGGGGTCTAGTTTCGAACTCTGCCGGTTTGAAACCCTGAAGAAAGAGATACTTCTCCGCAGGCACAATGAAAACCTGAACCAGCAGCAGCAGAGCCTGGGGAGTATCTGGAAGATTCGGCACAAGGACCTGTTCGTCAGGATTTTCGTCTCTGGCCGGGGAGAGGGCCAAGGAGGCGTCGGGGAAAAGCGGGGATCTTGCGAAATCCATATCCCACCTCAAATATGAAAATGTACAATGTTAATTGTTTATGAAAAGGAAGCGTAAGGTTGGTCTATGAGTGCCGTATGGATGAGAAGATGGATTGGCGGGATAGGCAGCTGATGGTCTGTGTGCAGTACGGCGTCAAGAGAGGACTGCTAAAAATTCGGGGGCAGTTTTTTCTTCTTTTTTTCGTAAATCGCCTCAGACGGGGCTTTCGAGTCCAGAATGGTTTTGCGGTGCTGCACGGCCAAAATTGCCGGGTTTCTGGAGGATTAGTAAATGTGCTTCGTTGCTGTGATAAGGGCTACACCACGTGACGATAAGCCAAACGCCGTAGCTTTCGGCACTTTCGGAAGCCGCTGCGGCTCCAGCGTTGGAATACGGGGATTTTCAGTTGAAGTGGTTATTTGTGTTTTGTTATAATATGTGATTTTTGTGTTCTAGTTCGTTATTGGGCCAGGAAGGTGCATTATCAGTTTGCGCACAATGGCTGCGAAATTGCTGCATCATATGGCGTAGAGCCACACGACGGTATGCTAAATATGGTGGGGGATTTAAGGTACTTTCTCATTTGAAGATTTTTTGAAAGTTCCAAGCAAGATGTTGAGTAATGTGAAGTTCAGTGATTTTGTCACTTGAAGGGCATTTGCAGATCAGGGTGAAGAAGTGGGGGCTCTGTGGTACAGTGCCAATTCCGCGGTACACAAGGAATTTGGATTCAGACTTTCGGTGACTTTCAATGATGAATTTAGGTGGATCAGGCTGCTATAGAAAATTTTAGCTTGAATGAGGAGAATTGGCATTTTTCACCCTCCGCAATAGGAAGTAACGGTCGTGGCTTAGTTGCTGTCGGTTAGAGATGAGCCATACGGCGATGAGATCAACACCTAAGCCTGAAATAGACTTTTGCCTTGCAGCTTTAAATTAGGGATTTGCTCTGCAAGGTCCAAAGATCCTCCTGCAAGGGGGAGTCAAATCCTTGAAAATTGGTTTTGTGGTCTGACTTGTAGCAGGATTCCGCATTGCAGTGTGGGTATGAATTGGACGACATGTGGAATTTGAAACTTTCAAATAACAAAGGACTCACTTGTTCATGGACAATGTTTGAAAGCACACCTCATAAAGTGCCTTAGCTTGTGTCTGGTCAAATCTTTTATGGTAAGCTGGAAACGAGATGTGAGTCTATTGAGCATCATATACTCATCCACGCCGAAACTTGTAATTGCTGCCTTACTTACGTCTAGTTCAAATAACACAGCTACTTTGTGCTTTCTCGAAGTAATACTAACTTAAATATATATCATGCCCATCAATATCTGATACACAATGGTGCCATACCGAGTATAACGGGAGTCTGCAAATTCAAAGGGACCCATATAGTCAGCCTTACTGAACTTACTTCATCATAAAACAATGCATCTGATTTGATATCATTAAGTATTAGTGTAACCCTTGGATCTCTCTAACTGGGCGCAAAACACTCATCGCGAGGCATCAATCCAAAATCTGTTCCACATAATTCAGGAACAAAAAAAAGCCATATTCACAAATTCAATAAATATTTATTTGATTCCTAACAGTACTTTACTCCAAATCTGTGACCCCTCTGCTCTTGGACCAACCCTACTACTACTCCAGGACTGCATCTGACAGACATAAACAACGGCCTTCTCCTACTACAAACCACCTTCAGGCCATGCCACGCCAAAGCCGAGAAACTTACCAATCTGATTCAGATTCTCCTGTATCTCTGGGGTCCAATTATGAGTCTGGCCTGGATTTCGATGAAGATTTGATCTCAGATGATGAAGATATCGATCCTGAGCTCCAGGGACCCAAACCAAGAAAGAACGATAAAGCCGCTCAATTGGCATCCACCTTGATGAAAGATTTGGCTGTTGACGACTCAATTGACTTTCTGGATGACGATGCCGACTATGTGGCGCTTCCTGAAGATATGGACATGGACGAGGACGACGATGATGATTTACTCAACAACTTGAGAAATGCAGCACACATGAAGAGAAAAAGGCCAAAGAGTGCCAGTAGCTTCAAGCGTCAGGTGATGAATAATAAGGACTTGGATCCAGAGAAAAGAACATACATGTCTCGAGGAAACGCTGCTTTCGTGAGAGGTGATCTAGAAACGGCATGGAAGAACTATGTTGAGGTCATCAAGATTGATAATAAGAGTTACAATGCCTACAAGACGTTGGCTGAAATTTGCCAGATGCAAAACAAGTACAACAAATGCTGTAAGTTCATGCTTATGGCGGCACTTTCCAATCCTTCAGATGTAGCACTTTGGGGCCAGGCTGCAGAACTCAGTACGGATTTGGGTCACATAGACCAGGCTATTTACTGTTACACGCGAGCAATTGCTAGCAAAAATACAGAGCATGACTATGACTTCATAATACGGCGTTCTGGGCTATATAAGCAGAAAAGGCAGTATGGACGTGCCTTAGAGGGATTGCAGAGACTCAGTCAGCAGTATCCCGAGGATTCATCCGTTGTCAAGCAATTGGCTGACGTCTATGTGCATCAGAAGCGTTACAATGATGCCATTGCGTTGTACAACCGTATTCTTGAAAAGAATATGAACCCAACAGAGACAAAAGTGCCGAGGTTCAACTGGTCCGAGCTCAATATCCTCACGGAGCTCTATATAAGCAAGAGATCATGGACATCCGCAATCAACATCATCAAAATCGTGGCAAGGTGGATCCAAAAGAGAACTGACGAAACGTGGTGGGACGAACAGCAGGACTGTGATGCCGAATTTGACGAAAGAAGAGGCCCTGCCATAATGAAGAAGAAGCCAAAGTTCTACAACGAGTGTGCCGGGCGCCCTCATGATTTGCCAATTGACATTCGCTTTAAACTCGGTTTCCTACGTCTCGAATTGGATCAAAAGGAAGAAGCCCTCCGACACTACGCTTTCTTGTTTTTGGAGGAGGATAAGTGGGAGGTTTCGGATTTGTTTTATGAGGCCGGCAAGCACCTTGAGTCGAAGGGATTCTATGAGGATGCCATCACCTACTTGAAAGGCGTTATCGATGAAGAACATTTGGCTGAAGTCCAGTACCTTTTAGGTAAATGTTACGCTGAAATCAAGGAATACGAAACCGCAAAAGCGCACTTGCTAGAGGCTATGAAAGATGATCCTGACAATGACTATCTCAAGACCATTTTGATCGAGGTGCTTTACTACACAAACGATCACGATGATCAAGCCTTGGCAAGCAGGCTTATCAGGGAGCTCAAGGCCCCCAAAGCTGATGAGGCACAACCAGAGTCAACTGACTACGTACCTCCTGCTGATGACGATGACGATCAGGATAACATAGCGCTCATCAAAAATGCGAGAGAGTACAAGGACACCAAGAAGGAGACGTTGACGGAAGAGGAAAGAGAAGAAATTGAACAGCGTGCTACACGCATGGTCCTTGATAAATTCAACAGAATGAAGAGGCTCCAGGAGGCTATCGACCAGGGTCATAAGGCTGCAGCATCTGCCTGGATGAACATCGCTTCACAGCTTATTGATATGTTCACCAGTGTCAAGGCATTCTTTCCCAAGAATAGGAAATCGACATTCAGAGGTATTGTGATGTACCTTCGTCGCAAGCAGGATCTGGATATTAACAATCGTTTGGCACGAATCAATAACCTTTATGAGGGAATCACGGAGACCACCAATTCCAGAGTCACTTTGACCGCACAGACCGAATTCAGAGGGCTTTCTTATGATCAATGGCTCTATATTTTTGTACAAAACGCTCTTCTTGTGCGTCTGTTTGACCATAACTTGGATGAAGCGATCAGCATCCTTGAGGTGGCTTTCGATGTGAATGTTTTCATCCAAGACAAACAAAGAGTTATGATCTTGCGCTTCGTGCGTCTATCGCTTGCAATTGACCAGCAGGACTACATCCCGACCGTTTGCAATAATGTTCGTTACGTGCTTACTTCGACACAGTTCTCGCCAACCGTTTACGGCATCTTCATGTGCTGTTTTGCATCTGGTGTTGCTGCCTGGGCAGCCTTCAGCAACTACAACCATCAGAAGTATTTCTTGAGACAGCTTAAAGCTTACGACTCTTTGCTCTACTCGTCAAAGGTGTCTGGTGCAGCTCATGTTACTGTTGATGTGAAAGGAATGTCGTTTGACAAAGAGCTTCCGCTGTTGCTCTACATGTACGCCTGTCTTTTGGGAAGCAACCGTGCATATTCTTCGCCAATTGTATACCTCACGAGAGCTTACAAGAAATGCTACAACGACCCCACCATCTGTCTTATGCTAGGATTGGCTCATGTGCACCGTTCGATGCAGAGAAATTCTTCCAATAGACACATGCAACTCCTTCAGGGAATCAGTTTCCTTTTGGAGTACAGAGATCGTCGCAGCAAAAACAGCACAGATTACGAAAAACAAGAGATTGAGTACAATTTCGGACGTCTTTTCCACATGTTGGGTCTTCCAGCACTCGCGATCAACCACTACAACAAGGTTTTAGAGTACCATGAAACTCTCAAAGACGATCCAGATTATGATTTACTGATTGACGCAGCTTACAACCTCACCTTGATCTACACAATCAACGGCAACACCGCTATGACCGAGGAGTTGACGGATAAGTACTTGACCATCTAGTGGTGCACTGGTGCGACCTACTGAGTATTCCTCATTTCTAGATGATCATCTCCCATCAACAACTACATGGTTCGTCTTAAGCACCGTTACATTCTTTTTGATATACTATATCCCCCTGTTTCCATTCCCCGAACCGGAACTCAAAAGGAGAAGTTCCGCGACTTCTGCGATACTCCCAAAGACACTCTTCTAGCACTACACGCCTCATCACCAGCTTCCATAAACTCCAAAACAATCGCCAATATACTCAAAAATGTTGTTCATGACCACTTTGGTGAAATAAGTGCAGGCGGAGTTGGCCTGCTGATAATTGTCAAATACTTCAGTAATAAAACCTCTACAGGCATAATACGATGCAACCGTCAAGACTTTGAACAGGTTATGGCTGCAATTGCGCTTGTGACGAAGGTGGACGCTTACGATGTTGTTATGAGGTGTGTCCATGTTAGTGGAACCATCAAGAAATGTGAGCAGTTCTCGATCAGGAGAAACAGACAGTTGATCATCGACCTAGGGCGTGATAAGGAGATGGAGTCTGGGCTCAACGAGTTTGTGGCTATGTTCAAGAAAGATGAAGCGGAGGAAGATGAGGATTAGCGTTCTAGATGTCTACAGGGTTTAGGTGGTTTGGATGAAGTTGATGACACCAGGTGATGGACAATTATCTGAGGTGTACAATCTTTTGATTGACCGATCAATGTCAAATATCACAACCTTAAAGTTAAGTGCCCACGTCTTTTAAATGCAAAAAAAAAATGCCTCTTTTGCCGTGGTATCTTGACATGTTTCACCTGTTGGTTGGTTGCAAATTAAAGCGGCCTGCACTTGGACTTACGCACATCCAACGATTTTAGTGATTGCATCATCAACCAACACGGCAACTCATGCCGCTTCTGAACATCCTACAGCAGATCAAGCGGAAGGGCCAAATCCAGCATAATGTGGCTCCTTCACTAGTCCAGTCCAATCAAACACTGCAGTCACGGCCAGGTGCATCCAGACCTAGTGCAGCACCAGCAGACCGTCCGGTCGACCCAGTTGTGGCAAGGCTAAAAGCGGCTCGTAAAGCAGAAAGAGAAAAGAAAGAAGCCGAAGCACGTGCTAAAAAGGGTCAAGCTCCAAAGAAAGAGACGAAACCAAGGGCGCCAAAACCTAGTCTGCGGCTGAGTGCTCCACCTAGAGATAAGTCCAGAAGCCCCATGGTCGCTCCGCCTCCTGCTGCGAGGGAGAAGAAACCAAAAGTTTCGTTTTCGCAGCTCATGAAGAAAGCATCTCTGATCGACCAGAGCAAGATGTCTATTCAGTTCAAGTCCAAAACAAAGTCCCCAGAGCCTAGAACCGAAAGAAGAAAGGCCGAGCCCAAGCCTAGAGCTGCCAACGATGTACATAGGGACAGGAGGCCCAATTCAGTGCCCAGGGAGAAGCCTCGTGCACCTCCAAAGGAGCCTACTAACAAAGCTAGAGTACCGATTCCCGCGAGACGGCCAAACTCCAAGCTTGAAGAAAGACTTCAGCAAAAGAAGCCCAAGAGCCAGGGTTACGATGACGAGGAAGACGACGACTCCGACATGGGCTCGTTCATTGCTTCTGACGAGGAGGAAGAGGTGCCGCAGGATTACGACCGAGATGAGATTTGGGCCATGTTCAACAAGGGTCGCACGCGGCGCTTCGACTACGATGATGATTCCGACGACATGGAGGCTACCGGCGCTGAGATCTTTGAAGAAGAGGCTCGTTCGAAGAAGAGAGCGTTGGAGGAGGACCGTAGAGAGATGGAGGAGGAGCAGCGTCTCGCTGAGCTCAAGAGGCGGCGCAAAATGAAGACGTCGTAGGCGTCACAGCATATATGATACAGGCCAAGCGCCACTAATAGCATACTAAACGGGGAGAGTTGTAGGAATCTCTAGAGTATATGGCACTTTAGATGCGCCTAGTATGATCTAATGGCTGATTCTCTGGTGTTGCCCCAAAGCATTGATGAAGCCGTTGTAAGAGAATATTCCTGAAACTCTAATACAATATTGTAAATTTCGACTTCTAGAAACTCAAACTTTAGTTCGAAAATTCCAACCCGTGGTGGTTACGGCACAGATTTCGCAGCCAATCTTCAGATCATCTACACCTCATCTTCAAGCACACCTCCCACAATTCTCCGCGTACTCGTCATTGACGGAATCATCTAAGCAATCTGCATTTATTAAAGCTTCAGCTTTCCATTCCCACCAATCAAAGACCCTTAAACCAGGATGTCCACATACAAGGAGGCCCTCAAGGAACTACGAAGAGAGCCACTTTCACTTCGAAATCGGTTCTTCCTGATTCTCCTCGACGCCCAGTACGTCTCCAAATTTACAGCTTGTGGGTTTCCCCTTGTTGCCAATGAACGCTGTGGGCTCTGGTACGTGAAACCAGAGATCCTTGCCGAGACTGCCTACTTCAAGTCCACAGATGGACACACGAACCAGTGGAAGTTTTCCTTCAGGAGGCTCAATTTTCACCTTCTTCCTTTGATTGCTAAGAATGGCGGTGTTGCGATTGTGGATTCCACAAGAAAGGGAAAACTCATGCCCGATGCTCTCTCGAAAACAGTGCCCATATGGTGTGCTGTGTTGAACTACATCATGTTCGAAGGACAAGACAGCGACTGGGACATACAGAAAGACAATTGGCTCAGGACGCCATTGGAGATGGTTCTGGAAAGCGAACACAGCTCCATAGTGGGAAAAATACCCGAGTTTGCAGCCGAACTCAAGAGACTAGGGTTGATCACGAAGGAGCAGTTGGTTTCTAGGCTCGGAGAAATAAAACCGTTAGTTCCCGTTTGGAGACGGTACGGTCAAAAAACGGTGGATGTGCCGAGATCACTGGACTACTTCACGGTGGTGTGTGTTACCGCCCTGGCTGTTTCTGTAGAGACTGCTGGGTTTTCTTACGTTCAAGGCGCTGCAGATGACCACGAGCTTTGGGCGACCAAGGACGTCTGCAATGGCAAGCTTGATGCTAAGGTTTTCTGGGATTTGATGAAGGAGACTGGTGAGTCCAGGATAGTTGATGAGAACGGCAGCATATACAGCTGGCTTTCCGATGGGGAGCTTTCCAGGAGGATCAATTGCATTTATAAGGAGCGGGTTGGCGACAGTGGGCTGAAATTGAATGTAACGGCTTTGGGAAATACTGGCATTTCGGTGGGTATCATAGACAGAAAAGTGGCATATGAGGAGGTTAAAGGGTATGATGCAGTGGTGGTACTTTCACAAGAGTATGGAATCGAGGCTCCAGAAAAGGCTACTACCAAGGTTCTCGACACGAAACTTTCAGAAGGCAAGCAGGGCTCAAAAGAACTCCGAGCTATTCTTCCCAAGATCATGGATGCATTGGATGGGTGCAATTCTATCGCCATCTTGTGTGGTTCAGGAAAGGACCTCTCCGTGGGAGTGGCTCTTTGCCTTCTTTGCAAGAGATACTCGACGACCTGGGAGGCATCAACAGGCCAACTCATTAACAAAGACGTGGTGAAGCAGCATTTGAGCAAGATTCTGGATCTTCGCAAGGTCAATCCCAGCAGAAACACTCTACAGAGCGTCAATACGTTTCTCATGGGCCGGTAATTTATAGAGCAAAGAGCCATTAATATCTCTTGGTGGATCGTAGAAGTGAATGTGTAGAGGTTTTCATTTTTGGATGGTACTGCTTTATCAGTGTGTCATGAATATTTCGCAGCCATTCTTGGATAATCAAGGAAATATGTAAAAGCAGATATACGTTGTCTCAAACCGGATAACTCCATGAAATTTCATATCATCCCTCTACTTTCAGGGTTATAAACTTCGTTTGAAGAATTTGAAAACCAACCGAATCCAATTCATTGTTCTCTGTACTTCCCTATCTGTGCGTGTAGTAGCACGCTTGTGAATATCTCCACCAAATTTCCCCCATATTCCCAAAATCATTACATTGACAAAACCATCCTAATACAGCACCCCGTTCAATATCAATTGTACCCTTCTTTATGAAAATCACTGTTTTCCCGTGACTTTTCCATATGCTACTTCAACCTCCGGTTCACTTCCCCACAGTGCGATTATCTCCTACTCTTCTTCATCACCATGCCACGCTTTCTATGCTTACCAGGCTATTTTCAAAGTGGCAAGGTGTTTGCTGAAAAGCTGTCGGGCTTCCGGAAAACGCTATCCAAAAAGTATGGCTACGAATTGGAATACCTTGACGCTCCGATTCTCATTGAAAAGAAGGAGGACCTTCCGTTTCTGCTTGGAACCGACGAGAAAGAGGCCAATGAAAAGTTTGAGTATTTGAAGAAAAAAGGTATCGCCAGATGCTGGTTCGACTACCACGACGGAATCTACGACCGCTTTGACGAGTCGTACGAGTTCTTGATCAACCACATCAGGAAGAATGGCCCTTACGACGGAATTGTGGGATTTTCCCAAGGAGCTGCTATGGCGGCGATAATAGCAAACTCAGTTCACTTGCACGGCATCAAGCCTTTCAAGGTGGCGGCGCTTTTCTCCGGTTTCGCTTTCACGGTATCTCTGACATCTTCTTTTTCGGAAGATGAGTCTCTTGCTGACTTCAGCGCCAGGCTGTCGGTGAACAAGGACTACGTGAAGTATTACCAATTGCCAAAGGACTCGCCCACAACGGTCATTGCCGTATACGGAAGGGAAGACGGGGTTGTTCCGCCATTGAGGACCAAATACTTGGCTTCTTTGTATGAGAACGCCACGGAATTCGGGCATGATGGCGGCCACTACATGCCTAATAAGAAGGAGGCGTTGGAGCCGATCGTGGAGAAGATACGATTTGCCGTGGAGCCCAAGCCAGCGCTATAAGAGGTAGATTTTAGAATACATGAAAGTCGAGGCGATTTGTTGAAAGAAACAGGTCGCTTGTGATACGAAGAGACGATATAGATACTAGTATGAACACCATGGGTATATTGAACATGTTGCACATGGCTACTGTAGTCACAAGTAGTCACTATGTGAACCAATTGTACTAGTGGCCAATATCAAAATTAGAGATTATCTGTCTTCGCCATCCATAAATTGGTATGAAATATCTACATTATATATCTGCCGCTAAATCCCCGGCCAATGGGTGACAACCCTGTCAGAAGTGTTGATGGTGGTGCACAGAACCCAACTTCATCAACTGCTACTACTACTCAATGGAAGGATCCAACAGCCCAGAGGCTGAGCATACTGAGAAACCCGCGTCTCCCCAGAACGGAGGAAGCTCTGTAGACCAGAGCCCACTCCCACAAAATGGTGACAAAAAACGCCAATCTGACAGTGAAGAGCCAGAGCCCAAGAGAGCCCACCAAGAAGAAACGCCAGACTATATCCAGTCTCTTTCACGAAAGGAGAATTCGGTAACACCTAGTCCAGCATCATCCTCTGTTTATAAAGAAACAAAGAAAGAGCTTCCAGCATGGATGAAGAGCAAAGCACAGCCTTCTGAAGCCAACAAGTACGATAAATACGGTGGGAGATCTTCAGCGGCACGTGAGCTGTCAGCAGCATCCAAATACGACAAATACGCCAAGTATGCCTCCAAGGACGACAGGTATCTGAAGTACGGTGCTAAGGTAGACTCTCAAGATGCTCGAGTAGTGAGACGTGCTGATACAGAACCAGAAAAAGATCCCCGCAGAGGTCCTAGTCAAAGAGAACCTATAGAACCTCCTGTGGAAGGCCTGCCTGCAGTTGCAGCATACACAAGTGTCCCATCTTTGGGAGGAGCAGGCCAGAAGAGTGAGTACAGAACATTTCAGAGTAGCATTGCTCATAAGGAAAATAAGGATATCAACAGCATTGTCAGACAGCACTACAACCAGCGAACCTTCCAGCTGCGGATGCAGGGCTCCAGAACGAGGTCGCCGATCTACAAGCTTAGAAACTTCAATAATGCCATCAAGTACATGTTGCTTGGAAACCATGTCAAAAGACTGCTGCCTGGAGCCCAACTCGTGCTTCTAGACTTCTGCTGCGGTAAAGGTGGTGACCTAAATAAGTGTGAGTTTGTGCATGTGGACCAGTATATTGGCGTGGATATTTCGGATGCTTCAGTTAAAGAAGCGTTTTCTAGATACTCCCAGAACAAGGCTAGATTCATTCCCCAGAACCCCCAGGCTAAGCGGTCTCGTGATTCTAAGCGCTACAACTTCGAGGCTTGCTTTACTACAGGTGATTTGTTTACCTACTCGCTACCCGAGATCCTAGAGCCAAACTTCCCTGGAATCATGGACGGCTTGTTCCCTGTGGACTGTGTCAGCGTTCAGTTTTCATTTCACTATGCATGGGAGACGGAGTCCAAAGTCCGTACTGTACTCACCAACATCACAAGATCATTGAGACCCGGTGGAACTTTCATCGGAACGATTCCGTCATCCGACTTCATCAAGGAAAAAATTGTCAACAAAAACTTTTACGAGAAAAACACATTCGGCAACGACTTGTACCATGTTCGTTTTGAGAACGATCCTCCAGAGGATGGTGTTTTCCGTGAGCCTTTTGGTAACCGGTACGACTATTTCTTGAAAGACGCAGTCGACGACGTGCCCGAGTACGTGGTGCCATTCGAATACTTCCGTTCGTTGTGCGAGGACTTCGGCTTGATCTTGCGGTACAAAAAGAACTTCACAGATATCTTCAACCAGGAGATACCGAAGTACTTTGGCAAGCTCAACAAGAACTTGATCGACGGTATGAAGCGTGCGGACGGAAAGTATGGCGTGGAGGGCGCCGAAAAGGAAGCTGTGGCATTTTATGTGGGCTTCGTCTTTGAAAAGCTCGGCAATTAACCAAACAAATAGAATAAAAACCACACGATGTATATGGTGAATAAGAGCGTGAGCCGGCCTCTTGTGGTGGTTCCAAGCCAAAGGCCAATGCCCAAGGATTTATCAGCCACTCTTCTGATGTATAACTGCTTGAGTTTGTCTATGGCAGTGCACTTCATGTACATCATGGTTGGTCCGCTGACGATGTCTTCCTCCTCTGCAATTCTCATATCCTTGCGAGCGTTGTGAGACAAATGACGATTGGGTATGTTACTGGGAAGTATGACCAAGTTGCCATTGTGGCCGATTATGCTTTCGGGTGCCTCCCTTGGAATGGTTATCAGCAAGTACACGGGACGATGGTCGGACCTCAAGTACTCATCAATGCTATCGTAGGCGAGGATGTTGGGCTGCTCTTTGCGGTATGTAGATTGATAAAAAATGCGGTCACACCACAGAGGGCAGCGGTGTTGGTTGTAGATAGCCATGCCTGGATGGTACTTGTAAGTAGGTTTAAATGTAATGCAACCCTCGGTGAAACCGGAAAACAAATCGCCGTTTGCTTTGCCCTGAGTAAGTTCATCGTATTTGAGCACCAACAGCTCCACTTCCGCTTCGGGAAGGCGACTAGTAGTGTAATTGAACGGTTGAGACACCTCTTGCTTGCGTACCTCGTCCTTGGGGTCTTTTCGAGTTCTGAAATTCAAATCGCCCATGAAGAAGGCATGTGATCCGGGCTTCAAAAAGCTGTAGCCATCTCCAAAGTCTAGAGCCCGCTGGATGGCCCAAATGTTTCGAATTCTCCGCTGGTAGTAGACCTCCCCTTCAAAAGCCCCAAGATGAGCATTAGTGAAGGTCAATTCCGTCAGCTTTGACTCCTCGTAAACGTACTTGACTCTGATACCAACACCGCCTTTTAAAGACGAGCCGCCGTTGCCGCAACTTGCCGTAGCCGTCTTGCAATCCCTAAACTTGGATGGATACGGCGTTATAGCAAATAGGCCGATCGCACCGACATGCTGAAAAGCAATGGTAGTGAAGCTTAGCGCGTCAGGACCATAGCCGTATCCCGTCTTGAGAGCCTCAATGGCAACCTCATTAGCCTTGATAAGCAACAGACGGGCCGTTTCTTCAAAACACCCGTCCATGACTGTGCAGAACTCCTGGAATCCAAACACATAGAGATGTGCTGGTTCTTTGGGGAGTGTGGGGACAATGCTCAGCAGGTACTCCACAGGATCAAGCGGCGTTTTTGCCAAGTTGAATGTATTTAGATAGAGGGGGATCTGGTCTGTCAGCATTATGGTGATGTAGTATGAGGATAATCTGGAGAATGATAGCAAGCTGTGCAGGCCGTACGGAGGAACCAGACCATGCGCCACAACTAGAGATTTTGGGAGCACAAGGAGAAGGTAGTTTCTGAAATCGTCAAAATAATACTTCTACCCGCTAGTCTATTGATAGTCTGAATTTCTGGATCATGGACCGTATATGTTATAGCATGGTGTACGGATGTGTCATGCCTATGTACCGATGCTCTGCTGAGGCATCCACAGCATGTCCCTACTAGAAGCCCAAAGACAGCTCTTGGAAGAAAACGATGCTTTGGAGGTGGCTGTAGCACAGCGGTTCCGGAAGAATCCGGGTCTTGCCGGGTCTTGCCGGGTCGACCAGTCCCACAAGCTAGCCACCAAGAAGAAGCGGTCTCATAAAGAAACGCTTCTCGAGGAGCACGAGCTCAAGTTCTTCGAGGAGACCTTCAGTGGTAACTCCAAACGTCTAAAAGAACAGCTCAGCTCGAAAACTGATCTCGTGAAGGAAATCAAAGCATTCAAGGACCCAGACTTCAAGTTCCATCTGTTCCTAGATGCCATGAAGGACTTGGATAACAAAAGAGGCGATAAGCAGACGTCTGCCAAAACCGTGCTTTCAAGCATTCTACCGTACCTGAGTGCTCCCGAAGAGGACCGGAAACCAGAAACCAATAAGGTCAAACGGAAGCATCTTCTTTCTGTAATGGGTGCTCATATCAGACCCCAATTGGGCTTGAAGTTCAATGAGGTCGAACAGTTTGGCAAGTTTGTTGATTTGTCATTCTTCTTTGACCAGTACAAATTATTGGTTCCTTCGAAGGTTACGTATGTGGACTACCTACGCAAGTTTGCAGACTTTCCGTATCTGACTACGTCTGATGAGTATAAGCGGTACCTCAACCAGCTTCTCGAGTACTTGCTTGACTTCTACAAGAAAACACATCCTCTTGATGAAGTTGAGAAGCCTCTCGAGACAGAGGAGGATTCTGGAGAAGAGCAGCTCGAGGAAGGGAAACCGAACGATAAAGGCGAGGTCTTCTGCAAAGCCTGCGATAAACTTTTTACCAAAGAGTCCGTGTACAAGGGCCACCTAGACGGAAAAAAGCACAAGAAGAACCAAAAAGCCCTTGAAGAGAACGAGCCCGCAAAGAAGGCGACCAGTGCCACCACAGAGAAACAAATCGCTCAACTAGCGAAGCTCCTCAAACCCACCATAGAAGAGACCATCAACCATATAGAGAGAAGAGCTGCTGCTTCGGAGCGTGAGCGCATGATTGAAGACACTGCATTGGCCGAGGAAGAGGAGGAGTTCACAGCCACAGACACAGACTCAAGTGACGAGTCGGATAGTGACGACGACGATGATCTACTATCCAAGCATCTTCCTCTTGGCACAGATGGAACACCCATCCCACTCTGGCTCTACAAGCTCCAAGGTCTTCACAAGAGCTACAATTGTGAAATCTGTGGAAACACCAAGTACAAAGGTCGTCAGCAGTTTGACAAACACTTCCACCTGGCAAAGCATATACACGGTTTACAATGCCTTGGTGTGGATGACGAGGCTTTGGTGAGTTTTGTCGGCATCTCCAGCATTGACGAGGCCAATGAGTTGTGGCAGAAGCTCAAGAAGATGAGAAGAAATGAGGAGAAGGCTGCTGAGACGGCAGTGGAGGTTGAGGATGAAGAGGGCAATGTCATGCCCGAGAAAGACTACCTTGAGTTGAAGAAGCAGGGTCTTTTGTAATTGGTGTTGACAACACGGCACAGGGTGCCTTGTAATATATGTAATTCAGAAACATCATCTAAAATGCTACGTAGTGAATTCATCTACTAGAACTTTTGATAAAGAATTTGGAATCAAAAATTAGTTTGATAATTCCAACGTCCATGAGTATCCGTCATTGTGTTTGGATCCACAATGTTCATTGACGATACTAGGATTTCTCAGCAACACAACGTACAAGTGCGTCAGTAACACGACTGATTGAATTGCCTTTCCAATTTCCCTCTTCTTTCTTCTTTTTCAAACACTGCCTCCTCTGTTCAGACTTCTTTCCATTCATGTCTCAGACTCACTGGACTTTCCCAACCGAGAAATCCATGAATGACAACACAATTCGAATGACCATTACCCTAGCTCAGAGGCAGGATCCCAGTCCCAGATGAACATAAATAGAGGCCCATCTTCCCTCCATTTCTCTTTCTTCATCACCACATTCAAACATATTAGCTACAACAGAGATGAACGCCTACTACAACTTTTTCCGTGCTACAGCTTCCCTTGCCTCCAAGGCCATTAACAAGTCTTTCACAGGCATTGTTTACACTGCCACCTACGCCGCAGAATTCATCGAGGACTTCTCCCAAATGAACTCGATTGTAAGCGATGCTGTGACCGAAACTCTTGAAGTCCCCGGTACTTTCCACGAGTACGACTTCAGCGAAACCATTTCCCCATCTTCCCCAGAACCCATCCTAGTGATGCCAGGTTCATTTCCCCTGACGAGGAGGAATCGATTACCAATCGTCGCAGAAGCCTCAAGGCTACTAGCGACTGGCAAACCATTGAGCTTCGTAAGAGCCCAAAGAGAGCTTCCCCCTCTCCCTTGCCGGTTCCAACTCCAACTCTCAAGCCTAAGTTTCAGCTGTTCAGAAGACGCATGAAGCATACCAATGGCGGGTTCAGAGAGCCTTCTCAAGACATGAATAAGGTCTTGACCCTGGGAAACGTTTTCCTTGTTCTCCAGGAGTGTTGATGCCTTCCGGGCTCCACTAACATAAAATATATAAAAAGCAAAAAAATAAATAAAATTGAAAAGGATACGTAGTGAGGAGGGTGGGTGTGTTGAGGCATGTGGTTCATGAGAGGAAGGTCTGACATATATGCTTTGAAGGGCAGGGGCAGTGAAGTCATTCACTTTGGATGAATTTTATTCTTTCCTGATATAAGTGTACCACTACGTTTGACTCAGCCATCTTACTGCCTTGTTACTTTGTAGTTGGCTACCAGACAAACTATATATTGCAAAATTCGAGAATTTGGTGAATGATGCCCACAAGAGGTTCACGTAAATCTCGTCCTACATTTATGTTAAGCAGCTTGCAACACATTCTACAGTAATTTTCAGTCTGAGCTCTGGCTTCACAACATTACAACTCTCATACCAGAGCATTACTTCTGTTGAGGTAGTAAGGTCGCAGGTACCATGGGTCTATAGCTTCAGCAGGCACATAATGGCATACCTCCAGGCCCATATTTAAAGCTATCAAGTATATGAAGCACTCGTCTTGCCAGTCTTCGTCAATCCAGTGCTCTAAGCCTCTCTACTTGCTCCGTCTTCGGCTTCTGGTGCTCAATTTGCACCCAACGACATCTCCACATCCACACCATAAAAATCAAAATAAACACCATCGCCGTAATCTCCAAGCGAATCTCTATCTCCTCATATCCTTTTCACCCCCAAAAAGTCCATCTTCAATTTGGTCCCCCAACCACTCTAAATCCCCAGACGCTCAGTGCGAAATTCATGGTCAGACTCCATCTCCATCGAACTTCCTGGATCAGACACATGACAGAGTCGGCGAAAAGGGCACTGCTGCCGAGCGGACCTCCTGCCAAATCCAGACCTCCCCGTGGAACCATGAAATTCAGAGACGATCACGGGTTTCGGGTAAAACAGCAGACTATCGACAAGGATAAGGTGAACTCAGAAGCCCAGCCTGGAAAGACCATTTTCGAGGAGGAGACAGAGGGAGCCTCTTATGTTATAGAAGGCCCGCTTCGAAGAACAACGCTGTACTACTTCACGTACTTGACGTATTGCAAGCAGAGATGGCGGGACAGGAAGATCTTGGATGTGTTTCTCGATGAGTTCAGGGAAAAGGATCCAGAAATCTACAGGAAAGCCATTGCCAGCGGACAAGTCACTATCAACAAGAAACCCACTACGTTGGAGCTGGTCGTCAAGAATGGCGATCTCATATCACACAGATGCCATAGACACGAACCGGCTGTATCGCTGAGACCGATCAAAATCGTTTTTGAAGACGACAACGTCATCGCCATTGATAAACCTTCGGGAATCCCCGTGCATCCTACGGGCCGCTACCGCTACAACACCATCACGAAGATCTTCCAGCACGAGTTTGGAAAAACCGTGCATCCATGCAACCGCTTGGATAGACTCACACTGGGACTCATGTTTCTCGGAAAGAACGCACGAGGTGCTGATTTTTTTGTCAAGCAGATCAGGGAAAGAAACGTCAGGAAAGAGTACATCGCCAGGGTGAAGGGCAGGTTTCCAGTAGAGCCAGTTGAGGTGGATCAGCCTCTTCACACTGCTTCGCCAAAACATGCATTGAATGTTGTGGACCACGAAAACGGTAAACCTGCTACTACCGAGTTCAAGCGTGTTTCTTACGATCCGGCTTCTGATACGTCTATCGTCAAGTGCCACCCATTAACCGGAAGAACCCACCAAATTAGGGTCCATCTTCAGTACATTGGCCATCCTATCGCCAACGATCCAATCTACTCGAGTGAATTCGTGTGGGGTCCTGAATTGGGCAAAGACAATGTAGGAGCTCCTTCAGAGGTCATTGCAAACCTAGACAGGGTTGGTAAGGACAAGGCGTGTTCTACATGGATACATCCCGAGGAAGACGGTGAAATTCTATCTAAAAACCAATGTCCCGAATGTAAGATGCCACTCCACACCGATCCAGGCCCTAACGACCTAGATCTCTGGCTTCATGCTTATAAATATGAGGCCTCCGATAAGCTGTGGTCGTACTCGGCCCCATACCCAGACTGGGCCATCAATCCACACCGCAAGTTCATGGAGCTTGCTATAGAACAAGCCAAAAAGTGTGGCGAGACCCAGACACAATTCAATGTCGGTGCCGTTTTGGTGCTTGACGGCGAGGTGCTTGCAACCGGTCATTCCCGTGAATTACCTGGCAACACCCACGCAGAGCAGTGTGCCTTGGAGAAGTACTTCAAGGAGCACAACACTCAAGACGTTCCTAAGGGTACTGAGTTGTTCACCACCATGGAGCCCTGCTCATACCGTTTGAGTGGAAACTTACCCTGTGTCGACAGAGTGTTAGCCACCAGCATCAAAACCTGTTTTGTGGGTGTTCTTGAGCCTGACACTTTCGTCCAAAACAACACCGGCAAGGCCAAGTTGGAGGGGGCTGACGTCGAGTATATACATATCTCAGGCTATGAGGATGAGTGTCTTGAGATTGCCAAGTTGGGCCATGACAAAAAGGAGTGATCAGTCGCTCTCATCCAAATCTAAAACAACGTCCCGCGTTGAATATACGAACACATCACGACGATTCCGTCCCGCTTGCTCGGCATCAGCAAAGGAAACGCTCCTGTCGTTGCTTCGTAAGTTGTCGACCCTCTCCCCGCTACCATTTGAGTTCAGCATTGCTGCTCTTTCTCTTGATCTCCTTCTCTCACTGGCATGTCTTTCTAATTGTGCCAAGGGTGCTTCAGCCAGTCTTTCCACAATAGGTTGTTGAGCAGGACCATAGCTGCTACTCACACTTACAGAGCGTGGCACAGCCAAACCTGTGGCGATGATCTTGTCTGTAATGTCGAGGAACATAGTTTTGGCGTTATTCATGCCGTTCACGAATTTGTAAAATTTTGAGTGGCTGGGTTCTTCTAAGCCCAGGCTTAACTCGCCTGAAGTGGCTTTTGCCAAAGTGTTGCTGGAGCTGCTTTGACTGTGGAGGTTTTGTGGACGGTCTCCGTCATTATCGTCATCTTCATCACTAGAAATGTCATCATGGAAGGACTGTCTTCCAGGAGTTTCTGGTGCTTCTTCTTCTTCTACGAATAACTCAAACCTGTCGAGCTCATAGAGCTCATCTTCGTAGAAACGGCGTCCAAGAACGCCTTCCTTCTCCATCATTCTCCGGATGACATTATACTTATTACACCACTCCCACGGAATCACCACACAGATGACGTAGGTAACAACAGAGAAGATCTCCGAAAGCGCATACACCCATGTGTTGGAGACATCAGCAATGAAAAACGCCACCGGGGCGTAGATGAACACTAATGTAAGGAGCGAGATGAGCCAAATGTGTCTGTTTGCTATGATTTGCTTGATTTTTATAAGCAAGAAGGCTGTGAAAATCGCAGCGTAACACATACCCATGGCGATACGGAAGAGGTATGTCAAAGCGGGAATAATCTTGCCAGCCTCGGCTTCCTCATGGAAGTTGTGGAATTTGGTGATGCCCCAGAGGGTCTGAGAAACAACTGCAGCGCTGGTGCCCACGTAGAATATCAGTCTTTTGTCGCTTTGTCTCAGGAAGAGTCTCATCACAACTTGAACCTGCAAGATGAGAAGAGAAAGAACCACGATCATGTCTATAATGCTCAAATATAGCGTATCGTTGACCGCATTGAGAACAGCTTCACCGTGCAAATATCCCTGTCGCTGCTGGTTGTGCAACACGACAATAGACTTGACGACCGTTATTAGCATGTAAACTGAGGAAAGGATCGTCAGCAGCTGTAGTAGGAAGGATGGTTTGATGGTGTAGTTTGTCAAGACGAATATGGTGAAGAACCAGGTGATGACGGCCAGGATGGCGATCGAGTAAACGATAGGAACCACGCTGTATACAAACGTGCCATTATGAGGCGGCGTGGTGAATTCCTCCCACAGCTTCTTAACTAGAGGAAGCGATTCGGAAAATGTGTTAAGCACCAAGTTCACATTTGAGTTGAGCATGGGCGTCGTGCCCTGGTAGCACTTTTGCTGGAACACAGCACTTCGTATGTATCGGACAGGTTGGCTGAAATCGTGACTTATTAGAAGCCCTTCCGGTAGCTCCATCTGAAGGCACAGATCGTACACTTTTCGAGACCCGCTACTTCGCCAGAACATTGCCATTATAGTTGTGGGCGGTGTCTGATTTTAGCGAGATTATTACTCGAGGAATGAAATGAAAGATCTAAAGCTTCAATAGCTGTCAAAAAGAATGTGTTTGGGATGGTCTTGGCAAAGGTGGTGTAGTAGGTGAGGCCTGATATCTTACACCCGTACCTCCACTGACCCAGGGTCCACGATCTAGCAAGTGGCCAGCAGTTGTCAATTTGGCTTGTATTATATTAGATTTGGTTTTTTGGGTTGTCAATTTTATTTCCATGATAATTTCCGGATGGTGAAGTAAAGGCTGATTTGGCCATGCTGTGTTGGTTGAAGAGCCCCATTGCGTATGCAACGGAATAGGACGGTTTACCGAAGAAAGAAAGGGTTTTTCAGTTTGAGGGGTTTTACAAACTCCAAAGGCCGCTTTCCATAAAAAAGCAGCTCTGCTTTCTATGTTATGTGAAGCCAACTGCTGGGGTTCGGCAAACCATCAATGGCTGCGAAAAGAATGAGCCAAGCCATCGGCTCGTCTAGCAGCCGACAAAGAAGTCAAACGCCGAATAGGAAGCAAACGTCGATTGTGGAAGACTTGAAATTTCCGTTTTAATGATCCAATAGAACGAGATCAAAAATAGCATCTCCTCGTGAATGTGAAATGTGATCCGAATGATACATATAGTAAATGACAAATGTGGTTTTTAAGGATCTCAAACTATGGATTTCACGACAGCGATTATGCAATCTTTATCTTTTTGATCCTCTTCAACCCATTGTGAAGTGACAATGTGGCACCTCCATAGCCGTGCCAAATGGCCATTCAAGACTTCCTGTAACCATCAAACACCCGTTTACTGACACCTAATGCTATTTATTTGTAACCCACTCTGTTCATTCTGCTTCGATTCTCCCTCTTCATCAAATCCCCAGATCACACTGCAAGTGGCCTGCCTCATCTAGTGTAAATCACAGCTCTAGCGGTTCAGCCGCATGTTCCGGTCCACCTTGACGAACACATCACATTGCCATTCTTCAAAATCAGACAATTGTAGAAAGCTCAGCAATAAAAACAAAAAACCTAATTGGTTTCCCTCACCAAGCGTGCCTCTTCCATACAACCATGCGTAGTCGTATCTAGCGAGAATGGTTGCAAATACCGATATACGACAACCCATACCGATCGAAAAGCACCACAAGCACCTAAATCCCAAAAAAGAACAAATCATCCAAAACCTCTCACCTCTCCCTTCCCTTCCCGCCCAAAAATCCAAACCTCCCGTTTCCTGATAACTCCCCTTGCCGATACCGGTGGCCTTGCTGCCTACACATAATATCTCAAACCCGATAGACTTCACCACTTCACCTTGTGGCTTCATTATGGCGTCTCTCGAAGCCAATGAGCATCAGGACGTGTTGCTTTCGCCGCTTCCCCGCTCAGAGACAGACGTGTCCCACAACTACTCCTTGCTAGACTACTATGGCTTGGACGGCTTTGATGTTCAGGACCAGAAGAGTGAAACTTCATATGTCAAGGTTCTGAAGGACGTTCCGGCCCAGGAGGAAAACGGAGACATATTTCCGCAGCCAGTGGAGGTTCAGCAGGAAGAGCCCGTGAAGGAGGTTCAGCTGAAACCGTCCAAACTGCCGCTTATATCCTTTAAACCGGTGGTGCTGGAGATAGACAAGAACACCTTATTGCATAGCGACTTCGACATGTACGGATTCAAGAAGGACCTGTCGTTTTTCGACTCCTCGAAGGAGCAGTACAACCTGTGGTTTGGCGACTACGCCGACCAGCTAGCCCAGCAGAAGAAGAAGTGGCAGGTTCTACTCAAGAACAACGGATTGGGCTATTCCTCGGAAAGCCCCAGCAGATTTCCTCCCAAAAGCGATAAGGCCAAGAAGCTCGTGAGGAAGGGAATTCCGCCCGAGTGGCGAGGCGAGGCATGGTTCTTCTACGCTGGAGGCCCAGAACGACTCCACAAAAACGTCGGTGTCTACGAGAAGATCGTCGCCGACACTGAGGGAGTCACCAACAAGGACACGGAAGTCATTGAGCGGGATCTCAACAGAACGTTTCCCGACAACATATACTACAACCTGCTGATCTTGCAGAGCGAAAAGGTGGAGACCGAACGGATCCAATCATTGCGCCGTGTACTTACTGCATTTGCTCATTACCAGCCACAAATCGGCTACTGCCAGTCTCTCAATTTTTTGGCAGGTCTCTTGCTTTTGTTCATGAACGAGGAGCGGTCCTTCTGGATGCTTGTGATCATGACGGAGCGGATCCTCCCCAAAGTGCATTCAGCCAATCTCGAAGGCGTCCACACCGATCAAGGTGTCTTGATGCTTTGTGTTAAAGAGTACATCCCACGGCTATGGCAAATTATAGGCAAGAACTTCGAAGGAGCCGTGCTCTCAGACGATAAGATCTTGACCCGTTTGCCGCCGGTGACGCTTGTCACCTCCTCCTGGTTCATGTCTGTATTTATTGGCGTTTTGCCCATAGAGTCCGTGCTCAGAATCTGGGACATTCTCTGGTACGAAGGCTCCAAGACCATCTTTCGCATCTCCCTCACGGTATTCCGTCTCTGTCTCGACCATCCCCAGTTTCTGGGTGAAGAGAAACGAGGCGATACGCTGGAACTGGACCAGATCGAGCTTTTCCAATTCATGCAGAGCTTCCCGAAATCCATCACTGATCCAAATCTTCTCATTGACAAGTGCTTCAAGAAAATCGGCGGCTACGGTTTTGGCTTTTTATCGCAAGACGAAATCAACAAATGCCGTGAGTTTGTCGCTCAGCAGCGCAGCAAGCTCCGCAACAAGGCGATGGTGACGGCCGAAATGAGCGACATGGAGCGGGAGGCACTCAAAATACCCGACACCTCTGAGATTCACGACGTCTACGGTTTCCATAAATCCGTCATGAACGGTGTGGCATGGAACAAGCATCTCAGCAGCAAGATGAAGAGCAAGTTCCGGAAGCACCGTGGATAGGGTGGGCAGATACCCCGAGGCATCCTCCCGATCCAAAAAAGAATATTCATAAACTCCATTTCAGCCATTGGAATTGGTTGCAAATTGGCGACTTGGAGGTGGTGAGATCACGTGCTGCCAGCTTAAATTCTGCGGCATCCAGAACCCATAGACAAACTACACCATGGAATACAAGTATCTTATACTGCGGGTCGCCGACCCGCTCATTGCCGTTGGCGTTGGTGTGGCGGCATATTACCTCCACGAGAGGCGGGCCGGCCGCCCGGAAGGCCACACGCTAAATGAGCTTTTAGCCAGGAGGTGGAAGTAGTCTACATCGGCTTTCTACCTCTGTATATTCAATGAACTAGCATACGATGATAGCATGACCAATGCAACAATCAGAGAGTGCCCTTGAACAGCTCCACTGCCTTTTGTGCCCTTTCCGCTCCGATGTCGAGGGCCAAAAGCAGGCCGATTTTCGTCCACGTGGCCTCTGTGACCACAGGCTCGAGGACGGCCTCGTCTGGGTCCTCAGAAGCAGAAGATGCTGGTACGGGCTGTTCGGGGCTCTTGGATTCTGTAGATGTAGTGGGTGGAGACACCATGACGGTGATGGCGAGTTCCTCGTTTGCCTTGGCCACGGAGCTGATCTGCGTAGAGTCCGTAAGCACCTTTGCTTTGAGCATCAACTTCAAGTTGGTTGGCACCGCTCCAGCGTTCTTCAACGTGTCTACCGATTCCACAAGTTCGCTTTTGATGTTGAACACCGTCAGTTCAAGCGGCACGTCCAACGACGCGGTGAACTTGAAAGGTGGTTTGATGCTTTTAAAATTGAGCTTCGTGGACTCTCCAGCAGCCTTGGTGGCCTTGGGGAAGCCCCTGGGAAGTTGGGGTAGCGAAGGACCCAACGAAGTCAATTTATGGTAGTCCTCGGTGGAATGGAAGGTCTCAGGAGCAGCATCGCTCAGTAAGCGTATAAGCTGGGCGTATGTTGAGAAGAACTGTTTATCGTCGACCACAGACATGATGGCGTGAAGAAGAATGGGTGTAGGTTGTGGAAGAGTTGGTGGTTTAAGTGCGACTTGCACAGTGAATGATCGGGCATGGCTGGGTGGATTGGTCAACAAAACGAGATGAAGAGAAGAATTTTGTGAAATAGCAAAATTTAGGCGTTTGTTGCGAAAGTAATGAAAGAATGCTTTGGTTATATGAATTCTCTTGGAAGGTTGTGTTTGGCATGTGTTAGGTGTAATGGAATGGCTGCGAAAGGAGAACAAGAATAGGGCTCGATGGTGTCTCACTACGGTTCAACTGACTGCCCATTGAATAGCCTTGGTGGTCAACTATTTCAATTTTGAATCTAATGTATCAGTAAAAAGCCAATACCCATCTGGAAATCAACAATTCTCAAAAGGTGACTTCGGATCATTCACAGTATTTCTCCATATTCTCTCTCTGCCAAGTTCGCACAGTTTAGCATCTACTTGGCGATATCATGGACCATCTATAAACTACACCCTTTTTATCACCAACTCACTGAATCTTCACCACTCCTTACAATTCCAGTTCAAGGGACCCTTTGACACTATCAGCTTAATCCATTCATCCGAAAACATTTGATCCAGCACTATGAGCTTCTTCAAGTCATTCAGAAACAAGTACTCCAGCCTTCCTCAGGATGACGGGGCTCCGCTTCCCCCTCCTGCCACAGAACCCAACCAAAGCGGCTTCAAAACAAGACTCCAAAAACTCAATCCATTTAGGTCCCTGAATGTGTACCTAGAGGACGACGAGAACTACGTGACCTCCGAACCGGGCTACTTCGAATTGCTGAGATGGGACAGAATGCTCTTGTTTGCATTGACCTTCGCCGGCTCCATGGCCTGCTGGCTTATTTGCATATTCTTGTTCCCTGTGCTTTCGCTCAAACCCAGAAAGTTCGCTGTGCTTTGGTCTCTAGGCTCCATATTCTTCTTGGTCAGTTTCGGTGTTCTCCAAGGCTTCAAGGAGTACATTATCCACTTGTGCTCGTCTACGCGTATTCTTTTCAGCATTACCTTCATCACATCCATTGTGTTGACGTTGGTGTCCAGTTTGTCGTTGAAGTCGACTCTACTTTCTATAATCTTTGCAGTGATTCAGTTGATTGCGGCTCTCTGGTACACTGTCAGCTATTTCCCCATGGGCCGCCAAACACTTAATTTGGCGTCCACGGTGGCCAGAGGCCAGGTCGACTCCTGGGTCAACTCTTAAGGAAATGCGCTCTCGAGACCTTTCTGAACCACCTTCACAATCGCAGCGTTGGCTTCAGTGTCGTTGGCCAAAGCCTCCTGAAGTCTCTCCTTACGCAGCACCACCTGAGGCGACTTTGGCGTCTCGAGCTTGGCCAAGTTCTTGAGCGCTTGCAAGGCAAGCACGTACTTGGCGTCCTCAATATGTAAATCAAACGAAAGCTCCCACGTGAATCTGTAGTTGTCTGCCTCCTTGGTCAATTGTGTGACAAAACCTTCCATATCCTTGAAGAGGTGATCACTGGATTTGAGGTCCTGGAGCACCTTGGCGCCCAATGGGTCCGCATCGTCTTTTTCAGATTCGACTCTGGCGATCATTTCACTCTTTTTCTTGACATTGAGCGGTTTGCTCTTCTTGTTCTTCTTCTTCGATGCCTTGTCGTCGCCATTTTGGGTCTTGTGGTCGTTGTAGATCTCCCAATAGAGCTTGAAGAGGCCTTTAACGGCACGAACGTAAAGGGGAGTGGAGTGAAGTTTGTCCTCCCACTTCAACGTGTCAATGTAATCACGAGGAGTACCTCTTCTCATGCAGTAGGAGTGGAAGTCGAATTGGTCCAGCCTGAAGGTCTTGAAAACCTTGAGGATGGCCAAGTACCGCTTCAATGCCAAACCTCTGTAAATGTCAGCCTGGTCAACAGCCTCGGCAATTTCGACCTGAGGAGTATCTTCCGGCAAGGCCCTTATTTGAGCGGTCTTCTGTTCATATAATCTTTGGTAGGCCTCGGCGCTCTCCACCAAAACCCAGTTGGCTTGCATGGTGTGCAAGTCTTTAAGGCCATTAACGGCACTTTCGTCTAGCTTGGTGAACAACGACACGACGTCCACAGCCTTGTCGACATGGTTGGCTCTCAAGAGGTACTTGGCAGCCTTGGAGTTGACAAATCTATCTTGCAAATCCAAAAGACGGCCTTCTTCCATGATATCCTTGGCCTCCTCCAACTTTCCGAAATGCTTGGTGACTCTGGCCTTGAGAATGTACAATTCCACAAGGGTGGGGCTGTGGTCAAGGGCTTTTTGAACGTGGTCCATGGCGGTGTCCAACTTGTTCAAGTAGAGGTAGTGCTGGGCCAAGAAGTAGGAGGCCCATACGAACACAGTAGGGTTGAGCTTGGGCACCTCCTCCGCAAGGAAAGTCTCGACGATTTTTTGAATAATTGCCAATTTCTTCTTGTTCTTGTAAAGAGGCTTGACGTTTACGAAGGTCGCTGGAACGCCCCTCTTCAACTGGGTCAAGACGTACAACGATGCTCTTCTCTCAAACTCAGGGTGGGAAGCAGGCAAAAACGTCAAGGGAAGGTACTGGGCCGGGTCACTCTTGGGGTAAAATTTGGCCAATTTGTCGTAAAGCTCAAGACGCTTTTCAATTGGTCCAGAGGCCGTACCCAAGCACGCTTCCAAGAGGTTGTAGTAGCCAACGTCGTCAGGGTTTCTCTGCAACAACTGACGGTACACCACGGACGCCTCCTTCAGTTTGCCCAAAAGCATGAGGTAACGGGCCCTGTACTCCATGTACGACGTCATGTCTCTGATTTCCTCCTTGTCGGCTTCAAGATCCTCCAAGGCTCTGCCGTAGTTTCCAGCCTCTGCAATGACGCTGATTTTGTACAAAACACACTCGCTCTGTTCGTAGCGGTCCTGTTCCTGGAGATGCTCCTTGATGATTTTTTCAATCTTGGCCAATGTGTTCACACAAGCATCGTAGTCCTTGTTCAAATGGTGAGAAACAGCCACAGCGGTCCAGTTGGCTCTGTAGCCCGGCTGGGACTCCAAAAACGCCTGTCTGCTTGTGGTCAAATTCTTGAAATCACGAACCTGAGATTGCAAAAGCGAAAGGTCTCTTTGAACCATGGTGTTAGGCAGTCCATTGTCCACAGCAGCCTTGAACCACTTAGCAGCCTCGGGGTAGTTTTCCACAGTTCTGTAGTAAATACCAGCCAAGTGGTCGACCAAGTAGTTTCCAGAATCTTTGGCCGTAGCCTTCAAAATGTAGGATTCGGCGTCGTCCTTGTGACCCAAGAAGTAGTTGCAACAACCTTTCAAAGCGAGCGATTCGCCATGGGACAGGTTCTTCTTGAGGTTTTGGTCCACGAGCTTCAAGGCCTTTTTGTACTGCTTGCCTTCATAGAGCTTCAACGCTTCACGGGCGTTGGCGTCTTCCTTGTTGGCGAAGATCGGCTTCCTTAACACCATTAGGTCGTTGTTGGAAATTTTGACCCTCTGTGCACGTCGCACCTTGAAGTAGTGTTGATGTGGAGAGGCACAATCAGCAGATCGGGCGGGTTGAATTAGTCGAGGTTTTATTTGAGATTTGATTTGGTGAATTTTGTGGGTAGTGCTTTTTTTGCTCATTTTCGTTGCAAGTGGCTCATTTTCGTTGCAAGAGGCTCTTTGTCCACAGAGGCCTAGGAAATGGCAAGTGAGCATTGAGATATTGTCACCGGGGAGTTTAGGGAGATTGAAAAGTCAATCGAGAAAAGTCATAACTTTGTTTGAATAATGAGAGAAACTGGATTGATTTGAGTCAAGGCGTTGTTGTAAGAAACATTTTGGTGGTATTTCGCAGCCATGATGGTGTATCTGAAGAAGTGAACTAATTCCCGTAAAATATCATTGCTGATCATACCATGTCAGATGATGAATGTCTCAAACGAATTGAAACGGGATCACTTAAGCTAGCCTGAGCCTAGAATATCGTTGTACGATGTCCTTGTAATATAGAAAAGAAGAGGTCTGACGTTAGATGTTGCACCAACTCTCATTAATAGTGCAATAGAATCGATTGCCGGACGATTAAAGAGTGTTTCTACATGCTCTCCAATTGTTGCAACTACTGAGATTTGGAGGCTGGTTTCGTTAATAATTACTATCGATACAGTGTCTCACTTCATTCCATTGAAAGCCAGCACCACAAAGACAAGTGAAAAACTCAAAGTTCATATCAGCTTTCAATTAACAGATAAGTAAACTGTTCCAATATTTAAACTACATTTCGTGAATCACTTCGTCCTCTTCTAGCTTACCCAATCCGTCCTGACGACGTCCTTACACCGACCCACCACTTTCATCGCCATACCCACAAATCACCAAAAATCACCAATAAGCAAACTCTCGATTCCCGTTAAAAAAATAATTCTTCAAAAATAGGCCCTACCCCACAAGAACGATGTACGACTTAGGTTTGCAGCCGCGGTGTGTGCAGACCTATATCAACTCTTCCTACCACTTCTTCCTAAATGCCATGTCCGACGACCGGAAACGAATCCGTGTGGCGTGTGACACGTGTCGCCGAAAGAAAATCAAATGTGACGGCAAAGTCCCGTGCCTGAATTGCCGAACCGCCAACGAACAGGTGTGCCATTATGCTGAGAGACAGATTAAGAGACAGAGAACCATGAACAAGGATCCGAAGATGCTGCTCAGTGCCCGGATGGAGCGGCTTGAGGAGATCATCTTGGATCTCAGTGAACGACTCGGTGGTCTGGCCGAAGTACGGAGGCTACGGGATCTGGACGCTTCGGGATCCGATTCCGAAGTAGAGTATACCAGAACACCCAGTGCCAGTGTGGAAGCCACAGGCAAGCGGGATGGACGTGGTGCCTTGCCATTGAAGAATTTGACGCTTTTCTTTGGCGCCCACTCTTTTGCCAACATAGTGTCCCTGAGTCTGATCCAATGGATGGAACAGCAGGTGGGTGACGAACAAAAGGACGTGATCAAGCCATTGACCAACATGCCGCATATGTTCCAATGTAAGGCGTGGTCGTTTTACCTCAAGTGGCTTGATCCGCCTGCTTTGAAGCCCGAGGAGAAGCTGAAGCTCATGACCAGACCTTTTCCGGATAATCCGACCCTTGTCTTTGGCATTTTGGATATGTTCATGACGCCAATTCTCCGTATGGAAGGTGTGGGCGATATCAAGCGTATCAGAGCCATGTTTGAGCGGTACTACAACAGCAGGCACCGCTTTTCTACAGCAGAGCTCTTGATGATGACGGTGTCCTTGGCGTTCCTGATTTTCATGCGTTTTGAAACAAATATTGGACCACAGGAACGTGTCAATGACGGCACCGAGTGGTCCGACAAGAGTCTACGGGACCTAGAAGATAGCCTCATGACCAATGCTGTATACTACTACAATCGGCTCAGTGTCGTTGGTGGAGGAATTGATACAATTGAGGCAATTCTCCTTTTCACAGGCTACCTTGAATGCCACTGGTTTTCTCCAGAGGTCAACTACATGCTTCTAGGGCCGGCTATTCGTTATGCTCAGGATATGGGTCTTCATCGGATAGAGAGCTACGAAGATTTGGATTTGGACACTGCCTCTCACAGAAAGCGTATATGGTGGGTTTGCTGCTATATGGATATGGAGGTGTGTTTCAGAAATGGCAAGTCTCCCATCATCAACAGAGCAGATGTCAGCCCAGAGCTTTTGGACATTAATGTCACTGAGATCACCACTTCCGAGACACCTCTCATTTGCTCGCTTCACAACTATTTTTCAGACGTCTTGCTGATCAGATCACGAAGCTACGAGTTGCTCTTCTCTGCTACTGCAAATGTAAGAAACTTTGCCCTGTTGCTGAGAAACTTGGATTCATTGAACGCACAGCTACATGCTGCTGCCAACAGGCTCCCACATGTCATGAAACCGGTCTTCTTCAACGACTCAGCCTTCCATATCTTCAACCATAAAGATAAGGTTGAGAATGAAATCAGCTGGGCCGTCAGACTTACCTACTTCTACCATGTCATGCTCATCAACAGACTCCCTCTGATGTTCACTTTCGAAGATGAAGACGAGGACAGGAAAGCGTATTACAGGAATCTCTCGCTTAATAGCGCCAGGACCATGACGCATCTTTTGAAGAGCAGTGAAAGTGCAAATCTTAGCAATTCCTTCTTTGAGTGGGTACTCTTCTTTCCCTCCAGTGCCTTTTTGCATCTTTCAACCACTGTCATGAAGAATCCACAAGCCCCTGATGCTTACAGTGACTTGATACTACTCATGGAGACGTCAATGGACTTTTTGAACCGCCGAGGAATTGATATTTCTGGTGATCTTATGAGCAAATTCCAGCGATACTCATTTACGCTGGTGATATTCAAGATTCTTCTACGCATTGTCATTACAATCTTCGAGCGTAAGACGGGAATTAGTGTGCTTGCCGGGAACACGCCTCTTAATGCACACCTCGAATCGGCAAAAGACATGTTTCCAGAGTTGTTTGGCTCAGTAGAAGATTTCCGCCTGTCGGTTAGTTCTACTATTCCACGGGTCACAGGCCACTCGCCTTTTGTCGATGAGCCAAAGAAGTCACCCGCCTCTTCAGTATCGTCTTTCAACAGCGGCAAAAGGCTGCTACTTCATCCAGACATGCCACTGCGTCTGATGGAAGGCAATATATCCCTTAGTCCATTTCCGAACCCTAGCCACTTTGCTCACGAGGATATCGACATGCTTATTAGAGCACAGATGAGGGAACTACCAAACGTATTTTTTGATACTCCATAAGTGGGGCATTTGCCTGGGCCGCTCTACTTCTCGGGTCGGCACAAAATGTCGGCACCAATTTAGCCGAGTGATCTCGGAGTATTATATGTGCCCTGTCACCCGGGTCCAAGAAATTGCCGGGCTCCGAAAAATAAATACAATATGCGTTTCAGGCCGTATGCACATGAACAGAGGCTACTTCTAGAATTGCAGATTACGGAAAAACGGCGCATTCTTGAGCAACCACAGAGTCAAGTAAGGACACAAGTTGCCCCATGGTGGTCCATTCCTTTTGTTCCACCACCACCCGAAGAACAGTTATACACAGGCGAGGGGCTTACGATAAGATCCTCCTTGGTGTAAGTTCCGATGGTGATTACTAAGCCTGTGATTCCTCGAGTTAATTGAGTGTGCCAAAAACTACCCCTTTGATATACTCCACGCCTTTGTGAGCATAAACTTTGCAGCCATTATTCTTAGGCCCCGCCGGCTCGTTTCTGGCACACCCGTGCACCACCGTTCTCGCCTGCGCCATCTACTCATCACATACATAAGCACACCCGGATCCAGAACCTTAGACATTTCGATTTTTTTGAGCTAAATGACTGGAGTCGAGAAAGGCAAACGGGATCGTGTTGCCAAGGCATGTGCCACATGCCGAAAGAAAAAGATAAAGTGTAATGGTAAAAACCCATGTGATCATTGCAAGAACCTTAGTCTACCGTGTGAATATCCGAATAACAAACCCAGAAAGTCACGCTCTAAGGTGCTGCTGGAAATGCTTCAGAATAGACTCGATCGTATCGAGCTGCTCATGCACAATATGATTGATCGAATGGGTGGAATGGAGTCTCGGAAAGTGCCTTCACCTTCTCGTGATATTCGTCCTAGTGCCGATGGTCTGTCTACATCTTCTGAGCTGCCTTCTCTGGATGCCAGCTTCAAGGATGAGGATGTTGAGTCTCAGGATTTTCAAATCAACGGCCTGGTTCCCAAACGTACTGCTAGTACATTGCTGCCTGAGAAACGCCCCAGAGATACATTTTTCCAGCAGGCCAAGTCGATCTTGTCGAAAACTATTGACGAGAGCTCTGAAGAGACACAAAGACCGCACCACATTTTACAATACAAGGGTTTGCACTCGGGAATCGTTTTTCTTTTCAGCTCACAGAGTATCGAGTGGATCAAGTCTCGCCTTAGGCCAGAAGACCATAATATTGTGACACCTTTTCAGACGCTTCTTTTTTATTTCAATGCTTGGAAGCAGCTATTCCTGAGTGTTTGGACGGATGTGAAGACCTACCCCAAGGAGGATGTCAAGAAGCTCAAAGAGGGCGTGTACCCTCACGACAAACAGCTCACGTTCGAGCTTCTTAGACAGTACGATTGCATCACTTTGGCAGACTTTATCTGTCCCGTGGAGGAGGTGAAAGCGTTATTCGTCAAGTACTACGCGAATAAGCTGTCTCCCCGACTGAAGAAGCGCCGCTTTTTGTTTTCTGAATTCATGCTTATGAACTTGAGTTTAGCTATTTCGATCTCTGTGGCCATTGACCAGAAGAGCACTGATGTTGTATCTCCCGGGCTTAGTGAATGCCCGAAGCTCGAAGCCATGTCCATTGAACTGCTCGCGACATTGCAAGAAGAGATGTTCCTAAATTCTGTATTTTATTTCCACACTATTAGTGTCGTGAGTGAGGGCATGGTCACCATTCAAGCCCTTTTGTTACTTGCCACCCATTTGGAGACCACTTGGGTTATCACGGATGTCAACTACAGTTTTGTGAGCATGGCGCTGCGATACGCTCAAGAAATAGGCCTTCACCGATTCGAGACTTTCCAGCACTTACCTCAAGAGGAGAGAAATGCTAGAGGTAGACTTTGGGCTGCCGTACAATGCTTTGACGTGGAGATCAGTCACAGAACAGGTAAACCACCATCGGTCAACATGGTGGATGTATCGACTTTGACACCAATGGATCCATGGCATGTCCCTGCGCTTTTGTCAACAAATGAAGTCAAGAAATTGCAGCTACAATGTGGCGCTGAACGTTACTCTTTGGATGAGATTTACGTGCATTTCTATGTTTACAAGCTTTCCCAACTTCGAGCATTTTCCTACTTCCAGCTTTTTAGTGCAACGGTTAAGTACGACAGTCTCAAGACTATTCAAGACATCGTTAGCCTGTTGAATAATGAGTTGGACTCCTACTTGAACGAGATAAAGGAGGAGTATCGCCCAAGACATTACTACGAGCCCCAGTTTAACTCTGTCGTTGAGAGATTTTTCATGGATAGGAAAATGACGAGAGCTGATGATAGTCTTTTATCACTCCATCTTACATTCTTTTATCAGTTGATGACTATCAACAAGGTGCCTTCTCAGATTGAACCAAATGATGGAGCTTTGCCGTATGAAAATACTTGCTACAGGAAATTATCGTGGGAAAGTGCCCGTACTATTCTCCACATAATGAGACGTGTGAATAGGCGCTGTTTACCATTCTTTGGTTTGAATTGGATGATATACTATCCATTTGTTGCTGCTATGAACTTGCTGGCAAAGTGCTTCAATCATTCGGACGATGAAGACAGTTTCAAGGATTTGCAATTGCTCATTGATTTGTCGATGAACTTTTTCAACCACTATAGTCATCAAGCCAATCAACCGTCGACTAGGTTACTTTACTTGAGATTGCATCTTATTGACACCCTTGTGAGAATTCTCTTGAGAATCTGTATCAAGGTTTTTGAGAGCACCACAGGATACGATCTCCTTAGCGGAAATCCTGCTCTCAGAGCTCACTTGGAACATGTCGAAAAGGAGTTCCCGCAATTCTACACTAAGATCAATGACACCACCGATTTGTTGAATCTCATGAATTGCATGCATAACACTCATGAGGTGAAGTTCCGTCAACATAAGTACACTCCGCTGTACGACACATCGTCTAATGCGTCAAACCAAGATTTCACTCCAACTTATATGGAGAACTTTGAAAGTCAATCTCCAAGAAAAAATGATCCCACCCTTTCTAATATAATTCATCCAGTGGATTTCCCCAGCGTGAGGGACTCAGACAGAAAAGATTTTAATATCGACGACGATTTCCTTCTTGCCGCTGTGAACCAGGATTTCCTGAATATTCCTAACTTTTTCTTTGATAATGGGCTTTAATATGTACATAGCATTTACGATCATGATTATATAAAATTAGGTACACCAATTCTTAATTTAACGAGTGCGGATGACACCAGCGGCGATCAACATGTTGATCTTCTTGGCCACTTCTGGGTTTCTCATGTGGTCTTGCAAAGCGGCTGGGTTCTCTCTGGCCTGGCCCAAAATACCTTGCATAACGGGATCCTGCAAGATCTCGACAATCTCTGGGTCCTTTGACACTCTCTCCATGGTCTGCTCTGGGGTCTCGCCCTCGATGGAGGAGAATCTCTGAGACATGGCCTTGTTCAGCAATTGGTCAATCTCAGCCAAGTTCTTTCCTCCGTTCAACTCCTGGTCCTTGGTACGAGCCTCGGTCAAGGTATCAATGACGTGGGAGAATTCCTTCATGGCCAACTGGGCGTTAGCCTTTCTGATGTATGCTCTGATGAAAGTTGGGTCCAACTTGATGGCCTTGTTGCAGTCATCGACGGCATCTGGGAAGGACATTAGCTTGGCCAAAGCGGCAGCTCTGTTGGAGTAGCCTCTAGCGTCCTCTGGAGCTCTCTTGACCATCTCAGTGTAGGCCTTGACGGCGTTAGGCCAGTCGCCCTTGGTGAAGTACTCCTTACCTTCCAATCTAGCCTCCTCGGCCTTTTCAGGGTTCACGTAGCTCTCGGCTTCTCTGGTCTTGATGTCCTTCTGGGTGTTTCTCAACTTGGTCAAGACATCTGGGGTTCTGTGCTCGGTCAACGACTTGTCGAAGAACTTGGCGGCACTCTCCAAGTCATCCTTCTTGAGGTAACAGTTACCAATTCTAGCAAAAGACTTGGCAATGATCTTGTAGTCGGCTCTCATGCCTCTGCCCTCATCGACAGCCTTTTCACAAGTGGCAATGGCAGCATCGTAGTCCTGCTTCTCAAACTCAGCAGCGGCTCTGTTGTTCAAGTAGGTGATGTCCTGGTGAAGCTCCCAGGCCTTGTTGTACTTCTCGATGGCCTCGTCAAACTTTCTCTGCTTGTACAAGGCGTTACCCTCAGCCTTAGCAGCATCGGCATCAGCCTTGGAAGAGTCCTCCATCTCGACATCCTGAGGCTCAGCCTCTGGCTCCTTAGCAGCAGGCTTTGGCTCTTCCTTCTTTGGCTCCTCCTTCTTAGGTTCCCCCTCCTTAGGTTCCTCCTTGGAAGCACCTTCAGTAGGGTTGGACTGGCCAGCCTGGGCCTGTTGAGCAGCATCCTTATCGAACATGTTCAAATCAATGCCCATCAAGACACCCATGATGGTCATCATACGAGGGTCGGAGAGCATGGTCTGCATGCCAGCCTTGGGGTTCTGCTGCAACTGCAAAACCTTGCCCACAAGGTTAGGGTCGTTCATCATTTCAGCGGTCTTGGGGTTCTCCTTCAACTTTTGGATCAAGTTGGGGTCGGAGAACATCTTGCCCAAGCCCATGTCGCCTTCGGCGTTACGGCTTTTTTCGGCCTCCTCAACAGCAGAAAGACCGCTCTTGGCCATGGCATTAGCTGGATCCAACTCCAAGGCCTTGGAGTAGGAAACCTGAGCATCGTCCAAGTTGCCCAAACCGTACTGAGCAGCACCCACACGGTTGTAGCCCTTGGCCCACGTGGAGTTGATTTCCACACATTTCTCGGCGTCCTCGAGAGCCTTACCAAAGTTCTTCAAGGAAGCGTAGCAAGCTGATCTGTTGGAATACAAGACATGGTTGGGCAGTTCGGAAGCTTCAATGGCATTTGAGAACTGCTCGATAGCTTTGTCAAACTCCTTGGCAGCGAAGAATTTGTTACCCTCGGCTTTGTATTCGTCAGCGGACATGGTGGTTTTTTGGTGGTAGTTTCGTGGTGATGCTGGGGAATATATATCTGGACTGTGCGCACCTGTGCATTTCTAGAAGCTTCCGAGACCACCATGAGCAGATACTGGGAGGGTAGGGTCGGGTAAGCTGAAATTAAGATAATAAGAAGAGTGGTTGGTTAGTAAGCTTTAATATGAGTTGATTGATGTCGATACTTCGTTTCTTGTGGTGGTTCATCGCTGTTCTTTATCAGTCCAACCTGAACCTCGTCCTGCTCACCAATCAGCTATAGGTATTCTTCAAGAATAGTTTATTTCAATTGTAAAGTTGAGGGTCTCAAGAATGGCTCGCGGAAATTGCTCTCGTTGATTGTGGTTTCTTGTTCGTTCTTTGCAACCAAAAGTATTTTGCAACCATTGCGCGACCAAACCTTAGCACTTCGGTGAATGCGGGCTCAGTGAAAGGCATGCCAAGTTCAAATTCAGCAACCCTGCAACCAAACATGCCTCCGCGTGCCCTCAAAATGGACCTGTGGCTAACCAGTGGCCAGCCGTTGGGGTATCCCGATTATTGTCCTCTCACCAAGTCGAACCATCGCTCATGCTAAATGTTGAGTCGACCTCCGTATATCTATCTGTTTCCCTGGACCTGGCTCCTGATTTGTTCAAGCGAAGCATTCACAAGCTCGAGTTCGTAGGCTGGTCCGTATCCGTGGCACTTCTCGCTGCCCTTCAACAACTGCATAACGTCGTACATATCAACACCTTCGTAGCCTTCTTCCTCGGCCTTTATCTGCAAATAGTCCCAAACGGCTCCCACCGCAAGCACCTTGCGTCCTGGATTCTCAGGCTGCTCGTAAACCTTGTTCACCGTGTCAGGATTCACATTGTGTTTAGCAACGTCAACCATATGATTAATAAACTCCTCCTGTGAGCTAGGGAAAGAAAACCTCGAGTTTTCAAAGTCAATGCCTCCTGCTGTTGGATCGCCGCCTGAGCGTAGAAGATTCTCGTCCGACTTCGCCAGCTTGATATCCTGAAGCACCTTCAAAAGCTTCTGTCTCTCTTCCTCACTCTGGAGCAACTTCGACTCCAAATCCTTCAATTCCGTTCTCTTTCTTTCACGGAAGGCACGCTGTGCGAGTCTATTATGAGCCTTCTTCTTGATCTTGAGCTCCTCCTCGCTGAGCTCCAGGTCATCCTTGTTCATCACAGCCTCCTCCTTGTCGGTTAAGATCCGTGCGCGAGGCTTCTTCGACTTCCCCTTCTCGTTACCGTAGTCGTTCGGGGACCCCAGGTGCAACGAGCTGTCCGTATTGTTTCCCACACCGTTGGGGTTTTGAGCCCCTTGGTTCCACTGAGAGGCGAGGTTGGCGCCTTCTCTTTCTCCCGAAAGTTGTGTCGAGCTCACAGATTCAGCTCTTAAAAGAGGCTCCTGTGGAACATTGGAAACGTAGTTCATCTGGTAGGCTTCGCCGTTCCCATTGGGGTAACCCTCCACGTAAGCGCCGTTGGGGTGGCCCTGCCACTGAGGAATAGGGGAGGAATGCTGCTGCTTTATATAAGGCGCTGGAGATCCTTGTTCGATATAGGGCTGAGGGGAACCCTGGTACATGGGACCATTTTGTGGAGAGTACTGCTGAAAGTGCACCGGATGGTTCTGATGGTACTGCTGCTGTTCAAAAAGCCGAATGTTTTCTTGATTAAGATCGAGAGGTTGGTCGATATAATCGCAGATGTCGTCCTTGGGACCCTCCTGGGGGAAGGGGTGGTCACCAACGTGGGAATAAGACATGAAATCTGAGATAATGATGGACTTGATTAGATGAAAGGATGATTAGGCCGCACCCGTACCTCTCATACTAAGCCTAGGCCTTACGGCGTAGCCACGGGAGAACGGGGTTTGAGTGCCTTTTTACCGTAGATTCCCTTGTCGTTCCCTTTTGTTTGAATTCCAGATTTATAATCTAGAATTTTTGATTTTGTATGACGGAGTTGCCAGTGCTCGGCGATAGGCTACATTTGGTGATATTGTTGCTGCAAACGGCTGCGAAGAAACACAGGCGGGTTGAATTGCTAGGTGATACTCACGTTTTGGGTTAGTATATATGATGGCTGAAATGACGCCAATAAATATGCCAGCATGTGCTGGGAAAGTCTGTAGTGAATAGGAAGTGTATACTGTGGTCTGGAGCAGCCAGGCGTCCAGACATGGTGAAGCAATGGGGAGTTCAAAAAGGGTCTGCAAAAGCTGTAAATGTCTGTGTTATGTTCTCCAAGATCTTTAAATCTGGGGAATGAAGTGCTTGCAGAGTCTGTGTGGGCCAATCGTAAATCAGCTGATTTAAGCGAACAAGGTTTCCTCAATAAAAAGTCAATCGGGGTAAAAAACTCCATAGTGTGCTTTAAGAGCCCTTGCGTTAAGCAGAGATTTTGCATCGAGAAGGGGCACAAAGAATAACCGACGAGGCACAAGAGGCTTTCTTGCCCGCCGTATGAGGAAACCGTTGGTGCTGGAGTTTAATAAGGTATGCGGCGTGTTGATGTGAGCGGCGGGGGACAACAATGTTGAAGGGTCCTTATTTTATGATAGGGAGATCTGGTCGAGAACTGGAGCTCTGCAGCGGTCAGTTGTGGATTTGTGACTGGAGAGGCTGCTTCTTGTCGTAAAACCAGTATGACTTGGCATGAATTATGCGTAGTTCAAACTGGGCTTTGGACTTCACCAAATGGGAACCGAAAACCAAAATATTGGAGGGCTGGTTCGAGGAATGCCCGCCGAAACTCACATACCAGATCTGGAAGTCTGCCTTTGCGGTGTGCTGCTTCACCTTCGAGATATCGAGGACGCCCGAAAATGCCACAAAAGCCGCAAACTTTGGGATCGAGAACTCACTCCAGTAACGGCCATTCCAAGCCTCAAATTGCTCGATGGCTCTCACTGGGGCATCTTTGGTCAAAGTGACATCTTAAGATGGCACTTCGAAAGCGACAGAGCACTTCCAAAGCGACAGAGCACCGTGTCAAAGGCTCCAGACTCCTTAAAATCATTGAAAATTCTTCAAATGCTCGGAATCTCGAGAATCCAGGCTACTTTCCTGCTCTCACAAGAGTGAGCCACTGGATCTTCTGAAGCACCATCACCACAAGCACACACAAAAACGCCACGCCCGTAAGCACCAAAACAGCGGTCCGTTGCCTCCGCAACTCCTTCATCATCTCCTGCCGCTTCAGCACCTTCCTTGTCCCGGCTTTTTCCGGGTCCTCTGTCACCACAGGCCGGCTTTCCTTGCTCAGTTCAGCATACCCAATGAAATACGGCTCGAGCATCTCGTGAGCCAAATCCGAATGAGCCACGTCGTCAAACGCCTCCGACGCATCCACGCCTCCACAGTCTAGAAGCACCTCCACACCGCCAGGGTGTTCAGTAGCGAAGTTGGTGACATCGTACACCTTGCCATGGATGGTCATCCAGAGGTCCTGGGGCGACGAGTGTTTTCTGATTTCCAGGGCCAGAAGCGTGCGTCCACCAAGGGTGCATTTTGATCGTAGAGCCTCTGCAGCCATGGTAGCAGAGTAGTACGAAAATGGGAACCCTGGGCTGGTGATGGAGTAGCTGGGTCGTGCGCGGCCAGGTCGATTATTGGGTATCCTAGGTTGGGGGTACATTTGCTAGTAATTTGGGAGATTATTTGGGGGAAGCGGGGCAGTGATATATGGTTGAATTTTCAAAAAGAAAGGAGAAATGAATCTTTTGCTATGGTCTGCTGGATCTTCGAAAGTGGTCTGGTGCAGCAGCGCTAAACTATTTGGGATTTCAGGCAGATCTTTGATTTTCAGCGGCTTCGCTGGATAATAATTTTTCACTTGCTTCCAGAAACGAAACCTGCTATAAAATAATTGGAAAAGACGTTATTTTCCCTACTTTATACCAGCCATTTTCCTTCCAGCGCATGTTTCTGTTGTCTTGCGGTTTCTGCTTGGTTTTGCTTGTTTTCTTAGGTTCGCAGGAATGGCTGCAAATGAAGCTTGCGGTGGACCAATGAAATCGTCCAAAACTCGCTTGGATGCTTAGCAATTCCCTCTTTGTTATGACCTCCGTTCGTACGCCCGCCGCCTGCCATTGTTTCAAATCGCTAATTACTAAACCATGGCTGTTCGCAATCGGGTCTATGTTTCTCGGAGTACCCATCCGAGGCGTGCAAATGGGCGACTTTAGGGTATTAGGCTTTGTGTGGGGATACGGCCGGCGACGGGGGTTTCTCAATTTTTTGAATTTCCATTATTTGTAGTAAACAATCCATGAGTTCAAGGGTGATGGCTGGCTGTTGATTGTTGGCCAGACCTCATTGTTCTTGGTCCTAGACCCTCCTCTCACCAGACCACCAGAAACGTCCAAACTTTATATAAGGTTTCGAACTTTGTCTGCTGCAGATCACGTCGCTCAGCTGGTTTGGCCGGGTCTATAGCTACAGCTAATCGAACGAGATGGAGATATCGTAGCCTGACTAAATTGAATTCTGACACAATGCCATTGACAATTGTTGGCCTGCCATCTGTCCGATCGGAGAGAATATGAGCTGGAAGGCACGGATCGATGCATGTAAATAGAGTTCAGAGGCGGGTGAAGGTGAATGTACAGCCTAGACCGGTACCGAGGATGTCAGAGTTAGAGATGGAAAAGCAAACTTTTCAACTTTCAACGGCAAACTTTACTTGATTTAGAAATGGGCTCCGCTACTACGTATACTAGTCACTATAGTCAGCAAGAGCCGCTTGGATTAGCATTAATCGGTTATATACGAGATTGGGCGGTTCTAAGCCAAGAGAACGCCCAGTCCTCGGTGCTGCTTCGCTTGCAACTGCCTAAAGCTCGCTCGTATCGGGGAACAAAAGAGATGGGTTTTTGGAAGTGGTAAAAAATAGCGGGATTTTTGTGAAGCTGGGGTTTTTTTTTCTTGTGTTTGTCTCACAGACAATATGGAACCGTTGTGATGGTTGCTACCTGAGAAGATCCACCCACACTGGCTACCGCAGAAAATCCACAGAACCAAAATCAAAAAATACAAGAGAACATATTTGAAAAATCCACCACATCGCTCAAACTCGTCCACCACGCCATCCCTCGTGTGAGCTTCGCAGCCGTTCAGGGTCCTCTCGAACCCATGTAGTCCCCCACGTACCAAATAATAATATCGCCCCACCCCCAAAAACCGTCTTTGATCCCCCAAAATGCCCTCAACGTCCCCCACCTCTATATATCACCCTCCACTTGCCACACCCCACCGTATCCCCCACGTCTCAACCGTCCCGGTTCGCAGCCGTGCCAATCCACCACAAGCACCTAAACCACCCAAACCAATGAAAATATAAAAATCCCCAATTCCTAAACATCATCTCCCCACCTATAAATTCCACTACCACCTTTCCCCCAAAAGGCCCGGGGACCCTGGATCAAAAGATCCTCCCTGGTGTACCGATGCACCCACATCACCAACGCCCAAGAATTTCTTACCACCATGTCGCTTCCTTCGTCAAAAAAGACCCACAGCGAACGGCACAAGCAGATTTTGAAGCTGCTCCTCCGTGAGCCGGCTAACAAGTCCTGTGCCGATTGCAAAACCGCCCAACACCCCCGCTGGGCTTCCTGGAACCTCGGTTGTTTTGTGTGTATTCGTTGCTCTGGAATCCACAGATCTATGGGCACACACATCTCCAGGGTAAAATCGGTGGATCTCGACGCCTGGACAGACGAACAGGTAGAGCTGATGTTGAAGTGGGGGAACGCCAAAAGCAATGGTTACTGGGAAGCCAAGCTTCCTGAGGGCTACATTCCAGACGGCCTGAAGATCGAAAACTTCATCAGAACCAAGTACGATATGAAGAAGTGGGCTGGGCCCGGAGCGCCTAATGCCGGTAACGTGGCTCCTAAGGCTGCGCCAGTGGTGAATAGCAACTCTGGAAGCTCGTCGTCCGCCTCGGTGTTGAATCAACCAAGACCAGCAAATCAGGGTTCCCAGCCAAGAACTGCAAGAGCTCCTCCGCTGGAGCTGCTTCTAGACGATGACTGGGGAACGTTCTCGCTGGCTCTGCCTTCCCCAGCAGCCAAACCAGCGTCGATCGCTACTAGAGGATCCACTCAGCTGCTTCCAGCTCAAACAAAGCCTCAACCTCAGGTACCAAAGCAGCTCCAAACTCAGGAAACGGCGCCTCCAGTGCCTCAGAAGAACGGCCGCACGGACCTAAAAAAGCTGATCTTGTCGCTCTACTCGCTGCCCTCTTCGTCCAACTCAAACGTTTCGCTGTTCTCCAGCAGCCAGACATTCCAGGCTCCACCGACCCAAAGAGCGCCACAGCAGCAGAACACAGGCTCCTTGGGCGACCTTGCTGGCCTCTACTCCCAAACTCCCGTTTCCACTCCTGCTCCTCGTGAACCGGTCAACCAGCTTTCGGACTCTTTGCATGGCTTGAGCTTTACGTCGCCAAGCTTGAACCAACCCAAGCCCCAGGAGCCCAAGCGTTCCACCCAGGCTCCTCCCAAGCCTGCGCAAAAGTCTCCGTGGGAAAGCAACAATAGCATCAACGAATGGTCATCGCCAATTCCCTCGCTGAACCTGCCCCCGCCATCCAACGAATGGGCCCAAGCCAGCGTGCTTCCTAAAACCACCATTGGAGCGGCTACGCCAGGCCAGTTCAGCTCCACGTTTGACGACGACTTGTTCAAGAACGTGTGGAGCTGAGCGTCTACTAGTTTACGGCTGGTACACTATCTAGTGGATCTAATCATGCATACACAAGACATCCAATTGTCAACACATCAGTGGCCACCGGTGGTGGGCAAGCCAACGTAGACCTTGAAGGAGTCGTAGATCAACCACTGGAATCCGGTCAAGGTACCGACCATGACGATTCTGACGGGCAAACCGTTCCAGATACCCTTGAAGCCGATCTGGCCATAGATCCTCTTCAAAGCTTTACCCAAGCTTTCGCTGGAATCCTTGTTTGAACTGATTTTCGAAACCATCACATCTGCTGGGTGGGACACCACAGCACAAGCAATACCAGCAATGTAACCACCAACAAAAGAAACACCGGTTTGCTGGACTGAGGTGTAAGCAGACGCGGGCTTTCCAAGGTACTGGTAGATCAATTCCACACATTTTTCAAAAGAACTGAACTTCACCATGGTGTAAGGGATCTGTCTAGCCCACAATGGGCCAATTCCCTTGTACAACCCGCCCCAGCCTTCGGCTTTGTAGATTTTCGAGAAACCGTCAAACACGTTGTTGGCGTACGGAGGAATCGTTGTTTGGGTCTTGACTTTGATGGTTTCAAATGGACACAACATGATATCGGCAAGAAACTCAGCCGATGCCGAGGCAGCAAGGTAAACTGGGGCCTTGTACTTCGCAAACGTCTCGGGACCAACCACGTCGCTGTAAGTTTTTTTGAAGTACTCGTAGAAACCGTACTTACCGGCACCCTGCAAAGAGTAACCGATGAAAGTTGCACCCAACCCGGTGAAAACAGAGTCACCCTTGGTTTTGATGATCTTCTTCCAGCCATCGATGTTCGACTTGTAGAGCAGCGAGTCCACCTGACGACGACATTTGACAAGATCAAGAGGGGTCACTGACGAGTGGGTAGGACCACAAGCAATGATACCTCCCAACGTACAAGCAGCATAGTACTCGTTGGTGAAAAGCTGGATCCCCTTTTTAGGGGGTTCTGGCTCGGAGGTTCCAGTGACCTTTTTCAATTGGTCCTGAACAGGCTGCACAATGGCTTCGGTGATGGTGTCTTTACCCATAAGAAAGAAGGTGGTTGATGGTGGAAAGATTGCTACCGGGCCCCCCGGATAAATAGGGCGGTTTTCGGCTGCAGGAAGATCCTGGCAATCGGGCCGACGGTGGGGGAAGAGCCGCTCGGAGAATTGGCGTACTCAGCCGATTTGAGTTTTTTAATGATTTTTTGTTTTTGCTTTATTTTTCATTTTGCTGTATGTTTGTTGGCCTCGGAGTCGGAGTGATTTTCCTTCTCAAGTGCACTTGACGTTCGTGCGGCGGATTCTTTGCAGCCGCGATAAGCGGGGCACCCGCAGAGTGGGTCGAGCAGGTGGGGGTGAACAACGACATTTGAGATATTATTGGGGGATGATTGGGGGATGATTGGGGGATGCGGACTTGGTGTGAACTGTCAATTGAGGGAATGGTGGAAGTTGGTGGTGGGGTGCAGTGGAAGCGAGTCGGTAAAGTCCGATGGCGATGTAGGAAAGGTGCACAATTGGCCCCGATGAGGATAATATTCATTGATTTGCATTTTTGGTATAAATTATCAAAGGGTAATGGACGTTTGGATGTGTATGACAGGTTTGACTGGGTTGACTGGTTGGCTGTTGTGAGGCTGATAGACAAGGATTTAAATTACCTCGGATTTAAATTACCTCGTTTTCAAATGGGGCAATTCTAAGATCACCTCAGTGTTCAGTGATATTCTGGATAATATGGACTTGAAACTGACAATCTCACTGGTGATTGCGTTATTGGTTAATCTTGCTCCCATTAGATCAATTTGGACCAATCATACTAATAGGAAGACGTCAGAACGATTGATACAAGCTTAACGCCAAGTGTGTCAGATATCAAACATAGATGAGGAAGGTCCCGGCTGGAGCTAGTTTCCTGATTTGAAGAAGGACACTAGGTGATACACGGTATAACAGGAAACTCACGGTTTCTCAGATATCAAGAGAACCGCTTTAGGGAATTTCCTATTAACGTAAAAGCAGATCACAACAAACTCTATCTATGTTCTAGTATTTATGTGCTTTTAGTCCTCTTAGTGTAGAAGTAAGATATCTAAGTGTTATTCGTATTTACTAGGATGCATCCGAGCGTCCTAACACATACGTTATCAAGTACGCTCAGTATTCCAGCATGCCTATCTATATATCTTAATAGTCTAATTGAAGCTGAGATTTTCTTTTGCTAACGAATCTGGATATCACTCGTGTGGGTGCAACTACTCACACGACTGATGCAATGGCTGCAAAATGTACATTTGTGGCATCTCTCAAAAGCCACTTGATCCAGATGATGTCATCGTGGACACAGCCAGGATCGCCTTGATAAGGATTTAAAGGGCCACCTGACAATCTGATACGGTTTCAAAGTAAAGTGCAAACCTCATTAGGTTAGGCTGTCACTTGCATGAGCGCTACGAAGCTTATTTCGCAGCTTTTTCACTTTTCTGCCAATATACCTCTTTGTGATTGGCTTTTATCAGCTCGCTAACAACTACCGTTTGGAGACAAGGCAGAAAAGGAGAGGAAGAGCGATAAGTGCTAGAAATACTGATCGTCTTGGATCATCCTGGTTCAAATCCTCCAGTCACCTTCCTATTGGAGTAACCCGCCCATTACAGTAACGAGGTAGGTGAAAGTAGGGCAGATTCTTCAAAGTAAACTAAATAAGAGAATGAATTGAGCACTTTGTATTTAATGAGGTGAAATCGAAGCCCTGAAGGTATTTTTCAAATTTTCATCTCGACATATGCTCATCTCTCGGCATCTATTGTCCGATACGTCATCGGTAACACTTCTAGGGAATTCCACAAAACTCCTCTCAGTTCCCTCATCCAAATGAATCTTTTATTTCTTACAGTTGCAATCCATCTCTTATATCACTTTTGTCATTTCGTCCCCTCGCCCTCCACTTCCTAAAAGACGTCACTGCTTTTCGCTGATCGCTAAAAACTACTGCGCAGATCTCAACACATCCAGCAAGAACAAGCACGCCATAGTGAAAAGGCACTACCACCGTGGATTTCTTAAATTACAGTAATCTTCAATGGATGTCTCCCCCAAAGTATCCCCCAATTCCCACTTCATGCCCCCACACGTCCCCACTCTCCTCTCATCCTCCAACAACCTTTGCAGCCAGTTGCGACACCTCCATAACACATCCACCCCAGAACCACCAAACCCACCGTAGATCCGCAACCACCCCCTTCGTCTCGCTTCCCCTCACTGATAAACCAATATAAATACCCCGGTTTCCCCATTCCCACCTCCCACCTTCCTCCATATGAACACCCAAGCACCCGTGCCCCATCAACCTCACCAACCACAACCACATCCTCTTTTATGAGTGACGGAGACAACGACATCCTGGACGTTGTGCAGGGCGTGGATCTCGAGCTTCGGCATGAGCGGACCCTGTTTCCCGTGACCCATAAGGTCCAGGCACTCGGCTTGGTTAAGCCTCCGTTTATCACCACAATGTCCGAGTACCAACTCGTCACGTTGGCTGGAGCTGCTCTGGGGTTTTTGGCCGGTGTTGTCGTGTGTCCGTTGGACGTGGTGAAGACTAGAATTCAAGCCCAGGGTAAGCTGAATCGCTATGGTCTGTTTGTTCATGCTTTTGGCAAAATCATCAGAGAAGAAGGTGTCAAGGGCTTGTATAGGGGCGTGGTTCCCGTGACTATAGGCTACCTTCCGACGTGGACCATCTACTTCACCGTTTACGAGCGGGCCAAGCGGTTTTATCCTCGGTTTTTGAGAGAACATCTTGGCATTCAGAAAGACTGGCTCAATCACTTTGCAGCATCCTTAACAGCAGGCTCTGCTTCCTCTATAGCCGTCAATCCTATCTGGGTGGTGAAGACCCGCCTTATGCTTCAGACTGGCTCTGAAAAAGTCTACTACAAAAGCACCCTCGACGCTTTCAAGACAATGTACCGCAACGAAGGACTTCGTGTTTTCTACAGCGGGCTTTTGCCGTCGCTATTCGGCTTGATCCACGTCGGCATCCATTTCCCTGTTTACGAGGCATTGAAGAGAGCGTTGCATGTCAGCGATCTGAGCCAAATCTCCCACGGCAGCTACCACAAACTCTGGCGACTCATTGCTGCCTCCACCATATCCAAGGTTATCGCGTCAACCGTGACGTATCCCCATGAAATACTACGAACAAAAATGCAGATGCAACGAGAGGGTGATGCGCCGTCGGTTTCGGTGCGCAAGTGGATTAAGACTATTTACAAAAAGGAAGGCGCTGGCGGGTTTTACGCCGGGTACTTGACCAATTTGGCCAGAACCTTGCCTGCCTCGGCAGTCACACTCGTCAGTTTCGAGTACTTCAAAACGTATTTGTTGGAAATCAGCGGCAAGGTGTAGTCGCCATTGCATAGCAGGGCGTGTCCCTGAGTATATTCATTTTGTACGATTGATTCGTACGCCTAATAGGAGTACCGGAAGTGGATGTTCTTCATATCCGTCAAATCCAAGAACTGGTAGTGGGGGCCCTTCTCGGCGACCCACTGCTCCTTCTCCTCCTTGGTGATTCCATCTCGTTGCTTGTTCTCGTGGCGTGAGATGTAGCTCACCAAGAGAACGATAGGAATACAGACACACTCAATGACCAAAAGAGTGATTTTCGCCCGGAGGTAGCGGGGAGCGTCGCCTGCTCTAAAAAGCTGCGGCCCGATCAAGCAACCCACGGCATAGAAGACCATGGTGACACAGTTTCTCACCACACGCTTGGTGTAACCGGCGGTGTTCGCTGAGTTCCACGAGTATATCATCGTGATCACGCAGGTGCCCACGTTGATTAGATAGACGGCTAAGAGCTGGCCGATTTTGTCGTAACTTGCAACAAGCACAATGTAGCCTATGATGGCTGGAACGAGCATAGAAATAAAGATCAAGTTGCGGAAGCGGCCTTTGAAGTGGGCGCACAAGTAGGTGCCCATCACGATAGCTATGATGGTAGATACACCAAGGGGCATTTGCATAAGAGCTGCTTCTTTATTGGTGAAACCGATATTTGCGATAATCTGAACGGAAAACGTCAAAACAGCACCGGTGGGTATCATGGAAAGCAAGGTCAATGCAAGAAAAACGTACGTGTGCTTATCGTAGATGAAAAGCTCTTTTACTTGGTCCCATTTGAAGGTGTATGTTTCTGTTCCGGTGTGGTTCGCTTCGATATTTTCCAAAACGACGAGTTTTTCATCATGAGTTAAAAACTTGCATTTGACAGGAGAGTCAGGAACGAAAATAGCCACTAGGATACCGTAACCCAGGGTTACCACGCCCATCACCAAGTAGAAGATCTGCCAACCTTGGAACTCTGTGGAATTGACGTGCTGAAATGCAAAAGAAAGAAGTCCTCCAATAATAGTAGAAAATCCAGCCTGGCATGTCCACCAACAAAACCGTCTAAGCTGCTGACTTTGGTTGTACCACATGCCTGTAATTAAAACACAACCTGGAGCCACACATGCTTCAAACAACCCTAGAAGCACTCTGACCACCATCAAGGATGCATAGCTTTTCAGAAAAGCATGACCAATAATGACGATGCCCCAGCAGAAGATGTTGAAACTAAGAAGCTTAGCAGCTGGGAGTTTCTGGAAAAGATATGCGCTTATGGGCTCTCCAACAATGAACCCCACAAAAAAGATGGTACCCAAATCGGAGAACTGGTTCAGGCCCTCTTTCAAGTAGTCTTTGATACCCATGACACCAGCATAGTTAAGCAAGGACTTGTCGATAAATTGAAGAAAGTAGATTCCGCACAAGAACCAGGAGACCCTGGGATCGACTTTGCGGTAGATCTTGTCGAGGGAGGTTTTTTCCGAGTCCAGGCACTTGTGTGCATTAGCGAGATCGTATGCAGCGTCGACCATGGTAAGGCTGAAATAGCGGAAAAACTTTTGGTATTTAACGGTGAGTTTTGTGGATGATAATGCCTCGCACAGGGGCCGTGTAAGCGCATATGCGAGATCTATAGCCTTACGGGGGACCCGTTCGCACCCGTACACCAGCAGGGTCGAAATCTCGAAATCGGTGAACCAGGCCCGAACAATAGGGTGGGCAAAGTGAAAAAAGTGATGATTTTGGAGGGTTTGACGGGTTGGCTGGACTGGCAAAATTTTGCCAATATTCGTTGATTTTCTGTCCCGAAACTCGCACTTCTCATTGCCCGTTCACTAAGGACCCCCAAGAGCATGCAGTAAGGGCGGTCCCCGTTTGCAGTCAAAACCACTTTTTCTGACTCTGTCACAATTTCGCCAAACTCGCCCTTTTCGCCCCACCCCCGACCTCGCTTATAGTTGGAGTCCAGTGGTGGATGACCCCTGAAAGCCCTTGCAGAAATGCCCAGATGCAGCTACGGCGGCCTTTCGCCGAAACGGCGAAATGAGATTTCACAAATGTGACTAAAATATTTAACCAAGCATTCTGGCCGTCTTGGCTGGCGATCTTTGATGAAAAGGGAAATGGCCTTTAGGCATAACAAAGCAGGTCGATGCATGTTTTAGACTGCGGCCCATCGGAGTTTTTCCCCAGGCATCCAAAGTAACATGGAAGAGTGCACTGTAGTTTGAAGCTAAGTTGTTTTTGGTGAGTCTGGCCATTTTCCAATTCATGAGAAGAGTTTGAAATTGGTCTTTGAATATTTTTCGATTCACTCCCAATTCAAAAAGGCTGCCGGATTCTTGCTGGGAACATGCCGTCTGCACGGTCACCCCCACAGCCAACCACAGCGATGAAGTTGGAGTTTTTTCGCATCTTGGGTGTCTCAGATTCCTGGGCCGATATTGTTGAAGCGGCATTATGCTTGAATGTCTGTGGATGCGAGGTTGGTCCACTTTTTGAAATTCGAGAAATTTATTTTCTTAGTTACCTAGGGCAATCTTTGACATAGTCTAGAGGCACCTGTTCAGGGCACTTGCCCAGACCCTGGTCCTGTACGGCTGAGAGCTGACAGAAGAATTGCACAACTTTCGTCCCATGACTTTTGTGACTTTTATGTCTCGTTTTTTTCTTTTTTATCGATTATTCAACGAAGAGGACGAAAGGATAACTTCCTCCCAAAACCCAGTTTCAAGACCTACCCCTTAATGTATTTTCACCAGAAGCTAGGAGCTGCAACCTTCCTCTACAGCTCAAGCCAGAGTCTAAGCCGCTGCTGAACTTCAATACTTCAGATCAGTTTTTTTATCAGTTCATGTCATCGTCCTTTCGGATCAACCACAGAATAACGATCCGTTTCTCGAACCGTAGGATACTGTGTTCAGCACCTCCCCTGTTCTGCACTTGTTACCCCTGGTAGACTACCGGACTTATCCGGATTTATCTGTTTCTGCCCAATAGCGTAAGCCGAGGGCTTATTACGAAAGTCGGCTTGAAAACAGCCATGATCAGCAGCACCGCAGGAGAGGGGACGAGCGAAGTACGGCGACGACGTGAGGTTGATCTGGAACAAACTAAAAAAGGCAAGTTGCTGGGGCGATGTCATGCCGAGGAAGAAACTGGGGTGTCTCAAAAACACATTTAAGCTTTTGAGCTCCTCGCTTTCTGCTGCAGTCCAGACAGGGGAGACACCAGCCACACGCAAGGGAGTGCCGGGGAATTGCGGGTACATTGGCCGCGAGCTGTTTGGGGGGTCCAAACCCCGAGCTTGTGAGCGGTGGGGTGACCGAGTCGGGCCCGTGCCCCCGCCTTCCGTAAACGGGCCAGGCCGGCGCTCTCGGCGTTAAGAACAAGCGAGGCTCCGCTTCACAGGCATGTTCTCTTACTTTCGGCAAACCTCTCCTTCCACTTTAAACTGCCATACTGAGCACCTCGACGGAGAAGAAGCCGGCGAATCAGATTGTGTAGGTGCATCATGCATGCGCGCACTAGCTGAGGAACGAAGGATAAAATATTATCATACATTCGCCTGTGCGTCGCCGTGCATGAGAACCTTGCATGATGCGTCGCGCTGGCCACACGGTGCTGCAGCCCGCGGCGTTGCAACCTACAACATCACGCACGGCAATGTTCCACCACCTGCACCTCAGCTCCAACCTCGTAAACTGCAACCCGAGGGAAACCGTTAACTATGGCAGCGTTGCCTAGTTTGGAGGCGGGAGGTAAGGGCCTTGTAGATCACGTGACCCCTACCATGTGCCTCCGTGCAGCTGTTAAGCCCTGCCCACGGTGCATATGTCGAGACACCGCATCGGCGCCATGTCGCAGCACTCCACTTGCCTCGAAATCCCATGTACAACCTGTGTCTGGTGTCTTCTCTGGGCCTTACTTAAGAAGATTATTTTCCAGTCCTCGAAATATCTCTTCTCGCTTATCAACGATAATAAACTCAATATTATTCATCCATCGTCCCCCAGGGTCAACCCTCCTACACTGGTGCGATAAACAAAGCATCCTAACAGACAGGTCGTGGAGATACTCACATCAAAAGTGTCATACAAAGTCACCTCCACACCGGTGTTTTGGGCAACTCCAAAAGAACCACCCACACACCCAGGCATCTCCAATTCTAGAAAGCCCACCGCGGGCGCCTTCACATATAAAACACGCCTTTTCCTCCCAAACCAACCTCAATCTGAAAACAACAATCGGGGTCCATCGTCCGGAAAGAGCATAAACACAGAAACCACAGACGGAACGATCTGTAGTGTACAAAGCCGCAGCCTCTGAGAGACACTTGGTAACAACACAGAGTCCTTGGTCCACTATCAACAACCGCTTATTATAGCCGCCACACGTCACCAACGGTTTCCAACTTCGCTACGAACTCTGAAGCAGCACCCTGGCTTTGATCGCTTAAAGTTTCTGGAATAGCGCTTGTCTGGGTATAGTCAGTGAAGATCATAATTGAGAGGGCCATAAGTGCAAAAGACGTTCAGATCGTTCATTGATTTACTGTATCATTCATTGGTATCGTGAATCAAAGACCAACCCTTCATATTCCACAATTAATTCCCATCATCAAATCCACACATCCACGCCCAATTGCCATGTCCCAGCCGTCGAATCCACAGCACGTGTTTCCGGAAGAATGGCTTCCTGACACAAGGAGACAATACTTTCCAGAACCTCGCCAGCTAGGCTACCCCCATCCACAACCGTCTCCAAGCTTCCTTCAGTACCAGCCTCCGCTACCTCTCCAGCCATACGCCTACGAGGAAACCCTCTGGAAACACGAGTACGAAGAACCAGTCAAGGCTCGGGAACCCAGAAAGGAAACCGACTCCACCGTCATCGAACGCATCCAGCTTCTTCTACCTGCGCCTCCTTTGGCCAAAGCACCGCTTCGACCGGAACCTCTCACGTCACAGTCGCCTCGTCGAGCCAAACGAAAGCTGAAGTTCACCAGAGAACAAGACCAGCTTATATTGTCGCTCAAGCGCCAGGGCAGACTGTGGGTGGAGATCGCCAACATCACCAATGTCGGCTCGTACCTAGCGGCCCGAAACCGGTACCAGGTGATTGTCGGTCAGCAAGGACTGAACCATCTTCTGCTGTGGACTCCAGAAAGCAAGCAGTATCTCCAACGGCTTCTTGATGCGGGAGAACTCTGCAAATGGGACTACATTGCACAGCGTCTCTCACGGTCTACTGGGAAGCATTTTACGCTGAAGATGTGCCGGGATTTTGCCCGGTTCTTGTTGTTCAGCGACCCGGAGTCGTTGGGAGTAACGCAAAAGACAGTCCAGGAACTTGAAAAGGAGCACGAGCTTACCAACAAGTTGCTAAGACAGGCGGTCCTCTAGGCTGCCCTTAATTTAATTGCATTGCACCGCCGGTGCCTCATGTTGTCTATTTAATGTATGATAGTAGGGGGGAAGGTGTAGAGAGGGTGAGTGGTAGCTATATTGATGAGAAGTTGGAGTTCCTTCGCTTGAACGATAATGCCTGATAGCGTCGGCACGGCTCTACCGACATTGGGTGATGTGCTAACGCCGTCCGCTCGGTACTTCAGCATCGAATGTCTCAGTGAGCTGATGATATGGGACGATACACAGAAATGTTTTGTAACCTACTCTTTCAAGAATTGAGATATTTTTTGATCGGCAGATGGAGTTGTGGAGTTGGTGGGGGTCTGGGGTGACGGATATCTTACGATGGAGTTGTAGTTTGGATGTGAATATCACGCCAGCGGGGTCCTGACAATGTCAGTGACGTTGTTTTCGGACTTAAGTTGAAAGCCTCAATAATACAGCAATTTTTCATGGACTTTTTTGCTTCAAGTGCTGTCACTACACTCGGTCATCGGCTGGATCATGTGTGGTGCTTGCTCACATAGAAAGCCCCTGAATGGGCCAACGACATGGGTGACCAAATCGTCTTCGGCTTTATCTTGCATACTTTCAGCATTGACCTGCCAGCTGGCCAGATGCAGCTGAACCATGCAAAAGCACACATGTGCTCGAACAGGGTAACCCGAGCTTTCAAAGAGCAGGGTAACCCGAGTATGGCCAAAGAAGGCATGTCCCAAATGGCAAGGGCAATTTGCACGAGCACATTTTTGTGTTTTTTTGGAAACCAGTCACACTGTTCTTCTATCACGACATCGATTGTCACAGCCCCAGACGTAACGAAGAACGACCCCGGTGCACTTGCTAGAAGATCCTTCCGGGAGAGCTGCGTTGCAATTGGCAAATAATACCATGGCCTTCAGAGGCTATTCACTTATTTTGTAGACCCTCTTGCATGGGCCTTGTTGTAAGTCTCTCCCCTAGTCTTTCCCTTCATTTGGGTAATTGTGGATACCAAAAAGCATCTTCCACCCCACGCCTCTTCCCGCCACCATCAGGCGCTACGAAAAGTCAACTTTAATCATCTTATTACGCAAACAAACGCAACTTGTTAAAGACTCCGCATCATTCATGTCAGTCGACATCCTGATCATTTCAAAAATCTGCAACTGTCATGGACACAGCACCAAATGGCACTCCTCGCCTTCGCCTATCAATCGTTCTTCATTGCTCCTGCGTCTCTTTACTCCCCTTGGGTCGGCCTACTCCTGAGCAGTCTTGAGCTTCTTCTCCACAATATCGATCTTGTCCTGAGGCGACTGTGCCTTATCGGTTCTTGAGCCAACACGGATGTCCAGCTGGATCCGAACGACGCCCTTTTCATGCAACTTCTCGTGGAACTGACCAATGAGATCCATCACCTCATTCCAGGGTCCAGCGATAGTGGTACCAGCAGAATGGAGCGTGGTGCTGAGGTGCAGCTCTCTTGCCATTTTGGTGATCACGGCCACCTCGTCCAGAACAGAGGCCGTGCCTGTGCCAATGGGAATAAGGCAAACATCAGCAAGACAGTGGATAGAAACAGTCATAGTAGTTGGAGTTTGACTTCGCGCAAGGGTCCGTGAAGGACTCTTGATTAGAGTTTGGGAGGTACCGTGCAAAACGGGTGGGGTGAAGAGAAAAAAGTGATTTGATTGGGCGGAGGCAATAAGAGAATCGAAGTCATTTTTGGGATGTGGAGGAGTCATTTTTGGAATGTGGAGGAGTCATTTTTGGAATGTGGAGGAGTCAATGGGTGGTGGGTGAAAGGGACACTGGGAGGTTCAAAGTGGTGGATCTAGAGGCAGAGACAAAAGGCCGTCAGAGTCAAATCACACTGGTGTATTTCGTTTAATTCAGGTGGTTAAGGTGAAGTGGCTGATTTTCAATGGCACCCTCTTAAACTCGTTGTACATCGCTTTGTAAAGTGAAACCTGAGGAATGCCTTCCAACTCTTTAAAAGCTGGCTGCACTCTTCGTCTGCTCAATGGATATTGAGCAGTATTTTGTCGTTTCTTTGAGGACTTAGGGGGTGGTATGAAATGGTGTGTCGTTGAAGAACCCGTCAAATTGAATTGGATCTGTCAAAGGAACGCTTCAGCCATTCAGTTCGGTATTTTTCACTTGCCTTGTGGAGTTGTACGGCTGTCAATGGCAGAAGCTGAACAACCCATATCGACTGCTGATTTATATCGCTTTACCGTGATTTCACTCGATACACGAATGACAGTTTCCCAAGAGGTTCACGCTGTTGAGTTCAAACAAAATACTGTAGAAGCTCGAGCCAGTGTTTCCATTTGTTGCAGAAAGGTATCCTTCCATCAAACTCAACATACCAAGACCATGTTTTGTGACCGCTAAAATTCTCTCCGCTCATAACACCAGGATAGTCCTTGTGGGCCGGCCAAAAAGCCAGCCAATACAAAGGTTGTAGAACAAGAGATGCACGGATGAAAACTTGATGGGCGACTTCTGATGTTTGAGTTTCTTGTGCTGCTTCTGCGACTCTGTCGGTGCTTTAGATTAATGTCATAGATTCAGTAAGCTCTTGTTGCCAGATCAGTAATATCAACAAGCTTCAACACAGCAGGACTGGAAATTCTGCTATGTATGGATTCAATTTGAAGCGAGTAGGTTCAGAAGCAGTGTCTTCTGGATTGTCATTGAAGATTTCGCTGTAAGGCTGACATCGAGCATGGTAGATAAGCACCTCTCATAAATGAAAGACAATATATAACATCCTTGCTTGCTTGTGTGCATTGACCTCATTCAGTGAGTCAATCGAAGAATGCAAAAACACCGATTGAATCAATCGACCATCGTTCCCCTGCAATCTTCACATGACTTCACCAAATTCAAACAACTTCCGTTCACCTTCTTTCCATTTCAAAGAGCAAATAATACTTTAGATTTCAGGGCGTGAGCTCCAGTCGGACGACATATTACCCTGAGATGATTTAACGAATCATCAAAGATCTATTTACACCAAAATTATCCGTACACTAAAACTTTCCATTTTTTTTTTTCATCGATTATTTCAAGAGGACCCAGAAAAAATAACTTCCTTCCAACAAAACCTATATAGTTTTAAGACCTACATAGAAAACCCCTTAATGTTTTCAACAGAAGGAATTTCCGTAACCTCAATTACATCAACTTTGCATCCAAATGTCGTCTTCCGGCTGGACGGAAAGTTCATGGTCCACACACAAGGATCCCCCATTTTCCACCACAAAACCGTGATCAGGAAACCGCCCTTCACCGTGCATTGGGCTACACCTTTTTGCAGCAATTTCCCGTGTCCTAAGTGATGCATTACACTGTAGTCCACGGATGCGCTTTTCTCGGTATCAGCACCGTCTACATGGTATTAATAGTTTAAGTGCAAATGTAGCTGTTTAGGTCGTTGAAATATGCAACTGAAGACATGCCCTCTTTATCAGGCAGAGTTGCGACTTGCACAATAAAGAAAGCAGGCTAAGTTCTGGAGCGACATCCAGTTTCATCGTACAAAGTCAGCACCCACTACGACAAAGGGTTATCTTTAAACGCACCAAAACTCTTGGCTACTTTTCCATACATGCTGGTGATCCTCGGGCCACATTATAAGATGTGCCAAAGCGGACCGACGCATGGCTGCCTTGGTCATGCACAAATGCACCACGTTGCATCGGGGCTTCGACGTCTGTTCTAACGCACGCCGCTTCTATGCACGGAAAGTGGAGGAGCGGACGAGCGCCCTTCAGTTATTTTTCTCGGTATACATGTGGCGCTTATCAGATGAAAATAAGGGATGAGCTGAGGATTCGAAGATTCCACATGCATCGTTGCAGCAGGGTGCGTATGAAACGGCAGAAGCTTTACATCGAAATGGACTTGGCAGGGATGGCGCCACTCGTAACAATGGTGTTCTGAATCTTCTGTGCAGCTGGGTTTGCAAATCCTGATGCAGCGTCGGCAGGTGAGTGATTGGCTCTCGGTGTTTGGCGTCTCTTTTCCGACCAACTTCTTGAAATGTTCAACACCCGATTTTTTTCGGAAAAGTCCACGGCAAATTCTACAGAACCGCTTTCTAGAGCCGCTTTCTAGAGCCGCTTTCTAGAGCCGCTTTCTAGAGCCGCTTTCTACAGCGCCGCTTCCTAAGCCGCCTTACTGGTTTTGGTTGAGGTGCGTTTTGATAAATAGGCCGCCTTCTTGTGCGGCTTGCACACTTGCAAAATCGCGCGGATAAATGGAGGCTACCGTCGGCAAAGTAGAACAGCGTTAATTCTAGATCGTGAATATTAGGCGTGGTTTTCGAATTGAAATGGCCCTGCAGCGCGGGACAATTTCACATGAAATTTCAGTTTGACAGTGGCAGAACAAGAGAAAATAGCATTGACCATCAATCCTCCATCACTTCTCTCCCTCCTTCTCGTTCTTCTTCTTGGCCAAAAACATCAACGGCATCTTGGAAACCTCCTCAAGCGATTTCTCCGGATTGAACTTCAGATCCTCGTTGAACTGGTTACTGGCTCTCCGTAACGATCTGCCCGTTCCAACCAGCAGGATCTTGGCCTCCGTCTGGCCTTCCAAACTGACTCTTCTTTCTCTCGACGGTTGCTTTTCTCTAGACCAGTTCACCGGTTCCCACACCCTGGTGGGCTGCACACGCTCTCGTTCTTCCCAGGGAAACACCTTCTTTGGAGGCTCCGGTTCATCAACAGCCAAATCCTCAATTGCAGGAAGACTGCTCTCGTCCCAGACGTTTTCCAATTTGTTGAAACGCAACAGATGCGCCTCGCCGGGTCTCAGCAAAAGGTGGATCCTGTCAGACTCGTCCTCGTAGAACTGGTCAAACTTGGACCACCAAAGCAGCCTGAACTGCTCGTCTCCGTCAGAACGGGCATGCCACGGTTTCCCAGCGCCAATGAAATGCACTAATTTTACATCGTCCTTGAAACGCTCCAAGGCTGGCACATACTGGTAGTGTGCTGAAGGAGTGACGTTGTAGAGGTACGGAAGCCTTTTCCACGAGTATTTGCCTGGCGAAAGGGTGAAGAATTCGTTAAGAAGCCCCTGGTCCGCTCCATCAAAAGAAGGCTGCTCCTTGGCGAATTCCAGAAGTTCCTCAAAAACAGCCTTCAGCGGCTTGATCAAGAAAACACCCAGATTGAACAAATCAGGCCACCCATTATCGGGAGCAGCCACAATCTCCAGCGTACTGATGCCCTTGAACTCTTCGAAAAGCCCGTCTAACGGCTTCAATGGCAACGTGTCCAGATCAAGAAAAACAACATGGTCGTACTTCAAGTTCCAAAGAAGGATCTTGGAAAACGTGATGGCCAATTCGCTTCGTCCTAGCTTCAGAGCCACGTGTTCAACTGGTGCCTGCACCAGAGACTCGCTGATGTCAATAACATCGTCGTAGACGGCTTCAACTAATGAAACCAGCTTCTCCGTCACACTGGCCTTGTCTAGCAATATAGCCAATTGGGCCTTGGTTCCCAACTCTCTAAGGGTATTTCCAAGGGTAAGTGCGCCTGCCACGTAGTCCTCACCGTGAAGCAAGGTGGCGTAGGCGAAAGTCATGAGAAAAAAAGAAGTGTGGTGCTAAGAGTATCAACATCTACAGGTGTTGCGATAACAACCCAAAAGGGCACGCCCCAGGGGCAACCCAGGTTAGCCGCCGCGCGCCAAGAGCCAAATCAATGTTTCCATATCCTCATTCTTTATTCTCTACCTGGAGCCTAACGCTGCTCGGTCTTGCCGTCAACAAGGCTCAGCACCATGCTGCGCGAGTTGCCCATACCCTGCTGGTACACTGTGTTGTTGGTGTTGGCAGCACCACCCTCAGTCAGGCCATTGGTGTTGGTGGACTCGACGGGACCCATCGACGCGTGGCCCGGCGCCGTGCCAGGCAACGTCCGGAGCACGTTCGACTGCCTGTTGGGGTTGGCAGCGTTCTCCTTCAATGCAATCAACTGCTTCGTTCTGAAGCTCTCGTAGTGCACCAACGCCGTGGTCTCGATCAAATCTTGCAAGTGTGTTCTCGTCAAGAAGTCACGCAAGAAGGTAAACTCACACTGCAGCACATCCTCGATGTTCAAGGCGCCCCACTTGGACTTTCTGCCTCTCACGAGCTCGCCGTTGAGCTCAATCTCACGCTCCGAGCCGGACACGGCAAATGGAATGAGCGACTTGATGTCGGCGTTCAACTGCTTCTCGTCCTCGAGCAAGTCCTCGGAGTCGTAGGGGTAGATGTTGAACTTGTGTTTGATGAAGTCGTTCTGCAACTGCCTCTTGAAAGCGGCTCTTTCGCTGAAGGTCATGGAGTCGCTCTTGGCGATCACAGGCACGACATTGGCGATCTCGCTCAAACGCTTGAGCGCTTGCACGTCCAAGGCCTTCAACTTTGTGCCCGAGGGAGGGATGAAGTACAAAATACAGTGGACCCTCGTGTCAGGAATGAACCTCTCTCTCTGGGCGGTCAACTCCTTACGCAAGTACTGCGAGTGCTGCTCCTTGATGTACTTGACGAGCGGTTCCCAGCACTTGTCGTTGTTGAGCTGGTCGCCGAAACCAGGAGTGTCAATCACATTCACGTTCAAACGAACGTTGTTTTCGTTCAACACGTGCGAGTGGACCTTGATCTCGGTGGTCTTCTCCACGGGGGTCTCGATGGAACGACGGCCCTGCGTCGTGGCCAATTTCAGCAGAAACAATGTGTTCACCAAGGTGGTTTTGCCCAAACCCGATTTTCCTACAACCATGATGTTGAAGGCGAAACCACGCTTTAACAATCTGTTTTCGATCTGCAGCGTGATTGTGTCGAAACCGACATACTTGATTGGCTGGGTGATGTTTTCCTCCACGGCAGACATGACGGTGTTGTTGGTGATATTGACGTAGGTGTTGATGTTAGTGTTTTTTGAGGCTACGCGTTCGGTGCGGGCACGTCCCGGATCGTCTAAGCCTGGGGTGGACCTTTGGATTTTTCAGGGGAAAGTATTGAAAAAATTTTGAATTGAGCTATGAATTTTCGAAAATATATAGAAGAATTGTTTTGACTATGGCTGTTGATGTTGGTTGAATGATCGTTGTGGTGACGTTTGACATAGGGGTGCAGCTTTTGTACAATGAGGTGAACTAATATTGGGCAGCGGAATTAGACGATGGTAAGTTAGACACTTTCACTGAAAGGCTTGATTGAGCGGTTCTCTCTTTGGTTGAGTTCATGTATTGAAATTACAAATGAAGGGTTGTCTGAGCTGTAAAGCTCTGTTTTGCTGACATTTCGCAGCCATATTTATAGCAGTGGTACACTCAGTAGAGTTATTGTGACTTTAGTAGTCATTCACTCTTCTGGGCTCAAAGCACTTCCATTCGTATGACATGTAAGCAATTCAACATCTTTGAAGTAGATTCCAAATAAAGTTTACAAAATTTTGTCGAATCATCCGTTGTCTAACATTTTCGCAGCCTTTCGGTGATGTAGTGAGAATACACGAATATGACTAATACTACTACAACACAAATGTAGCTATTTCCATTGACAATAACGACATAAGTATTGGCTTCATATGACCTTAGGAAATAAAAAAGAAATCAAAAAAGAAATCGCTACCTTAGCTTCGAGTCTACCTTGGGTTACGGTGAGCATAGTAAGCACTCTGAGTACTGGTTCACCTCACCGACCCATACAGCAATCAAAATAAAGACTCTTTCAGTTACTCATAGCTTAAAAAATAGCCCTCAAACCACTTTTCACAATTTTCGAACTCCCCCTGGGTCTACACCTCCCTCCTTCAACAATGATCCAAAGGTGCGCACGTGACTGAAAACTCTTCTAGTTCAACTTTTTCTGACCAGGATCTTCAACCACCATGTCTTTGTGCTTAAGATTTGGTGCCACATCGCTCGTGGCGCCACCCACACTCGGCCTCGTGCTTCCCCGCCTACCTTCACTCAGGCTGCTTTTCCCACAAAAACCGCAAATCTCGATAGACCCCAGACTCGAAGAGTTGAAGAGACAGATTGAAGAGGACGGAGAAGCACCTTTTATAATCGACAACGGCATGATTTTGAGAGCTGCTCCAAAAAAGAGAACGTCTCATCGCAGAAGAAGAGAGAAATTGTACGCCTCTGGCGACAAGAAGATCAAGCCTTTGGAGAACTTGGTCAGATGTCCAGCATGTGGTCACGTCAAGCGTTCCCACTTCATGTGCATGCACTGTTTTGCCGAGATCAAGACGTTTTTGAAGGAGAAGAAGAAGGCATTGTTCCCTGAGCCCAAGAACCCCCAGCAGGACTTGGACCCTGTGGATGAGAGACTCGTTTATCCTGCCAGAAAGCTCAAGAGAGACGAGTTGGAGATCAAGAAGAAGGACTGGGTTCCTCAGAGAGAGGAGCCTTTGATGTACAGCAAAGAGCACACGCGGAAGAGGTACTAACTTGTATATATATCGGCTGGAAAGCTGGATCAACGAGGTCAGGCAGAAGCAGGGCCAAGGAGTGATAAATAAACGAAAACGAGAGAGTGTTGTAGTGATGGAGGGTGTCCAAGGGCTGAGAGCTAAAGGCTTCCTAAACTCTGGAGTGGTAGTGATTCTGGGAAGTGAATCAAAGTGAAGGCCATCCCTCTGAAATAATTTGGGTCAGGTTCCAGTGGAGTATGAAATAAAGGTCTTATATTCACTGTTGTACTTTAACATACCTTCATGACTCTGAACATAGGGATGGTTGTACACTGCTACGCCATAGAGTCACTGATACGCCATAGGGTCTAACGATAATCGCCATGAAGAATGAGAGTCAGATTTGTTGCAATCGAGAATATCTGAAAAACAACAACCGATTTAAGAGTTAGCAATACCCATTTTAATTCAATTTCTTCTTTAACGGCGAATTATAGATGTTCACCACACTGACAGATAAGGTTATCCCACCATGTCTAAGCCATTTCGCAGCCACTGATTTACTACCCTCAGCTAATGAAAATCTCACCCAAAACCTTGCCAGTTTCATTCCCAAAAAGCTAGACATTTATTCCCTCGGAACCCTTATATTTCCCCTCCTACCATATATGTCACTCACAGTTTATATTCACAACAGACGTGTAACGTGGGTAATGTAGAGGAGGTTCGTAAAAATACGAAGCCGATTGTTCGGTGCGACTGTAGTATAATTTTTCACAGCTGCACAGGCTTATCTACTCCATCGCATAAACTTCACCAAAATGCCAGAGTCGAAAAGAAGAAAAAGATACCCCAATAACCCCGAAATGCTGCTATTTCCATGGTTTCTTCACAACACCCGCTCAATGTGCGGCCCCTGGGAAACCGGTACCTAGTAAATGAACCTTCAGACGGTCCTACTAGAGAAGAGCTCATGGGTGATTTTTCCTTGTTTCCGGAGGAATTTCTTCTCGAACTTTTTGGCTACGTCGATGACGCTGAATCACTCAAAAAGCTCAGCCACACCTCCAGAGTGCTCTACGCTTACTTGTACGATGAGGAGCTCTGGAAGAAACACTACACTACAAAAACACAGTCACTAGAAAGACAAGGCCTAGAACCGCCCAAAATCCACTGGAGAGGGCTGTGGAGACGCTCCATTCTTGGACTCGACGCCCAATACGAAGCAAAACCGAAAATCCCAGGAAATTCGCTCTGTTCAGATACCCTTTTCCGGCCTTTCCAGTGCTCGCAGGTCGACTACGCTTCTATCTTCAAAAGGGTGATCAAGGAGGAGGAATTGTACCACAGAGACAGCTTGGCCACGCAGGTACCTCTAGATAACGATTTGCCGGAAGGCAGAATTCCTCGTCTTCCTGAATCCTACTTGACCCAGGATGTCTTTGATAAGTCATGGACAAACAGGCCCTTCATTCTCACAAACAGCGATTCGTCCAGATGGCCACACTGGGACCTTGCGGCGCTTCTAGAGCGTTTTGCAGATGTCAAGTTTCGTCAAGAAGCTGTCCAATGGCCGTTGTCGTTGTACTCTCAGTATCTCGCTGATAATCGAGACGAAAGTCCATTGTATCTTTTTGACTGCAACTCCAAGGCCATGCAGACGCTTAAAAGCGAGTACCTTGTGCCTGAAATTTTCCAAAACGACGCCTTCAAGGTTTTTGAACAATGCCGTCCTGACCATGCCTGGCTTATTATTGGTTCCCAGCGTTCTGGATCCACATTCCACAAAGACCCTAATTGCACCCTGGCTTGGAACGCAGCGTTAGTAGGAAGAAAACTCTGGATCATGCTTCCTCCAGAAATCGTGCCTCCTGGAGTCAGTACCGATGATGACGAAAGTGAAGTTACCAGTCCTGTGGGCATTGCCGAATGGGTCCTTTCTGGATTCTACAACGACTGTGTCAATAACACCTCAGCGCAAATCGGTATAACCTTCCCTGGCGAGTGCATGTATGTGCCTTGTGGCTGGTGGCATATGGTGATCAACCTTGATGACAGTGTTGCACTTACGCAAAATTTTGTTCCGCTGGTCCGTCTAGGCAACGCCTTGAATTTCATGAAAAACAAGAAAAAGCAGGTTTCCGGTTTCCGCCCTGCCGAAGTGAAGCATGCCTTGGATGAGATTTTGGCTAGTTGCAAGGATGAGGAGGATGCTGAAGCTATACGAAAGTGGATACGCAAGTTTGACGAGCTCAACCTTCAGGAAAACTTACAGAACGAGGATTGCGGAGAATTGTTGGAGTGTGAGCTTCCGGCGATGCCCATTCTTGAGCTTTTCAAGTTGTTACTTGCGAAAAACGGAAAGGATGTTGAATTGGCCCGAGGGCTTGAGGATTTGGCCAAGCTCGAAAAAGCCGAATTGGCCAAGCTTACGGGAAAGAGTGAAACATGGACGAAGCTTACGGAAGCTCCGCTGTTTAGTTTTGGCTTTGCCTTGGATGAGTAAGTGGAAGCTGGTGATGCAGGGAAAATAAGCACAAATTGGGCATGAATGACGACTGTGAATAGAGATCTACGAGCCATAGATGACGTTTCAGGGTGTGGATTATGTAGATAGCAAACCACAGGATGAAACCGCCAGTGTGCAACCTTTGTCGTGATTCGGTGAGGCTATTCAGCTCCATCTTTACCAAGAGTGTGAATGCACAAAATGCTGGTGGCATGAGCTAGGATCCCAGGGGCCTATGCATTTAAACTTATTGCTTGCTCCTAGGGACACTACATTTAAGAATTCAAGACGTTCAATTGAATTGTCAACATCGTGAGATACACGTACTGGTCTAAGGAGAGAGTTGACGAACAACATAACCCCCTTCTGCCCCAGCAATTGAAAAGGGGGATGAAATCGGTTTCGCCGAGGGGTCGATGACATACTATGATTTGAAAAACCTTCAAAGATACATTGTCACTCGCTATCCACCCCAACTGATAAGAATAAGGTGGAAGTCATAGCCACTCTGGTATCCGGTAACTTTAGGTTTTTACTATATAATCTCGGTTTGTAGCTTTCAAAGCTGAGGAACAGGTGAGTAAGCCACTGATCCCGAAGCTCCCTTTAATCAACGTCTTCATTTTGAAGTAGAGAGGTTGACGCTAAGTGGCTTTGATACTTTTCGCAGCCAATAACGGGTAGTATGCCAAGTACATCGTGGGACAAGAATCTCCATAAAGTTAGAGAGTTCACAAAGAATAAACTAAAAAGTACAGAGATTCAGAATATTTCTACTTCCCCAGAATTCTGCCATCCACAGATGTTGCTTGTCTTACATCCCCGGATGACTCAGCTGTGGCTGGCTTCCCCAGATTTGACTCCGACAAACTCTTCACCATCACCACCAACAACCAAACACCCACCAACAAAAACCAGAAATCAAAAATCAATGTTCCCCCTAATTCCTCCACACTAAAAGCATCTCCAGCCTCTGTCAAAACCAAAGTCACCCCACTCCTGTATCGCGCAATCCACCATCACCATGCTCCGGAACTTTCTACTTCGAGTCCGTTCATTTTCCACACCAAGGGCCTTTGTCACCTCCAGAATGACCCAAACGGAAAAACCCATCATCTTTGCACCCCCTACGTACCAGTACACCAAGGGCCACCTCAACGAAAACGAAATAGACACAAACCCCATAGAGCAGTTCCACAAGTGGTTTGATGAAGCCAAAGCCGGTGTGCCACAGGGACTGTCGATACTTCCCGAGAGCGTCACGTTCTCAACTGCCAGGCTTCCACTGGGCCGGGTGTCCCTGCGTGTTGTGTTGTTGAAAGAGTTGGATACCCATGGATTCATTGTCTACTCCAACTGGGAGACCTCCAAGAAGCTGCAGGACTACGAGCTGAACAAGTGGGCCGCTCTTACGTTTTTCTGGCCCTACCTCCAGAGGCAGGTCCGTGTGGAGGGCAAAATGGAGAAGGTGGATCGGGATATTTCACAGAGGTACTACGATACCAGACCCAGAGGATCCAAGATCGGAGCCTGGGCGTCGCCTCAATCGCAGACTATCAAGGACAGAGACGAGTTGGACACTTACTACCACAAGTACGAGGAGCAGTTCAAGGACACGGAGGATAACGGGATCGAGTGTCCTGGTTTCTGGGGTGGTATGCGGATAGTGCCGTATGAGATTGAGTTCTGGCAGGGCGGCGTTTCCCGGTTGCACGATAGGCTCGTTTATGAGCGGGACGATGCCGAGAAGGAGTGGACCGTGAAGCGTGTTGCTCCATGATGGTGCCCCGGATGAAGATTTGGATTCAGCGTTGGCTGGTCCAGCCACAATAGACGATAGAGTCAGTACAAAGACAGCGTTTTTTCTTTTTCCCGTAACTGCCATTCGTAACTACTTTCGTGTCTCAGTATTTATGCTATGGGTGTTTGCCATTGGATTGCAAAATAGCAGGATGCGAGAAGCTGAATCAGGATAAGATGCAAAAGTACCATAAACGAATAAAAAATGTGAATCCGAAAAATCAAAGGCAGTTCCAGCTGTGAATCAGTGAAGACTCGTCCGCATATGATAATTCTAGTCGACGATGTGGTTTGTCCATCACCAAGATGTGCGTTTGTTGCTAAGCCTTTGGTTTAAGCGAAGATCCTGCGCCGTATTCATTGATATTCGACTACTGTCCAACATCTTGCTACAAATGAAGGCGGACTAATCGGTGGTGATCTGAGTGCAGCGCGATACGCCTTAGTAAGCAAGTTCCCCAAACTATAAGGTTTGAAATAGGAGCAAATTCAAGCCCCTTTTATTTTCACCTTTTTCCTAAATTCGCCTCCCTTCCCACCGTTTGATGGAAATGACAAATCCACCGTGCAGGGGATGCATGCGTCAGATTGTGTAATTACGGTTATCGCGAGTTTTGCAGCCATTGGTGCATTTCTCCAACTACATCATAATAGACCAAAAAAACATCAATTCACATTCAAACCATATTCAATATTCATATCTAAGGAGTCTAGCCTACTTGAATCTCTTGACAGTCTGGGCAAAGTAGTCACCCTGGTAATGGGCAATCTGCTTCTCCAAATCAGTAGGCTGTCTGGAACCATCAGCTCCAGCAAAAGTACCAGCACCCCATGGAGAAGAACCGTGAACCTCGTCCAAATTGGTAAGCAAGGGGAAGGCCTTGCCGTAACCCAATGGCACGTAAATGATACCGTGGTGGGTCAAGGTGGAAAGCGAGTTCAAGGCAGTGGTTTCCTGTCCACCACCTGGAGTACCAGTAGAAACAAAGATCGAGGCCACTTTGCCCTGCAAAGCACCTTTAGCCCACAATCCGCCTGTGGCGTCCCAGAAGGCCTTCCATTGAGCTGGGAAGTTACCGTATCTGGTGGGGATACCGAAGATAAAGTAGTCGTATTCGGTCAAGGTCTCTGGAGAAGCAACTGGGAAGTCTGGCTTTGGAGGAGCGTGCAACTTGGTCAAAATGTCCTCGGAGAGGGTTTCAGGCACCTGGTAGATGTTAGCATCGAGACCGCCAGCAACGACACCTTTTTGGATTTCTTTGGCAAGAGTAGCAATGTGGTGGTACAAGGAGTAGGTGATGATAGCGACTTTGGTCATTGTGGGTAAAAATCGATAGAGAAAAGAAGAATGCCAGGCAAGCCTTCTTATAAGATCGAGACTGAGGCAACCAGGGGTTCATTTACCGCCGTGCAGCAGTGGCTCAGACGTAAAGTTGACACCCCATACTAGTCAGTATGACTTCGCAATGACTAACTGATTAGTAGCATTTTACGTGCAAAACGTGTGTTTTGATGGAGGGCCTAGATTGGTTGAAAATGCCATTGTTAAGTGGGATTGGGGGAAAAAGCCACAGTGGTGGGGAACGGGCAAGTCTGTGGTGGCTGATCCCGACTCCATGTCGTGGTGGCTTCGACGGATGGTTTTTGATTTTCCGATTACACAAATATTACTACTTGTTCTTTTGATCGTTATTGTGATCAGTTGCTGATTGTGACTTGTTCGGTGCGTTCATAACCCTGCTATATCTGGATAATGTTAACATTCCGCAACCCATTGTTGCAGCCAATTGAATAGATGCATCTGGACCCATGTACGGAGTATCGGCTGCAATCTGAGTATCTACGCCGCTGGTTCATCAAAACCTGTTTCTAATATTTGAAGGCCTTCGCCTTTCCGTTCTCAGCAGACTTTGCAACCCAAGAGCTTTTGGATTCCTGGCCTACATTCCAGTCGTATCAGTCTATATTCTTCTAATTAAGGCCTGCGGCCTGGTTGGTTGTATTCTAGGCACCGCCGGGATTGCTTAGAATTTCTGCACAGTCTCATAGAAAGACTGGCCCTGGATCGTGGCAATCTCCAACTCCAACTCGGATGGCTGTCTGGAACCGTCTGGACCAGCGAAAGTACCGGCACCGTATGGAGAAGATCCGTGGACCTGCTCCAAGTTGGTGATCTGGCCGAAAGCCTTGGCATAACCCAATGGAACGTAGATGATACCGTGGTGGACCAACACAGACAAGGCGTTGACAATGGTGGTCTCCTGGCCACCGCCTGGGGTACCGGTGGAAACGAAGAAACCGGCAGCCTTACCGTACAAGGCACCAGAGGCCCACAAGCCACCGGTGGAGTCCCAGAAGGCCTTCCACTGGGCTGGGTAGTTACCGAATCTGGTTGGAACACCGAACAAGAAAGCGTCGTAGCTGGTCAAGGTGTCCAAGGTGGCGACAGGGTAGTTTGGCTTGGCTGGAGCACCCATCTTGGCCAAAACGTCAGAAGAAAGAGTCTCTGGAACCTGGAAGATGTCAGCCTGACCACCAGCGGCCTCGACACCCTTCTTCACGGCCTCAGCCATGGTGGCGATGTGGTGGTACATGGAGTAGATGATGATAGCAACTTTTGGAGCCATTGTGATTGATATGTGTTTGTTGATGGAGATGAGCAAAAGTTCGTGGCAGCCTGGTCCTTTTATCTATTTGGGCTCTGTGCTGACGAAATTGCCAGCATGCCGGTTCGGCATGCGGTGCCTTCGAATGTTGCATTGTGCAGTTAGTAACGCTTAGTCAACTGGGTGAAATGCGTCGAATGTTTGTCAATATACCGCACAATCAGACACCTAAGCGATGGAATACTGCACACAAGGCGGATTATCAAGCTTGCTAGTCAGATATTTGTCAAGCTGCATTGACTAATGCTTAGTGGAAGTTTCGAAGCCTCATTCGGTAATCACAAATAGACACCTCACAGCTTTACTTTAAAACCGCTCAGCCTTGCCGCCCCTTTATTTGGACCCATCCTGCCCTTCGTCTATTTTTTTCAAAACCCACAATGAAAGTCGCTATCGTCTACTACTCCACGTACGGCCACGTCCTTACGTTGGCAAAGTCCATCAAGGAAGGTCTTGAGTCTTCTGGAAAGGTCTCCCAGGTTGACATTTTGCAAGTCCCAGAGACTCTTCCAAAGGAGGTTTTGCAGCAGTTGCACGCTCCTGAGAAGCCAGACTACCCTCTTGCATCCCCAGAGAAGATCACCGAATACGATGCCATTCTTTTCGGTTACCCAACCCGTTTCGGTAACTTGCCAGCTCAATTGGTCGAGTTCTTTGGCCAGACTGGTGGTCTCTGGACCTCTGGTGGCTTGTACCGTAAGCCAGTCGGTGTGTTCACCTCTGTGAGCTCTTCTGCTGGTGGCCAGGAAGTCACCATGAGAAACTTGTTCTCCTACATTGCCCATCACGGTATGGTCTTTGTGCCATTGGGTTACGGTAAGGCTTTCCCAGACATCACTAACTTGGAGGAGGTCCACGGTGGTACTCCATACGGTGCTTCCACTTTTGCTGGCGCCAACGGTTCCAGACAGCCATCCGAATTGGAATTGAGAATTGCCCACACCCAGGGAGAGACTTTCGCTGTCAATGCTGCCAAGTTGGTCGCTGCTTCGAAAGCTCCAGCTGCTGCTTCCACTGAGAAGGAGACTCCAGCTGCTGCTTCCACTAAGAAGGAGACTCCAGCTGCTGCTTCCACGAAGGAGGAGACTCCAGCTGCTACCAAAAAGACAGCCCCAGCTGCTGCTGAGAAGAAGAATGCTGAGTCCACTGACACCCCACCTGCTACTAAAACCACTGAAAAGTCCACTGAGTCTTCCACCCCACAAAGAGTGCAAAACCTGAGCACGCCGAATGCCAAAGAGGAGAGCAGCTGTGCTAAGTGCGTGATTGTTTAAGGAAAGACCCACTTAGAAAACCCTAGAAGTGCACCGCACGGGCGGTGATAGTTAGTAATAGCCAACAACCCCTAATCGATATACTTACGTGAAGAAAGAACTCCCCACTACTACCTCTGCCAACCTCAAACTAGCCCTACGCGTTGCTAACAACACTCGCTGCAGAGATGCCAATATTGGAGAGACCAAAGACGGTGTATCCTGAGACCGTACCCCAGACTAACCAAACTGTTGCTTTCATGCTTTCGTACAAGTATGTGTGTACTGATCCGTCCATCAGACTGGAGGGGCTAGTCTACTCACACAGAATGGCAAGTCCTTTGCAGGGTATCCATGAACCATAGTTTAGTGTTTTACTCGTGCTCCACTCAAATTTGTATCCTGTTAAACCTCCTCCCTTCTTGCGTAAAGCCCTTCAAAGCGACATGGAATAACTGGGAGGCATGTACCTGCTTGGGGCCCATTACGAGCCCGATTTTGCCTAGAAAACAAACAGGCCAAAACAAAAGATCTGAGCACAGAGTACGGAATTTGCAACTGTAGGGTGGTAAAACCCAGCCAAAGGCTGAGGAGAGACAGCGAAGATAATAGCCTTCCGGAATATTTGCGATTCTACAAGAGGGCAAATTCCATTTCTCTCGTCACAGGAGTTCACGGGTACAAGGATGTTGCAGAACGCATTTGAACGAGAACACACAACCAATAATGAACATCCCAGAGCCGGAAGAGCCCTTCAGCAGTAGTAGGTAGCAAATTCACCTTTTCGTGGGCTGAAGAACTTCTCTATGGAAGTCGATGCCCGATCGAAGACCAGACAAGCCAGGAAGATATGTACCTCGTCCACGCAATTCTACACCACCCAGGGCGCCGCAAAACCTCAGATAACAAGCAGAATCACACGTCATCCAAAAAGCTTCTTCGCCGTATCTAAATGGGTTTTTTCTTAGGGATGTCTGGGTTTAAAAAACCAGGGTGCCTATTCCCAGACAGGGTCCATGAAGCTCCGGATCATCACCTTTTGACGAAGCCAAAAGACAACATCCAGGCCCTTGAATGGATCCAAAAGAAAAATGAATAACATTTTCCGCAATTTTCCTCGAGAAACACATGTAAAACACGTCCACCAGGTCCACAGATCAGATTCAGAAAGACACAGCCATTGAACGCACCTAGGCTCTCTGCAAGCGAATTGGCGTGAAATTAGCCACATAGGGGTCGAATGGAATTGACCGGCCATATAATGATATGACCATAGGTAGTATATGGGAAGAAAGGGCGAACCTTTGAGATCAGAAAACTGCTTGGTACTCTCGCCATGTAGTGTAGACACCCGTACCTCCGGTGATTTAGATGCCATAAGGGCTGTCTTTGGTCCAATTGAGGGATTTTCATTGGATTTTTGCTTGTTCTACAATTCCTTAACGGTCTTTATCGTGAATTGAATCTGATTGCGCCAAAAAAGGGAAATTTTGGCGTCATTGGCGTTGTTCAAACCAGCAGGAGAATGTATGCGAATGCAAGAACGACTGAATCAACGGATACATAGTCTTAGAAAGCAAGTTGCAATATCAGCAGGGTATGTATTGAAGGTAGCTATTTGTACATGCATGAAATATAGCAAGGGGCTGCTAATCATATATATTTCGCCCTCAAATTCGAGCTGGACCCAACGGTAAACCAATATCAGAGCTATCCATGCATCTGTAAGAGTGAAATACCGGTTAGCTAAACTCATTGCCATTGGGAGTCATTGGAGCCTCTGTTGGACTTTTAAGCAAATGAGATATCTTTAACTGCCAACGCTACATGCTGCAAACCAAATGCTGACTATGTAGCAAACAGGGTTCGTAATATCGACATAAAGACCACAGAGTTCCAAAGTTGATAGAGCAACATTAGGGACTAGAGTCAATATCTCATGACTATAGAAAGCAAAATCTTGCTTCTAGCTCCCTATCATCATGTACAACTACACCAAACTATCAACACATCAATTACTAAGTGGGGACGAAAGCACCAAACCCGTGTGGCTTCGGGAAGGTCTTGATGTAGTCAATTTCTCCCACACACTGCGGCACCGTAAGCTGGTTCAGGCCTATGGCCCGGTGGATCTTCACACCAACATCCACGGTTCTTTTTGTAGCATCGTGCTCCAAAACAAGACCTCGTCCGCCGTTGTTCCGCTTATACAGCAAGACCCCGTTAATCACGTCCCGGTCGTGCTTGCTTTCGTCGGCCACAAGCAGCCAGTCCATGGTGTCGTAGTCCCAAAGCACCAGCTGCATGCCAAACTGACGAATTATAGCACGAACTCTGTTATCGATTCCTCCGTAAGGCGGTCTGAACCATTTAGGTAAGTGCCCGTACGTGGCGTTCATGGCCCAAATGGACCATTGAAGCTGGGCGACTATCTGCTCGTTACTGAGCAGGGGAAGAAAAGGATGGGACCAGGTATGAGAACCCATGATATGACCCATATCGGCAGTATCTCTGTAGACCTGCGGGAAACGAACCACGTTAACGCCAATGGTGAAAAAAGTAGCCTTGCTGCGGAGCTGACTGGTCAATGCTGGCGTAAACTGGGTGGGTCCATCGTCAAAGGTCTGGCTGAGTCTAGGGCAGGTGTAGACATCGTCAGCTGCTACACAATTGGCACAATCAAAGGAGCAGACTTCTCCACGGGTAACGTGGTGTGGGCAATCGCCCAAATTCCGTTTCCACGAGCTCAGCCCCTGTGGCAAGTTGTCAAACAGAATGAAGTCCATGGGGATATATGGAGGGTCCAAGCCAGGCCATTCTGTGATTCCTGTAAAATCAGTGAGCCACTGGGGTACGGGTAACGGGGCCGGAGCTGCGGCGATTTGAGGATTGAAGATATTGAGAGACGGGCGGAACGAGAGGGCCGCTGTGGGGGCCAAGAGGAAGAGAAGCATGCTTGTGGTGGTGTTTTTGCAACCATCGCGAAGTGCTGGGTGGTCTATTTTATAGGTGGGCAGACGAGGTGGAGGTTTCTGGGATTTCGAGGGGCAGAGAAGATCAGAATAGTGAGGACTAAATAGGTCTTGTTTTATTTTTGTTTTGGTTTGGCCTTTGGGAGTAGGACTACTGGTAGTTCTTTGCTGGCTTCGAAATGGCTGCGAATGTACTAGAAGATAGGTAGAATGCTTGGTGAGGAGGCAGGGAGGTGAAACTAAGTATGGATTGGTGGAAGCTTCTCAACTAAATAGGACGAGGAGAGCTGGTTAGCTTTTGCTCTGTTTATCTAGGATTGTGCTATAAGCCCAGCAACGGTTACCCAAGTACCTTATGTCAGATAGAAACTAACGAGTAATTTAAAGATGGAGCTTCGGCCCATTCAATGGGCATGTTAAGATTACTTTGGACCAATTTTCAAAAACCTCCTCAGAAAATGACTTCGTGGGTCGGTGCAGCGTATACTTAGACGACGTTTGGTTTAAGACCTGCTACAGATGGCCCAAATGGGAAAGCAATCTGGACCAAGGGGGTCAGATCGTCTAACTACACTCCTCAAGATCTACGGTGGTCGAAAGTAGTTCAACAAAATCAAAGTAACTGTGAAAAAATGGAGTTCAGCTTTTATTGGCACCTTCTCACTAGTACAACGAGGATGCCCTCATTGCAACACTGCTATTCAAAGCTTCATTGATACACGACATCAAGCCCATAAAGGCTGTCAGCGGTAGTTGATTATCGTTCAAGGCATCTAACTGCCAGTTCTAGGTACATCTCTATGGCTCTCATGAAATGCTCCTAGCTAATGTCCTAAGCTTAGATATATGAACTACAGCGATCACCAGGAGAAGGCCATAGCTCGTGATGGAAACCACCCCCTCTCCAGTCCCCATTTCCCGATTCTCTTTTCTACGTAAACTGACACTTTGTCACATCCTCTTTCTCTCCACACCTCCCAGAATCTTCCAAGCTTGAGTCAAGAAAAAGAGCACTCTCCTCAATCTCCCAATACTCCTCAATCTCTCCACCAACCTCCTCAATTCTCCTCCACCATCTCCAGCACTCCTCATTCATTTCTCCAACCATCTACCCTCATCTTGTGAAAAACATTTCCTCCTCATACCCCTAGACTCCTCCTCGGTGAGACCATGACACATGCCAGCTAAGCCTGGGTCCAACTACCTTACTAAACGGACCACAAACCCCAGAACTACAATTCTTCAATGCATTCTAATTTCATTTAGTCGCCCATCGGCGAGCAATCATAAATAATAAAATCCGAAATCACGTTTTTCACGCTTACGGCCCAATGCTGGTCGGTCACTCGGAGCTTGAGGGGATGTGGGGAGCAGCGGGGCGGTGACAGTGCGAGCGCAAAATGGCAGTGACACAGAAGCCTCAACAATGCGGTTTCGCGACGAACAACCTGGTCATTGTGACCATGGGTGTCAGAACAAACAAAGCGGCTGAAATTTGACGCCGAAACCGACGGCGCTGAGTCGACCGGTGCTTTTTGTATTCTTCTGGGGCGAAAATTGGCCGAGTTAGGGGCACCCTCGGTGGGTGCTTACCGGCGAGTGCGGGGCCGGCAAAACGCTGACTGACGTGCTCGTCAATGCGTGAAATCGGCGCAGTGAGCCATTTTAACGAGGCGATGAATTCAAGAAAGGGGACTGTTAGGAGCCAGCAAGTCTGAAACTTGAATGTGAAAGCGGTGGAAATCAGGCTGGATCGGCCAGATCGGGTAGTTCGGGCTAGCTTAGTCTGGATCTGCGGTGGCTGCAAACGATCAGGCCTCCTTGCTCCCCTTGCCTTTTGAAATCCTTAACCATTGCTCCGGCAAATTTCGTCCTTTTACAAAAGGGAGAGCTGGTAAAAACGCTAATCAATGGCTCGAAAGTAAATCAACACATCACCTCTTCGGACTAAAAGCTCACACTCTCGTACCGCCTCCGATGCCTTTCTGCCTGAAGCAGCACAACCGTCTGCTTCAACCGGCTCTCCATCGCCGCCTGTTCATCTTGCATCACCACAGCGATCTGGGCACTGTTCATCTTGCCAAAATCCACAGTTTTCGGAACCGCTTCCTTGTTTGCAGCCATTTCTGCCAGCTCCCGGCGAGGCCTTTTGCGAGGCGTCTCGATTTGCCAGTTTCCCTCTTCGCTCAATCTGCTGATCTCCCGAACGTACTTCATCACCGCTGCCTCCTGGCGTCTTTCCATAAGATCTATGGTTTGTTCTCTGGTAAGCGACCAAGGCTTGACTCTGTCAACATCTCCCGCGGAGAACCGTCTGGTGCGGGCTGACATGGCGAAATAAACTTGTTTGTTGCAATTTGGAGATTTTGAAAAAAGCGATTGAAATAATTCTGTCAAGTGTCACACCGGCGACTGTGGGTCTTATAGCTTATCGCACAGTGTGCACATTTGCTGGACCGTATCTGCTTGATTCTCCTTTCGCGGGGGTCTCGGGTCACCCCTCCGGACCTGAGTCATTTAGCCCCAGATTTTAGACAATTAGACAATTTTGAATGAACAGTTTCTGTCAATCTTCAAGACATCTGTTTGCATTTTTCGTCATTTTAGGTTCTTCCAACAAAACCCTCAATGTATGGCGCACCGGCTCGGTAGAATCTCCACAATTCAGAATCGGCTGCGTTTTTCACGCACCGTCCCACCGGCTCCCCTCTATTTTCTTATCGTTTGGCGTATTCATGCAGCGTGAAGTCACCAGAATTTTCGCTTTCTTATTTCAGGGCCCCGCTATTTTTAATCTTCTCATGTGACGGGTTTACTCCGCTTCGTTGAAAAGTGCAAATGTGGTGAATTCTGAAATTACTGTAGGGCGCCGAGCGTGCCGTTAGATCAGACCGGTAGTCAGTTCCAAACACCGTAAATGCCGATGAGCTGAGAATGCAGAAGGGGTCACATTTTGCAAACACGCATAAGGATTGTCTCATTTTTTGACGATACTGAAGGATAACCTGGTAAATCGGAGAATTATCTGATTTTTGGGGTTTAACCGTGCACGTGGTAGACCGGTTCCTGCTCATATATGGATATGTGAAGTAACGGTTCGATGTCTCTGCATCACTATGCATCGGCTATACCTCACTCACCGTGTCTATCCACTAGCATACTTGACATTCTTACATATTGCACGTTCGCTAATTATTCTTCTTCTTTTCCTAGACGAATCACTATGTACCTGGTTTCCTCATGCATATTATTCCGTCTATTTCTCTATGCTATAGCCTTCTCGGCCTCCGACGAAGCCCTGGCAATCAACTCAATCTGCTCCTTCACCGCTCTCGTCAAAAATTCAATCATCACTATGTCCTGGTTGTGCGCCTGGAAGTGCTCCTTCAACAGCGTCAAGTCCGACAAGCTCGTGGGCTTGTTCACCAATGTGTTGCTCAAGGTACGCAACAAGTCCACATCCTCATCGGATCCAGACATGTTGTCGAGGTACTGCAACAACTGGTCCACATCGTGGGTCACAGCGCCAATCTCCGCCTGCAAGGTATCCAAGCCCTGCTCGTGTCCCTGCAACGTGACAGAGTTGTCCTTGGAGCGATGGAGCATGTTCAAGGCCAACTTCTCCGAAACAGTGTGGGCAACAACCTTGTGGGGCACAGGGCTGAAGATGTAGGAGTTTGTGGTGGCGGTGGTCTTCCAGCCGATTTTCTGGACGGGCTTGCCGATGGCAGCACCGATGTAAGTGGTCAACTGAGGCATCTGGATCTGCTCCTCCTTCAAGTACGAAACGTTCAAGTACACGGCAGCGAATGGGTAGGCTCTGTCGGCACCCTTGGAGTAGAAGTCGTGAATGAGACCCGTGGAGCCGTCAATGGTGGAGGCCAGGTCGAACCAGCCGAGAACAAACTCCTTAGGGTGAGCTTTCTTGTACAACTGGTAGAGCGTTTTGTGGGTGTGCTCCTCGATGGCAATGGAATCGCCTGTTTCTTGACAAGGGACCATGAAGGCGTCTCTGACCTCGACGGTGCTGCCGTCATCAGATCTGACACCAAGCAAAGTGCCGATGATTCTCTTGTTCTTGTTCTCTTGAAGCACCTGTTTGGAGACGATTTCGAGAATTTTGAAAAGGGCAGGGTTGTGGATCTTCACGGCCACGGTCGAGGGCCCGGACGGCGCCGCGGGCGCTGCCACGGTAGGCCTGAACAAATGCATATACGAGTCAGACATTGGTGAGAAGGTAGGAGGTTTTGGTTCGATGATGTCGAGTTTTTTTCTTCAGCGGGTCACGTGCGCACAAGAGTTCGGAGTGGGTTCAGATGGATCAACAGCCGTGGGGCCAGATTTGGGATTTAAGTGGGGTTGCGTGTAATTTGATGACTGTTTAGTGGTTTGACTGCTTTTGAGGTTGTTTTTATGTAGTTTGTGTGAAAATAGTGTGGTGATGAAGATGGTGTTTGCAGCCACGCGAAGGTATACGGAGAGGTGGAATGGGGCAGGTGAAAAATTGGGAATATCCGGGTGTTTATGTGGAGATATTTGATTAGGAAGACTATCTGGATGGCAAAGTATATTTGGTTGGCTAATTCTAGAAGGTTTTTTGATTTGGCAACAATTTGATGGGTTGGTAGTGGCTGTAGCTTTTAGTAGCTCGCTGTAGACTACTTGAAGTAATCGAGATCTCAAGAGTTTAACTTTACCATCGGGATTTGTATCTATGATTGCTCTTTATTATTGAATTCGTCAGTGTAATCGATTTTACAATCCAACCTACACTTGAGGAGCTATGGCCCCTGTGGAGTGATACAACGAAGCCCCCTATCTTGTAATTCTTTTCAATTTCGGGATTTATATAATAGATAAATGAGTGACATATTTTTAATGAAGAAACACCTCTGGAATGTAAATCTTCTTTGACGTTGGGTAACATTCATAATGCACCGTATGCAGCCAACAACTGAGAGCCAATCTCCCAAGACGGGCTCCATTATAGTACTTTCATAGTAACGAGGTACAGAATCAAGAAATAATTATCTTCACTGTAAGTGTTACCCATACAAGGTCTACCTCGCACGTATTGTGTTACTGGTTGTCATCACTATATATAACCCAACCGACCATGCTCCACAATTTAATCTAGAGACTCAAAATTTCGTTCGTAGCAGAGCTCATCCTTTTTATTCATCCACTTGTATCTCGAATCTTCAAAGCTCCTTCTAAAAAGCCCCAATTGCTCATTCCACCCAATCCACCCTTTGACCTCCACCTGAGTGAGACATGCTGATGGTAAACTTCGCGGTGGGTGCAAACTATCAACTACATGACCGAACACCCCAAACCCAACACATGGCTCTTTTCGGGCGACGATGTGCTCAACCGCCTGCCTTCACGTAAGCAGATGCTGCTTTCTCAGATCCTCAAGGTCTACGAGCTGATCTACGACTTTCTCGTCAGACTAGCTTCAGTACTCAAACTCGATGGAAGAACCATCCTAGCAGCCACAATCTACATCCACCGCTTCTACATGCGGATGCCCATCACCACGTCAAAGTACTTTGTGGCGTGCGCCGCTGTGGCCATTTCTTGCAAACTTCACGACACTTACAGACCTCCAGACAAGATAGCTCTTACAGGGTGCCAGATTAAGCATCCAGGCAAGCAGGTGGACCAGCATTCCAGCACGTTCTGGAGCTGGAGAGATCAGCTTTTGCATAGGGAGGAGGTGATTCTTAAGAACCTCAATTTCGAGGTGTCGGTGGACCTTCCGTATGAGATTACTGAAGAGCTTCTAAAGCAGCAACCCAAGGACCCAAAGGGCAATGGCTTTTACGAAAAACTACCCGACATTCTCAAAATTACTACGTCTAAAATCGAGCTTCTCAGTGCCTTGCCGGTGTTGGTGGTTTTTGACATATATACGTTGTATGGCGCAATGTTGATTCTCACTGTGAAGGAGGCCAAGCAGAAGTTCGACGACATTGACGCCATCAATTTGCCTGAAGGGTACCTAGACTCCATTGGCGTCACCGCAGACGAATGCTTCGAATGCTACCAGTTTGTGCTCAAGCTCCGAAGCCTCTGTGAGGACCCTCAGCTTCCGAGCCACAGGATTGTGGTTAAGAAAATCACCGACATAGGCCGGGACGCCTTCTATAGCATAGCTAACAGCCATTAATTTGCATACTAATTCTTCACGTTGCATCCTTCTCGTTGTTCTCCTCATCAATCTCCATTTCTTCCTCGACAGCTTCCGCTGCTGGCTCAGCTAGTGGTTCAGCTGGTTCATCGGCAGCTTTTTCAGTCTCCTTAGTGTCTTCGGACTCCTTGGCTTCCGGTTCGACATCCTCCGTTGCTGACTCCTCCTCTTTCTTCTCAGATGGACCTTCGTTCAGCGAGGGTTTCTGATCTTCATGTTCATCCTGAACATCAGCCTCCTTGTTCTCTGAATTCTGAGCTTCTGACTCAAGGACTTCTGCTACATCTTTACTCTCAGCCTCAGCATCGAGCTCACTCTTCTCCCCATTCTCTGGCTTCTCAGCTTCGGTCTCCGAAATCTTAACACTTGAAGGTTCCGTCTCAATCTCCTGAGATCCACTTCCATTAGGCGCATCCACATCCATGGGCTCAGGAGACTTCACCGAGACCGGCGTTGCAGGGAAACCGTACTTCTCTGTGTACTCGATGTACTGTTGGAGATCATCATTAAGCAATGAATCCTGGTACTTCACATTATACGGCAAGGCATCCTTGAGCTTCTGGGATGGCTGCACTCTCTCTATTTTAGCTTCTTCCTCGGTGTCGGCTTCCTGGATATTCAATAGTATGTGGTCATTTCTGATGTTGTTGTGGGCATGCGAAAGGAACTTCAGATACGCGTCCTCTTCATCCTTGGACGGATGGTATTTGCTATTGTTGTGGATAGGTAGCACCATGTCATGAAGCACTGTGTTCACGTATTGGAGATTATGGCCCAACTTGACGTCTTTCTCGGCCAAGTATGCTAACCAAGAGAGTTTGTCGTTTTCGGTGACTTCGGCCTCCTCAAGGTCATCTGCTATGCCACCAAATTGAGCGTTTGCTGGATTCTCTCCCAGTTTGAGCTGGTTGTAGTACTCCTGTCTTTCACGCAACCTTCGTTTCTTCTTCTCCTGGTCTGTTTCTGACAGTGTATCGATTTTTCTCTTTTCCATCAAGTTCCTGAGCTGTGAGCTTGGAACCTCACTCAATCTCTTGGACAAGTTAAAGTTATCACTGAACTGTAGCCACTTGATGAAGGATTCTAGCGATTTAACGTTGTATTCGGTTTCTGGTTCATTGGGGGCATCCTTGGGATCCAACAAGCTGTCGCCTGTCAGTGGCTTAATCAATTGCACGTCTAGTAGAGCTTGCACCAAGTCAGGTGCTTCGAGAACATTGGTGCATCTTGAGCGGGCATGGCCAAACTTCTTAGCACTATTTAGCACGAGCTCAAAGTGCTTGATATAGATATCTGTGATTGTGTTAAGGGTCAGCGGTTTGCATTTATCAAAACCCAGTGCTTTGAGAATCTGTGCCACGGATATTCGGAGCACGGCATAGAAAAACTGCTCGTCCATGGCGTCGTTGTGTGAATGGTTGTAGGAAGAAGTTGTTGATGTTTGTGTGTGCAGTGCGGTGGAGGTGCTACTATGGAGATGGAAGAATTGGAGATGTGGAAGGGATCTTTGGAGGTGAATTGGAATGAGTCAATTTCAAATGATAATTTATCCTCTCTAGTTTGTCGGATTGTCGGTGCAATGTGTGTGGAGTGGGTCTACATCGTATGCTTATTATGCTACTCTTTACTACACCAACCTGAGACTTACAAAGTACCCTGTGGAGGACACTGAGTATAAGAATACTTAAACATTTGCCCTTTTGCTTTTCAAGCACTTCTAGTCTGTTCTCTTTCCTTTCTTTTATCTCGTTCGAGTCGGGTTACTACTTTTTTCCATACATACTTCAGCGACAATACAGTTGGAAGGAAGACGCTTATGACGTCCGACACTGCTTATACTTTGACATTTACCCCTCTCTTACGCCTGAATAGCTCCTCTCCAGTCCCTCCTCTCCCTACACCATAATTCCGGTACTTTTTCATTACTTCTAGAAACACCACGTGCTCTGCAAACTGCCCTACAAACCCTGCTGCAATCTCTCCTGAATCTTCTTCGATGCAAAGGAAAAGGCGTTGAACACACCTGACTCCATGTTGACGCCCACGGGGTTGCTGTTCACAGGCGGCTTTGTCACCCTACTGACAATAATAGCTGGGTCAATTTCCAAGATTATTCCGTCGTCGATAGCTTCATCGAAACACAAAGCCACCATGTCGTACTTCAGCAACACGGTGGTTTTGTCCAACGAGTTGTCCAAGAGGATCAGCAATGCTTCGTTGATGTTGTTTGTCAACGAGTAAAGCATGGACTCGTTTTCATTGACACCGCCCACGAGCACAATAATGACGTCGTTTGTCTGCTTGTAAGTGATCAAGTGGTTGTCGTACAAGATCACGTCCTGGTGTTGTTTATTTATCTTGGAGTAGATGGCTTTTTCAAAAGCAGCCTGTTCTGTGGCCGTTTTGTATGATTGAGCCTCGTCATTAAGACGGTAGTATTTGGCAAATAGTCTCTGGCCCTCGTTGCCCAATATTAAGGCAGCCGTGACTGTGTATAGCGATATGTTGAGGGACATTGGGGAATAGCACTGGACTGGATCTAACTTTTGGAAAGGTGTATCTTTTGGTGAACCTACACTGTATACAGGACAAAACTGCTACTACGCCTGGATCAACGATACTTTTGATTAACATGCGATAATTATGCTGGGCTACGCGCCCACAAGGTAAAAAACTGCTTCAAGAATCTTCTTCTGCAATGGGTTACGTTCGTAGAAGTCGTCGGTCAAGCCATTAGTGGTGAAGTCGTTCGCTCTCTGCAGGGCAATGGCACGGAAGCCATAAACAAAGTTGATCACAAGGCCAATGATAAGCCCCAATGCAACCACCAAGGGGCCCAAAACGTTGTCCAAGTGCTTGGACGATCTCTCCATGATGATGGTTCTTCTCTTCATGAAAATGTAGTATCCCCAAATGCCTGAGAAAATAGTCAAGCCAAAGTAGATGTAGGCCACATACTCCGCCAATCTAGTAGAATTGGCACGGTGTGTTGAGGAGTAGATAATGAATGTCAAGGAGGACAACAACGTTGTGACGTGGAGCCACCTGTTGAATGTACGCTCGTTGGCCAACCAAACCTTAGGCTCAATTTTCAATGGGCCAGCATTCTTGATATACTGGTCCGGCTTCACCACGCCAGCGGGCAAATCAATCTCTTCCTCCTCGGAGTCGACATCAAGCAACTTGGAGAACGTGTTTGGCAATTTCAAGAGTTTCTGGATGGGCGTCTTGCGATGATCGTCATCATCGTAATCATCGTCTGAGGACTGGTCCAAGTCACCACCGGAAACAGGAGCCTGGTCAGGTTCATCCACCACATTCTCTGTGACAGGATGTAAAGCTGATTTCAGGGATGTGCCTTCTGCGGAGTCAACCGCCAGCTTAGACTCGTCGTTTAGATCACCAGCACCCAAAAGAGAACCAGAAAAGGATTTGGATCTGGTTGAAATGTCTGGCGAGGAGGAATTGGCCAACATCGACTTGAACTTTCTCAAGTTGTCCTCGTCATTCTGCAACTTGGCCAACTTCTGCCTCGTGTCGTTGTAGGCCTGTTGAGGGTCAAGCTTCAAGTCGGACTCCAACTCGTTGAACCAGAACGGGATGTTGTCAAGCTTGTCGTCCTCCAAGAACAACGAAGCAATTCCGTGGATGAACTTGGAGAAATTGGGGATTTCCTTGATCAAATGAGAGTGCACCAAGTCGTCAACCCAAATCAGTCTTCTTCCCTTCTTTCTGTTCTTGATCTTGATTTCAAGCTCGGCATATGGGAATTTGACGAACTCTCCCTTTCTCAAAAGAGACAATGGATTGTTGACCTTCGAATCGATATCTGTTCTGTGCCACTTGTTGGGGTCTCTGATGGGTCTCTGTTCATCGAAAGCATCCTCTCTGATGAAGTAGATATCCGAGTCAATAACAATACGCACTCTATCGTCGCCAGGAATCTGGAAAGCTGTACGCTTGTACTGAGTTCGGAGACAGGGCTGGACGTGGTTGTCCTTGATGAAGTTGCCCAAGGAGTCAATCTGTTTCTCAATGTCATCAACAAGCTCAGAAGAGTCGCCCTTCCTACGAAGCTTACGCAAATACTTCTGCTTGTCAAAGTTGCCCTGGATGAAATCGTCCAAATGCTTCTCCTTAAGAGTGATTTTCTCGTCCACATCGTACGTTTCCAGGCTCTTCTCGAAACTCTTCTTCTCCAAAGAGATCTGAGGCTTATTGTTCAACTTGCCAACCCACTTGATACGAAGAGTGTTTGCATTAGGGCTCTTCACCAACTTGTTGTTGTACAAGTCAAAGTTTTCGTTGTCGAAGTACAAGCAATTGATCGTGGGGTCGTTTCTGGAGAACTTGAAGTCATCGTCATCGTCGTCGTCGTCGTCGTCGTCATCGTAGTTGTAGGCACTTTCCCTATTTTTGTTGTTGTAAACAAGCACAGGAAGATGACGCAAGATGATGGCCTTGACCTCCATCAAGTTATCGGGATGCACCCAGAACTTGTACGAGTTGTAGTCGGCGTTGGTCTCTTCGGTGAAAGAGCTCAATTTGGAGAGCGACTGGTCCACATCGTAATTGTCACGCAAGAACTGAAACAAAGCGGAGATCTTGAACAAAAGCGGCGAGTAGTCCTCTGAGTGGAATGGCAACAGCTTCAAGCGCACGTTCAACATGGGCTTGACGGAGTACTTGGAATGCAAGCGGTCATGCTTTTTCACGATCTTGATGAAACCAGTGTAGTTCAATCTCTGGAAGCGGGAGAGTTCCTGGGCCAAGTTCAAAATCAGCTCCAATTTGCTGCTGAACGATTGTACATCGAAATTGGCAGTAGGAGACTCCGTAGCCTTCTGGAGGTCATCAAGGTACTCGTTCAATTCGTCGTATTTGTTGGCCTGGAAGGAGTAGACCTTCTCCAAATCCGAGTCCAAGGCACTGACAAAGTCCTTTTCGTCCTTCTCCGACCAAGCATCCTGAAGAATGACACCTTCCTTCAAAAGCTTCTTCAAGCGAAGGTAGCTGATGTAATGATCCTTCCAAGGCGGATAGATTTCCAGCTCAAGCTTACTGCCAAACAACATCTTGGAAGAGGAGGAGTCCATGATAATTCAGCTTATTACCAGCGGATCGGCACAAGGAAAGCGTTGATTTGCAATAAACCTGTGCTAATGAGCTGTGAGGCCTGTAGTGCACACGGCATGTATAGATAACGCCCACGTGGGGGAATTCATAACGAAAAAGGTGGGATTTCGACTCCACAAATAAAAAGGTGACTTTGCTACAGTGAATTGGCTTATTCTCTATAATTTTACTGCTCCAGTGATTGAGTGTGTTGGAGGGGGTATCTTCATGGAGTGCACAAGGCAGTGTACCACTTGGCGTTCATAGTCATGAAAGTCACAAGATGCACGAGGAAAATGTTCTAGGCTGGTTTTTGCAGTTTGGATGATTTGGCTTAGTGGAGAGAGTTTCTAGATTGGTCAATTTCAAGGAGACATTCCCAGATCAACGACGCCATTGCGTTGACATTTGCAGCCAGTGCTACATTAGGAAGCTTCGATGCGCAACAATGACGCGATAATCTGGTTCATTTGCGTCGGAATTTAATAGCACGGCTCCAGGCTGTTTTTTAGGGAAGTTTGGAAATTGTTAATTTGGAGAATAACTTGTCTGTGTGTAGAGCTGTGGCATTGATGTCAGGATTTGGGCGAGTTTGACTTTCGTGGAAAACCGTTATGTGGGTATTTTTCACTCGTCTTTCAATTTTAAGCCTCCAGGTCTGGGGCTTGTCAGATTATGGGTACAGGAATAGCTGCCAGCATGAGATCCTGGTGGTCAATTGTGTGGTCAATTGACCTAGAAATGGAAAAGTAAATCGAAGTTAAACTTGTTAAAACTTTCTGATTTACGGTTGTTTTCTATAAGAAGCACCCTTTGCATCTGCGAAAACCTTGTCCATTATACCCACGAGTCAGAGTCCGATTTTAGAAATTTTGATTGAGCTTCCATGTTATATCCTCAATTTAATGCGGCTTATTTCCTCTCTTAAGGAACCCATCACTGGCTAAGTTTTCACAACCCTCTCCCATGGTATTGTGTCTATGAGACATGAAAAATGACACCCAGGAGTCTTTGAATAAATTTTTGGTGTCTTCGTTTCCAAAGCCAGGAAATGATGATAGAAGCCATTAAATGCTTTCCTGTGGTCTTTACATGGCTAAATCCACATAGCTGTATTCCTCATATGCTGACTGCCCTAAGCCCTATCCGCTTATCACCGATGGCTGCAAAACGCACCGTTGAGCTCCCACACCAACGAACTTGAAAACGACATTCATGCTTATATCTTGCCAAGATCTTCTGTGGTTCAGCCAGAGTATCACCAAAACATCAAATTTTGCTCTTTTTACTTTTTAAAGAACGCCCCCACTCCACTTTGATGATACCACAACTTCACCTATCTAGCGCGCATCAACTTGAGCTACAACTCTTCTCCATGAATCTGACAAATCCCTTGTCCACACGAAATAGAATCCATTATGCCCCGCCGTCGAGGCCCAGGCACGATCCTGAAATCACGTACGACCTCCATACTGAGCCGGAGGAACCCCAGCAAGAAAAACCTCAAAGGTTCTCCAAAGACGCAATCTACCATCTCATTTCCACCACATACTCCCTCCTCATAATAGCGTTTTTCAAGACCCTTGTGGACAAGGTGAAAAAGAAGATTGAGCCAAAAGCGGAGCCTGTCGAGACCCATGTGGAGCCAGCTAAGCCGGAGCCTAAACCAACTCCTACAGCTCCAACGATACCACTTACGTTCTCTTCAGTGAGAAACCCAGATCCATACGCTTCGTTGTTTCTGGTGGACTCTGACGAGGAGCTAGAGGAAACAGGCCAGTACGGCACTTCTCTTGCCATCAGCAGAAACAAGTTCAAGGCTAGATCTGAAGAGGACCATGCAAACCACATCCTGAACTCGACATCCATCTTGCCCAACAGGTTGCTAGATTCAGATATCCAAGCCGACACTGCATCTGACTTCTTCTCTCCTTCAAAACCCACGGACGAGTACGATGCTGCCGTGTCGAAATTTTACCAACCATTCAAGCCATTACCCAGCCAGAAGAAAACACTCACTGAGACCATCTTGGCTGGGTTCCCACTGGTGACCAGCGTTCTACGAGACGAGCAAAAGAAGATCCAGGACCTCATCACCACCGAACGTAAATCTCTGGTTTCGGTGGTTCCTCCATTGGCCAAGGATCAGCTAAATATTGTACAAAGTTACTGGGGTTCACGCAACTCCAGCGGCCAGGTTGCTTCCGCATATTCCATTGATTTGACTGTCAGGGACCTCTCAACCTTGGCCGACGGGCAGTGGCTCAATGACAATGTCATTGACTTCTACTTGAACATGGTCACTGACCAGAACAAACTGGTCTACTGCTGGACCACGCATTTCTTCTCCACATTGAAACAGAAGGGCTACCAGGGTGTGGCTCGCTGGGCCAAAAGACGGAAAATCAATCTTTTTGAAAAGGATAAAGTCATTGTGCCAATCAACATCATGAGCACCCATTGGGCACTTGCCGTCATAAACAACAAGAAGCATACCATCAGCTATTTCGACTCATTGGCTTCCAGAGGTAACATTGCTGCTGTAGAGTTGTTACAAACATACATGACGAAGGAGGCCGAACGACTCCTGCTTCCTCCCATTGACTACAACCTCATTGCTGGTGAGAAGACGCCGCAGCAACAAAATGGCTTTGATTGTGGAGTATTTACATGTACAGTTGCCAAGTTCGTTTCCAGAGACCAGCCTCTTGGCTTCGGTCAGCAAGATATGCGCAATATCCGCAGAAGAATGGCGTACGAGATCATTCTGCAAACCTTACTAGATAACCCTCTGGCACCCAGTGCTCACCTATGAGCATATAGAAAATGCATTAGAACCCAAAGAGACGCTTTTTTCGCTCGACCCCAACATTCAGCACATCTTTGATTTGACTCTCGTACAGGCGAATACTTTGCGTGCTAGCGTTGATCTTCTGCTCGATAAAAGTAAGTCTGTCTTTGAGCCAATCGGAAGCGACAGCCTCGCCAATCTTGCTGATCTCATCCTCAAGTTGAGAGATCTTTGCATTCTCTAGCTTGATCAAACTCTTGATGAGACGAGTTTCGTAGAGCTTGAAAACTGCCTTATCCTCAACCAAATTCTTGAAAGCTGCCTTATACAAGGGTCTGCCGGTCTTGATGCTGCTTACGATACCCTTGTCTCTCAGAAGCAAAATCAAGTCGTTCTTTTCCAACACCAACAATGTGCTTACTGTGTCAGCGCTGTCACCGAATAGAGGAGACTGAGTCAACTCATCGAAAGTGACCAGGTCTTTGTTAGCAAGAAGTCTCATGAGCGCCCAGATCTGATCCGTGCTCCAATTATTTTCGGTATCTGCCTTAGACACATTCAAAAAGAAAGTGGTGATTTGCTCGGCCGCTTGAGTGACCATCTGGCGCAAAGCATCATCAGCCTGTTCTCCGGATCTCACACGTCTTACGAACGCCTGAAGATCAAGCATTCTTCCACCAATAGGAGCTAAGCAGTGTTCAATCAGCGACTGCATTTCCATATCCTTCAACTGACTCATGACATACTGCTTTGCACTTTGCATAGTGGCATCTGCCAAAGACACAGTCTTGAACACCTGATTAGGAAGAGCCGCTGTTAAGTGAGTTGAACTGCTGGCATCCAGAGTGATGAAAATGACGTGAGCCGTGTTGCTTTGAATAAGCTGTGCCGCCCATTCAGCAATCAGTTTGTAGATGAAGTCGTTTGGTGATTCAGATTTTCTCAAGAAGTTTTCAACAATGATAACCGGCTTGGCCTTAGGGTGCAGCTGGAGATAGTCATCCTCTCTGATGTCGTAGTTCTTGGAATCGTCGTCCTGGTGTTTCGCCTTGCGCTGCTTGGCTAACTCTGCTTTGTATGCATTAAAGTCAGAGAGAGCGACCTTTCTGATTGCTGAGGCGGTCAACAGCAACATGTTTTTGAACTGCGTTTCCTTCGACTCACTTAATCCTGATTTCTGGCCCGTCAATCCTTGAACACCCAAGTCAACAAACTGCGAGATCGAGTTGGTCCAAGTGAAGATAGGGAAGTAGCCTAGTTGTGAAGCAGTGTTTTTGAGGAACGCATTGTCACTTCTAGCCTTGATCATTTGCTCACAGTCAAGCTCAAGCATCTTCTTACCAAACTGGTGGTCATCTTGCAAAGCGTTATCAACGACGAACTCCCTCTTGCCTGATCCTCTTGGACCTTTGACGATGATGAATGTGTTTGCATTTTCATGGATCCACATCTTCACATCATTGGCCTTCTCAGAACGCTCTTGTAGGAATAGGTTTGCCTGAAGGTCCATCAATGGCACTTCTTCCAGCTCCTTGTTAGTGTCTCCGGTAATAGAGCAAAGGGAGTCATCAATGAATGTGGTAGTGTCCGTGATCCAATTTGCAAGAGTCTTGTATGGAATGTACAACGCTTTCACGATCATATTGTCCTTGTGGTTATCCCAAGTGAATCTGTGCTTGATACGGATCTGGATGAACTGCTCTCTGATCGGTTCGAAGATCAAAACGGCGGTAGTGGCCAAAATAGCAAGGATCAAAGGAATTGCAATTTTCTGGTGGTTATTGATAGCATTTGCAATATAATTAACCCGCTCAACGGGGATGTACTGCAAGTGCAAGGCCAGCTGACCATCGTTGTAGGTGATACCAGTTACGCAGTTCTTAGCACGAATACACGAGTCAGTGTACTTGAACACAATGGTAGCGTAGGGTGTGGTGGAAGTAGCAGGAAAGATGTCTTTGATTTGACCATAGCGTCTGAACAAAAGGTACAATTCTTCTTCGGACAATGTCTCACCCTGAAACTTGACCTTAAGCTTTGGCGACGGGAATCTGCTCAAGTCTTCGATCCATGGGGTACCCTTGACCTGGAATGCACTAGGAGCCGGTTTGAAAAGCGCAACGAAAGAGGATACCGGGTTCAGGTTCTTTTTCTTGTACTCCCTAATATTCTCCTCAAGCAACTTGGTGAGATCCTTAGGAGTGGACGAGGGTGGTACGACAAATTTGACAAAAGCACCACCATCTCTTCTCAATGGAATAAACTGCTGTGCATTGGTTCCCTCTGGAAGCGGCTTCTTTCCCCTTTCTACCATCTTGAACAAACGCTCCTTGAGGTGATCTTCGCTACCTCTCTTGAACCAGTTAGCAGGCTGCAAGTAACTCTTGAACTTGAGTCTTGCAAGCCACCGAGGATACACATTATCGAAGAAAATAAGCACTTCGTGTTGTTTCTCAAAGTCAATGACACCGGTGGTTTCATAGGAAATATCCAGATCGTTCTGTGATGTTTCCAGTTTGAGGTTTTCCACGTCCGAGGCGTGTCTGGCAAACAGAACTAGCCGGCTGGGGTTCCGACCAATCCGTGAATTGAGCCCATAAAGCCTTGATCTGAAAAGACTCATGGAGTTGGTTTGGAAGAATCTGGGGTTATCTGTTGCTACTACTGCACAATTTGGCTGCGAAGGCAAGATGCACCGATACGGTGACGTAAATGGGAGAAAAGAGGTTTTTGGGGGCAATTATTTAAATATAACTGGTTGGCAGTTACTGATAATTGGTGTCCTTCTAATTTTTTTTCATTTGGTACTTTGCGTAAGTTTGAGTTGGCGGTACCTTTTGCAAGATTACCCTTGGCTGCGAAATGTTAGACACAATACAGAAACCTACTAATATCATGAACTACACTTTTGGTGAAAATGATCCTAGAATCGGGGTTCACAGAGCGGAAGCTTAATTCAGATTTGAATACATATGAGGGACCCCGTGAATTCGACTCTTAGCGAATTCGTAGTTGCGGAGACAAACATCAAGTTCGTTAGATTCCCTACGGTCTCAAGGAGATGATCCACATGTAGTTAGAGTGAACCATCAATGTCAGTTTAAGATGATACTTCTATGGAAGAATACCCACAGCCTTGACAAAACCAAAGAAAAGACGTCATTTTCTAGCACTAAAGCAAGGTTGCAAGGGTGAGCATACTAGGACTTTGAAATCCAGAAAAGCGTCAAGACATGACTCAAGCTGCCTAGGATGCCTTGTTCTCCCAAGACAGCAATTCCTCCTCGGGCCATCTGAGATAACAAAACTTCCCTCTTCTGAAACTAACATCTCTGTTTTACTACCAGGGTACTGTCTACATTCAACAGTCCTTCTACTGCTTCATCGTAAAACGCCAATGAAGAATATCTCAGCACAGCGGGGCCTTGCAGAATCTGCAAAGCACAATTGAGCATTTACCTAGCTTTCACTGTTGCTGATTGTTGATCTGGGCTTTCTTTTGAATCGCCATGCCACAAAGCAAAAGGCATGGAGATCTTCGAAAAAGCCGACAGTGGCACAGCGCCAGGCTCCTTGAAAACAAAAGCATCCTTTGATTCCTAGGACACTGACGCTGTGACACTGGCATGGAAGAGAGTCGGGAAGAAAAAAAAAGTGGTTGATGAAAAAACTTATCGCATCGCGCATACACCTCTATACTAATCCAAATCGTGCTCACTCTCAATGAAGTCCCGGGTCTGTAGCGGACGCACCTTGCCTTCCGGGTTTTGCTTCTCTCCCCGCTTGTACTTCTCCTTGAGGTACTCCTTCATCGATTTCAAAGCTGCCTCTCTGGACAATTCACGCAAGTCGGATCCACTGAAGCCGTTGGTCTTCTCTACGACTTTGTCAATGTCAAACTCCTCGTCAAGCGTGGCGTCCTTCAAAATCTTCTGTAGAATTGCTTTCCTCTGCTCTTTGTTGGGTCTGCCCACGGCAAAACGCTTGGGCAAACGACGCATGAACGCCAGATCAATGTCATTCATTCTGTTCGTGGCACCCATCACCATGATACGGCCGTTCAGCAAGAGGCCGTCCCAAAGGGTCATAAACTCTGCCTTGAGCAAGGCCGATACCTCGTGGTCCGTCAGCTGTCTGTCTCTCAAAAACGAGTCGATCTCGTCGATAAATATAATACATGGTTGAAGCTTATTAGCGAGGGAGAAGATGGCGTCCACGATCTTGTTCAGCTCTCCGTACCACTTGTCCATGAGCGTGGACATGCGGATCAGAAGGAAGAATGCTCCACTTTCTTTGGCAATAGCTTTTGCTAACATGGTCTTACCACATCCTGGGGGACCGTGAAACAAAACACCCTTGGGCAGCAGCACGAGGGACAGGTGTGCAGCGAAAAGCTCTGGCTCTGTCAAGGGTAAAATGACAGATTCATGAAGCTCGTCTATGATGGACTCGAGACCTCCCACATCGTCGAAACCGGTGGTGATGTCGTCTGGCGTGACCAACGAATTAAGCAAACCCTTCTCGTGCTCGTTCAATGTGATTTTCTTAAGCTCAGGGTGAGTCGCCTGGATCTTCTTGAGAATGTTGGAGCCACTCTTCTTAGCCTGCTTCAGCTTCACCGAACTATCAAAATCTCCAAGCAAATGGCTGATCATGTAGTACATGGAGAGACCTGCTCCCGTGAGGAAGAATATGTCTCCTAGGAGCTTAAGGTCGACCTTTACGCCCCACAAATCTAGCTTGAACCGGTTCATGCTTGTGACTTTGGGGTTGTGATTTCGGTGCTCAAGGCCTCGGGAGATATGGTGCACGGGTGCGGACCTAGGGAGGTTGAAGTGGTCTGTGGTGGTGACGACGTTTGAAATCTAAGATTTGTCAGAGAGTGTAAAGTGGGGATTTAGGCAATTTTCTTGAGCTTCGGACTTTTCATTTCATGCGGAAAAGGTTGCATTTGTGAAAGTGGTTTAGGTCTATACGTGGTAACTAAGGTAGGATATTCAAGAAGTGAAATCTTGAAGACAGCAATGAAATCTAAAAGAGACTAAATCGTTAGACCAGGTAAGCAGCTCAAAGTTGAATATGAGAAAAATTTAGTGACGTTTTAGTAAACCTTCTGTTGACATCTCTACTGCTGCAGAGAACATTTCGCAGCCAGGTCTAATGAGGTACAAAACACGCAAACTCCAACTTTTTTAGGGCATACGATCAGGGAAGGCAAATTCTGTCTCAAGTTATAGAATCTTCACAAACTGAGGGCTCCACCAGGCGTTTTGACGGCCTTATAGCCAGAAATGCTTATAAATCACGTGACCTACATCGCCTGCAGCAGCTGCAAAATAGAGAGATGCCTTGATGCTTGAACCCAAACTACATGGCTAGAACGGAACAGGAAAGGCATGGCATCCGAATCCCGGGCCAGTTGCTCGATCAGATCCGAGAGAAAGAAGGCTTGAACGGCGAAGACAGCCGATTCAAAAACAAACGGAAGCGCCAGGAGAAACCCGTTTCTCGTAAAGAGAAGAGGAAGGAAGAGAGGAAACTCAAAAAGCAGAAAAGGCTGAAGCAGCCACAAAGCCACAAAGATCATAAAGCAGGACCACTTGCTGCTGCTAAGCAGAAACTTCAGGAAAAGAAAAAATCACATCAGCCTCAAGATGATCCAATGGCTGCGCTTAAGGCTCTTAAGGCTAAGAAGGGTGCACCGGAGGCCACACAAAAGGAGGTCAGAGTCGTTAAGGAAGATGACATTGAAGAAGACTTAAGTGGAGATGACGACGATCTCGATGAGGACGATTTTGGTGGGTTTGAGGAAGAAGAGGAAAGCGATCCTCTAGCTGCATTGGCTGCACTCAAGGCTAAGAAGAACAAGACGAAAGAGGAGGTGAGAGTGGTCAAGGAGGACGATCTTGATGATGAGCTTTCTGAGGGTGATTTTGACGACGAAGACGGTTTCGACGAGGGAATGGACGAGGATGTCGGAGATTTCGATGAAAAGGACCTAGACTCTGCTGGTGACGATATTGATGAAAATGACTTTGATGAAGAGGAGCCGTTGGAGGAGGAAGAAGACCCTTTGGCCAAGCTCAAAGCGCTCAAGGAAAAGAAGAACAAAAAAGAGAAAACCTCTACCAATAAGGAGGAGAAGGCTGGCCCGGAAGCTGATTTCGTGGACCCCATGGATAACGACATTGAGTACTATGCCAAGAAGCTTGGCCTCAAGGACGGCAAAAAAGGCAAGCTTTCTAACGAAGACGATGGCTTGGACGATTTGCTAGATGGCCTCGACTTTGTGGATCAAGATGGAAGCGAAGATGCAGAGTCTGACGGATTTTCAGTTTCGGACGATTTTGATTCAGAAGCTTCTGACTCTGAAGATGAGCCTCGCCGGAAAGAGAATCCTTTCGTTGCTCCTACTGAAGCAGCCAGTGATTCTGAGAGTGACCAGGATGAAAAACCTTCAAAGTACATTCCTCCAGCGCTTCGAAAGAAAATGGCACTTGAAAAGCTGGCAGTATCGCCTGAAATCCTTGCATTGCAAAAGTCCTTGAAAAGCGCCATCAACAAGTTGTCTGAAACCAACATTGGTGCAATCGCCAACGACATCAACGGTCTTTTCCTCAATAACCCCAGACAAGAGGTGACTGAGAATCTTGTGAATATCCTTCTCACCAGTGTTATTCAGCAAGAACGTCTTCTTGACACCTTTGTCTACTTGCATTCTGCTCTTGTTGTCGCTCTTTACCGTTCGCAGGGAGTTGACTTTGGTGCATACTTTGTTCAGACGCTTATAGAGAAGTATGACAGCTACAAGAGCGAGGGAAAGAAGAACAAGGAAATCCTCAATGTCATTTCACTTCTTTCTTCCGTCTACGCATTCCATTTGGTTTCCTCAAAGTTGCTTTACGATCTCATCAAGGAGCTTATTCGTGACTTGTCGGAGGAAACTGCTGAGCACTTGCTCAAAATCGTCCGTACATCTGGAAACCAGATGCGGTCTGACGACCCAACCTCCTTGAAGGAGATTGTCTTGGAAGTGACCAAGAAAGCTAACACCTTGTCCAAAGACCAAGTCTCTCCCAGAATGCAGTTTTTGCTTGAGACCATCACGTCACTTAAAAACAACAAGTTGAAGAACAACAACGACGCAACCAACCAGCTAGCGCTTCGTTTGAAGAAGTTTTTGGGTACCTACTCCTCCAGCAAACTCACTGATTCGTTACAGGTTTCTCTTGACGACATCAGAAGCGTTCACACCAAGGGTAAATGGTGGCTTGTTGGTTCTGCTTGGAAGGGAAACGAGGACAAAAATCAGGGTGACTTGGTCAACAAGGAAGTAATGAATGACTTCTTGGACAGCGCAGAGCCTAACTGGCTCGAACTTGCGAAAGCTCAGAGAATGAATACAGACATCAGAAGAGCGGTCTTCATCTCTATCATGTCCGCAAATGATTACGTTGATGCCATGACGAAATTGGACAAGCTTGCATTGAAGAGGGCTCAAGAAAGAGAGATCCCACGAATTTTGATTCACTGTGCTGTTGTCGAGCCTGCCTGGAATCCTTACTACGGTGTTTTGGCCTCGAAGCTTTGTGACAACCACTCATACAGAAAGACATTCCAGTTCATGCTTTGGGACTTGATCAAAGGCTTTGATGGTGCTGGCGACGATGAAGAGGAGATGGACGTTTTCTCCGGGTTTGATGATGACATGGAGGATGACGAAAAGCTCAAAAAGATACTCAACTTGGGTAGACTCTTTGGCTATCTTTTTGCTGAAGGGTCTTTAGCTTTGCATCTTTTGCGAACCGTGAATTTCGTGACGGCTAGCAACGACACAAAACTCTTTTTGGAGGTTTTATTCATCACTTTCGTGGACAATGTGGGTAGAAAGTCACAGGTCAATGCCATTGGTATGGGTATGAGCCACAAGAAAAGTTTGCATGAGCAAAAGTTTGACGACAAGGTCTTGATTGAGAGAATTCTCAAGGCCAAGGAGCAGCCTGCTCTTCTTCGAGGCATCCAATGGTTCATTGGCAAGAGATTGAGGAATAGTGATTTCGTTACAGGCAAGAAGCAACGCAAGAGAGTTGAATGGGGTATCAATGCCATGCATGACATTATCGAGGAGTTTGCCAGGGAAGCTGAGTTTTAATGATGACGATTTCTATGTACATAGTGATAATGCAGGGTTACTCGATAAGTTCGAGAATCGCAACCGATTCGACATGCTTGGTTTGAGGATAAAAGTCGAATCCAGTAAGCGCTTTGATGCGGTATTTAGTGGTAGAACGACGTTGAAGCGCTTCAAAGTCAGCCAAGTCTCGGGCCTGGGTGAAAGGGTTGCAGCTGATGTATACAATTGCCTTTGGCCGAAATTCAAGAAGCTGTTTCATGAATGCTGGAGTTGATCCCTTACGAGAAGGGTTCATCAACACAAGTGCCTCTTCGCCAACTGCTCCACACTCAGCAAATTCCTTCATCTTGAACATTTCGTCAGAATTTCCTTCCACGAAAACAGCCTTAGTTGGAATGTGCAAGCCGTTGATTTTGGCGTTATGAGCAGCGTACTTGATGGCTTTCAGTGCTATTTCGATACCAAAGAGTTTGCCTTCATCTGGAAGCGTTGATGAGAGGCCTATTCCAAGGAAACCACATCCGCAGTACGCATCAACGATATAGTTATAATCGATGTTCTTGACATTGCATTTGATGTAGTCGAGAAGAATAGGAAGAATGCTGCGGTTGTTTTGGAAAAACTCGTTGGCCTCCAACTGAAACACATACTCATCAACTTTCTCAGTGACCACATTCTTTCTCTTAGTGAGACAGACATCCTCAAATTCACCCGTGTTGTGGTCAATCCTGATGCTCAGACGAAGAACGAACGTGGGATCCACCTTCTTCTTTGAACCGTCAATGAGCTCCACTAGGTCTTCGTTGAAACGCACCTTCTCTCTTGGAGAGCCATATTTATTTCAGGAGATGCAACTGCGCATGAATCAATATCCAAAACAGGTTGCATTGCTCTAACATCGAGAAAACCAACTGGAAGTGGTAGATCATCCGCTCTGAGATCTTTGGGTATCTGGGCGTGGGGTGTGAGCTTTGTACGGTAGGCGAATTGCATGGGAGAGGGCATGACTTCTGCAAAATTTGAAGGAGGATTATCGAAGATCTGTGGAAAGAAGTAACGGTAGGCCTTCTCGATGGTTCCCTTCTTAAACTGAAGCTGGTCTTCGTAGCTCAACATCTGAAGTTGGCAACCAGAGCACTTGCTGAAATGCTTACAAACAACGAGCCTGTCATTCCTCCTGCTCTGCTTTCGTGATTTCCTCGACACCAGTATGAGTTCGGCTTCTGCAAAAAACATGTGGTGCCTTCTTAATGAAACTGTCACAATATCTCCAGGAACTGTTTTTGGGATTGTAACAACCGTGAAGTCGTTCTCAGAAGCATCACTATCGTACCTTTGCCTCGGTATAATGGCTAGACCCTCTCCCTCGTTGGTGACGTCTAGGACCTTCACTCCATCAATGTGAACGTCTTCGTAATTCTTCATGAATAAATACTTGTGGATGAGGTGCTCGGGGATTTTGATACTATCGAGCGACATGTCATGCTGGGATTTCAAAAGATCGTGTATTTCTCGTTGGCGGATATTATCTCGGGAGGTCTTATCGGTGGTACCTCTCTTTGTTTTTCTGCTTAGGATGGACTTGTACAGTTTGTGTCGTATGGAGATTATGGGTTTGGGAGCCCAATTCAAGGACGGAGCCCGAGGAATCGCTATTCGGATCGACCGAAGCATCTCATGTCCTGCTTTTGTGGAGAAGTGCGATGAGTTGAAAAACTGCTTACTTTATCGCGAGTAATCAATTTTCTGCAGCCGCGATTTGATGGCCCTCAGGAAGCGCGATAGTCTCGTGCTCCTCAGGGTATTGTCTCAAATCGAGACCGATAGTCTTGGAACAGTTCTCCCTTTGGTCTCTGTAGATCCCCACAAGCGCATCGGAGTTCTCGAACATTGTGCTCTTCAAAGAGATAACAATAAACTGGAAGCCTGGGCCAGCACTCTCCTTGATGTACCGGGCAATCTTCTTCACATTACTGTTGTCCAAAGCTGCATCAATCTCATCCAATACAAAGAATGGGGAAGGTTGAAACGAGTGAATAGCAAAAAGCAAGGCCAATGCAGCCATTGTTTTCTCACCTCCCGATAACAATTCCATGTCTCTGAAGCGTTTCAATGGAGGCATAGCGTGATATTTCACACCTGCAGCAAACGGCACTTCATCATCCTCCAATGTAAGGTCGGCAGAACCACCAAGAGGAGAGGCAGGGGACTTCGTGAGCGCCTTGTAGACTTTGTCTATGTTGCCAGAGATATGGTTGTAAGCATCCATAAACAATTCCTTTCTTTTGTCTCTGACTTCGTTGAATTTGGATGTTACTCTGTTGACCTCGTGCTTCGCCTTGCTGAACTCTCTGTCAAACTCCTTGAGCCTTTGATCAACCTCTTGAAGCCTTTCAAGAGCCTTGGCATTTGGTGTTAACGCGTGCAAATCGCTGTCAATTGTCTCAATCCTAGCGCTGATTTCTGCTTCTAATCTGGCAGAATACTTTTCCTGATACTTAGGTTCAAGTAAGCCATAATCAATGTGGACCTGATAAGCAGCTTCGGAAACATTCGCGTCGTCAAGCGAGATGGCGTCCAAAAATCCATCCTCTAAAGGAAGATCTACGTCTTCGATCTTGCAATTTTTGAGCATATTGAGTCGCTCAGAGTCGATCTTCATGAGACCCTCTTCATAGTGAGTGACTTCTCTGGTCAAAGTCTTTACCTCATATTCGAGGTCTTTCATCTCCGATTCTCTCGCTGCTGCACTCCTCATCTTCTCTTGCAATGCTTCAACCAAGGCAGCTTTTGCTTGACTCTCTGCCTCCACCTGTTCCTCGATTCTATGCAAATTTTCTCTCGCCTCCGAAAGACTCTCGATTATTCTCTCGAGGTCTTCCTTTGTTGAAACAATGTCAGTTTCGAGTTTCGACCTTCTCTGCTCAGTCTCTTGAATTCTGTCTCTTTGGAATGCCACTTGGTTCTCCAACGAGGATATAGCTTTCTCGAAATCTGATCTCTCTCGTGTTCTGGCCCTGAGTGCCGTGCCATGCAATATCTCGTAGTCTTTTATGGAAGCAAGCCCATACTTGTCACAGAACTCTGAATAAACCTGTTGCTGGAGGGATGTAATCTTTTCCTCGAACTGTAGTATCTGATTTTGCAAATTTTCAAGATCTTGTGTCTTCCTCTCGGAACGATCCGCAACTTCTTGGCCAGATTCCTTCAAAAATTGAATCTCCTGATTTCTCTCGAACACTTGACGCTCCAAAACAACAATCTGGTTAGTGATTGATGGTTTCTGCGCATCTAGCAGGGAAATTTCCTCGGAAAGAGAATTAATATCGACAGCAGATGGCTTCTCCGTCGCGGTCTTCTCCAATTCTGCAGTGATATCATCCTTCTTCTTGAGTAGCTTGTTCATTTCTTCCTTGGTCCAACGGCCTGTTGCACTTGAACGCTTGTCTTGTAGACCACCTGTCATAAGGCCGGACTTGTGTATCACAGAGCCATCAAGCGAAACTATTTTGCAATGGAGTTCGTTCTGCGAGCTCCATTTAAGGCTTCTGGCCGTCTCCAAGTTATCGACTATCATGGTGTTTCCCACAACGTATTGCACAGCCCTCTCGATAGATGGATCTTCATACTTCACGATATCGATTGCAGGACGAGCGTCCTCATGTAATGACCTAAGGTAGTTTAAGTTCATCGATTCATTGACAACAGAATTCAACGGAATAAAGGAGGCGAGACCAGCACGCCTTTCTTTCAATGTTTCAATGCACTTATGAGCAGTTGCAGTTGTATCGACGACAACAGAGTCAAAATCTGCTCCCAACACTGTCAGTAGAGCCACATCATACTTTCGTTGACTTGCGTGGACAAGCTCGTACACAAGTCCCTTAATCGAGCCTTCGGGAAGCAATGCCTTGAGCATCGAGACGTTGTCGCGTAGCTCCCTCTGCTTCTTAGACTCTTTCTGCTCAGACGATAAATCCTCTAATCTCGACATCACATCTCTGAGTTCAGAGTTCAATTCAAGCATTTTGAACGAAACTCTTTCCTGTTGCTCCTGTAAATTCTCTTTCTCCTTTTGCTTCTCCAGTCTCATCTGCTCTACCTCCTGTAACTTGGCATTAAGGTCATGCAAGGACAGGCCAAGGTATACTTGCATGTTGGACTCCAACTCCGTGACACGAGAATCGTACTGCTCCTTCTGCAGATCGAGGTCCTTTAGAGAGATATCAATTGTGACCTTGTCGGCTTGGAGCACAGCTAGATCACGCTCTAGTTGAGAGCCCGAGTCTGCTAAAAATGCATTTCGAAGGGTCTCATACTCCTTCATACCCTCTTCTGGAATGTTGACCAGCTGTTCCAACTCAGCAATCTTTTGGTTGAATGCTTGATACTGAGCTTCAGTATCGTTGAGTCTGGTCTGAAGTGCCTGCTCCTGATCTATCTGGATGCGAATATCGGCCTCAAGATCCCTTATTTTCTTTGTTGTGAAGGAGATTTTGTTCTCGAGAAGCTTTTGACTGGATTGCAATGGTAATGTAGAACGCTTGGTAGTCTCAGCTTGTTGTCGAAGCTCGGCAATGCGCGAGTCTTGTTTCTTGACTTCTAACTCATGTGTGGTACTCTCTGCAGCCTTGTTCTTGAAGTCATCTTCACATTCGGCAAGTTTCCGTCTCGCTGCAAGAGCCTTCTCGGATGTCAATCTCACATCGCTCTTGAGTTTGAAGTGCCTGCGCTCATTATGGAAAAGCTTGTACAAATGGGCCATCTTTGAGTATTTGCTCTTCTCCCTGAGCTTGTCTTCAAAAAGTTCACGCTCTCTCATCTGTTCCTTGTACTGTTTGGACTCTGTGGTAAGGTTACGCTTTCTTGAGAAAACCTCGGCGTGTAGCTCCACGGCCTTTTCTTTGTCGTCTCGGAGACGATCATATTCACTAGCAAACTCAGCTGAGCCGGAAATAGTTTCGATCAAGCTGGCAAGCTGCTTGGGCTCCTGGGAAGCGATGTTCTCGATATCGCCCTGGAAGACAAGGAAGTTCCGCGCTTTAACCAAGATGTTTTCCTCCTTGAGCATCATGGTATACTGGAGAGCAGTCACGCTCTTATCGTTGATCTTGTACTCGCTAGTGCCTGCTGAGTTGATGCTTCTCTGAAGCACCATCTGTTCTCCGAATTCCTTTTCATAGATGGCTTTCACATATGCTGATTCACAGACTTGCGTGGGCTCTGTTTCGTCAATACGGCCTCTGTATATCAAGTCCTTGAGGGTGGAGGACCGCAAATGGTACGACTGAACACCCAAAACGAAGGACATGGCATCCATCATGTTTGATTTTCCTGCGCCATTAGGTCCAATGATCGACGTGAAAGACGAGTCACCAAACCCTACTGTGGCAGTACCTTTATAGGATTTGAAATTATGCAATTCTAGCCCCAATAATCTGCCCATTGTGTGAGGTAGGATGATGGTTTATTTTGATGCGATCTGGGACGCGTTGTTGATGTTGGTGTGGTGCACGGGTGCAGCACCGTATCAGTACATGGATAGCTGAGAGATGCACTAGGTCAATTGGGTTAAAATCAAAAAAGGTTTTTTTTTTTTTTTTTTTCTTTTTACTAATATCAAATATTTCATTCCTTAGCTCTTCCTTTGCTTATTGAGCCCGAGTGAGGATATCGAAAATCAAGCGATACCTCGGTGGATTGGCTGATGGAGACGATCAATACAATACGACCCTACTGGAAGCCTTGTTCTATGATGACACTTTAAAAAGATTTATCTGGAATTAATTGCGGTGTAATTCAAGGTTCAAGATTAAATGAAATGCGTTTGAACCAAAACCATACTACAGAGATTTTCTTGTGCAAGCACCTCACAACTTGAGTGAACACCATACTATCATCTGTTATCCTAGTATAGCTAAAATGAACCTCCCGGAGATGCAGCTCCTCAATCCAAAGAAATACAAAAATAATCACGAAACGATAGAATTCATATTAACATGGTTTCCAGAAACTCCGAACTGCCTCACAGAACCTTAACCTCACTCGATCGATAAGATATGCTTCATACAACTCTAAGAACGAGTATCAAAAACACCTCAGATATCTTCAATCTCAATTGAATTCACTAAATTTTCCTCTAGTACGTGCTCTAAAGACCGACCTCGCTCACAAGTCATCGATACGTTCAATAGACGCCGTGCGTATGGTGGATCTGCTGCCACAGCAAAACACAGATTCCAGGGCAAACAAAGCAACTCATCTCAAAACTCTTAAATTTATACAAGTCTGTTTCTTGAACCCGAATTTCTATTCAATTTGGGCCGGAGCCGTACCATCACGTGAAGTACCGACCTTATCTCACTACTCATCCACACTTCTCAACCACCATGGAAAAACAACCTTTGCTTCCTAAAGACACCAAAAAGTGGTCTTTCAAGGAGTGGATCACCAGCTGCGTGCCTTCACCGGCTGCAGACATCAACGATGACGAATTGTCGAAAATGCTCGTTTCAGAAAGCCCGCTGGACAGGGACCCTCTTCCAGAACTTCCTACTCCGGAGTGTGTTGTGTCTGAATTGGATGCTGGAGAGAAGCTTCAGAGACTTCGGAAACTCATGAAAAGGCATAACATTTCTGTTTACATTGTTCCCTCTGAGGACGAACACCAGTCTGAATACACCGCTGTGGCAGATAAGAGAAGAGAATACATCTCGGGTTTCAAGGGTAGCGCTGGAATTGCCGTGGTGACCGTGGATGATCCAGAAACTTTAAGCGGAGAAGCTGCCTTGTCGACAGATGGCAGGTACTTTTTGCAGGCGGAGAAGGAGTTGGACAAGAAACACTGGAAGTTGTTGAAACAAGGCCAGGTCGGTTATCCCAGCTGGCAAGAGTTTGCACTCGAACTGGCGTCCAAGAGCAAGTTGTCTAATGTTATTTCTGTTGATCCAAAGCTCTTGAGTCTTTCTGTGGGCCAGTACTTCAGCAGTACCCTGAGATACAGAGGTGTGGTGTTCAAGCCATTTATTGACTACAACTTGATAGACAAGGTCTGGGGCGACGAGAAGCCCGCTAGGCCTCAGGACCAAGCATACATATTTACCCCACAGTATGCTGGTGAATCAGCAAATGAAAAGATCTCGAGGGTCAGAGAGGTCATCAAGCAGAAGGAAGCATCCCATTTGGTCATCACCGCTTTGGACGATATCGGCTGGCTTTTCAACTTGCGTGCCGACAATTCTATTCCATTTTCGCCTTTCTTTTTTGCCTACGCTATAGTGACCTTGAAGAAAGTATACTTGTATGCTGAGGATAGTCTTCTCGAATCTGTGCAAACATACCTCCATGCAATCGATACTTTGACGGTCAAGCCCTACAAAGCTTTCTACACGGACTTGGCCACTTTCAGAGCCACCATATATGACCACTCCTTGCGTATCATTTTGCCAGCTAAGAGCGCTTGCAACTATGCTCTTCTTTCCTCGTTGCCTCTGTCGGTGTCCAGACAAACGGTTATCTACGACTCCATTGTGACCGTCCTCAAGTTGACGAAAAACAAGACGGAGCTTTTCAATGCCAAAATAGCACAGGCCAAGGACTCCCTTGCTTTCATTATATTCTTTGCCTGGTTGGAGAACGAGTTGATCCATAAGCAGAGAGAAGTTTCCGAGTACGAGGCAGCTCAAAAAATTTTTGCAATTCGCTCCAAACTACCTCATTTCAGAGGCTTATCATATGAGACCATCTCTTCAACTGGCCCAAATGCTGCCATCATCCATTACGCCCCTACCAAGGAAGACAATGCCATAATCGATCCAACGACGCCTTACCTAATTGACTCTGGAGCCCACTACCTCGAAGGAACAACTGACATCACAAGAACGTTCAAGTTTGGTCATGAAGGTATCACACCTGAAATGAAGAAATTCTTCACTCTAGTGCTCAAGGGCCATGTTGCTGTGGCTACTGCTAAATTCCCAGAGAACCCTTCTGCGGGTACGATCTTGGATTCCTTCGCTAGACAACCACTCTGGAATGAAGACTTGGATTTCAACCATGGAACCGGTCATGGCGTGGGTGCATTTGGAAATGTTCATGAAGGTCCATTATACATACCGCTGGGCGGTGGAGACGTGAACTACTTCAAGGAGGGTGCAATTGTCACCGATGAACCAGGCTACTACGTGGATGGAAAGTTTGGTTTCAGAGTGGAGAGTGAACTAGAGATCATTGCTTCCGATCCTGTGAAACCTTACAGAGGCTCTAACTTCTTAGCATTCAACTACTTGACGAAGGTGCCTTTGGGTCTTAATCTTGTTGATCCTGGCTACCTCAGTGCTGTGGAGAAACGGTGGATCAACAGCTACCATAAGTCGATAGTCGCCGATTTTGGCACGAAGCTTCTTGATCTTGGCGAGTACCGTGCTTATGCCTGGCTACAAAAGGAAACTGTCCCAATAGTGTAAATTAAACCCTCCTGAAATGATAGTAATAATACATGCTTAAAGTAAATGGTCATTATTTCAGCTCAAATGATGCTGAGTAGAGTGGGGGGAAACCGAGGTTCTTTCCCCGGTTCTGTGGTTTGGAGAATGCCGGTCTCTGGAAGCTTCCGGGCTTTCTTAAAGCCGATCTGCCACCATAATTGGTACTTTCTGCACCTGTGCCAACTTTGTTGGAAATGAAAGGCAGCGGACCCTTTGGTAAAGGCCCAGGCGCCTCTTCCTTGACAGACGACACGGTGCTTCTGTACAGCGGCATCTTCAAACCAGCGTTAAGGTAGCTTCCTGTGGTTGCATTAGATATGGAGCTCCTCAACTGGTCTATCTCGGATTGGATACGAGACATGGAATTCTTGTCCTTCTCCAAAAATTTAGTGCTCAGGTCTGCCAACTTGACTTTTTTATTATCGCTGTTGACAAAATCGAGACCGAGCCTTTTCTGTGAATTCCTAAGGATCTCTAACGCAGACGCTCCCTTCACTCCGGACGCACCTCCTGTCAATGCTGAGATCCTGCTGAGAACATCCTTAGTGTCTGCTGGTTGTGCTGTGGACGAATCTTCTGTTTTGAGAAGGAATGACAATCTGGAAAAGTCCCCTGTTTTCACCGCAGAGTCTAAAATCGAATTCAAGATCAGCGTGATAGCATTGGTGACTGCCTTTCTGTCTGTCACGCCCAATGTAATGGCGTATGAACTGGAAACAACCGCCAAGTAGGCAGAAGCTGCAGTCATAATGGACTTGGAGTCCTCTCGAGCCCCGATTTCGCTCACTAGGTTGAAACCAGTCGTCAAACGATTGATGAACACACTATCATGTGCCAATGTGCTTGGGTTTTTCGAGGATTTCTCCATGAGCTCTTCTGCGAAGGCCAGGTTCTCAGACGACTTGTTGCCCTCCTTCTTCTGCTTAGCCAAACGTTTCTCGCGTCTGGCGTGAAACTCTTCCTCGATCCATGTCTTCTTCTCTGGAGTATTCTCCTCACCAAACATCACGTTAGCTCTCTTAATCACTCGGGAACGGAGGTCATTATCCTTGTTGCGTTCGATATTACCTTCCCTCCACTTTTTCTTTCGTTCTCTGTTGTCGATGCGAATGCGCTCCTTGTATTCGTCAGATTCTGTATCCGGCTTGACACCTAACACAGCATTCTTGCCCCTCAAGCTTCCAAAAGAAGTCAAGCTGTTGAAGATAGAAGTATGAAATTCAAGCAAATTGCTGGGTTCGGGTTTGGGAACTTGGACGGTGCTGACGATCAGAGGGACATTTTCCTTCGAAAGAAGAACCTCCAGAATGTTGTCCAAAATCACAGACGACTTTTGAGTCGTATCAAGATCACTGCTTGTGAGAAACTCTTTGGCGTTCTTTAAACTCTCGACGTGGAAATGGTGAACTTCTGGGGTCTCTCTAAGTGAGCTCGTGATTTCTTGCACTATAGCACTGGTGTTCACAGTGCTTTTGTTAAGCATCAAAGCGTTGGTCATCTGACGAATAAGCAGCATCAAGTTCTGCGATTGACTTCCAGATTGTATATGCTGTGACAACGAGGAAAGGATGTTAGACAAATGAGGATTAGACTGTGTCTTTTCTGCTTCCACTGGCTTTTCAACGACAGGCTTCTTTGCACCCATGTTTGATCTGTGGAAAGCCAAAGTTTCAGCGATGGAAAGTGACTTCCTTGGTTCCTCTGCTGGCTGAACATCTTTCTTATTGAGTGCATCCTTGACGGAAAGTGCTGCAATAGCAGCTGCCGTAGAGACAGTCAGATCTTTTGCTGAAGCTGCAGCTTCCTTCACTTCTGGTGGAAGAGCAAGCTCAGGCTCTCCTTCGAAAGACGTGAGAAGCTCTTGTGGGTTCTGCATGGCCATGTTGAAAGCGTTCTGAAAGATCTCGTTCATTTGCAAATTCTCCAAGTCATGTTCCTCCGGCTCTTGCTCTGTACCCTTCTGAGGTGCCTTGCGGATCGCCGTTCTGACAGCGTTGGCAAGAGCACTGGAAATGGCTGAATCGTGGTGTCTTTCCTCCTCTTTATCGGCCTCCTTCTGGAAGTGCATCAACACATTATCGTCAATCAGTGGCACATCGACCTTTCGGCTGTGCTCTTCACTACCTTGCACTTGGTTTGTGATTTCAGCGGCCAATTCCTGAAGAACATCTTTCGGAATAGCACCCTCGACATTCTCAGATTCGCCCTCGCCGGCCATTTGCTGCACAACATTAGACACTAGTCCGGCTAGATCAATGTTGTGGTCTTTGCCTTCAGAGATTGACTCACGACGGGCCTCTGCAAATGTTGAAAGTGCCGCATGGAGTTCGTGATCTGATGATTTTCTCTCGTGGCTTGGCTGATTATCTTCCACAAGCGACTGAAAAGCTGCACCAATAGCATCTTCTAGATTAGTGTCGTCTTGGGCAGCTTCAGACTCGTGGTGTTCCAGCTCTTGACTCTCTGGCTCCTTAGATTCTCGATGTTCGGGTTGTTGTTCATGTTCCTGCTCATATTTGTGATCCGACGAGTCCTGCTCCCCACTATCCTGTTTATCCAGGTTGAAATTATCTGCTATGCTCTTGAACGCATCCCCAATGACATCTTCAAGATTGAGCTCCTCGGGTTCCTCTTTCACGTTATCTGATTCAGGCTTCTCTGGCTCCTTAGATTGATCAATTGAGGCAAAAGCCTGTGACACAGACTCTTCTAGATTGAAATCATCGTCCTTTTCTGCATGATCATCATGTTGTTCGTCTTGGTGCTCGTAATTTCCAGATTTGTCGTTATCTGGTTCATCTTGATGTTTGTTTTCATCAATAAATCCAAACTGCTTAAAGGCATCACCAATTGCATTTTCTAGCGCCATATTGTCTTGCCCATTGGGGTCATTTTCATGGTAGCCAGGCAGGCTGGGCCCGGAAGCTGGCCTGTTATCGTTTTGAGACATTTGATAATATGGGGTACAGCTTATCGGTCACAAGGGCTCTGTGACTGTTTTTTTTTCCTTCTCATCGGAGGTGTTGGTACTCGGAGGTGCATGTGCAGGAGACACCAGGCCGACCACATCATACCGTTGATTTGGCTGGTGTTTCTGAAGTTTGGTTTGTCAAATAGGCAAATGCTGCAGCGGAAATTTCATAAAAATGCCTTTTCAGTGGTTTGTCTTTCTTGGATTTGAATGTGTGGCCAAAATAGTAAGTGTCCTGAGGTGTTGCCAGAGAGGAATTACATGGAAGTAAGAGGATCTAGGTAACACGACGTATTCGTAGATAAGTTTTAGCTTGCTTCCTCCTGACTGTGAATCTTCCTATGTCATCTTCGTTTTTTTTTTTTTTTGTTCAATTCTTGGATTGTATCACCCGTCATTATGGCTGCGAAAAGGACCCTGTGAGGCTCAATGAACCCTGATTGAATGGGTACGTGCAAGACTTAAAACCTCTAGATTCGTTCCCGATAATATAAATTAAAATCAGAGACTGCAAGCTTTAAACGATCTCTCTTCTTCCCGTCAACCAGCTTCTGCAATGGGCAGGTTTTTCAGCCACCTTACCAAGAGATGACATGGAATACACATACATGATTGAATAAAATAAGCGACGGTTTTATCATTCATGGTTTACAAATAATTTGTGAGATATTGGTATTCTAGCTGGCCTTAAAGCTCACCACTAGACGAGAACCCACATTCTTCACATTACGCTTTAAGCTTTCCATTGTGGCAGACTTTGAACAATATACTTTCACGAGAATCTTATTCGGTAAGGGCGAATGAAATTCAAACACTTTAAGGGCAAACTGTATATCCTCATGCCTAAACAGATTCGAATGGCAGAAACCTCAATTTATTGTCTGATCCTTGGATTACTCCTCTACCACAAGCGATTCATCAAGCTCCCCTGAACTTAGTCTGACTATCCACTTTAAACCTGATCGGAAAGCACTTTTTCAAAGCTTCATCAAATAGATAATTTACTATATCTAGATCGGTATAGAATACGGCAATGATGGCCCAACTTCCCGATGCTCATATTCGTCTAAGTAGCTTGCTTGTTCATCATGTGAATCCAACAAAATCTCAAAGGTGTACCCGTCAAATCAATTTCTTTGATACCGTCTACATATAAAATATCAAATTCTGGACCCACCTTGCCAAATCTGAAAAATTCATTACGTAATTCCTAAAAATGTGTCGATCGCCACTCGTTATCGCATATTGCAGCCAAGGTACAAATCAGCCCACGCAATCTCAACAAAATTGCAATGAAAAAGCCGTAGATCATAAACAATCCCAAGGTAATGAAAATGACACTAATCTTAGATCAACTTAATAACTCTCGGTGGGATCTAGGGATGCCCAAAAGTAGAGCTTGCTGGGAGGACGTGCACATAGTCAAGGTGTAGACATGATGCTCAACCCACAAGCACACAATTACAACCACAATGCAAGTAACCTTCAGAGACTTGAAGAAGCAGACGGTGCAGGTCGACGTCGAGCCCTCCGACTTGGTATGTCTAAGATGATTTCACTTTTTGAAATCCAACTAACCTCCAGGTCCTGCTGGTGAAAGAGAAAGTTGCCGCCGCCAAGGATGTTGATCCACTGCAATTGAAGTTCGTCTACTCGGGCAAAGTGCTCCAGGACGAGAAGCAATTGCAAGATTTCAAAATCAAGGAAGGCGACTCCATCATCTTCATGGTCGGCAAGAAGAAAACACCTACTCCTCAGCCCACTGAAAGCAAGCCAGAGACCAAGGCTCCAGAGGCTAAGGAGTCTACACCAGCTGCTTTTACTGAAGCCCAGGCTCCTCAGGCTGCTGAGAGCACTCAGGGCGGCTCCACGGCTGCTGACTTTAGCTCTGGCTCTGAAAGAGAAGCTGCCATCCAAAACATGTTGGAAATGGGCTACGAACGTCCTCAGATAGAACAGGCCTTGCGTGCTGCGTTTAACAACCCCCACAGAGCCGTTGAGTACTTGCTTACAGGAATTCCCGAGTCTTTGGCTGCTCCTCAGCCCGCTCAGGCTCCTGCTGCCGCTCCGGCTGCCACAGCCCCTTCTGCTGAAGCTGATGTTTCCAGAGAGGAGGACCCAGAGGCCCACGAGAACTTGTTTGAGGCTGCCGAGGCTGCTGCTGCTGGTGAGTCGGGTGCTGAAGCCCCTGAAGAGGCAAATCTCGACGACCACAGCAGCCAATTGGCCACGATCCGTGCTGCGCTCCAGAACAACCCCGAGTTGATCCAGCCCATGTTGGACCAGCTTGCGGCATCGAACCCTCAGATTGCTGAGATGATCGAGCAAGACCCAGAGGGCTTTATGAGACACTTTTTGGGCACCGGCGGCGACGACGATGATTTGGGCTTCGAGGTGGAAGGTGAAGGCGAGGGCGACCAGGAGCCTGGCACCGTCCGCATTGCATTGACAGAGCAGGACGAGAGCGCCATCAACCGCTTGTGTGAGTTGGGCTTCGAGCGCAACTTGGTGATCCAGGTCTACATGGCTTGCGAGAAGAACGAAGAGGTGGCCGCCGACATCTTGTTCCGTGACACATAGACGACGACGCAGAAGCTGCTGACCAATGTATACTATATCCGCATTAAGGCGATGCTACGCTAAAGCTATGGATGATGTTGTACTTCTCGGGTGAGGCGAGAGGGGCGTTTCCAGGACGAACCACCACCACGGCCTTGAGTCCGGCCTCAATGGCAGCGTCAACCTCTCCGGCCACGTCGGAGTAGAAGGTCAATTCACTTGCCTCCTGGCCAATCTCCTTGGTGATCTTCTCGTACGACGCCTTCTCCTGCTTGTACCCTGCGGTGCTGATGTCAAAGTAGCCACTAATGTATGACGTCAAGTCCTTCAGCTCTCCGTCAACGTCCACGTGTTTGAAAAGAAGCACCTGGGCAGGAATTGAGCCTGACGAGTAGATGTAGACCTTGTTATCGGACTTGATGAGATCTATAGCGTCTGGGTACACGGGGGCCTTGATTTCGCCGTTTTGGTAGCCCTCCTTCCATACAGTTCCTTGGAATGCCTTCAAGTTGACATCCTTGATGTCCCTGGAAACTAGATCGTTGATATGAGCCAAAAGGGCATCTTTTGATTGGGTGACTTCTTCTGGAAAACCCAGAAGCGTGGTAGATAAGCCCTCAGTGGGTTTTATAGGAAAATCGACCGTATCCAAATACTCAGGGGCCTTTTTGACGAAGTAGGGAAACAAGACCTCCTTCACAAAGCTGATCGGGCACACAGTGCCCTCAATGTCGAGAATGACCGTAGGCATGGGTGGTTAGTGGTAGTTGGAGGTCTATGTAGGATTCTCATGAGCCACACTAGGGACCAACCACATTGATTCCAGGTGCTTTACTGAACTAAGTGGTTTATGCTATCATGACAGGATTCTGGTCTATACTAGGAAGATTCTCCCGTGGAGGATTTGCCTTTTGGATGCAAGGCGGCAGCAAAATCGAGGGTGCTCGAAAAGTGACCATCAAGGTGCAATTGACCATATCTGTGGAAGAGGCTAAACAGGAGATTGGGGGTCGCCGGAGGTTGTACATGCCTGTTATGGGGCAATTGGAAAAGGCCCGCGGGTGAGTGGAGGTTTTTGATTTACGGTGGGAGGTTTGGTGATTTGGAGGTATTGGACTATGAGAAGTGGTACATCAAGGCACTATGTCTACTGAAAGCTTTCAGTAAGGTTGACGGAATCACAGATGCTCAAGCCTAACTGAAAGAGAATCCCATCCCCTGCTGATTTTGAGCATCTCGATTTCAAAAGTCAGTGTTGGTGACTACCTAGCCTACACTGGTATCAGAGGATATAAAGACTTGCCAGAATGCTGACCGCAAAATGGTACCCATGGAGCATTTGTCTGGTTGTTAGGCGAAGTTTGAGCTCTCTGGCTGATTCACTGACTTCAATCGATTGATATGCTCCATCGGCCATTGTTCCTCCGATGCCACTGATAAGGCTGCCATACTAGCTACATAAGGTGAAACACCGTTCAGCCTCGTTTGAGCAAACTACATCTCAGCCAGCAAAGGATGTCTCCTTCGCCTTCCTCTGAAACATAATCAAACACTATTTCAGACATCCACTGCCCTAGTCTTATCTCACCTAAACCACCCATTTGCCCCAAACTGCCCCCTCGACTTCTTTCCAAAACCTTCCAAATCGGCCCTCTACCCTCCTTCCCAAAATGTCAGCACATATCCAATTTCCCTAGACGACGCGCAATTTCCCTGGACGACGGCTGTAATCCAACTCACCAGCCCACGTCAAGGCTGCGAAACTCTTTCGGTGCATACTCGCCAACGCACATGCACGCAAGCCCCGTTCGTCGAAAATCCCCGAAAACACAAAAGACCCATCCAATTCTTCAAAATCCCACTTTTTCACAAATCTTTCCACTTTCTCAAACCGGCTCCAGCAGACGTATCTGGCAACCCAACAGTGCGCATGGCACATGACAGATGCATTGCTGATAGTCTCAGTCAGTATTCACAACCAGCAGAATTCCACCACTCCAACTTCTTTTAAAGCACTCTCCATGGCGCTCCCGGACGAGCAGCTCAGCTATATCGACCGTGACGATATCCACTCTTTTGCCAAAGCCTTGGTATGGGATGACGATGACTTTGTCTCTTCGGGCAAGTACTCCGATGTCAAGCGAGAGGCTGAAGCGATAGACGCCCAGGGCCTAGAAGAGAACTCTGTGGCTGTCGGCAACTTGCCGAGAACGAAAACGAAAAGACTGGATAGTCTCAAGGGTCTGGAGAAACCCACAATGATCACCTCGGCGTCGGACTGGTTTCCGATAACTGGGTCTCAAGATAAGAAGAAGGACAAGGAATTGTCCACGAGGGACCGCTTCACCAACGAGTTTCGCCACTCGGCATCGTACACCTTGCTCCGCTGGCCTGTTCTAGTGTTTATCATAGGCTGGGTGTTGGTTCTCTGTGTATTTTACGCCATTGTCAGAGGGTACGTCGCATTGTACGAATACCTCTTTACGTGGACGGGTCAGCGGAAAGTGCTCAGACAAAAGCTACGGCTGTCAAAAACGTACGAGGAATGGGTAGAAAACGCCAAAGCATTGGACCGCTTCTTGGGTCTAGATGAGTGGTCGTCTCACACAAAGTTCTCGTACTACGACTACAAGACAGTCCAGAAGACCATCCACAAGATCCGTGTTTTGCGTAAAAAGAACGATGTTTCCAACTTAATGGTCTTTTTGCAGGGATGCCTCAAGAAGAACTTTGCAGGTATCGAGAACAAACAGCTCTATAGCCACCGGTACTACGGCACCAAGGACCTTGTACACGAGTACGTTGACGAGGTGATCAAGTGTATCGATTGCGTTACCAACGCTGGCACGCAGGTCGTGCTGGTGAAAAAGAAGCGTCAATTCTTCAAGGTGGTGCTGAAAAACTACGGTAAATCGGCCTTGTGTCTCAGTGGTGGCGCCTGTTTCGCCTACACCCACTTTGGCATTGTCAAGGCGCTTTTAGACAATGACGTGCTCCCGCTGATTATCTCTGGTACATCAGGCGGAGGGCTTATCGCCGCTTTGGCATGCACTAGAACAGACGAGGAGCTCAAGCAGCTTTTGGTACCTGAGCTTGCGAAGAAAATAACCGCTTGTGAAGATCCCTGGTATGTGTGGGTCCCAAGATTCATTCGTACCGGAGCTAGATTCGACGCCGTCAGTTGGGCCAGTAAGTCTTGCTATTTTACTAAAGGCTCTCTCACTTTCCAAGAAGCATATAAAGCTACTGGGCGTCGTCTTAACATCTCCACTGTTCCCGCTGAACCTCATTCACCGGTCATTCTTTGCAATTCCATAACCTCCCCAATTGTATAATATGGTCATCGCTTTTGGCCTCGTCTGCTGTTCCGGGTATTCTCAACCCCGTGGTATTGATGACTAAGAACAATGATGGTGAGGTGGTGCCGTTCAGTTTGGGCAATAAGTGGAAAGATGGCTCTTTGCGTACGGACATCCCCATCAATGCCCTCAACACGTATTACAACGTGAACTTCTCCATTGTCTCACAAGTCAACCCCCACATTTCCTTATTCTTCTTTGCACCAAAAGGAACTGTTGGACGCCCTGTTGCCCTGCCAAGACGGAAGACCAAAAATCAGAGGTTTGCATCGCTTAGAGGTGGTTTTATTGCTACAGCGCTAGAACAGCTTTTCAAACTTGAAATCAAAAAATGGCTTGAAATTGTCAAGACCCTCGATCTCCTCCCTATGTGGCGTGAGCAAGACTGGCTGAATGTGTGGCTTCAGCGCTTCACAGGTTCTATAACTATATGGCCCCGCAACAAGCTCAAGGATTACTGGTACATTCTTCTGGATCCTTCCGAGGCCCAGATGGAAGAGTACTTGCTCAAGGGCGAGCGCAGTATGTGGCCTCGTCTTCTCTTTGTTAAGCATAGACTTGGTATTGAGCGTGCTATCGAGAGAGGCAAGAAGCGCTCTAATTCTGAGAAGACCCTTGATGCCACGCAGCTCTCCCCAACAAGCTCCAATGCGGTCCAGTCAGACGACTTCTCTGAAGGACCCGCTAAGGACCTTCTTTCTAGAGCTAACCTCAACAAGAGTGATGTGGAGTCCACAGACGATGAAATTAGGCGCAACTTCGCCTCGCCTTTTGATATAAAGTATGGTCGTGACGATGACGATGATGATGACGAGGATCTGTACACGGACGATTTAGAGTATCTGTCTGACGAAGATCCAGAAGTACAGCCGAGGAAGAGGAAGCCCAATGGAACAAAAATACGCAGAAGCACTACCGCTTAACCAGCTAATGTCTTTGCAACTAGCGAATTGAGCTTGTTTGTGTCACCTAGCTCGCCGTCCTTCTCTATGATCTGATGCACATACTGATACACCGCTTTCATGGCTGTCGGTATAGACTGCTTCTGTTGCGGAGTGAAATCAGAAAGCACAAATGATGCCATTGTGTCTTTGGACGCACCTTGCGGCTTTGGTCCAACGCCCACACCTAGCTTATACACGGTATGCGGAAGCGAATACACCTCTTTCTGCACCGCTTTGATGCCATTGTGAGACTCGTTCTTCTTCAATGCTTGCACACGCACCTTGGGGAGGTCCAACTCGAAATCGTCATAGACAACTACAATTGTACACTTTCCCACACGTTCATTGGCCAAGAACGCTCGAAGCAGGGCACCTGACTCGTTCATGTATACGTTAGATTTGACAAGGACGAGGTTATCTAGTCTGGTGATGGAGTACTTCCCACGCTTGACTAGCTGTTTCGTCTCGAACGCGTCCGCTAGCTCTTTGAGGACAAGGTGTCCTACTGAGTGTCTGGTCTGGGGCCCCGGGTTGCCTATAGAGAAGAAAACTATAGTAGTAGACATGATTAATGGGTTGCTAGTAGTCGTAGAGCTATATATGTACGTGGCTGTGTGCAGGCTCTTCATAAACATGAGTCACTATAGTCGCCACCGGCCGAACTAACATCATGATAATGATTTCGAATGTTTCGTGATGTTTTCTTGTTTTAAAAAGGAATTCAAATTGCTCTGTTTGAGAGTCGTTTGTCTTGTTGGTCGGGGACTTGTGTGCACTCCAGTTGCATACTTCACGACGCCAAAATAGAGCTACAACTAAGAGTTTCTGTCTTTTCCCTTATTCACCATGAGCGATGATGGTGAAGAAACTCGGCGTATTTCTGACAAGCAAGAAACAGAAGTTTTGCAAACCCCCGAAATAGACGCCGAATCAACATCAAATGCCCAAGAACCCTCTGGTCTAGAAAATCCAGAAGAAGACGATGAGTTTGGTTCTTTCGACGAGGCGTCATTTGACGAGTTCCAGGCTGAAGAACCTCAAGAAACTCAAAGCAATCAAAATGCTACCTTCAGCAGTGCTGTTTTCCAAAGCGAGAGTCTTATAAACCAGAGAGTGGAAGAGACCCTTAACAAGATCTTCACCATTACCGAACAGCAAAGCCACCAGGAGAATGGTGAACTACTCAGCGATGCTGCCAAGGAACAATTCAGCTCACTTTCCAAAATCCCACATCTACTGCCGCCAAATTGGCTAAGGCTGAACATCAGACATAAACTACTAGTGAACCTTGGTATACCGATCGACTTGGACGAGTTGGAAAAGGGCAGTGTTGCCCAAATGAGTCATCCACCGACTCATCAGCGTAAGAAGTCAATTTCTGAGCACGACATTGACTGGACAGGATTCAATGTGCCCAGCATTGAGACATTGGGCTTGGATGGGGAGAAGAAGAAGCACCTCTTGACACAAACGAATAGCATTCTCGACGACATTGAAGAGTTCAATCTTCAAAACACATCAAAACTCTTTTTGGAGAGTTCTGCTGATGAGGCGTTGGAGGAGAAGCTTAGCAAGATGAGAGAAAACTACAAGCATCTTCTTGAGCTCAGTGCGGTATGGCAGGACCAGATACGTGAATTGAAGAACAGCCAAGAGATGTATGAGCTGGTGGTGCAAAATATGGTCGGCTACAGCCAGAGACTTCGGCGGAAGGAGATCTTGGACAATCTCAGCCGCAAAAAGCTGAAGAAAGGGAAACGTTCCTTTTGATAGTACATTTATATACAAAGCATGCTCAGCCTCACAAGGGCTGGAAGTTTAACAACGATCCCAAATCGTCGTTCAAGTAGTTCTCCTCCTCTGCAGTTGCTTGAAGGTTCATGTTGATGAAAGAGCTGTCCATGAAGTTTGTGAAAAGATCATTGGGGGCACCTGTGCCAGTCGCAGCTCCAAATGGACCTCCGTTTTGTTGAGCGTTACCAAGAGGGACTGGTGCCTCAAGTGACTCTGGTGGAACAGCATCATCCATAGTGGGCTCTTCATCGGTAGCGCCCTCATCGTCTTTCGTTCTGACAACCGGAGTTTGAGAACGAGATGGTGGATGGCTGAAGTTTGCAGCAGGGAACAACTGTGTAGGTTCGAAATTTTCAAAGAAGCCTTGCGATGGTGGCACCTTTTCTGTAACCAACGAGATGTCAGGGAAGGAATTGACTGAGGATGGAGTATTTTCACCGTTGGAGGATTTGGTCTTGTGCAGCTGATGCTCCTGACCATTATTGTGTTCGTCATGCAGTGTTTCTTTGTTCTTTTTGAACTGACGAACAAGTTGTTCAATGTCTGGCTGTGCTGGTTTGGGAGCAGGCTGCAGTGTTTGTGGAGGGGTGGTGTAGTTGTATGAGCTTCCGCGTGGGGAAACACCGGAGGTTGCCAGATTAGCTGGCGATGTAGGACCCACGGGGAACTCCTTTTCTTGATGCAAACGCTCCGGGCGTGTGACGGAGCCAGTGTCAGAGTATTTAGTCTTTTGGCGGTCCTGGTGGTCGACAATCTGGTTGTTTCTTTCAATAACCTCGGCTCTCTTCATCTTGTCGTTAGCATACTTGTCAAAAAGCTTTATAAGAACACTTGCAATAGACCAATACTTTGCAAGCTCCTTCAAGACAGCACGAGAGATGAACAAGGCGTCCGAGGCAGTAGATGCAATCACTGGGTTTGTGGAGTCCACATGGTAAATCAACATCACCAAGGCACTGAAAAGGATGTAGACAAACATCACAGGGCAATACTTGAGAGCGCCCTTGTCTAGCAAGATCTTTGAAGCGATCGAAATCATTCTAGCTGCCTGGAAGGAAATACCCCAGGATGGGTACTTGTAGTTGTTAGGATTGGTTGATGAAGAACGAGCCATTCTCAACAAATTTGCTCTGTGGATCAAGTACAATCTGTTGTAGTACTGCGCATTTAGAAGACAGGCGTAGAAAGACTGCTTCGAGGGGTCAGTGAGTGAGAACAGTAGCTCTGGAGGCAAGTTTGTAAACCAGATACCCATGAGCATATCACAGTGTTGGATTACACTGAACTTGTTGACTCGTTTCATCAGCTCGGCCTTGACGGTATACTGGTGTTTAATGATAATACCGGTAATCTCGGCCAATTTGACCAAGTGAATGAAGTACAACGCCTGTACTTCGTTCACTGGATATGGAGACACAAGTCCGTTTTCGGGTTCATCTTCGTTGAAATCGTCAATGGAAAGCATGGGAACGTCACAGTCGGTCAAGTTGATGGTAGGTGGTCTACCGAAAGCAATGGCAACGTTACGATCCTTTTCGAAAAGACACCACCAGATTCTGCGCCACACTTTCTTGTCTGCTTCTGAAAGCGAAGGAGACGCTGTGACATCACGGTGGAAACCGAAACCTTGAGCCAACCCCACTCCGACACGGGTCCAGTAGAAGGAGTTTCTGGTAACGTCCTCGGGGCCTTCCCAATACAGTCCGATAAGAATGACAGTCTGAATAATCAGCACAGGGTCACTCTCGTAGTTGGTCTCGTACAAAGACTTTGCTCTGCGGAAGAATGTTAGGGAGGCCAAATTACTCAGACCCTTGGAGTCAAAGAGCTGTGGGTTATTCAGCACACGGGAGCCACATAAAAGCACAGCTTGCAAAAGCATAAGCGAGGGGCTGTCGTCAGGGTCGTTGAACTTTCTCATAAATTCTGTTCTGTTGATCACCGGCATGAGTGGGTGGATGTGCTCGAAGTACGACTCAATAATGTCAAGCGCCAAGGGTTTAGGAGGTAAAAGGAAAGCACCACGCATTTTCAAGATCTCAAGCTCCACAGAATCAGCTGAGTAGTTGTCGCTTGCCTCAAACAAGTCCTCTGTGAGCTGAACATGATTCTGGCCCAAACGCAGGGTCATGGCGCCGATGCTGGAGTGGCCGACGAACGTGAGAGCTGCCTTGGCATTGGAGTTGAGCATGTCCTTCTTGTGCATGGATGGTCTTGTTTTGTAGTTCAGGGTCAAGGAAGGAGGTACGGATACCTGGGAGATGTTATGGATGGGTTCAGCGGCCAGCAAGGCAACAGCGTTAACTGTCTGAGCCGGAGACATATGTGGGACTTCAGGAGGGTGTTGTTGTTGGAGATGGACATGTGTGTTTACGGGTTCTTCTCTTTCCTCCTCTTTTGCCCTTTTCTTCTGTGGCTTCAGGTCCTGGGCCTGGCCTCTTTTTTTCGTTTCTGGAAGCACACATTCACAGCCAAAGGTGATACAGTTTGTGCAAGGAATGTGGATTTCAGCGTCACAACGGACTTTTCTGGCACGACACACGGTACAAGCCCGGGAACCCCTAGGTCTCTTGTATTTGATAGTGTAAGCTTTTGGTTTTTCAGAAGACTTTGCTTCCTTTGGCTTCGGCGAGGGCAGTTCTCTCACAGCGCCGTCGCTTTCAGATTTGACCTTCTTCATGCTCAATAGAGAAAATAAAAAGGACTGATTGAAATGTCCCGAAGATTTGGTTGTTTCTTTGTATGAGATACTCCACGGGGCGGCTCCGTCACTTGGGGTGCTTGTCTGCAGGACACTAAGACCAGTGAGCGAAAAGCGCGAGCAAAATGCTGCATACGTCTACGCACACGAACTCAAGGTGCAAATGTGGCAGAGATGAATGGCGGGAAAACACGGGAAGATGGGTACGGTTGGGGCCCGACGACGGCGCTGGGGAGAACTCCGGTTATGTGCAGGATGTTTTATTTTTTTTTTCCATTGTTAACTCCGGCTGTTACGAACCCGAGCCGTTAAGCTCGTGTGGTGCCGTTCGGACAATGGCGATGCTGAGCAAAACAAAAAAACTGCTGGGCAAGACAACAAAACGGTCACTAAAGCCGGACATCAGCCCGCTCCGTTCAACCGAGAACTCCGGTGATTCAAGTGACTCAGTGCGGCTCATGTGGAGTTACGCTGGAGCACACCAGAGGCCGGTGAAAATTTTAGGTGAACTCAGTGTTTGTAGAAATTCAGGCGATAGCGCTTCCGATAAGTCACAAAAGTCAGCCTACACGTTGAGACAAAACATGATGCATGGACGATCAACCTTGTACAGGGAGGCTCGGTCGCGGACTACAAAAGAGGAATTTTCGAGCATTCTTCAGGCTGGTAGGGTAGAGTGGCTGAACTTGAGATCATGTTTCTTAGCTCTCGTCGGGATTTTGCACATTGAGGGTTTTACCGAGGATGTAGATCGGAAAGTTTTTGCGTTTTCTCCAGAAAACTAAAACACCCTATTTCGCGGCTTTCGGCGATGTTAAGCTGTTGCAACATTGGCATTTTTGAGACAATAGCCCTGGCTTGAACCGTGCCGGAAGGTCACTGACGTAATAGGTCACAGGGCGGTGGTCGCTCGATGATTTATGATGATTTGGTTTTTTCGATAAAAAAAAAAAAAAAAAAAAAAAAAAAAAAAAAAAAAAAAAAAAAAAAACAATTTGGAACTCGGAAATTAAAGCGTAGATCGTGGCCTTGTTTAGTGTATGTGGGGAGTGAAAAATATCGGTCTGGCTGGTTTCGCAAAACCCCATAGTATGCTGTCTTTCTACGACCCTTCTCTCCACCTCACCTTAAAGCCTCGCCTAATTTACAGCCAGCCTTGTTTTGCTGCACTCTTCTTCATAACCTCTTTCAAACATCATTTCTCGTATATGTCACCTTTTCAACGTTTCCTCCCGAGACAAAGACTTTTCTTTTCCGACCAGCAATTTGGCTTCACCGCTCCCCGAGGACCAATGAAAAACGTCATTTACCCCAATCGTGCCGATTTTTCTTCGACCCCAAGAAATCCGCCTTGGCAACCCAGTTGATCTAGTGGTGCGCACACGACAAACAAATACAACGTCCTTCTCACCTTCTCGGCCGGATTTTCACCATGGACACGACAGCGGTCTTGGACAAGTATACGCAGGACTTGCTGAACCTACCGCTAGAGGTGAAGTACTTGTTTGATGAAATCAAAACTAAAGATCTCCAGCTAGCTGAGGCCAGGCGTCGGTACCAGAGTAAGGACTCCCAGTTGCACAAGTTCATAAGGACCAATGGAACCCTCGCAAAGCACCCCAAGGAGGTGCAGCTATATCAGAAGATCGAGGAGGAAATGAAACTGATGCAGAGTATCCAGAAAGAGAAGATATTGCTTGCCAACACGGCGTTGTTTCTTGTTTCTAAGCATATGTTCAACTTTGAGGTGGACATCCAGAAGCTAGAAAAAGACGATCTTCTAGCGCCTGTGGATGAAGACGCTCTCGATGACTCCGTGGAAGAAACAGCGTCCGCCACTCCTATCCCTGACATACCAAAAAAGAAGAGGTCCTACTCTGTCATGAGAAGATACAAGAGACTCAAGTCGGAGGACTACGACGACAGACTGGACGAAAGCACGCCTGAAATCAGCACAAGAGCACACCACAGCCACTTAGGCCCTCGTGCCCCCTCGGGCGCTTCTGGCGAAGACGCAGATAACAATTTGTACTGTTTCTGCCAGCGTATCTCGTTCGGCGAGATGATTGGATGCGACAACGATGACTGCAAGTACGAGTGGTTCCATTGGCTGTGCGTGGGCATCACCAGCCCGCCCAAGGATGACGATATCTGGTACTGTCCCGACTGCGCCCCTAAGATGGAAAAGAGGAAAAAGAGGAAGAAGTGATGATTGCGCTATTCCTGGATTAGTCGAATGTATCGCGTATCTTGAAGGGTCCCAGATATGTTTGGCGGGTAAGAGCGCTCCGCCCGTTTATTGTCGGCGCAGCGTCTTCGATAACAAAGCTATGCGACAGAAAGACCACACACTGCAGACTAGCTCGAGGCAAACAGGCGGGATCTCCGGGCTGGCACTCAATTCTGCAAATAACAAGCAAGCCAATTGCGTGTGTCGATCTGCGTCGACAATAGCTTATCCTTCAAGGAATGTTCGGGAGCCAGCCTTGCAGAGATGCGCCACCGCTCCACCCCCGATCCACACATGGGCACCTGTTTTTTAGTGTTGCGGGTATCGCATTAAGCGACCAGACGTGGTTCAAAACGACTGCGCCTTATTGCTCAAAAGGGGCTTGACAGGATAAGCGGTGGAGCCATAGTCCTGTGGCTCCGCCCGTAAACAGGTGTCACTGCGCGCTTTGACAGGGTTTATGCGGCTAATAGCAGCCATGTGCGCCTTGATGCAGCTCGACCTTTGCCAAAATAGCTCATGGGTACAGGCCACTACCACGCCGTCGGAGGCCAAATTAGCTTTGCGTTCCCTGCCGCATTGCTGACTCGGGCTGTGCTTGCTGGGGAATTGGGTATAAATAAGACCCCCGCCGCCGGCTTGTGGTTGACATCATTCCTATCAATAAACAATGTTGTACTCCCAGATCCTCACTGCTGCTGCCCTTGTGGTCTCCGTTTCCGCTGCCTCCAGCTCTTCTGGTGGCTCTTCTGCAGCCCACTCCTCGTCTGCTTCTGACCACTCTTCCTCGGCCTCAGCTGCTGGCTCGAGCTCCAAGTCTGATTCCAGCTCCAAGTCTGGTTCTAGCTCCAAGTCCGGCTCCAGCTCCAAGTCTGGTTCCAGCTCTAAGGCTGGTGCCAACGGCCAGACTGTCGGTGGTGTTCTTGCCGTTGCTGCCCTTGTCGGTAACATGATGCTCTGATCGAATTGCTAAATAGTCAATTGACTTTCTAACAATAGCTGTAGTCTAGACCTGACCTGTTAAGCCTGATTCTAGCTCAATGGGAATGCTCAATTCCCCTAATTGAATACGGAATCCTGTTCTGTCCGTACCTCGATTGATAAGCTTTGTGCTCTGGATTAGGGAAGCATTCGCACGGTAATAGACTCCAAACCCTAGTTGGTGAAGTCAAAAGTGTCTTTACAGGACAGGCGAGCAAACCAGCAAAGTGACAGGCTGCCCAGCAAAATGACGTCTTCTAGCTAATCCCTCAGCAGATCAAACTTCAATACTGAAAATTCTGGGAAAGATCAGCGACAATTCCATGGCTTGGAGCTCTGAGCAGATCGTGGGGTGGTGATTGGTATATTTAGAAAACAGCAGTAAGTGGTTCCCACGGCTGCTTACGTCTAGATGAAAGGCTGGATTTGCTTAGGTGACTGGGAGCTATCTATAGGGCCTTATTTTGTTTATTTTTTTTTTTTTTTTTTTGTTAAATTCATCTGATTAAATGGAAAACCCTATTTAAATCTACATAGAGAAAAAACCATCTTATCCTATTATCTATTTGCAACCCTTATTTTTTCAAGTTTTTTTAAAAAATGATTCACAAAGCTCAGAGCTATGATATACTAGGACAAAAAAAATGTCCTAACAATGGCGTTCATGTAATTGTTCGTACACAGCATAATTGGGATTCGTAGGATTCCGCACATTCGAGAGCTTTCAGCACAACCTTGACATTTTTGTGGAACCATGCATATCATCCAAAATCGAAAAGATTAAAATGTCTGAAGAAATGGAAATCTGCTTTTTAAGTTTTCGCTTCCCTCTCTTTCTTCATCTGGTATTATGTTTTTTTGTTTCCTAGTGTATCTGCTAGTCCGACACTTCTGACCTACATCTACTGCGAATTCACCTCAGATACTCATCACCACCATACTCATTACCCTGATTCAAATAAGCGTTCAACTGGAAGCGGAGTAACACAAACAAATCCTCCTCCATACCACGCATTCACTCATTCTATTAAAACCAAAAAGTCCACCCGTCTAGTTCACTTGCATCCCGTATCAACCACACCAGTTAGATCACATCTACTCGGTCCATCACCTACAATTGCATTGCCAACGAGCGTGTCATAATTTACTCGTTATAATCATATTTACAACTTCCCGCTGATGTCCTGGAAAGACTGGCTGTATGGTGTTCTAGCGGCACTGGCAGTGTTTGCTGCCTACAAGGTATGGGAAAGCCGACCAAAGAACGAGCTTCTTCGGCCCCGCACTAGCGGCGTGGATTCGCTCATAGGAAACACGCCAATGGTTGAAATTGAATCTCTCCTGCGGCTTACTGGCTGTAAGATATACGCCAAACTCGAACTCATGAACCCGGCTGGACTGGCCAAAGATAGAGTGGCTCTTGCGGTGATTCGTGAGAACGAGAAGCTCGGCAAGCTCAAGCCTCACAATGGCGATGTCATCTTCGAGGGTACGTCCGGATCGACGGGCATCTCCTTCACTGTATTGGCGAACGCATTGGGTTACACGGCGCATATCTGCCTTCCCGATGATACATCGCCTGAAAAGATGCAGCTCTTAAAGTCCCTTGGAGCAGAGCTAGAGCCAGTCAAACCGGCACCAATCGTCGACCCCAACCAATACACCAACGCTGCTCGCAACGGCGCAGCTAAGATCAACAGCGAGGAAGGTAGAAACGCCATCTTTGCAGACCAGTTCGAGAATGACTTCAACTGGCGAATTCATTACGCCACGACAGGACCTGAAATCTGGGAGCAGATGCAGCACAAGATTGATGCCTTTGTCACCGGCTCTGGCACAGGCGGAACCATTCTGGGAGTGTCCAAGTACCTCAAAAGCAAGCTGCCGCATACCCGCATTATTTTAGCTGACCCTCAAGGTTCTGGCCTTGCCAATCGAGTCAATTACGGCGTCATGTACGACACTGTCGAGAAGGAGGGAAAGCGCAGAAGACATCAGGTTGACACGATGGTAGAGGGTATCGGTCTCAACAGATTGACATGGAACTTCAAGCAGGGTGAGCAAAACATCGACCAAGCATTCCGTGTTACTGACGAGCAGGCGGTGAAAATGGCCAAGTTTTTGTGTGTCAATGACGGGTACTTCTGGGGCTGTCGGCTGCTGTGAACTGCGTTGCGGCAGTGAAAACCGCCAAGGAGCTCGGTCCTGGTCATGATATAGTTGTGATCGCCTGCGATTCTGGCGCCCGCCATCTTTCCAAGTTTTGGAAGGATGCAGCCGAGGTCCCTTCATCGATCACCTTGGAGCAGGTGCTCGAATAAATGTATATAGTCAATGTTGAATCAAGGCTTGCGGTTGCCCACCAACTCCTTCTTCTTTTCCCTGTACAATTTGACGGAGCTGAGGAAAGACGCCAGGATACCCATCCAGATCTGGACGGTTTCGAAGTGAAGCGCCATACCCCACACGGAGTATGAATTGAACACAATGTCGGAAAGCGTCTTATAAATATCAATGTGTGCGTTTGTCTTCTTGAACATGATCTCTTTGAGCGCTACGGTATCGCGAGAGTCGTCATCTAGGTTTGAGCTGGTCAAGCTGGGTATAGGATTCTCGGACCCGCCGCCTAAAAGCTGTCTGGAGATGGCACGGGCCCGCTTCTTGACTTGGATCTGGATCTTGGCGTCCATCTCCTGCTGGCTCAAGTGCTGTAAGTTGCTGTATGCATTGTAGAGAGCAAACCAGGACTCGCAGTACCAGGCGTAAGACTCGTGGCGAGACACAAAGTCTTTGACTGTGGGGTTTTTCAAGAGTCCGAGCTTGCCCATGAGAATCGACTCGTCGTTGATGGAGTAGTATAAGGAGATGATCTCACCGAGGGTTGTGTTTGAAAATAGGGAGGGGTTGAACGTCCACTTGGCAGGATTATTCATGGCCGCACGGATTTTCCAGTACAAGTTGCGTATGCGGAACGGCGACTTACCGAATCGAAGAAACTGTCTGTAGATACCGATAGCAGGCACCACGGCGGCGAATCGCAGGTTGAACACCGAGCAGATCAAGATGACTAGCACCCTGGCGAAACCCTGGGGTTCTGCACGAAGTTCATGACCAAATCCATGACTCTTTCTGTCGAGGCGTATGTGCGGTTTATCAGCTTGACATTGATCATCTCGTCACTGAGCCAATCTTGCGTGTTTTTCGAGTGATGCAACAACAAACGCAACGTGTACTGGCCGAATTTGGCCATCTTGTCCTTACCAACAATGTCGTTGAGCATAGCCCAAAGCACATCCACAGGTTGGACCTTAGTGCCCTTTTTCGTTTCTGGAGGAGGCGATGGAGCCGCCGAGTCTGCCGTAGAGCTTCCTCTCCTTACTGTAGCATTCTGAGCCGGCGAATTCTGGCTTTTGCCCGGCGTAAGAAGGTGGACCTGGACTTTCTTTGATGGTGTTTCCAAGGAACCCTTCTTCAGCGGCAGGTCATCAGGATCGCCCCATTCCGAGGCAATATGAAGCGGGCTATTTGAAGCCGCCTTTAAATTGTGGAAATACGCCGGTACGCTGCCGTACGTCTCTTGCACGTGCACCAGCTCCATATATTGTAGATTAGTGGTAGTGTTGTGGTGAGGGTGTTTTTTGGTGAGATGTACCCGTCCGGTATGCACTGGGTGCAAACCAGGACTTGATTTGGGATGGAGGGAAGGGGATTTTTTTGATATAAATAGGGGGTTGTTGTCTACGGAAGACGAGGAATTGAGTGGCTGGTTTTCTTTTTTGTTGCCTTTGGTGGTGGGTTTTTGGTGGTGGGGTTGTGGTTCCTCGGTCTGGCCCCAAAACGGATCGGTGGGGTAGAGTTGCATTTTCATGAGCCTTTGATGGAGAGGTGGGTTTTCGGTGAAGTGGGTGTTTTGACAATTATAAATTTGTAAGAAAAGAGGCAGTTTGGAATTGGTTTTTGGTTTCGATGATTTTGGAGATTTTGGGCCCTGGGACCCTTGTCTCGGAGTTTTGGGTTCCTCCATGTGGACCAGCGGGCGGATATACGCTACAGAAATGGCAAATTGAGAAAGCCGGGATAACAGACTTTCGGAGGTATTCAAGTAGGAGAAAAGCTTTAGATCTTAAACTACGTTTAACTTTTTGAATGTTTTGAAGCTTCTTTGCTATGGCGTCTCAGGTGGTGCAGGTACCGAGGAGACCGGGCTGCTCAATTCTTGTTCTCATCAAGGCGTAAAGGGAAGTAACTTTTTTGGTGATTGTCTGCATTCTGTTTTTATATCATCAATGGTTTGACGTCTCTGGGCTTGTTGGTACCAATGACCCCACTATCTGGTCTATTCGCAGCCACAGCCGAGACGACGAGGAACCTCCAATGTGGGGAATATAGATAATTATTTCATTTCTGTCCCTTCATACCTCGAAATGCCATATTTTATAAACTTCACGCATTCAGCCTCATGCAGAGGAAATCTGTTCCTGGATCGAGGAGTGATTTGGCTGCAAACGCACCTCGGGAGACCATACTAGAGAAAACAATAAAGCTAAGAAACAGTTCATGAAAATGAATACGTAGAGTTTTTTTGGATATGGAACGCCATATGATTATATTTCTCTAGACCTTCCTCCCTCGATCGCCCTACGACTTCCAAATCGGGAACACAGCTCGGCGTTCCTCCCCCATGCATCTCGTACTTTTGAAACAATTCTGAAACACCTCTGAAACACCTCAAACACAACTAGAACGAGCCCCACCTCCCTGCTTCCTTCTGCAGCTTTCTCCTAACCAATTCCACCTTCTCCAACCCCGACTTCCTTAAACCCTTCCTGAGAAAAGCACATGGACCGAAACCTGACGATCCTTGATAATCACGAAACTACGACGGTCATTCACACAAAACTGCTAAAACTCCTAAAATTGCCATTTCGGCTCAAACCAAAGAAAGTCACCAAAACACCTCTCCCTACAATTCCTTCACTCTAGCATATTTTTTCACCTTATCGTATAATTTTCCTCCCTGGGCATGCACAAGAAACTTGGCAACCTTCGCCTTTATGCATCTCGACCGTATCTACTTCTCTTTTTCCCCTTATAACCTCTCCACTCTCTACACCACTTTTCGCTACTAATGAAACAGAAAAACTCTAAATTGGCAGCCCTACTACTGGGCTACTCTGACGATGAATCATCAGAACCCTCATACAGTTCGCCGAGACCCTCTGTGGGATACCACAAAAAGACACCCCCTCTTCGGGCCCCAAAGGGTCCTAGACCAGGGCCTTCCTCGTCCAAAAAGTCTCGAAATCCAAAGGTAGCTCCTAAGAAACCGCTGGGGAAGAATCCTCAGGCAAAGTTTCATGCCCAGGATCGAAGCAACGACTCAAACCAGCCATCGAAAAAACAGAAGTTACAGCATGAGCCAGGCCAGAAAGGGAGTGTGTCTCCCAGAAACTCTATGGCCCACCCTAGCAGAAACATATCTCCGAGAAATGCTACCGTCTATCCTAGCAGGAGGCCATCTCCAGGAAATATGGTCCACCCAAGCAGGAATGGTCCTCAGAAACAGCATGTCCAGACCCAGCATTATGTCCAGACTGAGCCATACGCCCAGTCAAAGCACCAGAATTATCATTCTCCAAAGTCTGGTCCATCGCTGAAGGTGCATCATGAAAGAGAAGACCGTTTTAGGCCTCGACTGCAGTCCTACGAAGACAACAGAAATACCTGGCAGAAGAAGCAAACTGGACCACCTCCGCCTAAGAAGAAGTACGAGGGACCTCCGTGCAAAAGGAGGAATAGTGCCGAGTCGGATAGCTCGACAAGTCTGAACGACCAACACAAGAGACCAAAAATTACGGACAGAAGACCAGCTGCGAAGTCGAAAAAGCCATTCGACAAAACAGCTCTTCCTAAAGGTCCCCGGATCATTGACCACAGACCAGCTTTCAATATGCCTTCCTCGGCTGTGTCAACAGACTCGGGTTCAGAAAGCTCAGATGTTGCAAATGACAAGAGCCGTGATCCGTCCAGCACTCCCCCTCAGAACTGAACAAACAGTCAAGCCCGAAGGTTGAAGATGCTGCTCCACTGCCTCAGAAGACGCCAAACACGCCCCCCATGAAGACACCCAAACCGGCACAGCCAGATACTGGTGATGTGCTTTCCAGCGCCGAATACAAGAGAACTCCTCAAGTTACAGTTAGATTAGGTTCCAGGATAACCGAGGAGTTATTAAACGTTGCATCTGAGCAGGTCACGCCTAAAGCTCCATCTCATGACTCAGTCATAGAGACCTTGAAGCAATTGGCCAAGCTCCATTCAAAACCTTCTGATACTATTATGGAGGACACTCTGCATAAGGCTCACGTCGAAAGACACTCGGAGCCCTTAGGTGATTTCATCAGTTTGGGCGATATCGATGAAAGCTCGAGTTTCACTCCCAAAGTTCATGTCCCTGACTTGAAGAAGCTTTACACCCCAAGCCCTCGAATGATGCTATGAGCATCGATACAGTGGATAACAACTCAAGCGTTATACACACCGTTCATGCGGGGCCCAAAGAACCCGCACATTCAGAACCCTTGGGTGATTTCATAAGCATAAATGATGTCGATGAAGGCTCGAGCTTCAAACCCGAGACTCACTTGTCTGGATCTGAAGAGCCTACCCTGCATCAAAAGCCCTCGGGTCCTTCTAGGAGTCTAACTAGTGACGGTAAAAGTTTAGAGGTATTTACCAAAAATCCTGGTGGATATATCTCGGCTGCTTTGGAGCCTTTTATACCCAAAAAGTCTGAACCTGGCCCCAAGGAGCCCACGGTCCATCCTGAAAGAGCACTTCAAATGCGAGGAAATGGTAACTCAGAACAATCGAATCCGTCCAACCTGTTTCAGCCTATACCCATGGACACTTCTGCTTGGAGTTCTTAGATCCTCAGACTAAATCATCCGCTGAACCCTGGACATGCTGAAGTTAACGTCAAAAATGACGGTCAACTGGAAGAAGCACTAGGGGTGCATACTCCCAGAAGCCCCTTGAGTCCTAAACAAGAGCCTGAAAGCGTGTCTTCCAAGTGTGTTAGTTTTCGCTGGCTGCATGGTTCATTGGAACGCGGTATGACTCTGGACAAGACCATTTTGTGGAACTACACGGAGCCAAAAAAAAGGAGTGCTCCGGGAGTTCCAGGAGAGTCTTGTGGATATGGCACAGTCTACGCCAAAACTAGTGCAGGTGATGACCTCGCAATCGAAAAGGTCTATTTTAACCGCAAAGGATCGAACCACTATGAACCTGGCTGTAATAGGGCTTGGATAGTTAGCCAGGGCACTTTATCTATCCTCAACGAAGAGGGAAAAACCATTGGTTACTGTGACCAAAAGACAGGATACTACTTGGATTTGGAATGCAAGATCAACCCACTGGTGGTAGCAGAATTCAAGGAGGCCAGGGAGGCAAAGAAGTTGAAACGTATTCAAAACAGACAGAAGAGGAAGCTCGAGAAACAAGCAATGAAACAAGCTACGCCGGTGCAATGATTAGGATGTATGTATGCCGCAAACCTGCTGCGGAAATAAATAAGAGTTGATAAACCAACATCTCTATATGCTTTTAATGATACGAGTCTCCGTTGATTTCGCCGTTGGGCCCCATCATGAAGGCACCCACACTGCCCAAGTAGCCCTCGTGTCTGAGGAAATACGATTTCATGTCGCCCTTGGACCAGAAATTGACGGCGTAGCTCAACGTGTGGATTGTTTGCATGTGTCCCAGAATGTAGCTGCCTCCAAAGTATATACGCTTGAGGTCAAAGCGAAGCGCCTGAAGATAGGCAATTTGACCAATGTTGTTGGAGATCAGATACAAGAGGGATCTTGCAATATCTTCCTGCTTGAACTGTGCTAGCTTTTCTGTGGGTGTAAGTGGACTGCCCAGTTTGCCAAAGCGGAGCTTTTTAAATACCTTGGCGAACGACGAGGCAATGTGGGTGGACTTCAAGCCGATTTTGTTGTAGCTTGCGCCGTAAATGTCGCCGACCAAAAGATCGATGTTTTCGTTGTCGCCCTTCTGGGCCATTTCCAACATTTCAGTGTAGTCTTTGGCGTCTGTGAGGAGAGAAAGAAGACCCCATAGCGTTCCTCCACCGAGAGAAGAACCGCCTATACGCTCAAAGCCCTGGGGGCCAGGCCCAGTGACCTTGATCATTGACACACCAGAGCCAATATTGACCAACAAATAGGGATAAATCTGGTCCTCGCACGTGTAAGGACTGGTGATGAACTGAATTTCGTTTTCGACAAGATCGTAGGTGAAGATCTCGTTGGGAATTTTGGTGATGAGCCAGTCGAGGCCCTTGATCAAGCACTCCATCTCGTCCTTCTTGACGATTTGCATGGGGAACTTGTGTTTTTTGAAAACCGCCACCATCAACTTGCAGAACTTGTGAGCTCCACCGCCCGTGGCCATGACGTACGTGATGGGCGGGTTCAGCTTGTTGATGATGGACTTGCGGATGAGTTGGATCATGAAAGCGAGCGCCTCTTTTTCAAAAGAGCCCGTTTGGAAATCCTGAAAGTGCAACTTCCCGCCCGAGTCGGCCGGGTCGTCCTTCTCCGTCAGCGACGCCGTGAAGTACACCAACTTGGTCAAGGTGCCGCCTATGTCGATACTCATGTGAATGATATCTGAGTTGTGCTGCGGCAAGGCGATGTTTTGGGCGTTCACCAGGTCCGTGGAAGGGCTAATTCCCATCAGACTGAAGCTGTGCTGAAGCTCCTCTTCACTTTCCAGCTCAGACAGCTCAGGAGGCAGCGGCAGAGCACTCGAACTCAGCAGACCATACTGGCCTCTGATCAAGTGGTCATTGGCAATGTAGGCCCCAGACAGTCGATTTTGATGGTGCCTGCGGGCACCGAACCGAAGTCTATGTTGTCGACAAGGAGCTGCTTAACCATAAATGGTTGTTTTTTTGGATTTTCTTGACGGAGTGGTTTTTGGTGAAGTGGTAGCGCGAGAATCTGGGGACGAAAATTTTGTTGGGGCACCCGCACTGCACTATGAGGTAAAGGTTGACGTTGGATATTGCACAAAAGGAAGGGCTGTTTTTTTAGGAATTGCTAGGGCCCGGTGAATTTTGGAATTGTAGAGGCACGTTTCTTTTTTTTTCAAGGAAGTTTAGGCGTTTTGGCCGTTGGAGCGTGGAAACTTGGCACTACCCTACCGCGAGTCGTAGTGGTCCGAGGAACAGTCCGAGGAACAGGCGATACCGGCCAGATGCGTGGACTTGAAAGGCTGGTTTTGGGTGGTTTTTGGAAATCCAACAAAATTGGTTTTGGTGAAATTTTTCAATATCGTTTCTCGTAACTGAAGGCGCCGCGAGTCCGAGGTACCACTACAATGGAGACTGTGACGTACCAAGGCGCCTAGCGGAGATTGGCAAAGGGACGGGTTTTTGTGGTCAAAGTGACACAAATCTGTTTGATCGTTTTTTCTGATTTTTGTAAATCCCTCCTTTTTGTTGCCCCTGGCGGAGTATTTGCTTTCGGTGGATCTTGATAGGCAGAATTACGGGCCTTGGGTGCAAAATTCAGGCCCAGTGCGTCGAGGTCCACAATGGCGCTAAACGAGACGTTCTGGAATGTACGAAGGAGGAAGTGCCGATGTAATTGGAGGACCAGGAAAGTGCTTTTTAAATAGTCCGTTTGATTCTAGCAATTTCCCGTTATTCTGGATTCGATAAGGAACGTGTGGGGTTGCTCGGATGGGCTTCCGAATTTTCCGCAAGCTCAGCGAAGATCCACTTGACAGTCCAAGCCACGATGATCAGCCGTCATTGATTTTTTCTATTTGTCAACTGTTTAGCTTCAGTTTGTTAAGTCACCCCTTTTCGAATTGTTTGTGGGGGACAAGGTTTGGAGATACCCGAGGAGCAGATACAGGGTATTCAGGTCGGTTGCAACCACGGCAGCGATTACATCAGCGGCAGGTCGATCTTTCAAAAAAGCTTATCTCCCATGCGGTTACGCATTTTGTGGGGTGATTCGGGCTGCAAGCCGGCCAATAGAGTTTGCCGTGATTTCAATGCAATAAAATATTTGGCTTCCGGAATAATAAGGAGAATATTGTCTAGAGGGAGGGTTGCATTGCGTCAAGCTTACAAATAATTTCCTGGTGGCTGCAAGAGAATCCGGTGCGGGTATGAGGAGCTCGGAGCGGAGCAGACGGGTATATTTCGGAAGAGGTTATTGTCTTTTGGGAGTTGGAGTTCTGGGTAATCTCCGGATAAGTCTGTGGAGGTGCCTTTCAGTTTGGGGTGGTCGTTGTCGACGGCTGCTTCCTGTTTTGGAAGTATGGACCATGCAGCAGTCCAGCAGCCAGTGAATGCTCTTGAATTGACGATGAACAGGATACCCGAGTTCCTTGCAATTCGACTCATTTGATCTTTTCGGGTCTTTGTTCATGAATAAGTTGAGTATGGAGATCAGAGGGACCCCCACGGCGATCGTTGCATGCTTCGGGGAATGTAATGACTGTGGCTATCGATGTCACTTTGAAAGTGGCAGGTGAAATCGACAAGCAAGCTTCTCTCTGTGTATCTATTTGCTTTTAGCCTGTCGGGTGAATTGCAAGGAGGGCTTTGGCATACTTTTGCTTCGATTGGTAGGGTCTTCCATGGCATCGTAGAATATGGCCATTCAAACTCGTGAAAGCAAACAACATGACCTCTGGTTGTCTTTGATTCTTTGATCATCTCATTGTCTGACCTTCACCATCAGTCCTTCTTCACCTCGCCATTAACCACAACACTGTTCGCCGTTTTCACCCAATCCGTTGCTTTCAACCCCTCGCTCTTCTCATTTCCATTCTTCGACTTGGGCCTCTTATTCCCTCCATTATTTCTACTTTGCCCGTTTCTGCCCTGATCCCCTTCTCTCTTGGACCCTTTCTTCGGCCTCCTGAACCGTTTCTCCTCCTCAGGCACCTGGTACTCCTTCACGGCTTCAACTTCCCTGGATAGCACCTCATCGCTGGGCACTTCGAACCCCAAGTTTTCATGAAAGAACCTAATGAGCCTCCTCAAGTTCCACTTGATGTCTTTCGTCATATCGAGATCTAGTTTCTTGTTCTTGGACTCTGGGTCCTCTTCACGGGCATTGTACGGCCTAAAATCACGGAAAAACAGCCCAACGACCAATCTGAGCATCCGCTCGTCCAGCCCGTCCACACTAGGATGGTTGTTTCCCTGGCTCTAAGTCTGTCTAGCACTATGCCCTTCACTTTGGCAAGAGCTGTTTTGGAATTGACAAAATTGACCACAACAATGTTCACGTCCTTTTCACTTAGAATCTCAAAAAGCTCCTGTCTGTGTCTTTCCATGTGGTTGTTGCGGTCTATAAGAACCACTGGGTGGTTGGATACAGCATGCGATACGGTCAGAAAAAAGTTTCGCTTGTTGTCGATCCTGTCATTCTCTATATGTGTAAGTTGCGGATATATCGCCGTTAGGGCTCTGAAAAGGGTCAGTTTACCGCATCCGATCGTAGATACAGGCACTATTACCCATGTTGGTGCAGACATGGAGTTGTAGAAGTCGCTCGTATTTGATGATACTGCAGAGACCTTTTGCAACCACCCCATCTACACTATTCAAATATTGATATGCTATGACTATGAATGTTGTCTAGAAATCGTAGGTGAACATGATGAACACCTTCTGTTTTTCCAAGACTCTATCAAGCGAAACCACCCGTGCAGTGGTCTCCTTGAGTTTATACTCACCATCCTCAGGATTCTCATACTTAAGGAAAAGCTCCGTAAGGGCGGCGTTCAGTTCTGCGGCTCGGATGGCCTCTGAAACGGTGCCTATGGTGATATGCAAATGCTCGTTGAGCGGGTTGATCTGTGATCTTTCCTTGACGATGTTCTGGTTTTCGTCGGTTTTGTAACCTTGTTCGAGTTTGACCTCGATTGTGACAAGCTTTTCGTCAAAGATGATGGCTCTGGTCAATCTGATGTCGTAGAAGTAGTCCACTGACACCTTCTTGTCCTCGCCCGAGTTCTTTCTGGCCTGGTTCATTCCGAATTGCCGACCCAAGGCCTCCCAATCCGGCTTCTTCTGCTCATAGACATATATGCTATCTTTGTGGCCAAGAGTGACGTGAAATTCTTCCTGAACTCTGCCATTTGTTTGTATCGATTCCCAGGTGGGGTTGTTGGGAAGACTCTTTCTCAAGAGCTCGACCAATGCTTCTCTATCTTCGATGTTAATGCCATAATACTCGGCTCTTTTGCCGTTGTGCGAGTTAACGGGCATTTTTTTCTGAAATGTAGGCTTATATTCTAATGCCTCCTTGTAAGCGGCCTGCCATTCCTCCTCGGTCGGATTACGCTCTTCCTCAAGTTCGGGTACATCCTTGAGGTACTCCCAAATCTGTTTTGCAATCTCCAATGAGTCGTGCTTTGTTATGTCCACATTGATCACTTCATAGAACTTGTCATCAGGGAAAGCAAGTTCATCCTGCTCATACAAAGGCACGATCTCTGCATCCTTCGATTCGCTTTTGTTCTTCAAGTTTGGTTGTTCGAGTCTTCTTACCAAGTCTGAAACAATACGCGACGTTCTGGCCTCCTGTGATGAAGCCTTGATGCTTTGGTGCTCATCACCTCTCTTCATAACTCTCTCAGAGACAATCCTTTCAAATTCTGGACTCTTCTGTGCTGCTCCAAAGTTCACTCCAATGAAGCGAAAGCCAAAATCAGGCAAGATCTTGCCTAGTCTCATCTTCTTGAGCTGATCGATAATCTCTCTTCTTTCCCTTTTCATGGCGTTGTTTCTATCAAGTAGTAAGACTGTCAGCTTCAGAAGACTATCGATACACTCTTCTCTAAATGGCTTTGGTGTTTGGAAGTTATCATTTTGCACATGGCCCCACAGAGGGAAGAGATTCTGAAGCGTTTTGAAAACAGTTGTCTTTCCACTTCCCACGACCGCTATAGGAACAAGAATGTACTTCTTTGCGGTTTCGATGTGGAACGCCTCTAGCCTTTCAACAAGCAACTCAGTGGCTTCAAGCTCGTTCAATGTCAACCCACTTTCTGTGACAATCTCGCTGCTCTCCAAAAACAAGTTTCTGGCCTTGATGATACCCTTATCATTGAGAAACTCCTGCGCTGCCTCCGGGTTCTTCTCGAAGTAATCCTCCACAAAATCAAGATACGCTTTGACAACCAGGGCATACTTTTTTTCACCAAGAGCGATATCCATCTTGGCTTCGGTTTGCTCCACTAGTTTCTTTGTGGCTTCTCTGAGTGTACGGTACAAATCGTAGGGTCTGGTGAATTTGTACTTGAAGAAAAACGGTTCACCCAGCTCCTTCTTCCCCCTTACAACGAAGCCTTCAACCAATCTTCCCTGGTAGCTTCCTGACTTTGATCTCTCTTCTAGAAGCTCCCAGAGCTCTTCAATGCTATCGAAACGCTCAAGATGCACCTTTCTGAAGCCGAACTCGTCCGCCAATTCGAAAACATCCTCCATGGGGTATGTGTAAAAATCACGAGTGTTTGCATTGATTCCGTGCAAGTAAAGACCTGCTAGCTCCTTGGGGTATTCCACGATATGCTCTTCGAATTCGTCATCACAGAGCTCGGCCACAGCAGTCACATTGTGGTCATACAAAACTTTCGCCAACTCTTCAGCTTTCTTGCCTGCCTTCTCTAGATGCTCAAAAACGGCCTTTTCGGCTTGACGGGAGTGTTTGATGTTGCTTTCACGGTTAGGACTTTCGCCAATTGGCTCGCCTGTGACGTGTTTCGAACAAACCACAAGCGTACCGTCTTCAAGTCCTGAGATCAACACAATGCAGCCGTTCTCCTTGGTAGTAACCTCAAAAGGTCCCTTCAACTTCATGATTGCATCCTTCTTGGTATCTTCGACCTCATCCACACTGAAGAATTTGTCGTATCCACGAGCAATAATTGAGCCGTCCTTGGTGAAAACACCACGTGCTCGCAATGGGAGAAGTATGGATTTGTCGGAATAGGCGAACTCGTTGAATTTCCATGAATCGACCTCCTCTTCTCCCTTGGATGTCGTGATTCTGTATGATTTTCGCTGTGCCTTGGCCAATTTGGTTTTCTCAAGGGCAACCTGGAGATCTATGAAAAGATTGCTGATCTCATCCTCCAGGTCCCTTTTTACGGGAAATGAGTCAAGCATTATGGAGTAGTGATGGACCTCCATCGCTTCTGTAGATGTACATCCGTACACCAGTTTGCAGCCATTCGAAGGACAGAACTCTTTTTCGAGTTGTTGATGAATAGTTGGCAAAAGCTGTATGCTTCATTTGTTTATGGTCTCGAACTTGTGGATTTGTCTACATATTTAGGTGTCTTGATGAGCTTCTATCTCACCGAGCAGTATGGTGTATGAATCCAACAGCAAGAGTGTTACTTTGCGTAGCCATAGTGAAATTCGTAATGCTCTTTGAGTTTTGAAAGTTCTAAAAACAATCTATGAAACTAATCTCTGCATAGCCTCTAAATAGTGTCTTTTGGTATAGACTCTGTATAGACTCTGTATAGCCTCCCAGAGGCGTGCGACTATGTTACCTTCATTTCACCACTGAAGCAGCCAAATGTCCAGCAAAATAAAATTTTTCAAATATTTGACTGCCACTATCTATCTTTATTTGTCTCTCCTTTTATTTTCCTCTCTGCCACACGGAAATCATGGGGCTTCCCCGTACAACCTGCATTTGGGCACTATCAACACATCAACCTCACAGCGGCTACTACTACTCCAATGAACGTTGACGTGGATGAGGCCGATGTGGCCGTTCTCACGCAAAACCTAGCTAAATCGAAGGACCTTTTCAATGACATCACCAAGCGTCTCCATTCAATTTCCACAAAAACGTCCCTGGCGTCCACCTCCATCAAACCTGTGTTAACTGAGTTCAATACACTTACATCCAAAAAGCGCTCTGTGGAGGAGGGATTGCTGCTTCTAAAGGGCGTTTCTTCTTACGCTAGCCGTGCGGCCGAATCACAGCGGCTTTTGACGAGTCCCATTGAAACTGTGGGTACGACAAGGTACCTCCAGTGTTTGCTGGATTCTTCTGATTTGGTACGCGAAATGAAGCGGGAAATCCACCATTTCGACAATGTGGTGGTCACTTTTGCCAATGTCGTCGATAAAGCCGAGCTCAATGTTGTGACACACTTCACCAAGTTGGTTTCCTCTGTCGGATTGGGAGGTGCTAATGTGCCCAAACATGCTGATATCAAGACAGTGCTCACATACTTTGCCAGCAAGGGCAATCTCAGAATGGCCCACGAGGCGATGGAGAAGGCGTTTGCTCGTCAGCTCACCCAGAAAATGGCGCCTTTCGAGGACAATTGTGTGTTTCAGAAAAGAGCTGCAAACATGCCGTACGAAAGAGGAAGCAACGGCGTGGCCTCGTACGTTGAGGAGCTAAAAAACGCTGTATCCACTCTTCAAGGTGTTGCTACAGAGCTCCTGGTTTCTGACACCCCGGTCACCAGAAACACCGTGGCTCAGTACATGGACGACAGGGTCGCCAAAATCCTCAGTCTCTATTGCACCTTTTTGGAGCTGAGCGGAGTCACGGGCCAGGATCTTGTTATTCTTGACGTTTTAGATAACATTGCTGATTTGGACAATCACATCGGAAAGGTTGCAAATTGCAACTTGGGCGTGTGTCTGGTAGCTAACAAGGAATACCACCGTCTTCTCAACACCGCCCAAGGCTTGCTCGCAGAATGGGTCAAATACGTCGACAGCAGGGTGCATGCAATGGACAAGTTGACCGACGGCAATATTCCAGAAGTGGTGGTGGAAGTTTTGTCCAAAATAAGGCGTGTCACAGAGTACGATTCTTTGGCGCTTTTGCTCCAGGACATGAAGCTTGGGTCTTGGCTCGATGTCAAGCCGCCTTTACAATTCATTTCAGTCTACACTTCGGTGATCCCCGGTGCTGAAGGCGATGCTCCAGATCGTCAAGCCTTCTTGGTTTCGTCCTACATTCTGGACCTCTTGGACGAGCTCATGATTGATCTTGAGATACGCCTCAAAGACCAATCTGGTGACAATGGTCTCCGGAAGCTGACACAGGGTTTCATGCTTGTGAGGAACGTTGTAATGATCGAAACCATCATAAACCGACTGGAAGGATTGTACACCAAGCTTGGGGTCATTGGTCAAGAGCGTCTTCAGCGTTTGAAAAACCGTTTCCTCAAGCTCTTCTTGGACGACTGGAATTACGCCTCGTACATCATCATCAGGGACATGACACAAATCACAACCATCAACGCCCAACACGGCGGCCAAAACAGTAACAAGGAGCGCGAGCAAGTCAAGGAGCTCTTCAAGAACTTCAACGAGCTGTTTGAAGAAGCACTCAAGAACTACGAGAAATTCAACATTCAAGAAAGGGACTTGCGGGCTTATCTCTCCAGCGAGATCAAAAAGCTCATTATCAATGCATACAACAAGTTGTACGATAAGTATGGCAGTGGAGAGTTTACCAAGAACCGAGGGAAATACATCAAGTACGACAAGGCCCAGTTTGAGCGAATCTTGAACGAGCGGCTTTAGGGAAAGCCGAAGGGCAAATCCAAGCGACGTGTTATCTAAAGCATCAGTCCGAGCCGGAATGCCTAGCTGGTAAAATGGCTGCAAATTACAGTTTAGCTATCCGAGATGACGGAAGCTATCCGAGATGACGGAAGCTATCCGAGGTTCCGAGATGGCGTCCAGGCGGCAGGTGATGTGGTTATGTGCAGTCTTTGACTGGCTGCATTTGCGGCTCACACGTTCGCTGTCGGTTCGGAAGGCAGCGTCAGGGTTCGGAAGCCGCCAACTCTTGGCTCTAGTCTATGCACAATACCAAGGTCTCGGCATTTGCCATGCTAACTGCGATATCTCCCTTGTACAGGGTCTGCTGTGCAGAGACGCCCTCCCCTAAGCCACCGTCCCACATTAGAGTGGCAGAGGGCCTCGGCGAGTGATGCTAAGGATATTGAAGAGCCAAGAACGGCAAAGGTATTCCTTTTTGCAAGAAACACACAAGACTTTTGATTGTTGCAAGAAAAAAACATGACGATGCCCAGATGACAACTGCCAAGCTGCGCCGGTACCTCCGACAAGACAGGTGTCACGAACGGACTCTTGGCTCTGGGGCGCGCTGCCAAGTTTGTGTGGTGAAATTGACGTGGAAAGCTGTCGGTGGGCAAGGCGCATTTCGGGTACCTGCACATGGCCCGCCTCTCGCACTGTGGGGGCATTATTGTTGCTGCACTCTAGACTATTTTGAAAGCTCTCGAGCTTTGACACATCCGACTTCCGAGGGTGAGAACAAGCGCGCAGCTGGTTCGGCTAATTGAAAGTGGAAGACCTCTGGTGGGTGCTTGGCATTGGTGTCAAGAAAACACGCCAGAACAAATAAAATATAAACAAGCTTTCTTGGATTTCTTTTGCAAAGCTGTCTCAGAAATTTCTTATTTTTCTATTTTCATGGCTTGAGTTTGCCCGCGGCGGCTTTACTTCACGGGCGTTGCCGATTCCGCTTTCGCCCCATGGTGCTGACAGCACGATACCTATAGCTGTGCATATGTCACAATTTAGACTTAGAAGGTTTGGGCCCAGGCCTGCAGCCAAGCCTCGTGCGACTTCCCCTTTTAGGGTTCGGCACATAAGCGTGGCGGCATCTGTCAAATGTGCCAAGGAGGCTGAACGTGACCCAGGGTCCCGCGTCTCAAGCGTTCCTTGCCGTATCGGGGCGGCTTCGCTTAGAGAAAAATCAGATAAGTTTCCGGATGCTAAAAGAACAAGATTTGGATGTTTTTAAAGCCGACGGAGTGAAACAAGTGGTGCTCCGTCTCGAAACGGAGCGAGGCGCTTGGCATCATGCAATTTCCGAGGGTCAAGAAATTTCGCTGCATGTGTGCATATCACTTTCTTGGCATTCACAAGTTTGACACCTTGACACTTTGACATTTGCTTGGCTCATTTTTACGAAGCATCCGGCAGCTGCGCCTCTTCCGAGATAATCTCGGCAACACGACATACTGGTGGGTTTTTTTCCGGAACAACGGCCTAACTTTTTCTTGTGTTGAGGATTTCGGTGCCCTGGACCTGTTGACCTGTCACCAGGGGCACGCTGGAAAAAATAGTAGGTTCGCGAGATCGAGAGGATCTGCATGGACTGCTACTATGCACTATGCGCAGGCGCTGCGGGTGTTTCCAGACAGATCTGCATGCTGCATAACGATCTCCAAGAAATTTTGCCTCAGCAATCATGTCTTAACAAATTGAACCAGTTTCTTGTCATGATTATAAAAGAGGCGCGATATCCCCCGCTTGGTTCGCCAGTCTAACGTAAGGACTTTTTTGCATACCAGATTTTTTTCCCATTTGACACACATCAACGCATTTGTACTTGAACCCCCCACACATTAATAGCCACCATGATGAACAACAGAGTCACCTTGCCTCCTATCTCGGACATTTTCACAAACAAGAATGTCGGCTCTGTGCCTCAACAACCAGCTTTTGCTCCATACCACAGACCCATGCCAGCACCTGGTCCAGGCCCTCACGCCTCGCCTTATCCAGCCATGCCTGTCTACCTGTACCAGTACATGTACAACTCGCCTCCACAACACCACCACTCTCCTTACGGCACTGCTTCTTATACCCCATACGCCGTGGCTCCCGCCGCCGGCTCCCAGCATAGCGAGGCTGCTCCCCAGGGATCCTTGCCGCTTTTGCACAGAAACCTGAATTCCAGCGACCGTCGTCCTTCGGTGGCGCTGCCCACATCTCCAGGATCGCCACTGTCAAAAGCGCTGACTCCCGAAGCCAGCGGCTTGGCTACGCGGGCCAGAACTAGAAACAACTTGCCCAAGGAAACCACCTACATCTTGTTGAAGTGGTTGAACGACCACTTGAACCACCCTTACCCCAACTCGTTCGAAAAGACGCAGTTGATGATGACGACGGGCCTCAACCAGCAGCAGTTGAGCAACTGGTTTATCAACGCCAGAAGAAGAAAGATCAAGGTTTTGCGCCAGAAACAGAAGCTGGCCTCCGCCTAAACAGGACCCTCCCTAGCTTAGCTCACGACACGCATCGGGCGCCAGCAGGGCCGGATCCGGCTGGGCCCTCTCTATGTATATTACGGTAATGGAACGGATACGACTATTTTACACGGTGTAGTTTGTGACACGGAACAGCCCCTAAAAGTTAGTTCCGATCCGCTGACAGGCGCGGCTTCGCGTGTGTCACTGCAGGGTCACGTGACCTCCGTCCTGCCGGTCGATGTCAAAGAAATTTTCGTACAGGCCGAGGACGGCGTCCTGCACGTCCTGCATGTTCTGCATGTTCTGCATGTGCCTTGTCTGCCTCGCCGTCCACCGCTATCACAGCACAGTGTGCAAACGGCGGTAGCAACAAATAGGGGACATTGTGGGTGTATGGAGAAGGCCGCTCATAATATAGGGGTGTTAGGCGGGCGATTGTATGCAGGCCCGGCGTTTATGTTCCGGCACGGGCTCGTAAATAATTCAGCGCCCGCAGGACGGAGTGGAAACGGAACCAGCGGCCCAGGGCGGAAAGGACGGGGCAAGGACTTGTCGTCATGGCTTACGGAGAGATGTTGTAAAAATGCTCAAACTAAGGAGGTATTTACTAACTTTCGGTCTTTTCGGCTGGACGTCGGTCCTTTCGGCTGAACGTTAAGGTTGAAGTTTAAAAAGCCCGAGCGTGCTGTAAAGGGTGTCAACTGGTTATGAGCCAGAGGGTTCCGTCCAAGTCATGGCCAGCTATTAGCAGTATCCACTAACAAAAATTCGAAACTCTAATTAAATGCCCTTTTGGTGTTTCCCCAGACTGGCCTGCTACGCATCATGACGGCTGCGAAATTGGATTCCACGCATCTGCAACGGTTACCGTCGGATGCCCCATTTGGAAGCGACGTTTTCTTGACTTTCAGCCAAGGCCACTTCCGCCAATCGGTGGTATTCCCAACGAGGGTTGCCGACGAGATTGACAAGTGTGTCAATTTGGATTCCGAGAAGAGAGGGTCTGGATGTGGATGATTGGGTTTGGAGGCATGTGTTTGAAGGCATGGATTGTAGGGTTTCGGGAAGGCATGGAGCCTGGGTATTGGGTTGGCCTGGTAAGTGGCTTCTGTAGAACGCTACTAATTATGTCAGAGGCTTTTCTTTTTTTATGAAAAATTCATCAAGTGGACACCGAAGACCTTTGGTATTCTATCGAGGAAAATAGGAGTCGATTGGAGCCTTGGGGTTCACGTCATTACGCTACGCTACAGCTTGGCATGTAAGAACCCACCAACTACCACCTCACGATGTCACCATAATTCCAAACCCATAATTCCAAACCCACAATCCCATCAGCCAAACCTCAAGCCATAAATCACAATCTCTTCACAATCGAAACCTTCTTCAGGGTCCGCTGATCCCACCGATCAGGCGGTGCGGTGCTGGTATGGATCGGATGTCGATCGGACTTTAGAGTCTGGGGAGGCAGGGTGGTGCACACGTTCCGATGGAGTGATGTATGGAAACGCCTTGTCCAGGATCGGGTGACGGCAGATGTGCCTATGGTGTGGTTTCGGTGATCTCGGAGTGGCCTCATTGCGGACATATCGCCAGTTCGGTGATTTCGGTGGATGAGGGAATACGAGGAAGTAAGCAGGGAGCGGGTGGATTTCTCTATTTTCTATCAGTTTTTCTTGATGTTTCGGTTTTGAATATGTTCTGGAAATGGACGTCGTTCTGAGATGGTGGTGGCCATCGGTTAGCACCGTAGGGACTATCGTTTGGGTGCAAAAAAAAAGATTTTGGCCTGAAGCTGACAAATGTCTGTGAAACTCTCAAACGGTTGGTCTAAAGCCAAGACGAATCAAGAATAGAAGCTCTAGGTTGGAAATGAGGATCAGCTAGGTACCAGTCCATCACTACTTCCAGGTATTCAACTACACCACAACCACTCCTTCTATCAAATTCACTGAGTGTCAAAATCAACCCCTCTACAAGAAATGCTTCTCTTAGAAAAGCCTATTTCAATCCTCTTAAAACCCCAATGTACCCTCCACCAGTACCACCTCCATCTACAATCTTCACCATCCCACTAAATCAAATGGCTGCCCTTCCACCGCAAACTTCTCCGTTTCGACCAACCCCTATTCGGTCCACTCTACGTCATCTCGCCCACTTCCCTGGCATACCCATTTCCCTATTGTGCTCAGAGACGCTTCAACAAATGCTTAACACTTGTTCCCTCGCCTTGCCCAGCCTGAACTACACAATGATGCCATGACAAGCACAACCAGACGGCTGCCAAAATGATTCCCACAGGTGCATTGTTCCTCGAAGCTTGGAAGCTCCATTGAGGCCAAGAGCCAAGCCAGTCAAGGAAGCCACCCAGGTCACATGAAAAAGTGGAAACGCTTTTGACAGAAATGGGAATTTCCAGGGATGGGCCGTTTTGTGATTCTCTGGCCGACCCCATATTTCAAGTATAGCCCAAGCGCAAAATAGGTTAGGTGCCTTAGCGGTGTCAAAATTAGGGGTCTTCCTCACATGAGCCAAGGTTCAGGCTTCTCTGTCACAATGAACCGGAAGTCAGAAACAAAGCCGCCTTCATGTCCTTGGCTTGCTCTTGGCCAGGGCCTGATTTGTGTCAGACTCTCGTATGCCCAGATTGTCAATTGTGTCGAGGTTTTGTGGAACTGGCTACGGATTTAGAGGTTACAGATTTCTGAAACGAGCCAATTGTAAAACGCTGGTACGTTCCTGAGGCTTTCCCGATAGTGTAGCAGCTTTGGGGTTGTGTGTGTTTTTGTGTAACTGTGGGTATTAGCCGTGGTGCTGAAGGAGGATTCGTGGGTTTTGCGCTCCGTGATCGACGGTTTTTCACAACTCAACGTGGGTCTTTCAAAAACTCCATTTGGTGCTTTTTGTGATTTTGGTATTTTGCTCGTAACGCCCCACTCTGCTTATGCCTGGTGCAATTGCCTAAATCTTCCGAGGCACCCTGATAAGACATAGCCGAGACACCGTATTGAGTTTCGAGGGTGCCTTTAACCACCTTGCATCGTCACTGTGTCCCCTACAAAGCTGAAACTGATATGGCGTGTGGTTTGCGTTCTGCCGCAATGCTGGTTGATAAGGTCACACAGTGGCATTTGTAAGCAGCGTGAAACGTAGGCTGAAACGCAGGCTGAAGGAGACTGAAACAGGAGCGTGATTTCGAAACGTGGGCATTTACGAGAAGCCCACGCCGTAGATGCTCAGCAAGCTAAACGTAGGGAACCACCTCAGATTGAAGCTGGTTCCGGCTGCTTTGTGGTATCTGACTAAGGCGTGCTTGCATGTCAGGGCGTCCATCGGAGCCGGATTGGGACGGTTCCAGACGGTGTTTCAGTTTGGTTGAATAAAGCACACCTGCTGTGGGTGTATCAGGGTGAAACGATTGCGGACTTTGAAGTGTTACTGGGGGGTCTGGATCCAAAGCGGCGGCTAAGATGATGACCAGTGCTTGGGCGTCATTGGCTCATCCCCGGCTTTATACTGATTTCTGGAAGGGTGATAGCTTAGGTGACTTCTGTTGGTGTAAATGGAGTGTCAGCCTGCCAATGCTTGAGAGGTGTTCTTCTGTAAGGGTGGTGTTTTTTGACTAAGAGAAAATTGACGATGTCTACAGCAGAAGCATTTTTAGCTCGTACCAGCAGACTTAAAATCGTGTCTGATTGGGTTGGATAAGCTATCGTCGAAATCCATGTTGAGAGGTCATCTCGAAAATGTTTGCCCACCCCTTTTGCCAACCCAGGGAGCTTTACTATTTCTGAAAGATCATAATCAAATCGACTTCCCCGTCTTGTTACGGCGCTACTAGCCACATCGCTTGAACATTCGCTATACATTCCTACTTCCACTACGAGCTCTAGAAACCTCTCAGTATCCGACTACAAATCTTCTACCTCGGCGTCCAACATGAACAAATGTCTAATCTCCCTAAAATTACTCCTCCTCTCTTACTTTTGTGCTCCATTCGCTTGCTCATGAAACCCTCCAAATGGCTGCAAAGTGCACCGCATTCTCCACAATCCCAAGTCACCATCAACAAACCCCACCAAGCCTTCAAATTGAAAAAGATTAAAACACGTCCTTTCAACCTTTCAATCTGATATCTCCGCCACCATCAAAAAAAAATTCTCTAGATATTTCACTTCCTCCCAAAAACCCACACATTCTTCACCACCTCGTCTATTTTCCACCTCATGCGCGACTGTTTACCTTTCAGATCCAACACCATGTCTACAGCAGATGCGTTGATCGCCGTGGCCAGCACTATCCTCTCACGTGCTGAGGGCCTCCTGATGACGGAGATGAATAAAAAAGGAAGAAAGTTCAAATACGTGAACGACGCTTTCCAGAGAGTTCAGGAAGAAGACAAGCACTTGATCATCCACCCACAAGACCTTGACGAGGGTCTCTCCACGATTCTGGCTTTTGCTATTTTGCAGAGTATAGATGAAACGCTTTTTGAGAGGTTTCCCGACGTCTGCTTGGCGATCGTGGGTGCAGCTGGTGAGATAGAGAGAAACGGCTGGTACGAGGAAGAACACTCCTCTGTGATTCCATACAAACAGCTGAAATTCACCTACACGTCTGAAACAAGACAGCAGGCCATGGACTTTGCTAAAGGTGTGAAAGAAGAACATTTGCAGCATGCTGTTGTCGTTTTGTATTGCGCTAAGCTCTGTTTCTTCCATACAGATCACCACATTGGCAATAAGCTAGACGATCCATACATGAGAGAGTATGTGGAACAGAATTTTGGAGAAGAGGCTGCGCAGCTGCCCGAAGTGATTCTGGCGTTGAAATCCTTCGTCCACTGGGCCAACATCAAGGGTATTCTCTGGAAGTTGAAGGTGCCTCATTTGGACATTGACGAGGCCTTGAGAAACAAGTTCTCAAGCTTTCCTGACCCACCTGAGGAATTATACGACGTGGTCTACAAAAGATACCCCAGCGGAACTTCCAAGTACCTGCTCATCCGGAAGTCGCTCGACATTATGGCCGACTACGACTATGCCAAGGTCATTCCGTTCCCTGAAGGACCCGAGTACGATCTTCACTGGATCTACGATCTCTGCCACAAGATCGAGTCGGATCCCATCAGGTACCATCTTCGTGCATCGCTGAAGCGCTTGTGTACGAATCCTGTGAACCTCAACGACTTGTCGAAGGAGCACAAATCACAAATCCAGACATTGCTCTCGTTAGTCAGCATTGTGCTCAATGTGTTCAGAATCGAGGAGGGCGAGACGCTTCTTCTGAACCTGAAGATTCCGCAGTTTGGCGACGACTTGATCGACGAGTATGAGGAGTATTATTACAAGCTTGTGGACGTTTTGACCAAGATCGATGAGTACCTCAGTAAGGGCTGGGGCGCCGACGATATCGTGTTGAGATTGTACAACAGCAACACGAGAAACATTCATGATGAAGTGAACCACATGAGGGACGCTTTCTCCGAGGACTACGAGTAAGTCTGATGCCTTCATCAGATCACGATCACAGCTGAGCGGCTTATTCCGCTCCCGACATGAACAGTCTTTTACACCACCCAGGTACTTCCTTCCTGAGACGTGGCATTATCCTATCAATTTCCAGATGCCGAGTCTACGGCTGCGTTCGTTCCCCACAAGGTCATTACCATGATCTACAATCACGCGTTGATGTTGCAATCACCAACGACATCAGAAACACTCACTGGACAATCACCCAAAAAAAAAAAAACTAACTCCCCCTAAACTATACCACACTTATGCAAGCAATATAACGATATTTATTCCCACGTTGCACGGTCGCATGCAACCATTTCCAAGGTTCTCACCCAACACACACTTTCCTTCCTGCGGACCCATGGCTGCAACCGTGACTTTGACAGGGTCCATCAACCCCACATTTCCCCACCATACTCCGAATTCCAACCTTCACGAAACTCGCTAAATTCTAATTTCAACAAAACGCCCTGCGGAATCCATGACTTTTTTCGGTGTCCCCTCCATCAGTAGCTTATTCGAATATCCCACGATTCCGCGACCCGCCGATAGCCGCGAGTGTCGGTCACTGCGCTAACTGCCTTTTTGGGTCCAGCCTCTTCGCGCCCTCCTACCGTTAGATGCTATTGTCTCTACATCCTGCCGTTAGAGTTAGTGTCTGACAAGCTTGTCCTAACTCCTCCTGTGGCTCCTCAATCGTTATATAATTACAACTTTCCTCGCTCCATTCCTTTCCAATCGAAATGCCTCACAACGCACAAGAATACTACCTTGACAGGCTCCACGACCTGCCCTCTATCAACCACACTAGAACAAAGAATGCTCAAGCATGGAAGAATCTCTTGGCTGAGCAAGAATATGTCGAGAGAGAGTTCCTTCTTTCCAAGGCCAAGATCACATCCTCGAAGGTAAACCGTCTTTGTGTGTTTGCCTTGAAGAAAAGGGACTCTGACACTGTTGTCAGCTCCATGGAGGTGTTGATCAGGCAGGCCTGGCGCTTCAAGATGGAGGATGGCTCTGTTTCGATGATCCCAGTGTTGAGTGGCTGCATTGGCGCCGTCTACACTTACCCAGAGTACAGGGGCAATGGGTTTGCCGCCTTGATGGTGAGCAAGTTCATGGAGGAGATGAGAAGAGATGAGTACCTCGGTACTGGTGGCTTCACGTTCCTTTACTCCGAGATTGGCGAGTACTACGCTAACCATGGTTTTAAATCGTTTGGTGTGCCAATTGCCAAGATCCCTCTTCAACCATCTACACAGTTCAAACTCCCTCAAGGTGCCTCCCTCGTGGAGTACCACAACTTTGAGTACCTCTTTGCCCATTATAGAGACCACTTTGCTTCTGAAATGAGCGCCAAGGTTAGTCAGGACGGCATTGAGCGTATCACTGTGGTGCCCACTGCTGACTTCGTGGACTGGTTCCACTTGCGGGCCAAGTTCCTTTCCACGCGGATCTTCGGCTCTAAAGGCACCAACTTTGACGTCTGGACCGACTCTTACGAGCACATTGTGGGCAAATTGCAAGACGTTACACCTAAATACTTTGGCTTGCGCCTTGACTGCCCCACTTCAGGCAAGCTTATCGGCTTCATTGTGTGGACATACGACTACGACTACTCCAAGGAAGACGAGCACTTCCACAACCACGCAACGGTGCTTAAGATTCATGTGAACACCCCAGCGTTTGATAGAGATACATATACTTTGCAGCTTCTTGAGCTCGCCAAGCAGTACTTAGAACTGCCCCATGAGGAAGAACCCTTAAAGAATTTCACTCAGTTGATCGTGTGGGAATCAGAGCTCTCTGAGCATGTACAGCACGAGCTTGTCAAGAAACACGGTGCCGACTTGCACTTAGATAACTCTTCTAGAAGTGCTATCATGTACAACAACGATGCTGACGACGAGAAGTTGAAGCTGGGCCAAATGGTTTGGGAGAACAACACAAAGCTTCCCTGGTTTTAGCTTTGGATAAGTAAATTATTGCACAAATGTAATTTTGTCAGTGTTAGGTCCACGAGAATTTGCAACCAAACGAGCAGAATTCAACTCTGCACCCGTACACCACCAGTAGATGTATGGGGATTTTTGCCATTTGTAACTTAACATAACATTTCTGGTAGTTCTGATGCCTGTATCTTGGCTCTTTTTCCGTAAGTAAGCAGAATGTATCCCCATAATTTTAAAAGTTGTATTGTACACACATCATGAATCATGCAATGGGTGATTTTGTGACAATTGTAGAACCGGGGGTTCTATTGGCGGGTCTAGAATTAGCATGGTGAAATATTCATTACGATTATATCGAAAAATTGATTTCCTATCCCAAAAATGGCAGAATAGCTATTTTCTTTCTAGGTCTGTTTTTATATTCTGAACAACATTAGCTTTTTGGGTGCGAAATTACAGATTCATCCCTAGTTCTAGGTAATGCCATTAGAAGGACTTCACAAAAATATTAAAAAAAGTCCCAATTCAAAAAAAATTGACTTGCTTTTCCTTTGACTGAAGACTCGCTAAAACGAATTCTGTTAGAAGTTGGACTGATTTTTTATCTTGATGCTGCCATTGATAGGCGGCATTTCTTCTAACTCTACCGGGCCACACTCAAGCTATGACAATTATGAAAACACCAAGTTCAAACCATATGGACTTTTCAAAGAATAAAAGAATCGTAATTCTTTGGCTGCAATTTACATGGTAAACACCTTATGTCTTGACTTTTTCATGATGCACACGTGACCAACATACAAGAGGGAATCTTCAGGAAGCTACAACTACAACATGGAGCTTCTTCCCGAGGGCCAACAGAACGCCGTGGAGGTGTTGTGGGAGGACCAGCAGAAAATCAACAAGTTTTCGTCGCTCATATACAAAAAAGACGCATTGAATGAACGCCTTGAAAAGTTCAAGACAGAGAAGGAGTACATCGACGATTTGGCGTTGGAAATTGAGCTTTTAGACGAGGATGAGAAAATCCAGTACAAGATTGGCGATGCATTTGTTTTCTTGAAAGTTGATGCTGCCGTTGAAGCCATCAATAAGCAAAACGAGTCGTTGGACGGCCTGATAGAGAAATTGTCGGACGAGATCGACGAAATCGAAGAGCAGCTAGCGCAGTACAAAAAAGACCTCTATGCCAAATTCGGCAACAACATCCAGCTCGAGCGCTGATATTACGTATGTACATTTCCTTCCCAAAATATAATTACTCCAGATCACTCTCCTCCTCGTAGTCAGGCATCATGTCCTGAAGCATCCTGGCTTCTTGATCACTGGGTTTTGCTTTTTTCGCCACCAGCTCCTCGGCTTCCGAAGGTCGTCTCTTTTCCTGCTTGGGCAGCGACCCTGGCGATGCCCTGTGTGGTGGGTGCTGGTGATGTTGTGATGGAGGTGGTGCATGATGGTGAGCCTGCTTGGCCTTTTGAGCCCGCTCGTATTCTCGCCTCTTCCAGGACTTCTCAATTCCCGGGCAAGCGTCTTTGAGTTCCTGCTCGGAAACACCGTCAGCTATACTATGGAGGATTTTTTCGACAACGGAGAAATGGTTTCCGTTGGACTTGTCGTTACGGAACCGAAGCATCTCCCAAAATGGCGGTTTCAGGATCTTCTTTCGGCACTCCACAATCCGTCCTTGCAAGGGCTCGTTGAGCTCTTTTAGCTGTTCCCAGTCCTCATCAAGTAGGTCAAGCTGAGCAAACTCTTCGTACTCTTTGGCGCCTTTCCACACACTCAATTTGAGCTCCTCGGGTTTGCTGTCATAGTCCGTGTATGTGGAGTCCGGATCACGCGGGTCCATATCCGGGTCTTGGTACTGTTTGAAAACCATGTTCATCTTGAAGTCTATCGAGTTTTCATGAGCAGGCTTCCACTTTAATAGCGTAGCGTCGGTGCCGAAGATGTATGGGGTCTCGGCACAGGTAAAGATAAGGCCATCCGACTCGTGAAATAGCTGGTCTTGCATCGACAACACCCGGTTTGCTCTGTACGACAGCTGCATCATCTTGAAGCTGACCTTGAATGGGAAATCCGCAGCGTTTACAATCTCCGGATGACGAGCCTTGAAGCTATCAAAAGGCTTCATAACATGTTCTGTGATATAGCCCAAACGCTTAGGTAGAGGTCTGTTGGTGACGTCTTTTTCGTTGACAACTAGAGCATCAAAAATGCAGTATCGAAGAAATGGCTCCAGGACATTTTTTGTTTCCAATACAAGCTCGCCGTCTAGAAGAGTGCCATGGTGGAAAGTCTCTCCGTTCTCTTCCTTCACTTCAGAGGGAAAATGAATCCCCGGAATGTGGTAAAACTCATTTTCTCGTGTCACTAGAAACACTCCTTCGCCTCTGGCATTGTCATGCACTAGGAAGAGTAAACAACGCAATCCGTCAGATTTTTCACAGACAAAGTAATCTCTATTCTTCAATACCTCGAGGTGATGTCTTTCAAACGACACGGGCTGGGAACCCGGGAACTGTGTATTTCTTCGTTTGAGAAGGTCTGCGAGCATGAGCCTCAACTCATGAAGTTCCTCGCCGACCAACTTCGTGCCAGGAATCACCGGCATGTCCCGGTCACCAAGCTGAAGCATGATGGATTTGAACGAAAGGCTTGGATTAAATGCAGCCAGCTAATGGCAATAAGATGATGTTGTTGATGAAGAAACGAGCCTGCTGAAAGAACGGTGAATGCACGTGACCAAAAACCAGCTACACCCTCACCACAAAATTTCGCTCAAAGTGATCATGGACCTTTCCACGTTTGGAGCCTCAGGTTGCTTGTACACCTGCAGAATGTGGTCCAGGGGGTCTTGAAGTCCAAAATGCTCAGCTCTGATTGGCTCGTTGAGCTCTTTAGCGAGTTGGTCCCCTTCAAGCTCAGATTGGTCCCTGTCAGGGTCGTCGTGAAGGTGGCAGTTGCGGCAAATTACAGCACCGGGATTCTTTGAAGAAGGCCACCATTTCGGCGAAGCGCCAATTTTGCAACTATCGCACGAAAGTTCCTTTCTCTCCTTCTCCTTCTCCTTTTCTTTTCTGTACTCTGTAGGTGCTCTGAATTTTGCAGCCATTTCCTCCTCTGTCTCGCTGAATTTTTCAACCATCTTCATGTAGTTTTGTGCCTTGAGTTGAGGTCCCGTACACCTGGAATTTGTAAGTCTGGCAATGTCCTCGATGAACAACAGCATCAAAGGTTTGAGTTCACCATTGAGCGTCCTTTTACCCAATGTTCTCATGTTATGGATTGCACCTCTTTGATCGTGTCTAGGGCAAAGAAGAACAGGTTCCAACTTGCCTACCTCGTCTCCAATGTATGTGTTGGTGTTGGATTTGGAGATCTTCTGAGGCACAAGCTTGAAGCCAAGCTTGAAGTTGTTGGTGTCCTGGGCACAGGTTATGTGGAATTTCTCGTCCAGGTCTTTGCAGCCATCACACAGTATCATAGCTCCACTAAGCGACTTACAGATGCTGCATCGGCTGGTGTAGTTCTCCAAAAACACATTGGATACACTTTCGACAGCACAACCCAATTGCTTCGTGCTCGTGGAATTTAAGATTTCCTTAGACACGAATGAAGGAGTTGAAACATTTCGGAACGAGATGTGATTGTGCGAGAACAACGCACAGAGTAGGTGCACCCACTTTCCTGAGTCAAGTACCGGCATGAGATAGTCAGGCTTCACCAATGGCGAACCCAAGATCGACATCTCGTGATTCAGCTCATTTGCAAGACAAAGACAGCAAGAGTAAGTCGTGGTATAATGAGGACTAAGATCATTCACGCAAGCATCACAAAGCCATTGCTTCACAGGTTTTTGCTTGCCTGAAATGCCGATTCCAGCACAAGATGCATGAACATTGACACCACAATTGGAACAAATCAACATCTCGAGCAAAGAGTCATCCTTGTCGTCATACTCCATGCAAACACAGCAGTTTCTGTCATTCACAGAGAATGGAAGCTCAATGTTGGCCTGAGATGGGGCCTGGAATGCTTGCATGAGCAGCTTGAGGTCAACCAATTGACGGCTTTTGAATGTCGTGATGAGCTCGTGGAGCATCTTTTCATCAAGCTTGGAGTACAGTTTTTTATCAACTTTGACAAGAGGGCCCGCGGAGGCCGAGACTCTGTAGTCCGAATTGAGAATTGGACTGGCCACCACAGATTCGGATGAAGATGCACGTTTTTGTCTCTTCTGTTTTGGTGGCTGAACGGATGCATCCTTCTCCTTGGTTTCTTGTTGAGTCCTCTTTTTGTTTGCCGCTGTTGTGATCGTCTTTTTACCATCAAGCTTCTCTTTTTGTGGCGCCACTGAGTCCTCCTTGCTATCTTCTTTAACAGGGGACTTCTTTCTTGGCTTTGGTTTGGTTTCAGTCTTTGCAACACCATTGGTAGATGTGAGAGGCTTGCGCTTTTTCTCAGGAGGCTCCTCTTGCTTCAACTTAGTGTCTGCTCTGCCATTAGCACGCTTTGTTGTGGCAGGAGCAGCCTTCGTGCCATTATTGGAAACCTTTGTAGACACTGCTGTTGACTTTGGAGCCCTAGGTTTTGCAGCTGCTCTAGGCAACACTATATCAGGTAGTGTCGTTGGAGAAGGAACAGTGACATTAGCAATTGCAGCCACTCGTTTCGAGTAGCCATTCTGTTCTGGCTCAGTTTTCACCATTGGAGTATTGAGAAGCAAGACTGAACTCTCGCCTGGTCTAAGGTTTTCAGGATCATATGAAAGACCTCCGCCTTCCATTTGAGCTTTCGTCAATATTCTTTCAGCATCAGCAACCAACTCAGCCTCCACTTTCTTTTTGTATCCTCCTATGCCTCTGGTGTTCCTCCGTTCAACCTCATGAGGGTCTTCCCAGTAAACAGCGTAACGTCTCCAAAGTTTAGCGCAACGGAAACATAAACCGTGAACGGCTTCAGGATCAATGTCGTCCGCCTCTATGCTTTCGTCGTACTTGGTGTTCTCATCAAAACCAGTGATGCGGAACCATTGTGTGGATCTGTAAGTCTTACAATGCTTGCAGCGGAACTTACGCCTTTTGACCACGATCTTCTCGTTTTCGTACGAAGAATCGTCATCGCTGTCGATCATGTGGTCCATCTCCTTCGCTGGTTTCTCCTCCTTTGTAGAGCTCAGCTTCTTCTTTCTACCAGGGAAATTGCCCCAAATCTGACGACCTCTCGGACTCTTCTTCCACAAGTAGTAGAATCTCACGACCATTGAGCAGGGTTGGGACTTCACGAGCTTGTATGTGGGGTAGAGCTCACTACCATTCTTTTTGACACCGTTTTCAAAACGCTTGACTTCTTCAGCTGAGAAAGTGGGTTCCTTGAGAGTGGCTCTAGTAAGTTGAGAGACTCTCTCCACTGCAACCACAGCATCACCCATGCACTCCAACCAAATTTTTAAGATTGCGTCCACGAAGTTTGGAGAGGTTGGGTACATGTTGAGTCGCTGGGCAATGGGGTTGCAGGCCCTCACGTAGTCGTCAAAAGTGGCAAAGTTATCTGCAACATCTTCTTCTCTATTTTTCCATAGAAGTGTGCAAGTTTCTCCATCACCATCATCGACACCACGTTCGACATAGCCCTTAGGCCGAGGTTGAAGCCACTGAGGGTACTCTTTGGGAGGCACGTCCTCAAACTCTTTCGGAAGCGGTAGACTCTTGGTTTCCTCCTCCACTGTTTTCTTCTTGGCCCCTCTTTTCCCTGGAGCCTTCTTTTTGCCATTTTCAGCGGCTTTCGGGTTATCATAGTACACTATGGGGTGGTCGATGTACTCTGGAACGTTTGAGGCTTGATATTTTGGTCCCAAACTTGTGGATGCTCTGGGGTACGGAGAACGGTCATCGAGATCGACAGCGTCCTCAAGACGTGTGTGAATACCCAAGTAGCGCATGCTCCATTCCTCCTTGAGCCTTCTGTCTTCTACAGACAAATCGGCGTCGTTGTCCAAGAAGTCCTTGGCCATCACCTCGTATTTAGGTAGGGATACCTCAGGCGACTTTCTCGGCGTTTCCACTGGCTCCTCGGGAGATGAAGGGATGTGGTCGCTCATTTCGGAGATTTCCTTCTCGTTCGACGACCTGTTGTCGTGAGAAAGCATCACCATCTTTTTGCTCTGGTACTCGAGCTCGTGTTTCTTCGTACAAAGCGCACAAGACCAACTGAAGCCTCGGCTGGGTTTCTTTAGAAGCGGAGGATCAAGACAGAGCATGTGGAAGTGCTTCTCGCAACCAGCACAGGTGACCAGCTCGTTGGGAGCACACCATTCAGAACAAACGTCACAATGCGAGCTCAGGTTGGACTCAAAGTTAGCGATGAACTGCTTGCTCCGCGAAGGCTCCATGAAGATGAACTCAAAGCGCTTGTTGAGTGCAAGGATGTAGTTCTGACTGTTGTTGGCGGTGTTGCTGACGTACTGGAGAAGCAGCGACGTTTTGATGATATCGTAAAATTTGATCATGTAGCGGTCAAACAACTTGTCAAAGTAGAAGCAGTTTGGAATCAGGCAGTAGGCCTCAAGCGGCAGCATGGGTGTACCTTCTCTGGCGAGTTTCGGAGTGGTATCAATCTCCAGCTTGTGTTTCACCGTCACGACGCCCTGAAGCTCTGCAACGGACACGTATCGCTGTGCATGGAGGCGTATAAAAGACGAGAGTCCAGCGTATGCTTGGAGATGTCCCTTGGCCTGTAGAACCACTGGATCTGGAAAACAAAGAGAGAAGCGTCCACCAACGGGTTTTCAGTCTCCTCCGTGGTTTTCCGTTTCCGAGCAAAGCCCATGACTCGTCCAATGTAGTATGGTTCTCCTGGAGGCTCACTCACCATGTAGATGTAGTCACCTTTGCGTAGACAAAAGTAAGGCTCCTTACGGCGTCTTGAAGTAGGACGGGCCAGCGGATCTTCAGGCTCCCTGAGATGAAAGCTGGGGTGCTCTGGACAGTATAGGCTCTGTTGAACCGTATCCACATAGGCACCCTCCAAATTGAGCTTATTGGAAAAGTAGTCCCCAGGACCGACAGGCGGCTGCCAGTTGTACGGTAGTTTACCCGTCGAAGCCGGAAGCGGCGTTGATTTCTTTGGTTTCCGACCGGAAGCAGCCAGTTTCGGAGCCACAGCCTGAACATCCTGGTCCTCCAAAAGAGGCTCTGGAAGGGCATCCAGGTAGTTCTTGTTCCCGGCGCCTTTCCGCCTGGGTCGTGTGGTCATGACGAAAGTTGTGGAATGAAGGAAATGAAGAAAGGTCAGCGGCCGCTGGTCGGGTTTGAAAAAGACAGAAAAGGTGGTGGAGGGAAAGTGAGAAATTTGGGTGCGTCCATGTCCAAGCATATCTTTCAGAGAAGGCAGTGATGATGTACGCCCAAGGGGTGGGAGTGTGAAAAAAGGGTACTAGTGGGTGCTACAAAGAATGGCGATTCCGAATATGTGGATGTTTTGGGGAAATTTTCGTTGTTTGCTTTGAAGTGGGCCATATGGCCGTCTGCTACCGTACTGCAAGGTCCAATGGGAGGACTGCAAGGAGGATTGTCATTTTTGACCAAAGACGGATATATCCATTCTTCTCCAAAAGCAAATTCACAAAATGAAGACGAATTGCCCAAAAGGCGTGGTGGTGCCGTTTCACGGTTTCAGCTACGATTGTTCAACTGGTGAGGATGGATGTGCACTGCAATCCAACAATGCTCAGGGGTTGAGGAATAGAGTTTCGATATTAAATTTCTGGAAACGAAGCGTTTCGACTTTCATCTTCTTTTTTTTTTCAATTCAATGGTTGTGGCGGTTTTTCATTATGGCACATGGGCCGCTCAGCTCACACCACCCAGTACCGACACCTGATTCGTCCAATCCGGGCATGGAGACGGTGATTCCCAAAAAGTCAGGATGGTCTTTCGTTGACCAAGCTGGTTTCTAGAAAACCTCAGTTCACTACTTTGGTTCTCTTTGACCATCTACATGACTACCCTGAAAAGTCCCCAACAACCACAAACCATCATCCAAAGCTACCCTGTTCCAAAATGTCCTCTACAAAAGGATCCCAGAACACTTTCCGAATCCTATGACTTCTACTTCTTTTGCATCCACCAACCCCTCCCTTCTCCGTACTGCGTACCCTGACTCCTCATTTGCTCTTTCTGAATTTCAGCCAATTGCTCATGCCTACGTTGTCCAACTTCAAAAAGCATTCATCCAAGTCCTCCAACTCTTGTTTTTCACTCACCATGTTCGTTGAGCTTCTTCAATGGCGCAAATCCAGGGGCTTAACTTTGCTGCCTGGTATGTGCATCTACGTCTTTTTCAACTTTTTCAGCCTCTGACGAATACGCCGATACGCTAAGTACTTGGATACATGCGGTAATCTGTGAAATCCAAAACACTCAATTAGATGGATCGAAAAGCGAATAGTCAATCCCAGCTCCAGAGCTCTAGGGCACCTTGCATTCTTCACCTACAACATTTCTATCGTCATTACATTCGTAAAATGGTCTATGCTCCCTTGAGAATAGCAGAAATCCTCTCCACTTCCTCCATATCTTCGGCCTCCTCGAGCTGCCGGAGAAGATCCGCCTTCTCCTCCTCACTGAACTTCTTGACCGTGCTCTCCACCATCCGCTCCTGCTTGCTCTTCGTTTCTGGTTGGGGCCCGCCGTTTACAGTGGCATCAAAAGCCGGCGTTGCCTTCTCGTAACTCTCACCAAATAGCTCCTTGGCTTCTGCACGTTCAGTAGCAGTCACTTTCTCACCGTCTAGCACCTTTAAGGTGGGTATAAGCCACACCACAAAAAGACGGTAGTTGTGCTCTCTCACAACGCGGTTGCCGATCAAAAGGAGGTTCTCTAGCTTCCAAAGTCGGAGCGGCTTTAGCTGGCCCAAGTTGGTGATGTTGTTGTTGACAAGCGAAAGCGACTTGACACTCTCATTGGACTCTTCCTTGATCCGCGAGATGTTATTGTTGGCTAGAAGAAGCGTTTCAAGTGTATCTAGCGAAGGTGGGATTCCACTGAGCTCTATAAGTTCGTTGTTGGTCAAGTCGATGACATTGTGTATGTTGTTGGTGGCATCGAGATTCTCAATAAAAAGGGCTTGTCCGTCTCGGAGGTTCAATGTGAGCCGTTTTTCGGGATTGACGTAAACTGGCGCCTGCGATATGACCTGCGGCGTGAGTTTCATAGTCGTCTTCTCAATCCATCTCTATCGTTTGTGATAATCATCGAGGAGCGTGATATGCAGTACACACAGTATAACACCAGACCAACGACAACGTTCAACCCCTTCAGAGCCATTGTAGAGGCTAAATTACATTTGTATCAATAAAAACCCGCGAAATTAATAGATGGTGACGTTGGATACGCAGTTGTTGCTCTCAATGACTTCCCAGATGCACCTGTCATAACCATACAATTTGGACTGCCCCCAAGTCTTGAACTCATTGGAAGGTTTAGAGCTGATGGAAGTCGTTGACAGTGACTGATTAGAGTCCAGCTTGCCATTTTCGGTGACATGTAAAATTTCCAAGTCCTCGTCACGGGTTATCTCTGACTCATTCCGGTTGAGCATGACGGGGTCAGTCTTCACAGTGCTTATCTCCTTGAGGAATTCACTACCAAATTCGTGGAAGTACATGGATGAGTCAACTTTGGTCTTGCTGCTGGAGTTCCAGCGTATCTCCCAGTTGCATCTGTTCCACTGCATGAAGTCTAATGACTCCGCTATGCCACCATTGTGAAGAACAATCTTTTCAAGTACGCCACCAACCTTGTCATTGTGGTTCAAGTTGTAGAGCAAGTCCACTCCCAAGCGGAAGTAGTTGTGGAATTTGTAAACAGAGCCAGCTCGTTCACTTGGGGCCGTGGCCGTTTTGAGGTGCTTGTGAATCAAAAGACGCGAGTCAAACTTGTTGAAGTAGGCATCTGGAGGGCCTAAAACCCTCACCACGTCTTGCTGCGTGCTCACTCCTAGCTTGAGGCTTTCCATATCCTTCTTACCTTCGTTTTGAGAGTAGAAAACCAGTATGTCGCCTAGTTCGAGCTCGACCTTGATTTTCTCCACACAGGGGGCACTGGCGAGTCCAGAGGTCTTCCGAAGAGCTACAGTTTCTCGGAAGCTGGCTAAGAAACTCGTGATATCCTTACCCCTGAAGATTGCCAAAGAGACACATGGAATCTCAGGCGCCACGTCCCAATTGACAAGCTTCGAAAGCACCTGATCCTCATCTGTTATCGATGCTAGTTTTGCGAGTAGCTCCTTCAGCCGAATCTCAAACTTAAAGCTGATACCCGGGTAGTTCAACACATAGGTCTGCTTTGTCAAGTCTAGCTTTCCGGGGTATGTGGGACCAAAAATCTTATTGTAAATGACCTTCAAACACGGTGGAGTGACTTGCTTCTGCAATGGTGGCCTCTCTAGCGCTTCCTCCTCTTCCGGAGCCTCAAAGAACTGGATCTCGTTCAATGGCTGGCTGTTGTACGAGAGTTTGAGCATATCAAAATTCAAAACCTCTATAAGCTGGAGCTCCTGGCTCAGCAGGTTCAGGAATGTGAGTCTAAGTCCCAATGACGGAAGCGTCACTAGAATTGGTGACTCAAGGTACTTCTGAGACGAGTAAGCAATTTGCATTTTGTAGTCTGATGATCTGAGCTTAGCCACGGTATCATAAAGCAGAATTCCTAAATGTAAAAAACCGGGAATTCCCTCACCGGGAGAAATTTTGGATGTCATGTTGTCGTAGGTGTTGTTGATAGTGGACAGGCTGATAGACTGCGTAATAGGGCCCCGTGGCCGTGTGCAGGTTATCAGTCCAGACTACGGCTGTCCCCGGTATCTACAGAAGAGAATCCCGGGAATTTGGAAATCTTTAATTTTTCTTGGAATAAGTTTGGAAGTGGTTGCAACCGTTGGTGATGTTTTTGTGTGACTATGGTTTAGGTTTGATTGTGGGAGCAAGCTGTAGCAAGATGCATGGAATACCGCCAACACAAGTTCATTTTTAGAAAAATTTCCTTTTTAGAATCACCTAGTTCTTAGAATTGTTTTCCGATTTATTGTGTCAGGTGAGGGTAGCCAGGCCTTCAAAATGAAAAAGCCTTCACCCAAAAGACTACTCTCAATTACATTCCACAGACCGAATTGTATGTTACATCCCTTCGAAATCTCCTCGTTCAATTGAATTGATACCTCTCAATCTACTTCCCATTAAAACCTTGACTCTATCGTAAGCATATTATATTATTAAACAGACATATTAGAAGTAGAGCAGCTACTGCTTGTTACTGTGATTTTCGCTTGAGTCCTCGGGAGAGAACTTCTCGCCATTTTTGTTAACACCGTCGAGCTCCTCCTTGTTGGAGGCAGTTTTCAATTGGGCCACACGGGGGTCGTTGGATCTGATTGGCTCGGCAACGTAAGCGGAGTTTTTGGTGCCCAAGGCGGACTCATTGTCGCTGTCGTAGTAGGCAAATTCACCAATCTGAGACAAGTCAACGCCCATCAACTCCTCGTCCTCATGCAAACGCAATCTGAGGAATGGGATTTTGTCCATGATGAACAAAATAATGGCAGTGACGAAGAAAGACCATGCACCGTTGGAGGTGGAAGCAGCAAGCTGGTAACCCAACTGGATGTAGTTGTGGTTCATCCAGCCACCGTCAATTTCGGTAGCGCCGTCCAACTTGGCAATGTAGTCGGCGGCAAACAAACCGGTCATGAAAGTACCGAGGAAACCACCAATTCCGTGAAGAGCGAAAACGTCCATACCGTCGTCGATCCTGATGATGTTCTTGAGGTCAACGGCAAAGTTACAGGCGATAGCAGGAACAACACCAAAAACGAGAGAGGTGTACACTGGCACGAAACCAGCAGCTGGAGTGATCCCCACAAGACCAGCAATAGCACCCATACAGAGACCCACCGTGGACCACTTACCGCCAGTACGGAACCAATCAACAAACATCCAGGTCAAAGCACCCGAAGCAGCAGCAATCTGGGTGTTGACACAGGCGTACCAGGATCTGATGGAAGCGTTGCCGGTCGAACCACCGTTGAAGCCGAACCAGCCGAACCACAAGAAAACGGTACCCAAAACAATGGACGAGACCGAGTGGGGCTTGTATTTCGGCACCTTGCCGTTGGTCAAGGGATCGTGTCTCTTACCCAAAACCATGGAGTAGGCCAAAGCGGCAAAACCGGCGTTTTCGTGAACTGGACCACCGCCAGCAAAATCCAAAGCCCCGAGGTTGGCCAACCAGCCGTTTCCGCCCCAAGTCCAGAAGGCAATTGGGCAGTACACCACAGTCAACCAGATAAACAAGAAAACCATCATGGGAGCCAAACGGGCTCTTTCGCAGCCAGCACCAACCATCAAAATGGCAGTGACACAGGCAAACATGCCCTGGAAGAAGCAGTATAAAATATCAGGCAAGGAGTCGTTGACAGAAGGAGCGCCGAGCACGTCCATAAGGCAAAAATTGGCCAAAGTGCCCAAAAACAGCGAACTGTCCAGGTGCGAGAAGCATAGAGAATAGCCCAGAAGAACCACTGGAAAGTGGTGAGTGAAAGCGCCATGAGCGACGCCCACATGAGCGAAAGAGCGTGTTTTTTTCTCGAAAGTCCCAGGTACAACAAACCGACGCCGGGGACCATGATCCACACGATAACACCGGAAATAGCCACCCACACCATATCAGCACCGTTGAACTGGGCGCTAAGATCCACGGTCAAGGAGTCGCCGCCGGTGCCGGTCTGCGTGGCGCCAGGAACAGAAGTAGACATACTGAAAGATTGAAAGTATAGACGGGGGTTTTAGGAAATTCATGGGTTTATATAGTTGGTCTGATAGGCAAGGGCCAATGAAAGCGGGAGCCGCGCATCTACTGATAAGCGACTCGACACCAGCCGCACCCCACTGATAAGCGGAGGGGAAACGTTTTCATGAATTGATTTTTTTTTATTTAATTGGGAGACGCCGATCAGTAAAAAATTCACATTCGCCTTGGAAATTGTTTTTGAAACCCGGGAATCTCTCTGTTCAGTGTGTTCCAACTTCCTGCAGCGGTGCACGGCAAGATAAGAGAGGTGCTTCGGGCTCAGATAGGCGATATGATTGGCTGGTGATTTTCAAAACGGTGGCCGCACACGCTTTGAAGTACAAGGTTTGGTTTCTCGGCCTTCAGTTTCCAGCCAAGCGCCGATAACGAGATATTGGTGTTTTGGAATTTTCACTTAGTTGATGAATTTGTGGACCAATCGCAAAGTGCAAGTTGAAGCGGAAGCAACACAAAGGAGAATTGAAAAATGATTTTTCGTTCCCTATGCACTTTCCGAGCTTTAGTCACTCAAGCCCCGGGGCTTTGGACCGTTACCGGATGGGCCTAGTGCGATAAGCAACCTCATATGAAGATTCGGTCCTGAACCGGCCGGTCATGGTGAAGTTTATTTTCTGCAAGTGGTGCTTTAGGAGTCTAAGCCATTTTTGGACTCTTTTTACGATTTACGAAAAATAGGTGGATGGACTTTTTTGTGTTTTAAGAAAATTCGAAAGTGAAGTGGCCTCACTGGGCTTATCAGAACCCGGTCCAGCAGTATCCGGACTCATAACCGTGAATGAAGAAATACGGGGGCTCGCGCAAATTGATCGGCGAGAAGGTCTATGTATTTCGCCAAAATGCTTCACATGAGCAGAATAATTTCGGACTAAGAATTGTCAATTATCACTGATCGGCCAGGGAGACCGATAAGCTGCGCCGAGCCAATCTGGTGGAGACTTTTGACAGCCCAGAGTTTTCATTGGCCACAGTGGGGTGAATTGCTGGGCCGTGGCTTGAAACACGTTTGGCTGGATTGGATTTATTGGAGGTTTTTGTTTTTGCTTTGATTCCGTCGGCGATATCTCTGCGAAGTCGACGGAATTGGGTGAATTGTGGGTGATTCTTAAGAGCTAGAGCTGGAAATGAAAGAGATAGGCCGAGTGGACATTGATGGATCTTTTGATTATTTGTTGGTTGACAATGGGGTCATTTGAAGGGGGCAATTTTACAGCAAGGAGCGTCCTACAGTCGAGTGACTACTGCGGCAATACCGACGTTGAACGCTTACATAAAATTGCATTTTTGTCTATGGAAGTAGCAGCCTGAAGTCGAGATTTAGCTGTTGGCTTGTAACTAATGGTCCATACCTGGTCGTCTGTTTCAAACTATACTGGTAAGTGAAAAATTTATCACGAGGAGAGGCTGTGCGTTGAATGTATCGATAAAGCAATTACACTGGTGATTTGACTGTGATTTTAAGAAGATGCTAACGACTTAGTGGCATTTCACAGGAAGTCAATTGAAGCTTTTATAGGAACCTTCGCCGAAACCGGGTATCTACCAAGTCCATCCAAACATCTTTGTGGAACCAAATCAGCCAACCAGAAGGACAGAATGTTCCGAAAGCCGAGGTTCAAGAATTCCACATATGCAGCACTGTGAAGGACCATAAGATTATCAAAAGACAAAAATTCACATCAAAATTCCAAAAATCACTCACCACCTGAAACCTGCCAATTATGCGTTTGCATTACTTAGAAAGCTTCTTTGGCTTATGGTGCAGCAGTGCGTCGACCCGCAGCAAGCCACTCCACAATCCAAAAACGTTGCTCAAATTAAAAAATACCGAATTTTCAAAATACCCGTATAACAGAATCAAATTCACTGGAAACTCAACAAAAAGCAAAAAGCCTCATTTGCTGGCATTGTCTCGAGAAGATCGTCGTGGTTAGCCGTATCACCGCCTCGCAAACCGCAACCAAGATCATCAGCCACACACGTTGCAGGGTTTGAAGAATCAAACAATAATTTGCCAGAAACGGATTTCATTAAAGTTGATTGAAAATCTAAAACCGGAAAAATCATCATTCCATTTGGACCGACTAGATTCCACCCTCCTATTTGTTCTCACTCACTCCGCATCCTCGGCATCCTCGATTCCCACCACAACAAACAAAACCAGAATTACGAGAAATAAAAAAATTTATCTCTCCCCACCACTTCTTCTTCTTGAACCCGTATTTCCTAACATTCATCTCCACGGGCCACTTGGAAAAACCAGGTGTCCTGCACGGCGGCCCCACCGGCACTGAACTTTACATCGCAAAGTATCAACCACCAGCTTCCTTCCAAATATGGCCGACGCTTCAGAATTCGCCACGACCATCTTGACGTCGACGCTGCCGGGTGATGTGGCCAACTTCATCCCGCATTCGTTGGACCTCTCGCAGACTCTTATTGAAAAGAACTTGGCCGTGTGGTTTTCCAACTACACCAAGATGCTCATCAAGTACAACCAGGACTTGAACCTTTTGGTGGCCAATGGACGCGACTTCTTTGCCAATTCTGGTGCCGAGTTTGGCTCCATCGACAAAATCTGGAATTGCGTGGCGCTGTGTGTCACTTCTCAGATTGGTGCCAATGACTCCTTGATCAAAGTCATGAGAAACGACATTCTCTCCCAATTGGGCGCTGCCACGAAAGACGATGTCAGGTTTTCCGAGCTCGTGGTGAACCTGAAGGAATTGGCGGAAATCAGCCGTGCTTTGGAGAAAAACGACCCCAACGGCGAGTACCAGTGGAATGTCAAGGCGCCTACGGTGCTTTCCAACTTTGAGAACTTCAAACGCCACGAAAAGCAGTTGTTGTCTTCTAGCTTCTTGAGCTACATGAACGCGGTCAACACCAAGACCTCGGAGGTGTTGCAGAAGAACGAGAACGCCGTCAACTACATCCTCAAGGAGTTCAACGTGGACAACGAGATGGACGCGTACGTCAACTACATGGTCAACACCAAGGTCGATCCTCCTGCTCGTGACTTGGCTAAAGCTCAGCACCAGCCTCCTCGTCAGGCATCCGCCTCTTCCCCTGCCAGAAACCAGAGCTCCAGAGCCTCGGTCTCGAGTGTTCTGTCGGAGCCAAAGAAAAAGCTGAAGTTGCGTTCTAAGATGGGCTCGCTTCTTGGCCGTAAGAAGAAGAACGAGAAGCATGCTCCTTCTCCTGTGGAGGCAATCCCTGAAGACCAGTCTGTCTCCTCGGTTTCCAGACTGAACACCTTCTCAACTCGTCCATCCAACACAGAGCCGCTGCCATCGCCAGTGAAGCAGCACGTTGAGCGTGGCCTGTTTGTGGCGCCATCCAATGGTGCTAATTCTTCCTCTGCTGGCGGTTCCGGTACCGGCTCCGGTTTCGGCGCTGGTGCCGCTGGTGCTGCTGGTGCTGCTGGTGCTGCTGTTGGAGGCGCTGCTGGTCTTGCAGCCGGCTCTGTTGCTTCTTCTTCCCAGAACATCAGAAGCCAGTCTTTCAACAACGCCGTGCCCCTCCAGCCTTCTGCTCCCAAGAAGGAAGAGCCCGTTGTGAGCTCTCCATCGCTGGGCCGTGATGATGGTCCTAACATCGTCAAATACACATCCTCAGACGAGGACAGTGACGGACCTACTGACTCCCAGGGCAACCGCTTGCTGATGTTGCAAACCCACCAGTTGGACCACCCTCCAAAGGTGGAAACTGACGCCGAGGCCCGCTCTCGTAACACTTCCTCCGGCAAGTACAGTTTCGACTACGGTGATGAGGACAAGGACATTTCCGCTTCAGCCACCCCCAAGGTTGACCATGCCGAAGACTTCCCCTCTTTCGGTGCTCCCTCCACGGATGCTTCTGGCCGTCCTGGTCTGCTCAGTGATGTGCCTCCAACAAGCTCTACAGCTGCCAACATTGCCAATGAAGTCGGTCCACCACCAAGCCCACCATCTTCCTACTCCCAAGAGACACCCAGCCGCGGAAGCTCTAATGCTGCCGGTATAGCCGCTGGCGTTGGTGCCGGTGCAATTGCTGGTGGAGCAGGTGTTGCTGCTCTCAATTCTCATCAACAGCAGCAGGCTCCTCAACAACCCCAGCAAGCTCAACAACCCCAGCAAGCTCAACAACCCCAGCAAGCTCAACAGCCTCAACAACCAAGACAATCTCAGGCAACTCACCAGCAGCCTCCTCCACCTCCTCCATCCAGAAAGGTTCACAGCTCGACTGATCCTACCCTTAACCGTAGGGATCTTCACTCTGGTCAGTTCCACAACCTTCCCCCTGCCAGAGAGCTGATGATTCAGCCTCGTATCCCTCACGACGAGGCCGGTACTCGTACCTCATTGGTCAGCCAAAACACTGGTAACTCGTTCTTCAGACACGACAACCAATTCAAGCACTTTGGTTCTAGCCAGGCTCTCGTCAACGAGGGTCTTCACACATCTGTTGCTGAAATCATCAATGTTACTTTCAAGGGCGGAAATGTGACCAAGGCGCATGTTCTTGGTGAGGTTGCCTTCAACTACAACTCAGCTGTGTCCACTCAGCAACCCCAGGAGATCAACATCCCAGTGCCTTTCACAAAATTCTTGTTGAACGAGCAATTCATGCGTCAAATCGGTGAGCACAGATACTCTTTGGACCTTTCTCAAATCGCCTCGCGTACTTTGGGTGGTCTCAAATACATTGCCAATTTAGACGAAAGCCAGGCTCCTGTTACCGTTAAACAAATCTGGAAGTTTGAGCCTCATCAAGCCAGTCTTATCATCAAGCTTTCGCATAACCCAGCATTCGGTCAACTGGTACAGCTTGATGGGTTGGTGATCTCTGCCTCTTTGGACCACACTGCCCAGTCCACATCGGCATCTTCTAAACCCGAGGGCTCCTTCAATAAGGACAAGAACAGAATCACCTGGAGATACACCAAGCCATTGGTGTTGGATGGCACAGTTCAGGAAGAGAAGTTGATTGCCAGATTCACCACCAACGGCAAAGCTAATGAGGCTCCAAGTGGTGTGCAGCTTAAGTTCAATGTGGTTGATCCACCTACGACGTACGTGCCAATCTTGGATTCACAGGGTCTCAGCATCCCTAGCTTCAGAAGCTTGACTACTGGTAGCTACCTTTCGCATGCTTGAACTACGAATGACGATTTAAAACCTAAAAAGAGATGAACCATTGCCCTCCTTGGCATTACGTATTGTGTATTTTACAAGATTATATAATTCTAGTTTAGAGTAGCTTCGAGTGCTTCACGTCTTTCCTGATACGATAGACGAAAACACAGATGATGACAAGAGCAGCAATCATGAATATCATGATCCACTTCAGATAACGTTGGAAGCTTTCAACTCTATCGTTTTCGTATGCAAAAGCGCTTTCCAGCTGGCGGTTGCCGCTGGCAGCAAGAGACTGAACGTGCTTGCCCAAATCACCCAATTCCTTTCTATGGTTGTTGAACTCGTTGAGAATGGATCTCGCAATGTCATTGTTCTGACTCTGGATGAGCTGTTCCAATTTGGAGTAGTTGTCCTTCAACACTTCGAGAACTTGGATCTGCTGGATCTGGGACTCCACAATCTGGTTGAGAATCAGAGGATCCGGCTGATTGTTGGAGGTACCCACCTGCTTGATCAAGCTCTCCAAGTTGTTGAGCTTCTGAGTGATCTCAGAGAGATCCACAGAAGGCTGTTCGATTCTGACGGGTTGTTGGTTTTGTTGTTGTTGTTGTTGTTGCTGCTTCTGCTGCTGTTGGTTCTCCTGCGCTTGCTCCTTCTCCATCTGTTCCTTCCACTTCCTTGTTCTCTCCATGAGAGACTCTCTACCAAAAGAGGGCTGGTAGGTAGGTTCTTCCTCTTGCTGAGTGACAGTAACAACCCTCACTGCGCCATCTGCGAGGATAGCGTGGTCATCGATGGCATCTTCAGTAAGCTGGTTGTACACAGACAACTTGAGAATCTCCCAGTATTCCTTGGAGTCGCCATCAACAGAGCCAGTGACACCAAAGTCAAAGTCCTGCTCGAGGTTCTTGAACGAGATGGCATCCGTTTTGAAACAAAGGTTGTTGTCGATCTGGACCTTGAACCAGTTCTTCTTGGTGGAGTAGGAGATACGAAGCGTGAAAGGCACCATGGAATCAAGGTAGTTGAACAGACACGTTCCAAGAGCGTTGTCGAGCTGGTTAGGAATGTGTTTGGTGCCATCGCCAGAGTACAACTTGATACCTGGCTTCTCCTTGTTGTTCACCAAAAACTGGAAACCGTCAAACACCGCTGGACCACCAAAGTTCGTCTGATCTTTCTTCAAGTTAGGCGTATTTTGAGACTGGACAAGCCAAAAAGCAAGACCGTTTGTGTCCACGAAAGAGTGGTCGGCGGTTTCCACACTCTCGGAGTTTCTGAAAACCGTTTCGATGGTCCATTCGTCCACGGAGTTGGCCAATGGCTGCTTCGACCAAAGAGCACCCTGGCCTTTCTCAAATGCCAAACGACCAGCATCGAGCTTCAAGGAACCAGAAACATCCCAACCCTCGATGCTAGCAGCTGAATCAACGGTGAATAAATTAGGAAGCGATTGGCGACCTGGAGAAACAACCTTATCGCCAGCCATCATACCCTCGGGCAAAAGAGCCGCTGCAGCCGTGAGAAGGCTGCAAAATGACAAGATTCTCATGAAGTGTGGAGTGGTTTGTTGTCGATTGGGAACACCTCAATGGAAAATGGACTGAGACCTGCGTGTGGGCCGCACAGCAACGTCATTGCAAGTCCACAGGGTTCGATGGAAGGGCCTTTCAAGTAAGTTTGAGAAATTTGATGGTGGGACAAAAGACAGAAGAATGTGAGAATTTTGTCTGGATCATTTTCGAAAGCGGGGTTTTGTGTTCTCTCGCTTCAAGCCCTTCCTCTGTGCGTTTTGCACCCATTTCTGCAGTCAGGGCACACGACATGATCCAACGGCATGGATTGAAATTTTCCGAAAAGGGAAGAAATCATCTGAAAACCTGTTGTGATAATGACAATTTTCTAGTTTGGTGTGTTGTTCTTCCTGGTTCAGGACCAGCTGCATTACCGTTGGTTCTTGCGTCCTAGGTTCTTTCGAGCATTCCAGACACCACCTACTTTACTTAGTGGCACTGGAACAAGATACGGGATGCTTCTTCCTTCAAACTGCGGAGCTAAAAACTCACCAGAAGGAATACCAAAATCCCCTCTGACAAATGCAAGTGATCTCTTTTTGGATGTCTCATCTCTCAACCGCAGTGTCACGGTTGAGTTTCTCGGAAGATAGACGAGGTAGTGCCCATCTTTGCTTATCAGGTGGATGACGCAGAGGCAGATCACGTCGTGGCCTAAGTTCACAAAATCGTTTGTCGTTATGATTTGAGGATATGTTTTGCTGGAAAGGCGCTGGGGCAACTCAACAGCGCATAAAGCAACCACTGAAGCTTCCAAATACTCCTCCACATTTTCCTTGTTCAATTTTTGAATAGACTGGTGGAGAGAAACCACATAGGGGACCCCATGAGGATCACCACGTGAATAGCTCACCATTTGAGGCGGCAGCTCCACAAGGAACGAGAAATCGTATTTTCCTTCCATTCTGTGGAAGTATTGTAGTAATGCAATTTCATGGGCGTAGTTCAGAAACCTGGGTTTCTTTCGCGTAGCATGGACCTTATAGAGCGAAGTGTGGGTTAGATCGGCAATGACCTCGTCGTCTGGGTTATCCTGGACCTCAAAGTCGTCCTCAAAAGATTCAGCTTCAGGCAAGCCATTCTGTGATAGATACACAAGTATCGAAGTTTTGAAGAGTGCAGATATCTGAGAGAGTAGCTCCCTACCTAGGCCTTTGATGCCTGGTGGAGTATTCACAATAAGGGGATGTTTCAGCAACTTCGACTCATAGTAGTCCTTCAATTCACGCACACATTTCATGTAATACGTGGGCAAGGCCGTCAGGCTATTGTGACCATAGTATAGCGTTTTACCGTTCAGGTCACCGTTTGAAGTGAACACGCCAAAACACGGCTGACTTTGTACGCTTAGTGACAAACAACCCGGAGGTGAGAACCTGCCGCTATTTGGGTCCAAATCTAGAAAAGCCATGGGTCTATTGGTGCTTATGTAGTTTAGAAGCAAATGTGCCATAGTCAGTTTTCCACTGAACGCAGCTCCAGCAACCAATGCCACTTCTGAGTTATTCGATAAACGGTGTCCCACTTCTGTGACTGCTTTGAATGCGCTTTGGTCAATTCTCATACCCCCTGTATCATTATCACCTTCTTCCTTCACATCAAAGGTGTACTGTGGATCGGGCTTAGATAGATACAAGTCTTTAAGCTGTGCCTGGATGCGATCGATATTCTGAAGACCCGTATCGTAGTTCTGTATTTCGATTACCGTTGGAAAAGAAGGTAGTATGGAATCTTTAGGTGTAGGATTATCGACTCCACTGATAACGGGTAGTGGTTCATTTGCGTTTGTGATGACATTATAAGTTTGTTCGCTGTCAATCTTGTGCAAGCTGTTTATCAATGTACTTCCCTTGACAACTTTCAATCTGTATGTGCCACTTGCAGTGACATGATCGCCCGGATTGAGGCCTATTAGGATGGAGGAGTCTGCGAATATGGCATTTTTGGGGTCTAACTTAACATTGGAATTTAGGATATTGTTTGGAAAAGGGGAATTGTAAGACGGTAGTTCTGGTGTACTTCTGGACAGCTTTCGAAAAGCTGCAAATGCACTCATTAGAGAGAACCAGGAAGTTGATGTTCTTGATGTGGACCTACTGATATGGGGTATGTGCAGGTCGGCCACAGTTTGGTCCCGTACAATGGCCCCAAAACTTCATAAGATGATGAGTCTAGTAACTCATAAAGATATATTTGACTCAAATAAATCGGTCAAATGCGAGAATACCTTTTTTTTGGGGGCTTCCAATATTTTATAGGTACCATGCTAGCGTTGATTCTACAATCGATAACGAAGCACAGCACACTTTTATGAAGAAGAGAGATTGGCCGTGAAATTTCAATGTAACTCCATATCTTGAAGAAATTCTCATCTTCCCGATTCTTTGATATACATCACTTGAGCCCTGATGCACTACAAAACCCCATTGCATATATCGAATTGCATAAATAATCGCTTCTCCAGGAAGCCTCATAATGAATGGATCATAGCACGGCACGTTGCGTCAACGTCAGCTCGTCTTGCATCACTTCAGCCAACACCTTGGCAGCCTGGATGACGCTTTCATCGGCATAGCGTCTTCCAGTCAACTGCAAGCCAATTGGAGCATTGACAAAGTCGTCAGGACCAGTGTAAAGACTATATTCGTACTCCTCGACTTCGTTTCTTGGCTTGAACGACTTGTCGACCCTGTCTTCCAGCAGAACGCTGAGGCCTGAAGGAAAAGACACATTGGGGAAATCCAAAATGTTCCACAAACAAGTGTAGCCCCAGTAAGTGATAGTTTCAGGTTTGGCAGCCACGGAAACGTAAGCCGGAGTAAGAATGTAGTCGATGCCCATCTCGTTCATCTTGTCCATGTAGATGCATCTGTACTTGTCTCTAATGTTCACGAGTCTCTGGACCTCAAGCCCGGAAACAGGACCGTCACCAAGACCAAAACTGAGATGTTTTTGACTCAAATGCACCACAGGCTCGCCCGAAAGAGCAAGACGTGCTTTCTGGCCGTAGTTCTGGTCAAAGTTGTAGGAAACGTAGCAGGTGTGGACGAGTTTCTGAACGTCCAATGGTTTCCACTCAACCACCTCAACGCCGGCTGCCTCAAACTTGGCCTTGGCTGTTTTGAGGGCTCTAAGCACTGGCGGGGTGGGTCTGACGAACCCGTCGTCGTAGCAAACGGCGATCTTGAGCTTTTTAGGTTCGGGCTCAGGCACATTTTTCCAAGGAATGGGCAAAACCAAGGGGTCTTTTTCCCATGGATTCTGGTCAATGATTGCCTTCATGCACAAGGAAAGGTCGTCGGCATTTCTGCCAATTGGTCCTAAAGTAGGGTACACAACGTCTGGAGACTGGTCATCGTATGGGTTAGCCACACCAGCCAACGAAATACGTTTCGTTGTGGGACGCAAACCCCAAACTCCACAGAAAGCAGCAGGACCTCGAATAGAACCGCCAATATCGGAACCAATGCCAAAAGCACTGCCGTTCATGGCTGCAATCGCACCCTCACCAGACGAAGAACCTCCAGGGGTCAACAGCGTGTTGCATGGGTTTCTGCACTTTCCAGTGATGTTGTTGTTGGAACAAAGGTGCATCAACATTTGCGGTTCCGTGGTTCGGACGTAAAAAACAGCTCCCAGGTTGTACAAGTCTCTCACTATAGCCAGGTCCTTGTCACTAACGTGATCCAACTTGCCCACGTATCCCGCATGGGCAATCTTGCCTTTGAACGCATAGTGCTCTTTCATGGAAACAGGCAACCCGTGCAAAGGTCCCACGGTCTCGCCGTGCTCGGCAAAATAGGCGTCAAGCTCCTCGGCTCTTTTCATGCCTTCATCGATGAAAAGCTCCATGGCGCAATTGGTCAATTGGTGGGCCACGGTTGCCGTTTTGGCAAACGCCTTTAGAACCTCTACAGCGGTCAATTGGCCCGTGGCCATACGCTGAACCAAGTCTGTGGCTGAAGAAGAGGTGATCTCGATTTCCTCACCCGTAAGGCATTTTGCAGCCAACGCCCTGGCGTCAATGCCCCTCTCCAATTCCTCTTCACTGGGCAAAGAGTAGTCCGGCAAACTGTACTCCGGCTTCACGCCCTCCTGCAAACGCTCCCGATAAGCTTTAATCTTTGGAACCCACAGCTCATACTTTTTCGGGTCCTCGGTGTTGTTGATGTATTCGCCAAACATGCTGTTTGCGGAAGACGCGGGACGAAGCGAGTATTTGTACCTCGCCAGGTGCCCCGATAAGCGAAGGCGGGTGCCAAATCGGGGAATACGGTTGATAGCGGTTCTGATAATATCTGCAGCAGGCAAGATAGCAGCCTGTCAAGCTCCTGTGCCTCGTGCGTCTTGAGAGAGCATGTGCTGCACACGGTCGGTTGCACTTTTGCAGCCATGCGAAATTCCGTAACATTGTCCATGGACAGCGGCTAATCTAATCGATTCTGCCAGAGATAAACCCGCCTCGAGCCACCATCTCGGCTACACCGGTCACGGTGGGAGCGATTTTTCTCAGATAGGCTGTTTTTCTCATGAGTGCCAAGCGAAGGACCCGTCTGGGGTGCCTAACGTGTATGTTGTTTGAAAAGCTTATTCATCTTTCACTTGCTAACCGCCAGGCCGAAGGCGAAAGGTTAAATGTGACGAGCTCCGGCCGAGCTGCTCGGGGTGCCAGCGGTCCAATGTCCGGTGCATGTGGCCCAGCGCCGAGAAACAGAGTTTGTCTCATCACGACGAGTTCAAGATCGAGAAGCTTCCTTCGAAGCCACGGTACCAGTTTGTGGTTTACACGGGGACCACAAGGAGGAGACCGTGGAGAGTTCTCCTGAAAACGTCTCTTTTCAGCCTCCGGTGGCTGCTGGTTCCATAGCAGACTCGCCATTCGAGGAGCTGCCTAATCAGCTTTTTCCACTAAGTCCATCTAACGGGCTTCTGGGCTGGGAGGCTCGTTTGGACCCTTGGAGAGCCCGTTTCTTTTCCAGGCTTTCGTCGACGGTTTCCTCAAATCCGTTTCTCCCCAGCCATGCCACCCTAGGCTTCTGCCTCTGGCCAATTTTGTTCCTTATGCCCTGCAGAGCCCTATCATGATGGACGTCTTCAACGCATGTGGAGCGTCGTTTTTGAGCAGCAGGGACCCGTCCATGAAGCTCGAGGCGAAAAAACGGTACTCGCTTTGCCTCACCAACTTTGCCAATTCCTTGAGCAGGCCTCGGGACGGCGTTGAGGAATGGATGGTTGCTGCGGTGATCCTTCTTTGTCTCAGGGACAAGTTCAGCGGCACCCTGGCGATAGTGCCTGCTTCACATTTGGCGAAAGCTCTCGAAATGATTCGTCAGCTCCGGCAAAGCGGCAAACTGAGTGTCGTTTCGCTAAAGTTCTTGATCGAGACCTTCTTGTTCAACTACACCGTGATGCTTTTGACCGGAACCCAGGAGGTGGTTCTGCGGCTACCGTCGCCTTTTGAGGTCTACGACGAATGGCGCCCGATCCTTGATTACTCGCCATTTCGGACCGCTCTTCCATTCATGAAGTACCCCATTTTTGGTGCTGCGAGGCACTTTTACGAAATCGCAGCCAAAGTGTCCTGGTACTTCTCACATCTTCCTCTTTCGCCAGAGGACAAAGGGGTCGTCTGTGGGCTTCTAAGCCAGACTTATACCACACCGCTTCCCACTATTCCCCAAGAAGCAGAACAGGAGCTTCTTCCCCACGAGTTGATTCATGTTCGGGAGAGCATATACCTAGCAGACATGCTACAGAACTGCTGCCTCCTTCTTTTGCATAAGCTTTTGTTCCCGATGCTTGAACGGGACGACCCGCTGGTCCAGGAAATCGTCACCAAGATCATCCACAAACTATGCGCTTTGTCTGGTGACTCGCCCATCTGGATTATTTGTACTTGGCCATTGTTGGTCTGTGGAATAGCCACGTCGTCTGCCTCCCAGCAGCATTACATCTATTCCCAGTGCCAACGTTGTGCTTCCAGGTTCCAAATGGAGTTTTTGGACCAGATTTGCCGGTTTTTGGTGTCTGTGTGGGGAACAGATACCGAGGCTGGTTTGGGCTGGAACTGTCTTCTCGATCGGGACATCATTCTGAGAGTGTATCTTTGATTTTCCAGCCACGGCATTTTAAATTATTTATTTTATGAGCGAATGTTGTACTTACCGTATTTGCAAAAGGCGATGTGTTTGTAGTCTAACGGCCATGAGGATATCATATAAAATGCTTTTGTGGGTTTCTTCGGCTTCCTTCACCGGCCATGTCGTTCTTGTTTAGCGCTGAAGCGCTCTACTTTATTGGATTCTTGGTTATCGCCTATGAGATCAGAAAGATCGTGCTCCCTCCATCAAACTTTCCCAAAAACATACCCACCATTCCGTTTTACGCTATTCTTGTTGCCAAATACAAAGGCTGGGACCAGGAACGGCTTTTCAATGAGTACTATCGTGATTTGGTGGAAAAGCACGGTGCAGTGAAGATGTACCATGGTTCAATGTGGAACATCTTGGTAACCAAGCCGGAGTACCTTTCACAGATATTAAAGCTGGACCAGATATACGAGAAATGTGGAAACCAAATCAAAATCCCATGGTCCATTTTCTCTCAGTACACCGGTGACAATGTTATCAGTGCCAGCATGAACAACTGGAAACTCTATAGAAGGGTGATATCCAACAGCATTCTATTTCCGGATTTGGAGCCACTTGCCAAAAACACCCAAAAGCTCTGTGAAAACTTGAAAAAGTTCACAAAAAACTTCACTCCAGTTGGGGATATTCTTCAAAGATACACTTTGGCCAACGTTGGTGAATGTATAGTGGGACTCGACTTCAAGACCTGGGATGATGCTAAACACGCACCACTTTACAACACTTTGAAACACTTGAAGCAGCAGCTATTCAAACCACTTTTTCTAACCTTTCCAGTTTTAGACAAGTTTCCAATAAGGAGCAGAATGAAAGCCAGACGGTCTGTGGTGGAATTCAAGAATACCTACATGGACGCACTTTTGGCTGCAAAAAGGTCTGAAAACGGCAACAAACTCGGTGTCAGGCTTTCTGAAGCGTATGAAGATGGCAGAATCAGTGAAAAGCAGTTTCAAGATAACGCCGTGATTGCCTTGGTGGCTGGACATGAAAACCCTCAACTTCTTCTCACCTCTTTGGTGTATGTTCTTGGGAGGAACAAGAAGCTTCAGAAAGACATAAGAAAAGAGATTACAGGTTGTGGAAACCTCAGCGAGTGCTACTTGCTCAACCTGACCATCATAGAAACACTCAGATTGTACCCTCCAGTGGCCCAGCTCATCAACAGAAGAACCTCTTGTCCCACCGTTCTTGGTAAGGATATTTTGATTCCCAAAGGCGTATACGTTGGGTACCACAACCTTTTCACCCAAAGAGACCGTAACTACTGGGGCCCCGATGCCGACGAATTTGAGCCTTCTAGATGGGGTCTGGATACCAAGGAGGTCTGGAAAAACTACGCTACTGCAAAAAGCAAGTGCACTCTTCCTGCCTTCCACGGTAGAGCTAGAGCCTGCTTAGGGAGAAATTTGCTCTAACCCAGGCCAGAACCTTCGTTTCAGAAGTTTTACAAAAATACCAGCTTTCCTTGGAAAACAACAATTGTCCCTTGCCTCCCGCCGGAGTCGTATGTCCCGTGGGGTTTCTCTAAAAGTTGAATCTATTTAACATAATTATGCCCACACCTGGAGCTGCTCGTAGAAGTCGATTCTCTTGTTGGTGGAGTCAATCTTCTCGACCACAGACTTCCTCAAATCGTCCACCATGGCAGGATGTCCACAACTGATGAAAGCGGCGCTGTTGCTGCACTCGTCGATTTCGCTTTGAACGATATTGCTGATGGAAGGTCTGCCTGTTTCAAAGTTGATGTGTGGGAATTGCTCTCTCAAACGCAGAACAAGACTGTCGGTTTCGTAGATGTACTCCTCCTTCTCCAATTTTTTGTCCAGCTCTTCAGAAGAAGAGGCTGTTTCAAGCCTTCTGCTGAGCATCGACAAGAGATCCTCGTTGTTGGACAAATCCGGCCTGGTAATATAAATGGTGGTCTGAATCTTGGTATGACGTAAAGCCTCCATTTCCTCGAACATCCAGGCAAAGCTTTTTGGCTCTCGAATGATCCACACAAGCTTGAGCATTTGTTTAGTATTGTTCACAGAACGCTTGGCCAAGTCGTAGATCTCAGAGTAGATACCTGGAATACCGTTACCACCAGCGAGGAAAACAGCACTGCTGTGTTTGGAAACAGGGCAGGATTCACCGTAAGAACCCTCCACGCTGACACGACAGGAGAAGGTTTTTCCAGGAACTAGGGCCAATTTCTTGCCAATCTTCTCGGTGAGACCTTTCTTCACCTTGCACAAAAACACAATACTGCTATCGTCAGTAGTGGACTCCAAAAACGTGAATGGATGAGACTGCCAGAAGTACCAGCTACGGCAGAAGTAAAGCCAGGCATGGCCACCAGGAACGGACTTCCAGTGCTTGGGTTTGGGAACCACAACTCTCAAAGTCTCGTCTTCCACAAGCGTAACCTGGGCTTTAGGGAATCCAAACCAGAGCATTCTGGCGACTCTGATGAATCTGTCAAATGCCCAGACGGCGATCGTGGCGTAGATAATAGGCAAGTATCCGAATTTTTCAAGATGGTACCAGGCTCCAACGACCCAACCGACTGCAAGAAGAATATGGACCACCAAGAAGACCTCGTAAGCCTTTCTTCTCAAGAGCAACAAACCCTGAAAGCAGATGAGACCACCGCAAGAGGTTGCCAAAATACCGTACTGAATGTACAATTTCTTCATGCTTCTGGCATACCTTCCTTGTTTGACGTAGATGGCCGAGTAAAGCACAGAGTGGATGAACACAAGCAACACAATGATTCTGGCCACCCATCTGTGGTACATGATAAAGGTGGAGAACTTCCATCTGGTCAACCATTGCAAAAAGTTGTTACGACCTCCAATGAGGAAAAGCAACGGAAGAAGCACCGTACCCATGATACCGGTTCTGTCTGCAACTACTCTCATTATAGCAATAGAGCTTTGAGGGAAAACGGGGTCATTGGGGACCACTCTTATTTGTCCAAAACAAGATCCAAAGACAAGCCAGAAGAAGCCAAACACAATAAGCGATTCCATTCTCGAAGGCACGAGGCAGTTGAACAAACCGAGGTTCGTCTGGTGATCGTTCTTCTTCTTTCTCACCAAAGCAGGCAAAGTGATGTGTTTTCTCCAAAGCTTGGAAAGACGTCCGTTGAAGGTGGTTCTCAAGGATGGAAATATCACCACAGCCCAGTTTGCAACAATAGCCATAAGAAACACCAATGCCCAGTAGCCTAGAGCACCTGCTCCGTAGTACATGGCTCTGTCGAAATTCCCGAGAAAGATATAGTACGACTCATAGTAGCTTGCAGCAAGCGAGACGTTAGCCTTGATAGGTACATCCACCGCTTTTGTCTTGTTGAAGCCCTCGATCTCACTAGGAAACTTGGCCTTTTCATGGTACATCTTGTTGTATTTCTCCAAATCCTCAAAAGTCAATGGGATGTTGTACTCGTTGCACGATTTGATAAGGTACTTCATGGCGCCTTTATTCAACTTGCCAATGTCGTCCATGCATCCAACAACGGACGCCACAGCATTATCGTTTTTGCAAAAACACGAAGTATCGTGCTTGCCCTTCTTGCCAGTGCAAAAAGTGGCCGCCAGCAGGAGAAATCCCGTGCATCCATGGTACTGGTAGGCGTCTTTACCGTAGAATTCATAGATGGAGCTATGGGCAGCAGTAGCCGAGGCCACTAGAAAGCATAAAAAGATGTACTTCGAGAGCATATAGAGAGAAAACCCACGAGCGGCTGGGGTATTTATAAAGAGAAAGCGGTGGATCTGGTCTGATGAGCCAGGCCTCGTCCAGCGGTAAAACGTAACCAATAGCAGCCAATTTTATCTGATCCATCAGTGGCTTTTTCGAAAAATCTGCAAGCTTAAGCCTCCAGGCAGGTCCAATCATAGCGGGTTCCTTTTTTTCCCATTCAATTTTTGGCACTACGCATCCACTGAACATGTGCCTCGGAAGCTTAGTTTGCACCGCCTTCTTCCACTGCAGGGATTATCCACTTTTGCTAGATCCCCGATCGCCGGACTACGGAGATTTTCTGGGAAGGCAATCGTCAACAAAGCAATTTAATTAAGTGCTTGGTGAAAATTGAAGTTAATTTGGGTGAAAAGCGCCCTCAGATGTTATAGATAAGCTCTCAGGTTTTGCAGGTGGGCCTTGGCATACGCTTTCGGCAAAGCGAAGTACGCCGCACCATTCTCGATGGAAGCATGGGCAACCGAGTCAGAGGTGAAAATTAAAAGACGATGAGTTTTTATTGGTCAGAATTCAAAGTCGGTTGTTTTTTTCCCTCTATGTTCGTGTAGGGTTCGGTGTTCAAGACGGTAAAAACGCACTGATGGCTGTCAACCTGTCAAACGCCGAATTCAGGAACAATCCGAGAAACGGGCATGCGCCAGGCACAGGCAGAAACTGTCATTGCCCGCACAAAAAGGTGAAGTGTTTCACAGCTGGATTTTAAAAATATCTCTGTTTCTTGGCCTGCTGCCCTTGCCTGAAAATCTCATTCGCTAGAAACGCTAGTGCCTAGTTGCCGAAATCGTAAAACGCTGCACATACGGAGTGCACTCTTGTGCCAAAACCTCAATGACATCTCCACAGCCAATGAGCGTTCTGCACGGTCTCTTTTTTAAAACAGAAAAATCGGTGGGTTGCAGGGTGCTGTACAAACGGGGGCTTTGTCCGGCCAAAACCCGGGCAATCCAAGGTGATCGTGATCGGGTGGGCCCGGGAGGGATTCTTAAAACATTGATTTTTGAAAAGTTTCAAGTTCACCTCCATGCTTCACACCCTTGACGTTCGTATTTTCCCATCAACTCCTCTTGGCGCTGTCAAGATCTCCATACATGGTGCGTAAGGCGTTTCCAGTCGCAACCGCCCAAATGCAGAATTGCAAAAGCCGTAAATCCTCGTCGAAACGCTCATAGGTTGGTTTTTTTCTTGGCTGCTTTTGACGTGGTTTTGGCAGGTATAAGCTTTGTAGACGAGCGATGTGACGGGCGAAATAGGGGCCAATCGACGAGGAGTTGAAGGAAAGGCTGGCCTGGAAGTGGTATGATTTTCCAGGCGAATCATCGATTGTGGATTGGCTGAAGGAGCTATTTTGGGATCGTGGCGGTGAATTTGGGCATTTGTGGCGCCATGGTTGTGGTGGAAGTGAATCCTCTTGAAACCTGGAACTTCTTCGAATCATGCCTCGACACCCGATATTCGATGAGATTAAGATCATCAACTTGTATTCGATCAACTTACTTTTATTCGTTGACTTGGGGCTGTGTCTGCTCTTCTCCTTTTTCATATGAAGCATTAGTGGGTATGATACGGCCACATTATGGCGACTAGAGTGTCACCGTTCAGACCTTCATTACACTCGTTATGTTTGATTTTATACAGATCAATTCGAAGTAATGGATGCCGTCCATCAAGAGTTCCGCCAATCGGCTATACCACTTTAACTATATGTCTTTAAAAGCCGAATCAAACTGAAGTCGGTGGAGCTCAGCGCTATAAGGGAATGATGGACACAGCATCACGGGAACCGGTTCCTGAAATCTGCAAACTTTTCAACGACCAGGACTGCATTTCAAGACAAGGTTTAACGTGGATGCTGTATTGTGGAGATCTGATGCAAACGGGCCAATATCGACAAAGTGAAAAGAGAGTTGCGTCAGAATAAGTCCAAGCTCGGACTCTAAGAGAACCACGGTACAGACCTTGGGAAGTTTGCCTTGACTGGGTCAAGCGACATTCAACGGTTCAAAAAGGCCGGCCACATTCAAAAATTGTGACTTGATTGTGGACTTTCAGAATCTCTATTGGAGCACCTCCTTAGCGAAATCTCCCCATTATCACTGCCTCTTTGATAAGTCTTTAATTCTCTAGTTATGTGTGCACCCTCTCAACGTCTTGCAAAGCGGCATGGACACCAACCTCTTAGTTGATGAAGACCTCTAGAAGCATTAGATCCTCTTCTGACTCAGACAAACACCAATTTTTGATATAAAGAGACTTCAACACCTCTGCTGGTCAAATTACATCTCGTACGCAATCTCGTGCACCTACCTTCTAGTTATGGAAAATAGTAACTTTTCATGTCAGTAGCAATAGTGTGTTATCTCCTTGTATCGAGCTACATTACATTTACCGAGCACTCAGCCTCTTGATAGCCTTTATTGGAGTAGCTCGTAAATAAATATCCACAGACAGTATACCCAGCTTTGCTCTTTCCACATCGCTACTTAAAGCTCATGACACCCAATATCAATTGACACCTCTTATCAAGAATTTTCCAGATCTACAGAAAATACTCTAAATCAGGCTCTATCAGTCGCCGCACCGGTCCGAATCTACGGCGGAGTTCGGAAAATCCCCATACTAGCGGTCACGAAAAACCCTCGTAAAAAAGCTGTCTAACTAGAAAACGGCTAAAAATATGTGTTCTGTACTGCATATATGACGCATCTCCCAAGTCCGCTTACATAAGCGCACTTTGAACATCACCACTAAAGAAGCCAAAAACGTCAAGTTCCTGGCACAAAAGGCTTCTTGACGGATCTCGAGGCGAAGCCACGCGGCTGAATAGGTCATGGACGCAAAACACCACGGTAAAGAAAAACAATGCGCCCAGGTTTTTTCCAACAGTATTCGAGACATCATCTCGAAGAAGGTTGGCTTTTAGCACAATTAAATAGATTCAAAAAAAGTCAAAGTTTTCAAATCAATATTTTCAAATTGAAGTTCTCAAATGTCTCAACTAAAGATCCCTCTCCATCTCTAAGTGAGACTGAGGCGCACGGCTATGGGCTTATGTAAGCGCCGTTGCAACCTTAGCTATTTTGCAGCTAATGTTACGTAAGCGCCGTTGAAACATCCAGGAACCCAGACGATCACTATAAAGATAAACCGTTTCCACCTCAAGGGTCTCAAGTCATTCACAATCATGGGTTTCCAACATTCCGACTCGGGCATAGCCGCATCAATCTTTTTTGCCCTCTACACCATCTACTGTGCCTTCATGGTCTACATCATCTACAAGAAAGGCTTCAAGACGGTCTACTCATTCCTCATTACCTTCCCTGTCTTTCGTTTTGGGTCGCAATTGTGTGGTATGGTGTTTTCCATAGTGGGATTCGAGCATTGGCAATGGCTCATTGCATACTTGGTCTTGGGTGCTGAAGGTTACTTTGTGCTTATCTTGAGTTCGTTTACTTTCGTGACCCATGCTCAAAAGCTCGAGTTCGGTCACTCTTGGGTAACTGATACTCGTCTGCACCTACTGTGTCTTCCCTTTGTGAAGTCCTACTCGTCCTTGTTCCATTTTCTTTTGATTCCAGCAAATTCCTTGGTTATTGCAGGAGGGACTATGCTTACAGGTGTGGACGACCTTGACGCTGAAAAGGGCAAGGTTGACGCTTCAAAAGCTATGAGAACGACAGGTCAAACGATTTTCCTCATGATGACGGTTCTTGTGCTTGTCTTTGCTTCTTACGCATACAAGAAGGAACGAGTTCGCAACCACTTCAACATTTCTGTCCTATTCGCTTGTCCGTTCTTAGTCGTCAGAGGTATATTTGGTATCCTTTCCATTTACATTGAGGACATGAACTATTTCCAGTTCTCTAACTACAGTGCTTCAGGCATCAATCACAAGTTGGTTGTGTATGAGTACGTACTTTCCACAACTATGGAGTTTGTGGCGTCCATGTTTATCTTAAGTAACTTCTTCTTGGATAAGAGCAAGAGTAAGCAGGATGTGGAGAGTCTGGAGTCGTGCAGTCTGGACCAGGCTTTCGTCGATAGCGAGAAACATTGAAATAAATGGTAAAGTTTTGACCTTGCACTGTAAACTTTTGACATATCACCTTCAACTATTCTTCAAAGTCCTTATCTCTGAATTTGCCGAAATTCAAACGTCACTGACACCTCGTAATTAGACTTCTGGCGCAGTCGTACGTCAAGATTTTGACACAATGCTGCATGAACGATACGTCTTCCAACGCCTCTTACGTAAGCGCAAGTCCAACATTTCCACCCAAGATAAGGCACGTTTGAAGGGAGGAGGTGGGATCTAGTAACTTTAAGCGAAAAAGAATCGAAGGGTCTTCACATCGAGAAGGGTGAAGCTTTAGGCATCTCGTAAATATTAGAATATCTCTTTTTCCCCAAAATCTGTCAATCAGCCCTCGAACAATACGTTTTTCCATCGCAATGTCATAGATAGCTTCAAATGCTTGATGGTGATGATAGCGGCAAAGTTCGACTTGCGCTTACGTAAGCGCTACTCAGCCGCTCCATAATTGTGCCACAATGAAGGCTTAAACACCGGTTGCAATGATCCAAAACCTCAACTTCACTATAAAAATGTCCAAAGCTTTCAATGAATTCAAAAGCTCATCTTTATTATGGCACTAAAGCACACTGACTCGGGTGTCGCTGCGGCGGTTTTCCTTGCACTTTACGCCATCTATGCCTTAGTGATGGTCTACATTGTATATGTCAAGGGTTTCAAAACCGTATACACATTTCTCATGTCCTTTCCGTTTATCCGGTTCGGGTCTCAATTATGCGGATTGGTGTTCGCCATCAAGGGAATTGAACATTACAAATGGCTTATTGCTTACTTGGTTCTCGGGCAGAAGGCTACTTTGTGCTTATCTTATCGGCATTTTTATTTTTGGTTCATGCTCAGAAGCGTAAGAATGGCTACTCGTGGTTGGAAAAATCCCAGTCTTTTTTAAAGGAGAACCCATTGGGAAACTCGTATGCTGCAATATTTCACTGGGTTTTGGTTCCAGCTAATGCTATGGTCATTGCTGGAGGCTCCATGCTCACGGGAATCGAGAATTATGATGCAGAAAGAAAGAAGGTCAGGATATCCAAGGGATTGAGGACCACTGGTCAGTCCTTGTTCCTTTCCTTGACCATAATCATCCTTCTTCTTGGATTGAATGCCTTCAAAAAGGAGAAGGTTCGAAACCACTTCAACATCACGATTCTCCTCGCCTCTCCATTCCTAATCGTCAGAGGTGTCTTTGGTATTCTATCCATCTACATCGAGAACATGAACTACTACCAGCTTTCCAACTACAGCGGTGCAGGCATCAACCATATGTTGGTGATATACGAGTACGTGCTTTCCACCACTATGGAGTTTGCAGCCTCCATATTCATTGTCAGTAACTTCTTTTTGGAAAAACAAGCAGATAGGGACGCTGACAAAGATGAAGAGAAGCAGAAGAAGAAAAAGAAGAGGGACCTGGACGACGAGAGTTCCGATGACAGTCTTGTTCGACAAGACCTGAAGAATCTGAATAATCTGGGTGCCGGCAGTATGGATGACGATCTCGATGACGACGACAGCGGCACATTATGGGGATTGCTAGGTTAAAGCCTGAATAGGCATTTGTTGGGAATCGCATTTCCAACTTTTCACTTTTTTGTTGCTTTTGATGCTCTGATTGGATAAACTATCCGAGCGGTTTTTGACGTTGACGTGCGGCTGTATTGCGCTTTTGTGCGTCGTTGTCAATATGGCTTGCCATAGAGATAAGTCTGATTAGAATGTGGGGGCTTTTATTTTGGCAACGTTTTTGCGGCTTTACTGATTAGCCGTGCCTTTTACGATTTTGAAGAGCTTTCCAAAAAGACTTTTCAAAAAAGTGGTATGTTGCCTCGATGACCCAACAGGGCGCTTGGGAACGAAACACGCTTTTTTCTTTCCCCTCATGAAATCTCGAAAGACATGTTTAGCCGGATCTAAACTCTGCTTACCCTCCGGAAATCGAATTCCGCCCAAACGCCTTTTGTGTAGATAGACCACTCCCCCACGTTGAACTCATGATTTATCTTGCTCACATGTCGGATAATTACACAATCACCTTCCTCGGTTTGCAAATTGACAGTAGTTGCTCAAGTATGCTCTTTACCATGATTCGAGATTTCAGAGGAAGACTTTGTCCAGTTACTGTCTTTGCGTAGAGAAGGCAGGCTCTTCTCAATCTTCCATTCAACTTTCCAAATCGCGTCGCCAAATAAACAGCCGTTATCTATGCAGCTGAGACGCGTGGGGCCGGCTGGGCCTTGTGGAAAACAGATCGATGAGTCAGCCGCTGTACATGGTCTTTCCGCATGTATCCTATCTCCTGAGGCAAAAGATGTGATGTCACATGGAGGGCTCCAGACGGGTAGATTCTCGGATTTAGACAGAAGGAATCTACGTGATTTAGGTGCCCGTGCGGAGTATGAAACACTACGGCTTCTCTATCGGCACAGCGTCAATGTAGCAGTAGACAGAGTAATATCGTGAATTTTTTACTGGCTCGATACGCCATGAGGCTCTTCACGCCACGTTCAAAATTCAATTAGTGATTATTAGTGATTCGCCAATCCCGCAGATGCCTTCAGAGAAACCTTGCCACATTTATCTTCTCAAACCTGTCACATTATCTAATCTTCTGCCACAGATAGGTGTTCCACTGCAAACCTTAAAGCCACTATTTATCGAGATTCCACCTCAACGCTGTGTACCCAAAGTTCCAAAACCTGCCCTCAGCGGTTGTCTGGCTTTCGATAAAACTTTGATGTTGTGGAGCCGCCTGGATGCACGGACCACTGCAGTATCTGCACCTCTGCTGACAGCTGCATTACCGAGACATGGCCATAGCATTTTGGGCTGTAGATACGCGGAATCTTCGATAATCAGGCGCTGTACCAGCAGGGTCTACCTTCCACATTGCACGTTAGCAGCAGTCTCAATGGAAATTGAGTTCCGAGCGGTCTTCATCGATTTTACCGCCAGCAAAATATAAAGCCGCCTGGAAATCCTCTCATTTCTACATCACCAATGCTTTCCTTGTTCCCCCTCCTCTCTTTGGCCCTCTCAGTCCAGGCCATGGCTATCAAGCCCACCGAAGTCTCCAACGACCTCGTCAAAAAGTCGGGACCCAAGGTGTTGAAGTTGGACTTTGGTGTTCACAGATCCTCTGCTAACATCACCAAGAGAGACACTCCTGATGAGGATCTCGACAACAGCAGAGACATTCGTTACCTCATGGACATGTACCTTGGATCGAACAAGCAGAAGGTTGAGGTGGACATTGACACCGGTTCTTCTGACCTTTGGGTGCACAATGCCAAAGGTGGTGCTGCTTTTGGAGGCGCTTTCAACGAAGATCAGTCCAGCACCCTCCAGCACCTCAACAAGGATTTCTCCATCGGCTACTTGGACGGCTCTGGTGTCGATGGTGAGTTTGTGAAGGACACCGTCACTCTTGAAGACGGAACCTCCATCAACAACTTCCAGTTTGCCGTTACCAATGGTAAGGACGATCTGCACCGCCCTCCAATCTTTGGAATTGGCAGAAAGGGTTTGGAGTCTGTTTCGACCCAGGACCAGTACGACAACTTCCCGTTGGCTTTGGTCGATGCTGGAATCATCGAGAAGCCTTCGTACTCCATCTACATGACGGGAGATGGCGGTGATAAGGGCCTGGTGCTCTTTGGCGGTATAGACAGAGCAAAGTATTCTGGTGATTTGGTTACCTATCCCATGAGCCACCCAACTCGGTCTTTGATCAAGTTGAACACAGTCAACTTCAACGGTAACACCTACGATATCAACCACAGCGTCAACATGGACACTGGCACTTCTTGGCTTATTTTGCCCGAGGCTGTCGTCAATGACCTTACCAGCCTTTTTGGTGCCTCGGTGAAGAGCAACGGTGACAAGTACATTTCCTGTGACCAGCCCACCGACAAATTTGTGACTTTTGACTTTGGCGACAGCCAGATCCAGTTGTCTTACGCTGATCTTGTCGTGAGGCCCTTCAAGGGATCCTGTCTCTTGGGCGTCAGTGCTGCTACTACTGACTCTATGCTTTTGGGTGACGTCTTTTTGAGAAAGACTTACACCTACTTTGACTTGGAGGCCGGTACTGTTGCCATTGCTCCTGCTATTGACACCGAGAACACTGACATTATCCAGGCTTGATGAGCGGAGTTTTAGATTGGTTTTTTAACTAAAATTGTTATCATGATGTTTGTCTGTTGACGCAACTGTCGTACATTTGTCGTTGTAGCCGCCGTACATGGACTCGACAATAGGGTTGCTTTTCCGAACCAGGCTTTTCGGACCGTATGTGCTGCAACGCCCCTGGGAATTAGCATATTTTTTCTTGGTATACGTCACTCGGGTCAAGTTGAAAGAAGCGTTTCAATTTGTGTAATCTGGAGCACCTCCTTTTCTCTTCCGCTCATGTCCGCCCGACCACCATTCACATGCTACTTTTCTCTGCTTCAAAAATCCGCTGCATAAAGTTCTCTTGCATATCGAAGCGTTGATAAAAGGTACAGCCGTTATCTTCCTCTGAATGCCGCTTAGCCAATCATAGATACCAACTGCACCTCGCTTACTACCTCACGGAATAGGTCCTGTTACCTTACATCGGGCAGAAGGTGTGGAAACTGGAAGCGAAAGCCGTACAATGGCACGGACCGGGTTGTGGAACCATGCTTATCATTGCTCATAATGTTACACTAAGCTTGACAAAGCAGAAGCAATCTACCTGCGTGGAAAGGTGGATTTTGATTCGATGATATCTCGAGATACTGAACCGCTGTGCATTGTGTAGAGAGGATTTATTCACTGGAAGTTTTCCTGGAAGCCTATACTTCACCTCCGGCTTCTGTGTAACCTAGCATTAACTGTATAAATATCCGAAGTAGTCTTAGATCAACAGCCATCATGGTTTCTCTCATTCCTCTTCTTACATTGGCCTTGTCCGTTCTGGGCTTGGCTATCAGACAGCCTGATTCTCAAGCCGAGCTTGCCCCAAGATCCGGCCCAAAGGTGTTGCAATTGGACCTCAACATCGACAAATCCAAGCCAAGCGGAAAAAGAGATGGATCTGCTCCAAAGGTGTTGCAATTGGATTTCAACGTTGACAGATCAAGCAGAAAGAGAGATGCCACTGCCGAAATCGACGACAACAGAGACGTTCGTTACTTCATGGACATGTACTTTGGTTCCAACAAGCAGAAGGTCCAGGTGGAGATCGACACGGGATCCTCTGATCTTTGGGTCCACGACGAGATCTACGGCCCATCCTACGAAGGCTATTTCAAACAGTCGGAGTCTGACACTTTCAACTACATCAACGAGAAATTCGAGATCCACTACTTCGACGGCTCTGCTTGTTATGGTCAGTTCGGCACGGACAATGTTGCCTTAGAGGACGGAACTGTCGTGAAGGATTTCCAATTCGCTGTTGTCAACAAAGCCACTGACAGAGGCACTCCAGCTATCTTTGGTATTTCCAGAAAGGTTCAGGAAAACGCTAAGCATCAGTACGACAACTTCCCATATGCTTTGGTGACCCAGGGTATCATCGACAAGCCAGCTTACTCCATCTACATGTCTAAGGAAGGCGGTGACAAGGGTCTGGTTCTTTTTGGTGGTATTGACAAGAAGAAGTACGAGGGTTCTTTGGTATCCTTCCCCATTAGCGACGACTACTTCTGTGACATTACACTTGAGAGTCTTGATGTGGACGGCAAGGAGTACTCTCTTAGCAAGTCTGCCATGTTGGACACCGGTACCTCTTGGAACTTCTTCCCTGATGAAATTGTTGACGACATCAGCGACAGGCTTGGTGCTAAGATCAACGATGATGGTGACAGAGTCATTGACTGTAACCAGCCCACTGACAAGTACATCACCTTCAACTTTGGCACCCAAGAAATCCAATTGACCTACGCCGACTTTGTCGTGAGACCGTTCAAAAACGGCTGTCTTGCGGGTATTAGCTACTGGAATCCTAAAAACGGTATTATTTTGGGTGATGTCTTCTTGAGGCGCACTTATACCGTGTACGATTTTGAGTCCGACACCATTTCCATTGCCCAGGCCGTGGACACCGACGAGTCTGATATTGTTCAGATTCCATGAGTCCACTTTGCTAGAATACAAAAAGTTAAATGGAAAGCTTCATTTTATTTGTTCAAAGGAATGTAAGGCACTAGGGTGCGGTTTGAAAAAAATGGCTGCAAACGTGCGGCTCGGTCAAAAATGAAAAACCAGCTTTCACTCAGAATTAACCTAGAAACTCTCTTTTCTTGCAAAATCGTCGTTGATAAACACTTCTGACTCCACGCTGACGCTGATTCGGTGCAGCGGCTCCTCGATGGTCAGAAAGACGAAATCAACCACCAACTTGTATTGGTGAGATAACACAGCAGTAGCAAAAGTGGTCAGGGTTTGTGGAACAGCAACCTCAAACCATTCAGGGGGACATTGAAAAATGTAGTGCTTTTGATGGCCACTGTGGTCTTCTGGTTGTGAAACATGGTATAGCTCAAAGGTGATATCCTCATTGAGGTCCTCATCCAAGATTTCCTTGGTCTTCACCTTCGAGGTGGTGAGCGAAACGTCTGTCAAAGTAGATGATTCCAGCAGTTTGCCATCGCTTTCTGTGGTTTTTGGATACTCCACCTCCTCCACGAGCGAAACCTTCACCAACTGACATCGGATTTTGATTTTATCGGGTAGCTCAGCCACTCTCCTTGGAAAGGAGAGCCCGAGTGAAAAACTCACGTCTCTGTTGAGCATTTCTCCGGGCCTGATGTGTCTTGTGAGACTTACAGCACCATCGTCTTTCATAGGATAGGCACGGAAGAACGCACAAGCAGTAACTCTCAGACCAAGCGAGAGAACAACAGCTTCGTCTCCAAAAGCATCTACCCGCATTCTCCAGGCCAATTCTCCAGGAATTTGTGCTTCGACCAGGTACATCTGCTCGCTTGTTAGGAAAGCTGGAGGTATCGAGGTTTTGGCAGGTCTGACTCGAATTTGACAGGGTGAGTACGAAATCTTGGGATCGAGACCGGTCATGGGGTCTACAAGCGTATCCTCATTTGCAAGGGGAAGAACTAGGTAGGATACAGCGATGAAGTCACCGTTCTGGGTCTCATGGGTATATGAAGGTGGAAGCAAGAAGGTAGGCGGTGGAACCAATTCTGCCTCTTCTGGCACTTCAACCCTTTTGCATTCACATAGCGTGTTCTTATCTGGGATCTCTACCCGGCTTTCAATCTCATACCGGCCTTTCTCGAGATTGAGTTTGGAGTCGATATTGAGCTCAAACGCTCTGAACAAGAACCGGTGATAATAGTCATTGGCAGGAACAAGCGTAGATGGGCTTTCTACCTGTTTCTGTGGAGCAAATGCACTGGTGATTACGTACCCCAGAAGTGTCAAAATGAGGCTGCTTATCACTATGGGCTCCTCGATATCTAGCACCACCTTGACTGGCACAAAGTCGCCAGACAGGAAGATGGCGTCGTTCACCACCTCGGCAGCGATTCTGTTGACCATTGAATTTGCAAAACTCTATTTCTTAGCTCTTGATTATAGCTCTCGATTATATACGGCAGAACCCCTCACACATTGCCGTTGGAAACGGCGAGGCACAAGGCAACTCCAAGCAACAAAGAACAATTCATGATGCAGCTTCATGCCGAGAACCGCATCAAAACACTGTAAAAGCAGTCTATGACGGATAGGAGAAGCAAGAAAGCACCTCAATCGCGGTCGATCCTACAAGGAAAGGACATATCGATTCCGTACATTAGAGTGAAGCTATGTGAATGTTTCACAATTTGGAGCAGTGTTTCATGTTGCATTGTCGGTACCTTTCCCAGACACCAAGAGCTCGATGGAATCATGACTCTCACTGTTCATGTTGTCTGAAACAGGTTGTGGCCTCTTTTTACCAAGAAGCACCCCGGTAACCGTCTTGATAGCCTCTCTGCCCTGCCAGAGGGGAACGAGGATTATGTAGCCAGCCGCAAGAACCGCCCAGATTATGTTCACCACAATGAAAAATACAAAGGCACCTTTGGTCAGCTCATATCCACTGCCGTACAAGGCGAGCGGAATAAGAATGTGGCAGCCAAAAAGAATAATGATGTTTGCAAAAGCACTCATCCAGACCTGCTTTTTGAGTACATTCTTCTCGGAGTCAGTCACCTTGGCGGCCTCTCTTCCTTCTTCATCCACATCGTCTGCCATGACAATTTCGATGGAGAGGATGTTCATATCGTAGTCATGCTGTTCTGGCTTGAGGAGGGTGATGATGACAACGTAGATGGGGCACGAGCCGAGGGCCACGATATTGCCAATAAATGTAGCCTCTGTGATCATCAAGGTGTCTTTGTTGATCACCCCTTCTCCCCAATGGTGGGTTGCGCCGATCCAGCAGAGCAACCCTGATAGTGTCGCTAATGGAGCACCCACTATCAACGACGTTGTCGTCATTCTGCTCCAAAAAACAGCCAAAATGACAATACTGACTGTTGGCGTCAAGATAATCCCACGAAGCTGAGAAGCCATCCCACAGTTACACCAACATAGTTGAGCACTGTCGCCAAAGCCGCCATGAAAATACCAAATCCCACCACAAAAGCATGGGCTGCTCTCACAAGCTGTTTTCCCGTTGCATCCGGCTTGAAGTACGTCCGGTAGAGATCGTACGTTGCTATCGACGAGAAGGCAATAAGCTCAGCGGAAGTTGCAGATGTCACCGACATGAAAAGCATCGCCAAGGCTGCAGCGGCTCCACTCTTGCCAAATATCGCTGTCATTCCATAAATGACGGGAAGCCCAGCATCAACCTCAAAGTCGGTAAGCGGATTGGGGTAGGTGACAGAAGCTGGATTGTTCAAAAGTGCCCTACAAGCGAGCCCAGCGGACAGACCCAAGGCCATGGGAATAATCCACCAGCACAAGCCTCCCATGAGGTATCCTTCAAACACAGAACGGGCATCTGAGGCTATAGCACGCTGGGCATAGCCCGGATCACCGAAAACAGAACACATGTTTCCTAGAGTGACAGACCAGGCAAGGAAGTTCATGTCCTTGTCTCTGAAACTAAGGTAGCTGTCGCCCGGAGCAGGAATGAGCTCCTGGGCCTCCACGAGAAGATCGTACATTCTGCTGGGCGACCCAATTAACGGAGACGAGCAGAAGATGTAGAAAATCATCACGAGAATGATACAGTATATGATCACCGTGTGGATCCAGTCAGACACAAAGGTTGCCTTGAGACCACCAAGAGCAGTGTACACTATGACACCCAAGGGAAGCAAAAACGACGCTGCCACGGTGTGCATCCCCGTTGTCACTGCAAAAGCCTGAGATCCTCCTAGTAGCAAAAGTGCCGATGTCAAGACGTTTGTTGCCATGCAATAGCACAAAAACACAATGTGGCCCCATTTTCCAAAGCGGAAGTGGAAAATCTCCGGGATGGTATGAGCAGCAGGGGCACGGCGTTTTATCTGGATCGCCAAAAACATGAAGAGCGTCACCTCCAAGGCTCCTCCGACAGCATAGAAGTAGCCTCCACTGATTCCATGGGCATAACTCCAGGCGCCCGAGGAAAGAAGCGTCGCGGGCCACGTCCATGCCGAAACTGTAGCAGACGAGATAAGACCCGCCTTGACGCTTCTGGAGGCGGTGGTGAATCTTTCTGAATTCTGGTGCTGGCCCATATACTTGGCCAACATTTTCGTTATAAACACCATGACAAGAGCAAAAGCCGCACCGAGGCCCACGGCAAAGCCGTAGCCGTAACTCTGGCCTAGAATGGGTTCCATATTCTTGGTAAGATATAGAATTCAAATTGAGTTGCCCTCTTATATAGTGGTGATTTTGCAGCCATATCGGTGCGGCGCTTGCATAAAGCAGTGCAGTATCTCCAGAACGAGAATGCCTCAGATCTCCTCAAGGCAACCGCTTTTCCAAGCCCCCCTACATCAATTGTTCGATCACGTATTCGGGATTTGACATCCGCTTTTAAGAGGGGTCGTTATAAGACATTCCGATAAGCCTCCCCATATAAGGCCAGACCTTCTGCTGTTTTGCTGTACAATGGTGTGGGAAGCTATCGCTAAGCGGAAGCAGGAATCCATCCTCGGTGGGATCCCACCAAAGTGGAGAGACGCTGGAATTGCTGAGAAAATGCAGCTTGCCGGGGAGACAAATACGAAACTTTTTTTGGATGCCGTTCTTCCCGAGGATGAAAATGCCATCACCAGTCTTTCCTTGGTGGATCTCCAGGGGAAGATCGCAGCAGGTGAATTATCAGCGTTAGAGGTTACCACAGCATACTGCCATAGGGCAGCTCTAGCTCATCAAATTGTCAATTGCTGCTCGGATATCTTCTTTGACGAGGCTTTCGAAAGGGCCAAAAAACTAGATCGAGTGTTTGCCAAAGACGGGATAGTAGGTCCGCTTCACGGTATCCCCATCTCCTTGAAAGATCAGGTGGACTTGACGGGCAAGGATTCCACCTTGGGGTACGTCTCGTTGGCTGGTAAGCCCAAAGCCAAAAACGCCCTTATCGCTGATCAATTGCTCGAAGCGGGTGCTGTCTTTTACGTGAAAACAGCTGTCCCCAGCTCCCTTATGGCCTCTGAGACATACTCCAATCTCATTGGCTACACTACAAATTCCTTGCATCTGGACTTCTCGGCAGGCGGCTCGTCAGGTGGTGAAGGGTCCTTGATCGCCGCTGGAGCCTCACCGTGTGGTTTAGGCACGGATATTGGCGGCAGCATCAGGATCCCTTCCTGCTTCCAGGGCTTGTATGCGTTGAAACCGGCCACCGGGCGCTTTTCGTATATGAACGTCACCAACGCCTCGAGTGGCCAGGAGTGTGTAGTTTCGGCAATCGGCCCGATGGCCCGCTCTCTCGAGGATGTGAAGTACGTTTCTAAAGTTTTGGTTGGGATGGCGGGGTGGAACTTGGATCCCAAGGTGCTTGCTGTTCCGTGGAGGGAGGAGGCTCAGAGACACTTTACTATTGGCATCTGGCATGCCTGTTCTGAGCTCAGACCTCAACCTCCAGTGACCAGGGCTCTTGAAGAGACAAAAGCAGCTTTGCAAGAAGCAGGCCATGAGGTGGTGGATATTGAAATCCCCATGCTGTTGAAGGCCATGGCCACGGCCACAAAAGTATATGTTGCGGACGCTGGAAAAGAGGCTTATGGGGAATGCAGCAAAACGGGTGAGCCGTTCATAAAAGCCGCTGTGGACTGTGTGCCATGGGATCTTTTTGGTAAACCTTTGGACACCAGTGCATGGTGGGATTTGTGCAATGAAGCGTACGCAATCAAGCAGGAGTTCTACTCTCACTGGCAGAATACTGCTCAGTTGACTGTGTCTGGAAAGCCTATAGATGCTATCGTGTGCCCCATTTGGCCTGTTCCGGCTGTGCTCAAATACGGCCCCAGCACTGAAAATTACACAGTGCCTTTTAACCTTTTTGACTGTGCTAGTACCGTTGTTCCTGTTGGTGAAGTGGACAAGCTGAGAGATGTCAAGGATCCGTCGTTTGTGGCCAGAAACGACGCCGAACAGAGCGTTTACGATATGTACGATCCGGAAAAGTTCCATAAATTGCCTGTTTGCCTTCAGGTGGTGACCAAAAAGCTCGAGGAGGAGAAATCGCTAGCTGTGGCGGAGGCCTTAGATCAGGCAGTACACGCCTCTCGGTAGCCTGGCAGTGCATAGCCGAGCTTTCGAAACGTGCGTCATGTGCTCAGCATATTTAGCCGATTTTAGTTCTTTGTTTTAAAAAACTCGTTGTAAATGCAGATTTGATGTTGATAAGTGTAGTCCATCCTCGGTCTTCTGTTTGCATCTCAAACGGGGCTTTCACCCCCTCCTACATAATCTGCACGATCTACAATAAGCGAGGTTCCCCCGGATGAATTATAAGATTCTGCGTTTGATGCGAAAAAATAATCAAATCCAATAATCACCAACTTTTTCCTTCTCTAAACAACATCGGTGCATCTCATCCAGTCCGTCTGACAGCCACATCTTGGCTAGAGTGCACTTGTGCCTGGTTTTTCTTGACCCTACAGATCTCCATCTTTTTGACGATTCGAAGACCATGAGGAAACTGGTGCTAATCCGCTGTGTTCCGTTGGCCCTAGTGGTGGCTTTGACCATCCTGTTCGTTTTGAACATCGCCGTGTTTCAGGGAAACCGGGAACATCGGACACTTACAGATCCGCTCGGTAAGATACTCGAGCATAATAAGGTGCCGAAAGAACAACGGTGCCAGGATTATTTTACACATTTGGCCAGCTCGCTAGATAGAGACGCCTTGTTGGAGAAGTCGACGCCGAGGAAGCAGTGGATCCGGACTTTTGTGGGGCATCTCCGAGCCTATGGAGCTTGTTTCCTAGAAAGCAATGTGAAGGTGAAGAATGGCATTGAGGATGTGGAAAGGAAGCTTTTTCCGCTTTTTTCAGGGAAAATGCCTGTGGTGACAAAGTGGGACGGTACAGTTGTGCCAGGACCAGAAAAGAAGGGTTCCTCTTTCTGGGGAAGAGTGAAAAACGGCTTTTCCAAGAAAGGAATCGTCTTCAGCATGAGCGACGCCGGGGTCGACGAAGCAAAACGGCTCCTCAGGGTGCTCCGGTTTCTAGAAAACGATTTGTCCATTCAAATGGTGCACAAGGGCGATCTTTCGCCAGATTCGATACAGAAGCTTGTTGAGGTTGCTCGAGCTGAGGTGGACTTTGAGTATGCCAAATCGTCGCTTTATCCACCCCAGGATGTCTATTTTGTGGATGCAAGTAGGGCTCTTGCTGACGGCGCCTCCAAGTACTTTCGTCGTTTTTCGAACAAGTGGGTAGCCTCCTTGTTCAACACCTTTGACGAGATGGTGCTTATGGACACAGATGTGGTGCCTTTTGTGAAGCCAAGAACGCTTTTCACTTACAAGGAATACCTGAAACACGGAGCCTACTTCTTCAGAGACAGACTCAGCAGCGAACGCACCTGGACCACTCCTATGGGTTTCTTCAGAAGCCTCCATCCCTCCTTAGAGGAGCAACGAGCATTTGATATTCATGACTATACCGATGTCGCTGAAGCCACGGGCTTTTTCCAGTCGAAATCAAAACACGTCATGGAAAGCGGCATGGTGGTGATGAAAAGATCAACACATTTGACCGGTTTGCTTATTTCCACGGCTTTACAGTTTTGGCACGAAACCAGTGGGCCTTTCTATGGTGATAAAGAGCTTTTCTGGCTTGGACAGATTTACGCTGGTCGGGCTCTATTTACATTTAATGAGCAGCCAGCTGCTGGTATAGGAGAGCTTCACGAGACGAAAAAGTCCTGGGAAGTTTGCTCAACCCAGCCTGCTCATTTTGATTCTGAACACAGGCTTCTTTGGATAAATGGCGGGCTACAAAAGTGCAAAAAAGGATATTATCAAAAAGACTTTGAAGCCCTCAAGTCGCTTAGAGAAAAGTACAAGACGCCAGAAGCTTTGCATGACCATTACCGATCTCCATCCAAGATAAATGGGGCTATCATCCCAAAACTGAAGCTGGGCTTCGTTCAGGATAAAACAAAAGGATGCATCGGATACGTATGGTGTGCCTCGGTTCCCAAAAATGAAGAAACTAATGCCGTGGTGAGGTTTAGCCAGGAGCAGACAACTTTAATTGAGCATATAGAACAGTTGTGGTACGGCGACGACTACAAAAAGTACATATAGATTACAGAACAAGTTTTATACATTAATAACTTTATTAGACGAAATTAAATCTGTGGTAACGATGATTAAGAAAATGCCGAGGCAATGGAAATGCCAAAAATGAATTAATCGAAGGGAAGAGTGTATGCTAAAGGGCATCACTTTTAAATCATTGCGAAGAAAGCGAAGGGAAGCAACCATTTGGCGCTGAACTTCGTGGAAGAAGCGCCGGCTTCGTATGACGATACGCTTGGAGCAGCAGAGCCGCCCGCAGACGTGTAGACAGTGTCGAGAGTGGTCTGAGAGCCAGCTGGAGCACCGGTGGTTTCAGCTGGGGCAGCAGAGCCAGGCTGTGTAGCAACAGGCTCAGGACCATTGGACTCACCGGCGATAGTAGAGGTGAATGGCTCGCCCTGCGAGTCAGTACCCACAACAACAACGTCCAGAGTAGTTTCCACGTGGCCATCCTCAGCAGTGGTCTCGTAGTATGAGGTAAACGAAGACTCGGCGGCTGGGGACTCGCCAGCAGGGGTATTGATGGAAGTGTAGGAGGTCAAGGAGCCGTTCTCACCGGTGCTCTCAACAACAACTCCAGTGTAAGTGGTCTCCTTGCCATCCTCACCAGTAGAGGCGAAGGTAGTCTCCTCAGGACAGATGGAGGTGTAGTAGGTGACGGTACCATCAACAGTAGTCTCAATGACCTCGGCACTGTAAGTAGCCTCAGAGCCGTCAGGCTTGGAGGAAACAAGGGTAGTGATGTCAGGGAGAACGGATGAGGAGGTAGTCAAAGAGCCAGCCGAGTCGGTGGTCTCACAGACAACGACAGTCTTGGTCACGGCTCCACCGGTGGAGTCAGTGGTCTCGAGAGTAGTGGTGTACTCAGCACCTCCAAGAGCAGAGGTGGTGGTGTACAATGAGCCCTCAGAGTCAGTAGTGACAATCACCAAGTCGGAAGAAGTGACTGGGTCACCGTTCGAGTCGGTAGTGGTGAAAGCGGAGGTGAACGACGTCAAGCCCTCACCGAGGAACTGAGAAGTGGATGTGGTCAAGGATCCTTCAGCGTCAGTAGTGACAACAGCGACACCAGACTCAGTAACTGGGTTACCGCTAGAGTCGGTGGTAGTCCAAGAGGTGGTGTATTCGTTGCCAAAAACGGAAGTTGAGGATGTCAATGAGCCCTCGGAGTCGGTGGATACACCAACAACACCAGACTCAGTCACTGGGTTGCCGTTAGCATCCGTAGTGGTCCAGGTGGAAGTGAACTCGGTGGCTTGAGGGAACTCAGAGGTGGTGGTGCTCAAAGCTCCGTCAGAGTCAGTACCCACAATGACGACACCAGACTCGGTCACAGGGTTACCGTTGGAGTCGGTAGAAGTCCATGTAGTGGTGTACTCAGACTCACCATCCTGGCCAAACTCAGAAGTAGTGGTGGTCAACTCACCGTTAGGGTCGGTAGAGACGATCACAACACCTGATTCGGTGACTGGGTTTCCGTTGTCATCGGTGGAGGTCCAAGTAGTGGTGTACTCAGACTCACCATCCTTGCCAAACTCGGAGGTGGTAGTGGCCAACTCACCGTTAGGGTCGGTAGAGACGATCACAACACCTGATTCGGTGACTGGGTTTCCGTTGTCATCGTTGGAGGTCCAAGTAGTGGTGTACTCAGACTCACCTGCGCCAGGGAACAAGGATGTGGTGGTAGACAAGGATCCCTCGGAGTCAGTAGTCACAATAACAACACCAGACTCAGTAACTGGGTTACCGTTAGAATCAGTGGTAGCGAACGTAGTGGTGTACTCAGAAGGAGCAGCACCCTCACCGGCTGGGAACAAAGAAGTAGTAGTAGCCAAAGCTCCGTTAGCATCGGTAGTAACGATCACGACACCAGATTCAGTAGCAGGGTTCCCATCAGCATCGGTAGTAGTGAAGGTCGTGGTGTACTCAGTAGGAGCAGCACCCTCACCGGCTGGGAACAAAGAAGTCGTAGTAGACAAAGCACCGTTAGCATCCGTGGTAACGATAACAACTCCAGACTCAGTGACTGGGTCACCGTTATCGTCATTGGTGGTGAAAGTGGTGGTGTACTCAGTAGGAGCAGCACCCTCACCGGCTGGGAACAAAGAAGTAGTAGTAGTCAAATCTCCGTTAGCATCCGTGGTAACGATAACAACTCCAGACTCAGTGACTGGGTCACCGTTATCGTCAGTAGTGGTGAATGTCGTAGTGTACTCGCTACCCTGAGGAGGGAACAACGAGGTAGTAGTCGTCAAAGCTCCGTTACCATCGGTAGTAACAATCACAACACCCGACTCGGTGGCTGGGTCGCCATTAGCATCGGTAGTAGTGAAAGTAGTGGTGTACTCGGTAGGAGCAGCACCATCACCGGCTGGGAACAAGGAAGTAGTAGTTGACAAAGCGCCGTTGGCGTCGGTAGCGACAATCACCACACCAGATTCGGTAACTGGGTCGCCGTTGGCATCAGTTGTAGTGAAGGTGGTGGTGTATTCGGTACCCTGAGGTGGGAACAAAGAAGTGGTGGTAGTCAAGGCTCCGTTGTCGTCGGTGGTAACAATCACGACACCAGACTCAGTAGCTGGGTTGCCATCAGCGTCAGTGGCGGTGAAGGTTGTAGTGTACTCAGTGAGTTCTGGAGCAGCCGAGTTGGTAGCAGTATCCGCTGGGAACAAAGAAGTGGTGGTCGACAAGGCACCATTAGCGTCAGTAGTAACAATCACAACACCAGACTCGGTAGCAGGGTTGCCATCAGCATCGGTAGTAGTGAAGGTCGTAGTGTACTCAGTTCCCTGAGGTGGGAACAATGAAGTGGTGGTAGTCAAAGCTCCGCTATCGTCGGTGGTAACAATCACGACACCAGACTCGGTAGCTGGGTTGCCATCAGCGTCAGTGGCGGTGAAGGTTGTAGTGTACTCAGTGAGTTCTGGAGCAGCAGAGTTGGTAGCAGCGTCTGTAGGGAACAAAGAAGTCGTAGTAGACAAAGCGCCGTTAGCGTCAGTGGTAACGATCACGATACCAGACTCAGTGACTGGGTTGCCATCGGCGTCGCTAGTGGTGAACGTCGTGGTGTACTCGGTACCCTGAGGTGGGAACAATGAAGTAGTAGTTGACAAAGCTCCGTCAGCATCCGTAGTAACAATCACAACACCAGACTCGGTAGCAGGGTCGCCATTAGCATCGGTAGTAGTGAAAGTAGTGGTGTATTCGGTGAGCTCTGGAGCAGCCGAGCTGGTGGCAGCATCTGCTGGGAACAACGAAGTTGTAGTAGACAAGGCACCGTCAGCATCGGTAGTGACAATGACAACACCAGACTCAGTGACTGGGTTGCCATCGGCGTCGCTGGTGGTGAACGTCGTGGTGTATTCAGTAAGCTGTGGTGGGAACAAAGACGTGGTAGTCGACAAGGCACCATCGGAGTCAGTAGTAACAATCACGACACCGGACTCAGTAGCAGGGTTGCCATTGGCATCGGTGGTAGTGAAGGTCGTAGTGTACTCGGTTCCCTGAGGTGGGAACAAAGACGTGGTAGTCGACAAGGCGCCATTATCGTCAGTTGTGACGATCACGACACCGGACTCAGTAGCTGGGTTACCGTCGGCGTCAGTTGAAGTGAACGTCGTGGTGTATTCAGTGAGCTCTGGAGCAGCCGAGCTGGTGGCAGCATCTGCTGGGAACAACGAAGTTGTAGTAGACAAGGCACCGTCAGCATCGGTAGTGACAATGACAACACCGGACTCGGTCACTGGGTCACCGTTACCATCAGTGGTGGTGAAGGTTGTGGTGTACTCAGTGAGCTGAGGTGGGAACAACGAAGTAGTGGTGGACAAAGCACCGTCGGAGTCAGTGGTGACCACAACAACACCAGATTCAGTCACTGGGTTACCGTCGGCATCAGTTGAAGTAAAGGTGGTTGTGTACTCGGTCCCCTGAGGTGGGAACAACGAGGTAGTAGTACTCAAGGCACCATCGGCATCAGTGGTAACAATGACAACACCAGACTCGGTGGCAGGATCACCATTAGCGTCAGTAGTAGTGAAGGTGGTTGTGTACTCAGTGAGTTCTGGAGCAGCTGAGCTGGTAGCAGCGTCTGCAGGAATGATGGAAGTAGTGGTAGACAAAGCACCATCTGCATCGGTGGTCACGATGACAACACCAGACTCAGTCACGGGGTCCCCGTCAGCGTCGGTAGTAGTGAAGGTGGTGGTGTATTCCGTAAGCTGAGGTGGGAACAAGGAGGTGGTGGTCGACAACGCACCATCGGAGTCAGTGGTGACAATCACGACACCGGACTCGGTAGCTGGGTTACCGTCAGCATCGGTGGTTGTGAAAGTGGTGGTGTACTCGGTAAGCTCCAAGGACGAGCTTGGAGCGTCAGTTGCGGCCTGAGAGGAGGAATCCGTTGGAGCAGCAGAGGACTCGGCAGGAGAGTCAGAGGACTCGGTTGGAGCAGCAGCATCGGAAGATGACTCTGTTGGAGCAGCTGACTCGGTCGAGGATTCAGTAGAGGACTCGGTAGAGGACTCAGTTGGAGATTCAGATGGAGCAGCCGAGGAAGACTCAGTTGAGGACTCAGTTGAGGACTCAGTTGGTGCTGCAGAGGACTCGGTAGAAGACTCCGTGGAAGACTCACTAGAAGACTCAGTTGGTGCAGTCGAGGACTCAGACGAGCTGGTAGCTGGCTCAGAGCTCGAGGCAGCAGTGGAACTGGACTCGGAGCTGGACTCGGAGGTAACTGTCGAGGAGACAGAGCTGCTAGAACTGGAGCTGGAGGTCGACGAAGCCAATGGGGTGGTGGTTGGCTCAGGGAAGTCGGAACACAAACACTCGGATGGAACAGTGCCAGGGTAGGCGCCGGAGTAGGAGATGGAGGTACCGGCCTTACCGACACCGTTTGTGGAGAATCCCGAGGAGGAGTAGCCCGTGCCGATGTTGAAGGCGATCTTGAAGACACCCAAGAAGAAGGAAAGCGTCAAGGTGCTGCCGGAGTAACTGTACGAGGTGAAACCAGTGCTGACGCGGAGTTTGTTGCCTTCACCAAAACCAACCACGTTGTAGGTCTTGGTACCGGTGAGACTCTGGGACAATCCCAACACGGACAATTCCGAGGAGGAATCGGAAAGGTAGATGGTCTGGGAGTTGGAGACGGACCAAGGACTGAGCTGGAGCAGAAGCTCGGCGTTGTTCATGATGTTGATACATCCGGAACCGGTGATACTGGTGGTCTGGGTCCAGTCCAAACGCTGGACACAGATAGTTCCGTCGTTGGTGATGGAGCCCAAGGCCTGGGAGATGGTGACGGTGGAGGCGGTACCGGAGGCCTGGGAAAGGTAGATCTTGCCGGAGTTTTCCCAGTTTGTGGCCGAGCTCAAGGTGATGGGCGGGGTCAAGGAGTACCCACTGATACCGAGCCACATGTCACCGGTGTTGGAGAAGGAGCCGATGGAGTTCAAGTTGTAGTTACTCACGACACTGGCTTTCAAGGAGTTGAAGGCCAAGTCACCGCTGTTGGTGATGGTGCCGGAGGTGAGGGCCACAGAGGAGATCAAGCCGTTAGACGAGGTGACATAGAAACCACCCTGGTTGTTCAAGCTGCCGCCCAAGGTGGTGAGGGCGTTGTTGACGATGGAGTAGTACACATCGGGGTTGATGGTGAGACTGCCCAAGGACGCACTGATTGTGGAAGTGCTGACTGTGTTTTCTGAGATGGTCAATGCCATTGCCGTTGCCACGTAGAGCAGCAAGGCGGCGAGCCAGCCTCGATAGTGGAACATTGGGGTCTAACGAGATTGAGAGAAGTAACGAAAAGAAGAAACGGGGAAAAGGGTGGGAGGATTCGGGACTATTTATGGGAGGCGGGAGCTGAGCCCAAAAAATACGTGGGGGTGATTTGCATGCATTGTGGAAAGGATTGTATTTGCTGCTGTTGCCCCAAGGCTGCTTCTATCAGAGAAGATGTAGTCTCTCAAGACGCATGCACGCTGCGCGGCTATGCACAACCCGCAGGGCCTTCTGCACGGCGCTGTACGGGCGATCGTCCCGCTGCTATACTTCCATGGGGCTCCAGATCGACCACACGGGCCCGCCCCATCTGTGTTCGTATATGGAGATTTACATTGTGGTTTGATGTCAGGCGGGCTTCTCCACTGACTAAGATCGACTGCACGTCGCTGTGAGGACCCTTCGGATGACCCTGGCTTCCGGCGCACGCCAGGCATTCCTATTTCAGTCCCTCGCATTCGTCGTGCAGCCCCACGAATCCAGTGCACTCCGTTCTACCCTAGACGGGCTCCACCATACAAGTCAAGAGAAGTCAAAGCCAATTTCCAGGGTTAAGCCACTGGCCTCTGGCCGATAAGCCACGCCGGATCTCAAAAGATCTCTCTCTGGCCGAAAGATTTGCGCTCTAATCCCGTCGCCATCTGGGCTTGGCTTTCGCTTGTGCTCACCAGCCACACCGGCCGCTATAGCTGCGATACGTTTTTGAGATTCTGGAATGTGATTTTGGCACGAAAAAATGCTGATTTTCCAGTTCCACAAAAGAAGTGGACTTTTTGAACCTTGAATACGACTACCTCCCTGTTGGGTGCTAGGTAGCCGTCTGGCCGGCAGTTTGCTTGTCGGGGTGTGCCACCCCGTCAGCCTTTCTTTTTCTGTCTTCTTTTCCAGATCTCCAGTAAGCCACCCTGCTTCGCTCGCTTTGTCATTTTTCGCCCTGTCTCGGAAACTCCCTCCGCTACCCGGCACCATTGTTCTCGTAAACCACGCCCGACCTGCAGACAAACGAGTCACTATTCCACCCTACCATCCCACAATGCCCGCCAAACCAAGAACCCTCCAAAGGCCTTCACTGAATTCTGAAATTTCAACATCGCCTCCAGCAACACAAGACTCGTCGTGCACACCGTACGGCTTTGGACGCTACGGCTTGCTGCGCAAGGGCCTTTTTTGCAGCCCGACCTGCGTGGCTATTTCTTGGGAAGCCTCGCTTTCTGTTTGCTGCCCAGAATAGCTCACATTGGGCTCTTCTCTGCCGAATCCTCACTTGCATTGCTGCAAATAAACGGATTTGTTCATCAAACTGCGACTGAGGAGGAATTGCCTTGCCACATTTTTGTGACACTGCCTAGCCGCTTTGTGTTGTTTCACCGTCTTTGTGCTCTACACCTGTTTTGTGCTACGATCTTGTTGCATGGCCTACATCCTTCCACCTACCCGTAGGGCAGCCACCCGGATGGCTTTCTTCCGGAAAACTGCTCGTTTGCTGCTAAGCCAAACTGCCTCAACAGCACCCCCGCCTGTTCCACTCGCCTGTCGTTTCCCGGCAAAATCATGAAAAACCTGTGAACCAAATGCACAGGCGCCTAAACCAGTGTTGTGAAGCCCGGGCCGATTCTCAATATGCGCTCACCCGAACCTGGGGATGCCGTAGAATCAAGAACCCTCTCTACAGACCTCACGATAACGCAGGCGACTGACGAAACATTGCATTTTCTGAGAATCGTGACAGTGATGAGAAGAAAAAATGTGCTCGTGATGGATGCAGATTTCGTTGTTTTCATTGGATGCCACATCCATGTGGTGGTGATTGAAAATGCCGTCACTGCGGATACACCGTACTACAGTAGTTCGCTGCACGCAGGGCTAAACTGGCATCTGTGGCTTCAGACCAGAAGCTGACTCTCCTATTGCAATTAATTCGTAAACGTCAGAGCCGTGATTGCAATTGTGAATTCAATTCGTCATTTTCTGGATTCCTGGTATGCGCTTCCTCGCTTAACCAAAGAGCGCTTCCCTAGACCCGTTTAGGTGCCCTTCACATACGGCTGTTGGCGGAATTGTCGATTTTCTTTTCAGCCACAGTCTATTTTGCTACGCCAGGCGGCTACCAGGATCGCTACAGAGGCTAAAGCACGGTCTAGATGACGCAAATCAGACACATTGGCCGGGCGGGATACTGGCGATGTCTGTGTCTGCGGATCTGCTGAGGAGAGTCAGGCGAGGTTGCGTAGTTACGGTGGCTGAAATTTAAGCATCGACGCCCGTTTAGCAACTCAAGGGTGCACGAGGGTGAGTTTGGGGGATTTGTGGATTGAATTTACGGAATGTTTTTGAGTCCCGCGTGGCTAGGCGAGATTTACCGGTGAGGTTATGATACGGTGAAGTTGGAGGTATCGAAATCTCTTCCTTTACACTTCAACCCACTTTTCTTATCCACGCTTACTCGTTACCGTCTGAAACCTTCTTCCATTGCTGCCCCTCACACTTGCTTCCATCTCCACGTCATGAGCATTAGGGGAACTTCGCCGTTAAAGTCTATTTTGCACAGCTGCTATCTGACCTTGCGTTCTGAAACCTTATATGAGCCCTGGTGGTTTTAGGGTTTGGCATGCTTCGGCGAATGCAGTAGGTGGCCGACAATGCAGGCATCTGCGACCGAACGCTCACTGCCCACATGAAACAATAGAATATGCATTTGGTTTTCTACCCCCAGACCCCAGCTACACTTGCTCAACATGTTTCAGGGGTCTGTTTCATGGTGAGACATTGTGATAATCACGCTTAAAATTACGCCGTTCCCGTCTCCACAATCGAATCCACCTCCTGTGAAAGCATGGTCTTGATCAAAGCCTCGTGGGACAGCAATTCGGCCACGCTTTATTGGGTATGCGCTTGGCCATTTTGGGCGAATCTGAAACACAAGTGATAAAAATGGTGTTTATAAGCGAACGAAGGTATTCAAGAACGCTGCATGCAGCTTTTTTTTTTTTTTTGTTTTTTTTTTTTAAAAACGAACATTCAATTAAGATGACGTCGGACGGCAAAGTGAATTTCGTGTTGGCCGTCCAGCTATTAGATAAGTTGCCTAGAAGCCGAGGAAGGATCCGCTCGAGGCCATATCTACCAAGGAAGCGGCACCTACAAAAGCGCTTACTGAAGCAGAAGGAGCGGCTTTAGAAGACTCATCAGCCACAAACTCATCAGCCACAAGAAGGCGCATATGAAGTAGCAATAGCACTGGAACATCTGAAACACCGGAATTAGCCGCACGTGTAGACTCCTCGGCAACAGAGGAATAGGCAGCACCAACGACAATGGTCTTGGTTAGTCAGGCCTGCTCGTCAGTGGTTTCATAAGTGGAGAGCTGGAGGTTATTGTAAAAATGGCGTTTCATCGTTTTTTTGAGCAGGTTTGTTGGTGTCTTACGTCATTGTCAGTGATGCAAGAGAGAGCGCTTCATAACTATGAAAATGGGGGTCATGGAAACCATTTAACTTTTTACCTGAATTCTGTAGCTTTCCATGATTCAAGAGGCTCATTATAAGCAAATACACCGGCTACCCTAAACTCGCCTGTCACTGCAAGATCACGATTATCAAGAACCCTGAATTCGAAGCCACAAAAATATTTTTAAGCACATGCTTTTACATGAACTTCAACTTCTGCCAGAATCGAGTAGTGGAATTTCAGAAACTCTGGTGTATCGTGATACTTAATCGCCGTATGTGCCGAAGGGAAGCGTGGCAATTCTGAACACTGAAATAAAAGATTTTCTACGTTGCCTCTGGAGACGGCTTCTCATTTACATTGGTACTCTCGCAATACCGGTCTTGCCAGGTTCTAACCAAGTAGTTTAGAGTACCGGTCCAAGATAGCAATCAGATCGGTTTGGCTGGGATGAAACGAGTCTTATGCAATGAAGCTCAAACTGATTGGGGGAGCAACTTTGTGACAGTATGGATTTTTGCCGCTCAGCATACAACATTCTTCTATCGTAAATCAGGTCGGCCAATACTTGCCAAGCAGTTTATTCGAGGCCAAGGATTATTGGGACTGTTCCGTCATGATTGGATTTTTTCTTCTCGTTATTTGATTTTTTCCAGCTACTATTGAATTTTTGTACAATCAAAGTGTCAAGTTCTGACTTTCCCTGGTTCTCGGAAATGCGGACGACGATATACTAACGAATACATCTTCGAATTTGCCAATGAATGCAACTTTAGAGCACTGAATTATTTCAAAAGTTTCGATGGCACTAACATTCTTCCAGCCTGTCTTCATTGACCTTCCTAAAATGTGTTTGATATCTGGACACTTTAGCCGATCGCCGCAGACAGAAAATAATGCAACTAAAAGTTGCATCTAGAAAATATCGACAGCTTCTAGAAAACACAGACATGCCTAAAAAATAACGATATCATAAATTCCGAGATATTTCTAACGTCCCTTTTATCTATAGTGTGTCTTAAAGAGTCGGTAGCGGTTCCTGTAGCCTGACTATCCAATCAATTCATCTACTTGCGTGAATGTGAAACTCAAAATCTTGTTGAAATCTATAACCGAATGAAGGGTATCTAAATATACTCGAATGAAAGGCAACCGAAAATGGCTGCAAGCAGCAAAAGTAAAATCCATGCGTTGACCGAAACATCAACAATAGCTAGAAGCATTATCTAGAATTAAAAGAGGGCGAAAAGACCGAGAGGAAGGATCCACTCAAGGCCGAATCTAGCGGTTGCAGCAGCACCCTCGTAAGCGCTCACAGGGGCAGCTGGAGCAACAGAAGAGGTGCCGACAGTGGCCACAACGGCAGTGCTCTCAGGAGCAGGAGCACCTGGGGCACCTGGTGCACCTGGAGCACCTGGAGCAGTGGTAGTCTCAGCAGCCACAGTAGATTGGACGCTACCAGAGTCGTCAGTCTCCACAACAATGGTCTTGGTGAGGTTGACAGTCTCACCTTCCTCGTTAGTGGTCTTGTAAGTAGAAACGAAGCTGGAAGAAGCCTCAGCAACAGTGGAGGTGTGGACCTCACCGTAGACGTCAGTCTCAACAGCAACAACACAGGAGGTGGTCTCAACCTTGCCGTCCTTGGTAGTCTCGTAGGTAGAAACGAAGGTAGTGGCTGGAGGACACACGGAAGTGTAAGAAGTCACAACACCGTGGATGGTGGTCTCGATGATAGCACCAGTAAGAGTGGTCTTGGAGCCGTCAGAGAGGGTGGACTCCACAGCGACGGTCTCAGGGCAGACGGTAGTGTAAACAGTCAACTCACCGTTAGGAGCAGTGGTCTCGCAAACAATGACAGTCTGGGTTGTGACGTCGCCGTGACCGTTTGTGGACTCGACAGTCGAGGTGTATCTTGTTGGGTCGAACTTGGAAGTGACAGTGGTCAAGATGCCGTTAGAGTCAGTAGTAACATCAACGACGCCAGACTCGGTGACTGGGTTTCCGTTAGCGTCAGTGGTGGTCCAAGAAGAGGTGTACTCAGTGACACCAGAGCCAAAATCGGAAGTGTAGGTGGTCAAGGAGCCCTCGGAATCAGTGGTGACAATAACCACACCAGACTCGGTGATTGGGTTGCCGTTTGCATCAGTCGTGGTCCAGGTAGAAGTAACCTCAGTTGGGGCACCAAACTCGGAAGTGTAGGTAGTCAAAGCACCGTTAGAGTCGGTTGTGACGATCACCACACCAGACTCAGTAACAGGGTTACCGTTGGCGTCAGTAGTAGTCCAGGTGGTGGTGACACCATCGACATCAGTTGGGAAAACCGAAGTAGAAGTGGTCAAAGCACCGTTGGAGTCAGTGGTGACAATAACAACACCGGACTCGGTAATTGGGTTTCCATTAGCGTCAGTGGTAGTCCAAGTGGAGGTGACCTCAGTTGGGGAGCCAAACTCAGAGGTGGTAGTGACCACGGAACCGTCAGGGTTGGTGGTAACAATGACAACACCGGATTCCGTAACAGGGTTACCGTTGGCGTCAGTGGTGGTCCAGGTAGTTGTAACACCATCAACGTCAGTTGGGAACAAGGAGGTGGAAGTGACAGCCGAACCGTTAGAGTCAGTGGTGACAACAACAACACCAGACTCAGTGACGGTGTTACCGTTGGCATCAGTAGTAGTGAAGGTAGTAGTCACACCATCAGTTGGGAAAAGAGAGGTGCTGGTAGTCAAGGAGCCCTCAGCGTCGGTAGTAACGACAACGACACCGGATTCAGTGACTGGGTTGCCATTGGCATCGGTGGTAGTCCAAGTGGTGGTGACACCGTCAACGTCCGTTGGGAAAAGGGAAGTAGAAGTCGTCAAAGAGCCATCGGAGTCAGTAGTAACCACAACGACACCAGACTCGGTGACAGGGTTGCCGTTATCATCAGTGGTGGTGAAGGTGGTGAGACTGTCGCCAGTTGGGAACAAGGAGGTGGAGGTAGTAGCAGCACCGTTGGAGTCGGTAGTAACAATGACTACACCAGACTCAGTCACAGGGTTTCCATCAGCGTCGGTGGTGGTGAAGGTAGTAGTCACACCGTCGGTAGGGAAGAGGGAAGTCGAGGTGGTCAAGGAGCCGTCAGAGTCAGTGGTAACGACAACAACGCCAGACTCGGTAAGTGTGTTTCCGTCAGCGTCGGTAGTAGTGAAGGTGGTGGTGACCTCGCTAGCGTCAGTTGGGAAGAGAGAAGTAGAAGTGGTCAAGGATCCCTCAGAATCGGTTGTGACCACGACAACTCCAGACTCAGTAACTGGGTTCCCGTCGGCATCTGTGGTGGTAAAAGTAGTAGTGACTTCACTGGCATCGGTAGGGAAAAGGGACGTGGAGGTGGTCAAAGATCCATCGGAATCAGTTGTAACCACAACAACACCAGATTCCGTGACTGGGTTACCATCAGCATCAGTAGTGGTGAAAGTGGTGGTCACCTCGCTGGCGTCAGTAGGGTAAAGAGACGTGGAAGTAGTCAAAGAACCGTCGGAATCGGTGGTCACAATAACAACACCAGACTCGGTAACGGGGTTTCCATCCGCGTCAGTTGTAGTGAAAGTGGTGGTAACTTCACTAGCATCGGTTGGGAAAAGCGAGGTGCTGGTAGTAGCATCGCCGTTGGAGTCAGTAGTGACCACAACAACACCGGATTCAGTCACGGTGTTTCCATCAGCATCGGTAGTAGTAAAGGTGGTAGTCACCTCACCAGCATCAGTGGGGAACAACGAGGTAGAAGTCGTTGGGTTTCCATCGGAGTCAGTAGTAACAACAACAACGCCAGAATCGGTCACAGTGTTTCCGTCAGCATCGGTGGTGGTGAATGTAGTAGTCACCTCACCCGCGTCAGTTGGGAAAAGAGATGTTGATGTAGTAGTAGAACCTGCAGAATCGGTCGTCACAACCACAACGCCGGATTCGGTCACAGGGTTGCCGTCGGAGTCAGTGGTGGTGAACGTGGTTGTGACTCCGTTGACGTCGGAAGTAGCCTCAGAAGAAGTGGCAGCTTCAGAATCGGTTTCAGAAGTGGCGGTTTCAGAATCAGTTTCCGAAGTGGCAGCTTCAGAACTGGTTTCAGAAGTGGCAGTTTCAGAATCGGTTTCAGAAGTGGCAGCCTCAGAATCGGTTTCAGAAGTGGCAGCCTCAGAATCGGTTTCAGAGGTGGCCTCAGACGAAGTGACAGAAGAATCGTCAGTGACAGAAGACTCTGGAGCCTCAGAAGAAGAAGCAGCGTCAGAGGAGGAAGGACCAATACTAGACGGTTCCTCAGCTGGAGGCTCGGCTGGAGGGTCGAAACACAAACATTTCTGGGGTGTTTCAGCCTCTGGAACAGCCTCGCTGTACGTGATGTAAGTACCTCCGTTACCAAGACCGTTGGTGCTGAAGTAGGCGGTGTCGTAGCCGGTACCGATCTTCAAGTTAATTTTGAAAAGACCGAGGAGACCAGTAAGCGAAAGGGTGTCGTTGGCGTAAGTCCAGCTAGTGAAACCGAGGTTAGTTCTGATTCTGTTACCGTTACCGAAACCTCCAACAGTATAGGTTCTCTGAGCGGCAGTGTTGGCGTCCAAGCTGACCGTGACAGAAGAGTTGTCGGTGGCAAGGTAGAAGATCTGGTTTTCGTCGGTGGTGTAACCAAGAGTGGTGAGGGTCATTCTGGCACCGTTACCGATGTTGACACAACCTTGACCGTTGATACTGACCGACTGGTCCCAGTTCATTCTCTCAAGACAAATTGTACCGTCGTTGACAACACCACCGTCGTTGGCAGAGATGGTGATGGTGGAAGCAGCACCGGCCTCTTGGATCAAGTGGATTCTACCGGTGTTCTGCCAAGTACCAGAGCTGAAAAGGTTACCACTGGTAAGGGAGATTGGCGAAATAAGGTTGTAGCCGTTCAACTGCAACCACATGTTACCACTGTTGAGGAAATCCGTGCTGGCATCCAAGTTGTAGTAAGTTCCAAGAAGGGAGTTGGTACCGTTGAAGATCACGTTACCGGCGTTGTTGAAACTTCCCGAGGAGAACGACACACTGGCGGTCAAACCAGAGGAAGACTCGACGAAAAAGTCACCCTGGATGTCGGCATCACCAGAGATTCTGGTGGTCGAAGTACCGACAATACGGAGGTAGACATCAGGGCTGATGAAAAGACCGTCGCTGATCTGTCCACCGCTGCCAGAGGTGGTAGTGTTAGAAGTGATCTGCAAAGCCGAAGCTGTCGAGGCGTAAAGCGCAGCAGCTGCCCAGCCAATTGAACTGGTGAACTTCATTGTATGGCTTGAAGAATGGATGCAAAATGCTGGAGGAGGTGCTACTTTTTATACGTTTGGGTCTGCTGAGCTCCCCGAACGCCCAAAACAGGAAAAGGCATGCCAGAAGCAGGACGCAGCTCCCGCCAAAGACCAATCGGGTCGGTGGGTTAGAAACTTATTGGTTCTGGCAAGGAAGTTTTTGCAGCTAAACATCGTGGACTGCATGGCTCTCCGCAAGATGCATTAAACACGCAGCTCCATGCAGAGTGGATAAGTCAATCGAATGCGCAGTTGTTCTTGAAGTGGCCCCGAACTCGAAAAGCATGCCGCCAAAGTCCGCCTAGGGCAGGAAATGGACGAGTAGGTTTTTTTGTTTAGCGAGTGTGAAATTTGCTGCAATAGGGCTTGCCAAGTCGAGCACAGTCGTATCTCAATTCGTCTTGTGTCATGTTCCACGCATACACCAAGCCCATAGCTCCCCACAATGCATCCTGGCTTTCGTCCTTGTCTCACATGGTCAGCAAGGTCTATTGTCTCAAGCGTTCGAGTGGCATCGACCGGCTTGTCGTTTGGAAAATCCAAATACAATATTATAATCCAGTTTGGCCTGGCCGAATTTCAGAAACTCAAGACCCCAATATTACGAGACGCACTGCAGTCGAAATGTGGGGCTAACCAATTACACTGCGAGAAAAAATAAAATCCATGGTTAGAACTCTACAGACTAAAACTGCGTCCAGTAAAGGCCGCAGCTGCGCTCGTGACCTTTTCCTGATCAAGTGGAGATCTCGTAACCGTGAAAAGGGTTTCCTGTTTTGGCGTGTTGGGTAAGACTGGGGGTGTGTGGCGGCTCGCATGAGTGAATTTCTGCTTTTGACGAATCGTATAGCCTCTGTGCGTAAGGTCTGGCGTTGTCCGTGATATCATCCCTCTTGCAACCGGGCAAAGTTGAAGAAAAGAAGGAAATTCATCTTATGTGAGCCTCACTCAAAACGCATGGCCTAGACTCGCATACCTGGACGTTCATGCCTCGAATAAGCCTATTTGCTGGGTACTTTATCGAGGCAGGTTGTACAGAAGCGAACGTGTTCTGTACGTACACAAAAAGCCCAGACCACAAGATCCGTTTCACCCTGATAGCCCGAGGCGCTTTGTGCTGCACTCTCCATCCCACATTTCCTAATATAAAACCTTGTTCACCTTTTTCTACGGCGGCTATGCGGCCCGTCGGTGCTATCAATATGCACAATTGCATGCATCGTCATGTAGGCGAGAGAAGCACATGTCGACTCGTTGCCGTATGAAGTTTGGTTTTTTTGCAGAGTGTGAAAAATTTTGACGCATTCAACTTTCTACAGCTGGAGCTTTCTGCTCTCTACGGCCTTAAGGCGGTCGATCTGACCCTTGGTTCGCATGTGCGGCGTCTAAGCCATGAAACAGACAGCACCACAAATCTCCACATTCCCGGAACAAATCCGCCCTGGGAATAACCGCTTGGCTTTTGCGGCATTACTGCCCGTCCTCGAGCTGCAAATGCTGCGTATCCGAGCAGAGAGTTATCGTACCTTTATTGTCGAAAATCGCTGTAAACTGCTGAGCCTGCTTCGGAACGAGCTTTTCTGTATCCAAATTCGATGTATGCGCCTCTCTCAATGTAAGAATACTTGCCTTGCAGTGAGGTTTGAGCGTACGAATAATAAAAACGGCAGGTGGAGAACAAATTCGGTAACTGGTTTGCCGTTCGGGTTTAGGGGAGGCCGAAGTTGCCATGCAATTTCTCGATTGACTCTAGGTTCGTTTACTGGGAAATGGAGATGGACGGGAATTCACGGACAATTTTCCCGTAAGTTTTCACTAGTCTTCTGTGTAAGAAATGTCAAGATCTGATCTTAGCTTTTAGGTTTCAATTGTACAGTTTTCCCGTAGTAAAGCCTATTTTACCTTTCAAGCTCGTAAAATACGAGTTTTGTCTTTGAACGCGTGGCAGCGCCATTTTTGTTTTACAATGGAGAACAAAAAATCAGGATAGGAGACAGCAATTGTGTGATTTTGGATCTTTTGCAGTATAAGCGGACGACGGGCTATATTGGGAATTGGTGTTGAGAGACTCTATTTGGGCGACTTAAAAAAAAAAAAAATGCCTAAATTATTATGGATATGTGGATAGTTTATTTTGCCATCAATCCAAGTAAATTTGGGAGAATTGAAGTGAAATATTCCTCTCTTAATTCGTCAGATTAGCTATCAATATCTCTAGAGGTAGACTTGAAATAACCACCCCGCGTGTGCTGAAAAAGGATCCAATACATGTGCTTGTTCAATTCAGGCGACCTGAGTGTTTATTCTGGAAGCCAACAAGCGCAAATTTTGAAAGGATTTTTCGAAATATATCTACAAATCATGGCTGCTACAAGTATAGTTATGTGATCAAAAGTCGGGGTCATCCATCAATTGTATCTTCCTCGAGTATCAAGAAATTTTTCCCAAAGAAGCTTCTCTTCAGTTCCTAAAACCATTAAACTTTCTTCTCTCCAAAAAACAACTAATCTTCTTTTCTTTTTCGTTTTTGGCGACAAGGCGGCAGGGGACTTAGACGACCGTACATGGCCAAGATAGGGATCTAGAAGCCACGTTGGGGCAGATGCAAAAAGGGCTTTTGAGCAATTCAAAAAGACTGCAAAAATGTTTACAATTGATGAAAGCAAACATCCAAGCCATTCTCGCTATGGCTCAAACCACTTTATGTGTGTGAGGTGATCGCGATCTGCGGCCTCAAGATGATGTAATAGCGGCTAAATTGCTCATTGTGATTACGTTCCCACCGTGATTAGGAGCCAGCAATCAAGTAGAAAATCATTTGGCGATAGATATGTATCCGCCATTTTCTGGCTGCAACAATAATTTCCCTCCACCTTCTGAAAGCGCTTTTAACAGCTCCTAAGGCAGTTTTTAATAGCCAGATTGCTGGTTCACCTTATATTCTGGCTTCTAGAAACCTATTCCATTGCTCAATTGGTAAGCCTTGTGCTGAAGGTAAGCGAAAGCTTCTGATTGATGCGTCCTCGAATATTTTGGCTCCAGTTTTCCATTACATAATGCACTTAGCTCCAAATCAGAACACAGAAGTTGATGATAAAGCATTGCTTGATGTCCTCGCCATGTTAACTATTGAATACATCCATTGTTAGTTCAAACGTCGAAAATCCAATCTTTTATTGTCTCCATTAGAGAACCCCTCACTTCGCTTATGTCTGTCTATTGTCTAGCTGGAACAACTGAATAAGTTATCATTTGTCAATTTCAGGATGCCATAGCCTACTCATGCTCCAGCGATACTAATAAAGAATTGCCGGGCTTCCGAAAGTGTAAGGCAATTTCGACTCCCTAGTTTATTCCTCGGTTCTTAGAGGTCCGAGCCTCAGTCAAATAGCTATACCATTGAACTTGTTTTGGCACGTAATTGAGCTAGAGCTTCTATTATGTTGTTTCATTCACGGACTCCATCTTTGTAAAAATCCCAAAATCTCATGAAAATTTTTGGAAATACGGGTTCTGGTTCTGACAATGCAGCTATACAGGCTTCCACAGCCGAAGAATCCTCAGCGTGTCGGAGACGTCCTGTACTGGACGACTTATGTAAAATGCAATGCAAATGAAATTAGTATGACATCCAGGTGAAACACGCGAAGCCCAACATTCCCGACCGATTTTATGAGGAGTAATCATGAATTTCAGTGACTTCAAGCATAGTCTTTTTTGTCTACTTCTTTGTAATTCTTGAATGTCAATTGTGACAATTTTTAAGATCACAAAAATCAACTCAATTTTTAGAGAGGCTTTCTCACGGCTCTATGCCCCGCTTTTCCGAATCTGTCAGTTCAGGCTTGTGCTGCTCTAACTTCCGCGACCGACATAATATCTGTATCAGTATGCGTGAAAGGTCGAACCTGCAGGTATGCATATGCAGCTGCCAGTGATCTTCGACCATGCATTCCACAGAAGGGTTTAAGGGTCTACAACTTTAGCCGAGAAGTCAAAGGGTCCATTAGGACCCTTGACATTTTAGCTAGTCTTCAACCTGAAATAACTCCAAGTTTTATTATATCACCTTAGAATCCAATCACAAACGGTCTGACGCAATTGTCAGGTTGTAATAGGCTCTGACTCTTCCACTATGAGTGACACTTCCCATACTACATCCGTAAAGCTTATCCAAACTTTAAACTATGTAACTATTGCAGATTAATTCATGATAATTGAGGCGTCACCTTCTTCCAACACTTCCTGATGAATCTGAAGATAGGATCGTCATCGTTCGTAAAGACAATCTTGCCCTTGTTCTCTTGCTTAGCAAGAGCCTGCTCCTCGTCAGTGTCCTCCAAAGACTGGGCATTAGCAAGACGGTGGTCTCTCAAGAAGAGAGCATTTATCAATGCAGCAACACAAATGCAGAGACCGGCGATACAAAGTTTTCTCTGAACATCTGCATATGCCAAAACCACGGCAATTCTGGGAGTGGTACCCCAAGTGTACTCCTTGATAAACTTGTAAGGAGCCTCGTAAGCCTTCTCTGCCAAAGATGGGTCAACGCCACGGTCAATCATGTTTTGTCTGATGTTGTGATACATGGTCTGTGTCCAGATAGCACCAGTGACACACCTTCCAAAGGCACCACCAAGCTGGTAAATTGCAGCAAACAAGGCAGTAACAGAAGCCATGTACTCGTGATTTGTGCAAGTCTGGGCAGAAATCGACACAAGTCTGGTGAAGAAGCCCTGGCCCAATCCAAGCAACACAAAACCAACGGCAACACCATCACGGTAGTACTTACCACGAAGACCGTCATTGTCACCTCTGAAGTGCAAGAACACACCCATTGCAACGAACCAGATCATCACACCAAACAAGATAAACATCTTGGTTCTTCTTACCTTCGAAACGACAAAACCAACCACGGGCATAGTTAAAGCCCACACAAAGTGAAGCAACAATGGTGTTCTTGTGGCAACCACCCTACTGGCGTTCATTCCCACATGCAACACGGGATAAGCATACGAATTGGGCATACCACCGGCAAAAGTGTAGAGCACACCCATGGTGAACGCAGCCCAGATACCTCTGTCTTTCAACAAGGGGAATGGAATCAATGGGCTTCTTGCGAGCTTCATCTCCCACACAATGAACACCGGAATAAGGCAGAAGCCAATAACCAAAGGAGCAATTGTCTGAGCCTCAGCCCATTTCAGGGAAGTTCCACCTGCCAATGTCAATGGGACCAAAATGAAGCCAAAGATAGCAATGATGAGAAGACATGCGATGAAATCAACCCTCCAGATAGTCTCGTAAAACCAGAAACCAATATAACTAGAATAACGCTTGATGTTGAACATGAAACCGGTGGATCCGCTCTTTCTGAGCTCCTCGTAGCGGCTGACTCTGTTGCTCTTGGAGATAGCATAGTCGTTTTCCTCGTTGGTGATTTCCATCCACTCATCGGTTCTTCCAGCCTTGATTCTCATATGGAGAGCACAAAGCATGTATGGTGACACAACCAATGGGAAGGTAAAAGCCCACAAGGCAATACCGAACTTCCAATCGTGTCTCTCGATCAAACTGTCCACGATAGGACCAGATGCCCAGGTGTTGATAATGGAAGGAAGGTTCAAAATACAGATGGCCAACATTCTGTTTTTCAAAGTGGATGCGTCCGACAAGTTAATCTGCCACAAGATTCTGGCACCAGATGTACCGATCGAGTAGATAACCATTCCGCCAGCGTAACGATTAATGTCAGTCGCCTGAGACATCACAATAAGGCCGACAACTCTGAAGATAAGAGATATGGCAAACAACTCAAGACGACCAAAGATGTCAGACAATCTGGCATAGGCAGGCAAGGAAGCAGCAGCAATGACTCTTCTGATGATACCAATGGTACTCATCAAGGAGTGCTGCTTGAAAGACTCAGTTGCATAACCGACAAAAACGTCCAAGGCGTTACCCTCGATGGTGTTGATGTACATACAAATGAAGATGGTGAAGAAGTAGATACCCTTGAGAAGACGGGTGTCATACTGCTTAGTCTGTAATTCAGCCTTTCTGATACCAAAGGACTTCTTGAGTGGGTCCACCTCCTCTGATCCGGTGGTGGATTCACTGGATACCCGTTGGAAGTAATCGGCCTTCTGGTCAATACCCTTGGATCTGCTGTTGTTAGAAGAGCTTCTGTCGTCGTTAGACGCAGGCTGGGTCTTTTCAGGCATTGTGATAATCAAATAAGCAAGGACCAATTGCTGGATTTATACACCAAAGTGAAGAACTAGACCACCAGACCATGGGCTGGATCGGCCACAATCGGCTGTGTGAAGCTGCCAATGGGAACCCTTGCTAGGGTTTAATAACCGCATGAGCAGCAGGGCGATGGTTTATTTTTCTTGTCTCCAGCCCATTTTAGTCATTTTGACCATGCAAGCCCTTGTGACGTGAGCCGTCCTCTTTTGACACCTTGCCCGATTGATCGAAGCGATCTCTTTCGATCCCGCCGAGAATTGCGATAGTAAGCGATTTGCGTTTTTCGCCAAGCGCTTCTGAAGAAGGCTTCCAAGACACTTAGCACGGCAAATCGCCCCTGGAGATTTGCAACCAACGTGAGGCTGAATGTCCCGCAGCCCCTTGCATGAGGTTTTGCATTGCCGTTTCAAGTCTTGGTTCACATTGAAAGTTGTTGAGAATCGCATTCCATATTCTTCACCGTCGCTTCAATAGAACAACCCATCGAACTTGTCTTGGTGGGCAATTCATGCATCCCACTGTCTTTGCCAAGGACCTTTTCAAATGTAGTGCGTCGCCTTGGAACTGACTCAGTTGACGCACGGCTAACCGCTTTGGGTTAGCCTCCAGAGGGCTGAAAGTCTTGATACTTGAAGAATTGCGTTCTTGGGTGCAAAAAAAAGCTGAACAGAAGGGCTTGGCTGGGAGCCAAGGCCAAGCAAGTTTTCGAATTTTTTTCTTGCTTGCTTTTCGGTCCTTTTCACACACCCTTCTTATCACCATCTCAAAACGTCGCATCTGCCAAAAAGCACGCCCACAGAGCCAAGACTTTTGCAACGTCCCCTGGATTTGAACGAAAGCCGTGTGGCTCTCCAGGTTCTGTTGACTCTCCAGATTTTGTGGTTATGAGGTGCAGCTGTGTTCCTTTGTCGTAGGCTTAATAAGGTTTGGTGGTGAATTTTTGGCAGTGATGAAAATACAACCACTCGTGAAATTCACACTATGCTCAAAGATTATCAAGATAATGCCGATCAAGTCGTTACGACGCCTCGCGTCGCTACAGAGGCGGCAAAAGGCTCCCCAAAATTGTGTCACAAGTCCGCTATTGGCAGCATGTACGAGCTCTTAATCGCTATAGTTGACTGGGCACCGCTTTGGGCTAAGCGCCTGACTAGGAGGGAGCCATCTGATAATTGGATTAGTAATTGGGGCTTGCAATTGGTTTAGGCTTGGGCTCTCTCCGCTCAACCCTCTCCTACTTTCTAGACTCCGAAACGATGTCTGACAACTCGAGGTTTCACAATGCCAGGGCTGTTACATGGTGCAGTTGGGTGCACGGCTGAGTAATTAGATCCCCAGAAAGCATTCCCAAAGGGACCAAAGGCAGCTTTGGAGAAGAAATCGAGACTTTTTGCAATTAGGCATGGGTGGGTTTCATGCATTAGGATGCTTGTATTACCGCCACAATAAGGTCTTGCAAGGAAACCATCCTCCCGGTTGGACTTTAAGTTTTCAGAAGTGCTTCTACTATCAGATGTTGATTCATGCCAACGCACACTCGGGTGATCCTCTTGGGGAGAAGATGCCATAGGCCAATCGGTGTCTTAGATTTTCTTGAATTCTGCCAATGCCTGCCAATCTGATAAGCTTGGCTCATCCGAACCGGCCCTAAACGACCGAATGGGCTTGTTACCAGTCCTCATTGGATCGAGGTCATGGAACGAGTTGGTCATTTTGCTCAATTGCACCATGACATCCATTGACATGAAAGAACCTTCACGATCATCACGGCACTAAGTCAATCCCAGCTTTAGACCAACCTAGCCAACTGCAGTCCTCGGGCCTCGCCTGTTCAAACATCAACCACTGCTCTTTCACCTATTGCCAATAACAATGTCACTCATCAACCTCCTACATTGTCCCAACATTCAACTTCATGAATGATAAAAAATTTTTTTCGGGACATATCTCCTCGGCTTCCAAAATTCGGCATCTCCCCATTCCTCATCTCCACACTATCCCCATTCGTATCAGCATACAAATCGGACCTGCATTGTTCGGGAAGCTCTAGTCACGATACCGAAGTAGCACCCCGAGTCGCACGGAATTGCCCGGCCTAATCGAGAACGGGGTACCATTCCGACGCCCATGTAATAAGAATGAAGAATTACGGTTTTGAATATAGGCTATACAGGTGTGGAAGATAAGGAGAATACAACTTCCAGCCAAGCTGGCATATGTGAAGGATTGACAGATCAATGACAAAACCGGCTTATTGTTCGATCATCAAGAAGCTTCAAAAAAGGAAACCCGCGATTCCGAGATGTCCCCGCCAACCCCGCTAGCCGTACCACATTCTAACCTATCCATGTTGCGGCCATAGCGGTGAAGTCATTTTTTAATTGATTGTTATTGACATCTGCATAAAAAAAAAAAGCTTAGCGGAGATTGCTTGCAATTGAGGTCGTCTCGGGTTACCGCATTGGGACCAAACCTTGATAAGCCTCACGTGTGTTCTGATAATGCACCTGGCGATATCGAAAACCAGGATTTGCACAGCTTACGTGGATGCATAACTTTGTCTATAAAAGCGCCTTGACGTCCACTTTCATTCTATAACAATGTCACAAATGTCTAGGGCTTCGACGGTCGAGAAGCAGAGTGGCATTGTGACCACTGCGACAAGGGAATCCTTGAACGTCATTGGTGAGGTTGTCTCGGAAAAACCCCATATTGTCGGTTTAGATCTCTTTGAGCAGGGGAATGAGATTTCTGAGGAGGAGCTCGAGGCGGAAATCAAAAATATCCGGTGGAAGGTCGATCTCAGAATCGTGCCCATTCTTTGTGTCACTTACACCTTGCAGTATCTCGATAAGCTTAGTTTGAACTACGCCTCGGCGTATTCTCTCAAAGAGGATTTGGGTCTTCATGGTCAGAGGTACTCGTGGGTAGCTGCCATCTTCAATTTTGGCTACTTGTTCTGGGCAATGCCTTCCAACTATATCATCCAAAAAGTGCCCATTGCAAAGTACACAGGTGGTATGATTTTCGTGTGGGCCATTATTTTGATAGCACACATGGGCACGAAGAACTATGCTGGCATGCTCGTCGTGAGGTTTGTGTTGGGGATGTTCGAGGCTGGCATTTCGCCGTCTTGTATGATGATCTGTGGTATGTTCTACTCTCGTCAGGACCAGCCGTTCAGAATGTGTACGTTTTTGAGTTTCAACGGCGTTGCCACTATCTTGGGGGGTCTTCTTGGTTTTGGCTTGGGGCACGTCAATCTGGCTGCAGTTGCTTCCTGGAAGTTGATCTTCATGGTCATTGGTCTCATCAATTTCGTGTGGTCCATTATCTTCCTTTGGGTGACCCCCGATAACCCTGCAACCGCCAAGTTCTTGACTGAAAGGGAAAAAACGGTTCTCGTAAAGTACATCTCAAAGAACAACCAGGGTGTGAAGGATACACAGTTCAAGTACCCTCATGCTTTTGAGGCTATCAGAGACCCCGCAGTCCACATTGTGCTTATAATTGCCCTCTGTGTCGGTATCATCAACGGCGGTGTTTCCAACTTCCAATCGGCGTTGATCAAGGGTTACGGATTCGATGGTCTTGCAGCCACTGCTCTACAGATGCCTACAGGAGCATTTGAGTTTGTCGTTGTGTTTGCTGCGGGCCTAGCTGCTGTCAAGGTCCCCAACATCAGATGTCTCCTTTTCGTGCTTCTTTGTTTGCCTGGATTTGCTGGTCTTATCGGCATTCACTTGATTGAAGACGACAAGTGGGCATCGGTTGGATGCACGTGGCTCCAGTATATCATTGGAGGTCCCGTCATTCTCTGCTGGATTTTCATAAACGCCAACATTGGTGGAACCACTAAAAAGGTTGTGACCAACGGATGCTGGTTTACAATGTATGCCACTGGAAACATCGTCGGTGCTAACATTTTCTATGCTAATGAAGCACCCAAGTATAAATCGGCCATGATTGGTTTGATGACCTGCTACTCCGGCATGATTGCCCTCGGCATTGGCTACTGGTTTTTGTTGAGGGCCAGAAACTATAGAAGAGATAAAGAGCAAGGAGAGCAGACCGAGGAGATGAAACAGGAGGCCATACTTAACGGATTCAAGGGCCTCACGGATTTCGAAAACAAAGGTTTCAGATACGCCCTCTGAGCCCGGTAAATACTAATTTGAGTGATGTTAGGAGTCGAATGCTTGTAGTGTCTTGAAAGATTGGATTTTTGTGTGAACTAGTAGCATGCGAGAAGCCCATTTACGCAATTAACGTCAAACTCCGATAATGGGAGGTGTTATGGCGCTCAAACTCTCTCTGTATTTGTAAATTACGGCTGATTTTTATATTCAATAGTTGTGGGGCATTTTCGATTGTTTTTGATTTTTGTTGTCGTTATTTGATTCGGCTTTTTTATTGCCTTTGCAAATTCGCACTACACTTACAGAATCGTTACCTATTGTTCGAGCATCGTGAGATATTACAAAGTTCGAGATATTAGACGAAATAACATTTAACAAAAAAAAAAAAAAGAATTGAATTTTAGCGAGGGCTTAATTCAGCTCAAATAACCGTGGCCCCATTTCTTCAATCGCATGAATGTACAGAAAAATAGAAGAAATGGTTGCATCATAGCGAATACGAGATCAGTCGTTCTTACGAACACTATGGTGAAGAGGTGAGGCTCAAGTGACTGAAATCCTCGTCTTTACATATATATAGGGTGATTGGGCAAGCCCTCCCAACAGCTGAATGCGTTTTCTGTTGACTTTGTTTACGTTTGGTGAGAACCTCTAGGGTGTCAATTTACTTCTACAACTGATAAAAAGATGTTATAATATTCATCTAGACAATGGTGCACATGAAGGGCACAGCACCACGACCAGCGTGCTTGTTTAAGTTGTTGTCCTTTGGAGCGTTGTTCTTGTTCTGAGTAGTTTGAGCGGCCATGTTGATTTCTGTTGTTTGATGGTGTAAAGAAAGGGAGATCGTCTCCTATTTATATTTCAAACTCTCTCATCTAGGTTTCGTATGTTTGAGGCTTTAAAGTCTCATAAGACTTCTACTTTGGGTTTCTCAATGACTTTGTGTTTCACCATGTTTCTCTATTCGGCGTGGCAATGGACCGAGGTGGAATTGGTGGCGAGGGAACCAATAATATCAATTTCCGATGTATAGCACATCCTCCAGTCCGGCGGATTTGCCTTCTTTCAGCTCCCCTGTTTCAAGTTCTCTATGATCTCGTACTTCGAATGTGAGTTTCGTAATACACAAATTCTGATGTTGGCTTGTTTTACAACAGCAGTACGAGATAATCGCTCGAGCAGGATGACAGTTCCAAATTGCAAGTCATTAATGTGCTTTCCAAAGACAAGGTTATGCTACTTTCTATATGCAAAAGGCTCAAAAGTACCATATTGAAGCTGTAAAAAGCCATGGAAGTCCTCAAAGTAGCCAAATCTGTTTATTCACGGACACTCAACACCATTTATATTTTTATTATAATTTTTTATATGGTCCCCATGGTGTTAAATGCGTATGATACGGTCCCACGGCATCGACGTCAGATTTCATGGACTTTGTATTTCAGGTAGAGAAGAAACTGCTCAGACATAATTTATATTGCCAAAAATCATCCTCGCTCTCTGATTTCTTTTGAAACTAGATCTTGACATGCATAAAACTATAATTCTGATGCCAAAGAGAAGTTAGAGGTACACAATGTAAGGTAGCACCCCATGCTTTCACAAAAGAGATCTCTTCTGGTCATTTAAAAACTGGCTATTATAAGAGAAGTATAGGTTTCCTCTTTTGTTGTCGGTTATCATGAGGTCTTACAATCGTTGTAAAAGCAGGTACTGTGCACACTAGAAGTCTCTCAAAAACCTAGACATCTTTCGGCTAATATCGGAAACGCGTCTCAGGATTGCCACTAGTGAGTAGTTGATGTTTGAATGGGAATAGAATTTACATGATATTGACACCTTAATAACATTTTCACTATTATTCCACTTCTCCTGGTTATGTTTGAGATGCTCTGCCTTCTGTCGGTTGACAAAGTCCGTACCCGCCATCCAATATTGCACTTGTAGCTAATAAAGTAGCCCATTGCGGTCCCAATATTAGACAAACTCTCTTGCTCAACAATCAACAATTCATAAAGCTCAACTGCTCCAAAAATTATATTCATTTGGTCAAACAATCGAATTCATCATTCAATGTATCTTCAGGGCAGTGAGCTGAAAAGAATACGTGTTTTGCAATATCAAATGGAGTTGTCCCAGGTTCAAATAGTAGACGATAGGTTAAGAGTTAGTGCCGTTATAGCTCAATGACAGCTATTTACGTCAAACAATGGCGAGAAAAATCTCTTAAGGTGTCCTCACAAGGTACAATTGTATCAATAGACATAAAAGATCAGCTTATCGTATATACCTTGGACAATTTTGGTTGGCAATATATATCTACAATTATCTTTTACGCCAACGTCACATCTTATTGAGACATCAAAGTTAGGCTGTGAGACTCAGAGATTCGGAGTATTTTTTCCATGCATCTGGATAATGTAATATCCTTTTTTATCCGATTCCCGATTATTAACTCAGTTTTTTAAAGTAACCTTTGCGATGTCTACTCATAGTCGCACCACAATTACAAAATGAGTACTCAGATTCCTAACATCTCACCAAAGTATGAAAATTGTCATAAATATAAAAGACAGTTATTTTGATCCCCCAAAATCAAGTGTAAATACTACCTATTGAAAAATTTAAATTAAGATGAACCACATCCTTGCCGACACATGTCAATCCCCAAAAAATCATGACCATTTCGGAATACTCAATGTGTGGGAGCTTCTCGGGATTAAGCAAAGTCATTGTTATTGCGGGTGGCCACGGAATTTACTTTCGGACATCAAGTTTACGACGCACTATGGTTGAAACAAGAACACCCACAGTGTTTGCCACCCCTGCTGATTGTGTATAACTGGCATTGAGTTGGGTGAGTAGGCCTATCGAAGCATATATGAAAGTTTGTGTACGAGATCAGGCGATTTTTAAACGAGCGTTCTCCAATACGAGGCGGCTCCAAAGATCAATCCTTTATAGCATGGCTTGATGCTGTCAAACTGATAAGGGTACATTATGCAGTATTGTACATTACTGTATTTAAGCGAATGAGGCTTGCGTGATAAGGGCTTCGAGAAACACCTTGATAATGAAGCTACAACATATGTGGATTGTTTTGGTTATTGTCATACAACGACAAATAAGACATTTCACTCACTTTCATTGTGCTCTTCATATAGATTGGTGCGACAACCACATGGCAGATTCTCCAGGACTCCTCCAGGAGTGTATAGCGTCACAAAGCCCCTGTTGTGACGTGCATGGAGCCACATAGCGAGAGCCACACTGTCAGAGTGACGCATGCATAGCACTGTCGCCGATTTTACCCGAGTTCGCTTAATATAAAGTCGCAGGTATGGTAAACAATGCGAGATGAACATGATCGACTCTTTCGAAGAACTATCCCTCGCTCAGACCAATTTGATCGAGTGGTCACATACTCCAGAACAGGTTCTCGAGGAAGCTTCTCTTATTGTGAAAGAATACAAGGAGTTCAATGACTACATTGCTGCAATCACAAAGCCAACTATTGCGAATATTCTTGAACTAAGTATCAAGTATCACAACGAACACAACATTGATGATAACCAACTTGGCTTCTATAAGTATGTGTCGCCCGACAAAGATTTGCGAGATGCTAGTGCTAAAGCTGAAAGGTTAATCAGATCGGCGGTAGCTGACCAGGCAACTCGTGAAGATGTTTTCAAGGTCTATGACGAGTTGCTTAGAGAGATAAAGGAAAAGAATACACCTATCGATGCGGAGTCGCAAAAGTTTCTAGAGCAAAAGGTCAGGTCCTTTCACCGTAATGGCCTCGGCCTTTCAGATGATAAATTACAACGCTTGAAGGAATTGAAAGACGAAATTGTTGAAGTGCAGCAAAAATTTGTCAAGAACATCACAGAAGATTCAACATCAGTCTCTATCGATAAAGCTCTGGTACCAGATATTCCTAAATATATCACCGACGGATTGCCAGTAGTAGATGAGAAGTACGTGCTCAAGGGTCACGCACCATATCGTGTATTAGGGAGTGCAAATGATCAAGAAATTAGAAAGCAAGTGTATTTGGCTATTAACGAGAAAAGCCCTGGTAACGTATTGGAGTTGACCAAACTCGTTCGTTTGAGGTATGAGCTTGCAAAGTTGTTGGGATATAATTCGTACTCTGACTATGCTTTGGAAGAAAACATGGCAAAAACCGCTGAAAATGCATTAGGGTTTTTGGAGGATTTGAAACGTAAGATTCTGCTTGTTGCGAAAAAGGAAAATGACGCACTTCTAGAATTGAAAAATGAGGACTTGATCAACAAGGGCATTGAGCCACAGTCAGAAATCTTCGACTGGGATACTGGATACTACGCTGAGAAACTTGATCAGAAAGAGAACACCATAGATTACGTGAAGTTGAAGGAGCACTTCCCGGTTGAGAAAACGGTGGAGAAAATGATGCGAATTCAAGAGCATATTTTTGATATAAAGTTTGTCGAAATCAAAGAGCCAGAGAAGAAATATATTTGGCACGAAGATGTGAAGATATTTGCGGTATATGCAAACATCAAAAAGGGCCAACCGCTGAACGAGTTTTGTGGTACACTCTATTTAGATCTTACTTCAAGGCCAGGGAAATACACCGCCGCTGCCATGCTTCCTATTAAAGATGGATACTACGAGGAACGTTTGGTTCCACTGTACTGTGCATTGGTTACCAGCGGTTCTCCTCCAACTGAATCCAAACCAGCCTTTTTGAGGCATTCCCAAGTGACACAGACGTTCCATGAGCTCGGTCATTGCATTCATCTTTTTTTGTCCAGAGCAAGACATGCCAAGTTTCAAGGCCCCTCTGGTGTTCCTCGTGATTTCGTTGAATGCCCATCACAATTGATGGAGTTTTGGACTTGGTCTCCACGAGTATTGCAATTACTATCAGGACATTACGAAACCAATTTACCAATTACTGATGAGATTGCAGCACAGCTTGAAAGAAGCAAAAGTCTCAATAAGGGTAATGTTTATCTTAAGCGAGTTCACAATGCGCTTTTTGATCTCAAAATTCATAGTATCTCCGAGAAGGGTGAGCTCGATGCATTTGATCCTGTGGAAACCTGGAATGAACTTAGGGAAGACTTAGGCATTCCTTCATGTGAAGGTGTTAACAAGAGCTTTACCACATTTGGGCACTTAAGTGACCATTATGCCTCAACTTACTACGCGTATCTATATGGTCAGCTGCTTGCCGCAGACATTTTCTACAGCAAATTCAAGGAGAATCCCTTGAGCGTGGAGGCTGGTCTCGAGTATCGACAAATTGTGTTGAGTAGAGGTGGCTCATTGGATATTGAGGATATCTTGGAAGAGTTACTCGGTAGACCACCAAACTCGGAAGCTTACGAGCGAGACTTGAGTATAGGCGCATAGCTCAATATAAAAGTCAGCCACAATTGTTATCAGAGAGGGATCCCGAGTGTTTAGAATTTAATGAATGTATGCGACGAAAAGGCAAACTAGTCAAGACATAAATGTCACTACCAAAAGATGCCTAATGATTGATGCTAATGAATTAGAGGAGCAACTGACGGATAAACGAAATGTCCTGTTTGAACACTTGGAAAAAACGAGCCGGTCTTTGTGAGCTCCAAAAGTTATTGTGTATTTTAGTTAGATGGCTCCGCTGATTTGACATCGAGGGCTTCCTTGGCCGTCCAGTAAATGAGTGAAGTCACCGAATATCCTTAGGTATTTCATTGTTATGTGCCTTATGATGATTGATGGAGTCTGTTATTCGAGAACGAGCACTAGGATAATAAAAGACATCGCAGTTTTCTGATACCAACTCTCTTGAAAATGTTCACCTTACTGCAGAACCTCGTTCCAATTAAACCGATGAGAAGAATTGTACTATCAGGATAATAAAAAGCATGGCAAACAATACGCAGGGTTGAAAACTTCTGAGTGTTTCAGGTTGCCTATCAAACACGAAATACTTGTTTCAGAGTGTGTACTACGCGTGAGGCTCAAACACACGGGCTGGGGGCGAACACCTAACGAAACAAAACCAGTCCTGATTTGTTATGCAAAATAATTCATGTCAAAAAACTTTCTGCCAAAATTAACTTTGGGATTTCTTGCTACAGTTGTGAGTCCTTCATTGCTCGTGCAAGAAGCACGAGTGAGACACCTAGGTTTTTACACTTCCAATCAGATCTCGCAACGCACGACAAGGCAATACTTCTTGCAGCGCATTAAATATTGTGTGTTCCATAGTAAGAAAATTCAAATCTTTTGCCGGTTTTAGGTGCACAGTTGTGTCAGGTTATCGATGAAACACGCCGCACTTGTCTCAGAGTGTGTAGTGTATCCTCGGTATCACCCAAACCCGAGCGTCTTCCCCAAAGAAAGCATAAGCGATGCTGTTTTGTTGTATGAAAGCGGTGAAAAATTATTTAAACAATGTGAAACATGAAACATGCAACCTTTTAAATGCTGCATCCTCGAAACTAGGCCTCTTGTTTCAACTGTGTTCCACTAGCTTGAAGTCCATAGCTATATAAGCCCAGGCCCTGTCTATAAACTTGGAAAGTTTTTAAATAATGGAAGACATTGAACTTTATCCTATAAGGACCAGCTTAGCCTCAGCAAAGGATTCTTCCAAAACCCCTTCAGAATTTGGACTGAAAGATTCGCTAATCAAAAAAAATCATGAATCACCGCCTAGTGACAACAGGGCCACATTTGAGATCCCATTTAGCTTTTTCAAAAAGCTAGCAGGTGCAAGTCTGAAGAATAATCCGCTCCTCCCTGTATCGAAAGATCTGTCACCAAGCGTAAGTTCTACCACAGAACCACACACGGATGCTAGGCCAAAACCACGCACAGTTACCACCCTTAGAAACCCTAAGCATGGTGATAGCACAGTTCCAGCCCCTGATACTGTTACTGCTGAAAGTGACCCTAACAGTGGTAGCACAATTCAAACATTTTTTACTGCTGAAGGTCCCCCTAACAGTGGTAGCACAATTCAAACATTTGTTACTGCTGGAGGTCCCCCTAACAGTGGTAGAATAGTTCAAAACCGTGTCAAGAGGTGGTTTTGGAAATCAATCCCTAGTGTGGTTGGCATCAAGGATAACGGAAATCACCAGCGCACTGAATGTCTCAGAATGCATTTCTGGTTCACTTTCGGATTTGGCGTCCTGTTCTTGTTATTTCTTTTGTTCAGCATTCTCTTTGCTACAGGTGTATTTGGAATTTTAGGCCCGCAAGAATCAAAAAAAGAGAAAGAAAAAGAGCAAGACAAAAGAAAATTCGAAATATTTAGGGTTTTATTCCGAATTGCTATGTTTTTTGTTTTTCTCGTGGTGTGTCAGATTTTTCAAGTTTACTTGGACTACGAACATGACCGGGTGCTTTGGAAAAGCACCAGAAATAGATGGGCCTTTGGAATGTGTTTAGTGTTCATGATTGTTTTGATTCTTTATATTGTGTTTTCATTTCGATTGAAAGCAGAGCCGTATGGGGTTTATGACTACACGACAACCGCTCTTGGTAGTATTCTTGCCCTAGGCTCGACTTTTGGCTTGTTATTTGGCTATTCAGCTACTCATGCGAGAGGTTGAAAACGTCGCTTTCAATCTGTGGAACACTGAATCCATTTGGGGGTATACCTTTCATTATCTAGGCACAATTCCTCGAGTAACTAGTTAGGATAAAATACAAAAAGATAATTGCATACTTGTGATTGTTTTCAAACCTCTGATTCATCTATTTTTTCAAAACTTTATGCATGTTGATAAAAGGTCAACATCATAAAATGATAATTTTACCCAAACTTTGCCCAAAATCCGATCTTGGTGGTCCAGAACAAGGAAGCACCCTATATTAGCGAATTGTCATCCAAGTAAGAAACCCGGACATGTTTAGGAATGGGAATATGTGTATAAATTAAGCCCGTCCAAGCTTTGAAAGACCACTGTGGACATCCGAAGGGTCAAATATCACCAAATCAATAAATATACAGAGGGTGTGGAAGGCTTGAAGATAATTACCCTTGTATTAATTGATAGGTATCAAGGAGACGCTTGGTTTTAATTGGTCTAATAGGACCGGAAAGCGCAATAAAGTATCATCTCATTTAAGAAGGAAGGGGGAGGGGGTATTTTGATTTCAATTTTCAAGGCTCGTCGTGTCGGTTTGCTCCAGCTGAAGAATTGTAGTAATTTTGCTGGAAATGTTTTAAAATCCGCCTGAGATTGTACCAGCAGAACAAGCGTGCATGTCAAAGACTTGATTTGTTATTGTGAAGGAGCCTAAACAAATTGTTATCAGATGAGCGCCTTGACTCACAACTATTGAACCCGATTCAGTTCAGTTCACGGCTGGTGTCAAGCGGTGCTAGTCTGAAACTGTTGTGTCTTATGTTTGACGAAATTATTTCTCCATTGAGGTAGATGAGCTGAAGAACGACAAAAAACGTTTTACTATGTTTCATTCTCTTTGAAAGAAAAGTGTTGAACTGTGCATGTTGCTAAGTTAATGACCTAGAACAGATGAGTCAAGATTGGAATTGCAAAGACTTTCTTGTGAAGACTTTCCACCCTCAAGAAATAAATCAGGAAGAGGCCACCCAAGCAAGAAGAATGCCTTCAAAGACATCTTTGCCAAGCTTCCCTTGATTCTATATCAATAGTAATCAAAATCGGTAGAGTAGATGAAATCTCTCGACGTAAAGGAAAGAAATTTCCGAGCTATGAGGCAAAATGCAATAAATCTGATTCAACTTCGTACAATAGACATGAGTGTGTAGGTAAGCCTCACATTACGCATTGAGGACTGAAATTGTGTTCATGAAACTAAATTATGAGTGCAGCGGAAAAACTACCCATAGCGTGGTAAAACAGCCGTATAAGATAAATCTTGGAAGTCGTACAATTTATGAACGTGGTGAGATGAAGTAGTTGAATTAAGAGAATGCACTCAAGAAAAATTATTTTTATCGACACAAAACAGAAATGCACAGATGTTACTCTCCGGTTTCCTTGGATGGAAGAAAGGCACCAAGAGATTGGACGCACTCCTCATTGATCAGTTTGTCGTTTCACGCAAGCCGTATTTCTTCATTTAATAAGGGCCAGAATTCCACTTCCAGTTGGATTTTTATCAATCTTTTTTGTTAGGACAATGGAGAAGGCAACAGATTTAGAATCGCAAATTCCTGTGCCAGAAGTGCAAGAAGCTCCGAAAGAGCGCAACGTTTTCCACGTCATTTTGGCAAAGATCAAGAAAGTCCTTGATATAGTATTTGGAAGAAAACTCACCAAACGTCATGTTCCTCTTTTGATTTATGTGGTTTGGTTTTTTTGTTACAGTACATATATTTGCATGGCTTTCTTTGGGACACACGTCTTCTACAAAGAATTGAAGTACAGCTCCTCACTAACGGCGACAATGAAAAGAGACGTAATTGCCATGGAGCGCGTCATGGAGAATTCAACAGAAAAACTTTCCAGCTATTTTCCCGATGAGTGGCCTCATGGAACATACACTGTAGGTTACTCTGAAATTTGCAGGAAAAACAATGACTCCAAGGAGGTATGCTACAAAGGAAACAAAGTGGAGGAGCTTATTCTACAAGACATTGGTATACAAATTGCTGAAAATCAGAGTATGGAAAATGCCAGTCAGTTTGGTAAACATTTCATGACACTGTACCGTGCCTTACAGAGGAATTCGGTGAGGGAGATGGATAGAAGGAGAACCTGTAACCCTCTCGTTTGTTACTACGAGGGCCTAACAACTAAGGATGTCGCACAATTTCCTATCACACTCCGGCCAGTTTATCTGCATTTTAAATTGATTTGGGCGAATTTGGTTTTCGCTACATTAGCGTTCATTATGATAATTATTGAATTGCGATTTTACGTCCCTGGTTTGAAGTGGGTGATTTATGTCTGCGGCCTAATTCAGGTGTCTATATCATCTATTACAACTGGGATTTTTGGTAGTACAGTGGTACTGCTTAAAACGTACTTCACGATTCAATATTATGCGTTCAACATCACCATTTATTCGTGTCATATTGCTATGGCGTTAATGTTGGCAATATCTTGTGCCATTGGCACTTGTTTAAAGGCTTAAGGAAACAAATTTCTCAAGCCACGAATTGCAACATCTGATATAGAAAGACGACAAAGCATGTTAGAGTACAAGGTTCAGCCATCGATTCATCACGATATTCTATATCTCCATAAAGGCTTCAATACTTCTGCCCGACTTTGCTCATTTACGCTCATGTTAGGGGATGTAGTTTTAGTTGGAATAAAAGCTAAAGTGGAAACATCAAACTGGCCTCAAAAAAATTTGCAATTGCTTTTCCAAGTGTGTAGTAGCATATGCCTTAGGAGTCACAACCTACCAAATCA